GGCAAAAGCCCCAACAAGTACTCAGCGCGGACGGCACGCTTAGGCACAGCCTCACCTGTTCCCGTTCAAGGTGCAATCATCAGAGTTTTCATCATTGCCGCGTTCGCTGTTCGTCTCGTTCCGCAGCATAGCTCGAATCCTTCCACGGAAAGCTTTCAGGCACCCGTGCTGTGGTGGTTGCAATACACCACCACGACTTCGGGCCCCTGCTGTACAGAACTTTTCCGCCAGGCCAGATTCTCGGCTCACGCCCTGGTTCCTCGCTTGCGCAGGAGCGGAGCGAACGAGTGGCGCTTGGCTTCGGCGTTAACGCACCTAGCGTGTTGCGTTATCTGCATGTCCCACCACACCGAACTGTCTTCAGCATTGCCTGGGGACGTGAACCCTGGACGAGGCGTTGCAGATGAGACGCATTGGACACGACGAGCGGCGCCGGTGTCCATCGCCGGCGGTAACGACTTGCGTAAGCGATGCCATGTTTCGCAATAGAGGTCGCAGGCTCCTGCATGCACATCAATCTCGGCGTGGCCCAGCAGAATCCTTCATCTTCAACAATCTTCAACAGCATCGTATTCAGATGCCGTATATCCGCTACCCAAGTTCGGTACCTCGAGGACTGCGCACAAGGGTGGTGCAAGTCCATTTTCAATTCGTCGACTGTCCTGGCTGCCCTTGAACGTCTTTTGTGGGTCGTCTGCGAAGGGTCTGCAGACCGTCTGCGGGCCGTCTTGGGTCTCTGCTTGGGGCCCCAAGGGACTGTGCGTGAGACTGTCTGAGTATGCTTGCAGCTGGGCTCTCCACACTTTCAGTTGAAGTGGGTCTTGTGGAGACAAGTTTCCATTAGGACGTTGCGGCAATTCGAGTTCAGATGAGATGATAACAGACAATCGTGTCATGATCTTATTCTTACGTACCCGTTTATCCTGTGCGGCGAATTTGGACGCAGAGGTGTTACGAGAGCAGAAACGCGTGGAGGCGTTGGGCGGAGCTGGGGCGGAATGGTGTTGAGCATTCACCACCTCACATGCTCCTCACCCTCCAGGGCTCTTACGCAGTCAGCTGATGAACTTTTAGAAAGGGAAGACGTTGGCGGCTGCATGCCCAGAACCCCGCAACCCACAGGTCCCAATCGAGTATCAAGCATCTGAGACAAACGCCACTGCGTTTGGGCTCTGGCGATCAGGGTCTTCGACGGGGACCCTCGTCTGGTGGTCCAGCCAGCCTCATCTGCAAGGAGGAGACTATCCCAACATTCAACGATACTCTCAGGCCTGCCTTGCCGAGAAATTTCCTGAAGAATCAACATCACGCAACAATGGGCGCGAACAGATAGCTCTACATGCCCTGATACGCATATCTTCACCCACAAGTGGGTCTGTAGCAGCTTTCCAGGCTGCGTTACAAAGCTCGCCGCCTCACTACGCCCTAGACGAATATCATTGGATCGTACTCGTCCTCTCATGAAACCCCGCGGCAATCACGCGAACACGGCGCCTGTGAACGAGAGATGCTCATTCGGTGGAGACTTATCCCCTCCAAGCACATCAGTCCGGAGCGCATAACTTCCTCCAGATGTCTCTTTAGAGTTTTTACATGACCATCCATAAACAAATCCATCCACGCTATAGCGAGGCTACAAAGTCTCCCCGAACACCACAGTAGCGTGCGGATCACAAGTGCATAAGTGGCAAGGAGTTGCTCCGCGCACGATGGTTGGCTTAGAGCATCTCACTCACCGCTTAAGTGTAGGCTACAACATAGTGCGAGACGGGTTGGGAAGGGGCTTTAGGGCGAGACCCTGGATTATGCAGGGAGCGGGAGGCAGGAGGGTGCATCTAGAGGCGGCTTTCAGTCAGCGCAGGTGCTATTAGTGAATGGTGAGGCTGTTGAGAGGAGGTGAAAATTCTCAACGGAGGACTCCGGTGAGAAGGCGCTCTATGTCTCCGCGGGTGGACATTACTCGGACCAAGAAAGCAGAGTAGAGCTTGACAAAGTGCGTCAAGTAAGCCAGTCCCATGATGGAGTTTGACCGACGACAACGCAACGAGGAGCATGTAGTGTAGAGCTGCACTCACACCTAGCTTTCGAGATTCGAAGCGATCTCGCATGCTGACTATAGACACATGAACAGACGCAGTGATCCTGATGGATGGAGTCACGGCCGAAGTAGGATTGCAGCGATGTCTCTCACTCCATTCAATATCACTGTTCCATTGACCTCGTATTGACTCCCGACCCCTGACATCGAGCTTCCACCGCTCAAGCACAGCGTTAACCATGCATCGCTGCTCATCTGAACAGCTATCTCTACTCTATTTATTTACACCATAGTGCTCCGGGTTCCACGCCATATCCTGCCACCTCTTCAGCGGCGGCGCCGTTGCAGTAGGTACCTCTGGAATACTCGGCGCCAACGTAGCAGTCGGCACAAACGTCACAATCTGCGTCTCAGTAATATACACAGTCGTCGGCGCGGGCTCAAGGCCGCCAGTGTTCTGACCCATATCACATGGATGCTTGCCAGTGAGAGGCGTTGGGGAGTACAATTGGTCGCACTGCAGCGTGTAAGAGATATTATAGGATGGCTGGCGTAATTGGAAGCTTACCTGGCGCGTGGGTGTCGGGCAGCCGCGCGCGGCGGAGGTCCAGCAGACGAAGGAGTGGAGTTCTTCGAAGTTGCAGCGCTGGTGTGATGGTTAGTTTCGTTCCACACTAGATCTTCCACTTCCCAGTTGCGTCTCTGGGTTGGTAACTATGGCGTTACACCTAGCGATATCCTTCTCCCACCACCGTCTTCTCGCTACTTACCTGCAATGAATCCGTCGCCCAACACGGATACTGCACCGTCGCCAGATCCGGACAATTACAAGCCGAGCTAAAGATAGGAATCGGTTCCCAGTGACTATAATGATGTCTCGAGCTTGTCGTAAGCGTACTCAGATTCCCCGGCACTGACAGCGTCGGCAGCAGCGTCGGCAGCGTAGTAGGCACATTAAGCGACGTTGAGAGCGGCACAGAGATCGTCGGATCCGCGATGATCGTCGTGGGGAGAGGAACCGGGTCCACGGAGGAGGAGGCGTCTTGCGGCTGCGCGTAGGGTACGGCTGCCACGAGGCCGGTGAGGAGAAGGGAGAGGGTTACAGCGGACCGCATGGCGGATGGGGTTGGCAAGCTGACAGGTTACAAAGCGCAAGCGGAGATTGTAGCAACGAGAGGGCACGGTACGGTGTAGTACTGCAGCAGAGACAGCAGTTCCAAGACGTTTTGATGACGGACGGCGGAAAGATTGAGTGCCTCGCCTGCACATTCCCACCGGTCCATTGCACCTCACGAGCATGAGTGCGACGTATCTACCGTACTGCTTTCAGCTCTTTCCGTGTTCAATGCCTGTTTCGAGGCCTGGTAGTATATTGCGTCGGCATCTTTCCTGCTGGCTGCACGAGACGAACAGACAAGTGATGTTCAAGGTCAAACACAAGGTACAGCAGTGTCAAGGAAACAATACTATTTTGGGGTCGTTCGGCGTTGTGCGATATTTGCGATAGAGAGGGACGCGCTGGATGTGCTATGGAGTTATTGAGGGTGGTCGTCACTTTCCCGATGATTGGTTGGTATTACGAATGTCCAATCTGGGTATTTTGCTCGAGGGAGATTGCACGTCCATTGCAAAGAGCCGTCTTCTGATGGGAGAAAAGGTAGAGCAGAAGAAAATCAAAACGCTCACACTGCAAAGCGCTGTGAAGCTTCACCTTTTGAATCCTTTTACGGGCGTTCTGTCGACTTGACACCAATCCTTCTTGCAATGAGCCATACTCTCCGCGAGTGCCACCATGTACGCTTTTGACATGTCTGCTTAGAACCAACACGTTATCCATGTACGAATTTACGTGCATAGTCATGCAAGATATCGTCTAGAAGTCTTCATCCGGCGTTGCGCACGTGAATGGGGCTCGTTCGTTACCCCGTCGTCCCCGTCTTAGCTAGATACTTGAGGATCGAGGCGCCTAGTGAAGGCTTCCAGAGCGTATGAGGACGCACCTCATCAGTGCATGAAGAAGATTAGTCACATTAGTCACTGTTTTGAAGTAGGCGAAGCTCAACCCCGCGACTTCCAGAACAGGCATCTTCTTCCGCCCCCGCGTCGCCCCGGATTTTCATGTGAAAGCGACGATCCTACAGCGACCGTGGGAATCCAGGGTCCCTGAGTTTTTCGATAAGGGTCCCGAAGGCATCCGCGGCATCCTCGCCAAGCGCAAATCACGAGTGTCGCGTGTGCACATGCTCAGCTGCCTCCTTACTCTGTTCGGAACTGTTGAGGATGTGAGGTGATATCAAACTCGAAGACGCTATGTGGCATGATATCGGATTAGGCAAGATTGGGATGACACGTATGTGGAGAGGTGGACTTGAATGCTGGGATGGCGTGGTCGATGTGTGTGGCTGCGTGCTTGAACAGTCAGGCTGGCGAGCTTGCATACGTTGACGGCAGAAATGAGGTCCTGATAAGGGCCGAAACAGTCAGATCGTGGGTACGAGGCTAGATGTACTAGTACATGGAGCAAAACTCCGCCCAGCGCTCCCCGCTCATGACAGGCTTTGCGGGGCCCTGGCGTGTTTGACGGTTTCTTAGCGGCGCAGTAGGTTATGCGAAAGGTCGCACAAGGATGGTTTGTTGGGAATGTGCGGTTCACCGACTGTGCGGCGAATCTGCGTGGTGATTCAAAGGTGTTATTCAGCAATGAGGTTGTCGCGGCCGACTTTCGGGATGAAGGTGGCACTTCCTTATCGAATCAGTGAGTAAGCATATCATGTGATTGGGCGGATCAAGCTCGGGCCCATGACGGAACCTTCGACTCGTTCACGAAAGTTCGCGTCGACATCGTCGACCCTTGACGTTCACTGTGTTGCGCATTTGCAAACAGCATTGAGTAAGCCCTCCTTATTGCTCATACCGTTCATCCATCGACGTCCACCTCGGTAACCATCCGCAGACTTCCACAATGGCCCCGTCAAGAGCTCTCCTCCTTGTCACACACCTTCGCCCATCTCCGTGTCTCCTTCCAGCCGCTCGTCGAACAATCAGCAGTTGCGCCCAAACACACCGATCGCCTCTTGCACAAGCCCTGTTTCCAGGCCCGACGCGCAAAGTGCGTACCTTCCCCGCACTTTCCTCAAGAAGAGAGTATGCAACGGCAGCACCCGAACCGCCGGATTACCTCAACGAGGCTGAGCTCCACATCTTCAATAAGATTAAGGCCGAGCTGCAGCCCGTAAATCTCGAGGTACGTTTTGGGCCTCGTCGATAGTGCGTATTAGGGGTCGAACGCGCCCGTCATATGATGCGACGTCGGTGACCGATCGCTGCACAGCGAGCATGCACGTCATAGAGGTCTCACGGGGATTTGTGGTATCATGCTCGCTACAGCGGGCAAAGAGAGATAATGCAGGCTGACATGGTGGCATGCTAGGTGCAAGATATCAGTGGCGGTTGTGGCTCCATGTATGCGCTGCAAATTGAGAGCGAGCGGTTCAACGGCTTGAGCGTCATCAAGCAGCATAAATTGGTGAATGAGGTGCTCAAGGAGGAGATCAAGGGTTGGCATGGCGTGCAGTTGAGGACAAAGGCCGTCTAAACGATTATGCATAGCAGTGTTGTATGTTTACTGTAGGATACACATGTACGATGCTGATGTACGGATATATACGTAGGGTGGACAACTCCTCCGAAGCTTCTCTCAATTTCGCTGTAAGTCTTTCGCAGGCAGACAATATATCTTGTAGCAGTATCCGTGAGAAAGTCGGTTATTGGCCTCAAGAAGTGATGCGGTCTACATTTAAGGAAGTATCAAAGGAAACTCAATTCATTCTCTACCTAGCCAGGATACACAGTCATACAGAAAGAGATAAAACTCGAACAGACAGGCCGGCAAAGTTCATTGTCCCAACATAGTTTATGGACCTTCCTCACCCCTGGGGATTGCCCGGAGCGCTACTAGCATTGGAGCGCTTACGACTAGCTTCGAACACTTCGTACGCCTGAATGTGTTCCATCACTGTTTACATGAGATACCATAATCAAATCTTGACATTTGTCCACTTACGTCCTTTCGTTACCCAACCTCCATCGTTGTCCTTGAAATCATCATATTCCCCCTGGATCACCTTATGGTGGTATTCAGGATTCCCTGGTGTGTTCTTCAAGGTACAAAATTTGGCTGCGATGTTCTTCGAGGTCGTGTAGCCGGTACCCGTGATGTAGTTGCATTCATAAATTGTAACCATTGCAAAGTTTTAGTGGTTTGGAATGTCGAGTGTACCCAGAATTATCTCTTTCTTGCTGTCAAGTATTGGCTGTTGATGGAGATAGATCTTTCAGGATTCTTTCGAGAGGAACTGTTCTGGGAAACTGATAGCAAAATGAAGTCCTTATATATGTTGATGGAGATGACTGAGTCTGCGAACGCTTCACAGACAATGACTGTCTCTTGGAGGCCCACGCTCGCTATGGGCAGGTACGGTCTCTGACCTATACTCAGGTTCGAGTGTTCAGCCCTAGTGAAGTGCTCTGGTGCAGTCCAAATCACGCCTACGCATTGACTTTAAGAGTTGAAGTAGACTTTGTGAGCCACTACCTAGTCATATCTTTCTTGCGAACTCTGCTCTCGCCGTTCGCGCTTGCCCACTCGAAGCTCGCCTGCAGAAGTTGACTCTTGAACTACGGCCGCCGTTGTGTCGACCTCAATGATGACACAGAACCGTACAATTCTACCAAGACGTGATATGAATCCATCCATACATGCTCCTTCTGTGGTACCAGCTACTGAAGCTTTTCGACGTGTTTGTAATGTGGCGTGGCGCTGCTGAACTATTGTATGAGTCAAGTAGTTGACGGTCGTCATAGCAGGCATGTTTGTGCGACTTGAACACGTGGGTCACATTGCCTTTGTACTCGTACGACGAGAGTGTGCACAGTCCGCAAAATGTGATGGGCACCGTCATGGCGGCGAAAATATGCGCAGTCGTGATTCAAGCTCAGTATAGCACCCAAGTGTAATTCTTTTCTGTTGCTCAAGATCGGCACAAATTAGGTAGTACCATAAACAAGTCAAGGTCTGAAGATGGGCTTTACTGGGGATCATGAACGAGAAACCAAGACCATTCTACCGTTGTCTCTAAGTCGATAGACACATACGGAAATAACATAACGAACGCTCGAGATCCGCTCAAAATAAGAACAACGCGCAGAGATACTTAATGGCGATTCGAGGACGGGCAAGGAAAGTTTTTGTCGTTAGGAATGCCCCAGCCAATATTACTGTTCTGCGTACCTATTCATGAAAATTCCGGTGTCAACTCACAAAGGAACTGACTGCTCAGATTGAGTTCGAACATTATTGCATAGTGGAAGCTACGGACGTAGATGCTGCGATCAGCGCGCAGAGGGGCGGAAGCCCCTGGGAAGATATACTGCCTAAGCAAAATTGAACTCCAGAATGACGATTTCGGAATAATCCACAATATGCACATGCGCGTGGGCTTTGCGGTATGTTATGGGATTGAGCCGTTTTACCAAGGATTGAGTGAGGAGTATCACACGGTCTGGGCATGATTTCAATCAGCATTCACCACTGACGATTAAGAACCCTTTCGTAACATCAGGACCATGTAGGTACATCCTACTTGGAGAGGAGGTCCTATTTCCCCTCAATCTACGCACTAGCGAGAGTGACACCAAAATTGTCAAGTGGTTCTATCGTTGTGATAGGGATGTCGGATTGTCCTAGATCAAAGTAAGCTCGGGGCTGATTGGCGCTTGCGAGGGCCAGACAGAAAACTGGAGCTACCATAGGTAACTATAACGATTCATTATCCATACCTGAGGCACCTGTAAACTAAAGCCTAGTCTATAAAGGGCAGAAAAGCAGTCTTTCTACTCGTCGCAGTCAGTGCAAATTGGAGCGACTTGCTATTCACTATATGGTCAAGGGATATGTCTCAAGAACATCGTATTGCGCTCCGCACCTTCTCGCGTTAGCTGCTATTAGGAATTAAATTCTCCCACTCATAAAAAGAAAAGCGCGCAGACTTCGACCTTAGCAGCTCAGGGAACAATTGCGCTCATTCTCCATACCTTCTCTCCATGAAGCATTGCTTCAAGAGTGTCATGAAGTCTTCCGTAAAACAATAGCTATGTCGTAATCACTGCGCGGCCCTGAACATGTACCGGAGCAGTGTGATACGTGGGATTACTTAGCGCTCTAAATAGCAAGCGAAGTTTCGAGGCCTCTACTGGCGCTATCCTCTGTTCTCCGGGTGACATTTTCCAGATCCTGCGAAACACCGGATTATACATCCTCGGTACGACCCCGAAGATTCAACATCGGCGGCCTAATTTGTGTCTACGGCGTTGAGAAAAGATCGCGCGCCGTTCCAGCCATGTTACCCATTCGTCGTTTAATATGATGCTAAACGATGAGATTCTTGGATGCTATCCAACGTTCTTGTGGCTTTGATGGTGGCACTGACTCGGACGAAGGTCCAGTAGGCCTGGACCGTCACTTGCAAGTCCGAATTGGGTTAGTTTAGGTGAGCGCTACCCCCAACGTGGTTAAAAAATGGAGGTACAGCTGACTCTATCAATAACCTCCTCCGCATAGCTGCTTAGAGATACGTCACTCCAATCCATTCAAGAAAGTCTAATTGCGTGCAATGGTCTATGCAACTTATTTGCGCTGTCGCAACAGGTCGCAACAGGTCGTCAAGGAGTCTGTGAGGATCATGCTTGCGGACGGGTAATCTCGCATGCTTGAAGTCCCGAGTACTCAATCGTGATTTAAGGCAGAGCTGGATCGTGTGTGGGTCACAGTGACAGTCTATAACCCTCGGCGCGCACCCTTACGGTAATGAGTATCACTGGCAACAAATATAAGGTCACATTCATTCCCCGCATCCGTTGGCATCGCTCATCCAAAACAAACCCACACTTACAGCCATGAAGACGACAAGTGCCATAGCCCTCGGCCTCATCGCCGCCGCTTCAGCCAACCCGGTCCGCCTCACTACACGTTACGAAGCTGGCAGTGCCGGCTGCGGCAAACCACACACCTCTGGCTTCAATTCCAACCCAGACAGCCACACCATCACCTCTGGTGGATGCAGCCGAACATACGCAGTCCGCGTTCCAGACGGTTACAATAACGATAAGAACAAGCCCCGCAAAGTAATCTTCGATTTTCACGGCCGCAATGGGAGCCCCGAGGCCCAGTACAATAACTCCCAATACGACAAGTATGATGCCGGAAAGGAGTACATCGGCGTTTATCCAGCGGGCGTCAATGCGTCATGGCAGGGTGCACCATACGCTGTTGAGGGTGTAGATGATGTTTTGTTCGTGAAGGATTTGCTTGCGCAAATCCGCGAGGAGTACTGTATTGACGACGACCACGTGTATGCGTCTGGAAAGAGCAATGGTGGAGGATTCGTTGACACGCTAGCTTGCTCCGATGAGGGCGATGAATTCGCGGCTTTTGCTATGGCATCTGCGGCGTTGTACGATGACACGAGCAAGGATCGCTGCAACAAGAAGCGCGCCATCCTCGAGGCGCATGGTGGAAACGATACAACCATCCCTTATGGCGGCGGCCCTACTAGTTCTGGAGGCAATGTTCCTAATATTGATCAGTGGGTTACTTGGTGGGGAGAGCGCGATGGGTGTGCGGCGGATGAGGGAAGTACCACACAGCATGACGGTTATGAGACAACAACATTCGCGTGCGAAGGTTTGAGGGCCGTTGTCAAGCACTACAAGGTCAATGATCTGGGGCACTGCTGGCCTTCGTCGACGGGCGACAACTCGGATGGGTCGCGCGACTACTGCAAAGACCATTCGCTGGACTTCACACCGCGGGTGCTGGATTTCTTCGGCACGTGGGACTTAAAGAACGCGCCTAAGAACTGAGATGGTGTGGAAATAGTTTCAGCGAGTTTTGGGACGTTCGAACCGCACGCTCGCATCGCATGCCCTGATCTTCGGAAGCCATGGCCTACTTTGTACTAAGTATCAAATCATACACCTTGGTAGCTCTTTACCGAGCCAGGGTATTACTCTTGAGATTTCAGTCACCTCAATCCGACACGTAAGTCGGATATTTTGTCTAGGAGTGCACTCGTACCATAATCTCTACCCGCACTGCGCAATTCCTCCCTCAAGGAGATTTCGTCCCCTTTAGCGTCCACGACCTTCGTCAAAACGTGATAGTCAAGTACCGCGAAGTCACTCGTGGCCGTGTCGTTCCACCGCAGTGCTCTCGTTTTCGCAATGATGACGACGGCCAATAATAGTCCCGCAACAGCCGTATACGCGTACACAGTCCCGCGACCGGGGATAGAACGCTTGTTCATAATGCAGTAAGATCCCTCAACATAATTCTCCGCTGGTAGATTGGGTTGCGGCTCCGTGCCATTGTCTGCTGGAAGTGGTTGAAGGTATGGCACAAGCTCTAAGTATGTGGGCTGAAATACGTACACTGGCAGCGTGACGAGATTCCTCAACCAGTCTCGGCCAATCTTGAGTCCAGACGTGTTGTTATGCAGAGAGTACCACAGCTGAACTCCAATGGTTTGTGTCAAGAGATATTCCGCGGATCTGATGTCGTAAAACTTCAGCGCATCATCGGCTCGATCTGGGCGGTACAGTATGGCGTCTAGAGCAGTAAAGAGCGTGGCTGACGTTATGTTCTGAGGCTGTGGGTCGGACATGTCGTCAACATCGAGGATGTCGAAGTCTGAACGAGAGAAGGTGATCGTGGCGTTCCGGCGGTAGAAGCGGAAGAAGGTTCCCCAGTCGTCTCTGCCTCCAGGTTCAAGACAGCTACCGTTGGTCGTGGAATATCCAATTTGACAAGAAGCCCAGCCTGTTATAAGTTTTATATTAGCGGTCATAAGTGGTGCGACTGTGAATTGGGAGAGCACACCTGCAGCTAGCATGCCCTTGGTGTCTTGCTGAGCAACACACATCAGTGTCGAATATTCATGTACAGCATCCAGGCCCCCGTATATCACACAATCCCTACTTTCTGAGAACCCTAACGTCTCAACGGTCGAGTCCCACATATCTACCTGATAGAAAGGCGCATTTCTGATGCGGAAACCCGTCAATTCGACGCTCTCTTTGGCACTTCCGAACGGCCACGGTGTAACCGTAAAAGCGGGACCGGCTATCAGATAGGAAGTACAATTTTTGGCAGCACTACAAGCAAGATCAACGGGAGCCACAGGCCAGGAGAATGAACGATCCTGAAGCATGGCCTGAATGTATCGCGAGACCAAAGGAGCGACAACGGCGCGAGTGGCGTTCGCTAAGGTCGGGTCGAACGTAGCGGTGCCGGCGGATACGTTCATCGAGCCAACATCGAAGAAAATGGTGGCTTGATCGATATTGGCTGTGCATGATCAGCTTCAGGGGAGGGCGAACAGCTGGTATCACTATACCCATGAGTATGATCCCCGGTCCCGGTATAAAGGCAACGACAAACAATAGCCGCGCAAACGCCCACCTCGATACTCTCCCACCCTTCCACCAGGTCCTCCACTTTTGCTCCCTGGAAGAGTTTTCAATCTCGATCGATCGAGCTGGTCGTCTACGTCCCCAAAATCTCCCGAAGTGCCGCACAACCCAGTTTCGGAATCTCCTCCACAAAAGCCTTCCCAGCCCCTCTATGCCGGTGCTCGAGGTCACACTAAGGAACCTTTCCAGCTCGATAAGCCCGTGGTTTCGGTTTCTTGCTCCCAACTTGCGCCATGCAATAGTGTCAAACATGTCTTCCACCGCGAACGCGAAGCAAATGTCTCCAGCTTTGGCGAAGATGTTGAGAATCCATGTACCGAGGGATGGGGAAACGCGTCCGAGGAGGGTATGTTGGCTGCGTGGAGACCATATAGTGTAGAGTGTGAGACCGTAGACAGCGAGGCAGACCAAAGGCCTGACCCAGTATTTGACGCTGTTCAAGAGAAACCTGGGAAAAGATCTTACGGTGTGGGCGAAGATAGTAGAGATCTGTAGGAGAGCAGGCCTGTTCGATGGTGGTGATTGATTCGCTGGAGAGCCAGCATTTCCGTTCGTGATTATTAACTGAGGGCGAACAGACCCATTGAAGTGCGCATGTTGTGAGGGCAGGTTTTGGAGCGGGGACCCATTCATGTCTGCAGTTTGGCTTCTCGCCTAGGTTTTCGCTTTCGAACTTAGCCATCATATATGTAAGAGTCAGATCAATGCGCGGCTCTGATCGTATAGTCAATGTTAGCAGGACGCGTTGGTGTGCTCGACCTCGTCTTCGTCTAGCCCTGTGCTCAACCTACGAACCAATACCCTGGTCATGTCAGCTGTCAGCGCCACAACAGCCACGCCTGGTATCGAAACGAACGATCCTAGAAGTGAATTCCCCGAATTCGCGCCGATAGCGACACATTGTTGGCTGGTAAATATAGCGAGCTTCCTTGGGAGAGAAAAAATTCTTGCCATGGAGGTGTGATTGGCCTGTCGCTGCCGCACGGGGTTATGGCTGTCGCTGCCATTTATCAGCATCGGCAAGGTCAATACCTATATCTCGCAAAAAGCATATGATACCGGCATTTCCCCCGTATATACATAGTGTGGTTGCATAGCTGCCCACAAGAAAGTACTTCGAAGTTATTGGGCCCCGAAATTATGTTCCTGATACCCCTTGCCTTCTTCCTCATCGTCACTTCCGCAAATACGACTCTTTATGCTGCAAAACGCTCCATCGACAATGGGTTTTGCGGTTTCTCCCCCGTGGACTGCGGAAATGGCTGGTGTTGTATCAACGCGATGAAGTGCATCCCAGGTGACCCTCCGATGTGCGAGGATCTTCTCATCCCAAGTTTTACCATCGAGGCGGCGCCGTATAGCGATTTGGATCCGGCCAGACTCACGAGTAATGGGATCACGATTAGCACATTTCCATCCACGACTTTGACAGCAACCGATTCACTGCCGACATATTCGGATAGTGTGGAGACAACGCTGGGTTCCAGAAGCTTGTTATTCACGAAACCAACGGCTTTTCAATCGGTGATAGCAACGGCTCCGCGAGCTGGAGCTGTATCGCCCACTGTGCTTCCGGTCCGTGTCGTCGGGTGTATCGTTGCAGCATGCGCGGGATTTTGGCTAAGAACATAAGGTAGGTGACGTATCTCTTTCTAGATAGAGACCAAGTTACACAGAACTCATGAGGAGACAGTAGTTTCCCTTGCGACTGAGGTCTTGTATCCTCCCTTTATCTTGCGACTTGTCGATGCGTCTCAACTGACCAGAACGCCGATCGGCAGTCATGTTCTGAAGCCTTTAAGTTGTGGGCGTTGCAGAGCGTACCCCGTGTATTTTACGTCGTATGCTGCGACAGCAAGCTAGTAACGACGTCACGTTGCAGTTCATCCACCATTGACCCCTGTGACTCCTCCTACTCGATACATCGTCATCGTATCCGTCTTATGTCTTTTTACTTCTCGTGATGGGGATGTTGCGCTTCGCTAAATTAGGGCAGAGGCCCAACTGTTTGGCGTTGCAATGAGCTGGCTGGACCACCCCAAGTAGCCTTGCAACGAGTGGTTGACATATCCCTCGGGAGCACGAAGGAGGCGGCATATCGAGGGCCGATATGTTATGAGCTTAGCGTGAATTCGAACCATAAAAAAAACAATGGACTCTCTTAAGACGCCATCCTGGCCTGGCTGCATCTTGTTCCATTTGTACTACCATTTCATTTTACACAGTACCTATAATCGTTGGACAAGTCAGTGACATTCCTTTAATCAACAATAATGAAAAATATCATCGGTGCTTTGAAATCTCCCCGACTTTTCATGGCTCTGGGTACATTTTCACACAATTTCAGCCAAACCATATACTACAAGAGGCTGGCTATTGGCCCGCTTGACTTTTTGACAGCTTGGTCCCCTAATTCTACGTCTACCAAACCCAGAAACATAGATTCAACCGAATATGGCTAATGATCAGCCTACTATATGAAGACCTACATGTTCAACATTGGCGCCGTCCTCTATCGTCGTATCTACCATCATGAGCTACTATCGCGGACGGCGTGGTGTTCTCATGAACAGAGTAGGGCTTCTCTGCGTCCCTCATGCCCTTTTCTGGTGCTTCTGGCCCAATGCGATGCGACGCCATTCACGTCGGGAGATTTTAATTGGGCTGTCGTTAGGTTTATGTTTGTTGAGGTTGCGTCACTCGTAGTCTACGTGTTTCGAACAAGGAATGTATACAGGAACCTGTTATCTTAGGGGACGGAAGGCGGAGTTTACATCGACAAGATAGAAGTCGAGCAGATGGCTTCGGAGGGTCGGCATGCCTACGGTACAGGAGCGCGTTCGCGACAAGCCAGTCACCAGATCTGCAAACAACGTATGCCAGCCACAGATACCATTTAACGGATCGATATACCACGAATGCAGATCATTACACGCGTTTACCAGCTTGGTTACTCCTGCTGATACTACTGAAGAGCTGTTGGCTAGGACGGACGCATGACCAATTGTACAGCTAACCAAGACGGGGCACGTTAGCGCAGATGGCATTCGAGTTGACAACGCGTCGCGCTGTTGCCTAAAAGCAGAAGTGCAATAGTCGACGATCGATACAGGGTCGGAATAGAGATTGCGAGTCATGCCGATCTTCGGTATAAGATGACCAGGGTACTTACATGTTGATCGTACGCACTAGCCTTACCTGGATGGTCGATGCGAAATACGGATAATGATCCTACAGCCGGAGCAAACTACATAAGCGCAGTAGAAGCCTTTGGAAGTTATCAATCATCGTCCTCACGGCTAAGCTAATGAAATGACAAATATTGTCATCATCGGGTAGGTTGAAGACATTAAGTGCTGTTCAAATGTTTGGAGACGATACTAACAGGGAGCAGGGCTGGCGTTATCGGCTTACAAACCGCTAACGACCTGCTCGATAAAGGATACAAGGTGACTATTCTCGCCAAACACTGGCCGGGAGATGAAAGTATTGAGTACACCTCGCCATGGTAATTGAATCCTTTCAAGCGGGTCCTACAGGCCATCTAATATTGGAATAGGGCTGGAGCGATATGGCACACGCAGGCCTCACCCGATCAGGTAGAAGTGTGTAATCAGCAGAGACAGAGCTACAAGTATTGGATGGATATCTTGGAGAACAACGCAGACGAAGCGGAGAAGATGGGCATCCAGGTGTGCAGAACCATCTGACTCGTTGTTCACATGCTGACGAAATATAGCGTGTACCAATCGTGAAATACTCGTAAGTGGAAAATTGAAGGCTATGTCGCCGTACTGAGGCTACGTTAGTGTCGATGAAGACAACGATCCTTCAGCGCCGCGGTTGTGGTTCACCAACCTCGTACAAGACTTCGCCCTTGTACCCACCTCGGATCTCCCACCAAATGGCCCTAAGAGCGGCAACTCCTTCACAACTGTCCTAATCAACCCAACCCAATACCTCACGTACCTGTTCACTCGAGCGAAGTCCCTCGGCGCCAAAACGATTACTGCCACACTTCCCGCCTCGAACTCATTCGCGGCCACCATATCGACAGCTTTTGGCTATCTAGACAGAGAAAATGCCAACCTGCCACAGGTGGTAATTAATTGCACCGGCCTCGGTGCATCCAAACTCTGTGATGAGAGCATGTTTCCTATCCGCGGCCAAACACTCCTCGTCCGTATCACTCCACCCCCACCAACATCTCGCATCACAATTTGGGACAGCACACCCGTCACGTACATCCTCCCACGCCGTATCACGCCCTTCTCTTCCGAGCCTTCAGACTCGACCTTCTTCATCGGCGGCACCAACGACAAAAACAACTGGGACCCCATACCTACGCCCGAGATATCGAAGGGAATTCTTGAGAGAGTGAGCAAAGTGATGGCTGGATGGGCTGGCAAAGACGCGCAGATCGAGGTGTTGAGGGAGCAAGTAGGTTTAAGACCAGGGAGGAAGGATGGACCGAGGGTAGAGCTTGAGGAGGTGGATGTGGGAGGGAAGAAGATTAAGGTTGTGCATCAGTATGGACATGCGGGGGCGGGGTTCCAATTTTCGATTGGGAGTGTGAGGAAGGCTTTGGGTCTTGTGGAGGAGGCTTTGGGATGAGAAGGGATATGAATGCGGGGTGGTCAACATCCATGTGGAGTCTGGCAGTGATTTTGTAGATTGATCCCTCTTGGTATATAGTAGTGGCAACTTATAATTCAAAGATTGCTTCCAGTCTCAAAGCCACAACTTTCAGGCTCGGCCATCTTGTGCGTATCCAACCAAAATCATTCATTATGTTTGCTTTTTTGAAGCCATCTGGCAGCCGAAACAGGTGCCGTCGAGCCCAGCGAACAAGATGTCTTCAATTGTGTCGATTACTGCACCTTTACGACTGCTGCGGAGAGGATGGTGGTATAAGTGGGGCCGAAATGACAACAAATCGCAGAACCAGATTTCACCCCAAACACCCAACCATGGAAACAGCGTGCCAGCAATCAACACGTTCAAGCGACTCGACAACTCAAGTCTCACACGTCCGAGCTTCTCGCACCTTCACATCATCAAATTGCTTGACCAACAATCGTCATGAAGCGCGAACGGTCGTTGTCCCCCAGTCGCTTCACCTTCACCGAAAGCGAATTTAGATCGCAGCACTCTCTTCCCTCTAGCCTCAAACTCTATAAATCCAAGGACTGCAGACAAACCGAACCCGGTCCTCAGCTTATTGAGCTCACGCAAGACGATCAATCACCCAAGATGAGCGCTCCACGTCCTGCCTCGCACTCCACGTCCGACGATGCGATAGCGCTCACTGCATCTCTTTCTCCCAAGCCGGTCTACCTTATCCGGTACGACAGTCTCCCGTGCAGCGACGGTCCAGGTCACGCTCAACCACCCAGGGGCAAGAACGTTGGGTACACCAATGACCTAGACCTGGTGAAGCTAGCCGAAAGGTTCAAAAGGAGCGACCTTTTGCGCGACAAGATTTGGCAGGTCAAGAAGTACGAAGCGGGGATGAGGGGCCAAAAAAGGCTCAAGAAAATGGACGATGGACCGGTGGAGATGAAGAATGGAAATTGGGCTACATTCCATGGTAGGTAATGATTTACTCCGAGTGGTGGCAGGCTGCTAACAATGTGTAGCGTACGTTGACCCCAGACTTGTCTTTTAACCGGAAGCTGCAGTGACTCTGAATCAGACTGAGGTCGATCTTGTAGTCTTCATGTGCTTTTGCAAGCCATTGAGAAGACTGATGTCTTCGCCGATATCCGTTTCTTAATTTCATTGATGCAAGCTGATCTCGATTCTGTGGTATAGGTATAACGCTATCATGGCCACCCGCGATTGGCTCGCGTGGCAGGAGAAGTTATATGAGCGGATGCAGGGGGACACGTACGGAACACGGATTGATGAGAGCGTGGAGGAGCCGCAAGGCGACGCCGTGATGGAATCGCAACAATAAGGTGAGGACGAGGCTGGGAAGCAAGAGGAGAAGGAGGTTGGAGAGCAAGAGCACGAAGAGGGTGCAGAGCATGAGAAGAAATGCCCCTCGAGTGGCATCTTGTGTTAGAGATCACAGAAGTATGGCGTCGCGGTTCCCCGCCGATCTTGACCGATGGAAGCTTCATGCTGTGTCCACGGAACACTGCGACGGTTGGCAAGAGCCCTACCGGAATTGACGTTGTCTTTTCGACACGGATAGATAGGAGGGACAGATTACGTTTGATAGCGGTGTCACACTATGAAAACAATGATAGGATGCACCTACTGTCGTAGAATATCAAAGAATGTTCACCCTTGAGGCTCGTTTTAGCGTACTGTACAAGTCATGTACCTCGGTGGCACGAGTCAGCGTCCCCCGGCCCCTCAGCATCAGACCGTCACCAGTACCACAATATCCGCCGCGGCTACTAGCAGCTGCAGGTTTCGTCTCGCCGTGATGCAGATATCGCGCGTTATTAGTAGCTTGTCACTCGATGCGGGCCGATCCTAGGGAAGGCCGACTTCATGGCCGATGCTAGCAAAGCGACACATGGCGTAAGTTCGGCGAGCCGAGGCGGTTTCTTGTGGACCTCATCCCCCTCCATTTTTTCAGAGTGCTTGCTTCGAAATCAACAGGCGGACGAAGAGCGGAGTTATCCTCTTAGTCGTAAACCAATTGATATATACTCTATCGTTGGTAGAGCATTCCTCTTTCTAGACCCTCAAAGCCTACGTCATATCACAGTAACTAACGTCCGACCTCAACTGTTCCTCAGCACTACCCGTGCCTAACTTTTCCAAAGCTACCACAATGGCGCCTCTACCAAAGCAAACACGCCAATGGATCGTCAGCAATCCGCCCAAGACGAGCGTCTCCCTGAGCGGTGACGATGCCACCTTCAAGCTCCAAACCGTTGACACCCCATCCGTCAATGATGGTCAGGTCCTCGTCAAGCTTAAGTACCTCTCCAATGACCCCGCTCAGAGAGGCTGGATTCAGTCTGGAGTCGATGCCGAGCGTCTCTACGTTCCTCCGGTCCGTCAAGGCGACGTCATGCGCTCTTACGGCATCGGTGAAATCGTGCAATCGAAGGCGGAGAACTTGAAGGAAGGCCAGCTCGTATCGTATACGGCCAACTGGTCTGATTACAGGGTTCTCGAAGCGAAGGAGGTCACGCCCGTTCAAGAAGATAAGGAGGCGGGCATCAAGGCTACGCACTACATTGGAGCTCTCGGCGGACCTGGACTCACCGCTTACTATGGCCTGGTCGGAGTCGCAGAGGCTACCAAAGACGATACTGTGGTGGTGAGCGGTGCTGCCGGTTCTACTGGCAGCATGGTCGTGCAGATCGCAAAGCACGTCCTCGGCTGCAAGAGGGTCATTGGTATTGCAGGCGGCGACAAGAAGTGCAAATGGGTGGAGAGCCTCGGTGCTGATGCATGCATCGACTACAAGGCCTCTGATTTCGAGGATAAGCTCTGGAAAGCCACAGAAGGATACGTAGAAGTCTATTTCGACAATGTTGGTGGCCACATCCTCGATTTGATGCTGAAGCGCATCAAGCGCTACGGTCGCGTTGCAGCTTGCGGCTCCATTGCTACCTACAACGACCCCGAATCGACCCGTTTGAAGAACTGGTTCGAGGTCATCGCAAATCGTATTCAGATCAGGGGGTTCATCGTGTTCGATGCGTACACCAAAGGCAATGGACAGGAGATGATGAATGCTATCCGGAATGCGGTGAAGGAGAGGAAGATCCAGATCGAGAAGCAGGAAGAGACAATCGTGCCGACGAAGTTTGAAGAGATACCCAAGACGTGGACGATGCTGTTTGAAGGTGGCAACCAAGGAAAGCTTGTCACTGAGCTGAAGGAGTAAACGGGGGCCTCAAAAGAGAGATGAAAATACCCACTAGAAAGGACAGAGGTGTCAAGACTGAAACGAAACCAATGTACATTCTGTACGATATGATCCTGCTTCCGGTTGTCCGTTTTTCAGTATTCCTCACCTGCACAATAGGGCGAGAGTTGGCTGGTAAATCTGCTCCTAACTTGCGTGCTGCGGACATGAACGTTGCGTCCCCCCGCTGCATGCTATGCCAAGCCCAACCAGCTCTCAGTTGTTGGTTTCGCAATATGTAAGTGATGTAATAATAGCTGTGTTATGATTCTCTTGATAGCTTAACACGCATGTTATGCTTCCGAAATACACCACGTGCGACGCCCTGAGGCATCGTGACCACCTCACAATCTACAATATGAAAACCTTGATTTACAACCAAACTGATAGGACGACTCAGCAAAATCCTAGCGATAGCGAAAACCTAGATTATGTTTCCGGTTTTCGCATATCCAGCCTCTAGGTGACATTCACGGTGTACCTGTTTGGCTTCACGCGGCTTCTAAGCTACCCCAAGTACCCTCCCCCACCTACTTATTTTAGTAGCCGACACAGCCTCGTGAACGCCTCTCCCACAACAATTGATGAGCTTCAACCATCCCAAAGCAAGGCACAAGTTTACGGTTTCGATTTATCCGGTGCCTCAAATCCTTCTTTTACCCGCCTGGCTTAGGAACGATAGGAGGGGCACGCCGGCGATACCGCGCCAGAACCCCACCGTGCCCCTCTATCACCGCACCAACCGTCTGCAAAATAACCATCCCACGACGTACGCTGGCTCCTTGTACCTAGCTAGTCAGCAGGATTTTCTTCATTCTAGAAACCGATCGGAGAGATGAGGCCGCATGGCTATTATCCAAGGAGCCGCGTGCGGGCGCTACCCAAGCCTCACTGCACGAATCTTCACGGGTGTCAAGTAGAATGAGCAGATACGGCCGCAGACACACGCACCTGACCTGCGGTGAATGGTTGAAACCGAAGCCATATCCCGGACTCTTGGTAAAGCGTGAAAAAGAGTCAGTGGTAGAATATGAACCCGGCGTGTCACTGGCGCATCGTCGCCAATGCGCCGGTCGACAGATGCAGGGTCGTCTATCTCGTGGGCCTTGCGCTTTACGCGAGAACGCGGATATAGGCATGACCTACCGTCGGGTCCTCAGGTCCAGGGAAGCTCGGACTGGCGGCGGGCGTATATAAGATGAGCCCCGGCTGCTGTTGGTGTACTGTCAAGCTCTTGCTTCCTCGTGTCATTTCTAACTATACCCGCTTTAAGTACTTCTTTGAACGACACCACAATGTCTATTCCGAGTATTGAGCTAAATGATGGCAACAAGATGCCCCAAGTGGGCTTTGGGCTTTGGAAGGTAAACAACGACACCTGTGCTGATCAGGTGTACGAGGCCATCAAAGCCGGATACAGGCTGTTCGACGGTGCTTGCGGTATGTGAACAACATTGATTCCTCAATCAGTCTCGAAATGGTGTAGAGCTGGAGCCTTGAACGGAAGAAACAGCAGAAGCCAGCGAGGGCTCGGTACATGTTGATCCGTAAGCAGCTATTTGGAGATGAGGTCGGATTGCAGCGCCGAATATCCGGTGGTAACTGGGATCCCTGCATATGAGGACGTTTCTTCGTCTCCCAGATTGTTCAATAAGCCATTAAATGTTTGATCACTGACGTCTTCTGTTAGATTACGGCAATGAAGTCGAGTCCGGCCAGGGTATTGCCCGCGCTATCAATGAAGGCATCGTCAAGCGAGAAGATCTCTTCATAACCTCAAAACTCTGGAATTCCTTCCACGACCCCGAACAGGTCGAGCCTATCGTCAAGAAGCAACTCGGCGACTGGGGCATTGACTACTTCGATCTTTACCTCATTCACTTTCCCGTCGCTATCAAGTACATTGCTCCCGAAGTACGCTACCCGCCCGGCTGGTTTGTTGACGATGCGGGCACCAAGATCGAGCATAGCAAGGCGAGCCTAGAGAGCACATGGAAGGCCATTGAGCAACTGAAAAAGAAGGGGTTGTCCAAGAGTGTGGGCATTAGCAACTACACTGGCGCACTGCTACTCGATCTTTTCACATACGCAGAAATCACACCCGCGGTGTTGCAGATCGAGCACCATCCGTACTTCACGCAAGAGAACCTTGTGAAGCTTGCAAAGGAGCGCGGAATTGCCATCACAGCTTACTCATCGTTCGGGCCTTCGTCGTTCATTGAGTGCGATATGAAGGTTGCGGCGGATACCCAGCAGCTGCTCTCGCACGACCTGATCACTGGCATTGCGGAGAAGCACAGCAAGACTCCGGCGCAGGTCCTGTTGAGGTGGGCGACACAGCGCGGTCTGGCTGTAATTCCAAAAAGCAACGACCCGAAGCGGCTAGCACAGAACTTGGATGTTGTAGGCTTCGATTTGGGCAACGACGAAATCCAGAAGATCTCGGATCTGAACATCAACCTTAAGTTCAACGTACCGACAAACGTAGGTTCCATCCCTTTTGCTGTATGGGTCGAGAACGCTGCTAATTGATCGCAGTATGGCATTCCTTGCTATGTTTTCGCGTAAACGTGATCCGCCACATTTTGCAAATGGTTCGAATTCGAGATGTTCAGAGTATATTAGGGTTGGCGTAGCCGCTTTAATAAGGTACAATTTGTCTAATGAATCGAGACTACCGTTCTTGCAAGTCTAATGCTAATGCTTCCTCATATTGTTCCGTTCATGTCGTTACACCCTAATATTTGAGAACTTTCCCCTTACGATCTATCAACGTGTTGAACACTTTTACAATCCTCGGTAACTATCAATAGTGAGAATCGAACACTAGATATAGTACTGGCGGGTCGTGATTGTACAGCGGAACTTCGTTGCCGAAGGGTCGCAGATCTCGTATTTGTTTCCAAGGTTCTTTCAGCTGTGGCTGCACCAGACCCAAAACCGGACGACACCTCAGGCGACCCAAGCCACGCCCTGCCCAGACCTCGTTCTATACATGCAGCTGAAGATAGCGGCCGCTACTAACTGTCGCAAGGCTGCACTTCATAGGGATGGCGGGCCCATCTTCGCGTTCTAGCGTTGATCGCCCACAACCTCGTGCGCATTCATCCCGAGGTCATGGCTATGGCATTTGCGATGCGACTCCCAACGTCTCCATACCTCTTCCTCTTTTTAATTCTACAGGTATTTGGAACATCTGCTGCGCCGTTGGACGACAAAGAGAAGATGCGAAACATTACCGTCACTCTGCCCGAGGGTACACAAATTTTGAACGACTCCGAGATTATTTGCACGCCCGCCAAATGGAAAGACATCGCCATCTTCTTCCTTGTAAACTACGTCACACATGCACTCACGACCGTCGTTCTCCCCGGCGAAGGTTGGGAGTCCTACCTGACCAACGCGCTCGCTTCACTCATGTTCCCCGGGTTTGGCGCTTACCGTGGCCTGCGAGCCATCTTTGTCGGCTGGGCGACGGTGCGCAAGCGCTTTAGGTCTGAACCGTGGGAGCAGGGGGATACGAAGAACGTGCATAAGCATAAAGCGAGGAGGGCGCGCGATTTGCAGAAAGCGAGGAGAGCTGGAGCGTTATGTATGGTTGTGAGGTCTAGTGACTGGGTGCCCGGAGATGGCGATGAGATCGAGAAGAATGTTATTCTGGTCCAGGGTTCGTCGAGGGAGAGTTTCCTCAATGGGAAAAGCAAGAAAGAAGCGGTGGTCACGGAGCAGGACATGGACGATGACCAGGCTCTGCTGCGAGATTCGCACTTCGAAATGAGGAGCATGTCGGGAAGCACAAGTGCGCTTGGGATCCAGCTGCACACGTACTCTACGCCTTGGACGTACTGTAGGAAGCGCTGCCCAGATTCTGTCGGATCGAGAACGATACGTTGTGCACCTGCAGAGCTCTCACCAGGGTATTCCATCATCATGGTCCCGGCATGCACTCCCGTTCGCAACCTCATCGATGATGCTGCAGTCGATCGTATCAACTCAAACTACGACATCATGAGAGGTCTTGTCGCGCTAGTGCAAGCTCTGCTTGCCATCCAGACCCTCTATCAGACACGTGGCAATCAGGTGGAGAGATTTGGATATGCTGCTTTCGGACTAACAGTTGCACCCTACGCAGTCATGAGCTTGGTTAATCTCCTGGGTTCGCTCGCAAGGCCCGATTACGATGCTGTGTACATGGTTGGCTCGCCTGTCATGGAGGAAGAACGAAGAAGAAAAGGTCTGGACGGGTACTACGATGGCGTGGTCGGCGAAGTCTTCGAAGCAGACACTGATAGGAACGAGTCATTCGCTGACAACAAAGTCGAGGAGGGGTCGCAGTTTGTCAAGAGCCCGGTCAAGTTCGTCACTGTGAACAAGGAGCTGTATGTCAAGTTCGCAAACTGGGGAGTGATTGCGTCTCCATTTTACCATGCACCTGACGAAACCTTTCTCAAGGTGAGTACAAGCGGTATGACACCAGATTCTGCGGCACCCTGGTCGTTGTTCGTCCCGAACGCATCACCTTTCTCCTACAATCGCGCAAAAAAAGGAGACATTAGTGACCCTCTACCTTCCCCTCTCGTCCTCGACACCGTCAAGTGGCCTGGCAAGCTTCTTCCCCGTAGCACGCGCTATATCAAACGCAGCCGCTACTTTGCGTTCATCCTTTCGCTCTCCCCAGTCATCATTATCTTTGTACTTTCGAAATTTAGGTCAGGCAGCAGTACGATCTTCCAGCAGGCCATTACCATGCTTTGGTTGGCGTGGGGTAGTGCAATCGGATTCCTTGTCGCGAAGTACGAGAAGAAGGATACGATTGGCGAGAAGGTCGACGGTGTGACAAGAGTACGTAGCGTATTGGTGAAGGCAGTTTTCTTCCTAGTGCTAGGTTGGCCTGCGGTTGCTGGGTGGTGGGTTGTGGCGGAGATGCTGCTGGACTATGGGAAGTGCGTCAAGTTGCCTGGCTAGGCAAGCTGATTATACAGGATCGCAAAAGCTATTTGCTCTCATAAACAACAAGTTCTCGGATCGATTATTGGGAAAAAGCTTCGGCTGCTAGGGCCACATATACGGGATCTAATTGTCGTCTTTTCCGGGTTGAATCATATTACTTCAACGCAGCATCCTCGACGCAACGCCGAAGATGTCGTTTGAAGTTGTCCTTGCGCAAGAATTGCTTGTTCGGGACACTGCACTTTGGGTTGCTACGTACGAAGGTCTTCGTAATTTGTGTTTCTTGATGCATAGTACGCATATGCCGTCAAATCTTCAGGAAGAGTAAATCTTGCAACTGGCGACACCGTCTCCGCTGGACATGCTCATTGTATCCAAACTATCACAGAGGACCTAGCTAGGGGAACAAAAATATTAAGAAAACAAAACTTACGATAGCGGGTATTCGCTGCTGGTCACCCATGCAAATGTCACCCACGCAAATGCCTTCTTCAGCTCTGCTCTCTTAACATGTTGAAGCTGCTGTTCTTTCTCCTCCTACTCCTTCACCAATTCACGAACACGTGCTCCCCTCATCTTCCTTAGTGACCAGGTCACTGCTCTACTGGAATTATCGCGTGTTGATGATAGGGAATTTTGATGCACCTGGTGCTCCGCATTGCCTGAATCCGTGCCTTGTGTGCACGGACACGATACGCCGCAATCATGGCTCTTTCCATTGTTCTGGGGTAGGTACGCGAAACCTACCATAGACGCAACCGCGATTAAAAGGCAGCATCTCAACGCCTTTGCTGACCATACCTCTTGGCCAACCACGTCAGCAGTCTCATATATCACACAAACAGCCCCATTATCTTGGCCGCCGTAAAACATAGCCGGGCACATTCCGACATGGCCAAGCACGCACGCAGCGGTACTAAAATTCGCGACATGGGATGTCAGTAAGTCGCCAGCTACCTCCACGCTGACTATCAAAGATGTTCTCCACTAATACAGCACAGTGAGGGTTACCAGGTGGCCATGCATACTCTGGACCAGTACCGAGGTACCATGGTTGCCTGCAGTTACGCTCCACCACCGAAGCTTAGTCTCTCGGAGGATCTCCCCGAAGTGAAAGCTGCTCTCCATGACGCCGTTGCTCGTCTAGTTCTTGGTCACCCCCATCTCCATGTCGGGTACACCGGCGAAAACACAAAGGACCCTGTCTTTGTTCGCATTGATCATCTTGACCTGCGGAAGCATATCGTATGGAGCCAGCACGATGAATTTCAACCTCTTGAGCAGTCATACCTTGATTGCGTCCAGACCCAGCTTGACTCGCGATTTGAGGATCTATCAACCTCGCCTGGGTGGAAATTAATCGTGCTGCACCAGCCTGGGAAGGAGCATATTGAGCTCCTATACGTTTGGAACCACCCGCATCACGATGGTATGGGTGGCAAGATATTCCATCAACAGCTCTTACGCAATTTGAATGAAGCTTTCGTGTCACGTAGGGAGCCGCTTTCCGACTCCGAATTTGTTGACGGTTCGGACCGTTGTGTTCTCAAAATTCCTGACCCCACGAGCAAACTACCACCGAATCCCGAATTGCTCTCTTGGTGGCCTATGACACCGCTTTTCTTTGTGAAAGCTCTCTGGAAGGAGATTAAACCTCAATGGATATTCCGGCCGGGTGATACTCATGCACATTGGGCTCCTATACAACTCACGCCATTTGCAACCCGCTGTCGCAACTTCACCATTAACAACGATATTGTGACGAGGGTAATAGATGCTTGTCGGCAGCACAATACTACCATTACTGGCCTTGTTCAAGCCTTGGTGCTAGTCTCACTTACCGCATCGCTCGAGAACAGCAAAGGCTTTGCGAGCAGAACGCCTTACGACTTAAGACATATTCTTCCCTCACACACTCGTCGATACCCTTGGCTGCAGCCCAAAGAATCCATATGTAATTACGTCTCGGTCGTCGAACACGAGTTCAATGCCGATCTGATCGCAGCAATAAGATCAACGAGATCAGCCCAAGGGACAGATAGAGGTCTGCCTACTGATCTACAAGATATCATCTGGACCGTCTCCGCGCGTGTTCGACGCGAGATTCAGACAAGACTGGACTCGGGTCTCTGGAATGACATGATCGGCATCATGAAGCTATGCTCAAATTGGCTCACGCAGCAGCAGTCTGAGGCACATAAGACGAGGTACCTATCTTGGCTTGTTACCAATCTTGGCGTCCTTGATGGGCGAAGCGGTCTTATTGATAGGCAAGACGGCTGGTCCTTACGCCGAGCGGAACTGCTACTGAGCGCCGAGATACCCTCGGCTGCCTTCTCGGTATCGATGATGACGGTTAAGGAAGGAGACTTGGTCGTGACGTGTAGCTGGCAGGACTGCGTTCTGGATGCGAGCCTTGGCGAGCGATTGATGGTCGATCTGGAACGGTGGTTGAAGGAGATTGGCGCTCAACTGTGAGACACCCTAGTTTGAAACGTGACCAGTGTTGGCAGTGTGCCGTCGCTTGTTGGTGCTTATATCTACTTACTGAATCCTAGTTAGCTCTAGGAATTGCTGGAGTGAGATGCGCTCGGAATTACCCATGACTTTATTAGTGTCCGGCTCAGGTACATCCTCTTATTCTTCAGGTCTATTGGCAAACGTGAGCTTCTCCCTGGGGCTTACGCCCTTCTTCAGTGTTCGCTTCTTCGGCGTTGTTGTCTTCTGTTTTGGCGTAGCCTCTTTCTGTAGAGCCTGAGCTTTCGTGCTAATGAGAAGCGGAGGCGCAAACATAGCTAACTTCGTAGAGTTGAGATTTCCGGGAAGCCTTCTCGTCGTTGAGGCTGGAAACAGCCTATTCGATGCCACCCCTCTATCGCGCCTATCATGACTCTTCCGATCTCTTGAACGGAAGAATACCTCCCACAGTCCGCAAACAACATCTAGACTCCTTGGCGCGACAACCTACTCAAAAGATGATCGATCAGTTTCGCCGGCTACAGTGGTCCTATACTTGCACTACAAATCATGTAGCGGTGAACAGCACAGTAGTCAACACCAGCAATGTCTTGCCCGCACGCTTAATTCCGCGAACGGGTCCGCGTCACGGGGTCATCAGATGACATGCTGAGTTAGCGGCACGCGCCCACTTGCCCCTCGTGGTGCCGATCTCCCGCGAGCCCCAATCAATGCCATGCAAACATCCCGCTCCAACACCGCCGATTTGCTCGGTCCGCGACGTCCAACTGTGCCGCTGGCATCCAGGGCACGAGGAAGCAGAGCCTCCATCAGTATTGTCGAGTGCGGGAGGAGATACGTTGCGGTTGCGATGCGCCTCTGCAATGGAGTTAAAGAGCTTTGGGTGGTCGCGGAGTAAGATCGACGATTAGTCGACGATTTATTGGATTGACGATGATGGAAGCATGCTGGTTTGTCATGGGCAAGATGACAAGGTTTCGCTCCAAATCCAACAGCCATGCGCTGCGGTCCAAGCTCTGCCTTCTCGCGGCGACCCCGCCCATTCCCGGCTGCATGCGCTGCGCTGGCTTATGTAGCTACTAAATCATATCAAAACGCTCGCAGCATGTTCCTCGCCCGCCATCGTTCATCTTCACGCAGACCTCGCCCGGAGCTCGAGATCCCCCGTCTGCGACGCGCCTGTTTCGTTTACTGTGTGGGTCCATATGATAGGGTTTATGCGACAGCGATCTGTAATCTGTGCTGCATGACGTAGCGTGTGCGAAAGAAAGTGTGCTCCGGCGATCCATCGGACGGAAAGCCCGGATACGCGGTCACGGCGCGAAAAGACGTCTTCCGCGACGACCGCATCGAGACGTAGATAAAACCTTCGGAAACGCAGCGAGCGTCCTTCTTCAGCTTGTCGTGCCAATCCGCGCTTCACCTTGTTATGAGTTTCCTTGACGTTCCGCAGGGTCGGTAAGTCGGTTTCCGTGGCTTGCATCCCAAGCTCACCACCAAGACTGTCGCGAAAGCTTGACGGACTGTGTATGCGCTTTTGCATTGGATATGTGGCTGACTATCCGTGTACAGAGCCCTCGCGATCATACTGCCGTCTGTGACGCTTATGGCACATGCTGCCACTTTTGTCGTGCTTGAAGCCGTTTTCGCCGAAACCTGGGGTTCTTCATGGGTAGCCACATACGACTTGGTCGCTGCTTCGGCGAGTGTCATTGGGTTGTTGGGTGCAGTACATGTACGCCACCCTCTATACATTCAAGTCTTGTGCGGTGGTGGTCCACTGCACCGCTTGAGTACCGACTGAAGACAAGATCACTGACCATGGAGCAGAGGCGGCGCATTCTCATTGCAACATATTTCCTCGTCCACGCCATCACGCTTTCCTTGATCAGTACCGTGCTGCTGATCAACTCCCTTCCGTCTGCATTTGCATCAAGCAGTCCATTCCTATCGCAATTGAGATATGACGAGAATTTCGTGAGAGGCATGTGCCAAGAGCTAGACAATGGATTTGGATGGGACGAACAATGGCTGAACGACTGCGCATCCAGTTTCAGCACCCTTACTAGGGTCTCGATGTGGGGCGGTGTGGTCTTGATGACTGCGCAATGGCTGGTTCTCATTAGTCTTGGAAGCTGGTTGCAAGAAAACCCAACAAGTGCATATGATGGCGAATTGGAGAAGAGACAGGAATTAGGCATTAGTCAAGGATGTAAGGAGTAGAAATACAAACAAGAAATTAAAAAGAGGAACACGGCATGGCGCAAAAGGTGATGACGAAAGTCTAGGGTGGTATCGAACGAAGGAAATCACCGGCAGTCGTGTACTTGTCGATGTCGATGCTCAGGGAGCTAGTTGTTCCAGAGTAAGAACGGCCAGCCTCGGTATGATTGCGCATTATACCATGATCAGACCTGGCCAAATCTTGATAGTAGACGGGCATTTGGATGAACGACTTTTCCGGTGTGGCGCCTGGTACTGTGTCAGCCCACGCATCACAACGTACGCCTGGAACTTTAATCTGACCTGCGCCGATGAGGTAAAACTTACTTGGATTCCAGCACTCTTCTTGAACATACAATCGTCCGGCGATATTCTCTTGTGGGTTTTCGTTTGCTCCAGCCGCAGTGTTCCGCCAGAATTGGAATTTCTTGCATTCGTTTTTGTTGTTCACATATCGGGTGTACGTCCTGACCATCTTGTGGCCGCAGCTGCTACACCCGCAGTTGCACTCATGCCAGCCCTCGATACAGCCGTTATGCATACACATTCTTGCCACATCACTCGCCCATTCGTTTCTCCCGCCAGCTTCGGTACGGATCACTCGGGCAAGGCGACCAACATGCCAGGCGCAAAAAGATGGCGGGAGCTCCACCACTTGAGGTCGCGGCGCATCCGGCTCGAATGGAAGGGGCAGGCATGCTGGGCTACTCGAGGATGAAAACATCGCCATCGGATACATGTGCTTGCAACAGATACATCGTAACTGGTGACGGTCCTCGTTTGGTGGAGTGCAAAGTCTCTCGATGGCTAATCGAGCGCATGGATCTAGCGTGCGGTTCTTGAGGCGCGGTAGTGCCGGCAAGGTACTGTTGAGAATCGGGTGAGTGAGCTTCAATGCTAGGATGCCGTCCGGCGGCAGAAAGTTGCTAATTCCGAAGAGAAGCTCTGGAGGTAGCTGCAAGAGGTACGGTGTTGTCGATGCCATTTAGCACATTATCCGTTCGCGGCCTGTAGCATGCGCTCAAAGTGTATAGTTAATCCAAGGGAGTAAGTCCAGGGACAAAAGAAGAAGGGAGGAGGGGCAGGACAGTGTGTGTCAATATGGCACCGTGGGGCGTGGACGTGGTCGCGCAAGCAAACAAAGGCGTGAATGACAGTACTCAACATTGGAAAAGGCGTGGTGTGACTAGTCAATATCATGGGGAAGTTGCGACTCACATTCTTACGGTGGTCGCAAGTCTTCCTGTGAATGGACATTCACCTCAAGAGTGCAAGCCATTGCTGATGTGAGTATTCCTGGTGATCAGAGTGTCTCCGACCCCGTTTCACACCCTGTTTGAGTGAACCGTGGCTGCGGTCGGTCCAACCGGTGGCCGTACGTCCACTGAATCCGCCAGAACTGGAGAATGGGCAACGTTGTGTGGGGGGAAGCTTCCAGCATAAAGTCAAGCTCGGTTGCACCTCACGGTCGCTGTTTGAGACATGGTAACAGTTGATTCTGCGCGTGATGAGTGGCTGTGACTAGACAATGGGGCACATTAGGAGAGATGTGGTCACAAGGTACAAGACCGATTTCCGAGCATCGAGAGCTGAGCAAGGGCAACGTGTAGAGATATATAGTCAACTGCAACTCGAGCCTTGACTTAGCCATCAGGACGGGAGGTCGCAACGTACCGTGTAGGCGAGGGAGACGTGAGTAGGCGGCAGGGATTAGCGACCGACCAGTGAGCCTGAAGGGAGTCCGAAGCGCGGAACGTGCCCCATCGCGGTTCTCGTACTAGCAGAGCTCCGGCTGTGCAGAGCCCAACTCTTACGATGGTACGTATTGAGAGGACTCCGCCGACGCAGGACCGCACGGTGCTCACTGCTACTCAGGTAAGACGTGCGACAAGTGAGACTGTTGCGAACTGTACGAAGCTGACCTCCGCAGCGACCCGAGGAGTTCCCGTAAGGCTCGCAGCACGGCAGCAAGGCCGATATCTGGCATACGATGCGCTCCACCAGCGTCCAGGGTTGTGCTGGCTACGGTTGCCGCGCCGCGTACCATGCACTTCTGCAAGTGTGAACGGTCTGTCAGCACGGTCCGGCGCTGGGCTGTCGATTCACAGAAGCGCTGTAACCGCAAGAGAAGAGGTGGCTGCACGCTCCCAACTACTTTTGGCATCAACGCCGCGCACCGTCACTGATGGAGAGCTGCACATTGCATCGTCCGCGACACGCCAGATGCACTGCATGGCCAGATGATGCGGCCATATCCACCATCACGATCGCGCATCATTCCGTCTTCCATGTCCTCGAGCGTCCGGCGCAGACGTGCGATGATGGAATGGCACGCCTCGGGTGGATGCTACAGGAAGACTTGCAAGATGCGTAAAATGAGCTACTTTGCTCGAGGGTCAGCTCATTGGTGCGCCATGCCCATCAGTCAAAACATGGTCAGCGACAACGGTGGGCTGCGATGATCACACTGGCAGCAGATGCAGTCTCCTGCCGAACCAGGACGGCGTAGGAAGCGCGAGCATTGGTCGGCGACGGGCGTAGGGTCGGACGGCAGTAGTAGAGGTGGGGTGTGCAGATGCCAATGCCAACCCACACTCGTTTCTTTTCAGACGTCGTGTGCAGTAGCGTGCAGCAGCAGGGCAGACGCTCGTTCTGCGCCGGGGAGCGGAGCGTTTGCAGCTGCAGACGCAGAACGGGCTGCTGGGCTGAGGACGGCGGCTGTCGAGGGCAGCATCACTCGTAGATATAGGCCGCCCGCAGAGAAGGGTCCCCAGGAACGAGCACACGTGCAGACGGGAAAAGGAGACCGGCGCGAAATCAAGGAGATCACGGTCCTTTACGACGGCGAAGGGCTGCCGGGCGACATATCGCCAGCCAAGCGGCGGTGCGCGCTTGAGATGCATGTCCCGCAGCTCGATGGAGGCTGGCGCCAGGCGCCTTTTCGGACGTCATCTGCAAAGTGGCCGCCTGTCCGGCACTGGCAAACGGCCACAGTTGCAGCCTGCGGAGATGGTGATGGCGGAGCTTCCGAGGCAAGGCTGGCGGACCCTTGACATGACTTGCGTGGAGACGTTGGTGAGAGAGCGGGAGGCAAGCCTAATTGCGTGCATTCGACGTGGGCCCGTGAGCTAAGCCGAAATTTAAGAGCGATATTTAGTTCGCGGACCCCCTTGGACGGAGGACCTCGAGGCTTTCACACGCGGCGTTCTCCACATCTCCTCCCATCCTCGAGTCCTGCACTCTCTCGCCGCTTTCACTGTGGTGAATAGCTGGGCTGTCGCTCCTTCGTGCCTGTTTGTACGCCGCGCCAGTTGGACCTTTCACCTTCCCCTTCACTAGTAAGCCTCCCCAGCCGACGGTCTGCGGCGCGACCCGAACTCTTGGGAAAATCTCTGCGACCCTGACCTGGCCGCTACGCACTCCTTTGTCTTGTTTGTTTGTTTGCTGCAAACTCGCGCACTGGTGTTGCAATTGACGTCTTTGTGACTGACCTTTTGTCTAGGTGCCGCTTCCCTGTCCGGAATTCCCTCATCCGGCACCTTCCTCCGCTACGGGCTCGATATTCTGGCTTCCGAGCAGTAATTCGCACCGAACCCCCACTCGCAGCCATGGCATACTACCAGCAGGACCCCTCGTCCTCCTGGCCAGCCCCCGGCCGTCAAGCATCGGCGTCATGGGAGCAGCCGCAGCCACCGTCGCGCTCAGGTACGGCACCACGCTGAAAACAAAGCCATTCGAGCAAATCATAACACAAGCCGCAGGAGCGAGCTCGACGGTCAATCGCGACGAGTTCAATGCCTTTGCTTTCGCCTCTCAATTTGAGGGTACGTCTCACCCTCACCTGCAACTTTGTCACCCTCGACAACGGACCAAATTCTCTTGGAGTCGTGAGGGATGGCACTCGGAAGTGGAAGATTGGGCGGACATGGGCTGATGTGTGACTGCAGACGTCGAGCGGGCTATCGAGAACCTGGCCAAGAGCGGCGCCGGCAAGGGCTTCGGCTTCCCGCAGTATGGAGGTCGTCGCGAATCCATGCCCGTTGCGGGTGGAGGTCCGCGTCCGTATCAAGAGTTCGGTACGGCCCACAAACACCCACCACACAACGACCGGCTGACGCCAACAGACCCCCGCATGAGCGGATCGCAGCGTCACCACTCCGTGAGCGAGTACGACGGATCGCGCTCCCACTCCGCGTCCAACGTTCAGGGATACTACCAGAACCAGCGCAACTACGGTCCTCGTCCCAACGATGCCGACCAGATGGCCCAGGCGAAGCGTCGCATGGCGGCCCAGCGTGAGCGCGAGCTGCGCAACTACCACCAAGAGCAGCAGTACCATAGAAGTAAGGACTCGGAATCTGGGCAATAATAGTAGAAGGATGGTGGTTAACTAGGGTAATGCAGATGTTTCTGGGTCCAAATCCGACCGCTCGATGAGTCCCAATGCGATGAGTGAAGACGAGCGCCGCGAGCTCATCGCCCGCCAGCACCGCGCGTTGTACGGCGAATCTTCCCAATTGTACAATAACAACCCGACGTCGAGCCAGGACGTTCGCGTTTCCGGGGCCGGTCGCGGCCCCTCGCCACTGGCTTTTGATCCGTTTGGCATGCAAGCTCCCGGCGCTACTGGTGAAGCCCCGGTTCAGATGCCAACACGAGGGGACAAGGATGTCGCTGGCGGTGCGCAGGAGGCCCGTGCCAACAGCAATTCGTCTCCTGGGTCGAGCCAGAACCCAGCGTTCGCTCTCTTCGACAACGCTCAGCAGGCCAGTCGCACATCCAACTCGTCCCCTGGTGGCTCTCCTCCTCGTCAAGGCTCCAAAGTGAACGGTTCTGGTGTTGCCCCTATCGGCACGCGTCCCATCGCCAACCAGGGTCAACCCGCCGGTAATTCTCTAAACAAGGGCAGGACTACGCCCCTTCCGTCGCCTCTGAGCTACAATCCTTACAACGCTAGCGAACAAAATGCTAATACTAATCCCACCACGTCCGCGTCTTTGAACCCTTCCTCCACGGTCACGGACAACAAGGGCCTCGGGATGGGCTGGAACAAGGGCCCCTGGGGCAACACCCCCAACCACGGCGTCCAAGCCTCTGTTTGGGGCTAGCGCAAACGAATGTTTGAGATCGGGAGTTTGATGCACAATCCGGAGTTTCTGCATTTCAGGTGTCCCGGGCATATCACACAGTGTCGGTCTTCCAAATTGGGCGGAGCAGGTATCTTGGGCGGTCGGTGAACAAAATTACCCTTAGGATCAGTCTCACTTCATGGGCGTACTTGCATTCGACTGTGCGGTTGGTCAAAGATGATATACCTTTTTGAACGGGGCTACAACACGGGGTGTTTTGAACGTTGGGACCTATCGCTAGGATGGCTCTTTGGGTTGGGATCTGGTGGGGAGTTTGGGATGGATGATTTGGCTTCCTAATCGTATCTGGGTGGTTGAACGGGCGGTCTCTCCTTTACGGGGGGAGAGGAGTTGTCCCTCGCTCTGGCTGATATTTTGGGATTTCTATTTATGTAAAGGGGATCAGCAACAACTGGCGTAATGAAAAAACAACTTGGGGGCACATCTTTTTCAGTCTGCTGTGATTATGTTGGTCATTCCATTAATGCTCTGGTGTAGTGTACCTACAGCAAATCACTCACTGCTGTACGTTCATTTCGATTAGGCCTTGACAGAGGATGAGCAGGGCGAGTGAGAATAGTTTTTGACTTGGGCAAGGCAATGGAATATTTCCCCAACACATTTTGTCAAATTCGCATCTCGAGAAGACGGACTGCTGTAACCTTTCCGTTATTCTTCTGTTTGTCATGCATTAGTCGTTCTTAGGCTTGAAACTAGTGAAAGTCCTCGCTGAAAGATATCACGTGACAAGACCGTGCGGCTCCTCCTCATTAGCGAGCCCCGGCCGCGCTAACCCTGACCAACCCCAGCGGGACCTTCCAATGTTCTAGGTGGCCTCTGTAGCACTTCCATCGACCACACCCATCCACGCCAATCCTCCCGCTATCGCATTCCCACCCCTCGGTTCAGTTTACCTCGACGGCTCAATACGCAAGGATCAATCATGGTGAGTGGGACGAATTTGCATCTTTCATAGGCGGACTTGGAAAGCTGGGTTGGCATGCGACCGCGGTGATGCGTGCGCATTTCAGGAAGGGATTGGGATGAGGACGACAGCAAGTCGATACTGCGCTGCTAGCTTTCTGCTGTTTTTCCAATGCCGCGTTCGCTACGCATTCAGCGCTCTCGCTGTCGTCACCAAGCCCCATGCCCACCCACACATCCACATCGCGATCTCCCTTGCAAGCACAGAGCTAACATATAGCCCCAGTCTTCACCACGACCGACCTCCCCCGTCAACAATGCGCAGGGCTCTACCACCGCGCGTCCTGCGTCCCCCAAGCCCCCCGGGCGGCCCTGCGACCGTGATGCGGAGGAAGGCTGCTGCAGACCGCGCCGAGAAGTCGGCAAACCAGAGGCCCAGCAGCACGCGTGCGGCTGGTGCAGGAGGAAGCTCCAGCACTATGCTGAGTAAGTGGAATTCCCTTTATCAAGCATAGATTGATGGGAAAGGAGTTGCACTACAAGTTGGTGGTAAAATTGGCCGATAATTGATGCCCTAGGAGGATATCGTCATCATTGAGGACCATGGCTAATTAGGCGTTACAGGGCTTTACACTGATGAGTCCCCCCGGGCTCAAGGTCGACCCCCGTCGTGGTCATGACTTTATCCGTTGTGTTCATTTTCTCCGTTGTTGCTCTCCATGGTACGTCAACTCGATCATAGCGTCCGCTCAGCTTCTAATGAATCGGAACAGTCATCGCCAAGGTCATGCGCAAATTCTCCGCATAAATGTCCGACCTCCTATACGACCACATCACATCATTCTACACTGGTCGGCGCTCTGCTGCAGCGACACCATCTTTCACACAATATCATCTCTTCGATCCGCCACACCCATTTCTTCTACTCCGGCGGCTACTGGCGAACAAAAAAATGCTGGGATAGTGTTGGATTCGGGATACCATGATTTCTGTTTGCGAGTGGGAGGCGGGACCCGCGTCTTGGTAGCATATTAGCATGGTGTATGATAGGTTATCACAAGGAAATCGAAAATGGCGAAATTCTGAGGTTCCGAAATGTGCACAGTGGATTTGACGTTGTCCCTTGAGACTAACTGCTAATCATGTGAACTAGGGCGTTTAACAGAATGTGTCCACCAAGCCCCATGTTCAAGTGTTCCACACGTGGATTTTCATTTTAGTCAGTCCCCATAGGAAGACTAGCGAGTATAGCACCACGGAGGATCCTTCCACGTCAGCAAGGCGTCCGGACACATTGGCCCCCAAATCTGCGCGAATCATGATACCTGTCTTGCCACAGGCCACGCAGGAAGAGGACGCAACCAGCTTCCCAGCTTCAGTCTATTTATCCGTGCTCTGGCCGTGCGAATAAGTCTGCTTGATGTCGCTTGACCGATACAGTCACAACATTTTGTATTCGCCGGACGCTGGGAACAGGCTATATTCCAACCTTACGAAGACGACCTACAAGACCGTAGAGCGGTGCCGGCAGCTCACATTTTCAAGGTTTCGCCTGCGAGTAGTGAACTACGCTTGCTGCTAGAGGTGGTCAACACGAACGCTGCGCGTTATTGCTTCGATTCCAAAGGGTTTCAAAGATTGCTTTAAGAGTGCAGACATGCACCCTTACGATCCTTTCCTGGAGAGCGAGTCAACTCAGAGCAAACCTGTACCACTCTCCGATTTGGACGAACTATGGATGGTGAATGATCGCTCAGGTCTGCGCTGCTACGCTTGTGGTGGCATGTTTGATAACGAGGCTCTCATCCGGACCTTCCTCTTCCAGTCCGTCGCGACGACGACGGGGCGAAATAATTCGATACGCACTACAGCGCGAGACTACCAGATAGTCTTCTACAACAGACACGTCCAATGTTTCCACGGCATCAGATATATCGCAGTGTCCCACGTGTGGAATGCGACCGTCTCAGACGCACATGTGCAGGGACCATCAACCACTCTAAAGGAGGCAGCAAGAAATCACATATTGGAAAGTGTCGAGCGGATGCGCATTGGTCTCGACGGAAATTTAGATCTAGACACCGAAGTTTGGTACGACTACTTAAGTGTGCCGCAATGGGAAACCGATCTCAAACTGAGCATCCTGAGAGCCATACCCGAGGTCTTCGCCAATGCCTCGTTTACCTTCGTTCATCTCGACGACGTCCACAGCAGTGCTATCAACCTTATTCGCAACGGTACGAATTCTTCAGCTCGTGTGCTGGGCATCACAAGTGTATGCAACGCGACATGGTTTAAACGTGTCTGGACTGTGATGGAATACATACGCAGTAACACAGTCAAAATGGTGACCTCGGACGGAAGTATCTACCCATCTGATGAACTTCTCCAAGATGTCTTCAAGGTCTGGGATAGAGAGCGAGAGCTCCTAGGTGATATTCACGCTCTCGAGGGGCTGGCTGGACTCGGGACGAACATCGTACCCTGGAACCTAGGCCCACTGCACGTCGCCCGTCTGCGCAAGAAGATCGACTTCGGAAGCGCGTTTAGTCTTCTCTCACGAAGAGGGTGCCGGTCAAGAGGAGACTTCTTCCACGCCCTGCTAGGCATCGTGAAGGCAGACTGCCAAGGAGATTTAGCCGAAGACCCAGTAAAAGCGACTTTGACAGTCGCAACGAAGTGCCTTGAAGCTGGTGACTATAGCCCGTTACTTGTCGTACCGAGGCCTGAGCCCGTAGACCCTGCGAGTCTGCCGCCACTCTATCATACAGCGGGCTACATCGACATCCTTGCCTTCGGTCTACAGCCCTCAACTGGCTTCCCGGAATTCTATTCTGAATCTACCTTTGAATTAGAAAGTTCCCAGATCAAGCTAGAGAGAATTGGAACAGTGGAACACGCCGTCCGAGCAGACGGCTACGGCCCCTTTGACACGTACATCTACTGCGCGCATATCGCGCTACAATACACCGGCCCAGTGGTAGACGCATTCGTAGAGACTGTATGCGCGAGATTGTACAACATGCCGGCCTCGCACATCACCGACATCCTATCCAACAACGACAACTGCAGTCAGTTATTGGAGCTGCTAGAAGAATGGTATAACGCCCCGACCACCACACTTTACTCCGAGCCCTCTCTGTCCCATGCCTTTCGTATCGCCGATATTCTTGGACTAAATAGGACAAACCCACTAAGTCATCCGCATACTACGCCTTTAGACTTTATGTTCGAGCACGGGGGTACGCTACATAATACGAATCCTGCGACGCTTTTCGCTGCAAGGTGCAGTTCCTGTAACAACACCTTTGTGTATCGGGCTGGGCTGCATAGGAAACCGAGTGAAGTCAGAGGCTCGGTTGCTTACAGAATAATGGGCCTGAACTACCGCGTCAATAGAAAAGATGGATTAGGGATAATGGTCAAAGATGGGGTTATTACTGGGAGGATGCTGTGGGCGAGTAGGGCGTGTGGGTGTCGCGTGACGGAGATGGTAAAGATCACTTTAAAGGACTTACCGTTGCAGAGACCGCGAGATCTGTAGAGTTTAGAAAGTCGATGGCGTGATCATCGACTGTCTGCAGCAGCAGGCCCGTGCTATGTGCCATAAACAGCACATGAAAGTCTCAAAGTCGATGAAGCATTGATATTCAAGATGACGTTGGACATTCGGCAGCTGTTGGGGTGTAGCTGCGAAGATCCCTGGACAAGCACCCAAAATTTACGGGACGTAACGAAACCCTTCGACACCTTCCAGGGTCTTCCCCGTATCATCTGCAAGCCTGTTCTGGCGCTTGAAAAACATAGACATACAGATTGTGACGATTGAGTATAGTATCTGCATCGAGATGGTCGCCCACATTCCTGGAAGATATTGCTATGCAATATGGTTAGCAACTATCGCGCCAGACGCGTCGGACACGCTTGCTATCACTCACCGGCGCATCTTTGGCTTGGAATATTGTACTACCAGTCACTCCGCCAGCTGCCCCGACCGAGATCATAACAGCGGCAACGACAGCACGCTTCTGGACCCGCGCAGTTTGATTATTGCCGTACGCCAGAGACGCTGGGACATTGCCCTGCGTTCCCCAGGTTGCAAGGAACAAACCGAAGTACCTGGCAGCTGGAGGCTTTGGATACAGAACGAGGAGGAGGCCGATGATAGCAATGATGGACTGGCCCACGAGGATCGGCCATCGCAAACGAATCTTATCTGAAAGCCAGGAGGTTGCGAGTGAAGCAAACACAGTGAAAATGTACGGTGGCGACGAGAGCAGTTGCGCTTTGGCGTAGCTGAAGCCCATTCCTTGTCGCAGGATGATGGGCTGGAAAAAAGCCAACGAGTATACGCTTGATGCAGCTACAAAGTATTGTATGGAACTGTGGACGTTAGTCTTGCATTTTGAAGCTTTTAGATTAGGAAATACTGACTACATGAGCAGCTTCCAATCACATATCATTCGTAGTGTCTCTTTGACTGTGGCGTGCTCGATTTGCTTGCCCGACTTCTCCATGGACACTCGCGTAATAGCAATGTGCTTCTGACGATTAGTCAAGAAGCCGACCTTTTCTGGAACTGGATGTTGTCAGTCGTTTGATGGGTATGAATGCAATGCAGGCCTCACATTCCACGAGGAAGAACGATGCGACTAAGCCTGCTACGACCGTGGCAATGCCTTCGACGATGAAGATCTGACGGCTATCAATTCTCGTTCAAATGTGGTCTCTCTCAACCCACCCAGCGCCAGCCTTGGCTGTACATGCCCGAACCAACACTGATGAGCGATAGGGCATACGCGAACTATCTGCTGTCAGCCCACCTTACCAGCGCAACGAATCCCTTGACTGACAATCGGTCCGAAACCCGAAGCCAACAATGCCGCCATGTAGAAGATTGATACTCGTTTCGCAGTCTCGAACTGTCGATACCACGACCCAATTATGTACACTGCGCCGGGGAAGACTTTCAACGATCAGCAGCATCTCACATCAAGCAAATGGTACTCACGGCCCGCTTCAAAGACGCCCAAGAGCGCGCGCAGAACGGTCAGAACTTCCCAACTCTTGACAAAACCCATACCCAAGACGCTGGCACCCCATGCCGTGATCAGTAACGACAACCATATCCTAGCACCTAATCGACGAATAACATAATTGGAGGGAATCTCGAAGAGGCAATAACCTGTACCGATCAGTCCAAGTTCTGTTCATAGCGTGCGTACACAACTACACACCGACGAAAAACACCAGCAACGCAATGTTGTATCTTTGTCCAGTGAGTTGCAGGTCCGTCGCTAGACCAGCAATATATGCCGAAGAGATATTGGTCCTGTCGAGGAGGGAGAGTCCAAAAACCTAAAGATGGTTAGAGGGGTAATAGTCACATGGCATCCTCGCGCGTACAATGCACAGCATGGGAAACACTCTCCAATCGGCCTTCTTCACGATAGTTCGCTCTTCCTCTAAAGTCCAGTCTTGTTCGGGGTGATTTTCCAGATTACGGGGGTTTGAGGGATTCTGTGCCTTCTCAACATGGTCAACGTCGTTCTTCTCGCCAACAAGCATCGTAATATGTGACGTTTCGTTCAGTGCCAAATTCAAGGGCTCGACTTTCCCGAGGCGGGGTCGCTCTCGCCTTTGTACTTTCGATCCTTATAGGTGTAGTGACTTGCTTGCAATGCTTTACCCCACAGATGTACCGCTGCCTTGAAATTACAGGATATCTTTCCCGACATGTTACTAACACCAGAAAGCGTGGGCCATCAACATAGTGGAGCGATACGCCCCCATCGGCAGACGATCATCGATTTATAGCAATAGTCGTGTACTGTATGCAGCATGGTCTGGCTTGGCCAAAACCTGGCATTCGCAGTTTTCCCAGTTGCCAAGTGCATTCCCCGCACATTTCGCAGGATAAGTATATCAGGAATCTGGGGTGCAGGATTCACGGGCATAAGAGTCACATAGCCTATCTCGGCCTGCTCCAGTGTGACTTGCTGATATGGGATTTAAGAGAGTGTCCAAACAGTGTGACATGTTCATCCGCACGTTGGTTCGCGATGAAGTTGCTCGAGTCAACAAGAGCGACTCGACAACAGACCGATGTACAATCAGACTGCATATTCGCCAAGCATATAGACACTGCGGCGTTTTCTACATCATTCACCTGGGAGGAGTTCCTAAGGTTCAAAACGTGTGCTTTGGGCAACCGAATGCTCAATGCTCTACTTTTTACCCACTAAAAATTAGCCCCATGAAGTCACGGCATTAATGTGTAGCATATGTAAAACACTCAAAGTTGAATCGCGTTTGGGAACCCATCAACATCCGCCGTTTATTTTTTTACGTTTAGTTGTGATTTTTTGCTAGTCAATGTGAACAGCCTGTTGTTTGCCATGCCCCACAAGATACTCCTCCAGAGCGTTTTCGTTCACGGGAGGTCAGTGGCCAACCCTTCTGCAGCGCTTCTCTTATGCGACAAGCCACTATAGGGCGTCGAATATAGAGGCTGGCAACATGCTGATAAAGCCCGGGGATGAAGCTTAGACATGTTGTGATAATTGTGCTTTGCAAAGGTTCTGCCCTCATACCCTATGGTTCTGGTTGTACCTTTTTGAAAAGCAGCGCTACCTTGTTTGATTCGGTTTGTCCTGCGTGCGATGATGCTTTACAATTGACAACGATGCACCACCCAAAAATGATTACTACCACACTAAGATGAGGCTGTGCTATGCATCTGCATAGCCACAATCGTCTGACCCCCGAAGGTAGCAACGGTCAACTCAAAAACTTCATTTACCAGTTCTCATACGGAATACAACCACACTTGCATCTACAACCCCTCCATGCGCCTAGGGAAGCCAGTATCTTTGCAAATCTCCCCCATGAACGCCGACCCGATCAGCTCGACACCTATCCCCAACCTCTACATCTCCGACATCACAATTCCAAACGACCCAAAGATCCTGCAAGAACATGGAATAACGCATATCCTCTCGCTAACCTCCGCGCGGGACCTCCCCATTCTTCCCCCAGAGATGAGCATTCAACACCTGCACATACCAATAGAAGATAATCCCTACGAAGACATAGTCTGTCTACTTGAGGGGATCTGTGTCTGGATTGAATCCGCCCTTTTGAAAGTCGCAGAAGACAAACCAAGGGTGCTTGTGCATTGTGTGCAGGGGCAGTCGCGTAGCGCTGCGGTCATTGTCGCACACGTCATGCGTGCTTTGGACTTAGGATATGAAGAGGCGCTGGAGATGGTGAGAAGAGAGAGGGAGAGTGTGCTGCTGAATAGCGGATTTGTGGAGCAATTAAGGGTATGGCGGGAATTGGGGTTTAGTATTTTCGACAAGGAGAGATGTGGGAGATGGGAGTTGAAAAAGCAGTACGTGGAGTGGAAGGAAAATAGAGGAATACTGATGAGTAGGGAGCAGAGGGATAGGGAGGATGTATTGAGGGAACGGATGAAAGAGATGGTAATAGAGGTTTGGGAGGTAATGAAGACGGCGGTAGAGTGAAGGTTGACTTGGCTGCGCTGCGGTTTGGGCTTTGTTCGTTCTGTAGAAGGCGATACGTCTGGGGGAACGAGTGCAGCAGTTGGGAGAAAGGGGCATGTCTGATTGGATTGCACCCGGATAAGCCCTATCACTGACGCAAGAACATGTAAGAGGTAGTAAATACAATGAGTATGTTTCTGACTTCCAATCACCGCAGCTACATTTGCTTTCCGCCATGTCCGAAAATTCCTGCCGTACTGCAAAACAACACGAACACCCAGCCCTATGCAGACAGAAAAGGTATCACAGCGACTATTTAAGAAACAATACAGACTAAATCGCTCATTAACCATGCGCTATGATAGCGACCCAAAAACAAAAAAGGTTGAAACGTTGACATTCTCGGAGTTTCTGAAGACAACCGAACCGTAGCGTGACTGAATGGTAGGTGATCTTAAGCACGAATGAAGAAAGTACATAGACAATCATGGAGAGCAATATACGAATAATTTCAGCCTCGTGTACGGCCACTGCGCCTAACAATGCCGGTACCATTGGCGACTGGCTCTACCGTTGCCTTCTCCTTAGCTTTACCCTTTGGTGTGGGCTTTGCCGCTTTTGCTTCCTTGGCTGCCTTTGCAAGAGTGGGGTCTTTTACTGGGGTGGATGCCTTTGCCGATCGACCCGCTTTGCGTTTTGGAGCTTCTGGGGAGGTTGGAACTTCAGACTTCTTTGAGGGTCTTCCTCTTGACCTCCTCAACGGCTCTAGCTCTGGCTCTGGCTCTGGCTCTGGCTCTGATGCCGACTCCTGTTCGGCTTCCGCTTCACCTTCTGACCCCAGCTCTGGTCTAGGAGCTTCTTCCTCAATCGGCGAGGTTCCTTCTTTGTCTTCCATCGCAACGTCTTCCTCTTCCCGTTCGCTCTCAACATCAGACATACTCTCGTCTTGTTCGGCACCTGCCTGGGTATCTTCGTCTTCGTCACTCGAGACCTCCAAGTAACTCTTGCTGATGTTGCTCTTGCGACCACTCTTCCTCCTCGGACCTGAAGATGGCGCGACCGCACTGCCACCGTCATCTCCATCGTCGCTGCCGTGACTTCTCCTTTTCTTACGCGGCGTCTTGATTGGCCTCTCAGATTTTATCTTCTCTTTCTTGACACCATTTTCGGCCTTTGCCTTCTTGCGTGGCTTCTCAACGCCCTCTCCAGCCTTCCTCTTCTTGCTTCTGATGGTCTTGCGTACAAGAGGATCGAGAATGTCGGTGAAGTCCTCCGGTATATACTGTTTCGATGCAATCTCTTGCCCGCGCTCGTGGCTCTCAAGCTGCCTGAAGATACCAGCAGGCAGCTTTTGTTTGCCAGGGAAGGTTTGCATGCTCCAGCTGTTATTGTCTTCCCATGATAGAATGGCCGCTTGCGCGAGGTCGGACATTATGTAGAGTTTGTCGTCACTCTCGCGAGAAGGAGTGACACCATCTTTGACCGTCTTCACCCGGCCAGCCATGTGGTAGATGAGTGCGAGGTTGTCTTCGGTCGCAACCGTCTTGAGGTAAAACAAAACATATTTGACAATCTCCGTTAGGGAGTTCTCGTCATCCGCCAAGTCGGGATGATGAGCAAGTAGACTCAGTAGCCTAGCGAAGACAGAAGTTTCCAGAACGGTCTCCTTCCGAGACGTGAAGATCGCTCGTCGAGAACGAATCCATGTTGTCAAAACATTCCGGAGTCCAGCGTCCGGCTCATGCGCATACATGAAGAGGATGCTGAAATAACGTGTGGGGAGTCGATTTTGTCCAAGGTATTTCATCAGCTTCATCGCGAAACCTTTGCGAACTTGCAAGCAAGCGTCATGGGTAACAAGAGCGAGTTGGTTAAAGTCGGCAGGAGTGACCTGATTATCGAGGCGCCGTACCGTGGCTAGCTTCAGAAGGAAGTTGGCAGCTAGAAGTCGCTGACGATTTCGGTGTGCCAACGGAGTAGGATTCTTCTTCGAAGCTTCCCCGTTCTCTTTGACCAGTCGATTGAGTAATTTGAACACATGGTCAGAAGCGTCTGTACGCTCCTCGTCCCCTGTATACGCTAGTAAACGATTGACAAGAACTTTGAGCGCCCAAGTCCGTGCAACGATGTCATCGTCTGGATTCTCCGTCCATTCTTCTTCGACTTCATCAGAGTTCGCATGCGGTCTAAGTAGCACCTTCTCAACTGCGATCGTGAAAACAGCATCGATGTCCCCTTCACATTCGTCTGGTGCGAGAAGTACGAGCTGGCTGAGAGCCGCAAGCTTTGTTAGCCAGTGGTCGCACTCGTAGTCGAAGTTCTTCATGCTCTTCTGAAGAATTTCCCTCGCCTGCCTCTTCTTGCTGTCGTGGCTGTACATAAGAATGGTAATAGCGTGCTTAGCCGCCTTTGGAGGGGACCCGTATAACGCGAAGTTGTGTAAACCTCGGACTAGTTTTTGGCCATCCTTTGCATTCAACGGAATTTTCTTGGGAAACTTTTTCGCAAAGCTAGCCAGAGCCTTCAGGTCATCAACCGCACCAGGAGGATTTGTGGCTCTTTCTGTCGGTGCTTCGCTTTCGAGCGTTTTGCACAATTCTTTCACGTGCGTAGAGAAGACCTTGGGGTGCTGTGTAGAAATTTCTTTGAGCACCTCATGGGCTGTAGCGGCAAGACCCTTGTCATCTGTACGGGTAAATTCAATGATCGCAGGAACGTGGCTCTTGTTGAAACAGAGCAGACTGACACGGTACAGGAGAGGCGTTAAAGTCTCTAATAAAGTAGGGCTGGGCGGGTTCTCCTCGATCCTCTTGCGAAGTTCTTTCTGCACCGAAATTAGCCCGTTTCAATGACCGTACGACGGTTACTTACAATTGATTTGAAGATCTTGCGGTAATCGCTTTCGGGAGCCATGCAGAACCGAATGAGCTGGTAGCTTCGGCGGTCGTGGGCCTTGGCGAACTTTGTGAGATCATCAGTCGCCCGCGCAGCGTCTGGGAGCGTCTTTGCGTAAAATACGATCAGGCCGTCTAACTTCCTTTTGGTGTCCTTCTCGGAACCCTCTACGACACCACCGTTGTACTCTTCACATAACCTTAAGAAGTGCTCCATGTAGGTAGCGTGCGCGATTTGATTCCCTTGGTTGGCATAGAAAACCTTCTTTGCCCTCTCATCCAATCCACGAACCAAGACAAGTTGTCGTTCGGCTCGGATCTTGTCCAAGTCAGCTTCGGTATAGGATTGTTCGCCATTCATTTGGCTATCCTTGACTACTTGAGATCCGCCATTTACAGCAGCTTTCGGTTTGATCGGCGGGTAGTTGAGTGGTAGAAGTGAATCATATGTTGCCAACTCAACTTGCACAGTGAGGTCGGGGTCTCTGACGTAGTACGCATCCAGAATTCGAGAAGGAATGGGTCCCAATAGATCTGTCATGGTTACACTACCCTCAGCGATAGCTCCGGCCGCTACACCCCAAATCCTGGCAAGTAATCGGATTGCTGCGGTCCTAATTGGAGGCTTCCTATCCTTGACCCGGTCAGCCAGGTTCGACAAAATGGAACCTGATTGGGATGCGCTGCCGTTGACGCCCAGCTTCCGCACGATGTCATTGAATTCAAAGTGTTCAATCGCCTTCACAGCAGCAAGCCGGACCCGGTCATCGCCATCAATGAGACTATCGGCAATATGTTTGAGTAATGTGCGTTCCTCCTCGGGATCCAAGCCCACATGACCGGCCGATGTCATTACAATTCGAGCGATTGCGGTTGCCCAGGACGCGCGGACAAGAGGTGACTTGTCATTCTTGCGTGAGATAAAGGCTTGGTAAGCGCCTGGATGATGGAGAGAAAATGAATTAAGAGACGCTGGAGTAGTGAGGTAGTTGTAGGCGCGAACGCCGGAAGAGGATGAAAGACTTTGCGAAGGATATGCAGCAGGATCCAGGTCCGGAGGTGGTGGAGGGCCCGCAGCCCCTATACCAGAGATCATGTCACCTATTGTCTCTGTTGCAAGCTGACGTAGCTGTACGTTCTCTGTGGCCAGTTCATCCTGAAGATGGGGAACTATCTCTTTCAGGCATCCTGGGGCGCTTCTCCACAACTCTCGGAGCAAGCGATGGGCTTTGCTCGCTTCGTTGATGTCATCTTCTGAAGGGCCTTTGTCTCCCTCGTCGTCGGAGTCATCAGCGCGCACAGTTTTCGCGTTCCCGGAAGTGAAGTCAACTATGATGGAACCAAAGTAGGTTCCGAAGAGACGGGCCATCTTGTCTGGGTACATGTTGCAGATATTCTTGGCCATGTTGTATGCTGGCGGCGCTTCTTTGCGACGCAAGGTCGACTGTTTTGCATCCACGGGAACATTCTTTTTTCCCTTGGAAGCCGCCAGCGACTGCGGATCAGCCCATAAGAATTGCGCTACAATGACATCGACCACCTCGGTCGCGATGGTAACGCTCTCATCGACCAGAATGCGCAGAATCTCGGTCATGTTGTGTTCCACGTTTTTGCTCAATTCCTCGCCATTCGAACCTTTGGACGGCGCAGATAAGACGTCAAAGCAGGTTATGAAGATCGACTGGGTAAGGGCGGCGGAGCCGGGGATATCGGTGACGATAACGATGCTCTTGAACTCCGCCAGCGATTTGAGCATGTACATGTGCTGGCTGTTATATGGATGCGAAGGGTTCCCGAGCAGGGGTAGGATCTTCGTGACGATCAAAGTGAATATGTCCTACAGCATGTCAGTGACGATTATCTTCAGTACGGGCGGGGAGGCACACCTTGAGCTGGGAAGCCGTGTATGGCGCGTTTGGTGCGAACAGGCGGAACATCTCGACCATGCAGCATGCTGCCCAAGCGCGCACACCGGCATCTTTGTGGTGTATGAGGCTAGGGTTTGCCAATTCCTTCGCAGAGCGCGTGAGCGACTCGGTGTCGGCCTCCTCCTGGTCGATGTCCCGCAATTCGTCGCACAACATCTTGAGCCGCGATAGTAGCTCTGTCACGCCGATCTGTTTACCCGGTTTGCCCACCAATGTCTGATTGAACTTCAGCTTCTTAACGCCCTCTTGCTCCTCCTCTTCCTCTACCACTTCTTGCGCGGCGCTACGCCGGCTGCGGGAAGCCATGTCGCGTGGCTGCGCTGCGAATGCGCTGTGTCGCGGTGGCTATTGGTGTCCGGGATGGGTTCTCGCAGCTATGCGTGTGCCGTGCGGTGGATTGGCGGCGACGCGTGGGCGCGTTCTAGTATGCGCAGCCGTGGGTGTGATGATGACGGCGTGGGCAGCCCTCAAGAGGAGCTACCATGCAGTTACGCGCTAAGGCCAACGCGTCAACGTGCTTCAAAAGCTTCGAAGGCTGCGCGCGCCGCCAAGACCATCAATTACACGCTACTCGACTTCAGGTACTGGATCCTATCCATCATCGCGCAGCTGTCATTTCGGCTCACAGCGATGGGCTCGTGGCTTTGAGACAAGTAAAAGCACGCAAATCCAACCTCGCAAAGCAACGACCATACGATGCGGACAACCGCTTCTACCTATGGACTTCCATTCTAGACCACATCAGGCAGCCTTGCATTTGCCGTCACATGACAGAGGACTACCTGCTCGATAGCGTTCTGTTGTGCTGCTATGGAGCGTCAGCAGATCTTTGCACAGGTCAGCACAAGTTTTGAACTTGTACAGAGCTCGACTAACGTTCCGCAGCTGAAGCAACCATGCATCGAGCTGTTGCAGGTCACAGCCACCCTCGCTCAAAGGCCAGATGGACGTAAAGATCTTGTCCAAAATTTGTCCAAACTGCTCAACGCTCTTGAGGCGCTGAGTGTTAAGCCAGACGCGATAGACTCAAGACTGTCCGAATATGTCTTTGTACCAATATCCCAAGTCCTAAGAATCTCCCGCACAGTACCTGTCCGTGCGTTGGAACTCTGCCTGCAATGCATCTCGATCCTTCTTCGAACAGGATGGGGAGGATCCCTGGCCCCGGAGCTATCAGGACAGCTACTCATCCTATTTACGTTCATGGCTAAACCGTCCTCTACCGATAGTGGTGTCGCAGGATCATCGGAAGAGCTGCAATCTTTGGCCCTCAGATGCACCACTGAGCTCTTCACTGAATCTTCCCGGACTATCAAGGGCAAGCAGCAGCTTGCTGCAACGTCGAATATTCCCGCCTTAGGAGAATCAGTATTAGTGATGCTAGATAGCCTCACTGATAGCAAGTCCAACAGCGTGCAGCTCCAGGCCATTGCTGCAACATCAGCCCTAGTCGCTGCAGTCGACGACCTAGACGCTCTTGCCAGCTTTCTCCCAAGGATAGTATCATCGCTTACAAAGGTCTTGACCAGCAGCAGCTCTAACCGTGCAAGTTTCCGTGTGCTTGAGCGTGGCCTCGACGTCATGTCGGTCCTTTTCCTACGTCTACTGGGCGACCAAGCAACCAACGATCTGCCCAAATCATTACCCGAAGCTTCACAGAATGGCAGCAAGACCTTACGATCGGTTTCATGGCTACAGGCGACCGCTTCTCAGATCAAGATTGCTCTCGGCAATGTATTGAAACTGCGAAATCACGATAAGTCTGAGGTGCGGCAAGCTCTACTTAGACTCTGCACTACCATCGTACAAGAGTGCCGGATCTCTCTTGCAGATTGCGTCATTATGGCTGTGGAGACGATGGTCATACTGGCAGGGCGTGGGGGCTCACTTGATACGACTGAGAGAGACTTGAAGATGATGCTCTTCACTGATGTCAAGCTTTCTGATCTCCTAAAAGAGAGTCTACATGGTTGGATAATATCCTTGCCTAGGCTGATGCAATCCAAAGACGACGCCGGGCGGCGCCAAGTGATTCACCAAATCTCCACTACGCTGCGGCTGTTTGATGAAGACCAGGTCCTCGTAGACGATCTGCTCGCAGACAATCTTCGAGACGGCGTGTCGGCTGTCTTCAACGATTCCAAAAGCGGAGAAGCCATAAGAGAAGCAGCACCAATTATCTCTTTCGATCAACAGCTGGCTCCTGGGACGGCTGCTTCAGCAACATTCCCACCTCTTCAGTTTCGTTTGAAAGGGCAGGACGACATGGTGAAGGAGTTCAGAGTATTACTTAGCGAACTCGCCAAGTCCAACTCTGCCGTTACAATCACCCAAGAGCTCGTCAACGTCTTGGATGTTGGAACGCAAGAGAGCCGATTATCATCATTTTGGATCTCTGTCAATCTGCTCAGAGATACCTTGCATTTTAAACCCTCTTTAGACGACTTTGTGGACTTCGGTGGCTCAAACGCTCAGGAAGAGCTTCTTGATGACCTGTATTCACACGCATTAACGGTCCTCAGTCCGCAGAATACCACCTCGAGTCATCACTGGCACTTTCAAGCGCTTGCATTGGAAGTCTTTGCGTTACAAGCAGCACGTTACAAGACCGGGTTCCAAGCCGAACTGACAGAAACATTGTATCCTGTGCTGCACTGCCTGGGTAGCTCCAACGCTGAGCTTCGAAATCATGCAATCACATGCCTCAACATAATCGCCGAATCATGTGGGTACGAGAGTGCCGGCGAGTTGGTCATCTCAAATGTGGACTACATCGTTAACGCTGTTGGCCTCCGTCTCAGCTACGGAGACGTCTCGCCACAAGCACCCCAGGTCCTCCTCATGATGATGCGCCTATGCGGTCCATCGCTTCTTCCATACCTGGATGACCTTGTAGGAAGCATATTTGGCGCTTTAGAGAGATACCACGGCTATCCAAGTTTGGTTGAGCTGCTTTTCTCTGTCCTGAAAGGTATGGCCGAGGAAGGAGTAAAGGCACCGCAGTTGGCTATCACGTCGTCCGCTGTGCAGAAATTCGAGGAACCCGAAATCCCAGATATCCTCCAGCAGCTCAAGGATCTCGAACGCCGCACCCACGAGCAAGCTCAAGAGCTGGAAGAGCTACCACGGGGCGCCTTCCCACAAAGACCATGGAAGGACCTTTCCCCAGAGACCTTCATCGACCCCTCCACGCCCTCAGAAGAGTCATCTCAACCGGAGGAACCCCCCTAAACCAGAAGAGGAGCCACCACGACCTGCCCCTCTGACATTCTCTCTCCTCCTCAAGATCTCTGAATTGACTCAACACTACCTCACCTCCTCATCCCCTACACTCCGCACCTCCCTCCTCTCCCTCCTTCATACCACCCTCCCCGCCCTCGCCAAACACGAAAACTCCTTCCTCCCGCTTATAAATACCCTCTGGCCTGTCTTGCTCCCCCGATTAGAGGATCACGAAGCCTACATAGTAGCAGGCGCGCTCGACGTCGTTGCGTTGGTGTGCGAGTACGCCAGAGGGTTTGTGCGGAGTCGGATTGACAGCGCATGGCCCATCTTCCAAAAAATATACAAACGAACTGGACAGCGTCGCGGTGACCGCATAAACCCTCGCGCTCATGCGAGCAAAGGACAGTTGAAAACCACGCGTCTCACTGAGCTTTCCAATATAGCCAGCACAACCCGTTCCGCAGCTTTCCCGCCAAATACCGATCCGAGCGTGGACGCGATCCGCACTGAAACCTACACCACCACACCCACACGCATGCTCTGGAACTCCCTCACCCATCTCCTCTGCGCCATCTCTGAACACGTCGGGATCAGCGAAGAGCGCTTCGACGATGTGCTAGATATATTGGATCCCGTCCTAAGCGACCAGACGGTCAAAGAAGCTCTTGAGAAGAGGAACGCGGATGCGGTGTGGTTGCGGCTATACAAGAAGAGTAGAAGAGCGGCAGAGGAGAGTGAAAAGTGGGAGTTTGCTGCGGAGCTCGGCGGTCCCATCAAAGAAATTGAAGGCGTGAAGGAGGAGTGGGGTTTTGTGAGATTGTAGGAGCCCACTAGAGGTGATGTAGGCTCCAGAGCCAGTAGTTTGACGCGGAGAAGCTTGTGGTTCCAATGCTAGAAAATGCCTTACGATATATACAATAGGTATGCGATTACGGACGACCCTAACCCTAATGGTCATTTTTGGCGAGCATTGGAATGCAGATTTGCATTGTAGCGCGTCAATGTTAACCAGCCTCGCGGATTATCGATCGACGCTGTCAGTCCTATTCTGTCTTGTCTTTCTAAATTTGAGTAGTACAGAAACGCGACCTGAGGTACGGTGAATGCAGATGCGCGAGCCCTGCGTTTGCTTTTGTCAGCCATCGAGTTGAGTATTACGTGAATTCAAGTATATTTCTTCTTCCATATTAAGGCTCCAGTGCTTCAACACCCATCTCTGAGAGTAGGGAACCTTGAAATAGAAGCGCAAGTGTTCGCTGTGGAGGTGGACGATTGCGACACACCGATCACGAAGAACATGTTAAGATAAGCAAAGGATGAAGACTATGGAGCGAAATTTTTCGCAAGGGATCATGATGTTTCAAAAAGCTGATATAAATATTGGACGGATGACATCTACCAGTAGAAAACCAAATCAGAGAACATATTGAATAAACCTCCCATCATCCCTCCCTAGAACAGCCTCCACTTATCAGCCGCCCCCCAATGCCTCATCCCCGTCGGCCGCCTCAACTCCAACTCCTTCCCCTCATACGCAAAGTTCTTCTCCTCATCGCCCTTCTTTAAAAACGCCACAAATCTCCCCAAGGCGGAAGGCTCGGATAATGTCGTGGGACGAGGCAGCATCTGTGGCGCCTCCAGACTCCCCGGGGCAATGTCACCTGAGACATCGTCGTCGTGGTCGCCGGAGTCGGAGCAGTCGTGCAGGAGTGTGCGTAACTTGGTGCTCAGGTGTGAGAAGAAGGGTAGGGATATGTCTTCGGCAGATGTGGTAGATGGGAGCGTAAGCTTCTCCGCTATTTCGTGCTGGGGATTGATTAATGTGTGTAAGGGTTAATGTGGGGCGGACGGTACGTACCTCTTGCAGACCTTGAAGGCGGAATTGTTCGGCACGGCGTTGGAGGGTGGGCGCGGAGGGTGTGATGGGGACTGCGCAGACAGAAACGACGAACGCCATGAAGGCCAGTGGAGTGAAGAAGCGCATTGTGGGAGTTGGTCCGCAATGTGTAGCTAGGACGCGAAATCGACTTCCGTCTTCCAGGCCAGGGAGGATTCGTCAAAATGGTTCTCCAAGATTGTCGCTAGATGAGCGCAAGAATTTCGTCAAGAAAGACAGGACAGGAAAGAGGGTTGAGAAAATAAGAGGGAATGTAAATGCGCACAGCGAGAGAACACGGCAAATACCCGCCTTGCAGGGCCGTATAGATGAAGAGCAAAGAGTGTGAGTACGAAAGCCCAGGCTCGCCTACCCGTCTCTGATCGAGTACATCCCTCCTCTTATATCCCGAACGGCCGTCACGCCCGTACTCCCCTTGATCCAGCCCCGAACCGGCAAGCCAGCAATTGAACGGGGCAGGATCTGCAGTAAGGAAAGACCGTAGCGGTCCCTTCTGGCAGGATTACACGGGTTCGCTTTGCCTGAAGCATAGGCGAGCGCAGGATTCCATGGCAGGGCGCATGAACCACGGTGGCCTCAGAATGCTTGGAGCGCGCAGCCATAACGCGTGAGCGTGGTTCAGAGGGATGGATGGTATGCAAGGGTGGAGCCTGGAGCCGGCTCGTGGTTCGATGGCTACGGTTGTTTCATTTTCAACGGTCTGGTGGCTTGTCTTTTCTTGGCCACTCGTTCGATTAGACACGCGCGTGTAACGCAATCTGGGAAATATTATCCTGTCTCTACTTGCGCTTCATGCGTGGGCCTGATTGATGGCAAGACCGAGCCGTTCATCATCATGCTTGAACGATCGTCGCTCGAGAACAACCAGCGGCAGATGACGAAGCGGGATGGAAGCGGGTTGATATGTTTCAATGAAGTTGAAACGTAGCGGCGGGATTGCATCAGAAAGAGCCGTTGCATGACAGGGGATACGTGGGAGGCGGAGAATTGCACGCCGTGTACGTGTTAGTCAGCCGTTCACGCCAAGCGCGACGATGCCGCGGCGTCGCGTCCCCAACCTCACCTTGTCGTCATAGTTCGGAATAGCATCACCAACCTCGTCGCCGCCTTCCTGTATCGTGTGTAACACATCACATTGTATTGCTTTTTGCCTTTTGGATCATGACTATCCGATCTTTGCGCATTGTGTTTCGATTGCGAAGATCTCGCAGCCGCTTCCTAGGTACACCCTAGTCCTACCCTTGCTCAACAGCGGGCGATTGGTCCATCACGTTACCTTCAATACAATATGGAAGACCGTGTCCCAAAGCCTGCGTCTTTCTCTTCGAGCGGAAGCCACCTCACCGTACCAGGTCTCGATTTGAGCAGCATCCCACCCATTGGCACTCTTGGTGCCCACTTCAAGGGCGATGAAGAGGACAAGGTCAAAGCAACGTTGCGCCGTCACGGTGCGCAGCTGACCGCCGATGTCTCGAAGCTGAAAGTGTTTATTGGAAAGGTTGGTTCGCGGCGGCGGGCAGAATTTGAGTTGAGGTCTCGAAAGTTCGAGGTGGAGGAAGTGGTTGAGTCAAAGCGAGCGGCGAGTCCGGTCAAGCAGGACACCACACGGAAAAGAGCAAGAATTTCAGGTACGACTACTGAGCCTATCGTCGTTAAGGATGAGGGCTCGACTACCGAAGAGGAAGATGAGGGGTCTGAAACCGAGGATGAAGCGCCGGATAGAATACGAGATACTCCACGGACTTCGCCAGTCATACCGGACGAGGACCCCACATTACAACCTACAGTCTTCAACAATGCGTCCAACGATGACATCCTTTGGGTGGCCAGAGTCGAATGGCTTGATGAATGTCTTTCTGCAGGGCGTTTGGTCCCACTTGGAGAAAACTTGGTTTACAAGTGCAAGATTAAGAAGCGGCCCCCAGCAACGTTAGACACCGGTTACAGCGCGATCAAAGCCAACTACACATCTCTGCTGAAACCAGCGTCTCAGACCCACTTGGCAGCGCGTCCTCGAGCATCGCCACACATTCTAGACCGCGCAAAGGAAGACGCCACGACCACGACCACTAAGCGACCGTACAATCCTCTCAGTGATGGCCATGGCTCCCGTAGATTTGACGGCAAATCCTACGCCTCTAGCTCCACCAAACCTACCTTCGCCCACCAAACAGCACATCTACTCCAACAAACAACCAGCGACTACGAGGGCGAAGACAGCGACATTCCGCCGCCCCCTGACTGGGTCACGCACGGCATTAAGTACGCCTGCCAGCGCTTTACCCCAGCTGATCCCCCAAACCAAGACTTTATCGATCAGCTCAAGAAGATCCGCACCGCAAGAACACTAATTGACGACGAAATAGGCGTCCGCGCCTACTCGTCCATCATCGCCTCCATCGCCGCCTATCCCTACAAACTGCGTCATCCGCGCGAACTCGCGCGTCTTCCCAGCTGCGACGAGAAAACCGCCGTGCTTTTTGTAGAATGGAAAAACATGGGGAGAATCCAAGCCGTAGAAGACTACGAAAACGATGAAGCCATGAAAGTCCTGCGCTCCTTCTACGACATTTGGGGCGTGGGCGCGAAAACAGCACGGAATTTCTACTACAATAAGGGATGGCTAGATCTAGACGACATCATCGAGTACGGCTGGAACGAGCTCGACCGCGTCCAGCAGATAGGCGTAAAGTACTACGATGAGTTCCTCTCCGGCATCCCGCGGGCTGAAGTCGAATCCATCGCGGACATAGTCCGCCAGCACGCTATGAAGCTCCGCGACGAGCACATCAGCGTGACAATCGTGGGCGGGTATCGCAGAGGCAAGTCCGCCTCCGGCGACGTGGATATGATCGTCTCCCATCCCGATTTATCCGCGACCGCACACCTCGTCCGTGACATCGTCGAGTCCCTCGAAGAGGAGGAGTGGATCACACATACCCTCACCATGTCACTTCACAATACTTCGCGGGGCCAGACGACGCTCCCTTTCCGCACGACAAAAGCCTCAGGCGCAGGTTTCGATACCCTCGATAAAGCGCTCGTCGTGTGGCAGAATCCCTCCTGGCCGACCCGCGATGCCGACCTCGCCGCCAACCCCAAGGCCAAAAACCCTAATATTCACCGCAGAGTCGACATCATCATCGCGCCGTGGCGCACCGTCGGGTGCGCGGTGATGGGATGGAGTGGGGGGACGACATTTCAACGGGATTTGAGACGATACGCCAAGCATCAGAAGGGATGGAAGTTTGATAGTAGTGGGATACGCAGTCGGGAGACGGGGGAGGTCGTGATGCTTGAGGGGGAGGAAGGGGTAGATGGAACGCCGGAGGAGGCGGAGAAAAGGGTGTTTGAAGGGTTGGGGTTGGAGTATGTACCGCCTGAGATGAGGTGTACAAATTGAGACCAGGCTGGATGTTATTCTTAGACTTTGCCTCATGATTTCTGCGTTGACTCTGGTGGTCTGGATAGCAAGAAATCAGTTCAGTAATGTACTTCACAACGATGAAGTGTGCACATCGGAACAGTGAGGATTACAGCTTCATCGGCAACAGCTAGTTCCCACCGACACGCTTCGTTACCAGAAGTGGAAGCACTATTCGAGATAAGGCCAGCCGCAATCTTGCAAACGTTGTCATTATTCATAACTCTATGGTAGTGTACTGGGGGCGTCCCTGATGCGCTATCTCATGACACCCCCTTGCTAATCCCACTGAATCCAATCATGATATTCCTCCGACTCCGGCTTGGATTTATCAACCGGTGATCCTTCACGAGCCTTCACGCTCTCATCGCGAAGGTCAGGTTCAGGTCGTACCGGAGCTACTGGAAGATAGGAGGGGAGGGAAGGGCGCCGCAAGAAGGAGCGTTGAAATTGGGCCGTGGTCTGCTGCGTGGCCGACAGCCTACCCGTTTGCCTGTGCGCTACACCATTATTAGTCAACTGCGGAAACCGAACGAGGACACTGAGCTCAGTTCAGCCCCATCGTTCAGTGCCAAACTGTCGCGCCCCTCCTCCTCCCATAATGGTATCGAAGTACTGGTTGCCAGGAGCGTCGTTGTAACCGCCCATCAAAGAACCCATGCCGCCTCCGCCCCTCCGTGAGTGGCTCTTACCGTTCTCAACAATCTGGCTCTTCTTGCCCAAGTCCCTCGCTGCAGACACCGAATTGGTAATCGATGAAAGCAGCTGGACGAGCTGGACATCCGAAGCTTCTTGTTGAGACTCAAGCGTAAAGGCTTCGACATCGGGCGGCGCTAGGATGTTGATGCGGGCGAGCATGGCGGAGACGCTGCGGAGAATGGAGTGGTTGAGCGGGAGAGGATGGTCGTTGGTTGGGGTCGGGTCCAGTGGGAGAGACGATTCAGAGAGGTATGAAGGCGGGAGAGAGGCAAGATAGGTGCGAAGGAGCGAGATGCGGCGGCTTAGCATGCGGATGGCGTTGATCTTCGCAGTCAGTGTTGATAGCAGCTCCTCGTCTTCAACTGTCAAAACGGCAGACTCGTCAATACTCTCCTCTTTGGGCGCTTCCTTCCCTTTGCCTTTGCCCTTCTTTTCCTTCTCTTCTGCGCCCCCGGGTGCCTTGCCCTTTGACGCAGTTGAGGAGCCTTCCACGGCAGTGGCGTTGCCACCTCCGCGAGCCACGAAGTCTACGGCGATCATCTCTGCCTCGCCGGTCTCAACCGTATAAACAAGCTCCCTGAATTTCAATGTTTTGTTCTGTACTGCACCATCGACGTCCATTGCCTTGTCGTCTGAGCCGCCAGTTGCATTTTCGTAGACCGACTCGTACAGGGTGAGAGGTAGCTTGCCGGCGGCCGTGGCTTCTGAGTCCGCATCAGAGGGGTGGAATAAGCAAAGGATCGGCGAATCGGTAAGCTCTGATATGCGGTTGTGGATGGGTAGTATCTGCGCGGTTGGACCGGTGGGTGGGGCGAGCGTGAACCAGGCAACAATGTCGAGCGGTGGTTGCTTGTGGACGTCCTTGTCTTTTTGATGTCAGCAGCAGTCTCGAAGATTAAATTGGAGCTTGTGGGAAGTCCAGTCGCTGTAAGAGGAATACGTACAATCGTCTAACCGCTTCATAAACCATTCGTCATCGAGCACCACATCACCTTGCTCATTTGACACCAACTTCGCCTGGAATGCAACCTCCATGGTGACCTCGTGGCCATTTTGCTGACCAAGAATAGCTCCAATTACAGGCCCATTTTGTTGTCGAAGCGTATGTCGCGTAATGCAGTCGGTTATGGTGAGCAGTACAAGCGGGTGCAGCTGCACCGTGGGGCTTGTGTCCGAAGCACGCGTGTTGGAGACAAGCGAATTTTGCGATTTACCCGCCATGAGTGCGATTGTGTATTGTATCTGTTATTAAGGTCGTAATTTGTGTGCGCGAGGGAGAAGTTGAAAGGGTGGTGGTGGTCTTGTAGTTGTAGAGACGAGCGCGGGGAGCTTGTCGATTAGACTAGGCAGCTCCAACCAACGCCGCGGGCAGGTGCGGACCCGGTCTTTCGATAATCCGCAACACGTGCTCACGCGTTCCACCCACTGTCCGACACGAAGCTTGGCAACGCGGTGTCATAGTGAAGCTCAATTAGGTTCTTCGAAACGAACAACATCACGTTGTCGAAACTCGGCTCCGGTCGAGACGAGTTGACCGTCACCCAGCCTCCATTTCACCAATAGCCGACGCGCGGGGAAACGGGACCGATACCCCAAGCTTTCCAAACAATCGGAAATACTGCGATCTTCAACCAGAAGACTCCCGTGGCTAGCCCATTGAGTTGAATACTGCAGTAGAGTGCCTATTTATCGTTGCCTCGTGGGTGATGTCGGACCGACGGCACTCAACCAGCAGATCTTGCCTTCGATCTGGTCATGGCAGTCTCATATTGATACAACGCTGTTCATCATTTCCGATGGTCTGGAAACCTCTGGAGAGGCGAATTCATGACATTGCGCGCTATGATAGGCGCTTGACACAAGATACCAAAGAACGTGTGGCAACATCAATGGCTTTCTGCTTCAGTTCTGCAAGCAATTATCGATAGAGTTGAACGCAGTGTATTTCGTGGAAGATGTTGGTCGAATTTCACTCGGAGAGGACGCGGCAGAGCCAACGATCCATCTGTATAAGGTTGATATCTGCTCCTCAGTAGATGGGCTTTCCTACAGTGCTTCTAGCGGTCAGGTATCTTGTAGTTTCCTCGCCACCTTCCATCATATAGTCCTCTTCTTTTACGAAACCTGAGCATAGGGAACGAAACCCAAATCAGCACAGCGTGGTATCTCCATCTTTATCGAACGAAAGTGAGAAAATTCCAGGATCATATCCCAACGCCAGTTCCGCAGTCCTCTCCCAATTCCTCTATATCTAACTCTTATTTTTTCATTCCTTAGAGAAAACGAAAGACGTTCAACTGTGATTACAACATTATGTGTACTGCGAAGAGGAATTCGACCGAATATTTCATCAATTCTCAACGAGAATCTTGAGGACAAGTCTGCCCTCCTTGTCTGTAGTTTTCCCCGCGAGCTCGAACGCTTCCTTCGCTGCAGTGAGTCCTCGGAAACGGTGCGTGACCATGCTGTCTAGATTCGGTAATGCTCCGGACGAGAGAATCTTGATGCCTGTGGGGTACGTATTGGCGTACCGGAAGATGCCAATGATATCGACTTCTTTTAGATGTGAAGCTGACATGGGTAGGGTCTGGACTGGGGTGCCCATACCGACCATGATGAGTTTGCCGCCTGGTCTGGTTGACTTGGTGAAGGTTAGCATCATATTCGTTGCAGCCATGACGAAGACATACGTAGAGCCCAGCCTGCATGCATATTTCCTTTCCTGTGCAGTCGAACGTCACGTCGGCGCCTTCGAACTCCGGGTCATTCAGCGAAGCGATTTGCATCACGTCTCCAGCCAACTCTTTTGCGACTGCTAGCTTTTCAGCAGTCTCCATCAAGTGCCTTCGCGGATGAACAATGTAGCCCTTGTGTGCGAAGCCATTGGCCAGAGCGTAATTGACGCGCCCGCTGTCAATGTCGGCGATGACTACTGTTGTAGCACCTGACATTTTGGCCATTGCAGCCGTCAGCAGGCCAACGGTGCCCGCACCGAAGACAGTCACCGTATCGCCTTGCTCTATTGACGCCCTGCGAGTCGCATGTATAGCAACAGACAGCGGCTCGAGCAAAGCGGCCGACTCCATCGAGACATGTTGGGGAATCCTAGCGCGGGACGTCAGCCTTTTTGCTTTTTCAACGGTTCATGCAAGACATACTTGTGGCACCACTTAGCGGGGTGATTGATGCGTTCCTGGAGCGTACCCTGGAAATGAGGCACAGATTTGGCGCTACTTCGGAACCTCATGCCGGGGCAAAGGTTATATCGACCTCGTTGACATGACCGACAATTGTCGCACGGTACGCCAACCTCAAGCGCTACTCGTTCGCCAATCTGGAAACCAGTGACAGCCTCGCCGATGGCGACTACGATCCCAGCGGACTCGTGGCCTAAAGATAGCGGCTGCACGGCCTGAAGATCGCCGTTGCGAAACTTGTTGTAGTAAGAGACATCGCTCCCGCAGACGCCAGTGGCTTTGATAGCGACCTGCAATTCATGGGGTCCCGGGTCTGAGATGTGTCGAGTTTCCTGTTTTGTATCGTTAGTGTTGGTGTGCGACACAGAAAACCCCCACGAACGGTGGGAGTGTGGGATGTAGTGGACGGAACGGGGAAGGCTTACGAGTCGTAAATCCCTTGGCCCATACAGGACGGATGCAACTACAGTGGAAGGCTTAGAGTAGTGCCGCGCAGGGATAGGATAGATATCTGCTAGAGCGGAGGGTGCCATTACGAAAGACTTTGATGGTTAGGCACGGGAAAGAAGAGGAAGGAGGAAGATTGAGGAGATAGCTGGATAGACCACCCCACGGGAGACGTGGAGGCTGATATACATGTTGGGAACTACCCGCAATGACGGCAAGCTAGGGCAGGCTCATTCTGCTTGGTGCGTCGGCGCGAGATAGCAATGGAAGAAGAATGAAGGCAGAGCATCCACGTCATTTGCTCGGCGGGTCAATTCGGCGGGTGGTACATGGTTAGGGATGTGCAGAGCAAGCACTTGTCGGGATGGCTGCTGCATCGCGTAGCCTCTTTTCTTTAGCCCCGTCGAGCTGTTATATAAGATCCATGGACGAGGCCAGATCTGTTGCTGTAACGAGAAGTGCTCGGACCAGGTGGAGCAAGCCTGCGATGGCATGAGTCGCTTGGGCCACCCAGAGCTAAACAGCTAAACATGCACCTCTTCCGACGTTGTTTCTACCGGATCAGCAGCTCGACAGCTACTGACGCAACGGTGCAAGATCTGTTGAGAGCTTTCTGACAGCGAATTGGCGCTGTGGAACTGCGATAAGGCAGTATCGCCGTCGGCGCTGGATCTTGGTTCCTGCTGGCTGCATGGACGGCAAGCTTTGGGCGTGCGCGGTATCTGGCTGCAGACTATCGGACGGTAGGCATAGCTACCGGTAGCTGCAGCGGGCCAATTTTACCTGGACAGACATAGCGCAGGACGACGGTTCAGGCTGATATGCGGGCTGGCCGAGACGGTCGCACGTAGAGATGCTGCGACTCAGCGACATGTTGCTCCACTGACGCTTTCTGCACCATTCCCGGGTCTGATGTTGCCTGTGCCAGCTTGTAAGAAAACCACTTGGTCGCTATTATCTGACTCGGCCAGACGTCTTATGCCCCGAGAGTGTCCATGTTCGAAAGGGGAGTTCTCGGTTTGGGGATGCGTGCAAGCGTACCTCGATGCGGCGGCCAACGTCAAAACGTATAATATATCCAGGGGCAAGAGGCCGTTGGACGGCTCGCCTCAGGATAGGGTGCGACGCCGGTAGAGCGCATCGACGAAGCGGTAGCGCATGCGGTACGTACCTCTCGCCCATGCCCCGCGACCAGGATGTGTCTCTGCAGAGCGGCCGGCTAGTCGAGTGGGCCACGCCATGACCATGCATGGCGGCACTCTACCGAGACAATTGGCGAAATATCGGGTGGCATTACCAGATGTTTGGTACTGAGGTGCAGATGAGCTTATCATTGCATCCATCATGTCGACTCGCCGTGACATTTTCTGACGACCGAGGTGGGCATCCCAACGTACAGTGCCGTGGTCGACTTCGCACAACAACGCCACGCACCGCACGCCGAGGTGCCCCGAGGTACCGACCACGAGAATGGCACTTTGACATGGGGGCGTAGGCGGGGAGACGGTCTCTCCTCAATCGTGAGGTCGTGCAATGCAGCGGCAATCATTTCAAGTCCGTTCCATCGCCCATCCGTGCAAGAGCGGGATAGCTGTGCGCATCGACGAGGCTGGTGCGGATCGCCAATCAATCCAGGTCGGTGAATCAATGCTGTCGGCGTGCCAAAAAGTGACCAGTCGCGATGCATGTACTGCCGTCGGCGGGATTCTGAACTACAGAACGATCCATCTTTTGACGCGCTCGTAATTGCTGGAACAGCTTCATTCTACCTCACGACCCAATCATGGTATGCCATCTGAGGAGGACGCGGGCCCGGAGGAAGAGAGGGCGTGCAGCAGGAGACAGGGGACGACGAGCCACCGCCAGTCCTGTCTTTATCTCGTATACGAGAGAACGCTGGCTGTTCTGAGCACGCCTTAACATGTGCGCTATGCGCCGCACATATCACGTCTCCCCAGCCATTGGCATCGTTGAGCCGGCGTGATGCAAATGCAATCGAATAATCGCCTGCTTCGCAACCAACTGATAAGGCACGTTGCGACTGTCCACGTCGCTAAATTGCAAAGCCGCATGTCTCCCATGCCAGATCTGCACTAGACATCACATACGATACCGCAAGTATAATAAGTGCGCGATGGGAGCCCCTGTATGTCCAGCTAAGGTAGCGAAAGAACGAGGGTAAGCCAAGCCCTGCACGCACCGCTCAAATCGGCATCGTGGACACAGTGCTCAATGTGGAGGCGTCAACGGCACTGGTGCCGGCTTGACTCTGCTCGTTTGATCCGCCATGGTGACAGAGAGCTGATCCTTTGGTGAGTCGGCACCATGACTACGGTACTATGCGCCGTCGTGTCACCCTCAAGTCAACCCTCTGCAGGCGTCAGAAAGGGCGATCGCCCATGGAGGAACGCGCACCGTGATGGACCACGAAACGTGCTTCAGTCGCGCCTTGGCTATCAGTTGCCATCTCGCACGCCTTCGCACTGGCATTAGGCGAAAGTATACGGGCCATGATGCTCCGCTTCCATCGGGACAATAGCCTCGTCCGCTAATGTCCTACTCGCTCAAGACTGCCGTCGTTTCGATGCCGCTGCAGCTCCTGTTGCCAAGTCTCTGGCGACGCGAAATACCGGGCTTCAGGTCCAAGTAGCGAAAGCCACCATGTAGTGAAGACGCACCTGTGGGGAACGCCTTCGGTAACATAGCTGGATTAGATTAGTCGGCCCGCCTTGTATATTCTCTGAGCTATGTACTGGTACATGTGCTTCTCGACTAATAGAGCAGGTGTTTCGAGTAGGGAGACTGTTGTATTTCTGCTGTTCAAGGCGTGAGATTGGGACCGAACAGCCGACGGAAGTTGAAATCAACAGATCCGCCTGATCGACCTTCCTTGCCAGCACATTGGCCGATATCGCATGTGTATAATGGCCTGAAGGAAGTAGAGATACCTCCACCGCCAAAGCGGCCGAAAACGCGGGCACGCACGTACCTCCTACACACCCAAGGAGACCCTGTCGCACTACTAGAAGTAGCCCCACTGAGAGACCCTAATCGCGCCATTCCCGTCCTTGATGCGACAAGCCCGCGGTCAGAGCTTACAAAGAGCTCCGGGTTCCTAGGCCTTGCTTGTCGAGCCAGCTCACAATGATTGCGTTCACCTTGTCTGGCGTCTGTGTGAGTGCCCAGTGCGACGCTTTAACTTCTCCTCGCGTCAGATTCGGGATAAAGTGCTCCATGCCTTTTGACATCTCCGGCTTGAGGACGCTGTCTTCGGTAGCCTGAATGAAGAGCACTGGTACCTCAATTGTCTTCTTGGTCAAGAGACTGTCAAATGTGTCAGCCATGGTGCGTAGAGTAGCGGTACGTCTTTAATGACTCACGCTCGGTCGTGCTCCCAATTTACTTTACGGGTGCGATACCAGTTCACTAATGCTTATTAGCTACTACAGTGGGTTGAGAATAGGCATGTGACGACTTACGAGGACCGTGAACCCCATGGCGACTATACTCTTGTACGTAGTGGTCGAGAATCTGAGATCGTCAGTTCATGCATCAGTAACCCGTACCTCCCGATCAACGCCACCGTATACATGTAGAGCTCGCTTTATCGGCTGTATGGAAGGTTGGTCACATGCCGTGGGACGATGAGCAGCGACCTGACTTGCACTGAACGCCGTAGGGAAGACGATTGGTCCTCAATAGGCTGCGCTCGTACCTGATTTGAGCGTCGATGCTCGTCAAGTCCGCGTAGTGTTGAGTCTCATGGGGAAAGAGATTGCCGAGGAACAACTGACCTTGCCATTCAGTAGTTTGCTGTCTCCGATGTGGGGAAGCTTTTCGACCAGAAGCCCCTTGTTTGGATCAAAGGCGACTTCGCCACTGGGCGTACGTCCCCCATAGATGGCTTTGAGAAACTGCCTTATCGATTGCTCGTCTTTGATGTGCTTCTCCACATCGCCGGAAGCGAGGTGTATCTGGTAGCCAAATTGAGGCAAATACTTACTGACAAGATCCTCGTTCGACAGATACTCCTCCACGGGCGGCATGTATGGCGTACAGACTGCAAATACATGACTCACAAGTTCTGGGTGCCTAAAAGATGTCAGTCATAGAATCTTGTCCCCAGTGTCTTCCTCATGGAGGCGACTCACCATTGCGCTGTACGATATACAATCATACCTCCCCAGTCATGGCCCCCCAAGATGATCTGTGGTGCGCCGATCACTTTGGCCAGCTCCGCAAGATCATCCGCAGCTCTTCTGTAAGAGTACAGGGAAATTTCGTTCGGCGGAACCTCTGGAGCATCCTATATCTGAAGCTTAGCCTTGTCGTCTGCCTGTGCAAAGGGTAAGATCTGTCACAGCCCGGGATGCTCGTGGGCATGAGCGAGATAGCTCTATTGTGTGTTGCGAGTATGATTTATCATAAAGTTGCAAATACAGGCGGATGAGGCTTACCGTGCCTCCATATCCCATCATATCCGGAGCTACAACTCTGAAGCCCATGTCTAGGAGAAAGGGTATCTGATAGCGCCATCCCGCTGAGCCGCAATCGGGCCAACCGTGAATCTGCAATAGACAATTAGCACGAAGGCTCGCTCAGCACAACACTCCCACGATCCGCTTCGTTTATCCACCGGCTGAATGGTTCTGGATAGGGTGAAGTAGAGGCTCACCAAAAACACCGTAGCCTTGTATGAGGCGCCCGCAGGCTCGCCATACAGGTAGTGGTAGTTGTGGCCATTCAGGGTGCTGTTGCGGTGCTCAACCCTGCCATCGGAGACTGGGTCTATCGGTTGCAAGGACATGACGCTAGCCAAGGCAGACTTTATGAGCTATTGCGCTCGCAGGCACGGGCAAAGGCTGGGAGAGACTACACGGACAAGCAAGTAGGTGAGATGGAAGACGACTGTAAAGCGAGGCGTTGTTGACTTGTCGAACTGGCGAGGAGATTTGTGATGCTCCTGCTCCGTCGGAGCTGTGTGGAGTCGAAGGTGTGCCTCGGTACCGCGGCTTCCAGGAACAGCCAGCGCGCCGACGACGTTGATTCGATTCGCGATCATGAACAACGAAACGTCGGCCCAATTCTCCTCTTGTTTCAGTCGGGACTCGAGCGACTGCTTGTTCCACGTCGTATTCTTTGAGCATTGGCCAGCCTCCTCGTAGATGTCATCAGCAGCTCGTCTGGAAACCTATGTGCCACCTGCACCCCACTCCTCCGTGGGGGCATTCCTATGCATTCCATATTACCGGCAAGATACCTTGCAGGCGGGTGCATTGCTACTATTTACCGGCGTAACATGCAGGCAAACGGTGTTGTATCGACCAGGTTCCCCTAGCAAGTCGGCCGCATATTGCGTCTATAGACCCAGCGACTTGGTTTTTTTCTAGAGACGCCATCGCGATGACGGATGGCTTATTATCTGGTGTGACTTGCGCATGTTCCAGAAGGATAGAATAGTATATTCGGCCGGCTGGATGCTCTTCCGACGGTGTTGACGGATATGGGATATCGTGCGATTGACGAGGGTCTACAGCTGTGTCTTACTTCCTCCTGCACTATCAATCGGTACTTGATACACGGGACAAAGGCATGTCGCTTTGCTAGCCAGCATTCATTCACCAATACGATGCACGTGCTCAACGATAGACCTGCAGTTGTTGGACAAATGTAGACTTGGGTATTGATGGTAATAGAGTGCAATAGTGTTTCACGCGCACGTTGTAGCATCATCGGTCCGCAATCATTGGTCGACGCAGATGATCAACAACCAACTAGACATGCTGTCTTAGTACATGACTGTGTCTTCCGCGGCTTCAACGACTTCTTCTCCGTGATCGTCCACAGCTTCCTTGCCTGTATCGTCAGTCATCCTTTCATGGCCCGCAGTCGAACTTTGCTCAACAGAGGTCAACGCGTCTGCACGGGTTCGTGCATGATCGTCGTTACGTTCCGGGGTTTTGGACGACAAATCGCTGCCGTTAGTAGGGGGACCATTGGCTGCGGCTGGCTTTGGGGGCGTCGTTGCATTATATCCCTTACCAGTATGGATGTCCTCTGCATCGTCGACCAGAAGTACATCGCCACTCGCATCCTGCGCGCGTTCGGCGTACCGCCGTTGGGCAGCCTCGAAGTCCTCGCGTTCTCGACGAATGATGTCGTGTGCTTCGGCAAACTGATCGCGTATGCGGTCATCTTCTTCGGTGGTAGTCTCCCAGGGTTTGTAATACTGAAGACGATGTCAGCCTTCTGAATGTATCTGATACTATACGAGGTGCGCAAGCGACGAAGGTAGGACTAACCAGTCGTGGCTCAGTTCTAGTCTGGAGGAAGTGCGCCATGGCAAGCAGATTGTCGTGTCGTATACGTAGCTATGTGACTAGTCAGATTTGCAAAGTACATATCCTTATGCTCTTACCGAGTCTTTCTCAAAGTGCCTGTGCTCTCTCCAGCGCTGCGCTTTGCGCTTGGTCTGGCGCTCCTGCTTCCTCTGCTCGCTCTCTTCCTCCTCCTGCTTGCGTTGGGCACGTTGTCGCTTCTCTATCTCGATTCGGCGTTTCTGTCCTGCGGTAGCAGAATTCTGTGAGAGTGCACCAAGAGCTGCACCGAAGAGTCGCCTCTCACGACCGCGTTCTCTGCCTTTGGGTGGTGCTGCAGCCTTAGTACTGCCAACGGATTCCCGTCGGTGGGTAGGCGAGTCATTGCCATTCAGTCGCGCTCGCTTTGCATCTTGCTCGGATATGGATGAGTGTCGCCTCTTGGTCCCAGTAGGAGAGGGTGCTGTGGGTGGTGGAGAATCGACATCCTGGGCTGGAAGTACCACGGCTGATGCAATGCCGTCCATTTTCAATTATCAATCGAAGAGGTCCAAAAGCGTGCGAGTCGATAGTTGAGACGCGCGGCTGCTATCTAGGAGGCACGGAGGCAGCCTTCCGAATAAGACACTGTCAAGAAGGTGGAGACTTGAAGCTGGTTGAAGCTTCAGCACGGACGCTCTGGAAGTGTGGAGAAGGCGCGTCGCTGCTGACTAACACGTGAACCGCGCCTCCTCTACGATAAATGTTCCTTCCTGTGCTGTCAAGCTTCACAGCTCACTTTGCGAACTACGCACGCACACGGCACCACCACCCACCGCACGACTTCTAGATTCGCCTTCACGTTGCAGCTCTCTCCACTTTGTGTTTCCACCAAGTCCATACAGAAGAAAAGCGCAGCACACCACACCCCGTTACCATGTCCCGCCATCATCCCGACCTCGTCATGTGCCGGAAACAAGCCGGCATCTCCATTGGCCGCCTCTGCGACAAATGCGACGGCAAATGCCCCGTCTGCGACTCCTACGTTCGCCCAACAACCCTCGCCCGCATTTGCGACGAATGCTCCTTCGGAAACTACCAAAACAAATGCGTCGTCTGCGGCGGCGAGGGCATCTCCGACGCCTTCTACTGCTTCGAATGCACGCGCCTCGAGAAGGATCGGGATGGCTGCCCGAAGATTATAAATCTGGGTAGTAGTAGGACGGATCTGTTCTACCAGAAAAAGAATTTTAGGAATCACTAGTGAGGGCCGGTGGGCGTCACGATAACTATGCGAAGTCGAATGCGCATGTGTTCATTTTCGAAGAGCTTCGGCAATGATCAGCAAGGGATTTGTGGGCCACTACAGTTCGGGGACGTCAGATTCGAAATTTAGGACTTGTGTGGACGGCCGCGGATGGAATAGAGGCTGATTGTCCGCTGTTTTCCGCCTTAGCATTGGGACTGCTTGGACAAGCCGCATTAATACAAGCATACTGAGGCGGAAATGGTCACGTTCCAAATTGATTCTCAAGGGTGCTTGGGAGCTTGGCGTCGGTAATGCGCTCTATCTCACTTTGTAGACTTCCGCTAACTGTCAAAGGCGCGGAGATACCCTTCTTTTTGTTGGTCGTTAGGACCCATCAAATTTGTCTGTAGGAGAAAATCAACTGGATCAGTTCTCGAGAGGTTCCCCATCGTCATGGCACGACGTGAGGTATGAATGTGGAGTTCTTACTCAGAACGACTATACTAACCCAGGATGCCGCACCTCCATGTCGTTTGCATCGCTTGCAAACCCATATACCAGAGCCGCTTGAAATAAACAACGCCTGTGCCAACCAACACCGCCCATATCCCGCGACGTGAATGCTGAATCAAACTCCAAAATTCAGGATGAAAAAAGAAAGGAAAGGACGCTTAGACACCCATGGTGAAGTCGTGTTCGATACCGGGTGTTACACTGTCGAGTATTAGTATACCTGCCCTTGACTTCAAGTATGCGATCACTGACCTTGCCATGAACTTGAGGAAGACCACGAGATATTGGTCCACACGAATAGCGACCTCGTCCTCATCGCCTTCGCTCAGAACCTCCCAGTCGTCTCCCTTGTCTTTGGTCTCTTCACCAGCTTTGCTCTTTGACTGCTCGGTCAGCTTTAGCAGTTTAGTGTCATCGACTAGGCCTTCCATTCCACTGTCTACCTTGCCGACATCCTTGCCCGCCTTCAACTTGGCCAGCCGCAGCTTCAAGGCTGCATCTGCGCGGTCGAGCAGCACCTTCATGACAGAAGCATGCTTGCAAGGGTGAACCGATGCCGTCTTCACCGCGTGCTCGAAGAAGGGAAAGTCCTCGATCGTGACCGTCTTATCCTTGTAGTCTCCAACGATGTCTTCCATCATCTCGTGCGGATTCAGAGGAACCGATGTTGAGCCGTATCCGGAGAGATATAGGCGAGGTGTGCGGTAGTGGGCAGAGTAGCAGATGTAGAGCGTATACGTTCGCGCCGGTCTAATCAAAGGTTAGTAACCAGCTCCAGCCTGAACCACATGCAGATGACGGAGGCTTACCCTGACGCGCTAGAACCGCCCTGGGGTTCCCTTATAATGGCCTCATCATCATCCTCGTCGTCCTCCATATCTGGAATCTCATCCTCGTCGTCCGCGGCTCCTAGGTTTCCGCTTTCGTCGACAGTCTGCACGTCTCGCACCTTCGCTTCCTGGCTCGCAGCCATGCCACCCGTCCTCAGCCAGCCGTCGTCGTCAGCATCGCCAGTAGCGAATCCGTCTCGTACCAGTGTTTCATCTTGACCAGCCTCTCCAGCAAAGTTGTCGTCCAGACGGCGGTTGCAGGGCACGCCTCGTGTAACAAGGAACTGCTTTCCTTCAGGGAGATATGGTACGCGTTTCGACGGCGAGGAGGCATCGGCCCACTGCCACGATGGGAACTTGAAGACCAGAAAGTCGCCGGCGAGGACATACTCTTCTGGCGTAATCTGACCAGTTTCGCGGAAGGTCGATGTATGACTAATGGCAGCGGTTCGCTCTCGGAACGTGTCGATATACGATCGCACGAAATTATAGGCCATGTTGATGGGTTAAATCTGCAGACTCGATAAGTGACGGCTCGAGCGTTTGACTGTAAGGCGGAGTGATTGTATGGTGTTGGAGGGGCGATCAGTGAGCAGCGCGGGGCGGCGAATGCAACGAGCAACGACCCCACGCGCCGGCGGTGCCTGCCTCACGAGCCACCACTCAGCCACTACATCCGAGGCACTAGCCACACAGCACGTCATCTGGTCGACTGATATGGTGATGCGCGTTCACAAGTATGCAGCATGCGGACAATGCCACGCGAATATAAATTGTGACTCGTAGGAAGGTCAGTCGTCACTCTCCTTCGTTCCTTCCCTGCGTCACAGTGGACGAACAATATTGGCGTCACGCAACCATCATGGCCGGAACGGCAGCTTTACCCATCTTGGACCTCTCCAAGACAAACACCCCGCACCAGGAACAGCAACTGCTTGAACAGTTTCATGATGCTCTTATTAGCGTTGGCTTTCTATACATCAAGAATCACGGAATTTCTCAAGAGATCATCGTAGCCTTGACGTCGCTTCTTCCGGCGCTGTTTGATCAAACCAACGCGGCCAAGGCTGCTCTTTCGAAGTTGAATGCGCCGCATTTCTTTGGCTACAGTAGTCTCGCAGAGGAGGCGACCCTCGGTCAAAAGGATCTTCGAGAGCAATCTGCCTTTGCTACGTAGCTTCCCGTCGTCTACAACCCGGACGCTTCGACGTCCGCTCTAAGCGACGGGAAAAAACCTCAGCAAACTCTACTACCGAATTCGTGCACCATCAGTGGCGGAGCGAAGACAGTGATCCTAAATTTCGCAAAGCATTCTTGAAGTTAGCACTCTCGGTTCCTGCCGGGCTTCCATTATGACGCGGCTGACCGGCACAATGAAGGTATCACGAAGAACCGCAAGCGTTGTCATTTCGATTTGTGCATCTTATCGAAGAAGTTTTTAGTATACCCATGGGCACGTTCGATGCCTCTTTTCCACGGCCTACGTCGGCTAATAAAGGAGCGCATGCACCTCATGGACCCATCGGGTCAAATTAGTGAACTATCCAGCATTCCCAGGTGGTACTGCCTGCGAAGAGCAGGGTGTAGATTCACACAAAGACAGTAGCGGCTGGTTGACTTTCTCTATCAAATTGGCAAAGAAGAAGGCTTAGAAGTGCTCGATGCTAGCGGCAACTAGATACGTGCTTCCCTATCCAAAGCACCTTCGTCGTCAGTTTCGGAAACGCATTCGGAGCTGCTACAGAAGGAGCGGTAAAGGCGACTATTCATCGCGTCATAGTATGCACCCGATCATGAGCTTGTGTACTCTTGTGCCTCACTGACTCATGCATCCAGACCATCAAAGCCGCGATACTCCATACCGTTCTTCCAGGGCTTGCCTCTAGATTATACTGTATTAGAGATCAGAGAAAGCATTCCGGAACACGTACGAGCACTTCGCCCTGTCTCGGAGAGACCGAATTCCCAATTCTCTGTCTTCCTAGACGCACGGTGGGACAGTCTGGGCGAATCTCAATTATGGGAATGGATTAGATTCCTTGAGGACGTTGCGAAAAAATGGTACAGCAGCGAGGCAATTTCGTATTACCTACAGTAGCATAGGTGTACTACATTCCCAAGCGCGTTGAACGCATCCCGAAATAATGAGTGTCCTACGTTCGATCACAGACATTTCACTGACATCTACTCGAATTGAACTCTAGTCGAACAATTTCAGCGTCCGATAGCTCCTCAATATCAACTATCCCAATTCGGCATGTCCGCCGCAAGCTCAATAGGCCTACATTTACATCTTCAATCTTTACTAGCCTCGATTCGAAAAAGGCCGCATACATACTGTATCCTGGTACACAAATCAACAGCGCACGGAGAGAACACTAAGATCACACGTGCCGGAGAAATATGCGGGCCACACAAGCGATGAGTCTCAAGCATGCCAGGAGAGCAACACAGCAACATCGCATTCAGCCCTATTCATCAGTCTGCAGTACCGCCAGTCAGATGACCGCAGCGTCACTAACTTCTGCCCAATCTAAATGTCAAAAATACACATGTCCTACTCGATATGCGAACGACTCACGGACCCTTGCGGCTTCCCTCGCCTCTGTGCAGACTTGGTGGAGACAAGGATCCCAGATGCACAGACCTTACGACTAGTCCTATGCTACCCAAAACGTTCACGACATGATAAACGCGCACAACTTCTAGACGAGTTTACCAGTCCAGTCTTGGGTTGTCGCCACATAATGACACGTGCAGAAACGCACTTCGCTTTGCACACATGCTGGGCATTTACATTTCAAACACAGCCTCGGCTCCGAATCATTTACGATTCTTTCACTTCTCGCCCACGCAAAAGGTTTCTCGGAATCTTGACGTGTATGGGAAAGTTGTCGCTCGTCTCCATCCTCTCGCTGCAAGCCATGCTTCAGCCGTGAGCAAGTGGTCAACCTTCCATGCTCTGGGTGTCAATTAGGTATCGAGAGGCTGCAGGGTTATTGAAAGCTACACTGTATCACGGTGAAGCTGACGCTGTGTGGCACACTGTGACTTGAGCAACAGATCTCGTCTTCCCTCGCGGTGAGCACACAGGTACGTTTATGCCGTGACACAGCAAATAGCTGACAGGTTACTCGACGATGGAGTGTTTCATGCCATGATCGACTTCACTTCTATGGCATCATCGATGCGGCACGCACGCTACGCGCCAGCCCTCTACACCAGTCGGTCAAATATTACCTTTTTGGCAATTGCTGCAGGGAGTTTGTGCAGTTGTTACTCCATGTTCGGCGTTCCTAGGCTTAAACTGCGCTTAGCGCTTAGCGCAACTCCGTTTGGTACCATTAGTCACTGTCTCCTACTGAATAGACGCCGACGTTTTCGGTAGTATATAGAGAATGACGATTTTCAGATTTGCTTGATGTTGCGAGGTTTAAAGTCTGCGGATGCCTCACTCGAGGTGGGCCTTCCCTCATCATCCTCATTCTCCATACACCAATTTTTCAACAAGCACACCAATTCTCCAGAGCTCCTTCAAACGTCAAGCGATTTCAACACAAAACAATCATTCAATAACATCCCCTCTTGAACCATTTCACTCTACCTCTTCGTTGTTACCTCTAGCGCTGCAGTAAAGCACCTCAAACACCCAATCCAAGACCAACCTGCAACCAACTAGAGTACCACATCACCAATTCAAAACATCCTAAATAAGTATATACCAACGGCTCTAGAAGTCAACATCACTTGAACTCGACCGTGAAACCATACAAACTACGTGTAATGACTCGACCCACCACCACTGCAGACCCATCGCAGCCGAGGGACGGCGGCCACACCGCTACCAGTCCGCCGCAAAGGGTTCGTTAGTACCATCCCATCCTCCACACCATTTACATGTCTGAGGAACCACCGCCAGCATAGACTCGCTCAACCGCAACAGAATGGGCAAACCCGGACATTGGTAAGTTCAAACGTTGGGCATAGTAACAAGGCGGTAAGTGTCCTGTTCAGAAGGGGGAGGGTAGAAGAATGCTGAGAGTTTTGGGACAGTCACCGGCGATGGCGAGGTGGCTCGATGAGGGGAGGAAGGATGGGCATTGGAATGGGGAAGCGAGGTGTTAGGATTCGAGTGGTTGTTTAGGTGGGTTTTTTGACACTGCTTCGACGTCAGTCTTGTTTCGTAATGTTGGCATTGATATTCGGAAAGCCGTGGACGGTATCCTATCCCTCTTTAGTTGGTACCATTCCTTGTTCTATATTATCGCTGTCGTCCAACTCCTTGTAAGGCGTGGGCGGGGTCCGAGACCCATTCAATCGGAAATAATATCTGTACTATGTTGTTGGCAGCTTTTGTGCTTTAGTAAAGCGTGGGGTTTACTGATCACCGTAAAGTTGGTATTTGGTGTTTGTCCTTGCGTTCTTGATTTCGGCGTCGCCGAATGTTGTTCCACCGGCAATATGGAACGCGGTCTTGTGGAATGGGGATTCGGGGTCACCGATGGAGGAGTTTTAACGATCTGATTTTATCGAGCTTTTGCATGTAGGTTACTTTGATCCGTGTTGGCGAATTGTGAGTCACAGGGCTTATTTGGCGCGTTGCTGCTCCACTGCATTCGCATAGGTAACCCTCGCGACCATGTCACATGTAATCCAGTTTCGCATGGGATGAACCGGGTTGATGTCTGAAGTATGCTGCCTATTCATACCACAGCAGTCAATTCCAATATATGGTTTGAATGTTGTGAATCAGCCACTCTGTCAATGCCAGAAGTGTTTAGAATACAGTGTGAAAAGCTGATTCACGGGTAAGCATAGCATGAAGCACTCTTATAGGCAAGAATCGCAAGGCATCACAGGACAGTCATTTGCACCCACGAGCAAGCGTATTCGAATTTGAGAACATGTGTAGCTTTTTGCTTCTTTTGTTTCGAAGCGACCACAAGAAAAGTCGTTCCAGTACGGTACCCTATCCGGGGAAAAGGAATTCTGGTGCTTTGCACTGTCTCTCCTGGATATCTCTTTGCCAAAGTCACGGGATAAGGGAATCCTGCTCGTCTTGTTTGGTTTCTTTCTATCATTTGTGATCCCACCCAACAAGGATAGTCTTTCTGTTAGCTTCTTTACGCTCTCCATCTCACTATCGTATCAGCATGTTCTGAGCTCGAACGCCATTGTGCGAGAATCCTCGGACGGTGACGGGGTTTTGTGCTGGTCATTGACTTCCTATCGTTCTCGGTTCGTTCCTCGCGGTCTCGCATCATCGAAGTAATTGTTCATGTGAACTGGTCCATGATATACCTTTCTTATCATGGTGCTCGTGAAGATGGGGGTAACCGCGGAATGTCCAGCACATACACGTCATTGAGACGACCATGATCACCGAGAGGGGCACAAATACGGTGCTGCACACACCAGCTAAATTGAGCGGTCCAGAGACTTCTAGGAGTTAGATTCAATGCTTCTAATATAGATATCACTTATCGGGTCGTGTAATTGCAGCCTTGTTTCAATCTGATCATGGCCTTGCAATCGTAGCATCATTATCAGCCTTTGTCCTGGATTACCGCCCTCACCTTTTCCGTTCTTTTGGGGTTTCTTGTCCGTCTGGCCTTTCGTACTGAGCTTTTATCTGACGCATGATCTGCTCCATGGATATTCCGTCCGGCTGCCGGCTTTAGAGGGGATCTTGACGTTCTTCGTCCGAATCCTGAGGCTACAGATAACCTTAATCTATCTGTTGTATCTTTTAGAAAGATTCATATCACTCAGATTAAGGGGCTAGGCTAGTGGTCAAGGTTCCCGAATGAATGTGCGAACAGCACCCTCTCCAGGTATGGTAGACAAAGGACTTGTCATGGGTGCGCGGACAGTGTTCACAGAAAGATTCACCCTTTTACGAAGCTTTGGACCAGGGACTATCTGTAATTTGAGTAGCATCTCTATATGGCCAAATGTTACTTACTACAAGATTGCCACCTAATATCCATTCGCCAGCGCTATGATTGCCAGATCAGATCCCGGATCCGCCTGTTGTCCGAAGTTCCGGCGCAGTCACGTCGAAAGCTATCTCCTTTCGCAACACGACCATCTCGAAGCTCGTCAAACAACCCCAAGTACCCGGGCCACAGGTATCTCTGCGAACCTCGTGATAACCTCTTTTACGCCAGTATACCCCGTTGATGCATTCGGCTGCCAAGATCCAGAGAGTAACACGCCCAGTCAACGACTTATATGCGAGTCCTAGTCCGTTTGTTGTCAAGAGCCAGTTCTTTTCTTCCTTGATAATGTACTGTTCTAAGGAAGTGTAGAGCTGCACAGCGAGGCCTCGATGTAGATATTTCGCATCACCATGTACCGCAACCGCCTTGATTTCCCACCCATCCTCAGCATCAGCCCCTTCTTTCTTCCAGCCACCTTTCCAAGAAACCGCGGCCGCGACCGCAACAACTCTCGTGTTATCAAATATAGCAGTCACAACACCTTCCTCGCCTAGCATTTCGAAATAGGAGTCATGAGTCGGAAACCGTTTCCGACGTGCCCCTTCCCACTTTTCTGGATCAGGAAGCTTTGATCGTGTAAATGCATCGTTTACCAAGTCTGTAATATCGTCGATAAGTGCTGGTTTGCGCTTGAGATCGGCAGGCTTGAAAAGCGTTGGTGGCGAAAAAGCTGGAGAAGCCATCGTTACGGCGATCTGTAGAAGACGTAAGCATACGACGAGGTGTCTCTTCGATCGTATATAGACTTCAAAGAGTCATGCTAGCAAGCCCTGGCGTTTTCGACTTTATTGTCTGTCACGTCATTACCTCAGCCCTTCAAGCGAATTGAATCGGGCCTAAGATTGTGTTGCCTGCCTTTTTAGGTATAGCTGACTCTTTGCATGATCGACGCCTTTGTAATCTGTACACCTTACCAAGTTTAGAAAGGTATCTTCCCTATTCGAATCATCGTGGTTCTGCGGTCTACCTTTCCAAAACAGGCGAGCTATATGGATTTCAGTATCACTAATTAAGTATCTATATCACGTCGTATCCTAGTTTGCTACATTCCTAGCATTGAATCAGGCCCAATGTCTCCCCATCGAGTGCCTTGATCATCTTACCAGCCGGAGACGGAAACGTCTTTCAACGCAAGCCTTCCTCTTCCTGCCTAATAATATCTCTGGCCCACTTACTTCGCTCTCTCAGCCAAATTCCTTTCCTCACAAGACGGTATCAAAACCAGCGCCATACACGCCAATATCAGTCCTGCATACTGAAACCCCTCATACACAAACATTTGCCTCGCAAAGAGTGGAAACCCTGCCCCCGCAGTGTTTCTCACCAGACCAATTCCTGAGAGAGCACTAGCTGAAAACATGCCATAGTAGTCTTTAGTATAGAGATACGTCATGAGAATTAGCGTATAGAATGGCTATAGAATGATCACCCCCACAGACCAGATGCGATGACGGGCCCAAGCCACGTGAAGTAGCGATAGGAGGTGAATGCGAAGATGAAGAGAGAGACGGGGAGGGTAATAGAGGCGACAAGACCTAACTGGACTCGTGCCTCGGAAATATTCTTGCCGTGCGAGTGAGCCGCGGCGGCGTACGGTGAGTTTGTCGGACAGTGACAGTGCGGGCTGAAATTTACGCGCAGCAATCGATGCATACCAGAAATTACCCAAGTAGGCATAATATCTGTCCTGGCAAAAAGGAAACGCAAAAATGGCCGCAATCGATGACTTTCAAGATTGCCAAATGGAGACACCTTCCCGATTAGGCATGTTGGATGCGGCGGCGGCGGCGGATGCGGAAGGAGACTCTCCGCAGCGATCCATGAGCTTCGACACTTGCCTAATCTGTTACTGTGAAAAAAGCAAAAAATGATGCGCATATTCAGGATGCTCGTTGTTGTGAGTATAATAAATTCTATCTGATGTTGATTACAATCATTACGTCTATCCCTGTGTTACAATAGTTCGCTAAAACGCTGCAAAGCAAACAAAAACGCTTCAGTTCCAAGATCAATCTCTCCACCAATGTCCAGGCTGCAGCCTATGTCGGCGCGTACCTGGACATCTTCCTGATCCTGGCTCCGTAGAAGAAGAACAAGATAGGCACCGGGAACATTGCCGCAGTAATGAACCCCAGCAGACTTGTCGCCCAATTCACACCAAGTGTGTGATACATAGCCGTAGCGAAAAGAGGGAAGCCTGCACCGAAGCCACTTCGTAGAAAGGTGTTGGCAGCGATCGCACTGTTGGCGTACATTAGATAGCAGTCGATGATGTAGTTCAGTCCCTGCAAGAATATCATGAGCACGCCCGCTCCGATGAAGATACCAGCGAGCACCTGCGGCACCCATGTTATATTTGGCGAGGAAGTCCAGGCGAACCAAAACATTCCTGCTGGAAACAAAAAGCCGCCGATGATCATGGGGATGAGACGTTCTTCGGGGACGACGACGCCGTTGTTCTCCTTGAACTTCTTTGTGAAACGCGTCTTGGTTGTGAAGATGATGATGCCTCCCCCGAGGATGACACCAACGGTGATGGAGAGGAAGGGTAGTGCGCCAACGCCAGAATTCCAGCCGCGCTGTTCTTGGAAGGCAATCGGGTACGCTTCAAAAAATAAATAAAGGATTCCATATATCACGGCCATATACAAAGTGACAAGGTCGAGGATTGGTTCCTTAAGTAGCATAGCAAAGGGTCGGAGAAGGTACTTCTCGGCAATGCTTTTGAGATCAACTTGTTGCTCATCGCGCTTTGCGTGAATGGCCCAGTTCTTCGTTGCGAAACGGATCTTCGTCGCACGGCGGGACAGTAAAACAGGTGCAAAGGTTTCAGGAACCGTGAAGAAGCCGATGGTACCGAAGAAGAAACCCATGATAGCAGTGATGTACTCAGTCCATCTCCACCCAAGGTGGCTGTTGACGATGAAGCCACCGACGATCGGACCTGCAACGGGGCCAATAAACGTAGCGCCGGCGAAGGTTACCATCGCGATGCCACGATCAAGAGGGCCCCAGAAATCCGTGAGCTGACCTCCGACGATACCAAGCGGAGCAGAACCGAACATGCCACCGAAGAAGCGACAAAGCATAATCGTCTGGAGGTTTTGTGCCACGGCCACTGGAATCTGGAAAATGGCGAAGACGAAGAAACCAAAGAACAGCGGGTATTTTCTACCATAGAGTTCAGATAGAGGACCCCAGATGGGCGGTCCAACAGCGAATCCGAGAACGAACAGCGAAGTTCCCAGGACCATGACCTCGTTCGATACATTGAAGTGTTGGGCGGTGGCTTGCGTCGCCGTGCTGAACACTGACGACGCAAAGGTGATGACGAATGTGACCATGCCCAGCATAGCGGTGATAAACCACTTGTAACCTCGACTCCAGTTATGAGGATTCTCAGGATCATCAGGACCATCCCATTCAATCAGGTTAGGATCCTTCTCCGGCTCGCCATGGTTGTCCTGCGTCTTCTGCCTTTCTACATCGTCCATCCCTTCATGTTGATGACCATCATGAGAGTACGGTCGCTCGGACAAGTGTGATCGCGTGCCATTTAACCGACTCGTATGGCGGCTGATAGGAGGTTCTGGCTCGGTCGCGATCGTGCTACTACTCGTAGAGCGTAGTCCGGCACCTGGAGATGAGTCTAGCTCTGACTGGTCATCGTCCAAGCTGAGCGTTTCGTATTTCTCCGACCCGCAGTCAGCCGGCGGTCCAGTCAAAGGTGCGGAATGTCTCGTATGAGTATGCACAGAGGGTGATAGCCCATCCGGGTAATATGTTGTGTTCTCATTTTCGGTTCTGGAGAATCCCTGGTCCATTTGTTCTCCGGCCATGCTTTCTCCTCAAAGCACGAATGTCAAAATGTGATCGTTACAAAGAAGATTGAGAACGTGACAAGTTCCATGCGCTTGGGTCTGGACCAAATAGTGACTTGTGTGTATTACTGGTGCCGTCGCTGTAGTAGTGTGCGGATTGTGGGCACCAAAACAAGGGTCTGGTGGGAGACGGGTATAGCGAACGTGGCCAAGCAGTGCTCGGGCTGCCAAATCTATATACAGCATACACAATCGCTTTGTCCGGTGTTGTACTATTATCTCCACACTCGCTGAAAAATCACGACCGTGAGGCAGTCGTCATGTTTCGTCGCGACCGCGCTTTTGCTCGGCCGAGGGACCCACATCCGAGCGTGCTTCCCCCATCTGTTCAAGAGCGCTGCGTATCTGGGATCGATACCCAATGAACGATTACAGACGACGAGCCGTTGCAATCTAAACAATCAGGAAGATTTCCAGAACAGTCGTTAGGGAATTGTTTTTGCCATTGTGGATCAAAGGCGTCAAGCGATGACGACAGTGGTCGGAGGACTTGTTGTTCGCCCTCCGAGCATCCGAGCGCGAGGGCAAATATCCTTTGTACCTTGCGGTGCACCGATTACCCATAGGGCTGAAACACTGTTGACATGCAGTCATCGGATTACTCGGATAAATCCATACTCGATGAGCTGCGAAGTGCCACGATAATACAGCGTTGTTTTCTAAAGCTGACGAACATCATGCTCAGGTAGAGTACGCTGGATGGACGGCGTTCGCACCAGGTCACTGTAGCAATCGAAATTTCTCAATGTCGGGAATCGTGACTTTGGATGTCTTTGGCGTTGTGTGTACAATCGTAAGTCTGCACATAGCTTGGTGTGGGTACGAAAGTCGTTTCCATATGATATCGTAGGTAGTGCACAGATTCTCGACTTGAGGTCCTGCATACGCTGCATGTATTTCTCAGGATTGGACCTGTGTCGATCGTATGTGGCCACCCCAGGGAAAGTGCAGGGAGGTTTGTTGAAGTCGTTGTGCGGTTACCAGAGGCAGGAACATCTTCATTAGACGCGCAGGGACATCCGTCTGGGTCGCTTGACGCTTCACCCATTAGTGACATAGGTGCTCTCGGCACTACCTGGGAGTTTTCTGAGTCACGTGTAGTTGGCATGCCCCAGAGCCCCGTACAACGGCTTGGTTATGTATAAGCAGTCGCATTTTGGAAGCGGCTTTCTGTTCCTAAATAGAGTGGAGTATGTTTCTTCTGTTCGGTGTAGTTCCGGCAGGCGCTATCGTGGAGTACCTATATCGGGAAAGCTCTCGCTCTCCACGTCGCGGAATACGGAAAGAAAAAGCCTGCTTCGCCATTCTGGTGCTCACACGTGGACGAAAGCGTAAAGGTGGTGCGGTGCTACTTGCCCACCAAATCTTGGTACCTGGTCTGATTAATCGCTGTGGGGAACACTGTGACTCGTTATGCCGCTAAGCCTGAATACGATTGCTAACCTCGAACTAGATCCTTAGTTGAAGCTGATGCTCGAGGATGAGGCGGATGCCGTAAATGCAAATGTAGTGAAAACCAAACTGTTGGTGTTGCATACCAATGGACCCCACTTGGGCACGGTCTACCGGATATTCGGCGATGTGAAGTCTTCTGGAAAAGCACCTGCATACCCACACACCCGCATTTATCGTGGCGACACTAAAGACGTAGGAGAATGGACGGCTGTTTCGAGATTTTCTGATGCACTTGGAGTTGCACTCGCATGTGAGCGAGTCGGAATTCTTTTGCTATCGGAAGAAGCGTACGCATTTTCTTACGGATGTATCCACGGTAAGCTGCCTTGGACTTGACCTAACGTTGACAGTTCAGGTGTGTTGCAGCAGGGTACCCCAACATGATCCTCGTCAAGATGTCCTTACCTACGCAACATAGCCGAGCACCTAGTCGCTCAGTTGAGAACTTAGCCGTTCGAACGAGGATCTTTCCGCTCAGATAGGAGACTCTGATGACGACAGATCAGCTGGAAACCTGCTCAGGGAAATCGAGGCTGGTAGTGCGAGTCGCAACTGCAGCGTCCTAATGGCGAGCACTCCTCTAGTTCAGGGTCTGCAGAGTGCCGATGGGGCTGGCCTCGGCCCTCCATCAGTCCGCAAAACGACGCTTGACTTTCCAGAAAGGCGGCGGTAGACGCGTGCACGGTTCCGTGGTGTTGTGTTGAGGCTTGAGGTAGTCGCAGCGCTAAAAAGCCTAGCTCGGCTCGCGGGCGTCTTGGAAGGCGATAAAAATCATGTCGTCGACAATGTGAACACCCAAGGTAATCCAGAGTCGAGTAGGATTCTAATCTACGTGGGTAAGACATGCATGTTAAAAGTCCTGACGCGTATGTTTGTGTCCGGCCGTCGGAACTTTGTTTGGACGCCAACCATGTCGCACTCCCGCGACATGGCGCCACTCAAGGGCCCTTTTCTCAGCCTGCTGGTATCCGCTAACAGACCGGGTCCAGAGCGATCAACGACAAAAAAGATTCGATTCAGGTACCACACACATAGCGAGAAAGGTTGGCCAATGGGATGATTAGCCGCACTTGTGGCTCCAGCAGCGACTCAGGCATTACTGAAAGGAACATGCCGTATGCATTGACCCATAATGGATGTGCGGGTAGGGTGACGGTGCTATTGGCTTCGGCATTCTTGTCAAGCCCTGTGAACGACGAGTTGGCATTGTTATCAGAAATATATGCCCCTGACCGGCCCATTGAGTATTCCCATCTCGTGGTGTTGATTTTGCATTCCCTCATCGATGCATTTGTGCAAAGGGGTTTGGTGATGGCGCAATCAGTCACCTCTGAAGGTCGTGGTTCTATGACCGACCGTGTCGGCTTCGCTGTGTATGCTATAGTTGTCTTCTTCGTAGCTCTGCGGTAAGTGCGGACATTCGATATCTCGTCAGTTGCGCTGACCGATCGACAGCTTCGTCACTCGCGGATGGCTGGTCAGGAAGTTTGGTTGGGACGATTTGCTCATCGGCCTTGCCTTAGTACGTTCGCGGTTCTAAAAGTCAATAGTGATTCTGAAGCTGAAAGTCACAGCTGGTCGGTGCCGGTGAAATGGTAGCGCTGCAGCTCCAGGTCAAGCATGCAAATGGGCAACACTCCGACAAGATGGCTAATGATGACCTTAAGAAAATGTTGATGGTAAGCTGAACATGACCGAACCTAACGCCTGACGCTGACAGACGAACAGTATAAATACGTTAACATGCTTCTGTACTACCTGGCGAATGGGTCGGTCGCTCCTCGTCTTACCAACAGACTTTAGCTAATGTAGTCGATGTAGAGCTGTAAAATTGAGCATACTCGCACTGTATCATCGTATTTGCTCGTTGCAAAAAGGGCTTCCCTGGTTTCTGCGAGGGACGGTAGTTTGGACCTTGGCGGCGGTCATCATAGCGCTTACCCTCTCCACCTTCTTCGTAAGAGCTCGATGAGTGCCGCAGTCGCACTAGATTACTAAAGTCATACAGGTGGAAATGTTCAGCTGCGTGCCTATGTCGGCCATCTTCGACATCGACAATCCTACGCGGAGGTGCATAGCATGGGTGCCGTTCTACCTTACGCAATCTGCAGTCGACGTTGTCATCAACTTGGTCTTGGTGTTGTTTCCCTTGCCCCTGCTGGGTATATTGAAAATTGACAAGAAGCAACGCTGTATGTGACGATGAGTATTGATAGTCTACTTCGCTGACTCCCGTAGATGCACTTGTTATCATCTTCTCCATCGGGCTTTTACCTCTTGTAGCATCCATCATTCGGATGTGCCAAATCGCGATCGCAGTCCGCACAAAGGCCTCAACGAGACCTACTGGAGATGCAAGCTGGGAAGGTCGTTGGATTCCACTCTGGTCACAGATCGAGGTCGATGTAGGCATCGTCGCCGCCTCCCTCCCAAGCCTTAGTCCACTCTTGAAGCAGATATGGTCCGGTCTCGCACACTCACGAACGATGTCTCCGTCACACATCCCCACGCTCATCGAGTCGGGCTTCAACAATGGAGGCGGGGAGACGCAAGGACTCCAGAAGCTTCCTAGCACCATATCCACGCTCCCAAATGAGTCTGTTTCCACTCTTGGTATGTTCCCGAACAAATCAGTCTCGACTCTCGGCGAGCAGGATAACGCAAAACGTTTGACGTTCTTTGATGATTCGGAGGAAGGAGAGCTCGATGGCGAGGCGTTCCCGGACCCGTACGGCGCGACGAAGATTGGAGTGGCGAGGACGCTAAACACGAGGCTATCGAGGGCAACATTCGTGGATCTGCCTGTCTCGCCCCGACGGAGCAATGGCTTTACTGGTCTCTCGCTTCCGAACGCTGCTGTTTGATAAGCTGTGACGCCGGGAGTTCAACCCTTTACCTTAAAGCGCCTCAGCGACCCGCAACATGCTCCGCTAGTCACGCAGCTCATCGTGTTCCAAGTTCCCCGCTTGCATCCTTGTCCACAAGATCGTTTGGTACATACGGGCGATGCGATGCTGGTCGAGATGTTTCGGTTGCCTGCAGCTGTGCCGTGCGTAGCTCGAGCTATGAAGTCCAACCACTGGTTGACATTGCGAATGAGCGCTGTTGTCACTGTCTGAACGAGGGAATAACTTTGCCTGGCCGCGACACGGTAATGGCACTTCGCTATGTCTTCCGTGCCTGCGAGAGGCATTTGGGGCAGCGGACGCCTTTTTGTTGCTGTCACCACGACTTTGTGTTTTCCGGAGTCTCCGATGTAACGACCATGTTGTGTCCCAGCTCAATGGTTGCACCGTCCTTCGTTGTGGCTAAAGCCTGGAGGTGCGGCGCCGTCGTCTACACAAGCGACCGTAGCAGGGGAACGCGGCAGGGCTTCATGCAGCTGCCCGTTCAATTCGAGAGATTCTTTCGTATGGAACCCATGTTGGGAGGATTGTAAGAGTAGACAGGTAGCGAAATCAGCAGGAAAGCAAGTTGTTGAGAAACTGGCGCCAGTGGTTAGTCTAGCATAGGCCCGCATTTCGCGTTGCGGGGAATGGAATATCATCATGCCGCTGTGACGCGATTAAAAAGCAATTATCATGCGAAGCCTTGCCAACATGAAAGCCGCCATACACTGATCTACATTCCAAAGTGGTATCCCTTGATGATGGACAGGTGATGGCTTTGAAATGGTTGAGTTCAGATCTGTCGATGTTGTTGATCGCCCCGGAGCCCGCTTGTTTGATGAATGTGGCGTGAGCCCTAAGTACGGGTATTGATGGCCACGGTTCGCCCAGTATTCATAGCTTCCGCCAGCCAACGTCCTTCTCACGTCACCAGCTGGGATGCTCAACGACACATCTTGGGGCGGGGACGGCCTGCTCTTGAAGCTTGCAAGATGATGTTCGTACCTCTAGCCCCCGGCGGCAGAGTTGACGCTGCACGAGCCATTGATGCCTTCAAAACGCCTGCCTCGAGAGCCTCGAAGTGAAAGCGTCAAGAGATAGTTACTGCGAACTTGCACCGTAGGCTTTGTTCGAGGGCTCCTAGAGAATCAGAAGGGGCGTTGATATACTGCCTCTCTTCGTTCCTAGGGCTTCGCACAGGCCTCCAGCATTGCCCGGGCAGTCACACGCCCTAAACGGTCCACTCGAGAAGGCAGTCGCAACCACACACCTGCCCTCTCTCCCGCAAGACAAAACTCCGTCCACAACGGTACGTTTACTCCTTCTCTTCTTCATCCGCACACTCTCTTTTCCTCACACCTATCTTCCACACCTTTCCCATTGATGGAGTTTCCCGAGCGGAGCACGTCCAAGATGTCCTCCGGGAGCAGGCTGCCCGGCAGCGGCAACCCTCATACCTTATCCTCAACATCGACCGACGATATTGTTCTTCAACAACGGTCTGCCGCCGTACACGACGCGTCAGCCTCGTCGGAGCAGCCAGCTGAACCTTCAGACAGCCACCCGCGTCCATCTTCAGCCTCGAGTGTCTCCCTTCCCTCCATTTTTCCTTCCGCTAGCGTGAACGGTGACGTTGAGTACACTGGCCGCGCTACAATATCCATTCATCTTCTGGATGCCTGCCCTCCGGTGCTCGTCTGGACCTCATTGAACGCCTGGCAAGCTCCGTTCGAAATGGCTGCCGGTGGCACCGACCCCGCAGGTCGACAGATCTATACCTGCCAACTCGATCATGTCCCTGAGAAACCCTACCAGTACAAGGTATGGGTCGACGACAAGTGGGTCTTAGATGACAATATGCCCATTGGTGAGTCCTCTACCCCAAGCCTTACGATGATCCCCGGCTGTGAGCCAGGAGCCGGCAATGCTGCTGGCGCAATTGGCATAGTCCGTACAGCCGGTCACAGGGCCTTCGGAATTGCAGCAAGCTGACGCACGTATAGCGCAAGACCAGTCCGGCAATGTCAACAACGTCGGATATGCTGAGCATGTCTCCCAAGAACCTGTTACGGATCCAGCTAGGGGCCACAACGATTTACAGAGGGCCGAGAACCAAAATATCCTTTCGCCTCCTGTCAACCTCTCGCCTCGCCAGAGTGGGCACGCACAGACAGGTTGGCTTTACAGTGCCCAAAGGTTGAGACGTTGCTGACAGACTCTTAGGAATAACATCGACTACCAGGGAAGCCCGAGCGGGGCGAGAGCGTTGCGAAGAACGCCAACATCATGTCGAGCCTGGCACCGACGCGGAGCAGCAGGCGCCATTGCTCCGCCATGAGAGTTTCCAAGACGAGTCAAAGAGGTACGCAGTGCCGTGCTGAACAATGTACTGTCTCTAACGTGTCTTCGATCCAGAGCTCGGAATGAAGACAACCTTAGACGCGGCTTACGTCCGCAGTCACCGCCTATGTCCACGATCGAGGAAGAGCCGGCCACAAGCTCGGATAACGGAGGTTCAGATTCGCAGCCAGAGACGCCCTCAACCATTGAACAAGCAAGGGAGTACCAACGTGCTCTGATTGAAGCCATGCCTACCAGCATTGCTGATGGCTTTACCCGAGCATCTGTTCTCCTTCCAGTGCGAACGCCTAATGAGGCTAGTGATTTCGCTAATGCCCCGCTTATGCGACATGAGACGATCAACGGGCCGACAAATATGGGCGGTGAGCATCGATCAGATGAACAAGACGAGCTATCGCAGGCACCCCTCATGCGCCACGAGACCGGCCTCGAACACGTCGATGGTATCCAGAGCCACGACACAGATGAGCTCGAGCAAGCTCCTCTTATGCGGATTTCGTCTTCAGCAGATGACGGGCCTGGCGAATTTGATCAGGCTCCTCTGATGGGGCACGAACGTACTGCTGTATCTCCGGGAAACGAGTCTTCTGATGAGTTTGATCAGGGTCCACTGATGCGATTCGAGACCAACCTTGAGTATGACGCTGCACCTGCCGAGACCCCAGGTCCTCGCTTGTCATATGGGACAACACTTGTCGATGAAGATGATGACGATACCGTTGACGGTGCCGACGATGAATTCGGAAATGTTCCTTTGATGCGATTTGAGACTGGGCCTGGCCGTTTCCACGGTTCGGAGCCGAGTACTCGGAGCAGCACCTACTCGGAACGTATGATGTTCCCCATGGATAACTCCAATCCTCCCACCCTTGCAACTCCCAACAGGTCTTCTTCCGTCTATAGCAATGACAGAAACGAGCTGGATAGAGCTCCAACACTTCCACATGAGGCCTCAGGATGGATCAGTGACGAGAGTTACTTTGACCATTGGATCGACCCCCGTGCGGACCCTGACTACAACCAGGGAGTAACGTACTATCAAGTCGAAGACTCAAGCGATGAAGACGGTGTGGGTGAGCTCGATCGGGCACCGACAATGTCCCATGAGGCGGCCGATGATCACTCTTCCAGCAGTTCCGAGCTAGATGAGCTTGACACCTCTCCGACATTACCGCATGAGGTCGGGAATTCCAGCGAGAGTAATGTATTGACTGGATCAGACGGCGCTTGCTCGGAGTGGCGTCCCACAGTAATCACCAACATGGACACTCGGCACATTACCGGTGCTGGGGATGCCTTAGGTTCGACAGACAGGACCAATTCCTTTTCAAGCGAGCGTCTGCGAGAAGCGTTCAAAACTAGAATTTTTGGATCTACTCGCCGACCAATGCTTTCGCGAGACGCCTTTGGTGAGAATGATATCGACTTCGGAGGTGCGCCGTTACTTCCACATGAGCGAACAGACCTACTGCCCGATGGGCCAAACTGTGACGATCCGAGCAGCAAGGGCGGCGGCCGGAGGCAGCGTACCGACGACATTCCTGGGTTTCCACCGTTTGCGAGGCGTGCAACGTCCAGCATCTTTCGCTCTGAGCGGAGCAACTTACCGCATCGGATGCCACGCTCTGACGAAGATGACTTGGACCTTCGCGATACTTCACTCGAGATTTTCCCCATGGATCGCGAAGAGGTCATTAGTCGCGTACGCGATATAGGCAATCGTCTCCCAGAAGACTTGGTTCCATCTCCGATTGGCGAAGTCAGTTCTCCCGCCATCGTGTCGCATTCGGGCTCGTCTGTGAACCTCGCTCCCATCCGGACTTCTTCCACGATGTCCTTAAGATCGATTCGCGAGGACGCGTCGGAGGATGGAGACCAACAAATCCAGTTGGCTTCACCAGTGCTCATGCTGGCGTCCCGTGTGCCTAAGCTCCCGTCGCCATCATCACCAATTCTGATTCCAAAGGGCGAAGACCTGCTCACGCCCATGCCGCGAGATCCGCGAGCTGAGTACTCTGAGAACGGAGGTCGTACTGCCATCCCAAGGAGAGATGCCCATGCCACTGCACCGGCTGGTCGTCGCCGTGATTCCATAAAGAAGGACACCGGTGTCATGCATGACGGGGACGACGGTATAGATGACACCATCTCCAAGCGATACGGCAAAGTCTTCAGTACTGTGGCCTTACCTCCGGAGCCGCCCAAACCATCGGCAATCTCGTTTCTCCAACCTGAGGAGACGAATGAGCATGCGGATGCAAGGGAGCGATTCCCGACACCCTATCCCCAAGAAGACTCTAGCGATGACAAGGGAAACAAGGGCAGCAACATCGCTCAAAAGATCTGCGCCCATTTCCGCGCGTGCTTCCCATCGCGCAACGCGAGGTAATCAGCAACATTTATTATCATCCAATTCATGTATAGCGAAACACAACATGTAACTCACATCGAAACAGCATCTTATCGTTCGGTATCTTAGTCGCTGGAGCGGCTTGGTTGTGGAAGAGATGGGCCTGAGGATATCTGACGTTTCGTTCGGACAGCCACGTACGGGTATTCGAACAAATTCGAAAGTGCTGTGGAGAGCACTACCGGAGGATAGCACGTTTCGCACCTGCATACATGAGTAAGAAATCGGCATAGATACCCCTGCATGGAATACCAAGATACGCTTACATTATACTGCATTTCTCATGCATGTGTGTAGATTCTTGACAACGCGTTGGCTGTGCAGTGGTGTGGCGGTTCGTACGTCTAGCAAGCTGCTTGCCTCCGTGAATGTCTTTGTCATTGCTCTCGACTGATCCGTCCTCCTCCATGCTCTTCCCTCCGTTTCCGCGAGTAAGCCATGGTCTTACCCAATGTCCGAAGACGGAACTGCCGTGTTGAATGGCAGTATCCTGTATTTCCAAGTAAAAGCCCTGGTAAGCAATAGGCCTGGGCTACCGGTAGTGTCTGGTCTCCCGCATAGGTGGCTCTAATGACGATCGGATCGAAAGAGAGGGTTAGAGACTGGCATAGGTACCTTCATGAGTGCTCCAGTGCAAGCTCGAGCTCACTTCTGGTACCATATCAGGTTCTGGATGACCGCCTCGATATAGGTCTGCAATGGTCGACAAGAATGCAAGAACAGGTATGGCTCGCAGATGGGGTGCCGCCGCCGATGCGCCGCGGGCATCGACAGTATGGAAGACTTTGCCATAACGCTTGGACTCGGTGTCGCCTGGGCCTTCATCTTCTTCGTGTTCGATGTCCAACCCCCGCCATTTAGTACGCCCGGTATCCCTGCTCAAGGCCAAGGTGTTTGTGTATGCGGATTGCCGTTTGCTATTGCAGCTGCTTGCTCGTATCGACTCGATCTGGACCAAGGCTAGTGGCACCACCGTTACCTTCCTGTCCCACTGCGGTCTCACGTCAGCTCCGAGAGCCGCCACATCCTGCTGTCTGTCATCGTTCAGCCGTCGCACTGTGCGTTGTCCTATCTCTCCACGCCATACTTGCGAACCTTGTAAGGCCATTGCAGCAGGGCAAACAGCCGCATGCCTACGCTCTTGGGGAGTTGTTCGATTAGATCGGGCTGTGAGCACGTCGACTGTGTGTTCGAGGCCGTACGCTTTGCGAAGTAACGGAGACGTCGACTCGCTCGATGGCACCTTCCAGCTGCGGGGAAGCGGTGTGAACGGACGCTGGGAATAGGTTTCCCACTTGAGGCTACCGCGGCATGAATTCGAGCGCTTCGAGAAAGGGCGATGACTATGGTCAGGGATATTGTAGGCTTTCGCAATCTGAACGAGGACGTCTCGTTGCCTGGTATCGTCTCCTAGCTGCGGCATTGGTGTGAGCTCAGCTTAGCCACACTCCAACAGCAGCAGCAAATGCAGGAGATGCTCACAAAAAGGAAGAATAGATCCAAACAGGCCGCTACGAGCAGTTGTGGTGGCACTCTCGAAGGTGTTGCCCGTCGGTGGCGTGCGTAGGCTGTGTTCTGGTGAGAGCCACCCTGCGGCCTGGGGGCTACATTTGCGGCGGTGCTTGGATAGTCCGGCAATCGGGAAGATTTCTCGATGGTTCTGCATCTTAGCCCGTGATTGCGTTGCGAGCAAGCACCTCGGAGGGTCAGCGTGGTATGTTGTGGTGTCGAGAAAGAATTGGAACCGCCGTGCGGCCGAGCTACGCGCGAGGCTCGAGTCTACGCAGCTAATGCCGGCAGTACTTGATCCTCGAGAAGCTTTGATGGCCCTAAGGCTTGCACGCTCCGTTGCATCGCTTCATCTCGGCAATTCAGAGAGTGTGGCTGCTGCCGTGCTGCCATGCTAAGGTAGTTCTCGTGCTTAGAGACGGAGGTTCACGCCAGTCATGCTGAGGATGAAGGGCGTCGCGACGTATTCGTCCTACGGAAGTCACGCAACGGAGGCAAGGGCCCTTCACACCTTTACAACGGGCTCTCACCAGGTCTTTTGGTTGTCTTCTCACAGATTACCTCCCTCTCCACATTCTTGTGGGCCATCTTGATGGCATCATCTATGGCATAGCATGCCCCTAGTTCCAATTGCTCGCCAATCTCGCAGGTAAACACGCCGTATGAATTGACCAAAAATTGCTAAGGCTACAGGGACACCGATGTCCATGCTCCTGCATTCAATCTCACAGTCTACTCTATTCTAATGAGCTTCGCCACTCTCCGCCGCACTCCAGGGTATCTTCGGCATTGGTACTCCTGCGCCTTCACTAGTACTTTTTTAGATCCTTGCTGTCGAAAAACCAACAGTACAACGCTCCATGCCTACAAGACTCCGTTTACCGTCAGCCCCCAACCCTTCACTTTCTCCGAATAGAACTAGATGACTGCGAGACAAACGACGGACGTGGCAAACAAGAAGAGTGGGAATAGGAAAAGAGCTGCTAAGAAGCGGACGAAGAGGACCGGTCGCGCACCAGCTCGCCAGGCTGACGCTGTGAGCCTGGCATAGGTTCAGCACAATTAAGCTGTCAGGTTCCAGAACTTACAGTGTGTGGAAAGCAGATTGAGAGATTCTGGGCTTTCCATTAATGTAAGTCGAGGCTTGTGTGTCAAACTCAGTCACATTGAGCATGTCGCACGATTCTCAAAATTCTGAAATTCATTCGATCTTTCTTTCAGAAGCGTGCATTGAGTACTCTTAGAGATCTCCCAAATTCATAACGGGAGTTGATGCGGAACACTAGAAACCTCATCCGCAATTTCTTCTGCGTGTCTGTCGCGTACTGAAAGGCAACTGGGCCCGCAATTCGACCATACAAGTACCTCATCTTATCGCATCGAAACGTGAGACCACACTGACTATTCAAACACGAGCTCAAAGTCCGTCAGCGCCTTCTCACCACCCAAATCCAACAGCGCTGCCCTTGCCTCCGGAATCATCTCCTTCATCAGACGCTCCACCGTGACCCGCTCCACCGGATCGAACTCTAGGCACTCCATCATCCAGTAGTTAAGCCGGTCGCTATACTTTGGTTTGTACATATGCTTATCCAAAGACATTACCTCCGCCTTCGTAATACGACTCACTTCACCCAGATTGATCGGCGACACGATACGCGGACCCAACGCCAAATACCAATTGTGGCTCGATGAGTACTTGTTACGATACTTCTGCACTTCATGCATGTCCTCCTCGTCCAGGTCATCCACCCAATTGGGGCGCATTGGCTCAACCAGGTATTCGCCGAAGGCAAGGTAATGGATGAGTGCGCCCACTGCCCAGATATCAGCATAGGTGGTATTGATATAAGGGCTCTCGGGCGGTTGCCAGATGTATGTGCCTGAGAAGCCTGGTCCACGGCGATCTTCTCGTCCGTAGGCTACCCTGGAGAGGCCGAAGTCGTGGAGCTTGAAGCTGGGGTACGCGCTGCCATTATCTGCAACCAGGATGTTCTGGGGCTTGATGTCGCGATGGATAAGAGTTCCAGGATGCTTTTGTGTCGAACCTGTTTGGTTATGGACCACGGCGAGAGCTTGCGTCATGTGAACTAGACACCGCCATAAGTGGGCTTCTGGGACGGTTTTGGCTGGGTGCTTGTTTCCGAACTTCTCGCCGCGCCATTTGGACATATCACCCAGTTCGTACTCTTTGAAAATTAAATTGTACGTGTGACAGTCGTTTCCATTAACCCCTTTGTATGAGGCTTGGATTGGCTTGACAATGCGGTTGCAGTCGGGCACGCGATGGAGACACAGGACCTCCCAAGGTGGGTTTCGGCCCGTAGTGCCATCCTCAGCATCTTCGATCTTTTTGACGATGGATTTGAAAGATGTCTTCTCCCAGACGTTGTAATCCACTGGAACCATCCTCATAACACCCTTCTTGTAGACTTTGGACACGGCCCATTCATCCTCCTTCCAAACGAAGTCCGTGTCGTTCTGGATGCCGTTACTGAAATAATTTGGAAAGTCGTTCATGACGGTGTACAGCAGGTTTTAGCTACGCTGATGAGTCGAGCTGGTTGGTTTCGCTGTGTGCTGGTTGAGGGAGGTTATAACGCTCACCTGTTATAGGGGAGTATGTTGTGGCGTCCAAGTCACACGATACATTATCCACGCACCGGGCCTTTCACTTCTGCTTCTATTTGGGTCATTTCAGCTGATAAGGGCGTGCGTAGATAATCAGAGGAAACCGTTTGGTGAAAAGTTGAAGCTCTGGTGTAGTTCAACGGCCAAAGCGTAGAGACAGTGTTCACCTTCAGGAAAGACAAAGACTCATTAATTTCCAAAGGGTATGTATATAGGCGCGATCTCCTTGCGAATGACTATTGCCGTCTTGTTCAAGAACAGAGTGCAGTTGCCATGGTCGAAACTTGTATCTAAGTAATGTCACAATGTCAAGCCGACGAAAAGCGAAGTCGCAGCAGCATCCTTTGAGTGCGTGTTCCTCGACGGGATACTCACCTCAAGTCGTGTAGCTCATATGGTGGCGTAAAGACATACGACTTTTGGGGTATAGGAACGGTGCTCATCGAGTAGAGTGCGGAGTGAACGGAGGGGATATCAGAAGTGTTTCTTCCTTCTATTATGAAAATCCGGTTGATCCTCCCTATATGCAAAGCTGATCGAAATCTCTCCTCGAATACGCAATCTCAGCAAGTTTCGTAAGCCGGACACTCACAACAACCTAAGCTATTATTCATGGCTTTGACGACATTCGCAGCAGTTAGCCTTGCAGTGCGTTCTTGCTCAAGCATTGGCGCAATTTTATTGGCAAAGAAAGCGTGGTCTTTGAACCAGTAAGGTAGGACCGCAAGTCTCTGGCTATACGGCATCTGGATACCCAGATAGGTGTCTGCATTTGCAAGCCCCATCAAGCCCGCTTCGTCATCAGAGGGGTTCCAAAGGAAGTTGTGGGAGTCCAATACTTTTCTTTGCGTGAGATAGTGTGCATCTCACAGAACACACATCCGAGGGCAAAGATATCCGAACCGCGTCCATGTCGTAAAAGGATGCTACCGTCCACAGTAGTGTTCACTATTTCTGGTGCCGCGTACATCCAGGAGCTTCGGCTCGGGGTGTCCGTGGAGGTAGTATGTCCAGGGTTGAATGTTCCCGCAGAACTAAAATCTGTGAAGTACACGTTGGGGCCCTTATGGATTATGTTTGAAGGCTTGATGACCTGGTGACGAACTCCATGCTCGTGCATATACGTAAGTGCGGAAGACAAGCACACAAACCACTGCTTGAGCCGATATCCATGCATTGTTGGTAGCGTAGATTCTCTGGCAAGCTCGAGAAAGCATTTCAGATCTGCTTCACCCACAGGGCCCATTAGCAGGCAGAGGTAAGATCGATGGAGCTGTCTCGCATCTTCGTATATGCCCAGTAATGAGACGATGTGGGGGTGCGACATTGTTTTGATAGTTGCTTCCTTCAGCACAATGTCCAATCGAGGTTTCCGCTTGTGACGTGGTAGTTGTATGCGTTTTCGTACGATTAATAAGAGATCGAAGCCTTTATACCTGACTTCCTCTACGAATCCGAGAAATCCGTAGCCGAGTACGCTTATGCCCTCTACCGGATCTTCATCGTTCTTCTCGATGATGAAGTAGTCGTTGTCTAAGCCAGTTGTTGTTACCTGGGATGCCATGAGGCGAAGGTCGAGATGAGATGTAAAGCACGAGGCTTCATGGGCCGGACGGTGTATGCTTCCAATTCTTTCAGTGAAATCAAGGTTCACAAAATGGCTGCCTCGTGCAGTAAATCCTGATCGTTTGTGGTAAGCGTGAAATGCGCCGCACGTTAGCATCCTTGTACGCCAACACACCAACGCCTCATTTTGTGATGCACGAGTATCGAATACTCAACGTTTCCGCACTTCAACAAGCGACAATGGATCGTCTGGCAGAGTGCTGTATACAACAGTAACCACTCGCTTGATTAATGGAAGGGGCCCGACGCATCTGGTAAAAGCTACATACCCTCTGTGTTGTCAGCACTCCCGCGCTATCGTTTCTTCAGATGAAGATCTTAGTCTTACTAACTCGAATAGTTCCCATTTCCGAAGAGACGCTCTGCAGCTCGAAGCCACAGGCTGTGTCACTTTTGAGCCATGGCTCTGATACAGCGAATGCACTCGTGCAAGCCCATCAATACGAGCCGCTCGTAGGTCCAACTTCATATCTCATTACCTCATTACGCTAAGTATCCAAAGATGCTCCAGTTCCTATCCTCCCTCATGGACAAGACTACTTTCTTAACTTTCAAAATACTAACGACCTTAGAACCTCCCTCCCTCTCCCCACTGCCCCCACGACCCTTCCATAACCCCAGGAAATAGCCCCTTCGCCCCCGCATACACACCCCAGCACCAATCTCCGTTGATATCCTCCGCTTCGGTGATCTCCGCAAACTTCGGAAACGCCAGCTCATCCGTCACACCCTCAGCAGGGAAGTAACTCCAGCGTGCCTGTATCCTGAGACCGACGCCGCCATCGGGCGGGAAGCGTTGTGTCGATGGCGTTGTCTTTGGCGCATTGGGAGAGCGGAATTGCTGCCGTGAGCCATCGGTGTCACGCCAAGTCCACTTCTCTGCGGCGGTAGGTGAAGGCGGGGAAGTGGTGGTGGATTCGGCTTGCTCGTCGCGTAGGGAGAAGCCTCCAACGAGATCGCGGACAACAACACGGCGTTGCCCGCCGTCGCGATCTTCGAACCCGATCACGATCATGCGGTGGTTGCGTAGGCAGCGGCGCCAACCGTACATACCGTCTTCTTTGCTGATGCGGCCTGAGAGGACGAGCTTTTGGTAGCAGCTGGAGCAGACGTCATAATCCCCTGCATTGCACTTCAGACAGTGGTACCGCGTGTGCGAAGGAGGAATCGGGTACGTGCAGATGTTGCAGAGCGTTGTGAATGTGAGGGGGCGGTAGGTGGAGTTTGCGAGGGTGACGTGGCCGGGGCCGCTGATGAGGGATGCGGCTCGCGGCGTGAGGGGTGGTGTGGCTGGTGGTGATGGGTCCAACGGGTAAGGAGGCGCGAGGTGGTTCGACCGAGGAGTAGAAGGCGGCTCAGTACTGGCCACCGCGGGGGTTGGTCGTGAAGATGCACGCTCTCTTCCTACATGAGAGATTGGAAGGAGTGCATGCGTGCAGTGTCGGCCTGAGTTCACGCAGTCATTGCAATACCCCCATGCGCCTTCATTGCAGTAATCGCATTTCCAGTAGCATCCATCCGCCCACTGCGCACATATGTCGCAGAAGACTCCACCTTCAAGTCTCTGTGAGGGGTCATCCTCACTTTGTAGGACGTGGGGTGCCGTTGCAGTTTCGGTAAGCGGCATTTGTGGTCTCCGAAATCGATGTCCACGCATTATGTGAGGATATTCGTGATTCGGAGGATATCCACCGGGCGGTGCTTTTTGTTGGTATGCTGGCCACGCCGCCCACCCGAATCCATACCAATGCTTACAGCCTTTCCCACGACGATAGCAAGCTTGACATAGATTGTATGCCCCTTCATCGCAACGCGAGCAGTTGTAGTGCAAGTCATACTCGATGTGATCCTTTCCACAGCCACGACACGAAACATGGGGTTCTGGGTATAAAGTCGGTGTTGCTACGGGAGCGGCAATCGGCGTGTCATGTGAGCGTGATGAACCAATCGTAGGGTCAGTCGTGGAGCGAGGAAATGTAGGTGGCGATGCCGTTGGAGGTGTACCACTAATAGGGATGCGAGGCTGTCTGGCGCCCGCTGGATCTGTAGTCCGGCGTGAAGAGGCTGGTGCTTGTTCAGTTGCTGGAGGGACAGATGAAACCGGACTTGTCAAGGGAGATACCACAACAGGCGTAGCACTTGTCGGACTTTCAGTAGTGGTGACAAAGTTGAAAGCAGACCTTCGCGGCGAACTGGGATTCGAAGAAGATTGTGCCTGAACGCTACTCCGAAACTGCTCACGGCCTTCTAGAGCACCCCTCTGTTCGTTGTCTGACTGACGCCTACGGCCGGCGCTATTGCCCGGTGCTGAGGTTGGACCAAGTAGTTCAGGCTGCGAATTGTTGTGTGCCCGTGCGGACACGACTGCTAGAGGCGCAGGCCGATGTTCCCTAGCTGACCTCGAGCTACCTTGACTAGACGAACGAGTGTGCCGTGTGCGTGACCCTTGATTCGCAACATCCAAGAGTCCAGGCCTTGACACCGGAGGTCTATTGTCTCTATCTCGCGGATTAGGCGTGTTGCTCGAAGACCTCGTGTGCGGCCTCCTTCGTTGTTGCTCGTCTTCTCGAACCGGTGGACTCCGTATTTCCGGCGTCGACGTACCCGAGGCGCTGATCAAGCCTTCTCTTGCAAGCCTGTCCCTTCGCTCCCGCCTTTCCCTCCTCTTCTGCTCTTGTCGTCTTCTGTATGCCTGCGCTATCCTCTCGCTGATCTCATCTTCCTGCGCAACGTCGATGTTGTTGAGATCGATGCCATCTAGCAGGCCTTCTTCCATGATCTGGCGCATAATTTCCTCCTCCATCTCTTGCGAATCCAGCTCACTTGCACTTAGCAGGCTCCGTAGACTCGACTGATGTTCTATGACTCTTGGGGGGACCACCTCTCTGGCCGCAGCGGACGCGCTGACCTGGTTCCGACTCCGCGATCGCTCATCCGCACTTCTCGTGTCTGAACTTCTCTCGCGTCTGTCACCACTGTGCTCTCTTCGCTCTCTCCGCCTTCTCTCGCGCGGTGGTTCCAGGTGGTCTACTGCGGCCACATTACTCGTTGTATCTATGCCCGCCTCTCTCAAGCTCAACTGCTGCACCTCCTCCAATGCTCTTCGCTCCTCCTCTTCGTCTTGACCATTCCTCCTCCGCAATCTCGGCATGACCACGTCGCCATATTGGAACTTGTCTCTGTCGGCCTGCTTTTCTTCCTCGCTCTTTCCTCTATGCGGGTTTGCTTGTACAAACATATCCAACAGCGTGGTTACGTAGGCATTCGGCTTGGTCGATTTGACGGAAGCGCGGCATGATGGGCAGGTATACGGGTGGAGTGAAGTGGCAGTCGAGGCCTGAAAGGCGAACCACTCCTTTAAGCAAGCGCCGCAGAAGGTATGAAGACAGTCGAGGAGCGTGAGAGGTTGGTAGAGAAGATCGGTGCATATCTGCAGACGAAGCGCTGTTAGCAGGTGTGCAAGCATTCTGAGAGCCGGACGGGCAGACGGATAATAGCTCTCAGGTGTGTTCGGTGCGGAATTCTAGCTCTGTACGACTCCAGCGTTTTGCTCCGCGCTCAAAACAACCAAATGACCATGTTTCGCGAATCTCGTCTTGACCGCCATCCCGCTCCCGTCCCCCGCTCCGCACCACCAGAATCTCAAACTTACAGAGCACGTCAACTCCTTCTCCAAGTCCACCGGTGCGGGAGCCGCCTTCTCTACCTCCGCCATAATTCCTCCAACTCAAAAGCTCAAACGACAATATGTCTCGGCGGTAGTTCGTTCAGGTCGCCAGCAGGGCCCGCGGTGCCGTCAGCCGTTTTGCGCTTGGCGGGCTGAACCATGTCCAAGCCTCACGAAGACCAAATTAGCTTAGAAGTTATTGAATGAAAAGCGAAGTAATGGTAAGCGAGTGAATGCCTTGAACCGGCGAGGAAAGGCGAACTTGGAATCGGGGTTACTTGCTTGACGCATGACGACGTGTTCGACGCGACTGGTGCGTGACTTGTAAGTTAGTCAGCTTTCGATATCACCGCAACGGGCACAAACCTATTGTACGAAACTCCACGCGACGAATGCAGTGGTTTTTACAAGATAAACAAACGAGGGATGTAGCAACGACTACTGGTGGCCGAAGATGAGGTCATATGTCTGCAACCATGCCCAGGTGCAATCAGCTGCGAGGCATGCGGTAGGGCAAAGCCAAGAAGGCATGCCTGCTATGGCCACTTAATTCCCCTACCGACAGTCATGACATGTGCAATCATGGTATGAACCATCCGTGTTTTCAGAGGAAACAATATTCTCCCTCCGTCTCAACACGGTTCACCTCACCATCCCCAATCACGACGCCAAGCATCACCACCGATACCTCCCGTGTCCATCTCTCCTACCGCCACCTCGGCAGCACGAGACCGTCCTGTCTGACTATCCCCTAGCACTCAACCCTTCTCCGCACTTCCAACGACACCAATGTTCTCAATTCCAACTCATTTGGAATATCGTGTCGCAGGCCTGCAGCACATATGAAACATCGGCATCGTGCTATTCCGGCCGTGCTCTTGTGGCCGTGCACCCAACGAGCCAAACCACGGCCTTGGGCTCGATCCAGAACCTGAGTTTTCAGGTGTTTGCGCAAGCTTCCTGGGGCAGATCGTAGATGCTTGGTATAAGTTTATTGTTATCGCTGATGGCTGGTGGATCACGTGATACCAGTTGCTCCAGGTTTTGCATTCACGTATTCGAATGCTCTGGCCATAGTCGACAATTAAGAAGTACATGAGCTTGAGATGATTCATCGCATAGTAAGTCCATCACTTGACCAGCCTTGGACAACACGTAAGAGGCGAGTCCGGAGATCGAAGGTAACCCAAAGTTACATGCCTCATGCGACGGACGGTCAACTCAGGAAGTCACGTTAGTAACAGCAACCGACATTCGAATCCAGGATAGATGGTGCACTCGCCATATCAGCGTCACATCCCCATTCAACTCAAAAGACATTTGCGGAACATGGTCGATATTATAAGAAAAAGCTTTGGCTACAAAACAACTACCACACTTCCCCTCCATTCCCCTTTCTCACTATCTTTTTATACTAGTTTTATAAAGGAGATCCCATCCTCCATCCCAATGCACATTGCCAACAGTGACACGCGCGACTCAAAGCATCTGGGGAGGTGCTTAGTTGCCGTTACCCTGCGCAGCAGCGCCGGCGTTACCGCCCTGCTGCTGGCCCTGCTGAGCCGCACCACCCTGCTGTTGCTGAGCAGCGCCGCCGTTCTGGCTCTGCTGAGCACCAGTGTTCTGGCCATTCTGACCCTGTTGAGCGCCCTGCGTGCCCTGGGTGCCGGTCTGTCCATTCTGGCCCTGCTGAGCGCCGGTGTTAGCGCCAGTGTTGGTTCCTTGTTGGCCTTGCTGAGCACCAGTGTTAGCACCGCCGTTCGCGTTCTGAGCGGCCTGAGTGGAGCCTTCTAGTGTTAGCAAGATGTATATTCGGTAGTGGAAGACATACCAGCAACGTTAGGGTTACTCGCGGTAGCTCCTTGGTTTCCAGCGGTGCCAGCGGTGCCAGCGGCCTGTCCATTCGCGCCCGCCTGGGCAGTGCCAGCGTTAGCGGGAGTCTGCGACATTTGACCGTTGCCGGTTCCGGAAGCCAGAGCCTGAGCGGCAGCGAAAGCCTGCTGAGGAGTTCCCTATCGATCTGTCAGTGTCTATCTCAAATAATGAAGTGAGTAACGTACGGGAGTCTGGCCAGGTTGAGTAGGACCGTTGCTCTGGACACCGTTGATAACACCAGTCTGGTCGCAGACGTTGGGGCGAACGGCCTGGGTATTGGATCCAGTGGACGCCATATAAGCATCGATGTTGGGTAGAACGTTGGTGCAACGGTTCTGGTTGATGAGGTCGATGTTGTTGGCAGCAGCCTTGCCCTGCTGGGACATGAGCTGGAGCTTGTCGACGACATCCTGGAAGGCACCACCAGTGGCGAGGGTGGAGTTGGCGGCCTGGACGTTGGGCATTTGGCCGTTGGCGGCATCGATGACGGCCTTGTGGGTGAGCTCGTCTACCTCGGCGTTGAAGGCGACAAGGGCGGCCTGCTTGAAGGCAGTGTCATCGTTGATGCTGTTTCCGTTGTTCAAGAACATCGACACCATGGAGGTGTCCGCCTGCCAGTTGGCGACGGCAGTGGCAAGGTCTCCAGCACTAGGAGTCTGGCCAGCCGCACCGCCCGGGGGTTGGGGGACGGCGCTGGATGTTCCTGGAGTGACGGTGCCGGGAGTACCAGCAGCGGGCTGAGTTGTGCCAGTCTGTCCAGTCTGTCCAGTTGCGCCTTGGGCTCCAGCAGCGCCTGTTGCACCCGTTGCGCCCGTTGCGCCCGTTGCGCCTGTAGCAGCAGCTGCAGCTCCAGCTCCAGTGTTTCCTGCAGCTCCCTGGGCGGCGCCGGCACCAGCCTGGTTTGCGTTTGCGTTGTTCCCACCATTAGCATTACCGCCCTTGTTTCCTCGAGCAGGGGCGGGAGCAGCAATAGCTGCGGATGCGAGAAGAGCGCTGAGGATTATGTACTTCATGGTGAAGGTGGTTTCCAGAACAAGAATAGAATAGAATAGAATAGAATAGACAAATGTAAAAGAACGATATTGGAAATGAAGTGAGAAGATGAGAATAGAAGTTAAGTAGCCAGCTAAGGAATGTGGAACCTGCCCGTGGACGCAAAAGTGAAGGTTACTGAGGAGGGTATTTGTAGTCACGAAATCAGGTTTCCACGAGGCAGATGCACCACAAGCTCATCACCCGCTGCAAATCCGGGGCATGATTCGAGCAGGGTGTGCCGACCTCCGCTCTTGGCTGTTGCTGTTGTCACGTAAGAGATGCTCTTTGGTGCACGAGATGCTGTGATGCTGCTGAGGAGGGTGGCTTCCGCCTGACCCACTATCCGCATTGGGCCAGAATCGAGCGACGACTCCAGACGCAAAAGCCTGTTTCGCCGGGATACCCGTGGGAGCAGATAGATCCAAACGAGCTTGATGCGTTTGGGGATCGAAGGCCGATGTTTTGTAGGCGTATGGGAGGAGTTTCGTGTTCTTGGCGCGCACTGGCGACCCAAAGCTTGACCACAACTTGGATCGTTGCTTAGCTCCCGCCACTAGTCCCCACTGCAAAAGAACTGTGCTCAAACAAATTGTTTGAAAATGAATTCGATAATTCGTTCGCTCGGGGTGCGATGTTAATGCGATGGTAAAGAACAAAAGCTCATTCGTCAAGTCGTCACGTTTACCAAAACGCACGAGAGTGTGATTCGTTCTATTATCGGCGTAATTCTTGTCGCTTGCATCTGAGCTAAGTGTCGGATCAGTCGTAGTAAGACTGTACTTCCAAAGCTACCGCCTCCCAGCCGTGTTGACAGTCTTCGCCGCATTCCTGGAAAGTTCCTGAAACAGTTAGCCAAGGCGTCCAGAGCGCGATGACAGTCAAGACGAGCCTCGCTGGTCGTCTGGTTATGCAGTCAACCGCGAGGTATGAATAGTGTATCAAGAGCGTGTAGAAGTCAGACCGGACGTGCCTAAAAACAGAACATCGGAGTCCGGTGGGCCCCACGTGCAACTCCTGCCCCTCATGCCCCTCACGGCTGGGAACATGTTTGGGGTTATGCGCACAGAACAAGGACTAAGGAACGAAAGATAGAGTCGAACGCGCACGGGATCATTTTTATTCAACGAAGGCAGAAATGGAATGTTCGAAAGCTTCGTGGGATTCGTATGTTGTAAGTCGTGTATTGGTCTGTCGTATAATCATCGTAAGTGCTTCTTGATTCTTTCGTAAACAAGTTGTCGTCCGCCGGTCACAATGCAAGGTTTGAAAGGAACATCATGCCTTACAAAACTCTTGGCGCCGTGGAAATCCGATCGCCTTGATCACCTTGGCCGAAAGTTTGCTGCAGGCGAATTACTTGGCTTCTGGCAACGTTTGAGTTGCTTCATCGCGGCCACTCATCTCCGCCATGGGGACCTCTGCTCCTCCAACGGCCTCTTCCTCCCAACCGTTCCACACCTTCCCACTGGCAGGATCCATTGCAGTCTCGATCTTGCGGATGACTCTGGCTGGATTTCCTGCTACAACAGTGAAGTCCGGGACGCTCTTTGTGACAACCGAGCCAGCACCTACGACGCTCCCTCGGCCAATGTTGACACCAGGAAGGATAACAACGTTTCCTCCAATCCAGCAGTCCTCCCCAACATGGATTTCTTTCCCTAGCTCCGGCCCTTTCGTCCCTTGACGGATGATGGGATCAAGCGGATGTGTGCCCGAGTAAAATGAGACATTCGGGCCGCACAAGGTTCGACTGCCCACACTGATCTCGCAAGTGTCCAGGAAAGTCGCGTTGAAATTGATAAAGACGTTTTTACCAAGTTTCACGTTATAACCGTAGTCCATGTTGACTGGGGACTGAACCCATGGGTCGTCTTCGAAAAGCTTTTCATCTTCTTCCGGATTCGCTGCTGGCGAAGGAAGAGCGCTTTTGTCGCACAGAATACTGAAATGCGACGTCAGGGTCGTTGTTGCCGGGGTCCGTGAGGCAACACATACTCCCTGAACAGTTCAGTTAATCGGCGTCTTGAGACGTCTCCAGCATTGTTGTATCGGGCGCACGCCTGTCCGCAGCGAGCACGGTCAGCCACCAATTCGGGGACAAAGGCGTGGTAGAGCTCCCCTCGGAGCATCTTCTGCTTGTTCTCGGATAGCCCCATGCTGTACCGTTCTTGATCCGCAATGTGAATGAAGGATGACGATGCACAAAGCGCGTACGAAGACAATCAGTAGCACGTGGTTACAGTGTTCACCGCTCGCTGAGCTGGATCAAAGCATGTGTCTGTGGACAGATGTCGGACCGAGTGTCGTTATGAGAGGAGATCCACGCGTGGGACAGGATGGAGCAAATGTTCGGCCCAACCTCGGACCTCCGGCGGGGTGACGCCGTGGCCAGCGAAAACAACGCGCTCAAAGGCAGGTGCAACAAACACAGCTTACTATTGTTCGTCGCCCGCACCACCACGCCGTCGTGGGCTGTCTTCTCTACGACTTACGATGTGTTGGTGATATCCTCGCTCAGCTGCTTTCCGGTACTCACTTTCTTGCCGCAGTCCCGTGCTCACCTTTTACCGCATCATGGCACAAAACGGAGCTCCCTCCTCCCCGCATGTGGACATCTCCTTCCCCGTAAATCGCCCCACAGAGCCAGGCAAGTGGACGCCGGAGCTTGACGCACAGCTGCGCGCACGAGAGGCCTCGAACATGCAGCTCAAGAAGACCATTTTGCCGCGTTATCTTTGGCCTGGCGGTGACCGCTCCCTCGCTGGCATCGCCATTCGTGCCTTCTTACTCGGTGTCTCCGGCGCCGTAGGCTTTCTCCTCACCGCAGCCCTCGCATATCACAGCGTTCGCCTTTGGCGCCCGTTCTTTTTCTTGGGAGTGCTTTCCGTATTCCATTTCCTCGAATTCTGGACCACCGCCGCTTACAACACGCCCACGGCGTACATCTCCTCGTTCCTGCTTACGAATGGCAGCCGTTATCGTCAGGCGCACACAGTCGCTTTCATCGAGGCCACCATAACATCGTACTTCTTCCCTGCATGGCAGGCACGCGTCCACCCTCCATGGGTCATCGCGTTGGGCGTGGTGATGATAGTAGTTGGGCAGGTCGTGCGTAGCCTCGCTATGGTGCAGGCTGGGACGAACTTTAATCATCAGGTGCAGCAGCAGAAAAACGAGGGGCACGAGCTGGTCACGACTGGCCTTTACTCGGTCTTCCGGCATCCGTCATACTTTGGCTTTTTCTGGTGGGGTCTGGGAACGCAGGTAGCGCTTGGGAACACCGTTAGCTTTGTAGGATATGCGGTTATTCTATGGTACTTCTTTCATAAGAGGATCACGCGTAAGCCTACCACTCCATCTGGGTCGAACTTTGCTAACAATCACGCAGACGAAGAAAAGCACCTCATAGAATTCTTCGACGAGGATTATAAGGCGTACAAGTCGCGAACTCGGGTCTGGATACCCTTCATATAAGCGAAAGCTTTGCAAGAAGAATAAATGCGCAGTGGAGGTGAACTTACAATTGCAACCTTTTCCGATTTAATCCTGCTTAATCGACATAATACTATCTAAACATTCAGTCCTAACAAGCTGTCTCTATTAGGTTCCCTTTCCGTCGTCATCACCCACCCAGCACATTATCGTTGGGTATTCCCTGACGTACACTTGTGCCCAGAAACTCCTTTTCACCTTGTGTCCAGACAACAGCATGTACTCCTTGTATCGCGTAGCCGTTGAACAAAGTCACCAGACCCTTCTTCCTCACGTACCCAACGCACCCCAGGCTGCAGCTAGGGGGCCATGAGGCCGTAGGACGAGTGTTGAAGCGAGTGGAAACTTGGTCTTTCCACAAAGGGAAGGGGGGAAAGCGGTGGATGAACAATCAGACGGTAGATTTTGGAAGATCGCTATGACACTCAAGCGCCATTGATATGAACAAATGCAAGACTCCAGCACATAGCCCTTTTAGCCAGCCCAGACAGACATACACCAAGCGTACAGAAAGTGATGGTAACAGACGGGAAAGAAACGCTCTACTCAGCATCCGTCACGCAGCCGTGACTCGCATCCTTGACAAAGCGGGCGTACTTGAACAGCGTACCCTTCTGGTACTTCAGCGGCGGCGCGACGTATTCTTTTCTCCTCTGCTCCATCTCCGCATCGCTGACACTGACGTTGAGCAGGTTCTCCTCAGCGTCAATAGTGATCTCGTCGCCGTCCCTAACAAGGCCAATAGGTCCGCCCTCCTGCGCCTCAGGCACAATGTGCCCGATGAGGAAACCGTGGCTACCACCGCTGAAGCGGCCGTCGGTGATGAGCGCGACATCGTGGCCAAGGCCAGCACCCATGATAGCCGAACTGGGCTTCAACATTTCAGGCATACCTGGACCGCCCTTGGGACCCTCAAATCGGATCACAACAACCGTCTTCTCACCCTTCTTGAATTCGCCGGCCTCGAGGGACGCAATGAAGGCGTCTTCATCGTTGTAGCAGCGGGCCTTGCCGGTGAATTTCGTGCCCTCCTTGCCCGTGATCTTACCGACGGAGCCACCGGGTGCGAGGTTACCGCGGAGGATCTGCAGGTGGCCCGTCTCCTTGATGGGGTTGTCCAGGCCCCTAAAGATCTTCTGGTCGGATGGGAAGTCTTGTGCGTGCTCGAGATTCTCCTTAAGCGTCTTACCAGTGACGGTGATTGTGTCGCCATCAATGAGACCTTCCTTGAGGAGGAACTTGCAGAGCGAGGGTGTGCCGCCGATGTCATGGACATCAGCCATAACGTACTTGCCTGAGGGCTTGAGGTCGGCGAGAAGTGGAATGCGGTCGCTGACGCTCTGGAAGTCGTCGATGGTGAGCTTGATACCGACGGAGTCGGCGATGGCGATCAAGTGGAGGACGGCATTGGTCGAGCCACCGGTGACGCTGACGAGGACCATGGCGTTCTCGAGCGACTTCCTGGTGATGATGTCCCTCGGCCTAATGTCCTCCTTGAGCAAGTTCCTGATGGCACCTCCAGCTGCTAAGCACTCAAGCACCTTCCCCTTCGAATTTGCGGTGTTGGACGATGAACCGGGGAGTGTGAGGCCCATGACCTCGATGGCCGTGGCCATAGTGTTTGCCGTGTACATTCCACCGCACGCGCCTTGTCCGTTACAGGCGTGCCTGATGATGTCGAAGCGCTGCTCCTCCGAGATGTCTCCAGTGATGAACTGTCCGTATGCCTGGAAAGCGGAGACGATGTCGACCTGCTGTTTGTCTGCTGGCATGGACGATGCGCAACCCGGCTGGATGGTGCCGCCGTAGACCATGAGCGACGGCCTGTTGACACGTCCCATGGCCATGATGACACCAGGCATGTTCTTGTCGCAACCAGGGATCGAGATGTTCGCATCGTACCACTGGCCGCCCATGACCGTCTCGATGGAGTCGGCAATGAGGTCGCGCGACTGCAGCGAGTAGCGCATGCCCTTTGTGCCCATAGAGATGCCGTCACTGACACCAATGGTGTTGAACTGCATGCCCAGCAACCCTGCGCGCTGTACACCCTCCTTCACCTTGTTATTCAGGTCGAGCAAGTGCATGTTGCACGGGTTGCCCGAGTACCAGACTGACGAAATGCCGACCTGGGCCTTGTTCATGTCCTGTTCGTTCATGCCGGTGGCGAACAGCATGGCCTGCGAGGCGCCTTGCGACTTGGGCTGGGTAATTCCGCGGCTGACCCAGTTGAGGTCATCGTCGGACCTCTTCCAGCGGATCGCGGAGCTGGAAAGAGCTCGCCTGTGTCTGTTAGTTACGAGCCTCAATTACGGAGGCTGCGGGAGGCATTGAGCTTACGTCTGTTGCGATTGTAGACGGGGGGGGAGCATCTTGAGCGCAGGATTTGCGCGCCGGAGCGAGCAAGAGAAGGCATTGTGGGCTGCCCGCTGCGTGGAGTCTGACGCGGCGAATATAAATTGTAGCTCGGTAGGTCCTTCTCGGGGAACCCACCGCACTTCCGATGGCGAGAAGCCCGCACCTGTACGATGGTCCAATCATAATCTGCTCCTTGCTCATCGTGCGCGCTCATTGGTTCACTTGCCTGGGCGACCATCATCAGGTATGACTACGAACCACGAGTACACTACACTCATCGTTCGTCGCGTACTTTCCTTGACTTTATGTGACTGGCGATCTTTTTTTCAACTCCTCTGGTAATCATCTGTGTGAATGGTCCCCTCCGCTTTAGGTTCCCTTCATGTTGCGAGAGATCCGAGATCGGCCTACACTGAGAAACACAGCAGCCCCTCAACGCGGGAGTCAATTGTCGAAGGAAATGTCAATACTCATCTTCTGGGGTACTTCTTCGCGTCTCTTCATCATGCGTCGTTATGCTTGACACAGTCTGTGCAAGAAGCCGTTCACAGCAAAGATAGAGTCACGGCTTGGTGAATGAAGGCTCCATCGTCATTTGAAGGAGTCACATCGAAATCAAGTCACCGCTACATAACATTCAAAACAATGCTCAGTGTGCAGCTTCTCCCATTTTCGCCTTTCCATGCGCTGTGTTGAAGAGTCGCCCAGGATCTAACCGCTACCCACTGCCGTGGCAACCGTCACTTGAGACCTCTTCACTATGGCACCAGCAGTTTTTCCGTGACGTTTTCTCGCTAACTTCAATCCTGAATTCACCCCTCACGACCAGTGAGTGGTCCAAGCTTCATATACGTGTTGAGTCTTCGGCCACTTCGCTCACTTTACTACATAACACAAAGACACTTCGTTCAACCCCATCCACAATATCGAATCATGATCTTCGCAATAACCCTGGTACTTCTGCAGCTACTTCTGCCTGCAGCGGCTTGGGAGTACAACGTACATACCGGTTTTAACTACGGCGCATTCTGGGGTACTCCAGACAAACCGAAGCTCAAGGGGGATTACACCAAAGCTTTCAAAACCGCATACAGCAGCCTAAACACTTCGGTCGCTTTTGACACTGCTCGCCTGTTCACATGTCGCCAGCCAGGCACGACCGACACCCCGATCGAAGCCTTCGACGCCGCCGTGGACACACACACATATCTCCTGCTAGGCTTCTATCTTTCGGAAACCAAGAGGTCCGCGCAGACGCCCGGTCAAACCTATGAGTCGAACGCGGACATGCTCAAGTACGAGCTGAGGGCTCTGGAGAAGGCGCTGGGCAAACATGGAGACCAACTTGCCGATCTCATTATCGGCCTCTCCGTGGGGAACGAGGACATGGAGCAATGGTATTCTAATCACGCAACAACTGGCGTGCCCGAAGGTGTCATTGCGGCTAATCTCGCGACTGTCCGCAACGCCGTACTGGGTTCTGCTTTGGACGAATCGTTCCCGAACATCAGGAAATACATGACAAACAAGCCTATCGGTCACACAGATACAGCCCCTCATGCTGCGAAAGCCAAGAACGTCAACTTCGTTGGCATGAATGCATATCCATACTGGAGCGAAGACCCGCCCGCCAGCGCAAAAGCCAGCTACTTCGGTAGCCTTAATGGCGTCAAGAACGAGATGCCTGGGAAAGCTATCTGGCTCACGGAGGTTGGCTGGCCTTTTAGTGACACAATTTCGCAGGTCTCTGCACAAGGGACCGCGAACAAGGAGAACTTGCAGAAATACTGGGACGAGATCGGATGTAGCGTGTTCGGCAAATACACTACTTTCTGGTTCGAACTCATCTCGGACTCTCTACCTGACCAACCAGACTGGTAGGTTAACTATTCTATGAATCTGAGCGAACTTTTATGCACCACCAATTCACGAGTTGTGGGTTCATGCTAACAGTATCACAGGGCTATCATCGATGCATCAAAGAACGACTACGCTCCCCGCATAGACGTGAGCTGCGGGATCGGAAGGAAAGCTTGGGCACCTCATCGCCGAGACATCACAAGCTCGAACTCTACAGTGTCCGCAGTCATGGTTGCTAGGACAATCGAGGCTACCCAGGCCGCATCCTCACCGACAGCCATACCTTCCCTCTCCCATAATATCTACACCGGTTTCTCCTACGGCGCCTTCTGGTCCGAATCTAAACCAAAACTCTACAAAGACTTCGTTCGCCAATTCACGTTGGCTAGAAACCTTCCTGATGTCCCGGTGCCATTTACCAGCGCACGTCTTTACCAGGCTGCGCAATGGAACTCGCCGACTGAGCCTAGTGAGGCTTTCCAAGCCGCAATCGAGACTAATACTACTCTCCTCATCGGCTTGTGGCTTCCGATCGACAAAGAAATCGAGGCGCTCGACGCTGCGTTCAAGAAGTACGGACAGAAACTTGCCGATTTAGTGATTGGCATATCGGTAGGGAGCGAGGACATCTATCGCGGTACGCCCTTCTCTTATTCATTATGTTTAATACGGTTATACAATGAGCTTTACTGACTTAGAGCATGCAGGAAGCGATGAATGTGCACAAGTGGAAGGCAAAGCCTGCTCCATGGCCGCAACGGCAGACGAAGTGATGGCGAACATCACATATGTGAAAGATGAGTTTCACAAGAGAGGTTGGGACAAACTGTTCAAAGCTCTACCACCAATTGGTCACACTGATACCGCTCGCAACGCCTTTCTCGCGAATGCGGACTTCGTGGGCGCCAATATCTTCCCATTTTGGCACCAAGACCCCATCGACAAGGCCTGGAACAGCTTTGAAGAAAGTCTACAAGGCATCAAAGAGCATGCTGGCAACGTGCCGGTGTGGATTACGGAAACAGGCTGGCCTTCGTCAGGCAACGACAAGGCTGCGAGCATTGATAACATGCAGAAGTATTGGTCAACAGTGGGTTGCGCACTCGTTGGCAAATACACCACCTTTTGGTTCGAGCTGGAGAAGGACACGCATGACCTGGGGGACCTCGATTGGGGCCTTATCGACATCCCTTCCCAGAAGCCTAAGATCGCAAACCTGAGCTGCCCTGGCCTGCCCGGTCCTCCCTCGCCATCGTCGCCAATTGGGTCTCCGACCTCGACCACCACCATGCGTACTTCTGCAGCTCTGAACACTTCTACTTTCGTGGCTCTGCCCTCGACAGCCGTTACTGAGGGTTACATGAGCATACAGACTGACAATCTTCCTGCTTCTGCAACTCCATCAACCCTTGTCTCCCATAACGGAGCATCTCAGTCTGTGGTCGGAAGCGGCAGCACAGTCCACGTCACTATCACTTCCACGATCATTATGCAACCGTCATCCGGACCTGAAGCACCTCCGTCGAGCTTAGAAGATATTGTCACCGTCACTAGCTTTTCCATTGTCAATGTGACCGTGGATACGACGTTGAGCTCACCAACTCCTTCCCTTCCCGCGGAAACTTCTTTACTCACTGCGACTTCCAGACCCGCCGTCCTGGTCACTGAGCCTACAGGCTGCATCACCATCACAAAAGACGCAAACGGGCAGCCAGTCACCATTTCCAACGCTCCCATCAACGGCAAGTGTCTGGTGCCCCCGTATTTGCCTTCCCTCCCAACAGCGCCAGCTGCCGTGACTGACGCCAGCCCAACGCGCTGCCTCGTTGTTGTCACAGATCCAATTGGCAAACTAATCACTATCCCCACGGATATCCCCGGCAAGTGCGCTACTCCCGTCCCCACTCCAGCTGTGGTGCAGGACACCGCTACGACGTCCAGACCCACGGTGTATGTGACTGAGGCAACGGGCTGCATCACTGTGTCCAAGGGTGTAAATGGCAAGATGGTCACCGTGGAATCGAATCCGCCCGTCGAAGGGCAGTGTGCGACGCCTACGGCGCCAGTAACGCCGGTGTTAACGAAGGGAAAGACGACCGTGTATTTGACTCCCTCGTAAGTGCTCCAACTCTGGACCAAGAAGACACATGAGAGCTAGCTAATCCAGGTACAGGCCAGTCGCGACTCCTCAATCGGAGACTCCCGCTCAGGCTCCGTCTTCATCTCAGTAAGCGCTCTTCTCTTTTTTAGACATCGTGCTCGCTCGCGAGAGCCTTGCCATGGAATTTCTCGCTTCCCCTTGTTGTCCGGACGCCTTTCCGGCGTAGCACAGCAAGGAAATCAAAGATAAACTGAGATATCAACGCTGCAATCCAGGCACAATTTATCTCGCTGAGCAATCATTGTGCCTTGGAAACGTATAGCAATCGTACAAGAAGTCACTAACGGCTACAGGCCCTCGCCCATAATGGCAACGCCCACCACCTCCGGCCCTCCTTCGTCTTCGCTTGCTCCTTTTGTTTTCCCGTCGTCTAGACCTTCGGCCCCACCGAAGAGGGCGTGTAAGAAGAGGCGACGCGGTGTGCATCAAGTCAAAGATTTGGCGACGTAAGATTTGGCGTTCTATTAGAAAGGATGTAGTTTCTGTGAGTGTCACTGATATCGTATGATCCATTACATGTGCGTTCTTGCTCGCGTTTCAAAGTTTCTACATATTCGCTTGAGTGATGTTATTGTACGTTCTCACCACCTCTTGAAACAATATGTATTCCAAATTATGATTGTCTTATCTTGTAGATGTGGTTCGATGGCGTGGGGACAACACCATCTAATCAACCATCCTTCACGCCTTCCTCCCTCCCTAGCAATTGAGCCTCCCAGATACGACCAAGGGATGAGTCCATATCCCAGCCAGTCCCATCTATGTATGAAACACCATCTTCAAACTCTCCATCCAGCCACACCTCCTCCAGCGCCCGCAGTCTCCCGTGCAATCGCTTAAGCAGCGACACCCATAAACCACCTGCATTAAGCCGCATGCGATGCAACTTGAGAACCATGAGCGTCCTGGCATGGCTTAACAGAAACGCTTCTAGAAAGTCCTCTGCCACGTCGAGCTGGTGGAGCTCGAGCTGACGGAGTGCAGGGAAAGCCTCCGGCGAGGGAAAGATGTCTTTGAGATTGGGTAGAGGCGCGGTGTGATCCGTGTCCGCCCACCAGCTCGCAGAGTTGAGCCACAGCTTCAGCACTTTAAGCTTTGGCGTCGCCTTGAAGATCTGCTGGATATGGACCACGGATCGAGTCCGCATACCGAACACCAAATCCAACTCCTCCACATTCCCCAACGCTGTTTCATACCCTTGCACTACCGCACCTGAATTCGAATCCAAAAACTTCAGATGCTCCACGCGCAGCTGCGTTAAAGGGCAGCCTGCGCTATACGCCGCGAGGGCTGCGACCTGCATCTCGTAGCGACCGTTGCTCTGGATAGCTTGGCAGAGGCCGCAGCAGCGAGGACAGCCGTGTGTTACTTTCCATTCTGAAGGCCAAGGGTCCGGAGCGGATGTGAGAGAGCGGGTAGCCCAGCCGTCTTGGGTGAAGGCGCTGGGGGAGGTGCGCGAGGTGAGGATGTAGAGGCTCTTTAGATTAGGAAAGCCGGAGAAGATGGTGGTGAGCAGGAAGACGCCTAGACTACAGCTTAATTGCAATTCCACCTTTCCATCTTCTTCAATTTCTGATGATGAATATGGGGGTGAGGGTGGGCACGGTTCGGGTAGTGTCACAGTGCGTGTGGGCAGGCTAGGAGACGCTCGTCCGAGGATGTATTTCATCTCGCGCATGCGGAAGCCTTCTAGGAAAGCTCTTGCTTCAAACTCGGAGCCTGTAGTGTTCCAGAGGAGATGCTTGACATGGCGACCGCTTTTGAGCTTGGAGAATTGTGACAGGCGGTGTAAGCTTTCTACTGAGGTGCGGAAGTGCAGGCGGGAGAATAACGGGGCTGTCCCTGCGATAGCGAAGTTGCGGCATACGAGGCGGTATGAGGCGATGTCTTGTCTGTCTAGGTGAAGGAGGATCTCGTCGTGAAGCTCAGGTGGGAGATGCATGATGCTCCCCACGAGCATTTTAAAATCGTGTCGTCTGGTGTCGTCTTTGAACGACTGACTCGAAGAAACTTTGCAGCAGAACGTGTATTGTTGTACCTCCACCGCTTGACCTTACCTAATGTAACGAACTTTATATCTGCCTCTCATGATGACTCAAGATGCCGTAAAGTTCAGCTTTCGACGTCGCGTCGTACCAGCTAGCAAATCGCGATGGCTGTAGCGCTCGCCTATCGGAGCCGCCGCAAAGTGGATTTGCTGCATCGCCTGTATTCCCGGTTAGGTAATCGGACGGGGCGATAGCCAGTGATGTATTATTGCGCACGTGCATGATGCATGAGATCGTAGGGGAAGAGGCGAACGGGGTACAGCGGTGGCCCAATACGCGATTTGCTTTGCGAAGTGCGCGACATGGCTTCCCGAAACGGCAATTGGTATGCAGCCTCGCATCTCCACACAACCGCTGAAGCGAATTCCAGTCTTGAAGCGTGGATTCTACCTTTGCACATCCTTTTTTGTAAAGAGAGCACAGGTGAGTTGAAAGCATCAATGCTCGTGATCTTGCGGGGTACCTTCTTGCATTCGGGGAAGCACACGATGTGCTGGCGGCCACGTCCCACCTTGTAGGTACCTTTTCCACTCGCCAAATGCGCGCAATGTCAACAACCGAGACGTCTCGAGTCTGGATTCGCCACCTCGATCGAACAGCTCACAAAATTTAGCTGGTCTTGTGCATTCGCATGGTCGCGATAGCAGCCTGTCGGCGTCGCCGAGCCAGGACGAGGAGTGACACGAGGATTTACCACGTCTCCTGCTTGTACCGCCCACTCTTCTCCATCTTCACCAGGTACGCTTCCGCATCTTCCCGCTCCATGCTACCATGGCTCTGAAATGCTTCGATGAGCGCCTCGCGGATCGCCTGGGGCATCCTGCCCGATGATCCACATATATACACAATGCCATCGCTTTTCGCAAGCGCCTGGTATATACGCGCACTCTGCTGGCGGACCAGATCTTGTACATATACCTTCTGTCTCTGCACCGGCATCAGCATGTCTACTCCCGAGGCAGGAAAGGCCAAGAATTTACCTGATCCCTTGAGAAGGCCGCAAAAACATCAAGCGGCACGCCTTCCTTCTGAAGCTGGGCCCACTCGTCCTTGAAGTAGTAGTCCGACTCTGCATTCCGGCAACCGAAGAACAGCATGTCCTTTGGCTCTCCATTCTCAGGCGTACTTTCCTGTGCCTCCTCACGCCAAATTTTCCGCTGGTAGGTCAGCGCTCGCATGGGTGCGACACCCGTGCCTGGTCCCACCATGACCACGGGCCGCTCCGTCTCGGCCTTCGTCACGCCCAAACCACCTTTCTGCAGCGTGACCGTGATGCGCTGTCCAGGTCTTAAACTTGCCACGTACCGCGTACACACACCTTGCCTGGTTCTCTTGATCACTGTTTTGTACTTTACAATCGCAATCAGCAACTCTATCTTCGTCCTCCTTTCTGCTTCTGCAGTTGGTTTGAGCGCGGAAGCAATGCTAAATTGACGGCCGCGGATGGCAGGGATAATGCTGCAGAGACGCTGCCATGGGATCTTGACGGTTTCGAATTCCTGGAGCACTTCGAGGATAGAGCGGCGTGGGCGGGTTGTGTAGTCGTAGAGCTCATCGATATATTCTGGGTTCATGAATTCGAGGAGCCGTTCTTTCTGGAACTCGTCGGTTGTGAAGTGGGCGAGCTGTGCGAAGAAGGAGCGGCGCGGGATGCTCATTATGTCGAGGTGGTTGGTCAGCAGGGTGCGGAGGGTTAGAGGGGTTGTTGGCGTGATGTGTGGTATTGGCAGGCGGGTCGTCAGTGGGACTGAAGGTGAAGAAGGCGTGAAGCGGAGCGTGATGTCGGCGACAGAGGTCCACTTCATGACGGAGAGCAATTCGTTGACGTCCGTGGGGAAGTTCTTCGGATAGATAGTCAGAACATCTCCCGGCACGTATGGGTGGTAGTTGGGTACGTCGAGAGTAAGTTGGCGGACATCTTGCCAGTGAGATGTGGGTGTAAGGCGATCATTAGATGTGATGCTGGCGCTAAGGCCTCCCGATATATCGAAGAGGTCATCTGGTGGAACTTCTTCCGCACCGTTCAATACGGGCGTCTCGCTGTTGCCTTTCGGTTGCTGTCTGCTATCGTCTGCAAAATCAAGAAGCCATTTAGGTTCGAGGAGTACATGATCCGGAATGGGTTCAATTCCATCCGGCAAAGGATAGTGTTCGAGCAATCGTTGTCGCAGTGTGGTCGACCAAGGTAAAAAAGAGCCATCGACACTATGGCAGCAGTCACGTCAGACTCCGAATACGTGCCGACTAAATTGGAAGGACAAAACAAGAGAAAGAGAGATGAGATGTATTCTGGATGGGGGGGGATTGGGTGATAGACATACCCTTCGGGATGCTGTTCATCAGATTCTCCACGGTCGGAGATGGGCTGCGCACCCAGCTGGACCAGACGATTGTAGAGTTTCCTGTGAGCCCAGTTGAACCTTCCACGTCAGACAGTGTACGCTATACAGGTGTGTCGTCCCAACTCACTTCGGATACGATGTGTCTCCAAGACCAAAAGAAGCAAACCTCAGCTGCTGTAAGCAACCAGGCCGAAGTCGGGCGCTGCGGAGGGCCCTCCAGAAACTCTGACTGTTGGCAGGAAGGTCACCTTGCCCTGTAGTAGAGATTGCAATGAGAACGACCGAGTTTTGCAACAGTTGTTTCTGGCATGTACATTAGACTCTTGGATTGACTAGCTTCGATGGCGCATACAAGACTGATAGCGTTCAGCTCCGCGACCTCGGTGTCGAATCGCAGGCGTTCGGCGATCCTTCCCAACTCTTCTGCAACGTCCTGGGCGTTTCCTGTCTCGGAGCCGTAGACGACCAGGGCGCGGCGTGCTGGTGCTGTCATGGCAAATGGTCGTGTGGGTAGTAGCGAGATGGGACATTAGAGAATGCTGGTCTAGCCGCGGGTCCGAGTCCGAAGACGCGAAGCGGAGGGCTCCACCCCGGGAAGCCGAACATCGGCGTATTGTGTGCAGATATGCGGCCGTGGATGATGGACGGCGGCCTAGCGTCTGGGGAAGGCGTGAATAGACGGCGGCGTCATTCCAACGGCGCGTACTCGGTGGCGCGTAGATCGTGGCGCGCGTGTAGCTCCTCGCTTAGTCACTTGGGTGCGTCCCCCTTTCTCAGCCGCGACGCAGGTGAGAGAGAGCGTTTGCTGCGAGTGAGGCTCTGCGCCGGGGTTGCACTGGCGTCATTGCCCCTTTTCCCAATGGCTGTTGCCCGTCGTCGTCCGCGCCCCGTCGCCGCCTTCCAGGGTGTCCTCGCTGGCATGGAAGGCGCTCGCTTAGCTGCCCCCTTCGAGAAAGGCGTACCAAAGCAGCACCCGTGCGCCTGCTCCCTTCAAAATATTTAGCTCCTTTACCTGCCGCCCTCTCCCTCCCCAAGTCAAGACAACACTCCACAGCACCATCAAACCCACGCTCACCCTTCACCTTTCGGGCTCGTAGCTACCCATACCCCCCCCCCCCCCTCGACAATCCAGTTCCACCTCTTAGGCGGTCCGACAATCCCCATCACCCTCAAAAACAACTGTTCACGGTCAACCTTTACTTAGGTCAACCCGGACTCCAAGTTTCCCTCAAGTCACTAGCACGCTTTCTCTTCGTGTCGTCAATCACTCGAACTGCAACCATGTCCACCTCTGTCGACAGTGTCACCGCCCAGATGGCCAACTCTTCCCTCGAGAACACCAACGAGCCCGCTGGCACCCAGCCCACGGCAGCCGAGAACGAGGCTGTCCTGGCCAGCGCCGCCGAGGGTAGGCGACTTTACATTGGAAACCTCGCGTACGCGACCACCGAGGGGGAGTTGAAGGATTTCTTCAAGGACTACCTTGTGTAAGTGGGCCTGCTGTCGTGTGACGTAGGCATGCAACATCTCAACCACAGACTAACATCTCCCAGCGAGTCCGTCACCATCCCCACCAACCCTCGCACCTCCCGCCCCGTCGGCTACGCCTTCGTGGCTCTCTCCACCCCCTCTGAGGCCGAGCGCGCCATCGCTGAGCTCAACGGCAAGGCCATCCTCGAGCGCAAGGTCTCGATCCAGCTCGCTCGCACCCCCGAGCAACACGCTGAAGGCAACGGTAGCGGCGCTGAGGGTGCTTCCGGCGGCGAGCACCGTCGTCGTGCCTCCACCCGCGGACGTGGACGTGGCCGTGGACGCGGTGGCCGTGCCGGTCGTGGTGGACGTGGCGGCGTAAGTTTTTTGCACTCCATCATGTAAACACGTCGCTAATAATCTTGTAGAAGGCCGACGGCACTGATGGCGCCGAGCAGGTCGAGCTCGTCGATGCTGCCCCGGCCGAGAGCGCCCCTACCAATGTTCCCGGTCAAGTTGTAGGACTCACCGAGACCACGAACGAAGCGCTCACAGCTGACAAGACCGACAAAAAGGCCGCTCCCCGTGAGCGCAAGCAGCGTGGTCCTCCCGAGGACGGCGTCCCCTCCAAGACCAAGGTCATGGTTGCCAACCTCCCCTACGACCTCAAGGAAGATCGCGTAAGTTGACTCAAATTTTTTCGAATCCGCATACTAACAGTCCTCAGCTCCTCGAGATCTTCAAGGACTACTCCCCCGTTAACGCTAAGATCGCCCTCCGCCCCATCCCCCGCTTCATGGTCAAGAAGCTCCAGGCTCGCGGCGAGCCTCGCAAGGGTCGTGGCTTCGGCTTCGTCACCCTTGGCTCCGAGGAGCTCCAGCAGAAGGCTTGCGACGAGATGAACGGAAAAGAGATTGAGGGTCGTGAGATCGCCGTCAAGGTCGCCATCGACTCCCCTGGTAAGGAGGACGACCACATGGAGGCACCCGCCGAAGGCGAGGCCGCCACCACCGCTACCGCCGAAGACGCTACCGCCGCCCCTGCCGAGTCCACTGAGACCCCGGCTGCCGCTCCCGCTGCTACCGCCGCTTAGAATCCGACGGTCGCACGTCCCCGGGTTCCCATGATCGCCGTCTGATTACTGCGGTCAACGCTCACTCGATGCGTTTGTGTATGGAAGTCCGGAGTTGCCTATCTATATCATGCCATGACATTTAGTCGTCGGTTTACTTATCTCGTCATATCATGGTTAGGAAAAGTGATCGGAGTCTGTCACAGCGGTGTGGTTGGGCTGGTTTTATGGTTGGCAGCTGTTATTAGACTTTGCAATATCACCAGATAATTGCACCTTAGTCTAGCATTTTGCAATGAAGGACTGCAGGCATCCCCTTGTCTCGTCTCTTCTTTCTAATGACTGTCATGTATGTACTATTAGGTTGAATGACGATGATGACTTGATGCATAGCTGATCGTTGAGCTGATTCATGTGCTAGCTGAGAAATCGTGACCATTTTGTCCATACGCCCTTCGCGACCCCAATCTCATCTGATTGCGACGCATACTCTGCACTTTGATCCTGTGCCCGTACCAACGCCCCACTTGTCTCCTGTCGTATCCGCGGCCCCACGCTTTCCTGCCTGTTCGTTTCACAGCCACCGCATTGACAGTGCCTGTCATCGAATATCGGGACATTTACTAGTAATCTCCTGAATAAGATGATGTGTGTACCAATTATTCGGCATCGAATGCACCTGGAATGCTTGGATCTATTCAAAAGTTTGTTCATCCATTGTGTGGAAGACTGGGAGGATGGGAACCAGATGAACGCGACCAAGCGGGCATAGACTCTCGCTCAGCTTGGTCCATGAGAGGGGCGAATGTGTATAGGGGTGAAAAGGGGCAACAGATCGAGCGCAGCATAGGATCTCCATCAACGAAGTGGTATTCGACAGGTCATTACAAACGGGACAGTTATCGAGTCAAGAGGAGTTCGAGGGAGGGATTGATAATCGTGCGGTTTGCAGTGGGCCGTTCATCATTTTCATGCATAGTGGCCGCATCTGGCTGCGGAAAAGTGTTTCGACGGGGAAGTAGTTTTCCGCATTTAGATGAGCGAGCCGGCGCTGCATAAAGCAAGCGAGCTTTAGCAGGGTGACACTCTTTCACGTTTCTGGTATCTGTGGCGCAAACCTGGTCCTCGTGCAACATGGTGTGTATAGACATCCTGTGAGAGAGGCGAATTGTAGGTGATATTCTCGATATCTTGGACCTGCGGTGGCCTTTACTCGCAACTTAATGTTTAGCATGGAACCATTCCTTGCAGATGTAAAAGAAAACACTCATGAAGGCCCTCCACACATTTGGTATTACTTTTTAGCAACTGAAGGCCTTAAATTGGATAACCCGTTTCCTTTCTACATCTTCCGTCATAACCTGTCTTCCATCTCGAATACAACCAAGCTCCCAACACTCCATCTCCCAAGATGGGGATCCTCAAGCTCATCCTCCTCTTCCTCGCATTATTCGAGTACGCTTCCACCGCTGATGACCCCTACCACAACCATGCTGTATGGTTCGTAGGCAACACTACAGCACCTCCGCCCACCGAGGCTCCTCCCACCCCGAACAATACAAAGGTCGGCACCGTTGTCCTCATCAACCGCTGCGCCTACCCCGTGTACATCTGGTAAGACAGGCTCCCATCTTTCCCCAATGCCTCCTCACCCTGACACATCTGAACATCCACAGGGAAGCCTGGGACGCCCACCAGTCTTTCACGAAAAAGCTAGACGCTCGCGCAAAGGAAGCGTACAAGATCATCGATTCATATAGCCTTCCTGGTGGAGGCAATTGCACCGACAACTGCGGCGTCACGTACAAAGTCTCCAAGAATGACACCCTTGTCGGTGGCGTAGGCGGCAACCAAGTGCAACTCGAGTACTCCACCCGCAAGGGACTCTTCTACTACGACTTCTCCTTTGTCGACTGCGCAAAGGACGTCGATTACAGGAAGGGTAATGCAGAGAGGTGTCCGGGGTGGGATGCGGGGTTGAAGATTATAGGGACGAAGACGTGCAAGGAGATGGTTTGTGGGGAGGGGGAGATGTGCATGTAAGTTCGATTCACGATTGTAGTGATAGAACGAAAGACACGTAAAGCTGACAAGGATATAGATACGATGGCCAGGGCGCGTACTACATTGATCAGCCGGTACAGAAGTGGGGGCTGGGCGAGCCGATTGGGACGTGTCCTGACTATGAGGAAGGCACTGAGATTGGGTTCGTGCTTTGCACGAGTGCGCCGCCTCTTGTGAAAGAGCGAGATACGGCAAGTCAGATCTGAGATACGCCGCGTGATGTGAGACGGGCGTCGTGTCGTCTACGATGTAATCCCGACACTCTTTTGATGCTCAAGGGTTGAGTGGTATTCCGGATGGTTGGCATCGAAGTATGAAGATTGTACGTTGGTCAAAGCAGTATGGATCAGGCAGTGGAAGATCGTGATCTGCATGAGGTAGTAGCTTTAACATACTCCTCTTTCACAATATTCGATAATGCGAATTGCCCGTGCATGTTCCTCTCGTTTACTTCGCGACGTGGTGCTGCAAGCCAATTCTCCATTGGATGTTGCAAGAAAGTATGAGAAAAATGACAACAACGCTGAGTACGTTGTGGATTATCAGACCGGAGTCTTGATGCTTTTTGAAACTATGGCGACACATGGTGCTAATTACCTTTACAGCTGCCAACCCAAACTCTCCGTAGCTATAACTCGGGTTTTATACGTGCACACGACTTCCGAAACGGCTGCGAAGCTGTCATTGTTTGCTTATCGCGTCCCGCATGATGATACGGCTCCTCCTAGCCCTTGAAAGCCGGAAGACGACGCTCCGCTCCGGAATAATCATGTATGTTTTTCGTCGATTGCATCGCTTAACGAATCAAGTTGACAGACCCATGTACGACTCGAGACGGACCACACCTCTGGAAGCGCTTTACACACCCGATGACCGAAACGCAGATTATCCAGGTTGATGTTGAGAAATTTCGCGCGCCCCTTGGTGTTGGCGAGTAGATAGCACGAAGTGGCGTCATTCCTTGATGACCGAACATTAAGCGACCGAAATATACCGAGATAATGCGGCCACCGCGTCCAATAGAACCATAACACCATTGCGCACACTCGCCGGTGCTTCCTCATTGTCCTTGGACGCCAGGTGCCACTGCCAAATTACATCATAAAATAGTACAGGAAATGCTCCCTACAGTGCCGATGGAGGAGCGAACTGCGGCTCGATATCGTGGATCGTTCCGGATTCCCGACCAAAGTCAAGGTCGAACTCTGCACGCCAATCATACGGTGCGTTGTAAGAAGTCGCGCTGAGAGGATCGGACATGCTCGATGCTGCGGTAGGATTGAATATCGACCAGGAATTTACGTTTTCGTCAACCCGTTCTGCAAGATAGCTGTTGTGTATTATCTCTACTGGTGTCTCTGACATTCGCGCTTGCATCGCTTTCTGGGCTAGGAATTCTTGATAGCCCTGCTTGACAGGCACCAATAGACGTTCGTATTCCTCCAAACAACGTCTTGCTGCGGGCCATCGTTCAGAGATGTTGCGGAAGCATGTCGCAAACCGTATGGTGTAATCCTCGATCACCTCCAAAGGATATCTCTCGGATATTTGGTGTGGACAGAGGCTTAGAATACGGAGGAAAACTGTAGCACAGTTGAACACGTGGTGACAAGGGTGGAACACGTATTTGATCCTCCCGTAATCGGCGTCATTTTGTTGGCAATATCCATTCGCAACCAGAACTGTGTTGTGAAAGGCAACAAGAAGCTGATCGGGCGGGGGCGAAGGAACAGCCTTAGTTTGGCGGTAGACCGCTACCGCGACGTATGGGACTGTGATCTCGGAGTACAACGTCATCTCTTTCCAGCGTTCCACGAAACTCGGATCCCGATTGGCGGCGGCTGCTTCGTATATCTCTGTCTTCCATTTCTCAATTCTTTGCATACAACTCTGCTTCCAGTGCTCCATAGAGGGGTATTCTTGCGGTAGTGGCTGGCCATGCCACATTATCGAGGTAATCTCAGCCTCGAGAAGCCGGAACAGACATATTCGCTTGGACGTGAACTTCGAGATGCGTCCAGAGTGATCTATTCCTGCCTGCGTGATAGAAGTGTCATCTACTTCTACCGGGAATTCTACGTTGATTCGTTGTATCGGCAAGGTGAAAGGGTATTGAAAGATGCAGCAAACTCCAACCTCCATTTCCCAAGCGCACCAGAATAAACGTCTCCTCATGTCACGTTGGTAAGCTGATATGCTGGCATCATTGGGGAGTTCTTGATGAAGTCCGAGATCGATGACGGCTTGACTGATGAGGCCTGTCAATAACCAAACGTCTGCCATACTGGGATTAAGGAAGATGTATTGCGTCAAGAGTAGTATAGCTTGGAGCCCAGGTACGTCGTTGGTCGCCACGTCTGGAATGTATTGCATTGCTTGTCGCACAATGAGCGAGGCTAGGGCGTTTGCTTTTTCTTGCTTGGTGCGTGCGGCTGTTGATAGCGAGATGGCCATGATGATGCTGACAATGTAGCGATCTCGCGACGTCGCTTGGCGTGGACTTGACATGGGAACGTACACGGCATTGAACGCAGCTGTGACATGATTCCGGTGGTAGATGGGATACTGAGTAATGACTCGGTCCAAGTAGTTGTTGAACAAGCCGCTCGCAGTCTTCCATGCAATGCTCTCCAAGCAGTTTGTGTTAGTCTGCGGGTTCATGATGGACCGTGGATGGTTCTCGTCCAAGTCCGTTGAGCCTACCGGCCCTCTCCGGGAGGGAAGCTGAGTCCCCTTGACGACACAACTGAGGAAAGGTCGCTTTTGGGTGACACCGAGGAATTTGGGAGTGATGTCTTGCATAGCAAGATCGACGAGGCTGTCCGCGCGGGAGCATTTGCCGGCGCTGCAGCCAGGATTGGATTCAGAGTCGTGAGAAGCAGCTGGAGAAGGAAAGGCAACACTGGGCCGTCCAGGCGTCCGGAAGGCTGTCGGGCTGCCGGCATTGGTGAGATTTGCTATATGCATCTCCAGAAAGCCTGCTATTGATCGCGGGGCTTCTCTCTGGGTCGACGAGTCGAAGCCCACGCAGTCAACATGGGCATCGACGCAGCGGGTGCACGCCGGCACCTTGCCATCGCACTGTGCACAAGTTAGACGCGTGGTAGCTTCGACGAGGCTGGATCATGACGGCACCGAGAGTTTACGCTTACGGCAGCGCGCGCAGGCCAGCACCCGGCGCCGCACCTTTGTGCGATTCAACATGGAACAGGAGCCGGAGACGCGCTGGAGGATGCCGCGGGAGCGCAACGGGCATGGCGGTGCTCGCGCGACGTCGATGGGCACGGCGAGGTGTAGGTCGTCGCGAGTAATGGTACCCTTGGCGATGCACGTCGCCGCTAGGTAGATAACCCCTCACATCCCAATAATGCGCCGCATCTCCATAAACATCACGCTCGACGCCGCCGCCATCCTTCCCGCAGTGCCGCGGGCGCAGCATGGCGCGACATGTCTATCGCCTCGCCCACCCTGCCGCCTGACATCGACCTCGAGGCCCTGATCCAGAGCTTACCCGCGTGCAAGCGGTGTCGCGAGTGCCGCCGCGGCTGCGACACGCTCCTACCCAAGTGCAGGCAAGTACCGGCGGCGGGCTTGCGACGGCGGCGCATGCTGACAGCGGCAGGCAATGCACGAAAGCGGGTGTCGAGTGTTCGTTCTACGACCATGGCAGAGACGAGCTGCTACCGCGGAGGTGCGCCTCATCCGCCCACTGTTGTACCGTTGTACCGCGTCGCTAAGTCTGGCAGTTACATCGCGGAGCTAATTGATCACGTGCACAAGCTGAATGCTCGCGCAAATCCTTCGCCCGCTGCCTCGGGTCCAACATCCCAGGACCCGCCTGCGTCTACCCCGACTTCCCTTGCGAAGAATGAAATCTTCAGGACCGAGTCTGTCGTCTCGGAAACCCCAGGCCACCCGGTCCATCCGGAGCACTACTTTGCCGAAGCCGCGGGAAGCTATCGCTATCTGGGTTCCGAAGCTTGTCTGGTCAAGTCTCCGCGCCAGAAAGCCAAGGAACTGAACTGGCCCAGCGAAGAGGACGATGACTGGCGAATCAGCATCAGACAATCCGATGCCAAAAACCATGAGCTCGTCGAGGTATATCTCGAGCAGATCCAGACACTTTACCCTATCTTGGACCTATCAGCGCGCTATCTAGGCCCCGAACTGCCAAATGATCTGACCGAGGTTGAACTCTTCGACCTCAACATGATTTATTCCATTGGCTGCCACGTCACGCCTCTAATTCTCAGCAAGAAGATCAGGCAACGAGAGGATTTCGGAAAGCTGTGGAACCCTTCGGATGATCAGCTTTGGAACGTTTCCGGTCGCCATACTTATCGCATGGCCCATACTCAAAATTATACACTCTTGGCGCAACACTTTCTTGAGACTGCTGAACTTTACATGGAGGCTGCTACAGCTGATGCGACAATCCAGGGTCTGCGGGCTATCCTACTCCTTGCCATTAATAGTCTATTCGATCCTTTAAAAGGCAACATTGGACAGCAGATTGCACTTGCGACGAGGCTCGCAATAGCCCTGGAGCAAAAGGGTCATGAATTGAGCCCGAATGATATGATCACAATCCGTCGTATGCATACTACCATTTTTAGCTTGGAGAACGAAATTGCGACCGTTCTGGACCGGCCTGCCACATTCCCAGAACCTGTGAGTCATTATCGGCATTCACAGGATCGTTGAATATATTGACTTTGACTAGGAAGGAGACTTATGCTTTGATGTCAGTCGGCCAGCCGATTATGTCTGTTCAATTTTTCGGTTGCAAAACCGATGGCGCAAAGGGAATGATGCAACTAAAGCTTGGGCGCTGAACCAACTTCCACCGCTGGACTTGCGGCTTCAGTTACCGCCCAGTCTGCGTTTGATACTCCACCAAACGCGTCTTCTGTTTGATCCGGTCTGGCAGACTGCGTGGCAGGTTCTTGAGGCTGTCGTGGCTATAGGCAGCATCCACATCTATGTCACCCCTCATTGGGTGTATCGAGCAGCCACGATTGTTATCAAAGAGAATTGGAGGGATTTTCATCCTACAGATGTTATAACTTTGTACTCGAACGCGCTCGTAGTCCTTCAGACTTCTTCTTGGAAATGGGGCAGTGCAGCCGCTCTTGCCGGATCACTCGAGAACTTGATGCAACAAAAGAGACTCAAAACTACTGGAGACCTTTGGGACAAAACCCACACAGTTTACGACGTAAGATTCTAATCGTCCCGGTCAAGCTACGGCGTCCACCTATCCGACAACGTGTTAATTTTCTTTCTCAGATCCGACTCGGTCTTCCCTCAACCTGATTTAGGCCTCGTTGTCATCGACCTTCACCCTCTACCGCAGTCTACGCATATTTCATTCGTTGTGTGACATAATCTAGATTTTCGACCATCCCTTTCTCAGGCGAAGAAGGGTCAACTATGTTCGTACCCCAGACTTGCATCAACGTACCAGGATTAATGTCAGCAGACGTTTCGCCCCCCAGAGTAGCGGATCGATGGTTTGAAACGAAGACGATGGTATCTATTAATGGATTTTTGAGGCAAAAGGACTTACTTGGTACACATTGAAACTACTCGCACGTCGCGTGTCGTTGAAGGTATCGGCGTCGTAGAGGAATATGGCATTGCACGGTAGTGCGAATGGAATAGAAGTAGGGTGCCATCACGCGATAGACATTTGCCGCCGTCGAGCTCAATAGGGGCTTCGATGTAGCGAACAAATACCGCTTATTCTGAGCGTTTAGATCATGTATGATAGATTATATTATATTTCCTGACACACCACCTGGTTCATGTTGAGCAATGATCGAGACTAACAATCTTTTCGCCTTACGAATACAGCCTGCGACGTGAGCACCCACTGTTAAAAAGCATAGTAGAAACTTAGACGTCTGCACCTCCCTCCACACCGACGCCGTTCAACTTCCCACTCTTGAACTCATCGACGATCTGCTCCATCGTAACCCATTCAACTCCCTCGTGCCCATTAATCCATTCAATCAATCTCTCATGCAGCAGCAACACCTGCGGCTTTCCACTGACCTGCGGATGGATACTAATGGGAAACACAAAGCTGCCACCATCCGGGCACTCACGGTAGAAATACTCAAACTGATCTTTCCAAAGACGCTCAACGACGGCAGTGTCGACGAATCCGTGCGTCGAAGCCTGGGAGAGTGAAAGTTGAAACGGAGGCCAGTCGTCGAGGTGCCAATTCGCAGGGATTTCAACAACGGAAGAGAGCTTGAGTGTGCTCATGGGCAACATCCAGTGAGCGGCAGGCTTCGAGACATCCGTCTCTGTGTATGTGGAGAGGTAGGGATCGGGGACGTAGTAGGGTTGCGAGTCGTGGTGCATGAATGAGTGGTCGTACTCCTGCCCTACTGTCAGTATGTCGAAGGCATCTGGTACCGCGTCCGCCGCAACATACAATTCCAAACTCCTCCAGTAGCTTCACCGTCTCCTTGCTCGTGCTCCAAGCCGGCGCCGTCCAGCCACGCGGCCTCTTTCCGGTGATCTCCGTCAAGACTTTGATGCTCTTCTCCAGCACATCACGCTGCTGCTGCTCGCTCAGGGTAGACACGAACTCGTGTGTGTAACCATGTAGCCCAATCTCGTGTCCCTTCCCAATGATTTTACGGATCTGAGCTGGAAACGACTCCGCGGAATGCGCAGGCGTGAACCACGTTGTCTTGATATTGTACTTATCCCAAAGCTTTAAAAGGCGATCGATACCGACCGTAGCGCCGAAGACTCCACGGGACACATCGGTCGGGTTGGCAGGCTTGCCGTCGCGTGTGTTTATCCTGAGATGGTGTAAATGGGTGAAGGAAGCTTTGTAGGAGGGGCGCACCATCCAGATACGGCGTCGATATCGATGCCATAGGAGCAGAGAGCGCGCTTGGGCATTGTGGCTGCTTCCAATTGTTTGAAAGGGGTCACGAGATGAAAGATTGCAAAATGTACGCAAGTACCTGGGAAGGCCCTCGACTTATGCTTCTTCTCTCAATGGAAATTTCCCCGACTCCACAGCTCGCACGCGAGAGCGCGCATCACCGGTGGCGGTCGCCGCGTTTACCTCGCGACTCTCTTGTTCCTCGTCAGGGTCTGCAATTTTAGTTGCTAGATTTCCCTATATAGCGTGCCGAATGTCTAAAAGGGATCTCGCGCATGCAAGCGATTGTGCCTAAGTGCCGACTAGCTCCATGACGGGAAGGATGAGAGTTGGCGGGGCGCTGATCCGACGGAGTTGGGCGGCGGGTGGTGCGCCGCCTGCCGAAGGTGAGGGGTACGCGTGTGATAAGCACGCAGTATCTTGTTCGAATGCGTAGTATAGACCAACTGTTCTTCATGTAACTGCATTCGAGTAGAAAGCGAAGAATATGTTGTTCGTGGAATGTAAAGGGTCGCCTTACGAAGTACGTCACTGTGTGGTCGCAACTATAACATACCTACTGACATACACTACAGATTGGCCACCAACACGGCACTGTAGCGAAAACCGAGATAGATCGTTGCGTTGACTTCTACACCGACCTATTCAGAAAGAATTGCAAGCAAGAATGGCCCGAGGTACTTCAACACGCAGAAGCGTTCGAGAAAATAGCGAAAGCGAAGTGGCCGGAGTATCATGAAGAGATGCGAGGAATAGCGGATGGATCAGGGCATGGTTTATTAGACATTGTTGCCATCAATGTGCGGACGGAAATCAACTTCGGCATGTTCAGCGACGGATGTACGGCACTATCTTGGCAGACGGAGAAGAGAGCATACCTCGCGCAAAATTGGGACGTAAGTCGAGAGCAGAATTTAGGCACACATATGGAGCTGATGCATGTACAGTGGATGGACGCCCAAAAACAAAACCTCATCATCACCAAGATCTCGCAAACCGGCAAACCCACCATCGTCCAGGTCACTGAGGCAGGCATCATCGGCAAAATTGGCTTCAACAGCTCTGGCGTCGGCACTCTCCTGAATGCGATCAAGGTTCACGGCGTAGATGCTTCGCGCATGCCGGTTCATTTCGGGCTACGCGCGGCCCTGGAAAGTAACTCCACTCAGGAAGCAGTGCAGAAATTAGAAGAATACGGCATGGCTGCCTCAGCGCACATTCTAATATCCGACACTTCGGAAGCCGTTGGTCTCGAATTCACGAAGTCGACATTCGCACATTGCAGGCCGGACAGCAAGGGCCGCATCGCTCATGCAAATCATCTTCTACTTGACCACCCTAATGAGGTTGATACGGTGTGGTTGAAAGACTCACCAGTGCGCGTTAAGACGATGACGGAGAACACCGAGAAGCTGGGCAGCGAGCCTAGCTGGGAGGATGTAAGCCGACTTTTTGAGGACGAGCATGGATTTCCCTATTCGATCTGCCGTCAAGCACCGGACGACGGCAGCACGACTTTGTTCAATATCGTGATGGATCTGAAAGCGAAGAAGGGTGTGGTGAGGTTGGGGAGGCCAAACCAGGCTGAGGAGACCGTCACGTTAGAACTATAGGCAGAAATCGGGAACACATTTTTCGAATCCCCATGAGCCGTCAAATTTTCGGGAGGGAATGTTGAGAATACGAGGAACATCAGATGTGGGCTGGACATGAAGTCATAGGTTGCGCCGGCTAAACCTCGAAAGAAACATCATCTGCCCGACGACACCGCAAGCCGATGGAAACCATTGACGAAGCCGAGGTTGAGCCGTTACAGCTCATCGGATCGATTTCACAGCGTATCACTCACTCAGAAGGATTAGAAGAATACGGTTATCGACATCAACAGAGTCGTCAATATATTTGCATTATGCGTTATGATTATGTATCAAGGAATGACCTGGCAGATGCGTTATAAACTCCACCGCTATGCTGTTCGTCTCGTGACCCGCTCCAATAAATATTACCCCTGCTCTTCTCCGCTTTTACATCCTAGCTCTCCCGCGCGGGTCCTTTGATTGTCGTAAATATCGTGATATCGTCTACAGGCCGCAGTTGCTCAGGGCGACCTGGGAGTACTGGGCGTCCACACGACCTAGCTGAGTGGCCTGGTTGTTGGTGAGGGCATCGAGACCCTTCTTGTTGAGGTTGAAGCCGGCGGCGGTGTGGTCAACGGCGAGCGCGTAGATGGTCTTGCCGTTGTAGGTCAGGCTGTAGCAGGTCCCGCACTGGGGAGAGTTCCAGCCAGCAACACCCTGGTAGCCGCCGTAGTAGGGTGTCTTGATGTTGGCTTGCGTCTGCCAGCCGTACTTGGTGATCAGACCATTTGCGCCGTCAGAGCAGGAGACGGCCGTCATAGAGCGGCTGGTGTCATCGTAGCCGGTGTCGTATGATACAGTGATGGCGGAAGTAACCGAGGCGAAGCCAAGAGCAATAGCAGAAACGGCAGTAGAGAACTTCATGGTGTCGTTTGAGTTTGGATTGTTATGAAGGTGTGTGGAATGTTTGTTGAAGTGGCGTAGACACGAGAGTATTGAAGAAGTGTCGCTGAAGTGATGAGATGCTTTGAGAGCTGATGATGAATTCCGTAATGGATGATGCCGTCTACTTTATAGTCAATTGTTTGTACTCTGGTCCTGGCCTGTACGTGAGCATCCATTGAGCTGGCAACAATCGATACTGGATCAATAGGCGCATTAGCGAGGGCCTACCATGGCGATCGAGCATTCTTTCGTTGAGCCTAACCCAAAATCAGGGCTAAGACGGTGGCAGGTGACCCCGTTTAGTGGCACTCGGAAGCTAAGGGATGTGAGTGAGCTCATAGCTTGCGGAGCAGGTGTTGGCAGTGCGAGAGATGGCTCCAGTGCTGTCATACTCGCGATTATTTTTGGGGTGTCCTACCGGGACCGGCTGGCCTGTCATCCTTTTGGTGGAGTAGGCGAGGAAATAGGCCGAAGCTAGCGGCTGGTTACATCGGCGGAGCCTCAACGGGCAACCTGCGACAGCGATCAATAAAAGATGCCCTGCGTCTAGGACCGTTGTAGGTCGTTGCTGGGGCGTGCATGCTTGAGACAGATGAACTGTCAATACAGCACGGTCAAAGGTAGCTACCGTGACATGCGGAGCTGGTCGGACGCGTGCAGGCGTCTATAGCGGTCGTGCTTGAGCACCAGAAATGCGGTCAGCGACTTATGCGCATTCCAGCGTTCTCTAGTAACGACATCGATGTCCATCTAGTAGGTCGCTAAGCGTCTGTTTTGCATGGTTGCGCAGGTCGTGGTTCGCAAATGCCTGCTTCCATCGCACTGCAGTAGCGTTGCACCTGAACTTCAGCTTCACCGCTGCGAACATGTTCTCCTCGTTCATCGTTATAGCAGCTGCTCGCGGTACAGGACAGCGCGGTGCTGGGCCCCTTCAAAGTGCCTCCGATGGAAGTATCGAGGTGACGTTGAGCGGATGCCTGAGCTGACTGCACAGCCGCAAAGCGAACGTCGTGGTGGCTGGCCACATTGCGGCGAGCGGTAGGTACGGTGCCATCGGAACGGCGATCATGTCGTCTATCCTGAACGTCTGCGCGCCGTGATCGACGAAGAGAACGAAAAGGCTCGCCTGAAGTGAAGGCGACGATGTGTGGTAAGAAGTTGCGAGAAGGAGCTACGGTCGGGAGCAGCCGGGCTCCTTCCACAGGTTGCCGACGTACCGCCAGAATGCGCCAGAGGGCCTCCAAGACTGAAGAAACATCTTGACGAAATGTCCTGGCAGCCGTTCGACCCGTCTGCACCCCAGACTCCCGTCCTATCCTGTCATCTGACCTGTCACGGCGAGCGGAGAATTCAACCGAGGGGCGCCCGTCTAGGCTAGTCTGCGCGCAGCTTCACAACCGTCTCATGTCGCGTTCCCCAAGTTTCATCCCCTATACAGAAACACCAGAAGGCGGCAAACACCAGCCTTTTAGATCATAGCGGTATCGCTTCCCAGGTCCAGTCTCGTGCTATAGCCAGCGCACAGGTTTCCGTCAAGCCGCAGTGGCTGAAATCCCAGCGCCTGTGGCAGACTGCTCCAATCACAAGCCCCTGGTATAACTTCGACTTCCGTATGCGGTTGTGAGGCGCTGTAAGTGCCTGTCTCCGCGACATGTCAGGTCGCAGAGCTGTTCCGTCACAGCTCCTCGACCAGTCTCCCAGCGACCAGCTGCATTTCGCTGCCGCTGTGTTTCATTCTATTGCCGTATATAATGGCCTCAAATGCTCTCAGGTTGATTCTTTCCCTCAGGCAGGCCCAGGATTTCATTTCCAATACCATTCGACTCCAAGTATCTCAATTCGTTTCTCTAAAACCCCTTAATATTCACTTTTATTACCCAGACGAGCTAGTCTCTCTCCATCACAACCAACCATAATGCGTTTCTCACTCTTCACCGCCGCCACGGCTGCTCTTGCCGGATCCGCTGCCGCTGTCGATCATCTCGTCGTTGTCGGAAACAACAGCAAATTGATCTTCGAGCCCGCCAACATCACCGCTGCCGAGGGCGATACCGTCACCTTCAAGTTCTGGCCTAAGAGTCACTCGGTCGCTCAGGCTGCTTTCGCCAAACCCTGCGAGCCCATGCAGGATGGTTTCTGGTCCGGTTTCATCCCCAGCGAGAAGGGCGCCGCAGCCACGACCTTCATGGTCAACATCACAAACGCCTCGCAACCGCTCTGGTTCTACTGCTCTCGCGCCGAGCATTGCCAGGATGGTATGGTCGGTGTCATCAACGCTCCTACTAGCGGCCAGAAGACCCTTGCAGCCTTCATGAAGGCGGCAGCCAACGCTACCAACAACACCTCACCTGTCACCACTGCCGGAGCTGGAGGCATGCTCATGAACGGTACCACCATGAACGGCACAGCAGGCACCGGCGCTGCATCAATGATGTCCGCGAGCAATTACGCTCTCGGCACCGTAGCCATCGGCATGCTCGCTTCCTTCATGCTATAAGCACCATGAGAACTCGGCACTAGCGAAAGGATACCCGGGCATAAAGCCCAGACGGAAGAACACATTGAATGAAGGAGCGCAAAGGAGGAAGCGACAAAGACGGATCCGGAATCCACAACTCGACCAGGGGAAGGGATAGCCTGTGCACGTGCATGACGCCAGGCGTAGAAACGCTATTGAGATACGCTCTCGGACGTGGATGGTATTTAGAATAATTTGAATGAAACCTTTCTCAAACTCCAACCATGCTTTTCTGTACTCTTGCCTACTTAGGCCATTCATAAGCCCTACTTATACAGTTCCACTGCTTTGCCTGTCGCTCTGAGAGGTAGACGTTGGCCCGGCCCCCAACATCCCAGTGTAAAATCAGGTTACCTGTTCTAATCTTACAAACACATAGAGAGAGATATAGGAGGGTAAGTCTTTCTCGCTTAGCGAGACTGAACACGCTGGGGCGTTGACGTTAGATGGCATTTTTGCTATTGAGGGAGGGAGGCCTTATCAAGCTTACAGACAAGCTCTAGCTAAGCTCTGATCCGCGTTCTTAATTGCCCATGGGGTGGAACGTAGGAGATATTAGCGAATTCTAGAAGGTGATTATGTAATGGGCGTTGAAAATGTAGACTCGCTGAAAATTGGTGAACTTGAGACATGAAAAGACGACAAACACAGTCCAAATCTGCCTACTCTGCATCCGGAGACGTTGACTTGTCTGCGACGACGCAACTCCACAGCTCTCTTAATAGACTCCTCTCCATACGGCCCGGCCTCCGTCTAAGGACCTCTTGAATTCTCCTACGTTGCTCTTCGTGCGCTTTCCGGGCCTCATACTCCTCTAGCAGATCATGGCTCATCTCAAGCTCGGTGCTAATGTGTTTCGGAGACGCGGCACTCCAACGCTGGGCTTCTATTTGATATCCGTCAGGCTGGAGGACTGCTGCGGAAGCGCTGCGATCAGTGGTAGGATCCTCCCCTTCAATAACCGCTAGATCACCTAGCACGTAGTCGCCTGGTGTGAGATCGATGATTTGGACGGCCCTGGAACGAGGGGTTATGTACTTGTACGTAAAATAGAAGACTGCGAAGAGGAAGGGCTGATTTTCGTTAGTATAGTCAATCGTAGTGCAACGGAAGGATTGACTAACGCCTGAATACGCGCCTAGGACATCGCAGCCAAGACCGACGTTGGACTTCAGGTGGTCGGTCGATGTCAGACCACTTTTAGATCCTAATATGTACAGCGGAGGGACGCCGGACCAGATAACGACAAAAATGCATCCGATGATACCGATATAGGCGGGTAGTGGCTGCCAGCGGGACTTGAACATCCGGGAGATGTATAGCGGGTCGTTGCGGCTTAAGATCCTACGTTCTTCCAACCGCTTGAGTCTATCGGACCGTGTGAGTATACACTGCTTGATTTGGGAAGGAGAATTTTTACCCAGCCTTGAACTTGAGAAACGTGACACATTCGCATATGTAAACACAAGCGATGGATCCAGTGAAGAAGGCAGAAAGCGTTTGACGTGGCTGTACAATATGTCAACGCATGTAAGTGAAAGGTGGAATAGCTAGTAAGCTTTTGCACTTGAAGTGCACGATGATGGGAAGGACTGGTTTCTTACCTGATCATAAGCCTGCCTGCTGAGCCCGGCAAGTGATACAAAGCCGAATATGGAGCACAACAGAATCGCTGATAGCGGTGTGTGACCATTGTTGGTCCTCCCGAAGATATCCGCCACCCTTCTCGGCAGGTATGTCTGTGCAAGCATGAATACGCTTCGCGATGCCACATACAATTCCGTGTTCCTGGCAGTTCTTAGTCGACGAGACTCATGCGGCAATCATACCACTTACGCAGCTGTATATGCCGAAATGATGAAGAACAGGTGCAATGCCTTGAAAACACCGGCAATTGCAGATGCCTGAACGGCGACCACGAATGGCGATAGTCCTCCAGATCCGCTTCCTGGGGTCCACGTGACAGGGAGGCTGGGATCGGCGTAATTAACGTTTGCTGCAGCAGACATAAGAGTAAGAGGATACAACGAAAGTGGGACAATGTAAACAAACGACATCACTACCGGGACATCTCTGAAAGCCTCCTTCGCCTCGCCTGCCGTCATCGCTATGGCTTCCCCCCCGAAGCAGGAGAACATTGCTAACGTGACGGATGTTAGGAAGCCGAAGAATCGCCCGCCAGAGCCTGGAATACCGAACTGCGTGTCCGTGACGCCTTTGCTGTAGACGAGATGGTTCGAAGTGTTATTGAAACCTGTTGGTTTAAAGCCGGGCGTGAAAGCCATGGTCGTGTAATTCTTGCGGTACGACCCAGTGCGTTCTCCAGCGGCGCCGACATTGATGACAAGCATCAGGATACAGACCAGGATAAACAAGCAAAGTTTGAAGGCGGCGACGACTCTCTCGATTGTTCCATAAACCTTGACCCCGAAGCAATGGGTAAGTGTCGTCAGCGTAATGAAAGCTATCGTGATGGCAACCTCCACTGCGGGCGAATGGCGTTCTGGGTAATGACCAGACTTCATAAGTGACGTCAGTTCTGCAGAGTACGCCGTGAGGCAGGCCATGGACAGGATGTTCCCGAGACTTTGTTTGATCAGTCAGTCTCAGATAAGTTTTGTCAGTGGATCTATTACTCACGAATATGATGTAGCCACAGCGAAGCCTGCCGCGGGGTCCAGGAACTTATGTGGCAAGTCTATCAACGCTCCTGTTAATGGACGGCATGCGACCATCTCCGTAAGCGTGTATAAGACACTGGCTGCTATAATACCGGCGACAAGGTAGCTGAGAGGTCCTCCGAGAGATCCAGAAGTGGTGATGAGGGAGCCGGAAGTTACAAAGATGCCTACGCCGACACATCCACTAATGCCGATACCTGTGACGCCTGATTAGTACTGGACCATCGCTCAATATGGTGAAGGTACCAGCGAGCTGTGGACGACCAAGGATGCGATGCAGATGTTCATAGTGGTCGACATAGTAAGGACTCCGATCTAAGGGTCGTACATCACTCATGATGAAGCTATGGGATTCGAAAGCAGCCCAAGACAACTGGATGAATCGTGGAGACAGTTACGGATGTGCGCAATATCAATACGGCTCACGAAACAGTGCACAAGGCTTGCAGGCGACGAGGCAGAATCTGGCTCGGCAGGCACAGGCTATGCTAGCTTTGCCTTGCGAGCTATCAACAACGAATTGAGAGAAGAAACTCGGACTAGGGTAACAATTCGAAAGTACAGATAGATAAGCACGTAACCAAGCTGTTCATGCTGTATTGTGGCGCAGTATCGAAACCTTGCTATGAGCGCATAGATAACCAGGCGCGGCAAGCAGCCTGAAGTTTGAGTCTTAGATGTTGGAGTACGCAGTCTTGAGACTGCGCAACGGATGCGGATCACAGGGCTACAAAGAGGGGGCCAATCTGACGCCACGCCGCGCCCTTATTGGCTATAGGGCTGCGCGCGGTATGTCGCTCGCCTCACCCACTGGTTCCGACCAATACAGTGATAATGCCTCGAACCAAAACATTGGGCGCTGCAGAGGAAGTGGCTTAGCTGGCAGTGAGATGGACGCTGCACGAAGCCACCATGCGGGCCTTTTGCCCCGCGACACGTCGACACCTCAGCTGTCATCGCGAGCTGTCAGTGCCCTATAGCGCTGCTGCCTTCCCAGCCCAAAATCCAAATATCTCTTCTCCACTTTTAGCTTTTGGCATGGCACGAAGCTTAGGGTATCCTTGCCAAGCATGCTGTGAACGATGGCTCGCAATTCTTTTGCATCATCAGGAGTGATCCCGACATCGCCAGAGCGACAATCTCATATAACCGAGCGATTCGATGTTTTGCAGGCGTCAGAAGGCACCAGTTCAAAGACTCGACTGCAGCAGCAAAGATGCCGGTTCTCCATACGCGACTCTGACACCTTCGTCTCCACCGCCATCGCGCCAAACAGGTGGGTAGCAGCTGCTACCCCATCCGAAGTTCGCCTGTACAATATAGAAAGCCAGGATCTTGACCATGACGTCAAACCAGATGCGTCGATTCGTCTCAAATCATTATCGAAGGGAGAAAGCATACGAGCAGTTGCCATCTCTAACGATCTGCTGGCCGTTGTGACCCATCTTCGTCTCGTCGTATACGAGTACCAAGAGGCTGGCAACATCGAGAACAACATGTTACCCGAGGTACACATTGATCAGAAAGCAACATGGACTCCAAGATCAGTGTCAGTCCTGCAGGTAGACTCCACAGATGCGAACCAGAGCGCCGCTGCATGGATTGCCATAGGCGGTGAAGGTGTGAACGGCGTGAAGCTCTACCAGTATTCCCGGAACCCTGGCTGGACCGCCCTACGCAACTGTCGCTTGACTTTGAAATCTCCCCAGAATACCGGCCTCGTGCAATCTGTTGGCTTCTCGACGTTTGTGCGCTTGAATTCCTTTGTTGTCTTCGCGGTGACTTCAGAGAATCGTGTTATCTGCTGGTGGGTCCGTTCGCGAGAGATAGGTAAGCTGCCTCATTATCAGCAGTGTGCCCGAGTTACTCACCATTGTGATCTATTAGGTAGCCCGGAATCTATCTCACGGACAGAATATGATACCAGTGCAACGCAAAATCCATCCGTAAGCAACTTGCTCAGACCGATATGCCACGTCTGACATTCGAGTAGTCACATAGAGGAGAGATAACCGCCGTGGTCGTATTTGAATCACCATCTGGCACGGTATACGTCCTCGTTGGGATAAACCAAAAGCATGGTTCACCATTGATACGGAGCTTCATAACGCCCTTAGGTGCACCGAGTTCTCAGTGGAGGTCGCTTCCGGACAACGTGGTGGGGAGAAAATGCCTTTCGGCGGCCGCGACACCGAATGGTCGATTCCTCGTTGTCGTAGAGGAAGGTTCTTTGAAGCTTTTGACCCTTCGTGGTGCTTTCGAGGGAGGCCTCACGTGCTCGGAGCATACCGTGGAATGGATGTCGTCTCTTTCAGAGACGGCGAAGGACATAAATGCGATCTCCCCTCTCAGTCAAGGAAAGTCGGAGCTGCATTGAGATTACTGGAACCGATGGCCGTGGACATGTTATCTACGCGCGGGCGAGCGTGCCAGGCATGCCAGTAACGGCGCCTCCTTCGCTTACGAGACGCCCCTTCGAGATGGCGGAGCTTCACGGCGACAACATCGTGCCAGTTGTACCTGAGCTGCGCGGGAAGGAGGTGAACCACGCTCCGCGAGTGGACTCGACGGTAGGATCTCACTGGGAGCGTCTTTCGGGGGAAATCGAGGTCATGCTGGGCAGCTGAACAGGCTATTTCCTGAAGCTTGACCAGGACCCGCGCGATATCGCTGGGTAGGGAAACGAATACTCGAACGGGATCTGGGCAGATGCAGCCTACGAGAACTGCTGCATCTCTGAAACTGGGAACCATATTGGGCCACGGAGTGACGAGCGAGGACGTGTGGTGAGAAGAGTGTTGCATCTGAGCGCTGGCTCCGACGTCGGGTGGCCGTTTCCGGCAGCAACCGTCCCGGATGGGTTTAGCTTGCCGCATCGCTCCTGGCGAGACATTGCTGCTGTACTCCACCTGCGACGTGTAGGTACTGAATATAAAACTCCATCTCTCGCACTACATACCTGTCATCGACTTCCGTCGCATCGAATTACTCTCCGCGGACGGTGCCCTGTCGGCCGCACAGCCAGAAGCACCATGAGCCCCACACGCACCCATCGCGCCAGCCAAAGCAACAACCCCAGGGCGTCACGCCACCAGAGCTCGATACAGCACAAGTCCACGGAGGTGATGATCGCTCACTGCCCCAGCCCGCCATGTAGATGACCATGCGGCAGATGATGCAGGCGTGGCGTCGGCACCTGCATTTCCATTCTTCGTATCGGGATTCGACGTGTTCCGACTGCGCTTCTCTGGGCCTATCCCAAAGGCCCCCGGGAGACGCACAGCGACGCGATGCGCAACTCGCGTGGGATCTGTTTACCCCAAGCGGCCGCGGTGCTCCACTGTCGTCGAGACCCAGGGCCACCAGCGGAGCAGAAGACGGTCCACGGCAACACGGCCGCCATCATCGAGCGTCTGTCGCTTGCTTACAGTTATTATAGACGCTATGCGTCGTTCGGACGCGGTAGAGTTGGCGGCGGCAGGACTGGACCTGCATACTGAGTTGGGTAAGCTCAAAGTGGCTGGAGAGCTTTTAGTGGGGGATCTCATCGTCGGATGCTCGCCTCCCCTACCGCGACGGCCGAGTCCAGCGTCCGCGTTGGTCGACCTCCTCGAGCCAACCTTGTACGTTCCTGCTCCAAAGGCAGGGCGGAAGCCCTGGTCCAGTCGCCTATTCACACTGGTGCAAACCGCCATGGCGACCGTCTGCGCTGCTGCCGCCGCTGTCACTTCACAATGTCCATTACGCTGCACCCCGCTTTCCTTCTGATAACAAGCGCACCTTCCTTTCTTTAGCAGGCCACGTTCACCAGGTGCATTGTCGCCCTTTACCTTTACGGCCTCCAAATTTCTATATGAGGTAGTTGGGCTGCTTTGCCCACGTCTCGCTACCCATTTTCCATCTCCTGCTGTGCAACCCGTCGAGCCTAGGCCTTCACCTCACTCGGCACTTCCGACCCGTACAGTGATACATCCTACGGCTTCAAGTAATCTCCGACTGTCTGCAAGCGGTCCCATCTGAGACCTGCTCGACATGGTTACGCCACCGTTGCTGCTGCTCGGCGCCATCTTCGTCGTCAGCTCTACATTGTTCATCTTGCTGAAGAAAGCAAGACGTGAAGTGTTTCTGAATCGCCTTCACTGGGAGCGCCGACGATTCTCTGGTTCGAAGACCCCCCCTCGGTCTTTATCACCGACGAAGGAAGACAACAGCTCCGTACCAGACTATTCAGACGTGTACCCTCCATCTCGCAAGATCGCACTGGCGGACATTCCCGGTTTCGCTGAGAAACTAGGCAAGTCTCAGGAGGATGTGATACTCTCTGCTGAGAAGCGAGAAAGCGTGCCCCTTGCTACTGAGCTCCACGATGCGAAAAAGACCATGTCTACTCCGTGTGAGTTCACGGTAGAGGAGATCGAAGCACTCGGAGACTTCCCCGACTACGCTTTGCTCAGTGGCATACCCCTTCCCAGACCATATCCTAATTTCGACATCAAGAAGGCGAAGCCGAGGCCATACAGGCCTTTCCGATGGGCATACCACCAGACAATGTGTAAGTGCGGCATGAGAACGTACAGTGCCCTGTGCTGAATGTGCTGCAGCTCTCACAAAGATGGAGCCGGACTGGTGGCTAGAGCTCGAAAGCACGTACGCAGAACGTATGCGGCAACGAAAGGAAATATATGAGAGAGAAGGCGAGAACGTGCTGAACATGCTCCCTGGGTCATACTTTGCTTGTAAAGAATTGATGGAGATGGGTCTCCAATTCCTCTGTGCACGCTATCCGCAGCACTTCCGCCTAGACATGGAGAAGATGGTATTTTACAACGGCATCTTAGAAACGGAGTCGGACCTGAAGAACACTCATCCGCTCCATGTCCTTTTCAACAATGTCCCCGAAGACTTCGCCATCACGATGCGAAACTCTGAAGATGGCCTATACAGCTTCCGCGCGGGCACGATCTGCAGCGCTTTGGGGTGGAACGTGGGTTCAAAGATCGGCAAGACTCTGCCTGAGATACACGCACCTGTGCCAGATTACAAGGAGAAGATGCAGTTATCAATGGATCGGTACGTCGTCAAGCTGACCCCACTTTCGGCATGCGCTAATACCGGCCTAGTTACTTTACAAAGAAGCCTACTGATAAGGCTATTCAACGTGGGTCATGGGGCCTCGAAGTGGATCAACCCCTCTATATGCCGCCCGGTGACCCACACGAGAAGCTCCGTGACGTACAAATGCCAGAGCTCGACATCTCGCGCTGCAATCTTCGAGTCGACTGGCAGACTCTGCGACGTCTGCCCCTATCGGGTGCTATCGTCTTTAACTTCAAAGCACTCTTCACGCCCATAGAGGAGTTCCGCAACGAACCTTATGTACCGGCGCTGGTATTGAAGGTGCTGAACGAGGCGAAGCCGAACTTGATGGCTTACAAGAACACTTGGCATACCGAGCACGTTGTCAAGCCTGCATTGGACAAATGGGCGAAGGAGCAGGTTGAAAAGGGATGGGTTCCCGAGGACTGGGAGCCGCATACGCTGGATGAAAGCCCGTACTTCTCGGGGTGGGAGGAGAAGTGGCATCAGCAACAGGGCTTCTAAGTGAAGCGCACACATGCATAGGTCACCAAAACACACCCTACTTGGATATACCCTACTCAAAGACGATAAAGTCTGGCTCGTGGGTTGGTAGCGCGGTCATTTTCATCTGATTAAAGTTGTATATATTGGCGCTTGGATTTATCCTCGGACAGACTCGTAAGCTGTATACCCGCTGCGTGACCACGGGTCGCAAACGAGTCTTTAGCTTCAGCATATTGCATCTTAGATATCGAACACATCTACTGTTCTCAAGTACACAAGCTCCACCTGGAGCGGGGTATAGAAAGAAACAACTTCGGAAACAGAAGTGCTTTCCTGGGCGGGGACCACTCCCACGGTGACAGTGCTTTACACTCGCAGGGTGTCGTACATTGTACTGGTTGATCATTTCCTACGTTATGTATGTATTGTGTCCGTCCTTCTTGCTATCTGATTACTGTCGCTCTAAAATCCTGCCAAAGACGCACAGAACTCATGGACGCACAGAACTCATGGACTCATGAACTCATGGACTCATGGACTCATGGACTCATGGACTCATGCGTATAGATACTCGAAGGCTGGGCCTTTTTGGGATATCTGAATTGGCTGTGTCTGATCGCTAATGTATAGCTGTTCTCTCACGTGTGGAGGTCAGATGAGTGCTTCCGGCATATACGCAACGGTATTTCATTCGCAAGCTTGGACTCTTAGAAAATGCAGTTCGGCAGTCTATGCGATACTACGCCTCTTACATGGCAAAAATCAAGCCATGATAAGCGACCTGTTATTCTTATTCTGCACACGGCCAATCTGCCGTTTCCAACCGTCGATGATGCACAAGGGTATATCATCCCTACTTCTTGAGCCACTGCATCCAATCATGCGCAGCATCAATAACCCCCGCCATCCGATCATTCACGCTTTCCTCAATAAGCTTCTCGAACTCTCTCCCCGCATCGCCCTCACTCTTCCCCAACCACATCCTCTGCTCGACCTTCCTCACACTGCCCTCACGTTCCACCTTGATATCCGGAATGTTAGCCTCCTTCATTAGTGCAAACAGATTCAAGATAAGATTGCTCGACTTCCTTAGCGTAGACCACGCTGTGAAGCAATACTCCTTGAAAGCCATATAATTGGGATGCTCAGGCCCGCCCATGCCCTCGATCATCTGCGGCGCAATCTTCATCTGGGGAGCGTACGGCTTAGGGTCACGGCCGAGTATGTATCCGAAGTCGACGTGGAAAAAGGCGCCGGAGGGAGAGATGAGGAGGTTGTCAAGGTGGCGGTCGCCGACGCCGAGGAGGTAGGTTATCACGCTGTATCCGGCACAGGATTTGATATAGGTGTCCATTGCTTCTTTGCGGACACCCAAGAGCGCGGTGTCGTCTGGGTTATTAGCCCGCAGATAGGCGAGCAAACTGCCTTTGTGCTTTTGAAGGGCGGCGGCGAGGGACATTGATGGTATGAATTGGAAGGCACCAGTGAAGGCGGAGGTCGCGAGGATTCGGTAGGGTGTGAGTTTCAGGTCTAGATTCTCTTTCTTCAACAGTTGGTCCATCAAAGTAATGATCTGGATCACGAGCTGATCCTGTCGGAGATCATCTCCCGTTTTGAAGATGATCGGGTATTTCGTGTTGGCCATGGTCCTGAAGTTGAGCACCATCGGTAGAAGAGACGACTTCAGGACGTTGCAATCCTCGGGGTAGACACCGTTGATCATCACCGATGGATCGAGCGGGAGGGGAAGCGGGTCGAAGTTAGTCAGATCGTTCTTGGGGTCTGCAAGTGCTTTCTTGAGACGCGCGATCTTGGCAAGGCGGTCGCCGCCTCCATAGCGCACTTCTTTTGATAGCTGTGCAAGTACGGTGAGAAGTTCAACTTGTCGGCGGAACGTCCTGCGAATCTCTTTGCCTTCAGGCGTTTTCTCGAGCTCGGTCATAAAATCGTACTCTACCTTTGCGAACAACTCGCGATGCTCCGGCGCTTGGTCACTGCTGCTGTCACTAACTTCAACTACTAAATACCAGAACAGGAAGTTGCCCAACGCGAGGCTGTTGGCTGCGCGAGTAACAAGGAAGCGAGCTAGCGAGGAGTCGTCACGATCGCCGGAGGCCTCGTACTTGAGAGCTTGCACCAGCTGTAGGAGATAGAGTTGCAGCTCGTCGTCGTCGGCCTTCTTGAGACGTTCGACTGCATAGCTACGCACAACCGGGTGATCGAATTGCGGGCCCAGCAACTCCAAAGCGTCGTCGACGTCGATTTCCGCCCACTTGTCCAACATCGGAGCAGCCTGTCGTGCCTCGCGCTCGTTGTGCCAGTTTACGCATTTCACGAACTTGGTCAACGCGCGTTTCCGTGAAGACAAAAAGTAGCGGAACTTCCAAATTTCGTCGCGTTCCTGTGTGGTGATCTCGTCGAGCGGACCCCTGTTGAGTAGCGCGAACAGCTTGTCGCGGACATGAACGTTCGGCTTCCTGTCGCGATCTAGGGAGTCGGTCTGTTGGCTGCGCATTAGCTCGCGATGCTTGTCTTCTGCAGGATTGGCCCTACGCCCGATCTCAGGGTCATAGATGCGAATGAGACGACCGGCTTCTGCGTCATCCGTGCCAATTCCAGGGCCGAAGGACACTTCTGGTGGTGGCCGCAGGCGTATCTCAGAATCGGAAAGTAATTTGATATCGGAAACTGGTGGAGGGAGATACTCCATATCAGTGAAGACGATGGAATGGTCGAATCGCGGGAGCTCGATATCTAGGTAAAATATGTCATCCTCAGCGTCGTGTCCAACATGACCGTTAATTCCGTTTGACTGTGACTTGCGGCGGTTCATGGCCGTATGCTCTGCTTCGATGGCTTTGTCCTTTATCTTCTCCATCTTGCGGAAGACCAATTTATCGAGCCAGGGATTCTCCGGGATGTCGCCCATTTCCTGCTTCTTCAACAACTCCTCGAGCCTTTGCATCTCGGTAATCTGCTCGTCGACAGCGTGCTCCTGCGGCGCATCGTTCCTACCCTTACGCTCTGGTGGTATTACCCACCGGGTGGTGGTGTTGGAAAGGCCATCCGCAGCCTTGAAGCGATGTATCCTACAACGCTGGCGACCTTTCTGCAGGGTATTGTCTTTATCGAACAAGGGTATGGTGGTTCCTCCAAAAGGAATCGCGTGCCGATCTGAGTCCTTGTCTTCAGCTGGTGAAAGGTCCCACACGGTTATGGCGACCTGGGCGGATACGGGAAGGCTCGCGTACGTAATGGGTAGCGGTAGCCACTCGCCCCATATTCGCGCATTCTTGAATGATTTGTATGCGGTTTGGACCTCAACGGTGAGAGGCTTGCTGTCTGCCCAGATTTGGGCAGTGACGTACAGCTCAGAATGGGGGCTGATCCAAGTTAGGCGAGGACTCATCCCAAAATGTTCATCTCTCACTTGGTATTTGACGCCCGATGTCTCAAGTCCGGCCTCTTGAGCAGTACTGAGTAGGGAATCGGCTTTTGGTGGCCATCTAGTCGGTCACTGTCTGCTTTAGTGATTCTCCAGGAAGGGGCACAAGGTGAGAGAGGCTCACATCTTTACGTGCACCGAAAGCTCAGAGAGGTCGGTCGTGGTAGCAAAGTGAAAGGCTTCCATCGCCGGCGGGGAGCTTGATGTGAGCTATTGGCCCGCATGAACGTGGACTTAAGAGACTTGGAGGATAATCAGACGGACAGAAGGACCACTTATCCATCTACCTGCAGTACTCCATACGCGAGCTTTCGCGCCATATCATGATAGTTGCATGTAGGACGGTGAACGTCCTACTGTCACAAGCCACGCGCGCTCTGAAGGCTACGCGAGGAACGGTAACACGTGGGGTTTGCTTGGCATACGCGCCCCCGGTCGCTCCTCCTGTATCAAATCACGCTAGTCGGAGGGCTCGACTTCTCGCCGCGCCGCGTCCTTCAATGTTCACTTCCCAACGCTCGCCAACCACAACGCAGCGACGCTGCGGGTATCCGTCCGACGCGCGCACAAATTAACAATGGCACGTCTCAACACGCACACCTCTGCCACTCCCATGCAAAGCCGCGCAACAACTGTCGACACGCTCTACCGCGACCCAACTCCTGCGGGGCGAGGTAGCACTGCGCGAAACTCGTCATATTCTGTCATGAGCCCTGCCCTTTCGCAGTCTTCCGATAAAGAGAACGACATACCAGAATCGCGCCAAAATACGCCTCAGTCGCGAAGTAAAAGAAGTCTAATGGCAGGAACGCGTGCGCAGCGCCTTCCTACCCCAGACTCGGCCTCAACTTCGAATCCAAACAAGCGCCAACGAACAACCAAGTACGATTCCGGCATATCGGACTTGCGTGGGAATGGAGACGTGAATGTAGGAATATACGAGGACGGGCAGGATGAAGAGAATGAGGAAGATGACGGCATCGTGCAAGACGATGATGAATTTGAACGAGGTTTACCCACCCCGACTGATGTTGGGATCGAGGATGCAGAGGGAGAAGATGAAACAGAAGAGCCAGGCCTACCTAGGCCGGATGACGAGTTCGACGATGACAATCCGGACCTTCGTTATTACAACCCTCAACAACATCCCGAGAAACGCCGGCAGATTCGCTCAGGCTACCGCACTCTGCAGCGCGAGCTCGAAGGTGAGGTATGTGCTGCGAATGAAAAGGCAACCACTAACGGTGCTAGACAATCGCGATGAGTACATTAAGCCCGGCAGCAAGCGGCTAAACGAACTGATTCCGCAAGCGACGCGTGTTTTTGGCAAGGTGCGGATGACTGCAGATGCCGTGCTGGATTCTCACTTTTTGACATCGGTGACCGATCTATCATCAAAACAGCTGAAAAACAGCGTCGACCAGGGCAATCACGGGATCGGTGTCGACTTGGACCAATTTGTGTCCAGATGCATCTTCTTCATGAAGGAGGGAAGACCCCCCGGCGTGGATGAGGACGCGCAACCCAGTTCACGCGGGCGCCGACAAACGCAGCGTGATGAAGTCGATGAAGACGGTGACGGCGAAGGGCTCGATTGGGCGTATTTGGGGAGGCACGCGTGTTTCCCATCGAACAAGCGTCCTCCTCTTTCAAATTTCCTCCTAGGACCTCTCTCCGTCCAGAAACGCGTTCGGAACATGACGCAGCGCCGCGCTCGGTCACAACGGCAGCCGCTTGGCCCTGCTACACGACCACAGGAGATAAAATTAGACGAGATCCAGAAGAACGAAAGCTCTAGTTTGACGCATCAGGTCAAGGTTATAAAGGCGCGGTTATCTGATCACATTACAAAAGCGAGCGAATTGGTAGAGACCGCCGAGATTGGAGAAGATGAAGATGATGCAGCTGTCTTAAAGCGACATCGCATTTGCGTGACCCAGAACGAGGAGGCGGCGGTGTCCTTGTTCGACTTTGCGATCAACCCTGGCTCCTTTGGGCAGACCGTTGAAAACCTCTTCTATATCAGCTTTCTGATTCGCGAGGGTGCGGCAAAGGTAGAGACCGACGCAGACGGCCTACCGCTATTAGGTATGTCTACTGAACTAGCTATTATTGCTCATCAATAACCGGCAACAGCTCCTGAAGCGCCTCGTACCATTGTTGAGCAACGGGAACAGAAGGTGGAGAAACGTCAAGCCATTTTCTCCATCGATTACGCCACTTGGCAGACCTTAATAGAAGCATTCGACATCAAGGAACCTCTGATCCCAAACCGCGCTTCCGAAGAAACGAGCGTCGGAGCCGGCGGTTGGTATAGCTAGACGATCCTGTTCTTCGCATCATTTTGCTCTGTAAATTATGCGACGAGGGTACTTTTAAGGCGGCTTCGTCTCCAGCGTTACAGTGGCGGAGTCTACATTGGCATGCAGAAGAAGTGCCAGCGGTCAGCGTAGCAACCAGCTCCATTCCTAGGCGGGATACACACTACGCGAGGCATTACACAGTTCGATTAACTAAGAGGTGGTACTTGGCAAGGGGAGCATTGTTTATTGATACCCAAGATCTATTTGCGGTTCCTTTGAGGGGGCGTTCTTCGAATAAGTTGTACGAATATGCACGACATTGTTCTTCGATGAAAGCGAGCAATTTTATACGAGCTCTTAATACCTTCTGGCACATGTTTGATTGCATCTTGCTAACGCTGCAGGTCTACCACGTTCAATTATCAAGAAGCGGTCAATCGGCCCGACTTGATGATGTCGATCCTTGCATGGTACGCTGTATCAATGGCGTTCAGCATGTCACCCGCCCAAATACAATGGGCACCTGGAATCCTTCACACTGCCGATACTCGCCTCGACTCCGTGCACTATGCTTCGTTTGACTACGACGCCCGAATGGGCAGTCAGCGCCATCATCCCGCTACAATATCCATCCGCTGGACCCGGCAAGGCCCCTGCAGGTAGTGTGGGGTTCTCCGTAGCGAAACAACCGCGAGCTATACCGCGTAGGCAGCGCGATTTCATCTGTGTATGTACCTAGCGCATGTTCGTGACACAGGGTACTTCAAGGGTTCGGTTCCAGGTTGCTCGTGGCGTGAGGCTAAGAACAGCGTCCGTCTCGCCTCTGTACCACAATAGTTAACCCAGAGCGTAAAGCATGGCGCTCAGCGAGACCCTCACAACGAATGGAACCACGAAAGGTACGAAAACGAACATCGGCATCGTTGGCGCAGGCATTGCAGGCCTCGGGGCCGCAGTTGCGCTCCGCCGCGCAGGCCATGATGTCGAGATTTATGAGAAGAGCAGCTTCAAGAGGGAAATTGGTGCAGCCATCTTACTGACACCGAATGCGAACCGCATCCTCCGCCGCTGGGGCTTCAATTTTGACAAAGCGCGACCAGTCGACTTTGAGCAGTTTAGGCTGGTCAATGGGACGAGTTTGGAAGTGATTGAGAGGGTGGATTTTGGAGGCGTGGAAGAGCATTTTGGGGACAGGATGTGTGCGTATCATCGCGTGGACCTGCATACCGGACTCAGGGAGTTGGCGGAGAAAGAAGGTGCCGTTACTCATCTTGGTGCAGAGGTCATAGACGTCTCGCCTGAAGAGGGCATCATCACGCTGCAATCCGGCAGAAAGGTACAAAAAGACCTCTGCATTCTCGCGGATGGGTGCCACTGTCCCTTCCTTGAGAAAATTACCGACGAAGATATCCCAACTAGGAAGATTGGGAAGTCCGTGTATCGCTGGCTTGCGCCGATGGAGAAAGTTCTGGAACATCCAGACGCGGCGAAGCTGTGGAATGGTGAAGGAGCAGGCTTCTGCACGTTCTCCGAGCCCAAAAGCGGCAACATGATGGTAACCTACCCCTGCCGCTCCGGAACCCTACTCAATTGCGCCGTCTTCCACGACACGCGCCCCGACGAGATACACAAAGTGGATTGGAACGCGAACACTACACACGAGCGCGTGCTCGAGGCTTTGCAGAACTGCCATGATGCGGTAAAACATATTCCCATGACAGCGGAGCAGATGAAAGTCTACACTGTCACCCAGCGACCGCCGTCTACGCGCATTTGGAGGGGCAAAATGCTGTGTATAGGAGACACAGTGCATCATATGCTCCCCACCCACGCTCAAGGCGGCTGCTCCGCTCTCGAAGACGCCGCTGCGTTGGAAGTCCTCTTCGATTCAAGTACCGTCTCCTCTTGTCCTGCAGACCTCGCAAGGAGACTCGACCTATACACACAACTTCGCCTCCCGCGCAGCGCAACAACTCAAATCCTGAGTTCTACAAATCCGTGGCTCACGATGGAGCAAGTGGCCAAGAAGACGGAGGAAATTAGACGATTTTATGATGGCCATTTAGTAGACTGGCCTAAAGGGCTAGGACCGTGGAGTGCGCCCATCAGGGATTTTTGGTATAGTTATGACATTATCGAGGAGGCAGAGGAGGCGATGAAGTACAAAGACAGTGGGAAGCTGCCAGAGGGATGGAAGTGGTTTGGGGAGGTGAGGGAGAGGATGGGCGGAGGGTCGTGAGGGGAGACGCTGGAGTGGTGGTGAGCAACAGGGTGTAGTAATGATGAGCATGGGGGTATAAGGGAGGCATTTTCAGGGCTCAGTCCAGTTAGGTGGCTTTCAGCGCAACCCCTTGCCAATTCTTGTCTACAATCTGACCATCTGTAGAACTTTTGTTCACAATTTTCAAGATGTCTGACCTCTTAGGCCACTTAATGGCCTAAAAAAACTAGCGCAGCGCACCAAAAGTATAAAAGGGATTACCTCCTATCGCATCCAGCATACCTTCACCATTGCCTTCCCCAACACCAACCAAAAAGCTAGTTTAACAGGGGATCGAACCCTGGACCTTTCGCGCGTTGATCACAAGCTTGTGAAGCGAACGTCATACCACTAGACCATTAAACTTGGACATGATTGGTTGGATTTCGAGGACAGAAGCTTTTATACTTGAACTTGAAGAGACACTGAGCCAACCCGTGCTGTTCAAGCTCTGTTCTAGCTGACGATTGCACACGAACTGTGCGCGAAAGCAGTGTGGAGACGAGAGGTAAAGAAGCTATGTGGGTCGAGGCTCGGTTGTATGCGTGTAGCCGAAGTGCGGGTCTACCATACCAGAACTACCAGCTTTGTTTGATAATCAATCCTATGTGCCCAAGAATTAGGAGCAGCCTCCCTCGGTCTGTCGTTTTCTAATGTTTGATGCCCTCAGATCTGGTCTTGCTCGAGTCCTTCTAAATCATCAAGACAAGATACTGCCGTCATCCTACAATAGCCAGAGCATTAATTTCTACTTTTGGTAGCGATGCAGAGAGCCTCGAAGCATTTTTCGAACGGGTTTCTATCTGTACATTGAACAGGTGTAAGAAAGAATCCTTGATGTTTGTAACTGAAAGTGGTCCTATCTGAATGCGTCACATATGCAGACCTTGATTGAGTGTCACATCTATTCCACCAACAATATCTCATCTTGTTAAGGTTCGTGGTCTAGTGGAATGACATTCGCTTCACAGGCTCGTGATCAGCACACGGAAGATCCAGGTCCGATCGCATCACGTGCTACGCATATGCCCGCCTTAGTTGCAGAAGGCCCATCCTATCTGATCCCATGAATCAAAGCTCCTTCTGTTGACCCACACAAACAAGCGTACGGTTGGTAAACTTAGATTCCCAAACCAACATGGCCACTCCGAACATCCCTCTCCGCCTTTTTCCATATCGCCATCAAGCTCCCCAACCCCATCTCCACCAACTCTCCCCTTGGCTCGACCAACCAATGCAATCTTCCCATCTTCTTCATACTCTTGTGCCATCCTGTAAGCAACACCGCATACACCTTTCTGTCCTCATCCATGAATTCAAGATTGCCAAACCCACTGCTTGAAGCCCCATGATTGCGCGACCCCATCTCCCAGAACATTGTGTTTGGTTGTGGCAAAGGCATAGAGGAGGCGGAGGCGGAGGCGGAGTTGGATATATCCAAGCGGAACAGGCGTACTTTTTGCGACTTGTCTCTGCGCGGTACGACGGAGATAGACGCAACGCGGCCGTCGCTCAACTCCAGCCTGCTACTGCCGAACTCTGTCGCGAAGGATGCGGTACCAAGCGCTCCGCCCTCCGTCTTCTCGCCTGCGTACATCACCATCTGCCCCGCGTGCTCGCCTTCATCCGGGAATTCGAAGACGTAAGAGGGCGAGTCGGAATTTAGGTGCTTTACGAGCGCGACTTTCACTTTGCGCATGTAGTTTTGCTCAAGGTATATGTGGTAAGTTGTGTATACTTTTTTGGGGCCCATGGTACTCGGGATGGTTGCGGGGTTGCGCTCATCGTTGATCTGGTTGTCGGTGGTGGGTGCTGAGGGTGCGGGTGGGGGCTGGGGTGTGTATGCGGGAGGCGCGTCGAAGGTTTCTAATGGGGCCGAAGGACCTGCTTCTGATTTCTCTGGCATGTCCATGGTGAGCTGTGTTGAGTGTTGTTGGCACGCTTCCGAGTCTTTGGTTGTCGAGGGAAGTCCGTTCACGGAGTTGCGGCTCCTTAGTAGACCCACCACAACTTTACCATACCCACTTGAGTAAAGATCAGATCACGCGTGGCTTTGGATCCAAGAAACGGACCCTTGAACTAGTTTTGGTGGTGTAGCATTGAAAGATTTGGGGGCGGTGCCAGACAAGGGGCTGCGTGGGGTAGGTCTCCGCACGCAACAATAAAGCGTACAACGCGACGGTCATGTATGGCTGAATGAAAAGTTGATGAAACATGTATCTTTCTAGCCAAAGCTAGTCATGTTATTCATTCCCACCTGCAGCTTTAAAAAACTTGACTCGCTAATTTGTGGAAACTGGCACTTGTCCACAGAGTCAATATGCCCTTCTCGAAGCAACCTTAAAAACTCCGAAAAAAAGAAAATCGAGGATTCGTGACTAAACGAGATGGAGGCCAGAAAAATGTAGTTTAGTGAAGTGTGCAACGGTCCTTGCGTTTGCGCTGAACACGATGCGGCCCTCAACTAGGACTTCATGCTAGAAACCGGACGACCAAGTCAAGCCACCTCTGCATTCGCCCGCTTGATCTCCCGACGGATAATGGAGATGGATGTCGCGACATGCAGGATTTCCGATAGAATGTGTAAGACCTGGAAGACGTATCCGACCTCGTGCCACATGCCCATGATTGCAGGGGAATACCACGGCGACCACCACAGCGACATCCTTCCATGTGTAGGGCCCCACCCATTTCTCAGGTAAAACAAACAGGTATAGTGACCTACTAGGAGTCCCAATGCGATGAAACATAAAGCCATGATATACTGCACACATTGAATGAGGAGCGTGAGGGCCAAGTGCATCAAGATCAACGCCCAGAATTCACTATTATCATGGTAGTAACCTTGCTGGAGTATCAGGCGGTCATGCTTGTAAAGTGTGAAGTCATTGTCAGGATACTTGTCCATGATCCTGAGCAAGAACCGCTCCGGGCGCTGATACCACCAGGTTTCAGACACTCGCTGGAAGAACTTCTGTGACATCGTGAGACGGGCCGGATGGCCAGGGTCGTCGTGAGGTTCGACTTCTTGTCGACAGTAAGGACAACGCGTATCACCACTTTCGTTTCGATGTTTCTTCAGACAATATCTCCCGAGGATATGGCCGCATGGCAGCAGGCGCACTGCCGTACACGGAGGTGAATCATCATCCTTTTCGAATTTACCGTATGCGCGAAGACAAATGGGACACTCGGCGTCTTTGGGTAGTCCAGTGACTGGTTCGAAGGCGAAGTCCGCCTCAGTTCGAGGTATGAGATGCAGACGGGAGATGTTGACAATACCAATATTCCGGTCCATCGTTGCGGAGTTGACCTGGGGTTGGGGTTCCACTGGTGATGTTTATATCTCAATGAGTGAGGCACTTTATGGGACACGTCAATAATAGCGAGCCTAAGAGAGAGACTGTTTGCTACCTCTCTGCATTCACCGGGCGTGTAGAGGTGGTTCTCTCCTAATCAAGCAATGATAGTGAAAGTTCGTATACCATGAGAACAAAGCAAGTCCCCATGCGGGATATTTCACGCACGGCTTTGGAGAGACCATTCGCAAGTGACCATTCAATATACTAACCTGTACTATTCATTGCGGCCAAAGGTCCCTACCTTGACCCGGCGCCTGGGCTAAACGGCTCTCCAGGAGCGGAACCATTGTTTTGGAACGAACCCTTCACGGCAATAGGTATTCGATGCTCGAACATTCATGCTGTAGATTGTCCTAAGGCGCCCGAGGATGCCTATGTTGGAACTCCAGGCGTGGAAAAGTCACGTGACGGGCCAGAACCTGAGATGGCTATCGAGTGCCAAAGGTGGTGCCGCGGGTCCTGCTGGCTTTGGGTCAATACGTAAGTGTCACGATACCTTGTAGTGAGCTGTTCGTGGTGTTGAGTGTGGCATGTTTACCCGCCATCGTCATCGTGCAGACGGGTATCTTCGGTAGTGGGGAACGGCTGGAGAAGACGGAATCCTTTCGATGGAGAAACACAGATCGGCCCCTGAAGGCCAGCGTGAACCCGTCGGCTAGCGATGCAGGATGACGAAGGGACGTGTGAAGTCCGCGTGCGGTTGTCAAGTCTCGCGTCGCGGTCGAGAGAGGCTGCGGCCGGCGCACCATGTCGGCAGGTGGAAGCGGGCGCGGACTGCCGAGGTCAGCCCATGTCACGCGACCGCTCACCACAAACACCGGGGAACATGGCACCACCGACGCGTCCTGCAACGGCTGCTGTGTGCCTGGCGGCCTCCCTTCTCTCCGGACCCAGCGCCGCTCTGGAGCCTCGGCAGCGCCCGCGTTTAGGCTGTGCACTCCCACTTTGGCTGCGCTGCAAGCAATTCCGCGCCCCGAGCGTGACATGCGCGGCCGAGAAGCAGCACTGCCCGCTGTGGAGCTGTACGCCAGGTACTGTCGGTGCGTCCCCCAGGCGCACGGGAAGGGCTTGGGCTGGGGATGCGACACGAGAATGTATCGGATTGGACTGTCGGCTGATGGTGGACGCGAAGGTGGTAGGACCGGGCGACGTGCTCATTGGTGGGCTGACGCTTCGGGATGCGGAGTACATGGTGTACTGTCACGAGCATGCGATGCCATTGTCTCTCCACCTGGCGCATCTGCGCCTGGGCTCGTATATACATTTCCTTCTGCCCACTTGTCTGAAGCGCTTCCTTAGACAAGTACCGTATCGGAATCAATCAAACCCACTGCACGTCCACTGTATTCACACCACCATACATCGACTGGGCTACCACACCTGGCCATATAAGGAATACAAGCATACATCCTGAGAATAAAGCACACTTCAAGCCCAACAAATAGGCCTCTTCACACAAGTCACATCAACATATGTCTCCACGAACTCCAACTACAATGGCCCGCCGCTTCATCGCCACCGCAACACACCAACCCGCTCCCGCTTTCAACGCGTCCCGAGCTGCCGCCCCCTTTATCGCAGCAACAGCAGCAGCAACAGCAGCTACCGCAATCACAGCATCAAGAGCCGCACCAAAGCTTGGCCGAATCGGCAAATGGTATGCTATCCATACATACCTCACCAACCAACACATCACTGACTGATATAGGTACCTTCCCACCATGGCAGCCGTTGCCTTTGGCATGCTCTATATCCCTGACACACTCTTCATGGAGCCTTCCAAGCGCACCGTAACCCTGGATCAAGCCAACCGCTTCATCGGCATGGGCATCGACCAGCATCTCTCAGACCACAACCGCCGCGCCAACTACGGCTACGAACTCACCCAGGAAGAGAGGAACCAAGCCATGCTCGACTCGTACGGCTCCCGATCCAGTCTCGATGACATGGAGAAGGCCATTGCAGGCTACGAAGCAACGAGACCCAAGGGTCCGGTTGAGCAAAGGAGGGCACTTGAGGATGCCTATGGCGAGAGGAGCAGCTTGCACCATTTGAGGCGAGCGATGCAGATGTATGAAGTGCAGTGAACGACTAAATGAGGTTGATGTGGGGAGAAGAACATCTATTGGAACATTCATTCGGATGCCTTGGACATCGAATAAATTGGGAAAGACGTCACGCGACAGGAGCGCAGATGACTGTCGAAATAAACCATACCCAGGGCATTGACCCAAGAGGAGCAGTGGACGCAGAGACACGCGCCGCATTGGCAGTGACGGCAACAGGAGTAAGGGATACGATCAGGGCCGTGGGTAGGAGTAGGAAGGACCATGTACGGACTGTATCGATATCAACCATTAACGAATTCAGTATTTAAATATTGTGAATCTGTCCCAGCTTATGCAGAACCCTACATGTGCAACGCTCTGTTTTCTTGCAGTACAAAGCCGGAGTTCCCGCTTGCTTGAGTCCGCGAACCCATTTGCTTATAGGTCACGTGCATAGCTAAATCGAGCAAGAGCTGCCGACGTAGCCCGGCTGACTAGTAAACCTGCTCTTGTTCTTTTCTGAGCACCCTTGCAACACGAAAGCGCTCCCATATGTCGCTATAATGACAAATGCTCCTTTACCTTAGAGTTCAACCATCGGCGGCTCCCGTACTCATGTTGCTTTCTCGCAAGCACTATGCAACAATCCGCAAGCACATATGTACTTGGCTTGGTGTGATCATGCACGTTCGATTCAAGATATCGCCGGTTTGCTAAGAGCTATGAGATGAAGGCGAAGTTTATCTCCAGTTGATGAGAGTAGGATATTGCTAACGATAGATAGATCGTGGACTATAACATGTTCTAGTTAATGGTCTTTAAATCATCGAAGAAACATGAACGGCCAACTGCCTGATTAGGAATATCGCGGGCATGTTTCCTATAGAGCCTTTTATCTCTTGGAGCAACTGCATTCGAAGGCGGACGCTTCACCTTGGCAATATTAATACCGCACAATGATCTCTCCCTCACAAAGCTCGTGCAGGTACCAGAAAGCGACACATCAATTACACATTGTTTCCATTGCAGTTATATACTTCATCTTTCCCCACGTAGGACACATGACAGTGAAGGACCTGGAGATGGCGCATGGTCACACCTTGTAATAGTCTAATTGGACAATTCAACACGAACCGAACTTTCCAAATTTTACTTTGAGTCTTCCGCTAGACCCTCCTCTTCCTCCAGACATTTTGTTAGTTCTTCAGGTCGACATAATTGCCGCCGCTACAACTATTCTCAACGATGGTCCTTCACCTGAGTTTGAGGATGTCTTGCTTAAAGATAGCGATACAAGTCCTGAAAGTTCTGACTTCGATGCCGTTGCATGTGTGTATGCTCTTGAGGACATCAACGTCTCTTCCATCGAGGCAGAGGACAAAAATCGCCCTTGCCTGTTAGTTGCCTTTTGGCGTCTTTGACGAAGAAGAAAATTTCGATTCTGCAATTGACAAATTGTCCAACAAAGACGCTGCCTCGTCTACTATCAGCGGAAGCATAGAGTGCCACCGGAACAATGATCCGGTCAATAGTCCGTGAGTATTACTCTGAACTACATGACGGTCTCAGGCATCTCGTAACGTGCCTTCCCCTGAATCCACCTAGTAAACATCGTGTTACTTTATCCAGCTTTGTTAACGCCTGCCTCACTGAAAGTCTGAAGGTATACACTCTCTTCCGAGGGTGAATGTTACCGGACACAGCTTACATACCTTTTTCTTGCAATAAGAGATGTTCCCTTTACCTGTCTACAATTGTGTCGAAGAAGGTTGATCTTTCGGTGGGATATGCAGTGCCGGCGACAGCTGGACGAGGACGAGGACGATGACTAATGATAATGTCCAATACGACGAGTTGAGGAGCGCGACGACACGGCGACGCACCACTAACCCCAGGTAATGCTGGTGAGATCAGCAATCGTATAGCACTATTTCCATCCGGCAGGCGTCTTGAAAGTCATTGGTTCTCTTGAACTTCTTCATTATTCGAGAATAGCTAGGTATATTGTCTACCAGAAACCGGCATTGGTTGTACAGATGGGGATATCGATTCTACGGATGGGATAGTACATTTAATAACAGACCATGGAATACAAAGACGCTGTATTATCGTCCTCGTTTATACTTAGGTGCTGTCTGGACTGTAAGCCTTTACCTAAGTTAGTCGCGACATGTGCATCTATGAGTATGGTAGAACACAGGCTTTTTCAACCGGTGACTGAAATATTCGACTAGTACGTTTCTATGTCGCATTCGATTGTTTTGTCTATAGCTAACATGAGATTGAAGGTACAACTCTAAGACATCGTGACTCTAGATAGAATGACCTAAGCTCCAAATCTTTTATTGCGGTCGTGCATATCTGTGACAATTAGTAGCACCTGGCTTTTTTTATTCACGATATCTTGGTTGCTATAAGCTTTCACTTCGCAGCATTTCTGCACCTCGCTTCTATATAATATAATGACCTACTCAATAGCTAGCCAAAACCAACATCCACACTCAACCAGAGTGTCACAATTTCGAAGTATCGACCCAGTCGAACTCTACCCGGGGAAAAGATGCCTAACCAATTCGATCCAATGAACGTCCTGGGAAAGTGGATTCAAGTCAAGACACACTTCACCAAACTCCTAGTCGACGCCTCGACCAACATCGAGGTCGTCAATACAGTGCTTGCGGAGACTACCGAGTCGCTCTCACCTACAGACATGCAGCTACTAGAACCTCTCGAAGGCTACGAATTTCGACTACGCCCAGAGGACGACGCAATCTACTTGATCATCGCACCGCAAGGCGGGTGGGGCACGGGTCCAGATGAGCGCTTCAAGGTCCCTTGTGGGTCTGAGGAACTTCAAGCCAACTACGACTCGTTCCTTGATTGGCTGGAGGCCATCTTCGACGCCCGTAATCCCTTTCATATGGCGGAACAGCCTCCCCTGGGAGGAGTTGCCAGAGGCTGATGATGTTGAGCCTGAGGCCAATCTTGGAGCTACGATCCAGAGCGATACCCTCTTGATGAATGTGCACGTTGACTTGACTCTGGCTTCCGAGGCTCTCGATGGAGGCTGGTGGAATGACGCATTTGCCGACAACGCCGAAAATGAGGCGTGGGCCCGCACCTTCGTCGAATCTCTAGAGCATGTTGAGCACTCTGAAATCGCTGCGGACAAAAATTTGTGCTCCTTCTGCTGGTTGCCCTTCGGAGAGACTGATGAGTTCCACCCACTCTACGAGCCTCCGGCTCTCCCCAGCGATCCACGCGAGGCCGAAGCAATTCTCCTATGCCAGGAGTTCCCGTTCGATGTTCGCCGTCCTAACAATGATGCTGTGGTTCTGCCTTGCAAGCATATCTTCGGCCGCGACTGTCTCATTGATTCGCTCTCTGCTGATTCTACGTGTCCAGTCTGCCGCAAGGAGATGCGCACCTAGGTACGTAGCGCGGCTCTGTGCTCGGTGCGTACAAGAGTTTGCATTAGCAGTTGGATAGGAGCGTGTCACGGATGAAGACTAGCTTCGATATTGATGGAGCATGAGCGAAAATTCACATAGAATCATCGAGAGCAAGGCAAAAGGGTCATCATCAGGTACTGTTGCTGCAGCATATTGCCAATCCTTTAGTAGCAATAAGACTTCCTTTGCCAAAGGTCCGCTGCTTACAAAGTGATATGATTTCAATTGGTGATATAATAATGTGAAGACTTCTTACATCATATATTGACGGTAAGGCATCTTTGCGTAACAAGCTCCTTATCAGATTTACCATTCGTGTAACCGTGTAGTTAGGGTACACCTTCATTCGTCCACTGAACTTGCACTATTAATTGATGATGTCTTGGTGTTCGGCCGCGATGATCACCAAGTCATGAAGTCCTAGGAAGACAAGAACGAGACATGTCTAAAGGTTTGGCCTATATCGATTAAAGCTGTATAATGGGATGTCGCTCTCCAATGGAAAGTCAAAATTAGTATCTTGATTCCCCTACCTTAAGCATACCTTGTCGTTACAGACCTGCCACTTCAGAGTGTAGTCGGCGCAAATGCGCATTGTTCTCGCATGATGCAAAAACACAGTAAGGACGCTTCCGAATAAACATCGACAATTTGAGTGCGACTAGAGCCCTTGGGGGTATACATTGTAAAGCAACAGCATGACGGCATCCAAAGTATCCTCGAAGTCTACATAAGGTGTACTAGCATCATGATTAACCTCCAAACCCAGCAAAGCTCATCCGCTTAACACGCAACTGCAAAAGTAAACACGGATTGCTTTTCGTCTGAACCGCCAAGCTCTGCATTCAAGACTCAACAGCAAGTTTCGGACACCATGACACCATCCCAGGACCAAATCAAGGACCAGTATATAGATCTGGCGATTGATTACCTCCCCTGCAGCAAGTCTCATCCTAGCCAGTACCACGCGCTGCGCTGCAAGCACACCGTTATGACTGATACAATTGTCCCATGTGGCCCGAACTGCTTCGGCGAAGGCTCCGCCATGAGCTTCATTTGCCACGCATGTGATGATCCCATCCGCAGAGACAGCGGCACTGGTCTTGATGGCATAGACCACCAGAGCTACCATGACACGAAGCCGGCTGAGGCCGATGTTTGGGTGGCTAAATTCTTCGCTGAGCACCCGGAGGCTTTCCAGATGAAGGAAAAGCGGAAGCCGCATCGTTTGGGCCAGGGCTTTTGGCAGCTGCAGGAAATCCAGCGCACATTGGACGCTGCGACTTCGCCGTGCCGATCCCACGCCTCTCGCACCAAGGAGAAGGAGCGGGTAGACAAGCGTGCCCGCCGAATGACTAGCGAGCTCCCCCAGAGGTGGAGCCCCTATTGAGTAGGTCTTCACAAGGTGAATGGAGTCGGGTCAGCCAGTGTCTTGCGAATGAGTAGTAATCTGTGAATAGTATTGATATGTGAGTCGGGCAGGTCCAGATCTACTTGAAATGGATTCCTCTTTTGTAATTTCGTTGCGTTAAGTTGTTCTGAGGTTTTCGTGTACCGTAGCACCCGCGGGCATTATCAAGGCGTGCATAGAATCGCGCTGCCTTCGCTGTGCTTTTCCTTCTGCTTTGCCTGTTCCATACAATCCAATTCATATTCGGAAATGAGCCGGTCTCGTTTGCTGGAATATTGACAGTATACCGTGATCATTAACTCAATGATCCTTAAATTGTTCTTCTTCATGTTGGTAAGTGCCGTGATCGTATTCTCCACTGCAAGTTAATCACTAAGCTACTCAGTCTGACCAACTATGTCCCTTATCAAGCCACCGAATAGTGGACATGCTATTATGCGGCCTCTGTTCAATAGCTTTGTTCATATACAATGGAAAACCCAAGAAGTTCTTCCAGTATTATCGAATGTCCAAAGTTCGCCATGCACTGAATTGTTTCCAAACAATGTCTTTGTACGCCATGGCCCTTCAGAGCATATAAGACATTTACCGAACGAGTGCAGGAAATCAGATCGAGAAGAACAACCCACTTCACAAGTGCAGCTTTGTAAATTTATCGCTTCTGTCACAGACGAACTCTGACCGAAAGAATATCTCTTACCAAGACTAAGATGCCTGCAGTCACCGTAACGATGGAGAATATTGACCCTCACTACCGATCCGAAGCACTCACCTATGCGCCTTGCAATCAGCAGAGTCAGTTCCACAAGCTGAAGTGTGGACACACAGTTCGCACTAACCCGGGCGCTCCCTGCGGTCGAAACTGCTCCATTGCCGATCCTGAAGACTCTTTCATCTGCCACATGTGCATCATCTTGATTTACGACCCGAGCCTCACTGAAGACAACTGTTCAAGCAACATCCGGTACATGCTCGGCGACTTAGGTAGATGGCAGATGGCAGATGCGGAGGAAGATATCGCAGAGCAGATGGCCAAGGGCCTGCGACCGTCGGATCCGGCCAAGGCCCAGGATTGGCTTGGTGACTTCTTCAATGAGTACGGCGATGCTTACACCGAGAAGAAGGTGGAGAAGAAGATGGTGGAGAAGAAGATGGTGGAGAAGCAGAAGGTGGAGAAGCAGAAGGTGGAGAAGCAGAAGCAGAAACAGAAGCAGAAGCAGAAGAAGAGGAAGCGGGTTTTGGAAGATAGGCGTAGTATTTTGTCCGAAAATGCTGTTCGCAACGATAGGGAGGGTCGGACTTTGAGCGGGAAGCGTCAACGAGTGTAGAGGCTCAGTGGCCAAGACTGCTGTGAACCATTAGGTTTGCTGACCAGCATCCAATCGAGCTTTGAGAGCGAGTCCATCACAGTCTCTTGATTGATTTCTTCTCATTTCTGATCTTTGGGAAATCCTGCATTTGATCTGTAGTCTGTCAGTTTTGCTGCCACGCTGAGTCGGTCTCGCTTGGCAGAGCATCTTTTCTATTAAATCCCTAATTCACAACTGCTGGCGACGTATCATATGCTCTTATACTGTTTCTGTAATTAAATCGTGATGTATGATGTAGCTCTCTCAAATTGTGCACCAGCCCATCATATACCAAGGCAGCGCAGATGAATACAAGAGCCATATGAATTGCTCTGCCCCGCCTCAGTAACACTTCCAGCCACAGCCCGTACGCAAAGTGTCAGCTCGGCGCGGGGCGAAGACTGTGTGTCTAATATGGCGGGGTCTTCGATCGGTATACGACCGATGGCACCATGAAGATGTGAAGACGGAAGGAACAAGGCAACAGTAAGATAAAATACCTACCAACGCCTCGTCATGCAGATGCAGTGATCCTCTCTAGTCTATGCGTAATCCGGATATCGTACACCTACCCTTACATGATATGCCACTATAAATAATATACAATTCGACGTGCCTTCCATTAGATCAAGGCTTCACCCCTGAACATGGCATCTCTAACCTCCTTCACAACATCGGCTCGATCACCAGGACCGACGAGCACGATACCTCTTCCTCTCCTGCCCATGCGGCCGGTCCTGCCCAGGCGATGGATAAAATCAATAGTGGTGTGCGGTACATCGTACAAGATGACATGTCGGACGGAGACGGTGTCAATACCTCGCGAGCCAAGATCCGTTGTGACGATGACTTTAGTGTTATTCAACTGTCGGCTAGTGCCGCTTGCATTGGGATTGGCAACTTCCTTCCGTACTTCACCCTCCTTGGGCTCCTTGATCTTCTCCGTACCGGTGAAGGATGCGAGGGCCTTGGCTTGACGGTTCGGATCAGTATCGCGGTGGAATGCCATGGCACCGATGCCCTTTTTGGTGAGGTACTCGGCTACCTTATCAGTATCATCGCGCTCGTTGACAAAGACAAGAATGCGCTTCGTGGGTACTGCTTCTTTGCCTTCCGCGGGATCGTAGTCGGCGGTGGCCTTGCCGATTTGCCAGATGGTATCGGCGCAAGCGAGCATCTTGTTGCCGCGGTAAGGTTCCTTGTTAACATCGACAACACCGAGTGCGACTCGTCGAGGAATAGCATGAAGATTGGGAGTGACTAAGCGCTGCATATCAGGGAACTTCTCGGCTAGATACTTGTCGAGATATTTCGGGATGGTCGCGGAACAAAGCATAAGCTTCTTTAGGGACGGAGTGGCCCTTTCCAAGATTTCGGTGGTACTCGGCTTGAAGGAGCGGTCGAAGAGAGAGTCGGCTTCATCAACGATGAGGTGTGTGACCCGGGCCAGAACATTCGGATTGCTCTCCGCGATGCTGGCGAGGAGGGGCGGCGTGCTGATGACGAGATCCACTCCATTCTCATTGAAGAGGCGATTCCGGATGACGGTCGCTGTGTTCTTTGCTGATATGGGCGCGGCACGGAATTTGACCTCGTGAGATAGCGATTTGGCGACCGCACCTACTTGGGCAACAAGCTCGGCTGACGGGACGAGGATGATGGCACGAGGACGGGCGGGGTCGACGGCTTTGTTGAGATCAGGTTCTTCCGCATCGAAAATATCATCTCTGCGAGTTTTGTCGGCAGCTTTGGCGGCGGCATCCTCTACTGCTTTGCGCTCGATATCCTCCTTGTCTGCAGCCTCTTCGCGCTTTATGGCGTCAAGGACAGGAAGCAGATATGCCAACGTCTTTCCGGAGCCAGTCTCTGCAGCCAAGAGGTAAGAGTCGGGGCCGCTCTTTTTGGATGGATTCCTCGTGCGTGGTTGCTTTTGTAGGCCCAGGAGAGCAGGTATAGCCACGGCTTGCGCTGGGGTGGGCTGACGGTATTCCAGGTCTGGCAGGGCGTCCTTGAGGGCCTTCTGCACACTCTCCATCAACGGGAAACCGTCGAACGAATCCACCTGCTCAATCTTGTGTTTGATGGCTGACCTCAGTTTGTAGGGTACTTCTTGGAGCGACTTTTGCATCTTTAGCGCATGGAAGGAATCCGAGCTGCCGGTCCGTCTCTTGTCGAATCTCCTGTCTCCCTCTCTACGATCAGACGTCGATGATGTTCTCCTTTCTTGTCTTTGCTCCTGCCCCACATCCAACCTCTTGTGTAGTATCCCCGTGGCTTTGGTCCGATTCAGGTGGGAGAAGGGTTCGCGCGTCTTCTTCTTGTAAGGCTTGCCATCCGACGATGGGCGGGTTGGGCGTGCGACTGTGTCTGACAGGACCATGCGCGATGGCCGAGGTGCATCGGGTCTCCGTCGCGAGGGCCCTCCGGAGCGTCGTCGTGACTCTGCAGCATCGTAGCGGGCTGCTCGGTCGCGTTGTATCTGGGCATAGAGGCGCGTCTGCTGGAGCTGCGGCGGCCGGCCTAGGAAGGAGCGCGCCTCGCAGAACGGACAGGCGCGCGCGGCCTGACGCAAGCCCATCATGATTACGAGATGAGGTCCGAGGAACAGACGGTTGAACGACGGGCTAAAACAACATGCGCTTTCTTGAAACCGGCGAACTATCGCAGAAATCAAGGACACGGCTGGGGTTCCGAAACTTTTTGGCGCCGGTTGTCGCAACTGCCAATCACGCGGGGCGGCCGCAGCGGGCCCGGGCGGTTGCCCCTCGCAACGGCGCATCCCAGACGCAACCCATGCTTGTGTTGTCGCGCACTCATGTCCAGGCCCATTTGAGCAGCACATCCTCTTCCTCCCAACATCTTCAGCCAACAACCATCCGTCCCTGCGCGAGGTCGACGTTCACTTCTGCTGCTGTTTTTGATTGCGCGCATCCCCAAAGCGCCGCGCACTCCTCGAGGGAGGCCCGCCATTCTTCACCGCATTCCGCGCCAACGTCTGCGCCCGTAGCCGACGTGCATCAACTCGTCCACCTGGCCGGCGCTGGTCGAGTCCAATGTCCCGCAACGAGGCTGTGAGTATTCTCTTTGTTGTTACAGCGCGCCGTAGCTGCGGATCAACAGACTAACAACAGCAGGTATCGCCACTGCGTATAAACAAGACACCCACCAAAGGAAGCAGCATGTCGCGCCCACTTTCCGAGATTGGTTCCACTGAGAGCCGGCGGAACTCTGGTAACTTCAACAACCAGTCCACCAAGGTAACCCTGCGCGCATTCCAGCTAAGCGCGAGCGCTATGACTTGGTGCTAACGTGCGCCAGAAGGTATTCCTAACGAAGGAGTCCTCGCCTTTCGACTCGTCTCCATTCGCAAACAGTCCACGTCTTTTCTGGAAGGAGCAGACTATCTCGCCAAAGAATCGCTTTGACTCCGAGAACGAGTACGAGCGCGAGCCGTCACTGTCTCCCAAGCGCAACTCCATCGAGAACCTGAAGAAGGCGTCGCGTGTCAAGAACAGCAGCATGTACGCCCGTGAGCAGAAGAACGAGTACGATCCCACTTCTGTGCAGGCTCCGAACCGGCCGCTAGCCGCTGGACGCCCATTGAGCACCCAGGTGCAGGGCAACGCGTATGGAGGCAGTGGTCTCACTGGTCTACGCGAACACAACGATGGCCACCGCCGTGGCCATAGTCGTGGCGAGAGCTTGAGCAAGATTCCCACCCTTAGCCCCGCGAAGAGCTCTCCGAGCAAGATCCCGTCCTTGCCCTCCACCACAGGCTCACCTACGCGGGATAGGTCTTCCCCAGGCCCAGGCCGCATGTCGCCTACTAAGTCATCTCTGGCCAGCCCTGGACGTTTCAACTCCATCGAATACAACCCAGACTTCAGCATGTTCTCTGACGATGGCGAGCTGAAGCACGAGACGCCTCGTCCGCTTCGCCGTCACGCGAAGAGTGTGACTTTCGATGCTGCTCCGCCAGTCATCAACGAGTACGAGATGGTCACACCTGATCCTTCATCCGTCGCTTCTGGATCACGAGAAGGCAGCTACGAGACGGACGAAGAGGAGCTAAGCTTTGATCAGGACGACAGCTTTGATGCCTCCCTGGAAGATACAGACAAAACCCCAGTCGTGCTTCCCGAAGATTGGCGCCACATGAGCCCGGAAGCCGCCAACACATCGCTCATCGATAATTACGACGATGTTTTCGGTCGCGACAACAGCCCTATGCCAAACGCAGTTCCCAATGGCAGGGTCAACAACTCGCGTAACGGCTCCACTGCCTCAGACGGTGAATCTAGGCCACTTCCTCCATTGCCAGGCATGCAAGCTCAGGATCGCCGCGATTCAAGCGTTGGCCTTTCTGCAGCTGCAGAGCGCGCGGCGTCGCGTAGGTCGCTTCCTCAGCTTCCACCGTCGGCCGGCATCTCAAAGACTGACCTTCTCAACATGCGCGAGGGTTCGATGTCGCTAGAGGACAGACTCCGCTTGATGAACTTTGACGACGAGCGCGACACAAGCACCCCAACCCAAGAAAGCCACGATAAGAAGGTAGAGGTGAGCGTTGAGATGAGCGTGAAGGTCGAAGTCGCTGAGATTGAAGATCTTACTGAGACTGACCTGGATGGTCCCAAGACACCACGCATCTCTCGCGAGTCCATACTTCGTAAGGTCCAGAGCCGGAACTTTGACGAACGAGAGAGCTACAGCTACAACTACGACGTAGAATCAAGTCCAGAGCGTAGTTACGGTGATTTGGCAGATCTGGACCCTGATGTGCCAATTCCTTCACGCGAAGTCTCATCTAACTTTGACGAACATCCGGAGGCACCCAGCGAGGCTGATAGTGTTATCGACGCTTACTCCTTTGCGGAGACGACCGAAATGTACACGGAGGAGGTTTCCGAACTCGAAGAAGCTGACCGTGAGACATCCGTTATTCATCATGACATCCACCAGCAGAGTCAGATTGATTCTGATGATGCTAGCGAGTACTCGCTCCAACCGGAGGAGCAACCGACTTCCCAGAGCACCATCGACACCTCAGGACCCTCAACTCCAACAGCGGCCACTTCTTCTCCGACGACCGCCGAGAAGGAGGACAGGCGGGACGAGCTGTTCGCCGACTTCCAAAACGATGAAATGGATTTGACACTTGATCCACTCAAGTCCTCGTTCCAGACCGCGCTAAGTCCCTTGGATACTGCACCTAAGCTTGATGCAATGCGCCAATTCCTTCAGCGGCCAGAAACACCTGAGATTACCGATCCAGAGGCTGAGGTTGAGGATCCTGGAACTCCCGACTCGGTTATTCGCCATCCTGTTGTTATCTCGCCGCCTGAGGAGGAAGAGGAGACACCTGTTCCTGAGGAAGAGTCCACTATCAAGGGTGCCGACGGCAAGCTCAGGGCTCGTCCGTCGTTGATACCTGCGGATCTTGACATGGCCGCACAACGCCGACAAGTGAGCGGCGAACATCCCCCTCCTGTCCCCAGGCGAAGCCCTGCACGCCAGTCGCTGAGCACAGACTTTGGTCATGTTGACGAGGAAGACTCCCAGATGAGCATCTCGAATAAAGAGAACCTTATGCTCGACCTCAAGCTCGGTGAAGATTCGAACGATCTTAGCTTCGGCTTAGATAAGGAGTTCGACAACATCATTGAAGCTCAGAAGGTAGACAACCTTTTTCCTTTACCCCCTTTTGCCAAGTTCCCGACATCCGATGCTACGAAGCAAGATGGAGCAAGACATATGTCCGGTGAAGGCTTTATTTATACGTACACTCCCGCTAACAGTAGCTCCAATCTACAGAAGGGATATCTCATGCGCCAAAACACGAAGGTGGTCGTTGCCAGTAGCCGCCAATTCAGCGATGAAAAGCCTCCAGTTCCTAAAGCTGATTCGGCTGCCGATGCAACTTTGAAGGCACCAAGTGCCAAGTCTCGCAAGAGCAGCGCAGAACGTAAGCCTGCTTGGACTACGGAGCCTTGGAATCCTAAGGTCAGGCGGCGAAGCATCCGAACCGCCTCTGGTTCGCGGAAAGCCATGACTTCTGGCCCAGTTCCTCCGCTTCCAGGACAAGAGTCAGCTGTCGCCGGCGGTCTTGATTCGGTCGCGGAGCAGGAGGTTGACGAATTCGAGGACGGCCAGGAGCGGGGAAGACTGTTTGTTAAGGTCGTTGGTGTCAAAGATCTTGACCTACCTCTACCTAAGAGTAAGTCCCCACCGGATTAAATATACCTGTTTACTAATGTTGATGTAACAGCCGAGCGTACGTGGTTCCAGCTGACTCTAGACAATGGTTTGCACTGTGTGACAACGTCATGGTTAGAGCTTGGCCATTCAGCCCCGATTGGCCAAGAGTTCGAACTAGTTGTATTGGACGACCTGGAGTTCCAACTCACTCTGCAGACCAAGCTTGAGCCTCCTGTTCAGCCAACTGTCACTGCAGCCCCAGTCAAGATCGTCAACCACAAGAAGTCACACTCTGCATTCCGCAACCTCCTTTCATCTCCCAAGAAGCGTAAGGAGCAGGAGCGCAAGCAGCAGGAAGAAGCCGAGCGTCTCGCTCTCCAGCAACAGCAAGAGGCACAGGAAAAGGCGAAGCGTAATCATCAAGCTACTGCTTGGGATCTTCTCCATGACTTGGTCGGACCAGATGGATCTTTTGCTCGCGCCTACGTCTGCCTCAAGAATCACGAGAACCAAGCCTACGGCCGGCCGCTGAACGTCGATATCCCTTGCTTCAATGAGTGGGCTGTTGACAACACCGGTGCCAGCAGTGTGAAGAGTAAGCGTGGTGGTGTGGTTCGTCGCCCACCTTATAGAGTTGGCAAGCTTGCTCTCCAGCTACTGTACGTTCCGAAGCCCAAAAACGCGAAAGATGAGGACATGCCCAAGAGCATGAATGCCTGCATTCGCGAGCTACGGGAAGCAGAGGAGGTCAAGAACCAGTCTTGGGAAGGACCTTTGAGCCAGCAGGGTGGTGACTGCCCAGTGAGTACTCGTGGTGTATGAGATTGTGTGACTGGATGCTAATAATGACACAGTACTGGCGTCGTCGATTCTTCCGACTCAACGGTACCAAGTTGACTGCTTATCACGAGGCCACCCGGCAACCTCGTGCAACCATCAATCTTGCTAAGGCGACTAAGCTCATCGATGACAAGAGCGCTCTTCAGCAACCATCATCAACGAAGAGCGGCGGTCGTCGCAAGTCTGCCTTTGCCGAGGAAGAAGAAGGGTACATGTTCGTCGAAGAAGGTTTCCGTATCCGATTTGCCAATGGCGAGGTCATCGACTTCTACGCCGATAGTCGTGCACAGAAGGAAGGCTGGATGAAGGTGCTCTCCGAGTGCGTTGGTAAAGATATCGCTGGCGGACGCGGCTGGGCCGAGATGGTCCTCGACAAGGAGCGGAAAGAGAAGCGCTCTCAGCCAGAGCCCTTGCAAGCCAAGCCAAAGCGAGAGAGCAATGCGATGAACGGAGCCCTACAGCGACCTCGGTCACACGAAGGTACCGGCAGTCAATCTGTACCATCAAGCCCCGTGAAGCGTCCTGGCCACTCGCGGACAAAATCCCATGTTCCCTCCCCGGCTCCGCCGCCCATCGAGAAGGACGAGCAGCACAAAAGCAGCACTGCACCGCGGCGAAAGGAAGTGCCTGGCGCAGGGGCAAACCGCAGGGATCAGGTTCGATCGATGATTTTTTAATCTCCTGATCTCCACCTTTCGTTCCACTTCCTTCCTCGAGATTATATTTTTACATCCCTTCATCGATACCAGTAATCCTTCGGACTACTCTCACATCACTTTCGCTTACGCTTTCTGAGTCGTAGGGCAAACCATTTCGTCCATTGTTGGAAAGATTCAAGATAGACTTCGGGTCAATCAAGGGTTCGTGGATGAGGAGAGGCGCTGGGCGCTGAATACTGTCGCTAAGAATAAGCGTTGTACGCTATGTATGCTGGATCACACTAGACCGCCGTGTACGCCACACGGAATCTCTCATGTCGTTGCGTCTGCTATCGAGGGATTGCGCATTGGCGCTCCCGGGGCTGTAGGGGTTGGAGACGAAGCACGAAGGAAGAAGTTGGCTTTTTATTCTTGTCACTGATTTTGGGTATGGGTCTTTGATCTGGCGTTCACGGCGGGCATATGAGCGAGGTTATGCGGATTGACTCTGTTTAATGATTGAAGATAATGATGCAGAGGACGACGTGTAGTTTCATGCTCGGTGCGAACAATGAATATCTTCAAAAACCTTGCGTGCTACCCTTGATCATGATGTGAGTATTGTGGTACATGGATAAACCCTGTCCAACATATATTTATCCTGGGCTTTGATGCATGTTGCGATGCTGGCGTTGGTTGGCCTGTGGAGATATTTTGATGTTTGATGCAGAGCTTCCACTTTCGTGTTTGCCAATATCAAATGGCAGCGTGATGTCTATACATCTAATTCATGGATATCATAGGCCGCCCGAGCCCGCTGTGCAACGAGAAGACGTCGAGCAAACAACTGCACAAGTCACGCCAGCGCAAGCCTGATATGCTCCAGTTCACCAGTATCTCATTCTCTCATCCCTTATGTCTCAATCTTTCTCCGCATCGAATTCCATTATGATCATCATGGCTCTCGTACTTATTGTCTAATGCCTTCGATCCATCACACCAGACTAGCCTTGCACCTCGCTCATTTACTATAATATGGGCAACTCCTCCTCGCATCACCAGGACCCCCCACTTGTCGCGCTTCACGGCGGCACTTTTGGAAAACAAAACACTATCATCGTTCCTGGTGGGGCATGCACGGGCAGGTGGGACAGAAAACTGTGCAACAAGAACTTACGGGGTAGGCCTATTTACCAGCCCATATACCCACCGCCGTTTGCGTATCCCCCACCGTGGCAAAGGACCGGAAGGCTGAGACGGAGAGGCAAGGGGTGGGGAGTTCGAAACGAGGATACATTGATCGACAGTGATATGAGGCCGAGGAGGGGAGCAAGAAGAGGGATTGGGATGCCGATGGGATATCCTGGAGCACCAATGGGATATCCAGGTATAAATGGAGTGGTGCCTGGTATGCCGATATACTACGATCCTAGAGGCATGAAGGCAATGAGTGGGCCGAACTTGCAAGCGGGATACATGCCGCCGGTCAGAGGAGGGAAGGGAAAGAACATGGGTATGCATCCGGGCGTGATGCCTGGATATGCGCCCATGCCAGGTCCCATTCCGTACGCACATCCTCAGCCGATGGCCCCACCGTTGCAAGCACAAGCTGCAGCTCAACCTAAAATGCCCGCACGAGCACCACGGCCCCAGAAAATACGTCCACCGGGCGTCGAAGCCGTTGCCCAAGGAGCCTATCACACTCAGCCTGCCCCACAGGCTCCGGGCTGGAAGCGCGAACCCCCAGTCTCAGCGCAAATGAACAGGACCCAACCTGCAAACAAGCGCGCCGGTCCCTCAGGGAAAGAATGGATCCCTGGTGAGAATGCCTTCCTGGATGCTTGCACCTGCACGACAAATTGCACCTGCCGCAAAGGCGCGCGAGTACTGTATCGCCACCAGGGTCAGGGCGATGAAGAACAAAACATCTGGGGCGAGATACGGTATGTCATAAAAGATGACCTGGGGCGGGACTGTGGAGACCATGCGGGGCGTTATGAAGAGGATGAAAGCGACGGCGCTGACGGGGCGAGGCAGAAGAGAGGAAAAGGAAAGGGGAAGGGGAAGAAGGGAGCAGAGGATCTTGAAAAGATGAGAGAAGAGATGAAGGGGCTGAGGAAGGACATCAAGAATTTGAGGGTCGAAGGTGAGAGGGTGGGAATGAATGCGATGGGGAGGGGTGCAATAGATCCAATGGTTGTGGGTAGAATGCCGAATCAAGGTGGATTCCCAATGATGAATGGAATGGATCCGCGTTTGGCGCAACAGCTAGGCGCTGGCGATCCGTACGGAGTGCGTTTCTCACCGCAGATGCAGCGACGAATGATGGGGGGAAGGCAGGGTCAAAGGCGAGGTGGTGGACTGCCGGGAATGGTAGATATGGATTCAGAGGACGATCTATCCTTCGAACATGCAGACCGTATGATGGACCACAGGGTGGGTGCCGGAATGATGAACATCCCTCCGGGCATGAGGAAGATGGGACCAAACCGTATGAAGCAGCCTAGAGGCCCACGAGCCAGACCACCTCGTAGAGCGCAAGATTTTGATCCACGCTATGAGTATCCTCCACCACCAGGACGAGGACCAAATCCTCGCCAAAGAGTTGGTCCGCCGCCGCCACCACCTGGATACAATCTCGATGAAGACAGCATGGGGAGTGGTCTTGATGGTAGGGGTCGCTTCGGTCCTAGGGTCGACGATGAAGATCGTCCAGGTAAGCTATCAAGCAAGCGGGATTAAGCTCATAATGACAAATACTTGACAGGTTTCAATGATGAATTCGATATTCCTCCACCACGTCCGCCGCCGCCAGGGCAAAGCCCTCGAGGTAGAGGAGGAGGTAGCGGGTCTGGCAACAGTCGACCATTGGGCGGGGAAGGTCGCAGACCGAACCAACCCCACGTCGATGATGGTGATGATTATTAGGTTTGTGTCTGAAACGACAAAAGCCAGGGTGGCCTTCTCCAGATAGATGAAAGCAACCCACGTGCCTCACGCCGTGCCACATGTCAATGCTCACTGTGAAATGACACCTTCGTCATCAAATGACCACCGAACCGCAAAATGGCGCTCCTGTGCTCCACGTGTTCCACACCGAGTATCAAGTCAAAAAGCATTTTCAAGGCAAATCTACGAGTTGTGCTCGGCCAACTGTAGCTCGGTCAAATACGGCATGTCAATTAACCCACTGTGAGTCAAGACACGCTGCATCAAATCGAATGTTAGCGAAGTTCTCCAATGAAAGGATAACAAGCCTTGGGAGGCTTGGTTGTACGAGCTCTTAAAATGCGGTCCTCTTCGGCTGTGCGTAACCTTGGGCGTACGTGTCGAACCGTCAGGCGTACTCAGATACGTCAGTTGGTTACACTCATAGCGAGAAAATTGATCGGTGAAAAAGAAAAAGAAAACGCGGCAGATTGAGGCGCACTTTCTGTGCGTGCACCGGGTAACGAGACCAGGGGGCTTCTTCCGACCCGGATTTTGGGCTGGCACAGCTTCCTGCGAGACATAGGCGTAGGACAAATATGAAACTTGAAAAAAAGAATATGCCAAGATGAGAGACGAAGAGAAGTGCATAAGACTGAACAATGAAAGTGAGAATGTACATTTGACACAACTTGTCGCGAGACCATCCGTACAGCCGAAGCCGTTCTACATGTCTGCCTCCAAGTCTATCCCTGTTCAGATAGAGAAGCCAATCATCATGATAGCCGGAAGTTTAGTAGAAGCCTTCAGAAGAGGTTGGCTTGTACGCGTGAGCGTATATCATCCGTAGACGCCGGACCCATACCCTGAGGACAAGAGAGACCCATAGATGTCACTCCCAAACATCTCGTACGCCGGCCCATACATGAGGTTCACCATACCCGTCCTAAACTCCTCGCTCGAAATGCACTTGATGACACAAAGGAAACCCAGGAAAGAAAGGCCAATGCTCGGCTATCAAAGAAGAGAAAAGGAGAAGTTGTGAGTCGAAGGAAGGGAACAGGAAGACCAGCTCCTCACTAACATATCCGAGCTGTGATGATCTCGACCCATTCCAACTCGTGGAACTCCAACTCGCGATGAGCAAATAGTAGCTCTAATGCGGTTAAGCCCCACCTCACTAGCATCTACGGCGCCGCCCAGCCCAAGCCGTTGGGTGACAGGTTCAGGTCGCTGCTGAGGTGGTTACCACGCTCGTAAAGCTTGTCGATCTTGATCTTCTTCTCAGCCCACCACTCCTCGAATGCCGCAATGTCATCATCGGAGATGTGATGGGTGATCTCATTGGTACGCTTGGCTTCGCGCCACTCCAAGTCAAGCTTGCGGCCGTTGTGCTTGAGTCGGGGAAGGGCCTCAGTGCGCAAGTAGGAAATCTCGAGCACATAGCCTTGATCTTGCGGCTCGATTGGAGTGATGAACGACCCATCGCGAGAACGGTCGCACTTCTCTGCGGGCGGGGTGTCCGAAGGGTCAAGGCAGATAGGCGAAACAGGGTTCGTGCTCTGCGAGGAAGCCATGGAAGGAGAGCCAACGTCAGAGACCGAAGTCTCAGTAAAGACCGGTGAGTTGACGTCGGACTGGATCACGCTGCTAGCATTGCTGATGGTACGCATCTTAGGGGGTGGCAGAGCGTCGAGCTTAGCAATCAACTCATCGTCTTCGAACTTGGTATGTGCGCGAGCAGTGTCTTGCGCTGACGTATGTGCCTCGAGTCGTCCATAGCCTAAAGCTGATCAGTCTCACGTTGGAGATGTGTTGTGACAAAACGGGGACGTGCTTGGGGACGTGCTTCGTGGGGTCCTCAACTCAGCCGCGGTGTGATGTCACCTCAAAAGCAAAGATGCAACTTGTTACTTACCAGTCAGCACCGCAGCACCCGCTTGTTGCAAGGAGGCGAGCGTGGTCTGGATGTTCGAGGGAAGGCGCTCCCAGAGGTCTTCGGCAATGTACCAGGCCGGGAGGTGAGCGCTGTCGTAGCTGAAGGCGTCACCATCGCGAGGGCAGAGGGTGCGTGACTCTATCTTGGGAGCGGAGAAGGAGCAGGTGAAGCTCCGGCGGGTAGAACCACGACGCTCATGGAGCTTGGAGAAGGCGGGATTGTTGTAGGTAAGGTTGGGAGAGCTAGGGTCGGCCATGGTGTTGTGTAGGTAGCGGAAGTAGTCGAACGAGTGTAGTGAAGGAACGGTCTGGTGCTGCTGTTGCTTGATGCAGCACGGGCAGGAAATGCACAAGGGTATTTGTATTGTATTGAAGGAGTGAGGAGTGGAGGTGGAGTCTGTCTGAGGAAGAGGCCTCGAGCTGTTTGACGGAATCGCGGCGTAAGGTGAGGATCGATGCTTGGCAGGCGCGGGAATCAGGAAATGATGCCCAGTCGCGGTTTCCGCAGGGACCCTGTCCGTTCTACCAATGTAATTCTCGAGCCTTCTACTAAGGGCCCAAGGTCAGCCGACGCAATTTAGGTAATTTCCCAATTTCCCATGTGAACTGACGTCGCTTCCGCGTGTTGTGCAGATGGGAAAGTGAAATCTCGATGCCGGTTCTTGGCTGAATTGTAAGTGTGATGTAGCTTTAGGACAACAGGATTGGAAGACATGTATTGCTGGGATGTGCCTCGTACCCCGGACCCCAACGCATGCGTACGTAAGTTGTACCAAGGAAATTCGACGTTGGCGCCCAAAGGCCACAGAGAGCAGGCAAGCAAGCGACGTGTGCCCGTAAGCGGCGTGGACACCAATAACGACTGTAGGAAGAGATGAAGTGGCAGCAGCCACCAAGTGACGACAATCAAAAGCGAAAAGCTCACATACCGAAACGAGTGAGTATTCGGAGGAAGCCGGGGGCGCAATACCGCATTCGGCACCGGCACTTGCGCGGGCTCTCCGCTAAAAAGCACCTCGCTCGATCGAGATGCGGCAGCGAACAACTTGTATTCGCCGTTCTCGGGCAATTTTGAGCGTAATGGCGCGTAATACGAAGCGGTCTGAATGATGGAGGATGCCAGCAGAGGAAGGTGGTGGGAGGGATCCTATTCCGTTGGGCGTCCGCTGTTGCGTCTCCACACACCCGCACAGAAAACCCGTCCACTATCCCACCATCCCACAGTCTTGAGTCTGCGCATTAGCTCATGTCCGGCTAGCCTGCCGACGGCCAGCCCTATGATATACTATCACACGAGAAATTGACAGGGATCGCGCGGTAACGTGGTTAGGAAACATCGTTCCATTCAGAATACCTACCCGTGGCATTGCTCATCCTGCCTAGTCGCACGCTTCAAACGTTGAGGACGACTGCACAGCCCAGCGTTATTTTCCTAGACACCGCATCTTCTGCGCGCGAGTACTGTTGAGAAGGAGCACTGCACTGCAGGACCGTACGCTAAGAACGAACCCCATGCTTTTCAATAGTGCGCCATTAATGTATGCAATTGGTCGCGGGCGCGGCAGCGCTGTAAGTAATTATTCCAGCCTGAGGTGGATGTCGGTCAGCTTTGTCGCTATACGACGTTCGAGAGAAGGCAAACCTCTGAATCAAATGCACCCCGGATGCCGTCTCCACAATCCCGCTGATTTCGCCCTTGTTCAAACGGAAGGCAGCCTCCTCGAATTCCTTCTGCATATCGCCTCGTCCAAAGAAGCCCCTAGCCGACCATGTCAGTTGATGTCCAACCGCAGCTCCTGAATCACTCACAAATCTCCTCCCTTCCGCGCACTGCTGCAATCCGACTCGGTCATGGCGAGCTCTGATAGCGATTTACCATTGGGGTCGCTTGAGTCGTTTTCGTATGCCGTTATCTGCTCGAGGTACACCTTGATAGCCTCAACCGCATCCTCCTTGGAGCGCGTGATGCGCGGCTCCCGCCAGCTGGCCGGTCGTCGACTATCCCGGTGCTTGACGAGAAGATGTGCAGCGCGTATCTTGTCGCCCTGATTCGCGAGGTTCGCCGGTGTGACACCCTTGGAGCTATGGTACTTCGCCATAAAACTTTTCAGCGCGTCCGGGTCTGTCCCCGCGGGAGGCTCCCATCGCGAATCTTTGGTCGCGGGGTGAAAGTAGTAGGGGAGGTTCTTGCTATTGGAATGGCGTATCTCCCATCCCTCAGGGAGACCGGTTTCGGGTCCGGACGACTGGCAGTGTCAGTGTTGCTTGCCGTTGCTATGGAGACATGCGCCGCCTATGTATGCGCTGTACTCACCATGTTTGATATGTGATGTGTCTGTGGAGAGTTTGAAGATGTTGGATCCGTGCACCTGATGGGCTCGAAGCTTGTGTGTGGAGGCGATGCAGAGTGCGGTATGAAGAAGCGTGCAGGACGGAGGCGCTGAACTGCCGTTTGGGACGATCGCTGAGCTCTCGAACAACGCGGGGAGCATAAGGCGCCGCGCTCGGCCCGCCTGGCGCCACCACCTCAGGTAAGACCAAACCGCCTTCATCTTGAGTCTTTCATGGCTCCAGCCCACATACGCACCGAACGCCTGCCGCCACCTTTTGCTCTCCGACCGTGTTTCTAGTCGCAACCACTTCGCAATAAGTCGCGACTAAAGTCAGAAACACCACACGCGAACACGTCACCCGCCTCCTCGAAGTCGCCAAAAAATTTACACCACACATCTACCATGTCGTCCCCTGCAGCGGACCAGCAACAGGAGACGGACGAGAACAAGAAGATCCTCTTCCGCTTCTGCTCAGAATGGTGAGTAGCATCTACTTGCGCTATCCAGCTGCTAAGCCTCCCAGCTCCAACCTGCTATTTCCCCGCGAAGACAAAGCCGAGAGCAAGCTGCTGTTCGCCTGCCGCACATGCTCTTTCTCTGAGGAAGCCCCTTCAGCATGCGTCATGCGCACCGAAATCGCCTCTTCCGCTGGCGATACGGCTGGTGTGACGTCGGACATTGGGCAAGATCCTACGGTTGGTCTCACCCGCTCCTTTTCACGCGCCAGCCTCATGGAGTTGGATGGCTTTCCCAACTTCTGCACCATGTGTGGGCAGGACATAGTTTGCGTGGAATGTGGCGAGGAGAGCGCGCCGGGCCTCGTTCTCGAAGCAGAGGATGAGCATTCAATGCATTCAAACATCCAGAGAGGGGGCGGCGAGCATTCCTCGAAGAATTGAGCACAGTCGCGCGTTGAATCCGTCGCTTGCCTGCTCCTCTTTGAGCCTGCTTGCTGACTCTTGTCGCATCTAGTTGCCGCGTATCAAAGACAAGGCCTGCCCCTCGTGCGGCGAGCAGGACATCGTCTACTTCCAGTCCCAGCAGCGAACCACACACACTGGCATGGTAAGCTTGATTTCTTCCACTTGTCGGCTGTGCTAACTCTTCGTATAGAAACTGTACTACGTGTGCACCCAGTGCAGCCATGTGTGGCAGTAGGGAAATTTGCTTCATACCCTTCACGGGTAATAGATTTAGCATTGGGATGGAGTTTAGTCCTTTTATTCTACGAATGGTGTCCGGAATGGTATCTTATACCCAGCGATATGGTACAATGTCATATACATGTTTTGTACAGCAGCTATACCCCCATACTCCTGAAAATGCGATACTGCTTTCATACCCAACATACCTCCTTCCTACACATGCATCGGGGCCAGTGACAAAATCTTCGACCACTGTTTTTGCCTGAGTTCTGCCGCCACAACGCCGCTCACTCGCGATCCGATGGGCTCGCCGGCCTTGTTGATGAGCACGCACGCGTTGTCGTCGAACTTGACCACGCTGCCGTCCGGTCTCTGCCACTTCTTCGCCGTCCGTACCACTACCGCGTGGCGTACATCTCCGCGTCGTACTTTGTTCGCTGCGCTGATGGAGACGCTGTTGCCAGTCTCAGGACCGAAGTTTCGCTGTTTCTTGACCACTACCACTATCCGGTCGCCTATGCATGTCAATACCCTGAACCCCAGTGCGATCGCATCCTGTTCACATACCGACTTTGGCGGGGCGCTTCGAGCGCAGGACGTTGACGCACTCGACTATGGCGGCGCCCGAGTTGTCGATGCAATTGATGAGGGTCTAGATTGCGCTGCATGAGTGGGTTTGGTCTGGCCGGGGCGGGCTGAGGTCGCGTGTCGTACCTTGAGCTGGATCATTGTGAAGCCCTTGTGCGTCCCACAATGCTTCTTCGTTCCTGCAGCGTCTCGGCGCGGATGCTGTGGGTGCTATTGGTGATGGTAATCGACGTCCCAAGTTTGCAATGTGGAGCGCATCTGCCCAGGAATTTGGCCCTAGCGCAACCTCGCTTGGTCCCGTCGCTCTCCGCGCTTCTCGTCCAGTGGCCAGCCGATGCAGCCGCAAGGGAAGCCAGGCCGCGTTGGCGCTGATCCACCCAGCCTCAAGTCTCACACCGTCTTGCGCTTGCGCCATTTGCAGCTCGTGTGCTGTCCGAGACCGCTGTCGCTCTCTCCTTTCCTTTGCGCCTTCCTCGCGCCTTCCTCCACCGTCGCTCCTTCCGTTTGCGCGCATTCTTATTGTGACGAGGTGAACAGCGGGTACGGAGAAACCTGCTCTACTGATACGTCACCCAACCACCCCTATTCATTCTACCAGTTTGCACAACAAGCGCGACATACCGCGTCAAACGCTCTCTTGGTTTGCGTTGCTTGAAATACCGCCCGATTCGGTCTTTGCGCATCATGGCTCCGAAAGAGACAGCGAAAAAGGGTGCACTGACACTGGAGAAACTGGCACTATACGACGACATATTGACGGATGCGCTCGTCGACAAGGTAGGTCACGCACTCCGCGTTTGTGCCAGCGCAGTCGCCGAGCTCTGAGGAACGCGTTCGCTAACCGGCGCATCTGTAGGTGTACTACTGGACCGCAATCAGGAAGAACCGCGGCGGCCGCTTCTCCGGATCAAGAGGGTTGAACGAGGAGGAAATCGCAAACATTCTACGCGAACATGTTGTTGTTGAGAAGAACTCCGCTGAGGCTATGCAGCGCCTGGTACAGCTGCCTGGTCTGAAGAAGTTTCTTGCGACGTTGAAGGATGAGGCAGACAGAGAGCACTTCAAGAGACACTTGCGCAGATATGTCTCTATATACATGCCGGACTGTCCTTTCGAAGTCACGACGACGAACCGCTATACCATCACAGAACACGAGGCATCTATAACCGCGCGCCGAGATATCCAGCCTCGGGAAGAGATCAAGTACCTCACAGGAGTGCAGGTTGCTATGACCGAGGAGCAAGAGAAGAACCTAGAACTGGCGCGGAAGGACTTCAGCCTCGTAATCTCAGCGCGAAAGAAGACACGCTCCCTATTTCTCGGACCTGCGCGTTTCGCCAACCATGACTGCGACGCGAACGCTAAACTATCGACTAAAGGCTACGATGGCATGCAGATTGTTGCCGTCAAGCCCATCAAGGAAGGCGAAGAAATTACAGTATCATATGGCGAGGATTATTTCGGCGTAGACAACGAGGAGTGCTTGTGCCACAGCTGTGAAGATCGAATGGTGAATGGATGGGCACCCTTTAGACCGGCCGAAGATAGCAGCGAAGACGAAGACGAAGACGAAGACGAAGACGGAGATGACGATCAAGAGGGAGAGAGAGCGGGATACTTGTCCCCTGAAAAGGAAGCAACTCCTTCACGCCGACGGAAGCGCAAGCACGAAGAGTCCAACGACGCTACTGACCGCGAGAGAACCACCTGCTCCAAGCGTCGGAAGTCGGAATCCAAGACGAAATCGCTATCCCTTGTACGGCGAAAAGTATGCGCACATGCAACAACACAAAAATTAAACCTGAAGAAGTCTGCTAGCACTTCTTGTCTACGACACGAGCTACCCATTTCCAGCATCGAAGATCCAGCTGCCAATCTTCCATCAACGTCACGAAATCTTCGCACTCAGCAGCGCGACGGCCTCTTGAACATTGTTCAAGACGATGATTCTTCTTCCCGGAACACAACACCCCAGTCCCCAACAGAAGCTGCATCACCAAAGTCAACGCAGTCTACCGATGCAACTTCCGTAGACGAAGACCCGCCCACGACCGGGCTAAACAATCCGAAGATCAAAGTGGATCCTGGAATCATACACGAACAGCCAACTCTGGGTGTAGCCACGATGAAAGACGAAGTTACAATGGTAAATGCTCCTTGGTCCTCACTCTTCGCCGACGATACCTCGTCTGAGCTGAGTGACCTTTCTGACAGTTTGGATCTTGACGACGTGCTACAGCGAATCGTCAAGCGGAAGCGCCCGAAGCTACCTTTATTACCCCGTAATACCAGATCAAGCTCGCGCAACGTGATACACAATCGTGTCGGCACACCGATCCTAGACCAAGAGCCTGAGGAGGGTATGGTAGAGAACCCAAGGAAGCCAGGCGACTACATGACTTCGAAGTCCCGCTTGTCGGGTAAGGACAGCAAGTGGGCCGAATGCCAGACATGCGACGACCAGTTTGTGCAAGAGGACAGTCACCGCGGAACGCGTAAGGAGTGTCCGCGATGCGAGCGTCACTCAAAGTTGTACGGCTATCCCTGGCCTAAGACGGACAGGGAAGGAAAACACGATACCGAAGAGCGCGTTCTCGACCACCGGACTATTCATCGCTTCGTCGACCCTGAGGAAGAGAAAGAGATCAAGAAGGAGAAGCCGAAGCGCAAGTTTAGAGAGGAGATCATGGAGCGGTTCTCGACCCCGCGGTCTGGTCGCGACTCATCGATGAGCATGGAAGTCGAGAGTGGTCGGAAGAAGAGAAGAACAAGGTTTACTATGTAAAGAGCCGGGGAGAAAGTGTCTGACGATAATGCACGGGATGTTTAACACAACATCCATGCGACACTAACGAAGACATCGGTGAAGACGAAATCGTTTTGGGTGTTATTGGAGTTGTGAGAGACACTGAATCAAACGGTTGAGCATTTACTTGGGGCACCGGATTGGGCTGGACATACCCTGGTTTTGTTTTGCCATCTTGCCATACTTTATCTCTGCCGGCATTGTAGTATACTATAGCATATCTCGAATCCGGGGAGGAGTTATTGGCCTTCGGGCTACTTTTGCATCAGTGTATCAGTACTTTGAAGGTGGACTTGTCGAGGGACATCGTGGAAATCGAGCCCTTATTAGGCGAATTACTTTTGCTCAACGGAGCCACCGAATCGTCTTACGAATTGTTATTGTGTCATGATAAACATACTTTCAACACTATGTATCTTGTGTGTTTCTGGAAGCTATGGCGAAGGATTCGCAGAAGCTGCCAAAAAGGGTTCGTGTGTTAGGAAGCGAAGAGCGCCGATGCACAAGTGCGGAGCGCCGTAATAAAGAGTCCAGCTGTTTTACAGGTATATAAACAGTCCTATCCGTTCCCTCCCACAATGCCTGCTTTCGGCCTCGCGATCGATTCGAACTCATTGACGGCGAACTGCTGTTGGGTGCAGTAGCTCCCAACGTTTGCAGGATCAGTCCCGGCATGTCACGTGCTCACACTACTCCTAGGGCCGCAAGTCCCAGGCATTGCATTTCCTTCAACGTTTCTCCGAGTTGATCAACGCACTTGGAATCTCTACGCAGCACCCCTCTTTCAATTCTTGTCTTCGCTCATACAGCTCACATGCTCGTTCTCCTTCATCCCCGTACTCTCGTATGGATACGAAGAATCCTTCCGGTTACAACCCTCCACCGACCCGCAGGCGAGATTGGAGACATGGAAGAGCGAGCAGGAATAGAAGCCCGAGGACGGATGGCATCAGTGGCAGAAGGCTTAGGCGGACGTCACGTCGTACGATTGGCCACACGTTAGACACGGCGCACTTCTTGGCCGTTAGCGTCATGCCGCAAGGCTAATTTGGTCCTTCTCCACCTGGTCGAGGATGGCAGGCCTTCAGGCGGCCGGTGAGCGTTACATGCCTATCTTCGGGCATCGTTCAACGCGCTGTGAGAACAGCGAGACAACTCCAGCAGATTCCGCAGCAAGTGTCCCACCTTGATAGGGGAGAAAGAGCCCAATGCCAAAACGCTCGACAGGTTGTTTCGAGTGCCGGAAACGAAAGGTGCGCTGCGACGAGGCAAGGCCGGAATGTAATACCTGTCTTCGACGAGGCACAAAATGCCCTGGATATCGACCGCTTCAATCCTTTATTCTGCACAAGTTCGAAGAGCAGAATGAGAGGCCATCAATCATCAAGGAGGACGACAATCGCTACAGATATGCCAACCACAAGACGCACGAGGAGGAACCGTCATCATCCGACTCGGAACTAGCTGTAGTCGAGTACCTGCAACCACCAGGACGGAGGCCGTCTGGAGCTCCTGTGTTGCGCCAAGTTAGCCCTATCGCGATCGAGCGTGTACAGCATGTTGGGGAGTTGATATGGCTTTATTTGCCTAGATCAGATCCGCACACTTTGCCTCCTCCCTCAGCGTTAATGCTCACGCTGCCGCAACTTCCTGCGACGAGCGATGTTCTTCTGGCTGCGGTCGACGCCTTGTCCGCCGCGCAACTTGCTGTTGCTAATCGAAATTATTCTTTAGTCAATAGGTCACGATCGCTTTATGGGACCGCATTGTCGAAAATGATGACCACCATCCAATATCCAAATCGCGCACTAGAAGACGAAACGCTGCTAGCAACCTACCTGCTCACTTTGTATGAAGTGAGTTAGTCAGCCCGCAAATTGAACACTCCGGTATCTAATTCAGCACAGGTCTTCGTAGGCATTACCAGCGGTCATGGCTTTTTCTACCACGTGCAAGGCCTGCTGCATCTATTGAAGCAACGCGGACCAGAGTCCTTCGGCAACCGACTCAATATGCAGATTTTCCACGCGATACGGTACAACTCTGTATGCAGCCCTTGCGCTCATAGCAAAAACCAACGTTAACCAGTGTTATCCAGTTAAGCATCGGCTACCACGTGCGAAAAGGCTCAATGCTCGACACAGATGAATGGATGGCCGTGACCGCAAAAGTCGCAAAAGTCGATCCCTACGTCGCACTGATAGACATCTGCATCCGGATACCGCGCCTCTTGGAGCGAACCGACAAGCTCGCAGCTGGCGACCAAGAAGCCGCAGACAAGCTCATCGAAGATTCTCTAGCACTCGCCAACCAGGCCAAGCAGTGGTTTGCCAATTTCGAGAAGCACGGCCCTAGGTACACATCCGTCGATGTCGACGAGTTCGCGGGCTTCCAGGACATATGTCCCGACCGGACCTTCGACACAGCGTACAATTTCTACGCATTTGGCGCTGGAATTTGCTACATGATCTACTGGATGTCCCTCCTCATTCTGCAATCTAACACCTTCAAGCTTCTACGTCAGCACCGCGCGCTTCTCCCAAAAGACATGTATCTATGGGATCGCGAAATGGGTAGCTACGCGGACAGCAGCTGTCGCTGCGTGCCGTACAATTGTCGCACGGATGTCGGGTATGTGGGGCGGTTTGGCAGCTTGACGCCGCTGGTGGTAGCAAGGAAGTACTTTGAGGCGAAGAAGATGGAAAAGGAGATTGGGTGGTGTGAGAAGGTATATCAAAATGCGAGGATTCCGGGGTTGTATAGTACGCCGATGCCGATGGAGCCATTGAAGAGTATGCAGAGATTGGTGCAGCATAGTGATCGGTATATATAGGTTTGGCCGAATGAATACATAAGATCTTGACTTTGCGAGTGCTGTTGACTGCCTACGTCGATATTGAACTTTATGGTGTCGTGTCGTCCACTCCATTAACAAACACCTGTATAGCACCAACAATAAATGCTCGTTGTCTTGACACACATCATACGCCACGGTCGTCTGTCACCAATACCCAGGACTATATGTCATGCTTCGTATCGATGTCAGTATCCAGGTCAAAACGCGTTCATGTGTTCCGCATACACTTGCGTCACAGGAGTCACCTCTAAACGTACATGATGCGAAACTCAACAACTCATCCCACTACGGATCACGAATTCATTGGTAGCATGGGTGAAAGTACAAACGGGTTCATGGGCTATATCACAGTTTCTCATACTGATTAGCTGGGCTGCGTATTCTCTAGGCAGACGACATTACTCTCTATAAGCACTCCATCGAGAAGACTTTTTAGGATATTCCAGAATAACGCAAGATGCCCGATAATCGCATGCGAATCACCCGTCTCGGGAACCTTAAGCCTGAAGGTGCCTTCAACAACGGTATCGAAGTCTGGCAGGAAGACAATAGTCAAGGCAAGCTTCTGATCAGAAAAGCTTTCCGTCGATGCGATATTCCTGACCATGCTCTCCGCGAGATCAATGTTCTACGTCAGCTTGCTCGCTGCCGCTACACCGTCCGCATGTACAGCTCGCACGTCAGCCAAACCAGCGGCGAGATTTTCATGGAATGCTGCGGCAATGGTACGATAAAGGCACTGATCAGAGAGCATATGCAACGAGGGCGACTCATACCAGAGTCCTTTATTTGGCACGTCTTCCACTCACTTGTACAGGCCGTGCATTACATGCAATACGGACCCGGCGGTAACACTCCGTGGAACTGGATATACCACCGTGACCTGCACCCTGGCAATATCTTCATTACGGGTAGTAGACAAAGAGGGCTCCATGTTGTGCTCGGAGACTTTGGCTCCGCGGTGAGTAGCCGCTGGCGGGACGGATTCCGGGTGAACATGCAGGCGCGGGATTTCGGGATCCCGGAGACGTACATGAATGCCTCTTCCGATATCTATCAGATCGGCCTTGTTGTGGTCGCGATGTGCCACTTAACATTTCAACCTCTCACTATTGTGAGGCCGGCAAGAGGCGTCAGAGCGACACACGTGGCTGGTGGACAGTACAGTATGGCGTTGAGCCGTCATTTGGAGCGCTGCTTGCGTACAAATCCGCATGAGAGGCCTGGTGTAAGGGATCTCAGGAGAGACTTACAGAGAGAGGCGCATGTCCGAGCAAGCTCGCTCGATCCTCGTTCCATACTGATTTTCCCAACGTTGAGGGTTTATGAACGGTAGGTCCAGTGGTGGTGACAAATGGGAATCTTGGCGATAGTGCTTCAGTTCGAATCAATAGACTGTTTCCATTCATAAATGGCTCGCTATTGCATTAACATAGTAGCGGTCCATGATATGTCTGCTCTCTCTTATAGTCTCTTCCATGATACTTTCCACCGGCTGGACCGCGCGGAGCAGACCAATCCCTGTCCCGGCATAAATCACCATCCTCCCGTGAGGACCCCAAGCGCTATCCCCACACTCCAACTCTTCTTTATACAGCTTCACGTTCTCCACATCTAGCATGCCCGCCTCTTCGTCTTCATGTCCTTTATTCCTAATCGCTCGTCCATCATACGAAGTTGGCCAATCATGGTTCTCCTTGAGGCGGTCACACAACGTAGACCTCATCGTTGTCACTCCGCCATCGCTTGTCTTAACCAGCTCCCGCTTCCATCCATCCGCAATTCCAGCCTCTTCAGCCACGAGGAACCTCGTGCCCATGACAGCTCCGTCAGCACCAAGTGCCAATGCAGCAACCACACCACGCGCGTCTGATATGCCACCAGCTGCAAGTACCGGAATGTGAGCTTTCCCCATGGCCGAGAGTCTGTCTTTGACCTCTGGTACTAACGAGATTATGCTTGCAGATTGGCGTTGACCATGTCCTCCAGCATCCGCACCCTGCATGACGAGAAAGTCAGGCTCGGCGAGTGCTACACTTCGCTCTGCTTCCGCCACGCTTCCAACCTGTACGCAAATCCGGGTCAACCCATCCGTTACATCGCGAATTTTCGTAGCCCAGACACGCAGATCCTCTTCTAACTTTGGTGCGAAAAGCCACACTACTGCTGGTTTGTGCATTGAGAGCGCCCCTGATAAGGCATTGAGGTTGGAGTTGAAGAGCTGGAACCCAACTCCAATGGGCAAGGTGTCCGATCGTGCCTCAAACTTTTTGCTTTGATGGTCTGGTAGAAGGCGTTTTGACTCATCGAGCATCTTGTTGAGGTTTGCAGGATCTGTGCCACCGGCTATGAAGCCTAGACCTCCTGCGCAACTTAGATTGACTGCGAGGCGAGGGGTGGATGCACCGAGCATTGGTGCAGATACAACGAAGGGTGCCTTGATCCATGGGAAGAACGATTTGAATGCGTTCGCCATAATATCGGAAATTGTTTGGAAAGTCGCACACAAATCCAATACAATGTGGATACTGCAACAACTGCGGAGCAGCGGGTATATGTCGGTGGAGAAGGATGCACAGCCGAAGCATTTGTCAATCGCAGAGCGCTAGTCCTCCGCAAAGAGCCGCCATATCCGCAGAGCGTCATGAGCGCAAGTAGCACAACATTGTCTAACAAAAATTTTGACTTTCAGGATATCATAAATGAATCTGAATTGTGCCCCAAGATTGGATACGGTTTTCAAAATACAGCAAATCTTGACCCTTGCGGACAGTCTTTTCTAGTCGCCATGCAAGACTCCTCCGCCAAAAACATCTCCCTAGATCCGAAAGATCAATGGCTACGTATGGGCAATGGCCGACCCTTCCCAGGAATGATCGAAGATCATCAGGCCTACGTGGTGGTATTTGACGGACCAGATGACCCCTGGCATCCCATGAGCTGGACATTGAGCAAGAAGTAAGAGCACCCAGGGTTTTACTGAAAGCACGGTCGCTAATAAAACTGAACAGATGCTGGGTAGCTGCAATAGTATGCTACAGCACCCTCGTTGCCACGTTCGACAGCGCCTTATTCTCCCCAGCCGCCGTTCAGGCAAGTCAAGACCTCGCCGTAGGTCACGAAGTCGGCGCACTGGCGACGTGCCTATATGTGCTGGGCTTTTCCTTCGGGCCCTTACTCTGGGGTCCCGGATGCGAACTCAAGGGGCGCCGGATGCCGCTCATTGTGGGTTCATTGGGATGCGCGTTGTTCACACTGGCAAGCGCTACCGCCAAAGACATCCAGACATTGATTATTTGCCGCTTCTTCGCAGGAGTGTTCGGATCCAGCCCACTTTGTGTTGTTCCCGGAGTCCTCTCGGATATATTCGACGACTACCAGCGAGGACCTTCAATCGCGATATATGCCCTGACTGTATTTGCGGGCCCTTTGGCGGCGCCTTCCATTGGTGGGTTCATCACGGACAGCTATCTCCGGTGGCGGTGGACGCTGTACCTGCCTGCCATCATGGGATTCTTTGCAGTAGGTCTGCTTGTGCTCTTCTTGGAAGAAACCCATGCTGGCAGTGTTTTAAGCACCAAAGCCGCTCGCATTCGCCAGGAGACTGGTAATTGGAGCATTCATGCCGACCACGCAAGAATCGAGGTCGATATGGACGACCTCGCTCGGCGGTACCTCATCCGACCATTACGCATGTTAGCTACGGAGCCAATCGTGCTGTTCGTGTCCGTCTACATGTCCTTCATTTACGGATTGACATACGGCCTAGTGGGAGCATATCCATACGTGTTTCAGCACACATATGGTATGAACAAGGGGATAGCTGCTTTGCCGCTTATTGCAGTAATCCTCGGTCTTTGTCTGGCGGTTTGCTTCATCATCTGGCAGCAACTCCGGAGCCAGAAGACATCGTTGCTGGGCGATGCAGCCTCCGAACCAGAAGTTCGTTTGCTTCCCGTGATTGTGGGAGCTTTCGTATTTCCTTTTGGGCTGTTCTGGTACGTATGGTGAGTAAAGCTAAGTTCGTTCGTCACTCTGACTTTTGTCGTAGGTTCGCCTGGACAGCCTTTACACCGTCAGTGCATTGGGTGGCACCCACAGCATCAGGAGTGCTTACTGGATTCGGCCTTCTGTGTATATTCATGCCTTGTTTCAATTATCTGGTAGAAGCTTATCTGCCATTGTGAGTCTATTCTACGATACTGTACTCTTGATGGCGACTGACTCGACCAAGAGCGGCTTCAACCGTGGCTGCGAACGTGATCCTTCGTTCAGCGATCGCTGCCGGGTTTCCCTTGTTCTCTGTCCAGATGTTCCAGAACCTTGAAATACAATGGGCAGGCACACTTCTAGGCTGCCTCGCTTTAGTCATGGTCCCCATTCCCTTGGTATTCCGAGCTTACGGTGCTCGATTTCGATGGAAAAGCAAGCTTCTGACTCAAGGCCAGGCCAGTATGTAATACGAAGCCGACGCGTATAACTGACGGCGTTCCAGAAGCGCCCGATTATCGTTCGACTGCTATTCTGCACTAGGCCGCCTGGAATGTCACTCCGAGCTCGCCCGCGTCGTTGGGCTCAATCATGATTGGTTCAGCACACGCCTCGCGCGGATCTCGCGCACCGGAGCACCGCCCTTCGGCTCCACACAAGGGACGTCGGATATCATCAACGTCCGATCCTGTAGCAGCTGGGTCAATCATAAGTAGGGGAAATGCACCACAAAACCTCATTCGAGTACATCCTACGCACACTCTTCACGTCAATCTCACTTTTCCTCGAGCCGAACAGAGTCTCAGATCCGAATCACATCCCATGGCGTTACCCATGCGACCTAGAACTGTTATCGCAGGTCTCACGGCTGGTAGCATCGGCGCTGGCCTCCTGCTTTCAAGACTAGGTCGGGATGTAGATGCTGATGCGAATGCCGCCCAGAAAGTGTTCGGACGCGGACCAGCATTTGTATCATTGCCGCTAGAGAGCGAGCAGCAAGTTAATCATGACACAAAACGATTACGATTCTCGCTCCCGAACTCGACCGATGTCAGCGGCCTCTCGCTCACTTGTACGCCGTCTCTCATTATCTGATTGCCATTGTTGACTTTACCATAGCTGCGGTACTCACAATGTCCTGGCCGGAAGGCAGGTGGACTCCTGTCGCGAGACCGTACACGCCGATATCTCAAATCGGTAATATTCCTGGCTTTCTAGTGACGTGCAGGTGCTGATGATACTCAAGATGAACCCGGTGTCCTCGAGTTGTTGGTCAAGCACTACCCTGACGGAAAGCAAAGCACACACCTGCACTCCCTCAAGCCTGGCGACAGATTGCTTTTTGCTGCCGCCTTGCGCGGCCACCAATGGGTGCCCAATAGCGTTCCACATGTGACCCTTATAGCCGGTGGTGCCGGCATAACACCCATCTTCCAGCTGGCACAAGGCATCTTATCAAATCCAAATGATCAAACAGCGGTAACCATCGTTTACGGAGTCAACACCAATGAAGATTGCCATCTAACGAAGGAATTACAAAAGTTTAAAAGCGACTTCAAGGATCGATTCAACATTGTGTACACAGTTAGCCGACCGGACGAGAACACAACCTTGCGGAAGGGCCGCGTGACGAGAGAGCTGCTAGAAGAAGTGGCTCCACCGCCCAAGAACAGCGAGAACAAGGTGTTTGTATGTGGCCCACCGGCTATGGAATCAAGTCTGGTCGGTTCGCGTAAAGAAAAGGGGATTTTGGAGCAGCTTGGGTATCGGAAGGACCAGATACACACGTTTTGAGCGCGTCGCGAATGTGTAATGTACTCTTTTCATAACCTTCTGGTTCTAGCGGTCCGCGTGGGAAGACGAGACGATATTGTGAATTGAGCGAAACATCTTGGCGCCCCTTTTTTGGTAACGCATATTTGAGACTGGGATTTATGAAGCACATTCGTGTACATTGTATTAAAATGGGCTATAGCCGCCTTCCGCTCTGTATTTTAAGGATCTTTCAACATGAGAAACTTCAACCCGTTCCATTGACGAAATTTGCGATCTCCATATCCGTGAAGAATTCGCTGAACCACGGGACTTCAGCAAAATTCTGAGCTTGATCGAAGGAGAATTGGCCAGGTGTATCATTCCCTGTTGGAGCACCGATAGGGTAGAGTTTCAACATCTCCGATTGTCTCACAACATTCGCTTCCCGGCGCTTTTGGTGCATTGAAATGAGTGCGCGGGCTGCATTGTACGCGTCCTGGGTAGCTTTTGTCTGGTGGGTATCGCTCACAGTTGAGAGACATGACATCGTGGGTCCCAACAAAGAAAATGATTTGGTGGTGTCAATGGCGAGGAGCGTGCAAACAGACTGGAATGGGACGTTCGCCATGTGATGCCAAGGGCTTCCCGCTTCTAGCAACGTGTGCACTGCTTGTATTGCTTTCTCGATGAGCTGCACAATCTTATCCAGAATATCATCTTGAACAAGCCACCTTAGCGTATACAGTCGTCGGAACAGGCACAGCGTCAAATTACATTGAGCCAGGATTGAGGGAGGCTTAGTATGGACCCGATCCAGCACTTCTGATATGGCTTTTATAAGTTCTGGGCCGCTTATGGTCTTGGTTGGGTCCAGATTCTCTGTGTAAAACAGAAGTCCAAGAAGCTCAGTCGTATAATCGTTCGGTCGTGGGGATGCAGGAACGGTAGACATGTTTTGTAACGTAACACGAGTCCGTCCAAGATCGAAGGACAGCCAGACGTTCAGATGGCGAGCCACGCCCAGAATTCTCCGATTCATATCTGGTGTGGAGGGTCGGCCAGCACGACGGAAAGTAGCATCTGTGCCGATCTCACAATGCAAGCCTGCAGCGTCTATGAAATGTAGAGCTATGCAACTTGCCATCCAGGTCTCCTCGGGCCTTCCCGTGAGTCGTAAGTAGACTGTACGGAGGACCCAGGCGGTGGCGGTATCATAGGTGATATCTTCAGCAGCCAAATCAAGCAGGAGCTTTGCCAGAATGAAAAGACTCGTTTCTGTCTGTAAGTCTTGTAGATTCGAGAAAGCACAGCCCAAGGCCGCAATACCACAGACCACCGCTTCAGGAATTGAGAGATTGCTTCCGGGAACCCATAGCTGTTGTACTGTCTGATCCACTAGCTCTCGGTCGATGAATCCGTAGCATGGGTCGATCTTGTCAAAGTAGACAGCAACGAGATCTTGCATGTCCGACTGCGTCACGATATCTGTGACGCTCCGCAACGGCATGTTTGTAGAGACCTGACGCTGGCCGAGGAAGACGTTCCAGCCCAACATCTGGGACGGTGGGGCATTGCTCGGATCAACAGTGATAGCGAAGGTACGCACAAAGGCAGATCCCGAGTTGCTTTCGAGTGATTGCGCAAATGGTGTTGGCGCCAAAGTCGGGGCTGGTGTCTGGTCTAGAGTAGTCCCACTATTTTCCTGCGGACTTGAAGAGAATGGCTGGGAGGGTAATGTGCTCCCGTTCTCGCGCCTTCGCTTGCGTGGATGCGAGCGGTATGAGCACTCGTACCCAAAGTTTCGACATAGCTCGCACGGGTGATCCCCATCGCATTTCCGCTTACGCTCGCGACATGGCTCGCATGCAATCCGTGAGCGTTGCCGTGGCTGCCGTGACCTTGCATCGCTGATTTCGCTCATGACTTGAGCCGACGATATTGAGTGTTGGTCGCCAGTATCACGGAAATGGCGGATCTTGCGGCTAGACACGGAAGCTGGAACGCTAAAACGGCACGTGACTGTCTAACCGGGCGCATCTTTGTCTTCTCCGTTGTAAAGGTCCGTCATACTTGCGGAGCTCTCTCAAGGAACTTGCCCGAGTCGGTTGAGAGAACCATATCCATAGTCCCAACAATTATTCGAACGATCGCACTTCTGCGTGCTAAGGCTAAATCTGATGTGACATACCCAGACACTACAGCTCACACGGTCAGGGGCGTGACTGCCTATAACTCGCACAAATTTCCTAGATTTTGGTCAAGCCCCAACATAACAAGGAGAGGCTGCATAACTCCATGGTATGACTCCATGATACAGCCTGGCGACAGCTTGAAGATCGTGCAAAGATAGGCTAGCCCACAGTCGGCTCACACAACTCCAAGCGACCTACAGCGCATCGACCTACCAATGCAATGCTGACCAGTTTCAGGACAAGACTACATAGGTACTTACGTCACATCTTGAACTGACTAGATCAAAACTTACTGCAAGCCTTTGAAAAAAACACCATCGCTAGACTTGACTGGGTGCAGATTCTTGTGCCCGCGATGCGCTGACGGGAAGATGCACTGCAAGGCTGCGTTCAAGCTTACTGCTTGCGAAACTCAATCAGGCCCCGACATGCACTAGCTGCGGCTGCCTTGATATCAGGCGTGCCAACAGCCACACCCAAAGACTATTTAGCATCAGTCCGAAACACCCGTCTCTCTCTTGTGGAAAAGGTGATACTGGAACTGAGGCTCAACAACCCCACAGCACCACCAAATTACAGCGCTGGCTCTGCTATAAGTCTTCATTAATAGGTAGGTCTGCAGGCCAAGGTAGTACACTGCATCTTTATTCATTAAACGAAATAGACATTCTGTTCCTCTGGTGCAAATAGGCTATACCCGGAGATCGCTTCCCCACAAAAAATATTTCAATATGGCCCGTCTACCTACAGCAAAAGAACTTGACCTCTTCGACATGGATGTCCCCGAGGTCATGGCCGTTTCCTGCATGCCGCCGGCTCAGGAGCACATGGAAGATCCTTTCTGGTATGATACCGGTGGGAGAAATCCATTCCATCGCAAACGTGTACACAAGATGTTAGCTGGTGAGGACCGCAAGACCAAGCTCAGCGAGATAGTCGAGGAGTTCCCTCGATATGGACCCAAAATGTATGAGTGGGCAGTCGAACAGAATGATCCCAGTCTGCTCAAAGAACTGTTCCAACTGAATGTATCTATGGAAATCAAGGATGCGAAGCAAAAGAACACCGATAAGGACGAGGACGATATGGATGTGGCTGAGGATGACCACTTTTACCCTCAGGTCGACATGCAGCCTGATTTGCAGATTGCGGCGTTCGATGGCAAACTAGAATGCGTTAAAGTATTCATCGAGTTTGGTCATGCAGACATCAATGCTAAAGACGACAAAGATACGACGCCCCTCACGAATGCCCTCGTATCCGGTCATGAAGAAGTGGTCGATTGGCTTCTGGAACATGGCGCTGATATCACATCCGAAGCAGAGAAGCTTAATGATATACAAGCCGCGCTTCGATCCGGAAGAATCGCCTTGGTGAACAAGGTGCTCGAGCACCCACAATCTTTGGAACGAAAGTTGCGTATCAAGACCTCTCACTTGTTCTATGCTGCGACAGCGGGGGAGGACTCGCGAGAAGTAGTCCAGTTCGTGCTTCAGAGTGACTGCTTTGGCTCACCAGTCACTCGATGCCATAAAGACGCGATCATGCAAAGCCTAAGTGCTGCTGTGTCACTTGCATCAATTGAGTCTGTACGGCTCATGCTTCCATTCTTGACGGAGCAGAAAGATGACGGTTCTTTTGAATACGTCGAGTTGCCTGAAGAGAATCAAATCGCCATTTTTATCGCATCGGAGGATGCTATGGAGAAGCGGGATATTCCGGAACTGTTCCAACTCATCTGGGAGACCTTCCTGTGCGGTCCGAACGAACATCAAGGCACCCACAACCAACCAGTCGTCACCAAGGAGGACAGATTGCATCGACGTCTCATCTCGGCTTGTGCAGAAGGCTGTGTAGAAACGTGCAGGCTCCTCGTTGACCAGTACGGTGCGGGCGTAAACCACGTAAGCTACAAAATTTTCAGCACGCCATTAGGACGAGCTGCTGGATCGCCCGCCAATTCTCTCGAGAGGCGATTGCCTGTAGCAAGATATCTTCTTGAGGAGAAACATGCGAACATTCATTTAGCCAATGGAGAATTTGCAAACGGTGCTACCCCCCTTGCATTAGTGCTCAAGTGTGGAGGGCGAGAGGATCAGGAGGAGATGATCAAGCTGCTGCTGAAAAATGGTGGACCTTTAGAGGAGATTGGTGGTGATGTGTTGAGAACAATTGAAGAGGCCGAAGCCGAAGCGAAAGTAAAGCTTTGTCTTTTGTTGCATGAGGGGCCTAGAGATCCCGTAAAGCTCGTGACTTGCGATAGTGCAGGAAGTCGGCAAGTACAAGTCGGAGTGGATGCCACCAAGGAAGAGTGGGAGTCATGGCTTGGATCCATACAGATCAGAAAGTCCGACGAGGTTCTTGCTGTGGAAGATCCGAAAGGGCGTCCATTAGCACGAGATAATAGCTAATTGAGGTTACCGCAAAGGTTGAATACTTTAGAATGATAGGATAGCACTGCCCCACCGTGTGAGAAAACTGTGACCCTGCATAAACGCCTCAGTGGAACCTTGTTATTTTAGACCAAGGCAATATCCTTCCATATGCATACAATAGTCTTTAAAATAGCACCATCTTAAGATCAATGTTTTTAGGGTGCGGCTTATGCCAATCAAATGGCTCTATGATAGCCCTTCGTCCTAACTCTTGGTGTCTCGATTACAATGAATCCGCCACAGAACAACCATATCTCCATTGTGAACTGCAGACTGTCCACCCAGCCACCGCCTAATCGCCTATATTGAAGCTCAACCAGCTATCATCACACGTCGAGAGTTTGCTTGCCACTGTCACACAGTCAATTCGCTCCCTTACCCCTCTCGCATCCTCAACACGAGATGAAGACTTACAAGGAAAATCCACAGGCGCTACCGGAGGCCAGGGGTTCGGCGGATGGTCCGGCCACGGTAAACTCTCATTCGTCTTGCATTGCGGATACAAGATCCGCTCGAACAGTGCGACGCAGGCATCCTCAGTCCACGGATTGAGGCCAGCGCACTTGTTGCCTACGCGAAGGGTAGCCGTGTAGCCTGGGACTTTTCCTAGCATTTTATATCAGTGTGACTTGGCGCGGAGAGGAGGGAACGAGCGAGGGGGAGATACCAGTGACAGTGGCCGGCGAGGGCGTCGTGCCGGGCGTACAAGACATCGCCGCACACGCGTTTTCGATTGCGGTGTGTGCTAGATTCTTGTCGGCGAAGGCATTGCGGCAGGTGATTTGGGCGCTGTTCCAACACTCGTCTTGGGCCCCCACGGTGACGAGAGTGATGGCTACGACCAGAAAGCGAAGGAGAGGGGAGAGGCGCATTGTTGATCTGAGAAGAATATGAATATGGAATAATTGCAATGACAGATAGATGATGCGATGTGTCGCAGATTGGCCTGTGTCGATCGATGCGGAGGAAGAGTAGGGTATGATGAGATTTTATATGGTGAACAAGTTTGCATACGGACATCAGCCTTCGACTAGCGCTTGCGCCCATTATAAGGGGAGAGACGCAAGGCAAGCTGATCAGGATATCAAGGAGGCGTTTGTATCTAACTAAATGAGTGTCAGAGCCGATGGTGGTACGAACCATGATGCTCATAAAGGCCTTTGGGAAATTTGACGCGTGGGTCTTGTGCGACCCGAACGTGCGAACGATTTCAGATTTCCCATGGTTATCAGCCAACCGGAGCCTGGCAGCGGCATTTCATTGATGAGACAAATTGCGGGCTTGGGAGAAGCGTAGAGGTATTGGTGGGTTGAGAAGTGGCACCAGTGGAGTCAATCGTGAGCTGACGATGATTGATGCCTTAGGTATCGTACGTAACTCGATGGGCCAATTTCCAAGGTGATAGACAACATAATGACCTAGGCTTTGCCTGTACCAACGGTAACTATTAGCTTGACCAACAAAGCCAAGACATTGAAGCCCTCAGGCATGTATCAACGAAAGCGTGCCAAAGGCTGCAAGATTGGATGTAGAAGATAATCGATAGGCTGCGAACGAAAACGGCTTCTGCGTCGCACTATGGCTGCAAAGCATCTGTCTTCGTGAACCATGTGGCATTTTTGTCATCGGGCCTTACGATCTAGATTGCAATCGAGAGCACAGATTCAGTATCTTCCGGAACGACCGGAGTAATCGATATCGGCGCTTCAGGTATGGATGCTATAGCCTACCATCCGATTCAAGGTATGATTCCTTCGTTTGTATTCCAACGACAATCTCGTACTGAAGAAGCGCCCGCCTGCGCTTCGCTTGTAATCGACCATCTCATTCATCCTCTGTCTCGCTCCAGAATAACCATTCTTTCCAACTTCATTTCTTGATCTTCTCAAGCGTAATCCTCGTCCCCTCAACAATCAACCCATGTTCAACCTCATGTATCCTGTTTTCTAAATCATCCAAACTCTCCCCATCCCTCAACTCCACCTCCTTCGTGACGATCGCCTCCCCTGCATCCACCTCCGCAATGACCTCATGAATCATGACTCCCGTCCTCTTCAATCCCTCCTTCCTTCCCGCCTCCCACGCCCGTTCAATCGCTCCAGCACCCGCAAACTCCCCCGGCAGCGCAGGATGTAGGTTTATCACTTTGATTCCCGCAGCCGCGATGGGGTTGAGGAAGTCGGGCGTCAGAATGTGCATCCAGCCCGCACAGACGATAACGCTGGGTTGTGGCTCGAGTTTCAATATTAGGTCTGCGAGCGAGGCATCGTATTCGGTGCGGGCAGCGGCGGTGCCTTCCTCGGTTTGGGGGTGTTTCCGCTTGAAGGGGACGAGGTTGTGGTAGGAGGTGGGTATGGAGGCTTTGGCGGCGCGTTCGAGACCGTAGGCGGCTTTGCGACTATCCCACGCGTATTAGCTCTTGTTGTTATATGCTGAGTGTGGTGCGGTACTTTGATATAACGTGGGTTATGCGCGTGTTTGGGAGTGCGGACGACAAGCAGGCGTCAATGAGGGCTTGAAGGTTGGATCCGTTGCCGGATATGAGGACGACGAGGTTATGTTGTAATTGCGACATAATAGCTGTAAGGAGCGTACGTGTTTACTATGTGAATTGAAGTAGCGGAGGTGCGATGTCGCTCCGCAACCTGATGCGGGACCAAAGTTTTGCGTGGGGTGCTGCGTTATCGATAGAGGGGTACGAGTACTGGAACTTTGGAAGTCAAGTGCAAGAGGTTTCCCTTGCTTCAAACTGTGCAGGAAGGCATCGACACTTTTCTATGAAACAGAAGTTCAAGGCAAAGCCTCTGATACTGCCTTAAAACGCATGTGGTATCCGTATCAATCGTCACGTTAACAACGCAGCTTTCCAAAACCCATCGCCTCGACTGTAAGAGACGCCTTGAACGCCGCCCTAAGTCTTTCAGACCCTCGCTTTCTTAGAAGTCGCACTTTCATTATCCATATCCTCCCATTCATCATCTTCATCGTCTTCGATGACCATCCTCTTCCGCTTCGACCTGGAGCCTGACCCGACCTGCACCTCTCCATTTCTCCACTTAGCTCTCGTCTCCAGGCCCTGCAATCGCTCTTCATACTCCGCTTGCTGATTATTCACAGCATTCTCGATCATCTCTACCTTCTGCGCGGTCGTGAGAGCTTCTTCTCCTTCCTCCATATTTTCCAAAGAATCGCGGTTTTGACGGTGTATCCTATCTTTCAGGGCTAGTCGCCAGAAGTAGTATCGACGGTCGTTCTCATTCGAAGACCTATCTTTGCGGATGATGCGATTTTTATTTCTGTTGGCGGGCGGTATGGTTGATAGAAGGTGAAGTTCAAGCATGCGGTTAAATTGACGGGACACTATCTTTGTTTCACGCTGCAGCTGGCTAAGATCGACACCGTTACCTAGTATTTCGGCGCGAGGAATCGGGACTCCTTTTGCAAGTTTCTCCTTTGGTATGGTCGCAGGTATGGTCAGCGATTGGAAAGATGGTAAGGTGCGGAGGTACACAATGTCACTATAGTCGCGCATAGCGTCAAAGGCTTCGCTTGGGTCTTCGACAGGGATCTCGTAAATGTATGGTCTCTTGACGAGTTCCCCGAATATTGCCTCGTACAGTATTGCTCCGAGAGACTGGCCTTGGTACGGCGGTAGTATAAGGAACTGCGAGATGCGTTCGCGCGAAGGCTGTTTTAGGGGGTCGATGGTCTCGTTTATGCGGAAAGTATCAGGATCCTGTGTAAGTCTCGGAGGGCTCCATTTGCCAGCATGGCCATTTGTGCTAGCGGGAGGCGAAGGGAGTGACCTGGTAGCGCGCATAATCTCGAAGGTAGGAAGCAGCCAGAAGCGGTATGTGGTGGAAAAGCCGGCAAGTGTGTAGGGTGAGGTTTCCTCATCAATCGGCGTGACTTCATACAGTAGGTATAGAGACCACCTCTCAAGCGACCATTCTGCATCCAGCTCGGGCAGAGATGCACCTTCTATGTAGAGCATTGGCAATATTTGCATGTTCTCCCACAGCCTTTTCGCATTGGGGTCCGTGAAACTTGCGACCCATATCTCGAATTGTTTGCCGTGATGCGCGAAGCTGTGCAGCTGTTTGCCGGGCGGTCTCCAGTCTTTCGATGTGGGGTCCGTTTGCGCTGAGTCGGCCGGGGCATCGGCGGGATTGAAGACAGCTGTTGCTTGTCAGTAAGAGCACGCGTTTCTAATGACCGCGAGGGAGGACCTACAGGCAGGTAGGTATTCTTCGAACACGGTCTCCAGATCGACCTTCAGGTGTTTCTCAGAGTACACCTCATCTGGCAGCTCCACTTTCTCCTCAAAGCCCACCTGCAGCGATGGCTTCATGTCATTTGCGCGAAAGCTTAGTTGTATGCTGGGCTCCTTGTGACCAATGATCTCCTGCTCCTCACCGAAGAAAGGGTACGTCCAGGCGGGGTTGAACGATTCGCTGAATATAGGCTCGGGTGCCGCATCCTTGGAGGGTCGGGTGAGATTGAGCTCGAAGCACTCGTTCGCGCTGGTGATGTCTTGGAGAGGTCAGCGCAGTCCGTTGTCGCAAGATATTCGGGAACTCACAGTCTTCCAGATTGACGTTCATGATGTGCGACAACGGAGGAGGCTGCTCTCACACTAGCTGCGCTCAGGAAGACGACGTCGCCGCGTTGAGAGGAAGTAGACAGGAGCTGGTCGCAAGTAAAATCGCGAGGCGCGTTGGAAAGCTCAAGCTCGGCGCGACGCGTTCTAGCGCCGTTCGCTCAGCCTTACGGCAGTGGATCCGAAACAAGCGAGGAGAACCCTGGAGGATGCCCCGGTACAGTCAACTGCTCCTTCGCTGCCTTTCCGCTCATCGAGCCTCAGCCCCTTCCCGAGCAGCCACCCACGCATCTTGCGACAGGGCCGCAAGTAATGACAACGACATTTCCCCAATATTGCCCAGTCTTTCTTCTCTGTCTTGCACGTTCGCTCTCGTCTGAGACAGCCCGACACGGGTCAGCCGCCAGCCATGTGGGACGGTCTGTTTATGCTGCTCGCCCTGAGCGCCATCATGGGAATTGCGTGAGTACGGTACATTCATATATCCTCATACAAATATTGACTGCGGCAGCTCCTTTCTGGCCGGCATACTACCGCTCTCCTTTAACCTGTCTCCGCGCCAGATCCGCACCGTTTCGTTGCTCGGCACCGGCGTTCTCGTAGGCGCATCGCTCATTGTTATTATACCAGAGGGCGTCGAGACAATGTACGGTGCCGCCATTAAGACCCACGCCCATGACGTACCGCACCCGCAGCCCAAGATCCCTTCTGGACATACCCAACAAAAAGGAGCTGTCAACCCTACCGAGTTCGTGCCGGATCATGTCAGAGCGGAAGCACTGCGAACAGATTTTACAAAGACTGGTGCCATCAAAGCCCCTGGCGCGGCCAGTATTATCGTGAAGAGGACGCCGGACACGCCTCCGGACAGCTACAAGCAGCGCGCTTCAGATAAGAAAACCATGGAGCAGAAGGGCAAGGCGGAGGAGGAGCACGCACAACCCCAGAAGGGCGGCGATGACGACTCGACCGAAGGCCACAAGGAGGGACATACGCGCGTACATGGGCCCGAAGAGGGCGAGCAAGAGACGACGCCAGTATCAGCAGACATGGAAGGGCCTCACGGTTACATTGGCGTTGCGCTGATACTCGGATTCATTCTCATGTTTGTTGTGGATCACCTTCCAGAAGCGCTCTCGAACGCAAAGTCGCAATACCAGTCGCTGCACATATCGCTATCAAATCTTCATCGAGGACCACACAATTCGTCTTCGATGAGTTTGAACGCACTGACTCCAGGTTCTCCACCACCAGAGCCGCTTACACCTCTTCCGCCGCATGTATCGAAGCCTCCACGCTCATCGGCGACTACCATCGGACTGGTGATCCATTCGTGCGCTGATGGTATCGCATTGGGGGGCGTCTTCGACCGCTCCTTCTACTTCGCTATCCCTCGTCATCTTCTTCGCTATCATGCTACACAAAGCTCCCGCTGCATTTGGTCTCACTTCTGTATTACTGAAGCAGGGCTTTTCGAAGCGAAGAATACGGACACACCTCGCCATGTTTAGCCTAGCAGCACCCGCAGGTGCAGTGTTAACCTGGTCCATTGTGCACCTACTCGGCCGCGGGCGACTGGGCGGCGATGACGGTCTGGCATGGACGACTGGATGGGTATTGTTGTTCTCCGGTGGAACATTTTTGTGAGTATCGTGCCGTATCTGTATAGGCTCGAGAATGCTGACCACAATAGGTACGTGGCCATGCACTCTATGACCGAAGCCACAAATTCCCACGAAGAGCCTGTCATCAACGGCTACATCGACCACCACACCTCGCCCTCGAACGGTCTCTCCAAGTCCGATATAGCCATCGTTTTGTCCGGTATGCTCGTACCGCTCTTCACTCAGGTCGGACACCACCATTAGAGCAGCATTTCTTCGGCGTTGGCTTTTGCGTCATTTGGAAAAGGGAAAATGGATTAATGACTGAGCGGTGTTCAGGATGATACCAAATATTGTAGAACACCTTTTGACATGCTCATGTTTGTATAGGTGGGGAATGGATCTATTTGGAGGCATGGTGTAGATATGTACAATAAGTATCATAATGGTGCGCTTACCTGTGAATTGATGAATTCCCTGCCCAGTTTTATTGTGGAACAGAAAGAAGATGAATCGCCTTAGCCCTAGTAGAGGACAATAGCTCACGACAAACGCAGAGAATTCGGAGCCATTCGCTCTTCCGTACGAGCTATCATCGCAAAATAACGCAAGTTGCCGATTTTCCATGGAGACAAAGCCAGAAATTGATGTTCGTACGAGTTCACTGGGCGGAAGCGCGCCCTGCCTTCCTGGTTCTCCGCTGCTGACGTGCCATTGTCAGCGGTACTAGCGCGTCCATTAAGCGGACGACGTCATCACGACGGATGGGTGCGGGGAGCTTCCCATGCGCTACCAAGCTTGCGATAAATACCATACAGCCTCAAACTTGTGTATGTTCACCTCGATATTCTCGTTCGGCGGTTCTACGACTTCTCCTGACCTCAATTGATACCCCAGTCAACTCGACATCAGGAAGCAGAGCTCCAAGACAGACAACAGGGCACGCGACACGCGACGCGATAGCTATCGGATAAGAGCTGCGCTCTAGAAGTCACGAAAAACTCGCGATTGAAACATAGCAGCAATGGCGAGCACAAGTGGAAAGGCCGAGAGAGGCGCGCAGAGGAAGATTGAACTGTTCTCTGGATCGTATTTCGCTGCTTGCACAATGGGCGGTATTATTGGTATGATAAGATAAATTGTCCGCGGATGTTCTTTGTGCTAACAACCACAGCTTGTGGTCCTACACATACCATGGTCACACCTCTAGATCTTGTATGTTGCTGTTTCTTCGTAAAAGCCGGAACTGGGGGGCCTGGACTGGCGTTTCGAGAGCGTGTGTGCTAATGAGCGCACCCTAGGTTAAATGTCGTCGGCAAGTTGACGACAAACTCTATAAATCTAACACACAAGCTTGGCGGATGATTTACTCTAAAGAGGGTCTCCGCGGTGTCTTCTTTGGCTGGACACCCACTTTCGTCGGCTACTCGCTTCAGGGCGCCGGAAAGTACGGCTTCTACGAGGTCTTCAAGTACCTATACGGTGACAAGCTTGCGCCGAATGCCAATAAAACAGTGGTCTACCTCGCTGCCTCCGCCTCCGCCGAGTTTTTGGCCGATATCGCGCTGTGCCCGCTCGAAGCCATCAAGGTCCGCATGCAGACTACGCTGCCGCCGTTTGCGCATAGCTTGAGGGAAGGCTGGGGCAAGGTGGTAAGCCAGGAGGGCGTTGCTGGGCTGTACAAGGGATTATACCCTTTGTGGGGACGGCAGATCCCATATACCATGGTGAAGTTTACCACGTTTGAGAAGACGGTGGAGCAGATCTACAAGTATCTCGGAAAGCCAAAGGAGTCATACAATTCCTTGCAGCAGACTGGTGTCTCGTTCTTGGGCGGCTACATCGCCGGTATTGGATGTGCGGTTATCTCGCATCCTGCAGGTATGTCCTCCCACGTTGACTAAAATTGGTGCGGAATAGGCTAACACGCTATAGATGTCATGGTTTCGAAGCTAAACTCTGACCGCAAAGCTGGTGAAGGCGCTGGTCAGGCGATGACCAGAATTTACGGAAAGATTGGTTTCGCCGGTCTTTGGAACGGTCTGCCTGTTCGTATCTTCATGATTGGTACTTTGACGGCATTCCAGTGGCTCATTTACGATTCGTTCAAGGTTTACCTCGGCGTAAGTTCTTCATCTGCGAAGCTCACAGTGTACGACCTAACGAACAATTGCAGTTGCCCACAACTGGTGGCCACTAGACAAGGCCAGGAAACTTGCTCTTCAATGTTTAGATAACTAGCATGGTGCTAGTAGGACGAGACAGGTATATTCGGATTTCAGCAAAGCATAAGGGAGGACTCTTGTGCCAGGCGCCCGGAGTTTGCACTGTGAAATGGCTCTGGGAGGTTATGTTGATCGTAATCATTATTAAATCTATCTAACTATCGATCCATTCTATCCACACCACCTTCCCACTACACTTATGCGTCCTCAAGGCAGTACCCCAAGCTCGCCCAATACCTCTCTTAAACCTAAACCCACCCAATCCTTCACTGGCCCCTCTTCGCTCAACCAGACAGACCCCAACATCCCCGCCGTGGCCGCACTAGCCCTCGTACCCTCAACACCAGACGTCCGCCTAGGAATCACGACCAACCAATCTTCCCACATGAAGAGGCCATGCGGGCAGACTATCGAAGTCTTCGGTAAGCCCAGCGCCTCTTTTGCCTGCTCAATCAACCCCAGATAGACAACCACCACCTGCGTTCCCGTCATAGCCCCAAACCCCTTCTCAAAACAATGCGCGAAGAACTGAAACGGCACCGTTTCCCTCAGCTCCTCTGTAATGAAATTCTTAAAAGCAGGTGGCGGGCCACGTAGGCCTTGAAGATGCTTATGCACCCTACTACACCCTGCCTCTTTTCCGCCGTTGAATATAACGTATAGCTCAGAGCCGATGCCAGGGATCGAAAGCATGTCCAGCGCAGCTTGAAAATCTGCGGCGTCTAGGAGTTCGGATTGCCGGCGGTAGGAATCTAGTGTCAGGAGAAGGAATTGGGGCCGGTCGACGCAGAACATGTTGAATGCAAGGTCGTGGGTGCCGTTTAGCTGAGAAAGCTTCATCCGGGGATCAGGGCAGTAAAGGTCGCTGCCTGGGCCCCATTGCTGGAGGTTGGCGTAAGTAGAATCTAGTTTGGCACCAATGGTGTTTGGTTTGCGGGAAAAGGCAGGACAGATGCGAAATTCGAGCTTTAGTGGATTTAGTCTGGTGGTTGGAAAGGGAATTGAAGCAATTTACGGGGTAGCCGCCGGTATCGTGCTTGATAGTGTGGTAGGTGCCAAACGAGATGTTGCCTGTTGCAACTAGGTCGTCGAATGTGGAGAGTATGTCTTCTTGGGAGGGGATTGTTGAGGGGGTGGTCATCTTCTAGGCGTCGATGTGTTGTTGGGGATTCCTTAAACTACCAGTATGATAAGTTCTCTCCCGTCATTTTTTCTTCCTGAAGTACAAAGAGAGATCGTGGTATGTCTCAATCTTGGTAATTTTCAAAGGGTCGAGATCTTGTGAGGCGGTGTTTTAGGCTAGCCGACGTGAGCTAGCCTGTTTTTGTAAGCCTTACACCAATTTACACCGCTCACCTTGATACTCATTGATTCAGACCTCTATACCATATGCACCTTGTTCGCTTGACTTGCCACTGTCCGAAGCAAAATTGTATGCGAGTACTAGAGTCAATTCCGAAATTCATGCATCCTAAGGGGACTTTGACTGTCAAATACGGCGTCAGCACAAGGAACATAAAATCGTTAGAGATTGTGCTGAGACCAAAGTTGTTTCTTGACAATTGGCCTCCACAGTCGTTGCAGATGCCATGTTGACGAACGCACCAATAGTACAAGAATGCGCTGAGCGCCGTGGTGTCCGAGGAGGAAGACGCACTTTCCCACAACAGGACAACACACTAGGCCTGAATAGCAACTCACCTAGGCTCTCCACTTCCGCGTGATCCCACATCTCGTTTCCATCTTTCGAAATCCATGGAGCGCGCATCTTCCAAAGAACAATCTCCCGGTATTATCAAGAAGAGGAAAATACCACCATCCAATAGCTGGGTAGCCCATAAAGCAGAATTCCAACGCAAGCGCTCAGCCACTGCTTGCCACCTTTGTCGCACTCGCAAGACAAAATGTGATAACAACCGTCCGATTTGCTCGAAATGTGGCGAGCTTGGCGCAGAATGTGTCTACCAGGACCAGGCAGCTACTGAACCGTATGTGCGTCCTCATTCCATTGTCGCTATTGCAAACCTTAACCTCAATTCAGCCCCCCAAGTCACATTCTCCGACGTCTGGAGCATCTAATCAGATTGGTTGAATCGGGAGTGCCCAACAACAGCTATGATCAACCAATGGACGATGCCTCTGTTGCCCCTCTGCCATCTCTCGATGGTTCCAATGGGGATGCGCAAGATCCTCTCCTTCACAATCCGGTCATTGGGCGGACTTCTACGCCTGATAGCTCGACACAATTACCCCAAGTTCCTCGACACGAATACTTCGGCTCGAGCGAAGATGTGCTGGCGTGGCCGATCTTCGCAGGTAAATACGACCGCCGTTGGATTGAGGCATTGATATTTGACCCTACACTACCTAGCGATGACTTGTCTGGAACGCCTACTTCACCTAGAGTCAACGACGACTCACTCCGAAACACCTTCGAGGATCCTCGGCAAGCCTCGCAATGCAGTCCTGCCATACGCGAAGAAGACGTACCACATCTTGTTGAAGCTTTCCTTCTGAACGTTCACGTCAAGAACCCTATATTCGATCCAAACTACCTGCGAAGCATGGCTAAAGCTGTGGTCGACCGTGGGTTTGATTGGGAAGCATCTAGCTGTCTGGTTCTTACTGTTTGCGCGCTTGCTGCGATATCCTCCACCTTTGCCTGTCGCCCTATACGTGAGAACAACGCATCATCAGACAATCCGATCCTTTCGGAAAGCAGCTTATCCACCACTACGGGATACCACACGGCAGAAGCATATTACACTGCCTCGCGCAAACGAATCGGTCTACTCAAAGATACGCTGCTTGCCACTGAATGTCATTTCATGTCTGGTGTGTACGAGATGTACTCCCTGCGACCTCTCCAGGCCGCCATTTCATTCAACCGGGCATGTGTAACGTTTCAAACATTGACCTGGATGCGTACCGAATACTACATCACCGAAAGCCAGCTTGGTAAAGCCAGGGCAAGTCGGTTGTACTGGTCGTGCTTAAAATCAGAACACGAGGTATCTATCGAGATACGGTTCCCTTCCTCAGGCTTGACGAAATTAAATTACACAAGTGCCTTTCCGCCGCCACCTTCGGCAACTAGCACAGAGGAATGGTACCGCATGTATACCGAGGTAGAGGCGGAGTCTCCACAGTCGATGCATTCGGCATGGACACAGAACGAGTTCGAACGCGGGTGGTACTACTATCTGGCAGATATTGCAGCTCGAAGGCTTTTACAACGCGTCATTGAACTGTTTTACAAAAGGAATGAAGTTGCGTGGCTTGAGTTCACGTTCTCCGCCCTCGTTCATACAGTCGAAGAGCTGGACAGACAGCTCGTAGAATGGTAAGTTTGGTCCCAGAAACGGTCGTTCTCCTCAAATCCCTGCTAAATTTGATACAGGCACCGTGCTCTACCCAGCGTGATCTCCTTCGACATTGGCAGTACCGCCGCCGATGATGAACTTGCGTTTCACCTCCAGGCCCGAGTTTTGGAGATCAAAGAGCGCATTTATCGCCCCTTCTTGTACAGAATGATATACCAGAAGAGCGTTTATGATCGTTCCGAGGAAAGCGCCCTCCAGCCGTCGGTTGCATTGCATGCAATGACCTGCTCGAAGCTGATTCAGCAGTGGAACATACGCCATCGCCATCACGGCACGTGGCTGATGTCACGACAAAGCTTCGCGTGTGCTCTTCTCCTGCTTGCAGGGCGACGGGCAGACATTGAAGTGCTTTCTGAAGAGCAATGTAGTGAAAGCGTGCAAGCGTCGATAGCTACTTTGAGATTTTGGGAGAACGAGGCACCTGATCTCAAAGCATCCCGTCAGATTCTAGAGGACATCCATGGACAACTGCAAATACCGATTTCATGCCGTTGATAGATTCAGAGACAACGCGACGACGACAAATGCGAAGAAAGTACTCGTTTTTTGTGGTGGTTCACATACGCTCAATACTTGGAGTCGCGTGCAATGCGACGGAACCACATAGCGTGTTTTGGGAAAGATACTTGTTCCCTGCTGTGGCATCGAATCGAGGGTCATTTCGTATGCGTCAGCGGCAACAAGCCATCGATAGCGCCGCGGACGTCGAATGATACCCCCGCGAGAGACGTTATTCCACCAGAGGGGCTGGTACTTTGTCCGAATAGCCCCGTCCAATCAGCTCTGCCCCATGTGCAGTAGCTCGGCACGTGAGGCGGATGGAAAAGTTAGCGTGGACGCCGGTCACAGTGAGCAACCTTCCCGCAGCACGCCCTCAGAGTCTCCGAACAGCCCCGGCCAATGGAGACCAGTAGAAAATATCTGGCTTTCGAGACCGTACGTCTTGCACATCGCCAAGCCATTTCAAGAGCTGTGCCAAACCAGCTTGGCTGAATTAAGATGCGAAGGTCACGGCTGGGAACCCCGCAGCTAACAGGGAGACTGTTATGCGGGGACCCATCTCCACACTGCGCTTGCTCCCAGAGCCGCAGGAAACATGATGGCGCTAGGTCATGACCCATTGTCGAAGCTTATAAGGACACCATCGCCTGCATGGCTCTGTGCTACCACCTCTTTCGCAGGGGACGATCGTCTTCCCATCTCGTCTTTGATACCACCAGAGACCTCGGTCCTAGCTCATCATGGACAAGATTCACAAGCTTAATGTGGTGCATCGCTTGGAAAAGCGAGCATTGCTCATTGCGTAGGATTGCCTTTGTCAACGCTTTGTACAATCGCTGACGAGACATGCTAGCATTAATTGCGTCGCCGGTCTTTCCATCCTGTTCTTTGGGTACGATCAGGGAATGATGGGTGAGACATCTTCACATAACCACGTCGGCGAGTATAGCTAAGTCTGAGCATCAGGTGGCGTCAATACCGCCTACGATTACTACACACGCATGGGCTTCGGCCACAAGGGAGAAGACGGCGGTGTAGTCGTTACTAACGACATTCTGCAAGGCGGTATCGTCTCTGTTTACTACCTGGGTACGCTCGTGGGTGCTCTCGGCGGCGGCTGGTTCGGAGACCGCTTTGGGCGTATAAAAGCCGTCTTCGTAGGAGCAGCCATCGCAGTTGTTGGCGCAGCACTTCAGACCTCTGCCATGGACCACCAATGGATGATCTGCGCACGGCTCGTCAATGGCTGGGGGACTGGAATTCTGAACGCGATCATCCCTGTGTGGGCGACCGAGACCGCCGAGCATACGTCGCGTGGCCAGTTCGTTGCTATCGAGTTTACACTCAACATCTTTGGTATGTCTCTTCACATGTCCTTGCCATCGCTTCTGGGAATGTCCAATTAATTCCGGTCCAGGTGTTGTATTGGCCTATTGGATCGAATATGGATGCTCATTCTACGGCGACGGAACTTCGTCCTTCATCTGGCGCTTCCCCATCGCTTTCCAGATCCCCATGCTTCTCGCGCTTATGGGCTTGGTCATCTTCTTCCCCGAGAGTCCCCGATGGCTAGTCAAAGTTGGTCGTGAAGACGAAGCACGTTATATCCTCGGGAGGCTCCGTGGAAACACTGGAGCAGACAAAGAGAAGGCAGAAGCCGAATTCCAGGACATTGTGACCTCCTGCGAAATCGAACGCTCCGGACGCAAGGGGCCTCAGTCATACATCCACATGCTGTTCGGCATCGGCTCGGGAAAGCTTCATACGGGAAGACGTGTGCAGTTGGTGATCTGGCTTCAGATCCTACAGGAGTGGGTAGGAATCGCGGGAGTTACAATATATGCTCCGACCATCTTTGGCATCGCCGGCATGTCCCCTTCCAAGCGCCAATGGATCGCGGGTCTCAACAACATCTTCTACATGTTCAGCACGCTGATATGTGTATTCACGCTTGACAAGATTGGACGACGCTGGACACTTTACTGGGGCGCAGTAGGACAAGGCATTGCTATGGCACTCGCTGGCGGCTTCTCATACCTGGGCCAACAGGGCACCCTAGAAGGCAACCTCAGCAAGGCTTCGGCGTACGGAGACGCTGCTGTATCCATGGTCTTCATCTTCACGTTCGTCTTTGGTGCGACTTGGCTGACAGTCCCATGGCTCTACCCAGCCGAGATCTTCCCACTCGAAGTGCGCGCGAAAGGAAATGCTTGGGGCGTTGTGGGCTGGTCCATTGGCAACGGATGGCTTACGCTTCTGTGCCCCATCATGTTTAAGGCGCTCAACGAGAAGACCCTTTACATTTTTGCGGCTTGCAATGCGCTTACCATTCCTATTGTGTGGGCCCTGTATCCCGAGACGAACCAGCGAACCCTTGAGGAGATCGACTTGCTCTTCGCCGCCGACAGTATCTGGAACTGGGAGGCGGAGAAGAACTTCGCGAGGCTGCAGGAGCAGATGGGTGTGGGCATGTCCTCGGGTGCTGATGAAGAGACACCGCATAGTCGAAAGGGTAGCGTCGTTCGTGGGATGAGCCTGCATTATGAGGCGAAGCCGCAGGAGAAATAGTCGGTAAATGAGGCCGTGGAAGGTCTTCCAGATGTTTCGAAGCACTGAAGATTCTAGTCAGCAAGTCTAAAAGTACAATGGTTCATTCGGATGTAGGGAATACATCCCAGTCTGCGTAGCAATCTTTGCAATCACTCTGCTCATTTGAGTTCTGTGTTGGCTTCAGGTAAACTTTTGTTCCCTGCAAACGAGCGTCTTGGAGGCCCTTTGTAGAATCAGTCTTTGATCGAACAGCATTCTCAGACGTTGAAAGTAATCCGACATGCTTTCTATCTTTACTGAACTCGCCAGTATTACGATAAGGCGTCTTAACATTCTGCCATTCTAGGCTTAGCGCTAATTGCCCAGGTGCTAAGCGTGCCAGCCACCCCGCTCCCAGCCTCTACATATCTCGGTACTACGATAGCACGTCTTCTAGTTGAATTACTGTTTACCCAGCAAAAGGGGTTGTTACACATATTGTCCGAGAGCCAGTGCATAGGATGGCTGGACACGGGACTGCATCCGACTTTCCGAAGCTGCTCAAGGAGTTCGCGTTCTTTCCGTACAGAGGTCCCACACTTCCACAAATTGAGGCGCAAAGTAGGGCGTGGCCTAATGTCCTCTCCGAACTGGCTCATCTAGCTGAAAAGGAAGACTGGACTGGAACAAAGGCTGATGGCACACCTGCGACACCAGAAAATCAGATCCTCAACAATTACATATCGTATACTTATCAGCGGCTTGTGATCCAGGAGAAGATTACAATTTCCGATAATGGAGAATACGTGACCTTCAACACCGGTCTCCTAGATTTACACGAGCAGAAGATCTTTGGCTTTTTCCACAGAAACAGAAAGGCACAGGCAGGGAAGCAGGACTGGCTCTTCATCAGATGGGTTGTAGAATCGGATCGCGATTTTATGAACAATTTTAGCATTCCACCCAACATGGCCGAGTACGTAACTGCTTCGGCTGATCTGGTTTACGATTACCGTCGACAACTCGTATTGGACTACGCTCATGTCCTGGTCGATAATCTCGACCGCTTTCCACTCGATCTGCAAAAGCACCCTTGTAGAGCGAGAATGGGACTCGATGCGGCCGTGGCCCGGACTCTGAAGCGATTACGCCGGAACTATAAGCTTGCCATTCCCCAATGGTATCCCAGGCTCGGTAAAGAAGGAGCCCAGCTCTTGCTGCCATTGGATCTGACCGGCTCGGGCACTGCTGACCTTGCGCTCGTCGTAGGAACGGCTGGTGACAGGTATCGCGCCGGCACTGTTTTATCACTTGAGATGGCCTACTCAAACGCGAGATTGGTGGCACGACCGGATAGTGAATGGTTGCAGCCTTTGTCGACGACTACGACAACTGTAGATGATCAGCTTGATCCAACGAGTCTCAATATTGGCACCAAAAGAGAGCATGACTCTTCGTGGGAAAGTGGCCGTAAACAGACTCTGTCACCACAGGCGCAGCAGGCCTTGGTATACGGGCGACGATGATAATACATGATGGATTTTCCTGCTAGCTCGTAACGTAGAGGTAGCTGTAGATCTACATGGGACACTCTGGTAATTGTGTTGTGGGTGAGATGTCCAGGATCGCGAGTAATTGATTGTCTTGGTTACAATTCATACTGGTCTGGCTGCGGCATGAACAACCTCGTTTTCGCATCCAAACGTTCATAGTTCCTTACTTCTCCCACCCATTCTGGCGACACAAACAGCATAGTAGCGCTAGAATTGCGCCGGTCGAGTGGAGTCCAAAACACAATGCGTCTACGAGATCACAGCGCGCGACTGACCTCGAGCGCAAGTACGATGAGGTAGAGAACCGAGCGCAACAACTTGATGATTCCAAGACCGTATTGCAACAACTCGTTCATGCATTGCAGTCTCGTCCAGATGTAGATGCCCAAGCTGTTGTGCAACGCCAACGCGAAAGACGCGACATCGAATCAATCGTGCGCCGTGTACCCCGCTGGCGGCCTTTTGGAGATCGTCGCTACCTGCAGACTTAGCACCGGAAAGCATCGTATTCCTCTTTCAGCTTGAGCTTCAGTAGGTGTGACCATCCCGTGGAGCCAAAAATTACATCCACACAAAACATCTTTAGAGTTTTGTCAATTATAACCCGGCATCATCCACGTAGCAATAAATTGCAGTGGGTAGGAGACTAGGGTGTCGAACGCCGAGATCCTATCAACGTAACATGTAATCGAGCATTTCGAATTTCGAATTGTTCATTACAGTTTGACGCTTTCAAGCGGTACAAACGTTATGTTCGCGTTTCCCGCGCTAACCGTAAACGGACAAAACAGTGCAAGTAGCCGGGCTGACTTGTGAATCACCTAGACGTGAGCTCATTGGGCCACAGACCCCAACTAAAAGCACATAGCCAGGAACCTTATGGAGATCTTCAGCGGAATGGCACTTGGCACTATGATGTTCCTAATCTGTCGTGTTAATGCGAAGTGGCCGAGTACCCACTTACGTCTACAAAGCGAGGCAATGCAACAGCGAGTAATATAAAGTAGAGTCTGAGTCTTCGTGTTTTGCTAAGTAGTATACCGGGAACTTAAACTATCTTAAAGTATTCGTAGGACAATTCTTCCACAACTTCTGTACAGCCTCCAGACTCATCTCATACCATGACAATCTTCAGCTCTCGACCCCAAACCATGACCACACCCAACCTCACATTCATCGGTCCCGATGCACGCAACACAATATACATCGAGAATGCTCAAGGAATGCGCACGCCTATCTTCGCAGTCACCGCCGCAAAACACTCAAAGCCAAGCCTCTCCGTCTACCGCATCCATCCCAACGGTCACCAAGAACCCTTCTTCACCTCATCCACATCCTCCTTGACCGGCACCTCCACCATCAACCTGATCGACCGCTACAATCTCATCAAGATCAAAGCCAGCTGGGAGTCACTGCAACTACGACGAGAGTTCCCTGGGCCAATAGGGAAGCTGAGCTGGTTTCCTTCAGGCTCAGGAAGCGACCAGAAGCTTAAGGATCAGAATGGGACGGTGCTGGCAAAGTTCAAGACGAAGATTGATAGTGGGAGTGGGAAGGAGCCGAGGCTGGAGATCCTGGTGCCGTGTGATGATTATCTTGTGGATGTTATCGTGGCAACGGGGTTGACTGTGTATAAAGAGACGGTGAAGGAGGGGGAAGCAGATTGAGACTGCTAGTGAGATTATTGGGAGCGTGCTTGGAGGCTGAGAGGATGAGTTTTTCTGTGTACTTTATATTCGGCGGGGCCTCACACTGATGCGATAGAAGCATGGTTGACCATAGCGCGATGGCATCCATGGCAATGACATAAGGAGATATACATTAAGGGATATACTTATACATGTTTTACAGATACAGTCGACTTGCTCTCATCGTTGTACGTGCCCACAAGTGTCTCCTCGCTCGAACTGTCCGGCTCTGGCTGCATGCCCTTCTTCGCAGCATTCTGCATCAAGACCGACATATCGTCCTGGCTCTGGTCCGACGTGATCCCAAACCACTTGTAAAGATATGACTGCATCTTATTCGGGACCTCATTGGAACCGACCAAGGTCGAGCGATACACCGTCAAAGATCCCATGATCACTGCAATGCAAGCCTCGACATGGCACCAATATGACTGCCATCGGCAATCAATGATTCCTTGGTAGTATACCCCAGCGGCGCGGATGATGGAGCAGATGAGCATGAAGACCGAGAGCATGAGGAATGCACCGACACCGAGTCTGACAGTCCCTCGCATTGTGGATTTGCGGAGAATAAATATCGGGATGACGACGATGGTGAGATCGGTCAGGCCGTCGAGAGTGGCGGTCACAGCAAGGAGGGTGAGCATGCCGTGTTTGCTGTTGTTGAAGTAACATTTCACTGCTTCTGATTAGAGATGGCCATTACCAGATGATCTTTGGCTTACCCGCTGCAGTTCCAAGTTCTTTACAGAGAATAAAGTTGGATCCAAAGGCCAGAACGAACCAGGAGGCGGCGGAGAAGGCTGCTGCAGCCCAGTAGAACCATATCACATGCTTTGACATGACGCTCATCATCGGGTAGAAGAGCGCGAAGTAACTGCCCTTTACGGCGAAAACAGCTGTCCATGAAAGTACGAGGTTCGCGAACGTCCAATTGTAATGCGCAGTGAGCTTCCGGAGCCCTTGCCCTGAAACAATGATCTTAGCGGCCGGGTCGCCTCGAATCAATGCTTGTACAATGTAGTAATTGGGTGCTATCTTGTACATGATGCCGGTGCTAAAGGCGAGGCACACAAAAGCGAAGATGAGAAGCCCATCGTCTAGGGTGAGGCGTCCGCGCGATGAAAGGCGGATTGCCACGCGACCAATGCATGCCAACAATGCAAGACCAAAAAGGAGTCCGAGAGACAGCTGCCAGTAATTAGTATCGCCTGGAAAGCGCAAGATCTATCGTGGCACTTACTTCCAGAGACAACATGGGGATTCTGCCAGCATTCCTAATCCTGTCTTCCGCCGCGGCGACCTGTGCAGGCGTGAGCTCAGGCATGGCTGTTCTTATTGTCGGGTCTGGCTGACGGTTCCAAAGACAAGTGATGTAGGGTATGGAACGCTTACATATATGCGTCGGACGTCCGGAAAGTCATTTCACTTGGTTGAAGACGAGTAGGACCGAGAACATCGGCGTCCCCTTCCTCTTGTTCTTCGTCGCTCGAGAGAGCCTCGCCACCTTCGAAGCCCGAGGTAAGTGAAACAGTATGGCCATTCTATCGGCTACTAAACCTTGTTACAGGACATTTATTCAGCCACGGATGTATTGCGGAGCTGTGCTCCCGTGCGAGAACTGATCTTATAGTATGCGCGATGCCCCTTTTGGGAGCAGGGGCTGTGTCCGCCGGACATTGGCGCCATCCGATTGATTGAAGAACACCCACCAAACCATGGGCTTACAGACGGAAAGAGACTCAAGGTCCATAATAAAAATCCGGTTGCTATAAGGCTAGGTCGCAGACGTGGAGATTTGCTTTTGGTCATTCAGGATACCTATGGTAAGTGCAAGGCTTACTTACAGGTGGCGATTTCCGTGTCGAGCATACAACGTCCATACGACCACGCAACTTACACACAAGAAGCATACATAGCGACCCGAAATCTACGCGATACATTCACTACACCATGACATTGTGGTGTTGCCGCCAATGACGTATCTTATAGCAAGAGCCTCTTCTCCTTGGTGCTACATTTCCGGATATTGATCGGTTTCTGACGGAACCTGTCTCATGAGATCAGATGCTTAGTCGACCCGCCAGTGAAGGTGATACGAAAGAAATGTGAGAGAGATGAAGTTTCCATGAATATTGGAGAAGAGCACAAGAAGAATGCTAGTGAAATGGGTCGATCGACTGTTAGCTTCGGATCTACCCGGATTGGGTGGGGCTACTAGGCTGACTCGTTGGCATCATCAGTACAGGCTTACTTTGTAAAAGACCTCGCTGGCCATTACATTTCGGTCAAGAAAGCATCCACGAGCAGGGTGCTTCACAATGGCATACTTCATCACTGCCGAGCCGTGTCTTCCGCCCCCACAGCTCCTCGTTCATGGGCATGTAAGGTGCAGCCTCGCGCTCTGTTCACCCAAGCACACCACCACTCGCAAAAAGAACCTTTCGGAGTAAAATACCTTTACATATGATTATGTACAACACTCGCCAATCTCCAACATTTGAACATGAGAAGCACAACAGCATAGCTCCAGCCCATGCCGAGTTCTGAAGAGAGGGCCGACTCCGCTATGCAGTTCATTCCACTGTTCGCTGAATTTAGCAGGCAGCGAAAGTGGATGGGTTTAGACGGCAAACAGGGTATGATGGTGGAGGGTACCAGGACATGCCTGAGTTGGCGGGTGGGCATGCGTATGAGTTCCCTGAGAAGGTCGCTCGAACGTAGTTGTAGGAGCTTTTGGTAGGAATGATATGGTAGTATAGGTAGTGTATCATCCGACTGATTGACAACATATATGAATCCCATGTCGTAATTCATAGCCAGGCGGCACCATCACACGATGTATGCCATCTATCGCCAAAACGCCGCCAAAACGCCACGCCGCTTTACGTGTGAGCCACAGTTCTCTTACAGCCCTTTATCCTCCAGATACTCCTGCACTCGCTCAATGAGATCCGCTTTCTTCCCGCTGACTGCCTGTCCCCTCGCAGCTAGGTACTCCTTCAATACAGCAACAGTCTGCTTACTGATCTGGCCTTTATCATTTATATCAGCCATCTGCTGGTCCGTCACACCGTCATCCCCGTCTTCATTCTTCACTTTAGGCTCCTTCTTGACACGTTTTTTTGGCTTCGGTTCGTCGTCCTCGTCGTCATCTGCCGCTGCTGCTGCTGCAGGCCGCTTCTTCGCCGCGGCCTTCGGGCGTGAGGTTATCGAGGAGCGAGCAACGGTGGCGAACACTTTCTCAAATTCCTCACCATATGCTTGTATGTATTCACCTGCGCGTTTATCGATCTGCTTGTACTTGGGTAGCGTCTTATCATCCGGTTTAGTAGGAACCTCTTCTTCGAGAGCCATGGCCTGCAAGATGCGGTAAAACCACTGTAGGTCCGGATTGGGATACTTGCTTGGGTCGTAGACACCCTTTGGTAGTTGTAGCTGCTCGATGATGATGCGCGTTTTGTCTGTCAGTTCATCTGTTGTGCGTGGTTCTGCGGGCTGCTCGGGGCAATGGCGGATATCATCTGCGAATGGTAGTGGAACGAGCCACAGTCCCGGTGGCATTGTCTGCTCGCCATTCTCATCGTAGCGCTCTTCGCCCGGAATGATGGCCGCCATGACAGGAGACGCGTTCTTGCGTGCCACGAACCAAGTTAATGCCATTTTCTTAGACTTGATAAGCTTCTGCTGGAGAGCGGAGAAGACGCGTGTTGAGCCGATGAAGTCAGCCTCGGAGGGGTACACGAAGGTTGCTTTGCCTATGTTGGCCCAGAGAGGGAGAAGCGAGAGCGGCTTGAAGCCAACAATACGAATGATAGGCTCGCCGAAACATTGGCGAATTTGAGTGAACTCTTCTGGAGTAAAAGTTATGGTGTCGCCACCGAACTTGTAGGCTTTGCGTAGTTCGGTCTTCTCGACTACGCGGGCTGTGTCATCAGCCATGTGCGATGTGGAGCTTTGTACGATTTGCGGTTTCTCGCCGCCGACCCAGACGTAGCACGACTTGACGTGCTCTTGGCGCTTGATCAAGATAAAGCCTTTCACACCAATTCGCAGACCCGGTCCAAGCTCAAGCGGGAGGCTGAACAGCGCTCTTCGAGGCGCAGCTTTGGAATTTATTGAAGAAAGAAGCTGTTTAAGAAGAGTGAGGCCATCGCCGCTCTTTGCGACTTTGGTAGTGGTTGGAATTGCTACAGGTGCGTCCGGATCTGATGGAGACGTGGGATATACCAGATCGTCATAGAACCGTGTCCGATCGAAGCCGTGGTCTGGCTTTGAGATCGGGAACAGGTCGATTGTACATCCCAAATCATACAAATCGCGGGCTCGTGTTATTGCCGTGTCCTTGTCCTGCTTGATCGTGGCCGGGCTGTCGTTGTCAGTGACCAGGAAGAGTCTTCGTGAAGAGAAATTGGGAGCCTTTGTTGTGAAGATTTGATTTGCGCAGAACAGCACCGAGGCAATGGTGGGTGCTTCTTTTGCGGGCTTCAGAATCTCCTGCGCCTCTCCCTCATTCTCTAGCAGATCTCGCAGCTGCTTTACGTCTTGTGCGCTTGGTACGTCCAGATCTGCTAATAGATAACAATGTTGGAAGGTGTTGTCACCATCCTTCAGGTCCGTCTTCTCTGTCCCGTACAATAGTATACCCATCATGTCTTTTGGGTTCGAGATGATGCGCTGCTGCATGAGATGATATGCACATTTGAGGGCAGCAGATGCCGGAGAATCGCGTTCGGCTTTCTTGTCGTCCGATAGCGGGGGACGTTCCAGCATGGATGCGCTGATATCGATGGCAAAGAGAACGGCATCTTTGATAGTCTTGTAGCTCTGTTGCGCGTCAACATATAGTTCTGACTAGATTCGCAGGCCTGCACATACGGCATCGTCAATCTCCTCCTCCTCATCTTCCTCCTCGCCAGGCCGATTGTCCTGTGTGTCGGCCATGCTTGCAGGTGTGATGCGCCGCTATCGCAGGATTGCGGAGTGCGGAATTTGATCGTGGACGGCGCAATTGAGCGCCTTTCGTCCCTATATCCTATGTGAAGTCTTTGTGGCGGAGCATGAGTAGCGCAAGAGACACTGCAGAGAATCGCGAGTTTGTGTTTGCTTTGCGGCGCGGTGGCTCCTTCTCAGGCAGCAGCGCGCACCTGCCTAGCTAGCCTCCCGCGTGCTCACATGACGTCGGTCCTCCCGCGATCCGCCTACGATCCACATCTCCGATCGTGGGCTCTGCTCCAGTCGCAAGCTCCGCATTGGCCACTCGTCATCAAGCGGCCATTATTCACATGGCGCGTCTGGCCCTTGCGACAAACATTCTCCCATAATGCCTCGAGGCTGCTCTTCTTCCTCGTACCTTACAATGGCGATGCGATCGCCTTTATCACACGCTGTGAAGCGTGCGACGTGGACCTCACCCGCCATCTCGGTCTTGTCACCGTGTACCCAGCGCTGGAGAAGAGGCAATGCGACAGTCGCTCCCCCGCCGGTTACGCAGAGCTCCGCCGGCTCAAAAGGCCCCACTGCCATGGTTTTCATGAACATGGGCGGGCCGTCGACGACTGATGAAGTTCACAGTTTCCTGAGCAACTTGTTTGTACGTCATGACCTGGACGGTCAACCTTTAAAAGCTAACCGCTGTAGTCCGATGCCGACTTAATACCCTTGGGACGCCTACAAAACTATATTGGACCATATATCGCACGAAGACGTACACCCAAAATCCAGAAACAATATGCGGAGATTGGCGGAGGGTCTCCCATCCGGAAATGGTCAGAGTACCAGGCCGCCGAGATGTGTAAGATACTGGACCAAACCTCGCCGGAGACCGCACCGCATAAACCATATGTCGCCTTCCGGTATGCGAATCCATTGACGGAACAAATGTACCAGCAATTGCTCGCAGATGGTTTCGGTGGTGGCAAGGGTGGCCGCGCTGTCGCATTTACACAATACCCGCAATACTCGTGTTCGACGACTGGCTCATCGCTCAATGAGTTATGGAAGTGGCGACAAAGGTTGGAGGGCAAGAGGGCGACGGGAGAGGTCGACCCAGAAGGCTCAATCAAGTGGAGTGTGATCGACCGTTGGCCGACGCACCCGGGGCTTGTCGAAGCCTTTGCTCAAAACATCGAGAAGACGCTACAAGAGTACCCACCAGAGCGAAGAGACAACGTTGTGTTACTTTACTCGGCGCACAGTCTTCCTATGAGTGTGGTCAACCGCGGCGACCCTTACCCGGCCGAGGTGGCAGCAACAGTGCATGCTGTGAACCAGCGATTGGGCATGAAGTATCAATACCGACTCGTCTGGCAATCGCAAGTCGGTCCGCAGCCCTGGCTTGGAGCGCAGACGTCCGACACCGTCAAGAACCTCATGAAGAAGGGCAATACCGACCTCATCCTCATTCCCATTGCTTTTACGAGCGACCACATCGAGACACTGTACGAATTGGACAAAGAAGTCATTGGCGAAGACGCGGAGGGTCACGAGGGCGTAAAGCGTGTAGAGAGCCTGAACGACAATCCTGTCTTCATTCAAGGTCTTGCCGATATTGCGAAGACGCACCTGCACTCCGGAATCGCTTGCAGTCGGCAGATGACACTGAGATGTCCGGGATGTGTAAGTGAGCGGTGCTTGGCGCAGAAGGAGTTCTTTGCTGGCCAAAACCAGCTTATAGAACCTCTTACCGTATGAGCGAGAGCTTAATTGCAGAATGGATCAAATGTACATTACTGTATGGCATAGAAGACCAATTGGCATAGCGGAATTGATTTTTTTCTTTTGAGGTTGCTTTTTTTTCGACTTACCGTAGAGTTACTTTTCGATCTTCGTTAACATCCACTCTGCACTGGGGAACAGTGGAATTTGAATCATGAGTGCGCGGTGATAAGCCAGGATGCACTGACACCACATTGAAATGGACGGCCACAGAACGAGTTGTTGGTGGCAGAGCATCTATAGCACAGGCATGTATTTACTCGGTATAGCAGGGCATTGCATGTTTTCAGTGAGCTTGAAGACCAACTTTAAAATGGAAGACCTGCTCAATCATTCCGTGTTGTTGCTTGCATGGTCGGCGCACAACAATCGGGGAACTAGGGCCGCCAAGCGTTTGAAACCCGGCGACCCAACATTCAACCAAAGTTTTGCTCACCAACAGCTCAAGCTTCTACAACCCTCTCTCACCACCGCCGTCGCTCCCTTCCTCTCCTCGGCATCATCGTCACCATGTTGTCAAGGACCATCAGGAGGAGCATTGCGTCGCCGCTTCGGCGCAATGTCTTCGTCCCTGCCGCCGCGCGCCCTGCCTTCAGGACCGTCACCACGGATGCCGCTTCGTCGCACGCCGAGGAGGTGCCGAAGGTACGCACTCACCAGACCGGTGCAACTGGTGCTAGGTTGGATGAATGATGGGAAGAGTGGATGATTGACATGTTGCAGGAGGATGACAAGCCTTTCGAGGTCCGCCTCTCCGACGAGAGCTTCGAGACTTATGAGCTTGACCCGCCGGCGTACACGCTCGACACCACGAAGGCCGAGCTGAAGCAGATGTACTATGACATGGTCGCTGTACGGTACGAACTGTCCCTTTCCATACCTATCCGGTAGACGCCGAAGAATGGATCCTAATATAGATTCCAGACGCATGGAGATGGCCGCCGACAGGCTCTACAAGGAGAAGAAGATCCGCGGTTTCTGCCACTTGTCCACCGGTCAGGAGGCTGTCGCTGTCGGTATCGAGCATGCTATCGAGCGCGCCGACCATCTCATCACCGCCTACCGTTGCCACGGCTTCGCTCTTATGCGCGGCGGAACTGTCAAGTCCATCATCGGTGAATTGCTTGGCCGGAGAGAGGGAATCGCCTACGGAAAGGGTGGATCTATGCACATGTTCGCCCCTGGATTCTACGGCGGTAATGGTATCGTCGGTGCGCAGGTTCCCGTCGGCGCCGGTATCGCTTTCGCAAACCACTACGAGAACAAGAAGAACGTTACCCTTGCTCTGTACGGAGACGGTGCCTCCAACCAGGGTCAGGTCTTCGAGGCCTACAACATGGCCAAGCTGTGGAACCTCCCTATCATCTTCGCTTGCGAGAGTATGTGATTATCATATAGCCCGAGAAGATTTGCTTGCTAATGAGACTTAGACAACAAGTACGGTATGGGTACCGCAGCTAACCGCTCCTCCGCCCTCACCGACTACTACAAGCGTGGCCAATACATCCCGGGTCTGAAGATCAATGGTATGGACGTCCTCGCCGTCAAGGCCGCCACCAAGTTCGGCAAGGAATGGTGTGCCGCCGGAAAGGGACCCCTCGTCTACGAGTTCGTCACCTACCGATACGGAGGTCACTCCATGTCCGACCCGGGAACTACCTACCGCGTATGATTCCAACTCTCTCAAATTTGTCTACCATGGCTAACCGTCAGTCAGACCCGTGAGGAAATCCAGCGTATGCGCAGCACCAACGACCCCATTGCCGGACTGAAGCAGAAGCTTCTAGACTGGAGCGTCGTCACCGAGGAGGAGCTCAAGACTATTGACAAGGAGGCCCGCGCCAACGTCGATGCCGAAGTTGCTGAAGCCGAGAAGATGGCGGTGCCCGACGCGGTCCCCAAGGTCCTTTTCGAGGACATCTACGTCCGTGGCTCCGAGCCTGAGTTCCTGCGCGGCAGAATTCCCGAGGAGAACTTCTACTATACCGAGGCGGATTTGGGCAAAGAGAAGGAGGCTCCTGCCCGGACTTAAACGTGTCGTAGTGATTGATGAGGAGGAGAACATGAGGATGTGGGGAGGACGAGGGAGCTTGTAATATATCACCTTGTGCGGGGGCAAGCACTTAGGCCTTGTGGATATTAGCAGCGGATGTGTGGGTAATTTTAGGTCGTATTACCCCTTGGAATAGCGGAATAGCGAAATAGAGTCTTTTCTGTGAACTGGAGTGGGGATTGCAGTTGATGCGATGTGTCACTGGTCAAGACCGCCAAATAGCAGATTGCGATGGTCACTTTTTGCGATGTCAAACCCCCCATAACCAGATTCACAAGGACAGAACTTACGGCGGGGTAACCTTAATTCCGAGGAATGATCCAAACAACACACGTGTGAAACCCGTCCCTAGGACTGTAGTCTGCTCGAAGGCCACCGAGTCATTCAGTCCAAGGTCTGGCTCCCACAAGCTTAAATCCTATCTTGAGCAAGGGCATGGCCCTTATGAAGAGCTGAAGGACATTCCGTTCTCCATATGAAAAATAGCATATACAATTTATATGGGCATTAAAGTGGCATTTAAGATCAACATGACAAACTATATTCACAGGGGAAAGCACGACACAGACAGTTGAAGTAATGTTCTATTGATTCATCTCTCAACACCTGACCCCGTTTCCCATCTTTTCCCCGCCGTGTCCCTACTGTTGAAATGGATAACGATACTTCTGCCGCGGTATAGCCATACCGCGTACAATGCAGCAACCAACGCCTCAGAAATGCCTAAGTACAGTCTTGTGAAAGAATATCATATCGTGTCCGTCGTGAGCTGCCTGCCACCCACTGACGGCACAGCCAAGATTACAACAAATGTTGGGGTATCATTGCTCTCCATTCAAAGCAACATCGGCCATCATAAAAAATAAGCCGCCTCTTTTGTACACCACACCGGCACAATACAATCAGCCCGAAGCCAGCGTCCGCATCATGAAAGTACCCAAACGACGTCGACCCCTCAACGTTGACCACCTAGTGATACTGAGCGTTTGGGTCTTAGAGTATTCGCAGTGATCCGCGTTGCGGCGGCGGCGGCGGCAGGCGAGGTCCCGGTCAGATTGATCACCGGTATGACCGACGTCGAGCTAGGCGTTCCAGAAGAGTACGAGCGCGATGAGATGGTCCATGACGAGGCCGAGAGGAAAGGGGTCGTTGCGTATACACCCGTGTTCGCGCACGCTATGCGGGCATTCCCGCGTCGGGCATGGGGGTATCGGTATCGGTAGCGGGATTCGGGCTCGGCACCTGTTGCAAGGCGGGTGCGGAAGCAGCAGAAGGAAGAGCAGATACAGGCCGAGTAGGAGGATGTGCGTAGAGGTCGTCAGAGCTGTGGTCAGGCATGCTCATGGGAGAAGAGGACCGAAAGTCTTCAAAGTCATCTTCTGGGGGCGCAAAAGACCATACCTCCATGATGGTCCTTCCCCCCCTCGCAGCCATGATCACAGCCTTCTCTTCCTCAAACACAACCCGCCACACTGCTTCTGCAGGCGTGCTAAGTTCGCGGACGAGCGTCCCCTTCTTGAGATCCCAGACTTTGACACGGCCGTCGGACCCGCCGCTAACGATACGCGTGTTGTCGAACTGCAGACTCGTAACGCTATTGTCGTGTGCCGCTAGTCGATGAATGGGCTGATAATCGGCAAGACTCCATACCCTGACAGAGCCGTCCGAGCCTCCCGTGACGAGTATATCCTCGCGCATCTGCAACTGGCCTACGAGCGACGTGTGTCCTTGTAACACAGCCAAGCATTTCCTACATCACGAGCACAAATTAGCAAATGACTAGACACAAGCACAGCAGTGACAATTGATCACTGCGGGTCACAAATAAACTCACCCGTCAGTCGGATCCCAGATCCTGACGCTCGTGTCCAAGCTTCCCGTCGCAATCTTTTTCCCGTCGAAGGCAATAGCATAGATTTGGCTGAAGTGGCCGGTAAGGGTACGCAGGCACTTGCCCTCGCTGATGCTCCAGATCTTAGCAGTCGTATCGTAGGACCCAGACACAACAATATCGCCGTGAATCTCGAGGCAGCGGACGCTGGCCTGGTGCCCGATGAGGACGTGCTTGCAAAGGCCCTTTTTCAGATCCCATATCCGGAGGGTGGTATCTCGCGATCCTGAGATGGCCGTGTGTGCGTCGGACATCTTGAGGCAGCGCACGGTAGAGGTGTGCCCCCGAAGTGTGAACTGCGGATAACTATATCGAATGTTAGAGCCCTGTCCGGGCTGTGAGAGGACAACTGACCCTGTCGCGAGATTCCAGACTCGCACATCGCGATCACATCCTCCGCTGACCAGTAGATCACCCCAGGGTACCATTGCCCACACCCCCATGACGTGCCCTTGTAACGTCTTTTGGTGATAGCCCTCAGTGTCGAAGACGTGTATTTTGGCATTATCCAGGGCCACGACGATGTATTTTTTGGTCAAATGCAGGCTCGTGACAACGCCCTGCTCCGGTGTAATCTGTCGCGCATCGCAGTGGCCACCCTGACGCCATGCCGTCTCGACCTGGTACCGCTGCTTGAAATGCGACCGATACGTGGTAGCCTTCGACCTCTGTGATATCTCCTTCCTCTTGGACGTGCGATCCAGGCTCTGCGTCCGTAACCCTTCTCCTGCTGCATTTGAATTGGCGCCGTCCAGCTGCTCCTTCATAGCCGTGTCTTCGGAGCGCGAGGCACGGCTGGGCTGTAACCATTGCGACTTGGACGAGTCCTCTTCGTCGCCAGGATCGTCCTCCTCACTCCTCTCTTCTCTTGACAAGCCCCTGTATGAAAACTTTTGGCAAAGTAACCGCCAAGCGGTGTCGTCGTTCACAAGTTCGCGCCACTTCTTTGAGACCTGTGAAGCGCGGGCGAGAGTTGTGGGGTCGTCGACGCATTCTAATATCTAGACTTATGTCAGAGTGTAACCCGTCATGCCACGGAAATTTACCTACCCTGAAGCAGAGTTCTGTGGGCAGCACCATGAAGGGGTCCTTCTTCAGCCTCGGGCTGACAAACTCGGCGACAAAGCTCAGCTCATGGCTGTCGCACAAGTTGAGCAGCTCCCCAAGCAGGCGCAGCCGCTCGGGCCTATTCATATCGCTGAACAGCACGCGCGTGTTCTTAATCTGCGAGTCCTCATGTTCGGCAGCGGTGCTCCAGTCCGGCACCCGCTGGGTGGGGGTCGGACTGGGAGCGGGCGTCGGCGGAGACGCCGGTGCAGAAGGAAGCGTGTTGTGCGGAATGGTCGAGGAGAGCGGACTCGTGGGTGTTATTATGGGGCGCGGTGCGGAGGAGCGAGACATGCGGCTCTGCTTGCGGGAGTGAGCCGTGGGCGAGACGAACATGTTACCGGGGCGCATGGCCGCCGACGACGCGGACGCCGATGCGCCCATGTCTGTGTCGGAGTCGTTGGAGGCTTCGGGCATATTCTGGTCGTCTGGCCGGCGAGCCAGCGGTTGGAAGTAGTCTCCTTGGTCCATGGTGGTAGAGCAGCCCGGGCGGAGCGTGTGTCTGGCGGCGACGGGCAGGCTCTGCGAGTGCACTGCGGGCGCAACGTGCGCTGGTTGGATCACGGGGTCGTGGGTATAGTACAACAGAACTGCCTTCCTGAAAGAACGACGCAGGAGGGCCTTCTGGCGGCGGCCGGGCTGCTAGTGTTTCGAGATGTCGGGGCGGGCGGTGAGGTCGCTCGGCGGCAGAAGCCAGCTGGGCTGCGATGCGATGCGGTGAGGGCGTGTAGGGTGCCGGAAATGGGTGGGCACAGCAATGTGACTTCTCCACCAAGCTGCGATCGTCGCGTGCGAACCACCACGCTTGCCGACGATTGGGGTGACGAGGGGAGAGTAGGGTAAGATCATGCTTCCTTGGTCACCTCGTCCGCCAAGCCTAAGATGAACGCCTGCATGTGCCCTTCCATCCTCTAGACTCTAGAGTCCACAACGCCTCGTCTGGCCCCTGCATTTCCCATGTCTTGTAGAGACATAATGGCGCCAGATGACTTGCGCCCCCCTTCCCCCAACTGCCCGTGTGTGTGCCGTGAAGCAGTTTGAACCAACGAGTTGCCATTTATAGAACTATGACTATAACGTCAAACGCCCGCTCCCGCGAAGCTCTGTCAGGGGAACGTGTTGGTGCACATCTCACTCTCTCGCCTCAGTGCCTCACGGCGACCGGAACTTTCACCTTCTCAAAGCAAGTTATGCTTAGATACTGAGTCTTCTCGGTGTACACAAAGTTGTGTCAGCACGTCACCTTGCAATCGGCCCTTTCAGACCCCCGACTCGCCCGGTTGATCAAGTTTCTCTACCGAGCCCCAACAACGATCGAGCGATGCGAATGTTGGCGGCCGTAAGGGAACGTCGTCTGCTTTGCACTGTGAAGCTCAACATGCTGCGAAGGTAGGGATCCATCGATTACACCGTCACTTCCATTCAAATGTTACTATCGGTCCGACATTTTCCACGTTTTGCCAGACTTGTTTCGCTCCGTACTGTACCACGAGCCTCGAGCATGCGTTCCACCGCGAGCTGTGTGTTGCATTTGTGGTAGGATTTTATATTCTTCGTGCTTGTGGACGTTATCCAATCACCCTGTATCTGTTGTGATGGCTTCCACGTTCTGTGCGATTTGAATACGCTAGCTACAAAGCCTGTGATCAGGTGTAATAGGATGTGATGTTTCCATGCTTCCTTCAACCTCCATCTCCGTTGCAACCTAAGGGCATACCTCGAGCATGCACTCAGTAGACATAGCAAGCAGTGGAAGGCCGTGATGTGAACATGTTTCATATAGTCTAAATACAGCGAAGTAAACGCTCCAACATCTAGCACTGGCTCACAGCCGGTCCAGGAACAGTGTAGTTGTTGAAGTTGCTGTAGATGTTGGCAGTGTATCCAGGGTCCGTAACCTTGACATGCCCCGGGATCGAAACACCGCTGAACGACTTGCTGCCACCACCAGTGACCTTGACCTGAGCGCACGAGATGTAGAACTGCGGCGTGCCGCCGGGGTACGGGTTGTGGATAGCGAGCTGCTCGATGCGGAGGAGGTATTCGCCTGCAGGAACACACGACGGAATGGTGACGCTGTACGACTGCTCGAGATCCCAGGTGGAGGAGCTGCCGGAGAAAGTTGGGCCAATTTCCTTGATCTTGAACCAGGGAGTCGAGCCGTCGGAAGCGGCGGCGGTGGAGGAGGCCTTGGTGAGGTAGAAGGAGACGGGCCCTTGGTGGTAGACAGCGATGTCGGCTGTGAATGTGACGGTTGAGCCGGCCGCGACGGAAACAGTCGTTGTGGAGGCTCCTGAGGCGCCTCCTACGTTGCAGCGGAGGTCGTCCGAGGCGAGGTCGGTGACAGGCGAGTTGTTGTTGGTGTTCTGGCGGATGTTTTGGTAGACTCCACCCTGAACGCCGTTCGCTGTGAGCTTCTGGAAGATGTCTGATCTACTGTTAATAGAAGATCTTTCGCGAAAGAGTAGGGCGGTACACACAGTGTCCATTGGCAGCCTCGAGGAAGAGGGCACCAGCGACGGCGACCGTAGAGAGGAACTTCATATCGGGGATATGGAGAAGAGCTTGTGTAATTATTTCTTCTAGTTCGTCTGCTGGTGTTCAGCGACGTGCTGGCTGGTTCTTCTTATACTGCTGCCCTCGACCCCGTCATCTTGAAAGACCATCTTCATATTATCCACAGGTAAAATTCTTCCACTAACGGTCGCCTCTCTTTCCTCATTCTCCACCTAGTTCACAAAGTCGTCGCACGACCACCCGCGCGTTTCCCCATGAAGACGTATGCATGCCGTCGCAACCAGGTCGAGTCCATTCGATTCCCAGGTTCGGTGCCGGATGACCATATTGCAGTGGCATACAAGGGGGTCGGTATAAGAGACATCCTATCGTAGGATCGAAACGTGATTTTGCTCCAATGGTAAATGGTGTTCTGCCTAGGATGGTCGGGGTTTAAGCTTTTTTAATATGCACGCTGGACTACCATTTCCGAGGCAAGGCGCTCGGGAAAATAGGGAATGGATCCGATGGAGATTCTGGGGTGCAGGTGGCGTAGGCGAATTCGGATCGTACATGCGAAAATCGATCGGCTAGTGACTTGTATTTCCTGACTGGTGCAACTAGAGTGGGGAGGTAGCAGTCGGAGTCCAGCATATTTCTAGTTTTGCGTCGTTTCAGGCATACTTGGATAATCCAACAATGAGCGGACCAGTATGCGATTCTTTCTTCAATCTTGACGGTCATCCATGACAGTGCATCGTGCACCAGGTGTGGTTCGAAAAAGTGGGGTGCCCGGTTATGCAGTCTGCGCTGTTGGATAATTGAAAGTGCTTGGGCCGCAGATATATTGCCTAATTTCGACAGCCCGGTTCTAGCACACGTGTGTACCAAACAACCCAGCCATTGACCCAAGCCTACCAGACATTCGTTGCATTTCGAGGAGGCCTTCGTGGTAGCTGGCGTGTAATGAAACTTGGGGGATTACACGTGAGATGGTGTGCACACGGGCAGTTACAGAGCGATCGGTCGTATCGCTGAGTCAGGTGCAATACCTACTTCGTGGGCTTTGACCAAGGCCACGCTAACACACGACTGTTCGCGAGTCAGTCATTCAGACGCCGTGATCGAAACATCCTCGAAGGAGATCCTTTGAAGTTAGCGGGTGAAAGACGCCAGGTGCCCCATAATGGAGTAACGTCGTATGCCGGAACACTTTCGGACTCATGGAGCGGCTCGAGCTGCTCTAGTATCTGTGAAGACCCTTTAAGTAGAGTCGTATAGTAAATCTCCCTGCAGAGGTATCTACGCGAATAATTGTTGGGGTGATGAGTCCCATGCTTCATGGCTATGATCTTACCTCACCTTCGCGATTTCAGCAAACTTGTTGCTTGAGCATATCCTCAGTTATGAGCAATACACGGACCATATAAGCATGATTCTTGCCGTGCCTTTCCAGGCTGATTTGTAGTGCGATGTATCTTTGGATGTTCTTGCCATTTTCGTCTGTCCTCGTCACCTAGTTCTGAGTCTTCGAGTACTTCTTCTGGTCATTGACTCCACCGGAATACACATCAACAGGGCCTGGCAAATTTCCATGGATATAACCTTGCATGAGCCTGACCTGCGCCGATATCGAGCATGCTGCTCGCGATAAAGTACCTATCGTTTGCCGCGTATGGGCCAGAATAGGCCGGCGCCATCCGAGCAGCACGGTTTTCGCTGACTCCCTTTTACCGTGCGGGTCTGAAGTCGCAAGTCCCACCCTGTGCGAAACTACCTAGGTATACTCGACTTAATCTTACCGTGTCAGTCTGTGTAGTTTCTTGTCTAACGTGGGTTGGTTCCGCTATCCTCATCAAGTATTATGTCGCGAATGTCGTACATGTGAGTGGAGGCGCCGCAGGGGCAGGGTTGGTGGGGGGAGGGGAAGACAACGCAATGCACATGGTGATCGGTCACGGTTTTTGTGATTCCTTCGTATTCGTCGAGCTCAGCGTACCGAAAATGGAATTGAGTCTTGAGAGGGCTGGCAGTATGTCTGTACTTTACGTGAGGTTCCGGCGCAGTAATTGCAAACGCACTCGTAGAACGTGGACAGGCGATTGATTATGCATATGCTTTTTCATATCTTCGACCCTTCAGCATTTTCAACTTATTGCTTTTTGTTCGGCCACCTCTACTGCGTTACGTCACTGCTTTGGCGCCTCGGATCGGCATCCTGGCGTACACCCATCCAATTGATGTCTCTCAAGCCTTCGAAAGGTGGAGCGGATGGCTTGTAGGGAATCGTTCGTGTTACTCCTCGCGACCCGCCGCTTCTGTGATCTCTAGCTAGGTGGCGTTTACACTACCGTGACGGCCGCTCACGAATAGCTCGACTTTAGACTTCTGAGACTTGTTACCCCACTAGGCAGTGGTTCGGATCGAACCGGTGTCCTTAGGCCAGCTAATTGTTGCACAATCCTAGGTCAACCTCCGCTGGCCAAGGTGGATCACCCTTACTGCCATTACGAGTTCATGGTAAGCCCAAGCATACCTATTTTTGCAGCCCTGGATTTACCAAGCCCGCATTCTTACGCTTCTTATCCACACTATTTCGCTCGCGCAGCAGCAGGCAACTAGGGCATACCCGCCCCGACGGCCCCAAAAGCGGCGAGCGGCAATAGCGTACTTAGGTCAGTTTCTGTAGAAACCCAGGTGGAGCGGACAACGAGTGTGCGTACGCTGTGGTTGAAAGATGCACAAGGCATCTAGCCAACGATATTTGGAATCTAACCGCCAGGCGGCCCAAAATGCATCCTGCAATGATAGAAGCTCTTCCACGGGTCTTCGGCTCTGGAGTTGCTTCAGGTTTCTTTGGTTGAGCACGAAATTAAACTCACCATACCAACAGTGAGGCTCAGCTCTTGACTCAGGCAAACGGCCTTAAAGAGCCCTAAGGTGAGCTCAAACTAGCAGAGAATAAGATTCGAAACAATGAAGCACTTGCTTGCAGTCTTGTTGTCATGTAGAGAGACTCAGGAACTAGAGTACGAAACAGTAGTGAAGATGGCAACAGAACGCAGGGCTAATACTGACACCAACGCTGATGTTTTTTCCCCTTGCCGTGGACCAGGTTCCTGGCTCAATACTGTGTCGTTCACGCAAGTTGTTGCTCGTCGTCCTTGGCGACACTGAACAATAGACTGTAACGGCCAGCCACATCATCCCCATATCGTGCTGGAACAGCTCAGCTGACGCCTCCCACAAGAGATGAACGTCGCCACTTTCGGTGAAAGCGAGCGGTATACGGTTGTCAGGGCGCTCTTTCCGAGTCTCGGTATGAGGACCGAGGTCACGTGAAAAGTCGCCATTTTGCAGGGCTCCGATTGGCCGATACTTTGTACTCCCATCGTCCATGCGAGCAGCGCGACATCTTTATAATCGCGAAATAGCGTCATCATGTCGCCTCTAGCTCTCTTGTCCACTCTTGTGACCTTGCGAAGGACTTTCCCTCGCAACGACAGCAGCCACCATGAGCTTCCCGCGTAGGCTTGTAGCCGTTGCGCGGCCAAACCTTCGACAAGCAATTTCTGCGCCGCAAAGAACTCAGCAACAGCATACTTTCTTCTCCCCACCTTTTCGATCGACTCAAACGACTAGAAAGCTACACAGTCAAGCTCCCCGGAGCGCCCAATTGGCTGTCTCTGAGCCAGACGCCGAGCCAGTCGCCGAATCTACAAATCCTGCATTGTCCTTCCCATGCCTCGATAAACTTGAGTCGCGATCCGCCTCCCTCTCCACCCGTTCTTCTGGACCCGAGCCCTCGTATACCACCGGGAAGCATCTCAATTTCCGCTCGCGCGAGCCCATACTACTTGATTGGGGAGGTATCCTTCCGGAGTTCAATGTTGCGTATGAGACTTGGGGAAACTTGAACAAGGACAGAAGCAATGCGGTGTTGCTACACACTGGGTTGTCAGCGTCGAGCCACGCACACAGCACCGAAATCAACCCGCAGCCGGGATGGTGGGAAAACTTCATCGGATCCGGGAAACCGCTGGACACAGACAAGTACTTCGTGATATGTACGAACGTGATAGGCGGGTGCTTCGGTTCTACAGGACCATCCTCGATGGATCCTGCGAATGGCGAACGATATGCGACGAGGTTCCCTATCCTAACAATGGAGGACATGGTGCGCGCGCAATTTCGGCTGCTCGACTCGTTGAACATTGAGAAGCTGTACGCAAGCGTTGGCTCTAGTATGGGCGGCATGCTTAGTCTTGCCTCTGCTACCCTCTTTCCGGAACGGGTAGGCAGGGTCGTGAGCATCAGTGCCGCTGCGCGGAGTCACCCGTACAGCATTGCCATGAGACATACCCAACGGCAAGGTGTGTTCAGAACCGGACGTGACTGAACGTTACGCTGACTTTGTGCAGTGCTAATGATGGATCCGCATTGGAATCGAGGATTCTATTATGATGGTGTACCTCCACACTCGGGCATGAAGCTTGCGCGCGAGATTGCAACAGTCACGTATCGAAGCGGTCCTGAGTGGGAACAGCGCTTTGGCCGCCGACGCGCCGACCCATCTCGGCCACCGGCGTTGTGTCCAGATTTCCTCATTGAGACATACCTTGACCATGCCGGCGAAAAGTGGTGCCTCAGCTACGACCCCAACAGCTTGTTGTACGTTTCCAAAGCCATGGACCTTTTCGACCTAGGCCAGGATCACCGCAATCGCATCAACAAAGTAAGGCAGGACAATGCCGGCAAGCTACAAGCATACCTTGAGGGACGGGTCCCAGTAGCGGGCGCCGAGAGTGACGTTTGCAGCCTGACCCTTCCTGAGAAGCCATATGAAGAGAAAGAACAACCAGCAGAAGAGAGCGAAGTCAACATTGATGCAGTCGAGGCAGCTCCTGCAGATCTTGTTGCTGGACTGAAGCCACTAGCGAATACTCCGGCGTTGGTCCTAGGTGTAGCAAGCGACATCTTATTCCCAGCATGGCAGCAGAAAGAGATTGCGAACACGCTCAAGCGGACAGGGAACAAGAACGTTACGCATATCGAGCTGGGCGAGGAGAAGAGTCTATTTGGACACGACACGTTCTTGCTCGATCTAAAAAATGTCGGAGGTGCTGTCCAGTCATTTTTGGGATGAGCTGAGAGGGGCCGAGTTGTACTCATCTCCCTGTATATTTTGCATTTGTATGTCTATAGCGCTGCATGGCATGGCGTTGTCGGTGGGGTCAATTCCGCAGATCCAGATCCTTCCCGTGCGACATGTCTTGGCTGGATCACCCTAAAATTATTTCTCTGCTACAATTTGTATATCAACGGCTAGGAGCCACGTGCCCTTCTAGATATCAATTCTGTTGCATTTGCCTGACAAAACTCCCTACTTGTTCTCTTCCGCGGGTAGAGAGCCATCCTGAAGTCTGGACTTGATGTTTCCTCATTTAGACCACCCTGTGTAACCCCAGGTCATGGCCCTAGCACCCTTCCTTCCCGTCCTGGTTCGCGCCGGAACATCACTACATTTCATTTGCTAGCCACGGTCCAATCCCTAATCTATCGCATCCGCCAATCGTCTTGGCAGGATTTAGGCTTGGATGTCTGATGCGATGGGCCGAACCCAAGTGCGGGAGGGTGCATACTTAGGTGCGCCACGCCCGCGATGCTAACGTTTGCCCCGATACCCAATCGACTATGGAGGTGCATCACGATGCGCAGTTGTTGAGGCAGCCTGGTGAGAAGGAGACAGCCATTGACCGCACGGTGAGCCAGGCAACGAGCCAGGCGAGCGACCAGCGTAGAACGCTGTGGCAGAATGTTACGAGATATCGCAAGGTGATGTGGGTTACGTTCGGATTGACGAGCGCAATATTGATGTATGGTTACGATAATGTCGTGGTCGGGACGGTGTCAGGCATCCCTGCATTTCAGTACGTCTCTCTTCCATTTCCCTCCCTACACGCATCCTGACTTGACTGCAGACGAGACTTTGGCGTACTTCTGGACAACGAATTCATCCTCCCTTCCAACTGGCTGGCCCTCTGGAACGTCTCCTCCCCTCTGGGTGCAATGCTAGGCTCCCTCTTCGGCGGCTGGTTCCAGGACCGCGTTGGCCGCCGCTTCTCTCTCGCACTGTGCTCTTTCGTGTCTGCGCTTGCAGTCGCGGTTATGTTTGTCTCATACATCCCCTCCTCGCCTGACGCCCGCCGCGCGCTCTTCCTGGTAGGCAGGTTCGGCCAGGGATGCTGCATCGGCGCTGCCATGGTAGCCACGCAAACGTACCTTAGCGAAGTCTTGCCACCAGTTCTGAGAGGCAGCGGCATGGCGTTGTTTCCCATTTTCACGCTCATAGGTCAGCTAATGGGCGCGTTGGTGATCTACGGGAATCTGAAGAAGCAGAGGGGCTATGTTGTGGCAAGTCTCTCAGGTACAAAGTGAATGTGTCTTCCAGCAAAGGCGGAGAAAACTCCTCTTGTTTGTGTATCTAAGACACGAGAAAAGAGTCTTTTGTTCGCTTAGCTGAGACACGAGCGAACGTACCATCCCCACTTCTTGGACACATACACTGACTTTGTACCTTCGGGTTTGGCAGGTATTGGCAGCCAGTGGCCGTTCAGCTTTGTGCCAGTTTTCGTTGCGTATTTTATCCCTGATAGCCCGGCGTGGTTCGTACGTAAGAAAAGAATAGATGATGCGTTGCGAGCGCAGGCACGATTGGACCCGACGGGTATAGATACGAAGGCTGTGGTCGATAAAATAGCTGCGGATATTGACCATGAAGAGGCGACTCAGGGGCAGGCTACGTTTAACGAGTTCTTCTCCGCCGCGAACGTGAGGAGGACGATGATCGTACTGTGGATCAACAGCTTACAGGCTGTATGGGGACTGCCGCTGATGGCGAAGGCGAGCTACTTTATGCAGATCGTGGGCCTGGACGCGAAGCGAAGTACCCTCTTCCTCATTCTGGGCATTGTACTTGGGCTCTTAGCCAACGTAGCAAGTATCTGGGTGCTGGCGAGGGTCGGACGACGCAAGCTCATCTTATCGACTTTGAGCGTGGCCGCGGGATTGTGGTTGAGTGTTGGTATCGCAAACTGTTTCGATGGCATGGGTGTTGTTTGGTAAGTTCTTTCCCAGTGATCGAATCCGGCTTGAAGGATCGCTAATGAAGTGATCAGGTGGACTGGTGTATCCATGATGCTCACCATCATCATCTGCGGCGTGGGCGTGTGGCCCGCTTCGTTCGCGGTCGCGGCCGAAACCTCATCTCTGCAGCTGCGCGCGAAGACCCAGGGCATGGGATGGGCCGTCAATGCGTTCTCAGTTGCCGCGTCCGGCATCGCCCTGCCGTATATCTTCAATCCTGATGCGGGCAATTTGAGGGGCAAAGTTGGGTTCACATATGTAGCGACATGCGTTTTGGGCGTGCTGATCAGCTGGTTGTTGGTGCCGGAGATGAAAGGACGCACAGTCGCCGAAATTGACAGGATGTTTGAATTGGGCTTGGGGACACGGGGCTTCAGGTCATTCCGCGATGATAGAGTGTAGCAGGAGGCTTAACCCTATGAAGTCGCTTTCCGCATAATACAACTCGATGCTATTGCAGACAACTTCATTTATTTTGGGGAGATCTTAGGCTTGCTGCGTATCGACCTTAATGCCCTTCCACTCCGGCCCCATCGCCTCATCGATCCATCGACACCTCGTGACATCCACATTCTCTCTCACATATGCCACCAAGGCGTCTGCACCGGGTGCTCCTTCTAGAATCCCCAGCGCGCCTACATGCGGGATGTGCAGCGCTTCTGCGATGACAGGCTCGCAACCGGGCGGTACGGCAAGCAGGCGCGTTGCCTTTTCCGGCGGTGAGTCCATGGTGGATAGGTGGACGAGAGTCGGAATGTTTGCATGTGGGAGGGAGGCGGGCGGGTGGTTGTGTGGGATTAGTACAAGGGCGAGAGGTCGTGGCGCACCCGCATCTGATGCTTTCACTCGAGGTGAGAGAGTTTCTTCGCCGTGAGAGGGTGCGGTTGGTGGTGCATTTTGCGCTGCTAGGGACTCCAGATGGCGAATTACGCTGTTGAGACCGATGAGGATGTGGGTCTGGATTTCTGGAGGGTGAGGTGGAGGTGGGTTGGCTGGCTGTTCAGACTGGGCGTCTTTGCGAGCTTCGCGTTTCCGTTTTGTGCCTTTGGAGGGCCGGATATGAGCTCTGCGGTGGTCTCCTAACGGCTGAAGTAGGCTGTGTTTTGATCAGATAAATTGTCAAGCTTGGGTTTCCATCCTTTGCTGATGGCTCGGGAGACGATGGCAAATGTTGTAGATATGTTTGTACATGAGATCTCGTTCCCCCCTCATATACTCCAGCACGTACAAGCCGGTGGTCAACGCACCTGCACAGCAAATCCATAATGTTTCGTCTTTGCACAGACGTAAGAGCTGGCCTGGACACATCAACATGCCAAATTCAATCATGGTAGGCTAGGCTCAGCAGACCATTCTGTCTCAGTGTACGGGCGTGCGGTTCTGAATATCGGCTTCGAGCCCTTTCTAGCGGTGGTTGCCATGGTGCAGGTGGCGCGTAAACGACGCAGGTACCGGGCACATTGGCAAAGGTGACGCGCTACAGCAGGGCTCTCTGCACTATCTTCGCCCAAGTGGACGGGTGGATCTGGTTCGAAGCGTTGCCCTGGTCGTTCACGCGCCACGGGGGCAAGCACGCTAGCGGCAGATGAAGGAAAGCGTGGGTGCCAAGCAAACGTCATTGGCTGGGAAGGTGCGCCCCACCATAACCAAACTCCAGCTCTCCAGACATTCACGGACGCGTGAACTCCAGAGCTTCGCCCAATTGTTTATTCTGCTCACGGGCCACCAATTTTCTTCCCTGCCTGCAGCACCGAACAAGGCCGCTCATGGTGCCCTTTCTCCCCGCATTTACGCCCCTCCGCGCGAGGCTGTCGACCATATTTGGGTAGGCTGCTACTGCTGCCTGTGTAGAGAGCAGCTTGTGCCTACCACCCACCTCTCAACCCCCGGCACGCGTGCCTTCCCGCGTCGCCCCCAAGCTTCTGCAAACATCTTCGGCGGCAATCACTGCGTCATGAGTCAGCCAGATCATGAATTAATGGAGTCTGCCACTGTAGACACCGCAATCAGTGTCCCCGCGTCGCCGCCGCCGCGCGACTCCATGGAAGACGCAGACCCCTCGTTGACCCGCAAACGACCCCGGCTTGACAGCGGTGGTGTAGAAAGCCCCGCTATGCACGCAGACACAGACGCAGACGCACACTCTGCCCAACCTACGACTGCCCCGGCTGAGCAGCAGGTTGAGATGACGATACGGTCGCAGCCGCCCTCATCGTCGCATGCCCGAGACGCTGCCGTTAGCACTGACGCCGCACACACAAGCGCGACTCCCGGCGAAGACATGGATGCTTCCGCTGCCATGGATGGCATCTCGAACAGGGTAGACAACGCAGACGGTACAGGCGATAGCTCCGCGGGCAGCCCGCCTATCATCGCCATTGACGACGACGACGACGACGATGCCGACCCCATGGCCGGCTATGCCGGGGCTACTTCCTTCCATGTCGAGTACGATGTCGACACCCATCTCGCCATGTTCCCGTTCGCGCATGATGCGGACTACATACATGCTGCACAGGAAATCGCGCGGTACTTTCACAGTAGTGAGTGAGCTCTGGCATGAGTTGCGACACATGCTAATACCCTCGCAGGTCAAGGGCTGGATGGAAATGTCCTCACTCAACTCTCCGACTGGCTAGATGGTCTTCCGGACCAACCATTGGCGTGGCCGAACTTGTACATGCATCAAGCGGATCTCTGGGACGAGATCTCCGTAGTGGCTGGGAGGGTGTTGAACAGAAAGTAAGCATTCAAGATGTATCAGGGGGTCGTTTAGCCATACTAACCTACGCAGAGTGTCTTTCGGAGACACATTCGGCGATAACATCATGTCTGAGGAAGACATCATCACGAAGTTCTTCTCATCGTATCTTCGACTCTTTGTACGGCTCACACAGGTTGACGCGTGCATGTTCGCCGAGTGGACCTCCGAAGAACCTTACGCGCATCCCGTCTTATCACATAAGCATCTACGCCATGTGAGCCCGATGATGCGGAACCTGGTCGCACCGGGGTTGATGCATCTGTACAACATGCTGCAGAAAGAATACCAGGTCGACACTGGACCTATGGAACTTCGACTATTGCAGGTCTTCCTCAAAGCTGAGGGTCCCAAGCATCTCTTGGATTTAGTATGCCAAGCACACGGCAAGCTTCCGCTCCCCGCACAGAACTGGATGGTTATCAACTCGGCGTCAGCAGTGGACGCGATAATCTGTTTTCTTACCGCTTCGGATGCGCAATCTCTTAACGACGTATTCAGCCAGGCACAATTGTGCCGAGATGCCCTCGCCTTTTTCCGAAAATACGATGCAGACCTCCAGATCCCTAGCAAGGTCGTTGACACTGGAGTGGCGAGAGAATTGATTGGCTATTTCCACTCGCTATTGTTCAGCATCTGTCGATCGGATGGAGCCGTGGCTGCCGATCTTGTGACCGACCTTCTAGATTTTCAAGATCCCGAATCACCCACGGCGGCCTCACCAGATGACAAGGTTGTCGGTCATGCTTCGTACCTTGAAGACCCTGCAGAGTATCCCAGGCTGGTCGCAAATGCTTGGAAGTTCAAACTTCTCCGAAAGTACATCGTGAAAGGACGTATGGAGTTGCGTGTGTTGAGCATCGGCTTCATGGACAATTCCCTCGTTGAGCTGTGGAGGGAGTACAATGGCACGCTGCTCTCAACTGGCCATCCGGTCATGCAATACCTTGCCGATTTCCTTCTCCATGAGCGGGTGGTCGACTACATTATCAGTGTCGATTCGCACCCGCAGCTTATTTCTCGAAGCGGCAATATTGTAGGCTTTCTTGTGGTCACCCTTCGATATTCTAACGCGCAAACCGATGCCATCTGGAATACCATTTCCCACAGCTCCGATCCCCGCATGGTGTCCGCAACCATGACGATGCTTAGAGGTATTTATAACCTCATGACCGAGACGGCTCAACTCTACCTCTGCTCGAAGATGTATGAGCTTCCCATCGAAAGCTATACTTTAGATATCCTCCGTTTCTTGAAGGATCTGGCTCCGAAGCTGCTCCACAGAGAGAAGGACTGGAGTGAAATCACTTCGGAAGCCCGGCCTTGGAACGTTTGTATCAGGGTGTTGCAAGATACATCTCCAGGCCGAGAAAGTACGAAAACATCCACTGCCCTCCACCATGAAGCGGCTGAGCAACTTCGGACCATGGTCAATTACATTTCCAGGGAGGAACGACATCAACTCCTACGCGAGTGCGCCTCGCTCGTTGCGAGCAAATCGCCCAAAGCAACTGGTAGTCTTCGAGCTATTTACATCCTCACGTCCAATTTCCACTACGGAGAGCCGAGTTTTTTCAAAGACAATGTTGATGTGGTGCGCGATGTGCTCCAGGAGATGTGTGCATTCGTCGAGAATGAGAAGGATATGGCCTTCGACGCCGAGATGACTGCTCTTCAGTATCGACTCGACCTGCTATCTCTAATCATACACCAAGCTTGCCAAGCGATTCCGGCCGATCTTTATCAACCTGTCTGGGATCATCTCATCGGCCGATATGCGCATACGAACCATCGTAGGGACATGGCCTGGTCTAAGTTTCTGGACGCCGTAAAATTAAAACCGAACAACGAATTCTGCAAAGAGCTCGTTACCGTATGCGTGCCCAAACTTGACCCGCTGTATTACACACCTGGCATGTTCGATTTCGTCGCGTCTTATCGATTCCCCACAACACGACGTGCCCTCACAACACAAGAAGGTACTAAGACGTTGCTGCAGATTCGCGGTGCTGATTTACTCTGGGCAATGATCCTTTCGGCTCCGCCACAGACAATCGAAGATCGTGCGGCAAGACTATTGGCCTCGCGCTATCTTGAGATAGACGCCAGTGAAGGTGTTACCCTGGACGAGCTGGAAGAGGCGCACGTTGCCCTCGTCGAGCAGTGTATTGAAGAGCTTCTATCGGTGTACAAGACACTTCGAGCAGAGCGAACCACGACAATGCCGAATGTCGAGCGAATGGATACCGCAATTTCTCATGCCACGACGCAACAGCATGAGCAGCGCTTCGCCAGAACTCTCCTGTTCTTGAAACTACTACTCAGCCTAGTTCGAAGCAAGCCGGAACTGAACCGTTCTAAGCGATCGGATTCCAAGGTGGAACCTTTGGACGTGGAGCTCCCGTTTGGTGAACCAATTGAGGTCAAATACAGCTCACCTGTTACGAATGCGAAAGAGACATTGATCATTGGCTCCGAAAACAGCCTTCAAGACCTCTACGGCCGATTGTGTCAAGCGACTGGTTACACAAAGCTCAATCTTTTCGCCAAAGGCCAACGACTTAGTGTTTTGGAAAAAGCAGACGTGAAGATTGCCGACCTAGGTCTGGGTGGTCAACAACTGCTGGTACAGAAGGCGCCCGGCGCCGAAGTTTCTCAGCCTATCTTTGACCCCAGCGGCAGCTCTTCGGTATTTGAAGCCACCTTGTTGAGTCATTTCGATGAGCTATTCGCATGCATGGATGCGGATGATTATATCAGCTTTGTGGTAAGTCCCTCGTGAACCTTAATTGATTTCGCTAAAAGCAATAGGTTTTTGACTTTCTGAGCGTTTTCCCATTCCACAGTACTATCGTCGATTCTGTCATGGCGGGCACGGCAACTTCTGATTTACTTTTTCCGCAAGACAAGCCCTGGCAGGCCAAATATGCTGCGTATGCCCTCTCGACAATCGGCTGAAGATGCAGGTGAGAAAGGTTTGTTTATTTGGATTCTGTATCAACAAAACATCTCTAAACATGCTCTAGAACTCGGTTGACGATACTTTCTTGGCCAACACCGTGCGCTACATGGACCAGGCTTTGCTCAGCCCAGGGCTGGTCGAGCAGCAAATGACATCATCATCGCCTTCGCCTCTACCTGGTGTGTTGGTCGGTGTACTCATAGGCTTTCTCAAAGGTACGCACCATCCCACCCGTCAATGATAAGATGAGTAACAGTGCTGTACAGAGCGACCTGCGCAAGAAGTTTCGGCTGCTTATTTCTCAAATGAGCAAGGTTTTGTGAAGCGACTTCTTGAACTCGCATCTATCGCTCTGAGTAGCAAGGTAGACATGGGCATTGTTGCCTACCAGTCTTACTGCACTGTCGTGGAAGCCTCCTTGCATTCTCGAGGCATATGGGAAGCCTTCACTAAACACGACAACATCGGTTCCCTTCATGGCGCCCTGCTCCTATCTGATGGGAGGAAGCCTCTACGGGAAGGCGTTGCCAAAGCCATATCATCTGTGTGTGGCGGAGGTCTCTCTCCCACATCTGCCATCACCGAAGCTGATACAGCGACGTCTTTTTTGGCATCAGATATCGGACGTTCTGCCACAAGCCATTCGGTTTCCCAGCCAGTCGGAGCAATTGTTTGACCTTGCAGACCAGGTCTTTCGAAAGTACGATGAACACAACCGAGATGAAGTATCCCTACGATCTTACTTGGCCACATGGAGTGCACTTCTTCTCGGCTATGACCATCAAGAAAAAGTGGGTCGAGATGAAGTCGATTATGTCGTCATTGGGTTCACCAAGCTCCTGCTTAGCTGTGTTTCTTCACTGAAATCGTTCAAGAAGTCTTTGAATGCCAGCTCGTTGATTGACAAGATTTGGCACAAGTTTTTGTTTGCGCCCAGGATCAGCGTAATTGAAGGCCAATCACCGAATTCACTAACGCCGGTTCTGGAGAGCAAGACGAGGAAAGAACTTTACGATCTCGTCCTTGCCCTAGCCGAAGATCAAGGCAGCTACGGTGTTCTTCTCGATTTAGTTGAGAATCTCGGAATCGACAATCCTAACGCCGAGTCGCGAGCCTTATGTGTCGACAGGATCAACGAAATACGAGCTCCGACCGGATACGTGGGTCTGTTCAATCCTCGTGCTATCTGTTACATGAACTCGCTGCTTACGCAATTATTCATGAACGTCAATTTTCGCAAATTCATCCTTGAACTGAACGTCACAGACCCGCACGGACAACAGATACTCCTGCACCACACTCAGAAGCTCTTCGCTGAAATGCAGAATAGTTACCGTAAATCTGCAGATCCGCGAGAATTCGCATCGTGCGTCAAGGCACCTGAAGGCACGCCCATCGATATTAACATCCAGATGGACGCAGATGAATTTTACAACTTGTTGTTTGACCAGTGGGAAGGTCAGATGCTCGCCTCTGGCATCAAAGAGCAATTCCGCTCCTTCTACGGAGGTCATACAATCAACCAGATTAAGTCCAAAGAGTGCGAGCATGTTTCTGAACGGGTTGAAAGTTTCTTCGTCGTTCAATGTGACGTACAAGGTAAACAAAACCTGCTCGAAAGCCTTCAATCCTTCGTGGAAGGGGACGTAATGGAAGGAGACAACAAGTACAAATGTGAATCCTGTGGAGGGAAATTGGTGGACGCGGTGAAGCGAACATGCCTCAAGGACGTTCCAGACAATCTCATCTTCCACCTGAAGCGCTTCGACTTCGATCTTGTGGAACTACGAAGAGCGAAAATTAACGACCAATTTGAGTTCCCCAGCCTGATCGACGTCAGCCCTTTCAAGATTGATCACCTCAGCGATCCTTCAAAGCCTCATCAAGAGGATATCTTCGAGCTCGTTGGCGTCCTCGTGCATCAAGGAACGTCTGAGAACGGCCATTACTATTCATACATCCGTGAGCGACCCAGCCCCGTGGCAGATTCACAACCATGGGTTGAATTCAACGATCGAGAGGTGGAAGCCTTTGAACCTTCTTCCCTTGGCTACCATGCCTTTGGTGGCTTTTACGACGAGCAATTTCAGCGCCAGCAGAAGCAATTCAGCGCGTACATGCTATTCTACCAGCGTCGCTCCGCAATTGTCAAAGATCACCATCGATACATGGGAGCGTCACAGTCCGGAGTGGCCAAGGTACCTGTTCCTCTGGCCCTCCAGCAGAGTATCCAGGCCGAAAACGACCTCTTTGTGCGGGAGTATAGCCTCTACGATCCCAACCATACGAAATTTGTCCGACTCCTTCTCACAAACCTGCGCACGGTCAACCACGGCACTTGCTCGGAAGATCACCAACAAGAGTCCCAAGCTCTCCATGTCGTACTCGAACACCTCTGTCAAACGCTTTTCCGTATAAAGAGCGCCGAGAATTTCGATGAAACGATGATGCAGCTTCGGAGGACTGTGCTGTCATGCGCTACGTGCTGTCATGTTGCGCTGAAATGGCTAGCCACGCATCACTCTGCTTTGGCCAACTTACTCCTTCATTGCATACACGCAAAGGTGCGCGCACAGACCCGCGCTTTTCTTATCGACAGCCTTCAGTATCTTCGCGAGAAAGACCCTGTCGCATATGGTATCGAAGCTACGGAAACCGAGAGCGAATCGGGTTCGATGACTCAGACTGATGGGGTACTCATGGCTATTTCGAGGTCTCTTTACCAGGTCTGCGAAGAATCTTACCAGACTGTGCGCGGTTGGGACGACCTTTATCTCACCCTTTCCCAACTCAGTGACCTTGGTCATGTTGAATCCGCGATTCTTCTGGACAATGACTTTTTGGAATTTGGTTTGCGCATTTTCTGCATGCACGCAATCGCCGAACGTCGAGATCTCGATTTATGGCGTGTAGTTGAAAAGAAACGCCGCATCTATAACAGACTAATCGAGTTTGTTTATAGACTGCTATTGCGGATCGACATCTACCTCCCGGTGATTCAAAAGAATAAAACCAGTCGACTGGACAATTTCGAACGGAACGGCTTCAAGTTCCCGCTTGCTAGAGAAGAGAAAGCCTTCCTCTACCACTGGGACGACCAAACTAGAGCCCTCACATTCCTGGACAAAATGCTTGAGCTATACGATCACACCAAGACTGAGGTCTACTATCCTGGAGAAGTCCTCAAGCTGATGCTCAAATCTGTCGATGCACGACTTTTGCAGGAGCTCTTCTTGACAGTTTTTGAAGGGATTGTTGGACTTGAACCTTCCTCTTCCGATCCTTACGTTCGAGCCGCCTTATCTTATTGCGAAGCTTCAGCAGAGCCCACTCACGTCGATCGAATTATTGATGCCGTTTGCAAACAAATTACCAAGTTTCCTAAGGGAGGTGGCGAGGTCAATGTTCGTTTCATGAGCGGCCTCTTGAAACTCGAGAACGAGACAGTGTTGGACGAAAGAGGGGACGATTATGTTTACATCGCTTCGATCCGTTTCGCCAAATCGGTCGCAACAACACTACTCACTTACGATGACGAAGTCGTTCGCAAAGCCACCGCCACTCATCTTGAAGAACTCTTCGTGCGGCACCAAGATGACGAACATACCTCTGAAGACGTTCTCAAGATTAAGTACAAAGCAGTACGAGCCCTTCTGTTCGAACTCACCGATAAGATCGTGTACCAGTATCAGAGAGCTACTGCGCGATCATGCATACAGCCAATGGTGCTGGTGTGTGAGATGCTTGCGGCGCTGATCAATAATCTGTACGAGTCAGAAGACCCTTACTTGGGGCCATGCAAGCACGCACAGGATTATGTCATTTTAGACAAATATCAGTCAGAGGCTGTGCTGAGATTGCAGAATTGGCCGTTGGATGAAAGTACTCCGGTTTCAACGGGTGGTGAGTTGACTCGTCCAGTTTGTATTGAATCAGAACTAATGCGCGACAGAGGCTTATGATCATTCAGACTATGGCAGTGAGTCTGACATGGATCCTGAGCTCATCGACCTTGAAAACTGAGGAACTGCGCTGACATTCTCGCGCTCTCACAGAGTAGTGATCTCGCCTGTTCCTCTTTAAAGTTCGATGGCACATTGTGACGACAACACGGATGCGTCAAGCGGAACGATTGCAATTACGGCGTTATTCGCGTGTCCAGGGCCTAACACTCGCTTCCACATCTTCTGTACTTATCTTCGGGTCTGGAAGACCGCACCGGTGGTAGGCGTACCTAGGACACTGATCTAGAGAGCTTTGGCTCGTCTTCGGGCCGTTGGCCTTGTTTTGCTTTGGAATGCTTTTGCATCGGCATCCTTTGATCTTGACTTCATGGCATAGCGAGGGCGCGTACGGCTTATTTTCGTTTTTGGTCACGGTTTGGGATTGACATTATCTATCATGGATTGGACGACTGGTCATGATTGAAGTGCATTGCAGTTCTAGAGTCATGAAAACTGCACGCGTGTGCTACGGCGTTCTTGACAGCGAGTATGAGATGATGAATTGTTAATGGATTATGAAGGGGAGCAACACATTTATCACGCAAATTTTTCGCGTTGTGAATTGCGTTTCTATGTCAACATATGTGTGACCAACTCTCATCCCAATTTGGGCCTTGCAAACCCTGACTCGAGCAAGCTGTAGTGAAACCTTCAGATACTTTCTTCATTGGGTCTCGCAATCAAATTTTGATCGGTTGCAGTGAATCTAACACCTGTAAAAGCGAATGGCTCAACTGATTGTCGTTTATGGTAATGCAGAGACCCATGCACCTAATCCTACAGTATCATGGCTGCAGCTACATTGTAGGGAACCCGTATTGAAAGCATCGGCACTTGAGCAACTTCAGAAGATTCTCGTCTTAGTTTTAGGCTAAATGCAAAGTGTGGCTGAGAGTGCAATACCACAAAACGCAAAAATGTTACAGCACGTGGGGTCTCCTGGCCCCATCCCGGCGGCTAGATGACTTCATGTAGAGCTCTTCGTTTTGAGTGGGCAACTAGTTGGTCTCGCCCTCTTTGTCTGCAAATGTCTCTCTGGTGGATGTAAAACGGATGCAACCCCCGCACAGCTCTGGGTATGCTGAGGATAATGGTACCTAAGTGAAAGCGAAAAGGTTCATTTTAGGGATGTAGAAGGTGAACGATCGTTCGAGGAAAGTAACTTTCAGAGCACACATCGACAGGGAGGTAGGGATTTCGAAGGCGTACATTTTGGATAGAGATGGTTCAACAAACTGTGGGGCCGTGAGAAGGCGGTACGTTTCCATTTGGCTAGGGACTGAGCTACACGCAATTGGAAGTCACGAACGCGGAGGTAGTTAGGGAGTTTTGAGGTCGTGAGTGTGATTACGGCGGTGAGAACGTACACTGTAGGCGGGACAGCGGGTGTGGAGAAAGTGCAGGTGTATGTTGAGTCACCCATCGAGGATGGTTTGGTCAAGAAGCAAAGCTCGTTGGCTTCGTCAGAACTGGTTTGCAGCCTAGGGAGAGGGACGTCAAAGTCAAGTTCCAGAAGCAGGACGCAGCATATTAGGAGGAAAGATTGGACAAGTGGGGAATGAGCAAGGGCGCGTATGATGTCTTGATTGCAATGAGCTCAGCACCACAGGATACGAAGATGAGGCTGGAGGTAGAAGTGGATGGGAATATTGTGATTGAAGCCGGGTGTTGCATCGGAGCGGGAAGTCGAGGCTGAACACGGTGTCCAGCAAGACACTACAGAGGCGGGCCTTCTCCATGCTGGCCTCGAAAGTTGCCCGATGTGGTTTCGTGGAGGCCGTTGGAGGTTGGAGGAGGAGAAGCACGATCGGGCTAGGGGTCAAGCGAGAAGGCTAGACCCTATCACGATGGATGACATCACACTAGTGCAGCACTAATCAACACCTCAGATGCACGTGCAACCTTACACGCCCGTGACGCCACGCCTCCATATATATTGTTGGGACCGAAACCTTCTAAACGCGATATACGCCCCCGAAGTTCACGATGTCTTTCTACAAAGGCGCTGCCCTGCGAAGGGCGATTGTTCCAACATCTGTCCGAGTTCCTTCATCAAAGCGCGCCTTCTCAGCCAGCATGCCTCACGCAAACGAGCCCACCTTCGACGCCGCTGCCTTCGGCGAGCAGCACATCACCAAAGGCATTGGACGTCTCACCAAGCATGTCTTCGAGGAAGGAAAGGGAACGTACATCACCACCGACAAGGGCGTCAAGCTCCTCGACATGACCGCCGGCATCGGCGTCGTCAACTTGGGCCATTGCCATCCCAAGGTCAGCGAGGCTGCTGCAAAACAGTGCATGAAGATTACCCACACCCAAATCAACATTGGCTTCAGCGCCGCCCAGGTCGCCCTTCTCCGAGAACTCATCCCCATCCTTCCCCACCCATCCCTGGACACCGTCTTCCTATGGAACTCTGGCGCTGAGGCTGTTGAGGCAGCCGTCAAACTTTCAAGGGCAGCAACCAAAAAGCAGAATATTATTGTTGTGCAAGGCTCCTACCATGGACGCACGTGCGCGACCGCCGCCATGACGCGCAGCAAGACCATCTACGGCGAAGGCCACGGTCCATTGATGCCCGGCATCTTTGCTACCGCATTTCCCTACTACTCTCAATTCGGCCTTCCTGTGGACACACCCATCGACGAACTTGTGGAGAAGTCCCTCTTCCAGCTCAAGCTCACCCTCTCACAACAAACCGCGCCCTCGGACACGGCAGCAATCATACTGGAGCCCGTTCTCGGCGAGGGCGGCTACGTTCCCGCTCCTCCTGCATTCCTCCACGGCCTCCGCAAAGTCTGCGACGAGCACGGTATCCTTCTTATCTGTGACGAAGTTCAGTCTGGTTTCGGCCGCACAGGCACCATGTTCGCCGTGGAGGAAAGCGGCGTTCGGCCCGATATCCTAATTTTCGCTAAGGGCATTGCAAACGGTTTTCCACTTAGCGGTATCGCGAGCACGAACGAGCTCATGAGCCGCCAAAAGCCTGGCACCATGGGCGGCACATACGCCGGAAATGCTGTGGCCTGCGCTGCCGCCAAGGCTGTCATCGAAGTCTTCCGCGAGGAGAAGGTCCTGGATAATGTCGCTGCTCGCTCGAAGCAGCTTTTCGGTTTCCTCAACGACCTCAAGAACTCTGGAAGCAAGGCTGGCAACCTCATCCAGGATGTGCGTGGACGGGGTCTGATGGTGGGCGTGCAATTCCAGGATGCCGATGTGATTGCCCAGTCCCAGAACGAGGCAGCGAGGAAGAAGAGCGGCGCGGGACAAATTGCGCCGAAGGTTGTGCAGGAGTGTGTCAAGAGGGATATGCTGCTCCTCAGTACTTCAGTGTTTGATGTTCTGCGGTTTATCCCACCGCTTACCATTAGCGAGGCGGAGATGCAAGAGGCGTGCCGCATATTTGGCGAGTCGCTGGAGGCTGTTGCGAAGGAGTTGTAAACACGTCCCTTTTGACGTTGGGTCCGGAGTCTTTGCAGCGCTTTTTCCTACAGGCAGCAGGTGGAGTTGGCCTCATGATTATGTACGAGAAATCTCATTAACGTTTGAGACGTGTTATAGTCGAATATAAGGCTTTTTCTCAAAGGACGCATTAGAGCCATCAAAGGTGACTTGCAATTGCATTGTTGCGCGGTTGAAATTTGGGTATGGCAGATGACGGGCGATCCAGCAACAGACAAGATCATCTACATCATTTCACCTCTAAATTCCGCCTGCAGACAAGGTCATACCTTGGACTCGAAACTCAGTATGATACGACGCCCCTTGAAACCTCAAAATTGACCCACTCCCATCGCACATGACTTGCCCTTATTTTTTCGATCCTGGTGGATCGTGTTCCCAATGATGACCTCTATGGAAGATCCTATTCGAACACTTCCTGGAGCGTTTCGATCGAGGCTGTAGCGATCTAGTCATGCAAACAATGCACTTTTATGCGTTACAAGTCCAGGCCGCGACGAGATAAGGCTCCATGCAAGGCTAGAATCTGCCACGAGGCCCTATGCATACCCTACCCGGATCAACACCAAGATTGACGATTAGCTCTTCCAGACAACGTTATTCATACTCGTACAAGTTACCGAGCTAATCGAACCTAGCTTCTTCCTCTATCGTACTATAGAGGTGCCATAACTGAACGTGCTATCTCCATCTATTGGCATTAGACTAAAAGTACTCTGTAGTTAAAGATCGGAGCGCGACACGCTTGATCTACGTCAGGTACTTGTTAGCTTTCGTTGGAATTTATATGGCGATATTCGTGGACGCGTTGGACTGAATAGTTGGTTTCTACTAGAGATTGTTGTTGGCGGTAATGTTTAAACCCAGTCGCGTACGCATTTTGTTGATATGCAAATGCTCAGGGAAAATGTCAAGCAAGCATGGATGTAGCAGGATAACCTGGAGAATTGACAGAGAGGCTTGATAGAGACGAGATCAATAGTAGCACAGATTCGGCACTCTGGGGTGGGCTTGTGCCTCGCGTCCGCCACTTCCCCCAAGTCGTACTCTACTATTGGATTCTATCACGAGAGAGGTCTTTGAAGCCTTTTCCTACACTGATGATTCTTATTGGCACATTATCAAATCCAAAACGAATGTGGTCTTCTTTTAACAAAGTATACATTTCTGTTCATGAGCTTCGAGTCACGTGTGCCAACATTCACCCTTCAATACAAAACACATAGCGTAAAATAATGCACGGACTTCTGGCAGACAATTGTTACCACTTCCATGTGAGCTCTTAGTGCATATTCCGTGCATAATCATGCCACAGCATAAGTCCCCTGCCGCCAACGATTGCCGCCCACGCATCACTGCTCGAGTCAATAGCCTACCTGGACAAATAAGCACTTGTAGGTCTCAATATAGGCGCACAAAAATGGTGTAACTAACTTATACAAAAGGATCTTTTGATAGAACATGATGGCGACCGTGAACGATTCCGGAACGCCCAAACTTTCATTCGAGGCCTGCGAGCGCTTGTTCTTCGGGCCTTTCGAAAGCGAACGCCGAGAAGACTAATACTAAGGCTTCCCAGCCTTCTCATTCTTTGCAGCCCAATGACCGCTCAAAGTGTTTCTTCGATCTTCCTGGGGGTTCGTACAGTTTTCCACCGTCGTGACAATTCATCTAACATCTAGTGTACAGAGATTCGAAACCATATGACCCTACCGCTAAAGCTGCAATCTCGTTTAGGGAACGCCGAACTCCTAAGATTGTATTGATCAATGGAAACATAGGGGTAAATCGACCGTTCACTAAGCTACGCGGTCAAAGGTCAATAACGTTGCACCATAACCAAAATCTGTACCTATACAGGTATCTATGTACTTACAGTAGGTAATAAGTATATGCTATTAGCGAAATTTAGGTATATCCTATATCTATTCTGTAAACTAATATGGCCAAGTAGGTAGACTTATGCCATATGAATTCCATTTTCGGAAACGAGAGGCCTTGAAAGAATACGATTGCGACGAGGAATTAAAATATAATATCCCTCAAGCGGCCCTCGAGCTGCGCGTTGGATTGCTCCTAGGCGAGCAAGCTTGTCAACGAATTCGCAATTGCAGCGCAAGTGATTTCTTTCCAGAGATGGGAGCGTATCTAGAGTGCACATATCCAATAGACTCAAGCATAGCCCTCAGCAGTCTCGATCTCCAAATCTTATTGTGATCATGGAATATGGTGCTTCGAATTATAGCTATGCTGTCTAAATACAACTACGTCGAATGAAGTTAAGTATAATAATGCTTCAAAGTATGACTACAATAGCTAAATGCGGTTACTGCCCACTCCCGTTATACACAAGCACATTCTTGCTATCTTTCACATCACCCACAACGCCATTCTCCGCCAGAGCGAGAATGCGGTCCGTAACCGCCTTCGGGCTGCCCAGGCCACTCTCAAGCGCCCTGAGGTAGCACACCAAGCCTGAAACAAGCGGCGTAGCCATGCTGGTACCGCTCTCCACGCGGCTGCCGGTGTCGCTGAGGTAGTCTGCGCTCACGATCTCGTACCCGGGAGCCCAGACGTCGAGTTCAGGCCCGTAGTTGCTGCCCTGCACGCCGGAGGAGCTGTCGACGCGCTGGCGCTGTTGGTTGGTGTAGCCGACGGTGAAGGACTCAGCGAGACGGGCGGGGGAGGTGTTGCCAATCTCCTTGTTCTCATTACCGGCAGCAACAACAGTAAGGATACCAAAATCGTAGAGAGCCTTGATAGCGGCATCGAGCGTAGTGGAAGAAGTGCGCGCACCGAAGCTCATGCTGAAGACGGCCGTGTTGACAGTGCCCTGGATCTGGACGTCCTTGAACGCCCAATCGAGACCAGCGAGGATGGAAGACATGGTGGCGCTGCCAGTGTCGAAGATCTTGACGTCGACGAGGTCGACCTTCTTGGCAACGCCGTAAGTCTTTCCACCGAGGGTACCGGCGACGTGGGTGCCGTGGCCGGTGCCGTCGTTGTTTCCATCGGCAGCGCTTGTGGTGGAGTTGGTGAGGGCGTTGATGCCGAAGCGGACACGGCCTTCGAACTCTTCGTGGGTGGACCGAATTCCGGTGTCGAAAACATAGGCGGTTGTTCCGGCACCTGCGCTGGAGTCATAGACGTAGGTGTATCCAGTGCTGTTGTCGGCGCCATTTTTGTGCGAAAGATCGGCCAAGCTCCAGAGGCTGTTCTGTTGAGTGGTCAAAGAGGAGGAGTTGCTTGGTGTGGTGCCGTTGGTTGTTGGCTGGCTGGGAGTTGCAGTACCGGAAGAAAGGGGAATCGAGACAGCAACAGCACTGGCACTGACGGTGGGATAGGCAGAATCAGTGTTGTTACCGGTAGGGTATTTGCCAGACGCCTGAGGGTAGCCCGTGGGACGCGAAGAACCAGGAGCGCTGATAGATCCAGTTCCGTACGCCGAGTCACTCTGATATCCCGAGCCAGTTCCGTATCCAGACCCACTTCCGCTTGTGGAAGTAGACTGCGCATGCCCAGCAGAGTTCGAAGCGGAGCCTCCAGCGACGGGGTAAGGATTGCTTCCGCCGATGTGCCAGTCGTCCCCGAGGTACACGTATTCATCCGGTTCCACGCACACGACATTAGGAAGCTTCTCAATCTCCTTGATGACTTCTTGGTCAAAGTTACCCACGTAAGCGTGGAAGTTCCCGTGGCCAACAGTAAAAGTACGCTTGACGAAGTTGTCGAGGTCCGCTCCGGGAGTGTAAGCATCGGCAGTGGAAGAGGCAGCGGCAGGTGCGTTCTCAGTGACGGTCGCAGTTACCGTAACGACCTTGCACTGAGGGTCGCGTTTCTCAAAGACATTGTCTTGATGCCTGGGAGCGTCCCTGTCGCGGCGCGCAATCCTCCTAACAGCCTCATGATGGGCATCAATAGCTCCCGAATCCGATCCCGGTTTCAGTTGAACAATGTACCGCCCAGGGACATATTTGGGCCTGTCGTCTGCGCGCACAACTGCGGCAAGGCCTGCAAGAAAAAGCAAGGAACGAAGCATTGTGAGGAATTAATAGGAATTAGTATAATGAGTGACTGTCCGGAAGGACGATTGCAAAGAGTGACTGCCCTGGTGGGTGGAATGGGTGAAGAACCTACTGAGAACGGCAGATGCGCGCGTCTTGAGGTTGTGGTTAGCCTTCTCTTCGTGGCGTCACTCCCTATTGGTATCCACAAAGGCTTACGACGGGTGCACGGATCAGGTGGGCTGTGGGCTTTGTTCTCTCGTGTTTGCAGATCATCATCACCGAAGTTGTGTTGTGAAAAGGCTTAACCTGTCGACACCGGTTTGTGTTCGAAAGCTTCTGGTCCAAGGTACGATAGGTTGTGACACACGTCGTCCTCCAGCCTTGCAGGCGGCAAAGACGCATCTTCCGACAATCGCCTAATCATGAGTTGGCTCACTGGAGGCTACGGAAAGAACGGCACGCCGTGAGGTTACATGTACGAGAGAGTACAGCTGTTGAATTTGGTAAGCTTAGACGCGCATCGATTGCGGAGGTTGTCCGCAACATGTCGCATGAATAGCTTGGAGGCTTGCGCGTTTGTTGTTCATCACAGGGTGACACAAAAGTCGTGCTAGGGCCCACTCGGTGCCGCATGCGTACTCGGTACCAGTACCACCGTTCGCTGGAATCTCGGGTACTACTCCAACATTGCATTCCACCGCGTCTCTTAAAACGCACAAATATATGATCTGGAGCATACGCTTTCAGAATCATTGAGATCCGGTCGCCTCTCTGCTGCGCACTGCGCATCCTTATTTCGTTTTGACATAGATCGCGGTTGTCTGGATGATCCACAATGCTCTATTACTATAGTATCTTACAACACGGTGCTTATGCACCAAGTAGTGGTACACCCTCAGCAACATCTTCCCATAACCTCCGTTTTCGCCTGTGCCAATCCCGGCTTGTTCCCAATGCTACTGACTGGCGTCTGCGCCGCCTGCGCTCTGGGACTGCGGCTTCAGGAGGCGGTTTTGGGACTGGCGCGGGTGCTGGATCGCTGTTGCCTTTGCGGCTTAGCTTCAGTGAGAGTAAAATGAACACGCCAGCGATGAGAATGGCCAGCAGTAACATGGCCTTTCTCTTGATGCTTTTTCTTTGGTATCCGGACGCGACTTTGAGCTCCTTGTCTGCTTCCTTCACGTCCACCGTCATTCTTTCCACGTTATAATCGATGCGGTCTAGCATGGACCCTTGGTCGATGACCATTGTTTGCAGCTCCTGGAATATGTTGGCTAATTCGATGATGCCTTGCGCAATGTCCTCAATCTCGCGCTCACGCTGGGCAATGAGGGCTTCGTTAGGATCGTGACGTATTCGCTGCTGCTTAGCCTGGAGCAAGGTCGATTGTGAGAAGGAGCGGTCCGCGTCGGACTCCTGCAGGGCAGGGTCGTTGTAGGGATTCTGGATAGGGGTTGCGGAGCGGAGGGGAGAACCGAAGCCACCCATGTCGCGAAGCTCTGCACATGTTAGCGATGGCATCAAGGGTATGGCAAATGGGAATGCGCACTCTTGAGGTATGCGGCCTGCTTCTTGCGAAACAAGGCGCTCACTTCGCCTACACGCGATGCCAGAGAAATCTTGAGGTTCTTGGCCATGGTTTCTTCGCCATTGCTGATGCTGCCCTGCTGCTTGGACTCGCGCACCATGTTGTCGATGCGCTTGATGGCCTGTTGGCACTTTTGGAAGCTCCGTGTGATGTCCTGGGTAAGAGACTCAATCTCCCGCTCCTCCCGCCTCTTGACCTCCTCGTCGTCGAAACCGGGAAGCACGTGCTTCTGGTGCATCTGATCAAGCCTCCGTGTCTGTCTCGCTATGTCTGCAAGATGCTCCGTGATTTCGTCCTGGATGTCGAGCCAGCGCGGCGGGAGCAGGTCCATCTCGATGACAGCGTCGCCGTCGTCTTCGAAGGCCCCCGAGGACATGAGGCCCTGACGCTCCTCATCGCCGAAGCCATTGGCGACGGGGCCGCCATAGCGCGGAGTCTTGCTGGGCGGATGGTGCGAGTACGACTGGCGGTAGGAGATGAAGCTGTTGAGGCTACGTCAGCGAATGCAACGCATAGGGAAAGGCAGGACCCGAGGACAGCGTACAGGTTGGTTCGGTCCCGCCACATGGTCGGCAGGTAAGTCGCGGGGCACTATGTCATGGCATGGGAGCTTGAGACGGCTCGATTGGGCTGGCAGCTATGACTTTGGCGGTCGGGAGCTCTGGTGGACGTGAGCAAGCGCTCTCCGGGGTCTCGGCTTGGCTGTGAGCCACCGTGTGGCGCGTGACGATCCACTCGCAGGCAGGGGCTAGTGTGCAAGCATGCCTCACAAGCGGACGCCAGTCTCAGCCCGCAATCATTTCTCCAGCTCCTCCAGCCGCGTCCAAACACCTACACCTCACTCCCGACACGCTACGCACTCACCAGACCCTACAACACGCGCGCCGCTCTCGAGCAGCTTCCACACCCAAGCCCCGTCCGCGACACGCACGCCCAGCTACCATGGTGCGTGAGAGCCCCTCGAACCCCTCGTTCGCAGCCTTCAAGCATACCCCGCCTGTCAAAACATGGCGACGACAGCCCGCACTACGCCCAATCGACCCTCACTGACAACCCACCCAGGCTGATTCTCTCACCGAGGAGCAAGTCTCCGAGTTCAAGGAGGCCTTCTCCCTGTTTGTAAGTACCTTCTTCCCGCCTGGACGGCGGCTGCCTAGCGCCTGCGCTGCATCTGGGGGCTGTTTGTGTGCTGACCTACCATCCACAGGACAAGGATGGCGATGGTACGTATTCCGCCCACGCAATCCGTCATGATCGACGCTGCGCATAGCACTCCCTCGACTCAATCCTACTGCTGCTGTTGTGCTGGTCGCGGATGCGACGCACGGCTAGGCTGCCCTTTCGCGGCCCTCGTTCCGCCCCTGCGTCACCCGTCCGCCTCACCAACGACCACCACTGACATGGCTGCGCTATAGGTCAGATCACCACCAAGGAACTCGGCACCGTCATGCGCTCGCTCGGCCAGAACCCCAGCGAGTCTGAGCTGCAGGACATGATCAACGAGGTCGATGCCGACAACAACGGCACCATCGATTTCCCTGGTACGGCCACCCACGCGCCAATCTAGTGGTGCATAGTAGCTAAACCACCCAGAATTCCTTACCATGATGGCCCGCAAGATGAAGGACACGGACTCTGAGGAGGAGATTCGGGAAGCCTTCAAGGTTTTCGATCGCGACAACAACGGCTTCATCTCCGCCGCCGAACTGCGCCATGTCATGACCTCCATCGGCGAGAAGCTGACCGACGACGAGGTCGATGAGATGATCAGGGAGGCTGACCAGGACGGCGATGGGCGAATCGACTGTAAGCCTTGTCCAAACCCCTCCGAATGTGCACAACTAACATTTGCCAGACAACGAGTTCGTCCAGCTCATGATGCAGAAGTAAGCTGTCAAAGTACTTTGGGCGATTTCGGCATTTGGGGCACGGTGATACGGATGAATTCCTGCAATGAGTAACGGAACAGTCTGCTTGTCGAGGTGCGATACAGTGGTTGCTGAATCCTCTACAGCTTGTCAATTTATGATGTAATCCATTGGTTTATGGCAAGCTCCATATCCTCAATCCATGATTTTGTGCCTCTTACAACCTTCCTTGTTCCTCATACGATTCGCATGTCGTGAGCCGTAGGTTTTCTTTGTTTGCCAATGCAGGGACTCGCGGCAGTGCTAAGCTCTGAGCCTAAACAAGCGTCCGTGGCACATTTGCTTGGGACGACACAGCCTCAATTGATGTGGCTAGGTGCAGATGACTCCTTCTACGGCTAGTATACGTGAAATGCACGCTAACGTTCTGTATGCCTTCTTTTGCTGATAACGGGACATCGTCAAAGAAGTTGGGCGGTCACGCTGCCAGCCCTGCTATGGTGAAGTGCCCACCCGCAGCTCGCTTCAAAGAAACATGGCGGGTTCCGGCATCGTGCCAAACTCCTTGCGGCACGCGCCTTTGTGGCCGACAGTGCTATTCAAACAATGCCAGCAAGACAAAGGATACAGTCTTCACTCCGTGCTGGCGTGGTTCCAACCGAGACACCTTGCCCTGCTCTTCAGATTGTAACCAAAGTCTTGTCCGTCCGTTCCTTGCAGAAACAGCGCATCACGCTCATTGAACACCATCATTTGAAACCGATTCGAATACAGAGAGAGAACAAACACCATGGCATCTCCTCCGCCTCCCCTCGAACCGTGGACAGACCATCCCATCTGGGAACAGTTCAAAAATGTCGACTCCGAATTCAGCTCCAGATGGGGCGACGACTCCGCCTCTATTCGCGCCAAACCCGTAGACCACAACATCCGGCTCCGCATCCTCCTCTACGCAGGCCGCCAAACCTCCGCCTCCCTCCTTATCGCTTGTGGGAAAACAGCCCCTCCTACGCAAAGTTCCTTTCGTTATAGTGTAGCTGAGGTAGCGGAGCAGGGAATGTTGTATGAGCCGTTCACCTATTGGGACTGGCATGGGTACGATTCCGAGGGGAGTCCTCTGAACGGTAAGGGGGCCTTTCCAGGGGCGAGGAATCTACAGGAGAGGAAGAGGAAAAGGAGGGTACTCTGGGAGAGGGAGAAAGCGTTTAAAGTAATTCTAACTGAGGAGAAGGAGGGTGAAAAGGTGGGTAGGAAGGGGAATGAGTGTTGGGAAGGTGGCTTGAGTCCAAGACTGAGGTGGGAGGGGTTTAAGAGGTTTGTGGAGAAAAAGTGGAAGCATGGGAGCTATGTGAAGAAGATTGCTGTTGCGAATTGGATGAGCAGGGAGGATATGGAGTGGTGAGTTGCACTGATCTTCGGAAGATTGGTACTAATCGGTTTGTAGGATTGCAAAGAATCTAAAGCGGCTGGAAGCGCTCGATCTCAGCGATGTACCTTCATCCTACAGCCATAGTCCCAAAAGCGAAGACGATACATGGATTGGATATTTTGAAAGCAATTCCTCACCGGTATACATAGACAGTCTACTTGACACCTTTCCATTCCTCGAAGGACACACAGACGCTACGGTAACCGAGGAGAAAGATCGATGGGCAGATCTCCACAAGCATCGAAGCGACTATGCCTATAAAACTGCCGGGCCCCAAGAACCCTGGCGTCCACACAACCTATCCTCTAGAACAATATATGAAGACATTGCAGAAGACTTCGAGGAGTTTTTCTGGAGGCTCCAGGAGCAACAGGAGTATAGTGACGCAAAGGAGGGCAGAGCAACTTCAGATAAACTTCGCGCGCTGCAGGAGAAAATCGCTGAGACGCATCTTTGGAGACGGCTGAAGTGGCTGGGCCTTCCGGACTGGCGGTCTGATAGCTATGCTGCGAAGGCCGTCGGCAAGACGATCCCACCTTGGTGCGTTTCACTCAAGACAGTCTCTGTTAGAGGCGAGTATACGAGGGACCGCACCGCAAACGAAATTGAGTCGGTTCACCACCACGTCTGTCAACTCATACTTGGCATTGAGAAGATCGTACCAGCTTCGGTGACCAAACTTGAGCTACGCCTTTCAATCTCGTTCCTCAGATATTTCCTGGAACAGCTGCAGAAGAAGAAACCAACAATCCTACGCGTGGGCATCGACCTCGGCGCCTGGGTGCAAGTCTTCCCGCTGGGAAATCAGCCGGATCATCTGAAAGACGAGGATATCAGGGCGACTACACGTCGATTAGCTCACAACGTTCCGAGGCTTAAAATCTTCCGTCCAGACCGGCATGGACCTGGTACATATCAACAACATCAATTGGCATACGATAAGCTGAGGAACTACGAAGGAGAACAAGAATACCTCGTGAAGCACCCCAGCTTCTACCGCGACAGGAGTGGAAACTTTGAGCCTTACCGCCCCTTGCAACAACCCCCAAGGACCGAGACATTGCCTGTGCCTGAACAGGACACATACGATTTCTTCGATGATCTGCTACATGGCAGGATTCAACGGGATGATACTTGTCCGCTGGACAAGTCGAAGCGACACGCTACGACAAAACGCGAAATCGACAGAACCCGCGCAAATACCCTGCCCAAACTCCTCGAGAAACTGCACCTCGCGCGCCACAAGGTCGGCAGTGCCCAAAAGCAGGCCAATCTGACTTTCCGCGTTGGCAGACCTGAGTCCAAAATAAGCATCACGCGCAACGGGGCACATTTATTCGGTCTGCAGGGCGAAGCGGAAGCCAGGAGTTTCGACCCGATTGATCCGCTAACGCTTACGCAGCAAGAAGTAAAGGCTGGCGTTAGTGCTGGGCCCGATTACAGGTTCTGGACACCCGAGAATCTCAAGACGGTGTACCCTTGGCTCGAAGAGACATTTAGGTGGCGCCCGGTCTTCGATTGGGACTGGTTCATGGTGCCGCAGAATATGAGTGTCACCGAGAACCCCAATCTAGTGACTATCAACAGAAGTGGGACGGGACCGAAGGGTCCGGCGGATTGGCAATTGGAAGGGAAACAATCCGACGGACGAGGGAAGCCTGGAAAAGGACTTGAAAGCGCTTTAAAGAGCATCAAGGCGCAGTTCAAATTGCTGAATGATGCCACAATACCTGTGCATCTCCTTATCGGACGTCGGCATCCGGATCTGTCGAGCTGCTACTGGGGCTGGCCGTACACCAAGGAATCGTGGAAGGAGTGGAACGAGCAGTTTTTTTCTGCGAATCTCGAGACTATTGCTGAGCACGTCAATACGCTGAGCATCTTCTACGATCTTCGGAATCCGCTTGATGCGGACCGACTCTCGCTCGTAGATGCAAAACGTCCGTTCTTCCCACCAGAAGGAACCTGTCCTACGAGGGTCTGCCTCCTGGAGAACCCAAACAACGGCAAGTGCCCGTTTGTGCAAAAGCATCCCGGGCAGAGAAACCGGCATCCGCGTCCCCAAGTATCTGGCGTCCGAAAACCCCCTAAGACTGGGAGCAAGAAGAACATGGGGTTCCCACTGCCTACGTATAGAGGCCTTGCACCGAGCGATACCTCTGCCCCTCCTACTGGAGAGCACGCGGACGATGAAGCGAAGGAGGACGACTCTGACGAAGGAGATATGGAGACTTTCCCTCTTCGTCTAGCGAGACGCTCCGCCTATCTTCGTGAGTCGGTCGGCTGGGTCCGCTTCTGGGAAGCACACGCGACGAGCTTCAAGAATCTGACTGCGCTGCACGTCCGTATGCCGCAATGCCATGACACAGTGAGCTCGTGGCGACTAGCGAGGCTGCTGAATAGGCATAACGGGTGGACTACGCTAACGTACACCGATGAGCGACAGCACGTGCAGACTGAAGAGGATCTTCTGTCGAGTTTTGAAGATGAGGATAGTGCGTCGGTTGACGTCTGGTATCACATGAAGGAGTCACGTGTATGGCCTGCAGGGCGCTTCGTAAGGCGCAGCTGGGTGTGGGATCCACTACGACTCGCCGACGAGCGCTCCGAACCTATTTTAAAACCTAAGGAGGACCCTGACAACGAGAATGAAGAACCGCAATCTGAACGTGTGGGAAAAAGATATCTCGCATATCGCTTCGAGCCTCGGAAGAGACCCAACCTCGCGTCCCACGACAACAACGTCGAGATAGGCGAGATCGAGGGTCTGCGGGCAGCTCGTCGGGATGTCGACGCCGCGATTGCCCACGAGGAAGACAACGGCGATCGAAGGGATGGAAATGGCTTACCGACGAAGCCGGAAGTCGAACGTATCACACGACCTGAGAAGCTGCCTCACCAGATACCTGGCTTCGCGAGTAAGTTCAAAAGCGTGTACGGGCACCATATTCGCAATGTAGCAGGCGCTCAATGGCGTGAAGAGCTAAGACAGATGATTGCTTTTATTGACGAGCAAGAGAGACGTCCATATATCGGTACTATCCCTGAGGAATTCCGGGAACTGAAAGACGAAGAGCGCGAAATGGAGCGCCAGCATAAGATTGGTAATGAACGGGACAAACTCAAAGCTTTGCTAGCTGAAGAACCTCCCTATGGCCGGATCTTCGAGGTTAAGGATGATCGTCTCGCGCTGGGAGATGTGCCTGAGACGGGGTGGGATGGAGACGATGAAGTTGAAGACGGTGATGACTCCGATACAGCAAATGCCCAGGAAAGACCTCGGGAAGAGCTTGATGAGCATTTCAAGAACAAGAGTCAAGAAGGCGCAGCGCGATATCAAGACCCTTTCAACTCCTCATATCCACTCGCAGGAAGTGGCGAAACACTTCCAGGTGAGAATTTTCCAAGCAAAGCTCTCCCAGCTGACTCGGAAATTGATACGGAGGTTGACTCACTCTTCAACGACACGGAGCTTGGAGAAATCAGCCAAATTCCCTCTTCTCCGCCTACGTCCACATCGCCACAGCGCAAAGCTGGCGGGGAGGATAGATCGCCAGAGCACGCGTCTCCATCTCCCAGCCGGAGTCCTAGAAGGCCACCGACTTCAGGCCCCTTCGATCAATCGTCGTCACCTTCTGATGACGACGGAGACGAAGACGACACACCGAGACCGAATGCCCCACCTCCAAACACCACTCCTGCACCAAAAAGGTACCCACTAATCGAGAGCGGAGTCCGCCCACTCCGGACACCGATTGATGAAGATTACACTGATAACGACTTTGAAGACGATGATGGGAACCTTACTGATACGGAGGGGTTGTATACGTCTCCTGAGCAGTCGGGAGGCGAGCAAGAGCAGGCACAGGAGCGGCAGAAGACTAGTTATGAGAAGATCGGGGAGAGGAAGAAAGCTCAGGAATCGGAGAATGCGGTTGGAGTGAGTGGCGATGATAAGGGTGAGGGTATGTCTTTCATGGAATGGCTTTCCCAAGCGACTATAGCTGCTAATGCTTTTGCAGCTAATCCAACGGCGTCGAGTGCTGGTGGTGATGCTCAGGTAGTTGGGCCAGGCTCCACGATGGATAAGAAGCGCCAGCGCTCAGAGGATGCTGCCAACGAGGGTGTTCCGAGCAAGAAAGTCAAGACAGCTGAGGCAGAGAGCAAGGAATCAGCGCCAAGAGCAGAGCCAGCTGCTTCAAGCGCAGGTCAGAAGCGCAAGGAAGCCCCGAGCGAGGAATCAGTGCCAACCAAAAAGACGAAGACCACAAGGAGCGGACGCCCTATCAAACAAGCTGAATTAGACCAACCCTCATACGAGGGAGACTACGAACCCTCGGACGAGGCAGAGCACAAGCCAATAACGAAACGGACGCATAGCAAAGCCAACTATGTACCATCACCGACAACAGGCACGGAAGCTGCCAATGAAGCCGCCGGTGGTGACGAGCCTGAAAACCCGAAAGAAAAGAAACCGATCAAGCAAGGAAATGGCAAGGCTTCTGCCCCTGCTCCAGCCTTGACCCCTGCCGTTCCTGTCCCCTCTGCTCCTGCCCCTGCTTCCGCAGCGCCTGTAGCTGGTGCAGCCACTATCCAAGTGCCATCGAGGGCTAGCGGGGAGCCTGACTATGTCAGATTGACAGTTGTGAACTTGAGAGCGTTGGCGAGGCAGAGGGGTGTTAGGTTGACGGGGGCCAAGCTGAAGGCCGAGATTATAAGGAGGTTTGAGGAGGATGATGCGGGGAGAGGAGGTGGGGGCGGGAGTGAGAGCGGGGCGGTGTAAAAGAGTTGCTTGAGTTCTCTCTGTGCCAGCAAAGCTCATCCATCAAAGAAGCCGTGTTGCTCCAGAACAATCGTCAATTGGATGCTACTGCGAAATTAGACCTTGTTATGAGTGCACTTTTTAGCCTTGATCCAACTTCTGGAGTAACGTATATGGCACCAATGCATCATGAATGTTGCGGATGCCTCGAGAAGTCCCTTTGATTCATCCTTGCTGGCACCACATTCGGAGTGGATCTGTGGATGATGTCCGAAACCTCTGGGCTCACCATATTATGTCGCCGTTAGCGATGCAGTATCTGTCCTTGGAGTAAGCGACTCCTAGCTGAAAGCACGTACAACCATGAATACAGACTAAATATCTTATAGTGGTCATACATTTTTGATCAAGTGGAAATATGCGCGCTTCTGGCTGTAGCAGGGGCTGATTGCCTTTTCATGGACAGGGCCTGAAAGCAACGCTTGCCAGCTTCCTGCATCCGACGTTCTACACTAAACACTTGCTAACGGACCAGATGACCTGCTGACAGGGTGTGGAGAAGAATGCTTCGACACAAGCCCTCTAACCGCCACATCAGGCTAGGATATCTTGTGGGGGACGACTCTCCATGCGATTACAGCTTATTCCACCACACAAGATAGTTGTTGGGCTATCTTATGCCGATCTTCAAGTACAAATCGAGCTTGATCCCTCCCGGCTCAATGGTACAGACTGGCTAGGTACAACACCGTTGATGTGGGCAGCAGTCCAGGTAGATCCAGGCCAGCTCCATGTTCTATTGTCACAACGCGGACACTGGATGTTGCAACCTTGGTGGCTGGACGGCGCTCCACTGCGCGGTATGGGCAGGATCTCTCGATTGTGTGCAAGTGCTGCTGGAATCAAAAACCGATCCCAATCGAAAAGACAGTAATGGCGGTACTGCGCTGCATTCTATAGCTTGGTGTCGAGAGCAACACCGAGATGAGGTTGAGACAATGTGTTCCTGCAGCACGGGGATAACCTTGAAGCGCGTGATGGCAATAGCTAGACAGCTTCACGAAAATAGTGGGGCAGTCACTGTATTAGCAAGATACGGCGCGAACATTGACTCCCTGGTCCGTCCGGTAGTGTCTCCCATGCGCTTAGCAATCAGAAATTGCGACAGTGAGATGATCTGATGAATCAAAAGATACCACCACGATGGAGATTGGACAGGTGAGAAATCTGCTCAATGCGAAGGGCTGGCCGTTTTAATGTTTCCGATCGAGAAGAAGGTTGTTGTGGGTGGGGACAATATCGAACGAGTTAATGATGTTTTTGTCGACGTATTGGGGGAGATCTTGCATTGAGATTCCTCCAATCTACCATATCTTTGCCCAGGTACGAAATTGCTGCATTGATAGTAGTCTCACTATCTTTCGGCGGACATCTTCCGCACAGCCCAGTTCAACATGATATCCAACCCGTAAACCCACGCTCCAGAAAATGCACAATGACCACACCCCTGCGATGCAATGCAGATCCCATCAAAGCCAGAAGGTACTCCGCCGCGTTGTGATTTTCTATATTCAAGTCGAGATGGAGACGAAGATGAATGCAGAAATCAATATATGCCTTGCGTGCGGTATTGAAAGGTGTCGTAACTGGGACGTGTTAGTGGGATACTGAGGGAGGGCATGATGAGTCACTTACAGTCGGGTATAATAACTCCCCACACTCTTGGTGATCAACTCTTCGACGAACACCTCCGCTTCTTCCTTGCTGAGATGCAACATCATGCGTGCGCGAAGAGAATTTGTAACACCGGCTGAGCCGGCAGCAAAACACGGCATCTTGCTCTGTTTACCCATCATATCAACCAACATGATCAGCCTCTCCGCCTCTTTCCGCAAAGCCTGGAACGACTTCTTACATAGCGTCTTGAAATCCTCAAAAGCGGGTGCAGTCAAACCTCCAAGTACATCAACGTATTCTTGGGTTAGCTTGAATGGAGCAGCCTCAAAGCCCATACTGCCTGGTGAGTTAGACAACATAAAGCCGAAGTCGATGTGGATAATGTGGCCCATGTTGTCAATAAGGAGATTGCCGTTGTGACGGTCCTTGAGCTGAAGAACATAAGAAATCATGCTGTAAGCGGCGAGGGATCGAGCAAAAGCATCAATACCTGCCTTATATGGCTCTGAGTCCGGGTCGCCAAAAGTCTTTGTGAAGTGGTCTTTGAGCGTGGCAATGCGCTTCTTGGGATTGGTACCGGCAGCAATGCTCGCTAAAGTCAAACTGCGCTTCAGTGAATGCAGGGAGACACCGTTTGTTATGGTTTCGATCAAGCCAGAGGACTCGCCAGTGACCAATATGCGCATTCTCTTAGTCCAGACAGGGACATTCAACTCTTCCCAAATTTTTGCGCACACTTCGATAAGTTGGCAGGCAAAAGCCTCTTGGCGAAGATCAGCTCCAGTCTTTACGATGACGCTGACCAAGTCCCAGTTCTTCATGTGACCGTATGGTGACGACCGCCGTATGCGCTCCTTCTTAGCACTCCATTCCTCGCCAAACGTAGCTGCGCTGGGGTCATCGCGATCACCCTGTCTTTTTACGCCTCCCGTCTTCAAGTCGTTCTCCATACGCGCTGCGCCCGCTCCCAAATTGGTTGCTGCTACCAAGCCTTCTTCGAGGTTTTCAGGCTCCGCCGTAATCGAAGTTGGGTCTGCCTCAGCCAGTATGTTATCAAAAGTAGGGCCCGTTTCCTCTGTTAGAAAATTCTGCTCTTCAAGTGTCTGCATGCTCGCGATGATTTTGGCCTTGATAGCTGCTACCTCAGCCTTGGGACGTTTTGAACCACTTTGCTCTAGCTGAGCTAACATCTGGGCTGCTGTTCGCATGTGCGTAGCAAGGGCAGAGATGTCCGGTTGATCCGCGCTCATGGTTCCGCGCGTGGCCGGCATTGTCATTCGGCGAGGAATGGGGCTACTTGATCTGCTTAATTCCGTAACCGATGTTCGCGGTGTCGACAGCGTTGCGATCGAAGAGAGCGTGTTCGCACCACTAGATGATCTAGGCGCCGTTGCCTTACCGTTCACAACCGTAATGGCAGCGCTTGGAAGTGTTACCTTCCCAGGACCGGACGTGATGTCTCCCGTCTCAGGCTCGTTAATAAGCGAGGTGCTACTGAGATCGCCATTTGCAGGTTCGAACACGCTGTCCGAACCGTTCGCCACCGGTCTGTCGTGTACCAGATGTTCGGCATGTGTGATGTCAAAAAGCCGCCGTTTTGAAGTACCCTTCTCCAGCAACAATCTTTCTAAGACCTGTTGGTTCTGTTCGGAATCAGGATCGAAGTTGAAGTCGTCCTTCAATACTTCAACCATGAGCAGGTAAGGCACTCGTTCCGCACTGTTCAAACTGGTCGCTTCCGCCGGATTTATCCTTACGATGCGGTGATGCTGACTCTGTGAAGCTATCCCATCTCTCAAACTGGCGGGCGCGATGACAGGGATGTCGATTTCGGCGGGAAGATCCTGGTCCATGAGCGCGAGTTCAGCCCTAAGCGCACTCAGACGGGCCTGTTTAGGCACAACAACCAGCCTATTCGATATGTCCTCTAAAGCACTTAGAAATTGTGATTCGAGCCGGAAGTAGTTCGATCGAAGGAGTCTGCGCTTTTGCGAGCGGGACAATGCCGTCGGGGTAAGCGGTCTTGGCAGGTGCCTGCTGGAACGGTGATGGTCAGGTCTGGTGCCTAAGCCAGCAGTCGGAGGAGGCGTTGGTAGTGGGGATGTTGCACTATTGCGGAAATCAGGGAGCGATGACGAGCTGAGACGAGCTTCTGCGCTCACAGACAGGAGACTGGGTCGTTGATGTGCGGAAGCGATGCGATCCAGACGATGAGGTCTTGCAGCCTTCTTCCGTAATTCTTTGGAGTCATCCTCATCCTTTATCATTGGTATGGAGGGTATGGGGAGTTTGGATGTTCTTCCGTCTTCAGGATCCGAATGCCCGCCAGTTGCTCGCGGCCGCCTTGTTCGCGGAGTTCCGGCCACTGTGTTGCTCCTGCCCACCTTGGCTGTTTGTACGTTATCAGATATCATATCGTCAAGTGGTCGCGGCTTGCGCGCCTGGGCGATAGCAAGTGGCCCAGCATGTTTGGGCAGAAAAGGTGCAGCTATACTGGCGAGCACCAGGCTGGACAGGACGGTGACAGGCAGGACGTTTTCCTTGACTTTCTCACGCCGTTGGGGCTCGGCTGAGCCGAAGACAATGCGCTGGACCTTATTGTATATCCGTCGGCATGTTCTGAATGCGTGCGAATTCGGGGCTCCGGCGAGATCGTGGAGGTAGGTTTGGAAGAGCCAGAATGTCTGCCCATGTTAGCTCCCCTCGCCTTGTACCGGGTGTTGCAATCCCACCAGCAGTGCGCCGTTGACCGACTCCTCGCATAGATCTATTATGAATTCTTCCAGGGCCATCGACTCGTTGTCGACGCTGATGAGGAGGTGACATAGCCTGTTCCGCATGAGCTAGCTGTAGGCGGGCGGGGATATGGCGGAGGGCGTACTGCGGGAGGAAGAACTCGATCTCCTCGTATGCGAAGTGCCGTAGCTTGTTACAGAGAACATAGTGGATGCCGACGTGATCTGCATATCGTCTGCGCGAACGTGGTGGTTAGCGGGGAGCTCTCGTGTGTCGACAGTACTGTGGCCGTGCGACGCGGGACGCAACGGTGGCTTCGGGGCAGCACTCACGAAAGGTAGGCGACTGTCAGCGACGGATCGTGGTTGAAGTGATCCGACTCGAGGAAGCGCTCCAGCAGATTCCAACTCATCTGGGACAGCGCGGCATTGGAGCATGGGTGTACGGTAACAAAGGTGCTTGCGACGTCCGCAAAAGGGTGAGCTCGTCCTGGAGATGGAGCAGGGTTGCGGACGCTTGGCGGACAGGGCTGCCGCGAGCGGTTGCAGGCGAAACGATGCCGTGAGCCGCACTACCTCTCATCTGCCGCAGGAACGACAAATCTCCGGCACAGCGGGAGGGTTCAATCGAAGCCGATAGACAGAGCTTTTCTGTGAAGAGCCGGGGACTGACTGACCAGCGCGCTGTGCTGTTTCTCCGGTAGTGAAAGCCGTCCGTGGACCCCGAGCGATCCCTCTCCGCCTTAACTCTGGCACCAGTAGCTCGACAACGTCTGGTGTCGTATCTAAATACTGACCGCACAAGATAGATGCTAACCCTTGATACTGTTGCGTGATTAGCTATTGAGGAGACGAAGAGGAGCTCTTCACGAAGAACTTCCTGCTCATCGTACTTTGCATTGGACAGGCTATCTTTCCCGAAGTTGTCTTCTTCACCTATCTTGGACGTACGTATCGTACCCTATGAGACCACAGTCGCCTGATGATACGCTCTCGTCTCCTACGCATTCGACTACGTGACTGACCAAATGTACTGACCGCCCAACGTACGATTGGATTAGTCCCGGTTAAGGTGCCTTTGCCGTCTTCATTCTCCTTACCGCGGCCTTCCAGATCAGTTATCCACTCCTCTACCTCGTAGCAAACCTGGCAAGAGACGAGCCTTAGGTTATACAATATGCGGCATTGCTAAGCACGGAAAGTGCCTTGCAGGCTATGAGCTATGGGATCACAACGTGACGGTCTTTGCAGTGGTCGGTGCGGTGTACTGGATTTTCGCTTTATGGGTCTCGCAATCTTTCCGGCATAGTTGATGCTGAGGCATTTTGGCCCAACGCAAACAAAAGTTCACCGCGATGGTCAGCACCGAAGAGCGCGTTCATTAATTTGTCAGTTGCATACGTCGAGCACAACGACTTAGGAGCTTAAAGGCTGAAATCGAGTGGGATGTGCATGCCGGAGTTGTCTAGAATTGGAAGTGGGCTCTGAGAGAATAAAAGAGTTGGTCTAGTTGCAGGGGTCGAGGTCATTTTTCGTAACTGTTGTAAGGTTTGGTGAGCCAGGTCAACATCGTTCCTTCCAAAACCACCGCACAAAAATACACGTGCCTCCCGGGCTGCCGTCGCAAACACACGTAACCTTCCACAACCCAGTCACGCGCGTTTTGCGTGCATTACTTGGTCTGCTCACTCATTCGAACCTTGGCCGTCTCTCATACCATCTAGTCGCGGTCATGAGGATTAACGTCATCTCGGTGCTGTTTGCCTTCGTGGGCCTAGCCATGGGCAGGGCTACGGGTTGGGCAGAAGCACCTGTTCCTCGTGATTTCAACCCGGACAAACTCGCCGACGACAAGACCTGGGATAAGTTCAAATGCAAAGGCGAACAGCTTGTGGCAGCAATGAAAGGCTCCGAGGAAGAGGCAGCAAAGCTCATGAACCTACCGCACGCACAGAGCGAATGGAGTGGCGATTTAAAGGGCGAGTATCCCAAGCTTTCTATGTTGTAACGGTGGGGACCAGCATACTGACCTCGCTGCAGCCGAGTTGAAGACATGGGCCTATACCGAAGCATACGCATCCTCCATCAACTGCGATCTGAAGAGCTATTGGGCAGTCGAGTCCGCCTGCAAAGCGCTCGGCCTCGACACGCGCCCCAAGATGATGGGCGGGGCGAACATCTGCTACAACTTCCAGCACTGGGATCCGAACAAGAAGGACGACAAGGGTAACATAGTGCCAAAGGCGAAGCAGACGTACCAAGTTGATGGCAAGGAGTATAGGGTAAGATCTCGCAGCAGCCCTGAGCTTAAACGTATTGAACCAGACAGGCGACAGGCGCAGAGATGCAGATTGGCATCAACCCCGTCGGCGGTGTTGTTTTAATGCAGTATGTCACCTCGCCTGCAACTGCGGCACTGAACGTGTGGAACAAGAAGGCTACACTTGACGAGCTTCCCGCGCTCCGTCATCTGAGCGACGTTATGTGGGGCGCCTGGAACCGCGAAAATGCAGACATCAGCAAGATCAAGTACTTCTGGGTCCAAGGTGTGGGCAACACCAACTCGAAGGCTGTGATTGCGCGTGCTTTAAAAGCGGCGGGCAAGGAGCTTGAGAAGTGGCCTGGCACCACGCTCGACATGACGGACAACGGCGCGCTGGCGATCCTTGGTGAGATCTTTCGACCTGGTAAGATATTCATGATATTAACGGAGTTTACAAGGTTCGGAGAACGGCGCCTGTTGGGGATGGCTCCTCGGGCAGCACAAGAAACAACTAGGCAATAAGCTCATTGAGAAAGTCCAGATCTTCAAGAACGACCGCGACAAGAACCCGGACCCAGATCTGATCTTCTACGTCAGCGATTCTCCTGCGCAGTGACGGCGCGCAGCTAGCTAGGCAAGTTTTCCTGATCTCGGTTTCTCGCGGCAACATTAGGACTGGGCGCCAATAGGGCACTGGACTTTTATGAAGCACAAGGTCAAGCGATTCGCATTTGTCATCACCACCTGAGCAATGTTCGCCGCATTCTCATACATCCGCCTGAGTCGTCTTCACATGTAGTAAACCAAGAAGGATCAACAACTTGCAATGACCCATTCCTCTGCTTGTTGTGTTGGCTCAATTATCATAACACTAGAAGCCCTGGCTTATCTGTTCCTTCACATCCTTTCTCTTCGAGAAAATCTGTTGCAGAGCCAAACCAACCATAGAACAAATCCAATCGGTCTGTATGCTGCCTAGTCCACCCCGCTGACTGTGTAACAGCATGATATATGTCCTGAATAGAACCACTAGCGTGTGCCTCTTTTGAGGCGATGTTCCGGTCCTAAGCACATTAAACTATCAATCTTCTTCCTCAAGGCATCCGTAGCATGGATCAAAGCTCAGTGAAAGGAAAGGAAAATAACGAAGGCAGAGCCAGTGTGATGTCCCCAAGTAAGGAATGTTGAGCGTCCCAACGCCTGAGTTTTCGACTCCGACTACCCCCATCTTGATGCAAACTCCTCAGATGTGAAGAGACCCGATAGCTTACCCTTCCATATCCACGACGAAGCGTACACTATGGAATAGTTTAATCAGCCAAGGAACAAGGAAAGGTAATTGAGAATGAGCTCCTCAGATCACCGGGGGACGGCCGTCGAACTCTGCCACTCGTCGAAGTCGAGACTCCTATGTCAGACTAGCGGTTCGTTTGGGGCTTAGAAGTGCTGTATGTAGGGGACATGACCTCTGTGCCAACGCAGCCAGTGAGGCAGTACTCTAAACCGTGAGATCTCAGGCGTATACCATAGTCTAATTGGTCGCACCAGAACACGGTCAAAGTTGCTACCACTACTGCTAGTCGCATGGCTTCGATACGGCGGGGAGCGGAAGTTCTAGTACAGAAAACAAGGCACAAGTAGCAGGATACACGTCTCATACCTCTTTTCTGCTGTTCGTTAGAGCCGAAACTCCAGTCCGACCGGGCGATTCGATCGGGGACTGGCCAAGGTACGTAGGAGCCAAACCTCCGCACCAGGTACAAATGAGTGGGGACATACCTAGGGGCGCCTTGTGATCTCTAGTAACAATGTAGTAGCATTTGAACTAGCACAAGGGCCGGAATTGTGTACTACTCCGTCAAGTTGCATGACTTCGATAGGCTGGAAGGCGCAAATCCTTGTGAACGTAACACACTAGATGCAGGAAGAGATACGTCTATCTCCACTGCACGTCGACGCCGAGACGCTTATGCCGTATGCAACAACCGTACGGACACAGCCGGACGGTGGAGGAGAGTGATTGATACCATACCGCGTCAGAAGGGGGCCAGAATAGTGACTAGACCATGCCAAATCGGGAAATTGTAAGAGCTGATTACAGTGAATCGAAACAATAGGATTAATATATATATATCTTGGGCAGTGTGATAGAACCTAGAAAGTGGCCCCTACTGGGGCCTACTGGTAGGTCCAGACCGAGGTTACGGTACGTAGAATGCTTTTTATCTTGTTACCACGCAACGAGACATGCCAGGCAAGAGTAGTCGCTGTGTGGTCCCTGATGTGGGACTTAGGAACGTCCGTACTAGAGCAGATAGAGAGTTATCACCCCCGCAGCGGGGTCGCATAGCATCAACACACCCGAGCTTGCACGTCTTCAAGCCCTCATTCACGTCTAGGTGTTCCGAAACACGCTGAATACAGACAGACAGGGAAGATGTATGGGAGGTGAAGTTGAGATCGAGAGAAGAACAGAGTTGGAATTGGAAGGATTCGAGGTGGCGTAGAAGCGGCGTTCATATAGAAGTTGAAGGTGAGGCACGGGCCTCGCCTATCCACGGACCTCACTGCTTCTAACTACGCCGTTTTCGGTCAGAGACGAGTCCAGCGGCAACGTAGTGAATAGCTTGCTGTCACGTGATCTGATTATTCTGCTTGGCCTTTATTTCATTCTACTATGAACAAGCCAATGGCTCCTTTGTCAATTGTGTCTTATGAACATTAAGGGTAATTCCCCTGCTTTGTACTCCGTTAGATCGCTCACAAGACCTAGAGGTAGGTCACTTACTCATAGTACTCCGACTCACGCATGTTGGGCCGGGAATCCTGCCCTGTTTCACCTAGATCATCACGGCTCTAGCATAGTGCTACGCTCAGTTGCGCACGGGCAGCTCAAGTCGGAAAACCTGCGTGGCTTTGAGAAGCCCATTCCGCCCACTGTTTCTACCTAGTGTCTCTTCGTCTCGACCAAACGCGCCCAGGTTCAACCCAAACGATATTCAATTAGCTACCATGCCAAAGAGCGCGCGCGAAAAGAAGCGCTTTGGCTATAAGCGACAGATGGACAACAACGACGCAATGCGACAGCACCAGAAGTCCCAAAAAGCACAGAAAATGAACCTGGAGGCCAAGGTACAGGCTGGGAAACTCGAACCGGAGCATATAAACTCCGGACTGCAGGAGCGCGTTCAGCAGCTTGAAGCTATTAAAGCCTTCTATGAGAAGCGCTTCGGAAACTATGAGGAGTTGGTGAGGGCAGAGCAAGAGGCCACCAAGAGGACAATCAATGCGCCTAAGATACAAGGTAAATTACTTCCACTGTGGAATCATGCCCATCAGTCACTGAATACGAGTAGATGCAGATTCTATGAACAACGTCCAGAACACCACTACAGCTACATTCCTCCCGCTAGGCCCCGCCGAACACAAGCCCGAGGCCCAAGATCTTGATCAACACAATGATGACAGCGATAGTCTCTCAGATGATCCGGGACCACCAGTTCGTTCCCGCTTCTTCTCTCATTATGCTGCCAAGACAACTCGACGCAGGCCTTCTATCACAGACGAGGACGTTAAGAAGTACTTTCCAAAGGAGCATTCCCACGGACGGCTGCCCCCAGTAGATCCTAGTTCTTGACGATGATGAGTATGACGGCATGAAGTCGAGCTTCGAGGACTAGGAGTTGGATGAGGAGGGTTTTGACGAGGTGGATGAAATAGCCGCAGAAGACATGATCTCTCCACCGGTAGCTGATACTGCAAGGCGTCGCAGGCCAGGATCGTTTCACGGAGCTCAATTCCATTCCCAAGAAACTTGGGAAGACCTCACACCAACGCTCGTGCTGTGTTCGCCACACTTGGAAGGAATATTGGGATGAAGAATGAAAACTATCAGGCGCTGTTTGTAGGTTATTGATCTGCGTTCAAGTGGTTTAGAGGCTGTTTTGTAAGACAATTTTACTGAGTCGGATTCAAGCGGAGCTACCCAGTCATACTTAGCATTTTAAATGACGCTATAAACCAAGAGGCATCTTTTATAGTATGAAACTACGGCTTTTCTGTTATAATAGTATAGATGTTGGCCCGTCTCAAGAACATAGGCTAATCTCTAGATTAACAAAGACAATAAGGTGACGGTGAGAGCCTCGTCACGTGATCTTATCACGGTGAAGGATCTCTATCGCATAACATGATGATGAAAGAGAAAATAGTTTTCTTGCACATGGCTGCTCCAGGCAAAATTCAGCATTCCTGTCACGCTACAGGCATCAACACCTTCTACTCATTAACTTCACGCCACGGATACCTTCACCAACCGTATCAACTAAATGCACATTGGACTTGTTGAAAGCCTGTGGGACAGGTGTAGGAGATGGTGGGTCGTTTGAACCAGGTGGGATACCGACGTGTGAGCTTCTTCGCGGTGTATCTACCAGTGATACTGGAAGAAATGTGTACTCATAATTTCGCGTTGTGGTCCGTATCCAAGGCTTGCACTTGCTCTAGAGATGTATAGCTCTTTCGCATATTTTAGAACCTCTAAAACTGCTTGTATGACTATACGTGAGCATGATGTGGGAACTTCAAAGCTGGTACTGATGGGACTGTCGCCCTCAATAGTACGCCGTAAGGATGCGGAGGGTCAGAGCATTGCAAAGGAAGGGAAGGTACAGTCTTCTGCTGAAGAGCGCGCCGCTAACTCTCCCGGGGCTTGTGGGAGTCTGCCGAGCGCGTTGGCGATATTTTGAGAGAGAATCTTGTCCAGTCTGTAAACTGCAGCTGCATCAACGAGTCCATAAGTTTACCTCTGTACAACAGCCATACATACCCAATTCTCAGCCACCAGCATGGAAAGGACACGACAGGTCTACAAACGCATCTCAAATTTCCCAGCGCACCTTACTGGACTTACACCTTCGCACCCGCCCTCCCCTCCACAACTCCCAACAACTCCACCAACGCCTCTCTATCCTCCTCATCACACGTCGGGAAATAGTAAGTCGTATGCTGCCGCTCTCCAGTATTGAGAGCATGACCTCTCCTACCCTTTTCGTCGGCATTGCGCGCATGAGACAGCACCCAGTGCCCGCCCCCACCAACCCACTGACTCGGCCCAATCCCATTGTCAAATATATGATACCTATCATGTATCAACCTCGGAGCGAGCTCATACCTCTCCTCAAACATATTCTGTTCGTCCCAGTCACCATGCCCGATGGCGAAGTGCCTTAGCTTGGGCAGCCCTGTGCGGAATCGAGGGAAAATGTGGTGCCACCGGAGATTCAGCTCCTTAATGAAGATCTTCCAGCCACGCTCGCTAACATACAGAGGTTCTAGACCAGGAAAATGCTTAGCGACCTGTTCCTCCTCCAGATACGCGGCTGTGATGATGGGGCAGTCGTCGAGCAGAAGTTCCTCAACAGTAGCGCCGTGGGACAGGATCCACTCGATCTGCCATTCATGTGCGATGGTCCAGTTTCCCAGGCTCAGGCTTTGCAAGTGCGGGAAGTGCACGGTACGGAGATCGCAGAAGGGCCAAAAACCCCAAAAGCATTGTGTTGCATAGAGGCTGAGATGCGTTAGCTGACCTTGTAGTGGGGCGAGCCAGCGACTGCACAGATCGCTGTTGAACATCTTGTGGCATCCGGGCTCGTTGATGTCGTTCTCGGGAGCTGCGTCGTCAGACTCAGTTGCAATACATAGATTGAGTTTCTTAAGCTTGCGCAGAACCGGAGCGAAATTGAGAGAGTCGTAAACTAAATCAGATGTATGGTCCTGAAGGTTCTGTATTGTGAGCGTGTCGAAGTGCGGCATAGAATATTTTTTGTCGACGCATAGTCCTTTGAGCAGTGCATTCAAAACATCCGTCCGGAAGCACACCGTCTCAGCAACGTCCTTGGTCCAGGCGGTCGTTTCATCGTCTACGGCACATTGGCGCGAGAACACCAACTTGACTTCTCGGAGATGTGGGAATCGTGATACGTTCTTCAAAGATATTTTGTAAGACTTATTTAGGTCTGATTCGGACTGATCGTAGTCGTCCTCATCAGTGTTGTTGGGGTCGATGGTGTGGAAAATCACCGTCCGTACAAGTGGACGGAGCGAGTTGTCTTCCAGGATATTATCGTATTTCTGTACGCTCTCCGGGATTTCCTTCTCGGTGTTTTCGTCTTCCTCCTCGTCCAAGAGATCCACACCCTGCTCGGAGTGATACAAGCGCACAGTCCCAAAGAGTGTTTGAGTTGCTAGCGTGCTGACAGATTTGTTGACCAGACGAAAAGATCTCAGCGTTTCGACATCAAGGGATTGCAGGCATTGTCGCTGCAGCTCGACTGGTAGACTGAGCCACATGGTTGTAAATATGTATGGAGAGAAAACAACTCTCAAATGGCGGAAAGTGAAGAATGAGATGGCGGTCGGCCTGTACGTAAAGTAGGACTGGCGGCTTTTAGAAAGGAGTGAGCTAACCAAATCAAGCGAAGTTGAACAGAAACGCCAGGCAGCAAATCGTCTTGCCGCTCAATTTGGCTAGGTTTCATTGTAGTCTACTGTGAGGCGACATTCATGTCCGCTCGTTCGGCCGTAGGGAAATTTGTATAGCTTCCCCGGATCCCCAAACAAAGGAATTAGATTTATGATGACTGAAGACTACAGTTGCACTCAGAGAATCCGAGCGAGTCCTTAAAAATCAGCAATGCTCTATTCCATGGTATATCGTATCCCATCTATACACATCCCCTCGCGCATCTTCCCTCCAGGGTATCAATCCCGCTTGTAAACTCCAGTTAACCATGCAGCCCTCAGCACCGCCAGACCCCACGCCATGCCTAAGCTATCCCAAACAACATTCAGCTTACTCCCGAGAACCTCCTTCCATCCAATAGCCACCTCGACCATGGGTATCTTGCCGCTCTCCGCAAGCATGAGCATCTCGACGTCGAAGATCCAGCCCTCGCTGTGCATGTACGGGATGATGTAGGGTAAGGCGGGGCGAGAGAAGAGCTTGAAGCCGCATTGGGTGTCTGCGATGGCGGCGGTGGCGGGGGGTGTCATGAGGCGGAGGAGCAAGTGGAAGGAGTGCATTAGGAAGTTGCGGAGTTTAGAGCGCTGGGCGGTGTTAGTTTGGGATGATGTAGTGTGAAGAGGGAATGTACCTTTACGACAGCCTCGCTGCCTACCAAGTGCGCACGGCTGCCAATCGCTACTCCACGTCCTCTGTCATCTTCAACTCTCTCGCAACCTTCGACCAGCTTCCCCAGGTCACTGAATCTTGATGCACCGTCTGCATCTGCAAAGACGACGTATTTGCCTCGTACATGCCTCATGCCATGCGTGACTGCACCGCCTTTCCCGCGGTTTGCTTCCAACTCAACGATGCGGATGCTGCCTTCCGGAATGCGCTCCTCATGCTTCAGGTGGTCCTTCCACGGCCCTGACACCGACTTTCTGTGCTTGCTGAGCTGGTGCTCACGCGCAAACTGCAGCGCCTTGTCCACAGTCTTGTCTGTGGACCCATCGCTCACAAGGATGATCTCCCAGCCTCTCCCAGCGAATTCCTGCTGCAAATAATCCACGGCTTCCTCTAGCATGCCCGTTAACCGCTCCTCCTCGTTGTACGCGGGCACAACAACGCTCATAAATAATTCCGGCTCCTCAAGCGCGATCTTAGCGAGGGTTTCTCTTCTCTTGCCCCCAGTTCGCTTCTTGCTGACCTCTTTCTCCGCAGTCCATTTGTCGATCCAGCACGGGAGCTCCCTGGGCTCGCTGCGCTCCCCGTTGGGCAAGACGGTGATGTACTGCTTTTCAGAGCGGCGGGGTTCGCGGGGGACCGGTGCAAATAAGACCAAGGCCATATAGCACTACATGTCTCGTCAGTATGTGTGTGGACGATGCGCGTACGGTCAAAGATTATGAGGAGAGGCATACCCAAAACAATCCAGCCCCGCACAAGCCTGCCAGCGCTACGAGCATCATCCACGTTGGCGGCAATTGCACTGTCTGCGCAGGCACTTTGGAAGGAAAGCCATACCCATAGGGTTCGTCGCCGAGTCCCATTATGAGTGCTATGCTACAGCGTTGATGAGGCCGTGCGGAGCGCGTGTTATCTGCGGGGAGCTTTGTGTGTGAACATCAACATTGATGCGCACAAGCAGCGACTGGAATAGTCTGAATACGAATTGGAGCTGTAGATACACTCGAAGAAGGCGGACAGCATAAAAGAAAAGGAAAGGACTGAGCGTGTCGTGCACAAACCCGTTGCAATGCGACTGTTTCGTCGAAGATGCAACGTAGGCAGCTTACGTCTTGACCGCGGCTGAATCGCCGGCCCGTGCCCTTAGTTCATGACGCCGTTGAAACGCTCCACTGTCATGACAAACCCCTGTGCGATGTGTCGCAGAGACTTTACTACCAACACTGCTAATTGTTTCTTTTCTGGTCTGTATGGAAGAGCCCGAGATATAGGCGTGGATTTCCTTGATACCGAGGACTTAGACCCAGCGGCATACCGACCAATTGCGGCACCATACAAACTATTGAAATCTCAACATCTCTAGTCCCCATCAACTATCGAGGTCCTTGTATCTAATTTCGTGAAAGCTATAGTTGTGTGGGAGCCAGTCAAGTCGAAGCAGCTGCCTCGGTGAAGTTTTCGTCGGAATGAGAAGCTCTGAATTCATTCGTTTGCAATAACCAAAGCGTCCGTGTACACGAATCCTAGGACACCCACTGGCGGAGCAGGCATGATTCTCGCACAAAACTCTTGCTGGGACAGACTCCTAGTGACACCCGGTTGCGAGGCATTCGTGATCGGTACAGTATCTTGAAGAGTCAAGTGTTGCGATGGGGTCGAAACAGGCATGAACGGCATGTATTTACCAAACTTTGATTTCTAAGATCCCTGTCGATTCAAGTCAACTAAAGTGCGGCTCACGGTATCAACAGTAGAACCCACCTTCTTTGGCTCTCCGACGAGGACATCCCCGGATCGAACAACTATGCTCGTGGCAGAACCTGGAGTCCCGCAGCACGCTGTTACGGCAACGTTTTGAGGGCTCTGAGACTGTACGGATTTGTGGAATCTTGAATATGCGCATAGTAAGATTGTGACGATTGAACAGGACGATCGACGACAACGTGTTAAACACTGGAAAACTCGTCAGTCTTTGATAGATCATAAATGGTCATCAAACGAAACCTACCTGCTTGACATTTCCTTTATAACATTTCGGCTCGAATGGTTCCGGGTCGCCTCCAATGCATTTCCTTTACGCTCGCAGCTGCTCTAGATTTCTAAAACCCAGCCATTGTCGTGGTACGGTTTCCGAACGTCCGATATGATGCGAAGACCGATTAGGGAAGCGGGTGAGGCAAGATATGACCTACAAGAGAAGAGCAGCGAAGTAACGGCCAGGTACAGCTGACGGGGTGAAAGCATTACATAGGCGGTTCCTGGCCGACACAAAGGCCGGATACACCTGACAGGATTCTTGTCGTCGCAGAGAGCGGTCAGGGAAGTGGATGTTACAAGAAGCGCGCCTCGCTACTCACTCCCCGACAGCCCCAAGAACAAGAACGACTTGCCATACTTGAAATACCTTATACTTCGTGGTGTCGCAGCGTTACTTCCAGGTGCTCGAAGTTGTACGACTCCAAAAACGAGGCAATTGGCTCGCTTAGTCATGTGCCTTGAAGTATGCTATGTATGTCTACTTGCCCGGGCGAATGCCAACCCAGGATGTACGCCATACGGGCTTCTGCTGGATATTTCGATGATCGCGATGTACACGACCTCCTCTCCAGACCATCGCTCTCCCTTATCTCGTATAAATAGTCGCCATGAACATGTCCATCATCTCGAGCAGATCGTGGTTGCGGCACATAGCGTCCCCTAATCCTTGTTGCGGAAGTGTTCAACATCACAGAATGAACAACATTTAGCCTTGTTGCAGGCTGGGTCCGACCATGTCGCCCAAGGATACATTCGATACACGGGAGAAGCTCCGTGTGCTTCTTCGTTAATCACTCTGCTGAGGGGTACACATCACTTCTGAGGCATTTGGTATCGAGCTCGCAAAGTACGGCATTACCACTGCACGCGGTAAAGTTGAGTAAGTATTCCCTGTTGTGAACAAGGGCAATAAGGCTAAGTACGGAAAATATTTAGGCATGGAACTGTTCGGAGCAAGTTGATAACCATGCTCGCCCCTGACTACAACTATTTTCTTCCCACCGACACCATTGGATCCTTTCAAGGAATGGACATCGTATATGAAGTACGGATGCGGACCTTGAAGACTCCTCCTAAAAAGTTGAAAGCGACTGTGCTCAATACGCTAAGAAAACAAGGGTTCATTGAGAACGAGCCATAGTTTGTCAACTTACTACAACTTGAAATACAGGGTTCCCTCTCGTTGGAGATTGCGGATGAACTTCCGGGGGACTCCTCCGGCTACACTCTCGACAACATGGTCCAATCGACGCTAGCACTGTCGAAAGGAGCTCACCGATCGCAGCCTGACACTCAATAGCACACATCTCAACGAAAGCAGCACCACAAAGATACGCAACTGGATAGTCTGGTTGAGCCGAGCCAAGACAGAAACTCAACCTCGTTGTAACCTTCTAGAGAGTGTCAAGAAGACAATAGACAGCGTAACAAAAAAGTCTTCTATCTCTCGATGAAGAAGACAGGCCGCTATTGCACAGGTCTATTTCAAGCATCGATAGACCTATGACAAGTGTTCCAGACTCTATTTGAAAACGCAGGCGGCGGACTGACGACAATGAGCCTCATGGAAGTACGCAACAAGGAGGGCTTGACATCTTTGCATCTTGCTGTCAAGTCTGCGTTGCCATATGTTGTAGCAGAGCTCATGTTACAAGAGGCCGCGCGCTACTGCGTTACAACAGACGGTCGGGACCACTCATATAAGATGCAGGAAATTGCAAGAAGGATCACTGTGATACAAGACAACGACGGGACGACTCTCATGGAAGACCTTTTCTTTACTTACTGGCTGGCTTGTGCGTCAGACGAAGAGGGATCAATGCCCATGGAATTAGATGCTTTGCTTTGTGTCTGTTCAATTATTGATGCGCTGGCGGGGAGGCTTCCTCGCAAAGACCATCAGTTTCGGCCTCTCAGAGAATGGTACAAAGAGGGTAGAAAGAGGAAGAGGAAGAGGAAGATAGAGCATTCAGATGTAGCTCTGCGTATAATGGAAGAGCTAATCAATTGGGGAGTGATGTCAGACGTATGACGGATCTCCGTCGTCGAGAGGGATACACCAAGCAAGGGCCGACTATACATAAGAGTTCGTGGCCGATGCCAAATCATATAGAAGGCTTGGTATGTAACATCCAACAGATAATGCTCTGCATGCTCTGCATGCTCTCCAAGGTCCGCCACGCTATGTGCATATGTACCTTGCGCTCGGCTGTGTGTACACGTCCATCGGCCCCTAGCACTTGAACGGCAAATCACTTGGGCGGCCAGATGAATGCGTGTGAAATAATGCAGAACACCAAACAAAAACAATTAATGATACACAATTACGCTGCGAACGATTTCAGGGACGGTAGAATGATAAAGCGCGTGCTAAGCGCTACTATCCTCTTCACGCCCGTCGATGGTACTTCCACGTCTAGATGGAGCGCCGTCAGGTTCGAGGTCCAGGTAAACTATTCACTCCTTTAGTGCCAATCTTGATGACATGGTATTGATACTTACCGTGCGGTCTCACGAACCAACTCAAACCCAGAGCAATCCCGAACGTAACCGTCAGGTACACAAATACAGTCTGCCTGAAGCTGCCCACTGTAGCGCTGTATATGCCGTTGAAGATGGTAGGCCCTAAAACTCTTGCGAATGCATGTAGCAAGCCTGTAGCACCCAGAAGCTGACCCACTTGATCAGGAGGCACATGCTTCGTGAGCGCGGATCCGATGGCAGGACTTCCAATGCCACCGAGCGCAGTCACGGCACCCGACAGAATAAAGAGGTTGCCATCTCTAGAAAGTGTATATCCGAGGTATCCGAGCATGTCGAAGAAGATAGCTACGCGGATGATCGAGAGATCGAGAACGTCGGACCCGGAATTGCGTTGATTCTTCATACCATTTTTGCCGCGTATCAGACGGGTGATAACAGGCAGTGCGATGAGAAGTGTGAGTACACGCGCACTGTTAACAATGCTAACAAACCTGCCGGTCTCCAGCTCTTGCCAGCCGAATTGCCTACGCGTGTAGACAACTACGACACCCATAGCGCCCATGGCTATTCCGAAGGCAATTGTGTCTGTCGCAGCGAGCAAGATCAGGTTTCGTCGAAGAGCAGAGCTGCTGCCGGGACCCGTGGGCCATAGAATTTTGAGTGGCGCCAATAGATTGATCGAGCGTAGCTGGTCGATCCAGTCGGGGTCCAGCCCGCCGTTTCTTTCCTTCTCCATACGGTGGCGCTGGCGTGCTGCTTCTTGTCTGTCTTTCGACAGGGACTCTGGAACCACCAAAGCAAGGAAGAGAATGAAGAAAGCGTGGCAGGCGAGTGCAAGGTAGAATATCAGGAGCACAGCTTCTGTTTTACCGACGTACTTTTCACGCCAACTGATCACGTAACCGGACAGAACTGGTCCCACTGCGATACCGGTGAAAAGGCAGGCGTGAAAGTACCCGAAAGCTACGTTTCGCTTTTGTGGCGGTGTGCAATCTGAGGCGTACGAGTACGCGAGAGCCATGCCGACAATGAAGGAGCCGGCCAACCCATCAAGCGCATAGCCAACCAGTATCCAGTTGACATGCACGGTTTCGGGATACTTGGCAGCGAGAATGGTCAAGACTTCTCCCAGTAGGGCTCCCAACGTGGTGAAGACCAATAATCTCTTGCGCCCGTAGCGGTCTGAAAGGGCGCCGAGCTTTGGACTGGTAATAGCCGAGAGGATGCCAGAGCACAGATTACCGTATAGCAGGAACAGTGACGAGCGAGATGAGACTGCGTCCGTCTGGCATCGGTCGGGTTGCTGTCCGGGGTCCATAGGCCCACTGATCGGGTCCGGGGAGGATGCGTAATATTGGTCGCATACGAGGTCCATTATCAGGTTGAGTTTAGGTACGATGATGGCGCCGAAGGCCATGGTGAATAGCAGGAATGGCGGTAGAAGCCAGTATACCTGCCCGTTGTTAACCGCTAGCATCCTTAAGGGTAAACTCGGCGCATACCGAAGGTCTCTTCCACCAAGGAAGCCCTCTCAGCTCCGCGTATCCGAACCACTCAGGTTCACTGCCATCGTCTTCGCTGTCTGCGCTTCCTGTCGCATCATTGCGGCCCAGCAACGGTGCATCTTCGCTGCTCTCTGCTGCACGCGGATTTCCATCAAGTCTATTTGGGTGTTGGCGAATATCTTGTGCTTTGTTGGCCCTCACGGCCTCTTGTCGCGCGCGTAACCGTGCCCGGAACTCTCGGGCTATCTCTTCCTCTTCCAAAAATGCTGCGTCGTTCGACGAAGACATTTCGAAGCTCTCTAGCGCAGCTAGCGCGCGATTGAGATTGTACGGGTACGATGGTGTAATGGTCGTAACGTGGTATCGTTATACTCGCGGTATCATTGCCAATACTTTCGCCTGAACAAAGTCAACACCCAGGCGTCGCAACTGCCCGAATTGAAGCAAGATGCAAAGGAGGGCTGGAATTGTAATCCAGATTCGGGCTCGGAGCTTCTCTAATCTTGCTTACACTATCTTCTATTACAATCAAGCGTTGCAGCCGGCCGACGTGTCCCACCCAGTGAGGTGCTCAGAAACAAGAAATTGAGAGCGCAAGGTTATACAGAAGAGAAATAAGTCGTCCGCGGCATCTGGTCCGCGGTCTGACACGTTAACGCGCGCTGTGCCGTGGGGCGTCTGCCGGGGGGTTCGAGTCGATATTCAATGACGTTGTGATGTTTCGTCCACAACTCGAGCGGACGTCGGACGCGCATAAGCCCCGATAAGGCTAAGCCATATTCGGCTGTTCTCTCCATGACCTCACCCCGCAGTGCCGTATACAAGCGCATCGTATTTTACGTTGTTTGGGGATGTTTACTATAGACCAGCCTCAATTGATAGATCCGCGTTAGATGCACCAACTTTTCACGCCGGAGATCATTTCAATATTAAGCAGAACAGAGCGGCCCATTCGAGCTTCGAAACATCGTCATTGTCTTGGTGCTTAGCTCTGTCTTTGTGTACACGTCTAGGCTGGTAAACTGAGGCCTCCATTCAGCTTCTGTACACAGACTCCTGACATGTCCCAATGAACAGAAAGGACCAGCTCTTTCATCAAATTTGACTTTAGATGAAGCATTCCCATTCTTCTCGTCCAGTATCTTCAGGCTTAACGTCCATGAAATGCACTCTGCAGTCACAAAACCGGATGCGGGTGACAGATTGAAGCGTCCGGATGAATCGAAATTATCCAGAGCTTGACACATATGAATCCTGCGGGTTCAATGAGACGAAACTTGCGTCTGAGGTTACCCCGCAGAATACCTCTAAGTCTGCGTTGATTTATGTTGTCGTTAACTTTTGCATAGTTCGCCATTCATAATTTCCTTCTCTGAAAGTATACTTGCTCTTCCCTGCAGTATTTTCTCGTGTAAAGGGGGACAGCCCGGCGCTTACCTCGTGCATTTCACGAGTGGATGATGCGACTTCTTTCAATCTCTGGTGAGAGATCTCCATTATTAGGCATATTCAACTTTTGGGTGTTCCATTGGTTTTACAACCTCCGCCTAGTGGGCGGTGCTCCAGAATCTGCATCCGCTTTGGAGAAAAAGTACGCCACCTTCGTGACAACATGCCATTGCGGCACGATTCCAGCTGGTACAGATTGCTCAATTTGCAAAGTGTAAATTTACCTCAAGATGGGTTGGAAGGATTGGTCACGGAGAATGTATGAGTTTGTTCGTCATAGGATAGCCAGCGATCGAACTGGACAAGGGGTTAGATACGCAGCACATGGGACACGTCAAACTCACGGTAGCCAGTTCGTAGCCCAGACGCAACACCCTCTCAGTCCGGAGTTTAACAGTGCTCGCAAGCTCGAGTGACCGATCTTCTTCATCATGCTCTCTCTTGAACCATCTTTCAGGGAAGTACCATTGGCTCCAAATTTGACCGCGTATCAAATAATCTTCCGGGAGGGGAAGGCTATCGGCTTGATCCGCAAGGAATACGGGACCGGGAAGTATCTTCTCTGGTCGTTGTTCTGATTTTAATAACGTATTTAGAAAGGAAACAAGCTCGGTCCAAGGAGCGTGGTCAAGAAAGTGGGCAACGTATTTTATGGAGGCGAAGGCCGAAAAGAACGAGAGAAGGACGTGGACGTGAGGAAGTACGTTCTTGTCACCGTTGCGTCGGAGCACTAGCATGAGTGTGGCCATCGTGAGCAGATAGGCGCGAGAGAATGTAAAGTCGGACGATAGGATTTCGACTTGGGCCGCAACTTCTGATTCTGACATAGGCTGCGATGATTTATCTTCTTCAATGGGTGAAGGAGAACGGCTATCTTCTTCGGACTGCGACGATAAACTTGTAGACCGTGTCAACTGCTTCTCGTGTAGAAGGAGGATCTGGCGCAGAATAGAGTCATCACTTCCATAGTTGAACAGGCCTGCGAGGTTGGTGACAGCAATATAAACTCCTTGCTCTTTCCATTTCGCAGTCACACGTCCGATATGATTGTCAAGCTGGCTTTGGAAAGCGAAGCGAGCATCTTCAAAATCCTCAGATGAGGCTTTTCCAAAAAGTATACCGTGCGCTTGGATGAAATTCGTGTCAATGGGTGGGTCGTGGGAATATGGATCCGCCGGTCGACGAAGAATAGGATCCAGGAGTGTCAGGATGGATTCCCTCGCACTAGGAAATGGCTTGACGCATGTTAATGATCGGGCATAATAGTATAGTTGTCGAAGAGCGTTAGGGCGTGCCAGGATCGCTAAGTGGTGATACAACCGGCCAACAGACGGGTTCTTGTCAGCGGCCTTACTATACCATGATCGTGCAACGCCAGCCCACGTTTCACGGTCCCGAGGGTTCTCGTCTTCAATCGCCATGCGATAACGACCTAAATCACCTAGGCATTCAATCCATGTATCTTCGAATGCCGGTACAGTCTCATAAAGAAGCGCCATCATCTGATACGCGAGATATATGAAAGCAAGCATATAATCAATGCTCTCAGGAAGACGACGACGCAGTAACTCAAGAAAAGAATGGATACCGTGCTTCCACATTCTCGCTGGCATCGAATACTTCGCCGCCAACCGCCGAAGAGCGGGAGAGGCAGAAGGATGCTGAGAAGCGAGGAAGAAGTCGTGGTGCTCATGCAGTAAGGTTCTATGGAGCGCGATAAGTGCCTGCCAATGATCGCTTGCGAGCCTTGCGGTTGGATCTGAGCCGTCCTGCAAAGCAGCAGCTTGTGCCCGGTCAACATGGATGCACTTGGTCTCCACCATTGTGAGACCAGCATAAATCGACTTCACTTCCGAAGCGAGCTGTTCTTGGGAGATTGGCCGCGAATCTGGCTGTAAGAGGAGGCCGGGGTACCGGGAGTCGTATCGTTGGATTTCGATCAGACCAGGTTGCGAGCGATGGGAAGCGGACGAGACCGCTGGCTTAGGTGTGTGGTGTTGTACAGTAGGAGGACGGGTGGTGGACAGCGGTGTCCGAGATTGAGGCTGACTACGATTGGCTTCCACGGACCATTCACTGGCAACTTCGGGGGCTCGATATGAAGCTCTAGTGCCTTTTTGGTCTTGTGTGGGATCGTACAGCCGAGGATTGCTGGGCTTTGGTCGTGTCCTTTCAGGGACGACGGTGCGTCGGAGATCTCTAGCATACTCTTCTTCATCATAGATCTCCGGGTGAACCGGTGCCTTACCTCGCCGAGCGTGAAAATCCGAATCGGCAGGTCTCTTCCTTCCAGATGGAGACAGGCGACCTCTAGCTTCCAGTGACAAGGCGGTGATGTCGGGTGTGGAGCCCCCTCCGGCAGTGGCGTCAGAAGACCGGTCCGTTGGGCCCTTCCTACATGCGGCAGTCAGAATCAGTGCCTGACAAGGACGGCAGTGGCATCAGATGACATGTTGCACGTTGACTTACATCCGCAGGGCTGCATCTCGCACCTGAGCACGGGCCGTTTCCGGGTTCGCTTCCAGGACAGAGGCATGTTCCACGTTGGCGTGGTTGACAAGCTGGTCAAGACTTTGGAATATCCTTCCAGAATGTTCGCAATAGGGACAGGAGAGAGCATCTGTGGGCGGGGCATCAACCGTCTTTGCCTGCGTCCGCAACGCGGTCACCCATCTGGAGTGAATGTCGACATTGCTGGTCATGATGAGAGCCGCAGACTTGGCGGCAAGAACAACCTTGGAAATTGAGACAACGTATTCGGCTGTAGATGCTGGCCCCTCTGGCCGTAGGCTTGCAAATCATGTGACAGTCTGGGAAGCTCGCACTGAGTAAACAGGTGGCCCCCAAAGCAGCTTAGCGCGTGCTTCTGCAGCGAGCGTGCTGGCAGCTATTGGCTCGTTGATTGCATGGATCGATCGGGAGCGCACAGAGCTGGGGCCGCAAAGCGAGTTCTGTGTGTAAAGGCGCGTGGAGGCGGACGAGGGGTCGCTCTCACGGTATGCGCGCAGTGACTAGCTTCGCTGTGACGACAGGGGTCCGGTGGGAACAAGCGAGCTGCTAGATTGATGTGCAGACGTGCGCGGGACGCTGAAGAAGCGTTGCGGTGAGCCTCGAGGACGAAATAGACGTGTTATGAAGCCGTGGTTGGGGTCGCGGCTCGAGTGGTTCGCAATCAGGCGGACCAGGCAGCAGAGCAGGCAAACTGGTCCGTGCGCACCGACATGCGGAGGCCGCCCGTCCATGAATCGAATCCCGGAATGCGCATGCATGTGCAGCACCGGTTTCCTTGTCCGCCGTGAATGATCAGGCATCGGCCGCTCGCGAACCATCAAGCTGACTTGCTCAGGCGGTAGGCAGAGACCCGTCCTTGTCTTAAGTATACCGTGATCCACAAGAGCCGCATCTCGTTAGCGTCTCCACAGCCTCCGTATGCCAGCCATGTCTGCACCACCAGCAGCTTCGCTGGCGCCACCGAGGACAGCATCTGCTTTGCGTTGCCTTGTTTTTGCCGTCTGGGTGGGACGGAGCCGTGCGGCACTCTTCACAGGGTCCGCGGGCCCCCCTTGGTCTCCAAGTTTGTGCTCGCTGACGCTGGACGCTTCGTGAGCCGCAGATCTAGGGCTGATATCCCTCAGCCTTACGATTAAAACGCTCCGTACGCGCTCAGTCTCCAGCTTCATCCTCACTCTGAGACGCTTACGCCTCTCTCGCCGCAGTTCAGACTGCTGTCCCGCCGCCTTCTCTGTATCCACGCGCCCGTCCAGGAGGGATTGCTCTCGATAGGCCCGAATCGGCAGGCTGCGCTTTGTCCCTCTGGCAAGCGCACAGCCGCATGCCATACGCGTGCTGCCAGGCACCAACCGTTTCAGACATCTTCTGCCGCAAGCACTGCTGGAACGAGTATATTGGATGCTAAAAGTGTTCAGGGCAGGCACTAGAGGCCGCACCTTCCTCCTCAACCAGTGCCCACCCATCCGCGCCTACCACATGTGGCGGGGTGCCCTCCTACCTTTCTTGATCCACTCGCTTCGAGGCGGCGACGGTGTTCAGATGCTCAGCGACAGCACCTTCAACATTTCCCCAGACACTGACAGCCTAACACGTCACAAGGCTAGTCGTGCGACCTCTACGAATCACGGACTTGACGGAAGTGATTATCGCGGTTACGCAGAGGCAACAGAAGGCGGCCCGATCACCATTGCACTCGTTCGATTCTCGCGGATTGAATTTCACGCCAACGCACCGCTGCCGGGGCGCAGAAGCTGTCGTGGCATGATCCTATACAATGCGTAGACTTTATATGCGACGTCTTGCTGCCCAAGAAACGTGGCACACAAGCGGCACGATATTGGCGCTGGCGCACATAACGAATGCAAGCACGCAAAATTGACCTTTGAAGCCTGCCCAGTCGTTCGTTCCCCATCTCTGCAAGCTGGGGGCCGGAACCGGCCTGATCCTTATAGATGTGCGCGGGCTGCAATCCTCATTATCGTCTACATGCTTGAAAAAGATAGAGCAGTGGTGGCCGTCTCTCGAGGACATTGCTAATTCAGCAGGCAAAGCTCCCAGCCTTATGGTTGACCTCAGCCTTGCGCCGAAATCCGGTCAATGAGGCACGACTACGGAACTACTTTGACATCAAGGACTACTCAGTGGAGCAACAATGCCCGAATGTACGAGTCAATGGCTTTCTGCACGTTTGCCTTTTACAAGTCAAGGTGCGTTCTGTCCGGCCATCCGCGTCATGCTTTCAGGGCGGCCTGGTGTCAATCTATTGCTGTTGTCTACCCACCAGTCTCTCAATCGCACACTTTCTCCCTTGGGAAATCATGCGACCTCGAGATGATGAAAAGGCGACAAAATCATGTCAGCAAGACTATTTTCTCCTCCATCTGTCATTGGTTCAACAACGAATACTCTGCCTGATATATAACATATTCGATTCGGGCCAGTCTAGCCATTCAGCCCAAGGCATTCCGGCCACACGGATAGTTCGTGATTGATACAATTTCGGTAAGCTTAATGTGGTCATATGTACATGTGGGGTACGCACGCGGGTAAGCATTTCTTCTACTGCACAGTAATCCTTGTACTGGTCGGGTTACCCAAAGCGCGCACACACACTGCCGTCTCACTGATCATCTTAGCAATGAGTCTCGCGTTCAATGAACCTGAGAACTGTACGATGGTGGAAAGCGTCAGTCGACAATCTTTGGTGTGAATGATCGGAATCCGAATCATCAAGGTCGAGCCTTCCCTTGCCGTCGGCTTTGAACGGTAAGAGTCAAGCATGCAAGCAGTTTCCCCGCCCATTTACAATGAATAAACTTGATTGGTCGATTGTGGGGATGCTTATGAGGGTGCTCCCGTTGGCCTATGCAAGCCACCAATGTTCCGAGCATCCCTCACATTATCAGAGACTCTGGTTGGTACGTGTGTAACAGCCTAGATGGCTATTAGGAACGAAACTCTCCGGCAAACGAGCGGCCTCCTCATGTCCCACAGTGCATTCCCGTCGATACCGACGGCCCGCTTTGCTTCGTGCACCCTCACTTTGCCTAGTTCGCAGTCTCTACATTGCTGTAGGACTTCATGATCATCTTTCGACTCAAGCGTTGCCCTTTTCTTACAGTTATTTGGGGGCCTAAAATGCGGAGAGCAGTTCAACTCAGTATCACGGGTCCGGAAATTGTGGGGTCCGCGAACGGTGAATAGTATGTAGGCGTATGGTTTCACAGTACAGATTAGCGTGCAGCGGCATCCGCTACACGATACTTGAACGGCTCAAACACGCATACTCGTGTAATGCGCACTAATCACCAGTCTTCTCGCTATTAACGTGGCTTCGACTCAATCCTGAGGCCAAGGAAGAACAGAGGATGCGAAGGCAACGAGGCAACCTCGTTGCTCGCTCGCTAAGTTCACACTATGCCCCACGAGCTTGGGTCATGCAGAAACGGAATCATGCATTGAATCAGTTCGCGACTCAGTTGCTCAGATGCTTTTTGACCACCGAGCAAGCGCGGTTCGCGACTGGGCCATATTGTGCGATCGGAAGTTCTACAGGAAAGCGGGGTTGGCATGCTTCGTACCTAGCCAGCCACTGAGCAAGGCCGCCCATATCAAAAAATCCGGATATGGCATCGCCCGACTGCAAACATCAAGGCAGCGAATCGCAGTACGTAGCGGTATTGGCCAAACGGTCATGGTTGTTCGAGAGTGGTGTGTTGAAGCATGAGGTCAATGTGACCACCAGACATACATCACACTCGCTCAAATCGATCACGATAGCACTTCAGGGCGCAACAGACGCGGCTGTGCGAACGCGAGGCAAGGAGACAATGAAGACAATTCGATAGCTCCTCAACACGGCATAGCACGCGGCAACGCAAGATTGACACGAGATAGTGTGGAGATCGATCGTAAGGCAACAGACTTGAAGCGGATGCACAAGGGTGAGGCCTAGACGATCTGATTATCCAAGGTAACACTAGCGCAGCAATAGTCGGAACCTCGGTACTCTCACCTCATCAAATGCTCAGTGTCTCAACCTCATGCACCCATTGACCCAGGATGCCAGTATTCGGCGATAACTCGAGGTTGTCGGTCGGAAAGGATCAGATTGGAAGGCCCGTATGACGCGGCCACCCGCAAAGCCTCAGCCCTGCAGCCTGGAGCGAACATCAAATCGCGGGACGGCAACGGCCGGGCCATCACACCAAGGGGGCAGGTATCAAGTAGTGGAGCTCCGTTCCAGGCAAGTACTTGTAACGGCCCGTGGCTGTGACAATGTCATGCCGCCGTGGAATGTCCGTCATGAGATCATTGTCGTTGCTTGTGCGGAATGAGAAGGAAAGCCGCCGTCGCAGCTGAGTGAGCAAAGCAACTTCGTTTCTCGCATGCACCTGCGCACCAAGCAAAAAAGGAAATAAAGGCAAACGAAAATGTTCAGGGAAGAAATCGTCATGGAAAAACGAAGTCAGACGCAGAACACCTCATCATTTGGCGTTCACCCTCTCATCGTGCGCTGGTGACATGAGCCTCCCTTTTTCGCCTCCACCACAGCTGAGCTGCGTGTGTAAAGCGCCAGTAATAGCTTCAAGGTGCAAATTTGCCTCCACGATCGGTGTTGACCGGTGGATTGCGGTGAGCCAGGGGGCGAGACCAGTCTGTGAGAGCTGAATCGTGTTGGCGAGTGTGCTCACCGTGATGTCTAAATTGGCTTTGTCTTGCTGATGAGCCGCGATTGGGAACCAGAGCGTGATGTGGTCGGTGTTGAGTTGATAAAAAGAAAGGACATCGTTGCGACGAGCGTTAATTAGATATACCCTAGAGGCCTCTGTTCACCGGAAAGCGTGGGCCAATCGTAGTGGAAATAGCAGCAAGGATGATTGATGCACCACAACTTCACCTCAACGTGTCCAACATCTACATGCGAAAGCAAGACAGCCAATCTCGCGGCTCTGGCGGTTTGGAATTTCCATACTAGTGCCATGTCTAAATCTGTTTCTGATCTCAGTTCCAGACGGACGCCTTGCGTGCCGGATGTACAGTTCGTCGCAGTCTGCTCCGTGCATCGCAAAATGAATCGATGAAGCTCGATTCGACCAGCTTCATGTCTTGCAGCATGAAGGTCATCCCCTAGACCAACCCAGGTTTCGTCTTTGCCCAATTCATAGGCAAACCTAGAAGGGGAGAAACCACAGCAGTATGCTGTTACCCATGGTCGTATGTACGGTCCCTATGTTGCTAGTCTCGCATGTCTTCGTCTTGCTCAAATGTACGCATCGAACTATCCAATCCCACAGTGCTATTCTAATCAAAAGATCCCTAGTCGAAGTTAGTCTTCTCGTACTGTTTGTCATGTTCGAAGGTAGACGTGGCGAGTCCTTCATGTGGCGTCTATACATGAATACAGACGCGCGCCATAAAGAACAACCTGATAAAGAAGAACTTGTGAGTTCTTTCGCTAATGACCCCGCCAACCCTAGGTAGGAATGATCCATGCATGGCACGCAGCGGTCTAGCTCATGGCAGTGATGGGTGCGATGGCAAACCAGATCAATTTAGAAGCCTGCGAATTCTTCAACGTGTTGCATGGTATTTTCGAAGATACCCGATATTCATTTTCATTTCTTGGCTACGATGATGGTAGGTCTATCGGGGAGGACTAACTACGTGTAACTTCAATCCACCCTTAAGGTCGAACAAATTTCTAATAGTAAGAAGCTTTGCAAAAAGGAACACCAGCTTCATCCAAACCAGGGTGTTTATAAATAGCTAAGAAAGAACCATACATAGTGCAACGTGTAACTCACTAGCCATATAGCATTGCGTAAAGATGAGTCCTCCGCTTAGACAGTCACTGCGACCACTCAGATACTCGCTAAGTATTACAAGACAAGCGTTGTCAAGAGTTAGCCCTGTCATCGTAAAAGAGCGCAGAGTAAAGGTCTAGTTCCTAACAGCTACACAGTCTCGCAAGGGCCTACTTAGTAGCATCACCTAGGGATAATAAAAGGAAGTACGCAAATGTAGGTTCTAGTATAAACCAGCTCAAGAACTATGCAAACGCAAATATACGTCTATTCTGGCATTAATGCAATCAGAATAAGGTTAAGTATATCTTTTCATACTTACGACTAATTTTAGACTACGTTTGTCGAGATAGTTATTGATTGTTTGTTTGTGGTAATCAGCATTGTATTCTTGTATTATGTGAAGATTTTCAGATAATAAGCTTCACTACCTTTTGTTATTAAGCGCACAGTCGCCCCGGTACCTAAGAAGTATGGCGAGGCATTGCCTAAATTCATAATCTATTTATATCTACAGACATCTTTAAGAAGTAATAAGAATAGTGAGTTGCAAGTCCAAGAAAAACATATTAATTAGCAGTGACGTCTACGCTGCGTCCGCATTCCTTACGAATGTCCTTGCACGACTGCGGAATTCCGATGAATCTTAACGAAGTTATAGATCTACGTAAAGATAGCCAGACCACGAGGTAAACGTGTTTTTTCAGACGCCCGCAAAGATGCAGGATTTTTGAATCATAGTACTTCGACCCCGCATGAACGATAGTTTATGGTACAGAGCTACATTGATACCGGGACACTTATATGCAGTGGTACCTCGCGTCATGGCAGACGATCTATCTGTAACCCCCATCAACATTTTCACTAGAGCTATAGAAGAACTCAGCGTTTTGGGGTTCATGCGCGCGGCTTAGATTTTTTGGGGGCACGACCCCGAGAATTGAATGCTATCATCGTCTGCATGTCCCACACATGCTATAAGTCCCCTTCCCATCCAGATCTCTCTACATAGATGCAAACCCCATCCACGCACCCTTACTTCCTCCCCTTGCCCTTCTTCTTTCCCCCCTTCGTTCCACCGCTACCCTGCTGCTGCTGCACAGGTGCCTTCTCCTCGATACCGCCTTGCGTAAAGCCTTCAGCCCTCTTCTTCCCTTTCCTGCCCTTCGGCCTGTAGTAACTCCGATCGCGCATCGGCAGCCACCGCTCGGCATCCATCTTCTTATTAGGATCGAATTCTTTTGGCATGCGGGCCTTTCGTATCCTCTTCGCCTTCGACGGAATTGACTTTGGTGCTGCGCGTTTACGGGATTCGGATGGTTGGGAAGGCAGTGCAAGCGCTGGAACACCAGCATCTTCGAGAGCCACGGCGTCGATGTCCGAGACGAGGCGCGAGGCTTCGGGAAGTATGGACGTCAGGTCTGATGGGATGCTGGATGAGTCCGTAACGCTGTAAGCGGCTACCAATCCGGCGATGGCCGCTCTGTCCTCGTTGTCTTGGTTGTACAAGCCCTTGAAGATCTCGCCTGCCGTCTTAGCGTTATCCTGATTATGCGTGTCCAGAAGCGCTGTCCCCGCAGCAACCAGCAGCGCCTTGCTTGGCGCCTCTGTCTTCGATTTGTGCGGTTTCCCCCAGTATTCTGCAGCCTTTGATAGTTCTGATCTTGCGGCTCCAGGGCGGCCTTGCTGTACGTAAAGCGAAACAAGGGTGGCAACTAGACCAGGGGCGAAGCGTACATCAAGGTTTGAGGCGGACCCGGAATGGGAAAGGCGAGCAAAGAAGGATTCTAAGAGGTGCGTAGCGGCAGCATAGTTGCCGGTGAGGACGTAGAGGTGAGTGATAGTGAGTATAAGGCCGACGTCTGTGGGGCGTTTTTCGAGGAGCGGTAGTATTTGTTTGAGTGCAGCCTTTTCAGTGGGAGCACTTCGAGCGTGCGCTGCTGCGTTCAAGACTGCGGCCATGTTGACGGCTGGTGAAAGAGATGGTGTTGGCGCTGCGGATATGACCTTCTCCGTGGAAAATGCTACCCCTGAGGATTTCTGTGAGAGTAGGTTGATAACGTATTCATCTTGGCGGAGGAGGTTTGTCTGAAAGGAGAAATATTGATCGGTCTTGGAAGGCTTAGGCGAAGAATGGAAAAGTCGATGCGAGAGGTAAGGGTTCGAGTGCTCTTTGGATGCAGCGATGCCGTTCACTTGAGCGATATGCCGGGTCGACAACTCTTTGATCCTGCTCTCTGTTAGTATGAGCTAATTGCTGATATTTGCCTGCCTACTCAGTGAACGGAATTGCAGCCGCCAGCTGCTCGGCCTCATCAACCTTCCCCATCTGTGTGAGGATGTAGACTTGTTGCACCTTCATGGGCAGTATCTCAGCCTTCTTCTCAGCATCACTCATATCTTCCACCTCATTACAACGGTCTATCGCCCGCTTCAGGCATATATCTCCCTGCGCGAATTCGCCGCGTGCTATGCTCGCGCATGCTGCATTGTACGCCGTTTCGAAAACGTCGAGATCCTCTCGTGCCGGCTTCTTTTTCTGAGCAAGCTCGCCTTGCCCAAACCACTCTAATTGCGCGTCCGTGGCGCCAGAATTGATGCGAATATCGTATTCTTCGGTTTCAGCGCCCTGGTTGGCCAGTCCCCTGTACACTCGCGAGGCCTGAGCGAAATTCTCTGAGCGGTACGCCTGCCCTCATTAGCGTCACCTTCTCCAATTGCTCAGACATTGTCCCCACTCACAGCCTGTGCAAGCACATGCTTCATGCCGCGGGCCGCGTTCTCAATTTCCGCACCAGCGACCTCTACAGCCTTCGCCGCATTACCCGTCTTGTACAGCGTGTACGCATAGTGAAAGCGCGCCGTTTCCTGCAGCTCTTTAACGCCCTCGAAGACCTTGAGCGCATCATCGAACCTATCGAGATGCAGGAGCGCTACTGCTCTCACGTGGTGCGCTTGTGTGTCTGTCTTTGACTTTTTGATAGCGGCGTTGGCGGTCTGGAGAGACTCTTCGTGATCGTCGATGGTCGCCTGTGCGAGGAGGGCGGAAAGGGACTTGATTGAGGCGGCCATTGTATGTTTCCGGGCTATCTAGTATCCATCAGGGGTAGGTATGAGAAAGCTTGGGAGTTCAGCGGCGGCGAGGCGGGGTGGATGCGGCTCGCGTGTCGTTGGCGGGGATGGAGTGGGTTGCTCTTGCTCGCTTAAAGTTTCGTTGGCCTGTGCACACCTGGGCAGGATGCTTGCATGAGGACATATACATAAATGGTCTACATGTAGTAATAGGTGACAATAAGTGTACATAGGCTTATCAGTCGTCAAGGGTTCTACCAAAAGCCTTCATCAGAAAGCCACTTTTCCGCCCAAGCTATATCGATGTCAGATCCCATCAGTGTGGTAACATCCAGTTTCCCAAGGTATAAAACGCCGACGCCGTCGCTATGCAAAATCAATTGACATCCTCGAACTCGTCCTCGTCGCTCTCGTCTCCGCCGTCACCCGTAGAGACGGCTGGTGTGGCGGCGTTTGTGGGGGTAGGGGCAGCCGAAGATTCCAGCTTAACACGCTTGGCCTCCGGAGCTGTCTCCACCATGGCATCTTCGAATTCATCATCGTCCTCATCCTCCTCGTCATCTTCCTCCTCTTCTTCCTGCTTCGCGCGTTCGGCGGCAAGCTGAGCGAAAACATCGTCCAGGTTACCGGCTGGGTCGGGCTTGATGTCCACCATCTCTGCCTTGATCGCGGGCGTATCGGTCCCGTTCACTGCTGCAGTTGCGTTCGCGCTGCTGTTATCTTGGCTCTTGTCGACTGTAGATTTGACATGCCATGAAGGAAGCTGGTTCTGCGCGGCGATCTTCTCCTGGCGCGCCTTCTCAGCGGCGCGTGCGGCTTCGTTATACTCTGAATTTGAGGCAATCTGCACTTGAATCTTCTCCGCGACAGTGTTCGTACCCTTGACCGCTGTTGGTCGGACCACCGTCTCTTGGACGACCTCGTGCTTCGCACCGGGGTTAATTTCCTTGTCACGTGGAAGCTCAACGGCCCCTTCGATGGCATCCTTTCCTTCGATGTGTGGAATGGTCACGGTATCGATCTGCTGCATGAGGTCAAGGATAGGCTTGAACTGCTTGTTAAACTTGGCTGGGGTGTCATCGCTGTCGAGCTCTGGTCCTTCATCATCGCCAAGGTAAACGAGTGGCCTGTGGCATTTCTTGCAGACAAAACCACTCTCGCGGCCCAGCGGGTCTATGCTATCCAGAACCTCGATCTGGGTGTACTGAGACTCGCATCCAAGGTTTTTGCAGGCAAATTCCATTTTCTCGGCTGTGGGTTTCGCATCCTTCTTTATGCGCGAGTCGACCTTGTGGATCTTGTACTTGACAGAATCGATGGCTCGACGGTAGTCTATGTAGTAGTATTCGCGGGTGACAGCCTTAAGGGCACCTTCGCGCGTCTCTTGTCGCTGGGCGATTGAGATAAGTCCAGCCTCCTTCAGCTTTCCGACGTACTTCCCGACCTGCTTCGTGCTCTTGCCCATGTCTAGCACAAGCACCAGGTCCTGCATGTGAAGCCTAGAGATCGTCAGCCCGATACCCTTACTCCATAGGTGCCACCAACATACGCGCCATGGTAGACCAGCGCGTCTACGACAACGATGTGCTCTGTCTCGTAGAACATGCGCACCACCGTCTTCACAAAGACCTTGCCGAGCTCGAGCGGGTCCATGGCGGCGGTGGACGGCGAGTCTCAACAACACGAACAACGGAGTTTTCGGCGCGCAGGGTCTACGTGAGAGCGACTCGATGGTGGAGTTGCGACCGCGAGGTTGAGTGAGGAGGGAAGAGCGGCTGCGCTCCAGGCACCGGAGCGGACGCAGCAATGCAAGAGACAATGACAAGGCGGTGATGCGGGCGGTGAGGCGGACCTGCAGTGCCAAGACTGCAGCTCCAAAATTTAGATGCGAAGCTCCCCACGTCTGTGCACCTCCATTGCTCGTATTCTTGCCCATGCCCACTTGCTTGCCAATATGGAGCAAGCTCCCGAGAACAATCGCCGCGACGATTCGGGGAACCACGACAGGAAGCGCAAGCGCGATGACCGTGGTGGACGCGGGCGCGGCGGCAGGCCCTTACAACACGGCAGCCATCAACATAAGAAAAGAAGTATGGGGCGTAAGGAGCATAAGTGAGTGAATCGCGGGGTTCGAATGCGCTTCTCTAACTAAGTAGCCGCGAGCAACTAGACAGGCGCGGGCGCAATGCGGAACAGCAGGACAGGAATAAGCAGAAGGCAGAGAAAGGCGAGAGTACGGCCCCGGCGCTACCCTCAGCGTTTCCCGCGGAAGAGATCGAAGCTGAAGAACGACGACCCAAGAAAAAGGTCGCTGTCATGATTGGATATTCTGGGACCGGCTACAAGGGCATGCAGATCGATAACAAGCAGAAGACCATTGAGGGCGACTTGTTCAATGCCTTCGTCAAGGCTGGCGCCATATCCAAGGCGAACGCAGACGATCCGAAGAAGTCCTCGCTAGTGCGGTGCGCGCGAACCGACAAGGGTGTGCATGCCGCTGGCAACGTGATCTCGCTGAAGTTGATCGTCGAAGAGGAGGATATCGTCGAGAAGATCAACAGTAATCTATCTGAACAGATCAGAGTTTGGGGCATACAACGGACGACAGGATCTTTCAGCTGCTACCAAGCATGCGACTCGCGGTGGTACGAGTACTTGATACCCACGCATACATTTCTGCCTCCACATCCATCTAGCCATCTTGGAAAGAAACTCGAAGAGCTTGCTGAGAAAGAGGGTGACCTGGAAGAGTATCGGAAGCGCCAGGCCGAGGTTGCGAACTTCTGGCCAGAGGTGGAAGAGAAAACCATCAAGCCAATCCTGGAGACACTGGACGACTCGATAAGACCGCTTGTAGAAGAGGCCCTGTACAGCGTAGATGCGGTTGACGCTCCAAGAGACGATGATCCCGCTATCGAGGCGGCCATCGAGACTGAGCAAAAGCCTACCGAGCCGGCGGTAGACGCTGAAATCTCAGTCGAAACAGCAGACGCAAAAGAGAACACCAATGAAGACACTGGGAACAAGGTATCAATTGAGCCGACAAATCAAGAGGTGAAGGAAACACTGGATACCATCCAGAAACAACAACCAGACATAAACCTCAACTCCGAGACTGATGGCTCGATGACTCTCCCAGAATCCGACGTCAACAAGCACGCCCTGGAAGCCGCCGTCAAAGTCCTCAAAAAAGCCTACCTAGAGGCAAAGAAAGCTTACCGCATCTCGCCCGAGCGCCAAGCGCGCGTTCAAGCAGCCCTAAATCAATATGTAGGCACTCACAAGTTCCACAACTACACCATCCAGAAGAAATTCAACGACCGCTCTGCGCAGCGCTACATCAAGTCGTTCAAAGTTGAAGAGAATCCCATCATCATCAACGACACCGAGTGGCTGTCGCTCAAGGTGCATGGACAAAGCTTCATGATGCACCAGATCCGCAAGATGGTCGGCATGGCTGCGCTTACGGTGCGCTGCGGCACGCATCCCAACATCTTCAAGTTGTCGTTTGAGAACAATGTCGTGCGGATCCCAAAGGCGCCTGGTCTGGGTCTACTGCTGGAAAGACCAGTGTTCGACTCGTACAACGAAAAGCAAGCTAAACAGGCTGGACGGGAGAACATTGATTTTTCGAACTACGAGAAGCAGATTGCAGATTTCAAGGAGCGGGAGATTTACCAGCGCATATTCAGGGAAGAAGCACACGGGAACCAGTAAGTGTTAAATCAGCAGCTAAGCAGCTAGACAGCTACAAGAGCTTACACGGTGACAGGTTCAACTCTTTCTTCACGCACCTGGACAATTATCGGGATCCGATCTTCTTGTACCTGACCTCCGGCGGGTTAGAAGCGACGAAGAAGCTAAACAACAAGTCTTTGCAGGGGCAATTCGAGGAATCAGAGGACGAGAATGCGTCAGGTGGCGAGGGCTGAGCATCTGCTAGCAGATAATGGAAGTAGCCAAAAACTCGATCCAAGAGCAGATACCTCACACAAAATTACACCATCAACCTTGTGCACATCAACCATTCGGTGTTGAACAGCCCGAAAAGGGGGACTGGCAGGTTTCAATATTTGCGGAGCGTCGACCTATAAGAGTCCTTGTTATGTAGTACACGCCGCAGCATCTAGTACTGAGGCACCCAATATTATTATCGGCCACATGGCTTCGCATCCTTGCTCGCATTTTCTCTTCCAGCGAAATACTGCTCTACTATCACTACATCTACAAAGCGTTGATGCAATTATACAAAAGAAAGAACAAGGGTATGTACAGGGTGGAACAAGACCAAAACTCTCACACCTATCTAACGTCCGAGGTTGAGCGAATCTTTAATCGCCTGCAGCATTCAGATCCACAACGATATTGATGGCCGCAACCACAACTTCAGCAAAGATGAGGATGATAACGATCCACTCGAGAAGCTCGCCCTGCGCGCCGTCAGTACTTTCTATAGTTTGTATGCAAAGCAGCGAAGGAGCAACATACATGCGTGACTGTCAGCTGGTCCTTCAACACCGCCAATAAGTCTCCAATAACGTTCAGCCTCTCCGTCAACAAGCTGACTCTCTGGTCCATTTCCAGATAGCTTCTTACGGCCTGGTAAACGGGGTCTAGTTGCGGTTCCGCCCACATGAGCTCTGGTGCGTCTAACACGCTACCCTGTAAATGAATGCTGATCCTCAGGATGAACAACTCGCCGATTTGCATGTTGATCTGCTTCTTGTTTAGATTGATTTTTCCGGATACCGCAATCTGTGCGGGTATGTCCTTCGTATCGTCGATGGTGTTGTCAACGAGATCCTCGAACAGCGAGGTCTTCACAGACTGCGACAGACCGTGACTGATGGCGAGCTTAATCATGTAATTCTTCTTGTCTCGGAGCGAAATGAAGTCGTTGTAGATGCGAGCCTGGTATTCGCGCGTGTAGTAGAAGTTGAATTCCTCTGTCTCAATCTCGTCCTTTCCGAGCTTGTCGACTTCGAATTTAGCTATCTCCTTGAGAAAGCGTTTCTCTTCTTGTGTCGTCATGCCCCATATCACTACTGTGCCGTATTCGAACAGGAAGACTTCAGGAGTGTGTACTAGAGTGTCGAAGTCTTGGGTGTCCATGGATGGATCGGAGTCTGCGTGCATGGGCGCAGGTCGTTCCCGATGGTCGGATCCTTCGCCGTGGCCTATTGATGGGGCATCTTCGTTGTCATGTAGGTCTATTAGTACTTCTCTTCTTCGCTCGTTCTCGGCGTCGACCTCAATGGCGCTGTCAGAGTATCTCCGCTGTCTCTCAGGCGGATGTTGTTCCTCGACGCTTGTACTCGCAACCTTCTCCGGCCCCTTGGTCCCGTAGTTGTACGGTGAATATATACACTCGTCGAAGCGCTTCGGTTGAGCACCTCTTAGCCGTGCCTTGCCTTTGAGAAAGCGCATTAGGTCGTCCATCTTGTAGGAAGCCGCAGTGCAGTAAGCCGTCACTCTGGGCAGGCGCTCCCGATCTGCCTTTCCTAATCGGGCAGCATCTCTTCTGGCGGTGGGATCCTTTATGCGAGTATACTGCACGTAGACATCCCGGCCGCTTTCCTCGTCATCGTCCTCGTCGCCATGCTCCGGATCTGGCAGGAGCTTGAGCTTCTGAGCCGTCCTCGTTGTTCTCTGGGGACCAATCTTGGGTGCCGGGCCATGGTGCGGGAGCATGGCAGCTCCAGAGCTATTCCTTCTCCTCAGTCTATTGTTGAGCGAAGTCATCATGGGCTTCCCACCCTGTCCAGGTGCATTTGTGACGGGTTGAGGACCGGAGGGCGGCGCCGCGCGTGGCTGTTGCTTGGGACTGCTCGACTGGACGGTGGGATTGAAGGTGACAGTCCTTTGCGGCCGTGGAGCCACAGGGCGGGGCCCAGTCGAGCCGTGCGACATTGAAGAAATTAGCGGCGTGGTTTCGGTCGAGCTCGACGCCATGTTGAACGCTTTTCACGTGGGTCAACCGATGTTGCGACTTTCGAGGAGCTTCAATAGCGATTGTTAGGAGAGCATGACCGAGAAAGCAGGCATGGGCAGCCCAGTCGCCATGTGTTGTGTTCCGGTGTTGGTGGGTGCGGAAGAAAGGTGCTCGGAGCTGGACTGATGGGAATGCACAGGCATGACGTTTCCAAGCTCTTTCCCAGCAGGCCGTGCACGGGCCCCGAGACCCATGCAGTGGAGCTTAACGGCGATGCAGTGGCACCTCAGCCCTTTTCCACTCTTATTGTGGCTTTGCCTTGACATTTACAATGCTATTTTTCATTTGTACGGATGGTGGCTCCTACCAGGAGTATCTCAAGCCGTTCCATTGAACTAATCCTTTTACTGACCGTCTCGCAAAACATGTCTATCATCCTTTCAGACTGAGTCGACAGCTCCAAACCTGTCGACAAGCTTTGTCAAGGGACTAGATCGCTTCGAGTCTCGTCATACTCTCCAAAGCACATCGGCCGCCTGCACCTTGGATGGTGGTCGCGTCTATCGCCACGACGTGTTGTGGCTTGAATGACGCCAAACGTTTGAGCAGCAGCAACATTCTCTAATAAGCACCCGGCGCGGCGCCTGACCGACTTCATTCTTGACATGCATTTCAAGCACCTTTGGTGACTTGCTGCACAGGTCACAAATTGGGTGGTGTGTGCAGCCCATGTATGCCTAGTTTCGCCCGGTCCGAGTCCCAGGCACCTGCTCGCGCAATGCGGCGCTGCGGACGCCTTACAAAAGTTCAGCATCGCCACTTAGAGCAGTTGATACCCAATTGACATGTCCAATTTGCATTTTTGGTATTCCCCAGGCAAAGAATCGTTCTGAGTTTTCATCTTCCCACACTCGCTCCAATTGTCACTTCACCATGTCCGACCCACCGCTGCCCAGCCCTGGCACCGAATCAGGCGTCAAAACTGATTCTACCTGCACTTCTTGTGGAGTATTCGTGCTTCTCTCTCATTCACAAACATCTCCTTCCATGTCATCTACCAACGCAGAGTCCACGACGCGAGCTACTCGGGCGTCGGCAGGAACGAGGTCACCGATTTGAACCTCACACACATGTTTGAGATTCCGCAGGGCATTTGAAAGGAGCACTTGATGACGTTGTGCGAGTGCGTGGGGGTGCTTTGGGTAAGAGAGAAGAGGTGGCTAGGCTATCGCGCGCGGAGGAAGGAGAGGGACGTGTGGGACGAGATGGGTGAGGAGACGCTTAGGATGGTCGATACGCATGTGAGAAATGTGTGGGCTAGCCTTACGGGAGGGTGCACGCCGTTGTGGGGTGAGTATTGGAACGAGGAACATTGGCACCAAGGTACGTGCAATGGAACGCAAGAGGACGATGAGGAGTAAAGTTTGAGGGGATCGTTCGTCTGTCGTAGGATCGGGTTGCAGTAAGACATTCATAGAACATGGTTCGTTGATTAGAACTCGATGACTCATGTCACGGTAAACTAAATATTTTTAGTAGTCAAAGTGAAAGTGACGGCGCAACGTCAATACCACATTTTGATCCGGACTGACATGATGTGGAGCTGAGCTTTGGGACTCTTTCCTAGAGGATGCTGAACATGTCTGACAGGGCGAAAGGTCGCCGCGGAATGTCAAGAGTTATTGTAAGCCTGCGCTTCAGATAACAAATTATTTGATTAAGCAAGCTTCGAGCACGTAGCACGATGGGGGAAAAAACGTCGAGATGGCTTGGAGAGCAGAGTCATGGTGCTTGTATGTGAGCGCGACGCAAGGTCATCATATAAGGGACCTCTGAGGGACCTCTGAGAGAGCTCTGAGAGTGTGGATGTACTCTGATATCATTCTGATGCTGAGAAAATCGCGCGATGAAATAATGTGCACCGAGCTGTACATTCAGGTACCGAAAACCTTAAACGAGGCGAGCAATCATTGCGCTTGGTTCTGTCGACATTCAATGTAGACGAGACAGTGATTTCTGGGTGCCAGTGCGTTACATCGCCTACCGGGGCACAGCAGCCTCCGTTGCCTTCAAGCTGCCTACAACGGCGAAGCATATGAGCGGCGTGATAGCGTAGCTGATCTGTAGAATAAGTCAGTATGTCCTACAGCACGCGTGTAACTGGAATTTTTACCGTCAGGAACTTGGCGATGACCATCTTCTCCTCCTCCGGGCTCCCTGTCACGTCAGTCAATGCCACCAATATCATCGCGCTGGGTCCTGATGACATCAGCATCATGGCGAACCACAACATGGGATCACTGCTCAGAAGAGTCGTCTTGGTTGCAAGGGCATAAATCAAGGGTATGCTGACAGCCGGCCAAAAGAAGAATCGCATCAAGAATACAAAGGACATGCTCTTTTTCGAGATGGTGCCACTCTCCTCGCCAGCTTTCATCTTACGCAGACTTTGGCTCAATTTCACGCCCACGACAATGATTTGCGTCGTTGCAAAGAGCTCGCCGACATTCTTTATGGCGGTAGTGAGCCAAGCGTTGAAGTAGCCACCATCGTTGCTGTCGTTGAAGAAAAGGCGGTGCAGCGGCGGCGTCAGGCCAATGACGGCGCCTACCAGAGTTCCGAGCAGGGGAGCGTTGGCAAACTGGTACAAGAAGTCAAGCAGCTGCTGTGCCCAAGGTGGTAGGCTCTGGAGCCATTTCGTTGTGCGCTTGTAGCCTCGGCGTTCAACACGATTGATTGGGCGTACCGCACGTTGCGGGAGCAGCGATGTCTCCTCATGAACTATGCCATCTGGGCCCCGTTCTATGCTTTCTTGTCCCTCGCCGTCACTTTCTTCGCCCTCTTTGTTCTCCTCGTCCGGTGCATCCTCGTCACTCGGCCGCAGCAGTCGGGGGCCCAGTGCAAAGGTCAAGCTGTTGCTGACCATGGCGTTGATCAGAAAGTACGACTCAGCCCGGTCGAGCGCCTTCGATGCGTCGTCACCTGGTGGAATGATGGCATCGAGAACACCCGTCGTACTCAGCGACTGAATGAGCAGCAGCGGCAGACTCGTCGTATTATTGAAGGTCACGGCCAGTTTGACCCAGTTGGGCAGTTTGAAGATGCGACAAGCGATGGCGCTGATCCCCAGCGAGATGAGCGTATACGAGATGGACCAGACGAGAATCGGCACATAACGTACGCCGGTTTCCTTATCCAAGTTCGTGCCAAGCTTGTAAATGAGTAACGCGGGTAGGAACATGCGCACACATGCCCGCGACACCTCTCTCGCCGCACCTGTAGAGAGGAGGTTGAATTGCGCGGTCAGGACGCCGAAGAAGATGGTGATCAGGACGGAGATCGAGGCTTGGAGGGCGCCGACCAATGGCACCACGAGCTCGGACTTGTCGACGCCCATGGTCGATGAAAGAAAGGGTACAAGATGCTAGGGAAAGCAAGAATATGGTACGATGCGTTGCAAGGACTCCGGCAAGGACATCCCGTCCTTATGAGGATTTGCCCTCGCTGGGCGACAACTGCATGGCGTCGACAAAGGCTATCGCGTATCGACCCGCCGACGTCATGCGGACAAGACCGAGACCCCACAAGATCAGGCCCAAGACCCAGGAACAGGGAACTGCTCGCGTGCCTAGCTTTTCGTCCTGACAAAGTCCGCATGCCAAGGGTATCATTTAATCCATTTGGAAACTACAGAAGCGCTATTTCTATCTTTACAATTCGTACAGTGCATGTGCATCGTGCTGCCGTGTCAGAGACGAACTGGGGCGGGATCCCCAAGATAACAGCCAACATCGGTCTTTGTCGACGTTCATTTCACCCCCTCGATCTCAGATGCCCCCAACAGAAGATCCTATGCCAACACCAAGCTTCTGCCTACACAAGTCCCCTAACGTACTTTTTCCAGATTTCCAGAAATGCGCCGCGATCACTCTTACTCTGGAACTTGATCTCGAGCTCAGAGTAGCCGAAGCGGTTCAAACTGGCCGGCGCTCCCTTTTTCTGCCCACTACTGAAGATGGACGATCTCGCCGATGTCACGCTGACCGCTGAAGTAGACACGATGGAGCTTCTTGTGCCTGCGCGGCTCAGCCCCAGCCTCTGGATCTCGCCCTCACCAGCCCCAGACGACGTAGACGACTTCCGCCGCTGAAACACTTTGTCGCGAGTCCACTTGCCTGGCTCTTTGGAGAAGACGAGCTGCAGCTTATCTGAGTTCTTGTTGTACGCCGAGTCGTCCAACCATTGAAAGACATAATGCGGCTCTTCCACCCAATGCGCCTTCTCTTCCGGCAACGCGCTAGTGTAGAAGAGCAGGACCAGGACATCTGCAGATTCCAGGCCGTTCAATCCTATGCGCATTTCGGTTTTCCTCCATAACCTCAAGTTCTTGCCTCGACATTCTGGCTTGTTGAGATTCGATGATATGCTCAATATGGGGCGGTCGTACAACAGCTGCGCCCCGTCCTTGCCGTTGTTTGTATACAGCAACGTCTGCAACTTCTCACTTGATATTGCATCGGACATTAGGTACTTGATGTCTGTGCATCTTTTGTCAAGTCGCCCAAACGAGCCCCTGGGAAAGTCGATGGCCACGTCGCCGTCGGGGAATGATGTTGTCAAGGGAATGCTAGGACCTGTGGCCGGAAAATGCTGCGTGATCCAGACTTTCACCTCCTTGCTGCTGCCGGAACGATAGACGGAGCGGATCGAGATCCCAGCATCCTCACGATACCGCCAGTGCAGGTCACACTCTCTGCTCTCGGAGCCTTGCGGTGTCATTCGCTCCACTACCGCCTTGCGACAAAGCTTGTTCCATTGCAGAGCTCCGGGACCCAATGCAATACTCAACAGTGACGCAGCCGAGAGCTTTCGTCGTAAAGGTTGCGCTGCGTCCTCGGGTGTGGTTCCCGCCGTACTGATACCTAGGCCGGGCACTGACAGGCGAGAATCTGGCGACTGGCTGAAGCTAGAACGAGTCGTTGACATGGATGAAGTACGTGCTAATGGGGACGATGGAGCCTCAGAAACCGAACCCCAGTCGACGGCATCGAAGTATGAGTGTGGAATGTGGGGGCTGCCTGTTGGAGACGTACATGGGGACGGTGTGGTAAGACCTTGCCGCAGGGTCTGCGTAGAGTCAGTCATCGAAGTGCGACCTCCGAAGCCTGCGAAGCTTCCGGAGAAATCAGAGTTGAGTGTCTGTATAGTACCGGTCCTTTGGGGAACGTGCGGCAGGTTTCTCATTTCCTCGCGGATAGCGTCGCTAGGCGCAAGATTGGTCCTTCTCTCGACGGCCATCCTCTTTGCGCGGTTTTCTTCGATCATGATCGCATCCTCTAGCTCTCGTCGAAGGTGGTACAGCACTGCTGCTGTTTGCTCATCACCTTTCTGAGCTGCTGTGGGTGTTTCGCCCCAAGACGAAGGCCGCGCCGAATTTCCGTTTTCGATCGCGAGACGCTCGTCCTCGCCCTTCAACCACCGACTGAAGATAAGCCAGTCTTTGTACAGCTGGTCTGCTTCTGACGGCGCAGGTAACGCGTTGGGCGCAGTGCGTGATGAGCTACCGATGGCATTTGTGGTATAAGCGTGGCCGCCAAAACTGACGCTGCGAAACGGGGCGAGATCCAACAGTCGTTGGGTCTGTTTGGTCGCTTCCAAGTGCAAACGCCTATCCACTGTTAGCATACATGATCAGCATACAGTACCGGCGCATCGGTATGCGCACAGGGGTCATCCCAGGCTGCGAGTTACAGGCGCGAATCATATGTCAGGAGAAGAACTCACAGTTGTAGGAACGAAGTGCACATCTGTAGCGCCTGGTAATGACCCATGATGACAGTTTTCAGGTTCGAAATTTCCTTCTCTTTGCCAATATACCGGATGGTATATACGAACTTCTTCATGCTCATCTTTCTGTCGACGAGATGGTTGGCGTAAGGCTCTATCGTTTCCTCGCATCGCTTGAGGGTTTCCTGGAAGTCCAGGTAGGGAAACGGCAGCGGCTTGCCATACTCTTTCATCAGCTCACTGAGATCCAGCAGACACTGATGGAAGGACGTGAACTCGCGGACGAGCCCCGAGACTTGGGTCTCCGAGTTGTCGTTCGCATCTGGACGCCATCAGTCAAGGGCACCACAGCAACACCAAAGAGTCAGACTCACCTTTGAACGCGAGATAGACACGGGTGGAAACCTGGACGAGCTTGACGACATCAGAGGGACTGAAGCCGAACGACATCACTACTGGCTCTGCGGGCCGCGCTCGAGCGCAGTTCTACCCCAGGGTAGCTTGTTCTCATGCACTGGTGGTATGGGCGCAACAGGAGGGCTGTCGCATGAGCAGGCTCCAGAGCTGGTCGAGGGATGTTGTAGTTGCTGGCTCGAGTGGGCCGTGCTGGTGCCCGCCCGCGTGGGACGTCCAGACAGCTGGACGGGGCGCAGCGTTATTGCCTGCTGCGTGCGCCTGCAGGGCAGATTGTCCCAGGCCCATGATGCGTTCCAGAGGGCGTGCCATCTCGTGTTGATAGAGATGGCGCTTGAGGGTGGCTTTCTGGCGAATCAGGCGAGGCGCAGCGGTGGTCAATGGGAGGGCAGATGGCTGCACGTGGGGGCTCCTTGGACGTCGATTGATGCTGGACTCGCCCACACGACGAGTACTCGGCGCGCTCTCCTCTATGCGAAGCACCCCCCGAAGCAGCTCCCTGGGTGTTGTCTGTCTGCGCACCGCGTACCTGCAGGTCATGCCCTCGTGCCCCGCGTGGAACCCTTCATTTGCCGACGACAGCATCGCACCACAGCCCGCCGTCGACCAGCCGAAATCATTCACCGCGGATACGAGACACTATTGCTGCTCCGCGCGTGCAGGACGAGGCTGCGACACACCTTGCGGCGGTGCTCTGGTCTGGATGCAGGAAGGCCGCCAGCGCTCCATAGCAATACGAGCAGCCACACTATCCTACATGGCTCACCGGTCTGCTCGAATGAGCCTTGGGCCATGCCCTCCCTGTGCTCGTGTTTCGCGCGTGGTGGCTGAGGTTTGAGTCGCGTCCATGATATGAAGGATGGCCTCGCAGAGGAAGCCGCGCACCACACCCATCACACTGCACGCGCCAGCCAAGTCACCCTTCGATCCATACTCTGTCGTCTCGTCTACCAATCTGCCATCTTTCTGTTCGTAGTGTCACGTGCTCTTGCATAGCGTCCGAGCATGGGTCTCCGCAAATGGCTTAGCCGGCCGATGAGAGGCCATCATCTTGGTGTCGAAGACCTGACCAGAGGCGATGAGGGTGTTCCAGTACGTTCACCTACCTTCAAACATCTTCTCTTTCCTTCTGCCACCTTCAGACATCTTCTCTTTCATTCTGCTACCGTTAGCACATCGACGTACTGACTTTTGTAGGCCACCAAACGCCGCAGATGGGCGCTTCAGACCATAGATTCCGCACCATTCCAAGCCTGGGTGGTCGTTGTAGCAGGTATCGGATTCTTGACTGATTCGTTCGCTCTCTTCTGTCTGAATGTTGTCACGCCAATGATCGGTTATGTCTACTGGCCTCACAATGTTGACAGCGATGGCACGCCACAACTTCCGTCTTCGGTCAAGACCGCTCTGATGTGCTCAACCCTCGCCGGTACCATGATCGGTCAAATAGCCTTCGGTGTTGCAGCGGACCAGCTTGGTCGAAGAAAAATGTACGGGCTCGAGCTCGTCATCGTCATCGCGGGGACCTTCTTGATGATCATGAGCTCGAATGGTGAGAAGAACAGCATGGCCGTGGGTGGTTGGCTGATAGCATGGCGGACCATCATGGGCCTGGGAATCGGAGCCGATTACCCACTTTCAGCGGTGATTACAGCCGAGTTCGCACCCAGAAAGCATCGCGCCAGAATGCTAAGTTGGGTTTTCTTTGCCCAGCCCATCGGACAGCTCCTGGCCAACGTACTTTCCCTGGCAGCCGTCGAGGGATTCAAGTCTGAAATCACCAGTGTATATCCAGCATGTCCCGCCGGGGACGAGGGCTTGCAGTGTTTCAAGGCCATTGACCGGCTGTGGAGGACAGTTGTGGGAATTGGTGCGTATCTCCCAGGTGAGAGGTGGATGTCCCATCTGACGCTTTCTTTCTACGACTAGGTATGATCCCAGCCATGATCGCACTAGCGTTCCGCTTCACCATTCCTGAGTCACCTCGCTACAAGCTCGACATTTTACGAAATGTCCATACCGTGTTTGAAGATACGAAAGACTTTTTTGGCGCTCCCGAAGTAGATTCAGAAGGAGGCGAACTTGAGATGTTGCCCACCACCCCTACTGTCGATGGACAAGACCTATCGAGAGTTTCGACATCGTCCGAAATTGCACCTGAGGAGGTGGTTGGTAGTGACAGCGAATCTGAGCGCCGCCCCAGCTCTGTTCACCAACGCCCAACATCATATCAGCACGTCCATCTCCCACCGAATGACCCGAATTATGGTAAGCACCTTCGGCGCGCATAGCCCGTTTTGACACTGTTACTGAACAATGACCCAGTTCCTCCACTTGCCTCTTGGGCCGACGCGAAAGACTTCTTCATCGCTCAAGGCAATTGGCAGTACTTGCTCGGCACCTCCCTCTCATGGCTATTTCTAGACTTCGCTTTCTACGGTCTGGGACTCTCTTCTCCTGAGATTGTCCGCCACATCTGGCAAAACCCGGACTCGGACAATGCAGCGTCATCCGTATTTGACTCTCTGCGTGACAACAGCTTGCATACGCTCATCATGGTATCGATCGGTGCAGTAATCGGTGGCGCTGCAATGATCAAAGTCATCCGCTATGCGAGCCCGAAAGTGATACAGTTCTGGGGGTTTCTGGTTCTGTTCCTGCTCTTCATTGTCACAGGTAGTGCGTGGACCAAGCTTCTTGACAGTAGTCGCTCCGGCTTGATCGTTCTGTACGTTCTATCGCAGATAGCGTTCAATCTAGGACCAAACGTCACGACCTTCATAGTAAGCGTTCTTTCCTATAGACTGGTTGTCTGTCTTCTTTCTACAGCAACAACTGACTCTCATCTTAGATTCCTGCTGAGATCTTCCCGACCCGTTACCGTTGCACCGCACACGGCATCGCAGCTGCAGCCGGCAAGCTTGGCTCCTGGCTCGTCCAGGTCTTTCTCGCCTATGCCTTCAAGTCTAACTCGCAGGAAGAACGGTACGACTGGGAACGTCAAAATTTCGGACACGTATTACAAGTCATGTCGGCGTTCATGGTCGCCGGCGCGGTCGTCACATATTTTCTCGTTCCGGAGACAAGGGATCACGACGGGAAGAGTAGAACGTTGGAAGTTTTGGCAGGCGGAAAGAGGGTCCTCGATGAGTTGAACAAGCAGAGGGCACAAGAGCAGGACTGATGGTCCATGACGTGATATTCCGAATGCAATATTTTCTCGATGAAGTCCTCTACTTGAAGCGACTATACTTTACTTTTGCGATCTGCACCTCTCTCGTACTCCATCCCCAAAACAGTGATTAGCGCGTGTTTTAGCATTACAAGCTCGGGCCCGTTCCAGGTCGTTGGCGGAGGCTTACAAAGGTGGGGGCGCTTACACAGTACATCAGGGCTCATGCCAGATTCGCATCGACGAGGCGAGGCGTTTCAGCCGCTTCACGCCGTCTCCTTCGCGCAATATGTGCGTTACATGCGCGAAGCGACAGCGCACTAGACGGACGATCTTGTGGAACTCCGCAGCCATCGGAGGCTACTGATGCAAGCAGAATATACAGCCTTGCAATGGAGTATTACGGCCACAACCGCCCCCACACGGTCATCGTGGGCCACTAAAAGGTACCGCGGCCGCGCGTCACAGCCGCCAACGCATAGACATTTCGGCCGCGCGAAAATTCACCCGGAGGCGGAATGTAGCGGGAAGAAGGGGAGCATTACAGGGACACGACACAATCGCTGCCTGCCTTGTTGTACGAGCGAATGGCACGAGTCGGACATAGACGGACTTAGTAAGCGGATCAATTTTCTTTCTAGCTCTACGCTGTGGGCATGGAGTAATCCCAGGGGCGGCGAATTGTCTATCCAGCTTATCCACGTCCGCCGCATCAATGCATAATGCCGACATCCTAGATCCTGGTCTCGTCCAATCCTACCTTAGAAAGCACGCGGGCTGTTCTTAAAACGCACAGTGGAATCGCCGCCTCCAACATGAGCGCATCTGAGGTAAGCAGATCTTATTCCAAGGACGCTGTATCAACGCCATCTTTGTAGCGGCCAGACGGTTCGAATTCCATGGCCCATTGTTACCCTGATGCGGCAAGGAGGCTGGGTGCGACCCACTAAAGATCCTCTCAGTGCCTCTATGGGAGATGGAATAAGCGCTAGGCCGCTAGCACGCCCACCCCAATGTTGCGCGTTGTGAGACATGCGGTAGCAGTTGGCGGCTCAACACTGGACCATTGCGACCGTTTGACTTTAGACGGGCGGCGATAAGCGGTGAGGTTTAGCGAAGTGGACGTCAGCACGACCAGCTCGGACAGTGGGTATAAAGATGGCTGTGGTCGCATTCGAGGCCTGCTCATCTGCATCAGTCTCCGCGTTCCACACAACACTACAGCTATCTGACCTTCCCCACACATACCTATTCTCTAAACACAACCGTCACAATGAGCGGAGAAGAGGCACCTTTCGTCCCATTCAGCCAGCAGCCTGACTTGCACACCCCGGCACCGTACCGTGCTGCCCAATTGACCTATCCCGCCAACCTACGACAGGCCCTTAAAGATGCCCAGGCGGACAAGAGCAAGACGCTGCTTGGTGTTGCGCAGGGCATTCCCAACGTCTTTGTAACCAAGATCCTCGCATCGACTAAGCCTGACTTCATCTGGCTTGATGTGCAGCATGGCATCTTTGACCGATTGACGCTGTTTGAGTAAGTTGTACATACTCTAGATCGCATGAAGCCTCCATATTTGGGGATATACCTTACATATTCAACTTCAGCAAAAAAACAAGCTAATGCCCCGCCCAGCGCTGTGCACGCCGCCCAAGCTCACTCCGAAGGCAAAGCCGCCGTCGTCGTCCGCGTCCCCAAACACGATGAAGTCTCCCTCATCACCGCTCTCGACGCAGGCGCCTCGGGCATCGTCGTCCCCGATGTCGAATCCGCCCAAGACGTCAAAGATTTCATCCAGAAGATCTACTACGCGCCCATCGGCAAGCGCTCTTTCTCTCCCTGGATCTTCACCCCGGGCGTCTCGGACGCGTCCCTCTACCCTGGTGACCAGTTCAACATCGCCACGTCGAATCGTCACATTTGCGTTATCCCCCAGGTCGAGACTGTAAAGGGTATCGAGAATCTCGAGGAGATTGCTGCGGTGCCGGGGATCCATGGACTCATGTTTGGTCCTGGTGACTTCATGATAAGTGCGGGCTTGCCGCTCAAGCTGGGTGGTGAGCCACACCCGACGTTTGTGGCTGCGATGACGAAGCTGGTTACTGCGGCGAAGACGAATGGGTTGGCGCTGTTTGGGTACGTTGTTTCCCCTTCCTGGACTTTGGAGACGTGAAAAAGGGCTAACAACGTGACAGTGCTGCACAAGCGCCAGAGATGGTTCCCATGCTGATTCAGCAAGGATACCAAGGTATTGCTGTGGCTTTCGATTACTGGGGCTTGGCTGGTTTGGTCAAGGACTCGCTGAAGAAGGGGGCGGAATATGTGAAGCAGGCGGCTGCTGGGTCCGAGACGCCGTGAGGGAGGGAGAGAGGATGATGTTGATACGATACCCACACGTTAATAATGCAGCGAACTGATCAAAGCAAGATAATTGTATCCTAGCCTAAGATCACGAAAAGTAAAGTTCTAGAAACGAAAGAGTCCATTGCAAAGGCATTGGTGTTCAATGTCGTCCATAATTCCTTCAAAACCGAGTCATCATTAGGGGAATACTCGGTATTGTCTAAGCATATTGTTCGATCCGTTCGAGAAGTCTTCACGTACTTCGCAGTAAGGTTAAGATGCAGAGCAGGAATTGAATAGGATGCCAGAACGCTCACAAGTCTATTGTCATTCTATACTCTTGGAACAGTTTTATCCCCTCACCACTTGAAGCTCTCTTCAAAATACTCCACACCACCAAATCCTCGCCCCAACATCGCAACACACGCTTTCCTTGTCTCATCAGCCATCCTCGCCGGCCCACACGCCACCACTGCAAGCCTACCATGCCCTGACTCTTTGGCCAATTCCTCTACCACTTCATGCACAGCCGGCCTACCTGGCATCAATTTCACCCTCTTCATCCCATCCGCCGGCACATCGTCTGTGTTCTTTACATCCTGAGTCACGTGAACCTCCAGCTCGACGCGCTCATCGTCAAACAGTGTCCGAAATTCGCGTAGCACCGACGCAAGAAACGCATGCTCTCGGACTGCCCAAACTATGCGTAAGCTGATGACGCTAGATGTTTCGGACAGGAGATTGTGAATATGCGAGAGCGGGACTGCGATGCCCGTGCCGCCGACGATGAACAATATGTTCGTGAAGGTGCGGAGAGGAATGGTATGGCCGTAGGGTCCTTCAACGAGGACCCGTACAGATGTCCGGTGCGATGCTGCTCGCTTGGCCAGACGCGAGGTAAAGCCATCGTAGGGCCTGATGAGGAATACAAGAGATCGAGGACTCGAAAATGAGGTTCTTGATTGAAGTAACGCATCTGATTCAGACGATTCGCTAGATTCGCTGCGGTATGCCGATGGCCGGTCTGAGATGGGACTCAATGGCAGCTGAAGATCTGGACGCTCGACATCGGTGCTGACATAGGCAAGCGTGAATGGATGGTTGGTGCGCGTAGAGCGGCTCGTCAACTATATATATGTAGTAGTATGTCCCTGGCTGTACTTTGAGCCATGATTTGTTGCAAGGCACACGTAGGCTGACTAGATGAGAGTTGGGGTCGTACGTCGCTGTGGCTTTCGTGTCCCAAAAACGCCAATTGAAGGCCAGGATGCGAGTACCGCGGACGAGCCGGTCAAAGATCCAGATTGCAACACATGGGTACACGAAACTGTTCCATTCCCAGGACCCAAATATTAATACGTGGCTGTGAAGAGTTAGTAGAACGAATAGAGAGGGAGGACTTGACGTACTAATACATAGTCAATAGCACGAAAATGGAGGAGATGATATGCAGTGTGAGGAAGATCTCGTAATGACTGCGACGCAGCCCGTACACCGAGAAAGCAAGAAGTGCGCACATAAGGATTGTTGCTAGTTCTCCGTTCCAGAAGTAGTGCTTGTGGAGGTACCTCCAAAGGCTGGTCAGTCCATCCCCCTGAGCCGATCAGTAAGGTATCGATGAAACTTGAGCTGGATCTTGCCCTTACGTTCGCAGATCATGATGGTGTAGCCTATCGAGTGGACGACTGCCTGCGCTGTGCTTACCCGGGCTACCCATCTGTGGAAGTTGTTGTATGTGCCAAAACCCCAGCCAGTCACCCACATCAAAGTGTCATTTCTCATACCGAAAAGCCAGATGAGTGGAAAATTGATTAGTGAAACGACACCTGTCCGATCAGATACGAAGCGTACAAGCTGCGCGCGGTGCGTGGGCCAGTAAAGATTCCCATCGGTCAGGCGGTAGCTTATTGAACAGAGTAAGATATTTAGAAGCACGAATGCGAGAATCGTAAGACTTTGTACGCGGGTTGGGATGGTGCACCAGCCGAGCGGTTGCGAGCAACGGTTGTTGAAGGCGGCAGGTATGGTGATGTAGCGTTTCAACAGCGCCTGAAACCAGCTAACTATGCCAGACTGGCCTCGCATATGGTTGAAGCCGTCGGGGCCTGTTGAAACCCGCTGCCACTTTTGTTGCCGAAGACTTTGGATTAGGTATATCAGTCGGCTTCCGATGCCAATAGAAACAACAATTGCCCAGAAGTAAAACATCGCATAACTATTTTGATCAGTCCCGTATATATAGACACACGGGATCCTTACCCGTATGTACGATGGATATCATATTCGAAGAACGCCGCATCCTAATACCAGTCTTAGATACTGCTACGTGACTGAATAAGCAGGCGTCATACCAACGTCGTGAATGCTCTTTCGAACAAGTCTTCATCGGGGACCATGATCTCGTTCAAAGTCGGCCACGTGAAAGCTTCATCTGCGGACAACCGCTTGAAGCCGGATCGCTCTTCTGGGCCATATTGATCGATAATCTCGTATGGTGGCAAAGTTGCATTTACCCTCTGTAAGCAGGTCTCATTTGCATTTTGTAACCAAGCGACGCGTCCATCTTCCTCGCAGTATTCGTCGATACACAGGTAAAGCGAAGTCGCTCTCAGCGTGCCTTCACATGACCGTGCCTTTTTGGACCCTGGACCGGTATCGTTGAAGCTGGCATAGTTGACACCGGCCTCACAACCTTCAAAACACCACTTCCCGGATCTCAGCGCTACATGAGCGGCTATGGGACTGGTGGAAAGAAGCAGCACGAAAGCGATGCTGCGCATGGAGACTGCCGGCGGTTTGTGTAAGCGGCTGAGGTCGGAAAAGGGCAGATGCAGAATCTTATCAGATCGTGCACGGGCGTTACCGGACGTGCCAAGCGCGTTGGGGTCGGCCATGGTTTCCCGCCAGAAGCGCACCCATGCCTCATGGCCACCACTCACCTCCGCGTGCACAGTACACACGCGTAACGCTAGGAATTTCAGTCGGTTTATCCCAGCAAATCAGCCAAAGGAATCTATGCTATCTGGTCTACCGAGACATGAACCTACGTAGCGTGCCCCCGTGGGTGGGCGCTAGATCATGTGACGAGAATCCTTCCAAGTTCCAAGGTTCCTGTGAGGCTGACACGAGAGTCCGTTGCCTTCAGCTCAACTGCCTCGAGAACACCGTCTACATCGACATCTCCCCCAATAGTTCAACTTTCGCAGAAGAAGCTCCTACTTGCTGCCTGAACCGGGAAAAAGCACGCATTCTTGCAGCCTAGTTGCAGCGCAAAGAGTCGAAGACGTGACTTTTGTCAGATCTAGGTGCCGTATTCGGCATGTTAGAATCTCACTGATCAATGCATTGGTAGGGTTTTGGTTCTCCTGCAGGATATTTGGAAATCACGGTCAAGCTAAATCGAACGGTAACACGCCATGGTCACCTATGGTGAGGCTACGCAACCCGTAACATTCCTACCGGCGTCACACAAATATGGTATGTCCAATACCGCTTCCTCTGCGTCGTCTCAAAACCGCTACTTGAGTAGACCCCCCTCGAATTTTCTTCGATGACGGCGCACATGAAATGTATCGTCTTGCCGCGTTGGATTGGCTGTGCTTTTATGCTCGTCTAATTCTTGCTAATCGATCTTCGCTACGCAGCTTGCGTTCGTTGCCGCCAAAGGAAAGTGAAATGTGACAGACTTCTCACAGGATGCGCCAACTGTAAGCGGCATAGGGTTGAATGCACCTTCTCGGCGAGACGGTCAAGGAGAAATCAAAAGCTACACCCTGGAACATCACTGCCAACGCCGATTTTTCCTGGATTGCAAGAACAAGTGAGGAATAGCAACGATTTGCTCCAAGCTGATGGATACAAAGTTGACAGGACCCGGGTCAGTCCGGTGTGGAAATATCTCGTCGATGACACATCGAGAGAATTTGGCGATGATGGCAATGACGAAGAAGAAGAGGAATACGAAGAAGATGATGATGCCATAGTTTCTTGGTGTTTACAGAACCAACCATACAACTGGAGAGGAAATGCCACCGGGCCTGGTCAAGGAATATTGATGGTTACTCCTAATGGAAAGTCTCATTACGTGGCCCGTGATACTGCTAAACATGTAAGTTATAGGATCCAAAACTTCGTCAAATACTCATTGTGTAGGTTCCGTACTTCGAGAGGGTCCTTTCAAGCACACAAGTCGAAACACCACCCGGCCTCATAACACGCAGCGCAACAACGATCAATCGATGCGAGCATCTTGATGCCAATTCTCTTCTTAAACCCCAGAGAGCGAAGGGTAGTCTTTTGTCCTCTTACCCATCCATGAATATAATTCCGAAACTATGGGATCACTATACTGAACATGTGGACACTATGTTCAAGGTGGTATTCAAGCCGGATGTCGCTCGCCTCATCCTACATATTTGTAGGGGCTTTCACATCGACCCCTCAAGCGAAGCCCTCTTATTCGCAATCTGGTTTGCAGTCATCGCTTCGACATCCGCAGAAGATTGTCAAGCTCTGCATGGCATAGAGAGAAATCAGCTTCTTCGCAAGTACAGGATTGCACTTGAGCAAGCTTTAGTCCAAGCAGATTGGATCGCCACACAAGAGATTGTGATTCTCCAAAGCCTCGCAATTTACTTAGCTTTCGCCTCAGAGAAAACGCGTTCGACGTGGGTGCTTAGCGGCATAGTCATTAGTCTAGCTCAAGCTATAGGCTTGCACATGAGCATCGCTTCCTCTCCTTTGACCCCAGTCGAGATCGAAGTACGCCGTCGTATTTGGTGGTCACTATGTCAGATTGACGTTCGTGTCTCCAACAATTGCGGTCTGGAACCCCACGTACCACTCGTCGTAGACTGTGAACTCCCACTTCATGTCAATGACGCTGATCTAGATGCGGGGCATAACGCAGACGACACATCACCTAGAAAAGAGAAAACTGAGATGACCTTATCTTTGATCAAAATTGAACACGCCTACACGACTTTGAGGTTCAAAAGAGCACAGTACAGATCATCTCATTCGGATGGGGAAAAGAAAGACCACCTAATCGGAAAGCAGATTCAGCGGTATACCGATGTCTATATGAAGTACTTCGAGGATCCTTCAGAATTCTCACGGCTATGCGCCCTAGGTTTACAACTCATCATAGCAAGACTTCGGAAGCTTATACCCGACGCATCAGATTCACAGGGGCATGTCGATACAGAAGCTCTGAACGAGCCTCTGCTGCTGTACAATGCAGACGTACTGAACATAGCCCAACAATTACCAGAGATGCAGCGACAATATGGATGGTTCTTCCGCTGCAAATGTTCACAGTGGCATGCTCTGGTCTATCTGTTGATTCATCTGTGCAAATACACCCAAGGAGCTGCTGTTGATCGAGCCTGGGCCGCTGTCGACGCATTTTTCATTACCTTGGGGGAAAAGTACCATCTAGCAGCTCCACGCTTTTTTGACGGCACTTTCACGGGCAAGAAGGATGCCTTATGGCAACCGCTGCTGAGGTTGCTAGCCAAGGCTCGAGATTCAAGAGCACAGTCTTTGCAAACCACCAAAGAAGTAACAAGTACGCCATCTACTCTTGAAACGATCTTCGATGGCACAACATGTGCAACAGTCTCGAGTGAGCGACCCATCGACGAACGGCCGGCTGACCATCCTGCAAAGCAAAAGGGAATGCTTGCAGACCCTTTTCTTGGTCAGTCGTTTGACTTTGAAGAAGAGATGAACTGGGAACAAATAGACGTCTGGGCGCACGATTTTCAAGCTGTACTCGCTCGGGAGGATGGCTTAGGCCACGCAGGGGAGGATGTCCGGGACGCTTTAGACTGGTGGTAGTAATATACTACACGGTGTGACAAAGACCACCGCAGAAAGACTTAGCTGAAAAGATTCAGTGGGGCGTACGTTTGTCCCATTCCAGGCTAATTTGGGCCAAGTGAGTGGCAAAAGCTAGCTGTCTCACTTTGTGGCAGGCTCTTGGAGGGAAACCCATACAGCGACCAACAACCTCTCCGCGTGCGTTGCCATGGTATGGAGTGGATCTTACAACGGATCAGGAAGCATTATGGTAGCGGCTGCACTCACGATGCTTGCTGATCTGGCATCATCTGCCAAAGGAAGGAATGGCGAAGAGTTCCAATGCTTTCAAAGGCTCTTCCAATGGCCTTGGGTGAGAGGAGACTGTCGGGCTACCCAAGGAGCTAGGATATGTCTTTGCCGAACAGCCGAGTTCTTTTCGGGTGGAAAACCACAAAGCTGTTCCAGCACCTCGCACGATCAATAGAGTTAAGAAGGGGCCCCAAACTCGCAAGGCTTATAACTTCCAGGCGGCCGTAGAAAGATTACGGATCTGCCGTTTCGAGGGCCGCAGCATGAGGCGGATCGAATTCTTGCACGTCGAGGGTTTGCCAGCATTACTAGCCTATATTGCCAATAAGAACGCCGTTGGCGGAGAACTCATTAATTCTCCTAAAGATACACTGGCCCAGGATGCGGCGTTCGAGTAATGGTTGCAGTGGACCGACACGTTGCGAACTCTCGAATGCGGCCGGTGATTACAAGAATCGACTTACCGCTATGAGGTGGTCGTAGAAGCGGTGTTCAGGCACGCTGAGGCCGACGAGAAACAGAAACGAAATTTTGATATATCGGATTACCTGGCCGAAGTCAATGACTTCTTAGGAGCGCCATGAGGCACAGGGTTAGATCAAGTGAGGAAGAGAGAGGGCAGTGGGAAGAGATTGGTTGCTGTTCTGCGTTAGAGCAAGTTTGGGATATGATGTCCTTTCTACATGGAGTTTAAGAAGCATTCTGGATCGCTGTTCGATTACCTCAAAACGCAAATAGAACGTTTCTGTGGAGATCTTGCTGCGCCGGACTGATATGGCGACACTCGTAGGAAAAGAACAACACGGGAGACAACCGGCACAATAGTACTTGACATTGTACATTCTCGATGCTGGGCAACCTCTGAGGTGCGTTGACTGAAATCTTCCTGCAGGGAGACCATGGTCGTGTAATCAACAGCGATCTACGGGCCCTGGACAGTGATGGAAGCAGATCCACTGCTCTGGTACCCCTCCGTCGCGAGAATTTGGTAGTCATGGCTGCCCAACGACAATCCATACTTCGTCCACGCATCAAAGTGGGCCTGGACATTAATCGTACCACCCACTCTCTTCTGCTGCCTAACGCTCCAGAACTGGGGGAACGTGCTGGTGCCCTCAATCGACGGCTGGTTAACACGAGTGGTCTGAAGAATGTCGTAGGTGCCGCCATCAGTGGTGATGGTGCCCTTCTTGCTTGCTGCAGAAGCCGGGTTGTAGCTGCCGTACGTCTCGACGATGTAGTACTCAACGAGGGGGTTCTTTGTCCAGCCGTACAGCGAGATGTAGCTGTTGACGGACGCGGCATTCCAGGTGCCCGAGTAGGTGACGGTGCGGCCTGCTCCGGGCTTCCAGCCCTTGCCGGCAACAAAGTTGTTTACGTTGTTCCAGGAGACGGAGTATTTACCACCGGCCTATGAATGTAAGTATTGCTGCGGTTGACAAGTTACAAGGCGCTTTCTTACTTCGTTGTTGTATGTCACAGAGCCCTGACCATCAGTCCAGAAGGAGTAGAAGAAACCATCATGAGTGCCAGTTCCCGGGGAGGTCTGAACGCCGCGCTCGAGAAGGTTGAGCGGAGAGGTCAAGTTGACCGGGTTGGCGAGCACCGAGGCAGCTGTGCCAAGGGCAAGGAAGATGGAGGAGAACGCGACCATATTGACGATCTTAGTGCTGATGCTGCGTGGTGATATTTTCACGCTGCGTCCTAGAGTCCTTATATACTTTTATACCATGAGTCTTGGACATGTTTGATTTTGATGTCGCCAACAGTAAGCCCTTGTTGCCAAGGATGCGATATCAGTCGGTCCAGAGGAGGCTCTTTGATTGGATCAAATTCTGCGATGGTTACCGATGCGCAGTGGCGTCAAATTGCCGGTGTATATTGTGGGGTACATAGATTGGCAAGCGTACCCCGGGTGTATATTAACTACCCGAGAATTGCTGGAAGTTGTCTCAGACCACCGGCTATTTCAGGCCCAAGCTACTGCGAATGTGTGAACGGCAAAGGTATGGACCAACTACTCTAGCCTGCGAAACCCGGTCCATGGTAGAAGCAGTTAACATCGCGGTTAGCAATAGCGCACGGGGCGCAAAGAATAGGTCGTATGATAGACATCAACACGAAAGACCAGACAGGAAGTAAGCTCGTCCTAGCAGTTCGGACACAGTACTCTTCGAGTTAAGGCGATTCACCGCTCAAATAGCGTCGATGATGGCACGCTTGGATGATCGGGCACAGCGGCTTAGAGCTCATCATTCCGACCTTGGCGGTACTATGTAAGTTCCGCGGAATGCCTCAATGAAGGGGTGCGATAAAGCTTTGTGACCAAGACCTCGAGGTAATTAGCCGGGCTGCACAAGTTTGAAGTCCTATGCTGTAGCGTCTGACCGCCGTAGTCTGTCTAGACTTGATTAAACGCCAAGTATTCCGTCCTTGGCGGATTGGCGAATATCACCTTAGGGTGGCTCAAGTGTCATGACAATATGCGTTTGGAAAACGACTGAAAACGATAGGACCGACGTGAATTTGACGCAACCCAACCGGGTCGACGGGTACTATTATTAGGGGTATCTCTGAAGCTGCAGTGAACAAGACGAGGCTGTCGAAATGATGATCCTGGGTGAGAATACTTCAGGATCTAATCGTGGTTTATGTTCTGTTAGACCGTATACAGCTGCATCAGAACCTTGACTGCTTGCCAGCACTGCATCACGTTCGGCGGAGATTCCGTTCGTTCCAGATTCGGTCGATGACCTGAAATACAGCCGTGACAAGCTTCATGGTCTCGCTGTCAAGGTGCTGACCGAAGCGCTGCTGCATTTTGTCAGGATGCCAACGAACGCGCTCAATCTTCAGCAAGGCCAGTGCATCTTCTCTCCAACTGGGCGAGGACCTCAGGAACTGCTCGATCGCCTTGCCTTCGACTTGACCGGCTCGGCCAGACGCGACTGGCCAAGGAATCATGGTCCGCAGATCACTAAGCTCAGGCTTCTTCATGGCCTTGAGGTGGTCCCACTTCGTAAGGTATTTCGCCCATGATGCGTCCGCCTCTTTAGCCCTCTTCCGCTCCGCGCCACGCTTGAGACTTTCTTCCATTTGCCGCCGGATGTTCTCCCTTTCTACCTCATCCTTGGCAGCCTCCTCCTCTAGCTCGCGATTCCGCTCTTTCCGTTTCTGACGCGCCTTCTCACGCGCCGCGCGTTCTTCGAGAATGTGCTGGTGGCTCTTTTCCCACATCTTCGTCCGCACAAAATCAGCGTATTCTTCTTCTGTCATGCGTTCCAGGGTTCCATCGGGGCCTGGCTTAGTATTGGGATATATGTGTATCGGCTGCCCATAGATGCCTTCCCAGTAGTCTGCGCCCTCATCGTCGGCCATGGCATCGAAAATCGACTCGCGGAACACGGTGTCAGAGTCAACGTCTGGCGATACGTTGCTGAGACCATCGTAGAGAGATTCACGGTAGCGATGGTCGGGGTCATCGTAGTCGCCGGTTCGCGTGGATGTGTGGTCGTGATCACGATGCTTGTGCCTGCGCTTTGAATGTCGATGGCGCCGCCTTGTGTCGCTATCGTCGTCTGAACGATGTCGCTTGGAGCTAGAATGCTTTCCGTCGTGAATTTCGTCATCATAATCGCGGGGTTTGCACTTCGAGCGTCGCCCCGATGATGTTTTAAAATGGAATTTTGAGGCTTTCGCGCTGACGTAGACGTCCTTGTCTGCGTTTCTGTCGCTAGCCGGCTCCTCCATGGTGAGGACTGTGGTATAACAACTTCCAGTCGTGCATAGAACGGGAGGTGGAAGTCATGTGTAGTGAATTATAGGCACCAGCGCATGTCAGGTTGAGGTGAGAGGCTCGGTTTCTGTGGTGGACAGCGGGGGAGGTTGCGGAAGGCGCGACGATCTCATTGGCAGGCGCGCGGTCGCTTGCTTGGCATTAGAGCTTCAGACAACGCGGTCACAACCACGGCTGCTTCGCGACACTCCAGACACATTCTTCACTAACACTCGACATGGCCTTCAAGTTCGGCTTAAAGAACAAGCTAGCAAACGGCCCGAACAAAGCAACACTAGGGAAACCGTCGCTGGGAAAGAGGAAGCCGCTATTTGATGAAGAAGAGGATGAGCCCGAACCCAAGGCAAAAACCACAGATAGTGCCGAAGAAATTGCAGAGTTCAACTTCGAAGATACGTTGACTACGTCGAAAACCGAAGAACCAGCGTCAAAGCCCAAATCAAAGACCAAACCACTCGAGCCTCCGACCCGGAAGCCGCTGGCGAAGGACGATGACCCTACCAGAGTTGCGAACCTCGCAAGCGCCAAAGAGTCGGAAAGACGCGCGAAAGAGGCCGAGGAGCTGGACGCAAACATTTACGACTACGATGCCGCATATGAAGCGATCCACGCAAGGCAGCTAGCGAAGAAGGCGGCTGAGCGCGAAGAAGGCGCTGAGCAAACACCCAAATATATGCAGGCCTTGTTCCAATCGGCAGAGCAGCGCAAGAAAGATCAGCTTGCTGCGCGAGACAAGATCTTGCAGCGCGAACGGGAGGCCGAGGGCGATGAGTTCGCCGACAAGGAAAAGTTCGTGACGGGCGCGTACAAATTGCAGCAGGAGGAAGCGCGCAAGGCCGAAGAAGAAGAGAAGAAGAGGCAGGAGGCCGAGGAAGAGCAGAAGCGCACATACGGCATGCAGAATTTCCACAAGCAAAGGCTGATGGAGGAAGAGAAACGACACCAAGAAGCCATGGAGGCTGCGGCGGAGCTCGTCAAGTCGGATGTGAAGCTTGAAGAACAACCGAAGGAGAAGACAGATGCAGAGATGGCTGCAGAGGCACGCGCTCAGGGCAAGGACATCACCCTGAACGAGGAAGGTCAGGTCACGGACAAACGACAGCTCCTTTCCGCAGGTCTTAATATCATTGCGAAACCTAAGGAGCCGACGGCCGCCGCTGCCGTTGCAACCAAGCCAACAGGCCCGGCCACCGGCGTGCAGAGCCGCAATTCCGCGCGGAACGACATTCGGGCTAGACATACCCAGATGGTCGCTCAGCAGATCGCACAAGCTGCGAAGCGTAAAGCAGATGAATCGGCTGAAGAGGCCAGAAAGCTGCAGCATGCAAGCAAGAGCCAGAAAACGGCAAGCGATATTAGCAGTGCAAAGGAGCGCTACCTCCAGCGCAAGAGAGAGGCTGCGGCTGCAAAAGCGGCAGCTGGGGGCAAATGAGGATGAAGTCTACTCCGTTCTCGCTATGTCAAAGATCATAGCATTAGAGGGCATTGCATGATCCAATGCACCTACATGTCCAAATGCGGTAAGTATGCTGTGCGAACAACAGTAGGAGATCTACCGCTAAACGAATTTATAGTTTCACATCTGTGCCGTCAAGTTGCTTCACGTTCATCATCGGGCCCACCCATTTCACCCTCTTCTTCACGAAAATCTCTCCGTCCGGTGGGTATCGATTCAGCTCTTGTGCCAACGTCCCGGCCTGTACAATGATGCATCCTTTAAATCCTTCGTGATCACTCGCCTTCCACAACGTACTCGAGCAAGTACCGCAAAATGAAATTGTAAAAACATGTCCTTGGCCCGAATTGTGGAGGAAATGCCGGGGCGAGCCGACGAAGCGGAGAGAGGTGGATCGTACAGTAATGTTGGCTGAGTGGGATGTGCCGGTCATACGCTTGCAGTTGATGCAGTGGCACAGCATCTAACAACCATCAGCCTGAACTTGGCATTGCAGAAAGTAATGGGCAACAACTCACCGTCTCGACAGGTTCCCCTGAGAACTCGTATAGTATCTTTCCGCACAAACACCCCCCCACTCCTCGTCCTGACATCCTTGGCTCCAAGGATCGGGCAATTGCGTATCTTGGACGATACGATGAAGTCAGTCAAGGACAGCATCTCGATGATGGACTTCAGCGGAGGCTTGACGGTTAGCACTGATCTGGAGATTGCCTATTTGACGATGGCGCGAACACTTGCCCATAACCTTAGATGGACATTCTCCCGCATACGTACCTTCAAGTTCAGTCTTTACAAATCGAATTGAAGAAAGATTTTGAGATAGGCCTGTAGGATACAAATGCTATACTCGCATTGCCCCGGATCTTCCCGCCTCGTCTCCTTGGACGCATTCACCTACGGTCTGGCCCTACACGCTCCTGACGCTCTTTATGGTCCGCCACCCTCTTCCCGGGCATCAAGCCATCTGGGATCATTGATCGTGATCTCGTCAATAGCTTTGGCAAGATCCCCTGGTGCTACTGAGACATTATTCGGTCGCCTACCGTTCTAGGCGCCTTCCACACCTGAAAACGGCGATCAACAAGAGCATAGATGTGAACTCCGCGTGTCTATATTATATTCAGATTGGAAGGGCGATGACGATCGGTGACCAGTATGCTGAGGGTTTAAAAATAAGTATCGGTTTGCAGAGGGAGAAGGTTGCAGATCATGGCACTATTGGATGAATGCCGTTGAAGAAGACCGGTGTGCTCTATTTCATGGTACAACTGAAGAACGTGGGCTTCTTTGAACCGGTCCAAACAGGACAGCTGTCCAGACACGTCGTGGGCATAATTGTGCAGTACTGCCGGCTGCAGGGCTTGTAACAACATCAGAGCGCTCAAGAATGCTTCGTGAGATCAGATCAGATTGCGCTACTTCCTGCTGAACGGACCATCTCAATTAGAACCAGAATGAATAGGGTTTGAATTTAGAGATGCTCACCTGCTGCGGTGGAAGAGGCTGTCAGATTTGGGGACCCTTGGACCTAAACGTGTGCTATCTGCGAACAGCATCCACCAGCAAAATTTCCCACATCTGATAGAGCAAGCCCTGTAACTGAATAGTAATCGCAGATGTAGGCAGCAATAGCACCAGCACCACCCATCCTTACCGGGATTAGCCTACACTCCCGATCCGTGCCGCATACTACGCCTGGACCCCAGCACAATCGCCAGCACTATTTCAACGATCAGCAAACCTCTCCACGCGATGTCTTCCTACTGCTGCGCTTTCTGCGTCAGCATCCCAGCGAAACACATTGGCGTCGGGTGCTGAGCGCGAGCTCTGTTCCCAGGCACAGTGCTCATCGGGATCGGCGAAGAGTTCCTGTCGGCGCAACATTCTGCAGTGGTTTTGGAAGATTGATCTGCTGCCTGGGGGTGTTTATATTGAGGACTTGAACTTTAGGAAGGTGTATGGATGGTTGGGATGGGGTGGCAAGGGCTCCCAGGGCTGAGGAAATCGGAGAGGCGTTCTTGGGAGTTGCGGGTAGGGCGAAGATCTAAAGGGCGTGTGAGAGCGTGTGTGAGAGGATAGGGAGGTCTATTGGCAGGAGGTACAAAGGGTGAGAGGGAAACGGCATGTTGTGGACGGTCTGGGCCGTAGGGAAATGGTCTAGATTACATTCCCCCTCCCAGGGGAGGCCTTGCAAGCCACGACTGAATGGTGGCTACTTACGACGCTTAGTATAGAAGCATGGTTACTATGTCAATGGGGAGGTCAGCCGCAGCTTACTGAATACTAGCGCTCTTACAAGTTGGTTTCTCAGCAAGAATATGATTTATGATGGGCCTGCGTAGGTATGACCTAATAACATGTTGAAGAAGTTCACATATACGCTACAACAAGTGTAAGCTTAACTTACGCTAAATCGTCCGCAATAAATTCAGATATCGATCGTGCCCAGTGTCACAGGCGTATTGAAGTCGAGCTGCCGCACTCAACGCTCAGTCGTCTAATAATCGAACTTAGACCTCGAAATCTTTCTTAGCTCAGGACTCTATGGTTTAGTGTTTTCATGTCTCTGAAGTCTTGTTTGCTGTCTTTAAGACTCCATAAACATTCTACTCAGAAGAGACTTCAACAAGTTTGGACATCTCATTGGCTCTAATTGTTATCCTCTACTAAAACTCTGTAAGGCTAGTTAGGCCAAAATCTACCGCTATACCTAACATTCCGCAGTCCCCCTTCGACAATTCAAGTTCACCATCATCATGATCAAGTCCGTCTACGAGTGCTATCACGCTTGCCATGCGGAGCACTTCCCGTCTACTATCCACCCAATGCCCAGCTTCTCCAGCTTCGAGCACGACCAGGTTCGCGGATTTATTGACTCTGACGCTGGGCGTCCTTCTCAACCCGGCCCTTCTGCTACTGATGCGTCGTATCTTTGCCAGTGCCAGTAACGCGTCCCAACGCTGGCAGAAAGGATCAGTCGATTGGCGAGCGAGTTTATTGGAATTTGTATTCGTGACTGTGATCCTTGTGTTGCACTTCAACCATCGCGCTTTTGGGCCTGTTAATAGATTTTCGATTGGTGAGTAGTCGTGGAGGGTCGGCTTCTGCGTGGTTTGCGATTGCACAGGCTTTGAGAAACGTAGTAGTGCTGTATATCGCTCCGAGCAGCGCTAATTAGGAGCTCCCGTCTGCATGTGGTGTCTGATTGTCCAGGGGCAAGGGAGGAATGCACATGCCGTTGTTGATCCTGCTTAAGTATGCGATTGGACGGGGAAAGTTTCGATGAGTATCGAGTCGCGCTAGATTTGAATTATCATTGTCACGGCCATTATTCATGGATTTTCTAGTCCACCCCTTTTCGTCGTCATGTTCAGCTTAGAAGTCTCATCCCTCTATTTGGTCGCAAATCCCCAAGACACAACACCCGCCCAGATGACTAGACCATACTGCGTCAGCATTCCCAATCCTCCGGCGTACCTCCCCTTCCCATTCTGATTCCAATTCGTGTACCCAATGCTATACAATATCCTGTTCACACTCCAAAATACGCCCAGTCCAGCGGCCACCTTCGGCTGCGACAGTCCGCAGATCAACAGTGAGCCTACAGTGGCAAGGTGGTTCTCGCCGAAGTTCTGGTGCCCGCGTTGTGCCGCGTTGAAGGCAAGGAGTTGGGCTTTGCGTTCTGCGGGAGCGGTTTGAACTTGTTCGTACGACGCGTATTCGAAGGGGTAAGGGACTTTGGCGGCTTTGCGGAAGGAGCCGACGCGAAAGCCGAGGATGGTGCCTGTGAGGAAGGTGGAGACTACGGAGAAGAGGACGTAGCTGGATGTGTGTTAGTTGAGATGAACGGAACGATCGGTGTGGGCAATGGCGATGAAGGTGGTGCATCGGTAAGTCCACATACCCATACTCGGCGGGAACCTCAATGGCGACCATGTTGAGTGCTTTGTTTGTATTGGTGGATTGAAGCGTGGGAGCTGTTTACGGTGTCGTATGTGGCTTGAATCCGTCTATCCAGATGTTGCGTGATTCAATGCTCGAATGGCGAGTTTGCACACTAAATACAAAGACTCTGCACGTCCAGCAATGGGGAGATCGGCACCAAAAAGTGTGGGTTACCCGTCGGATTGGAGCTCTGAACGCTGTGAAGTGTGCCTCGGACGAGTTTCAGCGGAGAAGGACGGAAGAACATCGTGCCGACGGCCCAATGTCGCCGAGTGTGAGGACAAGATCGATACACAACATCTTCGAAAGGCAGCGTGAGTGCTTGCGATGGTGGTGAAGAGTACAGGTGTGGTGTATATATTTACACAAACATAAAGGATGACGTGTCCGGGGATGTTGATTGGTTGTCAGCAATGACGACGGAGCTCGCAAGTGCAAGGATCACTGAGCTCCGAACGCTGTCAAGCAAGTGTAGAAGCGGCACAGCATACTAACTTGGTACAAACATCAGTAGAGAGCAATTTATTATTGTTACGTTTTCGGATTGCTAGAGAGCGGAGAAATCAGAGGCAACCTTAACTTCTACTGCCCATCACGGTGCAGTTCCCTAGGGAGCATCTTTGAGGTCACCGTAGAAGTCTTCCATACCTCATGTGTTGCTCATGACTCTCAGAAGTACAGTCTAGGGCGTGCTTTAAACCATAGCCTAGTATCCAGACCCATCACCAAGCTTGCTGAACGTGCTTGGCTCGGGCAGTACAAGGTAGCCTCGCGACTCAAAATCTTGACGCACTTTATGACCTGTCCGCACCTGGGATCTGCGTCGACTCATCCCGTAGAGCACCAGAGGAGCAATAGTGTTCCTTCTCTGTGCTTTCTCTACTCGAATCGCGTATGGCAGTCATTTGTCGCATGATCTTGCCGACATCGTCTCGTCCGAAGATTTTTCCGTTACAATCCTCCATTCCCTCTCTTCAAGCGGCCCTGCCCTGCGCTCCGTTTCGCTCGCTATTTGGTACTGTCCACGCCTCAGGTGTCTTCTTCACCAACCCCTCCACCAGACCCGCAACCTCCAATGCCCTCTGTCTCTCCATTTCCGCATCCTTTTTGTTTGCCAGCGTGTCCAGACCACCAAATAGCCACAACTCTTGTAGATCGCGTATCAACATTGACATATTTTGGGCAGTTGTGGCCTACTCCCTGTCAGCCCTTCTCTAGACCTCAGCTTGCGGTTTCTAGCGCGCATGCAGGTGATGGACGCGGTCGGGAAAGCGTACAATTGCCATAGCACCTTCTTTGATGGAGAGTTCCTTTTGCGCAGATTGGCTGAAGTCCGGGTTGTTGTCTTCTCGGGCGACAGCCAGGATTGCGCGGTATTGGTTAAGGAACTCGTTTAGAAGGTCGTTGATGCGCTCTGTCGTTTGGTAAGCTGATAAGTCTCACGCCATGAGAGGTCCTCCTTACTACGCAGCGCGGCAGCGTTGCGGTGCTTGGGGTCCATTGTCGCATGCGTTGATGGTAGAGCTTGAGTGGGAGCTTCAATGTTCAGGTGGACCTTGAGCTTGATCTCTTGTCGATAAGGAGATGGCTCGTGCGCTACTCGTTAGCCGAGGCTTGGGATCGTGGTGAATGTATCCTAAAGGCCAAACAGCATCTAACACAACTTATACAAGGTCTCGCGTCTAATTTTCACATACTGCGCATTTCTTGCCATGTACTATATTCTGGTATCTTGGCTGACTAACCTCGTATGCTCGCGCAACATACTCACCGGGCATTGGTAAATTTTCCATGCCCACAAAGCAAGTTCCTAACTCGCCTTACTCCGTAAAACAGTAGTCCCTCAATACAGGCTAGACCAATTGTTCTCGTCACGAATCGTCGGTAGGGGAGCTGACCCTGATCTCCCGATCCGCTCCGTCCCCACGACTCTAGTTCCATAATTAGATTTCTCTACCCGAGTCAATACAGTCCTTCCGATTCGTTGACCTCTGTCCTGCACCGAAAAACTTGTGTCAAGTACAGGACCAACTAAGATCTTATCGTCGTTTCCGACCTACATTGACCTCAGCACTATGCGCGCGCCACCCTGTTCCTAAACCCTAGCGCCAGGAGGGCGCTCTTATCGCGGACGCCACCCTCAACTCCGGAGAACAGAGCTGTCCATAGAACAGTAGCGCTAGCTATAGCATAACTTCAAATAGCGCCACATTCTCCATTACGGGACTTTGTCCGTCGGGAATATCTCGGGCGCAGGGCTGAAGCTCAAGGTCTTCGGTGGACTGTCGTGTGAAGGATACTTGCTCCTTGCAGGGAGTGGGCGATCTAGGTGAGATTCAATTACAGCCGCTGGAGGCTCTGACGTTGAAGACTGCGAAATAGTCGTTGGCGCGCGAACTGTTCTTCAGTAGCCTACTGAGGGACTAAAGAGCTGTTTGTTAGATGGACCTGGTGGTCACACATTTGGTGCTTCGGTGCAACGAGTGAGCAAAGCATGAAGAGACGATATGGACCATGCGCCGTGTTCGTAAATCATGACAGCCGTTAAACTATATACTTGGAATACGAATGAAATTTAAAGATCGACGTAGGAAACGGTATGCACATGAGAAGCCCAAGGTTGTGTACTGCGAAGAGGACAGAAGAGAACGGGGCTCGATGCCTCGTGTATGGTATCGTGAACAGGCTCAACGCCAGAACGAGAGACAACCTCCAAGGCGAGGTATGGCTGCCCTAAACTCGAGTTCTATAACAAAGGAGTGCGTTGTAATGTGTTCTGAAACTAAAACGCGGTAGTAGATGCGTTCTTTCGTCGGAAAATGGTACCGAAGGAAGTTTTTCGTGAATGACCCCAGGATTGATTCCGCGTATGCGCGGCCGACATCGTCGTGACTGGAGTCGGAAGCTGGTTGTCCGTGCCGAGATCTTCGTACCTCCATGTGGGTATCAAACTCTTCGCAGTCTTAACCTCCTCGACGTTGTTGTCGACATTGCAACTGTACGGGAGCGATATGTCTAACACTGGTTTCTCTTTTCTCGCGGTCTTAGTTGGCTTGGAAAAATTGGGAAATCTTGCCGGTGTTTGTTTAGTTCCGATTCGTTCGTTGAACACCGAGAGTGTAGACGTAGCTACTTGTGTTAGCTGAGATGAACGATAGCTTTGAGATGTGCATACCAGAAGAAGCTACGGAGTTGGTTGTGCTTGCGGAATTGCGCGTGGAATCCCGAGAACTGCTCGAGAAGTATTCCTCCTCTAGAAGATGTCAGTCTGACATGCTGTAACAGTCATGCAGCGCCAGTTACCTTGCTGTACAACAACCGCTGATATCGGGCTACTCGGCTTTGTCTTCGTTAGCCTACGACTACGACTGCGAGACGGCGGTAACGGATGCGTCTTGATCGGCGGCGGCAAAGGAACCGCGCGTGGATTTGAGTAAGCATGAAATTCTTCGGAATGCCTGCGTGACAGCGTATGTTGACCCCCCTTATGGACCGGCTCTGCTCCACGCAAGACTAGTGGAAGCGGTAATAATTCGGCGTCGTGAATAGGCATGTCCTGGAGGATGGCTTCAATAGAGGTAGGTTCTCGAATCCGATGCGTTTGCCAGCCGGAACCAGGCAGACTGTACTCGCTGACCGTACGAGAATGTGTATAAGACAAAGCTGCGGAGCGACGGATGATGTCGCTCTGTCTTCTGCGGTTCGCTGCAATTTTTGCACGCATCTCTTCTGCGGTCAAGGCAGCTGGGGTCTCACTATACGCCGGTCTGGTCGGATCGATTCGGGGACTTGGAGCAGGCCTGGCTGGTGGAGGCGATGGTATCCCAGCGGGTTCAGCGAAAGGGGTAATCTTAAGCTCTTCGACTACCTTACTAGCTCTTTTGGTCCTTGAGAAGATGGCCATGGTAGCAGTGGGTTAGCAGCAGCATGCGATAGTGAATCTGGCTGTGGCGGATGCTTGCGTGTCAGCAATATGGAAGCCCGGAGGATTATAGACTGATGCGATTGAAACACGTAGTAATTGAGGCGCTTTAGTTCAATGAGAGCCCACTGAACTATAGTAGGTCCGGCAAAAGGCTGGGCTATTGCGACGTTGGTGTTTATGCGAGTGATCGACGAATAGGCTCGCTAGTTCCCGTCTGGAGTCGGGCTCAACGATCAAGATCCATAGCGCCGGAGATCCTACGTTCAAAAAACCAGAAAGGCAGCTGGAAACTGACAATGTCATGAAGGGCGAGGAAGCTGACTGTGCGAATACTTAACCACTTGGAGCTGGACAGCCATCGGAGTGTGTTAGCATTGATTCGCTGTGCATTAGAGGACACGTCTTGAGACTCCGAAGGCAACCTTCCCTACTGGGGAAACGGGTCGCGGCGTAGATCCTGGGGCGAGCGAATACCAGCCACGACCGTATCGACTACCCGGAAGCTGAACGAAAATGCCGAAGCTGTCAGAAGCCACTAAGCAAGGAGGGCAACTCTGAACCCTGCGACACGTCCTGTGACTCTCCACGACCCCATCTATCTGCCGCACGTGAGGGAGAAACGGTGCCCACCAGTTACATGCATGATAGTGAAAAACATGGGATGTTACTGTAGATTGCGACATGGCACTTGAGGGTTGGCGATTGCTGCGAGAAGCCGCCGGCCCGGCTGCTGGTTTCACGAAGTGGAAGGATCAACGGTTCCCGAGATGGTGACGAAGGCGACCCACCGGCCAGACTGCGCCTGCGCACATCTCAGAGTTTAGGTTTGCGGGAAAACGAGGGTTGCGCACGAAGGGTTGTGTCGAGGGAGGAGACGAGAGGTTAGGGTAATGGTTTCCTTGCCCTTATCGATAACGTGATCGGTACCAAGCTCTCGTCGACAACGTCGTTGCAACTGACACTGTCATAGATTCGCAACAGTGCTTGAATACCTCGTTTTTCCTAGATAGGCAAACCTAGGTAGTCATGTCGACGTGGACTAGAGGTTTGGAGTCCATTCATGGACCTGTTCCGTCAGCAGCTACGACTTAGCCCTTGTGGTACAGAAATCGAGACCAGTGACCTCTGAGGTCCTTTGAGAAAATGATCCCACTCAGAAACTGGAAAATTCGCTAACAAGCTAGCTGGTGCACAGAGTCAATCATCGATGACGCCGGGCGGTAAACCCCTCACGTGATCCTGAAGATCTCACGAATCCGTCTCCTGGAACGTCCGGAGTACCGGGCCAGGTTTTATTCAAGCTGATCAACTTTCCTGTGCGCGCCACTTTCGTCAAATGAAGACAGTCACGCCCATGTCATCTCACGCGGTCACTACGGTGTGAACGCTACCAGTCAGAAGAAAGCGGACAACCCCATCGAATATCGGGAAGGTTGCTCGTTGATTGGTATCAGTCTTGGTGTATCTTTCAAGTATAATCAGCAACGTGAAACCGGGATATGCGCACTACAGGACGAAGCCCCAGCAGGCAGATATCTTACGGAGCTCAGCCGACGTCTAAGAACAGCCCAGCCCTGGTAGCACCACGCACTTTCAGCCTATCCCCATTGTCTACAGGGTCGAACCAACCATTCCTTATCTGGATTTTGGTCTTGCATATACCGAATTGGATTTCGATCTCAAGCATCTCCTGATCGCAATCCTGGTATTATATCAATGCAGGACTTGGAAAGGTTACAAAGGCTAGAGTGTATTGCATTGATGATAAAGATACTGTACCGAGGCCCTCAAACTGTTCAGAGATGCTTTGGCAAAACTTGACGTTCCATTCATTGAGGATTCAGATAGTGCGTTAATTAAATTCGTATAATAACATGGCCATAGATGTGAAGCGAAAAGGACGCTTGCACATTTTGTATGTTTTCGAAGTAAGTGGCCACTGATTGTTTCCCTTTAGGATATCTCTACTTTTCATACATGAGTGGCTGGTACGAATTATTTCAGCTAATCAGTCACGGCACGGCACTTTGAGTTGAGTCGCGAACTGCGCAACATGGTGGCGTAGCGAAACCGTAAGCTCAGATACTACAATCATCTCGAGACTACCCACAAAACACTTCGGCGGCTAAAATTAGCATCTCCAAGAGTCGAGTATTTCTTTCCAAGATGCAAACATAAAGAGACCGCTGGAGAATTAGGACTGTCGTTTGTTTACACTGTTTAAAGGTGAGTACATAATGGTCAATCGATATACCTAGCTTGTTGAAACCTAACAGAAGATTGCACTGGTGTCTGTCAGAAAACGGAGAATTGCTTGGATCGAAGCAACTCGCTTCATGCTGCCCCCAAGCACGGACCTGTTGATGCCATCAGCCACCCAGACGAGGCAAGGTGGGCTTCGATCCGAATATTTTAGCCCGCAAACCGAGTGGTACCGTAAATGAATAGAGGTCCTAGGATAATAACGCCTACTCTCACCTCCACGATGATGAAACTCGTATTCTAGAGCTCAAGCCTGGGAACTTCGAAGATCTTCCTCATGGCTCTTTGCACGATGTCAGCATCAACTTTGCATACCCATTTGTTGATTATTACTAGCGAACCACCAACCAACGTGCTATCGCTTTCTAGAGCAGGTCTGTCCTAAAACACAGCATTGACTCATGCGTGGGGTGCCCCGACCTTCGATGTACTATCCTGTTTGACAAACAACTCCACAATTCAAATTATTACTAGTCTAGCCTCAGCTCTGAAGCTCTTGAGAAGCGAGACCGAGAGTGTATTTCTGAGGAACGATTAGATATGCGTAGATCAGTCTGGTTCCGCTGAAGGGCATGATTGACAGCCACGCGACCAACACCGTGATCTGGCTGGGCGATGAGGGGGATGACAGCCCTCAGCTAGCTTTTAATACAATTCAGAATGTACAGTCGACATCACAATGGTACGAAGGCTAGATTAGGCCGGACGACTGCGAGCGTCCGCATTGTCAGCGCTCGCAACTCCTAAGTGGGCAGAAGACGGCAACGTCTTCTGCAGACCTTGGTTCGACTGACTTTGGGTGGTACAAATAGTAGCATTATCGATCAAATTATATGACAAAGGTGGCAAGGCAGTCGTGGGCTTGAACAATTGTCTTTGTGGTGTTTGACAATGTAGTTCAGTGGTCTCCGAGCTATGATGGAAGAAGACACTCCAATACCGGAAGGCTAGTCGGGACTCTCTACATCTTTTACTAACTGTCTACATCTCGAATCTACAACCAAATCCGCGCTGCTCCACCACCTCAGGTCTCGATAAGCGGATGCATCAGTCGCTAAAGACAAGGGGTATACAGTGCGTGAAATTGGATCTATGGGGTTTGAATGCAGACCTCTCTGAAGTCACCACTCTCCAGATTAGGCTCCATACTCAGACGACGATCTGGTTCGAGATGTGGTTTTCCTGAAGGTTGAATTTGCGGATCTTTCCTTGGAGCTATTCCGCCTCCAACCTCGTGTAGACCATGGCCGGCCGGTGTGTCCATCTTGGATCCACGATTGAAATTTGCCTATGGCTACAGACTCTCGGCTATTTGACCAAGATTAAAACGTACTCCTACGTATGTGGCCCCATATTCGGCCCAGCAACTGGCAAGGCATTTGAAACACCCAACGCGACAAAGAACGATAAACTTTTCTAATCATGAAGGAAATGTAGAAGCGGGAATCCGTATTGATTGAGTTACATCTCGAAGGCGAAGGGAATTGCTTCCTACGATAGTGGGAAAACTGTGAGACGTGTTCTGGGAGACGCTCGCGGCCAGTAAGAATGGCTATCTGACGGCTATGCGCCCAAGACTACAGTGAAGTCATCAGGAACTTTGCGATAATTGCGTTAGTGGGGAACAATATATTGCTGATCGCTCATAGACTCCTCGCCGATGGTAAGGCTTTTCCACACTCAACAGTCTTACATCACACAAGCCGAACAAACTAGATGATACGAAGAAAACGTTTCGTTCCGCAATGCATTAAGCGCGCGTTTGCGATTATTGAAAAGGGGCACTTTTTCCTGGCCCTAAGACGTGCAAGGGTGGAGGACGCAGTTCTCATTCTTCAAGAGGATATGTGACGTTTGTAGTACAACACAAGAATGATGGTGGAGTGAGGAAGTGCTTTGCCCTGATTGACGAGAGATATGTGCATGGTTACCGAGAGGGAAGGTCTTCAACACAAGTCGATGCGAGCTTGGGAATACAAAGCTAGTGTAGGCATGAGGCAGGAATTTCGGGAAGAAGGTATCGCATTATCTTAAGTTTCTTACCATACCCCGGTTTTTGTACAAACCAAGAAATGATGCGTCCAGCTCATTGTATCTGTCGCGTACGTAATGAGGCTCTATATAGATGCACATCATGTCCATTGCGGTGCAGGGCTACTATCGTATCCAAAAAAACTCTGCCCTTGAGCCAACAAGTTCGAGAACTCCATCCTAGGCATCATCACTCAACAGAACACCAACAAGTCACACCAAAACTATTCCCACGAACGTTGCCTAACAGCACCAGATCAAAATGCCTAAAGAAGTTCGAGAACTGCACTCTCACGTAACAGCACCGATGTGGTAACCCACATCACCCTTACAACCTTTCAGTTCAGAATGTGGAGGCTCAGCACTACCAGTACCAGGTTCTCCACGCGAGTTCACTATCGGCTCGATGAATCCTGAATCTTCCCCTTGTCTACGAAGTACTATTGGAGCCGGTAAATTAAGTTCGTCAATCTGAAGCCTTTAGCCGAAGCCACACGAGCTTCGATAGTGTACACAACCGATCCTTTGATTGCCGAAACCACATGGTAGGCAGACACCAATTTACACTTACGCTACCTAGCACTTCTGGAGTACGCAGAAGGGAGCAAGTCCATACGTGTGGGGCCGTTGTGGGAGCTGTGACCCGTGACGCGTGTGTGACCACAAGCCATGTATAGAGGCCCTTCCCTGTCAATGTTCGTCGTAGGTCGCGAGTCCATCTCTCGTTCAGCCTCACGAATAGCACTCGAAATACTCCACCATGATTCTCTCGACTCTACTCTTCGCGGCGAGCGCTGCGGCGCTGCCGAATACCCTTGAGAGCAGGCAAGGTGGGCAGAATACTATGTTACGATTTGGCTGCTCGCAGGTGATTATAGACCGCATCGATCCTCTTGTCAACCCAGGTCTTGCTCCTTCACCACACATGCATCAGGTATGCTCCGTCACATACACCAATGCACAAGAGTGGCGCTAATTATACCCGTAGGTCATCGGAGGAAATTCCTTCAACACGACCATGCAGTCGACAGACATTGCCAAAATCTCGACCTGCACCACTTGTGGATATTCGGAAGATGTACGTGGTGGGTAGAGGAGTGGTTCGATGGTTGACGTGCTGATACAGAATTAGTTCTCCAACTACTGGACCGCCAACTTATACTTCAAAGCGAAGAATGGAACGTATAAGCGTGTGCCTCAAGTTCCCAACCGAGATCTCTTCAATGATAAGTATACTGGAAAGACGAAGGGCGGTTTCGTCGTCTACTACGTGTCACCAGGAAAAAGCAAAGTTACCGCATTCAAGCCTGTGAGTGCCGCTTGATCTGACAATTCCTTAGACAGCTAAAACTCACACAACGTAGGGTTTCCGCATGCTTGTTGGTGATGCAAACAACCGCGTGAGCAAAAATTTGAAGTCGCAAACCTGCTTCCGATGCTACACTGGGCCGAATTTTGGAGGTGACAATGCCGCACCTTGCCAAGATGCAAAGTACGTTTCTTATTATCCCATGCCGCCGGCTTTCTGACCATAATAGGCTCGACACCGAGGGCCTACCCAAGGCTGCCTGTGCTGGTGGTATTCGATCAAATATTTTATATCCGACATGCTGGGACGGAAAGAACCTTGATTCGCCCGATCACAAGGTATGATAAAAAGCCCTCCGTGATCACAGTCCGACTCGTCCTAATTCTTGGACGTGTAGTCGCACGTAGCGTACCCAAAGAACGGACCTGCTACATTCACTGGCAGCAGTGTTGGCGGAGACTGTCCCTCAACTCATCCCGTGAAAATTCCCCAAATCATGCTTGAAGTAAGCTATCCTTTAGCTCACTACCAACAAGATTCATTAACAACAGCTATAGATTGTCTGGGACACTACGCAATTCAACAACAAAGCAGATTGGCCCACCGACGGCTCGCAGCCCTTCGTCCTCAGCACCGGCGACACTACAGGCTTCGGTCAGCACGGTGATTACGTTTTTGGTTGGAAGGATGACTCCCTGCAGAAGGCGATGGATGATGCTAAGGGCTGCATGGGTGCCAACTGCGGTAGCCTCAAGACTCAACAGCCTGATGCTGGCAATGCATGCAAGGTGCCGAGGCGCGTCAACGAGGACGCCGAGGGCTGGTTGACTGAGCTGCCTGGTATGGAGATGCCCATGGCTATGTAGGTGAGGAGTCACGCGTGAACTGTTTCCGCACAAGGCGACGTTTTAATTCCAGTGTAGTAGCTTATGTAGATGAAGTCCATATATCATTCGATTCTGATTAGCTGTTATACTATACGACCTCGATATGGTGAATTCGTGCTATAGCTGCCGGTTATAGTGCCGCTAGAACCTTTGGTCGACCTCGGAGCGGTAATGGCTACAGGTCTTAGCACAGTATCCAGACAGCATCACAGTGGGTGCAGGGTAGACTCGGACACAGTTACAGTAGATGTCCCGGAAAGAGCCCAAGTCTTCCTTACACCCATGGTATATTGTGAATGACTGTATTCCTACCGCTAACAATGGCTTGTACCAAATTGAATGCGCCTTTGCCTAGATCCGTCGCCCAGCAGCCCAGGAACGACTTCCCGTCTTTTGCGCCCGCAGTCGAGACTATTACACCAGTGTTTCAGTATCCCGAATCGCAGAAGATGGACGTCGAGCCGGCAATGCCATTACCGGCGGAGCATGAGGTAAAAAAAATCGCACGACTTGTTCTTCTCGCAACACTGCGCTTACGGACCGCTTTGCGTGATGGTGGCTGGGAAATCGCAGCTTCGCAGGTCGGTGACTAGACGACACGAAGTGTCAGTTATATCTTTAGATCTAAAAGCTACGCGCGATGGCGCAATGAAACGCGCTTTGTGCGCTTGCAGAAGAGCTGAAGGACTGTGGGGAGCGTGGGAGCCTACGTTCAGATGCGCCGGGCGTGCTGATGTACCCCAGAATCGATGAATCAGCGCGGGGGTGGAGCTCAGCCCGAGCGGAGCGGTCATCAGTGGCTCAGGAGCCGCTGCCGCAAGGGAAGCTGCAACGAAGCTCAACGCCAAAAATTGTGCCATGATCGGTCTGGAGATGGGAATTGCAGCGTTAAAGCTCGCAATGCGATGAAGACACGCGAATAGGGGCATTCGCGCCTCCAGTCCAACGTAGCCTCGCCGCCATGCGCTGCTTCTTCGCTTCGTCCTTTGCCCATCTCTCCAGATACGGCCCATACTGATCTTGTATTAGAACGCTCGACCTTCGACTTCGGCATCAGATGGTTGTTGGCACTCGGCTCTTGCGTCAAGCTTGGCGATGGGTTTACATCTTGCTGTAGATGTCTATGACTCGAATCTAGGATACTCTATCCCAGGGTAACTCAAGCTATGAGACGTCTCCAACACTCTAACTCGCTGCTGCCTCTATGTGGTCGACTGCACTGTACACAAAAGCTCTAATTAGCTTTCTGTACCTGCATTCTCTATGTGCCATGATGGCATCCGTTGATGCAGTACCCCGCTGCCCGCCCTTCCGAAAGAGGAAGGTCTTGATACCTCTCTCATCATGAAAGTCAGCGCCGGGGCCATCATTGACCGTCCCATTGCCCACTCTGTTCGACTTCGACTGTTTAATTATTAGCTTTGGCAGAGGCATGTACCACTGCGTCTCGCCTGATCCAACTATGAAGCCTTCGAACATGTTTTGTACGAGCAGCTTCATTTGCAGCTTGAAACGTGTTCTGAGCCCCTTATCTGAGGCTGGGCATAACCCTAGCTACATAATTGAAGCTAAACAATGCTACCTCGCATCGCAACACGACGATCGGTATTCAGTCACAACTCAGTCCCATATCCTGTTTGTGGGCGGGTTAATCAAAGACGGTAGATTTCGGGCAAGCGCTCCCTAATGCGGGGGCATCTTGCTGTATATAGCTTTGTGGAACGCCGAACGTACATTGCAAAGGTCACCTCCTGTTACGACGCATTCATTTCCTCTTTGTAATTTCAAATAACGACCACTAAAACCTTTGTATCCAGACAGCAGAAGATTAGGAAAACCGACTGACTTTGCGGCACGATGTTGCGATTAATTAACGCTGTGGCATGGATAGCAATTATAGTCACTGCGCAAAGCACACCACAACCATACCTACGGACGCCATCTTCCCGACAACTGGCCTGGCATCAACTTGAATATTACGCATTCGTTCATTTCGGACCCAACACCTTCACCAACGAAGAATGGGGACGCAGCCAAAGCACACCGGATGTGTTCAATCCCACAGCATTAGACACAGATCAATGGGCAAAAAGCTTCGCGGACGCGGGCATGGCAGGCATGATTCTTACTGCGAAGCACCACGACGGCATGGCGTTATGGGACACTAACACAACAACATACAAGATCGGGGACGGAAAGTGGGCAAAAGATCGTATCGCGGCAGGACTCAGCGCAGATGTAGTGCGCATGGCTGCTGCATCGGCGCTGAAGTATGACATCAATTTTGGCATATATCTTTCGCCGTGGGACATCCATCGCGACCCAGCCATGCCGAAGCCCAACCTCACTGGAACACTCTACGACGAACCCCAGATCTTTGGCGACAACACCACAGGCGACTACAACGACTTGTACGCACGTCAATTGACAGAGCTTGTGACCTTGCAATACGACAACGGCTCTCGAATTTCACTGTTTGAACTCTGGCTTGACGGTGCAAGTGGTTCGGATACAGTGCAGACATTCGACTGGGCAAAATTCCGTGACATCATCCGCGAGAACCAGCCAGGTGCGGTGATGTGGGGTCACCAAGGTGTGGATGCTAGGTGGGTTGGCAACGAGGATGGCTACACGGTGCCGACGAACTGGCATACGATTAGTAGGACGCAGGATCAAACGCATTACGAAGGCGACAAGCTGCAGACTGGGGTGCGTGATGGGCTGTACTGGACGCCTGCGGAATCTGATGCGCGAATCCGCGATGGCTGGTTCTGGCATGCAAACGAGAAGCCCAAGTCGGTCAATGCACTGATGCAAATGTACATGGAATGCGTGGGACGAAGTGTCAATTTGCTGCTCGATGTACCACCGGACACTACAGGACAAATCCCCGAGGAAGATCTGGAGACTCTTCTACAATTCAGAGAGCAACGTGATGCCTTCTTGAAGCGCCCACTGCTTACTCCCGACCTCGATGTAAGCGCAAGCAGCGTGCGCGAAGGAGACAGCAAGCAATACGGTCCGGCCAATGTGCTTGACGGCCGCACTGAGACTTATTGGGCGATGAACGACAATGAAACGACCGGAGTATTGGAAATCCGCCTCGATGGTACGTACAGCATCGATGCGGTCATAATGCAAGAGCAAATCGCTCTCGGCCAGCGCGTTGGTGGTTACTTGATCGATGCAGGTGTTGATGGGGCCTATAGGACGATTGTCAATGGCACATCATTGGGATACAAGCGCATATGGATTCTGAATTCAAGTGTTGAAGCGAACAGTCTTCGGCTGCAAATTCTTCAGTCAAATGCAACGCCGTTGATTAGCAGCGTGCAAGCGCTTGGGGTAAAGCAGTGAACGGCAACAAGGAATAAACAGCAAGATTTAGCACTGTAGCAGGCGTAACATACAGAGCAAGCTTAACCCCTCCTGAACGAGCGCTTGGTTTCGATGTATAAATGCGTTTTTTCTATATATATTTCCTTTTGAAGTATCTTCATATACTTTGTTCAATTTGTTCCTCCCTTCCCTGGCTCTTTGCGAAGCCACAAAAGCCTAGAGACGCAGTGCTAAGATAAATTTGATCACATGTCCCTGTTGTAACATTGATCCAACTCAAAAGAATTCAAATAATAATATTGCTCGTCCTCAAGACAATGTAGAAAACCACTAATGTCAAACTCGTCCTGCTCCTTGTCGTCCGTCATGATGGGCATAGAGATTTCTTCCAATGGTATATTACGCTTATGGTCTGTAGGTGATATAAAAATCGAACTGCCGTCGCCAGGGATGGACTCAGGGACTATCTTTGCACAGACCGGGCTGCTGCAGCTGCTTGGTGTAACAGGTGGAGTCGGAAGCTGGTACCCAAAGTCCTGAACCTTTTTCTCGTCGGTAGCAGAATTAGACATGGTACTTGACGGCGCGATTTGACACATGTGAGTCCAGTGAAGCTCGTCGTTGATAGATGACAACAGGTCGGTCAGGTCGGGCTGCGAAACATTCCACTTAGCATCGTTGTACATTGATTCGAACATTGGATGCGGCACAAGCAGTGGAAAGCCCGGCAGCCCGTGAACCGTGTGGCGGTCTATACATGGCTCTCCATCCGCCCTGTCGGCGCTCAACACCGGTTCGTTGAAGAGTGTTGTGGACTGATTGTCGGCAAACTCCAAGTCGGGAGTAGGACCGTCGGTGGCCAAGCAACTCCAGTCCAGGTTCAAGTCTTCGAAAGGGTTGGTGGCGTCTCCATATGCCATCGATTTCCAAACATTGGCTGTACCAAGAGCCGCTTCTTCAGCAAGAGTCGCAACGATGTCATCAAAATCTGTTTCAAAATTCGCAAGTATGTCCATTTTGAGGCTGGTCGGCACATTTGTGTAGATATTTAGACGATCGAAGAGCCGGTTCTGGATCCTAGCTAGCAGCGAAGTGATATCGAGTTGGACTTGGTTAGTACCGCCGTCCTTAAGAGAAGACTCGATATCATCTACAGGCGCAGGCAGCGCCTCTTTATTGGTGTTTTTGGGAGTTTCAAATGGCGCTGGAACATCGTCTTTCGGTACCTCCGGAAATAAGATGATGAAGGCGTGCTTCCATTTCTCTTCGATCGTTTTGAGACTTCGGAAGCGTCCGCTTTTAAAATTGAGTTTAGCTAGGAGGTCCTTCGAAAGATCATGTACGTCCTTTAAATGATCTCTACCTAACTTTAGCTTATACTGCAGATAGTCTCCAAGAGAACTTTGACGCACCTCATCTTTGCTACCTCACTAAAACCCGTGATCCAGCACGAGTTCGCCTTACAAGGCTCGTTTGGACTTTTAACGTAGAAAGGACATAGTACTCTACTAAAATCACCATTTGTACTACTTCTACTTTTAACTCTACGTTGCGATAAATCCGTGCCAACTGCTCCAGAGTCCTTTCGCTTTCTATTTGTGATTTGCCCGCATGGCGAAACAGAGGTCGTTTCAAGCAGCGACATTGCGACCGATCGTGCGATGCGGTTGCGAAGACGTCTAGCTTTTACTTTATGTATAATAGTACGCTTTTTGTTGTATTCTACGAGTTGTGGGACTCCGTGAGCAACACAGGCATGAATACTATGTAAACTGGATTTTGCGAGTCAGCGACCGTGCGAACACAGACAGTCAATGCTCTCGCGTTCGACAACGATCTGTGCCGAGCGTCAGCCTGACTTACTGCTGACATGAAATGAAGGAATAAGCGGGAGAAATACTCAGTTGAAAATTCTCCAGGTAATTTTCTTTTATTATTATTTAGCCATGAGGGTGAGTGAACAAAGAAGGCAAATGAGACACAGCGGCATGTATATACTCAAGGTGGCGCCAAGCACTTGGCGTTCCAGAGAGCGATTCCTCGCTGTGCAGGTGTTTAATTAATCATACATATACATACCGTAGAAACTTGCAGATACCGGATTACTAATTTAGCGCTGAGCCTCTCCAATCACGATACTCAGCAATAAAAGTGGGATTTACAGCCTCTTACTGGCCCAAATTACTCTAGTACGTCCGTTATCTGCAACTTTGTACGGTATGATGTTTGATAAGTAAAAAAAGGCAGTAGGCAGTAGGCAGCAACCATGGTTAGAATGCGGGGTTCAGCACCAATACCATACACACACTAATGCAACTGCAGGCGTGATGGCCTCTGGCGCTAACAGGAGTCTTTTGATAGGTCGATGTTAATAACTTATCATTTACTATGTAGATCAAATATTGGAACTATCTTTATCTTTTAATGAGAGTTCGAAGTCCTCGACGATCAAAGAAAATGTCGAAGCAGTGATATACGATTCACCTAAATCACGACGTGAATACCTGCTTGTTCAATGGAACAGTGGTGCGAACTATAGATCGATGCAAACCATTGCCCACGTTGCCATTTCGCTAGGAAACGTTAGCTTTGGTGCGTATTCGACCGCCGTTCTTGCCATGCGATTCGTCACGATGCGCAACTTGTGCGAACGCTGGATCCTGGTTTTGTAAACTTTTAGCAAAAGACGTTGTGGGGAGGGACATCACGCTCCATAATGAATGAGAGATGACAAGGGGAAATGGGCAGTGTTTCCGCGATGGCCAAGAGCTCCTACTAACTAGTCCGCAGATCGGTAAAAGTCTCTACGCAACATCTGCAATCGCCCAGGAAGGCCATATCTCTTCTTCTCTTGGTTTCGACGCCAAATTGCGGTCATGTATGTGTTCTTCAAGCAGCAGGTCTTGATGCTGGCTTCGATTACCCATGTCGACCCCGCGTTTTTGTATTGTCCGCGCATAACCCATTGTCTGTTTCTTCCACTCTTTCCTGTCGACCTCACCACGAAGCATATCCGACAAAATCATGGCATCGAAGGCAGCTTGACTAGTGCTTGCCACAGTATGCGGCCTAAAACCCGCGAGAGCATCCCCTAGCAGAATGACTTTTCCGTCGAGAAACTCATTTTTTGGCGATATGACGTCGGTTACGGCCTGTACAAACGGCTTCTTCGTCGCTCTCACGATCTCAGCGAACTGCGGCGGCAGCTTTTCGCTTGCGATCACGCGCTGCTTCTCCCACGCCTTTGGGTTTGTTTTACCGGGTGGCATCGTGATCCTGTGTCTTACACCATCGACATCCGTCATCAATTCTGCCAGCTCTTCCGAAGGCTCATCGAGAGACTTCGAAGGGAAGTTCGTGTAGTACACAAAATTTACGAGGCGCTGGCCCGGTTCGAGTGTGCCATTCTCGCCAGGAATTAGGTATGCGAGGATCTGAACTCCGCGCGTGTGGAAGAAGGCAAAGCGGTCTTTAAAAGCTTCGAGTGTCTCGGGAGTCACGTCGTCCTCACGGACGGTCCCACGAAGGGCGACGTAGCCGGCATAGGTGCGCTGAACATCCGGTTGCAGAAGCGATCGAACAGTAGAACTCGGGCCATCTGCGCCGACGACGAGATCTGCTTCCATTGTCCCTTCGCCATTGTCTGTAGTCGTATACGCAACACTCACCTTCTCTCCACACTTCTCGATGCCAGTGACTTTGTGTCCGTGCAAATGCCGTACCTCTGCCTCATCAACCCGTCGCTGAGGAACTTTGCAATATGCGCTCTCCACATAGTCTACGTTGGCACGCAAAATGTAGTAGACTAGATCCCAACTTGTCATGTTCTGTACCATGTCCTCCTTGTGCACGATGTCTCCATCTTTATCGAGGTATTGTCGACGCTGCGAAGATACAGCAAGTGAACGGTTGCAACGATCATAGCGCTTGAAGAAATCCAGCGTATCACCTCCTGCAACGATGCCTGCGCCCTGATTGTGGAGGAGTGGTGTGGAATTTCGTTCGAGGATCGTGATGCGATGACACTGCGGGAGCGATCTGAGAGCGAGGGCCGTACAAAGGCCGCCTAAGGAGCCACCGACCTACGATGAATGTTAGCTCTATACCATATACGGATGGGGAATGGGTGCATTACAATGACTATGTCTAGTGGCTCAGGTTTGTCATTGGAGGGGTCTCTGAACGATTCCGTAGCTTGAGAAGCCATAGTGGAGTGCGTCAAGCGGAGTCGAGCGCATGGAACTGCGCAAATATATATGAACGCATTTCCGACAATTAACTGCCAGTATAGTTCGCGATGCCCTGATTAGAGCGCACTCTACCCCGCTGTGGAGGGTGGAAATGCGGGATGTTTGGATGACGCGCAAGAGCAGATGATCTTGCCGAACGAATTAGGCTAGTGTCTCTCACCGAAGACTCCACAACTCAGGACGGACCATGCAAAGCTTAGCCGATGCTTACACCAAATCCACAGTTGAGATGTCGCCCATCGTAAACTTATTCACATATACATACATACGTCTCAGCGACAGGAGCGAATACCGGAGGCACATTGTAGGCCGACTTGCCCTAGGACACACCACGGGTACCCAAGGATCACCACCGCATCATCTATCAACTCCCAGCGAGCACACTTCGAATGCATGGCGAAGGAAGACCGAGGTCTTGTTGTGGTATGCATCACGCTTCGAATATTATGCCTCATCCCATCTATTCCCACAATACCTCGGAAGAGACATTTCGCACGGGCGAGGCAAGGAAGACCGCTGAACGATGTCAGATTACAGGTGCCAACGGCACAATCGGATATGCTTGTACAGTGTATGCGCTGCGCCAAGGACATCGGGTTCGCTGCGTAGTCCGAACTAAAGATGCGGCCCGAAGTCTCAGATGTGGATCATCTCTCCAACAGTTTGAAGACGAAGTAGACTATGCAATCGTGCCTGACAACACCGTTCCGAAATCATATGACTCTGCACTTGCAGGCGCACAATATGTGATTCATGTTGCAGGTGTTTGGCCTACACCAGTACGTGCCCTGGTATTCTACACATATCATCCGACCTTTCTTCATTACTAATGGCCCTCTAGGACAAGCATCCGGACAATGACATCTACCTCCCATTTGTCAAATCGATGCACAATATTCTCTCTGCCGCTGAGCAATCGGGCACTGTAAAGCGTATTGTGTTTACCCAAGCTGGAGCAGCTATGGTGCACCCTAACGACGGAGATACACTAGGCACAGACATGAATATGCCTCTCAACGAGCATACTCCTGTGCATTCTGGACTACTACCCCTTAAGCCACCTTTTGCCTCACCTCATCACGCCTACTGCGCAGCAAAAGCCCAATGCATGACCATTCTTAAGAACCTTCGCGCGTCTGGCAAAGCGCCATTCTCAATTGTTCAAGTCGTTCCCGGGACTGTGATGGGGCCCTCTGAGCTAATCTCCACGAAAATTGAAGCGAGAAACAAGATGGACCGCATGTCTCGTGCACTTCTCTTCAACGAGCCAAAACCACGTTACCTATTCGGTTTCGTGCATGTGGGAGACTGCGCCAGAGTTCACGTGGAAGCCTTGGACAAGGTCAAGATCACTGACGACGAGATACCCGATTGGTTCATCGCGGCTGCATCTAGTGATAACGCGAAGAGTGGTGAGCAAACCTGGAAAGAAGCCGGCAACGCTATCGAAAGAAATTTCAAGGATGAGATTGCCAGCGGTACTCTTACAGTTGGGAGAGACAATGTGCCTACAAACATGCCATTCTACGTGGACTCTGTGCTGACAGAGACGAAGATTCTTGGCCATGACAAGTTCAAGAGTCTCAACGAGTGTTTGAAAATAATTGCGGAATGGTACAAAGACTTGGCATGATAGGAGATGTCCTGATCGATAGATAATGTGACCATTCAATGGCTACACATACATGGTAACCTGTGATGCCGCCGCATGCGTAACCACAGAGTTTCTCCTTCACATCGCAGTACCAGTAAGTCATATTTTACAATTTTATGGCATATCGCGTCGCGTCATTCCAAGTACAAGCCCTCATGATCGTTCAACTACCCAGAAGTTACTACACGGAATCACCCTATGGCAATGTCATAGAACATGAGATGCACACGAGTGCTCGTATCTTCGTAAACACGTAAGGGATACCTCTAGCTGACAAGCCCAGTACTCTTGAATGTATCTTGCCAGATTGTTCTTAAAGCTTGGAATGATTCGATGTGCAAACTGAGGCTCGCGTGATCGAGTTGATGCCCAGGTATTGTCTTATCTTTCCCCGACACACATCAACCATGCAGAACTACTCTATGATCGCTTATTGATATGTGATACAAATTACCCAGGCTTTGTAACATGATAATGTATATTGGGGTTTACAGTGTAGGATACCGTAGTGAGGCACGAAATAAAGGCGGCCGCGCGGCCGACATCGCCGCCCATTTGTCATCCACAATTTACAAACAAATGTACCCCGCCATAGCCCTTGAAATTCTAGTCTGTTACTGAGTCCACCAAAACCATTTCGATAGAACAGTTAGTCGTATCGTATTATATCCTGTGTGCTTTGATGGATAATATACCACGCGGGTGGCCCAGTTGCGAGCAGTAGAGTAGCATCGTCTGACCCAATTAGATCTTGCTCTGGCTCAGTGCACATTACAGTTAAGACATAGGTTCGTTGGTTATCATAGCCAATATCATATTACGCTTCACCAAAAGTTTTGCTCGAAGTCGACAAATTCGTCAACCATCATCATCTTACACATTATGTAATGAAGCTCGAACGTTAGGTGCGCACGTAACCAGTAGTGACCGGACTTAAGCGCTGCGGCCGCGCACCCGCCCAATTTCCTACGATGATATGGTGCTTTGAAATTGTAACCCACACAGAACACTACAAAAGCGCAAACAAGCCCGGCTCTCCGTTCAGACAACTCAAACCACATCCAACTACAAAGCCCAGCATGACCATAGTTCACTCAATTGCGACCAACATGAAAGCCATCAAGATCGAAGACAAGAAGGCCGTGGTCGTCGCAGACGCGATCCTCACCAACGACCCACGTCCCGACGAGGTCCTCGTCAAGATTGTAGCTGTAGCCCTCAATCCCACCGACTGGAAGCACCTCGAGTACGGAATACCCACACGCCCAACAGTTGGGTGTGATTTTGCCGGCGTCGTTGAAAAAGTTGGTCCGGAGGTCACACGCTTCAAGAAAGGCGAAAGGGTTTTTGGATTGGCGCATGGTTCCAATGAAGGGAGGCCCGATAACGCGGCGTTTCAGGAGTACGTGTACACGAAGGAGGCGGTAATGGCTCACATTCCCGATCACTTGAGCTTTGAGGAAGCTGCGACCTTCCCAGTTGGCATCTTGACGGTCGGGCAAGGCATGTATCAGGAGATGCCCGTGCCGTGGCCTGATAGTCCGCTGAAGGAGAAGGTACCGATGTTGATATATGGCGGGAGTTCGGCGACGGGTGCGTTAGCCATCCAGTTCGCGAAGCTGTGAGTTTGTTCCTTGTGCATGGTGCACGAACTTTGCTGATTGCAATATAAAGATCCGGTTATGAGGTTCTCACCACAGCCGGAAAGAGCAACTTCGATTATGTCAAGTCATTGGGCGCAGACGCTGTGTTTGATTCGCGTTCACCCACCGTGGGCGAAGAGATCCGCGCGTACACTAATGACAAGCTGTACTGCGTCTTTGACACCATCGGCGAGCACGGCAGCCCAGAAGCTTCAGCGAAAGCGCTGGCATCAAAAGCACCAGAAGGCCGGGAGCTTTACTACGGGACCATCCTTGTGAAGGACATTAAAAACTTTATTGAACGCAATAGCAAGTTCGAGGCTCGGCCAGATGATGTCGTCTTTTCCGTCTCGCTCGCATATACAGCGCAAGGCGAAGCGTTTCACATTCGAGATGCGAAATTTCCGGCACGTCTCGAAGACTATGTATTTGCGAAGAAGTGGATGTCTTTCGCGGGCGATTTGATCGCGCAGGGCAAAGTCAAGCCGCATCGTGCGGAAGTGAGGGAGGGGGGTTTCGATTCGATACCGAGCGGGTTGGAAGATATGAAGAACGGCAAGGTCAGTGGTGTAAAGTTGGTGTACCGTCTCGCGGAGCCGTAGAAAGAGTCCTTATTGCCATAGTATGAAGACCGTCGTCGTTTGTCGCCCCAATCTTTGTATGTCATATCAGCAACACATCTTGAATAGTTCCACCCAGCATAGCATGTCCTTGAGGTCGTCTGTGGGACCAAGTTAGTCTAGGTCCGCATGTAGTAGGTTGTTCGCACCACATACAGCACAGCTGCTCCAACTGGTCGCGCGAAATGAGACTCATTATGCCCGCTTTTTTTCGATTTAGCGAAATAGACTTACATCGAAGGTCCCTCAAGTAGATGTTCTTTCTGCGAAAGACTTTTCAACTGACAACCCGTGCATTCACCTCCTTACGAACCAAACATGATTGCCCCTGCCCGACTCCCGCGCGAGCGCCCAGCTTCCTAATGCAGGGCATGCCATGGTTATCTCCAAGGCGGCTCAGTGGCGCACTGTCGGAAGGATTGCGAATAGCGTTGATTAGCCTACAACGCGGCTACGCCGAATTTTCCTTCAGCCTTCGCCGATGCTGACAGGACTCCAGCGTGGTAACCAAGATGTCGCCGCTTACTGTGGGGATAGAAGAGCCGCATATAGGAGCTGGGGAAAATCCCCGGTAAGTTGGGGGCTGAGTGTCGTACCTTTTCTCCGAGCGTGCCGAGCTGAAGAGGACGAATGTAACGTCGGCTGGGGTTGGGCGGAAGGATGCAGTGGGCGGGCTACTGCTTCAGGCTAGCCGTAGCGTTCCGCACCAAGCATTCACAAACCACGTAAGGTTTCCAGTGGGAAATGACAAGCGTGAGAGCCATTGGTCTTTCCACTTGCCGGTGACACTATGGAACAGAACGTGCATCAGGCGCAGAGCAAGGCGGTGGAGGCTTCCACGTAAATGTGAACGCCGGCCACACCGTATTCAACAGGGCAGGATTTTGCAGATGCGTTATAGTGCCGCAGCGTAGATTCCGAGCTGAACGGCTGTTTAGACGGCTTCAGCATACATACTCGGCTCCCTCGACTTCGCCGAAACCGGTACTTCTCCCCTGCAGATATCTGCACATCCAATCATTCTTTTACTTGGTTGTCCCCGCTGAGAGAAAGTAGGTGGCATCTGTATAGTCCCTACTGCAAGACTGTGGCTGATCAAAGTTGCGCTGAACCACATGCCGCAGCAACCAGAGCACTGAAAGATACCCTTAGGTATACTTAGTGTAGCCCACGTATCTCAAGGCACTGTGTATATATTATACCATAACCCTTCAATATAGTCCATTAGCAAATCACCTCTACATCATCACGCAAACAACACTTCCATCTCTCTAGTCTAGTTGCTTGTTCGCTCTTCCCGCTTCGCCCGCTCCATCCTGCAGTGAAGATGAAGTTCACCACGTCCACTTTCCTCACCACCGCCGCTCTCGTGACAGCACGAGTATGTGCAACTTCTCCTTCTCCAGACACTGTCTACCAGATCCGTCTCTCCAGCAGTAACAGCGCCATCAACGATGCCGTCGTCACTGTGAAAACTGAATCGCCTGTCAACACCTCCCCGAACGCCCTAGGCATCTTTTCGACTGGCGAGCCTCGCAACCCCTACACTTTCAAGTTCCTTAGCTCGTCTCTAGGCAAATTTCTCTACGAGCTCCAAGGCACTATCCGCCAGACTCACCTCGTCCTCACCGGTAAGGAAATCGCTCTTGGTCTCTACGATAACCCCATTGGCGCAGATCCTAAGCCCGCTGAGGATGAGATGACTGTAGCAGACAAATGGTGGATTCTGGAGAAGGAAGGGAAGATGACGCTCATGGTAGCTGCAAGATATACGAGAGATAATAGCAGTTTGTTGGACGCCTCATCTTGGCGCGCGTGCAGGGGCAACTCCGAGGTCGATTACACGCTGTATTGGTATGATGGTAATTCACTCCCTTTTCAACATTGCCCGTATGCTTCTCAGAATGTCGCGGCAGCTGCTGACAAGGTTAGGTCTCAACCGCCTCGAAGACTACGTGAAAGGTTGTGAAGGTGGTATCACCCTGTACGTCGAAGAGGCGAAGTCATCACCTACAGCCAGCGGGTATCTCACTGGCGTAACTGCTCCCGCGGCGACTCCTACGGGGTACACAACTGGCGTGTCGGCACCAAACTTAACTGCCGCTGGTGGTGCAAAGCCGACTTCGCCCACTTACGAAGCCTCTGCGGCTAGAGTGGCGTTTGGTACATTGGTGGGACTGGTTGGATTTGCTTTGGCCGATGTCTTGTAAATCAAAGATACATAGCGGTTTTCGCTGGTAATGGTAACAGATTGTTTTTGAAGCTTCTGGTAATTTAATTTGGATGGACTGATGCGGACGAATTCTTGAAGGGGTTTTGCTTTTGGTGGTCAGCGCAGATTTCCACAGCGATAACTTGTGGCATATTTATCAAAGCTCCGGCTTCTTCGTTTCTCCTTCCTTTATCCCTAGCCGTGACTGAATCGAACATTATTGACCTTCACTTTCACTCTTATCCGTTGCTGGTCAAGGCTACTCTGAGCAAGCGTGGCTCATACGTCTAATTTGGCTCTTGAACCAAGAGTTGTCTTTCAACTTACCAAACTGGAGTATATTATCGTTTGCACAAAGAATGTGCCACCTCCTACGGCGCTAGAATCAGAAGTTCTACTAATATAGTGACTATGGGGATTAAAGCATTAGCTGAATCCTGTTGAACTTATATTTTGGGCCTGGTGGAGCCTAAAATAGGGTATTAATCTATTAAAATAAGGGTACTAGAGTAGATAAGCCAACGATTCACTCCCTATAGTTACTATATTACTGGAGAATCATCGAATTGCTGATTCCAGCGCCGTAGGAGGTGGCACACTCTTTCTGCAAAGCATTGATAAGCGTTGGGCTGGCCCTAACCGCACAGCGGGCTAGATCCCTGCAAATTGCATCCCTCTGTGCTTTACCTGGTTCCCGGATTAACTCAAACAACCTTGCAGAGTACAAACGCCGACATAATCCCTGCACCTAGTTTACCACAGCCAGCTTCGATGTTGGATAAAAGATTGTGACACTAAAGTAGACTTTCCGTCCCCTTAGAAGCTCAAGGCTCCAGGCTCAACGTCATACCCTTCCAACGTTGCCATTTTTCCGCAACCACCCATAAGTTGACTGAATTTGTTAAAATTCTAGTAGACGGCGCTACCGCCTACTTCATGTCCACCTACAACTAGGCGTCTCCAAGTCCCGCACCTGATTGATCCAATACAATGTGGGAGTTTTGTTCATCACGGCCAGGAGAAGTCCCTCCTCCACGACTCGGCTTGAACGAAATTCAAGACAATGAAATTCCACGTACGGTTATGACGCGAACAAACTTGCTATAAGAGATTTAATGGCTCTGAGATGGACACAGTGTGCTCAGGTTGATGATGTTGTTGGGTACCTATGGTTTGAGAAGCATTTCTATCTTCCCCGCGAGAGTGAAGACACATACTCATCGATCGCACATGTCGTTCCAGTGGATCTGCTCTCCAAGAATGAAGTCTTGCGCATAATATCATACCAACCTGAACGACATCTACAATACCGTTATTATGACATGACGCGATGTCCACCATCCATCCCCGCAGCTGCGGCAGATCTGTAAGGTACATACCGCGCACACATTTCTCCGGCGCCGTTTCGCAACTACCATCGTAAATCCTCCAATGACCTCCCCCGCACTCTTGGCATACGCTGACGCTTTGGCGAAGACATCCTGAGACCGGGGTAAAAGATGGCGAAGTTGTGGGGAACGAGCCGAGGTTGGGGTAGTCGCGAGAGTGGAGGGGGTATTCGCACCAATGAGAGTGGTTCTTGGAGCGGCGGATCCCCAATTTGATCGAGCAGACGTTGGAGGAGTCGGGAGGAGCAGATGCACGATCAGAAGCTATCAAGGATGTGGCTAAATGAAGTGCACGTAGTGTGTGCAGGCAGTGCAGATAGCTAGGACTACCATGCTCACAAATCTGGCTCCCGTGGTACATAAGGTCTGCCTGGACGCTTCTTGACATCATGAGAACCGTTGATCATTGCAATTGATCTCTCGCTGAAGATGGTCGTTCTCAGACACGCGCTCACTGTGGTGGCTTGCGCTGCTCAAGCAGTGGCTGTCGAGGTCATCGTTAAGTCGTCTGGTGGCAACGAGACTGGCAAATTTGGACATCCGTTTGGCTACGGTTTCCTCCATGAGGTGAGACTCTTCTTGCAAACAATTCATGCTCTGGTGTATATTCCTAACATATTCCAAAAGGATATTAACAACTCGGGTGATGGCGGCATCTACGCCGAACTGATCCAGAACCGCGCCTTTCAGTATTCCAGAGAGTTTCCAGTCTCCACAGCGCACTACTTTCCCGTCAACGGTGCCAGTCTCAGCATCCAGAATCTTTCGGTGCCGCTCTCCAAAGCTCTTCCTGCATCCCTGCGAGTGGCTGCGAGAAGTAACCGCACTGGATACAGTACTGGCAAGGTTGGCTTCAAGAACGAAGGGTACTGGGGCATCGCAGTTAGCCAGCAGAAATACACCGGCTCTTTCTGGGTTAAGGGTGCCTATGAGGGTCTTTTCATCGCATCGCTGCAGTCTAACCTTACCAACGACGTCTTTGGATCTGTTGAAGTGGTCTCGAAAGCTGTCGACAGTGAATGGGTGGAGCATCAATTTGAACTCGTGCCGGAGAAGGATGCGCCAAACTCCAATAACACGTTTGCAGTCACTTTCGATGCGGATGGCACCAAGCACGGTTACTTAGACTTCAACCTCATCAGTTTGTTCCCACCAACGTACAAGAACAGAAAGAATGGACTGCGTGTGGACATTGCGAATGCACTTGCTGAGATGAACCCGCATTTCCTCCGCTTCCCAGGAGGCAACATGCTTGAGGGTCTGACTAACGATACGCACTGGGACTGGAAGGACACCCTCGGTCCGCTAAAAGACAGGCCCGGCTTCCAGGGTGTTTGGGGTTACCAGCAGACACACGGACTAGGCATTATGGAGTATCTCGAGTGGGCCGAGGATATGGATCTGCAGATTGGTAAGCATTGTTGGATATACTTGAGTAGAGATCCCCGACTCTAACATTGGGAAGTGCTCGCGGTATGGGGCGGTCTTGCCCTCAATGGCGATGTAACCCCGCAGGACAAATTGCAGCCTTTCATTGAGGATGCCCTCAATGAGATCGAGTTCGTCGCTGGACCTGCTGATTCGACCTGGGGAGCAAAGCGCGCCGCGCTTGGGCACCCAGAACCCTTCGAGCTCAACTACGTTGAAGTTGGTAACGAGGACTGTAAGCACACCACCAGGTACAACGTGGATGTGTCTTTGTGCTAGAAGAAACATTTCTTTCTCGCTAGGCTGAGACATGCACAAGGTATTCGCTCACACCGTCTTAGCTCATACTGACTTTGTACCCGCGCATTAGGGCTTGCCGGATACCCTGGCGGATGGGATTCGTACCGCGAGTACAGATTCAAGATGTTCTTCGACGCCATCACGGCAGCCTACCCGCACATCCAGGTGATCGCCTCAGCTGCTACAAGCGACCCAGCTCCGGAAGGTGCGACTACAGGCCCGAATACTGTAGAAGGCCTCAACTTCACCGAGACGCCCGGCGCCATTGGCGACTACCACCCATATCGCCGACCTGATGAGCTCGTCGAAGAGTTCGACCGCTTCGACAACGATATTGGCCATATCGTTGGTGAGGTTGCAGCTACGCACGTAAATGGGGGCCAAACTCCTCGCTGGGATGGACCCTTATACAGTTACCCGTGGTGGTATGCGACGCCCGAGTACGAAGTAGATATGCATAGACATAAATACGAGGTACTTAGTCCCATTTTCTTGACTTGTGCTAACCCGTGCGTCTAGGCAGGGCGCAGTTGGTGAAGCCATCAGTCTCATCGGATATGAGCGCAACTCGGACCGTATTCCTGGTACTTTCTACGCGCCGGTCCTCAAAAACGTGAACAGGTTCCAATGGCCGATTACTTTGCTCCAATACTCGGCCGATCCTAAGCAGACCACTAGGGCTGTGACATGGTACTGCTGGAGTTTGTTTGCCCATAGCCCTATCAGCCATACGCTGCCGACGACGAGCAACTCGAGCTATGGCCCGCTATACTGGGTTGCGGGTCGGGATGAATCCAGGAACGGCGCATTCGTATGGAAGGGTGCTGTTTACAACACTACGAATAGTAGCACGGTTCCGGTCTCGGTCCACTTCCAGGGCGTCACTCCAGGCACGAAGGCGAGTCTCACCGTGCTCACAAATTCTGTCGCGGATAACTATGCATACAATGACCCCTTCACTGGAGTCAATATAGTGAATACCACGACGAGTGAGGTGAGCGCGGGAATGAGTGGTACTTTTGAGTTTGTGCTGCCGCAATTGAGTGTAGCAGTGCTGGATACAGGCAAAGCCGGGAATGTAACTGGCTACAGTAAGAAATGGTAGTGGGCCTTGTGATTGTACATAGAGAAGGATGTACTAGAAAATGTAGGAGAGCTTAGAAGCCGATAAAAGATGTCAAGAGGACAGATGTTGGACATTTTGCTGACACGCATGTCGTACTGAACAGGCACGACGCTCGGACCAATCCCCGCAACTCCGCTCGCCAGGCTGATGCCTCCATGCAGACGTAGTGCTCACATCTGATCGGACCATTGCCTGGACTGATTCCATCTGTTATCTGTCGCGCTTTTCGTGTTATCGTATTTCCCCGTCCAAGTTGAGTCCCAGCGCATATTGATCCCCCTTTTTAAAGCGCGACGGCTGCTCTCACCTCTCGTCTCCTCTGTCAGTTCGCCGCGTTCGCCGCGTTCGCCGCGCCTCGTTATCCTCACAATGCCGCCACCGCCCATGCTCTCAGCCTGTGTGCTCTCACTTACAATTGGTTGTGCATCGAATGTCGCCGCTCAGAGACTGAAGGCATACATGGAAGATGTGCCCTTCGTCTTCGACTACACGCTCTTCTACCAGCTCACCGCAATGGGCTTAATCACGACGCCGATCAACTACTACTGGCAAAAGTGGTTGGAATACATGTTCCCTGGCGAGAAGCTAGTTAAGCGGAGGCGCACTCCATCGAGCGACGACGTAGAGAAAGGCGCCTTCATGAGAGACGACGGCGAGGACAAGCGGGCGATAGACGAAGAAGTCTACGTGCGCAGCTGGGGCAACGTGGTCAAGAAGACCATCGCTGATTCAATGACGGGCGGTGCCTTGCTCAACACAACCATGTTTCTTGTATTGCTCGGGCTCATGCAGGGCAAGACCGCAGCACAGATTGGCAAAGACATCCGCGAGGAAGAGCTGACCATCATATGGAACTCGTACAAGATCTGGCCGCTTGCCAACATGGTCAGCTTCGCTTATGTGCCCGTCGAGCGCCGAATTGTCTTTCTCAGCTTCTTCGGCTTACTCTGGAGTATCTACATGACATTGGTTGCTTCGCGACTCTCAGCATAAGTTACACAATGTGCGCGAGCCCTTGCCCCACGCAGCCCGCACAGCGCTCCAGTACCGCCCCTCATCCTCTCGAATATGCCCTGCATGCGGGCTTCCCTCGAATCGAACTCTCGTCACTTTCCAACCCTGCGCCTCCGCCTGGTCTGCGTGGTCTTCCACCTCGTCGTGTCCGACCATCTCGTCCGCCTTGCTATACAGATAAACCCTTGGAGCTCCTTTGTTGAACAGACTAGGGTCGTTTAATTGACGGCGTATGACAGCCATCATATTCTCCCTCCCGCCCAACTTGCCAATCACAAACAATACGGCGAGAAAAAGATGAATAGTTGCAGAGCCCAACAGCCTCCACAACCAGGAGCGCGGCAACGATGTAGCCATCGCCTTGTGACTTCTCAGCCAGCCCCCATTCCCCGGAGCGGAGTCCACCACCTGTGCGCGCATGGGTAGTGGAGAGCTCTCACGCTTCCTCCAAGCTTTAGCAAACTCGAGCATTTGATTACCACCGCCGTTCGAGAAGCTGTGTACAAGAAATTCACCGCCCGCGTCGACATGCTCTTTAAGTACATCGATGGCTGGTGTCAAGAGCTTGGTATAGGTCGCCTCGCTGCGGAAGAAGTCCCCGAGTTCATTACGTATCAGTATTATCCGCGCTGTGGGGAAGAGCTTTCTGTATGTAATGGTGTATTTGGCGATGTGTTTTGGCGCTGCGCCCATCCAAGGGAAGAATAGTATAAGAGGCTCTCTTGGGGTGTAGGAATCTGGTGAGCTCAGATAGATATTGATGCCGATCGTGTGGAAGTCCGATAGCGGCTTCACCGCTTTGGTCGGTGTTGAGTTTGACATTTTTGTTACGGGCGATCTGGGAGGAGCGCTCTGAAAGTGCTTCGATGAGTAGGCAACCTCGGGAACGGCACAACAAAGCGCTCGAGTCTGTCGACTGGTGTCTGAGTTGCTCTCAGCAATAGCTTTGGAAGCCTACAGGCACTGCGAGAACGATCAATTGGCGGTCCGCTTGGCGTCCAACAACCGAGGTACATCACTGATTGGGTATGTCACTCCATCCGTAGCGTTACCAACGTTGGTACCTGGAAGTTATACGGACTTTGACCGATCTCGGATGGCAACTCCATTCGTGTTGCTGGGTCACATCAAGATAATGAAATGTTATATTTCTTGATTAGCGTTGCTGTGCCGTCAATGCTCCGAGTGACTAGCCACACTGCTTTTGCACTTGGCGTCCATCAAGACGTGGCGGCTGTCCAATAAGAGACGTCACACTACATGTATGGGCCACCACTGGACCGTCACGGCAAGGTGCCAGGCCTGTACTGGATGCACACCACAAATACGGAGACGGCGACTGCGACGTTTGCAAATACCTGTTCAATGGTCGCTCCGAGCACACGAGTAGCTTTGGTATGCACGAGAGTTTGGGAGATGGACACATGATCTGGGAATTGCGAAGCGCGGATATTTTGGGACGTGGGTTGGGCAGGTGGTGAATGTGGAGATGAAATACACCACGGTGCTTTGCTGTCCTCCATTGTTCCAAGATGAGCAGTGTAAGTGTCCTTTTTTTCTGCCACAATCGCAGGTATATGCAATTCAATGTGGACAGACTTTAGCTGTCCGCTCTCCAATCGAGTTCACGAAATGACTTAGGGTTCCCTGGTCCTCCTTACTCCTCCTTCTAATGCGCATTCTATTTCTTTCCATGCAGTGGTGAGCTGACTGTAGAGATCAATTCTGGTCATTCGTTGCATGTTCACGCCATCTCTTATCGCATCGTGACTCCAACTGAATGTTCTTCGGCCGCAGAATACGATGTGTAATTTCGCCTAAAGCGTTCCTAACTATTTAAAGTGACATCCTAACGAACGAACCGTCGAATCCTAGCGCTTAGGCATCCATTCTCTTGGCTTAATCGTCCGAAAGAAGGCCGCATTATCCGAGAATTTCTAGACGAAATTTTCGACTTGGAACATGAGCTATGGCGGTTTCTACGATGTTTTCGGCTGAAGGTGAGTCGGAACTTGCAAAGCCCTAAATCCTGTTACGCATGAGGCTGATATCCTTTTAAGACAACGCCAAGAGTAAGCTGACGATCAAGCAAAGACGCTACTGGAAACAGAGCTACGCTAAATACCTTTTGCGGCTAGGCCGCAGAGCGCCTTGTTTGAGATCTGCAGACACAACTTCAGAACTTGTCACAGGCGAGCATGCAATGCATCGTCCCTAAAACTACAAGGCTCATGGTCTTCTGAAATTTAGCAGGGGGAGCTTTGGGAAAGAGAATACATCTAACAGCTGATGATAATCATGTCTACAAGTTATCCATTTGCACACGAATTTTCGGAGATTGACATTGCCCTGTGGGGGCTGAAAGACACTCGAGACCGTGCGGGAGGGGAGGAGCCAATCGCAAGCCTCGCCGCTCACTATGTAAGGAAAGTCAGGCCCCCAGAGCATAGTCTGAGCCTCAGTGGCACCCATCTCACAAAAGTACATGTCTGGGGCTTCTCTCCGTTACCAAGCAACCGTCTGACCGCGCGTATCATTTCTCATTCCTGGTCGTTCCCATTCTTTCTACACGCTAGACGAAGAGCGTGACGTTTTGCACAAGTCGTCCATCATGCGGCGAACTTCGACAGTGATACACGGGCTGCTGCTAGGACTCTGGGTCGGTTCGGTTCGCGCCGACTGCTACGCGCATGATGGTATGCTCCTCTGTAGCGCCGTGTAATGAGGTGTTGCTGATTCACTGGATGTATAGGCGTCTTAGCGAAGAACTCGGCATACTACACGGAGGACTTTGAAATGGTGTCTTGTGGAAACGGAACAAACAACTGCTGCTTCCAAGGAGACAAGTGTGGCTCCAACTTGTTGTGTCATGACAGCAACGGGAACCCTACTCGGCAGTACTGCGCCGTCTCTAATTGGGATGGATGCTCAACACTCTGTGCGGGTACGTTGCCTGTCTCTTATCGGATGTACTCGTTGGGCAAGCTGACTTCGCTCGCGCAGACTTCGCGACCCACGGAGGCACACTGCTTGTTGACTGCGGGCAGAACATGTACTGCTGCGGAGCCGGCGATTCGGATGACGCATGCTGCAACGACGATAACGATCATTTTTTCGTTGACCCAGGCACGGGTGAAGTGAAACACCCATCGAAAGCCACAGGGGCGTCCGCGACCGCGTCTCCAACTTGGTGGACGGTTGACAGCAAAGCACTGCTAGCCGCCACAAGCACCTCGTCGGCATCATCAGCATCATCGGCTACATCAGCATCTATCACCGACTCTTCGAGTTCATCTAGCACCGACTCTTCAAGTTCATCTAGCACCGCACCGCCCTCGTCCACACCTACGAACACCGATCCACCCAAAGAGGAGGAATCTAAAGGGATATCTGCCGGCGCTGGCGCTGGAATAGGCATCGGAGCGGCTGCTGGCGTAGCTATTATCGCAGGACTAGCCTGGTGGTTGTTGAAGAGGCGGAAGCAGCAGAATGTATACGAGGCACCGGCAGAACAGCAGCACGCGAACGGAGCATTCCCGAATGGAGCATACGCCAATGAACCCAAACACAACGATTACTACGCACACACAGGCGCTCAGCCTGCTCAGACTGCCACAGAGCTACCGCCGCAGGAGCTAGATGGAATGATGCAGCGGTCAGAGATGCATGGGGACTCGAGTCGTGTTTGACGAGGATTGAATGGCCCGAGGTGGTCAAAGTACGAGCAAATACCCAGTTCTTGGATTTTAGGCTTCCAGGATGTTAATTTCAATGAGAATAAGCACAACTCATTCAGCAGCTGTTGCGTAGCTATGCATTGCTTAGAGTGACTATTGCACTACTCTTTGCCTCTCAACTCGCTTGTTACACTGCCAGGGTTGTGATACGGAAGGCGCATCAAGGACTGGTGGCTGTGAATGGCTACCATCCGAAACAAGTGGGGCAGGCGCTATTGCACCGTCCGCCTCTCGTTTCCCACCCTTATTCATCGCTTCGCCAACATCTACATGTCTACCTTTAGGCTTCAGGTCTCGATATGTTCCGCACAGGTGCTATTCCTCGGAGCATCTTGAGATCAGCATCGCAATACGGCGTTGCGCTCGAGCCACAATCGAGACTGCAAAGCACGTGCAATCTCACATCGGACCTCGTCTGCGATTGTTTAGATCCCATCAATGACTTGGACGTGAGTGAACGTCAAGATTATGCAACACACATGAGCCTGCTGTCCGTCAGCAAGCAGCTCTACAACGAAGCGAGAGATGTTCTTCAGAACCCCGTTTTCGCTTTCAACCACGGTGCGGACCTCGATCATGTATTGCTGACCGAGGTACCTGGACGAGTGCAAGGAGAGGACTTGACGACACTGACGCCGAAGATCTGCCCTCGAAGTTTCGAGGCTCATGTATAGAACCTGGCCCTAAGACAAATGTATCTTGCCCGCGGGCTAATGACCGCAGCCAGCCCGCAGTTTCCAGCGCTCAAAACAGTACAGCTTTGTGTTCGCGGGGAAATTCCACGGGTTGCAGGCTCACAAGATGTTCTTGGCTGACGAGCTTTGATCTGGATCTTTGCTTTCAGGTTCTTGGCTTTTGCGCAGCTGGAGAGCGTGAGTGTAGAATCTGCAAATTACTTGTTTATCACTCCAGCCGAGGACGAAGTACAAGAATCCCTGCTCCGTGCATTCGAACCAGGAGACGAAGACGACATGGAGGGCATGGCACTGTCGTGCATGCACAAGTTGAGCGAATTCGAAATGGTAGATGATACAGATGCGCAGTAATCGCAGAAGTAGAACATTGGTCCGGGAAATGAAAGTGTCGACATATTTTCATAGTAAGCAAAATACCGCCTAGTCTACGTTTTGAAAAGAAAAAGACAGTAAGCTAGCACTTCCGCCATTGTAGACCCCAGGTCGCTTGCTTAATATCGTATGTCCCAGAGTTGCCTTGCACCACAGGTCGCGCGTTGACATTCAAGATGCCTGGGTTTCCATCTGGACCCGTGCACTTCGACCACTTCAGATCAGTTGTGCTTGACTTTACTGTAACGTAGTCCTTAATATCTGGACCTGCGCAAGCAATCGTTCCCTTCAGTACGCTCTGCTTCATCGTCAGTAACCGTTTCCACGCCGCAATGTCAGAGACTACTCACGGTATCAGCCGCATGCTCACTCCAGTATGCCTGGGTGATCGTATCCAATTGGCTTCCACTCGACAACTGCACGTTTCCTTGATATGCAACTTCCTTTACAGCGACCTGCCACCCCTGCGATCCACCAGTTGACTGGATGTGCAGCTCGCAGTTCCCTGTATCATCGCCTCTGAGCTGACTGAATGTGAACGATGGCGCGTCGCCAAGCTCGCCGTAGACAGCCTTCACGGAATTGCTATCGTTTGGGCAACCTGTTCCTGAGAACTTGAGCGATGTGATTTTGGGAGCGCGTTCGGGGGCGGCAAGGATAAATGCCGGTGCGGCGGCGAGGAGTAGAGCGGCGTGCATGTGAATCGACTGTGATTCCGAGTCGTAATAAAGGTTAGTGTTTTTGGTAGCGAGGGCAACGTATAGTCAGCTTAGCTGCAAGTTCTCTGTAGCAATAACGCAGTGATGATCGCAGGGTCCACCATTCTTAAATACGCATCGCTCATGTCTACTGCCTTGCGCAGAGTCCAATGATCGACGCCTCAAATGTAGTGTTGCCACCGGATAGCACTCTGACGTCGCTATACGGTTTATTAAAGCGAAGTTGCGAAATTTGGGCGAGAGCATCTGCGAATGCCATTTAACCATATTAGCGGTGCTAGCGACCTGGTTTCGACGCCGCTTGGTACCGGCGACGTTGGATGATCGTGACTATTATTAGCGACGAAGTAATATGTGATATAGCAGTGTTGGTGCGTGCAAAGTCGAGATCGTAGCCACGCGATCTCGGGGTACTGATAGGAGCTAAGGACGCAAGAAGATTGACACGAAGCTCGTGTTCATAATCTCACCCCGACAATTCCAAATGTTTGATTGAAGTTCTAGGCGCAAGAGCATTCAAGATCCTAAGTGTTGGGCGTAGTGAGCATGCGGTTGGTGGCGGATCGGGCTGTGAATAATCTTGCCATACGTTACATGAATGATTAATTCCGGAGTGACCATAAAAGTACGATGCAAATTCGGGCGATAGAACTGTAACGAAACGATCGGAAAACGCCTGCGGCGAGATGCGTTTCAGTTCTTGAAGGTGCAAGTCTGGAGGATAGCGTCGAGATATGATTTACATTACCACAATTAGTAGGCAGTTATACTAGTAGACCTTCTTGCCTCCCGTCTTTCTTGGTGCATGTTGACATTTATGAAAATGAGTAGCACAGCACTTGGAGTGTAGTTCGTTAAAGACACCTGGGCATCCAGATTTCTAGGTGCCTCGTGACGGATCATCTCGACCAGAAGATCTCCGGGAAAAATGAATTCACAAGATGAATAAGCCCATTTCGAACACTCTTTCGATGCTGGTTATCCCTTTGCGCATTCTTGGTGTGGTGATTTGTTGTCCGGAGAGAAATGGAATCATAGATGCGCAGCTGTGGTACATACCGGTACCGGTAGGCTTGGCTTTCCCGCGGCGTTCACGCGTCATTGACCAGCCGCACCACCCAGACCAACCTACCACCTCGACATTGCGCCATGTACCGCCCAGGCTTTCGAGTCTTCGAGTCCGCTTTCAGAGCATTTAGAAGTCCTGCGCACCACCGGCCGACCAAACCGCATTCACAGTTCCGCGCATACCGAGAAGTCCGCTTCGGCGACCGGCGCCCGCAATACCGCCGCTTCCAGTTCGCATCCAACATATTCATGAGATGGGCTGCACGCCCGACGTTCTATCGCGACGTGGGCTTGATAAGTCTAGGTTCTGGAGGCTTCTACTTGTATAACCTGGAGGAAGTGCCGGTGCGCTATTCCGGTAGTTTGCCAATGCATGTTATACTGATCTTTGTATAGATCTCAGGTCGCCGCCGCTTCAACATCATCAGTCCGCAGATTGAAGCTCGAATAGGCGCCGAAACGGTTGGCCAAGTACAGCAGGAATATGAGGGACGGATACTACCGGACTGGGACCCGCGCGTGCTGAGGGTGAAAAAGGTGCTTGGGCGGTTGATACCATATGCGACGGCTGCGGGACTGCACGATGTGAACTGGGAAGTACATGTCATTGATAGTCCGGAGCAAAATGCGTTTGTTGCACCGGGGTACGCGATACTAGGGCTGAAATGCGCAGCGAATCGCTGACGGAGGTGCAGTGGGAAAGTCTTCGTCTTTACTGGCATCCTACCACTATGTCAAGACGAAAACGGCATTGCTGCAGTGCTGGGTCACGAGATCGCTCACGTCGTAGCGCACCATACAGCGTAAGTGATCCACTTAGGTGCCTCTCGCTAGCTGACCACTTTACAGGGAGAAGTTGAGCCAGGCACCATTGGTCTTCCTAGGCGTGATTGCCCTGATGACCTTCGATCTATCATTCCAACTTAGTAGTGCTGTCCTCAATTTATTTCTTTCGATGCCCGCGGGCCGAAAGCAAGAGGCTTGTGCTCCATTCCACTTACCCACTATGTTCGCCTACTAACACTTCACAGGCCGAAGCCGATCAAATCGGTCTCATGATGATGGCACAAGCCTGCTATCGACCCGAGGCTGCCATGGAGTTCTGGCACCGTATGGAGTCTACTGGAGGAGCAGGCCCTCCGGAGTTACTCTCTACTCACCCGTCACACCACAACCGGGAAGAGAAGATACGTGAATGGTTACCTAAAGCTCACGAACAGGCTGAAATGTCCGAGTGCCATGCTACGTCTGTGTACTGTAAGTCCGGAATGTCCAGAGAGTGAAATTGTCGGCTAATTAAATATTAGCGCAACAGTTTAACAACTTCTGGCGACAGGATGGTAATGGATGGTAAGAAAAGGGAAGGATGCGGACCTTTTTGTAACAATTATATGTACGATAGCCCGGTTACAGCATCTGCATGAATACCTATGGATACACGAATGAACGTATGATGATGATTCTCCAGCTCGGTCTCATACACGGCTCCGTTTCGCGTTGCTCTCAGCCATTTCATCTAACCAGAGACTCGAGCTGAATCAGTGCCGATGAGGCTACGCTACATGAATAGGATAGTACATTAGAAACAGGGAGCGATGAGAGGTCAAGAAATAAACCCTGTTAACTTCACTCTCCATTAACGACTGTTTAGTAAAAGCCATGAAGAGGCTGTAATATACACACAGTATACTGATAAAACACGTTTTTCAACTTTCGACCCTTCGTCATCCATTTCCAAAGTTGGTCTATTATGACTATCTGAGACTTCTTTCGGTGACTTCCCCTGCTGTTTGAGACCACCGGCATCACATTCCGTACTGCTCTAGTTTCACGTTGTTAATCCTATCTCTGGAACTCTTTTCGGCGGTCAGTTCCCAGCGGAGTCGTCATGGGCTCTGCGTTTACCCGTCGTGCTGCGTCCACCTTTGGCCGATACCATTGCCTCTATCTGCACTTTTACCTAAGCTTTGACAGGAGCCTTACCCGCCATTACCTTCATTATGACCTCCATCACTCCTCCGACGTCTCCATGATTGTTTATAACGCCTTCGGCACCATCACCACGGTCATCGCTTCAGCAGCAATTTCCCCTCATATATCATATCATCCCGCTTGTTCGCGATAAACATCTCCATAAATCTCTTCGGAAACACGTCCAGGACTTTATGCTTCTTGTTGACATCGTTTGAGTCGGGAATCTCTGGATTTGGATTCTCCAACTTGGGCTCTTGGTCTTTGTCAATGGCAGAGGCGCCATCAGGTCTGTCACCGTCGACTATCGTGTCGTCTTCAAAAGATGCTCCTTTGGCAGCTTAATCTTCCGCGGAAGGCTCTCCCTTGCCCGGCGTATCAGTATAGGCAGCAGTAGCAGCTTCTATTCGCCTCCCCTTCTCCTCTTGCGTCCTTTCGGGGTACACGTCCCACAACCACAAGTCTTGCGCCCCAATGTTCTAGAAGTGGAATTTTCCCTTCTGAGCTCGCCATTGAAAGCTTCAAGCTCCTCACGACTATTGAGGTGAATTGTGATAACATCATTCACGTAACGCTCTCTTGTTGGATTTATCTTCCTGTCTTGTCCATCTCATGTTGCAATGAAGACTCTTAGTTCTTCCAACCTTCGACACATCATCATGCGAAGGTCTGTTAATCGTTTCGATTCGTGAGACTATATAGCTATTAACTCTAGAGTAAGACAAAAGAGATTTGTTTAGTACATACAAGGAAGCTTGCTAGCCGTTATCGTTTCATGTCCGTATGAAGAGCATCTGTACACATGAACTGCTGACGCCATGTTGACGTGGTTCTCACAACAATCCAGGCGAAGACAGTCTCCTTGTCAGTCCGTCTTCATTTTAAGTGTTTTGAACGCAAAGAGATCAAGGAAAGTGTTATTATTTACAGAAGGAATACCTATAGTTGTGTGGCAGAAGGGTGTCAATGCTAGATAAGTACACGCATGTCTTGTACTCGAATGCTCCACTCTCTTGGTCTATTCGGTCTGGTGTCCCTCCCATTCTTGTCGATCGCTTATGAGATGTAAGGTGCAAATCGCGGACTATGTTGAGCATTATTGTACACCTCAAAATCCTCGTGAACCTCTCACCGTCGATCGAGCATATATGATAATAGCAAGTACGAGTAAGCAAAATACGGTAGGTACATTTCTAATGGGTTAAAAAGTATTGACGCTGTCTTGTGATATTTAAGAAGTACCAGGGTCAGGTAAGGTATTTTGCAACTATGGAAGCGAGAGCCAATATTGTTTGTAATCCACGTCGAACTCGTCCTTTCCTCGGCCACTTCGTCTCAATTGTCCCACTTATTCGCTTGTCAATGCTGGTTCATCCTAGTGATTTCCGGTTCTTCTTTGGCGCCGTTCTCTGAACGTCGTCCTCATTGTCGTCGTCTACAGGAGGACGTTTGCCATGACTCTTGCCATTGGCGCCACCGTCTTTGCCGGCACCGCCTCCCCCACTGGCTGTGGGTTTTCTCCTTTCTCTAGGAACTGTTTTTTCTTGCTTCTGCTTGTAGAGCGTTGTGAGTTTTTTGCGTTCACCATCGTCATCATAGTCATCTTCGTCATCGCTGCTCTCCGGGACGGGCTCATTTGGTTCGTGTGGGTGCACCCTGTAGACCTGTGAAAAACTGTCCGCAAACGCTTGAGCAATCGTGCCCTGCGATCCAATGTCTTCGAACCCGTCAAACCAGGAAGCAAACCACCACCTCGTCACCTCATTGATGAACAACGACTGTTTCGGACCGACTCCAATATCGATTCTGGCGCCCACGCTAAGGGATTCAAAGTGTTTAGGGTAGCGTCTATAAAATCGTCTATACTGTGAAAGGGCGAATCTTTTGATGGCTGGAACATTTATCCTGTCGTACGATTTGAAGACCTCGGTACTGTCGAGGTTCAGGCGAGAAACATACATCCGATAGGAAAAATATGTGCAACGCACAATGGGTCCTTCGTCAGTCAATTTAGGGAAGTCGTCATCTGGTTTTTCCCTAGGATTGGACTGTGAAGCAGAGCCACCTTTCGGCTCATGTTTATGGTTCGGTCGATCTGCGGAGTCACCTCTCGCCAACCTTCTTCTATCGTCATCTTCGAGGGCATTGATCCAGTCTTCCTTCTTGCGTTTACTTAACTCTTTCGCCCACATTTTGCGCGCCTTCAGCCAGCGCTCCAGGTAGGCCTTTGTTACCTCCTTCGCTCTATAATCTCTCCCATACCCCTTACGTTTTCTCGTCTTTTCGTCCTCTTTTATCGGCGGTCCGTGTCTCTCTTGGAATTTTTTACTCTCAGCTTCGGTGGTGAAGTGAGTTTTGATGATGTCGACCACGTAAGGTTTTCTTATCGTCTTTCCGTGTTTGTCTTTGTGATCTTGCATTGCTATGAATACTCTGAGTTCTCCCCACTTCTGAAGAGATTCGACATATTCTTGATGTATGTAGTTGTAAAAATGCGAGTTGTGCAGGATATGATTTTCCGCCCTCTTCGGGAGAACCCCCCGGCCACTCTTCGCTGTTGATCTCTCGGAGATCGTCATTTTTGTGCTTTTTGTGGATCTCTTGCAACTTTGTGTAACAAGCTGGCTCTCCGGACTTTTTATTCCAGAAGACGGTCTCTACTTTTGATGTACAGCTACTGTGGCCTCTCTTTAGGATTTGGCTCTTTCCATGCCACACGTCCCGATACTCGTCGTTGTCGAACGGACATTGTTTTCTGCCCGAAATGGTACTCGATAAGTCGCATTGGTGCCATCGAGGTCGCCACAGACCGTCCTTCTTAGCGAGTGCGTCAAAGGCGACTAGATCGTAAATCTTAGCACTGTCTAAGGCAACCTCCTCACGCGATGGGTAGAGCAAGACACCCTCGCCTACATGCGCGTCATAAGCACGGCTATCCATGTGTATCCTAGAACCGACCATTCGATAGGTGAGAAGCATCACCTTTTGATCTGGGACTGGTTTTTTGGGGGGTCGTTGGGCTCAAAGTAGAAGTTTTTGATGTGCCTGACTCTGGTGGCGTGTTTGGTGTCCTCGCGTGTCTGTACTGTAGCGGGCTTTCCGGGTCAATAATTTGCTTCAGTCGTCTTGCATGGCGCAGTGCTGATGGAAGATTGCGCGCATATATGGTTCTGAACCCTTTCTCTTCGAGCTTTTTCATGAAAACAGGCATTTGGTGGAGGAATCGATGAGCGTCCTCACTGTCGCCTTGCTCTTCTTCAGCAGCGTAAGAGTCAGATCCTTCGTCGATATAAACCTTGTTCTCAAATTTCCTGTTGTTGTGGAAGTAGATAGAGCGCAATCTCCTTTTAACTCTGTCGAAGTGCGGGCCTTGGAAGTAATCAGGCATCTCCGTAATAGCCAAAGGGGTTTGTTCCAGCTCTGGCTTGCGGACCATGTGCTTGTGTGGTCCAGTACGGAGACAATTGTCCGCCATTTCAATATTGGTTATCGACACATTATTCGGGTCATCGTAATCAATAGGAAAGAAGATGATTGTGTGAAGCTGCGTGTTCTCCGATTTGCTTGTCGACGATTTGCGTCGGCCCTCTCTTGGGTCTTCATGAATTATTGTGGACATTTTGGTCATTGGCGTGTGTAGGCTGAATCAGAGGCTGCGATCAATAACTGGACTCGAAATACGTACACTGGCCGTCAACAATATGTATTGGTAGCCCAAGGCAGTGTCGCCATGTTACACGTCTTTGTTTGATATGCCTCAAAGATTGCGAAGATACGTTTTTGATGAATGTAGTACGAATGTAGTATAGCTAAGAACGTGATCCGATGAAGAACAAAGACCAAGATAAAGAGCACAACACGATGCAGCGAGGCGTGGCGTGGCGAGGCTGAGCGTCTTTCTTTCATGCCATTGGCTTGCAATCCCACACATGTGGTAGAGCGACTGTAGCTAGCTTGTCATTGTCTACACTCGTTTCCCAGTCATTTTTGTTCGACAGCTCGAAAGCATAGGCAACAGCAGTTTCGCTAGATTGTTATCTACTGTGGTGATGATGAGCTGTAGACTAGTCACAATTGAACATAAGAATCATCAAGTTGAAGTCGTCGAAACCCACAAGGAAATTTAGGTAACAGGTATCGCTTTGCAGGCTTCGGCAAATAACCTACAGTTATAGTTATCTATACTTCTACAACTTCAATCGCCTCTTGAGCAAGCTTTAGGCGCAATTTTTGGAGGACCAACGTCAACCTGAGCAAAAGCGAACAGTCACGAAGCACGTCTGGGTTCCTGCTTCACAACACAAGCAATCCTTGTATTCATCATGACGTACTTAGCAGTCGGCGGTACAACTGGTCTTCGATGTCAACGCTCTTACTCTACCTGCGGCTTGTTGTCGGGTCGTCAAGAGCAAAGCTCCACAATGCGACAAGCATGGTTTTTCGCCTTCCTTTCTCCCGAGATCTTGTCACAGAGTGCAGAAGGGTCCCTTGACGTGAATTAACCTGCTTTCCAAATAATGCAACGATGGCGGCCCCCTGTCAACACAAGACTCTCCTTGCGAACGACAGGACTAGGCGTCTGCCAAACTCCGATGCCGTCCCAACCCCGCCCATGGTGCGACATAAAGCCCCATCGCCCACGCCCAGGAACCCCGACGAGTGGCTATATCTAATAAAAGGGCGTTCACGTTGGAGCAATCTTGCAGCCCATCGCCGTCACATCTCAGATGCACGAGAACCCTGCACGATCACATTTCCACTTCAGGCCGTGTGAGAGGAGGCACACGGCAGGGCGACCGCACAGCGGGAGGGGAACGCGTTCCGGCGGCGAGCATGGAGGATTCAAAACGCGAAGGCGGGAGATTGTCGGGAGGAGTGCTGGTTTGGGAGGATGGGGTGAGGGCAAAGCGAACGCGAAGGGATCTTCACTTTCACAGCCCGTTTGCAAAGGACGGGAGGGAATGATGCGGGCCGAGCTGCCCCGACAATTCTCCAGAATGTGAAGCGACTATGAGCAAGGTAAATTGAGTTATAGACGCATGTCGAAAAGTGAGAATGAAGAGGTTGAACGCGAACTGCACGCGTCCATTGTAGTGGGGCGTATGGGCATTTCATGGTACCACTGCTGGGTCTCGACGGCGCGGCATCTGCACGCGGGTCGCGGCGGCACAATTGTCTGCAACGGGCGTGCTGCATGCGTCCTCGTCTCGAAGAGGATCTCAGCCTGGAGGATCATGGATAGTTTGGGTGGGTGATGGTGCCGGTGCGTTGGTTGGAGGCTGGGAAAAGGAACGACTGGGAAGAGTCAGCGTGGGAGATACTCCAGGGCTGCAACAGAAGTAGCCCTGGAGAGGCGTATGGACGGCGCATCTGCATCCAAGCATAGCCAGAGCCCGACGACAGGTTCTTGCCCTCGCTTCAACGGTCAGCGAACGGGCTTTCTTTACCCCATCCTGCAACGCTCCCAACGCTCAGACCTCGGCGTTGTCTTGCTTTTCCCGCTCCCCTGTCCTCACGCAACCTGAGGCAAGCCGGTGTCCGCTCCTCCTGTACCGTACTGCTACACCGGTATAGCAGCTCTCGTGCTGTGGCTGGTGAGGAGGATGACGGTTGGACCCCGGGCGTTCCTTGGAGCGCAAGGCTTCGAAACGCAAGGCTAGCACGTTTGGGGGCGCTGCCACCAACGTGTGCCTCCATCCTTTGATCTTATGCGCGCTTCGAGACGCTTCGCTAGGTTGACAGCTTATATGCCCTCTGAAATGTTCACAGTAGAAGACGCTGTTGTGTGGAGACAGCGTTGAAGGTCGAGTACACATAGCACGAGCATTGTCTGGCTGTCTGCGCACGAGAGTTGATATGCGTCGTCTACACTGCAGAGCTCATAGGGTCCTATGCTTACTGCATCTACATGTGGTAAGACGGCGACGCGCGCTCCGTAGTGTCTCGTGCTTCCTGCATCGCTGGTGTACAGGCGATGCTTCGAGTACGACGGTCAGAATAGGAAGCCATGGTGATGGCGACGGAGCAGGCCGTTGTCTCGCGTGGCCAAGTGACATACGATGAGCGCCTTCCGGATACAGTCGCTATCCGTCTTTCTAGAAGCTACATACAGCCGTATCTACAATCAACATATCGCATTCGGCCGATGCACACCATGCGCGCCTCAGCATACGCACCTCGCATTGTATGTGCACCATCCGAAGACATGCCACGATGACAAAGTGCGCACCTAGGATCAGCGCAACCCAACCCACAGACCCGTTACTCTCCGCATTCGGGGCCGCCACACCCGCACCGCTCACAGTCCGCGAACCACACCCTACGCTTGCATCGGCCATTGGCCAGATCGACATCTGGTTCCGACGTAAGCTGAGGGGCGGTACGGCGCGCTCAGGCGAGCGATTGGGGCGTCATGTGCTGTGCTGATGGGGCCGAAGAATGTCTTGAGTGATGCACGGCTGATACTGTACTCTGGACAGAACCATGGAATCCTTCACATCCGGGTGCTGTCTGAAGGCGGTGTCAACATGTAGGACAGCGTCATCTCTTCCGTACGGCATGCCTCGACCTATCAGACGGAATTTCGCACCCACACCCACGACGTCGTGGGAGTCCGAATTGCGTGACCACATGGCTATCCCAGCACCGCCATGTCCCGAAAACTGCCCAAATTGCACCAGCTCCAAACCTGAAATAGCAAACAAAATCACCGGTCCAGTCGCACTCACACACCACACTTGACAGCGGCCGCCCGTCGTTCCCACCCCGGGTCCTTGCGCGCCTGCATGGTCGAGTGGGCGTGCATAGATTGCGAGGCTCAGGTCCGTAGATGGGTTGCAGCCAGCGAGCCTGGGCGACCGTTATGACTGGTCTCTTGGTCGCCGAACCATGTGGCCGAGGTCCCGGAGCTGCAGCGAACTGCATCTACTGGCACCTTCGTGAACCAAAGATAGGTCGTTTGTTTCAAGACCTGCGACGGGCACATCGTACAACGGATGCAGCAGATCCGCGAGTCGATCATGACGTGGCGGGGAAAGAACTTTGGGATCTAGGGTGGAATGTAAGAGCAACGAGCACAAGTTTGGGGTTGATGGGGCTAGAAACGGATACGCGGGTCCCGAACCTGTGTTGAGCATACGTATTCCGATACTATGCCACAGACGATAGGACCGGGAGACTGTAGATCGATGCGGATAGTGTATGACTGTGGCGCGTGGTGGCAGGTCTGGCGGACTTCGAGGGTGACTGTTACAGCGCCCACATGACCCGCGCGACAGGCTCACCATAGCATCCATGGAATGCGTTCAGACATGGATGAAAGAAGGCCTTGTATGGCACCGTGATTTGGAATGTGATGCGGGGTGTCAAAGAAATTCATTGATGCCTGTCTAAAGCGACGCTGCGAACAACATAGGTGGTATCATCCCAAAGCGAAACTACTCGATAGTTTTTTCCGTTCCGACGAGTTGCGCAAACAAGAAAAGAAGGCGGCATATCGCTGCTGGTATCATTCGTAAATAAAGAAAGCTGGACAAGGACGCACGCGGGTCCTGGCCCCCATAATTTGGATTTCCGCAATGCAGACGTAATCAAATGTTTCCGTAATGTGTGATCGCCGAATCGCCGTAATCAAGCGTCATCCAAGGCAGGTCCAAGCATAAAGGACATCCAGGAAGTAAAGGTTGGCTAGTTGCCAAAAGAATATGTTACAGTAAAAATGCGTAGACGGTGTGGAAGTCGAATGGTCATACCGGTGGTCAACTAATTTTCTTCCATGAGCGGCTGGTCGTCGCCTGCTTCGCGCCAGTCCCGCGAGCGTTCGGCCAGGCGTTTGACGCCCAAGATGCGGTCGGCCCACAGGGCTTCGGATGGGGTCCGAAATGTGTATGCACGCTGTGACGAAATGACGCCAATCGCTTGGAGCACAGCCTTGCGCGAATCTCTACCGAACACTGCAGGGTGGTTGATCCACTCCAAGCTGGATTCCAACTCAGCATCGAGCGCATGCATAGTTGTCGCGTCGATACCAGCGGCCGGAGTAAAGGGATTCTCCGCGTGCGGCGACGGTGTCCTCGGGCGGTCGCTGCCGTCTACCGGTGATGAGTGACCTGTGCTACCAGGCGCGCTTGGCGGGTCATTTCGTCGGTGACCGGGCGGTGGTAGCGGAGGCAAGCCACCCTTTCCAAGACCCTTCAAGATACTCCTCGTCTCTTTCAACAAGTGGTGTGCCCGGTCATGTTGACCCCGTGAAACTAAAGTAAGCGCGCGAGTCAACATGTCGGAGGTCAGCAGCTCCATACGCCGCTGCACGACATGAGGGTGCGGCGGGATAGGCGGCGTCGGTGGTCGGCCGCTTGAGTTTTTCTTCGACAGCGAAGGTAGAATGGTGATGGCCAACAGGGACGGACGTGGTAGATGTGCTATTGAGCCGTCCCGAAGTATGTCACCGTAGGTAAGGTCCGCCTGAATCAGCGGTACTTCTTCGACACTGAGAGTGCGGGAATCATCCTGGTCGAGGGGCCCACCTAGGGCTTCGAGACCTGAAACGATGGTTTCCCAAGGATCTTGCGGAAGCTGCTCCGGAGACGCGGTATCTGGTGAAATCGCCAGCTGTACCAGGATATCTGCAAAGCATGTTAGTGCTGGATCATTAGGGTGTACTGCCATCTCAACGTACCTCTCTTGTCTCCGAAGCGCAGGTCGCCCAACGATGCCTCCGCATCACGGCCAGTAGCGCGTTTGGTGATGTGTAGAGCGCCGCTAATCTTGACGAACTTTGCCGGAGACCCTTCCGGTAGGCGAAGTTTAAGCTTCACATTCTGGTGGGAGGTGGTTTGCAGAGAACCGAGGCAACCCGCTACGCATTCACGCAGCATCATCCAGTCCTTCACATACGTGTACGATGCCTTCGTACGCGTGGACAGCTCAATCATGGTGTCGGGCTTGTGGGTCAGTCCGAGACCAAAGGAATGGATGGTAACCCTGCCTAAAGTCAGCATTCCGAAACAGGAAGTGGCGCTTGACATGCTACTTACTTTGCGGCCTCGGCGCGAGATACCACGAAGTCGACGCTTTCGGCATCCGATGTGGACGAGTCACTGATGAGGAGGATGCTGGAGAGAGGGTTGTTCGACTTGCGCTGCATGAGCAGGTCCATGGCTACGTTGGCACCTTCCACCACGTCTGCGCGAAGGCTCTTCTGGCCCACAGGGCGGATGGAGTCGAGAACCTTTGACCAGTCTCTCCAGTTTTTGCTCGTCATGCCCACGATCGGCACCCCGCCGCCACTGGAGCCGAAGGTGACCAGACCCATGCGGTCGCGTTCGCCCAGGTTCTGTACCAAGAAGCGAAGCGTGTCGCGCAGCAGATTGATCTTTAAGCCTTGCATGGATGATGAGACCGGAATGACCACGACGATGTCCAACGGCACGTGCAGACCACCTGACAGGCGCGGTTCTGGCCCGCCAGCGCGTGAACTGGTGTATTCGGTGGGCGCAGTGACGGTAGACCGTGCAGCGCCATATGAGGATGCTATGGACGAGATGCGCTTTGGGCGTCGGTAGTCCTCGTCCTCTGTGCCCGAGTTGTCCTGGTCGAAGTCCGGCATGCGCTGCGGTGTGGGAAAGTCCATCCGAATGTCCATCAGGGCGCGCCTCCATAGCTCCAGCTGGCTCCGGTTTTGGAACTGCAGATGGAACGAGGGTAGTTCGGCCACAGAGAGGCTGAGTGTCAGGATTGCCTCGTCGGGAGAGTGCTCGACCTGGTTCAGGTGCTTCTTGATGAGGATGGAGCCCTTGAGCGTGCACTTGGGCTTCTTGGGCGCGCCCGACTCGCCCTCCCACTTGTCGGGCTGGCTGGTCTTCTTTTCCTTGACGCAGATGAGCATCTCAGAGAAGAGGTAGCACTCGAGTTCCTGCCACGACTGGCGGTCCTTCCCAACGCGCACGTGGCCGTGCAGGCGCAGCTTGCCAAAACGCGAAAAGTCCAAGCCGTGCCAGTTGTCGACGCGTGAGTGCAGGTCCTCGGTAATCTCCTCCAACGCCTCCTCCGACTCGTACGGCGTATCGAACTGTCGGTTGTTGCGTACCGGGGATTTTGTGCGCCCAAACTGCTCCGTGGCGCTCGCTATCGACGGCATCGGCGGCGCGCCACGCACATCTTCGGGGTCGGGCCTCCACTTCCCCTCGACCACCTCCACTGTCACCAGACACGTCAAGCTCTGCTGTTGGCGCGACTTGCTCAGCGTCGGGAACTCGCTGCGCACCGTCACCGTGGGTGCTGGAATTGGACTCTTCAGCAGGCCGCGCGGGCTGCTCAGGCTCGATTCCATCGACTGCACATCGTAATCGTGGCGCCTGCCGTCGTGCGTGGCCGCATAGTCTCCCGAAGATGCGATTCCCGTCGCGCCACTGTCACTGCGCAGGTGCTGGCGCGACATGGACCGCATGTTGTTCTCCGACCGCTCTCGCGAATGGGATGAGTCTCGTTGCGGCCGCGACATTGACATCTGTGATTGCTGGTACCGGCTGCTGACATCGCTGTCGTTTCGCGGCCTGCCTGTTGGCTGCTGCTGCTGCTGAGGCGGTGGCTCGCTCCGCACCGTCTGATTGTCCCATGGTGTGGGGGTATTCTGGTTGCTGCGGTGGCTACTACCCGCGTCATTCTGCACGGATCGGACGATAGTACTCAGTTTCTCTGCCGCGTCTGTGTCAGCCCCACTCGCTGTGGCTCCGGTCGCCAGCACTTACCTAGATCCAACACGTTCCCACCTCGGCTGGTGTCAAGACCCAGCGTCGCGTTGCACGTCGGGCAGTGCTGAGAATCGAATTCGCGAATGTATTCGTAGAAGCAGGCCTCGTGGGAAACATGGCCGCAAGACAGCTGAAGTATGCGCTCGCCACGCAGTGTGTGCTCCAGGGGCTCCTCACAGACGGCGCACTCGCTGCCAATGAAGGTTCGCTCGCGGCGGGTGCGAGACCGTTCGATGTCGAGCACGCCGGCCATGCCTCTGCCGGACCTCGGAGGTAATTGTGAATCGAGCGTTGTGTTGCTCCTCGAAAAGGGTTGCGCGTTGTGGTTCGTTCTGTCGAAGGTGCTTTTCGAATGGGAGCTGCGCGAGCTGGGCCGATACCCTCCTAGAAAAGACATGAGTGGACCGAGCGCAGAGACACGGCTTCTGTGGTTAATTACTGTGGGCCGTCGTTGATCCAAACTCGACAGTCTTAGGCTTCCCCTTGCGCTGGCTGCTCTTCTTGCGGGTCCGATGTCCTAGGAGCCCAAGTTCAAAGAGGTTCTGTTCGATCTCCGACGAAGACTCTTTTCGACGGAGAGATTGACTGGGTGGATTCCGGCGAGACGAAGAGGATTCGATGGTCGACATGGAAGTTCAGGAGATGGCTGGTCCTCGCTTCACACTCGTTTCAGCATGGAGAATGCGCGCGGAAGATCGTCTAGGATGAAGCCACGGGCTCTGCAGAAGGCGGGACCTTGCTTGCAGGGATAGTTCGGACCGGAGACGAAGCCTTGAGACGACAGGGGCGGGGACAGTGTAGCGCGAGCAATTGCAACGGCGCGTAAGGTGATTGAGGAGAGGGAAATGAAGATCAAGTGTCCAAGAGTCAGAAAGGAGTTGTGGCGGGGACCTGCGGCGGCAGAAGTTGATAACTCGCGTGCAACCATAGCAGCACCCACCGGCAAGCCTGGCAGAAGCTGCAGGCTGTCTCGCGCAATCCCTGCAATGGGGGCAACGCCGCTGCGAGCGACAGCCGATGAGGATGAGTTGGTGCACGGGACGGGAATCCATTAGGGGGTTTCGCCGCGCCGAAAGCTGCGCCACACGTCGTTTGATTGGCAGATACATTACACTTGGCTGCATCGAGAGTCAACCGTGATGGCGGGATTCATGTCCGCCCCCGCTGCATCATTGGTCTGGCCCGCGCACACATCTTTGACACGGCTTGAAGAATGCTGCCCCAGTCCTTTGGGACCTGGGACCATGTGAGAGCTGATGGAGAGAGTTGCCACTTTCCAGCTGTCTGTTGCATGCTACCAGCCAGGTGGAGACCCGACCGCAGCGCCAACCACGCGAGAACGCACCCCGTCACGTTTTGCCGGAAGGACGCGACCTCGAAACCAGAGCTGCACAATCGCTCACAGTGGAGCCTCACGCCTTGCCACAAAGGCCTATATCGCCAGTCGTTATAGGTAAACGTTTTGGGGCACTGGCATCCTCGCCCACGAGTCAAGAGCATTGCAACACTTCCCCGGAACCCAGGGTACCGCTGTTAAGCAGCCGTAAGCGATCAACTCGCTGGCTTGCTTTGACAGCGACATACGAACGGCGCGTCGTCGGTGGGCTCCAAGGCCTCTCGTGCAAAGCAAGTTGCGGTCCTTTTCCTGAAGAGGCTGACTTTAGTTTGCCCCGCAGGTACAGGTCCACTCATGCTCCGTAGAACTTTCGTGCAGGTGAACACTGCACGTTACATCACACCGGATGCGGGCTTAGAAGGGCGTTCATGCATCGCCTCAAGCATTGTTGTTCGCTTGTCCAATGCGAGCGGCACCCTGTTGGGAAAATCTCGATTGACTTACCGTCGAACTTCGCATCGTAGGCATCTCCGAACATTCGAGTCAGCAAGCACGGGAGAACGCCAGCACCACCTTTGAAATTGCTATTGCCTCGCAGGCAGACATAAGAAAGGCGGACGGTTACTGACAGCGCCGTCGGGCGCCGTCGGTTGCTTTGTCGCACTACGGTCGGCTCCATCATCTGCACGTGGCTACCACGAGGTGAAAATCCAAAAAATGACGAACATCCACAGCAAATTCAACGTTCGGCTCCTTTCCAAACGGATTTCTCATACCTTCAGCAAGTGGCGCTGCGTTGTTCGAAGGTCCTGTATCCACTGGGAACTGACCCCACAGACGATTGTCGAAACCTGACTCGACAAATCTGCTTCGAATTACCATCTCTCGGATAGAGGCCGATGGATGGGCATTGTCCTGTTCATGATCGCCAGACCCGGAGTTGACACGGGCACAACCGAACCGTAATTCAACGTCATCCCCTTTTCAAGCCTGCTTGCGCGCTGCGACCCAGCCATCGCTCACTCGCCCAAAGCTGGGTGTTCTAATCACCATCATCAGATGGAACGCCGCCTTGCGCAACCGACGGAGGACTCCAAAATGAGGCTCATCGTTAGCTTCGCAAGCCTCCTTTCGAAACCTTCTAGAAGACCCATCATCGATGTTCAGTGGACCCTGTGCACCCCAGCTCTTCACTTGTCCGGCAGTCACCGCATTCTTTGCATTGTATGTGGCGTTTTATAGTTTGTAAGAGATGGTGTGCCCACGTGTGCTCCCAGTGTGGATTACTCGGGTGGTTGCGATTCGCTGTCATCGGAATTTCGTCCAGTGAGCGTCTGGGTCTCCCTTGCACGCGCTGTGCCACAAACCCAGGCCTATAGTCGTCATGCCATCAAAGATGCGACGTGATTTATACGGTACCCAATCCCACGAAATCTTGGCTGGCGTAACAAGGATCAACTGAAGTCTGCTTACGGTCAAGCACGATGACAGCCATTACACGTATGCGCCTGCGCGTTTTCAGGCTCGTGACGAGCGCGATGAACAGCCCACTGTGGATACTCAGTATTAGCATGTCAAGTTCACCTGCAGTCTCCCGGCGTGCTAGTGGTCATTCTGGTGTCGGTTCGATATGTACGCTGAAGACTATGGGCTGCGCTAACATCAGTCTAAAAGGATCGCCCTACATACGGTTGCAATTCCTTTCAAAAACTGCAAAACAACGCAACTTTATCTCTCGAGGTTTCTAGAAGGTCTTGCAGCTGGAGAAGTCCTCGTAAAACAGGGGCACCAAGTGTGGCTTGGACCCTGCCTCTATTGAGCCACTTTCCCCTCTCTTCTCAATGAGTGGTATGTGGACCCTCTAATTCTCCATTACTGAGTTTCTTTCAGAGCTCCAGACGTCGACACATCAATTGTATGTACAAGATTCACCCCTCGTTGATCCTGCACCTTCTCTCTAAATAACATCCCCATTATCGGTTCTATCGCGGTGTTACTCGTCCGCCGTGTCGCCTGTGCATAACTTTGAGCGATGCCTTCTAGCATCTATTAGCGTCCCTCTAGCGACGCGCAAATCGGCGAACTTGCTGTTGATATTCTAGATTCTACACCAACAAGAAGGGACCCGCCATAGCCGATATACGAGGGAGACGTGGCTATCATGTAGACCATTCACGGAAATGCCTCCCTTTGAGACTGGGCTGTGAGCCGTCCATCAACGTACGTCCGTGCATCCTTCTAATCTGGGCGAGCAGGTCCAGATGGAGATGAGCGCTCAACTTCTTTAGGTGATGGCCTTTTCTAGAGTTTCTGTTTCGGGATTTCGAGAAGCTCACATCTTCGGAGCAAAGGGAAGGCAAGGCTAAGCTTCTACTTACTGCTAGATACGCTGCGTCGCTATACGCGCGTCCGCATCGCCACACATCTTCACTCATTATATATCGACTGACTTCCTCGTTCTATTTTTGCCACACCTATAAAATGCAATGCAGAACTTCCCTGAGTAGAAACCAGGGGTAATGGCAGACGCTTCGTGCCGTCGATAGATCCGACACGGGACCGACACCAAAGGCGACCTGATCCATGGTTCGCACGACTTTCCCCGACGCGCCAAAATCCCCAACACCACCGGTGACACGAATAGGGGGTCTCTAGCGGTAGAGTGGAGTTCACGATCTGCGCCACGGGCGCGGTAGCCTTCCACCCGCAGCCACACACGTCAGATGTGCATGAGAACAACAACTTCACCCGTCGATAATCCACCGGCGACCCACGTGAAGCCGAGCAAGGAATGGCAACGCTGAGAGTCTAGGGCTACCCCCCGAGGGATTTGCAGTAGATCTGGTGTATGGTTCTTATGCCTACTGAGAACCTATCATAGTATTTGTAGATAAACTAGGCGGTGCTCAGCGTAGGATCTTATAGCACACCGATGGCGATTCCCGCTTACGACCGCTAATATTCTACACGATTCAAGGTCAGGCAGGACTTTTTACAGTCATAAGCGCTAAGGGACCATATTTCTTTGGCATATATCAACGAATAGGTTCTCGAACATTCGGTTCATGGTGTCCAATTAAAATCACAGCCTGGCAACAACCGCACGGCTTGTACGTATTAGCACAATAGCTGAAACGACTTTCTAGACACCTGGAGTCTTTACGGAGAGGTCACAGTCGTAAGTAATGACTATCCCAGTTTCCGCAGTTGTGCATCAATGATGTCATATAACGCAAACACTTTTCGGGTTGTTTGCACTGCGGGCAGGAGCACCGTGGAAAAAGAACTGATTTGACACAAACACTGACCAAGGGGAAGAATGTAGCGGTTCAAGAGAGCAGTATTTCGATCACGATGTATACCAAATGATCATCGCATTAGCGTTTCCTGCAATTCAGATAGCTGCAGGGCAAGTTGTTAAGAATCTTGGCTGTTCCTATGTCGATGGATATGGCACCATCTTGAGGCAACAACCAGGTTGGGGTACATGTGAAGAACTCAAATCGCAGAGAGTGCAGTGTCAGGTTCCTCTCGTGCTACCTAATGGTAGTACAAATGTGCTTCAGTCATACTGTTATGAAGATGACGAGCTCATATCAGTCATTTTCAAAGCAAAGTGCAAGACAGTTAGGTATTACCCTCCACGAAATATCATGAGGGTCGCATCTATGAAGGACTAACATGACAATCAGAGATAATCAAATATTCCCCTCGAAGGATGAATGAAACCCCGAGGTGGTCATCGCTGAGGTGGAATCAACGGATTAAGGCGCTCAAGGTGAGAAAACAGAGGGAGGTCTCATCTACCGGCCACGTGCCAACTTACTCAATGATTAATCCAGGGCTCACTGCTTTGTGCCGCTTTCACGTACTGAGACCCCAATTAAGCTGCAGAATGGTATATGCAGCATGATCGCACAGTGAAGTGTGAGCATAGGTCTTGTGTACCCCCGTAGACAGGGTTTCCAGTGGTACACACGAAGTAGCACTCAATACAAAAGCTAACCCAATATCAACATCAGCATCTCTGGAGGGCCCTTCCCCACAACCTTCTCCACTGGAAAAGACTTCGAAGTCGACATCAACACTCGCGAAGCATATCCTGCTCGCCTATCAAACCACCTCTTGCTGAAATCTCTCTCAATGAACTTCTGACAGCAGTCATTGAGCTTGCGCGGACTAAAGGGGTGAATACGTAGATCTGAAAGCAGAGTACATGGCAGAAGATTGCACAGGCGGTCTAGGATTCATGCAAGCCGAGATGAGTGGGTGCCAAATCTCATTCCGGGCGAACCACCCAGTCGCGGGCTAGTATACGTCCTATGTACGGGTACGCAGAGTTAGGAATATTGCTTGCTGTATGTTTCCCCATCCACAACAAGAAAGCTCTGGTCTATTTCCATGTGTGGCATGCAGATCAGCCCAAGGCCAATGAATTTGGGGGGAACACGCCATATGAGAGGTCTGTTACTGATTTATTAGACGAGGACGATGATTCGGCTGTGCAATAGTAATGGCAACCTCCAGAGGCGAGAAGCCAGAGAGCGCCGTGTCGCGATGCTAGAGCAAAGACCACCACGATCTCAAGGCGCACTATCTAAGTGCCGTTGTCCGGGTACGGATGGCTTCATTTGTACCAGCTCAAACAGAACCAATGTACAGTGGCTATCAAAGCATTTCCTGGAAATATCTATTATCTTACCTGGACCTTGTAATTTGCCAACGGGAAACGCCCAAATCAATGCCTAGACCCTTATCGCTTACGATGTATATCCCTGGCACCTAAATGATGTCATAAACGCTTGCATCTCAGACTCATCTTCCCACTTGACTTTTTCACCACCGTGCATCAAGGGGCTGGGCAGAAAGCGAGGATCGATCAAAGATCTACATGTAGACATGGTTGCTTGTAAGTAGAGCATATGTTGGGTTGATTTGATTGTAGATCTTGAAATTTGGGACTGTCAGATCTACATTACTCGTAGCTCTCATCAGGATGTACCATCAATCCTCTGCTCAAATTGATCCTTCCAGCTAAGGCTATGATCACAGAGAACCAAGCCGAGGATCCGAGCCTCTCGTGATATGCTAGAAGAATCCAGCATTCAACAACCTCAAACCCTCCCAGCAACCGCGGTCGAATTGCTGACAGCCGCCAAGGCCCGACCACCTTCCTTCTTATACGCATCGTTGATCGCGTTTGCATCGACATCAGTTATGCAGCGGAACTTGCGGAAGCCCTTCACCGATAAGTGCTTGTCGGGCCACTTGCAATCCCAGTTGTAGTCTCCCCATGCAAAGCATTCTCCGTAAGATTTGCCTTCGGTGCCGTAGAGATACCATCGCCACGCACCGTTGACGTCGTGACCTCGGTCCTTGTAGATAGTAAAGTGGTAGTGGTTAGTGAAGTGCATCTCGATGAGCTTGACGTCGGGCCACGGCGCCTTAAAAACGTGAGCATTTGAGATAACAAACCACCAAGTTTGTCGAAATGACTTCCTGCTTGGGAATAAAACTTACGTCGCCGTAGCCGCACTTGCCCTCGCAGCGGATGCCGAGCCGGTCGTGGCTCAGGTCACTCGAGTCCGGCCAGGACGCGTATAGATCGACTTGTTCACAGCCGGGGTTGTCGTTTTGGAGTTGCCAACCGTTTATCTCCGTACCGGGCCAAGGTCCTTCAGCCTTTACGCCATGGATATGGTAGAGGTCGAAGTTTGCCGCGGCGAATTGGAGAACAGTCACCAGAATGGTGAATACGTGCGCGAGGAGCACTGTCATGGCAAGCTGTATGGTTTGGAAATGCGATTGAAGAGATGGGATGAGGTTGAGGGGAGGTGTTGTTGAAGATGCCGGACCGTGGAGTTGCGGAAAGCTGAGAGGATGTAAGCGCTCGTGGGCGGTGTTTCATAGATGAAGGCCCAGCTTGAGGCTCAAGTAAGAGACAATTGAAGTATGTGCTTTCCCTATAAGGTGAACGAGGTGAGCGTAGAGACACCTGCGGCAGTACGCAAAGCTCTGTCCAAAAAAACGTAAAGAATCATTCACCCCAAGGTAAGTTTACCTGTCTTGATAGGTAGAAACAGATCGGCATGATTCAGTGCCCAAGTACCGACACACCTACCGCGACTTGTGCGCCAAAGATTGCCTCACCTAGACGCGCCGCAAAGCCGGTCTCATTCGCACCACGATCACGCTAAGCATCAGTACCACGATATACAAGTCTATATAGTCGCGAGGTATATACTGACCAAGTTTCTCCCCGTAGAAAACATGAGCACACTCGCGTTCCCTGATGGGTACTTGTATCAGTGTTGAGGTCGACAATACAAAAAACTCATGGCATAGTGTTGGTGAGATCAGTAGCCCACGTAACGGAAATCTCTGTGGGCTATTTGATAGAATTGTCGAACGTGATCACAGGTAATCAGATGGGCATGCGCTCATCTTTTCGTTCAGTGCCGCTGAGCGTTATCCGGCTTGCGTCCAGCTTGCCGAACTGGGCGGCTATCTCATCTACTTTTCCGCAATACTGTATAGGGCGGTACAAATTACGAACGCACATCGCACCTCTAGTCTGAATTAGAACAGGCTGAGCTATAATTCTTGCCAAGAAGCGTGAATTCATCCTAAGCATGATCCTGTCTACCTACGATAACAAGATGTCATTCATGTAACCCTCAAATCCCGTAGACAGGTAAAATGTTAGTGTTGATTCCCAGTGGATTTCCCCCTGGCAAGCGTGCCTCTTTGGCATCGCAAATACCAAGAGAGCAGCAAGTTCATGCCTCCCAGGCAATCGCCGTGGAGTTTGGTGGAATGTCCGTGCCGTTGTGCGAGATCACATGGAGGTATGGGTAGTCCGGGTTGCTGTATCCGTCAAAGGTTTTTGAAGGAGGGTTCTTCTTCCATGCATCGTTGATATCCTTCGCCGTTACACTGGACAAGCACCGGAACTTGCGCCTACCTTTCTGGTGACGAAGTCAGTGCTTGTCTCAGATGAGGATGTGAGCGAGTTGTCGGGATGACTTACGAATCGTAGGTGGTGATCGTTGAACCCGCATTCCCAATTGAGTCGTGTATCTACGTGACAAGCTCCGTATGTATTGCCATCTGTGCCGTACATAGGCCATAGCCAGGTGAATCCATCTGGGCCTTTGTAGCCCCGGTCTTTGTAGATGGCTGTTAGACCAGTCAGCTGAAGCATAATATGTGAGACTTGTCGGATTTACTCCAGTGATAGAGAGGCTCATTTGTGAGATGCATCTCCACGACCTCGACGCTCGGCCAGGGATCCTGTACTGTACGTTAGCGTCCATACATTCCTGTTATGCTGAAATGTTTTTACATCGTCCGGATGTAATACTCCACAGTGATTGCCAGGTGAACAGCGGATGCCGAGTCGGCCGTGGCTCAGGTCGGGCTTCTCGGCCCACGTAGCAATGGGGTCGCCGTCAACATCGGCACACTCAACATCGTCGCCATCAGTGAGCACCCAAGCCCCAAAGGTATCCGGCCAAGGAAATATTGTGTCTATTTCACCGCGGACAACGTTGAGGTCAAAGTTCGCCGAAACAAGATGGACGAGGGCGACCAGAACGGCCGAGATATATGTGATTGGCGACATGGTAAGTTGACCTAGGGGCGGTGTTCTCTAGCCAAGCGAGGATGTTGATGGAAGGTCGTTCTCCGCAAGGAAGTGTGGATGGGGAGAGCGTCTCTTATGCGACGTCGAAGATCACTTATAACAAACCGATAGAAAAGGTGCAGTGACAGTGAAGGCAGGGGTTTGCACCCATGCAAGAGGCAAGAGCCTGGCAAACCGTCACAAGCCACGAACCATTCTTGATTCGCTATGATTTCACCCCACTAAGTTGATGATATGCCCTCCACGACTCCCTGGATTTCATATTGCCCTGTAAGCGCGGGTGGTCGACTGGCTAGGAAAGTTTCGAAAGCAAGTCATCGCCGCATTTAGTCTGAGCAAAACACCCGCTGTCCTGATGGCGTGGATCTATTTCGAATCTTCCCGACTAGACATTTCCTTTTGCTCCGTGAAGGTGCGAAACGTAGTTTGATTCGCGAGCGTACACCACGCTTATCAACGAGGATTCGTGCCACAGCCACGAGCCACCTATCTACTGCGATCTGGTGTACATGGTGGTCGGCAAGGTATTTTGGCATCGACCGCCACAACACTGGCAGTCATCTTTGTCTGTAGTGCTGAGGATCCGCCGTGTCACAGCCAGCATTGTGTACGAATAACCTTCAATTAGTGAAATGCAATGCGAAGCTAGTCAGGTGAAAGTTGCACCTATCGGGTTCTTCCTACCGCGGAGCACGTGTGTGAGGGTCACCTGGGCAGATGTACACACACGTGCTTTGGTTCCGAATTTTGGTAGATCTCGCCCCATTCATATTGCAACTTCTCCAGCACCAGCAGGATCCTGCGCCTATCTTCCGTGACGCTGTGTTGAGCGCGATTACCTTGGTTCGGCGCATGACCAGAATCTCCAAGTGCAACACGCTGCCGAAGCCTAGATCTACAAGTACGCCAAGTGCCTCCGCGGTGACCCTAATGCGAAGACTATAAAGTTCCAAGGATCCATTTCTGGAACTGGCTTTTCGGCCCCTTGTCTTGGATTTCCTCCCGCTGCGGGTTTTCTGGGTGATGTGTCACGGCTAACTGCCATGCTGCCATTGAAGGTCGGCACTGTGATTGAGCGTAAGCTGTGTATTGACCTGCTGCAAGAGGTGGGACCATGCGCGTGAGCATGCGGCGATTGCGTGTTTGATATATTGACACGTGTAACGCTGAGAAGAAGAAAGACGCGTAACATCTTGAGGAAGAATGATCTTTCGTCTAACCAAATCGGTGTTGTGAAGGAGCTTCGACAGTGGATGATCAAGTGTATACGGAACATTTTAGCACATTTGCGAGACTACGGATGAAATCGATGTAGTCGGGAGGTCGTTGGCACGCGATCAGACCGTCAGTAACAATGTGTTGAGGAAATGAAATCGTGACGATATGGTTGGTGTTGCGGCTCTTCCAGAGTGGTGAAGTCATGGATCCGTGCGTTACGGAAGGCGCGACTCGCGTCTAACTTTTTGGCAGGGGCGACAGCACCAACCCTCACCTCAGCATCTTTACAATCATGGCCTCCAAATACACTTGTAAAGCCTGCTCGAGGGCCATTTCAAGGCAATCGGCTTCATTGCTTCAAGTAAGTCCACGATGAAAACATAGCGAGGATGCGCTGACAATCGTAGGCTACCCGTTCGCCTCGTAAAACACCAAATGTCTATCGAATGGAAGTCGCGCGAAATCTCTCAACGACCGCCCGAAGCTCGTACCATGTTAAAACTTCCCTTGCAGCGGCTCAGCCGGCGTCACAGCCAATTTCACAACCCGCTGCGCCTTCGGGAAAGCGCACTATGGACTCTGTATCAATAGATAATACCGGAAGCCCGCTGCGTGGAATAGCAGCTAAGCTGCGCGAGAAAGCGCCGCTGATGACGGAGACCTATGTCGCCTATGCTGCGACCCAGCAATTGATGAAGGAATGCACACGACATGCCGACTATACGATACCACAAGCATTAGAGAAGAACGAAGAGCTCCCTCGCGACGAGACAGGAGCGCATCTTGGTGTGAGCGAGAGCTGGTGGTTCAAGGGTAAGATCTTAGAAATAATGCACGTGTATGCATTAGATGCTGACGGACGCAGAGCTCGGTCTTGACGTAACGTTCATCAACTGGGCGCAGGTTACGTTCATACACATGTATCTGCTACACGTCCGCTTTCGTATGCTTCCCACGACACACGCACCCGTCTGGATCCAACACCTCACGAACCACGCTTTCTACGCCGCTGAGGACCGCCTCGTAGTCTGGCATAAGATCAATGCGAACTCGCTGCGCCAGAAGTACCTCAAGGACATTTTCTCGCAGTGGCGCGCCGTCTTATTATCTTACGACGAAGGCATAGTGAAGGGAGATGCGGTACTCGCGGCAGCAATTTGGAGGAACTTGTTTGCTGGCCGAGAGGATGTCGACTTCGAGAAGCTGGCGCAGATTGTGGGATACATGAGGCGGGAGTTACGGAGACTAGACATGGCGAGCGACGACGAAGTGGTGGACGGAAGGTGGTCATTTTCTGGTAATCCTGAGCAGGAGCAAACCGTGGTCAAGACACAGAGTAGGTCGATGGCTGGAGACGCTTCCAGGCCTTAGGAGGGACTGACCAATGCTTTCACGATGCGCTTTGTATGATATATGTGATACTGTCTGTTGTATATTATGACGCTCTATCGAGTTGCAGAACGTAGCTCGATCGTTGAATAATTCTACGTTCTTATTGTTGAAATGTTGTGGTGGAAGCTTTGTCGAATTCGAGTCTCGAGATCTGTAAATCTTGAGAACGGATCGGGAAGCTGCAGGCCCACGGTCGTTCGTTCCTGCATGAACCCCAGGTCTTGGCGCGCATCGATCCTCTTTATCGCATCGCAGGCAGCCAACGCATTTCGACTTCTTCCACACCACCTCAACCCACGCGTATCACCTTGCAGCATCGACTACAATAGAACAGGCTCGAGTCTGAGGCCGCCGCACCATGGCTGCCCACACGTCTTCTGCGCCGCCATCGATCCCCGGCTACCAGCTTTCCAACGAGGATTGCGTAGGGCTGAAGCACACCGTCGCCGAGCTTGTCCACCGCGAGGGCAATACACGCTTCCCCGGCGCGCAACCCGTCTCCTTTGCGCGGCAGCATCTAGCTGAGCTACAGCAGCGCGAGTACTTCATGTGTGAGAAGACTGACGGCCTGCGCTGTTTGCTATTCCTCCACTACACCGACACGGAACGCGGCTTTGAGCCTGTAACGTTCCTCATCGACCGCAAGAACAACTACTACGAAGTCAAGCCGCCAATCCGTGTACCCTACCATGGCTCTCCATTCCAACAAGAAGCTTTCCTGTATGCGACCATCCTGGACGGCGAGTTGGTGAATGATTTATATCCAGATGGGACCACCAAGCTCATATTCTACGCGTTTGACTGTCTAGCTGCGGACAGCGAGAACTTCACGGACAAGCCACTTTCGAAGCGTCTGTGGGCGCTGAAGGAGCGTGTTATCAAGCCGTGGCATACGTACTTAACACAGACGAAATCGCTCATGCCGCTAGAGCCGTTCCAAGTTAAAGAGAAGGAGCAGCAGTCATCGTACCACATCTCATATCTCTTCGACCAGGTGATGCCGAAGCTGAAGCACGGGAATGATGGATTGATCTTCACATGTAAAGATACGCGGTGAGTCTGCCTCCGTTTTCCATTGAGCTTGAGAAAGTAAGTGCAATCGCTGACGAGAGAGATGCACAGGTACGAGTTTGGCACAGACCCTCACATATTGAAATGGAAGCCTCCCCACGAGAATACCATCGATTTCAAGCTGCGCCTCGGCGAGTTCCCCATAATTGAACCCCCTCTGGACGACGAAGATCAATCGCCTTACGTAGATTATGACGCTATGCCGACAAGTTTTGATCTTCACGTCAATCACGGGAGCAATAAATACCGGCCATTTGCGCACAAGCTATCGGTCACGCTGGAGGAATGGGAGATGTTGAAAGGCCTGAAACAGCGACTAGATGGTAGGATCATCGAGTGCTTCCGCGACGCGGACGGGCGGTGGAAATTCAAGAAGGACGACGATGGTACGCCACGCTGGCGTGACGACAAAGCAGATGCGAACCATGTCTCTACAGTGGAGAGCGTACTGGGAAGTATTGAAGATCCGGTCACGGAACAAGACCTGCGTACATCCGAGGGCGCGATCAAGAGAGCCATCAAGCAAATGCAAGCCGGCGGGCAATATCAGGAGCCGGACCACGCAAACAAGAAGCGCCGCATCGACGACGTGAATGGACATTAGAAGTGCACCTGCAATCCTTGTCGTTGCGAGGAAGTATTGGACGGTGCGCAAGCGTTACGTGCCATGGGCTTAAAGCATCCCTGTGTGGACTTAGCGCATGATGAAGCTTGCGGATGTGCGACGAACTGGCACCCCCGGGCTTTCGACCGCATCTTGCTGCTGCGGAGCGGAAGGGTTCGAAGGCCAGCCCTGAAGATGCGGAGCAGAAAAGAAAATGGAACCGAGAATTGATTGAGGAAGTCCCAGAACAGAACAGAAGAATGATAAGGGCCATCGTGGTGGGAATGAACCGTCTGGGCGTGCTACCGCATTGGAGGTGTGCTTGTGTTCGCTGGCTGTCGGTGCATAAGATTCCCTGGCACTACGAAGAGAGAGTTCACAAATGCCATTGAAGACGAGTGCACGACTTGTAGGTGCAGAGATTACCAAGGTCCTGGCGCTGAGTGGTGAAATCATTGATCGCAAAACGAGAAAGGCGTTGGTTATACATGGGCCGGTATAGGCGTTTCGCACTTTGAGCTGGTATGATACCCTGGGTTTAGTCTGGCCGATATTATCTGCTGCCATTCGCAGTCATCGTTATCAATTTATGCTAGGTTTTCGCAAGACGCATGCATGGTGCAAACCTCAAAAGTCCACGTATTCTATTTTGCAAATGGCCCGTTCAGAGATATGTGGCTTGAAGAGACCGTGAAGTGAACGTGAGGTGTAGACTAAAGAGACAAGATGAGGAAAATATTGACTAGTGTAACGATGTAAGAGCTGCATAAAACAGAAGGAGATCAACTCATTTCCTTCTACTGCGGTGAATTCTATCAATCAAAACGGGGCTGCTCCTTATCCAACAATCACGAATAGAATACAATTAGCTAGGAATTAAGGTAGCTGATTGAGATGTAGAAGGCCATCTTCTTCTTATGAAATGCTCGATAGCCCGGATGGAGCCAAGTCTGTCAGAGCGAAGGGTATCGGTAGGTGGAGGATGTCACAGCACGAGCACAGAGAGAGGCTTTTCTTCCGGAATATATGCTCTCCAAGCCCACTCGGACCCGAGAGGCCAAGATTGTCATCTATCTGCCTAAGAAAATAAGGTCCCCACTAAGAAAAAAAATTGATCCCACCAAAAGAGCACCAAGCACCAGAAGCCTTATATTCCAAGTTCCCAACTTTTTCCTGACCCTGTTGCCTTCCTTCACCGCTAGGTATGACCGTCCCTCCCCTCTCCACACATGTTGCATAATTTTTGCCCGAACACCACCTCCATTCCGTGCGCTTGAGGGTGAGTGTCAGACTTGATGCAGACATACTTAAGCCAAGTAGCTGCTGAAGTAAGATACAAGAAGTGAAGTGTTAATTCGAATCGATGAGCGCACAACGTCCAAGCTGAAGCGATGATCCAAATGGAAACGAGTGTCATTGCGAATGTGCCAGAGAGAAGGTCAAACGGCCCGACCGATATGAATGATAGGAAAGAAACATGCAAGTCGTAAAAGTGGCGTGAGATGCAAGGTAGCCTGCTCCCGTTCTCTCCAGCGAAGTAGAAATGACGCAAAGAAATGATGAGGTATCGTCCCGCCGTTGGAGACCGCCGTGTCCAGCTTGTGCTGCTGAGGATATCGAAAGGCAGGTCGGAAATGCCTGAACCATCATGTACAGAAGGTGTTTGGAATACCCTTTACAACACCACAAAATCCGAATAATATGAGGATATCAAATCAAAATGAATCCGTCAATGTCTCTTTAAGAATTCATTTACCGCTGTATAATGTTAGTACTACCCATTGGCGGTCAAGCAAGTGGTTGACTTACCCTGCCACGTCGTTGACCACCCCCAGCGGCTTGCTGTTGTTGCTGAGGCACATACATGCCGTAAGGATACATCTGCCCACCCATGACCGGACTCATGCCTTGTCCGAGTGCGGCGGGCTGAAGCATAGGTGAACCATTGAACCCAGGAGCTGCGACGGGGCTCACGTTCCTGTAGTCCATACCGGATACTGGAGGCTGGAAGCCATTCACCTGGGGATAGAAAGGCTGGCCTCGTCCTTGCTGTGCTAGGAGCTGTTGGTACTGAAGTTGCTGGGGTCCAGTCATAGCCTGCATGCCAGGCACGAACATTGGACCGCTTACACCCATGGGGTACTGCTCGAAGCCGTTGGAGTCCATGCTTGCGGTCCGCTGCAGCGCAATGGGATCCATCCCTGGTGCGACACCTGGGTAGAATTGGCGAGGCTCAGCATGGGAGCCAGCAGGGCTGTCGCGAGAAGAGGCCGGTCGAGTCTGTGAGTGCTCTCTATGACCAGGACCACCGCGCGTGGAGAGATTTACCTCGTCCATCAGTCGCTTATATCCTTGCCCTGGCTGTGCCTTGATGCGCGTCAAAACATTACGGACGTTCTGAACAACATCCGGACGGATCTTCTCGTCGAAGAATGGAGTAGTCAAGACCTTGAAGATCAAAGTAGCGCCACAGTTTTGATCAATGAGAATATCCTCTAGGACTTGATCGTTCGGCGAGAAGAACAACGCTTGAAGGATAGTGTCACGAGCGTCCGGCTCATTTCGCTGGTTGATAATCTTCAAAACCGTCAGGTAAGCAACCTTGTGCGTGCACAGGTGCACGATGTGTGGGACGAGCCGAGGAGCAAGGACTGTGCGACGCCGAGGGAAGTTGCAGGTGTCGAGGAACCATGTGAGAAGCAAGGCGCCGTTAGCGTTTGTAGCAAGCTGCACGCTGTGGAGCGCAATTGCAGCAGCCACCATGCGCTGCTGATCCTTGGTTGCGTAGTGGCTCTCCAAGCAAGCACGCATCGCTCGCGCACCAAATCGGCCCTGGGCGAGATCCCACAGACGGCTAAGCATGGCTTCAAAGATAAAGTTGTTCAGCGGCGCCGAATACCGGAGACATCCCTGCATAACGTAATTACCGAACTGATCGAGGAACAGAGCCACGGCGTATGGTCGCAGGGCATCGACAATCATCTTCTGAAGAGCCGGCGTCCTGGCAACGTCAATGATCTTCTGGGCAGCCCAGGTTCCGTTTTTGTGAACGCCAATCTTAGCCAATTGAGGAGCGATCTCTCGCAACATGGCCTCCTTGGTGGGTTCGGAACAGTACTCAAACAACTTCTGCACTACTGTATTGCCCAGGTAGTCAGAGGACAGCTCAGCGATTTCGGGTAGCATGTTCATGGCAATCTCCTCGATCTCGGGTTGCGAGCACGAGTTGTTATCGATGCGCTTGCGAATCTCCCGTAGACGCGGCGCATCATGAACGCGGGTGTGACTGGGTTCCTCGACAGGAGGAATTTCCGAGACGTAGTTGTCATTCTGAACAGCTTGCTCGACTTGGGCCGAAATGCGGAGCTGCTCCTCATCCGTAGCACCCAATTCTTTCACGATATTGACTATGTCGCCACGGATGTTAGTCAGCTCAGGAGTGGTAAGAGGAACGTTAACACTCTCAGAACGCGCGCCGTTCGCTTTCGCAACATTGCCGGACAAATTCGCGCCCTCCGCCTGGGATTTGGCAAGCGGATCAGGACTTGGCGAGGGGAAGAGGCCGTTGTGACCAGGGGTAGCTGCTGCGCTGGGCACCTTGGCATAGCCGATGCGTACTGGACCAGCGCCAGGGAAGATCTCCTTGCCGTTGAGCTGCAGCTTCGCCTGAATCGCGCTGTCAATGTTTTCATAATTGACGAATCCGCAGTTCTTGTGGGTCAAAACACGGGTGGACTCGATGGGACCGAAAGCCTTGAATATAACATCCAGGGATGAAACAGTGGTGGATGAAGGGATGTTACCAAGCCAAAGCGCTCGGGTCGGCCCCTCCAGCGTGTCATCACCAAGATTCGAGCTCGGCTTGCCGCCCAGCTGAAGATTCTTCACAGCTTCGGTGAGGCTGTACTCCGCGTCTTCGGTCAGATCAGCGGCAATGAGGCTGCTGTCAAGGCGGGACGAAGTGGGAAGGTAGTTCCGCATCAGTCGCTGCGATGGCGAGTCGAGAACACCTGCAGTGCGCGCACGAGGACGGGTAGCGCTAGCAAAGTTGGCAAACGCTTGCACTTCCAGATTGTGTTGTCGGACAGCCTCGTGGATGGCTAGAGCACTTGCTTCTGCCGGAGTCATAGATCCGCTGCTGTAGCCGTAGGCAGCCTGGTCAAGCTCATCCTCCTCATCGGCATACTTCTCCTTAGCATTGACGGAGTATGAGCGGAAGCGATTGGCAGCAGCAGTTGCGTTATGGTTAAGGGCATTTCGCTGGCCTTCAAGAAGAAGTTCGATGTCAGACGGGGCAAGCGTGGCGCGGGTCGGTTGGGGAGTGTCCACAAGACCAAGGTAATCCAGCGTCTTCACATCGGTATCGGCAAGCGAGTCCCTGGAAAAAGAGGACTGGGGCGATGTAGGACCATTTGAGGGCTGAGATGCAATGCTCTGTAGCGTGCTACTACGGTCACGGCTGCTCGTCCATCCCGTGGAGAAGATGGGGTTTCCAAACGGCGACACAGCAGGCGGCAAGAAGCCTGGTCGTTGTGGCATCGAGCCGGCTCGTAGGCGGGATAGTAGGGCTGATTTGGCGGCCGCGTTAGTTGAACCGAGAGGAGCAGCGAAGCCAGTGTTATCAGTGGGGGTGCCCGAGCCGGGTTTGAAGGGGCTCGTCGATGGTGTCGGGCGGGAGGTTTTGGGAAGGAGCGATGAAGCGGACAGCAAGCCTGGCGGTGCGGCCGAGGGAGAGAATCGTGAGGGCAGAGTACCAGCACGGGCACGGCGGCCAGATGGTGCGGCCGTCTCTGGCATTGCTCCGTTGAAGTCAGGGAAGCTATCGCTGCTGGGTGACTCTGGGATGGTCTCTCGCAGCGGCGTAGAGTTTCCGCTTGTAGGAGGACCCCACATTTGGGGAGTGAGGCCTTCCTGAGCTTGGATCTCACGAGCGCTGCATGGGACGTTAGCCAAAATGGGATCTGAGCGCGTGTTTCAGGATGCGACAAACCGCTTCGAGTATAATCTACCACCATATTCATGCGATGGGGACCCGGCTCCTAGTCTCGCACCAGCAGCGGCACCCGCGAGCGGGTTTGACGTGTTCCCAGAAGGCATTGGGAAGCGAATTGAGCCGCCCGAGGACGGAGGCTCAGTGGGCGAGGCGGAGGTGGTGGAGGAGGCAGACAGCGGTGGCTGCGAGGTGAGCTGGGGAATGTAGTTGAGATTGATGTGATGCTCCGGGCGGTTCGAGGGAGCCATTAGGTATTACAGACCCTGTCTTTAGTTTGTGCGGTGTTCGTTTAGAAGTATGTGATATCGAGGTACCAAGACCAGGGTAACGGCAGAAACGTGGGTTGGTACCGGCCAAAGGAATGTGAGGCGAGGGGATTATTGCCAGCAAGACCGGGCTCAGCTCGACGATGTGCCTGCGTGCGAGGGTACAGCTGCACACCCCTAGGATCCAAGCCTGCGGAGCGAGGTGAATGGAGCGCTCGTGGTTCGGCGGTGCAGTGCAGTGCGGGTGCAGCTGTTCGCAGCTGAGTGGGCTGGTGCGGTGGTGGGCTGGGCGAGGCGGAGACTCGAGGGAGTGCAGAGTGCGGTGCCCGGGGCGGCGAGCGTTGGCGGGCGGCGGGAGCGCGTTCAACGCAGGCGGAGATGCCAATCAAGGAGTGACGGGGCGGGCTTGGTCTCGTGTGAATGAGACGCAGATGGTCGCCGGCGGGAGTCCTGATTATGATACAGCAATAGACAAGCCGCGAGCAGCCTGGAGAAGGGAATCAAATAGGGAGATTACACGCGATTAAACACCTTCGTTCATCGGAGGGCTGGCGGGGGCAGAGGGAAGAGATGCGGGAGCGCAGGAGGGAGTGTGAGATGTAGGTGGTGAGGGCGTGGTAAAGTATTCGCGTGGAGCTAGCTCGGCTGGGTCAGGGACACGGACGGCTCGCCCGACACTCAAAACGCCCACGCAAGCAGACAGATGGGGACGGAAACGCCAGCCTGAGGACGTACTGGCGCCGTTTGACCTTGGACGGGGCGGCCACCTGTTGTCCTGCTCCGCTGCATGCCACGGCAGCTCGCTCCATCGCACGCGCAATAGGGGCACTGAGGGCGCTCCCGTCTACTCGTAACTGGCCCGCCCACACATGAAACAACGTCGAACGACACCGTCGCTGTGTCTGACGTGGTCCTGCCCCGCCCGCGCCTGCCATTGGCCGTTTGTGCTTTATTATACCAACCCTTGGGGCTGCTGTCTCTCGCTTCTGGAGTGCTGGAGACTGCAGCGTCGCTCGAAGGAGCAGTGTAAGAGCTTCCACATCACATGCCGTCGTCCAGATCACAGCGATCCGCCAGTATCTACGGTGGATCGGGGGGCGCGTTGGCAGAGACCGAAAGCTGTGTGTAATATCTAGGCCCTTATTCCCGGGGACTCCCTTCTTGTCCTCCAGGTAGTGTGTTCTAACATGGCAGCGGAACGAGTCTTCGTGCTCAGCCCTCAGGAACAGCCAGTATAAGCCACTTTACGGCAAATTTGGGACATGCGACGAAGTGCGATGCCATGGGACATTCCATGCTAGCCACAGGATGGCACACCACGACCGGTACATGTCGCGATCCTCCGCTCTATTTCGGTGCTTGTAGCATTCGCAATGGCAAGCGGACGCTACGTTTTGGCTCCGCCAGCTCCCTCCGATAGACAGGCTGGGCGGCGCTATGTTTCAGCGCACTTGGCAATGATTCCAGCGCCCATGCCGCTTTGGGAACATGCAGATCGCTGATGGCTTTGACATGCTCGTGTGCATCAAACCCACTGCATCCCACTGCCCACGACTCTCGGCGCCTTGAAACGCGCGAACTTCAACGCATAAACACAAGCACTGTTATAGCTGCCTGTGCCGTCCGCCTTGCGCCCTTTGCACAGCATAAACGCCGCCAGGGCTGACTGAACATGCGCATGAACGGAGCCTTCCACGTCTTCCTTCTCGAAGCTTTCCCGCAGCCCTTGCCCAGGTCCGCGCGCTAAATCGTCCAACTCGGCTCGCCTCAGGCACCGCTTGCGCCTGCCCTCAGACTCTCCGCGGCTGTGCATCCACCCACTTGCCCCCTCCCCGCACGCGCGACGCGCCCAGAAGAGCGGGTGGACATGGACGACATCGCGCCAGATGACCGCGATGGCGGGCGCTCCACGTCAGAGGGCGACGGCGACAGCGAGCCCGAGGTCCCCGCGGACCTCATGGTCGTTTCGCGCGCACGGAGAGCAAATGCGGGCAATCGCATGTCCACGCTCTTGGCCACGTCGGCGCAGGAGGACGAGTGGGGAGAGGATTGGGAAGAGGTGGCCAACGAGGAAGAGTTTGTGGGCGACGACGCCAACGAGCACGAGGACTACAACCTGGATTCTTCTTCATCCGAGGATGAGGACCAGGGCGACGATGATGAGACAGGGGAAAAGGAGCTGCGCAAGGCAGAACGTCAAGAGCGGACCAAGAAACGCAAGACAGCTGCCAATCCGTTTGCCGCACGTCTGGCCGCCGCCTCACGCAAGCGCGTCAAGCTAGACGTACCGTCTGCCTCGACCCATTCCTCGCCAGCTGCCCCGGCGCGCCCCAAGAAGAAGTCGGAGAGAGCGTCGTGGATCCCCACTGACGAAGATGGACCCACACGAACATCATCGAGGAAGCAAACAATGGCAAACAAGGAGCACACGCTGGCGAAACTGAAGGAGAAGGATCAACGCCGCGATGAGACACTGGCCATGATGAAGGCAGCAGAGGCGCGCAAAGCGAAGGACGAACCCAAGCCTCTGACCCAGGCTGAACGTCTGGCTGAAGCTGCCCGAGTAGAGCGAATCAATAAGAAGACACTGCATCGCTGGGAAGAGGCTGAAGAGCAACGAGCCGCCGAAAGGCAGGCCAAAATCGATGCCCTAAAAAACAGGCAGATCGATGGTCCGTTCATCCGCTTCTATAGTGGACCTGCGATCTGGGTTGACGATAAAATAAAATTCACGGGGAAGGATGCCCCCAAGCTCAAAGACCTGGAGGAGAAATTGAACAAAGAGACAGCCGTTGGGACATTGGAGGACCACTCTGCACCTGACCTCCACACTGATGAGCAGACAACCATGTCCGTTGATCAGCCACAGACTTCTCTCAATGGACCCATCATGCCGACGTCACAGTCACTAGGTCTTAATTCGCAACTTTTGTCAACACCAGCGTCCCAAGCACCCACTCAAGATATTACAATATCACAAGGACTTCCCTTTGCAAACAATGTCATGTTCGCTCCACCCTCGAATCCTGACTCGTTCCTCTTGGGTACGGAGCAATATGCGCAACCAAACCAACAACATACCTCGCAAGCCGAGCCACCCTCCAACCCTTTTCAAACCTCACAGCCCGACCTACCTCCAAATCCTTTTCTCTCAACGTCACAATCTGATTTCTCCAATCTCTCCTTTACTCCTTCACTTTTCTCTCAAGAACAACCACCTACCACTATGTCTCCACAGAACCTCCTTGCTCAATTCCAGAAACCCCGCCTCCACCCCCGCCCCCACGCCGCAAGCTCATACAGCGAGCCCTCCGCAACCTCCTCATTCTCTCCTCCTTTCCCAATCTCGACGCCGCTGCAGCTCCAACCCGCGCCCGTTCTACCGCCTCTCTCCTCAAAGAGAAAGACAAAGCAGCGTTGGTGCAGCTATCCACCGCAGTCTTCAACTGGTCTGTACCAGATGCAACGGCCTTCGTCACGGCTATGCTCAACGCGCCGAAAACGAAGAAGGAGAAAGAAGCGCTTGCCAAACCGAAGAAGGAGCTGTGTGCGGTCAGCAATAAGGAGGCGAAGTATCGCGATCCGGAGACGGGGATTGCGTATCGGGATAGCAGGGCGTTTGGGGTTTTGAGAGGTGTGGTCGGTGGCGGGTTTGTGTGGTGCGGGGAGTTGGGGTGTTATGTTGGGGGGAAGAGCGAAGCCTATGGAGAGCAGGGGCAAGGGTTTCTTGGGTATGGCGCCTGCGGCTGGTGTGCCGAAGAGGTTTTTGGAGATGGAGAAGAAGGCGCCTGAGGCTCCGGCTGTGCAAGCTGTGGGTGATCCGAAGCCGGTGGAGACTGTACTGGGTGAGAAGGTCACTACTGGTAATGCGTCAGAGAGGTGTGAGGGCCCCGCTACGGAAGTCAAGGCCGAAGAGACTGCTACGGCTGCATGAGTGTTGCGAGCATTGGGGTTTTCACCAGCTTGTGGAAGTTGCAGTTGCATAGCGTGTTTCTACAATGATATGTACGAGTATCCCGGAGAGCTACAAAAACTGTAGCATAGTATAGATATACCCCCAAATAACAGAAATGTATCAAACAACTTCAACTCTCGGTTGCAGAACATCTACCTCATTCAGGCATGTGGTCAAGATAAGCTGTATGCTCTAAGACAATACGCCAACGGAGATTTTGCATTACGGACAATTTCAACATCCCTCGAAGCTTAGGTGAGGTGCACGTTCATTGAAGTCCGTACGCGGAGGTCAGCATCTCCGAATAACGCGGGGTATGCATCCTGCGGAGAGGCTTAGATTTCCGGAGTACTGAGAGTGAACGGAAAGTTCTGGGAGGGACACAGTGTTCTTGTAGATTTCGAAGGCTTGAGTGAGGAGGGACATCACCGGTGATTGAGCGTGGCGAAAGAGCGCTCGTAGTGAACAGCGTATACTGGGGGGCGGATGCAGACTATCGCAGTGCATCGCAGATATATGCAGGTAGGAAAACTATGCTGGCATATACCATTATTAGAATAGCGATGTAGTAGCTAGATGAGTGATGGTGGTTGGTCGCTACGATCGTACACTCGCAGTTACAGGCCATACTGTGCGGCGCGGATAGAATCATCAAAACGACATGTTCTGTGCTGCCCATTTGGGTTGCTAGCAACAACGTTTGAGCAGTTAGGAGAGATGAGTGGAAGAGTGGATGTTGCTGGGTGTGTGGATCCAAAAGGACAGCAGCGGTCAGCGGCCGTTATCAGCCTGAAACTCATCCAGGGTGTGGAAGTGTTTGCAAAGTACAAGACAAAAATCCAGACCGCAGAACCCGTCTCATGCTTTCTCGCGGTGGGGCGTATACACAACAGTGACCCCGACACGGAGGCGTGCGACAAGCCCACAAGCCACAATTCCAAATCTTCGTCTTGTCGCGCGCAAGTTGTAGTAACAATCGTATTCAGGAAATGGAAAGGTCCATGATATGCATTTGATGGTTAGCTGATGACATGAGATCTCAAACGCCGTCCCATCTTGCCGGCCCAGTGCAAGAGTTTTTCAGGCATTTCTCGTAACTGTACACGATGATAATGCCCACTGCAACTCCGTCATGTCCACGGTGAACCACCCGAACCAGAGAACCGACTCCGTCCCGACCATCATAGCGCACCCGCTTATTTCTTCTTCTTGTCGCCACCCTTGGTCTTGGCCGTACCCCGGAACTCCTTCGACCTGTTCTTGCGTTGCTTGCCTGTGTCCGTGTCAGCATGTATCCTATACATTCTATACCCAACAATTGTATCTGTATGATTGTTTGTGAGGGCGACATACGCTGCTGCCTGCTGGCCTTCTCGATCTTGGAGGCCATGCCGTACCGCACCAGCCTGTAGTGGGGCTCGAACTTCTTCATAGCTTCGGCGCTGTCGTAGATGAGAGCAAAGCCGGTGCTCTTGCCGCCACCGAAGTGTGTCTTGAAGCCGAAGACGGAGACATCATCCTTCTTGGCCTTGTAGAGCTCACCGAGCTTGCCACGGAGTTCGTCCTTGGAGACGTTCGGGCGGTTAGGGTGGAGGACGTCGCTGCATGCCAATTAGACCTTCCTTCTGTGTGTCCGTGTCGCGACCGGTGTCCTGCACTTACACAACCATCTGGCGGCGGCCGAGGAGGGGGTTGCGGATGAACTTGCGCGTGCGCAGAGTAACCTGGGAATCAGCCATATTGGACGAGCTGTGTCGATCTGCGCGCTGTTAGGAGTGCTGTCTCGAAGATATAGCGTGCCGAATTGGTGCGGGACGTACTGAACGGAAATCGATCCTGCTCTGTGGTCGTGTGGGTGGGTGCTGTTGGCGCAGGATATCGTCGACGTGAGAAGTTCGGCTGTGGTTCAAAATTGAACCTTGAGTGTGTCTTGGCACCGACCGCTCGCTAAGCCAGGAGCGGGGCGCCCAATTAGGTAAGCGCACCTGCAACGGACCCCATCAAAAGCAGTCATTTGCAACACCATCTTGCGTTCGTAAAATCCGGACCAGTTGATGTAAATCACAGTTTCTGATCCAGACGCATATTTCGGTGAAACCACACGCGCGTACACACGACTGAAGGTCAAAGCTTCAATCTGCGCTTTATCAACCCGCGCAAGCTTGCCAGGTTTACAAGTTATCAAAGCTGCTCGAAAGCAGCGGCTTAATGGAACCTCATAACCTTCCGTGCTAGAGCCATCATGGTAGCGCAAGGTATATGGGCGAAGCTGGCGACCTTTCGCCGCCAATACTTCCAACTTGTCGACCCCTCGCAGCTAAGGTGGCTTGAAAGCAACACTCTCAAAAATCCGGAGGTGCAGTCCTGGATCTACAAACACCTATTCGATACAAAAGGGCATTCAACTCTACCTCCAGATCGATATCGTCTCAGGGTACTCAAGGTACTGATATCAAAGCTTGAAAAAGCAATCGAACAACCCGATGAGGATGTACGGCTCTCCTTTCCTTTCTTCACTTTGCAAGATCACATCAACCCACTTTAAGATTCACATAGCCCTGTTCACCTTGCGAAGATTATTGGGAGATGGTCAAGCCAGAGCATTCGTGCCTCAATCAGCGAGGGGATGCTCGTCTGCCGTCTTGTCGTGTTTCGATCCGCGCACAATACTTCGTTGTCCACCTCAGCTACTGCCCATTTCACTGACCAGTGCATCCTTTTCCATCTACAGGCAATTTCTGATGATCTCATGGAAGCGCTTTCTTCTATTGTCGGATCCAACATCTTGTCCGAGTCCGAGTCAGCTCAACAGAAAGCATACGTGACTTACGCATTTCCACGTCATAATGCAGACGACGGCATTGTTAACGACAACTCGGTGACGCTGCTCGAATCCCGTTCTGTGGTTTCATCATCGGGAACTACAGGATTGCGTACTTGGGAAGCCGCACTGCTTCTCGGGCAATTCCTCTCTACTGATCGCGGAAAGACGATGGTCAATGGGAAGAGAGTGTTTGAACTCGGAGCCGGCACAGGCATGCTATCGATCCTATGTGCGAAGCATCTCGGTGTATCCGGCATCGTCTCGACAGACGGCGACGAAGCAGTAGTGGACGCGATCAAGACCAACATTTTTCTCAACGTACTTGACGCGTCCCGAACCGCAGTAAACACAGCTGCGTTGAGGTGGGGACGGTCCCTCAGTAGCAGCACGTTTTTAGAAGATTATGGGATGGACATACCTGAAGTGCTCGTAGGAGCTGATGTGGTGAGCCAGCTCTCCTTGGCGCTTGCGAAAGCCAATCCCACTGAACCAAGAATCAATCGCAGACATACGATTCCACTATTATTCCGGCTCTTGTTTCGTCGATGAGGGAATTCTTCGAGCTGAATGCCGCACTCCAAATCCTGGTCGCTGCAACCATACGCAACGAACAAACGTTCGAGACCTTTTTGAACGCGTGTAGTGGGTCTCCCCACAAATACATCATGTTGCGAAGTCTGCTGAGCTGTGCTGATTTCTGTGGGGTAGGACGAAACCGCTTCACGCTGCAACAAATCGACTTCGCACCACTTCCTGAGCCGCTCCAGGATGGTCCTTTCTATCCGACAGCAACGCCGATTCAGATCTGGCGAATAACGAGGGCGCACACCACGCAGGACCCGTTCGCTTTCTGACGGCCTCGCACATGCACTCGGCCAACACGTGGCAGCCTCGATTGCGGTTACTTGTTCCTATCGTGAAACTTTGCGTTGGCCAGAATCTTTCTGTTTAGCATCTCACTCTCTCCCGGTTGTGAACGGCAACAAATGAAGCATCGGGTGCGCTGCGTACAAGCGTTGATTGGCCGAAGAGTAGAAATTCACAGTCCCGCTGCGCCAAAAAGGATCCCAGCGACACTATCGTGAGGCACAGGCAATTGCAATGTGTGGGTGGATCGCAGCCGCCCTATCCATGGTGAAGATTGCAGCACGCTGCACGCTGAGCACACTCCTGACGTACGGCGCGTCAACGGCGCATTCTGTTACCTAACGTCACGAGCATCATGGGAGAGCCGCAGCCAGAGGGAATACGCGTCCAGGAAAACTCTGTGTGATGCCTGAGGTTGTGTCTTCTTACACGTGCAGGGTGTGTGTTGATGAACCGGGAGGCATCGACCACCGGGAACAGGTGCCGTAGCGTAGTCGTCTGGCAGTCGCCGCATCCCCGCGCACCGAGTGATGGGACGAAGCCGTTATGCAAAACACCGTGATGGCTAGGCACAAGCGAACAGTGGCTGCCGGTCGCTAGGTACTCGTATGCTAACGAGCCTGCGCCAGAAGACCTGGGTGGGTATGGTGGGGTTCGTCGGTGTGTATAATAAGACGGGAGCCTCCTCATCGATGGTGTGCTTGATGACTGTCGAGACGCGATCCAGCTCGCAATATCGACCCGTCCCCGTCACGGCATCAGGCGCTATTGCCTATATTATTATCCAGAGGCCCCTCCCGTCCACTGTTCCACGACGCAGCGTGCATCGTTATCTGCCCGCCGTCTCCAGGTCCGCCCATCTGTCCTGTGCGTCCCTCTCTGACAGCGTGCTGATACAGCTAGCCGCTGCTTGCCGAACGCACCGTGGCAAGGCCCGGCTCTGCTCTGTTATCGACGTCAACCGACTCAGCTTATCGCCGCATCCCTGGCCGCCGATCTGTGCGCCGACACAGCAGCTGCAGCGTTCCAGATCAATTCCTCCGCTCTCGGGCCTTTTACCCACTGTCTCGAGTCGTACTCTTATCAGTCACCGTAAGTCCCTCCCTACGCGCCTCTTCGTTGCTGTTTCCATTTGCGTGGCCGAGGGATCTCACAAGCTGCGTTCCTTCTAGTCGCACCGTTCCTGGCTAAGCCCTTTCGGTTGCAGACACCGCGATAAGACACTCAGACAAAGCCCGCAGCCTCGTCATAGTAGCTGCTCCGGCTGTGTCACCGCCTATCCGCTTGTTACTTTCACTAGGTTCGATTGTCTGCGGACGCCATCATTCTCACTGCGCACCGTGCGTGACTATCCAGGGACACCACCAGAGGGCTTAAAGCTCACCGTCTTTCCAACTTCCAATGGCCACCCATACCCGTCAATCGTCGTCAAACACTAAAAGGCCCTTGCCGGCCCACGCACGGCCAACTAAGCCTGCGCCCTTGTCCAAACGCTCAAACTCTTACGGTGCGAGCAGGAAAGCTGTGCCTCTGCACAAGAAGGAGGAGGACGTCGAAGACGAGGATCTCATGGCCACGAGCTTCTTGCAGTTCTGGTATGACTCATGCACCTCTACCTGTCGTGCAGCGTAGCTGACCATTGACAGTACTACCTGCGAAAAGCAAATCATTGTACCTTGCAACTCGGTCCTCTACTGCTCCGAAAGGTATCTTCTTGTTCTACGCCATGCATTGTATCCTCAGACTGACGGGTGCTAGCTGCCGCAAGAAGGACACCGAGAAGCACTTCATCTTCCCACCCGATCAGTCACCTCCATTGACACCCTATTCGCAATTCTCAACCTTCTCCTTCGAAGATCTCCACTTCCGTGACATTGTGCCGCCCCGCTCACCCACCCAACTTCGCTCCAACCGCTCATCATGTGCTTTCTCGGACCTGTCTTCGGACGATAACGCTACTTCGGGCGATGAGAAGCCCAGGCAACATTCGGACGCCTCGCGGTACCTGCGCCATTGCCAACTGACAACCTACTCCGACGCAACTGTGCGACCCCGCCGCCCTCATTACGTTCGCGCCTCAACGTCACATGTCAACTTCAGCGCCGCGCCTTCGTTATCGCATACTCCTGCTTCCTCAGTGAGCTACTCACTTCCGTATACCCCTTCGACTAGGCCACTCCCTCCAAGGACAAACCCAAGTAGCTCGTACACCTACAAATCCATCGATCTTGTAACCCCGCTTACACATGCGAGCACCGCCCCCTCGAGTCCGCGCCAGTACTCTTTGAAATCTCACGCGGAAACTGCGACATCAGCGAGCACGATCGAAGGCGAAATCATGTACGCGAAGACTCCAATCATGTCAATGTCCCCGGCCAATGGGAGTCTGGGCCGACTCCTTGCTTCGACCACGCACTGAGCGATTTCGTTCGTAATTGCCTCATACATTCCACTCCATTAGAGGGCTCCTGAAACGCTGCGCGATTTTCTTTCCAAAATACCTCATACTCAAGTCATGACTGGGCCCAAGCGTACCGGTCGGACGCTTTTGCTTCTCATTTCCCTAGCGTTATTTTACACCTAGATTCGATATAGGCTGTGCAGGGCATAGCTTGCTTCATGATTTCCAACCAAAAGTTTTCGATATTGGGAGGGGCTGGCGTTCAGGCCCCGGGGATTTTGTTGTGTAATAGTTAGATACCATGATATGCACCAAATGTGCGAAGACCAATCTATGATCATACGGGCGATAGTTCCGCACACAACTTGATGGTCTCCTGCATGCTAAGCTTCGCTAACGATCACCGATGCTTGATCGATCCAACGGAACGGTTACTGGTCGGTATTGTCAAGGATAGTACATCGCTCTCAGGACAACTACGTCTGCACGCCTTCATTCTGTGATACGCTCACTCTAACGTACGAAATCCCAACAGTACTAACATATTTTCCCCACGGTACAAATGTCCGGCACTGCCCTGCCAACCCCTTCCCCTTTGCATGACCTCGACAGCTAACGTCTTGAAGTAGGTATTTCCCTCTATGCGAAGTTGCAGTTCCCCAAGGAATGCCATCATCATCGACAGGGGTACGCTAGGATGTCGAACCGATGAGTGAAAACAGGAATGCCAACACGTCCACCACGCTCTCTCTCCTTCCCTTTTGGAATGCCATCCTCGTGGCAATGACGAAAGCCCGCAAAGTCTGGGGCAGTCACCCTTGCGAGACCTCAGCTGTCGGGCCATATACCGATCACTGAAGAACGAATGAACAGTACGTCTTCCTCCTATTCCATCCAAACATCTTCTTGCTGTAAAACTCATGGACGAAGTGGCTTGTGCCAAATTATCAAAATTCACATCAAGCTCATTCGTCCAGCGCTTCCAGGCTGGGATTGTCTAGTTCCAAGCGTCCTACACGGGAGCAGTGCATGTCGGGACTTTCTCTTCGTCCCTACTTGCTGGTTCTATCATGTATGCCGAGAATCGGTTTGTGTAGTGTTGCTAGCACTCGGTAGCACACCAAGGCCAGAATACGCTCTCGCGATGGACGGATATACGCTGCCCCCTGTCGTACTCCTCACAACCTCATTCGCTCTCTTTCCCTGTTCCAAGTCGATTGCCCATTTCTCTGCATTGACTGCGCTCTCTCTACCGACGATTGTCGGTTCTACACCCTGGCTGGGCGCTGCGCGAGATATAAGCCGGCTTCGAGTTACGCTGTTGATAGCACTGCTACGGAGGCTGCCCAGAGAATGCAGGAATCGTTCGCGTCTCGAAGAGGAAGGTCGGAAGGTCGGTCGCGGTTGCGCTGGAGTTTCTTCTGGGCCGTCGAACATAGTGCTAGCTTGCGATTGCATGAAGCGCTCCAGTGTAGACGGACCGACGGATGTTGAGTTTAGATCATGATTGCGGTAGTGTCCTCTCGTCAAGGCCTGGCCCGCACGATGTGCAGAGGCGAATCTGTATACGTTACGTTGCTGACGAGGGCGACCTTGAGGAAGTGCAACCGTATGACGGTGCCAGAAGGATTTGCGGAACACTGAACACCGGGTCAGATGGGAAGCCTCGAGAGATTCGATCACTTACTCGGACGCAGACTGGCCGAGTTGACAGCAACCATAGCAGTAGACAGCTCACGTGCACCCCATCGTGCGATGATGCGGACTGTGATGTTGGGAACGACCTAGGCCAGGTGTCAGTACAAATTATAGTTTCGTTATGGGGAAAAACCGACTTACCGTCAGCGAGACGCGGGTTATACATGCTGCCATTACGAATATACCAGACGACAACAGGACAAATACCACTATGCGCTTGTGCAAGGGGATCTTGAGAGTCCATAAAAGTGGAACGGGTATGGCGAGGAGGAGCAAATCCGTCGTTGCATTCAAGCAGCTCAATACAATGAAGAAGGTGGAGGACGCAGTACACTTGTTGTCTGGTAGCGGCTGCACTTGGAATCTTCGCGAATACGGCAAACACATCAAACTGAGCATTAGCGTCGTTGCGATGAAGCCGCATATACACAGCACGATGGTAAACTTCAGCAATTTTTTTTGCCAGGAGCCGAAAGCAAGACGCTGGTATAGGATGATGACGATGGCTTTGAGACTGAACACCATGGCGATGCTGCATCATGGTTACTTGTCGTCCTTGTCAGATTGTACACCAGTCAACACTTACTACGCGTAGAGTGTGATAATGTAGAATTTAGATCCCCACTCAACGCCTTTCACCTGGTCGGGAGTTAAGGCCCATACTTCGTCCGGCTTGTAGTCGATGTTCGTTGCTGTGTAGTACGTGCAATTGATTCCAGCGATGATGACAGCCCAGCAGAACAAGGCTATGAAGGCAAAGCCATCATCGATCTGTAGGCTGTAGAGTCCAAATGTTCGAATCCTCACAGCAAAGCGTATTACCACCCATAATGATCCTAGCGAGAATAATGCCCAAATCTCGGGCAAGAAGTGCTTATCTTTCACGGGCGCCATACCCTCATAATTCAATGGTTTTGTCGTGTGTTAGGCATTGAAGCGCGTATTGCGATGTCCGCATGTGAGGCGATGACAACCAGAAGCAATTAAATCAGCGTCGCTAACATGTGAAACGTGATGTGATGGCTTGATTGAGGTCTCGAATGCGGTGAGTATGGGCTCGCGTCCTTGCAGCGATAACGTGGTCGCGACCTTGCAAATCGCCATACCTTCTCTAGGTGTTGTTGCGGGCTTTCCATGGGGAATCATCGGAACTTGACAACGCCTGTATGGATACGCGGAGTCGGCTCCGCAACCGGGATACAGTTGCAAGCGCGGGCTCGGAAGCCATCAAGCCGAAAAGACAGCTGATGGTTCTTGATAAAGTTGGTTGGAAAACGCTTCTTCTGCAAGGCGCGCCCGCCGATCGACGATTCCACAGACATAGCGCCCTACGTGCAGGTGCACGATGCAAGTGACGAGCAACCTGGTACATATTCGTCAGCGAGAACCTGTAACAATGTTTATGTAGGGATATCACAGTGTTTTGATCGTGTTGGATATGAAATCCCGGCACGAAGTTTTTAACCTGATTAGGAAATGGCACATGGATGAACACTAGTGTCTTGGCCCATGAGCCCTATATAGCGACCCTCGCCCACTCTGTACGCGGGAAACACTCAATGCTCAAGTCAAGTTTATCTCTCATTCTGATCCAGGTGATCGACCGATGATTGGTCTTATGGCTGTGTCAACTGCCTCCTTATCTCGGATACTCCACAACAGAGTTGGTAGGGCACACATATTGTTCGCTAACCTCTTACAGCATATCGAAGGGATCATTCAATCATCGAAGTTTGATTTCGAATAATATCTACAACAATAAATGGTATCTAATTGAGAAAAGAAGCGAACAAAGTCATCAAACTACATCAAAAGCTCCAAGCCGTCTAAAAGAACTCGCCATGAGCGTAAGGAGTGTGCGGAAGCAACTTTTCGTAAGAAGAGTTGGGGTCCCTCTCAACGATGCTAGTGCTCCTCTTGCCGTTGGCAATGCCGTCAGTGCCAGGAGCATTGAAGCAGGCTCCGTTCTTGTCAAGACGCTCAGCAAGGTAGTCCCTTGCAGCGTTGAGCTGGTTGTTCATGCACGAAGCATCTTTGCCCGTATAGTCAATGGCATGGCCGTTGATGTCGTAGTTTAGGTAGGTTCCGACCTGGGCGAAGTCCTCGGTGGGGTTGTTGTTTGCGTAGCCGTCAGGCACGCAGGAGTCAGCGTTGATGGCGTTGTTGAAGACGTCGCCGTTGGAGAAGGCGAAGCCATCCCGGTCATTGCAATGCATGCTTTCATGACTGAACCAAGTTTTCTGTGGGCTGCCTGTAAATGGTACAAAGTCAGTGTATGTCAAAGAAGTGGGAATGGTACATCGCCTCGTATCTTAGCTAAGCGAAGGAAAGTTTCTTTTCTTGTGTCGTAAGTAGACAAAGATAGTATTTCTTTCGCTTGGCCGAAAGAACGCATCGACTTTGCACTCGGGAGACTTGCCTCCACAGAAAATGGAGTTGCCGTCGGAGTAACCGCCTCCTCCACCGAAACCATTCATAGTGACAATGTGTAGGACGTTGCTGCGAGCACCAGGGGGAACGGTACCCATACCGTCGATGGTGTCTTGAAGGCTGAGCTCAGCGTTTGCGCATCGGCATAGAACCCAGGGGTCACGACCAGAGGGGCAGTCCTCATATGTAACATCGTAGATTTCCAGGTCGCCGAGTTGGCACTTTGGGCGCGCATCATCGTCACTGATCGCCTCTCGAGCCTTATCGTAGCAGTTCTGCGGATATCTTCCCGCATCCCACTTGGTAGCAGTGCCTTTCACTATCGGTGGGATGCGAGAAGGGTCTGCTGTAAGGGCATCAAAGTTGTCCAGAAGCGGAGTCTTGGCCAGATCCCGCTGGCTTAGCTGTGACATGCCATGAGAAAGAGGGACGGTATGGGCACGAGTGCTAGTGGCCAGCGCCAGCGCGACACCAGCAGCAGACGAGAATCGAACCATGATGGATACAAAAATAGAGAAAGATAAGAAAGTCAAAAAGTGGATGAGTAATGCAGTGAATGAGAACCTTGATGGCGAACGAAGGTTAACGGACTCGCATGAACAGCTATATACCTACTTTTCCTTGTCAGAGCATAGGTTTGAAACAATGCTTCCACTCCGTAGTCTACGATTAGACGCTCCGTGAAATGAGTGGCAGTGACATGCTCGCTCCTCGCAAGATCCCTCCCCACCTTGGCCCCCTGTATAAGCCTTCGCAAGCCTCAAGCAACATTTTTAGTTGCCTTGAGGTGAAGGAACCAAGTTGCTTTCCGAAGTCCGCAACCCACATGTGTAGGAATACCAAGGCAGGGGTTGCCAGTTCTGCAGAGTTGAACCATGCATGAGTTGGCCTTCTGACCAATCACTTCGCTGTGATCGACACTGAAGCTTATAGAAGGAGTGTAGCAAACGAAATGAGTAAATCTTTTCTGGGCATGCGAGCAATCTCAAAGCGGCAATTTGTTTCATGGAGGTGTTTCGCCTAGCATGCATCGCCCGAATACGAGCGACTAAGCGGAAGGCCGTAACGCTTAGTGGCGGAAATCGGACGTCTCGACCAATGACTGGCGTTTCGACAAATAAGCGTTTAAGGTTGTTTAGGCAACTAGGTTATTTGGTGGAGAGCTTAACCTGTGCAAATTACGGATTTTCATCTCCCCGTGCACAGTGCGCGCTGACACAAAGCTGAGAGTCCTGCGTTGCCTTTGATCAGACGCTCACTACGTCACTCTGTCATGGGAGTTATGAAATACAGTATTACATCCTTTGTGAGGCACTTATTACTTGTAATCCCATGTAAGACGCAAATGCCCTAACTGAGCTCGAAAAGGCCGTGAACCTGTAGAGTTGCGAGCTCATATTTCCCGTAGAAGCTCTACCATAGGTACCATAAAACGAGGTGGCTTGACGTGTGAGTTGAATCCCGTCCGGCAAAGCTCTCCGACAACCGAGCAATATTATAAGAGTGGCCCCGGCCGCACGTTCAGCTAGGCTTCCATATGTGGCGCAGGATTCGGCCGTGAAACAGAAACAGCTGCTGCGGACAGGTCGACCCCAAGCGATGCGTACGTGCGTTGGGCATCTCGGCTACCACGACGCCGATGCTCATCCCTTTACGATACTTTTTCTACTTCGAGAGGCGGACAAAAGATTGGCCTCAAAAACTGATCCGACTTAAGCTTAGTCCCAGCGCGAAGCCCGTAAAGCTCAAGCATGCCTACGTCATTCGCAATAGTTCAAAGGTAACATGATCGCATCTGACAGTGCATCAGACATGTATAGCATTGCCCTGCTGCATTGCCCCTGCCTCTAGACAGCTTAGAGAAATGCTTAGAGACACGACTTGTCAGCATGCGCCCGAGGTCTATCCGTTGATCCGGGCTGTACGATCTGGAAGCGACCTTTACCGACGTTGCAATTCCTTCTATTTATGTTTGAGTGGAGTGCGGGAGTAAAGAAATGTTATGTTCAGTGGATGAGATGCGCTGGTAGAGCTGGCAAGAAAGGTGCACACAACCTTTAGGAGAAAGAGATGCAACCCATGCATTGCATCGGAACACAAGAATTCGCCGACTTGCCAGACGTATGACGTGGTTGTGCCCATGCTATCAAACTGTCTTTCTACAGTGCTTCCCTTTCAGTTACAGCAAGAGCATCCTCGCTAATACAATGCATCCTCCCTTGGTTGGTCACCATCTTCGTCTCTGGGATTCTCTTCCTCAAACCTAGACTCTCCTTCTGCATCAGCCTTCATTCGTTCCTTGTTATCTTTCCTAGTAATCTCCAACTCCGAACCATACCTCCTACTCGGCCCAATTTCCACCACAAGCAACTCAAAGCACACGTTCTCTCCTTCCTTTGTCTTGAGCCCGTACGCAAATACCAAATTTCCCTCACGATCATACTTTGTCGATATTCTCGATTTGATAGCTTCCTGATCCATGAACTTGTCGATCTCTTTATGCATCGATGACGAGGCACCTTCTTTTATGTTGTTGTATGCAACCACCGAAGGGGAGGGGAAGGGGTCGTAGTGCCAGCGCAGTTTGATATCGTAATTCTCTGTGATGTTCGGGGTGACGTGTTGAATATCGTCGGCTGTGTAGTAGGAGTAGATGGTGAAGATATCGGAGTTATTGGAGGGGAGGCTAGTGCTATAACCATGTGGGACGATGTCGTCAACTTCGTAGTCAGGTTTGGAGTCCTTCTCGGTCACGGTCTTTATGACGAGGTAGACTGGGGCCATCGTAGAATCGCGGACGACGAAGCAGCAGCAGCAGCTCGATCAAGCAGTTGAACCAATTAAGACGAGTAAAGGCCATAGATATAGGATTAGTTGAGGCCCTGCTATCGTTTGTAGGGGGCATGCGGTCTTGAATTGCCGTTTGCCGGTTGTTGGCGAAGTTGCGACAATTCATAAACGCGGCCTTTCGTAGTAACAGGAGGTCACTTGACGAGTTCAAATTTCCACTGTTCGACAATGCATCGATGAAAGCACGATGACATTGGTGGGTTCAAGCACTAGCCGCGAAGAAACTCAGGAAGCTACCTGCCGTTAATCCAGCCACCAGGCATAACGACATGAAACCGCCGGCTGCTTCGCGCTCTTCTGAATCAACCCACTCTACGAAACCCATCATGCAGTTGCTGCCAATGTACCCATTCGAGATGCCGAAAAGTATCTGTACGACGAACAAGTAGAAAAAGTCTGAGCCAATGACGGCACCTCTGCCGCCGATGTTGCATAAGAGGTAAAGGGGTATAAATGCGAGACGGCATACAGCCAAGATGAACACCACTCGGGGACGCGCTGTCAGGGTCATACCTGGAATGCCTGGAATGACGCGCCCCATGAGATCACCGATATTCCAGAATAAGAAACCCAACGGAATGAACGCGGCGGGTTGGAAAAGTCGAGACGATGTTGCAGGATCCCGGACGCTCAGAATCTTCTGGGTGAAGACGGGGTAAAACATGGTGATGGCAAAGGTAAGGAAGACAGCTCCAGCAAGCCAGAATAGTTTCTGGAGGAGCGTCATCAAAGGTATCGATTTGTGGGTAACGGCTCCATATTCAACGTCCACCTCGTCCTCATCGTCTAGAGTTGGTCTTAACTGCTCGCGCGAGCGCGGATTAGACAGAAGGTACACGAAAGCGAGCAAGGTGAGGGCCGAAATGACAGTCGCCGTAAGGAAGTAAACGAAGGCAGATTTACTAGACTCCTGCGGCGCGCCTTCCTGGGTTTGCTTTGGGGGAACGGAAAGGACCGATACTATTTGGGCTATGCAAGGCAGCACGCCAGCGATCCCCTGGCCTGTCATGATACCCTGTGTATACTCCTCCCTCCCAAAGCTCGCCACATAGGCGAATACTCCGTTTTGGCACAGGGCTGTTGCCAGACTGGCGCCGAAGACCACTAGCATGAGGAAAACAAAATACGCGCCAGCCGAAACGCCCAGGAAGGCCCGGGTCGATATTGCCAACAGGGTGAAGACGACGATATTAAGTATGAGTGAAGACATTATGCGTTTAGGGTAGGACGCGTTTGCCTGCAGCTTGGTAAGGACAATCATGGAGCCCAGACTGCCTGCAGTGGATACGGCGAGCTCGGCGGACTGGAAGTTGCGTAAGAGTCGCTCATCGGAATCGAAACGTCGTTGAAAGTATGGGGCTGCAGCGAGGAACATGTTCCTGAACGATGTTAGAACGTGCATGTTGCCGTCAGTCGTGCGAGCCGAGCCGTACCATGCCCAAAGCATAGCAACGCCGAGTAACAGGAAGACATAGTAGTCGGTTCTCGAGTACTCGCGTTGCTCTTCGTCGTGTGTTCGTTCTCCGTCGGGGCGCTCGGAACCGCCCTCGAGAGGCGCGTACGATGTCTCGTCATCTTCGCTCTGGAAAAGGCGGCGGATGAGACCCATAGTGAGCGAGGTGAGAGGTGCTGCCAGGTCTCGACCGGAAAGGAAGAAGGATAGGGGAAGCGGCGAAAGAGTCCAGTAGAAAAAGAGAGGTCAAAAGGTCGTTTAGCAGACAGTCATTCTGCAGGTCATCTGTCAGTACTTCGGGCTGTTCAGAGAGACCAGATGACTGACGTGTGTAGGGATGATAGCATACCGCGTCTCGGGGGTCCGCCCTCCACTCGGGTGGCTCGTGAAAGTGGCAGTGCACGTGGGGTCTTGGCAGTGTACTCTGTCGTACAGCGTCATCCCGCGCTTTAAACAATACACAGTACTTTTCGTGAACCCTCGATCTGCGCCCTGTCCTGTTTCGCTCACCTAAACCCTCGAATTACGCGTTCCTTCTCCCAGGCGCCATGGCTCCGCAACCGCCTCAGACCCTTTCCGTCAAGCGCAAGCGCAATGATGCTCCCGTGCACCACCTCGTCGTCGATACCGACCGAACAGTCAAACGCCAGAAGAGCGAGCCTAGATTCGCCTGGCGCTTGCTCCAAAAACCTGGCCAGAATGTTCCTGCTGGTTTGCCATCACCTACTGCGCAGCAGAATCGACGCTTCCACGTTTCGCTGTCAGCGGGACAGCGCGTCCTTGTAGAAGCTGCCAATATCCCCGCTGGCTCGCAGCCAACCGTTGGCAAGCCCAGTATTCCGAGTATACCAGAAGCGGCGGAATCACCAGTTGCAATTGGAGCCGCGCCGGCCACTGCCCGTCCCCGCAAGCGTCCCGGAGCTGGAGCGGCTGTGCGCATAAACCCTGCGTATACGGTGAAACCTGAGGGCGATGTCGATCCTTCGGAAGAACATGTCAAGAATTTTGAGAAGTTCTCCGAAGAGCTCGAACGGGAAGAGCGGGCGCAGTCAAAGCCCGTATCAAGTCCAATCAAGTACCTGCCCACAGGCCCAGCGCGCCGCTCTAAGCCACAGCAAGTCCCTACACTCGCGGTGCAGGATCCCGATGCTATGGAGATAGACGAATATGTTATTGACACTTACGTGCGCGAGGAGCTAATGTCTGACGCTGACGGTAACGTTCCTGTCCATGAAGGCATCATTGGTTACATCATCCTTAAGGAGGAAGATGAGGAGTGGTGGAATGGCGAAGACGAGAGTGATAGGGAGTTCGACACCGATGGAGACGATGAGAATGCGGAAGATTACTATGCCAACGATTACCCGGAGGATGAGCTTAGCTCTGACGACGAGTTCGATCGAGATCCCTACCAGCGAAAGTATCGTCACGGCTCGGACGATGAGGAGTATAATCTGAACGATGAAGACGCATACAGTGGCGACGAGGATGACGAACACTTTAGGCGCATGACCGTTCCGGGACAGACAGCATTGTTGAATCGCCTCGGACGTTAGACCCTTACATTTCCCGACTTCTGTATGAAGCCATAAATATATTTGGTGATACCCCATTGGAAAGAGTGGTCTGGATGAGAAACGGTCTGGATCTGTCTCGCGCATTTTGAAACGACAGTGAGAGCCTGTCGAATGCCACATAATGTGTCACTGCACTACTGCCGTTGTGCACTACTACAGGACCACTAGAACCAATAAAATCTTAGTCAATAGACAACTGTCTCATGTTATCATTTCCATGTACAACTCTTTTCCGGCTGTCAAACGCGAATTCACTGCCCGCTGTTGTGTCATCAGAAATTAATCCTCGAGTAGCACTCTCTCCAAATCCTCGGACCGCAACTGTACAATCAACGCCCCGATCATACTTCCTGGCCAGCTAAACCACGCCTTACTACTGCACTTCCCCGTCATCGGATCCACAGCCTCACTAAACGTCCCATCCCACTGCATCGCATTCTTAGTCTTTCCCCACGCCCTCCTCATATCCCCTTCATCCTTCCTCATTGCCGCATACGCCAGCTCCTGGAAATACCCTAGCACCCACGCCCCTGGGGAATGGACGCTGCCCAGGCCGGGGTATGGTGGGATGTTACAGTATCCCTGTTTGTTTGCGGGTGAGAGCCCGAAGGCCATGGTGTTGTGCCATGTTCGGATCTCTGAGGGTGTGGTGACGAAAGACCAGGGCTGGGCGAAGAGGGTCGGGATATCATTTGCGTCGTGGTAGAAGGTGTGATTTCCTTGTCCGTCTGTTAGATACGCGAACATATCCATACCTAGCTCAGGGTGTGTGACTGTAAAATTGCGGAGTGTGCTTGTTCGTAGTGAGGTTGCTAGTTCGTTCACAGCGGAGCTCGAGACTTGGGAAGGCGAGTACAAACGATCATAGAGGTCTCGCAAGCTTGTCAGCGTGCGCCAAAGCAGGACGTGGCTTGAGAAGTGGTACGGGTATAGCACTGCATCGTCGCCGGGTGTTTCATCGGTGGGCCATAATCCTGTTTCAATATCGCGCTTTGACTGCAGTAAGTCTAGGATCTTGTTCACAACACCCAGCTCCAAGATCTTCCGTACAAAAACCATGTCAGCGGGAAAGTAGTCGAGATAGTCGCACAATTCCAGAAGTGGGTAGCATTGCTGATCCAGTTGGAACACCGGCCCATCTTTAGGCTTCCCCGTTACAATGTAAGAGCGGTGCCAGTACCCATGGGGTCGTTGCGCCACCCTGAACACCCACTCTAGATGGCCCTTCGCGATGTCATGGATTTTTGAAATGTAATCCCATCGTAGTCCATCATCACGTAGGAGAAGAGAAGAGTGCTTGTAGGATTCGTAAAGAAGACGGAGTTGCCAGTAGTTGTCTCTATTCCATCCTAATGGGAGGGCGACGTGGTCGGTCATGATACATACGGAAGTTTCCCTAGAAGCAGAAACCACGGGCACGGTGCAGTTGGCTAGGATATAGTCGACGTTCCGACGGAGGATGTAGGTCGTTAAAGCGGATTGCTTTAACCATGTAAGGTTGTTGAGATTTGCTCGTTCTTCGCTTTCCTTCTCCTTTCCATCAACATTGTGAGATATAAGTTGGTAGGATTCTGCATTTGCTCTGAAGCGAAACCTATTCTTGAGGGTAATTGAACTGTGTGGCTTGAGTCCTAGATGATACGGGATGTTCAAATCGAGCGGAGCATTCCGGACTTCTTGATCACTCGAGGGCCACTCGAAGTCGATCAGAGTTCTATCTAGTTCCATTGTGCGGCCCACTTCGCCGTACAACTGAGCACCGAGCTCTGGGTTGATTACGTTGACAGAGCCCTGATTCGTGAGAGAAAAGATATTCCGAGATTTGGGAAGAGGGATCGGTCCGCCTTCGGTGAGCTGGCCATATGATGCGCGATTGAGGCTCACGCATAGGTTCACATCGCAATCTAGTGTGGTTGCAGTAGCCTTGTTGTTCTTGATAGTGACCCATTGCAAGATGTCACCACCCTTGACTACGTGCACTTGGATCGAAACCTTTACGTCCTCCTCTAAGGCGAAGTCGAAGGTAGCGGCGTTCGCTTTCGGTATGTTGATAGCAGCCTTGGATACGTCGGATCGGAAGCTGATTCCTAGTCCAGGCCTGCTCTCCTGGATCCAGTGTAGCATACGCTTTCGATAGTTGCGGACATAGGTTGGATCGTAGAATTTGGTTCCATCAAACTGCTCGAAAGGATTCGCAACAATTATACCATGCTCGGGGTGGAAGGTGCTAGCTTGCAGGATCTACGGGTGCTTTAGTCGAGCGGTTGCCGCAAATTGAACGGAGTTGGTACTCTGCCATAGGTATCAAGGGAGAGTGAGACTCCATCTTGTCCAATGTCGACTGTCTTGTCCGGTTTTCGCATTCGTAGGTCGAAATTTGTAGGTTGCGAGTAGCGGCGAGAGTCGCCACGGCCTCGTTGACCATGCTGAATCCAGGTATTAGCCATGACGTCTCCCAAGATTATGAACCCGATCAGACCTCACGAAAGCAAAGATGATGTTTTGAAGCCATACCTGAAGAAACTGTCTGTTCGGTGTTAGCACCGTAGCCCCACGTGATCTGGCAGCGTCCACAGCGCTTTGCCGGGTACGTCACCCGCTGCGCTAATCCTCCACAGGCTGCCCCAGGTTTCTGGCTTGCAACAGTCCCCACAATCCACCACCGCTCACACCACACGTCATGTTACTAGCGGAAGATGCTCCCGGCCTGCCACCTCACGATGCAGGACGATTCGGCTCGCACACAGCGGTTGCCTGTGAACCCGCGGCGCCGCAAAGTTGCTCCAGAGCACAGGAAACGCGTGGCTAGGGCGTAAGCTACCTTCCGTATCTCAACTGAGCAGTCCTGTGAGCTCTGACTCTCGTATAGGTGCAATAGCTGTAATGTACGCCGCGTGAAATGCTCAGGTAAGATCTTATTGGGCTCGCACGTAAAATGTGGGACGTGTACTTACTATGCGTCCCTCCTCAGGCGATCAGCCTTGCCAACAATGTCGGACAGCCTCAAGAGAATGCATTTATCCTGCCGAAGAACCTTTGAAGGGAGCATCGCTGAAAGAGGAGCTAGAGCGTCTCCGCAAAAAGTGTGATCATCTAGAGAAATGTCTGCAAACAGTGCTTCCAGACAACGCGGCAAGAGATGACTTGCTCCGCAGCGTGGAGTCTGGAGATACCCCTCCCGCAGCTTCGGTATACTCGGAATCATCTGCAGTTGACGATGGTGAGACGACTGAGGGCCGCATGCTTTTCGACCCGGATGGCAATATGAGATTTCTTGGTGAGACGTCTGGCGCCACGTTTCTCGATCTCCTGAAGGCTTTCATGCTGACACTCGTGCCGTTGGCTTTGGCACCAGAACCGGGATTAACCGTGCCTGAAGATGGATCAACATTTGTTGCCTCTTTGGGGCGATACCAGACTTTTGATTCAAGGCCGCTACTCGACTTGGATGTGGATCCATTCTGGCTACCTACTCGCACGGAAATGATCATGATGTTGGCGGAGCTGCGTTATCACATCCAAGACGGCAATGGGGATTTCCCTTCTGGAGGCATATATTACTGGGGCGATCTTAGCTCTATGCCTGAAGCTATCACACTGACCGTAACCCAGTCTGAAGCAGCAATTTCAGATCGCTATCGCTACCTTGCCTTCAATCATGTTTCTTTCGCGCTTGCAGCACAGATTCTGAATCAATCGTTACATCAAGGCGAAATACACGCTGGAGACGCATACTTCAAAAGAGCTAGAATACTCCTCGGTAACCCACTAGACACAGTGCGGTTCTCGTTGAGGGATGTGCCTGTGCTTGCTCTAATGGCTCTCTACTTGATCGAGATCAACCGTCGCGATGCTGCATACGTATATACGAGCTTGGCTATGCACATAGCTGTAACGCACGGTGCAGCTAGGCATTGCGCTGATGAGGCTAGTAAACGGGTCTTCTGGACCGTCTATGTTCTCGATCGATGGTTAAGCTGCTTAATGGGTAGGCCTCCGACGCTCGCTGACGAGGCCATCCGACTTCCCTTGCCAATTGATGCACCGTAAGCTAGGTCAACTTTGATACTCTGAAGCCGGCTGATTGGATGTAGTAACATGCCTTCCTCTGCCGGTCTTCGTGCCCACGTACAACTCGCACGTATATCGGGATTCATAGTCTGCGAGACGTACAAGATCGCACCCAAGAAGCTAGATACGAACCCGGCAGCCCCTGACGTTGATAAGCCTATGGAATTGCTGCAAGACTGGCTTACGCATCTACCTGCGTCGTTGCAAATGTCTTCAGCCCAGCCAAGTGCCGATCCCGCATGTTGCATCCTCCACATGGCGCACAACCAGGTAACGTTTCTTCTTTACTATCTCTACCATTCCGTGCGCGAAGTTCGAATTCCGTGCCACTATGTTGGCCAGTCGTTAGCGAAACTGATGCGTCTCAAACTATCTGGTCTCGACCATACGTATATTTTGCTAATACTTCATAACTACAGCTCATCCTAATCACCATTCGTCCGATCCTTCTCACCGCGGTGAAGCGTGCCGTGGCAGAGCGATACATGAACGCTTGCAGCTGGAAATTAGAACAACAACCGCAGTTCAACCGCATAGATGCCTGCTCGAAAGCTGCACAACGCAACATCCACCTGGCACAATGGGTCATGCAGCTTTACAATACAAGACGACTCCTCCAAGCGGGTCTGCATTTCGTATTCAATGCGGCCGTCATCCTTCTCCTCAATCGCGTGCTGCGGAACCAATCAGCAGCTGCAAAAGAAATCGACTTCGCTATCGATGTCTTCACTCAACAGTCCCGTATAGGGACCAACTACGAGCGGGACTGTCTGCAAGTTTTGAAGGACCTCAAGATCTTGCTCGACCGATTCTTGTCTGGATCATGTGCAACACAACAGAATTATTCCGCGAATCCTGCAAGAGTATCGCAAGGCTTCATCAATGACACCCAATTTGACGTCGCCCAGGGCCGGCAAATATTACCAAGCAACGGAGGCAATGTGTACCAAGAACTAATCACTTGGATCCAGGATGACAACACGCAATTACACAGTAGCTTCCGGATCTAATATGTACTTCTACATGTGTGAGACCAAGTTCGGAGCACCTCTAATCAGGAGAACTGCCCCTAATTTGGAGCCTGCTTCGATCCTGCCATTTGTACAACACAGCATGCCGCAGGATTTGGTGGTCCGGCGGAGCTGTTCGAGAGCGTATATTTCGATTGAGTCAAGCCCGCAGATACGCCGTTGCAACTTCGGGTACAGTACCCGCGCAGCCTTGATGTCTCAAAGGAGCCCTTGACGATTTCATAAGTTAAGTGGCCGTAGGATCTTGGATTTTGCGCAAGACGTGAATAGACCCATCAATTACGGACGTGGTAGCATATGCGGCTCCTCGATGATTAAGGGTATCAAGCGATTGAATGGGGCCCAGAACACTTGGAGAAATTCTCCAGCGAGCGAAGCGCTTCGTAGGACAGTCGCAGGCGAGTAACATCGATTCCAGCTTAGGCCAGTGACTTGAACCGGTGCGATAGTGATTCAGCCTGGCGTGGCGCAGGGTCTACCTTTACCGCAGCCTGTTCCGGTAACATGTGCGATAAGTCGGAGTGCGAGTCTGTCCAAAATACCTCATCGAGAGGCACCAGCCCCAGTGAGCCGGACAGAAGAAGATTAAGCGATGCCGTCATATATTCATTGTACGCCTCATAGCTTACTCGTCGCAGGGCCGTCATGCCATAAACCACACAACCCCTCTCTACTGTCACCTAACACGGGATCCCTCTCTGGCACTGGGACATTCCACACCTGCCTCTCTCTCCCCTTATGATCCCCACCCACGGCAAAATCCCACTCGTTTCCATACGGATAACTCCCCATCATCTGGAAAGTTTCACCGATCTTGAGACCTTCAAAGAATTCGCGAGCTTTCTTCTCATCCCGTATAACTTCCTCATTCTCGTCTTTACACTGGAAGAACGCAAATTCCACCGGACCAGGCTTCGGATCGTACGTCTTATGTGCCAGCCCCGCAGGCAGTATGAAAACATCGCCCCGCTTCGCTTCGACCCAGATCCCGCCATCCTCATGTCCATCCCCATGAGTGTGCTCCTCGACGTCATCCGAGGTATCTGCCACGCCAAACCGGATGGTTGCGCCTTCGCCCGAGATAACCGTCATAGCTTCATGGGCGGCGCTGTGGTAGTGCGACGTCTGCGTTGGGCCGTAGCGCGCTACCCATTGCGACTCCCAGCCATTCGACTTGTACAGGTCGTAGAGCTCTGTGCAGTTGAAACCTGGTTTGGAGACTTTGTCTAAGAAGAGGCCGGGGTAGTGGATTAGGACGTGGGGGGAGTTGGGGATGAGAGAAGTGGGTTTCAATGTGTAGGTGCGGACTTCGACCATGATGGTGGTGTCTGTGAATGTCGATTAGGGAAGGCCTACGGACATGTATTGAACGTACAAATGGAGAGATGTTATGGACATGAGGAATGACCGGAGATAACCGCACTTGGCGCTGGGAGTATGTACCCAGTTAATGGGAGCTGTGGAAAGCTACCCCGCTCTACGGAAGCTATACCGTAGCGCCGTGCGCGACGTACTCGGTATGACGCATCATTACGGAGAGCACAACGACATATGTACTATCTAGCGAGCATACACGGACGCGCTATTGCCTTGCTTTTGTACAGTGCAGGTACATGATCTTGACGAGCGGCGGAACCACAGTAATGTTGTGAAAATCACACACTCTGAATGCTGAATGCTGAATGCTGAATGCTCGGTGTAAACTAAGCTCTATTCAGTCATTTTATCCGCCGTGCATACGTTCCACTTTTGATCCGAGTACGCTACTCCAGTGTAGACGAGTCACATGTGCGGCGGCTTGATTGTACCCATAGTCTCTAGTGAATACACTGCTTGAACTTAAAGTGGGATCATCGTAATGTTAAGGATCATTTCGGGGTCATCACGGTAGGTCCGTAAGCCATGCGCTTTATACGTGGACCTAAAACTTGACGCAAAGAAAGGAAGTTTTTAACGTGAGATAGTGGAATAGGGAAAGAAGGCCATCAATTTAAAGCAATGGGAGAAAAGCTTCGTACCGTTGGTCCTGCATTGGGTATATTGAAGAAATTCATCTACACGAGGTAGGCGCAATTGATGCCCAGAAACAATCCTGGATGCATCTCCTGTAAGATGCAGATCATACAGTGCATCGGAGCTTCGAGAGCCGCCGGTCTGAGCATCTTGCGACACCATTCCTCTAACCCTGCGGCCTTTTCCTCTTCCTCTGCTCGTCCGGCCTGGCAGGCATGTCCGGCAGGATCCCACCTTCCCTCTTCAGATTCTCATACAAGCCCAGTGCAGCAAGACATTTGGCATCTCTCCCTCCTTCCCTCCACAAGTGTCTAAACGGAACTACCTTTAGCGTAATGACCTCGCCTTCCTCTCTCAACCCAGTGTCGCGCGACTGCAAATCTTCGATTTCCTTTCTGCTGAGCCGTTTCTGCAGTAGCATCAAGGGAAGAAACTCGTCACAGCCGCCAGGACTAGGGTACATGGAGTTTTGGACAGTTTCACGGCAGGGATCCTCATCGTTGAAGTTTGTAGATGGCTGCTGGTGGATGTCTTTGACGGCGGCTTCGGACATGTTGAAGAGGTCGGACTTGTTGACAATTATGCCGACTTCTTCTTTGATCTCCTCGCCAGCCTTGCCTCCAAGGTCGCCGCTGTCATCAAGCATGCCGGCGGGTAGTTCGGCGAAAGCGAGAGAACCTGCGGCTATACGCGGTTGGATTGCGAGGACGGAGAATAGCTCCGGTTCTTGTCCTCGGTCCAGGTTCTGTCGTTCTTTCTCTTCTCCGTCATAGGGCTGGATGATGATCTAGGCGCATTCAGTTAACAACATTTGCATGAGGTGGAAGTTGCAGCATACAAGAACACCCACGCTGCCTCCACGTAGGAATACAGCACCGGGAAGCCACGGTTTCTTTCCATTTTCTAGGTGATCAGCCTCTATAGCGCACTGCGCCTTCAGAAAGCCCAGTTTTCCAGGAGGTTTCCCAGTAGGAAACCACGTAGGGGCTTGGAGGTCAATGCTCCTTAGTTTGTACTGATTTTTGTGGAATACGTGATGGAGATTCTGCTGCAAGGCTAGGTTTTGGAGCAGTCCGGTCAGCCAGTTCTTATATGCTGGCATGCTCTCAATGATTTCTTTAGTGGCTCTGGGGTCCTGTGGGAGGTAGACCCTGCAGGCTACCTCGTTTCCGTCGTGGGCATGTTTTGCGACCGGGTATTGATTGAAGGATGTAAGTTCGAAGTATTTCCTCTGTGCGCCATCGAACACGGTCTGACGTTGCGGCCTGTTGTCTGAGATGCACTGGTCTCCGTCCATGATGCTGTTCGTGGAAAGAGGTTTGTCGAGACGGTGTACTACCAAGATGTGGGTGTCTTAGCCAGGTGTGCCTGCCAGATATGGCCAGTCTTGGGTTCAAGTGAAGGTGCAAGTCGGTGCTCTCAGCGGTCAGCCTGTATTGCGGAGCTGTGTGGAAGTAATTGTGCAAAGAAGCAGAGAGTGTGAGGGGGACGAAGAAGCAGCGGGAGGCATGACTCTATCAGAAGCACCGCGCCGTGACTGTTAGGTGGCAGGCTGTGTCGCCGGTCAAACCGCTGTGGTGCCTGAGCTAGATCCGAGTAGTGCCCGCGCTCAGCCCCGCCGTCCCTCCCCCCCTCTGCGGCAACAAGGCGCTTAATTCCGGGGGCGTCTGGATCGTCGTTGGAAACTCGACTTTCCTTCTTTCCATGTCAATGGAAGCTGTGCCTCCACTTTGACACCGCCATGGGCACTCTTACCGCCGGTTGCCCGCGATTAGATGCGCATTGCCCGCACAAGCTCGCAACCTCATGCCGCCTCACCAGCACACCCAACTGCTGCGGCTGCGCAGACGAGCGCCCCCACTCGCGTCTCTATCGTGTATACATCGATGGCGTGGGCTACGTGCAGCGAGGCACGCGATGGCAGAGCTACTGTTGGTTCTGCAAGGGTAGGTTTGCCTCCTCTGCCATAACTGTTATCAGTCGTGACCGGACCCTTTTTTCGCTCTTGCCAACGACGGCTTTCGGATCATGTGCTGACGCATGCAACCAGAGTTCTGGAACAACAGATTAGCAGCCACGGATCCCCCGCTCGAAGCCGCCCAGACACAGATCCCGCACATTCCAGATCAGTCCGGCTTTCTCGAGCGGTGGACTGAATTCCACCAGGGCTATCGTATAGTCACACACCCAGACGGGTCCGAAGCGCGCATAGCTGTCATAGGAGAACCCTTCAGCGACGTCAGCCCCGGTTTCTTGCCTCGGACGGTGGATCAGCTGAGGGCGGGCCGGGAAAACGACGCTGCAAGGCCGGACAACGTCTTCAGGAGGAGGAGGTTGACTTCGGAGGACGAGAGGCCAGCAGAACCACAGCAGAGCATTGAGGACGCGTTGGATAGCCTCCTCGAGGGAATATCAGACGACGACGAGGCACCTGAGCTGGTAGCGACCGAAGCACAGAACGCAGACATGCCGCGTGAGAGCAGTAGTGGCGGTCTTTCACGGCCACTTACGCGAACTGAGACCAACCTCCAACGCGCCCGCGATCGTCTTATTCGCGTCTTCGGATCCAGGGAAGACGTACAGCGCGAGGACTACGAGAGCCCTCTTTCAACAATGTACAACCGGGCAGAGGAACGCTATCGACAAGCAGAAGAGCGACGCACGACGGGCGAAACCACAGACCCTCGGACAGACAGCTTAAATGACCTTCCCCGGCAAGAGCGAAGGGAGTTGGAAGAGCAGATACTCTGGGGCGTGCTTCAAGACTCGCGACGTTCCTTCTCGGAGCGCTACCAAGAAGACAACGTGAGAAACTACGCGGATTCGCTCAGTAACACAAATTCGTTCAATAGGAGGATGGAAGCCTCGAACGCCGCTATGGCAGAGCTTGACTCAAGAAATCGTACAGTGCCCGACAACTCTACCTCCTCATCAAACACGACATCAACATCCTCATCCTCTCTCCGCACCTCTCTAGACCAGATCACTTCCGACCTCTCCCGTCTCCAGGCAGCCACCGACGCCGTCGCCAATGCCCGCATCGCCCTTGTGCGCCGACGTCCTGTACGTCCGTTCTTCGCAGAACCCACACATACTCTTGACCAACCCGACCGCCCGCCACCACTCACCGACGCTCAAATGACGAAGAAGCTAGACTGCCAAGTCTGCTACAGTCAGATAGCCGACATCGCTGTGCTACCATGTGGGCACATGGTCATGTGTCAGTGGTGTGCCGATATCGTGGTACCCGTGCGGCACAGTCACATCCCCGCGCGACCTAGCAAGTGTCCTATGTGCAGGAAGACTGTGAAGCAGAGGTTCAAAATCCATACTGGAGGCGATGATGTGGTTTCGAAAGACAGTCAGCCAGCAGGGGTCGAAGCGGAGAGCACGTCCGCAGAGGCTATTGATGCGGATGAAGATCTGGATACCGATGATGCTCTAGCACGATTACGAGATTTAGGAGGATCAGCACTAGAGGTGGGCGAGCCGGAATACATGTAGAGAACATGGTATGCATTGGCGTGGGCCTGAAGACGAGAGCCTGTGCACTTACGGGATGTTCATGACCATGATGATGATATTAACTACGTAACGCATCAATTTACATACCAAGGATGACTATTCACTTTAGATCAATAGAGCCACAGAGAACTTTGCGGCAGACATATGGTTCGAAATAGCTCGTCAAAGTACCATTACATCCAGATAATCAACGCGAAGGCATACCTAGAGCGACAATTGGAACCACAATTAGTGAAGAAACGTGAACCGAAATGAAAGTGCTTCCCAAAACACAGCGTCTACGCTCGCAGCCATTCCTTCTCTCGTCCTCCTTTCAAGCCTCCACAGCATCAACAATAACATCGAAATACCCCGGCGTCTGCACCTCCTCTTTCCTACCTCCCTTCCCCGCGCCTCTACTCACGGTTCTCTTGGGACTCGGACTCGTCAACCCGGCCCCCATCTTCTTGATCGCCTCAAACGTCGCCTGAAGTCTTGTCTGGCCCGCTTCACCGTTTTCATTCACTGCCTCCGAACTCGTATCCCTCACCAAGGTTAGTGGCCTAGGCGTCGTTCCCGGCGAGGCGAGGAGTGGACTGGATAGCCACGGCGAATAGGGGAACTGGGTCAGGCCTGGTGTGGCGTGCGGAGAAGACTGGGGCGACGAGGTAGGGTCTGCAAATTCGAGGATGACTTGGGAGCCGCGGCGGGACTCGTACGTGTTGCGAGGGGAGAGGGCGAGGAAGTGAGTTGGCGTAGGCGGAGTACCGTCGGTGGCGAAGGTCTTGGTCATTGACGGAACGCGAGTGCTGCAGTGACCTACGATACTGTTACTTTCAAGCACGTCGAAGGACTATCGCGAGAGGCGAGGTGGCTGGGCGAAGGCATGTTAAAGGATGTTAGGTGGGAAAGGAGAAGGGGACGTACCTCTGGCATGACGCGCCGTACTACTCTGCGAATGCTGCTTCAACAACTTTGGCGGCTCTTGTTTGCTCGGCGTCGGCATGGTCGCGAGACTCGCACTGGGCGGTGCACTCGTGCTCTTTTCCGACTTGAACGACCACCTTGAGTGTGTGGAGCCAACGCTCGCCCTAGTGTGCGGCAGACAATCGTTGGTGGAATTCTTGAGCGGCTCTTCGTCAGCCTTTCCGCTGATTGTCGTCTCCTTCGGCGAGTCAAAGGCTTCCCTACTACTAGACTCCCGGCTCGAATGCATATCGGTGCTAGTCTTGCGGGTGCTCGGAGTGCTGATACTGACACTCCTTTTGCGACTGCTTGTAGCAACACTGCTCGTAGTGACGTTGCTGCTTTGCCGAGAAGCATTCAGACGCTCCTCGATCGATGCACTGCTTGTCTCTTCGCTGCCACGCTTGTGCTTAGCGTCCAGGTCTGTAACGACCGTGTCACCAAATTCTTTCTGCAGGTTGGCGAGTCGATCCTCGTATGACTCAGTCAGCGTGTTCGATATAGTTTGCGCGATGTCGTTATTGTCCTTAGATGGCTTCCAGTCTATGGGGCAGAGAACTCCGTGCTTGGCTACGGCTTGGAAGGCTTCAAGTAAGCGGAGTGCTTCGAGGACAGAACGGCCCACGGTGAGGTTGTTAAGTGTTACCTATAAGAATTCAGCCTGTGTCCTCATGAGCAACAATGTTCGCCAAAGTGGCCTTACCTGCTGCACCACCGTCTCCTCGTCTAGGATGAACATGCCCCGTAAACAAACCCCTTCCTCCTCGATCAAGACCCCGTAGTCGCGACTCATTTTATGATTTGCATCGCTAAGCAATGCGATATCAATCTGACCCAGGCCACCGTATTGTCGAGGGACGTTCTGCCAGTGCCAAAGTGAGTGCTTAGTATCGACTGAAACGAAGATAATGTCGCAGTTGCGGTCCCTGAACTCTTCCAGACAATTCTGAAAGGCGAGCACCTCCGTTGGGCAAACAAAGGAGAATGCTGCGGGAATGAAAAGTAGAAGAAGCCACGACTTCTTGTCTTCGTTAATATAAGTGCTTAGGGTAACCTCTGTGAGCATGATTAGCAGCGTGAGTGAGCACGCATGGAAACCCTTTTTACCTTCGATTATTCCTTTGTAGACAGCATCACAATGAAAATCTGGTGCTTTCTTCCCGACTCGAACACTGCCTAACGTGCTCATGGCTACGTGTTGTGTTCAATGCGCGGTGTAGTCAAAGAGTAGTTGCTCAGTTTGATTTCGTCGCCCGACGACAGGTGTCGAAGTTCGCATGCACTGTAGAACGCAGCACAAGATTATGGTGCAGGAGGTCCGGCCCAATAGTCCGGTAGTCATACTTATAAGTGACGGCTGTGGGAGGCTGTGATGCCATACTGTTTTGAACGCACTCGATGTTAGATCGGCAGCGGTAGATAAACCGATGTCTTATAGACAGAACATCTAGATTGCTGCTTTCAGTATGTCAGCGTTCCGGAAGCGAAATTGAAGCGCGGCGTTCTTCAAAGTGAGACATGCATGCAACACAGCCTGTCGGGAAGGAAACCGAGTCACGCAACAAGAAGGTAAAGTTGAAATGCGGGTAATGGGCGAGTGGTATTTCTCGAGGAATTCAGGAAATCGCCGATGCAGCCGCTCGGAAGCCACGTGCGGTTGTACATAGCATGCTTTGATGGTCCAGGTACTGTTGTCTTGGTGCACAGCGCGGGTACCGCGTTCATCGTTGAAGCGGAGGCAACATCTTTGTTGCCTTTAGTACCCGATTACTGATCAGCGGCCAGATAGCGACCGCATGGGGTGTTTTCGGGCAATTCTTTTCGCAACATCTACGACTATGGTTCATTGATGGGCTGATGACTGGGCATCGGAAGACAAGCATTGCGATCCCACTGCTGGGTCCTGCGGCCAAGAGCTGATGAGCGATCGATGGGCTATGCAATGTTCGAAGACACTGGTCAAACATAGTTGGAGACATAGAGTGAGAATGTTGCGCGTGTTGAAGGTTGCATTCTCGAGTGCGAAGAACAAATGGTGATTCTAAGGTACAGAAAGAGAGCAGAAACCACCAAGATTCCGGCAATATGGTGCCGTGTCAGGAGCCTGGGAGTGCCGTGTGGTACCTCAGCATAGAAAGGGGAAGTTAACAGTCCTGCAAGTCTGATGCGGACCTGTATGAAATCTGTCTCATCGTTTAAGCCGTTCTCTTGTCTCGGATCTCCCCGTACTGACTCCGAAGCGTCCTTGTGCTCTATCTTGAACCCACTGTAACATGCGCCGTCGACCATGGCGAGACTCCCCGTTTCTGCTCCTGCTTCTCAACCTATTACGGTTTAGAACTATGCAACTTGGCGCATTGGAAGCGTTCCTCAGCAGCGGCTGTGGACTTCTCCGAACGGGAACAAAGCAGTCAGCGGTTCCTATACCCTTAAGCGCACGGGAGGAGAGTGGCAGGCCGCGTCACTGCGGAGTGCACTCGCGATCACCTTCGGGTCGGTCCTCGGGCCTTCTTCGTTGCTCCGCTCCGCGGTCGTCAGTAGAGCTTGCGGCAGCTGAGTAGTATTACAAATCCCGTGATTGCTCTTCTGGGCCTATCTATTGCGGCGTGTGTTTTAACATGACACCGTTGGTCGAAAGGAATTCGTATCTCCTGAGGTTGACGATGGCGTGGAATGACTCGCTGCGCTGTGAGGTTATAGAAGGCGCATTTACTCTTACCGTGAAAATGGTGGTGCTTGCCCGGCGCAACCATGCGGCTGAGAGAATAAGAAAGTACGAGAACGCTCGTACAGACCTCGCAATATAAGGACAAATTAAAGCTTGCTTTCCCTCGGTGTACCCTCGGGTGGTAGTGCTCCGCTCATCATGTTCTCATGCTCCATCTCCCGTCCGAAAAGTACCATTTCACGGCCACCTCGAGTTCCCCACCAAGCCACAGCAGAGCCGCTGCGCTCAGGGTCCATCTCACCGCTCACGAGCACCGCCCAGTAGTGTGCCTTAGCAGTCTCTCTCATCGCAAAATCGTCGATCGTGTTCAGTAGCTCTGCACAAAGAGGCATCCATTCCTCCAAGAGTGGGATAGGGAGGAAAGGCAGAGCGTCGAGCAGTGTCAGCGTGAGTACGGCTTGTTCGGACAAGGCTGGAGGAGGCGCATCTGAGCCTTGTAGCGCAAGGGTTGATTCGTCTGGAGGCAAAGGCTCTGTTGGCGCATTGAGAGCACGGTGGTATACAAGCTCCATAAGTGTAGCGGAGAGATCTGGGTGGGATGCTGAGATGGCGGAGGGAGGCGCTGTGACTCGCATCATGGTTTTGAATGCTAGCCTAAATTGCCGTGGTGATAAGTTATGTGGAAATACACTGAATAGGGCGTCAATATAGAACGGGAGGTGTTTGGCGGTGATTTTGGCGGACTGGGGTGCAGAAAGGACCGCCAACATTACACTGTGGGCAGCTTCAAAAATTGGTAGCATATTGTGGTTGCCACCAGCTGCGAGGTATGGCACAGCCGAAGCCACGAGAAGGTCTTCGTTCGTAGCAGTCGGGAGCACTAACGAGAAGTGCTCCGCGGTGTTGAGGAAGTAAAGGTCCAATATACGGTCAAGAGGGTGTCGAGGTATTTGGCCTAATTGCGGGGGGGCTATTGATTTGAGGAACTTGTCCGCGTGCATAGGATATGCTGAGAGTATGTCAATCGCAGTGAGGTACACAAAGGTGTGTTGGGAGAAGGATGCTGGTCCAAGCCTAGACGTGATGAAGTACAGGTGTCGAAGGGTTTGTAGCGCTTGTGAAGCAAGGACCGGCGCAACAGCATCTCCGGCTAAGGTTTTGTCGCCGAGTGTGCGAATCATCACACCCCTCAATGTGATGGTCGTCGCGAACAACGCAGCTTTCAGTAGTCTCCAAAGTAACGGGACTGTTTTGTGAAGCGCCTCCTCTTCCAAGTACATGTCCTCCTCGGCTGGGTCAATCTCGGAAAAGTTGATTTGTCGCCACTGAGTAGTAAGCGCCCTCGCAAAGCTTGCCAAGTCGTCCATCATGGCCTGGATTATCCATGGTTCGCGCACGTTCTCCACCGCGTGCGCAGTGATCCTAGATAGCGGTCCCATTGACGATACTAATGGCCTTGCCATGATTGCCTCCACTTGGCGGCAAGAGCTTGAACGGGCATCCCAATTCAGCTTCCCCCCATCTACTTTGATATCCAGATTCAAACCTCCCATGAAGTATGCCGACTGAAACCCTTCATTCGAAAAGTAGGCAGTGCCAATGAGTACCGGGAGTAGTAGATCATAATCCAGCTGCGCTTTCTCCGCGTCTGATAGACAGCCGAAAGCATGATTCAGAACCAGAACGATGGTCTGGCCCCCGAGTCCATCTGCCTCCGATCTTTCTCTCACCTCGACCAATGCGAGATTAATAGCACGTACCAGTGCTCCTTCTACTCTCTTCTTGATACCAGAAGCCCAGTATAGATCCAAACCCTGCTCTTCTAGACTTCCCATGGAAATCAACAATCCTCCCAATACTATTAGGTGTTTCCATCTTTGACTGCGTTCATCGGCCCCAGCAACGACAGCACGCACCCAATCATCTAATGAAATGCCTCCACTGACAGGCGTTTGTCCAGGCAGTAATTCGGGAGCTTTGTTCCACCGTATATCGTTATGATGGTTTATGACGGCCGTTACTGCAGTGTGGAAGACGGAGAGCAGCCGGAGAGGGGTTCGGACGCCTTCCGGACGATCCCAGAGAGCAGGTGCTGTGAGAAGATGCGACGTAAGGAGGCTCAGATTGTGAGGGTTTCCAAGGGTGGTCAACAACGAAGACGCCGTTCCGAGGATACTGTGAAGCTATCAGTGGGCTGGCATCGCGTCTAGGAGGGCAAGCTTACCGTGGGGTATCTTGCTGGTCAGTGTAGGTCTGAAGCGACCGCAGAAGGGTCGACAGTAGGCGATCAGTTGGCATTCTGACGGACCGATCGCTCTCTTGAATGCAAGTGCGGTTACCAACACTGTAGAGGTCGCGATGGCTGGCAAGCCGAGGCTCTCGGAAGAAGCTCGGACTCGCTTCAGCCCTACGCAAGTCTTTACACGAACCAGCAGCCTGCTCCTTTCCATCTCCCTCTTCCCGGAAGTCACTGCATCATCGTTTCAGTCGCCCAGAGGAGCCCAGCTTCTCTAGCGCCTTTCAAAGTGCGTGATTTAGAGCAACTATGCTGCCCAAATGAGGTTCGTCACCTTCTCCCACCACCCTTTCGGTCCACTCACAAAGTCTCCAGCTTCATTACGCGCACTGGCAGTGCCGCGCCTCCGGGCTATAAATCACCTCCATGGCCCTCACTCTACTGGCCACTACCTGTGAGCGCCTCGGTGCCTTACTATCTTTACGATCCCGATGACATCTGGCGCTTCACCTTGATATGGACCGCCCTGTTCTTCGGAGCCATGCACTTGGTCGTTGCATTTTGGGCGTGTATCGTGCAATGGCGCAATTGGAAGATCATATGGGTCACGCCGCTGTTATATGCCATCATTGGAGGACTTGAGGGTCTGATCGCGGGCAGTATCGTGGGAGGACTCCTGGGCGGCGTGTATCAGTCCGGATACTTCAAAATGTCGACCTGGATTCCCTTTGTTTGGGGTCTGATCAGTGCCGTGGTTCTGGTCCTATCGTCGTTCGCCATTCACGGCGGTTTGTGAGCGCTGGAAAACTACAGCATGTCACTGTACAAGCATTGACCGCACCCTTGGTATGGGAAATCAATTACGCTGTGTTCATCTTGGGTCATCACCATATCGTTGCATGGAGCGATAAAAATTGTAAGGCGATCACACTGCACAGTGGCTGAAGGTACCCTCTCGTGAACAGCTACGTACCTCGAAGCCGCAATTTTGAACACACAACATAGAGTGAGTTAGCCTGGGATGCGTAATCCTATGTTGCTTGCCATCTATCTCCTCGCTGGCAAGAGCCAGGATTTTCCTTTGGCCTCTGTACTACACGAGGCTGGTTTTCCGCACTGGGGGCAATCAAAGAATGGAGCACTCAAAGCAACTGTCCGAACTTCTCGTTATGAGGACTGTTGAAAGTATCCTCCTATAGCAAATCGGAGCAGCAATTCTCTTAGGAGAAGCCTACCATTCTTCGTCAATGAAGCTTTGGTATACCATGCTGGCCACATTCAAGCCCAGACGCCAGACGTCTTTTTTGAACGCATTGACTTGACGTACACTTCGATAAGCTTCAAACAAGGTTGTAGAGCTTGCTGTTAGATGTTGGTCCTTTAGCATGAAATGGTGTACGACTGTAGACGAGAATCGAGTTCAGCTGCAGCATGCCTGCACCTCTTCGATTGTATTGGACTCATTGATACTCATCCTACAAGGAGAGTGTTCGCTCAGCGGAAGTATCTGTAACGATACGACTAAGCCAGCCCTGCCCTCTCCTCTCACGTCATTGCCGCTCATCCATCTCCACCTCGCTGTCTCCATCACACGCATCCTCGTTGCGGACATAGATGTACCACTGAACATCCCTGTCAAAGGTAACTCTTTTCTTCCTGCTATCCATATATCTGACATAGTCTAAAGGCCTTTTGGTCACAGCCCTCATTCTCGTCCACGCATCCCTCATTTGCATGCGACTCGTCGGCTTCGGACCGTGCCTTGAGGAGTCGTTCTCCACATGAGGCTCGTGGTGGAATTCTTTGCGCGGATATGGCCACGCTTCCTTCCCATTTCGAGCTACTGAAGGAGGATCCTTGTAAGGGTGATGGACATTCGCAGAGCGAGGAGCGTGGGCGAACAGCGGATTATACGCATGCTTGTTCTCGTCGTCATAGTCATCGGGCAGTTCTGTGATGAAGCCAGACTTGTGGCAGTGTGTCTTTGCTCTCCGCTTGGCTCGCAGGTCCTTGCTAAACTGGACGTGGCGCGGGTCGTGGTCCATGAGGTAGTTCATACCCATGAGGAGCATGAGAAAGATTTGCCATCCTGTCCTTCGATAGCTTGTCGGGTTGGGCGGAAATTGGAGGTTGCCCATGGTTGATAGTCTGTCAATGTCATGAGTTGTGCACTCGTCGGAAACGGTAAAGACAGGACATATATAAGAGACTGAGCCATCTGTTGGGCAACATCAAGTGCATTTGAGGCGTCCATCCTAGTGGATGCTGTACGGAACAAGTTGACCGTGTGCATGACTGAAGCTGTGTTGGCAGTGCGAAGGAGTCTATGCTTCAAAAGCTAAGTTTGTTCTGACCAGTGAGAAGCATCTCGTGTTACTGGTGATCAGTGCCCGAATTCGTCTGGAATGATGAGCTTCACACCTAAAGCGTTGGGCGCACGCAGCTGGATCACCAAGCAGCTATACACGACGTGAGCTGCCGCCAATATGCCTGGCATGATGAAGGATGTCGACAAGACGCCGTGATACGCAGTTGGGTGTCAACGGGCAGGCACGAACGACGGAGAGTCCCAATGTTGGATGGAGTGGCCTGGCATACGAGTACACGAACGAGGCGGTGCCCGAAGCGGATGGAGGCCGTTGTCTGTTTCACTGCAGTCCCACTGGGCAGGCACGACGGCGAACATGTTTCTGTTTCGCCAAAGCGTCGCATGAAAACGGGAGGTTCACGGTGCCACGGTCTTGACTTGCAGCAGGCAGCGGATGGCCGTTGGCTGACAGGTGGATGAAGCCGTCATGTGTTGCAGGCGTCGGAGTGGGCCGTGGCTGTCGCGGTGCCTCAGGCGACAGGCCGGAAGGCGGGGAAGGAGGCGGCGATGGCGCGCTGGCCAAGACGTCCCGTCGTGCGCCCGCAGCTACCTTGGCGTGCTTGCGCATCTACCGACAGGGTGTGCATGGGCGCGGCTGTTTCTGCTTATCGGGCAGCGCAACGCGTCGTCGAGGGCTGGGGCTGGCTGTCGAGGGTGCGCCGCGCTGGCCTGACGCCGCGCTGGTTCGTGGGCCGGGCAATGATGGGCAGCAGAGTCAAATTGGTGGCGTGGACATGACCATGGCGTCGACGATGACCGAAGGCGCTGCTGCAGGCCAGACTCTCGCGCCGGCTCCTCGATGATCGAGGCCCACGGCGCTGGAGACGGGTCTATTGGCTGCGTGGGTGCGCTGCAGCACTCTACCTCATGCCCGAAACGACATGCCCGTCTTGATTGGCAGCTGTCTGAAACTGACGAGTCGACTCCTGCGCGCCTCGACGCTGGGGGAATTCCAACCATTCTCTTCTTCTGCCCGCCTTCCGCCTGTCTTCTCGTCGGCCGCCGTTTCTCTTGATTGCCGTATCCCCGTGCACGCCTCGTTCTGGGAGCCCTAGAGTATGAGCAACCCAGCACGCAGTCCTAGTCCCTACATCGTAAGCCACTGTACGACGCAGGCCACGCTTCGACCGAGCATTCGCGACATCATCAGCATCCTCCCACGACCGCGACTCGCAACGGCTGCCCACCATGGGCAGGAAGTTCTCCTTCAACCTTGCCCCTATCGTGAGTGCCGCGATGAATACAGACTGCTGTCATCCCACGCGCTAACTGACGGTTGTGCAGAAGGTGCCTCTGAGAACCGACAGACAGGCAGAGCCCAGTCCCTCGGTCAAGTCCCCGCATGTTAGACATGCTTCCAAAGACAGCATTACCTCTATCAACATGACCTACATCAGCCGCCAGCGCATCGACCCCAAGACCGAACAAGAGCTTCGCGCCGCGTGCGCCCTCATCCTCCAGAACTTCAAGCCTTCCGACCATGACATCCCCGACGCAGACCCCAAGCTCGATTTCCGAGGACCACACCGGCGCCGAGAGCACAAGACGGACGCCTCGCAGGTCAGAGTCCACAAGCCTACCGGCGCGCCGCCTGAGCACACGAGCTCCCATGACGCACGGAAAGAAACGCAGAAAGTGGCCACTGCAACCAAGAGCTACCCAGACCTACCTCTGCGAGCCAACACTGGAAAGCGGAGAATAGACAACACTGAGAACACAGGATCAGACGCCGACAACAGGCGGCATATCAAGTCACCCACGGCTGATGCTCCCAGACACGTCCTCGCCCGCGCCGACACAGATACGGATGATGTTATGAGTGTTGGAACACCGCTCACTGCTTCGACGGATACACATATGTACAGCGGCTCAACAGCACCGACTTCGGTGGCTGTGACCCATGTGAGCTCCAAACGCACATCCCGTCAAGGGGATAATCCTGCGGCCATTGCCGATGCCCAGGCTGCTGAGTGGATGCGTCAAGAGCTCGAGAAGCGCCGCCAACACGTTGCTGCCCAGCCACCGTCTCGATCGCAGTCATCAGAAAAGCTGCCCAGTCGCGCAACGAGTATAAGATCAAACCTCAAAGAGTACATGTTTCCTGGCTCCCGGGGCCTCAGCCGCACGCAGTCACGCGACTCTTTGCGCAGCCAATCATCCGATCAGCCAAAGCGGAGTGGCTCCTCCCAAGGCTGGCGAAGTTGGGGTTTGAATCGCTCTAGCTCACGCAGCAGTAGCAGGCCTGGAACGTCGAGTGGGCGAAAGGGACTTGTCGAGCGTGAGAAGACGACCGAGCTCAACTTGAACCGTGAGTTGCCGCCGTTGCCCAGCCTGGCCACTTGGAAGGAGCCCGAGCGACCGAAGGAAAAGCCAAAGGCACCGGCGCAAGGCGCACACATCGCAACTCTCATGCGAACACAAGACCAGCAGCAGCAAAGCTATGCTGCGGCTGCCCGCCGGCATCACCGGAGAAGCGGGTCGGATTTGCTAGCGACCCGATACGCGAATGGCCAGATTTCACCCCTCGCCAAATCCCCTACTCAACAAGCCTTTGCGCAGAAGAGCACTGGTTTCGTGCCAGAAGACCAATCAACGGACTTTGACCACATGGTATCTGCCATGTCAGGTTCGCGGACTCTCGAAGATCAGCTCAAATTACGTGTCAATGGGCATACATTGCAGTCGAGAACGAGCGCTGATGGTCGACTTGCTGCGCCCAACTTCTCCCGCAAGATTAGCACGGATGGACCACATACCGATCGCTCATTTGACGCCAATGAGTTCGCATATCCCAACGTGGTCCAAATCACGGCCACACATGCATCCAAGGCACCGGAGCAGAAGTCGAAGCTGAAGAAAGTGTTCAGCGCATGGGCGCTCAAGAAAGAAAAGAAGGGCGACGGGGACTGGATGCAAAAGATTGAGAAAGGGGGCATTAAGACGGGTGTGATGATGCAGGACGAGGCAGCGCTTCCTCCTGTTGTGCGGTATTGATGTCTACTACTATCTCATTTGTGGTTTACTTTTTTTTCATGGTCTATATTATTCGGTCGACTACCATACTCATGCCGGACGTTAATGATTACGAGGAGATGATGTTACGAAGGTCGAACCTCGTTGTACAGCGGGTCTGGCTTCGTTTTACCTTACTGTTTTAGACAAAATCGCGCGCCTGTGGCGACGCTAATTCTTGAGCATCAATCGCGATGTTGGAGTAGGCGAGCATGTACAATGCAGACCATTCTTGACTGGACTCACATGTATCAAATCTTCACTCTTCTACGTGTCGCTTATGCTGTTTCGCTCTTCGAATTTTGTGGTTACATCCCATCTAAGACAATGCGCGACATGACCGTGTCCGGGGCCCTGGTCAATAATTCGCAGCCCAGTATGTAAAAGGATTCAGAAGGAACCGCCCGCCTATTCAGACGAAACGTCAGTGTTTCACGTTGGCGAAACATGGACAAAAATAGGATTGGCTGGCTTCACTATCCCCGAGATCCATTGCTGGTTGTCGTTGGAGGAGTGCTCCTTCCTGGAGCATCACGTGACTACGCACCGCAAACGCGTCTCTCACTTCGCTCGTAGATCTGGGGGCTACCCCGCCACGCTTGGCCAGCTTGTTATTGATATAACAGGAATTATCTGTATGTGAGTATACTTGCATGATGCCCTTGGCACGAAACTGACTTGACGAGCAGTCTTACTCTGCCCGCCTTCACTTGGGTTCAATCTGCGTCACAGTCGCTCTATAGCAGAGCTTGCGCGGTTTTCGATCCGCAAAACAACCAGCCTCTCTCTATGAATACCGCTTGGATTCCTCTCATTGACTGTGCGACCTCGAACGCTGGTATCTGTGAAGCTTGTCCCTCCACCACGAAAATAACCTCGATTTCGTGGATAATACTGACGGAAGAGCAGCTGCGCACCACTGAAGCGATCGTTACTCTTGCGGCCCAGCCAATGCGGCGTCCGGATGATTTCCGTCGCCCGTCTTACCGAAAGACCCGGCGCCTGTGAAGCCTTTCCCCGACCTTGAACATACACCGCTGCGATATCACCGAATTGACAGACCACCGTCTTTAGCTTGTCAATGCGAATGGTCACTTGCTGGACTGGTCTTGAACTGTGAAGTCGTCGAGCCATACGGGGCAACGAAGACTCACTTGTTTGATTGGGAAATTCGAAGTAGACCGAGCGCACATTCTTCACCTTTGGCAAGCCATGTGTACCGTGATCCACTATTGGTTCCAGTGTGGTCACTATGTCACACGATGCAGATCGCGATGCGGCGGCACCAGGTTCAAATCAACACGAAACAGCCGAAGAGCTGCGTGTACAGCTGAGGGATATATCACGATCAAGCGTGCAACACCGTGCAGCAAATGTTCAAGGGAAGCTTGGAACTTGAGCTGGCAGACACGAATCGAGAAAGCGAGGGCCTTCCAGGATGGGCTCGTTGAAGCTAAACTGCCTGGAGCTACGGTAGTGTCCAATTTAATCAAGGAACTTGAGAGAGCCTACGAGCTTGAATCGTGGGAGCTTAGGAGCACCATTCCTTATGGCGACAAATCAAAGGTTCGAAGAGTAAATCCTGCCCAAGCAGGATGGAACAGGCTGCCATCGTCACCTTTGAGACGCGAAGTGCAGCCGGAGGAAATTACATGCCCTGTCGTTACTGAGCCAGTATATGACGAAGACGACGACAACTGGATACAGAACACTGATCCGCTTCATCCTATCAGCACCAACTACGAAGTCTTCTGTGCCGGCATCGATGACGACTATCTCGAATCGCTCATACAAGAAGATCCAGGAAATGTGGCATACCTCGAACAGGACGGTCACGACCCGTTTTCTCCGAGCTGGGAATGGCATAATGAAGTTTCCGGCTCAGGAGACAGCGTTGAGTCACACAATTCAAGCTCTGACAGTACGTGGCACAATTATTTGATTGAGGTTTGCTAATCTGCAAAGCTTCCAAACACAACGAAACGAGCGGTGGCACAGAGCAACTGATAGCCTGGGGTCCTACAGCCGAAGTCAATTTCTCTTCGCAGGAAATAGGTATCGATAGGTTGCGAAGTCAGGAAGATGTTGAGCAGGAGCAGATCCAATCAGTGATCGAAGCATTCTGCAATGTGGTCAATATTACCAATGGCGATGACCAACCACCGCCGCCTCGTCGACCCAGAAAGCACCCGGAAGATCAGTCGAACAAAAAACAACCACCTCCAAAAATGTCTCTCGGGGCCAACTCTACGAATGCAAAATATGATGCTTTTCGCAAGTCAATAATGCATCCGAAAGGATCCAAAAAGTATTACGAGCAGTGGCTAGTGGAGTGTCGTTTGGAGATCCGGGAAATAGTGGGACCTGAAGGACTGTTCATTCCAGATCCCGCCAGGCCGAGGGTTCATGGGAGCTAAGGGGTACCGTCTTTGGCGTAGGTAGTAACAGGTTCTCTGGCGAATTGAGAATCACTGTAGACGCCTAGTCCCTGGGGACTCCGGATATATGCATACACAGTAAGACGTTTCTCGAGTCCATTGATGAAGACAGAGTAATTGTCTCAATCACAACATCCGCCCCTGGAACGTACGGCCTGGATCAACGACAGACCTGGGAACCTCTGCCTGGAGCTGAAAAGATGAAGCGCCTTCATTGGAGGTGAGGAAAGAATATTATGAAGGGAGGAATTGGATCTAAACCCTTTCTCAATCCTCATACTATTGTTGCCATCTCACCAAGCACTAGTACTATTCTCTCAGGCCAAGTCGCGCTCACGTAGAGAAACGGTATCAAATGGTCTATCGTGGAGGTCTCCACTCGAAGCGGAACAGTGATGCATGGTCGACAATCAAGCAGGTTGCACTAGCATTCCCTTGCTCACACACAGTCGAGACAGTGCCCGTCTATCTCTCGCACGATCACGGCCCTCCACCCACGCGCAGATGAAGCCCGGAAAGCTAGTCATCTCCACCGGTAAGAAAGCCACGGGCCCATATTACCTGAAGAGCGGATTAGATGCGCTGCAAAAGTCGACACTATTCTTTAACTTGGATGGGAGAATGCTGTAGTTCGCATGCTGCAACAAGTAGGAAATGAGCAGTGCGACCATACTGAGGGATCGACCTTAGCAGTCAGCTCAGCAGTGATCGACCATTACGTTATTACTCACAGGTTTGTTATGAACTAAGTTCCCCCACCACATACTTTTAAAAAATCAGTTTTTATTACCACAATAGTCAGAGGTGTAAGTCAGAATTATGAGTAACACCCTTATTTTGTGTAAAAGTCGTCAGCGGCCATGTAAATCCAAAGCAAAACTTTACACATCCATTATAGAGTGATACCCCAGGGAACAGTGTCCTATAGACCACTTGCCAACGGGTGCATCGGCTGTATTAGCGCTAGGTTTGACGACCAAATTCGCACGTATGAGTGGGGTGTGGAGTACATAGTGTGCATTTGGTCCGCCATCGTATAATAGTAGAATCAATTCCCGACTCAAAGATCCCAAAGCATTGGCGGAGGTTGGGGTTGAGATAGACCGAGAAGCAGCTAGGGATCATTTAGACTACTTAGTGAAGGGAAGGATAACGCATGCCAGATCCTAGGATCTCGATCTCGTTCCATGACTACGTCGTTAGTCAATCTCGCTCGACTTTATATAACACTATTCCCTCTTTTACTTGCGAATTCCTGATGCGGGCCTTGGCGTTCTTGGTACTCGGGGCTTCTGTTTCATGCAATCAGCGTAGCCTTCGCCATTGCAATCAACGGTGCCTGTTACTAAGCTTGAAAATGTTCCCAATCTCGTTCAACGATGAAGGAGGAGGAAAGCGCAAAAAACGACACCTGTGAGATTCGAACTCACGCTCCCGAAGGAACGGGCTTAGCAGGCCCGCGCGTTAACCACTCCGCCAAAGTGCCTTTGATTCGTGGTTTTGATTCGATACAAATTTTGAAACTTTTAAAATATATATAGTATATTTCAAACTGTAAATATTGAATGGAGAAAAGAATCAATAGCGATATTCTCAGGTTGAGGTCTCTTGGCTAGTCTCCATCGTTAGAGTTCTTCGCTTGTGCGGGAGCGCCGCGTAAGCCGCGCGAACTTTCTAGTCTAGTCCGTACATAGGCCTCCTTAATTACCTTCTTAGACATAAGTGCTTAGAAATGGCACTTAACCTTTCTAGCTTTAGACGTTAAATGTTCCGACTAAGAAAACCACTTCTAGCCATAAATTACTAGATAATATAGCGAGTAAGAATCTATATAACTACGTAAGTAACTTCAAAGGGACTTTAGTCTTGATAAATGAAGCGAGTTAAAAAGGATTGATGGAAGTATTACTAGGTCAAGATAGACACTTTAGGAAGATGAAATCATAAGGACGAGAGCGTGGTGGAAGGACGAATTCACAGTCGGATAGGCAAAGCAAGCGTTCGCATGCAGGGCCGAACAGTGAAAGAGTTCGCCGACATCGATTGTTGTGGCACATGACTCCAGGTCAAGGTAACAAATTAGCACAACGATCGAAGTGACGAAAGAGAGGTGTTAGGTTCCTACGATAATAACACGAGATACACCAATCTTTAATTGTGGAAGCATGGAAGGAAAGGATTGGAGGAACGGGCGACAGGAAAAAGTACACAGAATGGCATCGTGCGAAGAGTATCGGGGATCGTTTAATTGTTCTTTAAAGCCGAGCCAAAGAGGTGTCTGTATGGCTAACCAGGTCGTATCTTGGGATCGAGAAGAAGTGATTCAAACGCTGCACCAGAAAAGTCTGTAATTCAACGAAAAGGCAGAAGCAAAGTTGCACAACTATTAAGCCGCCGTGTGCACGACCGACACCTTGGAGAACGATAAAAAGGATGGCATTGTCGAAACTTCGGGGATTGGAAAGCGCTCGGCGCTCGGGAAAGGGTTCAAGGTCATGATCGACCGGGAAGCTGTAGGTATGGGTTCGCGCACATACAGAATCTCTCCAAAGAATAGCGGTGTCACCAGTGTCGTGGCGATAGGCATTGCTGTGAATTCGCGTCAGGTGTGGCTGAGGCTGTGAGAATCACATGAAGCATCGAGATTGTGCTTGTCGACATCATGGTAGAACGTGCGTGATGTCTGTGAGGCGTTGCTCCGCAATGAGAGCATGAGTGACCTCGGGAAGCCCATTGGCACGTGGTCGGCTGCCGTATTGAAGCACGGACCAACGAGTCGCTCAAAATTCTCGACGGCGGCTCCGGCTTCCAGCTTCATTGACGTCCTTCAATCGCCACTCATGCCTGTCCAAAACGCGTCCTTCGCCCTCTCCTGGGCATCGCGTCTAGCATGGCGCGACAGGTGAGGCTGTTCTTCATTCGACATGGCGAGACAGTTGACAATGTCTCGCAACTATAGTACGTATTGCTCTGCAGCATTCTTCTAACTGTAGATCGTAGTGCTGACTTGCGCAGTGCCGGCAGTAGAGACTCAGCGCTCACCAACCACGGCTACCAGCAAGCTACTCGCCTTGGTGCGCACTTTGCAAGCTCGGGAATAGTGTTCACCCACCTGTTTTCTTCGCACCTCCAGCGCGCTGCGAAGACTGCTGAATTGATGCGAGAAAGCCAAGCCAAGCTCGCCGCCGATGCCTCTGAGCGAAATGTCCCCGACGTTGTCAAGCTGCCTGTGTTAATGGAGCAAGACTTCGGCTTTTACGAAGGCAAGAAGTTCTATGAACGACCGGCGAACGGCAAGCTGTCAGGCAAAGACAACCACCGGCAAATACATAAGGACTCCGAAGATTTTGTGGATATTGAATCGAAAGATTCTCTCGCTCGGCGCGCTGACGAGTTCTTGGAAGTCCATCTTTTCCCGCTGTTGGTCAGCCCAAAGGAGAGAACGGACCTGGTTGTTGCTATAGTATCCCATGGCATCATGCTATCCTCCCTATGGAAACGCATCCTCTTACGTCTCCCGGAAAAAAGCGTGACACTGGTACCTGAGCTTGCAACCACTGGTCCGATCACGCTCGAGCATCTGGGAAGTTGGTCCAATACAGGTTATTTGGAGCTACATATGTCGCGGACAATCGCGGAGCCACCAATACCCACACCATCTCCAGTCACTGAGCAGGTTGCTCCAGAGCACACGGTCACCTCGACTGCTCCCGCTGAAGTCTGTGGAACGGAAGCGAAATCACCACCTACAAACATCGCAGCCGTGTCCACAGAGGACATCACAGTTGGCTCCATGGAAAATTTAAAAGCAACAACCCCGTCCACGATGCGGAAGCTCGGCTCTGAGTGGTCGACGGTCGTCCTCACGATCAACGGCAAAGGCCATCTAAAAACCCTGAAGCGTACGGGCGGCGGCGTGGGTAGCTCCCGCCATGATGCCTCCCAGAGGAATCTTGACAACTTTTTCAAGCGAAGAAAAGTTGAATGAAATCGTCACTGCCTTTGCGCGGGTTTCATCTACCATGAAGTGGTAAGCTAATACATCTTCTATCACGCCTTTGCTATGATGACAAAGCAATTATTCACAGACCTGTTCTGAATTTATTATGTGGACTCATATTGATCCAACTGCTGTCTGATCTCGCAAACAACTTGCCCTTCATGTTGTCGCATTGTTCTCAAGACCTTTGCTAATATGGCCTATTAGATATTGTTCTGACACGCAAGATGTTACTTACCCTCTGTGACTTCCCACGAAGGTACAAGCTTGGGACGCTCTAATCGTTGCATTTACGGGGCTACCGTTGTCCAGCCGCTTATAGTTTTAGCTCGGGAGTGCACTAACAGTCGCAAAGCAGCACGTATTGCGCATACAATTCGTCGAGCTTGCGATGGCGAGCGTCTCATTGCTTTGCTACGTTGAAGTGCGTTGGGCTACACGCTGTACTGTGGTATTGCTTGACAAGGTCACTGAGTGCTTTGCTACCATGTATTCCCAGGCGTATGTCAAAGTCGAACGGGCTTAGGTTCATAACGGCCTCATGCCTTACGTACGTAAGCTGGGCGTCCAAGCCTCAACAATCCTCCGCCCCAGTGTAAGCACGAAGGCTAGAGTATACGTGGTAGATCCTAGCGAGATAATGTGGCTGTAAAAGTCACTAGGAAGGCGTGCCTGCAGTCGCCCCCAATACAGATATTATTCGCGATGTTGTCCTTGATCTCCACATTTCGTAGTTAGTGATCACCCCAAAACGTCCGGTCCTGATACAGGACGAGCTTACTGACGAGCTCACGATGACACGAACATACGAATGTAACGCAACGCTTCTATTGTATTGATAAAAGAAGGGTATGGTTTAGACAGGAATGTTAGTTTGACTCACAAGATCCAATATAATGCGTACAACCTGTTCGATCGCGTCACCTTCTTCTCCTCTTTCTTGGTCGCTTGGTAGTTCTGCCATGCTGAACCCCTACCCCCGCCCTCACAGTCACACTTCCGCTCGTCGCAACTGCTCACGCGAGCAAACGATAATTCAGCTGCCTCCAACATACCTCTATTGACGCATTTCCTACACATGAATGCGTTGACCAATTTTCCGGTGAACATGTCAGATAATGATGGAATCAGAGGGCGCTACCCTACCGTCGGACATTACCACAAACATCAATCACCTTTCCCATGTGCTTCTCATCTAGCGCATGACCCAAGGTAACCTCACTGACGCCATCGCCGGCTCGATCGACGACATGGGCGCCGCGATTGGATAGTTCATCCTCTCTACAACGATTGCAAGCTTACGTACTACGTCTCTCCCCCCTCCTGCATATCACAAACTTCTTGCAAACCGATCTAATCGTACGAGCAGTTCTACATCAAGACTTGGACCATCAACGCCACTGAGGCTTTCTCTGCAGCCGTTCCTCTACTCAAACGTAGACAGATCAAAGAAGGGTACCTCGCCGGCGGCGACAACACTCCTGATGCTCCCGCCTCCAAACCTGACACACTCCCAGCTCCGGAGCCGACACTCTCGCCCCTCCAGTTCAGTAATGCACCACCATGTACTTCTCCGCCTCCGCGCGGTCTCAACTACGCGAATGAATTCCTTCACAGCTTCGGCCTGGTCACTTTCTCGTCTAGTCATGCGGCGTTTCTAGATTTAGATGAGAGGAGCTTTTATGCGGAGATCGAGGCGGGGTATAGCACGGGGGGCGGCGAGGGTGGATGATTTTGAGGTGACTAGGGGGAGGGAAGAGGGACTCTGGTCTGTCTATGTTCCCCTGCCTTAAGATCTAGTAAGGATGACGACTACTCGTTTCTCATTCGTGTGCTTATACCTTCACAGAAGATGCAGTCCCGCCAAGATCACGCCCAGTATTCTAATTTAATTAAAGGTGAAGAGACGGAATGCCAAAGAGTTCGCAGCGATGCTTCACCGATCCCACCTACGAGATACTAAGAGATTTCAGCGTCACTGATACTATGAGAATGGCTGGGGCAGAGCCCAGGACAAGAATGTGATTCCCGGTATATTAATGATTAAGGTAAGTCAATGTAAGGAGGATTGCTGTGTCAGGTCCGTACATTGACCCGCAGTACTATTAGGTCGGAGACCACATGATACAACTCCACCACCCTCCGAGTCACTGATACAAGATTGCATATAGCTGCAGTGTAACTGTAAGCAGAAAGCTTGGCATCTTCTGTGCCACGTTGCCAAAAGACGATGACTGCGATGCCGATGCCGACGCGGCAGTGGTCGCGGTCGCCGCAGATGAAGCCGCCTTGTTCGATTTTGCACTCAATGTCTCTCTCACCGATTCACTCCCAGAGCTCGCAATACTCCGACTCTCGCTCCCGTCTGACACCGAGTGGGTGCTATAGTCAATCGTAAAGCCAAAGCGATCCGTACTCGGCGGTGGCAGCGTAGTGATATCCGCAGCAGGCACCGTAATAGTAGCCATAGGCACCGTCATCTCCGCGCCCGCAGTCTGCACCCATAAACAAGTCGGCGTTTCCGTCACCGTCCAATCTCCGACCCCACCATCCTCCAACTGGCTCGCACTCTCATAAATCACGGTATATAACCCTGCGTTATTGCTGTTCGTCGCCGCCAAACTCGCCAACGGCGCAGACACGCTACTCGCACTACAATGTGTATAGTCACTATCAATAGGACTAATCCCACCCATGATTCTCTGTCCACCTGCTCGACAGCACACCAGGTTTGCGATATCGAGCTGGTAATCTGAAATGTCGCGCTGCCCCCAGAGGTTGTAGCTTGTGTCAATGATGGAGCCGTCGCAGCAGAAGGTTTCAAAGTCGGATTTCTTTTCGGACAAGGTGGTGTTTGCGCATTCGTTGTAGGTGTAGGGTGGCGTATCGGATTCGAAGATGTCGATTAGGCCTTGTATGCACCATTTATTGCCTCTGTAATCTGGGCCAATACCGGGAGTGTTGACTGGGCCGGAGGGGATGGCGGTTGTTATCGATGACATTGTTCCTATTGGGAATGCGGAAGGAAATCAAGACAGGATACTGTTGTGGAGGCTGATGGTTTATTATAGGCGAAGTTGTAGGATGAAGAAGCGCAATCTTATCGTGCCGTAGCACTTGACGAACATCTATCCTAGCAACCAGAATCGTGTGCTTGCGAGAGATAATTCTCGGCCTAGAGTCGTTTCAGCCTTGAGGGCAGCCTCATGATGTATCTTTGCCCCTATATCAATTTTTCGTTAGGCTATTTTTAGATCCCGTTCAGGCAACCATAATAGGAAATTGCGGTCGCTTCCTAATACAGGCAGCAGTAACACCAACACCACAACGACGTTATGCTTGTATGACGACTATAGCATTGCATTCGAAATATTTCGATCTACAGTCCCAAGTTAGTAACTTACGAATATGAAAAATCATGTAAGTTGTCCACGCCAGAAATCACGGTCTTTCTGTAGAAGTCGACGTCCTAGGTGTGGGACATAGACCCCGTCTGGTGTCCTCGACATCGCATAGTGGGAGAACATAAGGCATTTTCGAACCGCCGTCTGTGTCCGGCCTCAGTGGCTTTGGACATCCTGGAGAAGACGTATCATGTTAGAAGAGTCAGGGTATCTTCAGGAGGAGGGTACTCTGTAAGAGAATAAGCGTTGTGGAGGCGGAAGGTCTCCCTGCCGTCACTGAGCAGCGGCACAACTTAAATCTTCATGATCAGCGAAGTCTAGATGGAGTATGTGGGCAACGGTGTGGAAGATGTAGGAGGATAGAAGTGAGGGGGGCGATGCCGAGCTTGACTGCACTTGGCTTGGGTTTGGCAGGTAGGATACTTTTCCGTCGCGTGCTTCGGCCACGACCGATTCATCTATCAGGTGGATAGTGGAAGTCGAGCAATGGTGGCATGTGTGCGGTGTAGGGAAGCTAGCTTGGTGAGGGGGTTGGTGTTGTTATTTTGTACACGAAGGCGTGGTTTAGGTGGCTGCCCCGCATCTACTTCGTAGTTCTACCAGTACCTGACTGTAAACTGGGGGCCAATCTGAGTAATTCTTTTGGAACGGGCGCATAACGTCGATCGTTGCCACTCGTAGAGTTGCTGCAGCAATTGGAAGTTGACACCCGTTGTAAGCCTAGAGAATATATAGAAGTTGCTCTCATGCCGCAAGTCCTAGTTTTCGCTTGAGGCGCAAGGGAGCAAGGACCTATTGTCATCGCCAAACGTCGATAAGCTTCCAAAAGCTACCGCTTCAACATAACTTTGCACGTCTAACCTAGGTAGGAAGGTGCCGACCATACCGACCATACCTAGGTACCAACTTGCTTGTCGCAAAATAGCCCAGGCAGCAATGTTCGTACACCATTCTCTTCACCCTCACTGCGTCCTTGATAACGAAAACCCGTGCGAAGTAAGACCGCACACAAAGTACAACATGAGCCCCTCCGAGCACCCCACCAAAACAACATACCACCTCTACACCTTCTATGCCTCTTCGTGCGCAGCCCGCCTGCGCATAGCATTCAATCTTAAGAATCTCTCCTACACCCCCCATTACCGAGATATGGGCAAGAAAGACCACGAGTCCGACGAATATCGTAAAATGAACCCTAGCGCATCAATCCCAACATTAGTGATCGAGACAGAGGGGAAAGAACCATTCACCATCGGTCAAAGCGTCGCAATCCTGGAGTACCTAGAAGAACTACACCCAACCCAAACGCCGCTCCTCCCACCCCCTTCCGATCCAGAAGCCAGATCTCGCGTAAGAGAGCTCATGTACATCGTATCATCCGACATCTTCCCGCCGACAAACTCGCGCATCGCGCAGATGGTTAAGGGGATGAGAGGCGAGCGCGAAGACGCCATAACCTTCGTGAAGACAATAATGACCCGTGGTTTCACCGCCTACGAGGCCCTTCTTTCTACTTACTTCCCCAACGCAAGGTATTCCGCTGGCGAGGAGATAACGCTCGCAGACGTAGTCCTCATCCCGCAAGTCGAGCAAGCGCGCTTCTACGGCGTGAATTTTGCGCAATGGCCGCTGCTAAACGGAGTCATTACGCGACTAGAAGAGCTAGATGCGTTCAAGCAAGCCGGGTGGAGGTCACAGGGGGATACGCCCGAGGAGGATAGGGTGAGCGTGACTCGAGAAGAGGAGAGGGGAAATGGGCTTGGGGCAAAGGCATGAGTGGAGTTGTTAGGATTCGGTAAAAATAATTGATACGAGAGGTTGAATTGCATTGAATCGAAATAACCAATTTCAGGCACTCAATTTCTGGACTGGAGAGCAAGCTCGATCCATTACCCCAATTTTCGTAACTATCCATCTCCCACGATGCTCTTTCACCCTGCCATTACCAGGACAAATCCGCACAACACTCCATGCACACTTTTTTCTTCTTCTAAAACTGTGCAACAAAATTCGAATCTCCCTAATATTGGTCCTCATTTTCCATCTGAGAAACTGACGTACTCTGGGACACTGTTCCGCTATCGTGGTCTGGTTGACTCTGTTGTGTCAACTACCTTTCGTAATTTCCTTCACTTGGGCCTGTTGGGCGAACATCGGCTGGTTGGTATTGAGCACCGAAACGCCTCTCGGCAACTGGTTGACCCTTAGTCGCAGGTTGATCATTAGGAATTGATGTAGTTTCAGACGCTGATGGATTATTGGGGGATGGTTGGTTCTGCGGCGAAAGTGCACCATCCAGCGCTGATTTTCGATTCTTAGGCAGAGTTTGATTAGCAGATTCTTGTTGATGATAAACTGGTTGATAAATGTGGTCAGAATCTGAATGACTCTGCGCGATTGGTCGACCATCGAGGGCTGAATGACTCTGAGGCGCTGGCGAACTGTGAAAGGGCAATCTCGGGGTCGCTGATTGCATCTGGAGTTCTGGCTGACCACTTGCGTCTACGAACCGGAAAAAGGAATCCATGTTGCGTATCGTTTCCAGAAGCTCAGAAGGTACAGTTTGGTTGTCTGGTCCGCCATGGAGACGCCCTTCATCGCAAGTCGCGTTGTCCAATGTCTCCGAACACAACAGCGTCGTTTCTACGGCGTATATAAGATTAGCCTGGGCCTTGTAAAGATTTTGTCTTCAAGATCTCTCTGTTCTCTCATCAGCCGGCATTCGCAGGACTGCTTCCATGCCCGCCCTCCTTTGCCTGTCCGTTGAGGTGGAATATCTTCCTAACCGAGTCCATGCCCTTCTGCAGGTGCGGGTGGTGAGCTAAAAAGGGCTCCCCGTTCTCTGCTCGCACGACCGCAAGAGCGGTGCGTTTCTTCCCGGCCAGCGGATCGAGCGGTGCGGCCTTTGGAGGCCACTCACCATTCTCTTTCCAGCCGGCCACCAGTGCTTTTGTCATATCAGAGAGATTGATTGGTACAGATGGCGTTCTCGACGAGACCACAATCTTATTAAAGATTTCGGGGTATGCTCTGGGCGTAATGGACATCCTCACGGCATTGTCTGGGAGGAGCGCAGGTGCGACCGGTACAAGTGGTTCGTCGGTGGCAGTGGCAGCGGTTCGTAGAGCGTCGTCGTGGGCAGCGGTAGCGGAAGCCTGAGAATCGACGCTCATGGGGGTCGGCGCGTTCGACGAGGATATATCAGCACTGATCGATGGCGATCGTTCGGCCTCGGCTGTCTGTGCAACATTCTGAGCTTGTGCGGGACGCCCAGCGGTCCCGTATTTCTTCACACTTGCCACACCCGTCCACGCATCTCGTCTCTCCACAAACATGCGCAACCCTTCGTTGACCTTCATTTCGTCTTCGAGTGCAGCCCTCCTCTTCCTCTTGCGCTTCTGAGCCTTCAGCTCCACTGCATCGCCAATGCTATCCGGGCTGTCAAACTTGTACGGGTCGCTGCCGTCGGCATCCTCGCCCTCGGTTTCTGAAGGCGACGAGTCACCATAAAAACGCTCGCGGAAGGAAGTCACGCCGCGAACCTCCTCGTCGGATTGTGACCAGGCGTCAGGCACGTCAGGCCAGCTCCAGTCGGTGCGCACGCGGTCAATGAGGAAGCGCTGGGCAGCCCGCGAAGCCGATTGGTTGTTTTCCATGGCGGAGGCAATGCCGCCACGGCGCGCGAGCGAGTGTAGGTGGAGAATCGCGAGAGAAAGTGTTTAAAAAGGAGACAGTTATTTAATGGTAGCGAGCAAAACTGCGGGGTGTTGCTTGTAGCGTAAAGCGGAGCTTGGTTGAGCTTGTGTGGTCGCTTGCCGGGTGGAGTGAGCCTCGTGTGCTAAAATGGTGACGTCGCGGGCCCAGAGCGAGGAAGGTGGGGTTCATACCGCGGAAGGCGTGCATGTGTACTGTGACACGTGCGGGCGTGCCTACCTAGGTACCTAGGTATCATAGGAACATATTTGTGTGTCAGGTATTGGTATGCTCACTTGTACGAGACAAGCTAACCTGTGAGCAGGGGAGAAGTGAGATCAGAGCATGAATTAAGCGTGCCAATAAGGATAGCAGCAACGAAGCTATCTAGGTCTCCTCTAGGTCGGGCATGCCATATCAAACTTTTCTTGGCCAGGTGGCCAATATCAATTCGTCGGCCGATTTACTCCCACACATGCTTCTACTCATACATCGAGTTACCGCGAAAAGTAGCTATCGCCGCCGTTCTTTCTGCGGCCATTCGGTTTCATCTCCAGTGCGCCGTCCAGACTCGCTTCGAATTCGCCACCGTCAAACTCATTCGAATCGCCGCTCTTGATTCTGGTCAACTGGTCGCTGACATAGTGAGCAACATGTTGGTCCATCTCCTGCTTCCGTTGGAGCGCATCTGCATCGAGATACCCGATCGAATTCGTGCGGTTGAGTGACGCCTTTTCAGGCTCGTCATCATCGCCGTTGGCCGATCCCTCCCAATTGCCGATACTACGGCTAGTGGATGATCGGCGGAGGTGATGAGGCTTCTTCGGCTTGCCCGCCGTGCTCCAAATGTCATCGAAGTAGTGGGCGGCTGCGGCCGTTGGCGTACGCGGTGTCTGAGGGAGACGACAGGTCATGCTGAAGTGTGTTAGCGAGCGTTGATATGAGAGGGGCAAGCTAGCTTACCCAGTATCGTGAATCATCTTTGCGACCAAACCTGTCCAACCACATTGATGACTTGCGCCAAGACCGCGGCCGGTATCTCCATCGAAGAACTCATGGAACCACAAATAGTCTTTCCAATTAGGGTCAAAGTCCAGCATCTGGTTGCCGTCATTGATGGCTCGTCTACCGTCATCATTGCGGGCGAAAAGATGCTGGAGACGATGCTGCAACTCCTCGGCAACGTGACCGAGATGCATGTAATCGCCGGACCCAGTGGGGCATTCGACCTTCAAGTTGTTGCCATAGTAAAGGAAAAATCGCTGGCAAGATTCAATGAGGAGACAGTTGACGGCCATCCAGATCGGTCCTCGCCAGTTACTGTTGCCACCAAATAGTCCACTGTCTGAGTCGCCAGGGAGATAGCTGACTTGATAGCGTTGGCCGTTTACATCCATCGAGTACGGGTGATCCTTGTGATATTTGGACAAGGAACGAATGCCATGGTCTGCGAGAAACTCGCTCTCGTCCAGCATCCTTGTCATGATCCTCTTCAGACGGTCTTCATTGACGAGGGACAGGAGGAGACGATCACCTTGACCGCGCTTCTTCATCGATGCAATGTTGCGATCTGCGGTTTCTTTGCGGTTATTGATGAACCAGTTGAGCCTCCTCTTGAAGCTGGGGAATTGATTGATGACTTCAGGCTCGAGGGTTAGGGTAGAGTAGAGAGGGATAAGGCCGACCAAAGACCGAACTGGCATTTGATGGCTCCAGGGACCACCCCACGAAATGGCATCGTAGTAAAATCCGTCTTCCTCATTCCACAGCGGCTTCGCTTCACCGCCAGATCGGTACTGCATTGCATCGCTGATCATGATGAAGTGCTCGAAGAATTTTGAAGCCATGTCTTCGTAGATGCGGCGGCGCTTCGCAAGCTCAAGACAGATATTGAGCATGTTCAAGCAATAGAATCCCATCCATCCCGTGCTGTCTGCTTGTTCGAGCACACCGCCGGTCGGTAGCGGATCGGAGCGATTGAAGATACCGATGTTGTCCAGGCCTAGGAAACCACCTTCGAAGATGTTCTTGCCATCCGCATCCTTGCGATTCACCCACCAGGTGAAGTTGAGCATTAGCTTTTGGAAAACGCGCTCTAGGCAGTCGTAGTCCTCGCGACCGTACATCTTGCGCTCGATCTTGAAAACCCTGTATAATGCCCAGGCATGCACAGGCGGATTCACGTCGCCAAAGTTCCATTCGTAGGCAGGTAGCTGGCCATTGGGATGCATATACCATTCACGAGTGAAAAGGTCTAGCTGCTTTTTGGCGAAGTCTGGATCAATCATGGCCAGCGGGAGGCAGTGGAAAGCGCTGTCCCATGCAGCGAAGAACGGATATTCCCACGAGTCGGGCATAGACAGAATGTCGTCCAGGTACATGTGCTTCCACTCTTTGTTTCGTATAGCCTTTCGGCCCGGAGGAGGTGGTGGCATGCCTGGATCGCCATTCGCCCACTGATCCCAAATGAAGTGATAGTATTGCTTGCACCAGAGCATGCCGGACAAAGCCTGGCGCTGGATGTTGCGAAGGTCATCTGCCATTGGCATGGGGCTGATTCGGTAGTAGAACTCGTCCGCCTCGGCGCGACGTTGTTCCATGATATCGTCAAAGAGCTCCTCGTCGATGTAGCCATCGTAGCGTTTCGAGAAGCGGAAACGCACGACAGCGCACTCGCCTGGGGCAACGCCGTCGCCCTCATCGAAGGCGTACCATGCAGCAGTCTTGGTGCCGAAGCTGTCGGGATTCACAGCATCTTTCTCGTCATCAACGATGCGGCGATGGATACCGTCTTTCACGTAAGGTGTTTTATTCTCTCCACCCCATAATTTCTTGTAGTTGGTCTCATTCTCTGTGAATAGCAGCTCGGGTTGCACATCGTCCCCGCTTGGGCCGATACCCGGAGAAGGCGATAGCTGGAAATAACGCTCACCGAGCTTGTGGTGTTTGGAGACTGCGGTAGTCTCGCCTAGCTTGCGGATAGATGGACGCTTCTCGGGCTCCTCGTGTCCCCAAGACCAAGTGTTGCGGAACCACACGTGCGGCACAATGTGCAATGGTGCAGGTTCGGGTCCGCGGTTGTACGCTGTGACACGGCATAGTATCTCCTCAGGATTATCGGCCTCCTTTGCTGTCTCGATGAAAATATCCCAGTATTTGTTGTCATCGAATACGCCAGTATCGATCATGTTGTATTCACGCTCAAGCCTGCTACGCTTTGCGTTTTCCTTGATGAGGTCTTCGTACGGGAACTTGCGCTGAGGGTATTTGTAGAGATACTTTGTGTATGAATGCTGCACTCGCGTTAGTGATATGCATGTATGCATCCATGTTTACGTACCGTTGGTGTGTTGTCCAGGTGGAAGTGGCATTCCTTCAACGACTCGCCGTGGTTGCCCTGCGGGTTTGACAAGCCAAACAAGCGCTCCTTGAGAAAGTCACTGTTCCCTGTCAGCAACGATTTGTTCCAAAAGAGCGGTTGACCTCACTCCTTCTCATTCCAAAAGGCGAAGCCAATGTTCTGTAGCCCATGCGAGTCGGATATGCCAGCAATGCCGTCCTCGCCCCATCGAAAAGCTCGTGAGCGCGCCATATCGTGAGTAAAGTCTATACAGGTTAGCCAGTGTTGCGCTTGAGGTCCAATTGCGCTTACGGCTCCATGCGTCACCGTCGTGGCTGTAGCGGGGTTAGCAGAGGCCAATGGAGGGTCGATAAGGACTCACGAGTAGTCTTCGCGAACTATAGGATGTTAGCTTTGACATTCCAGAGTGCGGATTGTAGGAGCTTACCAGTTGCCCACTGTCTCTCGGCAAGATAAGTACCCCATTTCTTCCAGTAGGCGGTACGTTCGCGATCCTGCTTGAGGCGTTTCTCCTCCTCGCAGAGGTATTCCTGATTCTCAATGAGAACCATAGCGACTGTCTGTGCCCTTGCGGTATCTGCGGTTTGTCGTCAAACGATGGACTGGTGGTGGCGCTGCAAAGAGAAAGTCGATTATCGCTAGCGAAATATAGCGGTCAATAGGCAGTCAGCCAGACAAGAACAGAAGATGCAAAGGAATGATCAGACGAAACAATGGGTATAGACTGCTAGAGTAGGGTGCGGAGGGACAAGGGGTCGGGAGGATGGAGGAGAAGAGGGGAGGAGAGGTAGACAGAGACAGCGTTGGTGTTGGCTTCTGGAGCCGAGCGCGCCTTCTTCACGATGCATGCAGGAAGCTGCGATTGATGTAATTTGTGGCTCGTGCAGCGCGACGCTTATCGGCTCTACCCACGGAACGGGTCTGGCTCAGTTTCGCGGCCCACAGTGCGGCTCGACACGGGTGAGCCTCCAAGCTCTAGGCCAGACCGTTGAAGAGGTTGTTCTTGACCGTCCCGACTGCCCTCGCAAGTTACGCGCCCATGTCCGCCGCGAATGCATGCAGCCACGTGCGGCGCTGCAGCAAGAGCCCGGATACCGAAATTTCTTTTGTTGCGGGAGATTTTGGAAGACTGGAAGGTTTCCTCAACAAGGCAATTCGAAAAACCCCAGCACGTGGAGGATCGGCGATTGGGGTGCGGGGCCAATCACTCTCAACAAGCACACCATGACCATTGGACATGCACGACCCTCTTGTTCTCTCAGGCCAAACCCATCTTCATCCTCATCGGAATCTGCATGGTCAAACTTGAAAGCGCACTTTCTCACGTTTTCCACGTCTTCAGGTGTACAGCAGATACCAAGTGTGGCCGTCTCAAGCTACATCAGACCATAGCAACGTGGGCATGGCCTACCAAGACAAGACCGTCTACATTGGCTCGACCATCGCGATTTGCTCTGGCTTTGTATGCTCCTTCGCAGCACATCATCTGCACTAATGCTTGAACATTTCCAAGCTACCATAACGGCTCATGACGTCACGCGTTCCCCACGCTCCGGGGCCACCGCCAATCTCGAGCTTTAGTCGTGGTCGACGTTTCAAGCTCTAGACGCCAATAGTCCAATGTCCCAGAGACCAACGAGACACACTGAAACTTGCAGATTCCCTTTGAGACTCGGACTTTGAATTTAATCACGACCAATTCCTTTCGCCATGAAAAAATGTCGCCTCGCCGCGGGAGCACATGCCATCATGCAACCTTCGTTATCACGTCACGCTGATAATGCCGCTTCCCATCATTCCGCTTAGACAAAAAAGTACCTCGCTTGGACCACTTGCCTCGTACCATCTCTCTTATTTCTCCTGCATCATGGAATTCTTCTCCATTCCTGCAGTTTCGAAATACTGCTCGCCGCCACATGGACTCTCTCCTGCACTCATACTCCATCAACCTTGTACTCTTTGCAGCTTCCCTTTACATTGTCGTTGGTGCGTTCTATAGATTCTTCTACAGTCCGATTTCGCGATACCCAGGGCCTCGGTTAGCGGCATTGACCTTTTGGTACGAGTTCTACTACGATGTCGTTTGCAAGGGGCGGTTTTCATGGAAGATACAAGAGCTACACCAACGCTACGGACCGGTAGTACGAATCAATCCGCAGGAGTTACATGTGGCAGATCCAGCTTTCTACGACTCTGTATACGTTGGGCCTGGAAGACGGACCGAGAAATGGGAGTACAGTGCACGCATGTTTGGCACGACCATGGCGGCGGTTGGGACGACTGGACATGAGCTGCATCGTATCAGAAGAAGTGCATTGAACGGATTCTTCTCGAAGCGCGCTGTGACGAACATTGCTCCAACGATTCAAGAGCTAGCTCATCACGGGTGTGACTTGGTAAGGAGAAGAGGAGCAGAGGGTCGCGAACTGAACTTGCGCAACTTCTTCTTTGCATTTTCAGCCGATGTTGTAGGTCAGGTTGCTTTTGGGAGCAACTACGGTTTGCTGGATAAAGAGAGCTTTGAACCTGGGTGGCAAAAACTCATGATGGTGTGTCCCTTCTCCCGTCCATCGTTATTTGAAGGCTAACCCTTCAAGGACCTAAGTAGCGGTACCCATCTCATGAAACAGTTCCCATGGGCTTATCACCTGCTTAAAACAATCCCCCCAGGTCTAGTGTCACTGTTCCACCCGCCCGGTACGCGTCTCTTCAACATACGCAACGACATCAAACTCAAGATCGAAGAAACTAGGAAAACGCTGGACTACGAAAAGGTCGACGAGGAAAAGGGTATCCAACACAGCACGTCTTCACGAACGGCTTTACATACGCTCCTTACATCCTCGTTACCAGCGCCTGAGCTTCAAACCCCTCGCCTAGAAGACGAAGCCTTCACCCTTCTCGGCGCCGGCACAATCACCACTGCGCACACTCTAACAACCATCCTTTACCATGTCCTCGCCAATAGCACCATCAAGTCTCGTCTAGAGTTCGAATTATCCTCCCTCGAATCCACCTTTCCACCCGGAACCTCGCGACCCTCCCTAGCCGACCTAGAAAAATTACCCTACCTCCAAGCCATCACATCCGAAGGCCTCCGCCTCAGCTTCGGCGTTTCCCACCGCCTCCCCCGCATATCGCCCGACACTACATTGCATTACTCCGGCTCCTTCAATGACCGAGAATACAAGTACACCATCCCGCCCGGCGTTCCCATTAGCATGACACCTATGTTCATGCATCTCAACCCCCATAACTTCCCTAATCCGCACACATTCGATCCTTCGCGCTGGCTCTCTTCACGCTCTAGCTCCAATGATGCCGGGGAAGAGGAGGAAGAGCTGAAGAGGAGGAAAACGTATCTCGTACCTTTCAGCAAGGGGACAAGGGCTTGTGCGGGGATATGGTTGGCGTATGCGGAGTTGTATGTTATGATAGGTGCGTTGTTTGGGGAGAAGGGCGTGGGGAGGAGGATGGAGTTGTTTGAAACAGGCGCTGAGGATGTGGAATGCGCACATGACTTTTTCAATCCTTCTCCTCGACTAGACTCGAAGGGTTTGAGGGTGGTGCTGAAGGAGGAAAAGTCTAAGTGACGGAAGCACCAACCAGATATCATATGCTTTCGCAACAACATGGCAATAACCCAATTAGGAATTCTATTTCCAGAAACAAAACCGCAGCGCCTATCATGCTGGGCCTTAGTCTCCTTCTTTCCTCACACCAGCCCAGAACCAATGGAATAAAGAGGCAAAGCAAAAGCAAAAGAAAAAGGAAAGCTGCGAATTAAACGCAGAATGTAAGACAATCGAGATCGAGTGACTCAGCCGAGGTTTGAACTCGGGACCTTCAGTGGCCTAACTAGATGTTAGACTGACGTGATAACCAACTACACCACCGAGCCGAACTGTGATTGGATAGAAAGATTTGCATTTCGAAAATACATATATGTGTTCAAAAAAGTATGTCGAGTTCTACATTTCCGTGAAATCCGAGAGAAGCTTTGTAACAAGCTGCGGAGGTGCATCGTATGTGAGCACGACTCGTTCCGAAATTCTATGATCGCGGGGTTGAAAACGGCAAGCGACGCTAGGTTGGAAGAACGTTCAATTCCGCATCTGATTCATACACTCCATATCTCCCGTAATGAACAAGGGAACAGGAAACTGAAAATAACCAATGCCGCGCGCATCTAATTAATGCAATGTAGGATGCCACTTCAGAACGCCTCTTCCTCATGCTATCGCGAAATCATGTCCGTGATGATACCGAAGCCACCTGTGGTATACCGTGAAACGCCGTGTGATGCAAACAGTTGTCATGCTAATTCCCCGTGCTCTTCTTCTCAATTTCCGCGCTCACGCCTGGGTTTCCTGCTACGGCGAGCCCTGAGCGAGAGGTGTGGGCGCAGGCGGACTCCCTGCTTTCCCTATGCTAAGCTTGAGCTTCTTTGCCTTGGGCGCACCATCCTCGGACCCCTCACGCTCACGCTTTTCGGATATGTTGCTGTCTCTGCGCTCGGAACTGGGAGTACTAGTTTTAAGCTTGATCTTTACGCCGCTGCCGCTAGGTGTGCCCTCTTTAGACGCTTTCTCTCGATCCGCTTTCTTCACGTACGAACTCTTCGTTTTCTTCTTCTTCTTTTCGGGAGTGTCGTCGCCTTCGTCGTCGTCGGCGTTGTCGCGTAGATTCTTCACGGGGCTGATGCCTTTCGCTTTGGACTTTGGTATCGGGCCGTCACCTTGCGAGCCGGGTGCTGGCGTGCCCATGCGGCTGCCCAGCGGAGTGTTTCCTACGCCGCTGCTGTTGCCGTTGACACCAGAAATTTTAGCCATGGCAGCGCGAGAGCTCTGGCGTCCGCTGATGCCTAGACATTTGTCGAGGTGGTGTGCGAAACGTGTTATGAGGAGACTGCGTTTGCACTTCGGGCACGTGTGCCAGGGTATGTAGCTGGCGGGCTTACCACCAGTGTTGAGTTTGATCTCTTTGCCCTGCGTCCCGTCGCCAGCGTTCATGTCGGTATCCTGCGACCCAGGCGTCCCCACGCTCTCCTTGTCCGCTTGCTTTTGTTGTTGCTTGAGTAGTTCGCGCTCCTTCTTGCTCTTAGCCATATCCGTCGGGAACGGGTTCCCATACACATCGTGCCCCGAGCGCTGCACCCATGGATACAACATGCAGTACTCGCGCGTCAGGTCTGGCTGCTGCATTCCTTTGCCCATAATAGGGTGCATTAACCGCGGCAGCTTGCAATGCGGGCATATGATTTCTGGTGTGGTCTTGAGGGGGTTTCCTTTGAGGAAGACACGCCCGTTTTCGTAAAGCGCCGCATTGGTTTCGGCGGTCGGCAAGGATGGCTGCGTCGATTGCGCGTTCTTCTGCGAGGGCGGCTCGAGGTTTGCCAGGGCGAGAGATTCGGCGGATGTGGCGGCGGATTGCATGCGCAGCTGTTTCTCGGTGCGGTGGCACGAGAGCGCGGTCTGGTATATTACGTTGTGGATGAGCGACTCAAGAACGTCACGAGTCTGTATTGCGCGAAAGGCGTTAGCAATGGCTCTCTCCAGCATCGCTCCAGCATGCAGCGTGCAGGGCTAGTAGCCTACCAGATCCTCGAGCATGCCGGGCGCCAGCGTCACAGCGGCGGTGCCGTCGCCCTCGTGGCCGTCCGCCGGTATGTCCTCAGACATGGTGGGTGGTTGTGTCCTTGTGCTAGCACATCAAACCGCTGGGTGAACTGGTCCTTGGCCCTGAGACAGTTGGCAGATGAAAGTAGCTAGGGGGATCAGATGCGGAGTTTAGCACTCCCGCCCGCCACGCGACCCTCTGGTAGGGCTGAGCTGACTAACCACCAGGCTACTCGCCATACTTCTCTTTCGAAGAACTACACACCGATCCAAGGAACTACGGGATGGGTCTCCCAAGAAGACTATCGAATTAATTCCTGTTCATTTGGCTACATCCGACTCCTCTGGCTTCATCCATCAACAAGCCACGCTAAGAATTGACCAACAACATTGCCTTACCTTCAGAGCGAAAACAGATACACTGCTCTGTCTTACTGTTGGGGCGGGCCGAATGAAAATTTACCGGCCATACTAGATGGACATCAATTTTTGTCAACTCGAAGTCTCCACGGGGTGCTCCTTGCAATCGCCCCCCATCGCGCTGATCTTGTCGGAAATTATATGTGGAATGAGATGATAAGCATCAATCAACAAGGTAACGAGAAAAAGGCGCAAAAAGTCTCCCAGATGTGGCATGTCTTCCAACAAGCGCAGCCTATGGTCTTCTAGCTTAGTCCGGAGGATGAGAGAGAAGAATCACTATTCGACGCCAATGACAAGTTCAGGGAGATAGAGAGCAAGCATTTGAGACTACAAGTATATGAAGATCATTTGGCTGAGGATGAAGTCCATCAGCGCTATAGCGCAGCAGTGCTTGAAGCTCAGCTCAAAGGGACGAAAGATCTGGCCGATTCAAGATCGTGTTCGGCCCATCAGAAGGCTGGCCGCGTATACTTTTCCATGGTCTGGATGATTACAGAATGTCTACCAGCCTCTGAGCTGTCTTCGCCTGCGGAGGGTTTTTCTGTATGTGAAGGGACCTGTGGTGCTGCACCAAGCAAGCTTTCTTGCCGGTCCTCAGTCAAGAAGTCCCAGTTTCGGCCAAAATCCGCTACGAGAATGGCGATCAATTTCGAAATTAGGACGACGAGCCTCATGAGCTTTACGATCTTTTCCTGTTCGTAAGATGTTCCAAACATTACTGCCTTGCCCGGCGTACCGATGTACGGGATCACCTGCATGCAATGCTCGGACATCCATGAATCAGATGTATATATCCGCAACGTCGATTGAGAGTCGACTATTCTTTTATAAATGAAGAGTTGTGCATGGAAAGCGTCCCCTGGGTTGATGAGGTATGCCGACCAATGTGGTGCGACGCGCCAGGCGTTCCCCAAAACGTCGTTTCGTATATATTAAGATTGCTTCATAAAACCTAGAGACCCCTGACACTAAAGCCTTTCAGTCATTACTTCGGTCTCAAGGTGATTGGATTTGGGATCCAACTTCTGCGCGCCTTGTGTTGTTGCCCAGCCGCAGGGTAGTGGACTATCCAGGGCCAGTCCTGCAGCGTCTCGTAACCCTTGGGATTCAAAGTGATCCATCCAGCTTTCGAGGAAGGATATCAACGATCAACATCCGACGGAGTGATCAACAGATGGAGTGAGTAATTGAAGCGTTTGCTCTTGTGTTATGTTCCTGGGAGTCCTTCCACCTTCCCAGTTCGTTGAAGGATTTGTGCTCTATGACTGATCGCCCCTCCTCTTCTCTCTTTTATTTTCGTTCCCCCACTGTATCTCCAAACTCTGCCACCATTGTGATTAGATTTCTAATTTCATTGGATGGTACACAAACGAAGACTTGTCATGTGGCACCCCACGGCAATGCGATGCATAATACCTTTCCTAAATTTGGGCCTAGTAATGCGGGATCGGTTAACAGTAAGTTTTTATTTGTACCCTCTTCTCTTGAACACGACTTTTTTGTTATGTTATTTCTAGAAAAGATCTGGTTAGAAAAATCAGGTCACCTCAATCCTGTTCCGTCAAGGCACATTTCTACTTTCTGGTTCGGTCACGTTTTCTCTCCCCTTTCAAGACGTCATTGCTTGTTTCATCCCGTTACTGTCGACGAGATCTCTATTACTGCACGAAAAACATCACATACTGTATGTCATGAGACAGAATTGGTACCTGATTTGGCGAGTCGTAAGGCTTCGCTCCTAAATTGTATGCGGTGACTATCCTACATGCTCCCCATTCCATCCAACTATCTTACACGTGCGGCGTGACCCCCCTGGCCATCCCTAGACTCATGAAACATATAAACAAGGAACGGGCGAGCCTCATAGCTAGCGTCAGGGAAAGGGTAGAGCGGTTGATGATCCCTCTTGCGAAGCCGATGCCAGCTTGGTCATGAAAGATCGTATAATGAGCGTCGGGGTATAGAACAAGGGAAGGTCAAAAGCTAATGAGGTAGACTTCGAAAGGTTTGGTGCGGGCTACGGCCGTTAAAAGGAGATGCGGAAGTTGGAAGCTGGCAAGGAAATGAGAACAAAAAAATATCAAGCCCAATAGGCAGACCTATCGCCAAAGCTGGATGATTTTGGGGACCTCGCACCCAGGTTGAGTGGTTGAGGTACGAGGCCGGGCGACAGCATCATCGGCAGCATTGCCTCGTCTTGCGCCATGGTCAGATACTGCGGCACGTTTTGGTGCCCGGGCAGTGGCGTTATGGGTAACGGCTTGTGGAAGAGCGGCATGCGTGTTGCCCGCTCTTGTATTCCTGAATGTTGCTGGCTTGACTCCAATGGACCCAGGACAGCCATATTTTCTGGAAGGCGAGGGAGTCTGGGAATGACAGGGCTGGAAGGCGACATGCGGAGCGGGTTCATAGGATGCTGGTGGCCGTTACTTAGATTGAGTTGACGTGCAGTGTTGTGCACTGGCTGAGGCATGCTATGATAGTTGGGCAGAGGCTGCAGCTCTGTTTCGGTGGGCATGTGGAGGCGGCTGCTGTTGCTGCCCGTTCGAGAATGAGCAGATCTGCTACCTGTGCTTGCGTAGTTCGCGCTGACGGATTGGGAACGGTTGGGCGCTGTGGTACTGTACAGTAGACCTGTGCTGCCGGACCGAGAATGGCTCCTGCTCGCTGAGCTAGAATGACTTCGACCTTGACTAGCGGCACTACCGGATCGAGGATGACTAGGTTCCTTGACAGAGTTTGCAGTATACGGTCGGCTGCTTGCGGAGTGGTACCGCATGTGTTTCGGTTGCTCCGCGTCGTGCCTGTATGTATTCGTGTATTGGGAGCCCTGTGGGAAGTACGCTGGCATCATAGCGGCGAGTAGTGGGCGCATAGATGGTAGGGAGGCGCAAATGATACCAACGTTCGTCTCAATCGCCGACAGCATGGCTGCAGGCGGATTATCGAAAGTAGGGTCGGTTGAGTCTGAGATAGATACTAGAGTCCGCAGTCGAATGATCGATACTAGACATACACTGCTCTTTGTTAGTACATGGATGAAGTCTATTGGTAGATGATGCTTACACTCCCCCCAAGCCCGAATACGACAATGAGCGCCTTCTTCTGCCTGTTGGGGATGCCGAGGCTCTTCAATACCGTGATCGGGAGGAACAGAATGATAACGTCTTGCGCAATGTTGACGGCGGCGTTCGAAAACCAAACAGCTTCCTGGTTCAGGCACTGTCCGTTGGCGACAGTTTTGTCCCAGAAGAATTCGACCGGGAAGCAGAGAAAGATACTCCCCATCAATGTCCAAAGTCCATACAGTACAACGAAACCCATGACGACAAAGCATGCAGTCCGAAATCGAGGGACTGGAAATACCCGCATGTACTGCGTCAGAATCGAAATCTTCGTGGCCGTCAACGCAAGGTTGTAGATCCAGACACTAGCCCAGAAAGCCTGAGTATACTGTCAGCCAGTGATGACCGCATACGGGCGACCTCGTTACCTTCAAGGAGTCCGTCATCATAGCCGGTGTCAACTCTTGTATATGTTTGCCCAGCCCATTTTGAATCTGAAGAGCAATTGTAACTGTCAGGCCAATGGACAAAATCTGACAGACAACGTTAGATTAGGCCTACAGTGATGTACTTTTACACTTACCATAGCAAAAGAAATCCAAGCGTCCTCAGCGCCTGCCTTGTGAAGAAGTAGTCCTCTGGTGAACAAGCGAAGGAACACGATGAGCCCAGCAATCAGCGTGAAGACTAAAACGACTGTATTAAGCATCGTCTGCGCCATACCAGCTGGCGAGGAAGCCATTCAAAAGAAGCGAAAGGCTTGATGCCAGCACCATTCAAAAGAAGCGAAGGTAAAAAGAGCTACCACAACCCCAACACCTCATCGTTGGTGAGCCCAAAGGAACATCCAAAAGCAAAAGCGAAGAACGAGCGGGAATTCAGGCACAGAGAAACAACATCAGGACGGACAGCGGGAAAGCAGACAGATAGCGGGCGACGGGCCGGTCACTGAAGCAGCTACCCACTGCTCTGGAACAGTTTCTCGTGATCTTGACGTCGATTGGAGTATGCACGGGCCTTCACATTACCCCTGCAGGTGCTCTGGCATGTAGGGGTAGCATGCTTGAGGCGTCACGTACTCCGCCGTGCCTGTATGATCGCTCTAAACCGTGCGACAATATTTGCAGGAGATATGAAGTCTGCAAACGCTACCAAGTCTCTATTGGAAGACGTCGAGAAACAATCGGATGCGACGAGAACAACGCAGAAACGGCGCCTAGGCACGTTTGAAAGCTGCACTTGTCAAAACCTCGTGGCCGCACAGCGCGTACAGTGCCGGTGCTTTAGCGCTCACGAATTCTTCCAGGAGTGCATTCGTGCTGGAGCCAAGGGTTTCGGGTGGAAATTGGTGGTCGGCAAAGACAAGATGGATGCGGGTGAAGTGTTGCATCTCGCCAACTGGATGAGGAAGCGCTATGCCCAATCTTTTCGGAGAGACGGATCTCGCATCTCTTCACAGTTTTGTGCACCCTTTCATTGTTTCTTCGAACCCTTGCTTATATTGCATCCTTCTATCGTCGGAACGTTTCGCAGAATTAGGAGGATGGCGAGACGTCAGAATATGCGACAGGCAATGTGTGATCGACTGGAAGCGAGCCACCTAAAACGGCCCCTCAACACCTGAAACCATGGCACGAACCGACCGATGATCACAACGCAGGCCACGACAACACACCGTCCTGGCAAGACCGACCCCAGCTTCATTGACGGTAAACGATTATATGGTCCGCTATCAAGCTGGCACCTCCACGAACCTGGCGCAGGGCACAGAGCATTTTTCTGGAGGGGCATTCCTTGATGTATGCTCTACCCAGGGAAGGGGTGGCGGCAGGTGGAGGCATAGCGCGCACGTTCTGGAACTCATAGCCTTCCTTTACCTGCTGCAAGCGACATACTTATCTTCGATGGAGCTAACAATGCCGTAATCATATTGCATCTTCGGACCACGCCGGTCAGCAACCATTGGGAGCATGCATACGTTGTGGGCCGCTCTCGAGAAATATATAGTCAAAACGCAAATGATCGTACATTCGTAACACCTATCTACGTTGGGCCCGACTTCCCACCTATGAGTCATGGTTCACGGCTCCGCTTACCAACTCCTCTAACCTCGATTACGGCTTTTTACAACTCTGGGTTTTCATCCACAAGAGGTGCTAGCCTCTCCTTAAGATCCTCGACGCTTAGCTCCTCACCGTTCCAGTACATCTTCTTCAACCCCTCGGTCTTCGGTGGGATCAAAACATCGGACACGACTTGAATGACACCGTCACTAGCTACGCCGTCGTGAATGGTCACGCGTGAGAACGCATTGATCCTGATCTCGACGAAAGGCCCATATCTTGCGCTGTCAACAGACAGGTACTTGTCCTCGAGGACAGTGGGCAGATCAACATGAAAATGTCGGTAGTCGTCAGTCTTCTGCTCATCGTCCCCGGACTGGTCAAAAAATGCATCAGAGTACAATGTCTGATCGACGACGATGTGGTACTCGAGAAGGGCCTTAAGGTACTTGAGGCCGTACTGGCTGAACAAGAAGGCGTTGGCCCTGGGACCGAGCTTCTTGAACGCGAAGTTCGAAGGAGCGAAGAAAGTTCCACCCTGATGGGGATAATCGGTACTATTGATCTTATCGAAGAGGCCAGTTTTGCCGAGGGCAAGCTCCAAGGTGCTGAACTCTCCCGGAAGAAGATCGATGATAGTAGCGACCTGCGGCGGAGGCACTATGATGTGGTCTACACCGTGGATGACGCCGTTCGTACCAAAGATGTTAACTGCTACAAGTTTGCTGTAGAAGTTGATGGTGGGTCCCTTCAGGGTCACGCGGACAGTGAGACGCTGCTTGTGGCCAAGATTATCGGGCTCAAGCAGCGTGGGAATCGTGTATGAGTGCAAAACACGGCCAGCTGGGTAGAAGTCGTCGCTGATATGGTACAACAAGACTTTTTCAAGAATCTCCTTCGATGGCTTCTTGCCGTGCTTGGGAATCTTCTCAAAAGCTTCGTCAGTAGGTGCAAACACGGTGTAGTTGGCCTTGGTGCTATTCAGCTTGTCGACGAGATCAGGTAACTCATCGATAAGCTTGGCAAGCTTAGTGGTGTACTTGCTCTTACTGATGAGTTCATACACGGTCTGGTTTGGTTTCTCATGATGCGGAGGATGGTGGGGCCTTCCGCGATGCGGTGGACCATGGTGAGGTGGTTTATCATGTGGAGGCTGGCGTGGATGGCCCGGATTATCAAGGTCCTCATCATAGTCTTCCTCGAAGGACGATCCCTCCAACCAAGACTCAACGTCGCATCCAGTCTCATGTATCTTGTGGTAGGCATCGTCTCCTACATGCATCACACTCTTGGCTGCTTTGGCGAAGGCATCGTCAAGAACATGCTGTGTCTTTTCAAAGGCGCTCCGAGTTTGGTCGGTGAGCTCTCTTCCAGTCTTCTCGATGTTCTGGAAAACATCCGTTTCCGTGATTACGAAGGCGGACGCGAGAGGGAGTAGGGGCAGCACCTGGCTGAACTTCATCTTCGCTAGGAATCAAATCAAAGTCAACGGAGATGAATTAGAGGAGTATCGATTGGGATAAAGGCGCCTCAAGTAGTCGACCGGTCGATGATGCCACCACTGCGTGGCAGTGCGTGCTTAGCGGATCTCTCGGCTGAGGTACAGGCCACGGACGAAATACGTGGATACGCGAATATACGTCGCGACGCGAGCGACACGAGTGCGGAGCGACAATGGTACTCGGTGACTGTTGATGAAAGTGGCAAGACGCGACAGCAAATGCCAGAACTACACTCTATGTGCTTCTTGAGCAGAGACGGTACAACGAGCTCCGAGCTCCAGGCTCCAGGGCGTCGTCATCCTCCTCGGCACGGCGTTCGAACAAGATGATCCGTGTATGACGACAGAGGGGTAAGCGCTGTGGCCACTGGCGTCGCAGCGTCGTCGATGGCTACAACAACGACAGTCTGCTTTGTAGCAGTGATATGTGTAAACAGCGTGATCATGGACATCGACATGCTTGCTTCCGAAGCGCCCAGGCAGCTGGGAACGAGACCTCGGGAGCTGCACGGTCACGTGGAGACCATCTGGCCGGAGCGGATCATCATTGACCCCTGCAGGCATGCGGGAGCTATCGAGCTAGCGCGAAGCTGCGTCATGATCAAGGCTCTCCACAGTTGGATATAATGCCATCTCGATCTGCCCGTAGCCGACGTTCTAGAGACTGAAAAAGGCCTCATCTGGTTGAAACAAGTCTTTCATAGACTGCTCTGAGCTGACCAAGCCTGCTAAGCTTTCCATCACGTAACAGCGCGCGATATCGGTACGCAGGTTTGATGCTTCCCGGAAGCTGGGCGCTGTCTCAATTGGTCCCTCACCTGTGCCTGGGCCCACATGAGCCATCATTGTCACCCGAATTCAAGCTTTCACAAGCCTCGTTAAGCTTCGAACCCCAGTCACATTCCACAAAACCCACCGAGATGCACTCCACCATGCAACTACCGACGCTTCCGTCACCGTCACCCCATTACATCATCGGCATGCCTTTATTTACTACCTGCTTGCCCGATCGTCCAGACGAAACCCCGCCTTCTCTACAACATTGATCCTCTGTTGTAATAGTACTTGAACACTACGCGACAAAATGGCTCTCGCAAGACATGTTGATCCCGATGAGCTGATTAAGTCCCTCCACGACCATCCTATTCACAAAGCCAGCCGTAACAAAGACCGCTTCACCTCTCACATTACGCCGTATTCCAGCCGCTACGCGAGCTCGACAGAGCTATCCAAATTCCAGATTCCCCATGATGGAGCTCCGGCGGAGGTCGTTCATCAATTGCTCAAAGATGAGCTCGACTTGGATGGCGTAAGATAGATGTAGCCATAGTTTGGGTGTTTTGCTGACCGGATGAAGCGTCCGCAATTGAATCTGGCGTCTTTCGTCGGAACATATATGGAGAAAGAGGCAGAGCAGCTCATGGTCGAGAACCTCTCCAAGAACATGAGCGATGCCGACGAGTATCCCGCCATGATGGATATGCATGGCCGGTGCGTTTCAATCCTCGCTCACCTCTGGGGCGTTCAGAAGGGCGAAAAGGCTATTGGGTCTGCGACGACTGGCTCAAGCGAAGCAATCCACCTGGGCGGTCTGGCCATGAAGCGCCGCTGGCAAGAGAAAAGGACGAAGGAAGGAAAGGACACACTGAAGCCCAACATTTTGATGGGCTCCAACGCTCAGGTAGCTTTGGAGAAATTCGCTCGCTACTTCGAGGTAGAGGCTCGCATTCTGCCAGTATCCGCCAAGTCAAACTACCGATTGGATCCCGAACTTGTGAAAGAAAACATTGACGAAAACACCATTGGTGTTTTCGTGATTCTGGGTTCTACCTACACCGGTCACTACGAGCCAGTGGAAGAAGTTAGCAAGATTCTTGATGAGTACGAGAAGAAGACGGGTGTAGACATCCCGATCCACGTCGATGTAAGCTAAAGAACCGTGTCTCGATTGCCTGTTTCTGACTTGACAGGGCGCTTCCGGGGCGTTCATTGCTCCTTTTACACATGCGAAAGCAGGACAGAAGTGGAACTTCGAGCTGCCCCGAGTGAAGTCAATCAACGTCAGTGGACATAAGTTTGGCTTGGTCTACGCTGGTGTTGGATGGATCATCTGGAGAGATGAGAGCTACCTACCTAAGCATCTCGTTTTCGAACTGCACTATCTGGGTGGAACAGAAGAGTCCTACACCTTGAACTTCTCCAGACCCGGAGCGCAGATTATCGCGCAGTATTACAACCTTATTCATTTGGGCTTTACCGGTTACCGGAGCATAATGGAGAACACACTTGCAAACGCTCGGCTGCTGAGTCGCGCGCTGGAGCACACGGGCTGGTACCGTTGTGTAAGTCCTTGAGGCGATACATAAAACGACGTACTGACATCAGACAGGTTAGCGATATTCACCGGAAGAAGGGCGATCACGCGTACGAGAAGGGCAAGGCGCCCTACGACTCTGGCGAGGACAGTGCCGACTACAATGCCGGCCTTCCCGTCGTCGCCTTTACGTTCACCGATGATTTCAAGAAAGACTACCCGCATCTGAAAGAAGATGCAGTGCAAAATCTGATGAGGTCGAAGCAGTACATCATTCCGAGTATGTCTATCCGCAACGAGCATGGTACTCAGCTAACGAGACAGGTTACCCGTTGCCGCCGAATGAAGAGAAGACACAGATTCTTCGCGTCGTCGTTCGTGAAACGCTGTCGTTGGATATGATTGACCGTCTGGTTACGGATCTTTGCAACGTGACGGAGAGCATGATGAACAGTGATGCAGCGGACCTGGCAGCGTGGCAGCCCCAGCCTTCGAGCATCGAGGTACGAATGACGTGCTACCACAAAATTCAGGACCGTGCTGACCGAAGTTCCACCAGAAACAACATGCTTCGGCAGGCCTGCCCTCGCATCAGAAGCATAAGGCGAAGCGACCGATGCACGAGGGGGTGCATCGGAGCGTGTGTTGATGGAAACGCCGAAGACCATGGTACCACAGGCAAGTTTTAGATATATTGTCCCTGCATTTTCTGGCACCATGGAGATGCTGGACATGTTCGGATGCGTATGTGGAAAGGCGCAGCGGCAGCACATGTCCCGACAGAGGGACGGTAGTTAAGCTATGCAAGCACAATACAAGGCGCATCTCCATGTGAACTGGCAAGTTGGTCGCGAGGCGAGTACAGGACACGGCAAGCGTCTGTGCCGATCACCAAGCAACGCAGACAGGAAGGGAAGAGGTGGTGCTCGTCCTGTGGTTCATCGGAACCAGTCAAGCGCTGTGTCGCGCCACCCAGGTCGTCGAGCCACTCGGAGGGCTTTGTGCCCAGCGTCCAGACCTGCGGGCGATGCATTCAGATCTTGTTCAGATCGCCCCTAAACCCATGTGGCAAGCCGTTGCTTGGCGACTCGCGATCATGAAAAGTCCATGACAACACCACCATCGTGAACACGAAAATGGCCATCGAAGCACCGTGCGCTTCCTTTCTGGGTTTGCCATGCGCATCTCGTCCAATGGCGCATTACCTAGTAGCCCGGTCACGCCGCCGCCGCAGACAATAGCGCCCAGGAACGGGTCTCCTCCACGCCTGGAACCTGCAGCATCCGCGACCTGCGGCCCCGAATCTGCTCCAATGACAGACGACATGGCCTGGTTCCCTCTAGTGCGCGTCGCTCTGAATTTCGGTGCCACGTGCTAAAACATCATCTTGATCATGACGTCTGCAGTTCACTGGGCCCTTGACTTCTTCAACGCCGCCTACCACGCACGCGACTCCACCATGTGCGAGACTCCAAGGCGCACATGAAGCTCACCTCCTTGATGCTGCGCCGCTGCGTTACATGGCCCCTCTGTAATGATTCTTGCTGTTCTTCCTGTTTGAAGCGAGGCGTCCGGGGTTTCAGCGATACTTTTCCTGCCATGGCGGACGCGTCGCCGCGAGTCCTACTTTACATCCTGCGTCGCGATGTTCGCCTCTCAGACAACCCCATCTTTCACGCTGCATCCGCCAATCTCTTGACGACGAACACGTACACAAAACCGGTATACGGCTCTGATACCCAAATTCGTAATGATGCTTTTATCCCCGACCAGGACTTCCCTTCCTTCACACATCTTTTGCCCGTATATATCTTCCCTGCAAACCAAGTCGAAGCGTCTGGATTTATACCCGATTCGACTACCAAATGTCCATATCCACAAGCACAGAGCCGTGTCGCAGGCTTTTGGAGGACCGGGCCTCATCGAGCGAAGTTCATGGCCGAGGGTGCATGGGATCTCAAAGAGAGGTTACAGAGACTTGGTTGTGGATCGGATCTACAAATAAGAGTTGGAAAGCCAGGCGATGTGGTAGAAGACATACTGCAATGGTACACAGACGAAAAGAACGCTGGCCGTAGTACTGTGGACGTTGCAGGCATCTGGTTGACCGCAGAGGAAGGCAAGGAAGAGCAGGAAGACGAGGCTGATGTGAGGCGAATCGCAGCTGAAAGGGACCTAACGCTCAAGGTATGGGCCGACGAGAAGTATTATATTGACGAGTGTGTTCTTTCTTACCCCTCCCTCGTCAGCCGCGTGGCCGTCTTCATGCAAGCTAACGTCATGGCAGTCGAGATCTTCCCTTGCACGACATTGCCGACCTTCCGAATGTCTATACGACATATCGGAAATCATTGGAACCACTCCGTTCACGACCGCGACCTAGCATACCTGCTCCGGAACAGCTTCCACCATCACCCCCAGACATACCGCCACAAAAACATCCTTTCGAAATTCCAAACAGTCGAGAAGGATTGGTCGATGCTCTACTACGACCATTGAAAGAGGACCCCAAACATGACCTGCAATTTCCACCTCAATTTCCTCCGGATACCGAGTCCTCGCATCCATTCAGTGGAGGTGAGACAACGGCCCACGACAGACTTGCCCAGCTCATCTCCGGTGGTGCGATGAGTACTTACAAAGCGACACGGAACGGAATGGTTGGGGTCGACTACAGCACTAAGCTTTCCGCTTTCCTTGCTCAAGGTGAGAAACTAAATGACGTCGCAAGTCAAACGCTTACGTATTGACTTCATGTTGGTAGGTTATATCACAGCCCGACAAATTCATTGGGCAATGATGGATTTCGAAGAAGGAAAGGGACCTGGCGAAATCGTCTCAGACTACGGTAAAGGCGAGAACGACGGCACCGCAGGTGTCAGGTTCGAGCTGTTGTGGCGGGACTACATGCATCTTTGTGCGCGAAAGTTTGGCACTAGGATGTTCCATCTACATGGCATACAAGATCCGTAAGTCATGCCAACATATCTTCAACGTGATTTTGAAGTGGGATTAAAATCATTATGCGTAGCAGCAATAGGCGGAGACCAAACGATGTCGAACCAGAGTCACATTACGAACAGCGCCCTCCCCGCAAACGCTGGAAAGGTGTTAATGAAAGCGGCGGCCTAGGCGATACCCCCGAACGCACTCGAGAAGTCTTCTCTCGCTTCCGCTCCGGCCGCACAGGCATCGGACTCATCGACGCCGCGAACCGTGAAGTCTTCCTCACAGGCTACACCTCCAATCGCGCCCGTCAAAACGTCGCTTCTTTCCTCTCTAACTCATCACACCTCGGCATCGATTGGCGCGTCGGCGCCGAATGGTACGAGTACATCCTTGTCGACTACGACATGGCTAGCAACTGGGGAAACTGGCAATACGTTGCCGGCGTTGGCAACGATCCGAGGCAAGGACGCGTTTTCAACCCTGTAAAGCAGGCGTTGGATTACGATCCGCAGGGGAAGTATATCAAGGCGTGGGTACCGGAGCTAAGGCAGCTTAGCTTGACGAAGAGTGTGGCGATGAGTAGGCAGGAGATTGATGAGCAGAAGCTTATGGGGCTTTATCAGGCGTGGAGGCTGGGGGATTGGGAGAAAGATAGGTTGGGACTGAGGGGAGTGGAGTGGGTTGAGTGGCCACTGGTCAAGATACAATTCTCCGTCAGTAGAGGGCGAGGCAAGGGGGTTTCCGATGGGCGAATTAGAGGCAGAGGCTGGAGAGGTCGCGGCCGCGGCGGCGATAGAGGGAAGAAGAGATTTGAGATCGAGGAAAAGCTGGGAAACGTGCGGATTGCAGACGAGATTGGGGAGTAGCGTTATTAAAGCTTAGCGATTCACCAATTCGGCCCTATACCACGATCCGTACGTGCCCAAGTTCGCTGTTCGCGGTACTGGTCCGGATATCTATCCAGCCAATTAAGGCGACATTGTCACAGCTGCCCGCATTTACTGCACACTTTGTCTTACAACAAAGCGCATGGTCACATTGTGAGACAAACAGGATTTCGCCTGTCCTAGAACCTTCACAATGCTCGAGCTGCTCGATAAAAGCAAGGTGCATTCCAACCAACCACCTCAGACCAGCCAGGCCCAATGTGCAAGATCCGCATCGAACCTCTGCACCGCAACTCGACCCCCAAGCCCATCAACTCACGAACGCCACCCGCTTCAGCCTCAAAGCTCCCGAAGCAGCACTCTAAGCCCAGCAAAATGGCCCTCCCCCGCACCTTCTGCCTCTCCTCCGCATCAGCCTCACTCACTCCCTCCACTTGCCTGACAACCTTTACGAACCACTACGAGGTCCTAGGTTTAGACCATTGGGCGACCGATGAGGAAGTCAAGGCCCAATTCCGCACGCTGCGAGCCAAGTATTTCTCCACCGATGTGGGTAAATATCGGCAGCTGCAGACGGCGTATGCGGTCTTGGTGGACTGGGAGGCGAGGCGGGAATATGATGCCGTGTATAGAGTGAGTATGGGGCTGTCGCCGCCCGCGAGCGAGCGTGCAAGTGCGAGTGAGAGTAACAGTGAGAAGGCTACGGATGAAACGGTGCTCGCGAGTAGCGGGTCTGCTAGCAGTACCGCCTCACCGCCGAAGAGCACGATTGTGAGGGTTGCGGTGTCGCGAATTGATGCGCACGCTCGGGCAGACACAGACAGTATGCAGATGGCGAAGCTTGAAGAGGAGCTCCGTCGTGTAGAGGAAGAGCAGCGCCAAGGTGAAGAGGAGGAGCGATTAGCCGACCCTAATTGGGGTTTAAAGCACTTCTCGCCACAGTACAAGTCGCTAATTGGAACACGCCGATATTCTAGCTACGTTCCAATCGCGGAGAAGTACGAGCATGGTGACATAAAACCTAGATCTAGACGGCCGACTTACGTTGGCGGGATTGCGACGAATGCGGTACCGTAGATGCTGAGTGTAAGCTTTACTCTTGTCTGCGGGATAATCGATGCAAGTAGAATATTTACCTGGTATAGATATGCTCGGCACGTTGCACCTGATCTCAAATTAGAAACCTTTGTCCAAAGATACGGAAGCTTCTTCCACGTTTTACACTGTTCATTCGTGCTCCGCATCGTTAACTATCCCCGCACGCTGCCAACTCAGCGCCGTTAAGTTGCAAAAAAGACTCCTAACCAACGCACGCTGGAGGTTACATGAAGCGAACCTAGGCAAAAATTGACTCAGCCGAGGTTCGAACTCGGGACCTTCAGTGGTCGCACAATGCAGAACTGTGAGACTGACGTGATAACCAACTACACCACCGAGCCGATTTTGATATCTGATATTATATTCAATTTTTATTGTATCTTATACTACTATACTAAGAAGATTCGCGTTGTACTTAAAGCAAACCGAAATTATTGGCCCTGATCGCGCGAACCCGATTTACAAGGGTCTTAGTGGGAGGCTTGCGTAGCGAGCTTGCTAACGAGCAAATAGAAATTGGTTGAAACCTCATCACCAACCTTGTCTCGTTGTATGTTCACTTTGAATCCCTTCGACATATTCTAAATAGCTCGCAAGATAACGCACCACCCCCCAACTCACTTGGCGGTGGTCCTGCAAGCTTGTGACTTACTGATGCGTCATGATCGGGATATAGCTTGTCTGGCGTGCCCTCAGGAACATTGGAGTGGAGCGCCACTAAAAAGCCATGTACCCTGCGATTGCGCCTGAGACAAGCAATGGTATGCCTATACCGTCGCCTTTGGCGGGCCAAACGCTCAAAGAGACTGGACTCGGTTCACAACCGTCGCACCTAGGCATAGCGTACTAACAGCCCTTCATCATTAACTGTATCACCTATTACCTATTACCTATCCTTAGACAATACCTATATAGATAGCTTAGGATTATCCTACGCGCGTGAACCTTGCCTGATTTGTCTAATTTAAAGTTCTTAAGTAGGTGGTGTTAATACTTATAGAGGGTCTGCAGTACGAAGTGCATGGCTAAGCAAAGTTATGTACAAGAATATCATCTTATTCTTCACTACATTATAATACAGACCATTACTATAGCATTATCATATGAGGAAACCTTTACTGTGATCTTATTAATTTTACTAATACAGAACCTGCTTCTGCTATTTTAGCTGGGCCAGCGTCTATACTGTTATGGTAGAAAAGCCGCATTTCTATACTATAAAACTGTTCCTTGTCTATAGGGATGTGGGAGAGTGGTGTACGTTTGGTCTGTTGAACAGCCTGTTTATGGCCTCTCTCGAGTTTCGCTTGTCCCGCAAGCCTGGCACAACTGCGTTGTACGGATCGTCCCGAGATTGACGACAGGCAATATATTTGTACTTAGCGCCGCGATGGTATAGACAATATCGAAAAGCTGGCAAAGAGGAGAGAATGGGAACCTTCGCGCTATGTGAGACAACAAGAACCCTGAGCGTCTTGTCGCCAGTACCGGACGCGGTTGGGGCCGAGGGTAGTGCCAGTGTCCCGATTGTGGGAGACACACTGCCCCCAGACGCACATCCCATGGATACAAGACTTCCACATGACATCAAACAATACTACAAGTCGTCACAGAACTTTTGTCTATAGCACCATTTTGATCGTTTAGAATTATGTGAAGTCCCATTATATCGGTGCTTTGCGAAAAGAATGCCCCACCCTACCAGGGTCCAGCTCCCTGTTTTTACCCCTATTTTATTAAGTGTATCATATGTCTACTCTGCTATCAGTGTAAATACGTTGGTACGCCTATTTTGACAGCTTAGGGCCTAATTTTAACGTCTACCACGACTAGATCTAGCTAATTAACAAGCTCTAGCTAGTATTGAACAAGATCGAGCTAGAGAGAATACGTAAAAAGATTGACAAAAATTGTGAACCTGTACCATGGTAGGGTGGGGGCATTCTTTTCGCAAACGATAATAAGCGATACAACCAAAATTGTGCAACAGTGACACTTGTCGCCTACCTAGGTAGTACAATCGTTGGTCGAACTATCCGTGCCTGGAGGTAAGCCATAGAGGCGGGCAGTAAATCGTCCCTCTCGGCCATCGCGGTGCACTCACCTGTGCTATCCATTTTGGGTCCGTAGGTTCGGTCATCTGTCCGACGTTCCTGACAGCAACCAGCACTAGCCACTCTTTGGCCCTCTCTTTGTACCAATGTTCGTGGACCTTGTCTGGAGAAGCTCCCCATTCCGTCGTCAACTCGAACCCCTGCCACTCAGTACTCGAAATAGTCGTTTGCCGCTCGATCCACAGCCGTGTCTTGCACGCCCGGTTTGGACATTCTATTGTTTTGAGTTGAAACAACCTACGCGCGGTGGACGCAGAGGCTACCGCTAGCCTATCCATATGTGGGCATAAGCTGGTGTACTCGAGACCGTGCTTGTGCGTGACGCGCGAAAGTACAGAGTCTAATATGCTACCCATGGTAGTCACGCGTTGATCGTTGCGAATGGGCGGTGCTTCGCATGATTGGAGAAGCCACTCCCGACGCATGAGATAGTCTCCCGCTGCAATGGATAATCCTTTGCCTTTGATACGCCCGTAGTAATGATCGTGGGCCCTCAAAGATCCGAAGAACACACCTCGCTGGGCCCTGTCCCCCGGACCAAGTTCGATTCTCCCGTCTCTCCGCAGTGTACCGTTGAATTCCCTGACACTGTCATGGTATTTTGATGATACACTTGGCCACCAACAGTCTCGTATAGGATGCCAGTATTGTAGTCCTGCTATATGGAGCTCTTCCCACGTCCGGATGCTATATTCGAAACCAAATAATCTGAGCTCGCCCTCGTGACCCTTGCAACGCCGTTTGTGGGGAGCAAGATTGATTGCGGTCGAGAAGAAGAGCTTTAACGGGAGTAGACGCATACACACGATGCATACAATATGATCCCTCGTCTCAGAACGGATCAGCCTATACAGACGTCGCGAGCGCAGGAAGTAAGAGTATCGCTGCCGCATCACTGACTGCGTAGCTGGTTCAACAGTCGCCAGAGGATCGTCAAAGAAGCAGCGGAAGCGTTGGCATGTTGCGCGCAAAGTCATAATCGAGAGCACACTCGAAGTATCGGATATAGTGGTATACGCGAAGATCGCGTGGAGGAGTTCGGCTGGGAGAGTGACAAGCGTGCTGCTATTCATGTTTGCGACCGAATCCTTAAGCGCCTCGAAGGTGCACCAAGCTTGATGTGATGTGTTTATATCACTTAGTTGCCTGTGTAGAAATCTCATACTGGGCGAGGACGATGTAGACGCTGGAGGATTGTTATGAGGGGAGACAAGAAGCTGGCACTGTGGCTACGCCGCAACGCAGTCTGCCACGCCCCGCATGGGCACTTCAGGCTAAAGCCGATCCTTGTCGATACGACAGTGAACGACCAACGTCCTGATGTGGTCCCCAATCATTCGTCTATCCGCGCCCAGTTCTAAATGCGTGCAGACAGTGATGCGTTTGATGGGAAGGAAGGTAATTCTCATCAGAAGGAGGTGGTCTAAGGGGGAATGGTCACTACTATTGAAGAGTAACAAGTTGTAGCGAATTTATCCAATCCTTTGAAAACCGGTTGGGCTGCTTCAATTACTCACCACGATCAACATCTTGAATATCTATCTTCAAGCTTCTAAACAATACAACACGCATATTGATGAGAAGATTTTCACAGTGCAATTTGGACGGCTCAACTATATATTGACTTCCCAAAAATTTGCTAAACACTTGGCTACCTAGGCAACATCAACTTGCTTGGCTTTCCTCTTGTGCATGATTGCAGCGGTTCCAAAGCAGAAGAGTCCAAGAATACCACAGGAGCCGGCAAGCGCTTGCCCGTACAAGTACGCACCGTCGCCAGCTTCCACTAAAGCTCCTCCGCCTGGTCCTCCGATCAAACATCCGAAGCTGGACAAGGCGAACCCCATGCCCATGCGCGTGCCAATTTTCTTCGGATCAATTGTAAGATCTGCCAAAGTCGCGGGAAACATAGCTTGCAGTCCCGCTGCAAAAAGACCGTAAAGTACAGCAAAGGCATACATGCCTGCTACCGACTTGATAGTAATCCAGCAATAGAGAAGTAGTGCTGTGACGAAGCTGACGATTAAGCTAATTGTGAGAGGACGGCAGTAATGATCGGCGATGTACGCCGGTATCAGCCGTCCCGGAATGCCTACCCCATTCAAAACCAACAGGAATGGTATCGACTCCTCCAAAGTCAGGCCTAGCGTTTTGCGCGCGAATGCATTGATCTAAAAGCTCGTCAAAAATGGAATGCTGACCCATCGCAAGCGACATACATAGAAGAAGGCGAACCAAAGACCTGCAAAGCAGAAGACCGATCCCAGAATCTAGATACGTTAGCCAAAGTTGTGCCATGACATGAATTGAAGACACACAAATAGGTCGAACACTACATCCTTCAGTTCTCGAGGTTCAAGCATCTTTACCGAATCTTTGGGCGGCAGGCGCTTCTTCAGTAGCCGTTCAGCGATCAACAGAAGGCACAGCGCCATGAAGCCCAAAGTTCTGACTGCCCAGCCGAAACCGATTGAATCGATAAGCCTATTTAGCATTATCGGAATGACCAAGCCACCTGTCCCTGATCCGCAGAGGACAATACCGATCGCAAAACTTCGCTTCGACGCGTCAAAGTATGTTGAGATGACCGAGATCATGGGGACGAACATGCAGCCATTCGCAAGACCAATGCAAAACCCTTGTGCAAGGACAAATTGCCAGTACTGCGTACAAATACTCGTCATGAATATACCCAATAGCCACAGCGCAATCCCCATACGCAGCACCAGCTTGAAATGGCCGGTATCTGAGGCGGCTCCAGAGAACAGCGGGGTCGAAAGAAGGAAGAATACCGTGAGAGCGCCTATCCAGGAGATATTCGACGGCGATGAGAGATCAATGGACGTATAGTGCGCCTGGAACATACCGAACGACGTGATGAAGCCCCATGTGAAGAAAGTCACTATATGTCCTCCAAGGACCTGTGACCAAGCGCACCATCCGCCATTCGGAGGCGCTTCAATGGAAGATATGCGTGTGATATCGAACATGGACGGTACTTCTTTTTTCTTTGATGGCACATCACCCTCCTCTTTCACGATGCTGAACTCTTCGGTTGGCGGGTCCAGCCCAATGGCCGCCATATCATATAGAGTCACGGTAGTTGTTGTGCAGAAGAAGCGAACAGGAAACCCCAGATTTCCCTCCCCAGACAGGACCCATTGTTGCTGAGTCACACATGGTTTTCCGAAGCCGTCTAGAAGCGCTTTTGGCTTTACCCGAAATTATGAGGTAATTCGAAGTTGTCGCGGAGGATAGCGCACGAGCAGTTGCCGATGAGCCGAAGCACGCCGGTCGGCACTCAATGGCGTGTGCTTGCGCTTTGACACCTAAATAGGCTTATGGCGAGGATCGCGTACGTCAAGACATCCAAAGTGATCTGGTATAGAATAATATGACCTTAATGGACTACTCGGTACACACAGCTCGCAAGGCAAAAAGTTATGATCTTGCGAGTTCGTTGTCCTGAGGGGCTTATTCCCATGCTGGACATGATTTTCCGGTGGAAGATACTACTTGTGTCATCAAATGGCAGCATTCAGGTACATACGACCAAAGCGACACTCTGCGAGCAGCGGAAATCGTCGAGCGTGAGAACAAGAGCGTAACACGGTACCCTTTTCGCATCGTCTAGAGAACGTTTGACTTCGATCCCGAATCCTGTCAGATTTGTTTAGATAATTCACAGCGGTATGAATTTCTAATCTAGAAGCTCAACGTCTGGTGAATCCAGTCTGCGCATCCCTGGGTCCTAGCATCACACCTCATAGTTCTCATAGACGTGTTTCCGAACAGAGCAAAATTTAGGGTCCTGGAGCTGCAGTACGTTGAACCCATGCATGAACGCTCGTATCAGCAAAGTGAGGTAAAAGAGTAGCAGGTGCGCTAAGCCAAATTTGTGCACCTGGCAGTGCCTGCCCTCAGTGTCGCTTCTCGACGGTTCTTCTGGGCAAAGTGCGAGTACCGCGAGATATGGCGATTCTACTCCAGGTACGTGGTTGGTCACAGCAGCATATCGTCGAATCGAGTGCTTTTGCGGTTTGCAAAGTGAGGGAAACATGTCCGACAGACAGAAAGAACACTGACGATGAAAAAAAAAGTCCCTCAGAGCATGCAGTGAGCAAACATTGAGCAACAGGTCCAAAAAAGCCCGACGTGGGGGTCGAACCCACAACCTTGAGATGCCGCGTAATCGAGTTGATTAGACCGTGAATACATAAGAGTCTCACGCTCTACCGATTGAGCTAGCCGGGCTAGTCGATGATTGATGCAATCGGTTCACAATGTTGAGTACATATACTGGGTTTGACCACGAGCAGGGTCCCTTGATTGTTTCATCCGGCACATGGTGGGGTTAGGAGTCACGGTTCGTTGGCACCTTGGGCGGTAGGGCTTGCCGGACCGACCTGCGGGTTTAGCTAGCTACCAATTACACACACCAGCGGAGCTTTCTAGTCCACCACGGTGCGAAGTGGCTAGCTAGCAAAGCCAAATAGCCAGGCCTCACAGACGCATGCTCTCAACGCTCGGTGCAACTTGTCCAATGAATGCTGATCGACTCCCATGCTATTTAAAGAAGCACCGCCGCTTGCTCAGCAGTGGCCGCGAGAAGTAGCGGCGAACATGCGCCTCAACTACACGGGCCGCTTTGATGCACAACTCGTCGCTGTCACGGAGAGCTGGGCTGAGGAACAGTCGCGCTTGCTTCTGTTACTACGTTGCAACACGGCGAAGGAGTATCAACGGTGCATGACCAGGACGCTATCTTTTAGATCAGCATTCCAATGCGAGAGGACCCTGAAACACATGTAGCGAGGTTGATTCTGCCAAAAGTCGTCGTCTTGGCAGGCGTCACTGAGAGGTGCAGCAGCAACCAATGCTGCGGCGGCCACAATCTGCAAGCTCTCTCCGCAACGTGGAGCAAAGACCGCAGGTTTCGTATGTTTGCTTGTGCAAATGGTTGGGAGAATAGGAAAATTGTAGAGTAGGGGCCGCCGCCGCGCGTTTGCTTGTGCTCGCAGGCGCTCCCGCATCGCACTGCCCCCAGGGTCTTGTCCGTGCCTTTTACCTGCCCTTGAACTTCCTCCACCCATCCTAAATAGAATACATCACTACCGCGCTCTGCGACGGGCCCCCTCATACTGCTCCCCGTCCCACATTCGCTGGATTGCCGTTGTCGCGCCCGCCCACGCTTTCGAAACGTTGGCCAAGCTTTGGAGGCTGTGCTGGGAGCCGGGGCACAGTCTTACACTTTCCTCCGCCATTGTCGAACCCACGAACGCGCAACGAGATAGACGGGAAGAGCGGGTGTATTGCATGCACTCTGGATGAAGCGGACAGTGCAGCACTCAAGAGTGGAGCAAGCGCCCTGATCCCGTTGTGCCGCCATGGCCGGCAGGCCGCCAGGTGCACCGCCGTCTCACAAGGAGAACCTAATCGACTTTGACGACCACGACAACCACCAGCCGTACCACTACAACCCGGGCGCACCGCCGCCCCATACTGACGAGGAGCTCCTCCAGCGATACAACACGAATCAATCCGTCACGCCCCTAGGCCGACCCTCCGAATCATACGATGAATTTCTGGGTGGCAGACCAGCGGCAGGCCTGCCTGATGCGCCGGTCGCAGGAACCACGCCGTATTCGAATAGTGGAGGCATCTACTCGCAGACATCGGATCTGAACAATTACGCAAGATATTCCGATGCAGATGTACATGGCGAGGACGACCGATCTATTCAGGGATACTATGCGACAGGCGGAGGCTACGAAGCCCCAGCAGGCATGCGTCGCGCCAACACCGGCAAGGCGAACAGGAACAGCATCCTCAGTCTCGGCGGCGGTCTCACAGGGCGTGTCAAGAACATGTTCGGGCAGAGACCGGAATACTCAGAGATGGATCTGCCGTTGACAGAGCATGCGGCGCAACAAGGTCAACAAGAGTCAAGAGGAGTCTATGGCGAGGATTCAAAGGCGCCCAAGAAGCGCAGCTCGGGAGTGTTCAAATTCGGATTTGGACGCGGAAAGCCGGACCCATCGACGCTCGGCCCAAGGATAATACACTTGAATAATCCACCTGCAAATGCCACTAACAAGTACATTGACAACCACGTATCCACCACGAAATACAACGTTGTCACCTTCCTCCCCAAGTTCTTGTACGAACAGTTTTCTAAATACGCCAACTTGTTCTTCTTGTTCACCGCCATCCTCCAACAAATTCCCGGCATTTCTCCCACGAAACGTTACACTACCATTGTGCCCCTCGGTGTTGTCTTGCTCGTTTCCGCGGTGAAAGAATACGTAGAGGACTACAGAAGAAGACAATCGGATTCTACCTTGAACCATTCAAAAGCGCAGGTGCTCAAAGGATCGTCATTCCAGGATGCGCGATGGATTGAGGTAGCGGTCGGAGACATTATACGGGTAGAGTCAGAGCAGCCCTTTCCCGCCGATCTAGTGTTACTCGCATCCTCCGAACCGGAAGGTCTATGTTACATCGAAACTGCAAACTTGGATGGAGAAACGAATTTGAAGATCAAGCAAGCCATCCCAGAGACTGCTGATCTCGTTAGCACCGCTGAGTTGGGGCGTCTGGGAGGCAAACTTAAGTCGGAACAACCAAACAGCAGTCTGTACACCTACGAAGCGACATTGACTATTGCAGCAGGTGGAGGGGAGAAGGAACTGCCGTTAGCACCCGATCAATTATTGTTGCGTGGAGCCACTCTCAGAAACACACCTTGGATCCACGGCGTGGTGGTCTTCACCGGGCACGAAACGAAGCTTATGCGGAATGCAACGGCTACACCCATCAAGACCACGGCAGTTGAGAGGATGGTGAATAAGCAGATTCTTATGCTTGTCGCGATCCTCATTGGGCTTAGCGTCATCAGTTCCGTTGGAGACGTGTTGATCAGAACAACCAAGGGATCAACTCTTGAGTATCTCAGATACGACGGTTTCAACGGCGCTTCTCAGTTCTTCCTTGATCTGTTGACCTACTGGGTCCTATACTCCAACCTCGTACCCATCTCACTGTTTGTTACAATCGAAATCGTCAAGTACTGGACCGGTATCTTGATCGATTCAGACCTCGATATTTATTACGAGCCCACGGATACACCTGCCAACTGTCGGACTTCGTCTTTGGTGGAAGAACTAGGCCAAATTGAGTACATATTCTCCGACAAGACCGGAACGCTAACCCAGAACATGATGGTGTTCAAACAGTCTTCCATTGCAGGTATCCAGTACTCGGATGAGGTACCTGAAGATCGCAGGGCGACGTTTGAGGATGGTGTCGAAGTTGGTATTCATGATTTCAACAGGCTGGAAGAAAACCGCAAGACCCATCGCGATAGAGACATTATCGACAATTTTCTGACATTGTTGTCAACATGCCACACTGTTATCCCTGAACGAGGTGGCGAAAAGCAAGAGATCAAATATCAAGCTGCTTCACCTGACGAGGGCGCTCTAGTCGAGGGCGCTGTACAGTTAGGCTACAGGTTCATTGCGCGCAAACCTCGCTCGGTCACGATTTTGGTAGATGGTCGAGAGCGAGAATATGAGCTCTTAGCAGTTTGCGAATTCAACTCCACGCGGAAGAGGATGTCGACAATTTTCCGTACTCCAGAAGGAAAGATTGTATGCTTTACCAAGGGCGCCGACACCGTCATATTAGAGCGGCTAGGGAAGAATAACCCGTACGTGGAAGTGACTTTGGCCCATCTTGAAGAATACGCCGCGGAAGGATTACGTACGCTGTGCTTAGCGATGCGCGAAATTCCAGAGAACGAATTCCAGGAATGGCACAAGATCTTTACCACTGCGCAGACCACTGTCAGTGGCAATCGAGCGGAAGAACTGGATAAGGCGGCCGAACTCATCGAGCACGACTTCACCCTTCTTGGAGCCACTGCGATCGAAGACAAGCTTCAGGATGGCGTTCCCGACACCATTGCGACTTTGCAGACTGCGGGTATCAAGATATGGGTCCTGACTGGTGATCGACAAGAGACTGCTATCAATATCGGAATGAGTTGTAAGTTGATTAGCGAAGACATGAGTCTACTGATAATCAACGAGGAGGACAAGGAAGCGACAAGAGACAACATCAACAAGAAGCTGAATGCTATCAATAGTCAAAGCCAAGGTGGCGCGGAAATGGACGTTCTAGCCCTTGTCATTGACGGCAAGTCACTCACCTACGCCTTGGAAAAGGACCTGGAAAAGACATTCTTGGACCTGGCCGTCAAATGCAAAGCCGTTATTTGCTGCCGTGTATCTCCACTCCAGAAGGCATTGGTGGTCAAACTCGTCAAGCGACATCTGAAGGCCATCTTGCTCGCCATTGGAGACGGTGCAAACGATGTCTCCATGATTCAGGCTGCTCATATCGGAGTCGGTATCAGCGGTGTCGAAGGTCTTCAGGCAGCGCGAAGTGCCGATATTGCTATCGGCCAGTTCCGGTACCTTCGCAAACTTCTCCTGGTCCATGGAGCTTGGAGCTACCAGCGTGTCAGCAAGGTCATCCTGTACTCGTTCTACAAGAATATTGCGCTCTTCATGACTCAATTCTGGTACTCTTTCCAGAATGCCTTCTCCGGTCAAATCATTTTTGAGTCTTGGACACTCACATTTTACAACGTGTTCTTCACGGCTGCACCGCCCTTCGTCATGGGTATCTTCGACCAATTTGTCAGTGCCCGTCTGTTGGATCGCTATCCGCAACTCTACCGTCTCAGTCAGACCGGCGTCTTCTTCAAGATGCATTCATTTTGGTCATGGGTTGCGAACGGCTTCTACCATTCGCTGGTTCTCTACTTTGTCTCGCAGGCCATAGTACTGTGGGACTGGCCGCAGGCAGACGGCTTGAACGCAGGCCACTGGGTGTGGGGAACTGCACTCTACACAGCTGCACTCGCTACCGTCCTATTGAAAGCGGCGCTTATCACCAATATCTGGACAAAGTATGCCTTCCTTGCTATACCCGGCTCGATGGCGCTCTGGTTCATCCTTATGCCCGCATACGCTACCGTCGCCCCGATGGTCGATATATCACCCGAGTATATCGGCGTCGTCCAACGCTTGTTCCCTGACGCCCGGTTCTGGGTGATGCTATGTGTGCTGCCCCCGCTTTGTTTGGTGCGAGATTTCGCATGGAAGTACGCGAAGAGAATGTACTTCCCACAGAGTTATCATCACGTTCAAGAAATCCAGAAGTACAACATTCAGGACTACAGACCGCGGTAAGTATCATTATTTACAATGCATTGCATGGGCTTGGAATGCTGACTAGTGTGGTAGCATGGAACAATTCCAAAAAGCCATCCGGAAGGTGCGTCAAGTACAACGCATGCGCAAGCAGCGCGGATATGCTTTCTCACAAACGGATGAATCGCAAGCGCGCGTACTGCAGGCGTACGATACGACGCGAGAACGGGACCGCTATGGCCATATGGCGAGTTCGAGACGATGACCATGAGCTTTTGCTTTTATGTGCAATTTGCATTCTAAACCCTTGGAGTACATTTCTGTGGCGTTCACGGACAGGACCGGGACCAGGGACTGCACCTCCAATTATAGTTGTGTGTTTGTGTAAGGGTGAGCGTTTACCAAGGCGCGGGGCTTTGTTTAAAATAGGTAGTGTGTATTGCTTTGTACGACGAAAGAATGAATGGTATGGGATGCACTACACGAACATCGCATTGATCGAGTTGCCGCAAGTGTGTTGTTACTATTGGGACTATGCAGGTGTCAAGCCAGGCCGCGTAGGTGTCTCGACTTGATTGCTGTTAAAGCATGGCGGCCTCGTGCTCCTCTTACAAAGCTTACTAACGAACAATAGGTGGAACCGGTGCGGAGATGTAATAGCTTCATGTGTCCGCGGATGCAACTCCGGCCCATTCGGTGGAATAGTAGAGCGGCCGCAGTGGCCGCTCTACTTCACAACTCACCCAATGGTCCCACTAGCTCAAGTGATTGTATATAAAGCCAGTCAAACGTCTATGGGGACTGCGCGGCCGATATCGACACATGATCTAGAGTAAACTCACTATGGCGACGAACCCACTGTATTTGTAGGAGCTACCGGTAACCAGGTAATTCTATCATAGTCCTCTCAGCCTACACCAAATAAGCCTCAATTCAAACTTTGAGAGTAGCTTTCTCAAGGGTGGCTCCGTCGCATCCGTCTTCTCCAAACTCCCCGGCTGGCACGTCCGCGGCGTCAGCCGCGACCCATCCAAGCCCATCCACGCTCATCTCAAAGACTCCGGTATTGATCTTGTCCGCGCAGAGTTAGACGATGTCGAAAGCCTCAAGCAAGCATACATAGGCGCGACTATCATCTTCGACACCACGGAAACCTGGCAACACATGAAAGACCCCAAAGCGCAGACCGAAGCCTCCGCCCGCGGCATCACGCCCAATAAAATCGCTTTTGAGCGCGAAGTCCAGTAGGGCAAGAACATTGTCGATGTTGTGGCTGCGACGGCGGCAGGATTGGAGAAGTTTGTCATGTGCACGCTTAATGATAGTAGGAAATGGAGCAAGGGGAAAGTGACGTTCAACCTGCATTTTGAAGCTAAAAGGAAGGCGGTCGAGTACTGCGAGGCGACGTATCCGGAGCTGTGGGCAAAGACGAGTATGTTGCAGCTGGGCTACTTTTTGACGAATTGGAAGAGTGGGCTGGCGCTGCCAAAGAGGGAGCCGGATGGGACGTATGCGTTGGCGATGCCAATGGGTGGGAAGAGCAAAGTGCCGATGGTGGATCCGAATGCGGACACAGGTAGAATTTCTCCCTCTATGCAATCGCAGGTTTACTAACGAGATATTGCAGGCCATTTCGTTCATGCGATTCTCTCTCTTCCACCCAGTGCAAATCTCCTCGGCTGCGGCGGCAAAATTTCCTGGTCCGAGTACGCGGCACTTTGGGGCCGCATCAACGGCGTCAAGGTCACCTTTGAATCCTACCCTGGAACTGTCATGGAAGAGAAGATGGGCTCATTGGGTACAAAGTACGCCGCCATGTTCCAGTATATGGATGAGTTTGGGTACGACGGCTGTGACCTGAGAGTGATTTACCCGTAGGATGTCAAGGAGAAACATGGGGTCAATATCAATTGTAAGACTGTGGAGGAGTACTTGAAGGGCGTAGATTGGAAGAGTGCGGTCTAGTAGAGCCGACCATTGTTTGGATGTCGCTGCGCTCGAAATTGAACTCAGCTTGTATCATTTAAAGACATACGATATAAGCATGAGCCGATAAAGACAAGAAACAAATCCCCGGCTCTTACTAGTCGGGCTTCAAAACAATGTCCTTCCGGGGTAACAAAGGTTCAAGATAAGGATAGTGTCAATTTCCTCTGACTAGTCCTTCTTCAATCCGGTCTTGGGAGCTCCGCGTGTCGGCCCATTGGTGTTGATATTGCCGCATATAACGCACTCGATGTCATTGAGATCAAGCTTTGCTTGAAGACTGTGCAAATGTTGTAGAACCAGAAAAGTCCGGAGAGGACGATCTCCATTCGATACTCATACAACCAAAACTCCATGGATCCAACTGAGCGCGCCCACTCGACCCAAAGCACCAACGCTTGAAGAACAGTCCTTGCCTAACGCCATTATTGAGTAGAATTGCCACCTGCGCGAGAGCGATTCTCACGGTACAGAACCTGACCAGATGATGCAGGTCCCCCGGAAGAGCAGTGGACAGCTGTCTCTGGCGAGTTTGCACCGAGTATTGGAATTGATTCAATAAATTGAGCAGGCCCCAAAGGCCATGATGATATCTCTAACCCCTGTTGACAGCCGTGAAGCCAGCACCCGCGGCGTCCGTCATCTCTGTGTCACCGTTCTGCACTTCGCGTGGTTCTGGAGCCGGAGGATTCGCACTAGAAAGTGCGCGCCGCCGGCCTGCGAATTCCGGGTCATTTTCTGCGGGTGGTGGCCGTGACTCCTCGCTTACGGGGTCGAAGTATGCGCCGCGCGTAGGCTCGGGAGCACGTTGAGGCTGCAGCGGGGGTAGCGAATGTAGCGGTGGAAGAATCGGTTGCGCATTGCCATTGACAGCATGTGGTGAAGTAGCGGTAGCGGTCGGGGCAATGGTGCTAAAGAAGGGGTTATTCGAACGGCTCGGATCCGGCGTGCTTTGCGCAGAGGACATGGGATTCATCGCATGAAGAAGCGGTTGGTGGTGAGAATTGCTAGGGCTCTCTTGCTGCGCGGGTGCGCCACCGCCTGTGGGTGGTGTGCCTTTACGATGGCTTCGCTTGCTCCTCAACGGCTTGTCGGTGGGCGTCGGCGGCGGACTGCTACTACGGTCCGAGTCATCGACGTTGAACTCCATGTGTTTCTGCAGCTGCTCGAGGAGGAAGGCACGTTCGAGGCGCATCTTCTGGATGCCGCGGTGTAGACGCTTGATGCGCAGGCGCGTGCCATCGTTGTTCTCCTCAATGTCGGTAATGCGCCGTCGGAGGTCGATACACTTCTTGTAATAGGCCTTCTCAACCGAGGGCGGGAGATCTGCCTGGGACAGTGCCCGGGCAGCTGAGTGACGTTAGTGAAGCTCGCAAAGAAATGGGCATCCGCGTAGGGCTCCATGCGAATGGAGCTGCGCGCCGCAAAGCAACAGTATACGCACCCGCTTGAGGCATCTTGGATATCGTTGTAGCAGCTGCGAAATCGGTTTGTTCCACTTGTACAGAGGGAAAAGCCAGCGTTCGGAGGGGAGACTGGGAGGAATGCTTCGGTGATCGTTGAGTCTGCAACTTTTGGAAGCGCGTAGACTATCGTGAGCTGGAATTGCCAAGACCTTCGCGGCGTCGCCGTTTCTCCGCGTCCGACGCTATCGATCGAAGACCGGGTCACAAGCGTGCGAGTTCCCCACTTGCATGAGTTTCTTTCTAGTACTGTAGATGCTGCTTGCGATCTTTAGGTTGTTTTGTATGCGTCTAGCTTTTTAACTCCTGCTAAATATATGCTGTTTGTAGCTCAATCTTCATCAATCAGCCAATCGGCAGCAACTGCTTTCCATCAGCTTGATCTGCAAGGCACTTTGGCGGATATGTGAAGATGCACGATGATGAGGCAGGAGAATTCGTCGGGGGAGTAAACGGGAAGGCTGAGACTGTGGTAGGCGCAGCCTCGCCGTCGCAGTTTTCGCAGTCTGCACCGTCACGAGCTCATCAAAGCACACCAATTGCAGCGCTGATATTCGAAATATTGTCCAAATCTCGATCTAATTTCAAAAACGATGTGTTCCATACGTAGCGATCTAGTGTGAGGCGAATGTCCAGGTTCTAAGTTCCCCTGCTCCTCCATGAGGAAGGCGCTGCCCGTACCGCGACATCTTAGTGAGCGAAGCGAAAGTCAAGCCTACGGCGCTGTCAACTTTTGAATTCTAACGTTTCCAGAAAATCGGGATAGCACACCTTTTGTTCCCCTTATCAGACGTAGTTCCAGATACGTCTCCTTCTCCTTGCTCATCGAATTCCACATCTATCCCTCCTCTTATTAGCAATAACATAGTACACCTTTGCTGCAGAGGATGCGGTTCACCACGAACTTTTCTTCCCGTTCGTTGAACCACCCGTTCCTGCCACGGATTTTACTGGCCATTTGAGTCGGAGAAGGCGGAAGATAGAAGTAGGAAATGATGCCGATGATACCAGTTAGCATCCCCTCGAGCGCGAAGAGCCACCGCTGGAAAAGGTGTCAGAAGGGGCAGAAGACTTGGTTCAGAAAACACTCACCCAACCCGCCATACCATTATGTCCGCGTAAGCTAAAAATACCGAAGGTGAAGAATGCGGAGATAATTTGCGTGCATTGGTAGGATACCCAGAACCACGATAGTCGGGCGGGTAGTTCAAGACCTGTATAGAAATACGATAGGTACAAGATGTTATCGGGCATGACAAATAGTACATGGCCGTTCGGTCCGAGATAGTACACCTACGATAAAACCCCCTTCAATGAGACCTAAAGGGGCGCGGCACGCGAATAAACTCTTTCTTCTAGTTAAGAAAGCTTGCATCGAGGCCACAGGATCCAAGACACCCTGCCGAGCTGTCAGTCAATAGCTTCGTGCTGAGTCTGGCATTCCTACATTTGGATGGGGATCCAGTTGTCCGGGCCAAGTTTCTTGCTGATGAGTTGCGAAGGGAGTTCAGCAGCAAGAAACGAACCAAGGAAGATGGTCTGTCCGTACTTGTAGTCATTGGTGTTCTTCTTGAGATCTTCCAGAAAGTTGTCTGATAGTGCTTGACTGATATTGCCTCGGTCCCGTTGCAATGCGAAGAACATCAGACGAACCCATGTACATTCTCTCTTGTCAATATACGGGAGAGGCCAATATTTCGCTCTGGGGACGGTAGTGCGTAGATTGTGGTACTGATGCAGCTGTAGAAGATATATGCTTTTGAACTTCTTACAGCCGATGCATGGGCCAGATAGGGATCCCTTAATCCTGACATCCATCCACCAGGGTCTAGCCGTGCAGCCGGCCCGCATGGGGTAGCCATGCTTGATGGGACACGGTGAGGCTTGATTCTGAAAAACAGCCACCAGTGATGTGCGCCTTGAAACGCGCATTCTTCCATGGCCCAGGCAAGCGGGTTTCTTTTTCGAGCCTCCTTTACGCCGAGGAACGTGAAGTAGCACCGAAGGACGCAAATATCGAGGAGGAGGATGATTTGGATTTAGCGGGTCGATGTCGCGATGTCTTTGGCTTGTCTGTTGATGGGTATTGCGTGATTGGCCCTGGGCGTAACGACATAGACCGCGAGGACAGACCTTCGGCTATCCACCCGTGGGCGGGAAGATAAGGCGAGAACAGGCCGTTTGTGAACCCTGTTTCATCAATTACTACTGAAAATGCTTTCCAAGGGTTAGGGTTGTATGAAGGTTGCCACCTTTGGGAAGTCAGCTCCACCGAGAACCGCCAATGTCACAATCCATGCATGCCTGATGCAATCCAGCGAGCTTTTGATTGAACCATAACGCCAGGGCAACCCCGCTCGGTGGCAATACTTCAATAGACTTCCTTTGCTCTTGCGATGCTGCTCTTTTTCCTTATGGCGTGTTTGGCTTGGCCATACTGCTGACGCAGCTGCCGACAGCCGTCTGCGAATCGATGTCAGATCATCGGATGCCAATGAGGGGTCATCGAGCTAGCGATCAATCATAGCGTCGCTATTTCCGGAGACATGGTTGTTCGCAGTAGTGCGGAGTGAAGCGGTTAGAAGCCCATATATAACGCGGCGCAACCTCTGTTGTCGGGTGGAGGAGTACCTACCATATGCTTGAGCACTCCTCAGAACACCCACATAACTGGCATCATGGCTCCAGCTCTCGTAGAAACGCCGCTCCAAGAGACTATTACTACCAACTACGCCAAGTCTGGAACTGGTGCATATAAGGTATGTTACAGGCTGCCTTGAAATCAGACTTCGCTAAGCACTGTAAGGAGGCGTTCCAAAGTGGCCCTAAGAATTTCAGGGTAGATGCAGAATTGAAGGGAACCGAAAAGCAGCCTCCGGCCAAGTACCCAAACTACTTGCCGACATGGAACAATAAGAAGTATGTTGCAATCGCCCTGGCTTGACTTAGCGTTGGCTGACCACGTGAAAGATACCCGCCTCTTGAGCCGTTCGAGCATTACGAGCACGGCAAGGATGCAGAAGATGCTAGCTTCTCGAACCTTCTCAAGGACGCCACTAGGATTGATGATCTTACTGCGAACATTGGCGCTGAGGTTCATGGCGTGCAATTGAGTAGGCTCACAGATGCCGGCAAGGACGAGTTAGCATTGTTCGTTGCTCAAAAAAAGGTCGTCGGTAAGTGAAAATAAGTTTGATTTCGCATGAGCCCAGCTTCTGACAACAAACAGCCTTCCGCGATCAGGACTTCGCAGACCTTCCCATCGGTGATGCGTTGAATATCGGAGGTTACTTCGGACGACATCACATCCACCCGACCTCTGGTGGTCCAGAAGGTCATCCAGAAGTGCACTTAGTCCACCGTGGTGCCGACGACACCACCTCCCGTGATTTCTTCGAGGAACGCACCAACTCAGTGACGTGGCACTCCGATGTCTCTTACGAGAAGCAGCCGCCAGGCACCACTTTCCTTTACCTTCTGGACGGACCAGCTGCAGGTGGAGACACGCTCTTCGCCAACCAGGCGTTGGCATACCGCAGGCTTTCGCCAGAGTTCCAGAAGAGGCTTCACGGTTTGAAGGTCATTCATTCCGGTGAGTGACCGAATCGAGACTGGGTTTGGGTGTAGACTAACCGACGTACAGCCGTTGAGCAAGCCGACAACAGCAAGAACCGTGGAGGCATCGTCCGCCGCGAGCCTGTCACCTCGATCCACCCTCTCGTACGTACGCATCCTGCGACCGGCGAGAAGGCCCTGTATATCAACCCGCAGTTCTCACGGCGTATAATCGGGTACAAAAAGGAAGAAAGTGACCATCTCCTCAATTTCTTGTACGATCATCTCGCGAAGGGTCAAGACTTCCAGGCTCGCGTAAAATGGGCCCCAGGAACGGTCGTGGTATGGGACAACAGAGTCACGGCTCACTCGGCTCTTCTTGACTGGGAAGACGGAGCGCGCAGGCATCTTGCTCGGATCACGCCACAGGCCGAGGCTCCCTACGAGACTCCCTTTGAGGGCTAGGATGATTTAGCATAAACTTGACCGTATACTTGATACTACTGTGGCTCCTCGTGAAGCATTATCCTAGACTTCGTTGACTAAATCTTTCAACGCGCTGAATGTTCGCATATGGGTACGCTGAATCTCAGTTGACTTCACGCTTCGATACGAGTCTGGTTATTTTTGTGGGTGTAGCCATTCGTGCACGTTTAGGTATGATAAGCAAATCTATCACAAAACTCTACTCTCTTCCCTTTAATTACTCTACAATGCGATAGTATACTTTTATAAAATCTTAGTCGTAGATACTTGGTAGCTATTACTGTATATCGACTTAATTTTAAAGATTTCTATGGAGCTTTGGAGGTAGATCCATCCAAAAAATGCGTGCTACCTTACCTCATCGCGCATGAGTTATTTCACCCCTGTTGTCGGAATTTTTCAAGCGTTTCAGAACGCGTATATAGTGTGCTCGTAATTCTCTCGTACAATGACGCGACTTTACACTGGGCGCATACTGCATTGGTTCTAATGCACGCGTAGCAACCCAGAATTTCTTTTTTTCTCGGGGAGTAAACAGATATACGAGCTTACGAGACGTACTAGCGACAAAGAACGCTAGGAAAGAGATGTTTGACGGAGAGGAAGTAGCAGGGTGGCACGATAACGGCACGCGCGGCATTGGTGTGAGAAATCGTAAACATTTGTGCACACCATCACTACTTCAACGCCTAATCTAGTCGTACATGGCGAAGCTTGTACTATTACCTGCTGAGAGCTATATGTAGAGGAATGTGTCCTGTGATCATGTCTCCCTTGGTACAATCATGAGCAGCGACGGTCTTCCATCTATTGTGTGGAGCTGAGCTCAGATAGTACAGTTTCCTCATTGAGCATTGCCTGATAACGAAATAAAGTTACAGATGGTGACCTACTACAAAAGTGTGCACGTAAATCAGGCACATCGAGATTCACTGAGAAAATCATTGTGTCTATTTCTCAAAATCTCAGCGACCCGTACCCATGACTGCACAATCCCGAAAAAGAAGTGCCCATTTCAGGAAGCTCGCTAGTAGGATACCATGTGCCATCACTGTTGTTAGGTCACCTCAACGCCCCCAATGCCAGGGACAGAATAGATCACTCGGACGTACCAGCCTCCACGCAACTCATCAGCAGTCCATCAACCATGAGCAGTCCCACGTCGGCCCTCACAGTGCCCTGATCGCTTTTTTCCGCTTCGGTCGTCTCCTCCTCATCCTGATCCTCCGTGTCCTTTGGCTTCGGCTCCTTGTCCAGAGCCGTAGCCATATCATGCAAGTTGTTTTGATAGACTAGATCAAACTCCAGTGCACAACGATGGCAAAACCGCAGGCCACACCCATTCATTATTACCGGGTCCTCTTCGTCCTCGTGGGCCCCGATGAATGGCTGCGGGGTGCAGCATTGGTGGGTCGCAAGCGAGAAACACATTGAGCACCAACGCTGAAGTTGATGTTGCATTTGGGAAGATGCTGGTGGAGCACTCATCAAGTTCTCCGCGGCAGCATCGTAGTCAAGCGCACTCTCTTGAAGTCTGATAGGTTGAATGACGTGATCAGGACATACCATAATCTGAAGCCGGTCGCAAGTGCACTGCTGGCACATGGTAGTCGCTTCATTCCCCTCGCGATGTCCGTTGCCGAACTCTGTATAGCCAAGACCATTGCTCCACCGGATGACGTGAACTTCTCGCTCAAAGTGCCCGACCATGCCGAAGATGGGCATCTCACAAAAGTTGCAGTCAATGACAGCATTGGAATGGCCAACGGGGTGGTTAGAGAAAACCATTGGATGCGCGAACGATGTTTTGATCGTGGTTAGGAACCCTCTATGACCTTCTGCATCCTCCATTTCTTCAAGCGGCTCATTCTCCGCTGCCTCCTCCTCGTCAGCGGAACTTTCTGCGTCCATATACGCAAGATCCTCGGGGCTGAAGAGGTCAGAACCAGGGATCGAGGTCTCGGGTGCGATCTCTTCTAGGAGCGTGCGCTTGGGATCCTTGACCTGCTCGCTGGCTGTTAGCTCTTCGCCCTTGCCCTTTGTCTCCTTATATGCGGATTTGTCATTCTCATGTGGCGCAATGTCATAGAAGTGACAACCAATCCTCTGCTTCTTGCACCGCTTGCATGGAGGCTTATCCGCCGTCTTCTTAAGCGAGCAACGTTTCTTCTCTTCGCGACAGTGTGTGCACGATACCCACTTCCTGTCTTCACCGTAATGGTCTCGATCCAAATCGATGCGCTTGGCCTTATATCCTCTCGGTGGTCTGGCCTTGCAGTCGAGATTATCTGCTTCGAGGCATTCGTCGCACATTGCTATTTGTCTAGTACAATCATGTCAGCTGGGCGCAAATAGGCACGAGAACGCAACACTTACGGTTCGCCGTTTGTGTGCTCGAACGAGCAAGTCTGGCCATGCTCTACACAACGTTTGCATGGTCCAAACGCGTTTGCCGCGATAATTGGCTCGCAATCAATCTTTCCGTGGACGCATCCTTGGCACGGGTATTCCCCAGTCACCATTGAACAAGCCTTCTCGTCAGTGCGACATTTCTTGCAGCCTCGTGCGGCGGGGTGACCGGTGAGATCGTCATACTGTCTAGCCGGGTCTGGAATATGTAGATTCGATACGGCGATCGGAGTGTCGTCTCGCACGAAAGAGAGGAGCTCCTTCACAGTGTCTGAAGCAAAAGCTCGGACTGTTTGGGATTTTAGATTCATCCTTGGGTTTCTGGGTCCCTCCTCAGCCTCGTCGTTCGTATAAATGATTGAGTGCCCTTCGGGCCAGTTGTCCTGGTTATCAGTGATGTTGATAACACTACCCATAGCCTTGAATTTGAGAATGAGAATAAACTTGTCTTTGCGTTCACCTTCAGCCTCTCCTTTAAATTTCTTGGACTTCTCTTTCTTAGCTTGCTGAACGTGTTTGGCCTGTCTCGCCATGCGAGCTTTGAGAAGTTTCTTGCGTGTCTCTTCCGCAGGGTCGTAGTTTCCACTTTGGTCGATATCGATATGGGTGGTGGTGGCACCTTGCCGGTTGATGTTTCTCCGCAGACCATAAGATTCCACAGGATCATCAATATACGCGGGAACATCAACATCGTCGTGTCTCCCGACGCTCTCTATGTCCGATAGAACAGGCGAAAGTCTCTGCGACTGACCAGTTTCAAATGGGTCGAAGATTGTCTCCAGGTTGATATTGGATCCAGCTACCATAGGTAGTCCATCATTATCATCGACGCGACCCTCTTGCTGGTCCAAGTCCAGGCTGGAAAACATCATGCCGAGGCTAATACCTGGTGTCTGTGGTGGAACCTGAAAGAAACGCCGGTCAAGGTTTTGTGTACACCGCGGCAACTTTAGATCTTACCTCTTCGGAGTTGTCAGGCTCGCTGTTGGATCCGCCACACAATGAAATGAATCGCTGCTTTTTTGTGGGGCTCGGTACTGTGGCGCCGTCGCCGTCTCCTTGATCGCTCAAGCGTCGTGAAAGCTTCTTACCTTGGGGCGACTTGCAAGACTTCGATTTTGCAAACCGATCGCCGAAGAGGACGTTAAAATGTTCGTCATCGGACATTCCCTTTTCGAAAGACAGCAGTTGCTGACCGCCGGCACCTTTTTTGTCAATATCCATTGCACCGTTATTATTCGGTAGACTAGGGTCCTGAAACAGAGACACAATCGGCATACTGTCCGCCATGACCAACTTTGAGCGTGTGGGATCCGAACATCATTTAGACTCTCACAAAGAAGGCTATAGCGTGTCTTTGGGTTCGAGACGTGTCTTCGCAGTCGTCTCTCACCAGGCGATCATTCTACGCTTCGTTACACGCTTATATTACTTGATGCCCACTATGAAAGCGGTCAACATACGTCTACCAATTTCACCAACGCAGTCATGCACCAGACAAGAGTATTTCCATCGCGCACAACAGGATACAACAGCATGCAGAGCCTACTTTTCACAGGACCTTAGACGTATATACCCAGTCAAATTCAAAGGCATCGGCTTCTAAGCCCCAACATGGTTCGCGACAGAGACGCCTCTTGGAAGACCGAGCTTTCGGAAGGCGCAGTCCGCTATCGAGACTGGATATCTGTAAGACGGCGAATATCTATTACTGAATCACTTCGTGAAGACAGCTGATAACGGTGTCCCTCCTGAAGGTCGAAGGCGTTCCTTCCAAAACTCCAGAGCTCTTTCCCAGCCAGCCAAACAGACCCGCGCCTTGTTTTTATCCACGCTACAACCTCCAGCAAGAATTTCGGATTCGCCTCGCAACACAGACAGAGCAGCTTGTTTTTCACGATGCCGAAGGTCAGGCCAACAGCGGAGGCCAGTATCTCAGATGAAGTTCCGAGGCAGCGAAAGCCACGCCAACCAAGGACACCACGCCCAGTATCAGGAATTCTTAGGTACGTCGGTGACCTGCACTAGCTGGGTGGAATTGATCTGACTTGGGATAGCAATGGAGCGGTGTTGCGAAACCTTAGAGCCGGTATGTCATCCTTCTATCCTATGCCTGATCTAATTCTTCATAGCCGCTTACCCACTGACATCGGAGCTGCCCCACGCCTCTTCTAATAATTCGAGGCCTCTCAGCCGCGAATGGATGCTCTTACCATACCATGGCGAACCTGAAGAGCAATACGTAGCTCGTACTCCCCCGGTCGTTCAGCTTGCGCCTCTGCCTGAGGTGGGAGAGATGAGTGAGGATGAGGCCCCATCGCTCGAAGAGATGGAATCACACCATGAATCAAGGAATTGGGATCAAAGCCTATCGCATCCTTCAAATTATTATTACAACCTTATTGCATACTAGAAACACCTCCTAGGACCAATTCGGGCGTACACTAAAGAACAGTACCACATTATCATTTGTGGAGCTCTACATCCCCGCAAAACGGTTACATATAGACAACTATCTAATAAGTCGAGTTAGCTTTTACGTACCCACATACCGGTCAGCTCATGCGACAGTATCTAATAATATCTAGAATTGCCGCTACTCTTAAACTCAAACGCAAGGATGCATAGAAGGCAGGCCACTAGCACTAGTAAGCTAGCCATTTACATAACCTATCTATAAAGTAAGTAATTTGTGCTGCACAGGATCACATTGTGTTACAGCTAGGAAGAGATAATGCCAGTATTCAAAAGCGCCACTAGTCAGATGAACTCGCCTACAATCATCCTAAGGAAGGAAAATGTCTTCATAGGAAGGTCTGGTATTATAGCGAGGCGCCGCCTAAGAGGTCGGTGGAGTGGCTCCAAAAGGAATTAGCTAAAGGTATGTCTGAAAAGGTTTCAGTTTTAGTAATTTTGACTAACCTCTTCCCTAGGTATCCTCACGCCGACTGATGGGAAACCGTACCAGTCAATTATCATCCCAAAAGACCTCAAAATTTTCCAGCCAGAGCAACAGTATCCTGAATATCGCCACCTTTCTCCGCTTCAACGGTTTCCGGCCCTACGATTAGCGATTGCAGACATTATCTAGGTGGCTGTGGTTCTAGGAATGCCAAGATATCAACGATTTATGGTATGGATCCACAAGTAATACATCTTCGACATTTTGGCAACCACGAATAGATAGTCAGCTTTCAGTCTGAAAGGCACCTCTACAGTCTCATAGGTATTTCGCAATGTGTTCGAATATCACAACGCGGTCAGTGTTTAAAAGGCTGGTGAGATCTGGTGTGATGCGATAGATGATCTTGACAAACCTATTGAATGTCGAGTCGACCGTACAGTCTCTAGTGCAGGGAAGAGACACGCGATAGGGCAAGACTCAATGTTTTCAAGACACAAACGGCTATCATGATGTATCTCCAATCACCACTACCTCCAACCCTCGTTCACGCTCTATACGTCAATCAAATTCTCTCCATCCTGCTGCTGCTCGCCCGAATTATCTCTCGTATCTTTGTTCCCTTTCTTCTTTCGCTCGCTCTCCCGTTCCCGACTTCTAGCATAGAACTGATCCAGCACCTTGGCCGGAATACGGTTGAGCAACTCCTTAGGATAGATGCGAAGCAGCGACCAAGCGAGGTCGAGCGATTCGTAGATGGAGCGAGACTCGTAGGCGGATTGTGCGATGAAGGTGCGTTCGAACTTCTCGAGGAATTCAAGGGAGAGCTTGTCCTCGGAGGAGAGGGCCTCCTCACCAACAACGGCCTTCATGGCGGCGGCATCACGACCAATGGCGTATTTGGCGTAGAGCTGGTTGGACACATCACCGTGGTCTTTTCGGGTGCGGCCTTCACCGATGGCGGACTTCATGAGACGGGAGAGGGAGGGTAGGACGTTGATGGGTGGATAGATACCCTTGTTGTCGAGCTGGCGGTCGATGAAGATCTGGCCTTCGGTGATGTAGCCGGTCAAATCGGGGATGGGGTGGGTGATGTCTACGAACGATTAGCTCTCATAACGTTGTGCGGATGCTGGATGGCATACCGTCGTTGGGCATAGTCAGGATAGGAATCTGAGTGATGGAGCCGTTCCGGCCCTCGACACGTCCTGCGCGCTCGTAGATGGTTGACAAATCCGTGTACATGTAACCTGGGTAACCACGACGACCGGGCACTTCTTCGCGAGCGGCGGAGACTTCGCGAAGGGCATCGCAGTAAGAAGACAAGTCAGTGAGAATGACCAAGACGTGCTTCTCGAGCTGGTAAGCGTAATACTCGGCCGTGGTAAGCGCAAGACGAGGAGTAATGATACGCTCGATCGTAGGATCGTTGGCCAGGTTGAGGAACAGCGTGACACGCTCCATACTGCCGTTCTCTTCGAAATCTCGTGTGAAGAAGCGACTTGTCTCCAAGTTCACACCCATAGCACCAAAGACAATGGAGAAATTCTCCTCGTGTCCATCGTGTACGTCCTTTGTAGGCTTTCCAACGAGACCAGCTTGCCGACAAATTTGAGCGGCGATCTCGTTGTGCGGTAGACCGGAGGCGGAGAAAATGGGAATCTTCTGGCCACGGGCGATGGAGTTCATGGTGTCAATAGCGGAGATGCCGGTGGAGATCATTTCTTCCGGGTAAACCTATACTAGATTAGCTATTTTGTTTCGTCGTGCCTGTAGGATGCCGTACTCGGGAGTAGGGGTTAATGGGACTGCCGTTGATATCGAGGTAGTCCTCCGCAAGCACCTTAGGACCCTTGTCGATGGCTCTGCCTGATCCATCGAAGATACGACCCAACATGTCCTCAGACACACCGAGCTTCAAGCTGTGGCCCGTGAATTCGACTTTCGTCTGTCTCAGTCAGATGCGCTTCTCTTTCAGAAATGGTGACGTATGTACCTTCTTCACATCGATTCCGGAGGTACCTTCGAAAACCTAGGGCGATTAGCGTGTCGCAAGAAGCATGGGCTCGCAGACGGTACCTGAACGACTGCTCGGTTTCCTGCACATGGCGTCAGTCCGTGTTGAGCCACAGCTGGAGAAGGGCTTACCTCGAGCTTCCAGGACCTGACCAGACCGCTCTGAGCCGTCAGGCAGTGTCAAGGACACGATCTCGTTGTACTTCGGGAATTTGACCTATCCACCCCAAACATAAGCTTCTGACCTCTCCTTTCCAGCTTTCAGGACTACGCACATTGTCGAGAATGACCAATGGTCCGTTTACGCCGCCGATAGTATTGTACCGTATCCGCGGCGACACCTTCATCATGCGGGGGTCGACATCAGCCATGGTGGCGGTCAGAGAGAGCGAAGCTGATGAGATGGTGTAGCGCTCCGCGGGAGGAAGACGGTCTCAGCGAGGTGCTCGTCGGCGATGCGATGTCGTGGTGCTGGAGCTGTGCTTGGTGGGAGGAAGCTTGGATCCACTGGCTGCACCTGCCTCGCACAGCTGCATCATAGGTGTCTTGGCACGGGCCGCTAACCTCTTACCATGTTCTAAAAGCCGCATCGAAATGCAGACGCAGTGAACTCTGCAGCGACATGAGCTATGATGCGACACTGGCAACCCGATACAAGTGTATGATTTACAGTGCGCAGTGTACATGCAGCTATTGTAGTGGACTTGCAAGTTAATCTAAGCTTCAGCAAGACTGTACACGCTTTACATCACGCTTTACATCCACGTTCATCGACTTAGTTGATTGTCTAGCCTAGACACTCTATATACTACTATATATGGCTGCGCAAACCTAGATGAGCGCTCCAGCAACCATTTATCAAAGGATATATAAGCATAGTGGTCTTCATGTACAAGGTGCAACAGCCTAATCATGCTGTTAGCGGCGTCCTTGAACGAGACAGCAGTAACAAGAAGAGCTGGATGGAGGGCTCAGACATCCAAGGAAGGTTATGCGCTCATCGACTATCGGTTGATGGGTTCAAGTGATAGCTAGCGTGGAAACTGCGAATGTGGAACAGTTTTCATCATAGCCAGGGAAGAGGAAAAGAAAAGAGAGAGACTGACCTGATACGCAAGATACTGCAGCAGCTATGACGGTTAGTAACCGGTTGGTCTCTACGCAGACGTGTATCAACAGCTAACCGACTCCCGATACTGTCACCTCCAACTGGGTTACATCTTGCCCACACAATGTTTGTGTACAGTATAGTAGCCAGAGATGGCACAGTGCCGCGACTACGTCGAGAGAGCAGTCATACGTGCAATCAGCCTATTGAGCAGTCAGCTACGTCTCTAACGAGTGTGTCGAGGATGCTCGGAGTGAAATGGAGATCAGGCGAAAGTACTGGCAAGTAGCAGGTGCCCTGCGAAAGGCGCCCGGAACAGCATAAATTTCTTCAAGGTCGACTCTGTTGGGAAAAGAAGAAGTTGAAAATTTCATCAGGAAATTGTGGAGGTGCAGGTGTTCGCTGTACGTACCAAAAGACAGTTCGCTGTACGCAGCGTTGTCAGCGAGCAAAAAGCACGGCCATGGCACGACACCTGGACGATAGAGAACAGACTCGGGCAATGGGTAGCAAGCCCAGGCGACGGGGGATGGTGGTGAGAATTACCAAAAGAAGAGTGTCGGTGCGAGGAAGAGAGAAGGCAGCGGAAGAAAACATTTGAAGCTCGCGCAAGGCGCGCCAAATCAACTGCTAAGCGCATCTAGGATAGCGCCCCACGCCACGTGACCGACCTTCATCACCGGAACAGTCCGTCGAGCCGCCCAGGGGCTCCGAATGCTGTAGCAAACGCTGCATAATTCGCGCAGATATATACACCTTTACGTGCAGCGCTGTCCAGCTTGTCTCTAAGGTTTTTATCGCGCAAGGTCGAGTCGCGCAGCCGGGCAGTCTGAACGCGGTCACTCCACTGGTGGCTGGCCCCGAAGCAAGCCCGCACGGGATCTGCAGTCAGGCTGTTGCATCGCTCACTTCCCATCTCCCATCCCATCGTCGACGACCACCCACGTTCCCCTGCCCGACAAGCGGCCACAGCATCACGCGCGCTCGCTCATGCAGTGCCGCCCTCGACGCGCCTGACAGAGTGCACCGCCGCGCCATTGCAGCCTCTGCCTCTGCCTACAGCTGCCCACACGTTCAACGCGGATGCGCGACGACAGCGCACGACACACCACAGCGCCCGCACCGGAATCGCTCCCAAACGACCTCTTCCACCCATCTCCATCTTGCGCGCCCCCTATTGCGCGACTCAGCAGCTGCAAACCTCGCAGTCGCATATCAGCCCCGGCATCTGCCGGTCGTCGGCAGCAGTGTACGTCGCGCCGATCGCGACATCTGCACCCGGAGGACCCCTCTGCCACCTTCGCATTCGGTCAATTTGTGTCTTAGTCCGGCGTTCGTGGCTTTTTCGAAGTCGACAAACCACTCCGATACAATCGGCGGCCTCTGGGACTCATACTCTTGAGGACTGTATGCATAGTGGGCGACACCGTACAACTCAACTACCCGACCCCGCGTTTGAAAGTTCGACCTGATACCGCTTCAATCCATTTGTCAAGTGTCTGGCCTTCTGCACTCTTCTTAGGAAGATTGCGCGAAATCGATAGTAGCAATAGACGCGTTCAAGATGATGCAGGGTCCTTTCCCACCTCAACCCGGCATGCAAATGCAACAGGGTCACCTTATGGGCGCTCCTGGACCCGGCCATCCCATGCAGCAAGGCATGATGCATCAGGGTGTATCTGGTCCGGCTGGCCATGTCAGTCAAGCCGGCCCTATGATGGGCATGCAGTCGGGCGCCCCCAATGCGCATGCGCTATCGCATCTACAGCCCCAGCAGGCGCATATGTTTCAGCAGCAGCAGCAACAACAACAACAACAACAACAACAACAACAACAGCAGCAGCAACAGCAGCATCCAGGAATGAGTAAGTATTTCCGACCATCTTCGTTGACATGCTGACCATAACAGTGAACCCGCAAATGAACCCAGCTCTCGTGGCGCAACATAACGCACAGCGAGCAGCTATGCTGCAGCGGCAACACCAACAGGCGATGCTCCAGAACCACCAAAACGGGATGGGTATGGGCTTTCCCCAGCAAATGACCCCACAGACAATGGCCGCGATGGCAGGCAACATGGGAGCGGGAGGACCTATAGTCAACCTTCCGCCGCATCTTCGTCAACAGTTCCAACAACAGCAGGCCATGTCTCAGCAAGCAGCGCAGCAACATGCAACGAGCAATCCGCAGCAAGCTGCTGCAATAGCTCAAGCACACGCAGCGCAAATCAATCAACAGGCTGCTCAGGCCCAAGCACAAGCTGCTGCACAAGCTCATCAAGCGCAGCAGCAACAGATGCAACAAGCACAACAACAGCAGGCCATAGCTATGCAACACGCTCAGTCGCAACAAAGTAACCACAGCCAGTCCGGCTCCCAGGCTGGACCAGCCACTTCACAAGGTCCACAGCAAGGACCATTGCGCCCGCCATCCGCAATGAGCCACCAGGGACAAGCATCCCCTGCTCCACAACCCACACCGCAGCAGCAACCTCAGCCAGCGCCGCAGCCACGTCAACATACACCCGCACCGAACCAGACCCCCAACATGCCGAACCAACCTAATCCACAGCAGCCAACTCCGGCCCAAATACAGCAGCGACAACAGGCTCAAGGCATGCAACAAGCAGGCATGCAACAAGCACAAGTCAATCCCGCAGCCGCGCAGGCGCAAGCTAATGTCGCACGGATGGCTATGATGAGACAGTCTCAGAACCAGCAGAATCAGAATCAGAATCAGAATCAGAATAATCAGGCCGGCCCAGGGATATTGAAACTGATGAATTTTGCCAATGAGCTGGGAAAATACAATGTAAGTCAGATAATAATGGTTACAACGCGCCCTCATTAACTGTACTAGGCTTCTCGCGCAGATCAACTGAACCAACTCTCGACATGGCAGGCTTTCGTAGGAAAGTTCTTTTCGGAGACTGGAGCCTTCCTCCACGTTGCCTATCATAAAGGCAACGACCGGACGAAAATGTTCGAGGTTGTCTACGCAGCATTGCCTCGCTATTTCCTGTCACAATTCAGTACCGATGTCGAGAATCTGCAAGTCACGATCGATGGTGCCCTCGAGCATAATGTTGGGACTGAAACTAAAGTCGAATGCGATCGAGCGAAGTTCATCTACACATACAAGAACCAGTGTCAGGTGAGTAAAGTATTCTCTGTTTGAGAGCGTCGCTAATCGGTGCAGGTCATTTGTCATGGCAGACTCACAGCTTTCTGGACCGGTGGCAACAACAAGATGGAGTGGTTGCAGTTCGAAATGCAAGGGCATCAACAAATGATACCCCGCGAGCTGTTGGAGACACTTTTCCAACAAGAAGAGATCAATCCTCTGAACGCCCAGCAATCGCCACGCATGAGCAAGAAGAACCAGAAGAATGCACAACAGCGCCAACCACAGGAGGCCACGATGCCCATATCAAAGCTCCCTACTGCGGGTATGACAGATTGGGGGTTACCGCCTGGGCTATTCCACTATCTTGAGGTAGGCTTGGAACACCAACCGTCATCGAAACGAATCATGACTAAGGCGAGTTAGATCTACGAAACCATGAACAACATGACAAGCTTGATGACCCACTACCACGAGAATCCCAACCTTACACCTGCGGCTGCCATGGAGAACTGGACTCGCGAGATGTCTGCTGGAAATCCCATGGCGCAACAGAACGCTGGACGAATGCAGGGCGCAATGCCTCCGGGCCAGGGTATGCAGCAACCACCGCAAGGTATGCCTGCAGGTTCACGGACGCCTTCTGGCATGGGTCAGCCGGGTTTACCGCCAAACCAGTTCATGTCACCGGCGATGCCAAACGGCCTTCTCCCAAACGGACACATGAGTTCACCTAGTCTCATGCAGCAGAATCACACCCCGTCACCCGCATCACATGCCATGGCCCACCAGCAAAGCCAGAGCTCGAACACAGCCAGTGTCAACACTTCTCCAAACGTCAACAACAAGCGACGGCGAAGTACAGCGAAGATAGACATTGACGACGGCGGTGGCGACGCAAACGGCGCCCCAAAGGTCAAGCCGAGTCCCAGAATAGGAGGCAACAAGAGAGTGAAGGGCAACAATTAGCCTCGCGTTCTTCCGTTCCTTGTTTTGTCGGTTCAATGCTGCATTTCTCCCTGTATAGCGTGGCGTTGCGTTTCTCTATTTCATTCCCACATTCGCGCCTGTCTGCTATCTTCCTCGTGTTCCTCTGGTGTTATGTCACCATACTGATTGCTTGTTGCTTGCTTGGGCGGTACACTTGCTATTCCCCAGACTCTCGTCTAGTTTCATCGATCTGGCGTATGGGCATCTGCGCAAATTTCCCAATCTCTTCACATGGTCGTACTTCAGACTCCCATTGAGTTTGTTACCTAATTTTCTTGTATATTATGGTGGGCTTTGACAAGATGCTTTCACAGAGTGAGCGCAAGGGAGCGGAACAAAATTTTCATAACTGTTCCTGGTGTTCTCCTAAGCTTTGTAGGGAAGATTGGGTGCGCGTTCGCGCTCAAAGACGCGCAAGCTCTAAGCTATACGGAATAAAGATGACATGACTTCATTTACCTGTTCTGTCTAAAATTGCCTAGCTCTCGCTTTTCCGAATGTTAGGGATGCATTATCAGGTCACATCTTGATTCGCAGGAGTTTCAAATCCCCCACCAGCCCTTATATTACCGCGCGAGTCGGTCTCTCGCTTAGCAGTGTACATTGGCCATACTCTGTCCGGTTTGAGCTTTGGAGATTCAACATCGTCCAAATTGACCTAGACCATACTATTGGACGATCCTTTGTAGGAGCAGCGACATATAGGAAACTTCATACGACCCTTCCGTCATCGGTGAATCGGTCTCATATTGCTCAGTCAGTCTTGCGTCCAATACTTCCCTACGGCCTCGTCAGAGGGGTTGGTACCCTATGTTGTCCAGGTGTGAGTAGTGTAGTAACGAAGCCTTTCAGCTAGTGTCTGGGTCCAGTATCACAAGCAGAAAATATTGCACACTGTACATGAAGTATATGTTATAGTGCCCAGCGGAGTTAGAGAAGTCATTGTCTTCACCATGCGCCTTCTAAATCCGCTCGCTAACGCGTATATTCCTTCACTAGGCCGCCTAGCAACAGACGTAGACACAACGCGCTTCACCTAGCAACTGGCTGGCGGCGGGATAGGTACAGCAAGTTTTGGCCTTCCTGCTCTTTCTCCTCAACAACAAAGTCTAACTTGCTCACGGAGAGCAAGTAGACACGCCGCCCGCTGACGCTTCGTAGCCGCCGCCGCCGCACCGCCCTCGCCCGCGAGAAGAGTCTACCGACTATAAAGATGAACAACAAACAGAAGCAGGAGAGGTATGTACCATGTGTGATGTGATCTGCCAAGTGCTTCCCCTTGCCCATTTGATCTGAGCGTTGCTTTCTTCAGGCGTTGCTTTCTCATTGAATGGGTGGGATCGGAGATAGAGGTGAGTGATGGGAAGATGCGGCAGGCAAATGGGAATACGAAGGTACGATTGAGACAGATTTCGAAATGGACCGCGAGGCGATACCTACGATGCAAGCTTTATGCCCGAGCAAAAACAGACCGATGCGAAGACGAGGCAAAGGCTGGGACGCACGAGCGTCTGGCACTGTAAATGCAGGCCAGTTGGAGAAGAGATGGACAGCGCTCAAGGCCATGCCACCTGCGCTGCGCTGGACATATGTCATGAAGAAGAGAAGAATTGGGGCATGATAAACTGGATGGCATCTTGGCAACGCTGTTGGACTTGGAAGGAGCGCAATAATCGAAAGTGCGTGTTCCATTGGAAAGCACGTTGACACCTGGAAGGATCCAGCTTCGACGTCTCGTCACCCGCCCTACCACTTTGTCCACTTCGGCAAGTATGCTCTCCTTCACGGAGATTCGTTCAGGCAGAGACAGGTTAAAGACCCCAAAAAGTATGCTCGCTTCTCCAGCCTTTGAACGCGAAGATACATTGAAGACCCCGACACTTTGCACATTGGCCGCACCAAATCTCACGTCAACACTGGTATCAGTTTACGAGAACAGCCGCACCACATCCCTGCTCGATACAATTCAACGCACGTCTACTTCGGCTTCGCAACACAAGGTCGGTTGATCGTGTTCTACAATTCACGGCGCAAAACAACCGCATAGCATTGCCACCAAGCGTTTCTTCCCACAACTCTAAGTGTTCTCCCACACCAGTCTACGAAGGAAGTCACATCGAGATATACCACGGCACGCCCAACACCCAAATCATTCCGGCCTCGTGCTCCACGTTTGGTATACCATCTCTCAAGGCTCATGGCAGAAGCCGCTTCCCGACGTCGCCATCATACGTATTACAGCGGCACAAGATGCCCCCATATTGGGCCAATATCGGAACAAGGAAGAAGTATACCCTGGAAATGGTGTGCCACAGCAGCGTTCCAGTCTACCCTGGGAGACGTGTTGCTCAGGGATTTGGCATGGGCTCAAGACAGATGGATTGTCTCGCTCGTGTCGAGGACTTGTTCAGGTGGCATGGTCCATTGAGCCCACTTTGGCTATAGTATGCCAGAGCAAGGCTATCAACATTTAGAAGGGCGGCACATAGAGCAGAGGGTAGCGATCATTAAGCGGGACTAACACTTTGATTGATGTTGAAGCTAATGCCGTCTAGTTCGCCCGGGGTAGTGGGCCACGTCCCACCCCTGCGCGTCTCCTTCGCGCCGACGGTGACCGCCCCAGAGGTCGACAAGGTCTACGCGGGACTGGAGGCGTACAGGGGGTCCTCCTTCGTCGGCCGCTGGGCAGCCGGCCAGGTGACAGTGGACGAAGGCGGGCCCCGTGACGCCATAACGTTCGTGTGGGTGATCAAAGGTACCCACGGCAGGGTGGAGGACCCGTGGGCGACCTGTGAGCTGCGCATGCGGTCCGCCAACGGGTAAGGGTGTAGAAGCTGGCAGTTTTCAAGTATTACTAACGCCTTATAGGACCGGAGATATTTACGGGACCGTCCACTTCCACCGGAGTGGACGGGAGACTCTCGTCAAGCCCCACCAGCGTAAGTGAACCCCAGCCCCTACTGCCCAGCTAGGAGAGGAGCACATACTTTGGAGGAGTGGGTTCCCGTACGATCTGGACGCCTTATTCACATATACATAGGAACCGTGTGTGTACTGACGCCGGGGGTTGGCGTCGAATACGACCGGGTACGTATGGCAATCTTTGCATCTTATCAAGCACCATGCGTGAGGAATTCGGCTCACAAGCCCCATTCTCTTCCTAATTCTGCGTGGTGTACTGATTTGTCACAGAATGATATTGAATTCCCGATTTCCGACCCCCCGCGTCCGCTGCGTCCTCGGGCGCCGCCTTGCGGCTGGGGGAGAGAGGCTCCGCGCCCGCTCGGTCCGCCTCCAGCGAACTAGAGGTATGTGTCCACATACCATCCCATGCTCCCCACATCCACTTCCTCAGGCTCTTGAACGGTTGCTCGCCCGGCCTTGGATTCATGGGGTCTTTTGCGAAGTCGTGGAAGAGGACTCCATAGATGACGACGAAGCCGATGAGGTTCCACTGCACGATCTTGGTCCAGCGCTGCCACTGCGGTTTGATAGACTTGAGTCGCAGGCGGCGCTTGAACTTGCGCTCGAAGCGGAACTGCTGCTTCGCGGTGAGCTCCCTGAGATTGGGCGGCCAATGCTTCTTTGCTTTGTAGCGATTCAGGGCGAAGTTGAAGGGCGGCAGGTCCGACTTCGGGGCTCGTCCGAGCAGGCGCGCGAGCAGCTGTAACATTGTCGTCGAGGGGATGCGGATGCGTCGAATGTCGCGTGTTTGTTGGTGGTGATTGAAAGTTTACTGACGTTCGTTTCCTAGGCTCGCACCCCGGCTGGCGCACGGCCCCCCGGCGCCACACTGAGACGTCCACCGCTTCCCCTTTGGCACATTTTCGACTGGCAGCTCTGACTCGACCCCGCGACCCCACTACCGCCTCGCGACAACCACTTTTTCTTTCGACCGCACCCACGCTCTTTTCCTACACTTTCGAGCCCACTACAACATGGCTGAAGCGGCAGCCCCAAAAGAGATACCCACCAGCGCTGTAAAAGCTACACTCAGCGCCCTGGACCCCGAACAAAGTAGCGCAAACACTCTCAAGATCGAAAACACTGAGAAGCGCGATGCATTGATTAAGGAAGAGAAGAAATACCAACAGCAATGGGCCGACTCACATGTCTTCGAGCCCGAGGCGCCCTCCATAGACGAGGAGCCCTTCGACACAACCACGCCTGACCAGCTGCACGAGAAATATCCTAAATGGCTCGGCAACTTCGCATTTCCCTACATGAACGGCACTCTCCACGCCGGCCACGGTTTTACCGCCTCCAAGATTGAGTTTACCGCAGGTTTCTCGCGAATGCAAGGCAAACGAACTCTTTTCCCTCTCGGTTACCACCTGACTGGTATGCCCATTAAGGCATGCTCCGACAAGCTCGTCCGCGAAGTCGAGATGTTCGGTCAGAACTTCGAGCGTTGCCCCGTAGACGACATTGTCGAAGAAGGCCCTTCCGATGGTGCCGTTCCTCCCGCACCCACACAGTCCGAGACGCGCACCGACCTCTCGAAGTTTTCCGCAAAAAAGGGCAAGGCTGCTAGCAAGACGGTCAAGGCGAAATACCAGTTCCAGATCATGCTCGCTCAAGGCATACCGCTGGAGGAGATCCACAAGTTCGCAGACCCGTATCACTGGATCGAATACTTCCCCCCACTCGCGAAGCGCGACTTGACCTCGTTCGGAGCCCGCATGGACTGGAGGCGCCAATTCACCACAACTGACGCGAACGCATACTTTGACAGTTTTGTGCGGTGGCAGATGCGCAAGCTCAAGGAGATGGGCAAGATCATATTCGCCAAGCGATACACCGTCTACTCGCCTAAGGACGGACAAGCCTGCCTAGACCACGACCGTGCCAGCGGAGAGGGTGTCACCGTGCAAGAATACACTGCGCTCAAGATGAAAGTGAAAGAGTGGTCTGAGACAGCCAAGAAGGAACTTGACGGAAAACTGCCTGCCGATGCGAATGTCTTCTTCATCCCTGCGACCCTCCGACCCGAGACCATGTACGGCCAAACGTCGTGCTTCGTTGGCCCGACTCTCAAGTATGGCGTGTTCCAGGTTGGCTCCGAATATTTTGTTTGCTCACCACGCGCCGCGCGCAACATGGCTTACCAAGGCATCTTCCCAGACTGGGGCGTTTTCCCCCAAGTCGCGACTCTTCTTGGCAAAGAAGTTGTCGGCACAGTCATCAACGCTCCTTTCTCCATCCTTACCGAAGGCGTTCGGATTCTTCCCATGGAGACTGTCAAGGATACCAAGGGCACAGCGGTCGTGACATGCGTGCCTTCAGACTCTCCCGACGACTATATCACCTCCCTTGACCTCGCGAAGAAGGCTGAATACTACGGCATCCAGAAAGAATGGGTCCGCTTTGACGATATCCTACCCATCATTTCAACACCCTCATATGGAGATCTCACAGCCAAGCACCTTGTCGAAACACTCAAGATTCAGTCACCTAAAGACACGAAGAAGCTCGAAGAGGCGAAAGAGAAAGCATACAAGGAGGGTTTCTACAAGGGCACCATGATCTACGGAGACTTCAAAGGCCAGAAGGTCGAGGACGCAAAGAACCTCGTCCGCAAACAGCTTATCGAACAAGGTCTCGCATTCGCGTACGGTGAACCTGACGGCAAGGTCGTGTCCCGCTCAGGAGACGAGTGCACGGCAGCACTGTTGGATCAATGGTTCATGAACTACGGCACCACCGAGAACGGCGGAGATGGCGAGTGGGCCGCACAGGTTTTGCAACAGATTGAAGACATGGAGCTTTATTATCCCGAGGCCAAGAATGCCTTCCAACAAGTCATAAACTGGCTCGCTAACTGGGCTTGCGCACGCTCTTACGGTCTTGGAACGAAACTGCCTTGGGATGAGTCCGTCATGGTCGAGTCCCTCAGTGACTCCACCATCTACCAATCATACTACAGCTTCGCTCACCTGCTTCATAAAGACATGTTCGGAAAGCAGGTCGGTCCCCTTGGAATCAAGCCTGAGCAGATGACCGACGACGTCTGGGACTACGTTCTGGGACGCCGCGCCCGAGGCGACATCCCAGAGACAACCATCCCCAAGAAGGACATCCAGACGCTGAGACGCCATTTCGACTACTGGTATCCTCTCGATATGCGTGGATCTGGTAAGGATCTTATCCAAAACCACTTGACTTTCAATCTCTACATTCACACAGCTCTGTTCCCTAAGGAGAACCGACCTCGCTCTTTCCGCGTGAACGGCCACCTTATGCTCAACGGAGAGAAGATGAGCAAGTCGACCGGGAACTTCCTCACCATCCAGGGTGCCGTCGAGAAGTTCGGTGCCGATGCTACCCGTATCGCGCTTGCTGATGCTGGAGATGGTATCGAGGACGCTAACTTCGAGGAAGCGGTCGCGAATGCCAACATCTTAAAGTTGTTTGAGCTCAGGAAGTGGTGCGAGGAGATGGTCCGCGACGCTATCATCGTTAATGATGGCGACAAGTACAAGGAAGCTATCAAGGAGCGCATCAAAAACATCGATGTGGTACAGCGCAAGTCCGGCAGCCCCCGCGTGCTCCTGGACGAGCTCTTCGACAACGAGCTCAACTCCCTCGTCACCGAAGCCCGGAAACACTACGAAACCACTATGTACAAGGCCGCCCTCAAAGCCGCCTACTACGACTTCACCGCCGCTCGCGACTTCTACCGCGAGGCCACTAAGGCGGCGGGACTTGGCATGCACGAAGACCTCGCCAAGCGCTACATCGAACTGCAAGCCCTCCTCATCACGCCCTTCGCTCCCCACTGGGCCGAATACATCTGGCTCGAGGTTCTCAAAAAGTCCTCGACTATCCAAAACGCTCTATACCCCAAGGTACCAGCCACCAACGCCGGCCTCACCGCCGCCCGTGAGTTCGTCCGCTCTACACAATCCAACATCACCTCCGCCGAGGGCCAGGCTGTAAAACGTCTCGCAAAGGGCAAAGCTGCGCTGTTCGATCCCAAGAAAGATAAAAAGATTACGATTTTCTCGGCGAAGAGTTGGCCCGAGTGGCAGAAGAAGTACATCGACCTCCTCCGCAATGAGTATCCCAACATCGATATCAAGACGTTGTCGAAGAGTGTGGACAAGGCCGAGAGCAAGAAGGCAATGCCCTTCATTAATGGGCTCAAGCGGAGACTTGACAACGGTGAGCCCGTGGACGAGGTGTTGAACCGCCAACTTCCATTCGACGAACTCGTCACCCTGCGCGCTATGGTTTCGGGTCTCAAACAGACGGTGCAGAAGTGCGTTGCTGTCGAGATCATTGCTGTCGAGGAGGGCGGCAAAACGGGTGTCGTCATCAACGAGAATGGCAGCCAGGGTGAGACGAAGGGGGATCTGGCGCCGCAAGCAGGGTCTGCCGAGCCTGGATCACCGAGCTTTGCGTTCGAGAACGTCGAGAACCTGTCTGTAAGGTAGAACCTCGCTGCAGAGCAGATTAACGAGCACGCGAGAGCATTGCATGAAACGGGTCGGGTCTGGCGCAGCATGGAAGGATTATTATACAAGGCTTTTCTGTTAAGACATACGAGTGCCTTGTGGTTGATGATAGTAACGATAGATGAAATCAAAAGTACTCCTCAATCTCAATATCCTTGTCAACCTCCAGGAGTGTGTGCTTTCTACTGTGCGAGGAAAACGTAAATGAAACAGAACGCATCTCAGACATAGGCTGCTCAATTGGCAGTCATCGGAGTCATGAAGTTAGTATGCATGTACTGTACATCTCACGACTCTACGCATGAAGACGACGACCTTGAGCTCAAAAGAGGCTGTGAAAATTAGATATCTATTCTATGCTCATGCCAAACTTCTAGCCGTGGCAAAAAAAAAAACGTCTTTGAAGATGACAAGATACATACGGCACTTTACAACTTCGCCCTTGTGCCGTCCTCGACCTTGTTGCCCTGCTTGTCGAAGAAGATCTTCTTGCCGTTGCGCAGCGACTCCTGCAGCGCGACGCCAATGCGGACAGCTTCGACGGAGCTCTCCATGTCAATAGGCACAGCCTTGTTGTCCAGTACTGCGTCTGTGAATTGCCGTGCCTCCTCAACAAAGGCGTTCTCAAAGCGCTCGTAGTAGTTCTGCGGGATCTCGCGGTGGATGCCGGTGGGAAGATGGCTTTCGGTAAGACCAATGGTGGGGTTCGCATTAACGGTGAGCTTTCCGCTCGTACCAATAATCTCAGTCATATCGTGCTGGCCTGGTGCGTTCATTCTACTGCTGTAGAAGTAGGCAATTTGTCCATCGTGGAATTCCACAACACCGACACCGTTGTCAACATCACCGTGCTTGGCGAGGTCGGGCTCAAGAGCGGTGACACCAACTGCCATGACGCTCTTGACCTTGGGCAGTTCCTTGGTAGATGAGGAGAAAAACCACAATGCAAGATCGATGTCGTGGATATTGCAGTCGACGAAGATACCACCGCTGAACTCGGCGTAGGCGACGAAGAAACCTGAGGGGTCGTACTTGTCGCAGGTCTGGGAGCGAAGGATGGTGGGGCGGCCGATGGAGCCGGAGAGAGCGGTTTGGTAGGCGGCGAGGTAGGAGGCGTCGAAGCGGCGGGAGAAACCGCACATTACTTTTTGCTTGGGGTGGGCTTTGGCCACTTTGAGGACGTTTTGGGACTGGAGATTGATGTTAACGGAGTGTTCTATGTAGGACGCTGTGCTGGGGAATTTGCTGGGAGATACGTACGATGGCGAGCTCTGTGCTGAGTGGCTTCTCGCAGAGAACATGCTTTCCGGCCTCAATGGCCTTGATGGTCTGTTCAGCATGCACCGTGGTGGCCGTTGCCACGCAAACAGCCTCCAGACCCGGGTGCTTTAACAATTCATTGAAATCAGAGTAGATCTTGACACCCCAGGGCTCCAAGTTTGCCTGCGCCCATGCAAGCTCCTTGGGGTCTGGAGTGAATGCAGCAACGAGCTCCGCCCGCGGCGTGCGGTGCAGGAAATGGTTCGCATGGCGGGCCCCCCATGCGGCCCAAGCCGGAGACGGCAACCTGAAGTCTGCGGATCTGAGGAGCCATTGTGTGAAATGTGGAAATGTAGAGAGGCCAATTGAGAGACGTGAAGGTAGCACGAATGAGGGCAGTGGTGTTAGCGAACGACTCGCAGAAGGGTGCAACGCGTTGGAGCGGCCGGTTGAAATATCAACGTCGGAATCCTCCACCCCACGCCCTCACTCACCGCCTAACTAACTACCCACAGAACCATGTGGCCATAGCTCCCAGGAACACCCGAGTAGGCGATGTTGAGCCGAAGATGTCCGTTTCGATATTCTCTGGGCGTGTGCGGTTTGCCAGTTTCCCGCGCACGTCTACCCCATCCTCCACATTTCCCCAGTGTTTCCGGCGACAATCTCCAATCTGCGCGTTCGGGGCAGGCTCGGGGCTGGTAGTGTCGCCGCAGCTGCATGTGGAAGATGCGCGGAAGGATAAGCGTCGAACGCGTCGATGGCGTTGGACGTGTCGGAGGGTAAACGCGTCCATGTGTTTTGGGTAGGCGCTTACTACGTTTAGCCATCGGCGCTCGAGCGAAGCCTCTTCGCGGGGAAAGTTTCCGCATTCGACAAACATCTCGAGCACGGCTTGCTAGATCTGGCATGCATCTGCTCCAGACGTGGGATGCGGAGGCGAGAATATCTGGGGAAGAAGGTCGGATGTGGGGTGTTGAGGCTGAACGCGGGGATGAATTGGCCGCTTGATCACCCAAAGACAGCAGAGTGCGACCAAGTGAATGCACGAGAACGTGGGGCACGACCTGGAACCCTAGAGAAGAACCCCTGCGTCACGTTCCAGAGGGTGCTCAGGGGAGCGTTGTTTACAGGAGAGCATGGACAACAACAAAGGAGCACATCGTACTCCACAACATCTACGCTTTTCGGTCCTCCAAACGCCACCGTTCAATCCATGCTCACAGATTCGCTTTCTCGCCATCGCCGGTTTCAATCACAACCTTGATCACCAGATTACCCTTGTCGTCCTTCGTCTTGCCAGCCATGTCGAAAGCCTCCACCGCCGACTCCAGACCCTTGTACCTGTGCGTAACGAGCTTTGAAAAGTCCGGGTAGTCTGGACCCTTCTTCGATACGACTTCGACGCCAGTAGGGTACGTGTTCGCGTATCGGAAGACGCCCTTGATGTCGACTTCGCGGAGCGCTGCAGCTGAGATGGGAAGCGTTTGAATAGGAGTACCCATACCAATGAGTAAGACCGCGCCTCCCGGTCGTGTTGCCTACACACCGTCAGATGCCAGTCAGAGAATTGTAAGGGTGCAAAACATACGTATATCGATGCTTGTACGCAGGAAGGCACGCCTGTGCACTCGAATACGGCATCTACCTCACCGATTGCTCCTCCGCTTACTTTCGTAACCTTGGCGATTTCAACCGCTGTCTCCTTCGCGATCTCGAGATTCTCATCTATTGTCTGTCCACGCTTGAGCGGTACCGTGAAACTTCGGTGCGCAAAGTTGTTATCCACAGCGAAATTTACTCGTCCAGAATCAATGTCTGCTATTACGACAGTGCTGGCGCCTGAGATCTTTGCCATTGCCGCGACCAGCAAACCTACTGCGCCTGCACCGAAAACCAAGACTGTCGCGCCGACCGGAAGTTGTGCTCTTTTTGTGGCTTGGATAGCGACACCTAGCGGTTCTAGGAGTGCACCGAGATCAAGCGAAACATCTTCTGGAAGCCTGCAAATAATCAGCAATGTTTCGACCTCAAAGCCAACTCTGCGTACTTGTGACACCACGCCGCAGGGTGATTAATCCGGTCCTGCAGCGTTCCTTGTGCGTGTGGAAACGCTTTCGCACTACTTCGAAACTTCATCTCTTTGCAAATGTTATATCTCCCCTCCTTACACCGGTTGCATTGTTCGCAAGGTTGCCCTACCTCCAGAGCTACCTTATCGCCGATTCTGAACTTTTGCGACTGTTCCACCTCGGAACCAACAGCCACTACCACGCCTGCAGATTCGTGCCCAAGCGACATGGGCTCCCGCACAATGATGTCGCCATTGCGATAATGCCGGTAGTAGTGAAGATCTGAGCCGCAGAGGCCGGTAGCTCGGACAGCTACTTGAACATCAGTGGGACCTGGAGGGAAGATAGAGCGGTCTTCCTGTAAGGAACTTAGACAAGACGGAGTAGAAGCCATGCGTAGAGCTTACAATTCTCAGGTCTCCTGCGCCGTGCAGAACGGATGCGCGAACCTGACTCCCCTTGTGCTGCACATCTGGCGTTCTTTCCGCAGCCATATTCCGGTCCTCTACTTGCAAGATGAGTATCAAGTGTTTAATCGATCACGGAGCAGCGCAAACGGGTCAATGAGTTTTGCGGGAGTTGAAGAGCACAAGAGCGCAAGCTCGCAAGACGTGTCAAACAGAACGCAACCAGCGCGCGTGGCTCGGCCCAGATTTCCCTCGATACGACCTGATGCGCCGTCGCTGGAGACAAATCCTAAATCCGGCATCTGGTGTCCCGCATTTCAAACACCGACACTGCAGCGGGATTACCCTTTCTGACTCGGCCCACGTCACTTCAGATGCCGACGCACGTCACCCCGCGCTAGTTACGCGACTCTGGAGAGCTCTTTGCCGGATATCCATGCTTATTGTATTATGCCAGTTTTCTGGGCTTTTGAGGAAGTTGATACCCTTTCCCTTCGACTGCGACTCTAGCACAGCTCAATACACACATCGAGCTACACTCTGAAGCCGATCTGAACGAAAATGGTAAACGTCAAGGAGCTGTTCTCGCTTGAGGGCCAAACCGCCCTCGTGACAGGCGGAACAAGAGGAATTGGGCAGGCTATGGCAATTGCCCTGGCAGAAGCAGGTGCAGACATTCTCCTCGTACAGGTATATCTCTCCTTTGATTCCGTTTCCACCAACAATCGCTAACAAACGGCTAGCGAAATACCTCTAACCAATCCACTAAGCAAGAAATCGAGAAATTGGGACGGAAAGCAACAATATACACCGCCGACCTCTCGTCCCCCGAATCCGTCTCAGCGCTCCTCCCGAAGATTCTAAAAGATGGCTACAGAATCCACGTCTTATTAAATTGCGGCGGCATCCAAAAGCGGCACCCCGCGCACCAATTCCCAGACGACGATTGGCAATCCGTCCTCCAAGTAAATCTTACCTCCGTGTTCACACTCTGTCGTGACGTCGGCGCGCACATGCTCCAGCAAAACACTGATTTAGCCCCCAATGCTACGCGCCGTGGCTCCATCATCAACATTGCCTCCCTTCTCTCCTTTCAAGGCGGCTTCACCGTCCCGGCGTACGCCGCGTCCAAAGGCGGCGTCGCGCAGCTCACGAAGGCGCTATCCAACGAATGGGCGAGCAAAGGTATCAACGTGAATGCGATTGCGCCGGGGTATATTGCGACGGAGATGAATACCGCACTGATGCAGGATGAGAAGCGGGCGAAGAGTATTCTGGAGAGGATTCCGGCGGGGAGGTGGGGGAGCCCGGAGGATTTCAAGGGCGCGGTTCTGTGGTTGGCAAGTGCGGCAAGTGCGTATGTGAGTGGAGAGATTGTTACGGTTGATGGGGGTTGGATGGGGCGGTAGAAGTGGATACGATTTCTGTACACTTGCAATGCTCAGCTGCATCTATCTTGGCCTATATTGATACAGCATAACAACAGATCTGTTGGACAAAGTCATCCGTCACATCGCAGTAGTTGAAAATTATAGACCAAATACAACTACGGTAATGGACGGCTATGGACGGCTATATGGCACACACAGGGACTTGTGGTCAAGGGATGCAACATGGCACCACATCAAAGCAACTTTAGGAGCAATCAAGTATGCACAACAGCGTCCATGAATCCGTCCACACAACGGAGTAGATGGTCTATATATATTAGGGTATATCAAGTTTTGATTTACAGCCTACTCCCAGGCAGTCAACCACTGAGATCAATGCCATCAGGCTTATCCGGGAACCCAGCATTGACGCCAAACGGCGGATACACAAAGCGCTGCACGCCGTTCTTCTTGTGAACCGCCTCGAGAGCATCCAAATCCGACGCACTCAACTGGATGAGGTTGCGGTTCTCATCAATACGGCTGGGCGTGACAGATTTTGCCAGGACCGACGAGCCGCGCGCCAGGTGGTAGCTAAGCAGCACCGTTCCAGGGCCGACGTTGTGCTTCTTCGCGACCTCCAGGACACCCTCATCTTTGAATAGCGGCGAGCCAGTGGATCCGAGCGGGCTGTATGCGGTGATGTGAATCCCCTTCTCCTTGCAGAAGTCCACGACTTCCTGCTGGGGCAGCAACGGGTGGTTCTCGATCTGATTCGCCGCGGGCGTAATGGTGGACTGAGCGAGCAGCTTCTCGAGGTACTTGACAGAGTAATTTGCAACGCCGATGGCTTTGACTTTGTCGGGACGGGACTTGATTAGAGATTCGAGGTTCTTCCATGTATCGATGTGAGTGATGCTGTGGTCGATGTCGCGGGAGCCGTCTTCGAGTTTGGGGAAGAGGGGGTGGTTACCTTTGTTGCTTGTTAGCCCTTCGTTCCTTGTCCCTCTCGGTTGGGGTAGGGAACAAATATACCCTTAGGATTCATAGGTACAGGCCAGTGCATGAGGTACAGGTCTACGTAAGGAGTCTTCAACAGATCCAAGCTCTTCTGCAGGCCCTCCTCAGCACGCGTATGGAAAGTACACCACAGCTTGCTTGTGATGAAGAGGTCTCCACGCTTGACGATGCCCCGCGAGATGACGTCCTGCAGCGCCTCGCCCACCTCGTCCTCATTCTGGTAGCAGTATGCGCAGTCAATGTGTCTGTAGCCGCCCTCAATCGCGTGGATAACCGCCTTCTTGACTTCGCCTGGCGCAGACTGCCATGTTCCCAGTCCCAGTGCGGGGATCGTGGCGCCAGTGTTCAGGGGAATCGCAGTGTTCATAGTGGGCTTGGGGTTGAAGATGTCTCTGGGAGAGAGCTTAAGAATGAAGTTTCCGAGAGAAGGATTCATGTTGGCCCGGGGAAGATGGGGTATATGTAAGTGGGGACATTGTTGGGCTGAGTTAGGTCGAATGCCGACTGTCCCTCTACACCCCCGGCCTTTGGGTAATGAAAAGCTCAGTGCGGCTGTTTGGGCGCGTTGCTGCGTGTGAATTCTTCCGGAGCCCCGCCATAGCATACCCCGCCGGGGTACCATCGGTCCGAGAGGTCTTCCGGATCAAAGTAAACGCGCGCCGGCACTCGTCCAGAAGGAGCGGGCCAAGAACATGGACGGTTTTGGCCATTTGCGTCGGGCGAAGTATCTCCGAGCCTCACGTGGCGTCATTGCGCGTGTGATGGTCTCTGGCGGGAGGAGATGCAAGGATCCGAGGAAGCGGCGAGAATTGCCTTCCTGGGTGCACAAAAGGAGCAGGCCGCCGGGCACGTGGGGCTAAACCATGACGACCACCGATTAAGGCTCCGCCACCCAACCACAGTCGACACATTACCTGCAGCCCGAGAACGCTTTTAGTCGGTGTTCCTGGTGAATGGCGTAGGCACCGGGAAACATTTCCTAACAGCCAGCGCTTTAGTTTCAGGGAGTCAAGTTCGCGGCCAAGGCCCCGTAAATGGTGGAGCTAGACGATGCAAGACATCAGACTCTGCAACAGATGGTAGGCTGGATCTCGGGCATGTTGCGGGGTGGCACAAACCATGGCTTGAGTGCGAGCATGGCACCTGCGGAGAATACTTGCCTATACCTGGGGTTCGACCAAGAATAAGTATCGCAGTTCGCACATCAAGCGACCATCACCATCACCATCATTATCTTCTTCTACAGCTTCCCCTTATACACTGAGAGCCATAGCCACGAGCGTATTGCTATCACTATTCCCGTTTTTGAGATACCCCTTCCACACCTCACATCTGAAAAATGGCACCAGGCGCCCTCGTCGAGCAACCCAACATCGCGGAGCCCTTCGCCAACCCGAAGGACGGCCTCGCTCTCGAAGCCACCTCCGACGCCATCGACGATGTAAACGTCCTCAAGGCCGCCCTCAAAGTAAAGAAGGGCACCGCCACGCAAGAAGAGAAGGATATCTACGAGCAGTCCCAGTTCGATGCCGACAAGAACAAGACACAGTTCCGACAGTACGAGGAGGCCTGCGACCGTGTCAAGAACTTTTACCGCGAGCAGCACGAGAAGCAGACCGTCGCGTATAACCTCAAGGCCCGCAATGCCTTCTACAGCAAGACCCGCGCCAGCATGACCGTCTGGGAGGCAATGGAGAAGCTCAACACGCTGATCGATGAGTCCGACCCTGACACTTCTCTCTCCCAGATCGAGCACTTGCTCCAATCCGCAGAGGCCATTCGCCGCGACGGAAAGCCCCGCTGGATGCAGCTCGTCGGCCTGATCCACGACCTTGGCAAGCTGCTCTTCTTCTATGACGCCCAGGGCCAGTGGGACGTCGTCGGTGATACGTTCCCCGTTGGATGTGCTTTCGATCGTCGGATCATCTACCCTGACACCTTTATGGGCAACCCAGACCATGACAATGACATCTACGGTACCGAGCACGGCATATACACCCCTGGATGTGGTCTCGATAACGTCATGCTTAGCTGGGGCCACGACGAGTATCTGTACCACATCATGAAGGCGCAGAGCACCATCCCCGACGAGGGTCTGGCTATGATCAGGTATCACTCTTTCTACCCGTGGCATTCGCAGGGCGCGTACAGGTGGATGATGAACGAGAAGGATGAGAAGATGCTGGAGGCCGTCAAAGCATTCAACCCTTATGATCTTTACTCTAAGTCTGATGATGTTCCTAAGGTTGAGGAGCTCAAGGTATGTTTTTCCCTCTTCGGTGCTGATTGTATTAACGAGGAGCAGGAGTACTACAAAGACATCATTAACGAGTTCATCGGCTGGGACAAGAAGATCCAGTGGTGATCTACAATCACACATAAAAGGGGCGATTCCGGCCGAAAAACTGGAGTGATGATTTGACATGGCGTTTCGTATATACTGTTTTGATTGAATTTTGAATAGACACGGAGTGCCAGAAAGGCCCGTAGTATAATGTTACAAAGAATATTCTTGGATGACGCCACAGCTCGCATAGACACTTTACTGCTCGTTGCCATCTGACTTGACATCGTTTTATCACCTTACTGTTCCAGTGTTATCCACATTAAGTGTGGAGAAGTGTACCATGTAGCGGTCGCTCCACTTTCCAGAATCCTGAGGCGCTTTCCAGATCGGCCTAACACACGACTTACTTCCAATTGATAGTGGTATTGATATCCATAAGCCTATTGATAGAAGCCTGCGAAATCTCGAAGACACCTGGGCACCACCGCCAAACCTGCGAAGGGTTGTCGCATTCTTTCGACCCTCGTCCAGCATACGCCCGAGCCTTGCGACGCTCCTTCTTCGCACAGTAGCACCGTAATCTTCCCACGTTGTCCCCACGCATTTGAAGCTCTCTACTGTGTTTTACCGATCCAATGTTCTGAATTCTGCGCCTACCGGTAATGCTCTGACCACACTTGCACTCACTGCCCAATGATACATGGTTATTGTACTGCAACACGCCATTCACGACTGTATCTATCCGTCATTATCGCTGTCTAGCCTCTCTTCTCCGCTCCTTCCTATCACCTTGGCTGTCTTCCCGCGCCAGAGAGCCTACCGGCCAAGCCCTAGCGGAGATTGCGCACCTCCGCTCGGTCCTCGGCGGGAGCAAATTGTTACGTAGGCCTCCGGCAGACTTTGTCGAGCGGCATGACATGACAGGAGCTGGGTAAGGATTGGCGGAGCGCCGCCGAGAGCGGTGTGTCTGTTGATGGGCGTGGTGCCCAGGTGTGGGTAAGAACATGTGATTGAAGGGGCGCGAGTTCTGTAGCTTGGGTGTGACGGGTCACATGAGATAATGGGTGCAGGTGACGTCCTAATCTTGGTAGCAGCGGTCTGGATGGTAAAATTGGAGGTGTTTTCGGACATGGCATTAAGAAGACGTTCAACGAACCACACAGGCTAGTCAAGACGTATGGTAGTGGGAGCAGCGTGCAGAAGTTGATCAAATTTGCATTGCAAATGGGGGATATCACATAGAAGCCCTGCCGTCCGTCGAGAAATACTTCGTACAGCAAAGCGAATAACAAAGTCCCAAAACCATATGGTCAGAAGGGAGGCCGACAGTCAAAGACCACTGCTGCCAGAACCCGATTCTCCTTGGTAACGCCGTGCCCAATGCCGCTAGAATAGTCGCTTTACGCGGAAGCCCAAACGCCGAAAAAGATCGTGACAATCATGCAGGACGCTTCAGTGCGCAGCGCTCTTCGCGCCCCATCATCTCAGCGCCCTCGACAGCCACCTATCCCACCAATTCCTGACACCAAGGATGCTCTCCTTCCCATCATTGTGTCCATCCTGGCCCGCAGGATCGCCCAAAATCGCAGAGAAGAACCAAAAGCACGCCGCCGTCCACGCGGCTATTGCGACGCCGACGGCGATGAAGGGAGATAAGAGATGGATGACTACCAGCATGGGCGCGCTGTAGTGTTCCGAGGCGGAGAAGGAGTAGACAAGATGGAGTTGGAGGTTGAGCGGCGGCGCGAGGAAGGTGGTGAGGTGGGTAGGGAGCGCGGACCGCGAGGAGAAGAGGCGGAAGGGTTGGAGGAGGAGAGAGATGAGGAGGGCGACCATGGTCCAGAGCATGATGAGGAAGGAGAGGAGGGCGCAGGGCAGAGAGAGGTAGAGCTGGGGTCTGTTAGTGGAGGTGCATGAGTGTGGCACGGAGTGTGAGCATACCAGCAATTGCACGGGCTTATCCTCGGGGCCCTTCTCGTCGTACTCGCCTGGGTCGTAGGCGATGGTCTGGCGTGTAACATCAGGGTTGGATGCCGACAGGTGGGCAGGCGACGGCGAGCGGTGCGGCGAGCTGTCTGCCTTCTCGGGGTCGACGTGGGCGCGCGACGGCTGCGAGACTGCGCTGATGGCATCCTGCGAGTGCCTCGCGCTCTGCTGCGAGCGATGGTTGCGGGCAGACAAGAGGCTGCTCACTGGGCTTGGCGGTGACGGTGTCGCTGCGTTGGGCGAGCGTGGATATGAGATGACGGAATCGTGTGCGCGGCTATTGCTGCTGCCCTTGCTGCCGCGCTCGAGTCGCGGGGCATACTGCTGGCGGTGGTCGTAGACATCCTTCTCGCTGTACTGGTATCCGATGTCGACGGGGGCTCTGTGCAGTGCGTGCGGGTGGTGGTAGGCGGGCGAGGGCGCCGGCGGAAGTTGGGGTTCCATGGCCGTCTGCGATTGGCTACGCGTGCTCGAGCATCAACGACGACTACAGGGTCGTGTAAGGGGCGCAGGACGACGAGAGACGGCTCATGATATAGACCAGGCAGAGTCTTCCCCTCAGGAGAGGCAAGACGAGTGGTTACATACAGTTTGCGCTCTCAAGACCTTGGGAAAAGGACTTGGGCTTGGCTCCCTACACCAGATCCATAGCCAAGGGCTGGGCGCGTTACTGGGCAGAAGAGGCCGATGTTTGCGGACACCAATCATGGCGCGGCTCCCTCGGCGCAGGTGGACTCTCTCTGCGGACGTGCTGAGGCAGTCAAGACGGAAAGCACGGCACCAAAGCCTCGGTCGTGTAGGACACGGCGGACATGTCCTCTCTGCGCTCGTCCGCGCGCTGGGCAGTCGACATGTCGCGATGCTCCGCTGCCGTCGGCGCCCTGTGCTGCTGTCGTGCGTCTTTTTGAGGATGCCAAGAACCAACAAAGCAGCTGCTGCGGTCGTGCCCAGACTCTCCGCCGGCACCGTGGGACAAACGAAGTGTGAAGTCGCGGATGCTGCGTGCCAGGGCAGCTCTTGCCGGTGCGTCCGCTGCGACTCGTCACCGCCCAGAGCAAACTTTGCGCGCGCCACTGCAACGTGCTGCCTGATGGATTGGCTCGGCGCCGCAGACTGATTCCTTTGGCTACGACCCGAGACCGGCTTCCTCAACTCTCGGCGGAGAGCATCACGTGCGGCCCAAGTAACGCCCAAGCGTGGCTGAAACGCTGTTGAGGCGAGCCTGCGGACATGCTGTGCCGCCCACCGCTGGGACACCATTAGCTGGCTGCTGTCGAGAGACCGTCTCTTCTCCACGTCCGCCGACCGTCTGTCCTTCCGTCTGTTGAGTTTGCGGGGTCTCCGCCAATTCGAGAGCCGCACTTGGCGCCTGTGGTGCCGCTGCATAACAACGTCTGTGACTTGTCCGCTGCGCGGGCTTGGTCAGTCCTTGGGTGCGCGACTGCGTAATGTTGAGCAGTCTCTCGATAATCCTGACGACGCGGATCCATGTCACTTGCATTGCTCAGAGCGTAGAAGACGCAGCAACGCGGACTTGGGTCGCCAACGAGGTGGGTGGTGATAGTCAAGAGGTTGCTCCCGGCACGCCAGGGGTTCAAGGAAGGAACACCGTCGACTCTACCATGTGCATCATACACCACGAGGTAATCTCATTGGGACATTGCACAATAGACACGCGTTACTGCAGTGTGGTTTACGGCGACCGACACTGCTCAGCTAAGCTCACATCTGAAGTGTACCTGGCCAATGTGAGAAGATGTGACCTCAACACCATTTCCATGAAAGCTAGTGCACCAATGAGGGTATCGTACAAACCCAAATCTCCCCCGGCTTCGAAAAGAAGGGTTGCGCCGCTGTACTCCCTCCAAACGCCACACATCGCAACGCTCACTTTGGTTTCGTAACTCGTTACTTTGTGATGAACCGCCACTCCACTACCCTCATCACATTTCTATCATACCCTGTTATCGCACAGCCGCGCTCACTTCATCGAGCGGCTCCTCCGGCGGGAAACAATGCGGATTCGCGGCCTCATTCTTCAATCCTGCCTTCTCCGCGTTCTCCCTGATGATCTTGATCGTCGAATCTGAGATCGGCATTTCCAGCTTATCCAGCACGTCAGTGATCATAGCAGTGAGCTGCTTGCCAACATCACAGATGGCGTGGGCATTGCCGGATGGGTTGGCTGGCTCGGCGTCGGGAGTCTGGGGGTAGATGGTGCGCATGTGGCGGTAGCTGATGGCGGGGATGCTGCTAAGTTTTTCGAAGATCTATGGGTTGGTCAGTATAGTTTCGACCATAATGAGCTGGATGTAGCTTAGTCTTGCCTCATCGACAGACGATGTGATGGTGCTAGACTGGACGATGGGCGGCCAGAACGCATGTATCTTCAAATACCGGATCAATTCGCCATGGTTACAATGCGTGCACATCGCGCGTTCAGCTTCTAGCAACGCATCCGCACCCTCATCCGGCATAGCCGGTAGTGTCGCTCGACACGAATCCCCGTTCTCAAGGCCGTCTACAAGCGTGTACACAATTTCGAGCATCGCTGCCAGCGCCTTCATGCGTTTCCGTCGGATTTCCACTGTATCCACCCGTCAGCAAACCCTTACTGCCCAGCTCCTCGCACAGATGGAAATGGGAGCCTACCAAGCGCCCCATCCGGCACCCATCCATCCAACTTCTTCCACCTGCCAGGCATGATCAAGTTTCTGTGCCCATCCGCCCTACATTTCAATACCAGGTGCCTCGCCAGCGTAACGTAATGCCTCTCTAACCCAAACTGCTGCGCAACAAATAACCACTGCTCTCTCCCCGGGTGTATCAAACTCTCCTGATGCGGCACGATCCACCTTCTCACAAAAGGGGAGACTTGCAGATTCACGTCGTACTTGTCGCAGATGCGCGCCATGGCGAGCAATTGGCGGAACGAAAGTTCCCTCGGGACTTTGGCAATGTGCCAGGGGTGCGAGAGATACATGAGCACGAGGAACATGTCGGCATCGTCATCTAGTAGATACGCCGTGCGCCGGCTGATGAAAAGCCTCTCGCGATTAGAGTCCTTTATTATCTCGACCCAGAGGGGCCCGAAGTGCTCGATTGTTTCAGATTGCACGAGAAGACGGCGTTGGTGACGGCCGGGTACGTCGCCACCGACGATGAGGAGGAGGTTGCCTTTTGGGTGGATGGTGATTTCGATTTCGGAGTCGAGAAGGGCGTCGGGAATGTCTGCTGTGTCTACGGACTCGTTGCGGGCGATGGTGGCCGTATCATTGTTTGAGCCGTCGATCAATGCTACTGTTGTTGAGCCCGTGGCGGAAGAGGATGGTGATGTCGTGTTTGGTGAGTTGTCTGTAGCAGATATGAGATGTTAATTTTCTGATCCATCAAAGCTAGATTGCGGAAGCCCTTCGCAAATGTGAAACGACACCGTTACTGTCCCATCCTTCGCTACATTAAAGAGAGTAGGTATCAACACACTGACGGACTCCATCCCATGTGTGACGCCGGATATCCAAGGAAAACGACGAACAGTTGCATGTATGGAGAGTCAACTCACCGCCCCTCACCGTCCCGTTCTCCACCATCTCTCCCTCTCCTAATTCCCTCTCCGTGACCTCAACCCGACTCGCTGGCTGCATGGGCTTGTAGGCTTGATATGACTGCGACTGCGCCTGTGACTGCGGTGGCTGCTGTGCATGCGCCTGAGCCTGTGTCTGCTGGCGACGTACTGTCGTCGGGATATGCACCTGACCTCGCGCATGCCTTGACTGAGTAACTTCTACGAGGTTGTTTGTGTAAAGCGAGCTGTGAACTTGGGAAGCCGTGGGCGAGGCCGCTCTGTTTGTGGGGCAGTACGCGAAGATCTCAGCGTGTTCTGGCATGCTGGGCGGCGCTGTGAGGTGAATATATGGTGGCTAACTTCCGTGAGTAGAGATAGACTATGCGATGATGTGGGATACTGTGTTAAGGTATCGTGGGTAGAGACTGCCTGTGTAAAGATGGGCTGTATGAGTGAGAGGGGGGATTGTGCGCGATCTTGGGAGGGACAGCATCATACGGGCTATGGAAGAGGAGGAAGGGGCGCGTTGAGTGGCACTTGCCTGAAGCCCACTCAACAGCATGTACATATGCGTAGGGTATCGTGCATTCGGGTGCCTCTCTTCCATGGAACAATAACCGCACTAGGAATAAGACACCTGCCAGAGATCAAAGGTTCCGTTATTCATTTACCCAACCAAACGCCGCATGTTATGCAAAAGTCCCAGGGTATCCAGCTTCCGCCCAATGCTTCTCATGAATCGTGTCGTCGTATACGTAAAGAAAACAATGGAAAAACCACAAAATGGATGGATAAACAAGGTTCCAAGCCCTCAAGTTGCCATCCGCCAGATATACCTCGTCTTCCGATGTGTAGCGCCGATCATGCCAAAAGATAATCGAAGAAGCGGTGCCTCTTTAATCACCATTCGTGCAGCATCTCACTCACAGAGTCTAAAGCTTCGCTTATTGAAGACCAGAAGCCGTTCCTCCGAGGAAGGATGTTCTTCCCAAGGTCTGGGTTCTCAGCAGGCTCAACCTTTCCTTTCTTCGGCTGAGGGATTCTCTTCCTGAGATCCCTTCGTAATTCACCAATTACGTCGAGTTGGATAGAGTTCAGCTGCTTCACTTCTTCCATCCGCATCGTCAGGTCATTCACATAACCCTTCACGCTCTCGATGTACTTCCCGACTTCTAGGATGTAGCCTTGACTCAGAGCGAGATCATGTGCGTCTACGTGATCTTTGGTAGCTTCTTCTGTTACGATGCCCAGACCAGTAGCATCTGGAGTTCCATCAAGCTCAGAGAACAGATGGTCGTCAGTCTGCTTTGATTGGGAGTCAGGAGCAGAGAGGAATCCCGCCATTTCTTCGAATTTGGTAACTAGGTACTCCATTTGTTCATCCGTGGGTTCGCGACTCAAGATCAAGCTTTCCAGGTTCGACGCGCACGATAATAACGCCTCTTGCATAGGAGAAGAGCACGAGTCTTTCGTATCCCAGGGCATTGACGGAAGCGGTGAGAGCGGCCGAACGCCATACGACTTAGTTGTGCGAATAGACTCGGGCGTATAAGGATATTGTGGTATGTCATTGTTCGGTAGAAGACCAGAGCTCCACGGAGTCTTGATTGGCGTTATAGGGTCTGCGATGAAAGGGTGTGTATTATGCGCAGGCATGGTTTTGACATAGGATCCATGCGATGGGGTTTGCGCGCCGGCTCTGGACAAGTCTTCGGGTGCGCTCAGCTCGGGAGAAGCCTCTAACGTGCTTTCCGTATGCTTGAGTCCAGTCGCACGGATCTCCAACTTGCGAGGGCGTTTCGCTTCGGCCACGTCCTGTTGCAGAGGAGAAGACTGTAAAGAGCCGCCGTGTTGGTTAAGAGGAGGCGTGAAGTCGGGCGCATGGGTCTCTCCGAAGACGTCCTCGGGCGGAGTCCATGGGCGGCCGGGGAGTGAGTTGGAGGACGTGGAGCGCATGGCGCCGGCGGACCTGTTCGAAGGCCACATAGCTATTGTCGCAGAGAGTAGGTGCGACCAAGATGGAGGAGGGCAGGTCTACAACGGCATGGCGAAGTTAGAGAGCAGAGGAGGAGGTGGAGAGCGGGGAGCGGGCGCCATATGCGCAACTGCGACCGCCTAGCCGGTTCCGTCTGGCATGCAGTGGTGAAGATCGCATCGGGAGGCTGGTGCTGGCGGGGACGTCGGTGAAGTGGCGCTGCGAACGGCGAGCCAATTGCGGGGCAACCCTCTCCGATTGGTCCCGCCGTGACTCGTCTTCATGTTTTCTGGCTTCACTTCGATATGCCCACGATAGCTGCGGCGCATACTGCGAGTCATATTATTGGTCCTGGAAGCTGGAAGTAGCAGTCTACAGAGCGGAGACACACAATCATGGCAAACGTGCGCCATTCCCGCCGCCATTGACGACAGTGAGGGGCACAAAACTGACGCATGACCTCTAGTTCGCGGTACAGCCGTCGCTCGACACAGTGCGCGAGGTCCTCGCTGCTGCGATCCAATCGCCCAATCCGCCCAACCTCGTTCCTGTCTTCTCCTCCATCTCCGCCGAGTTCCTTACGCCGGGCTTGATCTATTTGAAGATCGCTGAGCAGTGAGTCTGACTCATCCTGAGCGCATGCATGCCGGAGGATATGGGAAGGAGATGTTGATATTGTTTAGGGCACAATCCAAGCTGTCTTTTTTGTTCGAGAGCGCTGCAACAACCGAGACAATTGGGCGGTACAGCTTCGTTGGTGCAGGTTGGTCTCCAGCCCATGGAGGACGAAACGCATGCGGTAGGCTAACAACCCGACAGACCCGCGCAAAATCCTCAAGACAGGCAAAGGCCATGGCCCAGAAACCGATCCACTACCTCTACTCGAGAAGGAGCTCGCAAAGAGCAGGGTGGCAAGCGTGCCCTCCATACAACTACCTCCGATGACTGGTGGAGCGGTGGGATATGTTGGGTATGACTGCGTACAATATTTCGAACCGAAAACGAAGCGCGATGACATGAAGGATATTTTAGGCGTACCCGAGAGCCTGTTCATGCTCTTCGATACCGTAGTAGCGTTGGACCACTTTGCGCAGGTCGTCAAGGTCATCACCTATGTCAAAGTTCCCGAAAGTCTCGACGACCTTGAGACGGCATACAACGAGGCGAAGGAGACGTGCAGAAAATACACGGCAATACTGAAGAAGAGGGATAGAATACCGGAGCCGGATCAGCAGCCCATACAGCAGGGTCAGGAATACAAGTCCAACATCGGGCAGGAAGGCTACGAAGGCCATGTCACGAGGCTGAAAGAGCATATCAAGGTGGGCGACATCATCCAGGCCGTCCCGTCACAGCGATTCGCGCGACCGACGTCTTTGCATCCGTTCAATGTCTACCGGCATCTGCGAAACGTGAACCCGTCACCATATCTCTTCTACGTGGACTGCGAGGATTTCCAGATTGTTGGCGCAAGCCCGGAATTGCTGGTCAAGGAGGAACAGGGCAGAATCATCACGCACCCCATCGCGGGCACAGTCAAGCGAGGCAAGACGCTGCAAGAAGACGCAGCGCTGGCAGAAGAGCTCTCCAACTCGATCAAGGACCGGGCCGAGCATGTGGGTTCCGCTGGTACATTGACTGGAGCGCAGAGCTTACTTTGACCCGACAGGTGATGCTGGTGGATCTAGCGAGGAATGACGTAAATCGCGTCTGCGACCCGCTCACCACACGTGTCGACAAGCTGATGGTTGTCCAAAAGGTGCGTGCTGGGCAACGTGCACGGTGTTGTACCTGGCGGGGGCTGGCCAAGGTTAACAGGCGATAGTTTTCCCATGTGCAGCATCTGGTCTCCGAGGTGTCAGGGGTGCTGCGACCGGGCAAGACGCGCTTTGACGCGTTTCGCTCCATCTTCCCCGCCGGTACGTCATGTGCACGACTGGATGCAGGTGGAATTCCAGACGATGGGCTAACCATGGACTACCGGCAGGCACGGTGAGCGGGGCGCCCAAGGTGCGCGCAATGGAGCTGATCGCCGAGCTGGAGCTCGAAAAGCGCGGTGTGTATGCCGGTGCCGTCGGGTACTTTGGCTACGGCAGCGTGGACGGCGGGCGTGAGATTGAGGGCGCCATGGACGTGAGTCGAGAACGTGTCGCGTCGTCAACATTTGAGTGCTGACAGATCGGCAGACATGCATCGCGCTGCGAACAATGCTGGTGAAAGATGGCATCGCTTATCTCCAAGCCGGGGTAAGGCCCAGGAAAAGTTGGATTGCGGGACATGCACTGACCAGCCACACCAGGGCGGCATCGTCTTCGACTCGGATCCGTACGATGAGTGGATGGAAACCATGAACAAATTAGGTGCGCCTGCCAGCCCCCCAGACCCCGAAACTTGGCTGTTCTGGCCCGGCGCTCGTTTGCTGACGAGCAAATGACAGGCGCGAACATGCAATGCATCACCACAGCTGAGCGGAAGCATGTCGACGAACAAGCAGAAGCGGACGGCGAAGCGACAGCAGGGCCAGGCACCAACGCGCACATTTCCCTTGCAGCGTAGGGGGCGGTGGCTGGGTCGAAGGCGTCTGGGAGAGACAAGGCTCCGAGGATGCGCGATTGGTGTGGATCGTGGCACATTGCAAAAGCAGACAGGCACGAGTGTAGTGTAGAAGGCCCGTCACTGGGCGACGAGGTTGCAGTGTTGGCATATGTGATGGGCCCAGACTAGACACAAGCTTCGGTTAGCACCAGCCCAGCCTCATCGTGCAACATGCACAATTGTCCCACGCGGCGACGTGCTCTGTGCCATGTGAAGGTCGCCGCGAACGAGGGCGCAGCGGTCGGGACGGTGACTGCGGCGCTGTGCAAGGTGCCTGGGAGGTACGACTACATCATCGGCCGCGAGGGGCTGGCACCTCTGTTCGAGAACACTACAGCGACTAGGGGGCCTGCGCCGTCATTGGACAATGCGCCCGCCGCACATGCAGGTTTGTGCCTGCCCGATGGATTTGTGGAGCCTGTTGTGCCGTTGTGCCTGCCTCCCGCAAGCGTCCATTGCACTTGACTTCATAGACAACGAAACTTGGAAACAGCCCGGCGCACCAGCCACTTCCACTTTCTCCTTGCCGCATGCCCTCATAAATACCTGCAAGGCTGGCTCCTGTTTGCTCCCTTCACATCTCCCAGCATTCCTCATTAGCACGGCACCCTTCAACGCGCCCAACTCCTCTGCTCAAAGCTACAGCTTACCTGCGCTCCTCTACCTGCAGTATCCTATCAACTACTAGCTCAGCATCTTCTCCTGCCGCCCTCCGCGACCAACCCTCGTCAAGATGAAGTCCTTCGTTCTCCTCGTCGCTGCTGGCCTCGCCCTCGCCCAGGATCTGAACAGCCTGCCCGCATGTGGTGTAAGTCCATCGCTCGCCTCCATTGCGAAGCTCCGCCCATACTGACCGCTGCAGAAAACCTGCGTCAACAACATGATCGCCATTGCCCAGTCATCGTTTGGCTGCTCCCAGGGTGACGCCCAATGCTATTGCTCCAACGCCGACTTTGGCTACGGCGTCCGCGACTGCGCCAGGGAGGCATGCGGCAATGACGACACTGCCAACCAAGTCATCACGTACGGAGCCGCCTACTGCTCAGGTCAGTGTCTCGCTACTCCGTCTTTCAAACTGGCTCTGACCATTGTCTAGCTATCGTGGCTTCAGCCACCGGTTCGGCAGCTTCCTCGGTCGCTACGGGCGCTCTTGGTGTCCTGTCTTCCGCTGCTGCGTCGGCTACTGGTGCCGTCAGTAGTGCTGCGGCATCCGTCACCGACTCTGCCGCCAGCGATGTGAGCTCGGCTACCGGTGCTGCTGGAAGCGCCGCCTCCAGCGCCGCAAGCACCCTCGCTACCATCACCAGCTCCATCGCTTCCGAGGTCTCGAGCGCCATCTCTTCCGTCGAGTCTAGCGCCGCGTCCAAGGCTTCTTCCGTTGCCTCTGACCTCTCTTCCGCCCTGTAAGCTTACTGTTCGTAGTCTTCTGGTCCTTGCTAACCTGATTGATATGCAGCTCCTCCGCCGCCTCAGATGCCTCCAGCGCTGCTTCGAGCGCCGCCAGCGATGCCGAGAGCGCTACCAGCTCTGCCGGTGAGGCTGCATCATCCGCTGCCTCATCTGCCACCGAAGCTCCGGGTGCTGCTCCCAAGATGACCGGCCTGCCCATTGCCGGTGCCGCTGGTCTCGCTGCCTGGTTGTTGCTATAAGCACCTCGAATGACGCACCCCAAAGCTCTTGGACGGCGGTTAATGATGATAATGTTTGAATGAGAAGGGTGGCGAGACCAGAGCTTTGGTTGTGTTGGCAATGTTGGGCCGCTTTCGGATTTCTACGTTTTTCGTGTGTCTGCATATGGCATCGACGACTTTCCTTTCTCTGTTCACACTTGACGCACCCTCATGGCGGTATAACGATTATGACAAGCCATGCATTGCAACGGCATGGCTTTTTCTGTATGCGCTTGTTATAGCGCTATGATACCCTGGTGCGGGATTAACTCGGAAGACTTTGGGAGGAGTAGGGTAGTACATGAATACACTAATACTTTCACACTCGCGTTCCCTCGGCTTTGTATCTGTGATTCTGTATATGTGGTTTTCTATGTATGGGAAAGTCTCAGGCGTACCTTCAGATGGAATGTTGCTACGAACCAAATGAATCAGCTAGAGGTTGTGTGTTTGCTGATGATGTACGTTGATGAAAGAGATTGTGTCGACTGCGATTGAACTTCAAGGGTGAGGTGTGAAGGATGATGATGCTCGTTGAAGTGATTTGGGGTTGAGGACGCTTCATAGCGAAGACGAGGATAGGCTTGGAAGAAGCCGGCAAGCAATTGAATTTCGTTGCGGCAGTCACCAACTTCGCTGGCTCTACGTCTTAGGACGGCTGTGGCCGCCCTGTCCACAGTGTGTGGCTTCGCCGTTCTCCGGACTTGTTCCCGCTTGTCTCCACCCGCACTCCACATTACACAATGTGAGCTAGCCTCTTTTGGCTCTTTTAGACGTTAACAGCGTCAGTTCCCCCTCACGACGTGTTAAGCTTCGACTTTGAGTTGTCACAACGAATTCACTATCATCTAACCTTCTCTAGCGACAGGTCATACTACCACCGCTACATCATGGCAAGCTCGACTCCCAACCGCCTCATCCTCGGTCTTATGACAATTGGCCCGGACGCCCAACTCGGAGCTCGTATAACCTCTCTCAACACATACAAACAGTGCCTGGACTATCTCTCTAAGAAAGGTTATCATGAACTGGATACTGCAGGCCAGTACGTGGGCGGCCAACAAGAGGCCTTCACACGTGATGCGGGTTTCCGCGAACGCGGCTTCCAGATCGCCTCAAAGGTGTACCCCGTGCAGCCTGGTGACCACGAGCCTGAAAAGCTGCGCGCAAAATGGCTTCAAAGTCTAGAGAAACTCGGAGTCGACTCCACGGACATCATGTATCTCCATGCGCCTGACCGCGCCACTCCTTTTGAGAAGACGCTTGAATGCGTCGACCAGTTGTACCAAGAAGGCCGATTCAAGCAGCTAGGGCTGAGCAACTATGCCGCCTGGGAAGTCGCAGAAATAGTCGGCATCTGTGAGAGGAGAGGCTTTGTTAAGCCGTCAATCTACCAGGGCATGTACAACGCTATCACCCGCGCGCTGGAATCCGAGCTGCTCCCTTGTCTACGCAAATTCAACATCGACCTTGTAATTTACAATCCTCTCGTGGCAGGCCTGTTCTCGGGAAAGTATTCAACGTTAGATAAGGAAGCTGCACCCACCGAGGGACGCTTTTCCGACAAACAAAACTACGGCAAGATGTACCGCGACAGATACTTCAAGGAGTCTGTGATTGATGCGCTGGGTTTGGTCGAGCCTGTTGCGCAAGGACACAACATTCCGCTGATCGAGGTGGCGCTAAGGTGGTGCGTCCACCATAGCAAGCTTAAAATGCGCAGTCAAGGAGGGAACGACGGGATCATCCTGGGAATCAGTTCGTACGAGCAGCTGGAACAGAACATCGAGGCTTGCGAGAAGGGGCCGCTGCCACAAACTGTGGTGGACGTTTTGGATAAGGCCTGGGAGCGGACCAGGGGCGATGCGGCAACGTATTGGCGGTAAGATAGGATAGGCAACAGAGAGGCATGGCGGCTCGATTGAAAATCAACCTTGAACATTGGCATGATGAGAAATATTATTCGATATAGTAATCCATACATGTTTTGATATGGTAATCTGATACTTTACTAAGTTCCTGGTAGTGGTGGAATTCCGCATTGTAGGATTCGACGTTGTCAGCTCAAGTTAACACTAACCGGACAGGGAGAATACACGAGGACTAAACGCGGTAAACACCCAAAGGTACCTCATGGTATATAAACGTTCGATTGTCATTTGTTCGTCAAACACGCAGAGCAGACACCCAATACCAGCTTTGTCCAACATGCATGTTCCCCGCCTCTTCTCCTGGCTCACGCTGGCATGCGCGACTGCCTTAGCCGCGAACAACGAAACAGCTCCCGGCATTATACCAGGAACAACCGGTCAATATATTGCTGCAGGAGGCCATCGTTATTACTATCTCGAGGCGAACCCGGTCAACGCATCTCTCGGGACGATTCTCCTCTTCCACGGCTTCCCCGACTTTTCGTACGCATGGCGCTATCAAGTACCTTTTCTTACGTCGCTCGGCTACCGTGTGATTGCACCCGACATGCTTGGTTATGGAAATACAGACACTTCATGCGATGTCAGTGACTTTGCGCTCAAGAAGATGTCCACCGACATGGTGGAAGTACTCGATCAGATTGCCCCTGGCGAGAAGATCATCATCGGAGCCCATGACTGGGGAGCAGGGCTAGCATACAGCTTCGCCATGTGGTATCCGGAATACCTTAAAGCCTTCTTCACAATTTCAATTCCGTATACAAGGCCGTGGCTTGGTCCCTCGCTGGAGTGGATCGACATGCTCGACCTCGTACAGAACCACACCTACCCAACAATGGCCTACCAGCTGCAATGGCGCGATCCTGCCGTCAATCGCAATTTCAGCACTAAATCACAGGTTCGATCATTCTTGAATGCTGGATTTGGGGGCTTGACGGAGGATGGCAGAGGAGGCCTCTCGCCTTTTGAAGGCATGCAATACGACATCATCCCGCTCCTCAGAAATCAGACGCTCGTTAACCCCGAGGACTTCGAGATCTATGTCGAAAATATCAATCAGAAAGGCATGAGTGGGGGTTTCAACTGGTACCGCACCCGGCGCATGAATTGGGAAGATGAGCTGCCGCTTGCGAAGAGGGGAGATTTCAAGTACCGAACGCCGCATCTGTTCATTCCGGCAACGAATGATTCTTTCATGCCGCCAGAACTTTACACCAACATGGGGCAATACTTCGAAAGCGAGACGGTCGAGCCAGTTGAGGCGGGGCATTGGGCGATGTGGGAGAAGCCCGATCAGGTGAATGAGATCTTAAGGAGGTGGATCGCACAGCTCTAGTCTATTGGGGATGTATCGGTGAAGCCCAACACATTTCCTTGATTCTTCGACTTGGGACGCGGTCGGGCGTTTGATAATATGGTGGATGCTGTGATGAAGAGACAGCGCAACGATACGGGCTGGAGTAACGAGTATCCCTGCCATTACATCCGAAAAGGGCTAGTGCATGATCCCCCTTTAAACATCCGCGCAAATCTAGTCTCAGACTGCCAATGATCATTGACATGTACCATACAGTTCAATTCTCCAAATCCCACCATGATGCTTAGTTGTGAGGTGTGAAATGAAAAAGCCGTGGCATCGCAGATATTTGGTTCTTTGGCTCGTAGACCCTTGTCAACGGATTGTGTCTACTGCAGATGTGCCGCCGCCGCAGTTGTAATGGGCGGAGGGTACCGGTGTGGACGAGAAGACTAAAAGTCGTCTCATGACAGTGAACGAGGCTGAAGAGCATCGACTGGAGTTGATGAGGGAATGAACATTGTTCAACGTCGCTGTGGAGGACAAATTTGATACTTACAATCTTTGCGAACATCAGGAAGCCTTCTTGACATTTACTTCTGCGACACAAACTTCATGGTGTATGCTGAAGCTGGTCACATCTGTGCGATTGCAGGACGGAACAGTTTAGACTGGCGTCAAAAAGTTCATCTCTCAATCATTGTATATTGAGCTATACATCTGGATTTCCAGTTCTGTGTAGACATGGACTTGTCTGGTAAATCTAATAAGTAATCAGCGTAGTCACGCAGCTACTTCTCAAGCCTCGCAGCCCTCTCTTCATCTCTCCACCATTCACACTGGATCCTCCTGATCCCATCGCCTTCGACCCTACTATTCCCGAAAGCTTCAATCCTCAACTGTAGGCCCGGAAGTTTCTTCCCACCGTCGACGTACTTCGCCCACTCCGGAGCTTCCTGGCTTTGCCTCCCGTTGGGACTTCCAGATACCACAAAATCTGCGAAGTATGCATGAAGAAGGTTTCCAACTTCGGGATACTGCACACCTTTGGTCCCGCCCTGCAGCGTCTCTGCCCACGTATACTTCGTATCCGATGTGTGCGGAATACTTTGCCAGGTAGGGAACGAGTTATTGGTGGCGAACACCGATTTATAGACCGGAACTCCGGCGGTAGACATGCGTATTGCTGTCTCCTGTCCAGGACATACGTACATGAAGTCGGTAACAGCAGCGCTCACGCGGTTGTATTGCGTGGAATTCGGACTGTTGGTGTAGGGGCTGTGCGTGTGATTCGCGGGATCGGGATACAGCCCTTCCAGATCGCTCAGGTCTTGCGCATTGAGGCCGGGAATCAGAGTATGTACATATGCGAGAAAATCGTCGTTGGTAATCAAGTCACCAGGTGTGTAAAGTTTAGCTTCGTTTGGAACATTGGTGGTAATGGTGGGGACATGGTAGAATTGCCCATTCTTTCCTGAGACAGATCCTGCCTGTTCGAGGAGTGGTCCACCTCTTGTAGGTTGGAAAGGCCATGTAATCGAGTATTCGCTCTCATAGTAGAGAAGGCTGCTTGCGCTTTGAATTGCGGCTATGGGAGCTGCACGCAAGCAGGCGAGTATTTCTTCATCGGTTCCTTTCGCGGATCCTCCACATCCAGTAAGATTGAGATATCGTGCGAATTGAGCTTGGTAGAGCGAGTATGAGGCATTGGGAAAAGAGCGAGAAGTAACGCTTCCCGACTGGAGGAGCGCTTGTGAGAACAAAGGAGACGGGCCGGTGGTTTTGTTGTAATTGTGGTTGAGATGAATGCCGACGGAATGCGCCCCGGCTGAGCGACCTCCTATAGTTATTCTGTCTGAGTCCCCTCCAAATGCTTGAAGATGTTTCTGCAAGAACTGGAGCAGGAGTTGCTGGTCCAGCAAGCCAAGATTCAGAATGCCTAAACGCTCGAACACAGGAGTCGGTAGGAAACCCAATGAGTTCACCTGGTAATGGTGAGCTTGCGAGAGCGAATTGGACGTCTGTGACAGCGACATACTCTGTAATTAAACGTGACCACAATCAGTGGTTCTTCCGAATTCGCGACGAATGATGCCCCATCAAAAGACCGAGCTGACCCTGTAAGGAAAGCGCCCTGTCATGTCAATACCAAGTATACGCGTCGTATTTGGAAGACTAACACCATGTATCCAAACTAGGACTGGAAGTTTCTTTGTACTGTTGAAGCCTTGCGGTCGATATACGTTCAGATTTAGACATGCTTCATCCATTGGGTAGGTGTTCGTTGCCGGATCTTGCACGCACGTGTATCCATACTGCAAAGCATTTTTCGTGCCTGAGAATGCTTTCGCAAAGGCAACTGGGGCAAATCGGTCGTCTCCGACGGGCTGAGTAGCGTAGTCAATTCCAAGCCAGGCATCAACTGCAGCTACGAGGGGTTGTTGGGTCAATGACTGGTTGACTGTTGTTCCAAGAAAACTTCCGTATCCATCCAGGGAAATCGTTCGTCCATCTGCTGCAGCGAAGCATGTCGGCAGTGTTGAGGCAGCTAGAATATGCTGGACGGCGTTGAAGCGCATACTGCCGAGCTTAATTCCAAGAGCAAAGGCGACTCATCTTCTCAGGCAGTGTCGCTGGACACTGCACGGATATACCGGTATACATACGGTATTTGAGGCCTATCTCTAGACGACTGTTGACCCCAGTCGTGCCCCAGCAGCCCATGCAGTGCCTTACTCGATACGCATATTGCTCCGCATATCAGAACTTTGGAACCCCACCAGCTCCGCTATTGACCGCAACTTTGCCTTTTTTGAGGCAGTGATGCGCAACACAAACGTGTTAAATGCTCCACTTGATGATATGCCGATATCGCAAGCGTGGAGAAGGTTAGCACGTCATGGTAGCGCGCGTTGTATCTTACCACGTGCTTACCTAGCCGAACCCGCTAGCCTCATTTAGAAGGAGGGAAACAAGCCGCTCAGAAGTGGAGGTCTCGATTTCAATTACCTCTGACTATGAAGGATGCTTCGTCTATGCCTTACAGAGAATCGATAACGTGCCTAATGGCACTACAAGTCCTGAAATTCAGACAGTCCCATAGATCTCCGCGTCAGTAATGCCCACAGCACCTGTGCCTCTCCTCACGAGACTCACGCTTTTACCTTCTTTTGCGTTGAAATTCAGAGTGACATACCCCAAGCTTATCACTGTAGTGCCACTCCATACCTCAGCATTGTCGACCTTCACAGTCAACGGATACTGCTTCGTCCGGAAGTCGCTCAACTTGAGCACAACTTGGCTAACTTTAGCAGCATTCGCAAGTTCGTATGTAATGGTCGAATTGGTAGCACTGCTGGAGCTTGAACAAGTAGAAAATTCTTTGTCATCGTAGGAGAGGCTCACATTAGTAGGATTGCTTGTTGCAGTGACGGAAGTAACGTTTACTGCGTTACGACTGGGAGTGTAGGGCGAGTTCTTCGGAGCAGGGCCACAGGACAGGTCATGGTGCAGATATGTGGAGAATATCTGAGTGCTAAGTCCATATGCAGCATAGAAAGGCTTGATGTTAAAGGTGACTGATGCAGATTCTAGAGCATCCCCTGAAACTTTAAAGTGATCACGCCGGTTTTGGTAGTCGAGCGAAAGAGCATGCGGTTAACCCCGTTTTCGACAGGGAGAGTCTTGGGCAGGATACCGTTACCCGGTCCCTGGGCAATACCTCCGCGCCGTTCTGCTTCTCCTGACAGCGTCAATACTATAGTGTCGAGACCGACTGGATTGCGTTGGCGTATGAATCGACCACTTCGATATCGATCAGGGCAATATCAGCCCCGTCGGCTAGAAAGCCACTTGGAGAAGTATGTGGCCTTGACTTGCGCTGATCTGAAGACGACTGCTTCCCATGTGTGTATCCGACAGCCTCGAGCGTGCCTTCTTGCCAAGTCACGTTGACGAAAGTAAACAAAAAAAGCTTCGACTGCAAGGCCGCATTGAGAGCCTTTCCGTTCAGCTTCAACTCCACTTTGCCGGCTGTTGAAACTATGGAGATGTTCTTCGATGTGCTGGTATTGTAGTTCCAATGTCCGATGATGTGTGTCGCTGATTTCTCGATGTCGACCCAATTGTCCCACATGACTTGATGCGCGTACCATCCATCTTTCGGTAATCTCACCGCATCAACCTCTCCAGACCGGCGATAATTGTCTGCGCCGCGATGATGCGTGTTCGAGTCCGAGAAAATAATGTTGATGCCGCCAGCATTGACGCGTTTGCCTGTTCCGGGGCACTGTTCGTAGTAGTCGAACCAGCGTTCAACATCCTCAATTGCATGTGAGCCTTGATTGCGATTATACGATGCTCCCTTGCCTTCTCCTTCGCCATCGGGATGGTATGACGGAGAGTGACTGTCCCAATACTTGCGGAGGCCTTCATTGCGTGAGTACTCCATCTGCCAAAAGGAGATACGTGATCCCTTGTTGATGTATACCACCTTACCACCGTACTCAGCAACCTTCAAGGCAAGCATTCCCAGAGCTCCCATGGCTCGGCCGCCCTCCTGATCGTACTTGTCTCTAACATCCTTGAGCTGTTGCTGGTGATCCTCGCTGATACCGAAATTGCCACCCTCGTAGAAGACTATGCTGGGATTGTTCCTGTTGTAGATGACTGCATCTCTCATAAGTTCTACGCGCTGTTCCCATGGTCTGCCGGTCACATCGCCTTCAAAAAGACCCGCCGGCATAGCTTGCAGGATACCGAGCCTATCCCAGGATTCAACGTCTTGTTTCCAGGGTGTTGCGTGCATCCACCTGATCAAGTTGCCGTTACTTGCCGTGACCAAGTTGTTGGTGAAGTCGGAAAGCCAAGCGGGGACGGCAGATCCGAGGGTTCGCTATTCGTTCGTAGTACGTTGCGCGTTACCCTTTAGATGCAGAACGCGGTCATTGATCTTAAACGTGCCGTTGGAGAATCCGGTTTTGCGGAAGCCAGTGCGGGTCGTGACACTGTCTATCTTGGTTCCATTGGAGCTCAGGATCGTTCGCACATCCTACAGATATCCATAGCCCCAGCCCCAGCCCCAGCCCCAGAAGTTCAGATCTAAGAGAACGGAAGATGCAGCAATGATACGTGTCTCATTCGGCTGTAGTGTATAATGAGCACCGTTGAAAGACTTGATGACCTTGCTGCTTGCGTTCGAGACTTCAACTCGATAGCCTAACAACTTCGAGCTGTTGTACTCATTCCAGACCTGAGACTCCGCCGTGATACTGGTAGTCCTCGCATCATCGATTTTGCTAGGATAGACATACACGCCCGTCGTTCCGAGATGCGAATACAAAGGCAGTGTCTGATATAAGCGATCGGCGACGTGAAGATAGACGTTCTTATTAATGCCTCCATAGTTGGCATATAAGTTCTTGTCGGACCATTGGTATGTTGAGCCTGTCGAGACCTCGTGGTAGTTCCACGAGTTATCGATACGCGCAGCGACTAGCGTTGCTGATGTCGAAACCGAACGCCATGACACCATTCTCACTGCGTCCTATCCAATTACCGTTCAGGTAAAACTCGCCACTGTGTCGAATTCCTTCGAACTCCAGGAAGACCTTCTTCCCCGTGGCGGAAGAGGGAAGCTTGAAATTCTTTCGGTACCATGCAATGCCGGTAGACAAATTCGCAATGTCCACGAGGAAGGCTTCATCTTCGTTCCATGCATGCGGGGTTGTAATAGGCTTCCAATCGTTGTCGTCAAAAGAAGAAGCCTGCACAGCTTTCGCATCGCCCACGAAGAGACGCCAGTCGGAAGTGAAGTTGTACTTGACCCGCGAAGAAGCGGCGAAGCCCAGATGAACCGGGGCAGGCAAAAGGCCGAGCGACGTTAGTATTCTCATGTTGTTCACTTGAGCTTTGCCTTGCGCTCGACTTTATAAAACCCATGTCCTCTGGTGGAGCGGTGCTTCGGAGACATCTTATTATATCAGGCAACGTTGTGAAACTCGAAAGGTGAATCTGATAGTAGGGAGTCGCGGGTTTCGCTCGAATCCGTTCGGGGACGGGGAAATCGCGAAGTGGGGTACCCCGCAGTTTCGCCGTATACATTTGCATATATTGTTGCGATGTAATCTCGGACGACTGGCCTATGTCAGGACGGAGCGCAAGACACAGGCCCACGATCGATAGAAAGGGTAGGTGCACCCAACCACATGACATATTGCGCCTTACTTCCACTTTGTTTGATTCTTGGATTCTAAAACAACTGGATAGATCTCTTGCTGCAATCATCAGCTCAAGGAAAGTCCTTCCTCGCCTGCGCAACCGCATTCATGAATGCAGTCCTCCCCGCGAACAGAGTGTCAACCGATGACCCAGCAGATAACACTCCGTATTGATACCGTACACCATCAGCCTCGGGAAGCAACCATAGTGGGCCTCCAGACTGCCCACCTGCAGCATCCGCTTGTGTAATGATAGGTCCTGTGGTACCACTGTTGCATTGCGAAGCGGTTCTCCCACTTATACTTTGTTCCACATAAGGACGCTCTGCTTGGCCAAGGTCAAAGGGATAGCCTTGAGTACCGTCAATAATATGTTGAGATGCCGTGTCAGGTGCACGTACCTTCGTGCCAGAAGATGGCCTGGTTTGCCTTCGAACTATCAAACTGCTTAACGCCAAAATACCCATATTTGTCTCCAATTCTCTGGTTGAGGATCATGACTGCCCAATCATCGCCATAGGAGCAGGTATCTGTCAGACTACCCGGAATATACATGATGCTTGTGACCTGAGCGGCCGTGTAGCCGCGGGCGCCCTGATCGTAATTCGGGCGGAACGTATATGTAATGGCGTTATTCGTCGTGTTGAAGCAATGACGTGCAGTTGCCAGGTGACGCGGTCCAACCAGAGAGCCACTGCAACGGTATCCGTCGTTGCCAACACCCCATTCAAGACGCCCAATGTAGTCCCATGGGTTTCCGGTTTTGGTTTGCAGGAAGCGGCTTTCCGGGCCGATCACATCGCGCTTTTGAGGCGTTGTAGTGATTGAGAGATGGTCAGAACCAGAAGAGCCAGGCACAACGGTACTCTCATGCAACAGGGTTGCTTTTTTTAGGAGCATGATGTTCGGTGTAATTCCAGGAGCGGTCTTCAAGGCAGCAGGCACAGAGACATGTGCTATCGGGTGTGTATATGGTCCGTCTCTCTCTATGACGGGAAGAGCAAAAGTAGGTCGCAAGCTTGTTAGTGCGAGAAGTGGTGTTTGATAAGCCAGGAACTTCATTGTTGCTGCAGCATGCCTCGCCTACTTGCAGGATCGTGCGCAAATCGAGTAGAAGTTCAAAGTGAAGCTTGATTGACAAGTTTGATTCCGATGCACAGTATCTTTCATGAGGTATCCCTTCGTTTTATACCCGTACATGTATGTACGTTCGCTTCAGTACGCTCGTGAGAACTGTGGCGCATGTGGTGTCCTGGCCCCAAGCCAGCTCAGCGTACGCCCCATCAATACAGTGTGGATCCTTTGGTCTGACCACCATCGTTAAAGCACCACTACGCTCCACTATTCCAATAGACAGCCTATAGAGAAGCCTAATCACGGCTCTGCCGCACCTCGTGTAGTATTTCAAGTCCCTCGTGATGTTCTAGGCATCAGCTCGATCGGTCGAACTTCCTATCTTGTTGCGCTTCCAAGAGGTTCACTATCAGGCAAACCTGCATCCTTTTTCATTTTGCTCACGCGAGGCTAGGACCAATCACTATCAAAAAAGCTCGCTAGGGTGGAGCTGAAAAGTTGCAGGTCATGTGAGGATTGCAGTGCCTTGGGCTATGGACGAGGCTGATTTCACGATACAACGTGACACTAGCGTCGCTCGAAACTATCCAAAAGTCAAAGATTTTCGGCCTCCGTTCCACATTTGCTCTCTGCTCTCACGAGGTGTAGCGAAAGTCCGGATGACGATCTCGTATCCGTAGTATTCATCTCTCGACTCGTAATCTCAATATTTTCCTGCATTGCCCTCATCGTCCCGTTCAGGCCACACAGAAAGAGAAATGTGCCATGGTGCTTGTATGCATCTATTTTTGATACCTGCAGTACTGAGATGGCCAGTGACTTAGCGCCACCATCGCTTGTGAGGCTGTAGATCTGGCTTGTCATCATACTCCCAATATTGCCAAATAACAGATATAACCTAATGGTGTTAGAGTGCTTGAGTTCTGTAGCATGGATTCCAACAATTCGAGGCACGCTCGAGTTATATTCATAGAGTGAAAGAGGTTCCTCACGTGATGGCGTAACGCCGGGGCTGCAAGGAACACATTGAGGCGTAGTAGAAAGCAGGCATCAGTAGGCAGCCATAAAGACTCAGACGTAGAAGCAATCTTACAAGCTTGCTCATGCCTTTTTACCTGTAGTATACAACGCGCTGAATGCTGACACTTGGCGGTCGCTCACAGCCAGTTGTATGCGATCGCACTTCTATTGTGCAGCCAATCAGCATGAGAGTACCCGGTATGTTGAGGCCTGAGCGGGGGTTACCTGCAGAGCATCAATCCGCAGCCAAAGCTGCAGTCAACGGACAGACCAAGGTCCATTTTGCCATCTTTATATGGCTTTGTGTTTTGCGCCATTGCTGCCATACTACCGATCCCATAGTCGCGCCATTGTAGTCGCCGAGGCAAGCAGAAGCGAATCTGTTTCTTTCAACATGTTGCATCGCGCTCTGCTTTCTGCGCGTGACGAATGACGCAGGGAATTTCGGGCTCGTACCTGTCCGTAGAAATTTATTGTCAAAAGCTGCAGAACAGTCCAACGCTATATCGTAAGTGCGGAGCAAGCGGCAAATTTCAATAGGACTTCCTGAAGTAAGTTTGCCTACAGCGAACTCTCTTCTATGTACAAGATGACCAGTCTCCCTTCCTTACTATTTGGTATTATCTGCTGTATCTCAATCTCTACGCTGGAACCTTGAAAGAAGAGATGGCGCCGTCGCTTCCCGCAACAAATAGCGTACTCTTATCAGCACTAATGGTAACCGCAGTCCCGCTCTTGATCGAAGCCACCGTGCTAACTTTGCCATCTGCAGTGACCTTTTGAATGCCGCTCGAGGCTGCGACATAAGCAATACCATCTGGCGAAACATACATGTCATCCGCCATTTGGTTACCCCAGATCTGAGTTGCGGTTCCGGTCTTCTTGCCTTCGGCGTCAACGGGCATCTTATAGAACTGGTTGGCGAAGATGTTAGTATAGTAGATATTTCCGTTCGCGTATCGGATGCCATCAATGCCCATACTGTACAATGCGTCAGTACACTTACTTCTATACGAGGAAATCTCCGGCGAATACGTGAGATGTTCTAATACTTACGGCATGCCTAGATGGGTACGTACGAGGTCAGTGTAAGTCAGAAAATGGGGTTAGATACGAGGCATCTATGTCTAAGACATATCGACTTCGTACCGCGGCAGTACTAACCACTTTTAGGCGCCATAGTACTGTCCTGAATGGCAATGCTGTACTCCCCCGGTGTTGACGTTCACTTTGAAAACCGCACCCTTACTCGCATCTCCCACCAACACTGTATCATTGTTGAAAGCCGATAGACCATTCCACATGCCACTCTCCGGAACCTTCTTCACCAGCGTAGTCGTTGGCGTCGCCCCACCCACACTGAAATCGACCTTCCATACTCCCCAGCTTCCTGGTGTGTTGCTGTTGCTGTATTTCCCTGCTACAACAGCAAATACATCGGGTGCAACTTCAGCAATTGCTGCGGAACAAGACGTATCAGTGAAGGTCGCCACTTTGGTGGCTTTCTTCGTCGGTGGATCAATTAGCCAAGCTTCGCCCTTATCAAAGAAAGAAACAAGGATTTGGCCATTAGACCGGACGGCAATGCCTTCGGCTTTGAGCGGCGAACCGGTGAATTTGTAGACTTGGGTCACTGCGGACTGACGTTTCGTAAGTGGCGATGCAAAGACCAGACCGGCGAAAGAGAGGAAGGACGTGATGATGACTGTGAACCGCATCTTGACGGAGGTATTACTTTTTGCGGTAAAAGCTTTAGTTACAGAATGTGTGATGGCAGATGTCTAGGGTCTTCTAACAGTATATAAAGGTAATGGTGAGTGCAGGTGGACCAAGACCGGGTCGCGGGTCGTAATGCCACATGCTTACCTGAACTCCGTTTCTGGTCCAAGGGTTGACGTTGCCACTGCTGATTTGATACAGTTCGAGATTAATGATCCTCTGATGTGGGTTTCGTTTAGCATGCGTATATGATCGTGTTATTTGACCCGGTCGTCGCGTTTAGCCTTGGATATTAAAGCGGTTTGGCAGTAGCCCCGCAAAACCAAGTGCGGCAAACCAAGTGCCGAAGCCATGGCAATGTGGAATAGCTGAACATTTTTCTCTTGAGGGTACATGTCATGCGCAGGCTGTCGGTCATACGAGGATTTGGTGAGCTCTGCGTGTCGCTGAAGCTGGCGTCAAATAGCCGCCTCTAGGACGTCTAGTCCCTACGTGACAGGTCTATCGCGTTTGGGTATCACCTTGCGGTGTCGTAGATCAGGAAGCATATGTGCGCGGCTTCTTCCTTGCGATAAGAAGATCTCGTGAAGATAATGTGAGTTGTTCACTGAGAATTAGACTCAATCTTCTATCAGAACACATCTTGCACCCAGTTGTACGAATGCCGCCGCTGCTCTCTAGATGTAACTACTCTTTCGATTTAGCTTTTCCGGTGTGCGCAATGCGCAACTACCTCAGCAGGGCATCAGCCGCACTGAGCAATTGTAAGCCCAGCGCTACTTCACAGTATTTTTTTTTATATCAGCGAGCTAGCTGGAACAAGCAGTTGAGACCCTAGTTGTTTTCCATTGTGTCCAAGTGACATTCGATGGTAGAGAGTAACGAGGCCAGGAGCTGTGGCGGTTACATTGCCTGTTAGTATCTCGGTTGTTGCCATGTCATGGTAATCAAGCGGGTCGACACGATGCTTCCGATCTGTGGTGATGCGATGAGGCTGAAGCCGCTGCCACTGGGACCTGGGACTGACATTCCCACCCCTTGACGCGGCAGGAGACTATCCGCGGTAGTTATTACGTATACTGGAGTAGAGCCAGTGTGAGGAACAACGACGGCGGCGCTTACGCGCGCCTCCGCGAGAGCGGCGACTATAATGCGCCGTAAGACAAACATCTTGTATGATGCCGCGATTCTTTGCTTTCTAGGTCTAGGTGTGCCCTCGTCGCCTACATGGACGAGTTCGAGGGAGAGTCTGGCGTTGCGAGGCAATCACAGTCATACAGGGGGATTTCATCTCAATGGCATCGCGACTTCTAGTTACGCCGCTGTGGCACCTACACATTCGCGTGCAGTTGAAACATCACTTCCTGCGAGGCAGCACTTGTTCAACCATACTGTTTGTTCGATTGCAAGTCGTAATGGCGTGTCGGCCAAGGTGACAGTGCTTAGAAGTCGCTCGGGTGAAATACATGCCGAACCTAATTACGATCTTGGACATGGCGAGGCAACTCCCTTCAGCTCTGCAACCCATCCGTCAACCCACTTCTCGACCCAGTCCTTCCCTATAGCAGGCATACCATTCAACGTCTTACTTTGCGAGGTTGCATGGTCCAAATCCCACTTAATAGCTTTCTCGCTATTGATCAGGCGCGCTTCGTAAAACTCTTGCAGCCTGACAGCTGGATATGTGCGCACCAGATCCGCCGCATCATCGCCAGAGAAGTTGTCCACAGTTTCCTGCAGTTTCTCGAGCCAGAGTCTTGCAGCAACAACGCTCATATCTTTACCAGTACGTTCCTTGACGCTGGAGACGATCGCCGGAACAAGTTCTTTCCATGACGTTACCTTGGGGTTGAGTAGGTTGAAGACTTCAGCGCCATGCGTGGTGCCATTTGTTACCTCGTCATTCGTCGTTGGGCTCGACGGCGGACCGGTCCCAAGTTCTACAAGTATTTTAGACAGGAGGTCAACAGGAATCCAATCAACCTGATTCAATTCTGCACCCAGATCCTCCGGCAAGAGACCTAGGCTGATCGATGTGACGACCAAGCTCGGCAGCCATTCCGCCGTATTCCATAGCGCATTCACGCCTTCGCCAACAGCGCCCGCAATCTGCCCGACACGAGCGAAGGATACAGGCACGTTTAGATTTTCCGCTGCAGCGTCACAAAGCAACTCCGAGACAAGCTTTGACTTGGCATATCCGATCTCGTAAGGAGCATTGAAGTCACGTACGACTTGCTCGGGAATGGTTGGAGAAGCAGTCACTCGCGGCAGCTGTGCAACGGAACTAATCGACGAAATGTAAAGTAGTTTTGGTGGATCCGAACGACTCGCTGCCAGGCGGAAAAGGTTGGTCAAACCATCAAATTGCGAGCGGAAAGCCTTGAGAGGCAAGATGAAGTTCACAGTCCAAGCGTTATGAATAACCAGCGTAGTTGTTGAGCGCAGGGTCTCGTACATCTTCTCCTCGAGACCGAGGTTGGGCTGGTCTAGAGTCGCTTGTAAGAAAGTGACGCGGCTGCTTTGCTGAGGCAATTGGGACTTCTGGCCTTCAGTCTTGGTCGCATGAACTTCTTTCGCATTTGAACGCCTATTTAGGCAGTAGATATGCGAGATGGTGGGGCATGACAGAAGTGCTTCGAGGAGGTGGACACCTAGAGAACCTGTGGAGCCGGTGAGGATCACGACTTCGCCCTTGCTATCGCTGGCTGTACGTGGCTGCTGTCTGATCTGGTCAATGACCGGCTCGTACTCTTTTAACAAGCTACCGATCTCGGAATAGTCGTCGTGCACCTTTGCGCTCTGATTCGTTATGACATCGACAGCGTTGTTATTCTTGTTCACAATGTACTGCGTGAGCAGTTCCAGACTAGGATTGTTATAAACAACGGACAGTTCGAGCTCAGGTTGGCCGAGGCCATGCCTTAGAGCCCGAACCAATCTAACACCCATCAATGAGTCCATCCCCTTGTCGAAGAAATTCTTTCCGTTATCTTCAAGAAGGCTAGGCTCGATCTGAAATATGACTTTGTTCAGCCACTCGCTGACTTGATGAGCATCCTTGGTATCTAGAGATGCGTGTTCGATACCGGTGAAGACAGTGTCCGCCTCCAGATAAACATTGTCAATCTCGGTAGCGTACATGGCAATAGTGCCTTGTCGTTGTATGGTACCCTTTCCAGAACGAATCATCGGTTTGTCCGGCCTCGTAAGAATGACCATGGCTTTCTCAACTCGTGCGTGAGCCGGTGCAGTCTGATTAGCTCGATCGATGGAAGGCCAGATCTTATCAATGAACGCGTCTAACTTTTCCCCGGTCAACAGCCCCAGCTTAGGTGATGTCTCAACAAGTAGACCTGCTTGAAACCTTTGCATGCCGAATACTAGAGCTTGGACGACATCTTCGTTGGCGGAGATGATAGACTGCTCCATGGACACTGGGTTCGTCTTTTCGCCGTTGAGGAACACGATGATGTCGTCTGCTCGAGCCTTCCAGGCCCAGCAATCCGGAATCGTAGGGTGTTTGATGAACAAGTCCCTTGTGCGATATTCATCCTGGTCTTTCAGGACTGGCCCAATAGTGAAGGGCATGATATGCTTCTCATACTTCGGGTCCTTTCTGAATACCAGTTCGTAGAGTCCAGGCGAGTTTTCTTCGAAAACACATCCCAACTCTGGGTGAGGTAGCACATAATGCCATTCCAGCCTTGTCATATCTGGTGTTCGAAGCTGAGCAATGAGTCCAAACTCAGATGCACCGTGATTATTCTGAATGGGCATCTTGGCGGCAATCCTATCACCTATTGCTTGCGGGAGGTCACCGCCCGCGTACAGAATGAGCTCCAAGTTCTCAGCGCAGTAGTCTAGCAGGTCCGGTTTCTGACTAAGGTCGGCAATGATGGACGGTACGAGAAATGCCACATCTGCATGGGCTGTCTTCAGTGCTTGGACTATGCTCTCAGCCGTGGGAAGAGCACCAGATAATGGAGCGATAGACACAGTGCCGAATGGTGGGCTGTGAACAAGGTGAATAGCGATTCCGGCAGCCTGATTCACGGTAAGTTGGGCTTGTTCAAGGAGTGGCAAACGATGCTTACGTGAAAAGGTGGAAATGTGTTCAACATGCGCTTGCCTTGATGAAGTTTGTCAATAGATTGAAATCCAGAGGGAGGTTCTAGAGCGCAATAATTCTGATGTCTCGCCGCTGTCTCGTGAGTCCAAATCAGGGGTTTGGGTATACCAGTTGAACCCGAAGTATGTCTGCAGAAATTACTTAGTATACTATGAGAAGTACCTGGGGGAATGGAACGTACACTACCACAAGTGGATCGGCGCATGCTACTGCGTATGTCTTGTTGTATGCATAATGAGGGTACTCTTTCTCGAGGAGATCGGTTACGCTTGGAACATGCAGATGCTTCATAGGATGAGCGCTCAATATGTGCTCTGTCGCCGGTGGCGCTGGCTCTGGCGTAAGCAAAATCTGACATTGTAGCTTGTCGAACAAGCCGGCATGGGCGGCGACACTGTTTCGTGGCGAGGTGAAAAAGGCCTAGATGATGGCAAATTAACAGGAGACCACTGCGAGAGATGATGGACCATACCACATAGCCAGCCTTGACAGCTCCGAGCAGCAAAGCAGTGTAACGCACGTCATTTGGCCCAAAGTACGCTAGAACATCGAAGTTCTCCGACTTTCCCAAAGAGTCGCTCAACCACCAAGCGAAACCATTAACAGCATTGGCAAAGTCCTTGTATGTGACAGTCCGGTAACCCTCGTCATAAGTTGTTGGAGAATTGGGATAGAGGGCGTACGGTGCCGAAGGTGATACCTTGGCTAGATGGTCTATGATGTTGGGAATGAGTTCTTCGCGCCAATTTGAGATGTGTGCATGATTGTGCACCATGTTGTTCGAAGACAAACAAGGTGGTTACTAAGAAAATTGATCAGATGTTCACGAAGCCAGTCTCGGAGATGAGGATACGCAGCGATACCGAGCCAGAAGGGGAGGCATGCACATAAAGATGCACGATGTAGGTCAGCCCTTTTTAGATGGGCGCTGTTGTTGGGAATCGAGTTTGGACGATGCCCGCAGCAGGACAGAAATTGTAGCACGGTCTTTGTCCGTGCCGCACAACTCGAGCTGAGAGCGGCACAGTCAGCCCCTGGCCCCTACGAACGTGGGTCTGCGCACTATCCGCAATCTACGTTGCTGCATCTCGCTCACGCAATGAATGCAATTGCGTCTCGAAAGGTGGCATGTCGACATGGAGGCACCCCGCACGGAGCTTTAAGGAGCCGGCAAGGATGTCGGTACCCGCAAGCGGCCGTGCCTGCCGCCAAAACGACGCAGAGCGTTTCCGGGGTCTTTATTTGCGGCCAACATGGGTTTGAACACGCCCGACCTGGAGTCTTATCACACTCGATCCAAGCGTGTAGCCAATGGGTTGCTCAGCGCCAACCCCATGCTGACCCTAATCCTACCTGACGCTGACCCCTCAAGCCTAGCTGACTTGAGTGTGATCAAACCCTAGGTCGAGTGGGATACAATGCATTCTGACATGACTTCACCGGGCCCCCTTGCTTAGGCGCGTGTATGGGTTCGAGTGAACAGCTCCTTCCTTTTTGCGACTAGAGTGCCCACAACTCCAGACGGATACACCACGGCCTCGACTTCGGACATCGAGAGACATGTCTGCATCCGCGTGCTCTCGGGCTTCACACAGATCGGCGACGTAACAAGCATCGATCTACGCTGACACGTCTCCACGGCGCGAGGTCAAGGCTTCGTAGGGTAAGCTGGTGCCCGTATTGGCAAAGCTTGATGCTACATTGGACATACTGCCTTGGGACATGCACTGCATCGAGTTGGGGCGCCTGGCAATACCGAGGCAAGTTAAGACAATGTGGGGATGCAAGAATGCTGATGTTAGATTGCCCGTTCGTGCGAGAAAGTGGCCTAAGATGCTGGATTGCCCACTCGTGCGAGAAAGTGGTCTAAGATGTTGCAATTCTCCGTGCAAGGAGCAAACGGTCCGTGGGGGCTCAAACGGCGGCGCGTGGAGTCGTCAGCGGCTAAACTCCATGCACACTTCACCTATCAATCTCGGCTTCAGCGTTACACGACATGCAGAAGCCGAGACAAACCAACGCCACGGGAAAGCTTCTTTCAAGTGCGAAGACGTGGCCAGACATGGTGGGGACTCCAGAGGAAGGCTTCAATAAACATTACCGGCTATAAGGCGGCTATTCCCGAGCCTAGCGCCCGCTATCTACTTTGCCCCCCACGAATTCTGGATTTCCGTCGTCACCGTGATCCCACCTGCCCCTTGTCCTTGCGAGCTCGGCACATGCCTCTCAGAGCTCGCTCGCAGTATGTGCACGTTGCCACTGGAAGCATCGTCGTCCTCGTCCAATTCAGTAAAACCGTGGCCCATTTTCTTCACGTTCCTGAGTGGAACCGCGCCTCCGTCTGCCGCGCCATTGCGTTGCCCAGTGCCGTACCCGGATGGGTTCGAGCTTTTCACACTGGTCCTGAAGCTCCCGAAAAGTCTCGATCTCCCGACGCGTTCGAGCAGCGGTCGATAAGTCAAAAGACACGCCGAGATAAGGTATATGCCAGGCTCGGCGACGGTCCAAATGATGAGCTCGACCGCATCGTAGGTTCCGTCAGTGAACGAGTTTGTGACAAAGAATGTGTGGAACCGTAGTATGGATGCCACGAGTCCGCTTCAAAATTAGTTAGCATGCTGCGCCGAACAAGCACCATCAGCTGTTTGGCAACTTACAGACTGCCAACGAGGAACGTAAAGGTCAAAGCGATCTTGATGCGCTTCGTGTTGTGTAGGCTCCAGACAATGGGCAATGGGAGCGCGAGCATAACCACATCTGTCGCGATGTTGGGTACGCTCGTCCAAACGAAGAACGATTCCTTGTCGATGCATTTTGCTCCTGGAAGTGTGGGATTGTAGTTCGCTTCGAAAGGCTTGCACGCGGCCAAAGAGACAATTGTGTTCGCGATTGAGCCTGCGATAAGAATACCGGCTATTGTATAGACAGTGATTCGGGCCACTCTTTGCGGAAACAATCGTCTGTAAAGTGCCAGGACAGCGAGCTTGGGAATGTTGACGTCGACAAAGTACAGTGTTGCAAGGACAAGGAGGTATTTGCCCCAATTGAGTACTTTTTCAGGCTCATGTTCTTCTAGGTAGCCGAGATGCTGGCCTACGCCTGCGTAGGTAACTGAAGCTGAAGCAAGACGGTGAGCAACGTCTATTGACTTTCAAGGAAGCAACGTACCGACTCCAACACCGCCCAGTATGAGTTGCGATATCAGAGAGACTACAACAAGTGCATCTTCAAGCGGGTGGCTCTGACCCACAACAAGCCATCGGGAATAGAAGCGCAATCCTACTGCGATGACTTGCAACGGCGTAAAAAAACCAGTGAATACCTGTAGACGCCAGCCAATGTTTGCGGAACTTGTAGACATGACGACTACGGTAACACCAAAACTCGACCAGAGAGAGACTTTTGCAGCTCGTATAGCGAAATGCTAGATAACGGACCAAGCAACGGGGACCACTGCAGAAATCGCGGAATTTTACGATCGAATGTTCCTCTGGCGAGGCATGCCGTCTCGGAAATGGCTGCGTCGCGTCAAAAGCCCCAAAAGGAAGGCGCCCCCGGCCCTGCATATTTTGCGCATCTTCGGGAATGCAGACATTGGATCGTCAACCTTCTGTGGTAAGCCTTGCAGTTCCAACACTCCTTGGACTAAGCTGATTGTAATGCGAACGTTGTGCTGGGATACGCCCTGAAACCCATACCCATATCCTGGGCATGGGAAGATGCAGCGTCAACATCGGCGACGTGCTGCCGACATTACCGCCCACCGCCCATGTCGACTCCCCATAAGCCCACCTGCATTGTGTCGTACAAGAAGTGGGTACTCTTGACTTGAGACTACAACGCCCCGCAGCATGGCCTCGCCGCAGAGAAGTATAGTATTTTCCTTTTGTCCCAGGTCCACCTTTCCCACTGCGCTGCCTTGCGGCACATACGAGTTCATGGGGTGAATATATCGGACCGTCTGACCTGACTACCTGCATGACGATGTGAGTGAATATGTACGCATAGCATGAACCGCGATCATTTCTATGTACATACGCTCGTTCGGACTCCGATCCTTGTCGACATCGACAAGCCGTAACACTTTCAAACCTAGTGTCGTCTGCAGGGAAGTCTGTGCGCAATCGACCGGGAGGAATGGAAGGAATGATCTACGCGCAAGTGTAGCAACGTGCAGATGCTTAAACGCGACTAGCACCGGTACTACCGAGGAACGGTGGCATTGCCGACCAGACTTCTCCGTTATCGCGATGGCCTCATACTCTCAATATGGCAAGAGTGAACATCGATGGCCAGGTTGACAAAGTCGCCAGGGAGAGCAAGGTCTAGCACAGCCTTTCGGGCGACACTTAGATTGCTGGTGCAAGACAAGGCAGCATCAGGGCGGCGAAGTAGTGGACACAAGAGACTAGCAAGGTCTCTTGACACTCATTACTCTTCTTACAAGTATCTGCTACAAGCGCCCGAAGCTGGGCATTTACCATACTAGTCATCTATCCCACACTATGGCTCCCATGAAAAATTCCCCGATAGCCGTTGTTGGCCTCCAATGCCGTTTCCCAGGTGGCGCCGTTTCGCCTGAGAAACTGTGGGAAACCTTGCTATCAGGTAGCAATACCTGGTCACAGGTACCGGCGGATCGGTTCAATGAGGAGGCTTTCTTCCATCCGGATCCTGATGATTCGAATGGCTCCAACAACCATCGAGGTGGGCACTTCTTGAACGAGGACATACGAGATTTCGACAATGAATTCTTTAACAGTGAGTCCTTCCTCATGACCAAGATCCTGATCATCGACCATAGAATTTCTTAGGTATCTCTAAGAAACTACTACCACACAAAACCCAACGACAGCTATGCAAACAAGGGACAAAGATCGTCACTGATTCTATATGCAGTATCGGCACAGGAAGCTGCGGCGATGGATCCGCAGCAGCGGCTCTTGCTGGAAGTTGTGTACGAGGCGCTGGAGAGCGCAGGGCAACAACAACAGAGGATCCGGGGATCCGAAACCTCGGTACATGTAGCCTTGTTTGCCCGAGATTACGATCGAAACCTATACAAGGACCCTATGAACATTCCACGATATCAGGTTACCGGCACCGGTGACGCAATAGCGGCAAATCGAATCTCCTATGTCTTTGACTTCACCGGGCCCTCTGTTGCCCTAGACACGGGGTGCTCTGGCGGCTTAGTGGCCGTACACCAGGCCTGTAGCTCTCTCAGGCTAGGAGAAAGCGACATGGCCATTGCAGCAGCAGCGAACCTCATAATCGGCCCCGATCAACAAGTTGGCTTGAGTAACCTGCATATGCTCAGCGAAGAAGGCAGATCGTATCCTTTTGACGACCGGGGAGCCGGATATGGAAGGGGAGAAGGCGTTGCTGCACTAGTCCTAAAGCCCTTGGAGAAAGCTATAGCGGATCGTGATCCGATCCGTGGAGTCATCTTAGGTAGCGCGGTTAACCAGGACGGACGCACCATCGAAGGAATCACTCACCCAAGCACCTCAGCACAGACAGCCCTAGAGAGACGGCTTTATCAGCAGCTGGATCTTGACCCTGCGAGCATATCTTATGTGGAAGCTCATGGTACCGGCACTGCTGCAGGTGATCGGGTTGAGATAGACGCATTGGCCGAAGTCTTCTGCAACGAGTCGAGAACCAAGCCCCTCCATGTGGGTTCTGTTAAGTCCAACCTAGGTCATTTGGAGTGCGCGAGCGGACTGGCTGGACTGTTCAAGAGTTTACTCATTGTTGAGAAGCGCTGCATCCCACCGAATGCCGATTTCAAGAAAGCCAAAGAAGTACTTCGGCTCGATGAGCGAAAAATAATAGTACCATCAACCCCTCGACCATGGCCTGAGCTGGGAAACGCAAGAGTCTCTGTCAACAGCTTTGGATATGGAGGAACAAATGCCCATATTGTGATCGAGGGGGGCTCCTCAGTCTAACACCACCGTGGCGGCGTCATCTGCAGATATCCCAACGCTATTCGTCTTGTCAGCAAAAAGTGAGATTTCTCTGATCAGCATGATCCGGCAATATCAGAACTGGACGATAGCGCAAGGACCAGATCTATCACTATCGGCGCTCTCTCATACTCTCTCGACGCGTCGCACACATCATCCTTGGAGACTCAGCTGCGTCGCGAAAGGTCGTCAAGAGCTTGTTGATCATCTTTCACTTGCCGCGCGCTCGTTCATGCCAACCGTTAGCTCAAACGAGGTTTCGATCAGCTTCGTCTTTACTGGACAAGGAGCATCTTGGCCAACGATGGGCCGTGAACTCCTCGTAGTCAATCCTACCTCTGCTTTCGCTATGTCCATGCGGCGCTCGACTGATGTTCTTCTTCATCTTGGTGCTGGATGGAACCTGATCGATGAGATCCTACGCGAAGCTGAAATCTCACGTCTGCATAGTGCCGAACTTGCTCAGCCAGCAACCACAGCTATACAGATCGCTCTAGTGGATCTGCTGAGGAGTATCGGTGTACATGCAGATGCTGTCATTGGACACTCGAGCGGTGAAATTGCAGCAGCGTACGCGGCAGGTCATGTCTCGCAAGCCACTGCTCTCCGGATCGCATACTGTCGCGGGGTCGCGACCAGCATGAGGAGTACGAAAGCTCTGCGCAGAGGTGCTATGCTTGCAGTGGGTCTTGATGAGGACGAGGTATCTATACACACCCGAAAACTCACTAATGGTATGGTGTCTGTCGCGTGTGCCAACAGTCCCCAAAATACAACGGTCTCCGGAGACGAGGAGGCCATCGATGAGCTCGCTACAACTCTGAGCAAGTTGGACATCTTCAACCGCAAGCTACGTGTAGATGCAGCATACCATTCTCATCATATGCGAGATATCGTTGAAGACTACAAAGGCCTCATGGGCTTGCTGGAAACGGAGATGCCGGCGAACGTGCCAGCTTTCTTCTCAACAGTTCATGCAGCAGAGAAGGACACTGGATTCGACTCCAGTTACTGGTGTGACAACTTGGTGTCGAAAGTGAGGTTCAAGGAAGGAATCCAACTACTTTGTAGCTCTCGAGCCTCGACACGTCATGTTTTCATCGAGATCGGCCCGCACAATGCGCTAGCCGGTCCGACCCGACAATGCATCGCGGAAACATCAAACCCTGTTAAGTACGACTACACATCCCCTTTGCGCAGAGGCACAGATGCCGTGCAAAGCGTTCTCGAGGTCGTCGGTTTGCTGTTCGAGCGCGGAAGGCTAACCGACTTTTCCCTTCTCTCCGTCCTAGATCCTGCGCAGAAAACTGCCACAGTCCTGCACGATCTGCCATCCTATAGCTGGAATCATTCGAAGAAGCACTGGTACGAGTCACGCATCAGCAGGGAACATCGCTTCCGTAGACATCCCTACCACGACCTTGTGGGCCTGCGAAGTTCGGAGGCAACAACCCTTGAGCCAAGATGGAGACACATGATAAGTTTGGCCAGTCTGCCTTGGTTAGCAGACCATGTGGTCGACGGTGTAACAGTCTTTCCTGGCTCCGGGTATCTATGTATGGCTATCGAAGCCATCTCTCAGCTTGCCCAAGAGCATCTCCCGCGTGGCCAACGATACCAGGTGGTTCTGCGGGACATTGAGTTTTTGAAAGCTTTGCTTGTACCCGAATCGCCTCAAAGAACCGAAGTCCAACTCAGCTTTTCGCCGGTTGCCTCAGGAACTGACAAGAGCAAGGAACTCGCATATCATTTCCGTGTAGCGGCTTACAATCATAGCTACTCCTGGGACGAGCATTGTCGTGGGTATGTTGAGGTCAAGACAATCGAAGCTGAGAAGGGCTTAACAGCTCTCAATGGCTATGCTCGTGGCAAGATGCTGGAGTCAGGACAACTATATCAGCAACTGAGCGACAACGGCAATTCCTATGGACCGATGTTCAATGGGATCGATCACATGTCTTTGGAAGATACTCGTGCACACGCCACTGTGGCTATTCCTCACGTAGCCGAGGTTATGCCTGCAAACCATATGCAGCCTCACACCATACATCCGACCACACTGGACATTATTATGCATACTAGCTTGCCGCTAGCGTTGCAGAAATTCGGGCCTGGCTCTATCATGCCTATTCACATCGGCGAACTCATCGTGTCTACTAGTATTGACAACGCACCTGGGTCAAAGATGTCTGTACACACGAAGCTTGCGTCCGCTGAGGCCAGAACCGCCGAAGTAGGCATCGAAGCTGTGAACGCTCGCGATGGAGTGTCCAGCGTCTCATTCTCTGGGGTGAAGCTGCGGTTCTTGCCTGCTACTGCACCCGTGAAGAGTGATGTACAGGAGATCAAGGAATCCTGCTGGAATGTGAAGTGGGATGTTGACGAAAGCCACCTGTCAGCTGACCACTTCAAGCCTGCTGAGCTGGATGACAAGACAACACCATCTCTGAACGAAAAGGTGCAGATTCTGAACCAAGCTACTGCACGCTATGCCCGAACATGCATCGATGCCGTCAACAGCGGACGACTGCAAATAACTGATGAGCATCGATTGCTGTTTGGCTGGATGCAACGCGAGTATCCCGCCCAGAGAGGATTTTTATCCAGAGAACCCACTGGCACAGACATCGCTCCTGACTTCGACGAGATGAAGATCGTTGCACGAACAGGAGAACAGCTGACAGAGATCGTCTCAGGACAGACAGACGCTCTGCAGCTGGTCACTGAAGATGGGTTACTCTACGGATCGTATCAAGATCATTCATCCGTTCTCTGCTACGATCTATTGCGACAGTATGTTAAGCGTCTAGCTTACAAGAAGTCGAAGTTACGTATTCTCGAAATAGGTGGAGGGACTGGTGGAGCTACGCTACCGTTTTTGCAAACTTTGAAAGCCGCTGACTGCCTTCCCGCCACTTACGACTTTACTGATGTGTCAGCCAATTTTTTCGATCGCGCAGCAGCTAAATTCAAGGACTACCCTATCGCTTTTCGAAGACTGGACATTGAGCAAGACCCCTCTCAACAAGGTTTTGATCTCCATAGCTACGATGTGGTTCTCGCCTTCAATTGCCTTCATGTCACATCAAGTATTCGGACAACTTTGCGACACGCCCGCTCGTTGCTGCGGTCAGATGGTCGTTTGATTCTCATAGAGATCGTGAATTCGCAGCCCTATCACCACATCTCTTATGGGACGCTCCCAGGCTACTGGAAGGGTTCTGTGGATGACCGTCCGAACGGTCCCTTCATGCCCGTCGAGCAATGGCGGAAGGCTATGCATGACACGAAGCTGAACATGCAGCTGTGCGTCAAAGACGACGAAAACGCACACATCTCCAGTCTTATGGTCGCGAGACCCCAGGAAGACCCATGTTGGTCTGCCCAAGTACCGATTCAAATTGTTCCGGTAGCCGGAGCTCCGAATGCGGCAACGGATACCTTGCAAGAAACTCTGCGCGCTCGAGGCTGTATTGTTTCAACTGGTCAATTTAGTGACGACACCGTAGATAGTTCCACGATCAAGCTTATCGTCGACAACGGAGACAGCCCATTCTTGGCTGCACTAACACCGGAAACCTTTCGAAACCTGCAGACCATGCTCAGGAAACAGAATCAAATTATGTGGGTTACTATCGGTGCGAACAAATCGTCTCTCTCGGATCCGAGGCGACATCTCATAACCGGATTGGCACGGAGTGCACAAGCAGAGAACGACGGTCTCCGTATGGTGACCGTCGACGTACAACAGTGCTCGATTCACGATTCAACAGAGTTACGCCATATTTTGTACACAATCTTGGAGCAAACGTTCCTTCAGCCGACTGCAAACCCTGAACGCGAGTACATCATCCGAGATAACGCGGTCTTGGTGCCAAGGTTGCTTTCTAGTATTGAGTTGAACAATTGGATAACGAAGCCGCCTCAGGCTGTTCAGCAGATTGACCACGGGTCAGAAGCAAATGCGACATTCGTCATCGCTGGGGGTCTAGGTGACCTCGCCCAAAAACTCTTTACACGTCTGGCAAAGCGTGGAGCGAAGCACTTTGTCTCAATTTCACGGCGCTCGGTGAAGGCGGAAGCTTACCAAAGACTATTGATTAGTCTGCCGAAGGACTGCCAGCTGCATCACATACAATGCGATATAGCAAAGGAAGAGGATGTGAAGACTCTTTTAGCCACGATGGCCGCACGGGGGTTACCTCCTGTGAGAGGCATCATCCAATCTGCACATACGCTGCAGGACCGAAGCATCGACTCCATGACCCTGGAGGACTTCAACAGTCCGCTCGCGCCGAAACTGAAAGGTACGCTTAACCTCCAAAAAGCATTTGCTTCACCAGAACTCGGCTTCTTCATCATGCTCTCTTCAGCCGCCAACATCGTCGGAACCCGCGGCCAAGCAAATTACAACGCCGGAAACGCTGTGCAAGACGCACTTGCTCAAGCGCAGTCTCTTACTTCAAACAAAACACACTATCTCTCTTTCAGCCCTAGCATGGTCGAAGGAACTGGCGCAGTCCAAAACACAGAGATCCGCAAAGTACTGCAGCGGTCCGGATTAGACGTGGTGAATGAAGTCGATATCGATGCCATATTTGAATACATTCTAAGTGCGACGGCGAGGAAAGATCGTTTAGCACACATCACTGCGGGAATTGACGCAAATTCGATTGCGCAAGCGACAACCGTAAATGGGACCATTCGGTCCCCATTCTTTACACACGTGCAAGTGGCCGAGGCTTCGGGTACAGCAGCGGTCCAACCGTCCGTCCCTTCTCAAGAAAAAAAGATCGACGCATTCAACATCACGTCAGCCAGTCCCGAAGAAGCCCTCGCATACACCACCGCTGCGGTCGCAAAAAAGCTTTCCGCTCTGGCGTACGTCGACTCCGAAACCATGGATCTGGAGAAACCGATCGCAGACTTTGGGCTGGACAGTCTAATTGCGATTGAGCTGCGCAACTGGATAAGGCGCGACTTCAAGGCTTCGCTACAGAGCTTGGAGATCTTGAACGAGCAGGGCGTCAAGGCTCTAGCAAAGAAGATTCTTTCGCGTGCAGCTGGGGTAAAGATTAGTGGGACGGCGACGCCATGAGGAATCTCTGGATAACGTGTAGGCAGATGTGATTCTAGCCTTAATGTTATGATCTTGTTTGTAAGGTGGAAAGATAAAATGAATGTCCTTGGACTATACAAATCGCACCTGTAGCCTAATGTCTGAAGACGAATACTCTCGAGCTTTTTTACTCGCCAACTACAAGACCACAGCGACAAGTCGTACCCTGCCCGATTCCCCTTATGGCCTTAACTCTGATCATATCCTAGATGCATAGCAAGCAATACAATCCTGATACTGCACTACTTAAGCTTTTCGTAATGATTGCCATACTTGCCTGCCAAAGTCCATGGCCACGCCCCTAAACTTTCTGTTTGGGTCTCCCATGCACTGCCGTAACGAAGTTACCTTTCAGTGACTCGATCACTACTGCGCTTGCAGAATTTGATACAGTTGTCCGCAAATTCCGGGAGGCACCAGCATCTTGGAAGATGCTATAGGTATGACATAATGACCGCTGTCATCCAAGGAAATAAAGTCTATTGTTTCTTTACTGAGCTTGCTTAGTACATCGTCAAGAACCTTGAGTAGCTTCCTGGCTAGAGTACTTAAGAATTGGTGGTCCTGATTGCTTCAAGTCTACATGAAGGTTTTCACTGACCGCTGCGCGTCTCTCCGTCCTTTATATCCTCCTACTGTTTGATATAGGTACCTCATGACCCGAAGAAACCGTACGTATGGCAACAGGCAACTGAAACCGAAAAAAGGGGTTGCTATGAGGGCTACTAAGAGAATCAGACTGGTACGCTAGGCTTAACTCGCGCGGAAGACTATGTGCCATTTGCTTTTCCGGCCAGGGCCCCATAAGAAGTAACCTTTGCCGCCAAGGGCAAGACTGGTGGACATGGCCAACGTACAAAATGAGTCTCGCTAATAGCTGCGTGACTATTCCAACAAGAAGGCTTGTGTTCCAACAGCAGTAACCGTTTCGCTGTGCCTGTGAGCCCTACTACCCTGCTAATCGTTTGACGTACACAATTGATCATAAAAAAAGGCATCGTCGAACGACAGCGGACGGGGCAACGTATCCGAGAGCACCAGGGGGCAGTATTATGCACAAGGTATCACGAGAGCGGATCACAGCACATGGCTCGTCACACAGGCACTTGTAGCTTGCAGTGCTATAATCGGCACAACATCGTTCAATGAGTGCTCAGTCAATCTCCTCACTCCCACTTTGCACTACATAACACGTACTGTACTCAGCCATGACGAGGAAGTTGTCACGTGCTGCGGCAAGCAGAGCATGAGCCCTTGAAGACCAGGTACGTCTCCCATTTTTCTTTCAACCTTCGCTCTCTGCCTCACCCCTTTAGAACACTCGCACATTCGCGCCTTAATCGTTACTTTTACCAGTTATGCGTCCACGTCTCAAACCTTATTCAACCAATCAAACTCCTCCCCTGTCCTCCTCTTGATATTCTCCCTTGCCTTCGCACTCAAAATCAACAGCCTCTCCCTCGTTGCCCAGCTATCTAGCATCTCAACGCACTTTTCGATCTTCGTCCCGGATTCATCCAGCCAGAACATGAATACGTACTCGCCTGCCCACCACCTATCAGCGCATGACATTCTGATGAAGGAATGGGGGGATGCGCACACCTTTATAATCCCACTCATTGTCTTCGTCTATGACTTCTCTCTTCCATTCTGTTTTGCTCTTCGTCCACGCCCAGACGGCGTTCTGCTTCTCGTCCTCGATCATCTGGATGGGCGTTACAGGGAAGCCGGTCATGAGGCGTGCGATCGAGCGGATGTGATCGAGGAATGCGCTTTTGTCAGGGTAGCCTTCGCGATTGAGGGTTTCAACAAGGGAAGAAGGTGCGTATGTGTGTGTATATGTGTCGCTGAGAACTGAGGAGAAGGAAGGGACGGAGAGTTTTGAGAAAGAGGAGAGGTATGTTTGGGCAGTGTAGAGGCGTATTGATTCGGTCATCGTTGGTGAATTGGATGATACTGGTTGCTAAGTAAGTTAGATGATTAGCGAAGATGACCAGGAGTGAGAACATGTATATATGCATGTTGTGGTGGTAGTAGCTGGGAAGTGATATATGGACGGAGATTACGGAGATAGGCGCTGCCTTCCGAGTGAGGGAGCGTTGGTGGGGACTAGTGTTGTCTTGCATCAGCCAGTCTGATTGTACAGTTGTGCGAGATAAGGTTGATTCTTTACATATTCAAGGAGGAGTCATAGATGTGAGGCTCATCATTTACCCAGAGAAGCTCAGTAGCAATCGGCGGGGAAACCATCCTCACTGCTCCAGCCCCTGTGAATCATCGCGACCTCCGTAAACTCCACCATCAAGAATCCACTGCTCGTTGTCGTCGTTGTCATCTTGAACTCTTCTCCAAGTCTGCTTTCTCTCTCCCTCAACGCCTTTACCTTTAGTGTTAATTCTGATCGTGGGACGTATCAGCCCACCCAGCAATGGATTCTTGCTGAACGCCCCGCCGCCGCTCAGGATCGTTCCTGTTTCACCGATTTCAGCTCGCTCAGGCAGGTCTTGCTCGCTATCCGGACTTGGCGGCCTATCCATCGCCTTGGTCTCATACTTCTTCTTGATCTTGCCTCCTACTAGGTTAAGACTAGCTACAACCTGCCTCTTCTCATACTCCGGTCTTGCATTCCACTCTTGCTCGCGAAGAGCTTTTTGTTGCTTCTTCAACTGCATCGCACGTTCCTGCGGACTAGCCCATTGGCTCAGACCTGCGTGTGTCGTCTCGAAATCAGCGGCTTCATCGTGTACAGTTGTTCTCTTGGCATTCTGCGCTTGGAAGGCGAGAAGCTTGTCTCTGTGTTGCTTTGCCTTGGCGAGTCTCTCGTTCTCTGACTCGACATCCGATCCGGGATTGGACGAGAGCGGTGTTGCAGACCGTGGGGTTGAGAATGGCCGCGGAGCGAGAGAAACATCGGCACGTCGCTGACCTGCGTTGTTTGCCGCCATCCTCTCTTTCCCACGTTCCTCACGTAGCACACGGACCATGGACTGGATCTCGTCGGAGCTGAGCAGAGATTTGCCGCAGAACGTGCATGGTCCTATGCCCTCCTTGACACAGATGATCTTGCCGCAATTCATACAGTTTGGGGCGGCCTCGAGCAGTGGGTGCCGATTGGCCATGCAATTGCATTTTCGCTTGCTACTCTCTTCTCCTGCCGATAAGGTGGGATTGGTTTGGATTTCGAGTGCACGAATGGCGGATTCTAGGTCATTGAGCGCTGTAGATGCACCGTGCATGGGCGTTCCGCCGGCAACGCTGACCTTGGCCTTCGGCTTCGGTGATGAGTTGCGGGACGGCTTGCTTTCCGAGATCAATTGACCCGCGGCTGAAGGAGGTAGCTTTGAAGGAGGTGGGGCAGGCGAAATGCCTCGGGACTTTGGTGTAGATTTCCCTGAAGATGTGGTGGGTGCTTGGATGGCATCTGGCTTCTCGGATAGCGCGAAAGCATTGGCTTTTGGTGCTTTCGGTCTGGAAGTTCCGGACATGTAATCCTCCTCATCACGCTTCAGGTAGCCGCCGGTCGTGTTGCCATAGTTCTCAGGTTGTCTAGGGGGTGGCAGCTTGCTAAGTCCTTGTTGCTTCTTGTTCCGAGGCTTTGACTTGGGACCCCCTGGTAGGTCATTTGAAGACTGTGATTGGCTAGTACTAGATGAAGCCGCAGGTCGTCTTCTGTTATTGAAGGATGTGATGAACTCCAAAGACTGTGGGCTGTCTCCCAGTAGATTTTGTAGGTGATCTGCCGCTTCCCTGTTAGGTAGCGATTCCGCATACGATATGATTTGCGTCAGCGACTCCTCGTCTAGCGGGAGAAGTTTGGACAGCTGCGGCAATGCCCAGGTCGAGAGAGCCATGTTGAGATGCGATGCAGCGGTGCTGACGAAGTTGTGTGTGTCACACGCAGTGATGCATCGATTTCTGGAAGGTGCAGCCACATGTGGCGCTAGTGGCGGTGCGCCCGCCTTTTCGCGACGCGGGGACTTGAGAGCAGCGCACCATCGAGCTACATTTCCTATACACATGCCACCACTCGCACCCATAATGGCTACGGAAGTTGCTCTCGAAACCACTGTCGTACGTGCATAATGCTGGTCGATTTTGAAATGTCACTCACAATGCTAGGGCACAATCACCGTCGAGCTGTACACGACCCACGCACCAAAGACCTGCACCAACTTCTCCACGCTTGCCCAGCGCAACTACTTTGATGGCCTCATCTTCCACCGCATTATACCAAACTTCATGATCCAAGGCGGTGACCCCACTGGAACTGGTCGTGGCGGTGCCTCCATCTATGGCGAGAAGTTTGAGGACGAGATTTCCCCGGCACTCAAACACACCGGCGCGGGTATTTTGAGCATGGCGAACTCGGGCCCGAATACTAACGGAAGTCAATTCTTCATCACGCTGGCGCCGACACCCTGGCTTGATGGAAAGCACACGATCTTTGGACGGGTGAAGAGCGGGTTACAGATTGTGAAGAAATTGGGGCTAGTGAAGACAGACAAGGAGGATAGGCCAGTCGAAGAAGTCAAGATTGTGAGGGCCTACGTTGTGGACAAGGCGGATGCCATCTGATACCACGAGGCTTGACATGCCTGACTTATGCACGTGCCTCTTCTTTCTGGGTGCAAGGGGGACGGGCCTCAATGCGACAAATTACAGCATGCAACCCGGAAAACCGCGCTACCTGGCGGAGAATAGCATTCTCACAGAATCAAGGCTACCTGGCCGACCTGGCCTATGAGGGGTGAATCAGATACAGAATGACCGTAAGTAGTTCACATCTGCATCAACTTCGATGATCGCTCAAGTGTCTAGCTAGTCGTAAACTTGTCCAGCGGTCCATTTGGGTGTATCAGGACCTTGGTGTATCCTTCTATACGCTTGTCGAACTTCTCGTACGCGACTGATGCGTCCTCGATATCGATCTCGTGCGAAACCACGAAGCTTGGCTTGGCCTTTCCTGATACTATGAGATCCCTCAAGTACCTGTTGTACGCTTTCACATTGCATTGGCCAGTGCCCAATGACAGTCCCTGTTCGCGTTAGCAAGTATCTTCCCAGCGCTGACTACAACCTACCTTTTCGAAAAGCTTGCCAAAAGATATCAAAATTTGTCCCTTCTTGCTTTGTTCATCAGGTGCTCCTGGATCTGCAGGCACATAGAGCCCAGGGATACCGAGACCGCCCGTAGGTCTTGTTACCATAATAAGCTGATCTAGGACGATATTCGGCTTTTCTTTGCTTCCAGAGGCGTCAACTGCTTGGTAGCCAACTGCATCTACAGCACGATCGACCATGCCGCCGTTGATCTTGATGATCTGCTCAACAGGGTCGCTTCTCTTGAAATCAATAGGAATACAACCAATCTTCTCCGCCTGCTCCAGTCGTTCCGGCACCGTATCTACGACGAATACTTTACTAGCACCTCGGAGAATGCCACTGTATGCTGACATTAGACCAACGGGGCCCGCTCCAAAGACTGCAACTGTCTCCCCTGATTGAAAGCCAGACAAGTTCAGGCCGTGCCAGCCCGTTGGGAAAATGTCGGCTAACAGCGCAAAATCGGCTTCATGCTCTGTGCCTTTGGGTAGCTTCAGGGCATTGAAGTCGGCGAATGGGACCCGCAGATACTGTGCTTGACCGCCCTGGTATGGCCCCATGGCAACGTAGCCATATGCACCACCCGCAAATCCTGGATTGACCCTACATCGGTCAGCGACATGCGCACGTAAGTTGCTGTTCCATTTACCCCGTGCAGAATGCTGTTCGCCCCTCCTCGCAATTACGGCATCGACCATCCGCTACATTGAATGGTAGTACAATGCGATCGCCTTTCTCCAGGATAGTGACACCCGACCCAGTTTCGAGGACGATACCCATGTTTTCATGTCCAAAGACTAGACCAGCTTCTGCAGCTGTCCTTCCTTGATACATGTGCAAGTCTGAGCCGCATATCGCTATTCCGTACAGTCAACTATGCTGATTTATCCACTACACGCACGACTTGCGACTTACCGGCAGTTGTGACTTTCACAATCACATCATCCGGATGCTGGATCCGCGGCGTCTCCACCTCCCTAACGCTAACCTTGAATGGCCCTTCATAATGCACCGCTTTCATCTTGTCGCCCATATTCGCTGTCGCAGTCTGATGTTCAGAATTCCCAGGGTCGTGATCAGGGTCTAGCAGCGGTACAATGTCGGCGCCGTTAGGTGCTTGTGAAGACATGAAGTAAGCAAGACACTGTGGGACTGTGGGGTCGTACTCGCAAATTGGAGAGTTATGGATGGGTGGGCTTTGGATTTGGAGGTGGATAGATTTGCGACCCGTTTTCGTACTTGTATGCCTCATGGGGGAACGCGAACGCGGGGATGCGGAACGGCGCGTCATCCGTGTGAGGGGCTGTCTAGGGAGCAGCGCGGGGTTGATGTTAACATCTACAGACGACCAGATGCTTGGGACCGGCTTCCGTGGTATATTTGGAATTATCCTCTGGGACAAGTGGCGTAAGATGAGCATCATGTTCATTGATGTGATCAGCGCTGCCTGCGGAATACTGTGCTTTCTCGTGTAGGGCGCGTCCATCGATCAGCCGCCTACGTACGGTATTCTACCTTTGTGTACCTGTACCATGGCTATTGTTTGAGCCGACTCCATTCAAATTCCATCGACATTCAGGTATTCGCGACTGGTACGTTTGCTGATGCAACGTCTGGTCGTGACAGCTTTTTGGAAAGACACAAGGCACGTTCGTGCCAACCAAACAAGCACCGCCAAGCTAGATGTCTCTCAAATGTGACCATCTATTCTCCTCCACCTACATCTTGCGCATGTCCAATTCTCCGATAGAGGCACCGACCATGTCCACTCGACCTTTTTGGCCACACCTGAACGATAGCAGCCATTGGGTGGTCAGCACTAGCCGCAACGAATCCCAGCTCAGCCCCCATGCGAAGAAAAAAGGCGACAAGATGCGTTGTCTTTGACGCCACTTTCCATCTGATTTTGATGAGAAGATCCTGAGATCGGGTCTCGCTCATCTAGTACTTAACCTATGCTGAACACGGAAACACCACCAACAAAGAGAAGCAGCTCGTGGTGGCGATCAGTGTCTCAGGCGTAGCAAGATTCACCTCGCCAGCGTGCTGTTGCCGGAATCGTCATGTCACACCCTCCCTCCTCAGAGCACATGGAAACCGATTGCCCCAACTATTGCCAGCTGTTCTTCGACAGCTTGACTACCCGATCTACAAGGCAGATTTAGATTTCCTGTGAAGATCCACGAGTCCTTAGATGCGATGCCATGAATAGAAAATTTTGATTCGCGGAGGCTGCTGTTATGCAAGGCAGGCCTCGGGACACTTATGGTCTTGACCTTGCGAGTCTCTGATGGCACTGTGTTGGAGAATAAGCCGTTCGTTTTCAGCACGCCAGTCAGGAAACAGATTCCTTATGTCCTGACCGAGCAACGCAGCCCTCATACTAGCCGCAAGCTCCCGTCTTCTCGCTTCCTGTATGATCTCGTCATCGCGCCGTTCACGACTCGGTTCTTGCTCCCATCTGCGATCTTTCGGATGCCATTTGACCGTCTTTTCTTGTTCCTTTTTACGTCTGTCAATGACAACGACTCGCGTAATGTCTGCCTGCAGTTGACATCCCCTCCACCCCCTTAAAAACACCTGGAACCAATTCCTATACTCCTCCCACGCATGGCCTTCCAATCTGCTGCCCCTCTCCACATTCCCTCGACGTACCCCATTCTCATAACTCCAATCAATACACGTACCCGTGTAGTTCTCGTCATCCCCAATCACGAGCCCAATTTTCAGCACGAGCCCCCGCAGACTCTCGAAATTTTTGATTACACTTGCGCACCGACTGGGGCTCCAGATGCGATTATGGTGCTTGATGCCGAAGGGGAATCGGATTTCGAGTTTGCGCATATGACGTACGCTGCGCTGCGAGGAAGACGCGAGTATGTAGAGGTCCAGACTACTTGCGACTATGAAGGTTGCGGATGCGTAAAGTATCTCAAGCACCTCATCCCAGAATTGTTTGCATACGATGGGCCAGAAGAAGGGTGTGCGCTTGTCGTTAGAAGAGTTCGTGTTTGCAGCAGGGCAGCATATTGACATTTTTGATGAGTCTTGGGACGGACTCAGCTGCTGACAGAGGACATATCTGAAGGCATAGTGTCCTGAGGGTTTCATCTTCTGTTCGAGACATGCTGGCTCGGCGTGGAGGTTCAGATCACCGTAAGCGTGGGTCCACACTCGGACGCGGAGATTTCGAGGAAGTTGAAGGAGTGACGACGTCTTTCCTGTCGATGTCTCGTCCATTGCTGCTTGTTCAATATTAATGGATCCTAGAAATTCCGCTTCCTTGGGGATATCATTTTCGTCAATGCATCCTACTTTACCAAGTTGAGATGTTGCAGCCTAGAGCATACCTAGTGACGCCTGACCTCGGGAGCTAGGAACTCCACGTGACGGCTGCGTCATGATTATCGCCTCCAGAATGGGATAGACCTGCTTCCATAGAGAGCCCAGGAGCCCTTGGCTGGAGCCATGGAGACCTGTAGAGCACGTGATATTGAGATAGCATTTTGCGAATTGCAATCCCTCACATGGTGACACGAAAGAATTACCCGTATCTACATCTATACAAGACCAGCGGACGCATCACCTCTCTACCATTACACTTTACTCATATACCCATTCGCTGCATAGGCCCCACCCAATGCTATCAAAATTCGATACCAGTAACTCTTTCCTCTTATTCAAGGAGCGAAACCCTCTGGCCTTAACGCCAAGTATCACCATAATCACCCCGCAGACCGATTAATACATCCCCGAGCTCAGACGACAGCACCATAAACCTTCCACGCCTTCATTTGAGGAGTAAAACTTCCTTTGCTCCCCTGACATTGGCCAGTCCTCCCCTCCACCACTCCGGCCACCCTCCCTCTCCCTCAGCGCTCCTCATCCCCCTTCTTCTTTCCAAACCATCCCCTCACCTTCCGCAGCCCCCTCTTCACATCGCTAGTCGTTCCCACTTGCTCCGCCACCCCAGGATCTGCCCTCAATTGCTCGCCATCAACAAAGGTCTCGAACGTCTTCGCGCGGTCGCATGCCTTGGTTTTGCCGTCCATGGGATCAATCACATCCTTGCCCTTCTTGGGAGTAGCTGCGGTGGTTAAAGTGGAGTTCGGTTTTGACTTGTTGCGCAGGATACTAAACATGCTGGATGGGCGGTTGTGCTGGAGGAAAGAACCGAAGGAGGGTTTGGGGCTGGTGCTTCGTGAATCTGAGATGCCAGATTCCGACATGCGAAACTCTGAGTTGTGGATATTCTCGTTCGGCTTGGTGGGTGCCGCTGGTTGAGAAAGGAGGCGACATGAAGTGGTGGTCGTTACGGGTAAGGTAGCAGAGTCCTTCATGGTGGGTGTGACGTGCGAGTCGTGTCGTGCACATGCGGTACTTGCAGTGGATGTTTGCGTTGTGAATGTTGAAGTCAAGGACATGATGACGAGATAAAGTGAATACGCTGATACTGTATCGCAGCTGCTGAACGCGATCCTCCGACTACGACCAGAGCGCGGTCAAGTAAGTGAAAGCCGCGCATTTGTGGCAGACCGGCGGTGGGGCCCAGATGTTGTGTATTGCAGTTTTCTGACGTAGCTTTGAGAGTCACGAAGGAAAGTGCATTGGCCGTCATGGTGGTGAGGAGGAACAGCCGCGAGCGGCTGATGTCGTGGTTGTCTTGCCGTCAGGCGTGCGCTAGTGCCACGTAGGGCAAGTACAGCCTCGTGCCCACTACCTGCTACGATGCCACTTCAGAACTCGTTAGGAGCACGAAGCTTACACTTACAGAGTACTAACAAGCGGTGAGTATGTCATCATTGTAGGTGTTGTGGTCTAACGTCGTTTCAGCATTGCTAGTGAGGTTATTGTATGTAGATGATCTGTATGTCGTCGCTATGGATGATGAAACCCGATGATGTCGATCGAAGAGGTGGTTGGGACAAAGTTGATGTGATGCATACGCTGGATATTTCACATAAAGGAGTAGAGAGAGAGCATCGCGAAACCGCAAGGAGTGACTAAATAATTTTGTCCAAGCATCCGCCGCTTGACTATTCGTCGTTGACTCCGACCATCTCACAGCTCACCTCCCACAACCTCTTCTCACTCTTCTCATCATATACTGCCTTCGAATACCCAAATTGCCCTGGAGGCGCCCCCTCCTGCGACTTCCCTGCAATATGACAGTCCTCAAGATACACACCTCCCTTTCCTTCCAAGTCCTTCCCGACCGCAGCCCAAACCGACGTTGCAGCACCCTGCTCCGCCGATTTCAACGCTCGCATGAAGCCCTCGTCAGCGAGCATACCGTCGAGCACGTCTTGCGGCAGAAACTGACCCAGCCCCGTCGCAATGACGCCAGGTATCACCGAAAATGCATGGAGATGTTGTGCGCCGTAGCGCCGTTCAAGCTCCGTCACCATCTGGATATTGGCGAGCTTAGACTGGCCATATGCGAGGGAAGGGTCGTACATACCCTCGAGGTTAAGGCTGTCGAAAAAAGATGCGGGGCGTGTACTGGTGGCCTGAGGACGCGACATTGACGACGCGGCTGGGGAACTGAGGAGTAGCAGAGGCAAGAAGCGTGCGTTTTAGCAGCTGGAACAGCAGAAAGTGTGCAAGGTGGTTGACGCCAAATTGGGTCTCGAACCCATCCTCTGTCCTGCTCTCCGGTGTCATCATCACGCCTGCATTGTTGACTAGGATGTTGAGGATGGAGCTCTTGGAGAGGAAGTCTGCGGCGCCGGCACGCACGCTCGAGAGAGAATTGTTATCGAGCTGGATGAGGTCGAGCTTGCCAGGCTCTAGGTCGTCCCCGAGGGCTTCACGGGCCTTTTCGAGGTTGCGAACCGCACCAAAGACGTGGATTCCGACTGTTTTGAGGGCGCGTGCGGTTTCGACACCAATACCGGAAGAGACACCGGTGACGAGAGCGACTTTGCCATTGAGCTTGCCAACAAGATCCTGGTCTCTGAGGATCTGGAGGGCTGTGGGACGAGCATCGCCGGGGCCCTTGAAGTTCTTGTGGGCTTCGGCGTAGGGAGAGAGTATATTGATGAGGTCTTGGCTGGATCCCATTCTGACGATGGAGTGTTGTAGGAGTAGGTGTAGATTGGTGAGTGCAATGGTGGTTAAGTCAGATAGTATTGTAGATGTGGATGTATCGAGATCGATTGTAAGCTGTTGCGATGGTGTTCAAGTGAGCGCGATGCTGCATCCTTTATACGCAATGACTGTAGACGGTCAACATTGTCCTTCGCTACATCTTTTAGTCCACCTCAAGTTGAATACTGATCTGGCCCGACATGGTCCACAGAGAGACAAGACGGGATGACGCTCCATCTAAAAGTCACTCATGGAAGACTTGGTCGGCTTGATAGTATGCATGCTAGCATAAAGGGCGTGATTAGCATTGCGTGGTGACAGCACGGTCGAACTTATTGTCGGGTTGGGCTTGGTGCTAATTCCGATGCATGGTGTTTGGAGGTTCGAGCCAATCGGAAGGGTGAACCGCCGCTGGAGTGGGAGGTTTAATCTTTCCGATTAGTGATCATGAGTACTATATTTTCATTTCCTCCGGGCCTGCGTGCAGATGAGTTCAAGGTGCATATTCGGATTTGAACTGAACAATAATTGATTGATCGACACGACCACAACTCGACGAAATAGAATATCTCAAAGCGATACGATCCGAAACCTCGTCAATTAAAGGTTGTATATCCACCAATGCTGGTACCTACCCAAGGCCCCATAGCTCTTGCTAAGCCTGTCTAAACGGAGTCGTGCTCCTGGTATCATAGAAATATGCATGCGCGGTCATGCCTTCGCTCCGTCATCGGTGCGGGCGGTCGGCGGCCGGTCTACAAAGACGTATTCAGTGCTGTTGTCAGAATGGGTTGGTTCTGACAACGCACCTGGCATGTTCTGTCTGGGCGGTGGAGCCATGTTCTCCTTGTTTTGGCGCACTGGCAGAGGGCTTCCACCGTTCTCTAAGCGGACCCTGTCTTGGGCAGAGAAGGTGTCCTCGATGGGCGTGCGGCGCTGGCTATCCTTCCGTCGCGGCGGAGAGTTGCGGGCCTGGTTGAGGCGCGCTTCGGTCTCGCGGAGCTTGGCCTCGAGGGCTTCGAGCTCCTGTGCGTGCGTGGTGACGGCTTGCTTCCTGGGAGAGTAGCAGTCAGCGGGAGCCATGTGCAGATGCCGCATGGGAGACGCACTTCTGGTGCACGTTCTTATCGAGCAGGTCAATGCCACCGTCCAGCCGGAAGAGGTCGTCGAGCTCTGACATGAAATTGCGGGCGACGGTCCTGAGAGCTTCCTGTCAGTTCAGTTGGGAGCTTGTGGCAGCTTCTTGTTGCTAGCTAGCGCGGGCGCTCTTACGACTGGGGACGGTTGTTTGGCTTCCATCCGGCGTCAGGGTCCTCGACGTGGGTTTGCGGGGAGTGCGTCGACGACATGGTGAGCCGCGTGTGATGTGCTGGTAATGCGCAGGCAATGGCAGGGCGATGGCAAACTGAATGCGCTGAGCGAGGCGGGATGCAAAGGGCTATAATGCGGCGCAGGTCGACGCAAGCAGCAGATGATTAAGGGTGTTTCAAGCTGAAGCTCTGGCGGGTGGGCAGGCGGGGAGCAAGCATGATATGGGGTCCTTTGATGAGTCTGGCGGATGGGCTTGGGGGGTAGCAATATTAGAAAAGGAGGCCGCAGCTCTATCCATTCCTGTTGGGTGCAAGCAAGAGTCGATCCGCATAATGGAGGAGGGACCGCCCATACAGTCGCTGCACTGCACATGCCGCGGGCGACGGCGTCAACGACACGTCGCGTGTGCGCATCGCGAGATCAAGCGTTTCCCACCACGCCCGTCCTCTCTGCGCGCGTGAGGATCATCACCGGCACTGTAGCTGCAGCGCGCCGCCGTCGCCCTGGTCCTGGCTGCTCCCGCGCCCGCGTCATTCAGGGAGCACTAGCTGCACGTGCCTCTGATTCGCTGCCTTTGCGCTCCTCCCACCGCCGACTCGCAGAAACAGAACAGACGCACCGCGATCTCCAGGCACCATTTTTCCATCAGACCGCGCGGCCCTCATCGCCCACAGCCGCACCCCTGACCCCACGTCGTCGATGCGACGCCCGTGAATGCCCACACGCCCCAGACAGACACGCGCTCGCCGTCGCCGTGGCTCCGCTCCCGCCGTCTTCTCGTCGTCCGCGCGCACCAAACCAGGCCCAGTGGTACCGGGGGATGAATACTAGCCTGACCGCCTACACCCACCTCGAGTCGCTACTTCTGTTCCAGTCGCTACATGCGTATGGTCTAGGCCCTCAGGTCTTCAGCAGAATCTCCGAGCTGCTGAAGGCCAATCCGCACATCACATCAGACAAGCGTTTCCAGAGCGGCCGCCTCAGTCCAGACGCCTTGCGGAACTTTTACCTCCACATATTGAAAGAGGAGATCAGGAACGAGCGGGATCAAGCAGATGTCGACGCGACCAATGGAGAAATCAAGGTTTCGCGCAAGAGGAAGGCACCCAGTCCAAGCCTGCCGACGGTTCAAGAGTCGCTGCAGCACCAGCACCTCATTCCGAAGCTGGTGAACAAGCTATACGCCCACTATCGTGCGGCCATTACCGAACAGATCAGACAGGATGAGGACCGCTACGAGAGATTGCAACGCGAACTGCAGGGCATCGAGCGCGGCGAGTGGGACAACCAGATAAAAGAGAGAGCAAACGGGAAGTCGGCGTCGCGCAGTCCCAGCCTTCCAAAGAAGTCACCACTGCTGACCCAGCAGTCGTTTCCCACCCAACCAAATGCCAACTCCCAGGACCTCGATACCAATCGTGCGAATGGTCCGCCCACGCTCGCACCAGTACCGGGAGCACATTTCCATCCCAATCTCGCACCTGGGCCCCAGCAGAATGGACAGGTCTCCGCAAAGGCTGGCCTAAGTCCGTCACCGCGAAAGAAGCAAACGTCTGTAGACAGGAGAGGGAAACAATCGACGCCGCAGCCACCTGGTTCCTCGCAGCCCCCCAACACAACAGGTCCTCATCCTACGCAACAGGGCCAGCCACCGCTTTTGCAGAGCCACCCTTCAACCCCAGGATCTCTGAGTGTACCAAGTCCCGGTAGTCAACATGGTTCCTATCAAGGATTCCCGCAGCATCTGCAAAGTGGGCATGCTTCCGGACCTCAGTACCAACAGCCCATACAGCCATATGTGGCCAATGGTGTATCTCAACTCGCGCCAAGCCCCGGGCCTCAGCAACCGCAGCATTCTCCAACCCATCAACATTTCATAGGGCCAAATCCACAGTCGCCTAGTGTGCAAACACCACACCAGCAAAGAAGCTACATGCCAATTGCTGGACAGCCTCCATATCTACCTCAGCATCCACAGCCAGGTCAACCTCCACCACAAGGTGGCTTCATGCTTCCTCCTTTCCAAGTAGCGCCACAAGATCCGTCACGATCACAACAGCAAGCCGCGTACATGCCTCAGCAACACCAGGTGTCGACTCCTGTGAGCGGCCGACAGTCAACCAAGGTCACTCCCCACACTGGAAGGTCAGGTTTCCCTCCGATGCAACCTTTGCATAAGCCTACAAGTAACATTGGTACTCCGAGGGACATGAGGGACATAATAAGGAGGCTGTCAACGCCAAGAACGCCGAATACCTCGTGGAAGCCCGCGGCGAGAAGTCTTGGCTCAACACCTGCGTCACGTCCGAATGTGAGTCCCATCGACGATTTCCCACCGAGTCGAGATCGACAGCAGACTCCGCCGAAAGCCAAATCTACGCGCAAGTCCAGGTCAAAGGGCAAAGTGAAACAAAAAGAGCAGGAACCAGAGCCCGACTCCCACGTAGAGTCGGATCATCCCACTGAGGGGACTGTCCCGGAGATGGAAACGAGACACGGGCGGTCACGACGGAAAGCTCCTATCAAGAAGGGAAGACCGGGCAGTATCGCGTCATCACAGGCAGGCACATCTGTCAGGGGACGCAGCAGAAGCCACTCGATACTTTCTCACACGGAGACTATCGCAGCGGATACTGAATCTCAAGCTGGAAGTCGGATCAAGTCGGAAGACCATGTCGATGACGAGCTCGCTGCAACTCCTTCTCAAATGTCGACTCGGGGACGCAGCGCCGCTAAATCGAACAACAAGCGGAAGCGAAATCTGCGAGAAGTAACCCCCGAAGAGAGTGAAGATGGGTCTGGCACCCCTGGCTTACCCAAAACCGTGGTGGCGACGCGCCATTTCTCGCGCATGTGTGCGCCCTTGATGAACGACATTGGTTCGCATAAGCACGCCTCGACATTTACAACGGCGGTGAAGGCAAAAGACGCAGAGGGATACTACGACATCATCAAGCGACCTACTGATATCAAAACGATCCAGAAGGCCATCGCAGCGGGGGCCAAACAGGTTGCAGCCGCGGCGTCGGGCGACACACCGTCAGGTAGTCCGGGTGGCGCCGGCGGAATTGTCGAGCTTCCACTCACGGTCGACAACATGCCTCCTAAGGCCATTGTAAACTCAGCTCAGCTGGAGAAGGAGTTGATGCGCATGTTTGTGAACGCTGTCATGTTCAATCCCGGCGAGGCTGGCGTTGTGGAGGATGCGCGAGAGATGTTCGAGTCGGTTCAACGCAGTGTATCTAGCTGGCGTAGTGTAGAACCTTCAAGCGGTAGGATGGAGGTCGAAGAGACGCCGCCAGCCGGGGAGGAGGATGTCCCGGTGGCGGCCAAAAGGAGGAAACTCTGATGCGGCACTCGATTGATGAGACAAGTTTGAATTTTTGTCGTTTGACTGGCTGAGACCAAGTGATGCCGGTCGCTTTAATGCATTTGATACCACTACTGCATTCACGTATTCTAGCTCGTGCATGTGGCCTTGTGCCGTTGAAAGGTGTTCCCAGGCTTCCATGCAGTACTGGACTCAACACAGCGTGTAGGGCGTGTGCAAAGGTCGCACCTACTCTCTCGGGTTGTTCAGCATTGCAGCTGCCCAAAAGTGCGCCGACCATCACCCCATGCCGCCGAGGCTGCGACCAGAAGACCAACACACCCGACAGCCATCGGAAGAAGCAACTGGCAACGGCGCGTACCCTACACATGTACAAAGTGTGGAGACCACGTGCGGGAGGATGTTCCGGTTTGTCAGCTTGGCTGCACCACGTTCAGTAACCGGGTCCCACCCCTCCTCTTCTGGCACACGCTGCTTCCACGAGCGCGAGATCAGTGGGTCGGCCCTTCCTCAGACACAGGTACTCTTCAGGAAAGGAACGCCGTACTTTCGTACGAGCCCAGTCATCAGTCAGGGCACGGTCACGATGACATAGTGCTCCATCGACCAGTTGTCTTGTCTGCTTCTGCTCTTCTGCAGCGCCGTTGGCTCCACGCACCAAACCCGTGTTCTAGACCCATGCATGCGTTGCCGGCGCTGGAAACAACCTCAGCGCCGCCTTACTACCCCCTCCGGAAGCTTTGGGAAGTGAGCTGTTCATCGTGCCATCGCAACGCTGCGCAACCATGACGGTTCCGCGCTATTCGAACAAGGATACGGAGCTATTGCACATGAGAACAATTGAACCTGGGCGGCTTGGTGAACAGGAGGGATCAGCCCCATCCATCCTACCATCCGCGTCTCCAGCCAGAAGTTTCCACGCAGCTTTTGGCAGCACGGCATCCCAGATCGTCATATCCCCAGATCGCGATCTTCCAAGGATGTTTCAACTGAGTATATATATCCCCAATGCACCGGCAGTCAACCTTACAGTTTCCAAACTCGACGAGACACGGCGCATCAAGAGCACTGATAGGCCCGAACCCCTCAGCGCGAGCTCACCTATCAGCTCCTGCTGTGGCTGAAGACAGTATAAACGCACTTCCTATCGAGCACCGACAACAACAACGAAACAACGACCAACTATGGATTACATCGACTATTCATCCTTTCCGACGTTTGCGAGCACCGACTGTTCGCCTTCAACCGACGCCTTTTCTCATCCGACGTCCTTCGACAAGGCATTCACCCCATGCCCCTTCACAACGTCCGATACCTCTCTCGAGACTTTCGACGCATATGCCGGCATACCCTTACACTCGGACGGTGCTATAAAGAGCCTCGACGCTACGTCATCCGTAGCACCGACAGAAGCAACTCAGTTCAAGTCAGTCTTGGATCAGCCATTCGGACGGCCTCCATTTGGCCAACTCGATGTTTTTACTTCTGGTTTTGCTTTCGATACGAATCCAGTAAGCAGCGCCGCATTCGACCTCAGTCTCTCGCCCTTATCCGACGACTCGCAGGCCCTTTCTGTCTGCGGTGATGGTCCTCAGGACGCCTCCTTGATCGCATCTCCATCCCTATCACCACAGCCCTATCTGAAGCGCGAATCCACCGACTCTTCGCTCAAATTCGAAGACTGTCCAGATCCGTCGAATCCTCCCAAGCGCAAGCGCGGTCGTCCGCGTCTTGATCGCTCCACTTCCTCACGGTCTTCCTCTTCAGCCAAAACGCAGCGCAGTAAGCGCCTCCCGCATAATCAGGTCGAGCGCAAGTACCGGGAAGGTCTCAATGCATCTCTCGAACGCTTGCGCAAGACAGTTCCTACGCTGTGCCAGGAAGACGATTTGGGAGGTCTGTTGGGTCATCCTAAGCCCAGCAAAGCGATGATCTTAGAAGGCGCGATCGAGTATATAAAGGAGATCGAAAAGGAGCGCGACATGTATCGGAGCGAAATCGAGCGACTACGCCGTGGAAGCCAGGGTTGGAATCCGACCGGTAATACAGGGTTTTTGGCCGATTCGTGAGGATTAGCTTGCGCGGACCCACAGGGCAGGTAACGATTCTACCCTGCTGTGGCGCCAGGCCGTTCGTCACATGGGAAAGTTCGAAAAGTCATCGAGGACTGACTTTGGCTGCGACCAATGTCTGTCGGCGGGTATTTGAGCCGGCCTGGGATGGCATTTTCTCGGCCAACATGGCATTTTGTGGCCAGGGTCGCGACTGGTTTCTTGGGACTGCCATGTGGGACCTTGATACCGGTAGCGCATTCGTTCCCTTCACGCGTGTAGGCTACGCGCGGTTCGGTGTGCCCGATTCTTACCAGAGATCAGTCGGTCCTATTGATCTGCATTTGTTCTGCATCACGGGAGACCATGCGGTTCTCTTCATGGCCGTCTCCTTGTGCATCGCGGTTGATAAAATGTCGGCTCGATTTCTAGCGAACTACTCTTCCTTCTGGAGCTTCGATCACGAGCGAGCGCTCTGTGTGATCTTTCTCCTTTTGCACATGTCCTTTCGTCGTTGGGTTGCAAATTGGGTAAATTGCACGGAGGCAGCGGGACGTTCTGTCTACACACCCATTAGGCGCATAGAGTAAGAGTACTCGCATCAATGTGAGGACAATAATAATTCAAACGATTTGTCTTATACCTCTTCCTCTTGCTTTCTGTGCATAGTTGGCAAGACGTGTAACACCGCGTCGAAGCAAATGCTCACGGGCACGGTGATGGTGTCTGTCTACGTGCACATCTTAACCGTTTGCGCATCGGAAATTTGTTCCCTAGGGCTACTTAGTCATTCCAGAATATACTTACTCATGACCGGTCACTAAATTTGTGCAGCATGGGTCGATTCGTTCGCAATCGAAGGGCTGACGACGGGGATGTATTGTCAACATTCAAGGCTAGGCACACATACAGCTGATTACACCATTGATACAACAGAAGAGTTACACCTTAATGAATATTATCTCCAAGATCATGTGTCGGCACTGGGTTCACCCATAGCCACTGTACATGTGCACTCGTCAAAAGTTGCTTCACCCTTCTCGAAGCTTCTAGAACATTCTACGAGCTGCCAGGTCATATATATAAGAGCTGCATCGCTCTTCTCCCCTTTGCTGGACTGTAGCAAATACCCGGCAGCGCGGTGTGGGAGTACTGTCGATTTGATAGGCGTTGCCACGAGTTGTTGCGGTGCTAGGGGTTAGTGTGGGTGCGAAACGGAATCATAGCACTGTATCGAAGAAAGGGCACTAGAGTTGCGCATCAACTTCTTCTCTACCAGCGGCTGAGAGAAGCACTAGTCCAATGCAAAACCTGCGTAAGCAACAGCAATGAACACCAAGGGAGCTCGGGCATGATGATGTCAGGCCGTTGTTCTGGAAGTGCGGCCTTGCGCTTCTACTCGCCTGCAGCAAGTTTAAATGTGCCGGCATCTATACCTCGGTCAAAGCGTACTGTGGTTTGGGAAGATGCATGTTTACATTACGCACAAGATCACGCGAAACACGATCCTGAACTTGCTGAACCACGTTCATGAACATAGTTTGCGCCAGCAAACAAGGCACGGGGAAAGCAATGAGTGGTAGCGTGTCTGTTCGATCGGGCATGGCGTCAAATCAGGAGGGCGGGCTCGGGGAAGAATTCTCCTACCTATCATGTCCCCGAGCTCACTTCACCAAGCAAACAAGTACCGAAGCTCACACTACAGCGGGGCCATGATGTACCGTGGAGTGAAGAGCAAGTGACGCAAAGCTTGCGCGGCAATGGGAAACCTCGGTGAGCCGTGATGTAGCCTAGGGCACAGTATCAGCCCGTTGATCAGGAATGGCTCCCAGATCGAAGAACTTCTGAACAGCATACCCTTGTGCTGGGACTCGGCTGCCTGCACAATGATGAAATCTGTCGAGACAAGCACTGTAGCTTGGTAACGCTGTGGTGTCAGAGGAAGCACAGTGATGCCTGAAGCCTGCACAAGCATGGGTATAGGTAAAAGCAGCAAGTGGTAGCGGAGCCGAGACACGGGGTCAGGGCCGGAGCGCGTTGTGGAATCCGAACACTCCCGCTTATCATGCCCACAAATTGCTTACACCAAGATCAAGTCTGCCAAGCGAGCATCTGGGGCGTGATGTTCTATGACAAAATAGGGCAATAGGACGGGTAGGGACAGGCGGTGAACGGTGGCGGATCTGGGACATAGTCACAAGCCGTCGATCCGATAGAGCGGTCCCATATACAGGAATCATCGGCAGCTTGCACTATAAGAGCCATGTGAAGACTCGAACTACACCTAGGATAGCTTAAGAGGAAGCACACTGAGGTGAAGTGCGCAGGAAGACGGGCAAGGGGTTATGGGCGTTCAAGATGCAACTCGGCTTTGCTCCGGCGCTTCTATGAAGTGTACATGGGTTACGGTCATTGAAGTATGTGCTGAAATTGCATATCGCAAACGACGCACTCGATCGACGGGAACATTGTTAGGCGAATCAGTGGGCTCTGCAAAGCGGCAGGTGTTGTCATAGAGGTTAGCGTGCTTCCGCTCAGTCATGAACATGGACAGTTGGCTGATGGGTTTAGGACACTGAAAGAGCTGACAATGGCGAAGTGGAAGGACAAGTCTCGACCCTCGCACTTAGTTCGGGCTTAAGACCTCAGGGGTTTAGAAGGCTATCAGAAGTCTACAAGTGATGAAGCGTATCTAGGCACTGCAGTAATAGCCTGATGCGCAAGTTGGGCTCATTGTTAAGAGATTTGGCATATGGGTGCGGACATCAATGTCAGGACGTACCGAGGTGTAGTCGCAGATTCACTCGCGTTGAGTAGGTAGAGCTTCTAATCCCGAAGTTCATGGCACGTGAGGAGCACTAAAAATGTAATTGACTATAGGACAAGCCAACACGAGCGCGCGCGGAACTAGACAAGGGCGCACATTTCTAGAATAGTCTCATATATTGCAAGTTGCTATAGGACTACGACTATACACCGTCCACGTCCGCTTGTCTCTCACGCCGGCGTCTTGATATCCGTTAACTTCACCATCAATGGACTCTTCTCCCAGGTGTTATACGCCCTCAACCCCTTGAACTCATCTTTGGGATTCCACAACGGTGCACCATCCGCAAACTCAAGGTCAAAGTGCCACAGCAACGCTCCTAGAATCAATCTCAGCTCCACATACGTCAGATTTCTGCCGATGCACCCTCTTGGACCAAGCGAAAACGGCTGCGCCGCCTTCTTGACATCGTTCCCATAGCGCGCCTTGTTCTCCGGCGTGTCCAGAAACCTCTCAGGAATAAAAGAATCCGGGTCCGCGAAGTTATTCGCCGAGTGCGCAGCCGCCCATGAACCGACGCAGACAGAAGTATACTCGGGTACCATGTAGCCGTCGATCAGAGAGCCGCCTTTGGGCACGGTGCGTAAGAGGCCGATGGGCACAGGCGGGAAGATGCGCAAACCCTCTTCAATGCAGGCATTCATGTAAGGAAGACTGCCAAGCACGTCCATGTTGAGGTCTGCTTCGGATTTGCATGCGGAGCGGAGCTCATCTTTGATGCGGCGGTATTTTTCGGGATTACGTAGGAGATAGTTTGTTAGGCCGCAGAGTTCGGTGGCGGTGGTTTCGCTGCCGGCGACACTATCGATCATCAGTCCTATGCCACTGCGTGAGAGCTATGGTTGAATTACATAAAAAGCGCAGCATTCATAATGACTTCATCATCGGAGACTTCGTTCTTTTTCTCGCGCTGCTTGAGGATGTACCAGATGAAGTCACGGTGATCGGTCTTTGTGGCCATTCGGCGGTTCGTCTTCTCAGTCGAGTTACGCAAATGCTTGTAACGTCGTTCGCGGATTGCAGATGGGATGCACCACATCATGCAGCGCTGTCCGAAACTCCCTGGCTGCGCAAAGCGGCGGGTAGCTTGTTCGAGGGCGCCGGCTTTGATAGATTCATAGACGAGAACGACCCAGTTTGCTGATTCTGATCCTTCGCCTGCACGGTATGTTAACCATTCTCCGCGGCCCAGAGCATGGCGATTGGAAGACTCACCTTCCTGCAAGCACCCAAACGGTTCGCCAAAGCTCAAATCACCAATGATGTCAAAAGTACAGAAATTGAACCAGGAGACCATATTCGCATGCTCGCCTCTATGCGCCATCTCCCTAAGCCTCTTCACAAAAAGTTCCACATACCCCTTCAGAATCGGCTCCTGCTCCAACAGCGCCTGCTTACTGAACGCATGCGCAAGTGCCCTTCGCTGCCTCGCATGATGAACATCCGGTGCCATTGTCAAATTTGTTGCACCCGGAATAGCTTCAACAGCGCCAACGTGAATAGGATCCTTGTCCATGTTGGGCATGCCCACGCGGTGCCCGTATATGTCTTCCCATGCTTTTGCGGTGTTGAAGGAGAGCTCGTTAGGCATGACGCGCACAACGGGGCCATATTTGTCGTGGAGAACTTTGTAGTCGAATGAGATGCGACCGCGGAGGAGGGAGATTATGGACGGGATGGGGGAGATGCGCCATAGGAGGGGACCGGGGTATTTAGCGAGGGGATGGAGGGTAATTCGGTATACTGCTACCGTGAAGAAGTACACGAAGAACTAAAAAGTCTATTAGGAGGTTGGAGGCATATATAGAGGAGTCACCCACGGCAACTGGGGCCCAAACAGCGAATTGGGTGAGACGCTCTCCGTCAAAAACACCCATCGTGAACAACAGCGAGCGAATTGCTCTGGTATCCGGATGTCAATATACTAGGAGGGCACAGCCAGGGAGTAGAATGGATGTCCGGTATGATCGGTGTATAAACAAAGGCAAAAGGAGTTGCCTGCCTGGTGAAGGAAAGACGACAAGCAACGAGAACCTAGGGAAAGAGGCCACACGACGTCCGAAATATATTCATCCTGAGTGGTCATAGGGACTAGCTAACGCCCGCTACAGTCACTGTATACCGGCATTGTCATTGCGCTTCGAGCGACACTATTCACGGCATGTTTTCGCCAAAACTTATCCGACTGGTATGCAGACCAGAGACCAAAAGGTTAGTTTATTGCAACAAAGTCGTGTTTGACGTTGTCCGAACTTCCCTGGCCAGTCCTCAGTTGATGAAAAGGTCGAGGAACTTTTTCCACATGTGGGGAGTTCATGAAGAGCATTTTGATGCTCGTGTCACGTTATCTGGAACCGTTGAAGTTGGAGTTTCGGGTCTTTAGCGCAGTGTATTGTCTGCTAAGGGGGGGTTCTACCCCGCACTCCGCTGCAGAAACCCCACCATTAGTGTCGTCCACTGGAGAAGCGATCGATTCATGTTCCAAATAGATCTTCACGGGTTCGATTCGTGCGTTCCTCGCTTATGTAGAGCTTCTCGACGGCACTACCTCACAGAAGAATGTATTTGGAACGTGATATGCACATTGGTATTTTCAAGAGATATAGAGCTCATACAGGAAAAACAATCAAGACGGCACTGGCTTGAGGAGAGCCTGGTTATTCAGTACAGCATCCGCCCAGATATTGCCCATATGAGCATATCCAGCAGGATCCCTATGCGTGTCAGTCATCAACTTCGTCGACATATCCAGTTGACAAGAACTTACGGATGTAAATCATCACCCAACTCATCCGTCCCAACAACACTCTGGTCCACAACCACTACACTGAATCCCTTATCCACCCTCTCCTTCACCACCCCCGGAATCGCCGCATTATACGCATCAAACCTCTTCTGGCTCTCTGCAATCTTCGTCTGAATAATCTTCGCGACAAACACGGCCGCATCAGGCAACCTCTTTATCACATCATCGATAACACCGCCCAGTCGTTCAGGCGCCTCACTCCATGCCTCTGCGGCTGTCTCAGCCATGTTCAAATCGTTCGTTGCAAGATGGATCAGAACGACATTGGGTTTGAAGTCAAGTGCGGGGCCTAGTACGGCGTGCACTTGGTCGATGGTCCAACCTGGATGGCCTTCGTTTTGGTTGTCGGTCATATTGCCTGACGTCTGAGTGCCGACGAAGTCAACGCTGGCACCTGAGGCCACAAGGCGCTCAAGGAGTTCTTTGCGATACCCATTTGTGCCTTGACCGTTTGACCAGCCCCACGTAATAGAGTCTCCGAGAGGGAGGATGCGCAGGGGCGTTGAGGAGATGTTGCGGGTGGTTAGAGGGGCGCTGGTAGTGGGAGATGTGACTGCTACGAAGTAAGTAACTGTACACATTGTTTCCCTCGAGTAACTCGAGACTTACATAAAGAGAGCAATGTGCATGGCACAAAAAGCTTTGTGAGTGGACTCAACATTGTGTTGTGATCCTAGGATTTCAACAAAAAAGTAGGAAACATGCAGCACATCGACAAGCAGGAACGCCCAGTTTATGTACGACGAGCGCGAGATCAAGTCTTTGGGAGTGACCTCGTCGCCTGATTACTTCGGTGAATGGCGTAATATATAATCTCATGCATGATGATTCGGCGCTGGTTTTCACCGTATTGTTCTCACCAACCTGGAAGCCTGCGCCTTGTCTGGTAACGGAAAGTTCTTAATTCACTACCTAAATACTCAGCTTACCAATTTGTGACAGAAACTAAACTTGCAGAACGTCCGTGGCCTTAAGGCGCGACAACACACTGCCTTATTTCGCCATCCACCAAGTGGATGAGAGTGCCTAGTGCTGAGAATAACGGAAGGCCTAGAAAGATCACCGCAACAACACCATCACGCATCAACATGGAAAGTGATGAGATCATATTCTCAACTGGACTGACCAGCTAAAGGTGACCGGTGACCGGGATGCAGCGAAAAAGGCAAGTTTGAATAATAGCGCTAGCCTAATGCAGAAGCTCCCAGCATCTTTCGCATTGCTTGAGTCTGAACAACTCATCATGGAACGACCTTCGCCTGTCTCATGCGATCAAATGTGACCTTCCAAGTTTCTGGCGTCTTGATCTCTTCCGTATAGCCGACCTTATGCGAAGCTTCCATGCTCATCTGACGGTCGAAGTCGAACATCGTCATAATATAATACTATATCAACTTGATCAGCATGCCCCAATACAAAGCTTATGGCATTCGACAGTACGTACCTGAAAGCCTGGATGTGTAATGTCGCTGTCCACGGAACCCTTCTTGAGATTGTGTTTCCGCTCCAGCTCATCCCACTCCTTCCTGTGCGCTGCAATATATGCACCGGGCTGTGGGGAGTTCTCTTCCGGTCCGGTACCCTTCAAGCAAAAGTAGTCGCAGATTACTGGCCATTTTCCCTTCCAGTTATCTTCTTGTCCACCAACGTTGAAGCTTTGCGATGCAGTCTTCTCAGGGTGCAGCGATGCGTAAATCGAGAAGTGCGCAACCATGTCTTGCGGCGACTCATTGTATCGATTCACCCATGACTTTTCACTTCCTGGGAAGGGTACTTTTGCACCCTCGCCCTCAACAGCACGGAAGATTGAGAGGTACAGTGCGAGCGTCTGCGCTAGGCAGTATGCGTTGTTATTGGGTACAAAGCCAATGATATTATCTGGCCGCACTTCGCACCAATTCCAATTCTTGCCTTTGGAGATGCGCTTCAAGCAGTCGATCTGGTTGTAGTAGAAAAGTTGAGAGAGGGCGGGCTCTGGGATAGGAGGAAGGGTTTCGCGTAGTGGGAGATCGTTTGCAAAAGGAAATTTGTCCAACATTTGGCAACCGTAGATCTTCGTCCCAGAAGGAAGTACGACATATGATAGTCTGGAAGAAAGCTTCTCGATGGCCGTCACAGCGCGCTCCAGCATGGCCTCGTTGGTCTTGCATTCCGCGTCGTTGTCATCGATTTGTTTGTAGGCTGGTATGGGTTAGCATGAGTTTATTGGGATACGATATGCTTACAGTAGAAGTAAACCTGTGTCACGCTGTCTACGTTGGGTACCTTCTCCTTGATGGCCTTCTCAAGATCTTCCTGGCTGCCCTTCAACAGGTCAATTCCAGATACAATCTGCAATCTTGGGTCATCAGGCCAAAGAGTCATCTCGCGCGTCAATGGCCTGTTGACAAGCGCAGACACCTTTGTGAATGCATCCTTCGACGGATAGCCATTGAGGATAGAATTGACGATTGCCCAACCAGAGATCCCAGACGCGCCGTAGATAAGCGCGTGGTTGCCCATGTTTGCCACAAGTTATCAAAGCTCAAACTAGAACGCGGCGACTGGGTTCTCAAGATTGTTACTGTGTTCGAAGCTTGCACTGACGCTCACGCCAGGGCCAGGGAGCACCCTAGACTTAATACCCCTCCGACCGCCTTACCACTCCGACAACCCGAAAGCCAAGGATGCTTTGCAGCTCTTTGAAGCATAGGGCAAGGCGATAGGCTAGCTGATCGCTCTGGAGAACCCATTTCGCGGAGAACATCTTCCTACCACAACCCTGACACCTGCAAGGAGCGTATATGCGGGGTAACTGACTCGCTGGCCAGCCTGTCGGAGCGCACATCCGATGAAGGATCATGTTCGTCTCTGCATATCCGACCGTGTTAGTAATGAAGAGATTGTTCGAAGAAGAGGTATCATCTGGCGATGGGATGCGCTGTGGTCGTAGCCGTCGTCGAGACGCGTGTGCATGATAAAGGCAAGGCGCAAGCGAAGATCCCCACGCTTCTGAATACCCAGAAAACTGCACCATTGACCCCAGCAGCAAAGCACTGATTTCGCATTACTTTCAACAGGCCGGAATGCAAGGGAAGCACGTCTTATGCTCACAATGTTGGGTTAACGAGGGTCCTTCGGTGGTGCCCAATGGCAAAATGTTTCGCGGAAGTGAAGGTGTGCTCAACCCTTAAGGCCCGTCGATTTCAGTGACTGAACTTCGTGGCTGGCAGGAATCTACATTCAGACATATGAAATGCCTTCCGAAGAGACTTCACCGACCCCACAAGGCGTTCCCATTTGGAGACCATGCAGACGACCTAGTGATCATCGGTACTGTCGAAGTACTGGCCAGAGAATGGCTCGTATGGAGACAGGATAGGACTGCACACGCAAAGTACCAGAAGATTGCTACGACGGAAAAGGCAGAAATTGAGAGGCTCCAGGTCGGCTTATAGACTAGGCTTCGACTCCTACCTATGGTATCAACCACCCTAGTCACAACAGAATCGGCGTAGTCGCCCCGACGAAGTAGTGCCATCTGGATACCTACCTATGCCACTGATGGTTCTGATAGCTACTTGATTCAAATGAGCCAGCGCTTTTCGCAGGTGTATTGACCGTACAGAGCACGTATCAATGGAGAGTATTGCAAGTACGAATATAACGCGAGTACATCATTCCATACATATTCAATATACTCTTTTGCAGAGTTCCACGTTTTGGCAGTACCAAGCCGATGGAAAGAACTGATTGTAATTGAATGGCTGTATACAGCTTTTGACAATCGGGTTTCGGTCTAGCCAGCATGATACCTGGAGTGCGAGCTAAAGCCCCAAAAGGGTGCAGCAAACTTCCTCAATTGAGCCTCGCCAACGTAGCAATGGGACCCCTTGAAGACACACCGTGAGTACTGAGAATCCATTGTGACATTGGAAAACTTTTCCTGCGGACCAACACAGCTGTAGAAGAATGGTCACTTGACACGTGGAGGCGAATGGACAACCACATCCACATGATCACGAGCGGATCTCTGAGACCTGTTAACTGCGGAACTAGCAATTTAGCACTAAAAGTCTCGAATTGTTGCGCGTCTCCAGCAAGCTTGGCTTCCTATGGTATGTGTAACGATACTTAGGCCCTTAAAGGCGGTGCGAAGAACTGTAATAAGTCCTAAAAGTAGATCTCCACTTTACAAGCATGCACAGAACAATCATTCGAGAGAGTCAACGCCACACTTATATCTTGCGCAGGTGGCAATGTTTTAGAGCGAACAATGCCCAGGTGGTGCCTGGCCTCATGCGCGTACCGGTGCGCGACAGCGTCGCATATGTAGGTAGACATCCTCTATTAATTATCGTTTAGGCGACGCTCTTTACAATCGTCCTCTTAATGTCTCAGCACCGCTTCTCTTAGCCATGCCGTACTTCACCCCGACCCCTTCACTTCAACTTTTCTACACCCTACATGGGTCAGAAACCAACCCACCACTCCTCCTCATTCACGGTTGGTGTTGTAATTCTCACGACTGGGATTGTTAAATCGCGCCCCTCTCTAAAACTTACCGCGTCATCGCCTTTGACCTCCGCGGTCATGGCCAGTCGAACGCCCCCACAGGCCTCACCTACAGACTCAAAGACCATATGTCCGACGCCATTGCGCTGCTGCACCACCTTGGATACGACCACGACGTGAGGATAGTGGGGCACTCTATGGGCGGCAGAGTCACTTCCGCTCTGAGCGTCACCAAGCCTGCGCTGTTTAAAGCTTTTGTCGTAATGTATCCGCATTACTTTGCCCTCGAAGCCATGTCAGCGCAGGTCATTGCAGCGTATGATGCAGCGGGTGGGAACGTCACGGCGGTTGATCTGCAGTTCTGGCCGAGCTTGTATGGCGAAAACATCCCGCAGGATGAAGACGTGGTATTTGAGGCGTATGGAGGAGACGTCGCCGCACGTGATTCGGGGTTGCGTTGAAGGTTCGCTAGAAGAGCACGTAGGTATATCGATGGAAGAGCATCTTGAACGCAGGAAGAAGAGTAGAATACCGCGGCTTGCAATACACGCTGGTGAGGAAGATGTTCAGAAAGAGGGGGAATTGGGGGGCGAATGAGTTGAATGAGGCGATCTCGATGGCGGGCGTGGGACATTGGTTGCATCACGCGAAAGCTGCCGAGTTCAACAAGGCTCTGCTTGATTGGTTCAATAAGGTGGAAGAAGCTTCGGGAGATGGATGAACCTCAGCGCCGAGTGCCAACACAGATCGCACATCTCAGATATACCCATCCATACAGATCATGCGCTCTCCGCCTTCTCCATCGCTTCCACTGCCTGTTTTGCAATGCCTTTGGCCTCATCGCTCACCCCCTCGTGTTTTACAACGTCTCCAAACCTCTTCTTCCAGAAGGCCCACCTCTCCTTGCTGAAAACAGGTCCTCCCGTCCACAAGTCGCCCCCTCTAGCAGGATTGCCTTGATTTGGGTCCTTTGGTGTCAAATCCTCTTCTCTCTCATACACTTTCTTTCCAAGTCCGAGGACCCACGCCGCAGCTGCTGGCACATTCGCATCATACCACCAGGGCAGCGGCTCTGGCGTTTTCTCAAGTGCTTCTCTCATGGCCCAGATGACGTACAAATAGGCTTCCCATATTCCGGAGTCGGTCAAACGCGCAAGGAAGTAATTGAAATTTGTCCAGGCATGGATCTCTTGGGGGACGCTGCCAACATGATGGCGCGGAATGTCGTTGTACGATTCGCGAGCTGCAAGACCCAAACCAGAAAGGCTCTTGTATGTCGGGTGCTCCTGCGAAGGCTCTGGATGTTCTTTGATCGCTTTCACCAGATCGACAAGTTTCGCGTGCTGATCCGCGTTGCTGTACGGTATCCTTTTCGCGGAATGAATGATGGGATACCAAACATCACCCAGCTGGTCCTTGCCGGAACCTTGCTTGAGGGCCTCATCGATGGGTTTCGTTATTTTGTCCACTGTTGTCTGTAGATCCGCACCATCATTCATGTACTCTTGCACGGCGGGGTAAGAGATGGCGTCTTTGGGTGGGCGGAACCATCCGCGAATCTCGGCGATTCGGTCAATTTGGGTAGGTTCATCGCTAATTTCTGAAAGCGCTTTCTCAATCTCCTCTGTGCGTTTCTTTTCCCATTCAGCCATCTTGACAGTGTGACCTCGAGCAGAAAACTGGGAGAGACCAGCAATGCGAGAATTGACCGTGGTGCAGTTTTGATAGATTGGGCGCCGCAAAAGAGGGGTGACGTAGTGTGGCGCACGCGTTGGCTTCAGCATCTGTGATTGGAGGACGGCGAGTGGATCTTACTTCTCTCCATCAAGAAGGTGCATGTGCTACGGTTCACCATTGCGACAGGTCTTCTTTATGGCCTCTGCCGGAGTGCCCCGTAAGTTGTTGCCTACGTGGCTCTTGTATCGTCAGTCGGCGCATGCCGTGAGCGCGTTGTACCTCGGCCTCTTAGCCAGTATGATCTTCTTGCTCCATACACACTTCAGGAATGCTTACCCTTAGTTTTTCAATGTCGCCATGGCAGACATCACCAAGATCAGGCTTTCCGTTTCAAGCGTGAAGGAAAGCTTTCCTCCAACGCATCCGAATTTTCCAATTGCCCAGGCGCTTCTCTTGGTCCACTGAGCACCAGGGTCCACTCACCTTACAGACGTATCCTACAAGGTTAGCAACAAGGCATCGATGAACTTGCTGAGGCAGTATGCTCATGCGTAGCATCTCGAATATTGCGTTACGCGGCATTGATCTCTATAGACTACCACTCGATAGGCTTCTCATGCTGCCAGAATCCCCCTGTAGTCCCTTTGATGTCCGCTAATGCTAGCAAAACAGGGGTCTGCGCGCCTTCGTCAGGCGACTTGGTTCCATTGCCCTTGGTCATGTCGGTATTGACGTAGCCTGGGCAGCACGCGTTCACTAGAATCTTGCTTCCCTTCTCCTCTTCAGCTCGAGCAAGTGCCTTGGTAGCGCCGATCAACCCAGCCTTCGAAACAGCATACGCAGCACTTGGAAATCCCGCCTCCTTCTCTTTGCCAGCTTCTACGGCGGATGCGAAGTCCTTCATGATACTGGTGATATCGCTCTCCGATTTGGCAGCGAGGAATCGGTTACGGATGTCGTCGGCATACTTATTTAGATGACCAGACATGCTTGCCACGTTCACAATGCGACCTTCTGGCTTCAACAGTGGCAAGAACATGTGGCACGCCTCCACGGTATTATAGTAGTTGCAGCCCAAAGTAGTTTTGACAATGTTGGCATCTACCCAATCAGCCACCCTCCCGTTACGTATCGTGGATAAAACCTACCAAAGCCATTCATAGCGATTCCAGCGTTGTTGATGACGAAGTCGACACCGTCCCCGTGCTCCTGCTTGAGGTGCGCTGCAAAAGATTCCACGCTCTTGCGGTCTGTTATATCTAATTGATGGTACCTGATCTCAGACTCGCCGCCGTCACTCTTCAATGCCTTAGCTTTCTTGAGTTGCACATCATCGTGTAGGTCTTTCAGAGCGGCTTCACCTCGGCCCTGATCGCGAGCAGTGAGATAGATTAGGAAAGGACCACTGTGCAAAGGAGACTTGGGATATTGCAGTGCTAGCTGTCGGACTGTTCCAGGTCAGAGGAGAGCCTTTGTGGCGTGAGGGGTGCATACCAATTGCAAGCCCAATGCCCTAGACCCCGTTAGTCGCAGCCTCCACGTTTCGCGGGGCTGCACATACCTTGTTGGCACCGGTCACGACTCCTATGCGACTGTATGCCATTTCTGGATGCGTTGCTGAAGTCTGAAGGGGTCCATAGTTCGTAGAGACAGGATATACGAGCAGTCCCACTCTTGAACGTGGTTGACGAGATCCGACGTCATCGTTACTGCTTATAGTTAAGACACTACACTGTATTTCGGATCTGGACCCACCCAAAGCAACGGCGCCATCACGTCTCACTGCGGCTTTGATCAAGCAAACAATACAAATGCCGTAGCACTCTCTTTCACGACAGCGTGAATCGCTTTGAGTTTGTCAACACTTTTTGATCAACTCTCCCACAACGAACGGCACTACACTTTTCGGTTCCACATACTGCAGCTGAAACTTCTCCCACTCACCCGCCTTTCGCAGAAATTCACCCGTATGCCTCTGCATTTCGCATCCGCCCAGGAAGAACGGCCATCCCAGAATACTGTACACGAACTGCATCACCCGTGCATCAATACGGCCCTCCGTCCGCCATGGATTGACAACGTGCTCGCAGATGACCATCCTACCTCCAGGCTTCAGCAACGTATACAACCCTTTGATAGTTGCCTCCGGCTGAGGTACCCCGCATAGCACTCTCAGACAACAGATCTCATCGAAGATCCCATCTTCGTTCGTCCCACTTGTGCTCAAGATTCCATTCTTATGCAAAGCAGGGATCAAACTCTCAGGCTCGCCGCCGCAGAGCAGCGCGTGGTACTTCTCGCCAAAGCCAGCTTCCTGTGCATTCTTGAGCAGTCCCGTATGTAAATCCGCAGCAGGCTCAACGCCATAGATCGCCGTGATGCCCTCGGGATTGAACCGTTTAAGGAGCTCGCCGGTACCGGGGCCAATGTCAAGCACCAACCCGCGGCAATCACCGACAAGGGAGTTGAGGGGACCAGGGATCTCCTGGGACATTGCGGCACCGTTGTGCGTCCAGAAGCGGGCGAACGATTTGTAGCGAAGGTATGTAAGATTGAGCAGTTTCAGCGGTTGGTGGTCTTTGAAGATAGTTTCTAGGATGGTCATAATGAAATCTCATAGGCGTCAGCGTGTTGTGCGCTCGATAGCGATACTGCTGGAAGCTTTTAGATTAGGACGCACGGTAAATTCCCATTGAAAGCAGCAGTGACGGCCACAATAGCCTTGAAAAAGGCAGTAGGTTCTGTACCCCGGTCGTTGGAGGCATCTTGTCAAGTCTGAGAGGTGTCTCTTTGGATTGGCCCCCTGAAGATGTGTTCAGTGCTCAAAGAAGAGATGAGGGATAGACAAACGCGAAGGGGTTGGGTGACGAGAGTAAAGCTAGTGTCTCATCGGGCCATGATCTTTCTTTATACGAAGCTTGCTAGAAGTCTTCACACACCACCTCTGCAAACTTGGAGCGACGTACAGTCGGCGACTAATCAACCGTGTGATCGGCGACTAATGAATAGTGTGTTCGGCGACTTCAACCTTGATTGTTTAGTCATCGTATCCAAGCAACGCTCCTCTGTCCATACCTTCAAAGTTGAAATGCGGGGTAGCACGAGAGCACGAAAGACAAGGAACACGCGAGGTGGTCATAGCTCTCTAGATGCCTCGGCTCGGCATGTGGGTCAACAACGCGCTACTGATTTATGTAGTCCAACTCAACAGCGATCCTTCGGACATAACAGCATATTGCAACCTAGACTCTGAAGGCAATCCGTTCGTTAAAGGAACATCTGCACCTGACATAATGGATGAGCAGTGGAAGCGTTACGCGCTCATCACGGGGTACGCCGAATCGTCCACCTAACGCGACGACTAAAGAAAGGCCAAAATTGCTTCGACCTGACTAGCTAACAACTACAGCTGCACACCAGGAGGCATAGGCCACTACCTGGCGCTCGAATTTGCCGCAAATGGTACACATGCCTCAATGATCACTGGACTGTCTCTCACTCACTACGTACCCAGGTTACCACGTTCTAGCGACCGTCCGCAGCCCCTCCAAATACACCCCACCTAACGACAACATAACCTACCTCCCACTCGAGCTCCCACACGAGGACTCCATTTCCTCCCTCCATGACCGCGTTGCGTCCATCACCGGCGGAAGACTCGACGTCCTCTACAACAACGCCGGGCGCAATTACACCGTCGCAGCCACCGACATCGACATGGGCGAAGTGCAAGCGACCTTTGACGCGAACGTCTTCTCCGTCATGAGGCTATGCCAGATCTTTACCCCAATGCTGATCGAAGCAAAAGGCACCATTGTACAGACGGGCAGCTTGGCCGGCGTGATGCCCTACGTTTTCGCCAGCGTGTACGCGGCGTCGAAGGCAGCGTTGCACGCATACTCGGATACATTACGTGTGGAACTTGCGCCGCTGGGCGTAAGGGTTATTACGATAGTGACGGGTGGTGTGAAGTCGAACATTGCAAGGACGCATCGCGAATTGCCGTCTGACAGCTACTATATGCCGATCGCAGATCAGTACGAGAAGAGATTGACGTTGAGCCAGCAGATGGGCATGGATACGCAGCAATATGCGAGGAGTTGCGTGAGGCATGTTATTGGTGGAGAGAGCTGGTTTGGTGCTGTAACCAAGAGATGGGTGTGGGAGGGGAAAATGAGCTGGGTCGTGTGGTTTGGTTGGAGTTATTTACCGCGTGGTGTCCTTGATTGGTACTTCAAGTCGAAGTTCCAGTTGGGGAGGTTAAGGGGTACGGTTGGGCCGGACAAGAAGAGAGTTTGAGATAAGGTGACGATGAGCATTACGAACACATGTTGCTCGACGTTGTGCTATATTTCTTGGAGCTGCTTCAAGTGACTTGCACGGTTGCGGAAGGAGCAGCTGAGAGGTTCCTTGCGATCAAATGCGAAGGTGATAGCTGCGTCCAAGACAGCCTCGTCGCTCCTGCCTGATCACTTCCCACAATCAAGAATGACGCCCCATTATCCGCCTCTGTGTGGTTTTCATGCTCTCTGGAAGACAGACTTGGTCTGAGTCTGCCAACTATGGATCCGTTGACGGCGGTAGGCCGGTGGGCCGACGTTCTACAGGTTGCAGCAAGACTTGTTGGGACGGCGAAGGATATTCACCACTCCATCGAAGGCGCTACGCCCAAAATGGCGGGCCTCGAGACAGTCACTAGAGCAATGAAAAGCCGTCATTTGCAGTTGCAGATTATGGCCCAGGGATTATACTATACTGTTCTGAACAAAGTGTCGGAAGCAGACACACAACTCGCGGAGCTGCTTGCCAACTGCGATGCAGTGGCTAAGCAGCTACTAGAGGTTCTAGGAAGGCTCAAACGCGATAATCCAAGAGGCAACTGGGGAAAGATGATCCAGGCTTTGCGAACTGTCTGGAGTGTTAACGAGATCGATGCTCTACGAGAACGTCTCGGAAGACACGAATAAAGCATGCAAACAGCACTGTTGATTTGCTTGAAGTAAGTCTGCGCCGACTTGTGACATCGAGCAGTATTGATGAAGAGAAGCGAAAAAATTGATCAGATTCCGGACCCATCTCGCCTCTATTCAGAGAACAACTTTGATGTATTCCAGACTTGTATAATCCATGAAATTCGGGAGCTACGTGCGCAAGACTTGAACCATGCGTTCGGTGCCCGATTCTTGGCACTTACGGATATTAATATGCAAAACCAAATTTTGGAGCGGCTCCGCTTCATCAATCAAGACGACCGCGAATACCGGGTAGCAGATGCTCACGTCCAAACCTTCCAATGGGTTTTTGACGACTACGAGACCCATGAAGCAGGATGAAAGCTATATCTATTGGGTCACGGGTAAAGCTGGTTCCGGCAAGTCGACCTCGATGAAGTATAATGTACGCCATTATCAATGTGACGAGCTTCTACGGTGCTGGGCTGGTCAACTGCCTCTCGTAACCACCCGATTATATTTTTGAATTACGGCAGTCGCATGCAGATTTCGCAAGAAGGACTGTTATGAACTGTTCTTTACGATACGCTCAAACAACGTCCAGATATGATGCCCAAAGTGCTGCCAAATCAATGGACAAGATTTCAGACGTTGGGAAATAACACACATCCGTGGGTGCTTACGGAACTCATGGCCGCGTTCGATCGCCTGATCCCATGTGCTTCAGACATTTTCTTCAAGTTATGCCTGTTTGTTGACTGACTAGACGAATTTGACGAAGATCGCGAGGCCCTGGTAACCCTGTTTCGTAAAGCAACATCCCCCAATGTCAAAGCGTGCTTCTCAAGCCGTTCGTGGGTGGTCTTTGAGGAAGCATTCAACACCCTCGGAAGCTTGAAGCTTAGACATCTCACTTATGATGATATTCGGGAATATGCAACGACTAGATTCCATGCCCATTCTGGTTTTGAAGCTCTAGCACACCGTGAGTCGTCTTTCGCAGCAACGTTGATAGACAACATCACCACGAAAGATTCCAGCGTCTCCCTCAAGATTTTCTCAACAGTCAAGTCGCTTCTCACGGGATTTTCGAATAGTGATCCCATCTCCGACCTACAAAAATGGCTAGACGCGATACCGGGTGATGTGTATTTGTTCTACACGAAAATGTTTGGTTCGATTGATCCAATTCACGTCAGACACGCTCATTAGCTATTTCTTCTGGTACATGCTGCGGAATTCAATTTGACCGCTTTGGGACTATATTGTGCTGACCAAAATATGAAGGTAAATCAAATAATCATATAAGTTGCGGTAGCTGCCAAGGTCTTGCCCCTCCCGGAACTGGAATGCAACAACAAGGTTGAGACCATAAAGAACCGTCTGAACATTCGATGCAAAAGGGTCCTGGAGATCGAAGGGCAATACTCGGGCAGCATGCACGCTCCTAGACTAGGCAAAGTTTCCTACTTGCATCGAACAGCAAAAGAGTTTCTCCAATCGGAGAATATCATACCAAGATGGCGTCCTCAGTTGGTCATTTGACGCTCAATTGAGTCTGGTATGAGCCGGCCTATGTGCAATGGGACGGCGACTTCACTGCAACGGTAACGGTCTTCGCCTGTCATGAAGAGGTCTAAATTTTCATAAAGTAAGATTGACTAAGGCTTTTTCGATTATCTCTTAGCGCGTTCGCTCAACTTGTAACCTTTATTGGAGATGTTGGGCCGCGACTTCACCATCTCCTGGTCAAGGACGAGAGAATCACTGGTAGAGATGACACAGGACGGAGAGAGGGTTTAAAGTGGGTATGCATGGGTGTTAGGTGCTCATGTGGGAAGCAAAGTCCAAGTGCTCTATCAATTCCTATCCTATTCTTTCTCTATCTTAACGCTCGTCCAATCGGAAATCCATCTTCTCACGTCTGCGCAGACCTTACAACCGAGCCTAAATATCTACTTCACGTAAAAGTCTACACAGCTCTCATACGTCTGCGAATTACTGTTCGACCACCAATACCATTGCAGCGCACACTTTCCACCAGCATCGCACGTCGAACCCAGAGTACTCGGAATTGTGATGTTGAAGTCGACTTTGTTTCAACGTCAGTCCACACTTCCGGTTGTCGAGTTCAGGAAACTAAGAACAGGAGCAAGCTTACCATCGTCTCCGCCACCGCTGACATCATCCGGCCACACGCTCCAGGACTTGACTGGCGTATCAAGTGCCTTGTTCGCCTTCAAATCAATGACCGAGACATTCTACTGTCCGTTAGCGAGCTTTCTACCAACCTTTATCTTTCACGTCTCTTAATGTCTTTCTCACCCTGCTGTCCCTCATTCCATGGGAAAAGTATTACTTACAGCCCATCCCGGCTTATGTGCTGCGACCAAGTCTACAAAGAATGGCACGACCTGTCCCGCACTATAACCCTGCACCCTCGCCGTATTATCCTCATACTGGTACCCTCGGCACAAATAAGCGTTGCATTTGTAGTCAACATCTGCCTTTGCCATGGCAGACTCGATGGGGCCCGCAGGGTCGGAGTTGAGCTTCTTGGATACAGCGGTGCCGCAGAGGGAGGTTTGTGCTGTTCCGGACTAAAAAGGGGAAGTAAGTAATAAAATATGACGTATGTAGTCTGGATAGGATAAAGATTTGCTTACGGTACGTGGGAGAGGAGTCTTGAGGACGCCGTGAGCTGTGCTGAGGACGGTCAGAGCCTGGACGAGGAGCGTGGTGGCCAACATGCTGAAGTTTTCGGTGATAGAAGACAGCACGGGTACTTTCAGAAGTCATTCAGCCATGCATGCTATATACTATTGGTTACATATTGTAAGTACTGGTGAGGTTGCGACGGAGGTTTGCGATTCATGGTCCTGTTCTTCGCGGTGTGTTTTCTCCACCAACGACAAAAGCGCACCGACAAGAGTCATCTATTTAAGCTTGGCAACGCTCGACACACACAACGGTGTTCCTGTCGCCTATAGTGGATAGAATATGGAGCTGGAATATATTTGTTCCTCTTGTTGTCTGCGTATGATGATCAGATTATTGAAAGGACAGTGGAGTGGAGATACAGATGCTTGCACAAAAGAGGTTCAGTCAGGGCCTTGCCAGACATGGTCGAGTGACGGCCAATGCCCCTGCTCACAGTCCCCCCACAGGTCTTTTTCGACCGCGCATAGACCAATGCTTTCAGCTCCGCGGTACCAATACGAGGACGTTCAACTTACCATGCGTCATAAGACATAGACGCTATAACAGCTCCAGTCTTTTCGGATATCCTCGGTAACTGGGAGTCCCAGATGAAGCCGAAGGATATCGCTATGGGTCTTTGCATACAGCGAAACAGCGCACAACGTCCTCGGAACAAGGTGCAGTCATCCTTGCCGTCGCGGGCTGGCTTCCCAGAATGGGAAAGGATCCAGACCGAATAGTCAACCCGGTACTAGTTGAATAGCTGCACAACTCCATGCATGTCACACGGCGACGTACAGTTGGAACGTCTTGACGTGCATGTCCCCGCGAATAAAATTGACCCAGTGTACCGGTTCCTCCGGTGTGGATACGTCTGCGGCGCAGAGGACCTTAGTATGAGAGGGGAATCACAGGGCAGTATCCGGCGTTCTCCACCTGTGCGCAAGGCATGTAGGTGACACAGAGCGCTTGACAACGTGTCGCGAAACGAAGCCAGGAAGAGCGGTGTGGGACGGGTCGCTCGAAGGACGTACGTGAAACGGAAGGACGCTGCAACCGAAGAGAATGCCAGCATGCATCCGACAACTCGAAGAGTTTGAAATGCTGCAAGATATCGTGATTGAGTTGAAACGGGAAACATTTAGTGCGAGGTTTCCAGATACGATGCGAAAGGGTCGATTGGACCGTTAACCGAGCGAGCTGGAATGAATGGGCATCATCAAGTAGTACAAACATGTCGGTAATTGACTCTAGGAGGTACTGCGGCGTTGCACCCCCACTTCATCTTTCGAATCGACGTCGGCCGTAAGAGGATCGTAGACCTGGAATGCGATGCCTCCGATGCAGACACGAACGTATAGGGCGATGCAACGAAGGCCGTCCTACTTGGACTGCATGATCAGGTCTCTTCATCAGCACTCGAATCCATGAACTGCAATTTCAAAAATCCCCTGCCATTAGCATGCCTCATGCCGTGTACAATCATGCAGAACTATCATAGACAGGGTTGGCTTCGATACTGTTCTACACGTTGCCTCCGTATTCCGTCGCTGAATTAGATAGGTCTCGGCGGAGGCATAAACTCGTCCTCGTTGACCAAGCTGCGAAAGCTCCTGTCCCTCGTGGAAGAGGGCGCCTGGTCTGTACACGACGTCTGCAGTTGCACTTCTACCTCTTCCAGTCTGGCTGTACCCCCCTTTTACGTGCCCAATCGCTGCCGTTGCTCTTGCCCACGCCATAACCACGGCGACGGCCCATGACGTTACCAAGAACGATAATACGTTGCTTGCGCATCCCGATGAACAGCCCAAGAACATACTAGTGACGGCTGCTGTAGCGGTGGCATTGATTCTTGTAAGCTCGCATGGGCAGGCCTCGCCCTCGGTAGTGCTGCCATCGCTTACCGTCTCCTCGACAAGGCGGTTTCGCGGGAGACGGAAGAGGTAGACATGGTGCCTCAGAGGGCGAAGTGGCAGCGGAAGAAAGGGCAGTTAATTGAATGTTGAAGGTGCACCAGCGAATGGCAAAGGGGCGCTAATTTCAGAGCTCGAGGCAAAACATGGGGGTTGCCAAGCACGACATGAGATAAACAACCACGGCGCTGCTGCCTTGCCACCCCTTGTGAACACCTGTTTCGCCCCTCCAAGACCCCAAACTTGATAGCACACCTCGTCTTGCCCCTCAACCGCGTTCGTTCCCAGCACGATTGTTGACGCGGTCGCGAACCCCGCTGCCGCCCACAGGCCCACAAATAATTGCGCGAACGGTTAGCCCAGACCCTGTTGCTCAACCGCACGACCGCATCATCCCAGCGAAGCCTGCTTGTCTCCTCCACGCAACCTCACACATCGCGACAATATGCGCCCGTCATCCGCGCTCTTCTTCGCTTTCGCCGCCTCGGCCGTCGCGCAGGACCAGGTCCCGCTGCTCGACAAGCTCAAGGGCTTCTTCAACCAAGCAACTGCCGCCATCTCGTCAGCAGTACCCGCCGACCCTTCAGCACCCGTCAAGGCTGCATCTGGAAAGGTCGCCGAGTCGATCCAGCATGAGCTGACCCTGGAGAATTGGAAGGATGTGTTGACGGTAGACCCCACCGCAAGCGCACCGACGACGCAGGACTGGCTGGTGTATATCACCGGTGGCAATGCGACGTGCTTTGGACTGTGCGGAAACACGACCAAGGCCTGGAACGTACGTCCCCCATTGCTTTGCAGTGTCCGATCAAATCTGCTCGTCGAGAGCATGATGGAGCACCTTACTAACACTGTGACAGGCCTCCCTCCCTCTTCTGGCTGCCCAGCCCAACGCACCCAAGTTCGCCGTTGTCGACTGTGATAAGGAGCAGATCCTTTGCAACTCGTGGTCCGTCGGCCCGCCGTCTCTATACTACTTCCAAATTCCCAAGCCCCTGGCCGACCAGTCGGCTCCCGCAACCACCGTCCGCTTCCTGCCCCTGAATCGCACTTCCACCACGACCGAGACGTTCAAGAAGCTTTTCGTGGATGGAGAGTACGAGAAGACTGCACCGTATGAGGGCTACTTCCACCCTTTTGACGGTGAAATTCAGAAGTACGGTCTCGCCATCCCACTTGCGTACTTCTTTTGGGGGTTTTCCAAGATGCCATCCTGGTTGCCTATGATCCTCATCTCCTTCATCAGCCGTTCCTTCATGTGAGTTCACCATCTCCCGGTTCCATTGGCCAAATGTACTGACGTGGTATCAGGGGTCGTCGCGCTGGTCCTCAAGGTGGCCAGCAGCAAGGTGCCCGTCCTGCAGCCGCGCAGTAGAGCACCATCAGACAAATTTACTTCGCTTGTTGAACATTGTTCAAGTTCTCGCGTTGCCTCAGAAGACACTTGTTCAAAGAGTCGGCTTTGATTTGTGCATGTAGAATTGGATTCGCTAGGGCCTGGTTGTTCATGGTAGTAACTTGTAATTAGCACGCCAGGGGCGTACTTCACGGCCACGATACAGAGGGTTCTGGATGTAAGCGAGGAGTGTTGTCTGGCTCGCGAAAAGAACCGGCTGTGGGATATCTATGTCAATATACCAGTCATTTCGGCGTTCGAATAAGAGTCCTTAGAATGTGATTGCATGTCATCTCGTCCAATGGGAGTCGATGCTGGATGCGACCAATCAGACGCGCGCAGTTCGGCTGAACGCCGGCCCAAAATCTAATTCTCCAGTCGCGACGCATCACGCTCCGTAGCACTCCTACCCACTTCAGCACATACACCATGGTCAACATAATAAAGCGGATGCGCAAGCTGCGCGAGGTGCGCACCCATTTCTTCACAGACTTCCTGAAGTGCTAACAACTGTCACAGAAGGTAAAGAACACCCGCAACAGTTTCCCTCGTCTGCAGGACACTCGACAAGCTGTACGCAGCACGCACCCCCGAACAAGGGCGCTAACGGAAGAAACGTAGCTTCTATGGATTCGAAACGGACCGGGCGCGATACAGTTGCCTAAGGAAGTGACGAAGATTAGCATGGAATTCCACAAGAAACTCATCGGTTCACATCACAGAGGAGCGAGGTACGTCCCAACTTTTCATCCTATCACCACTTGCTCCGGCCCATATACCGCAGCATTCAACCAAATCGGCATCTTCATTCAATGCAAGAATACAACAAGAGCGAAGAGGTAGAAGAGACTGGGTGACGTGCTAACACATCGTGGAAACAGACACTTCTGGCACGAAATGCTCCCTCGAATTAAATATCGCAATCCTGCCCTCCCCATCAGCATAACACGGCACGACGACCCCGCCGGCCCAGCCTATCTGCACATCTACACGTCTCCCAAATCCTCCGCCTCACAAACCATGAACACCCCCGGCACCGGGAACGCTACGCCCGAGCCCAACAACATTTTGACACCGGATACATCCACGCCCACGCACACCGTCGATATCAAAGCCCTACATGAATCAGAGATTCTGGAAGCGCTGGTGGAGAAGACAGGCGCGGTGGTGCTGCAGACACCACCGGAGGAGGCGCAGGAGATGGCCGAGATCGAGGAGTTCAAGGAGAGGAGTGATATTGATAGGGTGGAGGTGCGAGAAAAATTGATGAAGGTTAGGAGGGAGGAGGAGTTGTTAAGGTTGGCGAGGGGAGAGGTGCCTAATGCGGCTTAACACCGGACTAAGCAGAGCCAGTGTTTGGCAAGAGAAAGAAGGGGATGGTATGGGTGGCTGAAGTATATGATATTGTGTGTTTAAGAGAGGCGAAAAGCCGTGTATATCACGTGTAATACACCGGTCAGGAAGCTGGCATGTATATATAGGAGGGACATTCAGCATTGAAAGAACATCAAGTTGAATTGCGCCGTGTCATATTGTGTGAAGAACAAGCAGCTCATGGTAAGTCCAATAAATATGTGATAGCGCTGTTCGGTTCATATACTGGCAAAGCGGACGGTTGAATCAACAACGACCCAGATTAAGCTAAGACAGGTGTATCAGTTGTGGCTTCACCGATCAGAGTGGCAGTACGACTCAATGTACCACACATGGAATGCGTTCCTGCGGTCCACCGCCGTAGTAGGCGCGCTCCTCCGTCTGGCGTGTCCTTTCGCTTGCGTAACCGACAATTGCAGTCCGCCGGGTTGATGGTAGCTTTCGGGAGTATACCGTTGTGCGCTTCGTATGGTGCACGTGCAACATGGGATGAAGGTGGAACGTTGCTCGTGCATTCATAGACAGAATCCACTCGCACAAGTCGTGTGATAATGGTCATTGTTATCGTCTACTGTCGTACATTCGATCAGCGCCGGCGGCTCGTCGCAGCGACGAATGCCTGAGGTTACTCGAAACCTCGGTTTGAGACCCTCAGGAAGCCGCGCCACCCTTCCACCAGCTAGTCGCTCCCAAAACAAAAACAATGACCATTGCATCGCTCACCACGGTACTGTATATGACGCTGTACCGTCCAACAACCCTGACGTATCCCGCGTATGGCTCCGGAAGCAATCCACCAACGGTACTGAGGATGCCGCTTCCTTGTAATCGGCCGCGCTCGATGTAGTAGCGGGATGTCTGGAGGACAACTTCGAATGTGGCGAAGAGGTAGAAAAAGTGCGCAAAGGTATCTGCCGCAGTGCTGTCGCTTGCCCAGTCATCGTTGTCGCCGTGGAACTCGCGCGAGAGCTTGGAGCCGGTGAAGGGCGTACGAAGTACAATGTACACTGCGAGGCCGAAGGAGAAGAGGGCATGGACCAGCCGCCATATCCATGCCGATGACTGCTCTGGGGAGGGGTCGGGCGCAGATCCACCGCCTCCCATAGCGGAGAAAAGATTTGCCAGGCCTGGTGGAAGATCGCCCGGCGCGCCTGGCTGTCCGGGTCCCCCGGGCATACCTCCTGGTCCTCCCCCACCCATCATCTGCTGCATTAATGCCATCATATCTTGCGCGCCATCGGGTGCCTGTCCCGCACCGAACTGTGGAGGTGAGGTGCCATTGAAGGCGAATGGCGAGGGTAGGTGGGCTTGTGAGGAAGGTGTGTAGTGATGCTCTGAGATATCGATTTCGTCCGGGTCAGGTGTCGCAGTACCTGAGAGCCCAGGTTGTGGTGATGCAGAGGGTGTTGGTTTCGCTAGCCACTGGTCAGCTTGCGTATATGCTTACGTATGCAGACCGCAAAAGCAGAAATAGAGGGGAGGTGGCATACCGGGTAGATCTTTCTTAACATCCCTGTGCGTGCCGCCTTGAAGCGCGGTGATAGCGTGCAGACGGTTCTCCCCGTCTTGCAGCTTGGCGGCTCTTCGCTCTCTTCTCAGGCGTGCTTGCTTCTGCGCGGGCGACTCGCCAGGAACGGCGCCCGAAGTGGAGGCAGATGAGTCCGCCATGGCATGGGAGAAGGGCGTGGGCGTGGTCGAGCGCTTATGCGAGTGGGGCACGGTGCGGTGTGAGTAGGTGTTTACACATTGCCGCGATGCTTTTCGTCACTGCTGCGGGCAGGTGGTGCACAGACCACCGGTCACTAAGCCATTCAGGGTCTAGACTTCGGCTACTCCCATGAAACCACCGTGCTTCGCGACTGCACGCTGGTCCCACGACAGGACTGTACGGCACATTTCCCTTTGCATGGGAATTGCGACTGGCCTGCTTTCCTCAATTTGCGCGCGACAGCCGGCTCAGTCTACCGTTCAACATGTGGTGGCAACGCTGACGTGAGTACTTTTGCCGGGCATTATCCTCGTTCCCACATCGCATTTCATCGATTCCCTAGGTCGAAAGCTGCGTCGTCCTCGACTTAGACACTTCTTGCTGCTGCCTGCCGGAGGTGGGGCTTGCGAAAAGTGATGGAACTCCTATCGGAACTTGCAGTGTAGTGACACCTGATCCTTCTGCTGGACTACGTCAATGCCTATGTCCTTGAGTTAAACGTCTCTGCCGAAGCCAGCACCGGGAGCTTGACTCCCTACTCCCACTATAGCATTCATGCTATGCAGTGAGTGCTCCTCTTTTCCGCGGATTCTGTCCTGCATGCCCTGGCCGATTTCCTTCAACGAAGTGGGAGATACTCCGCGTAGCATGTTCGAAATGGTGACACAGCACTGCTGAACCCGAGGGCCTGGTATCTTGCCCTCTGGGAGGAACACAGAATGGGGCAGAGGGACCATCGAACAAAGGCTCGGGTAGCGATATGCGGAGGACGTGTGACGGACTGAGCGAAAATTCTTTGCGGAAGAAATAAATGGCGTGAACTGCCACCCACATAATCTGCTTGCTAAGATACGTGTGCCTTTCAGCATCTGTGGACGTTTCATTAAAGGCTTCGCTGTACCAAACTAGCTTTCGGAATCGAAGCTTGTATCTTCATCTTTGTCGAATACGGCATTGCTCAGCAAAGCGTTCTTCTTGCATTTGCTATCTGAAGGCCTTCGTCATCCTCAGAAATGACGCAGCGCCTTTGGCCAGTGCGGCACGCGCTGAAGCATGGTTTGCTCCGGAGTTCTTCTCCTTCCACCCTTGGCAAACTTGGACTGAGTAGCAATTCAATTCGAACAGCTCCAACCACCACGCCAGTTACATGCCACGCTTGGCACGCCAACCATATTCGAGGCTTAGCCAGCCCAGCCGTCTCTATATCATCTGGAAATGAACGCTCGCCTTACCCGTATGAAATCACGGACCCAACCCTCGCCAGCCCTAAGGCCGACCGCATCGTCCCAATCAATCCTGAAATAAAGCGTACTCCTCACCGGCCTGCTTTCCCCCTTACTTGCGCTGAAACTGGTCCCCAAGAGGGTGGTGAGATCCGCTACTGGACTCACGTACCGCAGTGGGACAGCATAACTCCAGAAGAATTTATAAGCAACAGCTTCCAGGTCGGTACTCGCATCACTTCGAATATGAATCCATGAGCTGACCTGGAAACTAGGTCAGAAATACGGTCAAGTCAGCAAGAGAGCTTGAGCGCTTCCTGCTTACCGTGCTTCCCGAAAAGTTGACAGCTTCCAAAAATCCCCTTTTGCGACATCTCCAAACAAGAGACGACTTTATCCAAGATGTGAGAGCTGGATTGGAAATTGCTTCGATGGAGGTTCGGCTGACACCGGAGATTCTGTCCCTTGTGGACTGGAACAGTCCCTTGGATGATCCCATCCGGATGCAGTTCATTACGCTCAAGAGTAGTCTGCTACCCGATCATCCAGCTCTCACCCTGGATTCTTTGGGCGAAAAAGACGACTCTCCAGTACCAGGTCTCGTCCACCGCTACCCCGGCAGAGCATTATTCTTGGCGACCTCTATCTGCCCAGTGTATTGCAGGTACTGCACAAGAGCTTACATGGTTGGACCAGCTACTGGCTCGACACAAAAATTGCCTCAAAAGCCCACCAGAGCACGCTGGGAGATCATATTTCAGCACATCGAACAACACAACGATATTCACGATATCGTCGTATCTGGTGGTGACGTGTACCAGTTACCCCCAGAACACCTCAGGATGATTGGCGAACGGCTGTTGAGCATCCCACATGTTCGGCGCTTCCGCATCGCTTCCAAAGGCTTGAGTGTCAATCCGGGTCGTATCATTGACCCAGCAGATGCATGGGGCAAGACACTAATCGATTTGTCGAACCAGGGGCGAAAGATGGGCAAACAAGTTTGTTGGCACACCCACTTCAATCATCCAAAGGAGGTCACGTGGATCGTCAAGAAAGCGGCAGATCATCTCTTCGAGAACGGGGTCACCGTACGCAATCAGAGCGTACTGCAGAAAGGCATCAACGACGACTTTGCCACCATGAGCACTCTCCTCAAAGCACTGGCTGATATTAACATACAGCCTGTATGTTGATTACATTCCTCTTTTATCGAACATGGCTGACATGTGCAGTACTACGTGTATCAGCACGATCTCACCAGAAGCGTTGAGGACCTTAGGACTCCCCTCAAGGACATTATGAAGCTAGACAAAGAACTTCGCGGAACCTTGTCGGGCTTCATGATGCCCTCCTTTGTGGTTGACCTCCCCGGCGGTGGAGGCAAGCGGCTTGCCGCTACCTATGACTCGTATGATGAGGCAACTGGTGTTTCTGAATGGAGTGCACCAGGCCTGCCAGGTCCCAAAGGTCAAAGAATGTACTCGTATTTCGACCCCCGCCCGCTACCCGCGACTGTCGAGGAATTAAGACAGCTACGTGAGCAACAGGATCTCATGCACAAGTACAGATCTACTCGAACAGAAGATTTCGTGAAGGTTGAAGAAGGCGTCGAGGTGAAACTACGAGAAGAAAACTTCCGCGCGTCCGAGGGGAGTCTCTCCTATGGCTTCCACGCCACCGCCTCAGCCTAGGGTCATCATCTCGCTAAAATTTGTGCCTTTCTCGGATCAGGATACCTCACTGCTTCCTTCGCATGAGATGCTGATCTTCAGCGTCATTTTTTCACAACAAAAGAAAAACATCTCCGCGGTCTTTGACTTCGCCCATCCTTCGTCATGATTCTGCTATGGTTCGATGTCTTGTTCGGTGGCTGTATTTGAACACATTAATATGCTATATTTGTCGATATCCGCAGTTTCTTCTTTTTCCTTTTCAATGATCCTGATGATATTAGGATACATAAAAGGACGCCCATTGCAACGGCCAGTCTTCGAGTCAGGGCGTCGTTCTCCTACATTTCTTCAAAGCTTCGTTATGACTAGTCTTTCAGAGTTCTTTCGGAAAAAGCACGGCTTCTTCTGTCAAGAAAGGATCAAGGGCGCACAGAACATTGGCTTGAGCCACAGGCTACAGCCCCTCAAAAAATTTAACAACCGGGCCGCATACCAGGAATATTGAAGCAGCATGGGTGGAGCATTTGCATTTGCCTGGACAACATTGCTTTCGTTCGTATGAACAGTCTGAAAATGGGGGACCTACGGGGCACATTCGCTTAAATATCCAGCTTGCAGTTTATTGCGTCATAATTATGGAAGGCAATGAGTACACGACTTGAGAAATGTCCTTGAACTGAAAGTGTACGTGCGGCAGGGGAAAGTGCTGCCTAGGAGAGATCTTACCGCATGTGAGCTGAACAGCGATGCATCCCTCACTCGCTTGTACCTTGATCAAGTTCTCCTTCTGGTGTGCGATCATGCCGTACTGTATTGACCCAGACCACAACAATGACGGCTAACATGAACAAGGCTGCGACGATCCTTGAAACAATTGCCCTCATCGAGAAAGCTGCCCTGGAGGATATCAAGTTGCTGGTCTTCGCTGGAAAGTTTATTCCATAGCTATCCTGTGGGTGAACAATGCTACCACCCAGAAGGGGCTACACTCCTGCGACATGGCATGCGCTGATCATAACTCAGTACTGGGCTGAATGCTACCCTCCCCCTGAAGCAAGTCAACGCACCAGACACGTATGCTGAGGAGAGCGTACTGATGGAGCTCAATTGAGAGTATGTCAGCGCCATTCAAGCAGCGTGCCGTCGGGCTGGCATTTCAATCAATCATAGAAGGCATTAGTGAATGTGGGGCAAAGGGCCATACCTTGTCCAACTCTCAAGTCATCGTTAGCAATGGCAGCACAATTATGAGCGTTCATCGCAAACTCTAGCCAACATCTGTGGAACGATATAGCTGGGTTCAGGGCAACGGCAGCTGTGTGCGCAACTAGCCTCTATCGCTCGAATAGAATATCGGTGATCTTGCCTGTTGGGAGCACACCGTGAATGGGGTTCGTCAAGCGTTGCTCATGCAGAACCAGCACATCCACGCAGGAAAGTATCAAGTGGAATACATGCATTCAAGAATGTAAAACCCTAGAGAGTACGCTTGTTGTGAACTTGGATGGAACTGGATGGGCTATATAGGTAGGTGTAAGAGCGCGTGAAGGAACATTCGCTCGAGATCTCAAATTCACGTCCATCACTATTCTTCCTTTGAGGCTCCGAAAATTCACAATGAATAGCGCAATCACGAGGAGCCTGCTGGGAACGATTCACAGATTGCGCAGATTGGGCAGCAGTTATTATGTCATGAGGTAATGGTTTTAAGCATGCATGCCCTAGGGATTCACCGTTCTCTTCTTTCGACGATGCAATTTCGACACCGAGAGTCATGGAGCTTAGGGTTACCGTTCAGGCTATCTTTAGCATCGTTCAACTTGTGGACTTCAGCAGCGACTGCGCTGCAAGAGGTGTTGAACTGTACGAGTCCGCTAACAGTATTATCACTAATAAAGTCGCTATAAGGGCCGTCATCCTTTGCTTGTAGACGCTTAGAGACTTTAGTAAAGCGCATGAAGGAATATATGGAGACTGACGACGGGGTAGCGCGCTAGTGTGGGGCATGCCAACTTGGCGCCTTGCGAACCTCAGGCTATCAGCTCTGCCTCACTCCAAACGCCTCCACCCCAGTATGTCGCTGTGAATCCAAGGTTACGTCTATGTTTCGTAATACAGACGCCCTTCGGATTGTGACGTGGAATCCATCATCCTCACCTTACCTTCACCTTCACCGCTATGCTCGAGGCCATTGTCGCAGAACAGGCAGCTGGGGGTGTGCCTGGCACCGCCTCCGTTGATACAAGAGATATATTTGCGCCACTCTATATGGAGCATGCGGACTTTTCCGTTGGAGCAAACATTGCGCACCCAACCGTGGCTAATGCGTGTTATTGGCTGAGCCACGATTGGTGCCTACCAGGCAAGCAGGAGTCAGCGCGGATGGACTCGGTGCTCTATACAGTCGCCCGCCTTCCAACATCTACACTTGCATTCCATTTCTTCCGGAGCTCGATCTCTTGGATTTGCACTCGTCTTCTTAACACATTTGGCACCCTTAATTAGTGTTGTTGGGGTTGCAGCCAGATAAAAGCCCCTTCCAGGCACCACACCTTTGGTACAGCATCGTCCAACGCCCAACTCCTCAGATATGCTCTTCGCGTAATCAGATTGTTATCTGATTGGGCGATCCTTGTCTTGAGCGTGAAATCGATCGGGCCTCTGGCACCATTTGGCGTTGGTCCGTGCACGGCGTTGGTCTGCCTTCACGCGTTATAAACCCACAGCCTTCGTGGAGATTCTCCATAAGATACTCGCCGCCCCCGCACGCGCTCAACGACCCAGATTGAGATTTTGGCTAATTGCTGTAGAACCGTGGGTGCACCTGATACCCTGTGCCTATTCCGGGACAGAGACTACCGAACGAAGATTACCAATTCTCCAAGCTACCATGCCGCGCGAGTGTGTCATCTGTTCGGACGCTGACAGCGAGGAAACCCCCCTGCTCGAGCTTCCGTGCTTTCATCACTGGGTCTGTCGAGACGGCTGTATCGCGGATTACTTCGAGAGGGCAACATCGAATGAGAGCCTGTACCCTCCGCAGTGTTGCGATGAACCGATACCGCTTGATCGATTTGCGGAGTATGTCCCTGAAGAGGTGAAGCTGGCGTTTCTCGTGAAAGAGCAGGGCGAGTACACCATTCTGCCCAAGTAGGTCGCATCTTGCATGCATCATGCATCACATGAACCGACCTGCTTACATACATAGGTATCGCGTGTATTGCGCAAACTCGGCCTGCGGGAAGTTTCTACACCCTAGCGGTCAGATCAAGGATCCCGGATCCAGCATCACTTACGTTGTTTGCGAGAGCGATGATTGCTTCCAAGCCACATGCTGTTCCTGCAAGACACTGCTTGTCGATGGGACCGAAGGTCACACTTGCAAGGTCAACGATGATGATCAGAAATTCAAAGAGACTGTCGATGAGAAGGGCTACAAGGAATGCTATGTTTGTGGTGCAACAGTAGAGCTTGCCGAAGGTAATCTCAAATCGTGGACAAGCTTCCAGAATAAATAGAAGGCTGACATATGTTCAGCCTGCAATCACATAACCTGTGGATGTAACAACAGCTTCTGCTATATCTGTGGCCAAGTTTGGACTGGAATTCACGGCTGCCCGCAGTACGGCCCTGCGCATTACGACGAAGAGGGCTACAATCAAGACGGCTACCATCGAGATACGGGCCTCAACCGTGATGGCAGGACCCGCCATGAACAAATGAATCATACCCGCGGGGAAGATGACGATGACGATGGCGACGAAGATGACGAAGGCGTTGATGGAGACGACGAGCAAGTAGAAGATATGTGGCACCAGATCCTGAGTCATGTTGATCCCGATCGTAGGGCTATGCTTCAGAGCCTAGATCCAGAGGAGCGAGAGGACGTTTTGATGCAGCTCCAGATTGAGTTCATCGATCAGGGGGTTATTTTCAATATTCCCCAGCCTCCTGCTCCGCCGCAGCAAGAAGGTAACGGTGAAGACGAAGACGAAGATGAAGTTGAAGATGATGATGAAGTTGAAGATGATGATGAAGTTGAAGATGATGATGAAGTTGAAGTTGAAGTTGAAGATGAAGACGAGGATGAGGATGAGCAAGACGGCGAAGGAGAGGGCGAGAGTGAGGGTGAAAATGGGGGCGAGAGTGACGACGGAAATGAGAACGAGGGTGACAATGATGTTCAACAAATTGACCAACTGTTGAACGCTGAAGTCATCCAGGGTGCTGATCCCAACGCGGGCAACGACCCTCCTATTCTGGATTTCGGCCACGGTGCCATATTCGCTGATGAGCTTTCTCCTATGGCGGGCTCTTGGGTCGATTCAGACGCATCCTCCCCCGATGACCTTTCACATGGTACCACTTCCAACACCGTATCTTCTGCCACTTCACCCGAGGAGCTTGCGGATATCAGTGACCAGGAACAGCTTAAGTCTAGCCATGTCCATTGAAATATCCTCGCCGTGGACCAACCGGGGAAAGGTTGGGGTACTGTATCCCGCTTCCTGGTCGGTGAAGTTTACACGAACTGTGATACTTCATCACTGCCCTAGTACCTGTACTCTATCCGAGACTCTGTACGGTGGATACTGCGCATGAATATAAGGGCGACTGACCTTGGTGTTGGAGATGAGCAATCTCACCACGTTGGCAGTTGCTTGGCATCGGTTGAGAGATTGTCAAATAGTCGGAGCAGGGCAAGAATATTATGGGGCTATTCACACAATGCTGAGGAATTGACGTTCCGTGCTGTGTACACAATGATTTCAGAATTTCAGGATTGCAACGTCTATTTTTCTGGTCTTCTGCATCTGCGAAGCTTTATTTATTTCCTCTTCTGAAGCACGCATGCCATTTTGGCCGCCAATATAACACAGCATCACATCTTGCTTGACTTATCAAAGCTCAAGGGAAGGATCGCCCGATAAATCGAATCTGTACACGTACCTCGGTAGGAAACGGAGAATTAAAGACGTTGCGCCCGAAAGAGCTAGCATCCCCCAGTCAATCACATCCTTCCCCGCATTATAGCACACGGAGGATGTCGATCGCTCTCGTGCCCCGTGGGCAGATTTTGATCTCATATGGTTAGTTCCACTAGTTTTTTATGTAGCATTACTGGGATTACCAGACTTTTAGGTACATCGGCAAACATTTTGTCCGATTTGTGGATCCGATGTTAGCCCAACTTTGATCTAAATGTATCTCAACCGGTGGATTTTTCCACCGATCAGGTCAGGTTGTATCGCATCAAGTAGCCAAACGTGCAATGTGGAGTCAGAATGCTCTCTCAGGTCTGAAATTACACTAGTGAGAGCTTCTCAACAATCCGTTAAATACTCTCAAGCCAGCAACTGGACCTCTGCTCGAGACTCTCGTGTGCCCGATACCACATCGATTTATATCGTATGACTTGTGCGCGCCCATAGTAAGATGCGCTTCTTCGCCACGTTGCTCGGCCTCTGTGTCGCGACAGGCCCCGTAGCGGCTCAGGTTGCGCCTGTGGTCACAGAATCAGGCGTCTCAGCCCATCCATTCGACATCAACCAGGTCTCTTTGACCAGCAGTCGCTTTATGGCCAACCAGAATCGAACGCTCAGCTATCTCAAGTTCGTGGACACCAATCGCCTCCTCTATAACTTTCGCTTGAACCACAAGCTGTCAACTAGTGGAGCAATAGCGAATGGTGGTTGGGATGCTCCTGACTTCCCGTTTCGTACACACATGCAAGGTCATTTCCTGACTGCTTGGGCTCAATGTTATGCACAATTGGGCGACACCGTGTGTCGGGACCGAGCTACAAGCTTTGTAGCGGAACTCATCAAGTGCCAGAACAACAACAAAGCCGCTGGATTTGCTACTGGATACCTGTCTGGCTTCCCTGAATCCGAGTTCGCGAAACTGGAGAATGGTACGCTCAGTAATGGTAACGTGCCATACTACGCCATTCACAAGACGCTTGCCGGATTGCTCGATGTTTATCGCTGGATCGGCGACACAAATGCAAAGACGGTCCTGCTCGCTTTTGCTGGCTGGGTGGACACACGCACTAGCAAGTTGAGCTATGATCAGATGCAGAAGGTCATGCAGACGGAGTTTGGCGGTATGAATGAAGTGCTTGCGGACATATACCACCAGACAGGGGACAAGAAGTGGCTTACCGCCGCGCAGCGGTTCGACCATGCCGCTATATTTGACCCACTTGCGTCTAACCAGGACACACTTGACGGACTACATGCAAATACCCAGGTGCCAAAGTGGATCGGCGCGGCGCGAGAGTTTAAAGCCACGGGCACGTCCAAGTACCGCGACATCGCAAAGAACGCCTGGGCATTTACCGTCAACGCGCATTCCTACGCCATCGGCGGCAATAGCCAGGCCGAGCATTTCCATGCACCCAACGCGATCTCCACATGGCTGACGAACGACACTGCAGAAGGATGCAACACATACAACATGCTCAAGCTTACACGCGAGCTCTTCACCATGAACCCTACCGACGCCACATACTTCGATTTCTACGAGCGCGCGCTCATCAACCACATGCTCGGACAGCAGAACCCAGCTACCGACCACGGCCACATCACATACTTCACGTCGTTGAACCCGGGCGGCCATCGAGGCCTCGGCCCAGCTTGGGGAGGTGGTACATGGAGCACAGACTATGATTCGCACTGGTGTTGCCAGGGAACAGGTATCGAGACGAACACAAAGATGCAGGACTCGATCTACTTCTACGACGATTCTTCGCTCTACGTCAATCTCTTCACACCGTCGAAGCTGAACTGGAAAGCGCGCAGTGTTACTATTATCCAGTCTACCACGTTCCCTGCGAGCGATACTACGAGCCTTACAGTCATTGGCGGGGACAGTTGGGCGATGAAGATCCGCATCCCATCCTGGACCTCGGGCGCTACCATCACAGTTAACGGCGTCACACAGTCCATCACCACAACTCCAGGCAGTTATGCTACACTTAGCCGTACCTGGGCCTCAGGCGACGTCGTAATCGTAAAGCTGCCCATGAAGTTGCGCGTCATACCTGCCAACGACAACAAGTCTGTCGCAGCTTTGGCTTTTGGCCCTACTGTTCTCTGTGGCGACTATGGTAGCACCACGCTCTCTGCCAATCCGAAGCTCGATTTAAACACTGTGAAGCGCAGTGGGACGACTGGTCTGGCGTTTGCCGGTACTGCTGACGGTAAGCCAGTGAATATTGGGCCGTTCTACGATGCGCAGGGATTCAACTATGCGGTGTACTGGGCCGTCAGTGGTTCGTTGCCTGCGTAGATGCGCTAGAGTCACGATATAGCAACACGAGGACCAATTCATTGAACATTGACTCAGAATGCAGGAAGGCATTAGCGCCATGAATGTTCCGAACCTGCCCAACCCCAATCGTGTGATCGTCAAGTCCAAGGCCAATTCACGTTGTCGGCGACACTTAGTATTTTCTGGTAATACTCGCATATATCATTCCCCTCCATGAGTTCCTTGAGTTCGAGCACGCCGCTCGGTGACCGGGTCGACACAGATGTTTTGGTGGTGTCCAATAGGCTGTCGCTTAGGCACCCTCTCAAGACCTGATGCAGCTGGAGTATTGAGAGGATCAGCACACGCGTGGCGGCTTTTGGTGGGCGTATCCAGGGATGACTTGTCGTGCTTCCTGGACGTGTGACTCGCGCTTGAAACTGTGTCCTGGCTTGACTTGATGTCTTTCGCAGCAACAGACCTTAACTTAGCTTCCACCCTTCTCTCCAGCTCGTTGTGGGTGGCACCATGCAGCCCGGTCAAAAGAACGATGCTCAGGGAGAATTATCGCACCAAATGCCCCTGCGGAACCCGGTGTACATTTTCAATAATACAATCATTTATCCCTCAAATGCTAACAAAGAAACTCTTCTCTCCCTCCCCCGGCTCCACCCAAGCGCGCTTCAATATCGGATCCGCGCAAGATATCCTAATCCTCTCCGGCGTCGCAGGACTCTGCAAGCTCAGTAGACTCGTCTCACCAAATTCTACTCTAGCAGCCTTAAGCGCATCTCTGATGGCGAAGAATACGGCGCTGCCCATGAAGAGTGGGGGTTCGCCTAGCCTTCAAGTCAGCTCTTGTCCGCGTGCATCTAGGTGGGAAGAATTTGACTTACCGACACCCCTACTCCTCTGAATAGTCCTCAAATTCTCCCAATTCACATCCTTCAATAAGCTCACATTAAAAACTTGCGGAATGTCCCTAAACCCAGGAATCTTGTACGCGCCAGGTCCTTTCGTGAAGATCCCTCCGGTGCTTCTTTGCCACAAGCTCTCCTCCGTTGTAAACAAGCCTTGTCCCTGCACGAATGCGCCCTCAATCTGCCCGTAATCAATCGCGGGATTGATACTCCGGCCAACGTCCATTTTGATGTCTGCTCGGCGACACGTCCAGTCACCCGTCAAAGTGTCAATCTCCACTTCCGCGGCTGCGACGCCCTGCGTGAAGTAGAAGAACATCTGGCCTGTATTCTCGCCCCATACGTATCCAATATCAGGGGTCTTGTAGAAGCCTTGAGCAGAGAGGTTGATACGGTCAAAGTAAGCAGCGTGCGCGATTTCTTTCATGGTGGCATCGGGGCCGAGTTTCTCTCGGATGGGCTGTAGACGCTCGTTAAGCTGCTGGCAGGCATTGAAGATGGCATAACCGTTGAGATCGGAGGATGCGGATGCGGCGGTCGAGGAGGTATTAGCGACGGTATTTGTGGCGGTTTCGGATACGAATACGGACGAAAGTGGGACACCGAGGGCTTCGGCTGCAATCATGATCATTTTCGTATTGAGCCCTTGACCCATTTCGGTGCCTCCGTGAGCGACGAGGATGGAGCCGTCATGGTAGATGTGTACGAGAGCGCCAGCTTGGTTCAAGAAGAGGGCTGTGAATGAGATGCCGAACTTTGTGGGGATGAGGGCGAGGCCGCGCTTGTTCCACTTGTGCGTCTTGTTGTACTGTTCGATCGCGGTGCGGCGTTCGGCGTAATCCATTGACTCCTGAACCTGCTTGTACATCAGTGGCACATACCAATCCTTGATCTCTTGATTAAAATGTGTGATCATGTTGGTATCCGGCGAGTACAAGTTTACTTCTCGGAGCTTCTCAACTGGCATTTGCAGCTGATCGGCTATTTCTTCCATGTACGATTCTGCGATGAACATGCCCTGGGGTCCACCAAATCCTCTGAAAGCGGTATTGGACACAGTGTTCGTCTTAGCTACGCGCCCGCGTACGTGGATGTTTGGAATGGAGTAACAATTGTCGATATGCGAAAGAGATCGCTCGACGACCGCCCCGGATAAGTCCTGACTCCAACCACCGTTGCAGAAAACATCCGCGTCAAGTGCTTGGATCTTTCCATCGTTGTTGACGGCAACCTTCCATCGTCCAAGGAAAGGGTGGCGTTGTCCCGAGGTTAGGATATCCTCATCTCGATTGAGCATGCATCGGACTGGTCGTCGTGTCTTGTTGGCAGCACATGCGACGATACCTGCAAGCTGGACGGATCTCGTCTCCTTTCCACCAAAGCCACCACCCATTCGTTTGACACGAGTGACGATCTTGTTCGCTGCGACTCCGCACACTTTCGCTACGTAAGCTTGAGTTTCGGCAGGGTTCTGCGTGCTGCTGAAGACTTCCATCTCGCCGTCCTCAGGCTTAGGCACAACAAGACAGGCATTCGTTTCGAGATAAAAATGTTCTTGGCCTCCCATTCTTGCTATACCAGTGAAGACATGGTCCGCCTCCACGAACGCCTTTTCAGTATCGCCCTTCTTGATATACCGGAAGTGATTGAAGAAACTCTCCTTCTCGATCGCCTCCTCGATCGTAAATATCGCTGGTAGATCTTCATACTCCACCAACACAGCTCTCGCCGCATGTTCTGCGCGCTTCGCCGTGTCGGCAAGGACCATACCAATAGGCTGGCCCGCCGTGAAGACTTCGTCGATCGCGAAGAAAGTTTCATCGCAAGCCGGTGCCCCCCACCAGTTCGCCTCAGGAGTTGCGACATCATTGTGGTCAACCCAGCCAGCCACACCTGGGAGATCGAGGGCTGGTTCCGGATCAACATTGACCAGCTTGGCATGTGCTCTCGTCGAAAGAACGAGACAACCGTACAACTCGTTCTTCTGCACAGGAAGATCGTCCGTATATTGGGCCTCGCCTGTGCACTGCTTCATCGCAGCCACGTGTGGTGTCTCCGAGCCTAGGATATTCTGCTCGTACGCTTCCGCGGCTTTATGGTCTTTCTCGCCTGAGCTGATATCTCGTTCGATCTCGCCAACGGCTTGAGTGTCGATATCGGTAGCTTCCGCGCGAAGTTCAGCTAGCACTTCGTGGTAGAACTTATAGAAAAAGCCTAGGGCAAGGGTCTTTCTGTACGTAGCCATACCCCCAGGAACACCAAAGCGTAGATCGAAATCGTTCTCAAGAGCTCCCATGACGCCCTCCAAAGTCTTAAGGTCTGTGAGTTTCTTGCCTTGAAGGAAGGCCATAGCCTTTTTCGCAGGGATCGTGGTAGGCGCCATACCGCCGTACACCAGATCAACGCTCTGCACAACTTCATCGTCACCTAGCGACAAACGTAATGCAGCATTAACAATGGCAATATCATCATCTTTCCTCTTTGATTGCTTGTATGCGCGCATGAACTCGCCCTTTTCCTTAGCAATCGGTATCTTCAGGCTTGCGATTATGCCGTCCGGTGGAAGGGCTGTTGCGCGGTAGCCCTTGAAGAACGTGGACATTGGGATCTCCGTCGTCTCATTCAATGTCTGTGCAACCAACATCGCATTGCTTGCGACAAAAACAGGGTTCAGATCGGAGATTGGACTCGCTGTTGCCAGGTTTCCAGCCGGCGTTCCTACGTTCCTAATCTGGCGGCCGGCGAAATACCGGATCTGCTTCAGGATAGCTGCGAAAGGCTGCCCTTTCGCTTCGCCGTAATGACCAAGCGCCTTCCTACAGATATCTTCCAGGTCAGTGAGTACCACATTTCCGCCAATCTCGATATAGTCGTCATGGAAAGAGAACTGTCGCAGTTCGGGAATGTCGCCAACGAAGACCGACGCGCTGTAGTTCTGTGCCTTGAACTTGACTTCGATCTGCGTCTCCGTGCTTCCTCCTATTATCTTGGCTGATGGATATACGTTTTTGATCTCCAGGAGCTGCTGCACCGTTACTGGTCTGTACCACTTCTTCCGCTTGTTGCCAAATGCTAGAGGCTTGTGTACGTGCTTCCGTAGCTGTGGTGGAAAGATCAGTTCTGTATCCGGCCTGTATTCTATGAATCCTGGAGGTGTGAATTTCTTGATCGGTTGAGAATGACCATCTCCTCCGTTGCTCTTGCAACATCCTCCGTTCGCACCGTTCTTCTCCATGCAGCATCCACTTCCTCCGTTGGTCTTAGCCTTTCCACACCCTGTCTTGACGCTAAAGCTTTGCGCAGCATCTAGAATAGGTCTGTACCCTGTGCATCGGCATAGGTTGCCATCGAAGGCTTCCTCGACCTCGTGTTCAGACGGCGACTCGTTGTTGCGGAGGAGAGCATATAGGCTCATGACGATTCCTGGAGTGCAGAAACCACACTGACTGCCATTACCTTTTGCTATCCTCTCTTGTGCTGGATGTGGCCTCTTCACATTCCCTATGCCTTCTACGGTTACTACATGTTTGCCGTCCACACTAACGAGCGGCGCGAGGCACGCATTCACGGATGCGTGATAGATACTCTTCGTCGTGGGATTATACTGCGAGACTACCTGTCCTCATCGGTCAGCTTGCTGTCGTAACGACTTCAAATACGGAAGTTTTTTCAGGAACTAAAGTGGCAAACATACAACAGTACAAGCACCGCAACCTCCCTCAGCACAGCCAAGCTTTGTGCCTGTAAGACCAATTCCTCTCAGATACTCTAAGAGAGTGACCTCCGGATCTGCTGTATCCAGTACGACCTTGGTGCCATTGAGATAGAACCGCAACGTATCGTCATATTCAGCCGTGACTTCGTCCAAAGATCGCAACGCGCCATTTGAAACCGCGGGCTGGGGTGAAACCAATCCCGGAGCCATGGCGAAGGGGTATCTAAAACACGAAGAAGATAAAATGTAAAGAGAAGCGCGGAAGTAAGGTTCAACGATGCATGAGACGAGAAAGAGGTGCAAAGCCGCGGTGTGGGGAGTGTAAGCAACCTGTGGAGGCATGGAGAGCATTGTAGACCGCGGCAAACCTACGGCGATCTAAGCACTATAGAGTCTAGCTCGCCGAAAACAACCCAATAACGCAGGCGCGGTTTGCCCTTATCTCGATGCCAAAGCATGGTTTTCGGCGACCGCCGCCTGTTGGCGATCCAGATTGCCCCTCCTCCGCAACAAGGATTCGCTAAGCGCATGACTAAGGAATCCACCGGTATCACAAGGTCACATGCATCCTGCGCGCCCGCCATAACAGAAAAACTGCGACACACGAAGTCAGCTCATGTTGTGTTGCTTTTTCATTGACAGCATTGTCTCCATAGACGCATCGGAATCGGACTCGGAATCCACTCAGTTGCAGTCTCCAGAGTCCGCATGGGGAACCGATGGGTATCGAAGGCACGACCCTTCACGATATGTTGACATGTCTTCTGTCTAAATCTCCTCTTTGACCGCCTACTAAGCTTCTTCACAAGGAAATGCTACTCGTGCTAAGATGAGAAACCTAAAGTAAGTGCCATTAGCAGGGCTACATTGTTGTCGTGTTTATTAACCTCTGCCAACTACACTCTGTATCCACCCGTCCCATTCAGAACCATGTGCCCTGGGCTTGGCGGCACATCCCCTTTCTCCCATTCCACCGGTTCGCTCCCAAGCACAAACTCAATGGTCCCACCGTCTACCATGAGTCGCTGTTCTGGACTATCATGCTCGAACCAGTTCTGTTCCCACGCTTCTCCGTTGATCTTCACACTCTGCACGAAGTAGCTTTGTTTTCCGAGACCATCAGCCTTGATGCGCAATGTACTGTTCCCATTCACAGTCATGTTGATGTCGGAGAACCAAGGAGAACCGAGGAGATAGACAGGCTGAGTGACAATCGGGTACATGCCGAGCATTTGCCAGATGAGCCAGGAGTTGAGGGCACCAGAATCGGAATTGCCTGGCACACCGAATGGCGCGTTCCTAAAGCTATTCACGTTACTCATGCTTGTCTGGATGTTGGGAACGATTGAAAGCTTACTACTGATTCCCAAGAGCGCGCGACTGGTTCACGCTTTTCCACTGCTTATTGATGTAGTTATAAAGATAGGGGGTCGCGAAATCCGGCTCATTTCCGATGTTCATGATCGATGTTATGCCAACACCATTCGCACCAAGGTTGGTTTGGCTAGTGTTGGGTAGGAAGATGTAGTCCAGACGCGACTCAAATCCATCACTACCACCCATGAGCCCTATCAAGGATTCAACGTCGTGCGGAATGACGAAGGAGTACTCAAAGGGCGTTCCTTCGTAAGTGATCGATGGCCACGAGCAGACGCCGCATGTAGCTGGGTTGTAGTCAGTTGAGTTGAAACTTCCGTCCGCAGATCTCGGGGTCAAGAATCCCTTGAATACAGGCGTGGTATTCACGCTCGGCACGTTGGGGTCCCAAAGCAACTGCCACCCCGCAGATCGCTTGAGGTATTTCTCGACGTCGTCCGGCTTCTCGCCTTTCGCTACTTGGCTAAGTGCAAAGTCGTTCGCGGAATACTCCACCGTACGTGAAATAGATCGTTCGCTGTTAAGCGTAAGATAACCGTACGTTAGCCAGTCGTCCAATGCTCCGCGTCCTTCTTTGTTGCTGCCATTCGTTGAGACCTCCGCATCTTTGACCATGGCCGCATATCCATCTTGCCAGTTGATAGCTCCTCGAAGCCCTTTGACGTACGCATCGGCAAGTACATTGTCGGCATTGCTGCCGCCTTGCGTAAGACCGTTGTCATTCCCAGATCGACCGTCGGGCATAAATCCCTGATGTCGCCAGATGTCAATCAGACCACGGACCTGGCTCTCGTATGCTCTAGGCTGGATCAAATGACTCAAGCTGAAGGTGTTGCGGAAAGTGTCCCCTATGTTAGGTTAGCTATACCCTACTGAAGGTGTACTGCCAAGTGATGACCTACAAATACAGTAAAAATCGTCCCAAGATGGCTCGTCACTCTCCCAAAGCGGATTTTCACCGGTCCGATCCGACGGCATCAGATGCATGAAGTAGAGTGACGAATACAACAAGGTCAGTAGAGTCTGGTTTGCCTCCGGGCCCGTATCGACCTGGATGGTGCTGAAAATATCTTTGTTCCACTCATCCTGCGCTGTCTTGACCGTCTCTTGCTGGTCCCACGATGATATCTCGGAGTCTTTGAACGCACATGCCTTCTCTTTGGAGATGAAGGATATCCCAACCTTTGAAGATACTATAGAAGCCTCACTAGAAGCGTTCGGAGCGCTCCAGCTGAACAAAGCACCGACTCTGTACCCTTCGGATCCGGCTTCCGCACTATTCCCACCAAACGTAGGCTGTGGTGGCGGCCCGTTCACGATTCGCGTTGTGTTCTGACCTGTAAACGTCTTGGCCTCAACAGGTGGAGTGTCGAATTCTCCACAGAAGTAGACGGTGTATGGCGCACCGAGGTTAAAACCGCCCGCGTACGTTCCATATCCTGTGTAAGTTTTTCCGTCGTCAGAGATGCCGATCGAACCGTCTACATAGTACTGCGTGCAGAAGCCGCCTGGCGGGTCTGGCAAGAAGAGCGACACATCCACGAGAACGTGCTGTTCTCCACCGGAAGGGAAGTCGTACCGCATGATGCCCGCATGCCTCGCGCCGGCCAAGGAGATACCAATTCCATCTTCTAGATCTGTGTGGAAGTAACCCACGGTCGCGTCGTCCGTACCGACCCGCTTCTGCCAGTATGTCGTATCGTTCAATATGTTCACTGGAGGGGCTACACTAGCAAGCGGCATTTGCGAGATGACTCCGTATTTGGGGCATCCACCGGTTCCTGATTCGTGCATCATGGACACACCGGTCACCACGCCGTTTGGCGTGTAGCCACCGTTCAGGGTAGCAATGTCGATTCGGTCTTCCCAAGTGTCGATTCCTAGCTTTACAACACCGAACGGAACAGCACCACCGACGAAAATGTCGCCACCTCCATATGCGTAGCCCGCGATAGGACCTTCGGAGCCGATGAACGGGTTGACGTATCCTGAGTAATCCGTCTGCGCAGTCGCAAGCTGCGCAGTCGCGGCGATGGGGCCGAGCTTCGACCAGATCATGGTGGTTAAGGTAGTAATCGCAGTGAAGAACGCTAGGTTGCAGCCTGTTGGGAGGCAAAGTGTTCATAGGCGGTCGAGCGGCGAGCGTGCGTAAAAGCCCAAGGTCAAACCTCCTCCCACAAACGGTGGAGTTCAAACGGACTAGAGGTCAAGTCTCTCCTGCTACGCCTGTAAAAATCAACCTTTTTGTACTGTCGGGCAAACAAGCGTCTATATTATGCAGCGCTGCATTCAGTTGCATCCATTAGACAAATAAGTGTCCGCGATGTACCCGTCGGTCGTCATTAGCCACCCGCACTTCCCCGCAATGCAACCTTCTTGCCCCCAGATTTGCAGAACGTCCTGATCCAGTTGCGGGGGAAGTCAGGCGGGCGCTGCGTCCCAGTGACTAGACGTCTTGGAACTTGAGCGATGCGATGGTCATGCATGGGCAGCCACATGAGGTTGGCAGCACGCGACAGCAAGGGCTGCGCGCTACTCGTACGCGTGTGAAGGCGTGTAAACATTCTCCATGCTTTCAAGTGAAATGACGTCAAATTCATCCGATGGTTCTTCGCAATGAAGCAAGGCTTGTGATGAAAGTGGTCTGGTACATGGTCATGCAAGACCTTCTCAAAGGGTGCATAAGGCTTAGCCTGTTTAGGAAGGTAGAGACAACGACATTACAACATTGCTTGCCAGTGCTCGTAACTGCCAATAGGTATTGGCCTACTAATAGTGCGAATCGCACTGTTGTACGCTGCAAGGTAATTAACACGCCAGGCTGGAGCTCTGCTCCCGCTCTGAAATACAGGTCGTGGGGTATATGAACGGCAGACTGCGGGAACTCCTCAACATGTACCCTCAAACCTCGACTCTCTTGAACAGCAGATTCTTCTTCGCATCTGGCGACGACTGCCTTCCCATGTTCAGTTGAGAATAGCGTACCTTGCTCCCATCCTCATTCTTGAAATCGTAGTTCAAGATCAAATTCGCAAGAATCATCTTGATCTCATTCGCTGCGAAGAATCTTCCCGGGCACGCATGTTTTCCGTAACCGAACATCAAGTTCTGTTCATTGGTGGTGACGAATTGGTTTCGCGCGTGATCGGACGCTGTACCTCCTTGCCGTAGCTTGTAGGATCGATAGCCGTCAAAGACATCTGCAGGCTCGGAGTTGGGGTGATTGACAGGGTCTTGATAGACGGCATGAGATGCCACTTCGATCTTTGCACCAGCCGGTATGTACTGGCCGTTGGAAAGGGTGAATCCGCGAAGAACCTTGCGTTGGAACGATGTAAAGCCTACGTACAAAAGGGAGTCAATGTATTTGTGACGACGCTTGGCTTTCAGGGTGGCTCACCTGGCGGATAGAAGCGCACTGTCTCTTTCATGAAGCTGTCCAGCTTCATCATCTGCTGCAGAGCACGAGTTGAGATCGTGTCTCCATTCTCGCCCATTACCTGGCGGATCTCCTCTCTCAGTGGCTCTATGTACTCAGTAGAGACAGCAAGAGTATAGAGTCTATCAAACGATCAGCCAAATCCTACCATGAAACACAACTTCAATCATGAGACTCACATATTCGTGGCAGTCAGAGTGGTAGTATGAATCGATGCAAAGACGAGACCAAGGAGCAGCTTCGCTAGCTGATGTGTCGACCTGACGCCAAATTCACCTTGTCTGTTCATAAGCCAGGTTAGCATGTCATCTGGTTTCTGCCAGTCAGGATCGTTCTTTTCGGCATCTTGTCGTGCCCGTACGACTGGTTCTAGGAAGGACGCAAGATTCTTTTCAGCCTCATGCAATCTTTGAACCGAAGGGAGGCGAGGCGCGAACCACGGCTTGAAGAGGGGTCGTAGCTTTTTGATGTCCAGCTGAGCTGTGATGAGCTGCATTGTGTAATCAATAGACAACTTTTGGTAGTCGTTATCACGACAAAGATCTGGGCCGACCAAAATCCGGCTAAAAAGATGTTAGCACTTGTGCGGTTGTGGAGCGGACACGTACGGACCCAGTGATGGTAGCTACCATACTCACAAGCTTTCCGTAGATGTTGACAGCTGTCCAATCTTCGCATTTGGGCATGAATTCTTCAAGCGCTTGCAGAACCTCGGAATAAACCACAGGGTTCAGGCGTGCTAGGCTACGTTAGGGGTAAGAACTACTATAGGGCAGGTGGAGGGAGGTCATCAGCGCATACTCACCAAGTGCTGGCGTCAAGTCAGCTCGGATAGCGTGTATCCCCAAAGGCTCGTCGGCAAGGAGTCCCGTGTACTTGACCTCCATCAACTGCAACGCGTCAGCTCGGCTGCATGGTACGAATGCCTTTCTAGATGCTCACCTCCTCGATGGCTTTCGGAAAGCTCACTACTGTGTCTGGGAGTTTCCTCAATTCGGGTAGGAATTGAGGGCTTATAACAAGGGTTTCGGCTCCTGAGACACGCTTCAGTCAGTATGTTGATATCGAGGTCCGTCGGTTGTTGGTACCATCGGAGGTGGTCATGCGGAAGACTTGATTTTTGAACTCGACGCTCGTCAGCTGGGGACAAATGCATATGCACGGTCAAATGAACCTTTTCATATCCTTGCAAGTACATGTCCTTTCCATGTTTGAGGAATTCGGTCCTCTGCTTCTCGCCACTCTCCGCCCCGAAAGCCGGTAGCTTCGCAAGCTGCGCATTGAGGTTGATCTTGGGGAAGTAGTAACACGCCACGGCTATCAACGCAGCAATTGCCACTGTTTGCACCGTATGCGCGAGACCTTGGAAGGATTCGACTCCCATGTTGGTGGTTGGTGATGGCGGAGCAAGGACGGACGTTCCTGTCGAGTGACTTCAGGGAGCAACCAGCCTTTAAAGTAACATGTAACGGCCAGGCGGATTACGTCCAGCACCAATTGGGGACGCAGACTGGTCGGCTGTTGATACCTATATCCTGTAGCGTATACGGGCTATACGGGATCATCAAGGTTGCGTGCGCTGGGAAGCGTGGGAGGGCCGGTCTAAGCCAATGCGGGAACGTGCGTGACAATCCTCCATCCGCAGCCGCAGCCGTTATTGCGCCCCCTTCCCCGGCCAATGGCGGGTCGCTCAGTGTGCGACTGCTCCCTGTCGTGTTCATCTAATGCAGTGGTGGAGCGTCCACAGTCGCGGTCCTGTGCGTGTCACTGACGGCCTGCAATGGAACTGCGTCGAGGGGCTTCGCATGCATCGTTTAGCGTTTGTCGGTCCCCACATCCACAGCTTAGTCCCGGTCAGCGGCGATACAAGTACTGGAATGGGTAATGGCTTCGCTGATACATACACAGTAGGATCATGGCCTGGAGTGGTCGCCTTGTTCGACGCGTCCCGACCAACGAGCGTCGTACAGCCGCCTCAACCATGCGGTCAAGATCGCCAAAACACCCCGTCCCCACCAACAATCCTTGTCTTGTTGCGCTATTTGGAAGTGCATCTGAAACAGTCAACCTGCCGCGTTGGGCTTTCAGACGTTTGGCGAATCAACATGCGGAAAGGGGGCTGTATCGAGCAACTAACTTCTAGTCCCCCAAGCAATGACCACCAACACTTGTAAATTCGACTTCGACTGTTCTGCAATCTGCTGCCCAAGCCCTGCTTAGTGACACGACAGCAAGTGGCGAGCATTTAGAAGATGCTGTGCCGCATCGCACAACCACGCGACCTTTTCAGAGCCTTTCGTTGCGCCGCACAGGAGTGAGCCAGCACACGATTGATCCCCCGAGGAAGTGCGCGTGTCTAGCGCGACCCGCGGATCAGGCCTTCGCAAAATCCTTCACAAAAGCAGAATCGCTCACGCGCTAGGCTCTCGTACGGATTTGGAGGGTGTAGCAGCGCTTCACGCTTTGCCTGCATCACACCGATGCAAACGTGCCTCGCACATGGAGAAATCACTTTCTTAAACCGCATCTGCACCGACGGCTTATGACCTGCTTCGCGAGAATTCATATGATGATATTGCATGTGGTAATTGGCTACGCTTGCGAAGTAACACACCTTACAACAAATTATTTGCCTAAGCCACTACCACCACTTCTGTGAAGTTCTTGTCAGCACGGACAAAGGCCTTCTCCGAACCATGTCTTAGTACCATGTCCAAGAACGCTGTCACATATGTGACGGTCAAGTCCATCATACGACGGCCCTCAATCGAACCCAGAACTTGTTCAACCTCAATTGGCAACTTCTCTTGCAGACCAATCACTGATGTGATAAGAGGCAGGTCGGAGAAGCTGTAATGCGCAGCGCCCTTTACCTCTATCTCTCTCTTCCAAGCCTTCAGCTGCGGCCACACCGTTTTCCAAGACGGGTCCGTTTCTTGCGTCTTGTTATCGTGACCGATCAGCATAAACGGACGGTCTAAACCGGTCTTGAGTACAGATCCAAACATCGAACCGTCCATGTTCAGGCCCCCGCGGATATAGGAGAGTTGTTGCATCGCTGCCGCAGCAGCAGCTCCTCCGAACGAGTGACCTACAACGGCAGTCTTAGGTAAGCTGCCGCTGTGACGATGCAGTGGGAAGAGCTTTGTGCGAAGTGACGGTTTTGCAAGCTGCCGGTAGAGGAACGCAATGTCGTTAACGCGCGTAGTCAGAGCATCCTCGAGTTCGGAATCGTTGATGTCAACACCGGTAACGGTAGTACCATTGGGAAACTCGACGATATCAGCGTCGTAAGGGTGGTCGATAGACACGACAAGGTAGCCCGCAGCTGCAACACTTTGAAGCATGCTATGGTACAAGGTCCGGGAAGTTGCAAGGGCGCCAGAGAAGACCACAAGTGGTAAAGATCCGGAAGAGCAGGGTTTTGGAACTAGGTTCGACGTACAGGTCTGCAGGCCAAGCGATCGAAAAGTACCATTGGGGAGACCATAAGCGGCGAACTTGTTGTCTTCGAAACGGGCGGTCACGGGTGGCATGTATCCCACAAGATGGCCATGACGACAAGCCGATATAGGGGAGAAACCAGATATCATGATGGTTCGCGGTCGGCCATCCTTTGCGAAATCATCAGACCTTCCTTGGTCCGTCAAGGACATGGAGGTAATGGCGACCTCTGAGGGATTAACCCCGACGATTGGTAGTTTGAACTTGGATGTTGCAAGCGAGGAGGCGCATCCTAGGGATGCAAGAAGAAGAACAATACGCTGTAGCATATTTGCTGTTATGGAAACAAGTGAGTGTAACTGGTGACTTATCGAATTGTACCGTTGAGATAATTGCAGAGAGCGCAAGATTAGGTCGTTATATAGATCGCTCTGCTCGACTCGCTCGCCCAAGACAGGCGATGCAAAGATCACCATGACCCGAGATACTCACCTAGTATCGTGCTAGCATGCATATTTTGTTAGTGAAGTCTTCATGAACGCAATTTGCAACGCCATGTCCACTTCAGCGCGCTCTATGACTACCGAATGGGGTCAAGCCCGTTCAAGAGGGCTGAAATTATGGACGATTCCATCGGAATTGAAATACCAAATGGACATGGCTGCGGGAAGTGAGGTGGTTAGGGGAGATCAAGCTAGAGTGCCGATGAGGCTTTGCACCAACATGGCCCAGAACGGTTTAGATGCGCTCTTTCTCTTCCTGAAAGCGTTAAGCGCGATCCTCATATTTTCTCGAGGGAACTTCAGCTGCGTTCTTCCATCTTCGAAAGGGATCACATTACTTCCATTTTCATCAAAATGAACCATGCCGTCATTGTTTCCGCCCTTGGAACCCACACGTAGTCGATCTAGTCGCGCTGTCCTTCACGCGTCGTTCGTGATTCGCACCAGCGAGTGCTGTACCACTTCCTAATATACTCTAGCTTGTGCTCTTTTCCAACTACTGTGCACATGCTCATTTCATATGCAGTTGACGATTGGACCCTATGATGGGCGCAAAGCGCGGAGGAAACGCTGCAACGCTTGCGTCAAGCGTAAGATCAAGGTAATACATGTATATCTGGAATGATCATGGTGCTAACCAAGAGTAGTGCCATGGAGGGGTGCCTTGCGATTATTGCAAGCGAACGCAGCAGTCATGCGAACACCCCACCAAAGCTGCAACTTTCGCGCCGGTCTTTGTTGATGAGACCGGGAAGAGCAAATGTAGAAGCAAGCCGATCGTTCCTACGGCTGTGGGAGTGAGCCACTTCCCCGTTGTGCAAATCCCGACCCTGGAAGCCTATGATAGCAGTGTTCCCTACTTTTTCATGTCATTCCTAGCGATGAACAGTTTATCGAGCGATCGTCTACCGGTAGTCAATGACCTTCTAAATTTGATGAAAGATGCGCCTGCGTTGAGAGACGCGATACTTGCCGTAGCTGTGCATCATCGCCAGCAACAGGCTTCAAGAATTGCATCCATTAGCGATCGACAGGCTTTACAATCCTACGGCCGATCCGTTCGCTACATCGGAAATCTCATCACGTCAGAAACTTTCCCGCGAGATCCATCGACACTCTGGACGACGTTCTTCCTAGGTCTGTTTGAGGTAAGAGTTGCAGGGGATGATACGGCTCAGATGCACTTCAGCTAATTATAGCAAGTTGATGCGCGATTCTACAGGGACTACTTGGCTGTCACATTTCCTACATGGAACTTGCGCGATGCTTAAGCTTCTTGACCCCGAAAGCCTGAACCGACCAGGGCCGCGAAACTCGCAAAGGCGCATTTTCTTTCTCAATACTCGAATCTTTGAAATCTCCCGTTCTTTGATATATTCGTCACCGACCTTTCTTTGGGACCCGAAATGGACAGCTGCAGTAGCAAACCTGTGGGAAGGTGACAACATGGCTCTATGGCACCCTAAAGAAGCTTTGTTCGATATCCTACCAAGCTTCTCAGAATTAGGTATTCGCGCGCTTGACTTTGCTCTAAATGCGACACAATTGCCTTCAGGGTCGCAAGATGACTTGGTTTACGCGCTCGCCGCTGAAGGGTTTATTCTACGAGAAAAGTTGCAACGATGGTATACGGAGACACAACTCTGGGAGACGATGTACCAAGACGATCGAGCTTCTTCCACCTCGTCGAATCTACCTGACAACGAGCTTATGATAAGCTATGCCTATTACCACGCGATCAGTATTTACCTTTCGGGAACCTACGACTACCACAAACAGTGGACCGGACCTACTGCATCTTACGCGCCAACACTTGCACGTGGTGAGATCGACTGGCATGTTTCTCAGATCCTCTACCTTAGCCGCAGTCTTTTGGCACATGGGATATCAGGCATCTTTTTGTTCTTCCCGCTCAGAGTGGCAGGTGCCAGAGCAGTCGATCGATCATTGCGCCGGGATATTCTGAGCCTTTTCGAGGTAACATCGCAACGAGGCTTCGTCGTAGCTGAGGCTCTCAAAAATGATCTATTGGAACTATGGGCTTGAAAGGCGCTGTCGTCATTGTTTTTGGCTCCATGCCATTGGCAGACGCGCAAGAATGCCCCATCAAGATCGTTGGTAGCAAACCGTGGTCTTGAATTGCTGAGCGCATACTTGCCCTGGTACCCTGGTTTAGGAAATTCCCAACACTCGACGCCCATTTCACGAAGCAAGGTCATCACGCACTTCTTACAATTGCAACAAAGCGAAGCCCGAGCCGCACATTGCAGGGAAATCCCAAGATTTCTTGTCCACGCCTCAACTTATCGACTACACTGGGAACGAGAATAAATTGCATGACTTTCAGGAAGATGTCATCTACGGATGTTCAGCCACCCGAGACTTCTCAAGAAGAGGACCCAGGAAACAGGCATGGTGGAAATGTTTCGAACGGAAGGGACGCCGCTCAAGTAGACGCTCGATATACGCTTGAGGCGCCAATCTCAATCCGACCCAGCGATGGTCACCGTGGCTTGCCTGCAGAGATACGCTTGCAGATCTACAATTAAGTCGCTCTCCCTACTTTAGTGCATGTGTTCAGGAGGAATCAGCGGATATACTATAAGGATACTATCAACGCACTAGCGCTCCTGCGCAATGGCTCCGCATAGGACAGTGATGCGTCCTCAGCACTTGGAGTGCGACGCGCTACTGGAGCCATAAGGCTGTTCGTTGACGCCGCACATTCTCTCGGCAGCCAGCGTCAAGCCTCTGGATATGGTTGTTGGTTAGCAAAATTCCTGGGGGGTATTGAACCGACTCACCAGGGATAACATACACCGACTGAATCTAACGGTACCCAATTCGTGGGCTGCCCCCTGCCCGCGTCGGTCCCTGAACGGGTGCCACGAGGTTGGCCGTGGTGGAACCGGGTATTGGTATATGATAGACATGTATTCGATGCTTATTTGGCAAACGCAGACTATGCACAGAAGTTCTTCCAAATGGCCTTTCAACAGCTACGCCGTAGACCAGTCATCTCTATCTGCCTATTCTGAACGAGCGCTAGGACCACTGGGCTAGGAAATTGGATACCGACGCGCTCGTCATGGAGGTGACGCGTGGGTGATTCTTCACGAGGCTTCCTCGGCGGGCCAAGAACTGCATCCGCTATGAGATGACCCAGTCACGTCCGCGGGTCAGTTAGAGTACTAGAAGACAAAATGGGACTCCGTGGGAGAGATTGTCAAGTAGGTAGCAAGCAAACAATGATTAGACATATCGGAGTCTTTCTGCCCCTGGATTTGATTGGCACGGTCTGCTATCCATATTTAATCACGCAAACATTTGCCTGCTTTTTCTTGGTGAGCCTGGGAAGCCCCTGTGCGACAGTCGACAGAGATAAGACGGGCCTGACTCTTCCCGGAAGTCGCGATGATGAGAAGCAGCCGCCATTATAGCTCGTTGCCTCCCGGAGGAATTTTTTGTGTTTGCGCCGTTGTCGGGGCGTTGAAGCATGGAATTGTCGGTGTCGCTGCCAGGAGATCTTTTCACCTCGCCTATTAGCCGAAGTACTGGACTGTGCAGTTGAAATCACGGATCTTGGGACTTAGAGAATCACATCGGAGGTATTCTCGCCACTGTTGTGGGTCTTCTGTTCGATTCCTAGACATATGGCGGGGTCATCGCTCTCTAATGGTATCGAAGACCGGATGGACCTGAGTGTATGTCACTACGGTCTTGTGATTCGCAATCGCGTGCTCCTCGACCTTTCTAATGTATACTACGGAAATGGAGTGAGGCAAGTTGACTTACCAGGATCGACATAGAACAACGCAAACGCTATAACTCTGAAGGAATGTGGAAGGGGCGCATTTGCTGGCCGTTGATTCTCATCTGGTTAATTAAGCTCTTCGTATGGACGAAGGCTATCTACGGGGACTTTATCTTTTCCAGCCTGCTGTTCATCTAGCTTTGCGGTGTGTTAGAAGCGTGACAAGCCGATTCTTGTGCGGTAGTTTAGCGTTTCGATCGATGCTCGCTTTTGGGTTTTGCGGTGCAAAACGCATCGCCAGGTACGATTGGAATGCTACACCGTCCAATAGTGTGTTGTTGACATTAGGACCTTGAAGCGTAGGTTCAAGTGGAAGTGTCCGCAACTTTGATATATATAGTATTAAGAAGATCCAGATATGCAAGGTGGCTCACATATAGCTCCTTATCAATGACGTGGCGCAGAAGCCTATATCACATGGTCGCGTCTCACAGCACATTTCTACACCTTACACAGCATCCACACAGATCACAATTCATTCGCTAATTCTATGTATACGCCCCCATGCAGCACCCAGCTGTCTACAGATCAAGTTGTTCGTCCCCACCCCTCAGCCCACTCGTCAACCCCTTCATCCGTCTGCCCAACAAATCATCCTCGCTCGCCAAACTAACCAGGCTCTTTCTCCTCCCCCTCTTCACCTTGCCGTTGGCCTTTCCTCTCCCATTAGTCATGGGAGGACTCTTCCGATTTCCCCTCGGCAGTACCGTCATCTCGAGCGGTCTGTCATCGTCAGCACTGGACTCTGTTGTGCCGGTGCGATGGTGATGCCGCGCTCTAGATTTCGATTTGGGGCTGGAGAGGGAAGCGACAGCTTCCACGAGCCCGGGGTGACTGCCAAAATAATCACTCCTTTCCCTCGCGCGATAGTGCCTATCAACTTCATAGTCTATCCCCGGCGTCGGCATCGCCGTTTCAAGTCCGTTACGCTCATCCATATCAAACGCTTCCACCATCCACTTTCCACAGCGTGTAATGTACTTCCACCCCTCAGGAAACACGCTCACAAACTGCAGAAATCCATGCGATATCCCCGGGATAAGATCGACATTGACCCATTCGTGCTCCGCCCACTCGCCGCGCGCCCAGTCAAGTCCCATCTCTTTTGCGTACTGGAAGTCTGCGCGTTTGGCTTGGCGCAGGCGGCCTGCAAAGATGACTGTGTCGTCGACAAGGGGGTCGCGCTCGCCGGTCAACATCCAGGTTCGTGGGAACTTGGCGAGCAGGAATTCAGGTGCAAGCAAAGGAGATAAAAGGAAGTCGGTGGAGAAGTCAGGCCGGTTATGCGGGCCGATGTAAAGGATAATCATGGCGCGCATCATTTCGGGGGTGAGGATGCGGTCGCCGAAGTAGGAGATCATGGAGGACATGGCGAGGCGGGTTTTTATGGCTGTTGGGGGTGCGGCTGTGGCGGGTGGATTGGTGAGGGAGCGTGGTGATTTGGACGTTTCGGGTGACCGTACAATGTCTGGAGATTGAGCCATTTGGGAGGATAGCACTCCGTTGAGGTTGGTGAAGGTGTCGGCCGGAGGCAATGTGCGGCTGTCTCGGCCTGTGTGTGCTGCCGACAAGCGGATAGCTGTCTGTGGAGAGGTGAGAACCTTCTCGCTCGTAGGTGTCGACGAAGAGACCACCTCTTGTGTCTTAGCTGGGCTCTCGTCCTCGCTATCAGAATGGTCTGAAGCACCAGGTGTATTTGGAGCAAGATGTCGATAGTCGTCGCTTTTGTGCCGCAGAATCGGTCGGTTTTGCTTGCGAGCTTTGCGATCACGGATCAAAGCCATCTGCTCGTCCGTCATCCAGTTTCCGATATTCATGTCGAGCGCTGGGTACATGAGTACCACGCCGACTGGAGGCGGTAATTGGCGTTCACCCTGCCACCGCCGCGTCTCCGTCGATGCAGCCTGCAAGATCATCAGGGTCATGCCCACTGCAAGATTCCCACCGGCGGAATCCCCACTGACTACAATCTTAGGCTCGGTTTCACCCGACAAGCCCATGCACCGTCCCCTCGTCGCCACAATCGAATGATAAACATCGTAGCACTCGTTCAACGCGTATGGATACGGCCACTCAGGCGCCTTCCTATAGTCAAGACTCAGCACCGGCAGACCTGTCTTCCCCGCCCAGCCCATTAACTTGTCTTCGTGGTTGCGTGGGTTCATAGCCACAAAGCCACCACCAGGAATATCCAATACAACCTTCTGTTGCTTCTTAAGCGCCGAAAGCGGCCCATTGAAGTACAGCCACCCAATGACCGGGTCCGTGTAACTACTCTCCTTCGGTCTAGGAATCCTAATCTTCCTCGGCGGGTACCACATCAGCCTTGGTCTCAGCAGGCTCGTCAGCGCAGCTAGATACGGTGTGGTTCCTTTCTCCCATCCCACGCGCAGGTGCTCAACTGTCAACGTAGCTCGTACCTTGCGCACCTTCTCGTCGGCCTGCTCGGCGCATATCAAATAATACACGCTGAAGACAATAGACAGAAAGTCACGAATGGGCTTCTGCCGTATGCGCATGGCGGACCAGAACCCCGCGTCGAGCGCCGTAGTGACCCATGTTGCGCGGAAGTACGAGTGACTGTACAGGTTCGCGAGCGGTTCGGGGCTTTCGAGGCCAACGAGCTTGCCGAAGTTGCGTGCGATGTAGAGGTAGAGCAGTGTGACGAGGACGGTTTGCCAGGCGGTCAGCTTCTTGGAGATGAGGGACGAGATGCGGTGGATGAGCGGCGGGCCATGGCGGTCGCCTCTGCTTGTTGTCAGTATGGGCGGTGTTCATGAGAGAAAGTGAATAGTGCACCTGTATAGGTAGAAGCTCCAGAAGGATACTACGGCCAGCACCTGGATCTTGCGGAACTTCACCGACGGCCGGCCCACAACATGGTCGATCATGCCTCGCGCCCTTGGTGTAGAAGTCGTTCCTCGCTCTTGTTCTCTCGAGACACGTATATTGCGGCGGTATTTCGCTTCGTATTCGTAGTCCGCGGCGGTGCGGCGTTCATGAGGGCGTTGTCCCGAAGCTTCAAGCGTGCCCTGAGATTCTTGAGTAGCTTTCGGCGCACACCGACGCGATTGTGTGTTGTTTGTACGAAGTGAAGGAAACAACCGTAAAAGCCGCTTCAGCCGCCGTCATCTTGCCTTGTTCTCGGTCTCATTGCTGTGACTGGCAAGACCCAAGCCCCAGGCAAAGCATGTGACGCGTGATGTCTCCGGCGCCCCAATGCCGGGCATGTGAAAGGCAATGACGACCGACGTGAGCCGCTTTGTTCGCTTGCGGGCAAGTGCGGCTGAGGCCGTAGCCGCCACGTGCACCGCCACATGGCTTTCCTCCACTGCGAGGTCGCCCATCACATTCGTCGTGGCCACAGACAAAGTGATAAGTGACCGATGCATTATGTTTGCCAAAGATGTCGCGCTATGTAAACCACCATCTGTCCAAGACGAACCCAATCTGTGCAGATGCTAAGAGATCCCGCGCAGCTTCGATACATTTACAGCCCCGGTAGCCAGCCGGCCATCAAGCTGATGCGAACCAAAGAAATCCTTCCTACGTACAACATCATACCACGCGACTATTCTCCACAAAGGATACTCACTAGCCTTTGCTCGACCCCAAGCCGCGCACCCACTCTCCGACCTCGAATCCTACTCGCCTCAACGCCGACTCCGCAAACTTCCCGCTGCCCTCCTTGACCACAGTCATGCACCTCACCTCGTCGTTGACATCGACGAGTTTGGCGCCATCCCTGCTCTCCTTGTCTGCGCTTTTGATGTAGATGGTCAGATCGGGTCCCACCGTTCCGCGCCAGAGCGTTGCCATCCACTGCCAGTGGTCCATGGGCGAATAAACGTCCTGTATAGGGATCCTCGACGCATACACATCGCTCGCGCGCAGCTGATAGCTCGGCAGGATAAGGACCGGTTTCGCTGAAGGGGTAGGGGACGTAGGTGGTGTATTGGTATCTTTCATTGTCTCGTCCTTGTCGGTATCTGACTCTGGCGATTTAGGAGAACTGGACGGTGCAATGGGCGTAGTGATGTACTTGATCATCTCCTTGCTCTTGCCATGCCATTCTTGGATGAGACCAAAGTATTCTTCGAATGACACATTGCCTTTGCCCGCCGGCTCCTTGGGAGGCTCTGCGATACGCGGGCTATACTCCTTATCCCTGGCGAGGAAGTCGTTGAGCCAAGTGCTTAGCTCAGTGACGGCAGCCTGGTCCTCGCCTTCCACGGCGATGATGCCGCCTCGAACTTGAATCGCTGGACTACTTGGACCAGGGTCTTTGAGCGGTGGTGTGATGCGGCCAAGGACCTTAATCTTGACTGTATACGGTACACTCATGACCATGGCTTCAACGCTGCGGCTTTGATCGTTGGCGGAGGGCACGAGAACATTCAGATCCACAGAAGCGCGACGCGCATCGCGTGGCGTTCGAAGCGGGGGAATGGTGGCCGTTTGAGGCGGGGTTGTGCGCATCTGCAGGGGTGGAAGGGAGTCACGACGGCTGTGGTGATAGTACGGGCCATCTGGCCTGCGACCACCGTTGTTACTCATCGGATAGGGATTGAAACGGCGCCTCTTCAAGTCAGGGGTGTTTGGAGTGTAGCCATAGCCGTCTTCACGAACTGTAGGAGGAATCTGTATATTACTCAAGCTGGAAGCGCCTGAAGTTCCACGACGGCGAGCTGGGGAATCCATGCTGAGACTGTTCATGATAGATGGCAGGCGAACGCTCGGAGTGAGACTCTCCGAAAATTTGGGAGGTGGCAGGGTCGGAGTGTTTGCACTGTTTGGGTAGGGACTTGAGGGTGACGGTGTCTTGATACTACGTCCGCCGCATCTAGGACACCGATACTTGTCAACAGTCGTGTGTGCAACTGCTGGCAATGGCTTCCCCAGCCTGCGTGGTTGGTAACGATAGTCAGGATACTGTTCGTGATGCCTGTCCTTTTCTTCCTAGAACCGGGTCAGTCGAGCGGTCAACATTTCACATTATGTCTCAACATACCTGGGCCAGATCCTGCCAAACCTTCTTTGAAGCGTCGCTCTCCGCCTTCCACTGTTCTCCGATGATCTTGGAGATGTCGGGGTTTGGGAGTCCGGGATGCGCGGCAACGATGGCATGTTGGTGGTGCTGTCGATAAAGGATAAATGCTACAAAGAAAAGAATGCGGTCAGTTCCGCCACCATTTCATGTCCGCAAACGAAAGCGCAACATTCTTTGTTCATCGCGGAGTCAGGTCCGGGCGCTGCGATAGCCCCCATCGGTCACAAAGAGAAAATCGACTTACCATTGCGGGGGCGGGGTATTTTGGGCTCGGGTTGACACAGACAAACATGTTCTCCTGGTGATGAGGAAGTACTGCCTGGTCCTCTGGAGTGCTCAGGGTCGCTCAGGTCGCCAGACTCCACATCATTGACATCTTCCCGGGACGCAGCACTTCTCTTCTTGCCGTTCATCAGTGAAGCATTTGAGGAAGCTGGTGAAGGGAGTTCGACATCAGCTTTCTGAGCCGGTTCCGAAGTAGGCGCAGAACGGCGGTCGTAGGACTTGATCGTTTTCCGCAGTGCTCGTGCTGGCTTCACATCATCCATCGACGAGTGTGACGGAACATTGTCGACGGCTTGCATATTCGATCTGGCGTATCTCCTAGGGATGTTGTAGAATGTCGCAAGGGGAGGAGAAGACGGACGAGGATAAATTGGCGGCAGTACACGACCTGCCAGCATTTTGGATAAGCTATCTTGCCGATGACGGCTGCAGACTTAGATGCGTTCTTTGAAAGCAAAGATCATTGTACCATGAATAGGATTGGACAGGTACTGTCGGACGAACCACCGCAATTGACAGCGCGCGTTCGCTTTCTTTGTATCTATTATGGGTAAGCCACACCTAGACCATACTCGTGTTGCTGCGAGGCCACGGCTGAGTCTGTAATTTCATTGTTCGAGACAGATGCGGCGGAACCGCGGGGGCTCGCTAGCCATGTTCTTTGTTCGTCGGTGTGCCAGAAACGGTCAAGACCGCACGCTGCCGACCGCTGAGACATTCCAGCGCAGTAATGCAAGGGAGCGACAATGCTTGGAGCTCCACAATGGCTGCACAAGCAAGCTACGAACGCTTTCGGGGAGCACGATGCCACTGCTGATCCTCGGAATGCAACCCTCCGCCTGCCAAGCAGGCGTCCGGAGAGGCCACGGTATGGTCAAGTGTTGAACGGCGGTTCAGCACAAGCCATCAATACCCCGGGGGAAACTTCAAATTGAAATTAGCACCCTTGTCTCCTTCGTTTTTCTCGTCGGTAGCAGACTGCAGTCTTGCTCGTTGCCGGGCGTCACTATTGACAGTCTCGTTACCCCGTACCAGGCGTGCGGCTTCCTTTCCGATTAGCTCTTGAGCAGGCCCGCTGATATGCATATCGTCCCTACGATATGGTTAGGCTGAAACAATGCGTTTGGGTAAAAGTACAAACGTACCAGAATAGATGCGTGTCGGGGTCAGTGCAAGGGTGAGCGGCTGCTTGCAGATTCTGTGCGTTTGGGTGTTGTACCAGACATGGCTTTTCCACCTCTTCGAAGAGCGGCTCCTGTCTTCCATTGCCTTTGGCATCGGCAACCCGATTAGTGAACATCTGTTTTGCACGGACTTCTTCCATGACAATGTCGTGAACATTTGGCACAAACACGTCGCCTCTGGCCCATTCCGAAGCTGCCTGAGACAGGGCCGTGTTCCAATAAGACCAGAGAAACACGGCTTGGTGTTGTTTCTGCGCAAATTCTGTGGCTGACTCATTCTTCCTGTCGGCATAGCGTGGGAGAAATGTCACATCCATTAGGCTGGGAACTGTAACCTTGGGATTGCCGACATGGTCGGCGAGGACATCGAGATTGTGAAACAGCTCCTGCACACTGCGCTCGATTGCACGTATAGCGGCGTCCTTGTCCAAAGCAGAGAACTGGAGCAAGTCCCAAGTGCCGAACAGAACGGTGAAAACAGTCTGCTCTTCGGTAGGGGAGTGTCTGCCTGGCAATCGCCACTTCTTCTTGTCGAACTCAATGAATTGTTGCACTTGGGTCTTGAAGTCAAAGACGGCGAGCGTCTCCTTTCTTGCTTCACTAGTCACATCAAGGAAGATATTTGAGTCAACCATGGATCCGACCGCCTCCAGTCCCACGTTGTCAGGGACGGAACGTGCGAAATTGTCCACCCAGTCGCAGGTCAGCTGTCACCCGTCAGTCACCATCTACCAAGCCAAAAGGCACACTTGCCTCTTTGCACAACGTCTCTACCCAGATGTCCCCCTGAGCTAGGTTTCTGTCTCGGGTCGATCCTTTGGGTGGTGGAGACATGCGATACTCGCCCGTATCGGACCAGTCGTCACCGAAGACAACTATGCGGCGGGGGCTGTTTTTCCATACTCGTTGCAGGTTTTCCTTCACATATGTAGTCGACGGTCGCCTCCAGCTGAAATATAGCACGGTGACAAGCGCAGCGGCCGCGCAGACGTGCAATCTTGTGAGGAATCTCATCTTGGCCAAGTGGTGTCGGGTCACAATGGGTCGCGTGACCAGCTCTACGGGCTCGCACTGGGCTGGGAGTTGCGAATGCGAAGACGAGACGGCGCGAGAGGAATGAGGGACAAGTCGCGGAACCAACGGAAAGCAGCAGCAAAAGCAAAACTCAGAGTTTCGACGAGTATGAAGAGTAAGACAGGAGAAAAGACATGTCTGTGAGGGATGAGCACACGCACACTTTCCCCATCCGCCTACGCACGCCAGTTCCCGCGACCCTGGCAAACTGCGGGTCCCACTCGGAACCGGGACATGACGACGCCTGGAAGCAAGCGCCGGACGCATGCTGCCTGAGAGCGGCCTTGTGAACCAGGGACTGCTGTTAGAGACCGTCTATCTGCGGATGCGACGCGCGTTGATTGGGTGTTCACATAAGGCGATGTGCTGCCAAGCCAAGGCAAGCCACAGTCAACGGCTGCCGGCAACGACGAGGCAGGCCGCCTTGGGGGGCCACCGAAACAGCGCGGTGAAAGAGCGCCGTATTGCATGGATCTGAACAGAATGCGAGGCGCAGGAGTGGGTCGGAAGATGTGGAAACAGGCATCCGGAAGGGACGACAAAGCTTGTCCTAGTGCCGCTCGTGCCGATTACGCCAAGGCGCTTTCTTTAGAAGGCGGCCTGAGGCTGACGACACCTCGGACGAACGAGCACACGACACCCTCTCGCTAGTTGGGTCAAGGTGAAATGGTGCCCATTGTCCATCCGCCCGTGCTCCTATCCTTCGCTGACATGTAGTCGGGACACTTCCTTGTGCTATGTTGGGCGACCCTCCGACAACGCAACCATGAATCGCACAGCACCAGCACGAGAGCACCTTCCGTGAGAAGCACCGAGCAGAATTCGTCGAGATACACGTCAATCTGACAAAGTCGACGCGCGGCAGTTGTACGAAACAACAGATCCCCCGCACTTCCCCCACGCACACGCAGCATCTTCATGTCTTCATGTCCGGGCATCGTACGTCAAACCACATCTGAACATCGTATGAACGGAACCTGTCCTCATCACAAGTCTGACATCACATTGTCCTTCGATTCTCTGCATGTCGGGATGCATGATCATGTTGCCCAAACATATTATCCATCGCTAATATCGCCCTTCCATTCAGCCAGCGGCCATATTGACCCTTTCCAAGAGCGCCCATACATATGTCGCACCTGCCAACATGGACACAATCCACCATGAGCGCAGTCAAACTGCCGGCATACCACTATGCAGACAGCAACGCTCATTCGAGTCCTTTAGTCTTATGTCGTTCCATGCCCACCCAGTCTCTGCGGCTTTGATACTGACGATAGCCTCTGTGTGCACAACTACGCGCTTGCACAGTGCGCCACACATGTAACATGCTCCTTTTAGCTCTTCTCCTCCTCATTTACCTCGCACCCCCTGTCCTTTCCGCGCCTTCAGATTCGCCTCGCGATGCAGATGTTGCACAGTCGGGGTATGTGGGCAGCGACCACAACATCGGACCTGATTCCGTCTCCCGATTCCAGCATCTGTGGAACATCACCTTCAAGCCCGACGAGAAGGTGACCCTCGGCCTTCAGCCCAACGTGGACGTTCAAGTAACAGATGACCACAGCATTACGCACGACCATTAGTACATACGCTCGCATCAGGAAAGCAGATCGTCTTCACAGCGTCGACTGAAAACGTCGTCCGCACCATCGATGCTGTCACCGGCGAGATTTTGTTCGAACGGCAGGTTGCGCCGCCATGGCCTATGGCAGGAGCGAATTGCGACTTGATCAGCAAGAACCTGGGCATCATGGGGACACCCGTTATACACCCTGAGTACGACGTGGCTTTCTTCTTCGTCAAATCGTACATCGAGTGAGCCAACCCTTTCTCTACACACTCCCTATCAACAAGCTCACCAGGCAAGGGACTACCGTGTGCCCGGCGGCGCAGCCCCTCCCCTCAATAGCGTCTACTACTTCTACGCCGTGTACATCGACGGCCTGGGCGACGTCTACAAATTCCCTCTCTTCATCGATGATGTTGGTGCCGATAACGACCCGCGCAAGATATTCCTCGGCGGCCTCGTCCTCCAGCGGCCATCGCTCCTCGCCGTTGGTGACGTAGTGTACGCAGGGTTTGGCGGGCTGTGCGACGCCTTCAACTACACCGGCACGCTCGTAGCTATCAACATCAACACGCGCAAGGTAAACCGGTGGGTTACGCAAGGCGGGCCGTCGTCTCCATGGACGAGCGACTGGGCGAAGCGGCATGGCGGGGGCGCGGGTGGGATATGGCAGGCCGGTATGGGTCTTGCGTCTGATGGGCAAGATGTGTACTTCTCCATCGGCAATGGTGGGAGTGCGGATACAAACGCTTCAATCGTTCCCATCCAGGGGAAATGCCACCAAGACATCCTCTTGGAATCCGTCGTTCGAGTGTCTTTGAACGACTCTGGCGTCCAGCTTGTCGACTTCTTCCGCCCGTTCGACTACCTATCCGACGCAGGGCAGGACATAGGCAGCGGCGGGGTTTCCATTCTCGATCCCGCGGTTTTTAAGACTAGCACTACTACTCGCATGGGTGTAGCTACGAGCCGCAACGCGAAGGTTTACGTACAAGATCTAGATGATCTGGGTGGATACCGCGCCAGCGCGAACGGTACAGATGCTGTGCTACAAACGATACACCTGAACGGCGAGATCTTCGGTGGCATCGGGTCCTACCCGCTCGAAGGAGGGTACATCTACGTCAACCCTAGCAATGCATCTCTGGCTGCGTACCGCTTCAATCCTTCCGCGGGTAAATCGCCTCTCTTCACGCTGGCGGGCACATCCTCGGCGTCGAACCCGCACTGCGGTGGTGTCGGCATTGTCACTGTGACGAGCAGCAATGGAGAGCCTGGGAGCGGCATCGTGTGGGTGACGGACGTGGAGAGGGGTTTACTGGCATATAGGGCTGTGCCTGTGAATGGGAGTCTCGTGGAGCTTGGGCTGCCGACGGTAGAGGGTGCGGTAAAATATGGGAGGCCAGTTTTTGGAGATGGGAGAGTGTACGTAGTTGATGGCAAAGAAAGACTGGTTGCTCTGGGTGTGGGTGGGAACAGAACCGTGGGTGGTGGATAGACAGATTCTGCCACGCGGTTGTGAAGAACCATGTTCAGTGGCTCCTGGGTTAGCTCACTACGCAAGCCGTAGGCTGATTGGCAATTGTATCGTGTGTCGTCAATCTCCAAGGTTTACTATCCTATTTCACAATTGTGAACAAAAACCCATCATAGTTCTTCTCGCCCACCGTCTGCACCACCACACCGTCCAACCTCGGATCCTTACCCACATTCTCAACAACCTTCCTCGCCCCCTGCACATTCGTATCCTCCACGTCCTCTGCTAGTTTCCCCTTCCTTACCACATTATCAACTATGATACACGCACCGGCCTCAGACATGCCCACCGCAGCATCGACGTATTTCCAGTTGTTCACTTTATCCGCGTCGATAAAGACCAATTGAAACTTCTCCCGTTTTGCCTGCCTCACCTCCTCCGCAAGCAGCGGGAGCACATCGATGCCCGCACCCAGGAGGACGTCTACCCTTTCTGCAACTCCCGCCTGTGCCAAATTCGCCTTCGCGACCTCCGCGTGGTGCGCATCTACTTCCACCGTTGTGACTCTTACATCCGGGGACGCAGAGGCGAGCCAAATGGTGGAGTACCCGCCCAGGGTGCCGACCTCCAAAACGTGCTTCGCGCGCAGCAGCTGTGCTTGAAGTTTCAAATACTTGCCCTGAGAACGAGAGACCGCGATATCAGGTAAGCCTTGTTCCTTGGAGTTCGCAAGCGCATGCTCGAGGACGTTGTTGGATGGAGTTGTTTGGGACATGGAGTGGAGGTGAGAGAGGGAGTAATGATCTACGGCGGTCCAGCGTGGCTCGACTTCGTGGGACTGGCCTGTGCCTGACATCGTGGTTGATTGAAGGCTTTGAGATCTCGAAGAGGAAATGAATGGATGTCTCGTATTTGGTGAGGGTGGTTAGTAGACAGGTCGTGGTGGTGATCAAGCGGGGAGCTTTATGGAGGTTTAGGTAGCAGCGAGTACGGCCGGGGTGCGGCTTCTTTTAGCATGGCGTACGCGGCGTAGAGCGTGATACTGCCGTCTTATCCATGGATGTCCGACGTGGAGGGTGAATGTTCGTACATGCGCGCCCCATACGTGTGGTTGGTGAGGAATGACGCGACGGCGCGAGCTTGTTGAGTGTTGCCGATGTCGGCAGATTATATCCGAGGCATATGTCCGAGTTCCTCCCCTTGATAACCTTCCTGTCTCTGACTTCTGCACTGCATCTTTAGATACGGTGCGGCTCCATAACGATAGACGAAGCCTGACCGAGTCACAGTATTGTTTCCGTTCGTTCCGCACATCGTCACGTTCAAGATTTTCTTTATATCGTCGGCGGCCGTACGCATTTCTCACATGAATACTAAGGGCACCTCGTCGGCGATTGATAACCCTTTTTCTAGAATCAACTAGATAACAAACACTCTACATTGCTTGTCTGGCTACTAGTAGAAACTGCGCACCAGAGATGCCACCCTGGCACGGAAATACCTCAACATCAGTTGAATCAAGATCTCACAATTATCCACCACCCTCAGTAGGAGACGTCGGACTCTTCCCTGCTTCGTCCTTTCCAGTCCCAAGACTGGCAAACGATCCCATTCGCTCAGAGTGTCACTGACTCTCAATTCGACATCAACCCTCTGCTTCCCCTGCTTTTTTCCTAGGTCCTGGATGCCGTTGACTCTCAAAGCTCCTATAACTCCCATAGCTCCTCGTGCTCGCTCTCCCTATTTCATCTTTCTCTTGCGCACGATTCGAACGTGAGGGCGGGTACAGCGTCTCCATGGTGGTACTAATACTAACCCCTAGCTCAGTTTGCAGAGGTGAGCGGTGGTATCCTCGCGGGTTGTCGCCGTAGCTGAGTGTGGTGCCGCCGGATGGCCTGATGGGCCCGAAGGGGCGCTGATGGCTGATGTATGAGGGTACATTGCTCGGGACGGAAGTGGGATAGTGCCACGAGGTTTTGAGTGTAGTGTCTGAGTGTCTTTCGGGTGGTATTATCGGGGAGCGACCTTCGAGTTGCGCCAATGCGATGGCGCGGTTATGGGCTATTTCTTCCTGTTCTCGGGTTTTTGAACGAGGTCTTTCCCTGCGAGGCTCTCGAGCATTTTGCTGTCGGGACTGTGGTGGTTGCGGTTGTACCAGGCGCTGAGGCGGTGGTGAAGCGTTCATGTTGGAGCGCGATCTTCTTAGTAGCACGGGAGAGTGCTTTGTTTTTGGCCTCGTCCGTGGTTGAACCCTTTGCGCTCGTATGTCTCCAGGAGAAACTGGAGAGCCCTGACTTGTCGAACTTGGGGATATCAGGTCTATGATATCTTCGACTAGCCGTACTTGCTCATACTCTTGGCCATCAATTCCGTCAAAGATCTCAAGCCCTAATTTTCGTGCTAACGCGGAGTCCACGGCGGTCTGCAGCACATACGCTAGCTTACCATGTCCTTCCCGGGCGGGACCTTCCACCGTCTTCACCCCTACGCGGTCGGCACACGGCACCGCATGGTCCGATGCCACGTCTTTCCTGGCCTCTACCTCCTCATGCAATTCTTTCAAACGTGCATACTCAAGATGCCTAGGGTGACCCTCCCTTTCCTCAGGCCATCTTATCGGCCGCGTGCCTCTTCCGCCGAATCGTTCCCTTCTCAGAACATGCAGGAAACCGTTCTTTATCCTGGTTTCTCCTCCTGTGATCATACTTTGACGCTCCACAGAAGGTTTTTGACCGGCCTTCGAGGATTCCTGGGATTTCGTACATTCAAAACAACGCTGGTGTGTTTGGCGATACGGTTTCACAGTGACCCCTTTTACAACTCGAGGCTGGGGCACAATAGTGTGTACGATGCGCAGAGGATTCGAATCCGTTACTTTATCAATCTGCATAAACTCATCCAGATGGCCACACAGGTATATACGGTGGACAGTATACGGGTATCTGGGGCCCTGTGTCGCTATTGGAGCGGTACCTTCTGTCTTGAGCGGCGGCATGGTTGCTCCTCGACAAGAAGAACTTCTCTCAACAGGCGTGTTACCACAATATCATGACTTATGAGGGCCATTTGCGTGAAGGGGACTGAGATTTATACATGGTGTTGGCACTACTGTGAATGACAATTTTCAAATATTGCTTGTTATTGGTTCTTGGCTCGTGTGACGGACAGGATTGCATAGGTATAACCTACGAACTTGTCTTCACGCCTCCGTCTACTTCACACAGCGTTACCTTGCTTGTTCACGCGGCAGTGCTCATGAATAGATCTGTGAGTTCTTTTGCAATCTTTGTGTCTCCCAATCAAAGTGCACTGGATTGCCTCCAGATGTCTGCTGCGGATACACAGCACTAGAACTTTCTCCCTAACCAATAGACGGCTCAAGAACCTCACAACGGCTGATCATAGAAAGTGAGAGCGAGTCACTAATAGGCTTCCTCAAGGTATCAACTGCTATCGAGATTGCTACCCTACGGCTACGAGCTGGAATCTACCTGATCACCTGACGGTGCTCACTCCAGGGCAGGCCCGTGCAGTGAATGCCATCTCTGCCGGCCGACAGCAGCTTCTGCAATAAAGCAACTTCCTCAGAATTGCCAGCAAAAACGACAGATTGCTTTCTTTACCTGGACACAGACTACATATGTAGTTTTCGATGGTCAAAAGGTCGGTCATCGCCCGCTCCCACCCATCTTCTCCACATCCCACTTCCACCATCAATCTTCCTCCTGGGCAATAATGCATACTGTTGCATGCCCTTTTGTCTTTCCTGCTTGACCAGCTCTTCCTTGCTTCGGCTTCTCCAAACCCGACTTTCGTGGCAGTCCTTGCAGTCCCGCTCAATGCCACTCCCGCCGAATTTGACGCTGTCTGTTGTCGACACCGCTTCCGAAGCCGGTCTCTATCTACTTCATCCTCCATCGAAGCTGGCCTCATCGTTGTCATCGCCTTCGGGACCAACAATCCACTGCAGCCTCAGACAATGTGCACACGTTGCATGATGCCCTTGCGGGCAAACATCTCAGCCAGCATGCACGAGCACTTCGGCTCCTGTCTCATCATCGGCTACCTCTCCGTGCTTCGCGCATCCATATAAAAGCAGGTCCCAGCTCGTCGGAGTAAAAGGTGGCAGGTCTCATGTGGACAATCTCTTTATCTCTGAGGCCGATGGTGCCGTTGATGAGCTTTAGGATCAGTTCGAAAGAGACTGCGAGCCATGTGACCCCTGCCAGTTAGCTTTATAGCGCTGACTGGGCGTCTCTTGCCTGTAGGACACGATGGAGGAACGATGAAGAGGGATTAAGAGGGGAGTGCGTGGATAAATACACGTTCGTGGCTCAGTTGCAATCCCTTTATTTTCGGTTCGTTGACGTGAAGCTGCCAGGACTCGTGTTGCGGATCCGATCGCGTTTCGACGTCGGGAAGGAGCCTTCCGCTTCTTTATTTGTTCATACAAAGATACGTAGCATCCATTCGATTGATGGTAATTGTGATACAGGGAGAGGGCGCTTCCGGCTTCAGTTGCTGCTGTTGAGTGCGCGACGACGTCAGTGTGAACGCCGTCTTCGACGACAAACGATGCGTAGCTGAGCTCAGCAAGTTACAAGGCAGTTCTGCTCAGGCCTCTGCTCGAGCAATGGCAATGTTGAAGCCCACAATCCATTCCCGCGCGCTGTTGGGGCTTGCACACTAGCCAATCAGGCAGCTCTTGACCGTGCATGGCCACGTGATCCCTCTAGCGCCTTGGCACCAAAAATCTATATCAGGCGGTTCGCACCCTCACCCGTTTCTGTTCCGCATCCCAGTGCTCGGGGTAAGTTCCACCACCAAAGGTGTCCTGCGAATGTCGGCTAACTTGTCGCAGCTTTACGCTTACCAGTGAAGATTCGTCTGAGGTAGCGTTTTTGCTAGTTGAAAACTACAACTATGACCGCTCTTGTTGGTCTTCGGATCGGCAAGGAATTTTTGGCAAATACGCGTTTCTTTTCATTGTTTGTTGTGGCGTTGCTGCACAGACGAGGAAGAGCTGACAAGCCACGGCGACGTATACCAATGCGGCCTCGATCCATCGCTGGCTGGCAACGCACCCTCACCGCCGGATACGACGCGACACCGACACCCCGACTGTCATGCTGGACGCACAGCATGACAAACAACCACGTAGACAGCGGGACGAGGCTGGCGACGGCAAGCTCTGCCTGTTCTAGCTCTCGTTGTCGCACGCTCGGTGGTTGTCTCGTGGTGTACAATCGGAGCAGAGCCTAACGTGACAACAGGCCAAGAAAGACATGACAGCGCCACCCCGTCTCTTCCATCTACGTCCGCTGTTGCGGCGCCCACTCACTGCCGCCAGACAGTAGCAGGCGCATTCGTCTTGACATGGCAACACCAGCAGGTTCGCTGCGAACGTAGTGGTGCCCGACGTGGCCTGGTCTCTCCAAGAGTACGTCGCGTATGCTTATAGTGCTAGATCTCTTCGGATCATCGAACGTACTTGCATGAAGCGGCTTCACGCACCTCGAACCGCCCGGTCTTGCCCATGCCGCGTCGCTCGTGTCGAGACGGCGCGTGCGCTTGACGATATACCCACGTCCTCGCACGGCGATTCCAGTACCGCACTGATTACCTATCGTCCTCATACGCATCCGCTCTCGATCCTCGAGCTGTCTGAGCCTCGGACGCGCCTTCCCTCTGTCATCGTTATAACACCGCCCGCCACTCGCCCTCTACCCATCAGCACAATCCTCTCTCCCACAAATATTCGCCCGTCTGTATGCAGTGAAGATCGCCATAGTGGCCTATCTGGGCGGGTGACATTGTGCCTCGTCTAGATGATGGACTGTTCGAACAAAGTGAGGCGCGTCAACACGTCTGGAAGCTTAGTGTAGGATGTGATGTCATCACCACCCTAGTTGATTCGAAGACTTCCATACCCCTACCACTTACCTTTCCCGACCTGTAGTGTAATGATGACAACCATCTGAGCCAGTCCTGTAGGCCTAGTGATATGCCATGTCTCGGGCCTCAGTTCGCTGCCTGTCGAACGCACCACAATCCCGAGCTTTATCAGCGGAACATGGCTCGTAAACAACCGAAGAACATTGCGCTTGTTGGCGGCTCTTTAGGCGGTCTGTTCGTAGGTGTCGCATTGAAACAGCTTCGCAAAGACCTGAACATCTGCATATTCGAGCGGAATCCGACACCACTGCTTCACGACCAGGGTGCTGGCGTCGTTGCTGGCCGAGATGTGCAGGATTTCTTCCGGAAGCATGACAGAACACACACGAATCTAACAGTTACTAGCCACCAGAGGCTATATCTCGATAAGGAGGGGAACGTCATCTATCGAGAAGATAGGCAACAACACATGACTAGTTGGGACCTGCTATATCATGTCCTACGCGCGAACTTTGATGGTGTAGACTCGGATTATGCAGAAGCGCCTGCACCGGACTCCCACGAGGGAACCGCGGCGTACGTGTATGGACACCAGGTCACCGATATCAAGTTCAACGACGCACAGCCTGTGGTCGTCAAGACAAAGCCTACAAACGGAGACACCGTCAGCTTCGATGCAGACATGCTCATCGCCGCTGATGGACCCAGCTCCACGATCCGCCAACTCATTGTCCCCAACCTCCAGAGGAAGTACGCTGGCTACGTGGCATGGCGAGGCACGGTCCCAGAAACTCAACTCTCAGCCTCAGCACGAAATGTGTTCGTGGAGAAATTCCCCTTCTTCCACGCTGAGGGTGTGCAGGTTCTTGCGTATACCATACCTGGGCCAAACGGGGCTGTCGAATCAGGCAAAAGACTGCTAAACTGGGTGTGGTACGTCAACTACGCGGAGAATTCGCCCGAGCATATCGAACTCATGACGGACAAACAAGGCAAGCGACACCATATCACGCTCCCACCTGGCTTGATCCAGGACGACGTGTGGAGACACCAGAAAGAGAAGGCGAGAGACGTGCTTCCGCCTCAGTTCGCCGAGCTGGTTGAGAAGACGGAGGTTCCGTTCGTACAGGCCATTACTGATGTGATTAGTCCGGCTGCTGTGTTACCGACCGACAATCGTGTAATACTGGTTGGCGATGCGCTCGCAGGTTTTCGGCCACACACAGCTGCGAGTACAAATCAGGCGGCTATGGATGCAATGACGCTCACTGAGGCTGTTGGTCGGATCATTGAGGGCGCGGATAGAGATGAAGTGCTCGCGGAGTGGGAGACAAAGGTGCTGGAGTACGCGAGGACAGTGCAGAAGCATGGTGTTGAAATGGGAAATCGTAGTCAGTTTGGGGCGCACCCACTAAGTCGCTGAAATCAGCCGGCAGTCTCGATGCCAGCCATATCGCCACACCGACTTATAGTGAACATCTTTTGTCAACTACAGGTGTTGAACTGCGGTACCATGAACTAAGACTCAAGCGCCTGCCGATCTACCTACCTGATCAACCAATTTTCTGAGCGATTTATTCACGCATCGGCCTCAGTTATAATAGTACCGATAGATCCAAGGATTCAACCTGCAGCTCCGTTGTTTTGGTTTTGGAATATTGGAACCTGGTAACCTTGGAACCTTGAAAGACATTACCGCACGTGACATTGGTGCCTGCCGCCTTTCTAAGGTTCACCCCTCTCCACCGCCCCGGACCACCTGCCCATCACGTGCCCTTGCTGCCTGTCCGACCTCTGCGTCTATATAAGCCCGCCTCTCCCACGTCCCTCTTCTCCTCTGCACCCACTCTTCACGGGGTGGGTCATTTGGTCTATTGAAACGATACAGAGAAGATTAGCATGGCCCCTGCACTAAGGATGACACGCTCAATCAAAGAGAAGCTACCATTTTTTCCATCAGATTCTGCGACGTGGTCGTGGCTTTGAGGGAGATCTTTTGACTTTCTATATTAACAACTAGCCTACTGAATATATTTCTTCAGACCCCTCAACCGTTCCTGCGCTGTTTCGAGCACATCGTCATTTTTGCAGACGGCAAATCGCAACCAATCTTCTACAATGTGTGCGTTCCCTGGTGTGAAAAATTCCGTCGGCGGGATAGCTGCGACGCCGACTTCTTTGATCAAAAACCATGATAACTTGAAATCCCGTGGCCGCTCCGCAACGTGCGGCGGGAAGTCGTAGTCCTCTGGTAATCTCACTTTCGACATGTTTACCAAGACGAAGTACCCGCCTTCAGGATCCGAGTACGGCAGGCCCAGCTCGTCCCAGATGGTGTTGAACTTGTCCATCTTGCCCTTCATCTCGCGCTTCGATTCCTCCCAGAAGTTGTGCGCGTCGGCCTGCTCGAAACCGATGGCGGTTGCTTCCTGGAGCGGCGAGACGGAGGAGTAGCATATGCGCGTGTGCGCGGCGGAGACGTACTTGATGAGGTGCTCGGGCCCGATCAGCCAACCTACGCGCCAGCCGGTCGCGTAGAAGTTCTTGCCGCCGGAGCCCACGGTGAGGGTGAGTTTTTCGACCTCAGGGGAGATGGTTGCGACGCGCGTGAAGGGGACATAGTATAGGCGGTCATATACTTCGTCTGAGAGGATGATGATATTGTGCTTTACGCATATATCTGTGATAGCCTTGAGCTCGTCCTTGGAGAAGACTTTGCCGATGGGGTTGTGCGGGCTGTTGAGAACGATCATGCGGGTTTTGGGGGTGATTGCTTTCTCGAATTCCGCAATGTCAATGGTCCATTCTGCCGCGGACGTCGTCTTGGTTGCGCCTTCCTTTGGCGGGTGCATGGGCACGTAGACAATCTTCCCTCCTGGCATCTCAATGTTCGATATGTACTGATCGAAAAAGGGCTCAAATACGATGACCTCGTCGCCTTGCTCTAGAAATGCCATGAATGCACTCAACATGCCCTCGTTTGCGCCCGTCGTAATAGTGACTTCCTTCTCAGGGTCCAGCGTCCGCCCAAAGAACGGCGAGTATGCGTCCGCTATGGCCTTCTTCAACCGCGGGCGGCCCTTGGTCGGCGAGTACTGATTGCATTCTACCTTGTCCAGAGCGGATTTCGCGGCATCGAGGACGAACTTGGGTGGGTTGTAGCCAAAGAAACCTTGGCCCATGTTGACGATGGGCTGCACAGGGGATGCGGCGGCGGCTTCGTTGACGATGGACCTGGACTGCACTCAGCCACCTTTCCAGACTCTGATCTGCATGTTCAAAAGCTCACCAGACATCCTGCTTCTGACCGGCGACTCGTGCGGCGGGCTTGAAGGGATCGTCGCGTCTTGTAGTCGCGGACATTGCGCGCGGCGGGGTGAAGCTGGTGGGGCTGTTCGAAGCTGTTCTTAGGGGTCTCAAAGTGGACTTGGCAGCAGTGAGGATTCTTCTTGAAGCTGAAGCAGCAATTGTTCGCATGGCCAAGAGAGGGAAGGACGACGGTGTGGGAGTGTAGGATGAATCATCTTGCATTTGGCAGTCGCATTGCGTGCTCTGGAATTTGCGCCGGCCAATGCCGTCATCATCCGTCCTCCGAGGCCGTTCCGCTAACGTGTGGAACGTTCACTCTCTCTGGTTTACGCAGGCACAAGCTGCAATGCTTGAAGAGCACTCGTCTACACCTTCGATGACCCTCATCTTGTCTGCCACCCACTGCCAAAAATCCGTTGTGCCGTGAGATCCAAGATGGTTCTGGCACTTGAGGCCGGGGTAGGTGCAGCTGTTGCACATCCCCCTGTCTCTAGCTAACCTTCACGACCGACACCGACTCCAAACAGAACGTCCCGTCCGAAAGACAATAGATTGACCTTTTCCAATGCTGTGTATCGTTACTACGCTGCAGCTTTACAAGCGGGGTTAGCTTGGTGGACGCGTCGAGCTCCCCACGCTTTTGGAGCCGCTTAATTTACGCGACAACGGCGTGCAACGCTTCCACTCATCTTCGACCATGGTCGCATGCCCGCTGTGCAATAAGCAGGTCAGCCAGCAACTCATCAATGAGCACATCGACAGTGGGTGTGCCGACCATGTCGTCGACCAGAATGATACGCCCAGCACACAGAAGACACACAGCTTCTTCACCCCAGCGGCACGCAAACCGGTGAGCTCCGCGAAGAATGGGAACCCGGCATCCTCACCTATAGCTCCGCCCGCTACCACACAACGTCCCAAGACGCCGCCGCCTGGCACGAAGCGATCGCTTGATGAGTCTGCCGAGAACCAGACAAACGGAGACGCGCCGTCGCCCACCGCGGTGAAGCGGAAGAAGCTCAAGGCTGTTGAGGATGCACAACCATTGGCAGAGCGCATGCGGCCTATGAAGCTCGACGATGTCTTTGGGCAAGAGTTGATAGGCCCGAACGGTATACTGAGAGGCATGCTCGAAAGCAACAAGATCCCGTCCATGGTGCTCTGGGGCAAGTCTGGGACCGGCAAGACCACCATCGCACGCATCATCGCGAATGCCTCTGGCTCGAGATTTGTCGAGATCAATAGCACAAGCACAAAGCTGGAGGAAGTGCGGAGGATCTTCTTCGAGGCACTGAAGGATCTGCAACTTACGGGGCGCAGAACAATCGTGTTCTGTGACGAGATACATCGGTTCTCCAAGACGCAACAGGATGCCTTCCTGGGCCCGGTCGAGAGCGGGACCATCACACTCATCGCGGCGACAACCGAGAACCCATCATTCAAGGTCATAAGCGCACTTCTGTCACGATGTCGAACTTTCACACTGGATGAGCTGAGCAACGATGATCTACTCAAGATCTTGGAGCGCGCCATGGCTACGGAACAGTGCACATCACCCTTACTAGACACTGAGATGCTTCGATACTTCGCATCCTTCTCAGACGGCGACGCGCGAACTGCTCTGAACCTACTTGAGCTCGCAATGAGCCTTTCAAAGAACCCCCATATTACAAAAGACGAAATTAAAAAGCGATTGACTAAGACATTGGTTTACGATCGAGCTGGCGACCAGCACTACGAAAACATATCCGCACTGCACAAATCGATCCGCGGCTCCGACCCAAATGCCGCCGTATACTACCTCTCGCGAATGCTCAAGTCCGGTGAGGATCCTCGATACATTGCGCGGCGCCTCGTGGTCGTCGCATCCGAAGACGTTGGCCTGGCGGATAACAACATGCTCTCACTGACTACAGCTACCTACAGCGCGTGCGAGAAGATTGGCATGCCCGAATGCAGCATCAACCTCAGTCATTGCGTTGTCGCACTCAGCCTCGCGCCCAAGTCAACACGCGCCTATCGTGCTTTACGTGCTGCTGAAGCCGCACTGCAAGAGCCGGGTGTCGCCAGCTTGCCCATACCCTACCATCTGCGGAATGCGCCAACGCGGCTGATGAAGGAGATGGGTTATTCCGAAGGATATAAATACAATCCGGACTATCTAGACGGAAAAGTGAAGCAAGAGTACCTTCCTGAGGGCCTAAGAGGACGAACGTTCCTCGAAGACACAAATTTGGGGACAAAGGTGGACGACGATCTGGTGGACGACGATATGCTCCGGCCTGAGCTGGAAGATTAGGCGAAGTTGTTTGCGGCATCCCGAATACGATTTGATTATGGAGGGCGTTCTGATAGCGAAAAGTGATACCCTAACTTTTTTTTCACGATCCATCTCCAACAACTCTCTTTGGTCGGCATTTCGTTGTTGCACTACTTGATTAGTTGGGTTCTTGCAGATCACACGCTAATAATAGCTTTGCCTACTGGCAGACAGTTGGGCGTGTGCATCACGATTGTCGGACCCCAAAATCTCCCAGCCAGACCCCGTGCCGAGACCGTACCTGCAGCCACGCCCTCCCTCAATTGCCAATCGCCAGCCTTAGGATCATCTTCGTATACTCAGCGGACCGTTTAGGGCATGATTGCGACTGTTGCTCAACGCCACCAACGACGAAAAGGTAGCTCTCGATCCAACAAGCAAGTCCCCGCCTGCTCTCTGGCACCACGTCCGCACGGCTTCACACAAAATCTAACAGCAGCTAAATGAGCAGGTACAACATCAGACATCCGAGTATCGATGATGTCTAGGAGTATCCGAAAGAGTGGCACAGTAGCGAACGTTGTCGCGGGAAGCGAGGTGCTATCGACCTCATTCGCTGGGAAAAGCCACAACGTGCTGTGCTCTACATCTCGATACGCCCAAATCCATACAACCAATCCATTCACTTGCCAAGGCAAGAACGTTATTACAATTCGCCTGCAGGGGTAAATATGAGCATTGCTGCCGCTGCTCAGACTATACATAGCGTTGCACGACATGCAGCCACCTCGTATCAAGAGATCATTTCCCAATTCACGCTTGAAGGCTTCTGAGCAGCATGGGGAGGTCGCTCCGAAGACGAGCAATTGACCGAGGGGTTTGAACATGGGCAGGTGTGGCTGCTTGGCACGCGTTATGTCCTATGGTATAAGACAGATTTGTAGCCAGCCTGGTGACGAGCTTTTCCTTTCGCGCAGCCTCAAAACCAGCGAGCATAGCCAAAATCTCGCAACGACCCTACCAAAAGCGAGCCTGTAACTTCTTGTCAGCAGCAGAGTCAACATGCAATCACTCGATGGTGAATGGAGACCGTTCCAGTCCTACCCGGGCTATCAAATAATGGCACCGTGCATGCGGGACTGCGAGGAAGATCTACCGTTCAATGTTTGTATACCTTAGCAACACGTCATGCTCTTCTGATTCGATGTAACTAATGGTGCATAGGGCTGTGATAACTCAGGCTGCTGGTGCAAGAAGAACAACCTAGATAGGAGAGTCAGCTCGCTCGAAAGATGCGCCTCAACATCATGCACCTTTGCAGACATGAACACCGTCACAGATATGGACATCATGAGTGGTATTCAAGTACAGTACTGTGTGGATCGAGATTTGAGCCCAGAAGGCATGACCATGCCGAGTACAGTCCTAGCCACGACTACCGATGCCGCCAGCCTCAATCCCACGGATCCGGCTGGTGCCTCCACCGGAGCGCAGAGCACGCCGGTTGCGAGTTCTGGGACAGGATCAGGCACGCGGACAAGGCCCGGCAGCGGGCCGTCAAATACTGGAGGTGAGTCAAGCCGAATTTTGTCCATTAATTGCACCGCTCCTTCGACCGTCTTTTCACGCCAGCTTCTTCAGCCCCATCCACAAGCAGGCGGTTCTACCAACCCAATGCCTAACACCACTCAGCACTCTCATCCCAAACATCCACCACAAGACCCTCTCTACTATCTAGCACCGCCCCTTGATTTGTTTAATAACCCTCAATAACTCTTTCCAGATCCTCTCGCAAGCTCCACCAGCATCAGCACCCCCGCCGCATCTCCTTCAAGCTCGGGTATATCCACTGCCGCCAAAGCCGGCATCGCCATCGGCGCCGTCTTCTGCGTCCTCGTCACCATCCTCATCGGCATCCTGCTGCTGCGCCGCCGCAAACGCAATCCCCAGTATCCACCTGAGTACTCCCATGCACCACCACAATTGGCTCCCGGCCCCTACTCCAATCCTCGGCCAGTCCAGCAGCCACTGCACGTGCAGACGACGGGTGGCACTAGCTTTATACCCGCCAAAGCAGACGTCTCTCCCCTGGAGGAGAAAGCGCCGGCGTTTGCTGTTTCGCGCAAGGAGGTGGGTGGTGTGGCGAGTCCGCAGAGTCAAGGCACACCCGTAATGCGTCCGGCACAGGTATCGTCACCAGCGCCGACAGAGGTGGCGGGGAGTGTACCCCCGCCTAGACACGAGGTGCATAGCGATGCTGCACCGGGCGGGCATGCAGATGGAGGACAGGGGAGGTGGGTTTATGAGATGCAAGGCCAGGGGCAGGGACGAGATGGTGCTCATGAGTTAGGCAGTGGGCGATAGGGAAGAGGCTCCGGGAAGGGTACAATGTGGGAGGTGATTTGAGGCTCCGGTAAGGAATTGGTCCCAGATGGAATCTACGACTATTCGTTGCGTTCAACTTGGTGTGCTGATGGGAGATAGAAGGCTGATCAATCTACAATGTCATGACCATGGATCCGGATCTTAGGCTATAGCTAAGCCGCCCAACCCCGGTACCTTGGGCGCTCTGATATTCCCATGTCGCACTTGCCTAAGCAGGAAGGCGATACTGGGACCTGCATCACGGGCCAACACAAGCACGCTAAGACTCAGCCGAGGCCGGCCCAGCAGTGCATCGACTGAGCTTGTTTTCCTGCCAACCGCCCAGGCGATGCTGACTCTGGTCCTCGGACCTTGTCGACCTGCCTGTTAGGGCGGCAATATGGGCCTTACCGATTCTTACGTGCGTTGAATCCATCGACTCCTGGTTGCTGGCTATCGTGGGTGCAGGGGAGCTGCTAGGCTGGACAGGGCAGCTGCGCGGCACAGCATGGATGGGAACATGTATATAATGACGCGCCCGAGGTGAGTGAGAAGGCAGCCTGCGAGCGAGCTTCTTCGAAGTGGGTGAAAGGCCAATTTGCGTGGTCGCATCCATCATGGTTTCGTCGTCGTTTCTGCTCTTCCTCGCCTCGACTGCCTCGGCGGCTGTACTCGAGAGCCTGAATGCTGTACCTACCGGTTGGGAGTACAGTGGTGCGGCGTCCAAGGATGAGCCGATTCGTCTGCAGATTGCGCTGAGGCAGGGCGATGTTGATGCGTTTGAGCAGGCGGTCATCGACATGAGCACTCCAGGTACGTTGGTCTATAGCGCTGTGTTGAATGCCAGGGCACTCTGTAGTGCTTGAACAGAGCCAGTACAATCGAGTCCCTGACATTGTACAATGTCACAGTAGGCGATGCTAACACGTCGCAGAACATCCCTCGTATGGCAAGCATTTCCAAGACCATGAGGAGATGAAGCGCATGCTGCTTCCCTCGGAGGCGACCATGTCAGCAGTCCAAAAATGGTTGCAGGATGGCGGTGTGGGCAGCGTCAACGTAGACTCCGACTGGGTCAACATCCGCACCACGGTCGGCGTTGCGAACGAGCTGCTCTCTACCAAGTTTGCCTGGTATACCAGCGAGCCCTTTGGCAGACGCCTCCGAACTCTGGAATATTCTGTGCCCGACCATGTTGCTGACCATGTCAACACTATCCAGCCGACAGTTCGTTTCGGTCAGGGTATTCCAGAGCACGCGACTCACCATGCCATGGACGAGTCCAACATCATGGGCATCGCCGAAGCCACTGCCAACGCTACTGACTGCGTATGTACAACTGTTCGAGGCCAACATAACTCGCACTAACCTCATCAGAATCAATACATCACCCCACAATGCCTGCAAAGTCTGTACAAGATCAACTACAAGCCTGACGTCAAGAGTGGTAGTAAGGTCGCTTTCAACAGCTACCTAGAGGAGTCTGCGCGCTACTCTGATCTCGAGCTGTTCATTGACAACATCGCTCCCTACGCCAAGGGCGAGAACTACACCGTCATTACCTTCGAGGGAGGTGTGAACGACCAGACGTCATCAGCCGACAGCGGTGAAGCCAACCTCGACGGCCAATACATTGTCGGCATCGCCGCTCCTCTACCCGTTACCGAGTACATCACCGCAGGCAGGGGCCCTCTCATTCCTGATCTCACGCAGCCTGACCCAGCCAACAACGGAAACGAGCCATACCTCGCTTTCCTCCAGGATGTACTGAAGCTCCCAAAGAGTCAACTTCCCCAGGTCATCTCAACATCCTACGGCGAGGGCGAGCAGAGCGTTCCCGAGGCTTATGCTAAATCTGTCTGCAACCTCTACGCCCAGCTCGGCTCCCGAGGCGTCTCTGTGCTCTTCAGCTCCGGTGACAGCGGCGTCGGCAGCGCATGCCAAACCAACGACGGCAAGAACACTACCAGATTTGAGCCTCAGTTCCCTGCTACGTGCCCCTTTGTTACTTCTGTTGGCGGAACCCAATACGTCGACGAAGAAGCGACCTACTTCTCCTCCGGCGGCTTCTCCAACTACTGGTCTCGTCCCCTCTGGCAAACCGTCGCTGTCGAAAGCTACCTTGCCAAGCTCGGAAACAAATTCAAGCCCTACTTCAACCGCAACGGCCGCGGCTTTCCCGATGTCGCTGCGCAGAGTGTGGGTTACGCTGTGTACGACAAGGGACGGTTGGGCCACTTCGAGGGCACTTCGGCCTCTACACCCGCCTTTGCTGCTATCGTGGCGCTGCTGAACGATGCGCGTCTCAAGGCTAAGCTTCCGCCTCTGGGTTTCCTGAACCCTTGGATTTATACTGTTGGTCCGGCAGTGCTGAATGATATACAGAAGGGAGGTAGCACGGGGTGCGATGGGCTGGCAAGATTCCATGGCCAGCCGAACGGGAGCCCGGTTATCCCGTATGCCAGCTGGAACGCGACCAAGGGTTGGGATCCTGTCACTGGCTGGGGAACGCCTAACTTTCCTAAGATGCTCAAGGCTGCTGTGCCTTTTAGATACAGAGCTTGAGTAAAAATTAGTGTATTGTGAAATAGCTCATTGGACCTACGAATAATGCCTTTATGACAGATCAAAAGGGTATTCATATTGACGGAGAACTGTGACGTGCTCGGAAATGACTGAGACAGTGTGCACACATGGTAGCGGTGGAGCCAAGGCTTGCTCTCTTATACGATATCTTGCGTCGATGCTCAGCCGCCGATTCACCTGCTCGAAGTCTACGGTTTGGGTCGGGGCATGTGGATTTTAGCGGCGGCCGATGGAGACGGTGCTTGCGGACCAGATGCAGCCAATCAGCGTCATCAGAGAAGGATGACAAGTGGGACCATGCAGCCCTACGAGTAGCGGCGGCCGACGCTCAGTGGCAGTCGCGACCAACCTTCGCCCCGTCCGTCTGAGCGAGCGAGCAACGCGGCTACAGTCTGATTTCGCTCCCACCTGTCGGCCGCTGCTCCTCACTTCACTCACGAAGCTTCCAAACAGACACCGACACCTTCACCCGGACCCGACTTTGCAGCTGTCCATGGCCGCGCCTCAGGTGTGCCTTACCTGCAAGGGTAGGAAGAAGAAATGCGACAAGCGACTACCGCGATGCGGTTACTGTGAGCAGTATGTAGAACTTTGATGAGATGCCGCCACGGAGAAGGATCACGGTCTACATTGGCTGACTGGATCCAGGAATAACAAAGCGTGCTTCTACGATTACGGTGGAACACCAGACTCGTCATCACCGACGCTGGCCACTGAAAGCACCGTGGCATACACACTGCCCCAGACCAAGCCGACAGTCTCTATTGGATCAATCCACGACTCCAAGTTTCTTGACGCGACAATACCACAAGAAGTGCTACAAATCATTGAGGCGACTCAGCAGTCAATCGAGGACATCACCGCACGATATTTCAATGGTCTTTATCTATGGGTTCCCTTCCTGTGCCCGGATCGCTTCAGCAAAGATCTCTTCCAGTTCCGTGCCGCGCCCACGGCCGAGTTCTCCCTGCTTCTTCTTTGCATGTGTTTAGTCACCTACGATCCGGCGCAAGCTATTCAACCCGAGGTTGAACAAGCTGCACTCTACTTCCACGCCAAGACGCTCTTTAACCAGATTCAAATACTGCGCTATCCTGCGGTCCACCCAATTCAAGCTGGCTTGCTGATATCCGTCTATGAATATGCTCATGGACGGCCCGACATCGCCCTTGCGACCGTCGATCATTGTGCACGTATGGCATATCGAATCGGTATGAACAAGAAGCCTACGCGTCTAGGTTGGAACGAAGGCTGGAACACGTGGTGGGCCATTGTCATCTTTGAAAGAATCTTCTACTGTGAATCCACCTTTACAGAGATTCCTATGGTCACTACCGCTCCAGACGACACGGACCTACTCCCTCATGAAGTCGGCGACTTCGATCTGGAACTAGGCCTGAACCCAGGCTGTCGAGTTGCTCCAGTCAGTCAAGTAGGAATAGGTTGCCTAGGCCGCACAGCACAGGCAGCATACTTGCTTGATCGGGTAATCCAGACAATACGAGCTATTGCCATCACTACGGCCGACCAGATAGCCAACCTAATATACCTGGACGGTGAACTTCAACGGCTACTGTCGGTGGCAATGAACAAATGCCACGGCGAGCGTGGAGGACATTGTGGCGCTGTGGGCGCGTCGATCAGGTTAGTGAATAACTCTTTGACATGCTTTTCAATGCTTCCCCTCTAAGTCTTTCACGTGCGGAACGGGTCGAACGGCTACCATAAGTGCTGACCGATTTGAACAGAGCTCTGTCCATGCTCCACCAACACATTCTTCATCTCGAAGCGACTGCGACGAATTCGAAGTGGCGAGACCATTCGCAAGCCGCACTTGACACAGTAGCCCAAATGGTCGTGGACATCTCTCGAAGTCATTACGGAATTTCCTACGCGCAGGTTGACATCATCTCTCCGGTCTGCAACTACATACTTCGGCATACCTTGGAGCATATTTACGAGAAACGTTACGCGGACAGCAAAGCTTGGTTCGAGGACTCTGATGCCCTAAGAGAATCTCTGGCAAAATTAGATCGTCGTTGGTCGTTCGATAAGGGTACCTTCTCAAGCACCGAAAGGAAGACTTCCGTGACATCAATCGACGTACGTTAAGTTAGGATCCTGCACCACCTGGAGGGTTGAGGTCTCCACGAAGGCAGTCTACGAACTCATGCATTGCTACTGTTCGGTACTCGAGTATTACGAAGATCAAGGGACCCTACAACACAAGCCGACTACCCTGCGAACCAAAAAAACCCTAGTATACGATGGACAACCTCATGGATAAGACAAAGGGCGTAAAGCGTACCTCGGTGTGGGCCTAAAGCTAAGCTGGGCCTAGCGCCGCACCAAGTCCGATGCGCACCACGAAGTCCGCCCACGCATTGTCCAGCTATCGGATAAATGTGCCTATCAACCCCGAGACCACTTCTGGAAGAGCGCGCTATTCCACAGGCCTTTGTGGAGGGGCATGTCAAATTCTCCGATCACTAAGGGACAAGCGCGTTACCGCGTTCGGTTGTTTCAGGTCCTCCCCTAATCAAGTACGGACTCGACAACAAATTCGAAACAACAGCACCTGCCATACATTCGCTGCGTATAGCTAACCCATAATGGACGTTGACAACATGCTTCTCAGCAGGATTGCTATTTGGGCGACACATTGATTTATCATTTAACAGACAGCGTAGATCTACCATGTAGTATCACCCACATCCACAATCCCTTTATCGGTCATTCATTTTCTTCAAGAGCTGGATTCTCTCTTCTCAATTCGGAACAAAAGTTTGTCCGTCATCGGTACCGTGAGCCGTCGCCGCACCGCAAACGGCACACCCATTTCGCATAATAACTGATCCCCTTTGTTACTGTTCTGGCTGCATTCCACGATGGTGTTACTCTCATCCCTTCTCGGTGTGTGCCTGGCAGTCGTTACCACGGCCACAGCAGCTCCTGCAGGAACATGCAACGCAACAAAACCTACACCGAAGCCAGAGCCTGGCTACGATACTCCCACTCCAGGTCATGAAAGGACTGGAATACCCATGCCTGACGACTTCCACCGCTTCCAAAGGATATACCAGAAAAACGTTCGCGCTTCACTGCCCTCAGGTAACTGCACGGTTAAGAACATGGGAAAGCGGAGATCTTGGTACGTCTAAACATTGCAGAGTGATGCGGATGGTATTATAGTTACTAAGGACTTCCTATGCAGGGACGAACTTGACGAGACAACTCGGCTCGACTACATTCGTGCTGTAAATTGCTTGGCTGCAAAGCCGGCCCTGACCGACAAGAACCTCGCGCCTGGTGCCGTGAATCGGCTCGACGATTTCACCTACATCCATATCAATCAGACTAATATCATCCATGGCTCGGTAAGTAGTCCATCTCATTTGTTACAACCTTCTCTGCGCTAATACCTGTGTAGGGATACCTCCTCCCTTGGCACCGCATGTTCCTTTGGCAGTTCGAACAAGCAATGCGCAATGAGTGTGGCTACAAGGGCTACCTCCCCTACTGGGACAATGCCCGCTTCAGCGAAGACCCCCTTAATTCAGCCGTGTGGTCTGGGTCCGAATATGGCTTCGGCGGCAACGGTATCGATCTCCACCTTAAACCCCAAACTTTTGTGTTTCCTGGCCTTACGAAACCATTTAAACTTCCTATGCCCGGTGGGACTGGCGGTGGTTGCGTTACAGATGGCCCCTTTACCAACTTCACCATCAGCCTTGGTCCAGTCGTAAAGCCCTTCATCGATAAAAACAACACTTACGGCTATGAGCCCAACCCGCGCTGCCTATCTCGCAACTTCGACCCAACCTCTAGCAAGGGTGTGCTCACATGGGCCAACGCTACGACGATAGTGTCCAGTCACAATATTGCACAACTGAGAGGCACCGTCGAAGGACTGTGGCACAAAAATTCCCACACATACATCGGTGGCGAGGGCGCGGATCCCTTCAGCACAACTAACGATCCGGCCTTCTATCTCTTACACACGCAGATCGACCGGCTATGGGGAATCTGGCAGGGCCAGGACTTGAAGAACCGCGAGTATGCGATTGATGGTAACAGGACGTTCTTGGGTATTCCACTTGACTACGCACCGGATGTGCCACCAAGTCTGGCTACGATTGACGATGCGATGGATATGGGACTAGGCTTTAAGCCTAAGACGAAGGAGGGTATGCCGATGACCAAGGGAGGCTTCTGCTACATTTACGAGTAGAAGGAATGTTTCAAGCGCACTGCAATTGTAAGTCAAGAGCGATATTGCATTGACGAGTATCTTCAGTGTTGCGTACAAGGGTACGGGGTCTAGACCTTCAATTCGTTCCAGTCCGTCGTTTTTATACACTAGTGACTTTGTCGAGATAATTTTCGTAGACTTCATTCTCACAACCCTAAATTCCTAGCTCCTTCTCATAGTCCCTCCATTCTCTTCCAATCGGCTGCACCAGCGTGAAACTGCTCTTCGCACCCAACGCCTGCACCCCGCTAATTAAATACAAAGGCGTCAAGTCTTGATCAAAGAAAACCTTCGGCCTTTCTCTCCGATTAAATGTCTCCACCGTTCCATCCGTAAATATCACCGTCGAATTAAACGCCTCTTGAACCTTAAACGTCCACCCGCTCTCCAGCTTCCGCGAAAACATGTGTGCCCCAGTGCGTGGATACTTTGTCCCATTCTTCTCTACGATATCAATCATCCAGTGTGTAAGCGCGTGCCAGTGTCCGCGTTTGTCCCGCCAGATGAACGGGTCTTCGGTCCAGGTTGGACTGTAGTCTGATGTATTCCAGGACACAGCGGAGTTGGTGCGCGTCCACGTACCGTTCCAATCCGGTGCAGTGAAGATCTTGAAGTCTTCAACTGCGAGAGCGATTCGAGAGGTCTTGTTGGTGGAAGAGTAAAGAGGCCAAGGGGCGGGATTGGTGCCATTTATTGCGATATGGAAAGGGGTCCAAGGGCCGCGGATGGAGGAGGCAGAGGATACGGAGACGTTATTTGGCATTTGCGACCTGGCTATATCAGTGCTGTCGTGGATGGCCTCTACGACGATGGAAAGTGTTTACCCAGGTATCGATTTGCAGCTCTTAGGATCCTCGACGTCTACTCCGATCGACCAAAGAAGATACTTCTCATCAGCCGGACTCCACGACACATCCGCGTTGTGGCGAAAACTACGTGTCACATGCTGCTTCCATACGTATGGTCCTTGCGGCCCGCTCTTCGATTCGGCTCTGACGATCAAACTGGTAGGCCGCCAGCCGCCGAGGCCACAGCCATGGCTGAATTGATCCACTAGAAGATGGAAAACCTTCGGATCTTCGCGGTCTTGCACGATGCGACCGCCCCATGATGAGTTGCCGTAGCTGCCGTAGTAGCTTGGGTCTGTGTAGTTGGTGTGATTGTAGCCTGTCCAGCGGGTAGCAGGCGCGAGGTCGAGATGGCCGCAGTCGGAACCAACCCAGCCTGTGTCGCAGTGGCACGTGGACTGCGTCTCGCAAATACCATTGAGACTGCAGTCGTCGTCCGTTGTGCATGCATATGCGGTGGTGAGGAGTGGCAGGAAAATTGGTAGGAGGAAACGAGACAACACCATCGTGTTCTAAGATAATAGTAGGCCTTGTCTACACCAGCTACACTTTTCGGTCCCCCCGCAGCTGTTTATACATTGATGCGGTGTAGATCTTCATAAGTGCGATACATTATTGCGCCGAGCTACTGAACAGGGGCGATAGATCATTGGCCCGACTTGTTTGCCGTAAGCTTTTCCACCAACCAGCATCTCGCCCCCTCATCGTCTTCCAAAAAAGGAAATTCTGGAGTAATTTTAGCCGCATCCACCATCAGCGAAGATGGTATTTAGCTAAACCCATAAGGTGAGAGATTGTGCATTCAACAATACACCAAGTGCACGCGCGATAGCGTCACGTTGCATCAGTTGTTGTCAAGTCCAATTGACATGATCTCACAGCTTCACACCATGACCTCAGCCTGTCAAGTCTGTGTGTAAGTTAGCCCCATCAGATTGAGCGCCTCTGCAATATGGACTCCTTCTCCAATCAAAGCCTAGTAACGTAGGCGTCATCATGTGGATAGATGTTTCTTGTGATTGAGAGGTACTCGTGGCTAAAATTTGCATGTCTTGCTATCTGTGCGCGACGAAGTCAAGATGGTGCAAGGCGCCGCAGGAGATCCTTTCTCCATTGCATCACTTCAGTCGATGGCGTTTCTGTGTATCAAACAAGACTCTTTCGAAGATTAAGACTGCAATTTCGGTCAAATCGTGGTCATCCCTATTGACTTGGTGAGACAGTGTGTCAGGGCTCTAGAGGCTCGGCAGCCGGAGAGATTGGCGAACATATTGCGGCCACATCGTGGGAACCTTCTCTTCGTCGTCGCCATAGCCTAGTAGTCAGGCCCTCTATTGAGCGTGGTGTCGTACGATATTGATACAAGCTTGTCTATCTTCCTATGTCAGCGATGCGAATACGAAAGGAGAAGAGACCCGGTGGAGACCAGCAGCTTGTATTTGCGGCTGCGACAATGTGCACACCGACTTCTTCGTGCTTTTCCGTTCGTCAAATGTGTGACTTCCCCGCAGCGTGACTGCCTCCTTTGCTAACCGCAGGCCAGCAGTGAGGTCACCGCACAAACCCTGGATTCCCTGGGTATATGACAATTCACTTGTTTTAACATATAGATCCCTTAGCTCATCCTGCACTCATCAATTCAAAAGCATCAATGGCACAATGGTCCCGAGCAAGACCTTAAACTGCCTCACCCACACAATCAGTAGGTCCCCTCCTCCCCTCCTGCCCAGCACCTGCCCCCATCCATTTTGGGTTTCGAGAGGAGTTCGATTCTGGCGGTTAGCAGTGGGCGGTCTGTGGGTGGTGCTCTTTTTTTGGGTATTTGTCTTGACGGTACGCGAGGGCTTGTGTGGCCATGACAACACCTTTGCACGGCCAATGCATGGCATGCGGTAATATTGAAAGCTACTTGCCCTGCAGTGAACGTAGATTCCTTTTCTTAAAACCATATCTGGTACAACTTAGTGACTCCGGAGGCCGCGTGGTGTTTGGGTAGCTCGCGCGCAAATCGTTGTGTTGTGAAGCGAGGGACGAGTTGACTGTCCTTGTACGATTGCACACACTCCACTCAATTGCAACCACCCGATATGTAGCCGCACCTGCCCTCAACGCACATCCGAAGAGGCGCTTTCTGGTTGACCGAAGCCGCGTGCGCGCCGCCCTTCCTGCCATCGGCGCTCTCTCTATCAGCCGTGGACGGAGGCTATTTGTCTCTCGGCACCCCTGCACGCTTCCCAATGACACTCATCAAGCAGCTAGAACGTGGAAGGCGATCCAAATTCTTTGGACATCGAGAAAGCTCCCATCCACCCCCAGGATCTGCAGCGTCTTGGTTTTGCGAGGTCCGCTGCGTGGCACCTTCGCGTCGCCGCTTTCATCACCAGCTCCGCTACGCCGACGACACACCATTTCACCACCAAAACGCCCGGTACCAGAGGCCTCACGCCGCGTTAAAGGCACCGCTCTGGACAGAAAGCGCCGACATTCGCCATCGACGACCGTTCCAAGGAGGTACGGCACGTGACAGCTCGACAAGAGAAGCTGCGGGATAGCCTCCAGCGGCATAAACACCTTCATCGAGCGCTTGCAGCCCTCGCTGGAGGAATGCTCAGCGCTAATAAATAACACAGCACTCAGCTTGAGTTGTTCTCACTCCCACATCCCTAAATTGAGCATGCGGAACGTATGCTAATACATGGAACACCGTTGCATCGGACTCCACCTCGAGCCGACCCGCTTGCGCACCACCTGTAGCATCGACCGAGACCGACTTCGAGAGAACATACGAGCGAGCGTCTTCCATGGAGAACTGGTAGATGCCAGGGCTGGATCTGCTGTGACACAGCGACAGCAGTAGCCAAGAGTAGGCAGGCACATGATGTGCAGTCGAATTTTCAGCGACTGTACCAGCAAATCAATGCCGCAGCATGACTAGACTGGAACAATAACACATGACATCAACGGCGTACGTGTTGGCATATGCGCCTTGGGAAGTGGCATGACGCGTTGGCGCATATCATCGACAGGCTTTTCGAGTAACTCCATCTAGTTCATGGCAGCACTGACAGCAACACCCACGCCTTGCGCCAACTATTGCCACCCATGCTGTCGCTTGCTCGCGGATCAGCAATAATAGAACGAGCCCCCAGCACGACAAGCGTGCTTGCACGATCCTCGGTGGTCCTACGCCGACCCGCATAATGCGTTTGACGATCAGACCAGTCCGGGAACGCTAACTGTTGTACACCTGGCTATCTCTTCAAATTGGGACCTGTGAAAATTCGGGTGGCATCAAAGGTCTGACGACTGACGTTGGCTCAAAGAATATATCGATGAAAGCTGGGGCGGCGCTTGCGGCGATCGAGCAATCGAACGGTCCCCAATTATTGTGACTGGCTCGGTACACCCCCTATTGATTGATACCTGGTTCGTGCAATTCGTGTGGCGTATAAGAGCGCAGCAGCGGCCCCATCGCACGCGGAGACACACAAGCACGGAAGCTGAATAGCGAGAAGAACCTCAACATGATCGGGAACTGTCCTCGCAAGATAACGTCGGTATATCCACAAACCGCAGCCCCTGTACATCCTCCGGTGAGCTGTTTACGACACCGAGGTTGAGTGGATTTGGTATCTAGCCGGACAATGTAAATGGTGCTGATGACGGTTCTGTCCACGGGATACGTATCAAAAAGCCCGCACATGTCGTCTGCAATTGGATCGGACCAAACCTGCTGAAGAAACATTTTTCTTTCTATAGATGCCCTCTTGTACCAAGATCAAGCAATACTGCCTCTGGTCCCGGGCGATTCGCTGCTTCCGATAAATGCGAACCTTCTCGCTTCTGGGAGCTTCCGATGTACAGCGCAAGTTTTGTGCATATTCAGACATCTCGCACCGCGACTTCGATACGTGGTTTCGTCTTGACAGAACGGCGAGATGCCATGTCGAGCGCGCCTTATTCTTCGGGAAATGGTCAGAGCCAAGCGCTTCCTTCAACATCTACTGCAATATGATAGATTGCGAGAAGCCTGGAGGTGTATTACACCCAATGTAGTTGCTGGATGAACGATTTGTTTCCAGAGAAGCATCTAAAGCTTGACCTTCTCTACCGGCATCGGATTCTGCACTGATACATCGGGACCGCAGGAAACCGCTCTGAGCTTATTCAAGCGTCCGCCTGCGCATGCTGTCTCCGCGTACCCCAACAAAGATCCAAACACAGGTGATTCCTCTTCGGAGATCTTGCACATAGGATGGCCTCCGCATTATTGAGTAAGCACCGCACTTTGCTTTGTCCCTTTGAGCGGCGGGTGCCATCCTGAAATGTTGCCGAGGCAGGCAGCCTACATCATGTAACTCTTAGGAGATGCGGGGAGTAGCATCGTATGGCAGCGCAGCCCCCCGAATGGCGTTCATGACACCGTAAAAAGGACCGCATCAATCACATGCGAGTGAGCGTGTTGGGGTGGCGGTGGATTCCCAGCATCGAGCCAGCTTCGTGACGAGCATCCCAGGCCCATGCCCTCGCGCATACCTGGTTTCGTCGAACCGTGTTCAGCAGTGTTGAACTTGTGCACCGCATCACACAAAGCGCCATAGGGGTTAGACGCGTGGGCGCGTGTAACGCACACCTTGCCCGCTGCTTTCGGATGACTTCCACCTGCATGCCTCAAGACGCTTGTATGATGACGCGGATGTCTGCGACTTGGTTGCATATCCGTCGTATGCGGTCCTGCTACGACGTCGTCTCTATTCGAGCCCTAGAACGCCAGTATGGCCGCTTTTGAGAGAGGCGCATCTAGCGAGCGGAAAGGTGGACGAATTGGCTCCTACGCAAGCGATCACCACGTCATTCGTAAAGCGAAGCCTCAATATGAAGCACTGTCATCGGTACAGCAGATACTATCATGAAGGCGACAGGAATTCCGCAGAGGTTGTCGTCGCTGGAACGCTGTTGTGAGCGTCAGGAATGTGTGGGCGTGGGGTGGCCCTCGGGGACGAGTCTTCCTCCGTGATTGCAATCAGAAACATGTTGCTCGTGCGACGATTTGCTATAGGATGCTCTAATACTGCCGTAAGCTTGGCGCAGGGTTCCTAGCGGTCGCTGCCGCTGCGGCGTTGTTGAGATCGCCTTCGGAGGTATCGAAGAAAGTGGAGCCGCCCATGGGCCTTCGCCGCCCTCGACTGCCTGGGCGAGCTTCAACACCAGTACTTCGCATGCTGATGGCGGCGGCGGGGTTCTGGACGAGTGCTACAGGTACTGTGACACCATTCTCACTCATGTAGCTGGCATCGTAGTTGGAAGCTAGAGACGTGTGAATGAGGGCCGCCGCCGCTACGAAAGCAAGCCTGCGGAGAGAATGAAGACTCGGACTTTGGCTGTTGGAGAGCTCTTGCAGAGTCGCGTGTAACGGGCTTCAGGATTCGTAAGCTAACTGTGTCGCTGGGGTCGGTCGTGATAGCCGGCTACGTTGTGTCGGAGCGTTAGCAGACGCTCGCAGGTAAAGAAACGTGAAGCCAGTGTGCCCGCCCGTCAGTCGTGATGAGGGACCGCAAAACCACCACATCACAAACTAGGAGCTGTGTGTTGTTGCAATCAAGAGCAAGCATTCGTCCCGGCTATAGCAAAATGTGCTACTCGGATCGAGGCGGCACCACTACATGGAGATCTCGAGGCCGCAAAGCTCGGCATATAAAGCAGCTTACGCCGTGGACTAGCATAGCCTTAGGCACGGGAAAGCAGGTCATCCTGTGCTTTGGAGTCGTATTGATGAAGAGCACATGATGCGATGAGGGGCTTGCATCGTGTGGGTCCTTCCTGTACGCTTACCAAATAGCGTCCGAACTGAAATTGGACGTCCCTTCTCGAGACTCGACATTCTACCTACACTTCACACAGACGTCACAGCAAAATTGGCTCTGTCACACACGCTGTATCCCCAAGAGCTGGTCTGCCAAATGCCAGGAATACCAGATTGATTTGTCTATCCTGCTATGTCCAGTCTACGTATGCCCGATTTGGACGCTGTGGCCACGATCCAGCTTGTATATCCTCACTGTCCCGCATGTATCTCGCATCAGAAAAAGAGAAGGGACCCTTGTAACAATCGATGGCTAGAATGCGCCTTGTCTGGCTGTCGCTGTTAGTGTACACGGCCGCAGATGCATCGCAACAACTCACCTAGTCGCCCTTGAGAGTGCTTGGGCTGTCCGGCATGGACTCGGCGCCCTCGTTGGAAGAGGACTTGCCTCCTTGCGACGGATCTTGTTGCTTCTCCTCCTGCTTTGGAGGTGGCGGCTGGGTACCTTTCGGCGGAGAGGGCTTGTTCACTGGGTCGTGGCCAGCGTTGATGGGCGCGGGACCTGGGACTGACAGGTTTGTGACGTCGTAGCCGCCACGGCCGAAGGGGACGCGAGAAGAGCGAGAAGATTGCGCCATGGTGCTCGAAGAGAAAAGGTCGTAGGTGGTGATAAGGGTGATGTTGTGGGTGGTGTTGTGGTTGTTAGGGATAGGGGGAAAGCTCAGGACAAACTCGTCCCTCACCGCGCCTGCCTCCGTCACCTCGCTTAACTCCCACTCAATTACCTTAAATCGATAAATCTCTGCTTCATTAAGGGATATAGAGGGCTCAGCAACAGCGGTAAGCATCGAACAGCGCTAACTTGTGTACAGAACAGGCTTCATGGCACAACGGTCACGGAACGAGACGAGACGATACGATACGGATACCGGGGCTGAGAAACATTCGATGCGATACGATGCGATGCGATACGAGCCGGCTGCGAGTTTCTCTTTTTTGCAGGCGTTCGAATCCGTGAGGGAGACAGTTTCTTTTGCGGTTGTTTTTGAGCAAACACTTAACCAAAGAGCAACCGGGATGACAACAGAATCAGGCTCGTTGTATTCCAAATATCGGTCACTCCTCATTACGACCGACAGGCTCTAACATCCCCTATGATTGAAACGTAGGCCAAAACACACCTGTGCAGGTCCTGAGCGCAGAAGGGAAGCTGAATGATTGTAACCTGGATTTGTCGGACGCAACTCATAAGGCCGAGCTTTATACTATCCCACGCAATCGACCACATACATTTCCTACCTAACGGCTGGAAATATATCGATTTAGAAATGCGTTTATATGTATTTGCGCCATCGGAACTCTCGTCAACAATGTAAAAAGGATGCATTTCGCCACAAAATGGTCTCAGACTAGAATCCTGCTGAGACAGAAAATACCAGTGGCAGGAAATGATTGACTTATGTTCAAGGAGCTGGGAACTACGTGGAATCAACATATGGGCACTATATCAGGGTGGGAGGCTCTGATATCAGCCTTCACAAACCCACACATGACTTAAGAGTCTCGTGTTGGAATTTTTATCTTCCGGTGCTATGCTTGCGGGTCATCTTGTACGCAAAACAGAATGGGTACGAGATTACGGTGAATTAGGTATGGTGAAGAGCAAGGTGTAACGCAAGAACTTGTTTTCCACTATGGAATTTAGCATTCAATGAACATCGTCGGCTCGCTGCTTCCATAGGGCACATTTAAGGAGCAAATATTTGATGCTCAGTCGCAAATCTCACACTCCGAATCTCACCACTACCAGTAATTTTTATTGCCTAAAATGTCTTCGTTGTGGTATCTTATCGAGCAGTTGGACGATCTATCAAGTAAACGTTGAACATGTGTCTCCATCCACACGCCCTCTACCTCGACTGCCACAATGTCGAGGCTACCGGTCCCATTGAAATATACTATGACGGGAGCACTGATGCGCACCTGTCACTCCTCAACTGTCCGTATTATCAAGCTGGGCTACGATATCACGCTGAGGGCTTGTGTCCAATTTGTGAATATGGGGCGGATAAAGCGCACGGGAAAGTGGTGAGGGATTGTGGAGAACTTGTGGAGGATTGGAAAGGGTGTAACAAAGAGAAAGAAGGATCTGCAAGTGAAAGGGAGAATTGTTGGCTTTTGAGGAGATGACTTCATGTGTTGGTGGTTGTTTCTTTATCGGAGTTTCTATCCTTATATACGTATTTACAGGGTGGTCATACTTTAGGATCGCCCACCATAGTCACTGGCCAACGAGATTCCAGCATCGCGGGTTGTGGATGCGATGGTGCTCGAACGTGTTGGATAGGAGGACCTAAGGGGTTCAAGTTGATGGGACGAGGGGACGATCGAGCAAATATATCTTCTATACACAGTGACTAGAATTGATCTTCTTGATGCGCAGCTGCTGTATGGTAAATAGTATCATGGGTGTTACCCGTCCTTGCCTACTGTAGCACATCGTTTCTTTGGAAGGTTACCTGCATCACCAACCAAACTTTCATCTTAAGAATATTCAATGTCGCCGTATAGCCATCTTCCTTTTATGACACAGTGACAATCGTGGCCCCAGGGCTCCAGGGCTATCCAGAACGCACGGGACACTCTGACAGGGCGTTGGTTTTTTTGGTTAGCGCGAAGACCGTGCGCAGTCTTGGCGCGGGTGCCTGGGTTTCTCTAATCAACCGCTTACTTGCTTTGGACCATTACAATTTCACATGTATCGCAAACTCAAATACATGGCAATCGAGTGAGCGACATGTCTCTCGGATCGTGAACCTACACGGTGGCGGTGCTGATTCCGAAGTGGAACCCCCGGTTACTCAATTTGCCTCCCGTGCAGCAAAACATCAAAACCATCGCATGCTTGCAGCTCGCAGACGCAAATACTATCAGATGACACGATGGATTCCTCAGGGACGACGACGCCGGTGTCCACCCCTATGACGTCCATATCTTCGAACGCACCTGAACTCGAAGCCAAGTTGTCAGATTTCCAGAAGTTTATCGCGTTGGGTTGCCTCCATTTCGACTATAAGCTTCAGCTAGAAGTGAAGGAATCCGAAGCCCCTTGGGCGGAGCTAATCCACCGTGACTTACCCGAAGAAGTGAAAGCACATGTTGGCGACGAGGCATCACGATTACTGGAAGCACGTTGGATCCGTATGTTCCTCCACCTAAACAGTGAAGTGACAGACAGTTCTCTGGTTCGAGTTTATCTTCTACCGGAAGATTGGGGCCGAAAGTATATCGATCGTAATAGTAGAAGTCTCAAAATGTCCCTTCGCAGCCTTTTACTTCGAATCGACGTATCGCCAGAAGCATGGGCAGGCCATCATCCGATATCACTTGGAGGTCGCTTTGATCCTTGGGCAAGCGCTGAAAATCTGTCTCTCTTCTATCTGTTCAACAAGCTTCCTTCTCCAGCCCCAGCACCGGAAAAGATTAAGAACCGCTTCAGCAGGAGAGCAGTCGAGGATCTTCTAGAATCAATGGCTTTTGACCCTACAGTTGACCCGGATGAGCCACCCCTCCCAGGGTTGAAGTCGAAATTATATCCGTACCAGGCGCGATCAGCGAGTCTTATGATACAGCGGGAAGCAGCACCCCAGCTCCAGCTTGATCCACGGTTTGATGTCAGACAATCACCGAATGGGGAAGCTTTCTACTTTGGAGCAAAAGACGGATCTTTTGTCAAAGAGCCGAAATACTACGAGGCCAATCGGGGTGGCATATTGGCAGAGACTATGGTGAGTCTGTCCACATCGCAGTGATTGCGACATTCGCTGCACACATGTACATTTGAGGATGCTTCGCTAGTTGCTTGCCTTGAACTCTTAGCCTGCAAAAATATCTATCTGAAAGCGATAGCTGACTCGAGCAGGGCTTGGGTAAAACTATCATTTGTTTATCAGTGATACTGGCGACGAAAGGACATCTTCCCCAGATACCTGCAGCTTACCAGACCCCTCCGCGAACACGCAGTCAAGTTGGCTCGCTGAAAGATATGGCTGCGGGCATTCTCGGCCGCCACGCTGTTCCCGCAAAAGTCGAAGTGGAACGATTCGAAGCATACGATGACAGCGATCTAAGCACTATGAAACTGGCACTAGAACGTAATACACCATACTATGAAATACTGCCAGATGTACCACGAATGAATAGGAACACGATCATACCACCACCACGTCAGTTAGCCCTGTGCCCCGGCACGATCGTGGTAGTCCCGCGAAATCTTCTTCATCAGTGGCAGTCCGAAATACGCAAGCATCTTACCACAGACGCCTTAAAGATTTTGATCGTTGATACTCTGCCGAAACGTGCGAAGAAGAACGCGCTCAAAGTCGAAGAAGAGTACGCCATGGACTTTGTTAGCGACTTGCCGCCACCTACAAAGCTTATGGAATATCATATTGTATTGTTCACACGTAATCGCTTTGAGCAGGAAATTCAGGACGGCGCGGATGAGAAAGGCCGCAGGTTTGGAGCTGGAGCTCCCCGTAGCTGTAGCTGTCCGTACATTGGCGCGTCAAACATTCCTGACTGCTCATGCAAAGGCCAAGTCTACGAGAGTCCTATGAAGAAGGTTCATTGGCTACGTATCATCATCGATGAAGGTCATAATTTCTCTTCGTCGGTCTCAAATGCTGTCCTGGTCGCCAAACAGCTACAAGTCGAGCGCCGATGGATAGTAAGCGGAACGCCTGCAAAGGATCTAGTCGGCGTCGAAGTCGATCTTGCAACCCGCGATGAAGGCTCAACAGACGCGAAGCTATCGCGCGAGCTGGCCATTGAACAGAGGAAAGCTTTCAGCCTCGACGATGAGAACACAAAGGCCGCAAAAGCTCTAGGTACATTAGCTTCACATTTCTTGATGGTCCGCCCATGGGCCGACTCCAGCGCTGATGGTCGTCTCGAATGGGATGACTACATCTATCGTCATGAGCACCTTCACAAGAAGACGTACTCTGGTTTCTCCGCGTGCTTCCGACGTACTCTAGAAGGCTTGGTGGTAAAGACGCGACCGGAGGACGTCGAGAGAGATATTATGCTACCGTCAAAGCGGCATCGCGTGGTGTACCTCAAGCCATGCTGGTTCGACAAAATGGTATATTACAACCCCTCTTACAAATAGAATTCTTAAGGCTAATCCGCACCGTAGGTGCAGAACCTGTTCGTCCAAGTACTGCGAGCGAACGCCATCACCAGTGAGCGATCTGACGTCGATTATCTTTTCCACAAAAACAGCATCAAAGCCCGACACAGCTTGATCCGCAACCTGCGACAGTCCAACTTTACTTGGACTGGTTTCAGTGTGGACGATGTTGCGACTACCTTGGAGACCAGCGCAAAGTATCTCGCGAAAGAGGATAAGAATTGCTCCGTAGGAGATGCTCAATCACTTCTCGAGAGCTGCCAAGCTATCTCAACGCTTGTTGCGTCAGATAGCTGGAGAGCTTTGAGCCAAGCACACGAAGTTGGTAAGTGGCCACAACAGAGCCAGCCGTTTCATCCGACCGCAATGATTCCCATTCGAGACTCTCTACTGATCGAGTATATATAGGTCTCGCAGTGGAGCATTGGCCTCGAGATTCTGAAGCAATCTTCGCTTTGTCACCGCCCGAAAAGCCATCTATGATTGGGATCACTCAGCTTTTACAAGGGCAGTCCCATGTCGACAGTCAGATCTTACTAGAAAATCCATCGGAGGGGCTGAGCACAGTCGGACAGGTGGCGAAAGTGAGATTAGCTGAGATGCAAGAAGCTGACGCGGAGACGAAGACAAATAAAGAGGAAAAGATCACCAGCAACGGTGTGATGCACAAGGTTGGAGTGCCTTCTTCTGCAGTAGGCGCCTCACCACTTACGAGCCGCCGAGCTTCTACAATCGCGACGAAATCCTCACCCAAGAAGTCTAATGTGAAGCAAGAGCCTGTAACGCCTGTCAAGACAGAACAGCCTTCGATTGGTCCAAACGAAGCTGTAATAGATGCAACCCCAGACCGTCCAAAATCCCCAATCCTCCCTCGCAAACGCAAGCTCACCCTCTCCGACGAAACCGCAGAACTCCCATCCGATTCACCTTTACGCAACACACAAATAATCGGCACCACCTCCGCCAAACTCTCCTACCTCATCACCCAAGTCGTCCAGCATGCCGCCACCTCCAAGATACTCGTCTTCTACGACGGTGACAACACCGCATTTTACCTCGCCCAGGCCCTCGAAATGCTCTACATAAACCACCGCATCTACGCGCGCACACTTGACAACGCTACGCGCTCGGCGTACGTTGCGCTGTTCAATTCGGACCCGGATATTAGGGTCTTGCTTATCGATGTAGCCTGCGGTGCGCTCGGGTTAAATTTGAACGCCGCGAATATTGTGTTGATTGTGAATCCTATCAATCGTCCTGGCATCGAAGCGCAAGCGATCAAACGCGCGCACAGGATCGGCCAGACAAAAGAAGTTCTTGTCGAGACACTCGTCCTCGAGGGAACCATGGAGGAGCAGATTTTCAAGCAGGCGAAGCAGATGAGTCGGCAGCAGCATGTGGAAGCGAAGGAGTTGGAAGATGATGCGGGTATTGTCAACATCATACAGAATGCAAGGATCCTGCCGATCAAGAAGGGGGAGAGCGAGGGGCTGGCGAAATTCGCGAAGCTAGAGGTGCCACAGAGGGTGTTCGGCCGGCCGGGGAGGGAGAAGTACCATCATTATCTGGGGAAGAAGGAGGAGAGTGGAAAGGTTACCAAGAAATCGAAGAAAACTCGTAGCGAGAAGATGAAGAAGGAGGATGCCGGCAACAGAATGGCTACGCCGGTGAGACCCCTGCCTGAAGCCTTCACGCCGCCACCACCACCGCAGCCGCAGCCGGCAGGTTTCGAAGCTGGAGCGCCTGCTGCGACGCAGGGTCAGCCCCTGACCTTGAGCATCTTCGGTGGGGACCGGCAGGCTGACTGACGCACTGGCGCTTTCTAGAGGTTCCTACCGTGCTTTGAATCTGTGCCGGATTCACTTGTTTAGGTGCTATCGACGGGCTGGAAGATACACTCGATATACCCCATTGGCTTCAGGTTCAGCTTGCTTAACAGGGCTCGCACGTGTACATTAGCAGGCTCCACAGGCATTTAAACTTATCTCATCCTCTTCAAACCAGCCACCAATGCCCATTCGTAATTCTACCATAATATAATACAACATATTCAGTCTATACTATACACAAGAACCTCAAACCCACACCCAGCCCGAACTCTACAAGTCTACGGTCTCACCCTCACCACATCCTCATTTGTCCCCTTATCCACGCCAATGCCGAAAATATGCTTCGTCTTCTTGCCCTTCTTATCGCCGTACTTCTCGTCGAACTTCTTAATCGCGTTCAAACTGCTCATGTTCTCGGAAATACTCGCCGAAATTTCCTGCAGCGCGGCGTCGAAGTGGCGCTTGGATAGGATGCGTTTATCGGGGAACTTGTAGTCCAATCCGCGGATAAGATGGGAAGATTTAGATCCTACGTCGGGAGAGGAAGAGGAAGGCTCTGAGGATGAGGTAGAAGTGTCAGAGGCGGCTTTGGCTGCTGCGATGGCAGCTTGTTCATTTTCTTCCTTCACGCAGGCGAGCGCTGCTGAAACGGCGAGGTTCTTGAGATCAGAGCCGGAGTAGAAGGGCGTTCGCTTGGCGACATCATTTAGGTCGACGGACTCATCAAGCTCCTCGCCCCGAAGGTGGATCTTTAGTATCGCAGCTCTGTCCTTCTCGGTGGGTAAATCTACAAGTAGTCTCCTAGGTAGTCGCCTGATAACTGCATCGTCGAGGTCAAACGGCCTGTTTGTTGCAACCATGACGAATACGCTGAGATCGTTCAAGCCATCCCACTCCTTTAAGAACTGATTGAGGATATCGCGGTGCGAGGTTCTTTCACGGCCAACATCTCGCGACGAGAAGATAGCGTCCGCTTCATCGAGGAAGACAATACAGGGTGAGAGCTTGCGCGCGAGCGAGAAAATAGCAGTGACGTTCTTCTCGCCTTCACCAACGTACTTGTCCATGATTTGGCTGCCTGACACCTCGAGCACGGTGGATCCACTCTCCTTCGCGACGGCCTTGGCCAGTAGCGTCTTTCCTGTGCCGGGAGGACCATACAACAACGCTCCAGAGATTTTCTCTGTGGCAAGGACACCGTAGTTGAAAGCATCTGGTCTGAGCAAAGACAGACTTGTAAGAGTGCGAATAGAATCGACGGTATCAGTCGGAACGTGAATTTGATCGAAAGTAGTCTTAATCTGCGCAGGATTTGCGATGCCGGGCATCAAGCGTTTCTCGTGCTTGGTGGCGGTTTGGGAGACTTTCTCGAGTTTGGCCTCAAGATCGCGGTCGCGGTTGTCAGTAGTTGACTGAGTCCTCGCCCTCAAAGTCTCCATTACTTTTCTACGGAATTCAGAGTGCGTGGGAGAGTCGTCGCCGGGGCGAGGAAGAAGAGCTTGGCGTTTAACGTAATCAAACTTCACTTGGTCGCTCGCTTGCAGCATGCCTATTGCAAGAGCGACGTGCGCACTGGTTAAGTGTTCGCTCGTAGGATCGATAGCGTGTAGACCTAAGGCAGTCAACGCTATGCGATGCACCTCATCATACGTTAGAATCTTGCTAAGAGAAGCACCCGAGATACTAGCTAGTGCGGGTCCAGCGCGACTGCCATCTCCAGTTTCCCTCGCCGACAGGTGCTGTGCTGCAACTGGGTCTAATCGACGCAACATGTCGAATATATGGCGAACGTTGATCCTCCGATATTTCGACGCGTCTAATCTTGGCAGTACAATTGACTTTAGGGATCCAATTAGGTCGTGCATACTATCCAACCGCTCTACAGGCACCACGATGGTCCTGTAAAAAGATGCTTCGCCCTCAGACTGAAGGCTTTGGACACCATTTTTGGAGAATTCGGGGGTAAGGTCTGCCGATGAAGTGCTGCCAATCATCATGATGCGCTCGCCTGCCAGCCTCCGCTTACGGATTATCTCTTCAAGCTTTTGTATGATTCTGCCTCCGTAGTGAGTGGCATTGAGTTCTTTGTAGTCGGGAATGTATACAATTTTGGCGCTGCCTGGGGTTTTAGAACTTGTTGCCGCAGTGACGGGACCAACTTTAACAGTAAGGTTGAACTGTGTTATCGCTTTGCTCGGTAAGGCAGCATCGATGTTGATTTCATCACGAGTGGATGTAGATGGAGACGCAGATGTCATCAGAGAGCTAAAGAACCCTCCTCTTGGCGCGCGCGAACTTCGCTTGTCGGTACTAGGGGCTGAGGCCGCAGAATCTGAGGTTGGAAGAGGTGAGTTCTGGCTTCGTTTCGTCTCTGAAGCATCGATCAGATGCTCGAGAACATTACCAATCTTCAGGTCCTCCAGCTGGGACTCTACCGGTGTCTGCGAACGAGGCTGCATGTCCGCTGATGTATTAGACTCCTGGTTGGGCGTTTGTAAAGCCTTGAGGGCGCTCGAAAGAGCGTTCGGAAGGATTATGGAAATGGGCATCTTGAGGCCAGCAGCTGCAGATGGCTTGGGAAACATGGACGAGAATGATGCCGGCGATGGTGTCGAATCTTCTTGCTCGTCGCCAAAATCCTCCTTGCCTGCTTCATCAAGAAAAGCGTCGCTTTCAAGATCCGAGCTGAGCCGGTATGTTTCGTAGGCCAAAGAGCGAATCGAGTGGGGTGATGGGTCTGGTAGGTCACCCAGATAGTCACCCGCTATCTCAGCAAGGTCTTGTGCGTTTAAGGATACTATATCAGCGCCTTGTTCACGTGCAATGTTCGCCAGACAATTACTCAGTTCCTTCTCTTTCCCATTAGACGGGCAATGTAGTATTAAGTTTGTCTTCGCCGCCGGAAAGTTGTCGCTTGACGCGGGCTGCGAGGCAGAAAGAGAGGCGGCAATTGCAGCGTGAATCTCTGCTTTCACGAAAGGGGGTATGTAACCTGCATTTCGTGGGCGAAAGGGATCAAACACCTCGGAGTGGTGCGTAGCCTCCAGACGAAAGTTTACCGACTCGATTTTCCGCATGGCTTCGTCGCTCAACTTTCCACTTTGACGGGAAAGGGCGAAATGATGGTTTGCGGTGATGATCTCGGTGTTGTCGATTTCTAGCTTCCGTTTTATTCTGACCGGGTCTTCCAAAAGGTGCTCTTTCTGCAGCCAATACCGCTGTTCCTCACCGGATACGACACCATCGCCTCCGATTTCTAGATCTTGGAGCACCTCTTCGCTCTCCGGCAGTCCCAAGCTCGCTGCCCATTGCCGCGCAAAGCGCCTCTTCTCGTCACTGCCTAGTCCGCCACCCCATGCCTGGAATAGGAAGTCAGATAGCAGCTGCACGGCCGCGCCTGGTGCGTTTATCGGAATGGCGCACGTTCCGGTCTCATCGGTACCCCGCCGTTGTAGTTCGAAAACGAACTGGCGCAGAGGTTTGTTGTCGGGAGCGTCGTCGCTGAGGCGGACGCATTCGTTCACGAACCAGCTCGGGACGACCACAGGGGGAAGGTCCTGCGCGCGGTTTCTTCGTTGTGATCGTCGTAGCGCCGAAGAATACCGGCGTGTCATCTCCCTTGATCGCTGCAGCTTCTGCGCCAGCATGTCCGCATCCTCGACGGCCTCCCCATTGTCTGCCCTCGCAGCAGCGCCCTCCGCTTTCTTGCGCTCCCCATTCTTGCTGTCGGAAGGCTTGTTGTCGGGATCGGCAGGCGGATTGTTGTCTTGTGCCAGGCCTCTCGAGGCGTGGAATGCGCGCGCGCGTGCAGGCGGTAGCGGGTAGCGGCGATGCGAGATAAAGCGTGCTGGACGTCTCCGGTGTGACGCTCGCAGGCCGGATCGGAGTGCGCCGTACATACGGAAAGGAGGCCGAATGAACTCCTGGGCGACTGGGGGAATGTCGCAGGCTAAGGAAGGGAAGCAATGGCCGATGTCGCGTTGGCCTGAGCCGCGACTTTTCCTTCAATGTTTGCCGTCCGCCATCCTTGCAATGCCAAGCCCTCAGATGCACCTGCCAAAAGTCGGCGGTTAGAAACGCTAATCTACATTTGCATCTCATCACGTGGACCTTGCAATCTCTGAGGTTAACAGGTGTCTTAGGGTATGAGATACGCCGAGGTTGGTGTGTCGAAGTGGGAGCTGGCTTTGCAAATGTTGTCTTCAGTAAATATTGCCTTACGTACCAAATGCAGTGAGTTTAGATGCCCGTGCCTAGGTAATGTTCAACGCCATCTTCAAGCTTCTCAATCCACCATGCACACGACAAGACTCTGTAGTCTTTGTCGCAATCAGAAGGCGTCTCTTTTACTATGCTCGTTCGAGCTCAATAGTAATCTATGAGCAAGAACTACCTAAGCAAGCCTAAGTCTTTGCCTCCAAGCAACTTGAATTTGTAAAGAATAACGGGGAAACATCTTCATATTAACATACCTATGGCACTTCACAGTAGGTGTTAGGTATTTGGTCTGTGAGATACAACACTTTTCGGGCCTTCCAGCGCTTGGATCGCCATTCGCAGAGTGTATAGAGCGCAGTTTGGCCTTTAAAGTAATAATAGTCTGAGTTGACCAAGCATCAATGGTTCATTGAAATATCTATAACCGACTTGGAATACACCTCGCCAACTCGAAGTAAGATACCGAGGCCAAGAGGTTCTTTCGGAGACTTCTAGAAGTGACTTCTTTGCATGTAGAGATTTTAGCAAGGTGACGTACATACTATTAAGGTAACAGAGAACAATACCACTGTGGAGGGAATGGAATAACTTATACAGTCAAACTCTGGAACTTCAACGGAGAAGCCTTCATATCGATACCCTGCTATAACACCAACATCGCAATGGTCGTGTAGCAACCATTGCCAAGCCTCTGTACGCGGTTCACTCGTCCACGCAAGCTTAAGCAACCCCTATACTCAGCTTCTGTGTTTACCTCCGTGTGTTCTGCTAGTGTCTCAGCACTTCGCATTTAGTAACACGTTGGACAGACGCCGGGCACAGTTTCTACATCAGTACAGCACTGAAGTCCAGGTGTTTTTGTTTTAGACGAGCGAGCTGCAGTCAGACAAACACTTCTCCTTCATTGTCTTTTCGTCCTATGTACTCTCTTTAGCATCTCACGATATACAACAATGCATACTTGGTATCCCCTCTTTCCGATCCCAGTCCCCGGCCCAATCCCAAATGCCCAGTGAAAAATCCTGCTCTTTCTTTCTTTCAGAACCTTAACGCCTTGCGATGATATGCAACCCAAGTATCGTGATGACTAAAATCAACAAGCCCAATGGTAGTCCGGCCGTCCAAGGAGTGTATCCCAATGCTGTGCTCTAACCGAAAACGAAGGAAACGCTGCGATCAATTCGAAGAGTATATCGCCTAGGCATACCTCACACTTCCACTCCTATACATAGGTGGCGGCGGTATAGGTTCCCCCTGCGGCCCATGTCCCGGCTGCTGCTGCCACATCGGCGCAGCGTTACCCGCTTGTTGCACCAACGGCGCACTGCCTCCTCCACTACCATTCGGGCTCGGTGGCCCCCTTCTCCCACTCCTCCCACCTCTACTTCCACCACCAGCATAGTACGGCGCCACCGGCGGGCCTGCAGCGTACTTCTTCTGCAGCTTCCTGCGCTTGTAGGAGCGCCAGCAGCAGCCGAGGATGGAGAGAATAATGAGGCCGCCGATGCCGGCTGCGAGACCAATCACGAGAGGCTTATGCGTGAGGATCCAATCTTTGACTTCGTTGCCGACGGAGCCGCCCGTGCATTGACCCTGTGTTTCCATTAACACCCTTTTTCAATAGCAAAGGGATCGAGATGTGAGGGGTGGGGGAGAGAATATGAAAGGAAAAGGGTAAAGGCTGATATAGGGGGTCGTGGAGGGACTTACATTCTGGCACTTGCCTCCTCCTATGCATGACGTGCCATCGAGGAAGTTTTGTTGGAGACCATAGCACGTATTGCCAAACTCGGGGCTCGCACAACTCAGCATGCAATTGCTGTTATCGCACGCATAAGTATCGTTGCCCTGGGTGTAACTCCCCATGATAGTCTTGCACTGCTGGTCGCGGCTCGTGCACTGACCGCTTGCGCACTTGAGGTTGCCACCACAGTCGGTACCGTCGGGCTGCGTCTCGTCGTCGGGGCAGTAGGGAGAGTTGCCTGTGCATTTTTCTTCGGGGTCGCACTGGCCGTTGCTTGCACGGCAAACGGTATTAGAAGACGCGAATTGGCAACCCTTGCAGCAGTCTTCATTAGAATCATCGCAGACGGCGTTGTCTTTGAATTTGCACGTCTTAGCATCGCAGCAGGCGTTGTCACCACAGGAGTCGCCGCCGCAGTCGCACTGCTCATCGCCTTCGACAATGCCGTTGCCGCAGGTTTGCGTGGTAGTCAGGTTGACGTTGCGGTTGTTGGATAGGCAGGTAGATTTGACGCTGTTGCGGCCGAGCGCGGAGCAGATGTTACCAATGGAGCAGGCGGAGAAACGGGTGATGCCCTGGGCGGTAGAGGGGTTCATGATGAACTGCTCGCCCGCGTCGCAAGTACCCGCGGATAGGGGACAACACTGCGATGCGCTGACTGCGTTGCTGTTTTGGCACGCATCGGCAGTACAGTCGTGTACGGCACCGAACGTGTGGCCTGTTTCGTGCGCGATGACCTGCCATTCTGTTGATGTTCGGACAACGACGTTTGCCCCGCTGACGGTCTCGTTTTGCCCACCGTTGGACTGCGAACCTGCAACACAAGCCTGTCCGAGCCAGGCCAAGCCCACGGCGGAGCCGGTGTTGCAGGTCGACAGGAGAGTCCAGTGGCTAAATCCATCGTTCTGACCGCCCCGCCACGAAGAAAACAGGTTCAACCTCTTCTGGATATCGACGCTCGATGAGCAGTCCTGGTTCCATGGGGTGGCGGTTTGTTCGGTAGTTGGGCACGAGGGATCCGTGATGACGACGTTCGCCAGGCCAAGCGAGATGTTGAAGGTAGACTCAAACAATTCGGAAGCAGAGTTCATCTGCTTGATGACATTGTCCCTGGTCTTTGTCTTATCCGAACTGAACGCCTTGATATACGTGCAGTCGGTAGCAACACCCACGAGAGCAACCTTGCGAGTAGTAGGGCACCCAGCCGTACTCCCAATCGAGGAAACAAGGTTGACACCCGCGCCATTACCACCACCAGGAATATCCGACTGTCTCTTCCCCAGTATGGCAGAAAGGGGCATAGCGAAGAAGTTCTCCTCAGCGCTGCGCGCCCGCATCGACGCATACACAGGGTGATCCTCATGCGTGTTGAACTTGAGGTCGTCGCTCACGCATGCCTGACCTAAATCCCTCCTCTTCAGCTCCGAATGCTCTTGTATCCGTCCCATATCACTGTCCCGGAACACAACCATCTTCTCCTCCCCAGACCCAAGATCAACATCCGGGTCTCCTTCCACCATCGTACTCTTGTAATTCTCGCCCAGCAACACATGGTGGTGATCATGATCAATCGTAAACGTCCCTTCGAATACCGGGTCCACGCCATCCCTCCTCACATCTATGCGCGCCCAACCCGCTCGATCCCAACGACTCCCTCTCTTTAGCCACGCAGTCCCCTTGTAGATCTTATGCTGCAGCCTATCCACCGGCTCCTCGCTATGTATCTGCCCATTCGCATCCAGGTAACTTATCTTCGCGCCTACGGGAAACAGGTCGTGGTTGGGCTCGAGGCTGAGACGTATGCGCTGGCCGGTAGTGCTGAAGTCGAAGGCGAGGTCGAACGACGAGAGTGCGGTGACTCTGTGGTTCTGCGTGAGGATGTCGGCGTTCTTTGCGAGCCCGATGCGCTGCAGCGGGTCTCGTGCGGTGGAGGATGCCGTGGCGAGGGCGAGCAGCGATGCGTAGCACGCAGCGAGCGTGCTTCGTAACCGCATCGTCTCCTGGGTGTGTATACGTGTTTGCCGCGAACGGCTCTTCGTCCTCCCTCTCTTCACTCAGTCGATTTTAGTCGTGGTTAAGTCCGGTCTGTCGTAGGTTTGCTAGGTCGGGACCACCGGTTCCTCCAGCGACGGGAGATGCGGATAGCGCGGGTCTGCGTCCAAACAACCACCTGTCCAATATTACAGCAGCACAACAGCGAGCGACGCGACGGAAGAGAACGTGGATGTGCGTAGTAGACACTTCGAGGCAAGTGACTTCGCCCTCCAGGCCAAGCGTCGAGGCCGACGTCCAGCGTTCGTCAGCGCAGTTGCACTGCCCGCCTCCCAGGCGCCTCCTTGGCGACAAGTGACAGGGGCTGGGCCCAAACGCCTTCGAAACCAGCTCGGTCGTCACAAGCCACACCTGTCACTGGGCCCACGACTCTCAATGGCGTAGGCCTGTTATTATTGTGAGCGCCATCTTCACCAAGCATTGTCGTACAGCATGTTGCATGTTCGGATTTTGAACATTCTGACGCTTCGCTACGGGATATCGCAGACACCGAACTAAGAATAAAAGAACACAATGTCCGCTTGCAACACGGGCTTACGGTGCGACTGATCCCTAGCCATACACTGCGAACACCACTAGACGTTTGAAGACAACTCTTGCCGACACCCGTCCGGGCACCCACCTCCGTTTTTGCGCCCCGTTGTCTCCACGCGATGTGAAAGGCTAGTGAAACCTGCGCGCCACTCAATCGCCTTCCCTAACCCTCTACTTCTTCTTGGCCGAATGTACCACGTCAATGATTTTATCGACAACAGAGGGGTCGGACAACTACACTCGCATTAGCTCCGGTCCTTTTGCATACCAAGACACGACGCGCGTCACTCTTCACAAAACACAACACCTGATGACAAGCGACAAGAGAAGGAAAATGTTGGCTTACCGTAGTCGTATCGCCCAACTGGTCCTCCTCGCCCGCCAAGATCTTGCGCAGGATGCGGCGCATGATCTTCCCGGACCGCGTCTTGGGCAGGTCCGGCACCACAAAGATGGCTTTGGGCGCGGCAAACGGCCCAATCGACTTACGCACCTGCAGTATCAGATCCTTCTTTGTCTGGTCTGAGCTGTCGTTGCCGTCCTTGAGCGCCACGAACGCGTTCACGGCTTGGCCGGTGAGTTCGTCATTGACACCAACGACTGCCGCTTCAGCCACGCCATCTGGGGATGAGGTCAGACTGGCAGGTCTTGGGAAACATTGCAAAGGGAACTTACGGTGCTCGATGAGTGCGGCTTCGATCTCGGCGGTTGACAGACGGTGACCACTGACGTTCACAACGTCGTCTACACGACCTCGAATCCAGTAGTAGCCCTCGTGGTCGCGGCCTGCACCGTCACCCGTGAACTACCACTATTAGCACAAACCGTATTGATGTCAAACTAGTTCTGAGACTTACGTAGTAGCCCTTGTACACGTTCAGGTAAGTGTCCATGTATCGCTTGTGTGCACCCCAGACTGTGCGAGCCATGCTGGGCCATGGCTGCTTGAAAGCAAGCACACCCTCAACGTCGTTGCCGTGGATCTCCTCGCCCGAGACGGGGTCGATAATGGCGGGCTCGATGCCGAAGAAGGGGAGGGATGCAGAGCCAGGCTTCGTGGGAGTCACACCGCCCAACGGTGTGATAACGTGCGAACCGGTTTCTGTTTGCCAATATGTCTATCGCTGTTAGTCTGCTTCCTCGCCTCAGTCAAGAGCATGCTTACGTCTACAACGTGTGCCTCCTCCTTTCCTACGATCTCGAAGTACCATTTCCACACCTCAGCGGCAATCGGCTCTCCCACAGATCCCAGCACACGCAAGTTCTTCATCTGGTGCTTGACGTGCTCGTCACCAGCGCGCTTGAGTAATCGCAGCGCCGTAGGAGCAACGTAGAATTGGCTGACGTTGTACTTGTCGACGATATCCCAGTAGCGCGAGAAGTTGGGGTACGCAGGTGTACCCTCGAAGACGACTGTAGCAACACCCAGCAGTAGCGGCGCATACACGACATATGTGTGTCCAGTAATCCATCCTACATCTCCGCCACAGAAGAATACATCGTTGTCGTGGATGTCAAACACGTACTTGCCCGTTGCCGCAGCACCGATGAGGTATCCACCGGTTGTGTGCATGACACCCTTGGGTTTGCCGGTAGATCCAGACGTGTACAGCAGGAACAGCGGGTCTTCTGAGCTCATGGGCTCAGGGGCAATGTAGTTGGGGTATTTTTCGACCTCGTCGTGCCACCAGTAGTCTCGGCCCTTGGTCCATGGGACGTCGGTGCCAGTACGCTTGTAGACTAGGCAGTGTGAGACGTTGGGGCACTGCTTGAGTGCGTCGTCGACGATTTTTTTGGTGCTGATAGTCTTGCCTCCACGCTTGCCCTCGTCGGTGGTGATGACGACCTTTGATTCTGCGTCAATGATGCGATCCCGCAGCGAGTCTGAGGAGAAACCGGCAAAGACTACAGAGTGAACAGCACCGATACGTGAGCAGGCGAGGAAGGAAATGAGGGCTTCGGGAATCATGGGCAAGTACAAGGCCACGGTGTCTCCCTTGCGGACGCCCATCTCCTTCAGCGTGTAGGCGAGCTTCGAGACCTGGCGCAGGAGCTCGCCGTAGGTGATGATGCGGCCATCGGCAGTATCGTCAGCCTCATAGATGATGGCAGGCTTGTCCGGGTTCTTGAAGGCGTGCCGGTCGACGCAGTTGTAGCTTGCGTTCAACCGGCCCTCTACGAACCAGGCATTGTCGCCGTTCTCGAAGCTACCGGCGTGGACAGTTTGGAAATCGCGCTCCCATGTGAGCAACTCTCGTGCGAGCTTGCCCCAGAACTTGTGCGGTTCCTGGATGGACTCCTTGTACAGCTGCTGGTAGTGCTCGAGGCCGTCGAGATGGGGCTTCGTGTGCGGGTGCTTGCTATGTCACGCGTCAGCTCGGCGAAGTGGATCGCGGTCGTCGGCCATGACGATGGCGGGCGCTGGGCGTTGGCGGGGTCACCCCGCTCCGCCGCGGCGCTCCTCATTCCTTCGCAGCGGAGGCACACTCACTCGAAGAAGGCCTTGGGAACGTGGAACGTGTCGACCTCGTGGGCTTCGTGCACCACGGGCGGCTTGGTCTCGCCCTCGGACATGTTCGGTTGCGATGCGCGCGACCGCAGCAAACGATGTGCCGGCGGTATTCGAGGGCGTCGAGCTCTACAGGCAGACGAGGGGCGCGCCGGACGACAGAAGGTCGCAGTCTTATGCCAACGCAAACGATCCGGGTAAAGGGCTCGGGCGATGGTTGATTGCACGGCGTAGAGTGCGAGCTGCTGCCGTCTCGGAGAACCACAGCCAGGCTGCTCCACTGTACTAGCAGAATTGCGCGATGCTCAGGCAACGGGGCTCACTTGCACGCAGCAGATGGAGGATGTGAGGATGTAGAAGACGAGATCAGTCGACGCCCACGCTGCCGGGCGGAGCTCCTTATGAAGTACCAACACGATACCATCATCGCGCCAATCGTCTCTGGTCCTCGCCGTCCGGTCTGCGGGGACGAACGGCTGTGCCTTTGTCTGGCTCCACACACGTCGACTGAACGGGGACCCTTGGCGCTTCTCGGTCATGGCCTCAATCCGCTTGTCCGGACTGGCCACACTTTCGTCCCGCGGCTCTCGAATAGAGACACGCGCGCACCTGCAGATCCGCACCAAGGTGCCCAGTTTGGTGGGCGTCTCGTGCCTCTGCGCTGTGGTTGCTCCCCAGCTGTTTGCGACCTGCTCGTGGACCATGCATGTGGTGTTGGAGCTTCAGGAACTCCAACAGAGCTCTCGGCACAGGCTGCTTGGTGTCCGCAGGCGATGCAGGCTCCTACCAGCAATCCCGACAACTCGACCCCAACGGCCCGACGGCGTACTCGCAACACTTCCAAGTCGCTGGCGGAGCGCCTGTTGGCCGGGCATGGGGAAGTATCCCATCAATCTGGCGGCCCGAGGCGCTGGACGGGCTGCCATAACCGAAGTGGCGCACCACGCCTGGACCTGGAGTATGCCTGAGTCTCCGACTCTAGCTCGCTTCCGACAGCTCGCACTGCGCTTTTTGCCTTTCTGGGGCCCCGGATGGAGATGGACACAATCATTATCATCGTGGTTCCATGTCGGTGGCGTGCTAAGCTTTGCCCACAACTTCTCCGGAGGAGCATGCATGTGCGGGGTGAACGGAACTGTGCCACATGCGTCTGCCCTACGCATATTAACACACGCGCCAATTATAGTTCTCGCAATTTGCACCGATGCCTGCTTGGCGTCGTCAAGTGTAGAGCAGCCAAGCAAATCGATAGAAGACGTCAAGCTTTCCATTAAAGCCCCCGCGAGAGGCATATTGGTCTAACACTGAAAGAAAAGAAGCTATGGTACATCGTAAGTGGTATCGTTATCGAGCAGAAGGATGCTGTGCAATGCGCTCGCAGTACGCCGTTTCCTCGACCCAGACAGTTGTCGCCCCAATCATCCGGTATCCTGAACGCCAAACCTTTTTCATTGACCACACCCCGTTCGCTCTTCCGCACCACATACTTCGTGGTCGGGCGTTGTATCAGGCAGTGAATCAGCTGTGCTTGTGACAGATTCTTCCCTCCCTCTATCGGCCGCCTTGCTTGTTGGCCTGTCTTCTTCTTGAGGCAACATGGGTGATGCGAGCCCTCCTGACAGGCCACTCTCGCTGTTATGCCTGGCGTGTAGTGCTACACTGGCAGAGATCTTCTCGTCCAGAATGTTGACCAAGCGCTCCGAATACTGATCGAGCAGCTTTTGTATGGTTGTCTCGTTCAACGGGATATTTGACTTCGCCTTTTCACCTACCGCGCGCGCAGTCAAGGCAAGCTCTCGTTCGACTTCACGCACGACGTCCGCACCAAGGTTTTCAGTATTGTTCGCAAGACGCTTCCGGTACGCTCTCAAAGTCCGACAGAGACTCTCCGTCGAGGCCGCGAGGCTTCCAAAGTCAGTGGCAGGAGGTTGTTTTGCGCGGAGTCGGACGTCGACCGATGACCTACGCTTCGCGACTTGCGGATGGCGAGGGCTTGGGGGAGACGGCGACCGGTTGCGATTCGTCCTGCGCATGGTTCCATGTGCGGATCCCGTCCCACGGTCTTTTGGCATGTTGGCCATTGGCGATGGCTCTAGTCTCGGGGTCGAGGCCAAGGAGAACTTCGAAAGCTTTTTGCGCAACTTAGGAGAACGGTTACCCGTCGGTGTAGTCTGGTCATCGTCCGAGCGCTGGAACCTCGCAAGCTCGGATTGGGAGAATACGCGCCTAAGTGGCGGCTTGCTCGCTAAAGAGTCTTTGTTCGTTGGTGTACTCGGGCCAAGCAGGTCCATCGAATGCGACATGTGTTGCCGGGAAAGGGCAAGCAAAAGGCCCCAGACAAAGATAGTACCGTCCGCCGCCACGGTCACTAATGATCTTTCCCCGCTATCATCATCTGATGCGCCGTCGAACTTTAACAAAGTAATATCTCTTACGCCTTCTGTGTGACCCCAATCACGAGCCACCAGAGTTCCACTTTCTTCGTAAACTCGGATCGACTTATCGGTGCTGGACACGCCAGCAATGAGAGGCGATCCCCATGCACGGGGGATGTGTGCTAAGGACGACAATACGACGGCATCGCCTCCTTCAGTATCAGAAGCCCGGAAGCTGCTTAGGCATTGGCCATTCCGTAAATCGTATTTGTGTACTTGGCGATCGATTGTGGAGACCAAGATAACGTCATCTCGATCCGCATCCCAGGTCATGGATACAGGGGACGATTTCAAAACAACGGTTCGCAGGATGAGAAAAGCTCTTTCCATGTGCTCAGCATCTTGACGGGACACGAGCTCGCGCACAACAAGGGTGCGGTCGGAGCTCATGGAGACCAGCTTTTCACCATTTCGGGAAAACAGCACTCCTGTCACTGCTCCTACGTGCTCGTCAAGCGTCTGTAGGAGATCCCACTTCTCGCCTTTCTTCTGAAGTATCTGTATGTGGCGATCTCTTGCACCACTCGCGATGTACGCTATGTCTTCGCTTTCGAACATGGCTATGCCTGTTATTTCGTTTGAGTGGGCTTTCATGTCAACAACACTTGACCGTGTCTGGCGGTCAATGATCCTATAGAGGTTGTCAGCATTGGTTCGAATTTTGGCGAATCTTTAATTTACCGTAGCACGCCATATTTGTCACCAGTAACAAGTAGGCTCGCATCGGAAGATGATTTGACGGCTTTGAGCTCATTAATTTCATCTGCACCGCTTATCTGCTCAAGGTTGACCTCCAGAATTTCCTTGTAGGTACCTTGTTGGCTCCAATAGAGCACGGTGCCACCTGTCGACCAGGTGTAAAAGGAGGCGCCAATGGAGTTTGCTGTTGTTAATGGGGCTACGCCAAGCACAGGGCCACCATGAGCTGGGAGTTTCTGCAAAACATCGCCAACGATAGTGTCGTCGTCCGAGGAGCATAGATGGGAGAGGCGGATTGAGTTTTGAGAATCAACGGTGACGAGGTAGTCGAGCAGGGAGCCGACCGCTTCGATCTTGTTTGAGTCTGTAGTCAAGGTGACGGTTGGTGACTCTACTCTGGGAGGTGGTGAGGGGGGTGGAGTGAGTACGCCGATAGTGTCGCTGATGTTGAGGGTTTTGAGACCTCCCTGGCTGCTAGCGAGATGGATCCGGCCTCTGGAGTCCATCGTCATTGATGTTACTGCAATACCAGCTTCTGCGATTTTGAAGAAACGCTGAGTACCGTCGCTGTCGTCGATAAGGCAAAGCTGTCCCTTGTCCGTCGCAACGACGGCCTTCGAAGGAGCAACCGCAACGACACTTGTGAAGTTGGCCTCCAGCAGACTTTCCAGTATGCAGTTCCTTCCCGGCAATGTCTTGTGTATGCTACTCGATAGGAACGAGACATCGCTTTGGCGGATCTTGGACAATCGAGATGCCGGATTAGACTCCTCCATGCGCCAGACCTTGACATGCCTGGTTCCAACAGTGACTAGATTGCCTCCCATCCACGCTATTCGACTGATGTTGCTCGTGCACTTGTTGCTGGCGTACAAAGTGGCAGCTCCTGTGCGCGAGTTGATGCTCCAGACGTACAAGAAGCCATCGTTCGGAGAGCCTAAACTTGCCAGATACTGCGCGTCGGGCGAGAACGCGAGGCATCTGACGCCAAAGGTATGCTCAGAGAGCGCGGTCAGAGGGGTTTCCGAAGGAGCATCGAATGCTGTTGAGAAGATCAATACGCGCGGTTTGTGTCCCGTCTCTCCAACAGCGAGGAATTTTCCATCCGGACTAAATGCCACACACGTCGCAGCCTTTATTCTCTCTCTTGCTGACCATGATGTCCCGCCTGGCGAAGCACCCCAGTCATTGGCAGGCGATGCCAACGGAGACGCGCCTATGCCAGCCTCGCGTAGGGCAGCAGCAGTGCGATTACGACTCTCGTTTTGCGTTGGGGTGGACGGGCCTCCATACACAGATGCGGAGGGATTGATGGGATTCGCCGTCGGTCGTGCGCGGTAGAAGCGCTGTGAGACATGCTGTTCGTCGTCTACTGTCGCAAGGACAGCAGCGGCGCCGGCGCAGAAGGCGAAGGAGCGCGCGTTGGGGAGACTGTCGAAGGAATTGGCGGAGCTGGTCGACGTCCCGATGACCTGGCGTAGGGCCAAAGAAGCTTCGTTGCGGTGAGACTTTACGGGGGAGCGCAGCGGGGTATTCTTAAGATAGGGCGAGGGTGACGGGGTGAGCTTGAGACCACTGCCCCAGGCAGGGCTCATGATCCTGGGGTTGTTCGGCGTGAGCGACATTGCTTAGGCCGAGGATATCGAGGTCTTCGGTCGTTCTGCTTGACTTGTGACATCCTAAACAGAGTCCATGGCGGTTGCTATCTCTGGTCGTTGAGGTGATGTAGGAATGTACCTATGCACGCGGGCGGGCCGCTAGCTCCAACAACCAATGTCCCTCAGCTTTGGTGCCATTGAGGGGTGGTGAGCGAGCACGGTTGCTGGTAAAGGCACGCGCTTGAGGATCGATGTCTCGCGATGCGGGTACGGGTGAGGGTGAAGGTGAATAACGCGGTCCATGCTGCGGAGACGCATTGTTTTCACCGCATCAATGCGCCGACGACGATCGGCAAACCAACGCACGGCTCAGGCAGGCACGTCCCGACCATTCGCTCGCTAAAGTGATCACCCGCAGTCAATAGCCCCGTCACATTGCCTTCAGCTCTGCTTGATCGTTCATTATCAGGACTATTCGCAACCGAGTCGAGGTGATGGGTGTTGTCGTATGCGACGTTGGCGAAGCACGCTGTGCGTCCTTTGGGTCTCGGCGACGTCCTCCTCCGAGCAACCTCGCACGGCAGCCGCGAACCGGGGCCAGCGACGCCCATGACATGGTCGCGAGATATCGACCCCTTTTCAATGCTGATCTGCCTCTACGGAATACATGACCGCATATCAAGCACACTTGCTCCGAGGCATCAATTTCTATAACTTTTAGTACTTGTTCCACTCCTTCCTCATCGCCGCATTTCCTTCTCCCTCGGCGTCATGCACGCCATCTACTCTCTCAGTGTTCCATCTTTGCTTGCCACCACGACTACCTCGCTCGCTTCCACCCGTTCTTCCTGCCGTCGAGCCAACCCACACCGCCAACGCAGAACGCCGACACCATCAGGAGCGTGCCTGTATAAACGATAGGCTTGACGAAGTCGTTCCCATGCAACTCCGAATCCTTGACCCGGGTCACCAACGACCCTGCGATTGGCACGCCGACAATGTAGCCCACGCCTCTGATCGATGACAGTGCCCCGTTGTACGGATAGTACAGCTCGTCGCCGAAATGCCTCTTTTGCACTGAGTTGATGACCGTGCCAAATATGCCGAAGACGCAGCCGTAGACGACGTTGTACACGATCCAAGCCGCACCGTTGCTCGTCTGCGCAGCCGGAAGCCACAGCGCTAGCGTGCTGACAGCGAAGGTGAATGTTCCCAGGAAGAGCATGTTGTTGTGGCCAACTTTATCGGCCGCATTGCCCATGAGGAACCTTGCCGGGATGCCCACCACACTGCTGATTGCCAAGATTATCGAAGCCATCTTCATGTCGTATCCTAGGGCCTTGCTGAACTCGGGCCCGAACGTCGTCGGGATGGCGACCGTCAGGGGGTGAACAAGGTTCACCATCAACAGCAATGTGAAGGTCGGATCCTTGAAGGCCTTCCATCCGATGAGCTTGGTGCTCCGTTTTTCGCAACGACGAGGTGGTTGCGCAAGAAAGCTGGCGGCGCCCAGAAAGAACATACTGAACATCGACAAAATCCCGAGCGTCCACCTGGAACCCACGGACCCGAGGAGCTTTGGAAGACTCAGCGATAGGACGACACCCCCGATGCTGCCAGCTATCAAACATCAGTGTTTGCCAGAAAGACCCATCTGGGACACGTACATCCTGATGCGGCTCCTTGCGCTAGGCCTGAGTGGTTCTCAAAATACTCTGGAAGGATCGTCGCCAACACATTGAAGAACACGCCATTGCCAATGCCGACGAACAAGCCTTGTGTTAACAGAAGCAGCCATATCTTTCACTACCATTAGCTTGGACGTCGGATTGGTTAGAAAAGACTCACCTCATTGCATGCCGCTGCCGTCGCGAACCCAATAGTCGCGAGCATAGCGCTCCCGAAGCACAGTGTTCTAACATGTTTTCCAATCAGCGGAAGACGTGGGAAGAACAGCATCGCAAATGCCGCAACAATGCCTCCGTTCCCTAGCGATTGGATTGCTGCGATCCCAGCCCTCTGCATCTTGTCCTTGGGCTGGGTAATACCGTCTCTCACAGCTTTGTCACTGCCATAGTGGGCTTGAAAAATTCCGAAGCTTTGATTGATGCCCATCACCCAGAATGCTTGTAATGCGCAGGCTGACCAAATCTTGATTTGTTGCGTCTTCGTTACCTCTGCTTTCTTGTTTGGGTCCCTATTCAAATGAGTGATTATTCCAGTTACAGCAATTCTGTCCTATTGCTAACCTATCTTCGCAACAATTCTCACTTGCACTTTCAGGTCCTTTTTCGACACGGCTTACCAGTGACGAAGTCCGAGTTGTCCCTAAAGGTGAATAGGAATCCTTCCTAGGTCCATGCGATTGTGGCGAAGATGCCTGGTCTTCCAGAGGTCGGCTAGGGCCTGTTCTCATGAGCGGTATTATCTTCGGAATGCATTTATAAGCTTACCGCTGCCTTGCCGTTCGAATCTCTGCAGGAATATAGTCACTTCTGACCCTCCACAGGTTGAGGGTGGTCGGGAGAATGTCGCAACCATATCAGCCACGCCTATCGTCAAATGTTTGTGGTTGTTCTGATCGTAACGATCATGTGGACAGAAGACCCTTTCCGACCGTCATCCTAGACTGGAGCATTGAATGGGACCTGCATGCGCGTCCCCTAAGAAACCACGGTTGCACTCTTATTGCATCGACTCCGACTGCTCTCACCCAACGATGTTATGCTTTGATAATACTGTGATAAGTTTGAGACCCACCCTCAACAGGTCAAGCGAATATTGGTAGGGGCAGTTGGCCAACCGCTGTTGCGCCAAGACTGGTATACCTTTGGGTCAGGAGACGCAAGTGTGGGACCCGCCTCCTGTTGCGCCCCTTTATCGTCTACGCAATTCTATTGTAACATTGACCGTTGACTGCCATTTGCAGAATACGCTCAAACGCAGGTAGGATAACGCCTGGCGATCACAAGACTCATTTTGAGAAAAGTTTGCAGCGACCGAGGTTTTCATGGTTACAACTGACTCTTCGTAGGTCACTCTACTATGGATGCAGACGAAGCTGCTTCAAATCCTTCCCTCGCAGGTTGAGACACCAGCGGCTGACGTGTACCTGGTGCCCGGGCAGGATGGGCTACCATAGGTATGCATCGCACATGACTCAGCTGGGTAGCCTGCGCACCCGTTGACGATAGCACAGCTTCACCTTACGAGCTTTTGCATGTATAGCAACGCGCATCAACATTGGAAATACCTGGCTTCATGTGTACAAGAACGTTCAGGCGAGTCGTTCCTGAAACATAAGTAGATCCTTCTACAAGTTAATCTGCAAGCCCACAGTCGCATTCACGGCCGCATTCCCATAGAAGTACTCCGTCCCCGCATTGCCAACGTTGACATACGTATCCGCACCAAACACATCAAGCTTGACCAAAGCCTCCAACCAGTCCTTCACATCACCCTCCCAACTCCCTCCAAATTGCGTATCCGGCAACAACGAGCTGACCGTAATCCCTGTATCGTCATTCTTTCCCTGGTACAGCTTCCAGCTCGTTCCATAGAGAGAGGACACCGTGGCGACAGGAGTAGGCCACCCGATCGGCAGCTGACCACCTGTGTAATTGAGCCAGAGCATCAACTCCTGTGCAGAGGAGGATGTAGAGTCACCCTTAGTGTCGGATGTCATGAAGTCGAGGCAGATGTTTCCTTTGTAGGCTGTACTGTTCGTGCGCGTCCATTCATATGTCGCTGGAATGGAATCAATCGCCGAGAGTTTAGTTTCGAGATTCTGCGTAAGGCCGATGAAGGAGTAGCCTTTGGGGATGTTGGATGTGCTGGATACGTAGTCGATGTTTGTGACGGCACTCCAAACTATCTCCTTGCCGCCGCTCAAGGAGGTGGAAACGTGGTCGTAGTTCGTGCATTGCGTCCCCTTCGACTGCGCGGCGTTGTAGAACATGTTGTAGATGATCCAGGGAGTATCTGTGAGCACGATGCTGTCATCTGTTCCACAAAGTTGGGTCGCTTTCTGTTTCGTGGAGTCGGAGATGACCATTGGTTGGGGAAGAGCGAGCACGGGAGCCATGAGAGAGACTAGCGCCGCTGAGAGAAGAGAAGGCATGTTATTGCGAACGTTTGAATTTTGCACGTTTGTAGGGACACCGGGCTGAGAACGAGCGTAGAAAAATGGCAAGGAACGAAAGCGAGTGAAAAGTGAAGAAAAGAACGACCCCAGGTTTCGGTAGCAATTGTGATTCTTGTCAAGGTCGTGAGTGTCTTAAATGAGTGCTCGCAAATTACACAGTCGTTAGAAACGCGTGTCGGAACATATTAGCGACCCGTGGGCCAGGTCTGGGGGCTCGTGTATCTGAAACGCCAGGGTGAGTAATCAGGGAGTGCGGAGATTTTTAGATGTGACTGTCTTGCGCACCTTCCCATCAGCTGTAGGCAATGGGAAAGGCAGACGAATACGCAATGCGCGCGTCCGAAAATGAGAGATGTCTGTAACGTCTGCGAAGTGTGGTACCTCTGGTACGTTGAGTACGTTGAGTACGTTGAGGCCGTTTTGAGGGACGGCAGAATAAAATTGAGCGGATATATCTATTTGGTTGAGTGTGTAGCAATATTTGATTGGTTTGGTGTATTTCAGGCAGGGCAACGCAGTTGCTCGTTGTTGCGTACCATAGGTAGAATAGCGATCGAAAGGTGGAGCCCGCTCCGTGACGCCATTCCCACCCTCCGCGAGCACAGACCGTGGCCAACTTACTGCGGAGAACAAATTTACTTGCGCGTTATGTCTAAAAAGCCTCGCTGCATCTTCCATGTGCTGGCTTCGATGCACTCTGGCCCACAATGTTCCAAACTCAATGATACACCTGCCTGTCTACTAGCTCGACCTCCGACTCTGAGCGATCCTCACGGTGCACCTTCACGTCCAGCGACTTATGAATCATGACGTTCAATGGTAGAACGTTCCCAGATCGTCCGGATTTATGATCATACGCACTGCTATTGTTCTGATAGCCACTTTTTTGGGAACTGTCGAAGATCGAGGGAAAGACTTTCTGAAAGATAGGCCGCATCGCCGGCATGCAAGCCACGACCAAGAAAAGGTTCGCTTCTGTTACGCACCAGTACACCCCGGAGACGTTGTCATCTATCACACGTTAGCAAGAGTATACAATTGCGTGCGTCTTGTACGCACAGGTTGGATTTGTAGTTTGCGCAAATTCAACGAGAGACCAAATCCGAAGGCAACTGACAATGGTTATCCTAGACAGTCCGTCAGCGGCATTGCTCCAGCACATGAACATCCCATACGTACACGAAGCCAACGCAGAACATAGACAAAATTTGAAGCTTCTTCCGTAACGACATCTGCAGTTTGAAGATCGTCGGCAGCGGAAGTATCAATATGGCCAAGTCGAGTACAATCTCAATGCCGCCACGAATAAAACCGAAGAGTCGTATGTCAACCATACATTTCCCGGCCATCTCACCGCGCCATCCGTCCCAAAAAAAGGGAATTGGCCAACATTGTAGTATCATGGATAATGTATTGCCGATGGCGAAGCCGGACACGACTGCCATAAGGACCCAGATGATGACCTTGGTTCTCCGTGAAGTGACAAGCCGCAGGTAGAACGCGAGGATAGAAAGCTGACAGAAGCCTTCGACGAGCTGGTATGCGGAATATGTGACGTACAACCACTGCTTGATCTTCAGCGATATGAGCAGCAAACCCAGTGAGTCGAAGATACCTTAAGACTAGCCGTGATGTTATAGGGTGGGATGGCCCATATGTCTTTTCCGAACCCAAGACGCCCAGCTATAGCGTAGGTCAGCAAAGACATGAAATGATTCGTGTTACTGGCGAGACTGACCGACATAGACAGGCACATTTTGAAACAATGAACACAGCTTGAACACGTCAGTATCGTAGATACGAACCTGAACTAAGGGCTGCTTACCCCAGACAGTGCAATCAATAGGTCGTCCCACCCGAGTACTCGATCACGAGAGAGACCTCTGTTGGTCAGCCTTACAATTACCATGATCATGCCCAGTGATCCGAAAGACGCTGTCATTCCAATCATTGCCGCACTGCGGGTGCGCACGGGAATGCCACAGGCCGCTCTGGTCGTGTTGGTCGACTTCAGGGTCTCAATCATGGTACAGTGGGCCGCAGTACAAGCTGCAACGGCAGTTTGGAAGTTGGCATCTTCGCAGAAACATTCTGTGCCTCCGGTACTGTCGCTGGGTGGTGAGCAGCTGCTCATGGGCAATGTGACCTTTAAGCATTTTGACTGTAACTCTCCGTCAGTGTGTATCAGTCTCATAGTGTGGTGCGAGCGTACGGCGCAGCTAGGGAGTTTCTCGGACAGATCGCTCTGCGCAAAGATGCCATTTGACACGAAAAGTAACAAAACGATGGTGTTGTTGAAGTTCATCTGGTCCGCTTGAAGAATCTTGGGTAATGGAGCAAAACGACAACAGTGCCAGAATGGCACTGCATAAGCCTGACAGATGCCCATATACCTGGTTAAGGATTTCCTTTTGATTCCTGCATTATTACGCCAGCCAGAGGTGTCCTTGCAAGGGGCAACTGTGGGGGCGACCAAAAAGTTCCTCACAAACATGACGGCAGGATCTGCACATTCGTGCGACGTTGGCATGAAATAGCCTTTTTTGATTACAAGTGTTCGATTGATACAGACGGCAAAGCTTTCTTCTTCATGCCCAGACAACCGTTGAGATCGGTAACGGTTGGTTTCCAGTTCACAACCTTGCGCATCTAGCCACTGGAATTAGATGGTGTTCAACACAAAGTCACGCTCAGGTGGTAACCTGCTCGGATCCCCGAGTTGCTTTCAGGAAAAGAGGAGCGTGCGTATACGACAAGTGTGTCATGGAACTATCGCAAGCTGACATGTTATTCCTTTTATGGGCCGCGGATGCAGCATATCACTCTGCGATGAAGACACGAGCAAGTCAGAGACACAAGACGCTCGACGATACGAGGCAAAATGGATATCTGAATCCTAATAGAGCTTCACGCATCAATCACAAAAACAAAAAACATGTCCCATTTCGCACAAACTCGACGTGGAAATGCTGGTTTCCTGGGGAGCAGAGCGAAACAGTGCAATGTACCCCTGCCGAGCATCTTGCTTTTTGCCCACTCGGTCCAGTTCCCATGCCCGCGAGACCTTGACCGATCACAAAGTTTTGAGCTGCAGATTAATAACATTGCCACTCCAGCTACGAGGCTCTCCGCCGATTTAAATCCTTCTCTTGCGATAAGCCTAACACAGCGCGTGCACACATCGACGCCGTGTAACCCTTACGCAACGCCACCTCGGGTAGGATCCGCATTTGACAGCTGTGACAACTCCAATCTCTTTGCTCGTCGGGTGAGTTGAATATGCATTGATGCGGTGAACTGATCGAAGGTAAGAGATCACAAACAAACATGTACAATGTGTTACCGCATCGTGCTGCGATGTCACACTCAACGACCACGTTTGCGTGTGCCAGACTGGCGTAAGGGCTCCGACGTGGGGTTGTTGCATCGACCGAGGAGTGATCGTCGCAAAAATGTGACATCGATACGCATTGGTACGTACGCTAGACCTTTGAGGTATGTCACGCCGGTAAGCGAAGTTGGGGTCTCACTATGCCAGCATGCATGAGTCTTCCTGATCTCGACCCTAACCAGGTAAGGCGGACCGCACTCCATCGCCCGTACTGCACTACATTACCACGACGGCCCAAGCTATACTGTAGAGCGAGTCCGCCGGTCTGCTTTGCCACTTCTTTACATTGACATCACACACATTCGCCGCCCATCTGCCCACATACTCAGTTCGCTCACCGGCTTTCAAAGCTGGGACCATCATGACTCTCCTATCAAGCCTCCTTATCTCGGTCGTTTTCACAGTCTGTATCTTGTACCTTTTCAATCGGTCACGGCGACCGAAAGATGAGCGGCCTCTACCTCCTGGACCAAAGGGTATCCCGATACTTGGTAATGTGAACGACATGCCTAAGCCTGGGGTACTCGAGTGTCATCACTGGCTCCAGCATAAGGTTCTCTACGGCCCAATCAGCTCAGTGACGGTACTAGGCCAGACTTTTGTTATTATCAATGATTCCCAGATAGCTTTCGAGCTGATGAGGGACCGGTCGGCAATCCACTCGTCACGCCCGGGCCAGGTGTTCAGCGGAGAGATGTACGTATTTCGCACAGTACTGCTCTTGTATGTCGCAGTCACATAGCGTGCTAACCTCGGTCAGGGTAGGATGGCGACATGCAACAGCGATGAGTGCATACAACGACTCTTGGAAGACGCAGAGGAAGAACATCACCAAGATTGCCAGCACCAACACTTCTATAGCCGTATTTGACCGTGCGCAAGAAGCCGAGGCTGTCCGCTTCTTACTCAACGTCTTAGATGCCCCAAAGAAGCTTTTCGATCACATTCGAAAGGAGGCTGGTAGCGTCATCCTCAAGATCACCTACGGTTACAATACCGTTCCGCGCGGTAATGATCCGTTCGTTGACCTGGCTACCAAGACTATGGTGCAATTTGCTGATGCTACGACGCCTGGTCGATGGATGGTCGATATCTTGCCTTTCTGTATGTTTCTGTCTCAGAGCATGGCATATGAGCTAATTTGACCCAGTGAGATATTTTCCAGAGTGGGTCCCGGGAACAGGCTTTAAAGATACAGCCAGGCGGATGGCTGTTCAGTTGGCGCAATGTACTAATCAGCCTTATCAATTCGTTAAACAGCAGATGCGAGAGAAGAGACACAAGACATCATTCCTCTCTCAGTGCATCGAAGATATTGGGAGTGACACGGAACAGGAATTCGAACACAAGTGGGCCGCGCTCGCTCTGTACCTTGGTGGTGCTGATACGGTACGCCTGTGCACATATAAACGAGTGACCATTGTACTTACCGACTGTAGACCGTCTCCGCCCTGATGACATTCTTCTTGGCTATGACTATATTTCCCGAGGTACAAAAGAAGGTATGCAACCATACAGTCGTGATCTCTTTGTATGCGCAGTGCATTGATCATCTCTAGGCACAAGAGGAGCTCGATCGCGTGATTGGTTCTAGCCGCCTCCCCATAAGCTCTGACAAGTCTGCCCTACCCTACATCGAAGCGTGCATGCTCGAAACTCACCGCTGGCACCAAGTCCTCCCTATGTGTCTTCCACATATGTCCACCGAAGAGGATGTCTGTCGCGGCTACCGAATCCCTAAAGGTGCGATACTTCTGCCAAATAATTGGCACTTCACGCATGACCCAGCTGTCTATCCTGATCCAATCACCTTTCGTCCTGAACGTTTCATCACTACATCCACTCATAAGGCAGAGACGGACCCTCGCAACTTCATCTTCGGATATGGAAGGAGAGTCTGCCCGGGTAGGTATGTGGCTGATCAAGCACTTTTCATCACGATCGCGCAGAGCCTGGCTGTGTTCGACGTGCGGAAGGTCATTGAGGGCGGGGAGGAGGTGCAGCCTAAGGTGGAGTTTGAACCCGGAGCTATTAGTCATCCAATGCCTTTCGATTGCAATATTAGACCAAGGTCTGAGGAACATGAGCACCTGATTAGGTCGGTGGAAAAAGAATACCCTCGGGAGAAGAGCGATGCAAAAGAGCTGGAAGATATCGAATGGTAGATGACCAATGAGGTATTTGAGTTCAAGTATGGATCCTTCCCAATGCTAGACTCATCCTCGTTTCGGACGGACGATGTGCAATCATCGCAATGTTGCGCATACCAGAGCCCACTATCTTATCCAGTGTGCTGGGTGGCAATCGACTTCTCACTGAGGATCTCTAATGCTGAATTAGCACAGGAACAGCTGAACAGATGTCCCAGTTGAATCCTACCCGAGATGCCATCCTGGAGGCTTGCAGAAATAGCTGAGAGATGGCTTGAAGTGCATCCAAGTAGTAGGGTTACGAGTACCCTCTGTCGCATTCGGTCCTGGAAACACCAATCATGTCAGTAAATGAGCCCTGGCACATCTATCCAAATGTACATTACATACCTCCCATGTAAGTTATGGTGCCTTGACAACCCCGCTCCCTGATCTTGCTTTAGTAATTTCTCGGCGTAAGAAGCGATGTTGTACATACTCCCAAACGAAGCAGAGACCGCAGTACACGTTCTGTAGGGTGAGGACTGGTCTTTTGAAGGAGGACTCAATCCTCTCGTCGTCGGGATTCTTCCACTCGAAGTTCTTGCACTCCTCATTCGCGAAGGCCCAACCAGATCGAGAATCGTCGTGCTTGAACCAGCCGCAGAAATTGGGCAGGCTAGGCTCGCTGCGGGCTGCCACCTCTGGGGCCACGTGAGCGACACCGAGGGTGTTGACGATCAAGGCGGAGATGATCGCGAAGAGGTTGAGGAGATTCATGACTGTTGCTTGCTGCGTGGAACAAGTAGTAGGGCAAGATGATCGTGGTGAGAGAAACTGGCCTGGGTTTTCAAAGAAGGGCAAAAGTGAGAGGCGCTTGTTTATCTTTGACTGTCCGCCAACCGTGCCTTTTCAATCGTCCTACGTGGCGCGGCGGCACGGCGGCACCGTGCGTTTGGAGGCACACACCCCTCTGGAGCACAAGTCTCACAAAGAGGTTACTTCGCCTTTGGGCTAGTTTTTAAACCTTCTTTTGGCGCAATCGAGCTTCTTTGATCTGCACGCTTTCGTTCGCTCTACCTTATAAACCTCACTTCTCAATGAAGACTTACCTCGTACAACGAGCCTTGTTTTCTGTAACTCTACGACAGAGAACACTCCGTCACCATGCGCTTCTTAAACATTAGCATCTACTTCCTCGCTTGCATGATGGGTGCACTTGCCTTCCCGCAGCTGCAGTCGGCCAATCCCGGTCTCTAGCCTCGCAACGGCGAGAGCTGCGGTACATACCAAGATTGGCGCAATGAAGGCCAGGGGAAGCTCAGTCTAAATTCGGAATGTGAGAACCTTGCCGGCAATGTTTACAACACGCGCGTGGTTAATCCCAAGTGTGCCGCGTGCTTTATGTTCTCGTAAGTCGGGCAAATTTCCACAATTGAAAGAATATTTGTAGCTTACTGTTTTCAGGAAGCCGCAATGCTCCGGTGAAGTCCTCTGGATTGGTGGTAAGATTACATTTCTTCTCTTAGGATACGACCGCGGCTGATTCTGGTGAAGGAGCCGACCAAAAGGACAACTACTACTACGACAAGCAGGTTTGCAGCTATTACTGCAAGTCCACGTTCCCTTGAGATGTGAGTCCAGCTGTAATTTTCTAATGCATTAAGTCCAGTCATGCTGACCATGCAGCGTTGCGAAGCACTCATGCCTCGGAGCGGCCGCTTGTATCGAGACCTAGGGTGATATGAATCGTGCAAGGGGACATTGAGTGGTATAGATGCCTCTGAAGCGTACTATGAAGTATTATCAATATCACTTACCTAGCTATCATTGCGGTTTTGAGGCAGTGTTTAGTAAATACCAATTGCATGTGTAAAATTATCTTTGACGAAGTCGTTCGCTGATCCACTTCCCTAGTAATAGGTTTTGTCTAAAGTGCCCAGTAGGTGACCTTGGACAGGCTGACTGTTCCCCAATGGGCCCAGACCTCTATTTGACTATACAGAAATGATCTATTATATATTTCAGCATGGCGAGGAGAACACGTGAAGGTAAGAGGAGCTGTGACAAACCAAAACGTTCGAGTGATGCGATTTGCACCTGCATCCGGCTTGCGAGGTCTAAAAACCATATACGGTGGTCTTCCCGAATGTGAGTAGCTAGTGCAGTTCAATGATATGTAGCTTAATTGATAATGGCACAAAGACAACGCATTCTACCAAATCGACTTGTGCCAGCAAGCTTAAAGGTCCTTGCATCCAGACTTTTTGGCAGTCCCAGATTCATGAGCCTTTCGTGACATTCAACAAGCATCAATTGGTTGACCGGAAGGCGAAGGCTTAATCCAAAGCCTTGGAGTTAAGCACACTCATTCTAAAACTCGTAGTTCTTACTCTACTACATTCAATGAGTTAGCAATTTTGGCTGCCATCCGACCATTGGTGCAATATCCATTATCGCCAATCACATTCCAGTCCAGGTCAAGTCCAGGTTCCAACAATCGCCAGACAAGTCGCGGTAAGCCACAAGCCATGTAACGCAAGGGGACTATAAAAACTTATTTGAGCGATACTCCCGATGGTCCCTTTGGACACAGCGGACAGGATGCTGAGTGCGGGCATGACAGTTCGAAGTAAAGTGTCTCACTCGAGCCTTTCCGTCGGGTGTGTAGATGAGACTGTACGAGGACAGTGAGAAGAAGAAAAATCTATGCCAGTGTTGTTTCAATCGTGGTGACTCTGAAGGTGGCGGTGCCGAATGCTCCACGAGTCCTCTGGGAAGTAGCCATCACTGAGACGACTGTTTTGGAGATCCTGTGAATGAGTGATGCAGGAAATCTCAACGGACGATTCATCTAGGCTATTCATGCATAGGGGCAATGACATACAATGCGGGCCGTAGTGGCAGTTCTACTATGTATTCACAAATCAACGCAGAACTGCGCCAAGATCCTTGGGAGCCTCCTTCCAATCGATTCGCAATCGACTAATATTTGTGTGATGTTGCTTGTTCCCTTCCCGCCCTCACTTATTGTCGTGTCTCAGGCGTCTACCTTGCAGGTAGACTAATAATCCAGCGAAGGGTTTTTGGATTCAGTCTTACTCAGAGCATCAGTCCACGGCCATACTGTGTAGGTAGATGTTGCCACTATCAAATCAAAGCTTGACATCCTCTCGATGCCGGGTCTGGCGATGTTGCATGAGTGGCAAGTTGCCGCTGGAACAAGCTAGTTCAGCAGCTAATCCGTATTCACTCACACATGGTGTAGGTGCTAACACGCTGCGATATACCCTGCACTAGACTAGATGAAACGGGACAAACTAAGCCTAGATAGGTGACGGCTCATCTCTTGCACACTTGTCTTCTCATTGCCTCCTTCTGCACAACTTTCACAATACTCTCAACTCACCGTTTAAGTCGGCTGGTTACCTGTCCGGTGAGTCCCATTTCAATCGATCATTACCATCCCGGATGTTCATCTCTTCCAAGCATCCATGGGCGGGTCCACTAGCGTTTCGAAACGGCATGAAATCGTTTCGTACATATTAACCCAATCACCCTGAGCCAACCTCACCTGACATCTTGACAATCTTCCGTGGCACAAACTTATCGAACCCTATGATTATCATACACGTCCAGTTTTTTCCGGTTCTGTCTCCAGGTCCGTTCGTCGACGCCCGAAATTACGCCGGATGGTCTTCTCACTTCAATCACGGCAAAGATGTGGTGCCCTTCCTAGAATCAGTTGTGGACTTTATGCGGCTCACACAAGCTTTCCAATCCGGTCTACCCGTAGTCTATGTTTCTTCGACCGGGAACTTGAACCTGCACATCCTTTTAGCCACTTCAACCACCTTAAGCCCGACCCTAATCAAATGAGCAGACGAGAGCCCGTGCACAAAACCCAGGCTTTCCGGGTCTTAATATACCCTCGGGTATTGCTGCATGCTGTACGCTCCCTGGTCGGCTCTTATATGCACCCCAGAACCGGATCGCTTGTCCCCACAGAACATAGTCCCGACCCCTGCGCATTTCGAATTACAAGACTGCGGATAGATTGCACACAACGGATGAAGGGACTGGGCCATGGCTAAGTCCCTACTTACCTAGGTAGCTTTCGAAATGCAGTACTACCCCCACCGGCCCATTGACTTTGTTTTAGACTCTGCGCTGTTTTGCCTAAAGACCGGAAGCGAACACTGAGAAGCTTGACTCGACGTCTTCTTTATATGCTTCGCGACGCACGCTCAAAGTTAACTTCGTCACGACACAAAGCAGCACAACGACAGCTCCACAACCAGATTGGATATCATCGCACCAGTGTCAGAATGAAATTCACCGTCGCTGCCCTTTCTTTGGCTACTCTCGCCGTCGCCAACCCCGTTGAGCCGCGCCAGTCCTGTCCGAAAGTGTACGTCTTTGGTGCACGCGAGACGACCGTCAGCCCGGGCTTTGGTACTGCTGGGGGTCTTGTCAACCAAGTTGTCGCTGCTTATCCCGGCGCTGGGTCAGAAGCCATCGTCTACCCCGCCTGCGGTGGTCAGTCCTCCTGCGGAGGTGTTAGCTATGAAAACTCCGCTTCTCAAGGAACCCAGGCGGTGGTCAAGGCTGTGACATCATACAACCAGAAGTGCCCTAGCACACAGATCGTGCTTATTGGGTACTCTCAAGTAAGCTACTTCTTCCTTCAACAGCTGCTGGCAAGAACTCTCTTATTAACGGGGTAATGAACAGGGCGGCCAAATCATGGACAATGCCCTCTGCGGCGGCTCCGGCGCCACCCTTACCGGCAACGCCCTCGCCGCCGTCAAAGTCGCCATCTTCATGGGGGACCCTCACAACCGCGCCGGCCTCCCGTACAACGTCGGCACCTGCACTGCTCAGGGTTTCGCTGCCCGTCCAGCTGGCTTCACGTGCTCACCTGCCAGCACGAGCATCATCAAGAGCTACTGCGACTCTACCGATCCCTACTGCTGCAACGGAAACGACGCCAACTCGCACCAGCAGTATGTTAACAAGTACGGATCGCAGGCGTTGGCTTTCATCAAGACTAAGGTCACCGCATAGGTGGGATCTTGAGGGAACAAGAAGGGCAAAGTGGAGTGAAATTCGTTCTTCAGGATGTATTTACGATTCAATGACCAATATCTTGCTGAACGCAACTTATCGACTGCTGTGCGTGACATGCGTGAGGATGACAAAGTGGTAAGTAACAAAATATGGAGGCGAGGGAGATAGGGGAACGTATTGGTCTCTCGATTTGAGCAGAATGCCGTCTGTGACCGGAAGAGTAGCATGAGCGCTGCTTTCATGTGAGTATTATAGGGCCACGACGACGACAGTGGTAATTTGCTATATTCGTCAGACGGTGAAGTAAAACAAAAGAATTTCGGTGGAGCTACGCCGGTAGCTGTGAGTATCTCAAAGCTGCTGAGTATCCCGAAGAACACGGCCTGGAGCTACGAAGACGGCTCCTTTAGTTTCTCATTTCAGTTAAATTAACGAAGCTTACCTGGAGTCTCACCCGATGCTTTCAGAAGACTCGCATAAGCACTTGAGTAGGGAGAGCATCCGTGGTATAATTGCGTAAGCGTCAGCGCAAGTGTCGCACCGGAACTGGAACATTAGACTGAGCGATGGTGACTTCCCAAGGGTTGAGTCAGGTTATGAGCCGTTAAAGGTAATGACCCAAGAAGTAAAAGATGTGCAGGACTTGAAAAAGAGGTTGATTGGTGCAGTGGAGGCACCAGGTCGCAACGCTAGTGGGTTTTACATAACAACTGAAAACAAGGATGATGGTACAGGAAGTAACGACAACAACAGAGGAAACGGGAGAGACGAAGAGACTGAGGCTCGATATGTCATGGATAGGTCTTTCGGAGCAAAGGGTATATCCGCGGCCTCCCATCCGAGACTCTAAGAATGGATCTCGACGACGCTATCCAGGAAAAAACGTGATAGAAGTGTTGTACACGCCGACTATCCCACGTTTAGCGTGCTACCTCCGGGCATCTTACTTGAATCGATCACAATGCGGAGAGTATGCGTACCTACATGACCGACTGCGTGTCCTGATCCACAAGATTCTCGGGTGCTCATGATGACTATAGACCTGGTGAATGGAACCAAAACACGAATACCACGGCTCGTTTGCATGACCTAATCCAGACCTGAGACGAAGTGAAGGACAATGCCGCAGAGCTCTCGACTCCTGATGTTGCGGGAAGATCCTGCCTTGGTAGGATCGAATGAAACACCGCAAATCGCACAAAAGTGTTAGGTACATTTCGCGGCGAAGCCTGTGCGATTTGCGGTGTTTCATTCGATCCTACCAAGGCAACAGATGCAGGACAGCATTTTGACGTGGCTCACTGGCTTCAGCTCAGTCAAAAAGAGTTCGTGAATGAGATAGGGAGGACTGCGCAATCTCTAGTCAAGGGGAAAGATGCCGTGACTGATGCCGATGGAGCTCTGACTGGCGTGAATAGAAGTGATGGAGAACAGACGAAGTCACTCGCTGGCGGGCATGACTCCCTGAACCTATCCCGCATCGATCCGCTCCTCTGAGGCCGCTAAGTTGATGATCATGTTTACAAGGCAATGGCGATCATTTGAAGACGCTTGGGAGGAAGGGAATGTCGTGGAAATTTTGAAAAGTCTTGCATGGTATGCGTACATGCCAGGTGAAGAGAAGGCGAAGGTTGAAGAAGGAGCGATCTGTTGCCTGGTTTCACATGGCAGACTGGACGAGGTCCTTGGATTGGTGATATTCGAGCCAATACATGGAGGTTCATAGTGGACGGAAGACATTCATAGGCAATAATAAAACAGAATGGCTTTGTGATGCAGCCGCGTGAAACTGATGTACAGAGGACGAGTACAGATCGACATGTCGGCGTTTGTGGCCGCTCAACTCCGACCGACTTGATGCCAAGAGATATTTTCTTGCGGACCTCCGTGCTACAACACGCATCTCAGCGCAACCTCACCACGCGCCATTGCATCGCATGCTTAGATCCAGCATGCCACCCAGATGTCTCCCCCTCTCAGGGAACCTTGCGAAGCCTTCCACACTCGCTCGGAGTTCCCAATCGTTAGCACGCACCTTCACCAGCACCGCGGCGGTTCTCGCCAACCCACTCGAACGGAGAAGGGGCGGCGATCTCGGATCGCATCTTCCCAAATATATCATTCCACAGAATGTAAAGATACCAGAATATCCATACGGTACTTCGGAGCTATTCAAGCAGCAAGACAAGGGTCTGTACGGCGGCAAGATGATCCATTTCGGCAATAATGTCTCCAAAAAGACAGAGACTAAGACGCGGCGGTATTGGAAGCCCAACGTTCTCAACAAGGCCCTGTACTCTGTAGCTTTGAAGAAGAAGATAAAGTTGCGGGTCACCTCGAATGTTATCAAGCAGATCGATCGCGAGGGCGGGCTGGACGAGTACTTACTCAAGCAAAGCGATAGCCGCGTCAAGGAGCTCGGCCCGCTCGGCTGGGCGCTTCGATGGACGCTCCTACAGAGACCATCTGTCGTACGGCGAATGCGCTCCGAGGCCGCTGCACTTGGCGTACCGCAGGACGAGATTGATGCGCAGTGGCCCGAGCCACCCTCCGTGGACATGACCCCTGAAGAGCTCGAAAGCTTCGATGACGCCGCCCTTGACGCACTCGAATACTTGGAAGGGGGAAAGATGGCCCAGGCTGAGGAAGCAAAAGCCGACAAAGAGCTCCGACGAACGAAGCATCAGATTTCGGTCGACGCTGCTCGGTCTTTCAGAGAGATCACTTTCGCGGCGCATAGGTACGTCAAGTGCGGGATGGTGGACACTATGGAGCAAGGCATTAAGCTCGCATATCTGAGGGAGGACCAGCGGGCGGAGTCACGCCAGCGCAACTTCGGACGACTCAAGGCCACGGTTGAGGACAAGTACGGCAGAACGTTCGAGGACGATTGGGCGCTCAAACAGGCAATCGAGAAGTACCGCAAAGAGGTGAGGAAGGAGGTCGCAGAGAAGTTCGGGGGTGATCATAAGGAGTACCGGGATCAGAAGAGCCCTGATGGCGCAGCCAAAATAGCCGCCGCGGTCGCAGAAGCAGGGACTGAGGAGGCACTGAAGGCGCAGCAGAGAGCCCTAGCCTTGAAAGAGCTCAGCGATTCTGAGAGGGCGCTCTCTGACGAGAACACTACTGAGGACGAGCGTGTGCGCATTGAATCAGCTCTCCAACGGGCGCAACAGACCATCGATGCTGAAACAAAGGCAGCCTACATCGAGCAGTCTTTGGCCAGGTGGGAGCAGGGCCATGAAGACAAGTGGCCACTGAATAGTGTCTCTAGGGAAGAGGGGTTGGGAGAGGCCTGGGAAGAGGCTGCGCAATTTGAGCAGGGTGGTCTTGCACAAGGATGGGATGCATTAGCAGACCCGGAGCCAGTACGTGAGAAACCGCGGGTATAGCCATGATGTACGGATCATGTAAAGTAGTGTGTCCATTTCGTGTAAGAATAACGGTTCGCGAATCGTAGGCATGGCTTGTGAGTAGATATTTGTCTTGTACTAACTAGATCTGGTTATCTTTTATGATTACTGCTTCTATCGGAAGCCTTCCTGGATTGGATCTAAAGACCGCAACCGGAGATTTTCTACTACACGATCGTGAAGTCTTTCTGTCGTCCGTACTCGTCGACCATAACGCAACCCCTGAGTCGATAAGCCTGCACAGGACCACGAGATCCTCGAACAAATAGAGCAAGATGAAATCGGCATATCCTCTCTCGTAGGAGCGTGACAAGTGTCTTCCATAATGAGCAAACAGGTGCAAACGTGCTCTTACTCCAGTGTCGTCCACGACTTCGAGGCCGAAAATTCTTCGAGTGTCGGGGTCAGGAAGATGATGAGCGACTGTGCCGATAATCGAGTACTGCAACGATTGGATTGGATTATTGCCAATCGCATAGGTTAAGGCCGGCTTCTTAATGACGGTCTTTTTAGCCTTGCCGTGAATTACCAACGTAAATGCATCCTTGATTCCTGCGTGGCAGCGGATAGTGATTTTGCCCGGCGGTAGCCTTTTAGATAAGAACATAACGGAAGGTCCATGTGTTGACGCCCAGGACAGAGAAGGACCGTTCTGCAACTCTAGTGGCCTCGGCGTTGCTCGCCCAACCCGACGTCGCTCGTCCAACCAAGACCTATTGCTGTGGCATTTCACCAATCTACACGCCGCTGAAATACCGATCTCTTCGGCCTCATCCATTGTGCGTACGATTCCTTCACGGCTGCGAGTTAGTCCGACTTGTATATCAGTTTCCGCAGAGTAGAGCTATCAATCATATCGTCCCAGTCGTGTGCCGGGGTTCCTCCCAGCAAATGGTCATATCATCCATCGCACCTTCCTCGGTTTACACACATCAGGTCACTACACTATGGGCGGCGATGCGATCCTCTCCTCCCGCACAAGTTTGTCTTCACTACTCGGATGTAACAGAACGACCGCGACACCCTTGTGTTCTAAATCCACAGCCAAGCTTTTGAACATAGCGTTCACCGCCGCGCGATACGCATATTGCCCCTAGAAGAAATATCGGCAATACTGCTCATCCTACTACTCATGACAGCCACCTTCGGTTCCTTGGTCAGCAAAATATAAGGAAGCAGCGCTTGCGTCAGTAAGAGTGGCCCACACGTGTTCACAGCGAACGTTTTCTCTAGACCCTGCAACGCCACGGTCTCAAGGCTGTCTTGTGCAGGAGGAGACATAACGCCCGTGACTTTGAGCAAGAGGTCGGTGGGACAAAGTGGTATGGCGACTTTGAAGGTGGTTATGGAAGAGGCAGAGGTCACGTCTAGATGATGGGTTTCGCAGCCTATGTCGTGAATTGGGCCGTTGATGATTATGTCTGCTGCGATGACAGTAGCCCTGGTACTGCTAGTATCACAGAAACTTATGGTAGGTGATTGCAGAGGGATTTTGACATACCTCAGATGTGAGGAGCTTAACGAAAGGATAGCCAATATCATAGTTTACGCCTGTTACTACTGCGACGGGGATTCTCGTATCGTGCCTAGAAGTACATTGCACATTCTAGATGCAAAGTTGAAATACATAATACGCGGAATGTTCAGTGAAACAAGGTAGGTAATATGTAAGCACATGCATATATGAAGCAATCGGAAGACATGATGAGGGGTCGCATAAGACAAGGGCCAAAATCTCTCATTGGAGACAGCTTCTCTCTAGGACTGGACTCGCTTCAATCGCAACGCTCATGTCACGACGATATGCGCGAAAAGATGATGGTAGGTCTCACTCACGAGACCATTTTCTTGAGTTCGGGGCAGTTGTCGCGAATGCATCAATTGAAAATTTCCAATGAATGCACAGTACAGGACGGCCAAGTTGTCTCAGTGACGGTCTCCTACACCAGCCGTACAATCGTTTCCGCGGCAGGAGTAACTGTGAGGAAGGTTTTTCCCGTCCAAAAAGCGGGGACATCAGCGACGCCTATGCGGCGATACCGAGCTGGAGTACCTCCCTCGTACAGCTGAACTAACAGACAGATCAACTGGCCGCTCGTTTTCTTATGTGCTGGAATGCAGAAAGTGCCGCCATTGCTTTGTATCTTCTCGAAGTCATCGTGTGGACTATCCAGATAGAGGTTAGAGATGATGGGTCTCTCATCGTGACCGCGCACCTTCCAGTTATACCGCACCTTCCTCTGTACACCATCGTCTAAGATCACTTCATCAGGTGGTCCCAGAACTTTATCGATCTCTACTTCTAGCAAAGAGCATTTGAGGTCGATATAGCAATCGGAGGCTATGGCACCGAACTTGAACTCTTCGTTCAGCGCAGGTCGCACGTGAATGTTCTGCACGGAGATTTGTAGGTCGTCCTCTCGCACGGTCTCTGCGCACTTGACGCCTTGCGGTGCGTCCACAGCTGCCCAAGAAAAGGTAGGCGCACGCCAATGATCATGATCCTCAGCATCGGGGCGTCTCTGAGGATACTTGAATCTTTCATCCTCATACTTGGGCTCGACATGCCATAGCAATTGGCTAGCCAGGTATTTCTCCCACATACCCGCCACGTATATTAGTCTATCGCCGATGCGCTTGGAAGTGAGCTCAGCAATACCGGCGAGAGCAATGAGTTTGTCTTTCGGTTTTGTCAAACTGGTCCTGGAGTATCGTTCAACTATGCTTTTCCAGTCTTCGTGCGCGGCGTATGCATTCTCTGTACGATCGATGGCTAGCGATCTGGGGCCGTATTCACCGGGAATCAGGGCCTTCAATCGTGTCCGCTCTCCAACAGTACCGGCTCTGAGTTCCATGCGGGACACTCCGTAAGGGTGGCTTTCAGCTGCGTCGATATATGGACATTCCCAGGCGATTTGGTCTTTGCAAAAATGTAGCACCCTTGGAGCCAGCAACCGCTCTTGAAGAACCCATGCGCGCCGGTTCACGGGAGCATCATCTACTTGCCGATCCCAAAAGGATGCATCCTGGATTTTGCATCGTCGGATAAGTGGCTCAAGACCGAGATGACGTTTCGGAACTCTCGCATCCAATGGTCGCGGGATGCCTTCAGTGTTTAAGTTGATCTCGTCTTCCCATAGGTGATGTGGATCGCGACTGAAATGCAAACCATGTGTGCTGTCGGATGCGGCAGTCGCTGACAAGTTGCAGTAGGAATTTCGGTAAACGCTGTACATCTGCACCGACTCGTAATTCCAATCATCTACGTCGTCTTGAATGATACAAAGAGAGTCTATCCAAATGTAGCGGATCGAGGGACTTAGACGGCGGGCGAAGTGAATCGCCTGGCGAAAAGTTGAGGGGAGTGAGCTTAACGGAATACCCTTCTTGAAGTCCTCCAGATTCTCCTTCGTAAGCTTCGTAAATCTGGCCTTGCCCCAACAATGACTTAATGTCACATAATGTCCGCGCGGTCGTTCCGCATCATCATCGAACTTGATCGCTGGCTTTCGGTTTGCGGAGCTGTCCGGTAGTTCTCCTGATTGTCCCTCTATCGGAGAGAATATGTTTGACACACTGTTGCTCCGTGAACTTCGCCCTCGATCACCACCAGCCTGGAATGGACGAATTCTGCGTTCTTTTGTGATTACCAAGCGCACCGATTCTTCTTTCGGTTTGTCTTTTCTTGCGTTGCCATGACTTTTCTTCGATAAGAAATCAAACGGTTTCTCATGATCGTCATAGGCAGGTAGCTCGACCAACCGTGTTGGATAAAAGCGTACTCTGTCATCGAAGGTCTGGTTGGGGCATTCTGGATGATCAGGCCCGAGACATCTGTTCAACCAAAATCGAGCCAGTTGCAGTACCTTATTTATGTGTAAGTTCATTTTCCTTTTTCTATCCAGATTTAAATTTTAAATTAAGTTTTACCTCTTCCGAGCCTGTACTGTCGGTCAAGGGCGTGTAGATTTCCGAGTCAGGCTCGTTTTCTGGGGTGAAACAATTAGAGCGCGATTAAGCATGGTGTTCACGGCAACTTACTGGATTTCTCTAAAAGAAATGTCGCCAGTCTCTTCGAGTCGGAGTCTACAAGTCGAAAGTCGAGCCGGTAGAGATCGTTATCTTGCCCTCCCTGGACCTCGGACAAGAAAGCCCGCACAAACTGTACCTGGCGCTCTGGATCCGTGTGTGCACGATGATGGAGTTCGAGCAGGCGATCAACGTCAGAGGGTGTTCGTAGATTCTTTTGCAATACTTTCGCTAGCTTTGCGCCTTGGTATTTCTCTGTCAATTCATCCCATATAATGCGACAGATGCAACAGCTCATGGCAGCGGAGCGCTCCAGGCTGTATAATGTCGGGTGGTGGTTGAAGTGGATATCGAACGTCCCGCGCCATTGGCGTCCAGTCTGTCCTCGCAACTAAACCCGAAGGTACAAAGTCAGTGTATGTCTCGCAGAAGCGGGAATGGTACATTGAGTCGTGTCTCTGCTAAGCGAAGGAAGACCTGTTCTTATGCTGTAAGCAGATAAAGGTGGTTTTTCTTTCACTTAGCGGAAAACACGCATCGACTTTGCACCCGGGAGACTTGCCATACAATAGCAGGTCGTGCAGATCATGATGGTAGCTGAAGAAGAGAGGGTGAACTTTTGTCGACCATGTATAAAGACATATGTTTTAGCCCCCGGACGGAGGTGCACGCGCTCTTATCAATCAAGTGGAACCGGTAAGGACAACGACCTGGTTGGGTATAGCCTCGTTTGATTTTCCCGAGGAGCCAATCTGCCCAACTTACCTGCTGCGCTGTTACAAGGCGTTGCAAAACCCTACAAGTGCTGACTCTTGCTGAAAATATTTTTTCCGATCAAGTCAAGGCGGATAGCCAATCGCATCTTGATAATTGCGCCTTGGATTGGTGAGTAAAGAATACGATCGACTAGCAATGATGCAGCATGGCCCCTGGACAACTCATGCATCAACACTGGCGACTTTGGCCCCGCTTCCCATTTCGTGGAAGGTGCAAACGCCTGAACTGTATTAACTGGCCATTCATTTCAAATCTTTCAAATCGGAACAGCTACCAATGTGCTACAGCCCTTGAAGCTGAGCCACTACAGCCACCAATTACACCTGTACAGCTTGGTGGCTCCAGCTGGAGCGAGGCTGAACATTCGGTTGCTTCTCACGGCCTAGTCGACACAAACTGAAGCGGCATTAGCTGCGCCCCGCCGCCCTGACTGTACAAAATCAGAAATTGCGACAGACCGGCTGCCAAACTCGTCACATAATACTGTCCTTTGTGCGTCTTTACCCGGCATCAATTCGGCGAGTATTTAGCTAGCCTATCTTCATGGACTTAGAAGAAAGCACACCAATACATGGTGGACCTACCATGGAAACTTTCGAGCTCCCAGGCTGGGACCCGGCTGTTCCTGTGACGCACGATTCCGGCATTACCCAGAGCCAGATCCTGAACTTCCGCGGCTTCGACACCTGGCAAAAGACCCTCAAGTCATCCTTGAAGCGACAAAAGTTCAGCGACCACGAATTCAACAACGACCCTTACGGGCTAAAGAGCATCGAGATCCAAAGTTACGACTTGATTGGGAAACCAGGGACAGAAGGTCATCATCCTCTCTTCATCAAATTGAAAGCTAAAGTGGAAAGTCCACAAGGCGGAAGTATCCCCACCGTCGTGTTTTTGAGGGGCGGCAGCGTCGCTGTGCTCATCATTGTTCGACCGACCGATTCCCTGGATGAGCGCTATGTGATCATGACAGAGCAAGCGCGTATACCCGCGGGAAGCTTGAGTTTCATGGAGATCCCGGCTGGTGAGTAATCCCGCGATACAAAGTGGGTGTTTCAGCTATCGCAAATGTTTGAAACTTTCAGAATCTAGGTAGTCCTGGATCTGAAATTCTAGACTTCCGCAGCTAGCCAGGATACCTACTCGTATCCATCTCCCAATCCGCGATCGTTACACTGATTTTGTTCCCCGCATTGTAGGTATGATCGATCCGAAAGATGATAGTTTCGCTGGTACTGCAGCTCGAGAGCTTGAGGAAGAGGTCGGACTGAAGCTGAAGGAAGAGGATCTGATCAATATGACGGAGCTTGCACTGAAAGGCCACGAGACCGAAGAGCCGCTGCAGAACGCCATGTACCCAAGCCCAGGAGGTTGCGATGAGTTCATCGTCATCTATTTGTGGGAGAGGGAGATGGACAGGATGCAGATCGACAGTCTGCGGGGAAAGCTCGGGGGTGAGCGATCTGAGCGGGAGCATATTCGCATCAGGCTTCTCAACTATGAGAAGCTACTGCAGGTGGGTGCGAGAGATGGAAAAACGTTGGCGGCATGGAGTTTATATGAGTATCTGAAAAGGACCAGACAGATCAAATAGATCAATAGATGACTTGACGTTCGCTATTACAAGTGATCTTGCCATGGAGTAGCGAATACGAGCGGCTGCGAATCATTCGGATACGACATACTTAATCTCAAGCCGGATAAGAGACATGCCTCGTCGTAGAAAGTCTTTGCGGATACATGAATGAGGGCACGGACACAATGAAAGACGAAAGAAGAAAAAGTTTGCTGTGGAGGTACCGGCGAGAGCGCAGTACCGTCGTTAGTCGTTGAGAAGGGCCTATACACCGAGCACCTCCATGCAAGCAGTCTCGAGTGCGCTCCGCTCTTGTGTTAATTGCACACCAAAATTGACATGGTGCTCCGAATCACAGTCATCTTCAGCGTCACTTTCCGTGTCGCTAGGGTTATACACAACCCGTGGGTCTTACAGGACCCTTTCCCGCCTATTATCCTTTCTTCAAATTTTTGCAACGCAAGCAGAACACCTAATGAACGTCCCCAACAACGACTTTAGTACTCTAGCTATACCTATCGCGTTGCGTTACATCGAAATCATAATCTGCGTTGAGCTTGGCACTGCCCAGGTGCGGTTCGCGCCATTAAATGCTGTCTTGCCTTTGAGGGCTTTTGTGGCAAACTTCCCCTTTGGGCTGGCTTTAGGCAATAACTGCAGGCGTAACCCATTTTACCTTTGCAGTCTCGCTTTGTTCGAAAGAGGACCTCATGAGTCGGCGTGGGGGTCAAAGCGTGGAAGTATCTGTTGGTCTGGTGAAGATCGAATGCACCGTCGAATTGAAGATAAGTGGCAATTTGCTGATGTAGTTTGGATGGTGAAGTTGTGGCGGCTTTATCTGTGAGGTCGATGGCGACGGTACATCCACGATACCTTGTAAGTGGGACAGTCCTTGCAATCGCACGAAAATCCTAGAAGGTATAGAATCAAGATTGAGGGGAGTGAGGAGAAGATGTGGAAACTAAGTGCGCAGAAAAATACAGGCAACGAGTTTGCAAGGGTTTACATTGCCCTCATCCTTCGTGCTGGTATTTATTACACAGGCAGACACCGCTGACCGGTCTTCAACTCGGCGATCCCCAGTTCGACAGCCAAATTATTAGGATTATTCCTGGCATGGTGCCGGAAGGAACAAAGCGCATCGATTGAGTTCATTGAGACAAAGCAATCCATGCTTGACACAGGAAGAAAGGACAACATCGCCAAAAGACCGCTCTTAGTATCGTAACACATTTCCACCAGTACCGACACTGTTGGTAGTTGGAAACCCTGTTCTTGTGAATACGGGTGCTTTTCATAGATGGATCGGTGCTTGTCGGTAAAAATGGGCATGTAGACCTCGGCAATGCCTTGATAGACACGAGGACAGAGAGATCCGATGCGTTGAAACGTATGAGGAAGATGGCTATTTCAGTAAATAATTAGAATTATATAGAACCATGAGTGGCTGCTGATAGTGAATGATAGCTGCAGAGTACTTTTGAGTGAAAGGATCGGAATGACGTCCACCTCCGATGCGCTAGCGAGCACTTGGTTCCGAGCGACAGGTGCGATTCAACCCACTAAGCCGCACACACGACACCACCGGAAGCGCCCTTCATCCCTTTACAGCTCCAAGAGACTCAGCGTGACACTATCGCCGGCCCTCCATAAGTCACATATGCCAGACTGTACAATAATCACCCAATCTCACACCTGAACATGCCGGATCCCATGCAACCTTCCACAGCGAATGTTGCAACTGCCTGCGCCATCATTGGGCTCGTAACCGGATACCTCATTGGGCAAGCAAAGTCACTTGGTCTTTTCGGTGGTAGTCCCATCGCAGCGCCTGCGGCACGCAAAGAAAAGGCTTTGGGCTCGGATGAGTCAAGCGATGAAGATGGCAGCGCACCGAACGAGTTTCCCGGTCACGGTGAAGAATGCAAGCTCGTGCTCATTGCGGACAGACCTCGGGATGACAAAAGGCACGCTCCTGTTCTCCTCTCCAGTTCTTGCCCTTTTACTGACAGTGATTTACAGGCAAAATCGGAGCCCAGTGCGGCCATGCGACACTCGCGTGCTACAAGCAGTTCCTCCGGCTGTCACCCAACTCAGCGGTCTTGAAGCGATGGGAGCGCAGCGGTCAGATGAAGGTCGCGCTGCAGGTCAAGAGCGAGGAGGAGCTCGAGGTGCTGCAGGCGCAGGCGCTGAGCTTGGGCCTGGTTGCGCAGATCATACATGATGCAGGACGGACACACAGATTGCGAGTGGCAGCGCAACGGTGCTGGGAATCGGACCCGCGCCGAAGGGCGTCATCGACCAGGTGACGGGCAACCTGAAGCTACTATGAGATAGCGGACAAGGTTGCATACACGGGCATTGCGTCCCCGCTGACGGACATGGCAATTAGAAGAATCGAGGATGGGAGACAAAGATGTAGGCAACTGGGTTTTTCCCAAGCATCAGTGGCCGACGGCCTAGCATAAGGGAGTAGGAATCAGTCGCCCTGGCAGCGCCCTCCACCGAGCTCAAACGTTTCCGCGAACTCAGGCTTCGGCACGCTACCGACTCACTCTCAGACCTGTCGGCCGGAAATTGACATCATAATAGAGATGGCTCCTTGTGGCGGACGAACTGCCAGCGCGTCGACCGAACACACCCCGGAGGGTGGACGGGAACGTTGGCACAGGTCGTTGGGTAGGGAAAAGAGAGCTGCTGCTGTAGAAATTTATTTGTACGTCGCCAAATCTTGGCGCGCTAGTGAAAAGCTCGGGGCAGGTCCGTGACCGCGTTTCGTGCCTGCGTGCCTGCCGAGTGCGACCACAACACTTTCACCCACTTGCATCCGCCATCATTGACCCGACGAGCACCACATACACACGCTCGACTGCCTATTTGCGAGTGACCACGGGCCATAGGCTATTCTCCGTCCTTTTCAATCACTTGTGCCACGGAGCCGTACGCGCACCTCGTCACGATCCACTTATCTCTAAGCCTTCGGGATGGCGGACCTCTCCATCGAGGAGGCGAATAAGATCCGTCTGTCCATGGGATTGGCTCCGCTGCCTGTCCCCGGTGCAGCAACACCCTCCGGTCCAGCCTTCAAACAAGCACAGGTGGGCGACGACTCCGATGAGGAACTCGCAAGCACCATCGAATCGCGCCAGGCCGCCGGCTTCGACAACTGGAAGACTCTGCAAGACGAGGCGGCAGCCAAGAAGAAGCGTGAGGATCGGCTAGCGGCGATCAAGAAAGAGCGCGAGAAGGCGGCGCGCTTTGCAAAACTTGAGGGAAAGGGTCTAGCGGATGCAGCCGAGGATGAAGACGACATGGCTTGGCTTAAAGGCTCCAAGAAGCGCCAGAAGAAGATTGCCAAGGCGGAGCAGACGCAGAAGGAGCTGGAAGAGCGCGAACGTCAGGCACAGGAAGCGCTGCAGTACACAGAGGCTGATTTGGCCGGAGTCAAGGTTGGGCACGAGGTCGACCAGTTTGAGGACGGAGAGGACCAGGTTTTGGTGCTCAAAGACGTTGCTGTTGATGCGGAAGACGATGATGAGTTGGAGGCTGTTTCGCTGAAGGAGCGCGAGCGCCTGCAGGAGAAGCTCGATTCGAAGAAACGGAAGCGCGCCTACGACCCGAATGACGACGGTCAAAAATCTATCCTTGCTCAGTACGACGAGGAGATCGAAGGCAAGAAGCGAAACGCGTTCACCCTCGACGGTCAGGGGAGGACAGTGGAACAAGCGCAGGCAGAAGCTGCAGGTGCGGCTAGGCCCAAGCGGATCGCCATTAGTCTCGACATTCTCCAGGAGGACACCCCAGTCAACGACTACATGGATATCTCGGAGGTCAAGATGAAGAAGCCAAAAAAGAAGAAGTCCAAATCGTCCAAGAGAAAGCGTATTGAAGACGATGAAGTAATGCTTGCTGAACAAGAAGAGCCTACTGATGAGATGGAGGTGGACGAGTCGGAGACCAAAGTCGCACCGAAGAAGGCCAAGAAAAACCTCTTTGACGAATCTTTCGTAGATGACGACGATCTGCAAGCGCAACTGGCTGCCCAACGCCGACAAGCACTGAAGAAGCGGAAGAAGACGCGCCCGGAAGACCTGGCTCGGCAACTTCGCGAAGAGGCAACTCCAGCACCGCAAACACCTGGCGAAGTGGCAGACTCCACAGAAATTTCCGAAGAAGACGCAGGTGCTCTTATCATCGATGAGACCACTGAATTCGTTCACAATCTCGGCGCCAACGCGGAGGATGAAGGAGAGGAGGCTCGACGACGACAGCGGCACAAAAGTAGTCACATTCCCAATACGGTCGACTCGCCAGCGGTTGAATTCGACGATGAAGGCGACGTCGAAATGGCTCAATCGTATGCGGAAGCCGCGGAAGCCGAGGACCGCGAAGAACGTAGCACGTCTCGAGCCAAATCCGCCGAAATCACAGGCACCGGGCTGGACGACGAGAAATTGGTCAGCGGTGGTATAGGAGCCACACTAGCTCTTCTCAAACAACGAGGTCTTGTCGCGTCCGCCGAAGGCAGCGACAAGAACGCACTCTGGCGAGAGCGCGAAAAGTTCCTTGCCGACAAACTTAGGGCTGAAGAAGAAGTTGAGCGGGAGCGTAGAGAAGACCGTGAGCGTCAGCGCAATTCTGCGCGCTGGCAGACTATGTCGGCACGCGACAGGGAGGAATTAAATCGACAAGCCAACGCCAAATCCGAGAAAGAAGTTGCTCGCAAACTCGCGGATATATACAACAAAGAGTATAAGCCGACGTTCCAGCTCACACACACGGACGAGCATGGCAGACAGCTCAACGAGAAAGAAGCGTTCAAGCTCCTTAGTCACCAGTTCCACGGCAAGGGCAGTGGTAACACAAAGACCAAAAAGCATCTTGACAAAATTGATCAAGAGAAGAGGAAGATTGCAGAGAACTCTTTGGATACGAGAGCCGGCGGTCTCAGTAACGCGCAAGATCAGCAGGCGAAGAAGAACAAGTTCGCTGGTGTGCGACTTCAGTGAAGGCTCCTCTGACACTCTCAAGCGTATCGGACCAGCACTTGGAAAGTGCAGATTGGATATGGCGTTTCTCAAGGTCAGTTGCTTCTTGAGCATATGCACATGAGGCAGATATTAATGCAAGATTGTTTTTCAGGCCAGATTCGAGCCGACGTTGGTGGTGGTATGTTCTTGGTCGTGTTCACCTGCTAATTGCTACACTAAGGTTCACCCTATTTCTGTGTACGCACCGCATTTCACGTTGTCGATTTCAGTTCCTCCAAACCTTGTAGTCACCACGTCAAAGGCCAAGTATTGCGCATTTCCTTAATATATTATCCACGTTCACGACTCGTTCCTTTCATCAACGCTCCGCAATCGTCGCATTCGCTGCAGCACCCGTAACTAGGAAACTGATCATACCCCTTCCCGGCACGCTCGCGCTCGCCGTTCCGTCATTGCTTACCGTGGCCGGAGTCACGCTCATGTCGTGCGTATTGTCCGTATACCACGCCTGCACGTTCGGGTTGACCAGAGTGCTCCCAGTAAGACTAATGCCAACCGTCTGCGCACTGGAGCCGGTATTGATGATCTGCAAGGAATCATTAGCTTTTCTTCACGCTTTCCAAGATCGACAGGATCTATGAAAGATTGCGAAAACTTACCACAACAGCAACACTTCCGTCTTTGTTTACGAACGCTGCGTTCTTGAGATTGCTACCACCGCTAGCTCCAACACGCACGGCTTCAGGGCGCACGACGCGGAACTGCGCGAACGCCCAGAGGCGCTTGCTCACGGTGTACGACTGCCCGTCCACAAGGATGAGCTTCTCATTGTTATTGTTATTAGTTGCACGGTCTTGCACGCCTTCCCAGAAGATGTACGCGCTGAGATTCGAGTTCACGATGCCGTTGAACACCGTGTTGGCCCACGTATAGCCGTCACCGCTGCCCCCACTGCTATACCAGGCTGTTGACCAGCCACCATTGAGGTCGGAGTATTCAGTCTGCCATACTTTGGCTTTGGTGTTCATCACGCCAGAAATACGGCTCGTGTATTCGTGCGAAGTGATTGCGTAGACCAACGGGATGGCTCCCGCGCCGTTAATCTGGGAGGCATGTTGCGAGGCAATAGACCAACCGGTCGCTTCGCAGCAGTTTATCCCTACAGAGGTGAGGTTTGCCTTGTCGAGCGTGGGCCGCAGGACCTTGATGAATTCGGCGGCTTGCGTGCCGCTCGATTGCATGCTTGCGTACGATGTCGACATGTCAGGCTCGTTGAGGAACCCGATGTGCGTAATAGATACCCCGTTTTCAGCATACAGCTGGACATTCTTGACAAGATAGTTGGCATAGGCCTGTTTCCAGTCGCCGGATTTGCAATTCGTACCCGAGACCTAGTTCCAAATATTCGAATCAGCTTAGCCTTTCTTGTGTCTAGGGACACAACTCGTATCAATCCAAACAATGAGGGAGGTTGGACTTACACCACAAAGTTGTCCTCCATTGGCATCATTGCCATTTGTCTTCATGCACCCCGGCGCACTCCACGCGTTCGCGTAAAATGTCCGCACTCCATACCCCCACGCTTTCTGACTTAACCACAGCTGTCCGCTATCTTTGCCATCCCACTTGTACTCTGGCGTTCCATCAGGGGTGGAAGGACAGTTGGGCAGGATCGTGTTCATCCAGTCACTCTGACTGGTTTTGGAGCTCCCGATGCCGTTGCGCACTATCGAGAAGCCGGCGCCAGTGGTGGTGTTGAAGAGCAAGTTGAGGACTTCGGATTGCTTGGGTTCTTTGAGGTTGACGATGAGGTTTGCGCGTTGGAACGCGCCACTGAATCCGAAGCCGTCGATGGTTTGGTACCGTTTTGTGAGGTCGACGATTACCTTTTGGGTGGATTGGCGGGGTGAGAGGGGTGAGGATGCGAGGGCGGTGGCCGCCAGCAATGCAAAGCATGTGGTGTACATGATCGCTTGAACGATGCGTAGTCCAGGCTTCAAGGGACGAGTCAAAGTCGGCCGCGCAACATGAGCGTTTATACTTTCTATAAGAGGAGCCTCTTGTGGGGCCTACGAGCTCAGATTTACTTATGGAGAAATTCGTGTTGCTCCCGATCAGGTTATGCGAAGACGTCCAAAGTGCGTCCGGTAAGTGCACAGCAGCCGACATGAGCCACGGGACGAACCACATCACATTGGATAGATCATTATTGCCTGTGTAGATGGTAGGCCAAGAGACGAGAATAGTTTACCCCACAGTTCCTTTGCACCGGGCGTGCTGTGTGTGGCACTTTAGCCGAGGGTAATCCAGGATCACTGCGGCGGGACGAGTGGGCTGTCAGGGGGCGTTGATGATGGTGCGGGTTTCGAAGAAGAAGACCGATTGCAGAGCGATGTTGTGGATGCCGAAGTGGAACACAGGTCCAAGCGCGTGGTGTGGCATACGAAGAGGCTCGTATGGTGAATGGCTACATCCGAAAGAGGGAGTTCATATGCGGCGAACTCTCCGGCGTAGTCGAGAAGATGGTGCAGAAGATGAAGGAGTCTGGGCCATAGGAGATCGCGTCTATGACTTGGAAGCTGTCCCATATGCCAGCCGGATTCGTGTGCGTGAAAGGGCTATAGTCCATTGCAAGAGGTCCCTCCTGCACCTGTTCATAGCCCTAGGTCAATTTTATATCAATCTATATGATATCCACTCTACTCTCAGCTAGGTCTTGTTAAACAGCTAAAAAGTAGTTATAGTAGACGTCAAAATAGGCGTACTAAAACAATCTATGTAGGAATAGAACAAGATACCATAGAATTCTAACAAAATCCTCAGAAATCAACCTAGAGCTATATAAAGGCGAGCTAGAAACTGTTGAAAGACACTGATGGTGCTGATATCGTTAAGATGACGCAAGGCATAAATTTCGAAGGTTTTGAGTACAAGGCGGAGATCAAGGGAGAATAATGAGATAAGCGCAGTCGCCTACTCCTTCTCCTAAGCCATTGATATCCCCAAACTCTGCATTTCAGGTGGCCGTACAGCTGGTCTGTAGACGGTTCTTTCGAGCCAGTCATACCTTGCTCAAGCCTGTCTGAATCAGTCAGTTTTTGAAAGGACGTGTGGGATATCAGCCACATCCTCTGGGCTGAAAAGAAGACGGTGACTTCCTTGTCCCCTGCCGCAGCGGATAATCTTCGAGGCGTTCGCTTTGGTCGTGTTGACGAATAGAGGGAGTAGTGCAGCTGGCTCGAAGTCTCCTTCCGATGCTACATCGCAGAACGTCACATGCGATGTCTTGAATGGAGTCTAAAGGGAGGCAACCAAAGGCCTGAACTGATTGATAGCAAGATTTATCGTGATTTGTTGGTATATTATTTGCCATCGAGTACGAGAGGGCTTTGGGTCCACTTCGAGCAGGAGAAGGCGCCGGGAAGCATTCTGTGTGGGTGCCTACAAAGGAGGTGGATATGGTTTTAGAACAGATGAATTACAGCATGGAATTGATAAGACGGATACGGGAAGGCATCGTGCCCTGATTTTGGGGTGTAGTAGATTACACGACGCGATAATGCCCCTGTTTAAGTCTGTGCTCTAGCAACTCGCCGTCGCAGGCTGGAGAACTGGTTACATCCCTTATCATGTACGGCTGAGGAGTAAGTATGCAGATAAAACCTTCAAACGTGCTCCCTACACCATCAGAATCCATTATGAATGTTTTTTGGGGTACTTTTCTTAATACACGAAGACGTTAGGAATATATGCAATAAGCCAATATATATCGGTAGCTTTCAGAAGAGAAAGACGCCGTGACGACGGCAATAAATGAATACGTAATGGGGTATATGGCATATCCAAGCTCAATCCTTGATACAGTGTGCAAAGTCGGGTATAGTGTGACTCTGATACCAAAAATGTGTATTCGCTGCTGCGTTCGCCGCCCTTATATCATTTGTGCTCCAATCTATCAATAGAGCTTCCGAAACTCGCAAACACAATGTCTGGCATCCGCATGCTCGAAGTGACCAGCGGATCATCGTATCAGTAAAGTCCTGTAATTCGAAGAGTAGGGCTGCGAGACACCAATACCGTTCGCTACCGAGGCGAGACAATAATATAAGCCACTTGCCGACGGAAGCTGAAGCGTTATGCATAATGACACAGCTCGTAAAGGGTTGTGGGCTTCCCATTCGATTGCTCAGGTTCGCTTTTGAACCTTTGTGCCGTACAAAGCCTCTTTTCCTAACGTTTCGGCCCTTTCACTCTTTGCTTCGGCTAGATTATGGTTGGTGTCCCTCAATCTCGCCATTACTGGTCCCATCTACAACGTTTCAGCCACAACCATTGGTGATGCGACCTCATCCCTCTTCTCCTTCCCAGCGAGTGCCTCCACAATCGTGAGCGCAAAGAGTAGCGCAGTTCCCGGCCTACACGCCGTTAGCACAACCTCGATCCATCTCCACAAAGCTATACTAACCCTCGACTCGTGATGACCTTCCCATCAACCACAACTCTCTCCTCGCTATACTCCCAGCCACCCTTCTTTTCCACCTCCCCCCTCACACTAGGATGACTCGTGACCCTGCTCTTATCACCCCCATGCTTCTTCTGAGCCGCCACCAGCGCCGTCGTTCCAGCACAAATAGCAGCTACATGCTTCCCCGCAGTCTGAAACGCGTTGATCATATCGAGCACAGGCTCAGAACTCGCGAAGGTCTTTGCCCCTGGGCCGCCGCCCGGCAGGATAAGTATGTCGTAGTGTTCGTGCACAGATTTGTCGCCAAGACTAAGGAGGGTAGGAAAGTCTGGGATGATGCGGACGTTGCGAGTCATGCTGATCTTATTAGATCACGCACTCCTAGCATAGAGGTGGCAACAGGCACGTACTGCGCGTAGTACTCCTTGAGATTCACACCCGCGGATATTACCTCGAAGCCGGCTCGTGTGAGGACTGGCGCATTGTCAATCCTTCCACTCGCCTCAAGGAGATGCTTGATCTACCATCGTAAGGCGTCACGAACTCAATCTCCTCCGAACCATCGGCCACCAGGATTAGGGCTTTCGGCATCGCTTTCGCTTTCTTGTATGGCTTGTTGATGTTGGTGTACTCAAAAATTGGCAATAAAACGGTGTTTTGCAAGTTCTGCGATTGATCGTAAATACCGTATTTCCAGAGGTGGTGTGAGTATTTGTAGAGATGACGTCGGTGGGGAATGCCGTTGATTCCCGAATTGGTGGGGTTCCTGCGATACTGTGCTGCGAATTTAAAAGAGCTATTTCGCGCATTGCGACCAGCATCAGACGTGCCTGTCAATCATCAAGGTATGACTGACGGTATGTGTCTGGTAAGCGAGATTTGAAGTATGCAGGGAGATGATATGAATGTATGTTCGAAAACGTGTAAAGATGGTTTGTATATCTAAGCCTCGTGTTCAGGCTCGCAAATTTGTCCGACGGCATCGAATTCCCCACTCATCTATGGACATACACTTTAAAGAAAACGCCAACCCATTGCACAAGATATCATCTCCACCATCAAGTGCACCCCCCAAGCCAATCGTAATTAGAACGCCAAAGCATTAGCACGCGCATTGCAACCGCCAATCGCGCAACAGAGAGATTCATATGCTCGTGCAACTGTGAACGACCGGTCGAGTCGATCACGCGCCACAAGACGTGAAGAGCGCCTGATACGCCCACATCATCGTTGTATTACACTACGGCTGTGCAGCTTGATGGAGCGCCTGCCTCCTCCATCTGCCTGACAACCAAGTTTGCGTCATCGCGAAAGGGTACAGTACTCGTGAAGTAGTAGGCCGGAATATGCAAAAGAACAATCATAGGTATCAAGATGAACAAAAAGGTCGTGAGGTTGTAAAAGAACAGTCATGTCGATAGCGTCCAAAGGCTTGGCTTGTCGTTCGATCACCGGGGAATCTGGCGTCCAAAGGCCGAAATACCGGCGACTGCCGACTGAGCAGCGCGATTGGAGCAATCGCTCGCTCCGAGTGGATGTTGCTTGATTCGAGAAAAACAGAGCCGAGGCCGCGAGAAACCAAGCACATCACAGAGACATGGTGAGCCACTCCCATTCTTGAGGCCCTGATGCCGACGAAAGGCCTTGTCCCATAGCGCCCATGGGAAGACTGCCGAGGTTCTGGTTCGGTATCATGTTCGGGGCGACTACGGACTCCTTCCTCCGAGCACTGGGGGGTGCTTTTCCGTTTGTGTCGTCAGCATCTGCCATTTCTAGCTCCTGCGAGCCACTCTTGCTCTGCCCTCGAGCTCGTTTGGGTGCCACGTTGGCTCCGCGTCCTTGCGTGGTGCCTGAGACGTTGCTGGGTGGTGGTTTGCGCGGACCGGGTGCTATGGGAACTACACCGCCAGTTTTCGCGGGGGAAGTGGCAGTATTAACGCTGTTTCCAGCCGCCCCAAGCGCAACAGAGCCAGTCGATTTTGGAGACTCCGAATCTGTACCCTTGGCAGATGTTGGTGTTGACACGGGGGTCTGTGCAAGAGAGTTCTTCCGCGACGACTTTTTCGCTGCTCGCGACGAAGACCCTGCGACAGGAGCCGTCCCGCTGCCACGGTTGCGCTTCTTGATGACATCCGTCTTGAGTGATAGTGGTCGCACGACTCCATGTAACTTAAGAAACAGGCCACATGCGTTGCATAGAGGATGACCTTCAGGGTTACGACGCCATAAGGGAGTAGTCTGTGTGAAGCAGTTGGTGCAGGTTGTCGGCGCGCTGCCTTGTTCACCCTGCTTAGTTCCTCCAGGACTAGCTGGCCGTGAAGGCGCTGCAGAGCTCAAGCCGGATTCTGGCGGAGTATTCGGTGACGATTGTGAGTGGCCATGTATTCCCTGTAGAGCCAAAGCAGCTGCATTGGGCGTCGAACTTGTGCGGGGTATCTTCCCACGTCGAGGATCGTTTCCACGATTTCGAATGTCGCTGACTGAGGCTGCCGAGCCGTGTGTGCGACCCAGACTACTGCTCACACCCCAGTGTTCCTGTGGCGAAGGCATCATCTCCGTTGGGCCGATAGTAACGGTCTTGCGCGGAGGACCTGCAGGGAAGCGAGCTGGAATAGGGTTGAACTGGTTGGACAGATCCGTCTCCCACTGAAACCCAGCATTGAAGTCGACCGAGCCCTCATCCATGGGCGACGAGTAGTCTGCTTGGTTCGGTATTGTTCGGTCTGCGAACGCGCCCTCATCATCCTCGTTATCCGAGTCTGCACCAAAGGTAAACATGTTTTCGTTGCGTGAATATGGCATGTGCTCTTGCCGATAAGGGAGGGTGTTGTGTATGACTTGAGTAGGGTCGACATGGCTAGACTGGCCGAACGACGAGGCCGAGAAGGGTGTAGAAGAGGGCGCGCTTGTGATGGCACTGAACATGGAGTCGCCCATGCTGCTGGGGTTGAAGATGTACTGAGGTTGCATCGAATTGGAGAGGTTGGACGGCCGGTGGGGTCCAAAGCTGTGACCGGTATTGTTGCCTCGGATGTCCATGCCGTTGCGGTCGAAGTACATCTGGCCCTCGTCTTGTATGGGCTGCGGCGTCGACACGGTGGAGTGGAAGGCGGAGCTGGGTGGGGAGTAGTAGTCGGTGGAGTTGAGCGAGGAGGCCATGGAGGGGCCGTTGAAGAGGTTGGAGTACGAGGCATTCTGCGACATGAGCGGCGACCCAACGGGAGAGAAGCCAAACTGCTGCTGAAAAGGGCCAGCAGAGCTAATGATAGGGTCCTCGGGCAGTTGGAAGTTGGAAGTGTCTATAGCGAAGGGCACATGGGGTTGCGGGGTACTGAAGGAGGGTGGCTGCAACGACGACTGGTCGAGCGAGTAGTGGTGAAGAGCAGCTTCATCGTCAGGATTGCTCGGAATCATGGTACTGTTGACGGGAGGCACCAGGGGAGAAGCCTCTGCGCGTCGCTTGGGCGGCTGATAAGGCGCATGTTAGCATGGTGGAGCTAGGATGCTGCATAGATAAGGACTCACTCGTCGCTCGTCAATCGACGTCTTGCGGACACGGCGCTGGACGTAGCCAAATTCATTGTCGCGATCGCGGTGGATGGCAGGCGGCACGGAGGGAGCGGAAGCGCGGGCGAGCGAAAGGTCTTGGTCATGGTCATGGTCATGGTCGTGGTGTTGGTTAGCCTTCCTGATGGGGATGGCAGCTTGGGTGGCAGCAGCAGTCGACGAGGACGGCAGCGGCGAGGGCGGCAGGCCAGCCGGGCTACCGACCGACGACGGCTGGATGAAGTCGTCGAGGTTCATGGCATTGGGGTCAGGAACCGGAGGGGCCTGTGCCTGCTGGTCGACAGAGCGCCGCAGCTGTTGCGCAATGCCGCTCGGAGCGCTCTTGAGCTGTGGCTGTGGGGGGGCAGCCATTGGCGCGGGCCTCATCTGTTCGCGCTCGGCGTGGCTACGCGCAGGAGGAGCATCGTCAGCAGCGTCAACGGAGCGAGTTGGGAGCGAGCGGGGCTCTGTCATGTTGCGTTGCACATTGCGGCATTCATACCCTTTATTGCGCTCGCGCTCGGCACGGCGCATGCTCATGGCCATCATGCGCCATGTCAAGTTCTCCATGCGCTCTGCATTGGGGAGCTGCGTCCTTGTTTTGCTGTACAGCTTCCATATCTGCGTGCCCAGCGGGTCGTTGCGCTGCAGCTCCTCGGGCGACTCCATGTGGGTGCTGCGGGCATCGTTCTTCAGGGCTGGGAATATGGGGTCGGCGAGCATGCCCTGGCGCGCGGCCGCAGCGCGCGGCGAGAGATGCAGCGAGGGCTCCAGAATGGCGTCGTGGTCGGGCGAGGGCTGGAAAGGGCTGTCCAGCGAGGGCCACGGCGCAGACATGTGGTGGTGTTGGTTGGGACTCTGGTGGAGATGGTGATACGGAACGAGGTATGCTCTACCCCAGATGCGCCTCGGGCGGCTTGCTTTTGCGCGCACGCACGGGGAAGCTCAGGCTGGCTGCTGTGGCATTCAACTCGGATCACAACCGTCAGGCCTGGGTTGACGACGGCCGGCGCAGGGCAGCAGTGAATGGGAAGGGTGCAATTTCCAGAGACTAGGACTGGTACCGTACTGGAGCTATGCGCTTGGCGACAGGTCTGGCGACGGCAGCGGACGTGCGGTGACGCTGGCCTCGGAGAGCAGAGCAGCCCTTCCTGGCAAGCAGACGTCGGTACCGCTGGAGGTGGTGAGGGGACGCGTGCGGCGTGGGGGGGCGGTCGCATACGGCCAAATCAAACGAGCGCCGTGGCTGTTTGCATGAGCCGGGCGGACGCTGCATGGCCTGTGGACGCCCGAATCCTCAACCATGAGCCCGCCGCGGGGACACTAGACCTGCTGTCGCCCGTTGAGCGGCGCAGCTGCGCGAGAATGCTGGCCCGCCGTCGCTCCCTGCCAGCGTCGAGGACGCCTGCTCCGTGCGACCCCGGAACCAATTTGCATCCCGGACGGCGCTTTGGCTGCGCGTTGCGTGGTGGCGGCCCTGCAGCGTGGAGAGAGCGTGGAGCGAAGTCGAGTCGACGCTCACCACCACGGCCACGGCCCCGACCAGCCACCGCGCTCGAGGCCAAGGCAGCCCTCGTCGCGCCGCCGTCCGCACCGCACACGACAGGCGACAGACACGCCCATTCCTGCACGGCAAGCGTCCCTTCGTGGCTTGCCAGAAGGTCCAAGGCCCAAGGGCTCCACCGTGACGCCGGCTCGAACGCGCGGGTCAGGGCATCAGCGGGATGCCGTCGCGCCTATTGGCCGCACACTGCACACCTTCGCTCCACCTGCCTCGCCGACAGCGGTGCGCCTCCAGAGACCTGGACATCGTACATCCTCCATACTGTGTACATCCTTCACCAAGCTGCCTGTTTCTGCACACACATGTCCCCCGCTGCCGCTGCACATGGCCCACGTCTGCGTCCATTCCAGACGCCATAGCAAGGCCGGCACGCCGCGTCGACTCTACCTTGTGCATCTCCCAATGACGCACGCCTCCAGCAGAGCTGCGCGCGCATCTAACAACCATTTTAGCCCGAGATGCTAGCGTACGCGCATTCCCAACTTCTTCCGACTTCGCCTCCCTGCATCTCCCGAGCTCTTCACCACACTGAAGGGCTTCAGGATCCACTCTTTATTGCTTCCTGGCCCACTGCACGCGAGCATGCCTGCAACCTCTGAGCACAAACGCCGACAAACGTCACCCTGCTCGCGCCAACCCTGCATGAAAGATGGAAACGACCCCAACCAGGTACGGACCACCGAAGCCAGGCGGAGGTAACTTGGACGCTGATTACAATCGGCATCGCTTCATGCGACAACGGTACGCCTGCGGTCCGTTGCAGCACCTTCGTAAGGACATCGCTGGCATGTCGATGGAAAGGGTCCAGACTGCATGTCCACTTGTTATTAGTAGCATGGGGGCCTCTCGCGGAGGCAAACTTGCGGGTACAACACAAGCGTGTACCATTACAATGGAGCTTATCGTGTGTTACGCATACCATATACACAATATTCCATCCACAAGCTCCTAGTGTCGCTAGAAACTACACAGCCATGGCACACCACGTTCGACATCTCAAAGTTACCTATGCCCTCCAACTCACGTGCGCAAACCACCCTGAGACACAGTCCGATCTACACAAGGTCCACGCCTGTGTAACGATCGAGTCTATTCGGCTCATGTTCTCATCAAGGCAACATTGGTAGCCGGCTCATCTCATTTACCAGACGGACCGATGGCCGCAATGTCGCTCTTTAGCCGATCCGACATGCAGTAGCTGCGAAAATGCCCAGCGGGTGCTACCACATCCCAATCCTCGAGCATGTCTACTCCTCCGGATCAACGACTTGTGTTATTCTCTCTGCACTTTTCTCATGGCGGAGATGCTTCAAGGTCATTATTCATGTCTTGTTCCATTGTACGAATCTATGAATCATACGACGAGGCCGCAGAGGTCGCGTGACGCTAGCTCGCTATCGTTAGCATACCGCCGGTCACCGTTCTAGCGTCGCGTGGGTCTTTCACATGCAACATCAATGCGTCCAAAGCCTCTCGGCTCCGGACCACAACAGAGCGACACTTGCCCACGTCTTCCCACCTCAATATGCGTGTCTGTCTCGCAACGGGAATCGGTATGCATCACAGACACAGACTGGCTTGCTGTGATTGGTTCGTTCTTTGCATACATTGAAGCGTGGGGGTGACAAGGTACCCCTGCCATCTCCCTGCGCTGACTTGCAGGAAGGCCAGGGATATCAGGTCGAAGCGTCAAGCGCCAGGCCGACGGAAACCGCCTAGTTGATGACGAACTGGAAGAGACTCGAGAGAGTATGCAACCACCGGAGATGCTACGCGCTGATGTCGCGGTTGTCCAGCGAGATTTTTTTCGACTGCATGTGTAGGCCCCTCTCAGCCGCCCAAGACTCTGTACCTAGCGGAGTTAAGAGATGAACCAGAGCAACTCCGGATGCTGATTCTGGCTCTAGACCATGGCGGACCGCAATCGCTGCAGCCGCATGAAAATCAGCTTAGGATTGTTCTCGCGTGACAACAGCAGCCTGACAAGCAGGGAGAGAGTTGTTCCGGCCTCGGGTGGGACTCGCTGCTTGTTTGAACCTTGATCAGGCTCGTGGGACAGTGGGGTTACCGTCTTGGCCCGTGTGGGGTGGCAATGTGGAAGAGATATCCTTACCGATCAGCACATTTGATTTGAAGGCGATATCAGATGTGCAGAATCCCCCCGACGCTTGCCATGTTAGCACCCCCCGGGTCGCGTGCTCTGTGGCCGCCCACTTCGCATGCTTTGCCGTGGCTAACGCATCCGGACTTTGCTCTGCAGTATCATGTGTCCTTGACTGCAATCGGCTTCAGGATCGTGGCGTCTGTCTCCTAGACGTCTTTACCAGACAGCAGCCTGGCAGCGGCCTACAAGCAGCAACAGGGATCGCTAATGCGGACTTGAAGCCATATCGCAAGCTCCATCTTACTCGTAGGGTCCGACTGCATTCATGTCGTCCAGGTATGCAGGCACTGTCTGTAGATGCAGGTCGGTTGTTGTGGGTGTTGCGGGTGTTGTGGGTGATGTAGTCGATCGATGGCGCGAGCGAGGGTGCACCAGGCCGGTCGTTCAGGTGCTTTGGATGGAAACAAGTATACTAAGAGGGCCTAGCGATCCCAAATCCTCCCAAGTAACATCTTTTCCCCTCCCAGATACTTCCCAAACGGTAGGATCCTTGGCGTGTCGATGCAGGTACCCAGGAGCAGCGGAGCGGAAAGGGCGAGCGGAAGCGGGAACCGAGACCACGAGAGCCTCTGCAACATCTTTGATAGAAGCGGGCGCAACGATTAATTTATACACCAAGCGCAAGACCTGGGGAATGGGCATTGTTGCACGGCCCCGCGATCACGTCTTATCTTTGCGAAATTGATACATGATAACGCCATCCCCAGCCAAGCGCATGCCAATAGGGACAGTCCTTCGCTCACAGTCCCCCAGATAGGCTGTGTGTCTGATGCAAAACACGCGTGGTGGGACAGGGCTGACCATCATATCACTGCTCGTTGGCTTGAGCTGCCTATCTTGGGACGTTATCTAAGCGGTGAGATTGTGTGTTGCAGCTGTATACTAAAGCTAGCTACTTTGGATTCTTTGTGATGTCTTCTGCCGAGATAAGAGATGGGACAAGCGCTGTGATTCTGGTGTCGTCGCCGGAGAAGGACATTTCGTTTATCTGAGCTTTAGCTGAAATGCAATGCGTCGCGAAGGGCCGACGGCAACATGTGCACAAATGTCCAATAGATAGTAACAGTGCGCAAAGAAGCGTTGCATGCTCCACACCGCGCCTGAACGGAAGGGTCGCGTTTGTACAACGCTCCATCTCTGCCTCTGTGCCTGCCATTCACCGTAAACCGTAAACTGCCTGCGGGCCTTCGAACCCTCCCGCTTGCGCACTCGGTCCCATGCTCCTGCCTCGAAACATGCCTGTTGCAACGCGTTCTGTTCGCATGGTTATTGCTTCCCGGCTCGCGGCTGCATGGACTGCCACTATCCCTTGTACCGCATCGCGTGCGTATCTTGGTGAACCAATTCTGTGTCTCGGCGTCGAACGTCTCCTCACTTATCATGATCCCCACTACTAGGAGACTCGGCTGATCCCTTCACCGTCTCTTCACCCAGGACCTTGCTCGCCGACATGAACCTGGCTACATTAGCACCTACACCGGACTTGAGTGTTATTGTATGGACCAACTGACATTGCTCCCGCATACCCGCCCAGACCGCGCATGTCTTGCGCCTGCCTGGCTGTCATGCCCACCAAGCTCTCCAGATCCGCCATGTTGGCCGTCAATTGCGCGAGTTGGGCCTGAAGGTGCGATATCTGGCGCGGTTTTTGAGAGGGTACGGTACTGAGACGGGAGGACGAAGAAGTGTGTGAGCGTGGAAGGTTCGACATGTTTGGTATTCGAGATTGGACTGTTCTACGTAGGGGCGTCGCACGTGAGCTGTGAGTGTTGTTGGTGGTTGTTAGGTGGAGCAGAGCGGGGAACGTGGACGCGGTGGAGAAGACTTGGCAGGGACGCGACCTCGTCTGCTCCGACATTTCCACGCTCCATCACGACGTACCTCTGACTGAGACCAGAGCACACATCTTCATCAGGTAACGAGTGCCGTTGCAGCCATGGCCGCGCAGCAGCTTGTCCGCCGGTGGATCCTGACCGGCTCTGTGACTGCCGTCACCGTCACTGGAGCTCTCTATGGAGCTACTCTGAAGAACGACCAGGAAAAGGCTCAGGTAAGCTCCTTTTTATCAAGATGACCTTCAAGCTACCTCATGACTCCGAAATATGCTCGGGCGCCTCCGCCATTCTCGCGCCACAATCTTTTATTCATTCGCATATGAACTCGCGAGACAAATGCTGACGCAGCACTGTAGGCAAGGAAGCGAGTCATGGCCCTTTCGGCCGATGAAAAGATTGCACAGTACCAGACCATGATTGAGGAATGGGAACGGACAAAGAACGAACTCGAACGCAAATTGGACAATTTCCACGCAAGGAAGAGAGGTCAAGACGTTGGGGAAGGAGATCGGAGGAGCTCGCCGCGCTAGTGCTCATCTGAGTTCGTAGATAGACGGACAGACTATGCGCAGAGTTCCCCGCGGGTGCTCTATGCGAACAATGTGGAGGGATTCACTGCGCGGAAAGGAGGCAGACCAGGAAAAGCGTCTGGCTTTGTCACCGCTGAGCCTTCCTCCTGCGTAGGAGTAAGCAACGCCTTTCGCCCTAACTATAACCTTTCGAATGTACGAGCTCGGCATGTATTCCGGGAACAGCAAAGGATTGCTTTCACCAGCTGCAGCTCCGCCGTAGAAGGTTTAGAAGAGGACCAAAGTTCGGTCACGCTACGCTCAATCAACGTAGCTTCACATGGCATCCACGTTCCACCTCATCGACTAAGAAAATCTCCCAATGCCGTCCGGAACCAGTCCTATCATGTTCATCACGTGGCGTCTCAAAGCTTGCTTTGGCATACATACGTACCGGAGGCGATCCGAACAGATCTATTGGACGTAAACGTATGCGCAAGAAGACATGTCCCGACTGCGCCAATTCTCGCAACTCAAGGCCCGGCCGGCTTGTTTGACCACCTACCGTACGAGTCTGACCGGATGATTCGGTTATGCTATATGCGGGTGTGGCATGTCATCGTTGGCCATCTTGCATGGAACAAAAAGAGAACGCCGTTCCCACAGACTCACGCCTCAGGGATCATTTTCCGGATATGTCGCCGGATTGAGCGTTTAAATCTTGATCTAGGTCCGCTTCTGGTACTGCTATAACTTCTCGCAGACTAATAGAGTGGCAGTATGGTTAGGATAAGGCTGCTCGACCAGAACTTGATCGGAGCAAAATTTATCTTTCATCTGATCTAATTCCATGGATTTGTACTTTCACACTCATGCTCATACTTCTATACCATCCCCCGTTTCCTTCCGGTATCGCCTGACGAAATCTTCTTGTCTGGTTCCTCTACGAGCTACGTAAAGCCGTCATCGGCATTTCATCTCACTACGGTGACATTTCAACTCGCCATTCCTATTCATCTCATCCATGCATACTGCCTCCTCACAAACTTCGTGTCGTAGTAGTTGTCCTGCATGTTGGTATATACCATCCCACCTTGCGCATTAAGAACTGCGTAGACGGCAGTGTCGCCTTGTTTGGCACGTCACTGATCTGTAGCACCCATGCGGCTATCGTAGTGTAAGGACGTTACATCGTAGGGCGACAGTATATTGGGGTTTATACCGGCGCTTCGGGTTCCCATCCGCTAGTTTTACGTTTTGAAGGAGACATCGTTGGTCATGGCGTCAATAGCTTGCGCTCGAGTCGAGCCAGGGTTCCGAGTCATAGCGCATAGGACGGTGGTGCTGAAGCCTTCGACCAATGTGAGGCTGTAACGGATGTATTGGGTCACCTGTACAATAGCTTGGTAAATTTGTAAAATGAGTCGATGGTAATAAGGAGAGTTCAACGTAGGTACGATCAGGTCGCTGATGCTCATGTAGAAGTCTTAAAACGTTCCCAAGCTTCGTTCTTTAGCAAATTGTATAATCGCTGGACAGATCTGAATTCACTTCGTGGGCGTATTGCTGCAGATGTACGTGGTTCTGCCGGCCTTGGTAGGTATACATTCAAAATCTTCTGTCGGTTAGGTGCGCTGCTGACGTGGGCATGTATGTACCATGGCCAACGGACGACATAACAATACCGTTTTGCTACCAGTGAACTACCAACGCGACAGTCAAGACATTGAAATGCTTCACTTGTCTGTGATAGACTCAATATCAGTAGAGTGTTCGGCCGTTGCTCGTAAGTTCTGGAGCCCTAGACAGTGTCGTCTCTGCAGAGATCGTCGACCGCCCAAAACATGCAGCCAGAGGTCAATTGCGGCTTCACAGTTGTACGCCAACTCGTTTTGAACGTATTCGTTGACATATCAGTAGATTAAAATGCGCTCGAGGCGTCGTTGTTTAGGATTTCAGACCGGCCAAGGTATTTTTCTTCCGTTCGAGTGTTTTTCGTATGTGCGCGAGAATAGGAGCTTGCCTGTGATCTGGTCGAACCCCTCGAGAATAGCGCTTGTGTTGAAGCTAGACATAACTTCCATCATTAACGACACGTCTGTGATGGCAGCGATCAGTAACATGAAGAGCCTCACTCTAGCAAGTCACGTAGACTGCTCTGATCGACCAAGGCCCTGGGGATCATGTGTGTGTGTGTGTGCAAGAAGGAGCCACAGTAAATTAAGGGGTGTGATTAGGTCTGAAGGATTGTCAATAGACGGAAATTTGCTACCTGCACGTTCAACTTCGTTATTCTTACCATCAAAAAGGCTGCCGTGAGTTCCAGCACATAACGCACCTTCGATTTCACGCACTTCTAAATCGCAGGCGGTGGTTTGAATCCTCAAATGATGTATTTGAATCTGATCGTGTACATACTCACCATCTTTGCGAACCTTTTCGACAAGGAATATAATCATCATCTACCTAGGTAGGTTCCACCACTTACCGCCCCGGTTCTCTTATCATGTGCTCTTATTTCAGACCCCACACCGTCTGACTACCTTTCTATTATACATCATGTTCTGCAAATTTCACTGGCAGTGAGCCCTCCATTACTTTTCCCGTACCTGTGCTCGTCCACAAGTATCACGCATATTCGTTTTCAAGGATTTTAAGACCTTTGTCAAATGGGTACTTAATGATTCCACCAGCTTGTAGGTACCCATTCTTCTTCGCCCGTCCATCTTCCGGTATTGTCAAAGGCCCGTTCCTTAAAGCATGGAAGGTAGCTATGACTTTGTAGACATCGCGATTTTGGTCGTCACATTCGCAGCCAGGCGCGCTCGTCTTTGCATACATCTCCATTGTTGCGGAAAAGAAATTGTACTCTGTTTTTGAATCTAGAATGGTGCTTTTCTTGAGTACCTTCCTTGATAATGGTACGTTAGCGGTAATGTCAAATCGGACTGCATACTCAGCCCGCCAAACTTTAAGGATCCGCACGGGCCGTTAGGTTGTCTTTGCTAGTTTAATTGGAAGTATCTACATTCAAGCGATTCAGCTGATTTAAGCTATAAGGCTGCGTTGTATCGTAGTCGACACTTATGCTGCGAGCAAGGAACTACCTCTCAAGCTAGGCGCAGAGCATTTTATTGATTTCTGGGGAGTATTACAACACTGAGGACGAGGTCTTGCGATTGATGGAGGTGGAGCATATGCTTGCTTCCAAGGTTTGTCACAGGCTTGTTGAGGATTATGCAATTACGTTCGAACGCACTGACTGCGGCAAAGCTGTACAAATATACATATGTAGGTGATAGCACTTCACTATGTAGGGTCTCGTGCTGGTGGAACAATAGTACCAACAGGTATGTATTGGCGTTTCGCTCGTTAGCAAACGCCATATGAACGTAGCTCCTGGAGACTTGGTACTATGAGGCTACACTATTAAAGGGTCTTGCTCAGTAGCATCGACTAAATCGACCAAATTATACAACTTGCAAAGAGAGTTTCAACCTATTTGTCCAAGACTACCCATCTTTTCGCGCGTCTAGATTATAGGCAAGCTCTCGCTTAAACTACAAGTAGTAGAGCTTAATTAATTTGACGAGTCTGTACAAAAGTTAAAGCGAGAGAAGTTGCGGCTTACCTTTGTAAAGCATGCTATGATTGATGATCAGACATACCTTGATACCTAGACGCATCGTCGTAGACTTCGGCAGAGCCTGCCATTCTGATAGGTCAGTAGCAGTGCAGACTGTTCTGTCCGAGTGGATAGGTCTTGCATGCGTTGGACGTCGCGGAGAGATGTGGCGGAAGACGGTCGAGAGGGGCACAATCGACGACATTTCACAGTCTTTACGAGATACATCGGAATAGGAAGGGTCTGGAAACTTGAGCGACCAACGCGGGTTATTGTTGATCTCGGCTATTGGATGCCAGTCGTGCAGCATCTCAGACCATGTGGCTGACTAGAGCTATTTCTTTCCCATTCAAATGCCACAGACTTGAGGGACCTCCTCAAATTTGCCTTAAAATGTGGTGCAACAGGATCTCGCGTTTTCGGTTGTCAGATCGGGGCGTCTGCCTTTTTAATTGCAGGGTACGGCCGCAGATAAATGCCGCCCCCAATTCTTCCAACATCCTTAAAACTCGCGACGATCTGCCTCATTGCTTGAGTTATCCCATCCCGCCTCACTCTTTACGGTGAATCCCTAAGTACTCTGCCTCTCCAGCATCTGCAACTACCTTTGTAGAAACAATGGCAATCCAAACACAAAATCCTACAGCAATTGCCATGGGGGTAAGTGCGTTGACGGAATGGGTGGTTAGAGAAACACCATATTGTTTCTGGGTGGATACGGTCTATGGAGTGCAGATGACAAGTGTGGAGGTGCCGAAGGCGGAGGTAACTACGCTGTCGTCGCAAGGGTCAGCAGAGTTGTCTGCTCCCCGTCATTCGATGAGACAACGGGACGGCATCGCAAACGGGAGTTGAGAGTAGGAGTGAGGTGAAAAGCACGGTATCGATGATTACCATGGCATAGACGCCATCACATGGTGCGCAATCTGCATCGAGATCGGCAGACACTGAGCCTGAGCCCACTGATAGTTCGAACGCGCCGAATGTCCCGGCAGTGTTGTGTCTGGGACTCATGTTCATGTCTTGTAAAGCTGTTGATGTGAGTGCATCAGCTCAAGCTCTTGACGTGCAATGTAATGATGGTCCAAGCTTGAAATAGCCAATGACAAGGCCAGCTAATCAGGTTTTGGGCATAGAGGGAAGGCAGGCATATCTCGGAGTTCAAACGTTCTGCAGTGACGCGTGATCACATGATCACGAGACCCACTTACAAACGTTTTGGAGCTCCAACGGAGCGTCAAACAGCTTCGTAGCTCGCGCTCGTCCACACTCTCCGACATCAATTCGTGCCAATGGCCGCGATAACAACACCCTCGAATACTGCGCCTGCCCTGACATTCCCGCGTCCCATCTTCGCTACCGTCGCCCCGCACCCGTTCCTGCAAGCGCACCTCGCAGCAACAAAGTCTTCTAAAACGCCCCTCCGCGCCAACAATCGCACAGCGCAAGAGTTTCGAAGAATCGGCGTCAATACAGGCAGTCTCACGCATTGCAATGGCTCGGCTGTCGTGCGCTTAGGCAACACCTCAGCCGTGTGCGGGGTGCGCGCCGAGATACTCAAGGAAGAGGATGTGCAAGGGACAGCCGACTTCGCGCCCAGCACTGGTAGCAAGGCACAAGAACATGTAGAGGGCGAGAGGGAAGAGTTTGAGAGCCTGAGGCTGCTGGTCCCCAATGTAGAATTGTCAACAGGCAGCACACCCCAGCACATCCCCGGCAACGCGCCGTCGTCCTTCGCGCAGACACTCATCACGCGCGTGCGATCGCTACTGCTTTCCACGTCCCTTGTCCGCCTCTCTGATCTACGCATCCTCTATACCCCGCCAAGCAACCCCGACGACCCCGATGCGGAGCCAGAACCGCATCTAAAGGGCTACTGGGTGCTCTATATGGACATTTTCTACATCAGTATCGACGGCAATGCCTTCGACGCCGCCTGGATAGCTATACTTGCTGCGCTTAAAAACAGTGTTATTCCGCACGCCTTCTGGGAAGAGGAGCTCGAAACGATCCTTTGTTCCGATGACCCGTCTGAAGCGCATCCGCTCGCTCTCCGTGGACTGCCTGTGCCCTCGACATTTGCGGTTTTTGAGGGCAAACGCGACTGGAACGAGAGTGGGGAAGACGATGAGGTCGATTGGGTGCTCAGCGATCCGGATGCATTCGAAGAGAGTGTGTGCAAGGAAAGCGTATGTGTGGTTGTGGATTGCAGTGGTGGCAAGAAGGGAACGAAAGACGGCATATTAAACAAGCTGGAGAAGAGCGGTGGCGGTGTAGTTGACCGGGAGGCGATAAAAGGATTGGTAAAGCGGGCGGTGGATCGATGGGAGGAGGTGGAGAAGGCTACTAACGTGAAGCCTTGAGGAAGTCAAAACAGAGGCAAGATCTGATCACTAAAAGCTGGTGTCGTCTTAAAACGCGTATACCTAGGTAAGCCCTGAAAATTTCATGACTACGATGCCTGTTTTCACCGAGGGGATATCATCGATCAGGCACTCATAGTAGCCTGGAAAGACCGAGGCCTAACACCCTCTGCTCGTAATGGTGGCTTTGATGCACGATTCTTGAATGAATTCACTAGCACGTATCCCTTGGAACTGTGCCCGGGCATGTTGGATTACTGGGATGTCCCAATAGCCAGATGCCATGGCACCAAGGTCACCGCACCTTCAGATGTATTGCGCATTCAGCCGCAGCGAAAACGTATCTAGAGCGCAATTGCAATGGTTTATTAATCGTCTTCATGATCCTTCTCCATATGCTGACCTGCCGTCCGCGCCTAGGCTAAGATTACACAGGTGGTGTGTGCAATTCTTTCTCTTCACACTTCTAATCCGGTCGATGCACGCCTCAACCCGTCGTCTATGCATCCAGATCCAAATTCTCCAATAGCTGGTCAATCTTTGCCAGCAAGATCTGATAATTCATCGCATCCTGTGCAAACTCATCGCCTGCAACCTCTCCGTCTAATGTCCGGATAGCTCCCACCGCAAATTGCTCTTCGATCTCCGTTTCCAGCAACCCACTCTTCTTCTCTTCGTCTTCATCCTTGACTCCCAAAGCTTCCATTGCCTCCGCAATAGCATCTGCATCCCCTCTCTGCTCCATCATCTCATCGAGCCCACTGTCTTCGAAGCGCAACCGGAACCGGTCCGAAAGGTAATACCGGATATCGTCGACAAGCTCGACCGTATCAGTTTCCTGACGAGCCTTGACTCTGCGTGCAGACTCCTGCACGATCTCTGCAAACTCAGGGGTGTCGATGTAGCGTTCTAACCGGTAGGCGATGTATCGAGCTCCGAACTCTTCTAAGCGCTGCACGCGCGTGTCCCAGCCCGCTCTAATGACTTCGTAGATGTCGATGACTTCTTCTGTATCCGTCTCGCCTCTTGGATTCTCGCTTTCTACCGTCGAAGAGTTCCCGTTTCCTAAGGTGGAGATGATGAGCGCGGCACGTTGCTTCAGCTTCTCGATGAAGAGTTGGTCTGCGGTGAAGAGCACGTCGATCGCGACGTCGAGGTCGAAGTCGGAACGTTCGGTATAGAGGAAGGTGAGGATAGTTTCGAGAACTTTGGGAGAGCAGTCGAGGGTGACGATCTGTAGGTAGGGGGTTTGTTGGGCTTCACGGAAGGGTGAGGTCAGCATGGTAGAAAAATATTCTGAGCGGAGCAGCATGGCTTTGTGCGCAGGATAGACAATGGATCTACGTGGCTGGCGCGACCGGGAAGGAGATCGAGATTTAGAGAGAAGTCCTAGAATGTTGTGCGCGGGCGGCGTCGAAGACTCCGAGTGACCAGGTGAGGCGTTTATGTCGTCAGACTCGTAGTCCTCTTCAACCTCGTCTGCTCGTAGCAGAATGTCGGCGTAGATGGAGTTATCTCGATCCCACTTGAGGTTGTCGACTTTGGCTGTTTCAACTTCCACCTTATTCCGCAACACATTGTCTTGAAACCATGCCTCGAGCTGATTTCGGCCGCGGGCTAGCTCTTCTGCTCGTTTTTGGCGTAATAACCGTCGATCTGACACTTCTGTAATGTCTTCGAAGAGCCTATCCATCTCTAATTGGCGTCCGATTTTGTCAATGCCTCTCAAGATCTGTGCCTCTTCCTCGTCATTCAGTCCATGCATCACTCTACGCATAGATACCTCGGAGAAGTATAGGTACTGCAACGCGACCCCTAGCGACACACTGGGTATACTCTGTGGCAACGTCCATGTTGCGGTATTCGGTGCAGCACAGAGCTTCTTCGCAAAATATGGCGAACGAGCGGCGAGGACGAATTTGTGTACATGGAACGTCTGATCGTACGCCTCAATTGTGAGGTCGGCTGTCTGGGGTTCCGGCCGTGTAAGAAGCGAGGTTATGTGAGCGGCAAGCGGTTGCAGAGGGTTCGAGGACTTGGCATAGTCGTAGGAGAGCAGAAGGTTGCGTATTCGATCGTTCAACGCGTTGTATAGGCATCGCTCGCCTTGGAAAGTGTCTCGTTCACATAAAGCGCCGTTTTCAAGAAGCAGTTGTATGACCTCGTAGTGTCCACAGAGACTAGCCTTGTAAAACAGCAGTTAACATTGTGGACCGTGTATGTCTACGTGCCAAATGGCAGTCACGAATGCGACGAGCGTGACAGGACCGCTTACCAGGATCAGAGGTGTGTAGTCGTGTCTGTCCCGCGCGTTGACATTGACACCGGCCTGGATCATTTCCTGGCACACTTTAAGATCGCCCCGCCGACATGCTTCGCAGAATTGGCGAAACGTCTCGGTGGTGTCGAGCGGATTGTCCTCCTTCAGCTTGCCCGAAGAGATGGCCTGGTTCTCTGTCGCAAGAGCCCGCTCAATCTCGAACTTCTTTTTCGTGTCCATGGTGGCGAAACATGGACAGCGTAAGAGCAACGAAGACGTGCTCGTCGGTCAGAGTGATGGCTTGTGGCGATCGTCGGCGATTAGATTAGATTAGATCCGATGACATCTGGGTTACGCTGCTAGCCCAGGGTGAGCTGTGAGGCTCCGTGCGCGGTTGCTGGTAGCGACGGCCGTAAACAGACCACCCCAACACGCCGGATCAATCACCTTGGCCGAACACCCGCTTTTACATACGTCCCGTCCTGCATCCAGCTGCATCCTCTCCCACCAATACTAACAAACAGCTTCACCGCAATAATAATACCTTCGCTACATCAATTGATGATATAGCCTACACATTCATCATGCCCGAGGACGACAAATACGAGGTCCTTGAGAAGATTGGTACTGTCGCGCCCACGTTGCCTCTTTTCGCAAGCGCATACTGACGCATAGCAGGCCATGGCTCGTTCGGAATCATTCGCAAAGTCAAGCGCAAGACCGATGGATATGTGCGTGGCGTCGCCTCGAATCGCTCACTTGGCTGATTGTTTGTTTAGATCCTCTGCCGGAAAGAGATTTCGTACTCGAAGATGTCACAAAAGGAGAAGGAACAGCTACAAGCCGAGCTATCTATCCTCAAGGAGCTCGTCCACCCCAATATCGTCCGCTATTACGAACGCGAACACCTGAAGGCGTCACAAGACCTGCACCTATACATGGAATACTGCGGCAACGGCGACCTCGGTCGCGTCATTCAGAACCTCAAGAACAAGAACCAAGTCGCTGAAGAAGAGTTTGTCTGGTCGATATTTTCCCAGATCGTCAACGCACTGTACCGCTGTCACTACGGACAGGATCCGCCGCCAGCGGGGCAGAATGTCATGGGTCTCGGTGCGGACGCGAAGCCTGTACGGGACCGAAACGGCAGGCCTATGATCCTGCACCGTGACCTGAAGCCCGAGAACAGTCAGTATCACATATTGCACTGGCTATGATTAGCATTGCTAACGTCGGCTAGTTTTTCTCGATCACGACAACTCCGTCAAGCTCGGTGACTTCGGTCTCTCCAAGATTCTCCAATCGCACGACTTTGCTTCCACATATGTAGGGACACCCTTTTACATGTCGCCTGAGATATGCAAGGCAGAGCAGTACGGCCCTCACTCCGACATATGGGCGCTTGGCTGCATAATATACGAGATGTGCGCGAAGCAGCCACCCTTCAACGCAAGGACCCATCTCGACCTCATCCAGAAGATTCGTATGGGCCGATACCCACCCATTCCTGCTGTGTATTCTCCAGAGTTGAACAAAGTTATCGCATCATGCCTTCAGGTCTCACCCACAAACCGCCCAGATACAGCACAGCTGTTAAACCTGCCGATAGTGAAACTCATGCGCAAAGAGCAAGAGGTGGTTAAGATCAGTCAGGAGCTGAAGGATCAAGAGACGAAGCTGATACAGAGAGAAAAGGCATTTGATGTTAAGGTCATCAACATGCGCAAAGAGATCAATGACCAGCTCCGACGAGAGTGGGAGGTCAAAGCGCAATTGGAGATCGAGAAACGAGTAAAGTACGAGGTCGAACGGAGGTACCAGATTGAGTTCAAGAAGCTGCAGGATACATTCGAGATGGAAGTCAAGGCACAGGTGGAGAGGGCGTTGAAGAAGTACCCTGCTCGCCCGAGCACGTCACCGAAACTTGCTCCTCGCTCAAACACACCAACACAGCCTGCAGAGCAGGGTGTATTGTTTCCTGCTAATGGGGACTCGACTAGCACTGCAGGCACCAACTCTGATTGGAACAGCGCAACTGATATCTCTTCTCTCTCGATTGATGATTCGATCGACGATATCTTGGGTGCGGAAGGCCATAGCATTACTCAAGATGCCCGAGTTCCAGTCATCAATCATCTACCAAAGAAGAAGGCTCGAGCGCCGCTCACTCGGGCTAGAACCATGGCAGGACCGGTCAGCCAGCCACCACCCTCGCCTATGGATGTTCAGATGGGCGAGCCATCTCCAGCGCCCGCATCCCTCGCAGTCAGTGGTCTCTCCCTGTCCCCTCGCCGCGAGAAGCAATCAAGCAAGAACATCTTTGCAGCAGCGAAGGAGGCCGCAAAGAGATGGGAAGGCGAGGTCCCGCCATCACCAACTGATGACGACTGGAACGCCGATCTCGACGACGACGATATCCCAGCCCTCCCATCACCGACTCGTTCGCGTAGCGGTTCAGGCAGTCGCAAGTCCAACGAGGACCCCTTCAAGACCCTTGCAGCTGCGCAGAAGCCTCTCCCACGGCCCACAACACGCCTGGCAACGACACCATCACTGGCGCCTAACGGCCAGAGACCCCGTCCGCACTCCGCAGTGCCCATCATAGCCACCTCGCCTGCCCGCGCGCGCTCAAAGCCCGAGACTAGCAGTCCTGTCCGTAGAGCGGCAAAACCAGCTGAGTCCTCCGGCCTGCTCAAGAAGAAGACTCCAGCAAATGGCGGTCGCCCGCTGGGTCGGACGCTCGTGGAGCTCCAGCAAGCGCGTGGTATTCCTCAGGCTTTGAGCGAGGACGAGGGCAAGCGCGGCATGCGGACGGGGATTAGGAGCCCCCTCAAAGCTAGGAGCGCAGTTGCGACCAGGGAGTTGAAGCCGGCCGTAGTGTGGAATCCCGAGGAGTGCGATGAAATGCCTAGCCCTTTCATTGTCAAGACGAGGAAGTTGATTATATGATCGGAGAGATGGAGTGTTGATACTGCCAAAGGTAAGGATTGTCATTTGCAATACCCCTTTTGTTTACTGCACTTGGCGTTCATATATCCAACGCGAACGCGATTTTTGGTTCTGGCGTTGCTTTGAACACGCCTATAACACGACATAATGGATAGACGGTCGGCTCGGATGGGTGGAAGCGTGAGAGGGGAGACACACAGGCGTGGATCGGATGGATTGCATAAGGAGGGAGTTCGGTGCCCGGTATGAAGGTGTGCGTGGAACGAGGACGAGGATGGAGATGAGCGAGCAGCTGCATATCTCACATGGTGTATGTTGCGTCCTGTCTGTCTATCTTTTCCCTTTGTCATTTGCTCAGCGGCATTGCATCATCTTGGTATTTCTTTGGCACTTTACAGCCTATCTTTCGGCGGAGCATGCATGTTGCTTATGACCGGACATGGAAGGGCGTTTGTCGGATTACTGTCAATGGTTCGCTTATACCTTCAGTTGTACCAACGACGACACATGGTGCAAAGTCTTGGGGTCATGCGGTGGTGGTACTGATGTTGATGATAAGGCAGGCAGGACAGTCCAGTGCTGTTGCGAATCCCTACATTCGTCGGTCGCACAGACGATGTAGGCCTGTGGATCGGGATAAATCGATCGCCACATGTTTGACGATCGATCCAGTGATGTTTTCAGGAATTTGTCACTGTCGTTCGTTTCGGACTTGCGATGGACGCTCGTTGGTCGGAGCTACCCCGCGGACCGTGACATCATGTCGCCCGCCCCACCTGGAGGCGAGAGCTCAAGAGATTCGCTGTTGACAAAACATAATGCGCGTCCCCGTTCCTCTTCTCCGCTACAGGACTCCCCGATCTTCTCTCTCCGCCTTGACACGAGCTCCAACTGCACCCAGAGCAGCTCCGAAGACACCGTTCTCGTCACGACACATCGCAAACATGTCTACCGAATCGACGCAGTCGCAGGCCTGTATGTGTGCTCGCCGAGTCAAAACGGTATAACTGACCAATTGCAGGCTGCAACACACCCGCCGTCGTTAGCAAGGGTTACAAGGAAAAAGGCGAATACATTGACGTGCAGGGCATGAAAACTTGTGCGTCACTCACACTGTCAATCGTTGAGGTTGCGATTGGGCTCACTGGAAATAGATGCAACTGGGCCAAAAGACGCCAAACGAGGCATCCTGTAAGTTGAGACCGTTCAGACTGTAACGCTCAAGCTGATCAATATACAGAATCATATACGACATCTTCGGATTCTTCCCACAAACCATCCAAGGCGCCGACATCCTCGCCCATACCGACAAAGAACGCCCCTACCAAGTCTTTATTCCTGACTTTTTTGACGGAAAGCCCGCAGACATCTCGTGGTATCCTCCGGACAACGACGAGAAGGGCGCTAAGCTCGGCGAGTTCTTCAAGACTGCCGCTGCACCGCCCAAGACCCTTGAGCGCATCCCCAAGATCATCGACGAGCTGAAGAAGAACAAAGGCGTCGAGTCTTGGGCAATCGTTGGATTTTGCTGGGGTGGCAAGATCGTCAACCTGAGCAGTTTTGAGGGAACTCCCTTTAAGGTTGCGGCTGCGGCCCATCCGGCTATGGTCGCGGGCGACGATGCGAAGGGCGTTGTGATCCCGTACGCCATGTTGCCCAGTGGGGACGAGGACAAGGGTGATGTGGAGAAGTGGCAGCAAAACATCAAGACGCCGAACATTGTGGAGTGGTTTCCAGACCAGGTAAGCTCACTGTCTCCATGTGCAGCGCTACGGCCTCGAATTAACATTTTGTGAAGGTACACGGCTGGATGGCGGCCCGAGGTGACCTGGAGCAGGAGAAGGTTAAGAAGGAATACGAGCGGGGTTACAAGCTGGTCTTGGACTTTTTCCACAAGCACATGTGAGTCGTAGTCCGACGTGGCTACGACATTGTGCTGAGGCGTGTAGGGCCTCGGACGCGAAGCTGTAGATTATTTGTATTCCAGACTTCCTACAACTTTGAAACAAGACATGGGCAAAGACCACAGCAAGAGACGTCTATATCCATTATGCATTGCCATCTCAAATACCTCACCAGCCGCATCCTTCGATTTCCGGTGCACCTACCGTACCTGTAGAAGTCTGATGTACTCTGCACGCTTCCCTACCATATAATGCACCGCCAATACAATCGTCAAAGCCAGTACAGCTACAGATACGACCATCCCAATCGTCGATCCTCTGCTGTGCTTCGGTGCTTTCGCATCGTTGCGCAGTGCCATCATTCGCTCCGTAGCACGGGCCCGCAGCTGTGTGAGAACGTCATTCGCCGCGGTCTTGGCTTCATGGAGTGCGGATGTTGAGGTTGTGACGTTCTCGGGCTGCCCCAGCTTGTTCGATTCGTGAGCCTCTGGCGCTTTGTGATTCGTAGCCGCTGCCTTGATTGTGGGGATCATGCTAAGATGAGGCTTCCCGGATGCTCGGGGTGTATGAGGAAGAAGCCGATTCGTGGACGACAACAGATATCTAGTCTCGTTGGGAGTGCGTGACGCATTGTGGATGAGCAGACTGGAGAGCTTTGAGGGATTCGTATTCAGCGTCGGATCTTGAGAGGGCGGTGATATGTCGCGAAGCTCTTCAAGCAAAGCGGCTTTGTTCGTGGGCATGGTGGTACGCGGGTTTGCAAGTTGGGCTGCAATGTTGAGGTGAGTGTGACAAGCGACAAAAGACAAGTTCTGAGAGCGGTGAAGTATTCATATCGGAGGTCGACGATAGTGAAGGTTGAGGAGTTCTGTGCATGAGACATCACAAAGCGAACGAAAAGACGAGAGTCGTTTCGCTTGTTTCGTTACTCTATCTTGAATACCGCGTGCACATTGTCTCATCTTCACGCGGTCTTTAATGCCATAACGCCGGGTCCAGGTGCATCTCTCCATGTTCCGACGGTATAGATACCTATCTCCTCTTGCGCAAATGATTGCATCGGCCTGAATACCGTGTTCAGAACAATTGTTGTGGGACATAGACTGGTTGTACCTGCTGCTGCTACTTGGCAATCCACCAGATTGCTACGACCGTGAAGGCCACCAATCCAAGCACAACAGTTACCGCCGTCTCTGTCTCGAAGGGCGGAGGGGTTCCTTTGCGGTTCTTTGGCATGCGACGTTGTTGGGATCGCTCACGCTTCCGCGTTTGGCCGCCACCGTTGCCTCGCGCCATTTTCTAAAGCGATTAGCTTGAAAAAGACGTTCATTGGGTTGGTGACTTACTTAAGAACTTGAGTGAGTTTCTTTTAGTGTTGTCGACGTGCTCCGCGGACGTTGCTCGGCACCTAAGAGACTTTATTGAAGAAAATGTGGAAAGGCGGAGTTATGGCATGTGTGATGAGTGAGAGCGAGCATTAAGTACGCACGCCCTCGGACCCACTCTCGAATTGTTAGTGAGGTCGAGGTCCGTGGTCGCACGCGGGTAGGGAAACTTGTAGGACTGCAGCAGTATCAACTTGTTGGGAATTTGACATCCACGAACTTGATCTAACGACACGCATCCAGGTCCGTAAAGGGTAGGAACCATGCCTTGGAATGCTGCCCAGGTGTCGATGACCGCGCATTTGTAGTACCGGCTAACCCCACTATCAAGTACATCCACCCTGCAGCATTCAAACCCCTCCCAACATTGACAAGTGACAATTAGAATGCCGCTAAGATTGCGTAGATGCCACAGCGAGTACCTAGATAAGCAAAGCCTGCAGTGCTCAAAAGTTAGCCTACGTCCGATCGATGTTGATCGGCTCGGGCAATCTGACCTTCGAATGTTCGCGCTGCATTATGGCCCATTCATGCTGTAATTGAATCGCCCCAACCTCATGTTCTTCGGAATCTAACGCCTACGTCGCACATTGCTCCGTCCCATCGTACGCTCACACCAGTTCTGCTTCCCGTACAAGATAGAATGGGGACTAGCTCATTCTAAATTGTGAAAGTAAAAGTAAAAGTAAAAGTAAAAGTAAAAGTAAAAGTAAAAGTAAAAGTAAAAGTAAAAGGCTTACGTTCTAGTAGTTGTGTAAAGCTAGGGTCGACTAAGGGACCGCCTTGAGTTGAAATCCCCATACCAAATCACGTTACCTTGTATTGTAAGTCACTGAAGTGCTTCTACGTACTTCATATCTCCAGAAGCTTGTCCATCGTACTAGAGTAACGTATTAATGCGAATTGTGGGCATCGCTGTAACTCGTAATGTACGATACATAAACTCAAAAAGATTGTCTCTAGAATGTGCTTGGGTACAACTGGAAAATCTCGTTCTCTAGGGTATTCTACTGATCCACACCTGAAAAGCGTATGCTATTACCTCCACCACCAACATCACAGACATATCAATTGTCTCCCATAGTCTCTAGCCCCGGCTCGTACCCAACTGTCCAGCCGCAACAACGGGCTGCGGCTTCCACTTGCCCTCCTTCTCGTACGTCTTCCCATTCATATGGCCCTCGACCAACATACCAATCAAGTAGTCCCTTCCCTTGATACCCCATACCATCACGCTCGGCAGTGCCATGCCGTTGGCAGCACCAACGCCCTTTGACGAGCCAATTGGCACAAGCTGCTGCTCCTTCAGGTTGGCCTCGTAGTGCCTGTCAGGACCAGGCGTCTGGCCAGAAAGATGGGCAACGAGATCGGTGCGCAGGTTGGTCATAGCAACAGGAATTGCGTCGTACTGGTCCATGACTCCTCCACGAGTGTAAGAACCGCAGTCCCCCACGACGTAGACGCGAGGTCCAGCAGCTTCGACGCGGAGCGTCTTAGCATTGCAGGAGACGCGGTTCCGGTTGTCGAGCCACTCCTTGGGGAGGAAGTTGGTGTTGGGGCGGGTACCCGTAGCATCGATGTAGATGTCCGCCTCGATGGTCTTGCCGTCCGAAAGCTGGACCGTCGTCTTTGCATCTTCGGCTTCGCTGGCTTTCGTGGCGGATACAACCTTGGTGTTGTAGACTACGTCTGCGCCGACACGCTTGAGAAATTTTTCGGCCTGCTTGGAGATGGATTCGCGCAGGACGGGCAGCATCTTCTTTTCTGCACTGATGACCGTTACCTTTGCTTTTGGGTTCTTGGGCGCGGATGCCATGAATCCTGGCTTTCCGTTCAAAAATTCTGAAATCTCGCCTGCTGCCTCGACACCTACCGGACCCGCACCGCCAATAACCACGGTCTTCGCATGCTTGAGTTGGGTGTGGAAGGCATCATATGTCGCCTCCAAGGCCGCTCGATCCGTCGTCTGCGTGAAAAGCGGAGTGGGCGTCGAGAATCCCGTTGCGATAACCAACGCGGCATACGGAATGTTCTTCTGCTCGCCACTGACTGACTCAACAGACACCGTCTGCCCGGCAGAATCGACGTGAGTTGCTTTGCCCTGCACAAAGGTGAACTTGTCCTTTGCATACGCGAATGCCGGCTCAATGGGGTAAAACAACTTGTTGTAGGGCATCAGCTCCTTCGAAGCAATCACCCTCGGGCCGGCGATTCTCCAGTAGAAATCCTTTGAGGGGTTGACGACTGTGACATTGTAGGTAATGCCATCCTTCTTCGGAAGTTGCGGAATGATGTGCATCAAAGCGTAATGGGCGGCGCTCATGCCCGCGAAAGAGCCGCCGAGAATGAGAATGGTTTCTGTAGACATGGCGCTGGTGATGTCACGAACAAAGTGGAGGGTAGGAGGAAGGTGGCGTACGAAAAGGAAAAGCGCGTCGAAGGGCGCGATGACCGAGTCAAGGCACGAGAAACGCGATCGGGGGTAAGTTTAGACGCGTTGAGTGTTTAGGCGCAGAGGTTGGGGATCCGAAGGAACGAGTTGTGACGCTAGGACTAGCATTCGTGAAACGGGAGGTCTTGGAGGGCAGATCCATCGTATGCATATGTATTCACGGATACCTTCATGCTTGACCACTTGCACGCATTTAGAATCATACCGTAAGCTACCGCGCTTTCGGGCTGAAGATTAACAATGTGGTGGTGCTGGGGAAGGCGACTAACCTTCGATGGGACCAAGCTTGGACGCCGGAACACAAGGAGATCCGTCCCGGCTGCTGATGACCAAGCTTTAGGAACACTCCCAGAGCAAAGCACAAACGCCTTGAAACGACACTTGGGGCTCGTCCGTATTGGTTACTGTGGTTGTCCATAATTCCGCCTTTGCAGGCATTGTCCACGGATAATGTTGTTGGATTGGTCATATTGGGGGCAGGGATCATGTCTATTATGAACCGTAATTCGTCCAGTGGTTCGACTTCTGTCAGAAAGGAGCGGATCAGGTCGCCAGTCGCACGTACGATGACTGGTTTCATTTGGGGACATTGCCCTTCCGATTGCGAGGTAAGCCACCGTCACAGTCAAGTCACACCACGAAGTCGGCTAGTAGGATCGTTACTCTGACTTATCCATACTATATCTTTCATGATGAACGCCAGCCCGGCTCGTATGCGACATGTAATTGGCCACGACTGCCAATTGGAAGAGGAATGGAAGTAGGCCGTATCCACAGTCATCCGTATCACAGACATAGTAGTAGCCCACATTGCGCTATATCCCAACTAGCTCGTTATGGTACTATAGATACGTCCCCGCGCTCGATGGGCAGCTTACTCAACCTCGGCCTTCGACTCGAAGTTGTCGCCAGCAACGAGGTCAGGAATGTCGTCATCATCCTCGTCGTCCTTCTTGTCGTCCTCGCCCTTCTCCTTCTGCATGCTCTGGTAGCTCTCGGCGAGCTTGCGCAGCGACGCGAGCGAGTCGGGGCCGAGCTGGTTGAGGATGCCGGGGACAAGTTCGGTGAGCTCCTTGTCCTCGCCGTTGCCGTAGATGGCAAAGGTGTTGGCGGGCACGGAGGCGTGGACTAGCAATTCAAATTAGCAAAGAGACCAAGGCGCACGGGTTGCCGATCGGAGGTTGAGGACCATCGGCGCTCGCACAGAATGCAAGCAGCATGTGCCTCGTTTCCGGTTACAGCGGGGTGGGCCTACCCTTTGGTGCCGAGAAGTGGATGACGTTTCCATCAGTCTTGAACATGTTCACCTCCTCAATGGCCTGAATAGGCTGAACATTGAGCTTCTTGAGCGCGCCCTGGAGCTTCTTGTCGTCGGTACCGGCGCTCTTGTGCACCTTCTTGACCTTCCTTCGCGGGGTACCCTTTCCACTATCATCCGCGATTAGCCATTGTCCATGCTAAGATTTGCAATGTTTCGTCCGAGATCATATCGAGGGCAGGTGTTGTGTTGACTACGCAGTTGCAGATCCTATGGCGGGGTCGTGCGGTTGAAGGAAATGTAGAAAACATGATCGCTTACCCTGGGTCGCATTTTAGCTCGCAGATCTTTCTTAAAGCGTAGCAGTTTACTTGGGAGATGGTGTTTGTTCAGGCCAAATGGAGAGACGTACCAATGCGCACCGACTGCTGCATGCGCGCCAGCTTTGCTTGATCCATATTTGCGGTGGGGAGAGAAAATGTGAGGTTGCGGCGAGTTCACTGCGGTCGGCTAAGTCAGCGTCTGGTCGAAGATAACCCGGTAAGACTGCATGTATGGTTGCGAGCCGTGCGGAGAAGGGCGTACGTACGGGATTCAGGCTGCTGGGTGGAGGCTGCGCGGGTGTGGTTTGGTGATGGAGTTGAAGCGCGTGAACGGAGAAAAACCGCCGAGGCTCCGAATGTGGCCTCGCTTGAGGTGGTGGTCGATTTTCCTCACCTCACGGCTTACAACAACGATACGTCAATATTCCAAGGTTCGGCACTGACGACTAACGACTGGCATATGAATTTCTAGTGCATCTCTATGTCGCTTTGCGGGTTCACAATTCGCACGATAAGTTGATAGCTGCCGTTGCAAGCATTGACCAATCACAACCACGCAAATCATCCCCCTCACAAAAGTCACGAGCGAGTAGATCATGGTGAAGGTGCACGATTTGAGAGGAAGGAAACCATGGTATCATTTCAACAATCGCACCCTTAAGAGCGGCCTTGCGCTTCTATGTCTTTACAGCAAAGCAAATGCAGCCATACCTGCGGCACCCAAAACCCACGTACCAGCTGTCGCGTGAGTGGCAGCGCCCGGTGTCGAGCTTGGGGAGCTACCGGTACTTGAGGACGGAGAGCTATCACCTGACGTGGTTCCATTGGGTTGTCCCGACATGTTCTCCTGCGTAACCTTGACGCCTGTGCTGTTTTGGCAGTGGCTTTTGTAGTCTGACGAGGAGAGCGTGTTGTTGGTGAAAGTGACGTCGCCGCACTTCGATATGTTAGCAAGAAGACCATGGAACATGGTAGAGGCTGAGCCCACCTGGTACAGACCGCCGCTGGGGTCACCGTTCGTCACAACCTGAATTGTTCCATTGGTGCCGGCTGAGATGTTCAGGTTCGATGGAATGTTGACTGAGCCCAAACAGAAGTTACTAGGACCCTCTTCAGAGAGTGTCGGAACCAGAGTGATGGTGAAGTCATCGGCACTGGGGTTGTTTCCGAGCGCGAGATATACGGCCACCTTCGTTTGCGTGTGGTGCATATCCAGCTGAACAGGGGCGCCGGAAAGCGGAAATTCGGTGCGGTTACTGCTCGGGGTGTCGAAGCCTCCACAAGGACCGCCAGTTGCCTTGTCATCATCGAAGCCGCGCCTGTCAGGCCAGGTGAGGAGAAAGTGGGCAGATGTGAGCGGAAGTGCCATAAGAAGAGCTAGAGCGTTGAAAAGCATCTTGGAAGCTGGTCACGAGCTGCTGTCAAGTGTCGTGAAGGTATACTAAGGGAAGAATTGAACCGAGGTGAAAGCAATTGGAGCTCAAAATCGACGTGAAAGCTGGGCAAGTACCTTACTTATTGTCCGCAAGAGCTCCCCAAGCCGTGCATTCCGACCATGCACCTCGCGTGGCGCTCGCGCTCGCGTCAAGCCATCATGAGCTTGTTTGACCTTGCTCCGCCGCTAGACCAGAACAGCAGGTGATACATCGCCATCGTCTGTAGCGAAGCTGGTAGCTGGCGCGCGACAAAACACACGTGTTGAGTATCCGAAGCCTAGACCGAGAGCAATATTGAGCAAGTTCCGGGATGCGGGATGCTTAGCGCGAGATCAGCTAGGGTCTCTGCACACTAGCCAACGATGGAGCTATGTCCTGTTCAATATGGGCAGTTCTACCTCCAAGGCGCATGTTCTTGAGACACAAAGTCGAACAGTGCGTCGGGATTGCTACAGTACAAGCTTTTTGCTAACGGAAGTGGCGGACTGGCTCATGGGTGCCATTGCTTCGCATCCACAACACAACATGCAGAGCCTCAGTACACCCACGTTCACACTGCCGATCCTTTGTTCAACCACCCATGTCTTCAAGATGGGACGCATCTCTTGCCATGCGTGAGATCTGGTGTATTATATGTACAGCCGCACGGAGGCTGAATCCTGCAGCTACTCTATTCCACCCACTACCGACATGCGCGGAGAATGCCCAGATGCTGTACGCTCAAACGCACTCTCATGGCATAAAAACGTTACTACATTGACATGGCGTTTTGGTTGAACCGACCCAACGCAACCTCACCAATGAAAGTACCCGCCAGAACTGAAAGGAAATAGCCGACATTATAGGACATCACGGCTAACATGCTGGCGAGGGATTAGCGAAAATCAATGTATGATGATGCAACCCACAGAAGGTAACCAACGCCTGCCGCCATTGTCATGATGACAGCTCGGGGAAGGTCCACGCTGAACCTGAAGGGTTGGACGTGTCTTGCGGGTGCCTCAACAATTCGCACGTTCTCTTGCAACCCGTTCGTTGTCAAAATGCCCGTCATGGAGTTCGCGTCGTTGAAAGCCTTATCCGTCACCGTTTGCTGATCTGCGGTGACAACATATCTTCGCTTCATGGCGCTTTGGAGCGCCCTATACTCGAGGAAAGTTTTGGCGGTGAACAGTGCGCGGAGGAGGATGGCAAGAATAATGAGGAAGATGCAAGTCCCCGCGTATGCGCCAGCGCTCGCAGGTGTCCAGGCTTCGGAATAGAGCGGAGTTGTCGTTGAGGTGAAGAAGAACATGGACATTCCCATGGACATCGAGGAGTCACTGCTCGTTCCGTCCATATCCATCGTCCCCATGGATGCCATATCGTGAGCGACCATTGTGATGATCTGCGATTGGGTATTCGGATCGCTCGGATTGGGTGGATTGTAGGGTTGAGTGCCAGACTACCGACGACAGGCGGCAGGCGAGGCGCTTATGAAGTCGAGCACTGAGGTGTCACACTGAGCTTGGCTTCCTCAAGGACGCTGAACAAGGCTTGAGCATGAACGCACGGGCTGCTTTTCTGAGCGATGTGCGAAGGTTTGTGGATAGGCGAGAGTGATTGCGGGGGATCTCGCGACAGTCAAGAAAGGACAAGAGGAGGGCTGAAGCATGAAGTGTAAGGCACTCGCGATAGCTTGCCAGGTGCTCCTTAGTTGTTCGGCCAGCCCAGTGGAGCGATGATATGATGCACGAACTGCCGTGTGCCCGGGACAGGCGCACAAGACCTTTTCTTCTGGAACCCATGGCGCCAGCTCCACGGCGCATGCTGCTGCAGAGGTGGAGGGGCCATGGTCGCGCCGTCCCTGTGCGTGCGTTTGAGCAAGTTATCGACCGGGGTCATACGCCCGCACTAGCCACAAGCGGGCAAACGTCTCTCCATTCACCACGGCCGGCCTATCTGACCACATGTACGAGCGTGCAGCAGCACACAGTGAATACCAGGGCCGTGGCCACCGGCAGCTGTCGCCGTATATGCGACGTCGAGCCAGTGACTACTGAGCGGATTCCTCTGACATCTTCACCACCGACTCCTGATTGACGGATGCGACGCACTGACATCGCCTGGAAAAACATCTGCAACCTGCTCATTGAGAAGATTACCACATAGTCAAAGAAGGGCCGCTTCATTCATATCGTACATGGCCACCATCGCGGAGACTTGCAGATCCGACAACTCAAGGCCGAGCCGGTAGGCATCGTGCGACAACACAGCATCCTGCCCTGCCTTCAACGGAAAGAACAACCTCGTGGAAGATAGATCGACACACACCACGGCTCGGTGATTTACTCTTAGCCCAGCCCTCTGGATAGCCCTCTGGATAGCCAGCATTCCTAGGCCCGCTCGATCAATACTGCAAGCAGCGCATACCGAAACAACATGGACATGTCGGGCATGGCGATGGGCTCTATGTCCATGGGAGGAATGGCCCCCCTCATTGAGTTTCCAAAATACTACTGGGCTGTGGTCGGTACTGCTATCGGCGTTGCGACAGTAGTGAATATCTTCAACAATGTTCTATACAGACAAAGGTACGCGCAGCGCTTCCTCTCCAAGGGGACACTGCTAACAATTGCAGGCTCGCCGCGGCTCGGGCAGGCTCAGCACAACCCGCCAAACCCAAATCATTGCTGATGGTGTCGATCGCCACGACCTTTGCCCTTGCACGAGAAGCATCCAATTTTTCCGTACGGATACCTATCAAGAACAGCTTCCTGCGATCGCCTACCATCGGCCGCGTCTCTCTGATACTCGCGAATATCGTGGTCTTACTCGTGTTGTGCTTCTATGGATTCGATTTAAACGATAGATGGTCGAGAGAGAACATTGGATACCGATGCGGATTTGTCACCATCGCACAGTTCCCCCTCATATTTCTCCTCGCTGGGAAGAATAATCTTGTCGGCTATGCGACCGGTATCAGCCACGAACGTCTGAACTGGTTGCACAGATGGTGCGCCAGATGCTTGCTTTTGACTGCAACTATCCATATGGGCTACTTTTTCGCTGACTGGGCACCCTACGACTATATTGGGACGCAGCTGAGGGAAAATACGCTGGTCTGGAAAGGAATTGTGGCCTGGGCAGTATTAGTTTGGATGGTCTTCAGCTCCATGTCTCCAATTCGTGGCTGGTCGTATGAGATGTTCGTTCTACAACATCTAGTGTCCTTTGCGGTTTTGATCGGCTTCGTCTACATACATACTCCCGTGGAAGTCCATGTCTATATTTGGGTACCTGTGGCGCTGTGGTGGTTTGACCGTGTCGTACGCGTTTTGCGGGTATTGTATGCAAATATCTCTTGGTTCCATCCGTTGCAACGGAAGAATGGGCAGATGTCTGGGTTTTGGGCGTGCAAAGCTGAGTTCACGCCGTTGCCGCACAAGACTACACGGATCGTCATACGAAATCCGCCAATCTCTTGGACTCCGGGACAGCATGTGTTCCTGTCCTGTCACACGATCCTTCCGCTACAGAGCCACCCTTTCACTATTGCGTCTATCCCAGAAGATGGTATGATGGAGTTCCTGATCAAAGCTGAAAATGGCGGAACGAAACATTTATTCAAACACGCTGAGAAGTTCCACGGCATCCTCGCAACATCGGACAAACCACGGACCAAGACAGTGGCCATAGAAGGCCCATATGGAGCCTTAAGACCACTGCGTCAATTTGACAGTGTGGTACTACTCGCTGGTAGTACAGGTGCTACGTTCACTGTGCCCCTACTTCGAGATATCCTGCAAGGGTGGAAGGAGAACACCAGCCCTGCAAAAGATACCAACGCTGTCTTCAAAGCACAGAAAGGGGCTGTCACCCGCCATGTCCGATTTGTGTGGGTGGTCAAGAGCCGAGGTCAGCTTGGGTGGTTCGCTGAACAGCTTTCCTCCATGTACTCTGACTTCCAAGCCCTGCAGACCATCTTGAGGCACATAAAGCTCGAGGTGACAGTTTACGTAACTTGTGACGAGACGTTCACAGAAGAACACAGGAATATCCTATCAACAATCACCGCTTCAAGGCAGTCAAAGCATGGACTGGTTGAAATCCGCAGTCAATCTCCTTCGTTGGGTGAGAAAGAAAAGCTCGCTGGCGCTTTCGACGAGATTACTGAGATCAAAGCCACGACCGCGAAGCCTTGCGGACCCAATGGAACATGTTGCTGCAAGACTACGGTTGATGAAACCTCGCCTGACAACATCCAAACAACCTGTACATGTCGCGGACCGAGCGACCAAGCCTCGATCGCAAGGCCAATATCCAACATATCGTCCACTCCATCAAGTACAGTCAAACCCCTGGTACACACTTCATTTTCTGTGTTTGCTGGTCGGCCAAACCCAAGAGATATCATCAGAAGGTCATTAGAACAAGCTTGGGGCGAATCAGCCGTCGTTGTGTGCGGTCCGCGAGGCCTGGTGGCAGATGTGAAGCAAGATGTCTGTTCGCTGAGTGATGAGCGAGCGGTACACAAGGGAACAGGAGCACAGGGTATCTACCTTCACACCGAGAGCTTTGCATACTAACGCCTCGAAATATGTCATGAAGCTCTAGCGTTATTGCATTGTAAACGGCGTCATCTGTGTTGAGTCTTATGACAGATGTTCGATGCCAATATCGTCCAAGTCATATTCAAAGCTTGTTGTAAAAGGGATCAGCCATCCTAACGGACCCCTATGACTAATTGCCAGGATCAATGACCAATCACGTGGCGGGCTTGGATGATCCAAAACAAATACAATTATACTTCGGCACGAAAGGAAGCGACAATGTCTGTAGTCATGAGCATTGTCAAGCACAATCGCCGAACAGACAAATACTATTCGAGCAGTACTTAACGAACGGAGTTCCCTTTGCCCAGGATCAACACTTTCTCACTGACCAGACAACATGTCAACGCACAGTTCAAGATCAGGGGCTCCCGTCACGGTGAAGAAAGAGGCGATGGTCGCAGCGCTTGCGGCACTTCCCATACACAAACCTGATGACCAACTTACCAATCCTCACACCCAGGCAGATGCTACTCTTGAGTCTATATCCGAACCAGAGTCAACGCCCCAATTCACGCCCGAGAGCACACCTGAGACAAAGCCTTCAGCCTCACCTGCTACCTCCTCCTTCGACCATCTTGGCAAAGTTGTTTTTGTGAAGTTAGAAGACGGATTCGGCAATGTCGCAGAGCGGGAACTTGACGGAACCGTTCCCGATTCAGGCACCAAGACTGTTAGTTCAGAAATATCTGGCCACGCTAGCGATGTTTTTGAGTCTATCCAGAACCTAGTGCCGTCTCACACTGTTCGTCGTCGGGCTGCCTCGCCCAAGCCGATGAGGGCGGAAATGGGAAGGGTGGGAGGAGGAACGACACAGGACAACGCGCTCCCTACAAATCGTCTTGGACCTTTTGGAGGAATTGTGGTTTTGGCGGTTGTTGCGTCATGTATCGGTCTCATCTATGAGGGATTTTGCCAGCTTTGCAGGTGTACATGAAGCATCGATATAACCTTCCATGGTGCCTGAGGAGGTCGTCGGATTGTCTACCAACGGTTGCGGCCAGAGAAAGGGTGAAGGTATGGGCATTAGGCTCGCACTCTTGCGGAGACTCAGCGTATTGACCAGAACTTCGAACGGAAGCCGCAGGTTCTTGTAATGCAATACATAGGAGAAACGCTAGCTCTGCAGATACAAGGGGTAGACCTACGAAAGTAAATGAGAAGCTGATGCTGTGAACTGACTATCACCCAGACACCCGTTCATGTAACTTCACAAATTTCTAGACTCGGTCGTAGTACTTCTCTGTCCGAAGATGCTACACTCATATCTGCTGTATATTTTATTCCAGTATACTCTTATAACTCGCATCTCGCATTTCGCATACGCGGGAGCAGGCGACGCGAAACTTTCGCTCGTGAAGCTTAAGGGATGGAGCGGAGGCTCGGCGAATTATTTTACCAGCGTCAGTTCAATGGGCCGAAGTAGCGTTGACGCTCTAACCGTATGGTACTTTGCTGACAAGCCTCCCTGTGTAAGTGTCTGCTACCTTTGCATCAGCGACCAGGGCTTGTTGTAGTCGTTCTCGTTGCTGTCACAGATCTTGCTTCGCTTCTCGGGCATACTGCGCCCGAAGCCGGCGAATACTCACCAAATGCCCTATGATGCAAGCGATGTCAAGCGCAAAATTGCAGTATGCCAATAGAAAACCTGTCCGAGATCGGGATTCATTTCCTGAAATCCTTTTTTCTTTTCGTATACTATCTAGCTTGACTTAGGCTTGAAACCGAATAGGGCAAGGTTGGGGGCGAAATGCTGAGCACTTTTCATTGGTTGAGACCCTGATCGCTCCTGATCTAAAATTTTGCCTCGTAGGATCTGCGCGGATGTCACGCTCGTAGCATAGCATCGGGTGTGCAGCAATGTGGCGGTCTCTTATCGCAGCGCTTAGAAGGCTTCTGCGAATTTTCCAATGGTTATTCTTGCTCACACTTCCGGTGACCATGTTCCCCATTTTCGGCGGTATATTTACGGGCATTACCTTCGGAATCTGGAACACGCAACACATTGACAAAACATCCAACACATTCGTGGACGAGGTGAAGGACCTCCTAAATGATTGGGGTGTAGGAGGTAACGTTCCGACGTTTCGGGAATATCTCGATACTCATAATGATTTTCACCTGAAGAGGGTCAACAGCAATGACTGGTTGCCAAAGCTTGGTTTCATTCTTCCGAACGAGTACAGTGACTTGGACGACCCAAGCATCAGTATCGACAAATATGCCAACCTTGAGACCCTCATGAGGGATACGTCTTGTCGTACCTATGCTCAAATGCCTCGCGAGCAGTGGCTGTACCTTTCTTATTTGGCGTTCCCGAGCATTGACCAATGGGATAATGCTTTCAACGGAGTGCTCGAGTACGTACATGCTCATCCCACCTTGAATCAGAGCGGCTTCCATTTCGCCAACTGCGGCGATACCGCTGGATTCTTGTGCGGGGTTTGGGCAACCAGAAATCCGGCATTGTTGCACTTCAAGGTGGAGGATGACCCCCCAAAAATGGAAGATATAGAAGACGGTCTCACATACCCTTTCGACTTGGAACACCTACGACCAGTTACAGTGCGGATTATCGAATTCCCCCTCAAAGAAGAGTTTACTGGCCTCCCTCTGTCTGTCTTTCCCGGCCACAAGCAGCAGATGCTGTCCATCGTTGCAGGGGAAAGATTTTACGAGCAAATCGAGCCCTATGATCCCTGGATCCAAATGCAAAAGAGGTTTACCGAACATATGGACGACCTGTGGGACACCGAGGGCACCATACTCAATCACATCAACAAAATCGACAGTTGGATGATCGATCATGTCACAAAACCACTGGGCATCGAGCCTGTATTGGTCGATATGGGCAGCTTTCTCATGCTGTTCTCGGCGATTGCCTCGCAGCTTGCATGCAACGTAATCAAGGGCACATCCTATTTAGTTGGCGATTTTCTCGGTCGGCCAAGGCCAGGAGATCTATCTCTAGCCGAAGCCGGCATCAATAACTACGAAGAACCCGAAGATCGATTCTGGGGAGACATGATGGGGGGCGTGGCGGAAGGTTTCAGGGCAGGTTTGCAACGTGCCAAGGCAGAACAGAGCAGTGCTGGCGGTAATGACACATCGATCAGCATTACGAGAGCTTGAAACAGCTAATCAGAGGTGGATATGAATGAAGCCTAGACAGAATAGCTATTGCAGGGAATTCATCCGGACTCACCATCCATCCCGCTCGCTGCTTGAAACCTGCTCCTATTCTTACTCCAGATGAGTCCGCTTGCAGCATCCTGCACCCACTTGGGATAGTATCGTATATCGGCCCACATCTCTGATTTCCTTGGAACAACTAGGCGTCCACTCCTCGCCTTCAATACTTGCTCAACGACGGCATCGGCAACTTCGACTGGTGGACGAGGTTTGATACCCTGCTTAGCCAGGGCTTCTTCGACGCCAGCTAAGATGCCTGTTTGGTACCAAGAAGGGTGTACAGAAGTTGTGCAGATGCCTTCGCCACCCTCATAGGTGCGAAGACATTCTGCGCGGAGACCTGCGAATTGTAAACAACGATCCACATGAGACGACAGTGAAGCTGATCTTACCATCGTTGAGATAGAGAGCACCGGTTTTGGTACAAGAGTAATCGACAAGGCCTTCAGACACCCAGAACGACGCCATGGAAGCTATAGTGACAACGTGACCTTTGCGCATACGGAGCATGCCTGGAAGAAACTCGCGAATTAGAGCGAATTGTGCTATGATGTTAATCTTAAACAGTCTCTCGGTTTCCTCATTTGAAGTCTATACTGCTGTGAGCTGTTTCCCATGGCAATTGTTATCTACTCACAACGAGTATGGACTTCTTATTTGCAATGCCAGCATTGTTGATCAGAACGGTCGGGTCGCCGTGAACTCTTCTTACGTCACAACAAACCTCCTGGACTTTGTTGAAATCCGAGATATCGAGGCGGTAAAAGTGTACTCCGGGGACTGGCTTGTGTCAGTTCATGAGATCAATAATGTAGCGCCATTGGAGAGGGACAACCCACGTGTCTCCAAATCTGGTGGTAGATCATTCACATCAAATGCAACGACTCTTGCAACCTTCGCGAACGCCTTCACCATCTCATATCCAAACCCTGAGCTGGCCCCAGTGATGACGACCAGCTCCTGCTTCGCCGGACTGAATGCAAACGGCTCTCCTTGCCGTGTCAGTGCCCAGCCGTTTAACGCGAGGCAATTCAATGCTTTACTAATGCGACGGAAGACTCCAATCGCGAAATAGACTTTCAGAAGATTGATGATGACCGTAGTTCGTGCTGCGCCGTTCTTTGCTAGAAAATTGTTGCGGAACGGTTGAAGGAGACGTTCGCGAATATGGGCTGGCCCACGTGTAAGGATGTAAAGCATAGGTCCGGTCACAGCCGGCTCGTCCATCACCCTTCGCAGAACTTGGAACGGCAAGAGCAGAAGCATCGAGTCTCCTCGTATCGCAGTCATTGTGCTTCTTCAACTACACTTCAGCGTTGGAGTCCGATGTTCGCTCACCACTCAGAAGCTGACTGCACGCAGCTCAGGAGTTGTTTTCGAACGTTGAGATCATAATAATGCTGGGTTTGTTAGTGCTGAGAGGAGCAGGCAGAAGGCATAGGTTATTGCGGGTGCCAGGTAACCCCGCCTTTCCGGGCGCGAGTCAGCAACACCGATGAAGTGACATTTCGGTTGAGCGTCCGGGAGATTCGCCAAAGAGACCCATCTCTGGCGCTCGTGCAATGGCATCGGCAGTTGGATACATACTGTGAAGTGGAAGCATCACGTCAGCACATCTGTGTTCACTAACGGCTGCACATCCGTAGTCACTCAGGACTGCGCATCCCTATGGACCGAAGACTGCACATTTGTGTTGACCAATGAATCCACACCCATACGCTTCGAAGCCTAACCGGGCAACGCTATAACGAGACAGGCCTCGGGTTGCGATTGGAGCATGAGGGGCGTAGTGACTTGGCAGACAACATGTTTCTCTTCCCGTTCTACGCACCTCCTATGCAGCTATCTGACCTCCTCCCTCATGTTTCAGCATTTCCGCAATGGTCTCATCAAGGGATTTCGGCTTCCTCCCCGCTTCTTGCAACATCTTTTCAAGAGTATCATCCTTGATGTCGCATTCTCCGTCGTTCAAAGCATCGTACGTGGTGCTCCACCATTCCACTGAAGCCCTTTCAGTACCACTCGCAACGTAATGATCCTCGTACTCCTTTCTTGACACGATCTTGAGATGGATGTCTTGACACTGAAATTTGCTGACAAGCCGCGCAATGTCCTCGAGAGACCAAGTCTTGCTCTGTGCAAGGTACAACGTCTTTCCCTTCCAGGCGTCGCTAGGTGCTGTGATGACTAGATAGAGTGGTACAAAGTCAGTGTCATGTCCAAACATCACAAGAAGGGGGTGGAAGTAAGTGCTTTAACTAGTTACGAATGTCTGAAGATTCGAATCCACGAATGTAGAGTCTGCAACTTTCAGACAATCGCCCAGTACAAACACTCACTGTGTATCCCGGCGTTGCGTACTCTTGGCTGTTCCGAACGCCATGTCGGCGATGGCAGTCCATGAAATGGGACCATCGCCGTTGGCGACAACAACCTCCTGCCTCGTTTCATCTTGCAAGCGGAAATAATACCCGAAGTACAGCGGCCAGCTCTCGTTGTACAGCCCTTCGCGAATGATGGTATAATTGATCTTGCCCTGATGTGCCAGGTCGCTCAAATACTTCTCAGTACGTGTGTGCGCTCGCATGACGCCCGCTTTTGAGGGGTTTGCAAAGGCCAAGGACGTGTAGTAGACGTGCTTGACACCAGCCTCGATCGCAGCATCGATTGCTGCGCGATGATGCGCTTCGCGGCCCTCCCACAGCGGCGCGTCATTGTAGTCCATGGAGATTCGTGGACTGGAGACCAGGAACAGCTTCGAGCATCCTGCGAAGGCGCGTTTCAGCGACTCGGGCTCGTCGAAGTTGTTGTAGCGTACGGTGATTTTTCGTTCGCGGAGGGCATCAAAGCGTTTGTCTAGAGGATCGGAGGACGTCTAATACACGGTGTCAGCTCATACACGTATGTGCTGACGTATCGAATTATATTGGATAATGAGTGGACGTACGCAAACGACAAGTTCTGGTGGTTCGATAAGCTTATTTATAAGAATGGCATTGAGGACGGCGGAGCCAAGCTTTCCAGTTGCGCTTGTGAGGGCCAACATCGCCGAAAACAGGTTTATGAATGGTGTATCTGGATGTTCCGCACGACGAGTGCTCCTCGGAGCGCCCTCCAGATCTTTATAGAAGGGCCATCACGACCCACCATCGTGAACCCTTGCACCATGAGGTCATGCGATATTCCCATTGGATCGGTCGAGTGAGCTCGAAGATTCTGTCTTTTTGCGAGTTCATTGCGGAGCTTGCGGTAAGCAACAGATTTGTAATGCTTTTCGAGGGCCTCAAGGTCAAATTGCAGTGGATTGAAGAGATGGAGTTTGCGAAGTTAACAAGTGTATCGACATGCAAAAAGCACGGTTGGCTTGGCTCTTGAGACGTGAGATCAGCCCTAGGGGAGCTTGGGCCATAAAGCTTCCCACACCATCGCCAGAGGCTCACACCCCACTGACAATGCACAACATATAGATCGCTTGCTACTCTGCAAGCCGTACCATGCCAGAAGCTTTACGATTCTTGCGCCATGAGCGATTCTCCGGTGCTCAGCCGCTTCGCGCACCTTGCTAATCTCGAGCAACTGCAAAGGCTCCTACGTTCGCATCGAGCAACCATCTTCTCTGCAGCCGGCGCTGCAGTACTGCTTTCTTTCGCGATTCGAGATTACCATCTGTACCTTAGTTACGGACCGGGCGGCCTGCCGTACAATGCTTTTGGTTGGCTATTAGCCAATACACTACGAGTGTTTTCTCGCGAGCAGCTCTCGCCCAAGCCCTACGATGACAAGAAGCTACCCTTCGCGGACGAATCCGGCTATCTCCCCACAGAGTTCCCACCAAAGCGAGAGTCTCCACGGCCGAAGCTAGGAAGTCATCCTGTTCCACAGAGGCAGCTCGAGCAACTACCGAGCGCCGACGTGCGCCAGGAGCTCATAGATCGCTTTAAGCAGCTGGGCAGAGACGCCACGGAGAAGGGACTTGTCGAAGTCAAGCAGAGTCTCTACGAACGCCAGCACAAGGCACTCTTTGTATCGAGTGCGCGTCACCAGCACGCGGTGGCCCAGCAAACGCGCGGTGAAATCTCTCACGTTCATGCCGGACTGGATGGAAGCGTCCATGTCGTGCTGCACCCAGTCGACTGCAAGATCATCCTGGAACGAGGATGGGGCCAGCGCCATGCGTTCTCGGGAGCGGACCTGAATCCAGTACTTCCTGTCAACATCCCGATCAACTACCTGCTCAGCTAATGCCCCGCGGAATCAGGCGGAAGTCGACACGGTCATGTCCATGGTCAAAGCTGGAGTACAGTTCATGACTGGTACACGCGAGGCGTTGGGGTAGATGGCGTCAAGATGCTGGCACTGTCCTGGACACTGCTTTGCGACGCTGCTCTCACTTGTCTTTTGCTGCATTTGGCTGACTCAGTCTGTGGGGCAGGCAGCACATTTGCGGGGAAGCGCCACGTCTCCACAGCCACGGCTGCACTACGGCCTCGCGCTTTGGGGGAACGTCTGGGAGTCGTCGATGTTGCCTGACCTCTATCTTCTCCTTCCTGACTTGGGTCGCAGAAGCCTGGATGTGAAGTAGATACTAAAGGATGTTGTGCTATCGCGACAGGCCACTGCATGTGATCGCTGACCCTGCAGGTTGTTGAGCTCTGGAAGAATTGCGCCCTGCAGTTGCACAGCTTGCGCCGTGTGTGCAGACAGGGGCTCTCCAACGCTAACTCGCCGCGTCCAAACAAGCGACCGGCTCTTGTGGGGCAGAGGAACTGCACCCCACAGGGTCTCTGCAGGCCAGCAGACGGCCTGTGTACATCTGATCAATACCCCAATGGATTGGAAACGCAGCCTAGCCTCCCGTTTATGTATGAGGCCCTTTGCCCATGCTGATCCGGATCCTCCTGCCTGTGCGACCTTGCGCTTGCATCACCAACCGTGAACGAGACTTTCCATTGTGATACATCTCGAACTCCATCGCTGCCCATCGTTTCATCGATAGCCCACACGGCCATGGGCTTCCTTGGAGTCTTGGAGGACAAGCACCTCCAGCATGTCCCAGCGACCGTCGTCCTGGCCGAAGAGGAAAGCCAAAGAACAGAGGCCACCGCAGGCTTGAAGCACGGTACGGGCAAAGATGCGGACATTGTCTTGATACCACAGCCGTATGCTACCTTCACAAAGCTCTCCTCATCGTCGGTTCTGACTTCGTCGTAGCTCCGAGGATCCTAACGATCCACTCAACTGGTCCACCGCAAAGAAGTTTGGCATTATGGCCGTCATATCCTATGGTTCCATTCTTTACGCCGCCGTGCTCGCCCCTCTTCTTTCGCCCGCACTGGTCACGATTGCTGTCGACTTCAACGTCGCTGTTGCAGATGTCACAGTCATTTCGGGCTACATGCTTTTAGTGACGGCAGCTTCGGGACCTTTTGTGTCCGCCTTTTCGCGAAAATGGGGGAAGAGGCCTCTGCTTATCGCCTCAAGCCTTTTCGGCTTGCTAGGGACCATCGTCGGTAGCGCTACCTACAGCTACAACGGACTCTTGGCTGCCCGTATCGTCCAGGGCTTCTCAATGTAAGTTCACTAAGAAGACGTTGGGTACATCCATCGCCCATCCGTTGCGGGATCTAATCCGAGAGCAGTTCCGCCTTCGAATCTCTTGTCGTGTCAATCATCGGCGATCTGTTCTACGTGCACCAGCGTGGGGTCTGGGTCACATTGGTACAATTCATCTTGGGCGCCGCATCCAACTTCTCTGCCATCATCGTGGGGCCTATCACAACGAATCTAGGGTGGCGCTATCTCTTCCACATTTTGATCGCCTTTACCGCGCTCGAGTCCGTCCTGCTCGTTCTCTTTGTGCCCGAGACGGCCTACATCCGCGACCGCCGCTACGAGATTGATGAGCTAGCTGTCGATAATCTCTCTGAGCTTGCAGCAATCGAGCGTCGTCATGCTGGCGATGACAAGGAGAAAGGATCTGATAACGATATGGTCCGTGTCGAAACCACCACATCTACACCGCCCGCGTTCCGTCCGAAGAAGACATTCGTCCAAGAACTCTCTGTGTTCAATGGTACCTTCTCTGACGATAACCTTTTCCAGCTCATTCTCGCGCCCTTCGCTGTGTGCACAAACCTCGCCATCCTCTGGATCGTCATCGTGACAGGCGGTCTAACCGCCTTCTTCGTCGCACAATCATACGACATGGCACAGATCTTCATGGCACCTCCTTACCTTCTCGACGCCGCCGGGGTCGGCTACCTGTCCATCGGTCCCTTCCTCGGAGGTTTGCTCGGCGCCATATTTCTAGGTGTAACTCTAGATCCCCTGATCAAATGGTGCGCAAAAAAGAACGGCGGCATCTACGAGCCAGAGTATCGTCTGCTTGGCATGATCCCCGGCCTGCTCACTGGCGTCGGCCTCATGGTCTTCGGCTACATGGCTGAGAAGCACTACTCGTACTACGCGACTGCCACGTTTCACGGCATGGATTTGTTCGGCATATGCTGCGCAGCCATCGCCACTTCGGCGTACGCCATTGACGCATATCGTGACATGTCGTCTGAGATCTTCATCGCAGGCATGGTTTTCAAGAATTTTGTTTTCTACGGTTTCAGTTATTTCGTCAACGACTGGACTGCGTCGGACGGCCCAGCCAAAGTGTTTTATGTTTTCGGAGGTGTGAGCTTTGCTATGGTGGGGACGGCACCGGTCTTCTTTTTCTGGGGGAAGAGGTATAGGAGCTTTTGGCACAGGCATAACTTGCTGGAGAAGTGGGGAATCAGGACACACGCGGAGTTGTGAGAGTATGCCCAGGTATTCGCGTGTGAAGCTGTATGATGGTGGTCCGACCTGTCTCCTGCGCTGTTATGCTTCCCTTGAGATGCATAGCTGATTTTGGGCTCTGAATGCATTGTACCATTATGCGCGATGAATTAAAACATGTCTTTTACACAAAGCTGAACTAATTTGCGGACGAACCTGTGATGTGAAATCATATTCCGGCCTCAAACAACACAACTTCCACAGCCTGCGTGCCAACAGTATCTTGCGCGTCGGTACACCGATTCGTTATTCGGAATACCGACGCTAGAACGAACGTTGATTGGCTTTATTCTTCAAAGCGGGTCTGCTGCAGGTGGACAGTGGCGATAGGAGCCCGCTAAGTCCGACCATCATGTGGAATATCCCATTCCAACGTATATTCTTATGCATTCATTGGAGCTTGGTACGAGACTGTGGATCCAGAGGTTAGATCCGAAATAGAGGTTTCTGACTGTAAATGGTATATATTCACGGCCTTCAGTACAATGGCTCCAACCCATCTCATCCTTACTGTTTGAGACCAGTCAACAGACTTAAGACGACTTTTGTTACCGTAGGGCAAGACCGGAACACTCACTATTCCGACCGAACCTTTCTCAGCATAAGTTCACCAGCCCAATTGATACATGTTACCATGTCCGATGGCCAAAAGAAGCCCTATCGTAAGTGCTAACTGCCCAAGCACGCGTAGAAGCTTCAAAGATTGACCCTGTGCAGAACAAGGCTGGCATTCCTCGGTCACAGCAAATCATGCCACCCGCACTGCCGAAAACGAAGGCGCCTTCTTCATCCCGCGCCTCAAACCACACTTTAAAGTCTTGGACATGGGCTGTGGTCCCGGTACCATCACCGTAGGCCTCGCGAAATATGTGCCCCAAGGTTCAGTCATAGGCGTCGATCTTACGTCCGAAGTCATCACGCAAGCGAAAAAGCTTGCAGAGCAAAAGGAAGGAGGCGTACCGTCCAACGTCACCTTCACCACGGGCAACGTGCTCGAGGGCCTACCTTTCGAGGATGAGATGTTCGACGCAGTGTTCATGAGTCAAGTGCTTCTGCACATCCCAGAGCCCGTCAAGGCGCTCAAAGAGTTGAGGAGGATGGTGAAGACGGGCGGATTCATTGGCGATCGCGAGGGCGACTTCCCCTTTCTTTGGTACCCATACCTTCCTGGTCTGCAGCTCAAAGACAAGTGTACGCAATGCCCGGGTACGAAGTCGATCTGTCTTAGACATAGACACTCCGTACCATCTCCATTTTTATGACTTGGCTGACTTCGTATCTGCGCGTCTAGACATGTACGACATGGTGATCACACGCCAGAAGTCGTCAACGCCTCGACCCCAGTACCCTCCGCATGGACCTGAGCATCGGAGCGGCTCGATGATTCATGTGTGGGCGCGCGAAGCAGGGTTTGACCCGCTGAAGGTTGAGAAGAGCGCGAGGGTCACGATGTATACTACGCCTGAGGAGAGGAAGGTATATGCGGAGAACATGATTGCGAGGATGGAGCAGGGTGGGCATAGGCAGAAATACATGGACCTTGGGGCAAGCAGGGAGGATGTTGATTTGATGGTGAGGGATATGGAGAGGTGGAGGGATGATCCGGATGGTGTTCATCACATCGTGCAATATGAGGTTGTGGCCTGGAAGTAGAGGTACCTGTGGTAGCTCCTCGTTCGCGCTAGAGGTTGCATGGAGGTCTGGGGGTGAGATGCTTACTAGGCAGTACATTGCAGCAAACCGTCATTGATAACTCGTACGAGAGAATCGTAACATAGATGTCCGGCGTGTTGCACAAGGGCCCCGTACAGCGAGCATCAGAGTGCGGTCTACCAACAGTGTCGTGCATGTGTGGGGCATCGGGGCGCCCCTAGCGGCGATCAAGCAACGAGGCTAACGGCGACCTCATTGTCGTTGTCAGCTTCGACGGCGCCTGTCTTCAATTTGCCCATTTCGCGTCCTCCATTTACAATACCCCCAGTCGTGCTGGCCATGATTGACCCCGCTCTGTGACATATGCCCACGACCCTGTCCCTATAGCCTGTATCCACCACTGCAACCCTGGTACAACAGCGTGCCATGCAGTCCACTTCACCTCCCCCGCAGACGCCCACCGTCCAGCGCCCAGACCCCTTCGAGGACTCGGACAGCGACAGCTCCCAAGTCACTCTGCAACGCCGCTCTCCCTTGCCTCCGCGCACCGTCCGGTCGCCCCAAGCCAACGAAGCGACGCCCAACTACTCGCGCCCTGCTCCTCCGCGCGATCGCGATGAGCAATCCCATGCGGGGCCCCAGCTAGGACACCGCCCGCGACAGCGCTCCCAGGGCTACTTCGAGCCCAGCCTGCCCTCCAACCAGGCCAGCATGTCCAATCTGGATGCTTCGCGCATCGCAGCCCAGACAGCCATGCATCCCCAACACCTGCGCAAGCGCTCGACGACGATACCAGAACCTGGAGGAACCGCGCCTGCAGCGCGAGGGCCCTCGAGCCCACCACCCATGCCCGGCCAACACACGGTAACTTTCAAGACGAACGGCATGACATACCAGAATGGGTTGGCGGGCGGGAGCAGGATGGCTGCAACATCGGCGGCCAACGCTGCCTATCCGCGGAGCCCTCTGCACTCGCCCAACATGCAACAACCTCAAGAGCACGGCTCCCCAAAGCCGGCCTCAGTCGACTTAGCCCAAGCTCCGAAGGCAAAGGAAAAGAGCAAGATGAAGCTATTCTCGAAGCCGAAGAATATCAAAACAGACAAGAGCTTGGAACCCAAACACCAAGCCTTGCCGTCGCCAGGCAAGATTGGCATCGGGATTCACAGTTCGCAGGCGCTGAACCGCATGTTGATGAACCAGTCGCAAACAAGTCTGGTGGAGCCCAGCATGAGTGGTGCTGCGTCGATATACTCGACAGCGAATGGCTCGACATCAACCCTGGTCCCGAGAAACGACTCATATCTTCCGACCGTTCACGAAAAAGACAGGGATAAGCACAAACATCATTTCCTGTCGCGACCAAAGAAGAAGGAAAAGGATGACCACAGCCTGCCGTTGTCTTCTGCGAGCAGTACGTCTCGACTAGTCGATCCAAATGCCCCTCAGCCCTTGTACTCTTTTGCCGCCCCTGCATCACCAGGACATGCGAGTAGCTTCGCCAACTCTGTGACTGGGCTCGACTTGAGGCATGGAGGGCGTCACCTGAGGCGCGCCAAGAAAGAAGAGAAGGCCTATTTGGATGCGCAGGTCGAACCCGCGTTCCGGGATCGGAAACAGTCTTTTAGCACAGATAGGTCAGAATGGCCGTCTGTGAGCAGCGTCGGCACTACACCTATGAGCACTTTTGGACCGTCGTCTAGTGCAGCGCTCTCCCAGTCTAGCGATGCAATGCACACTCTCGGAAGCTCATTCAATCTGCCTGGAATAACGCCCGATGATGCTTGGCCCTTATTGAAAGCCACAGTGTTACTCATATTTGCGGGCGAGGATCCGCGGCCGCCTGTCGAAGACTTCAACGCACTTGTTATCGTCCATATCAAACGGTGTATACAAAAACGCTCGCCCATCATCCTTATCGAGGACCTCAATGAGCTTCTCATGACTGGATTCGGCTCGCTAGATCAGACGCTCAGACACGTTCCTGACGACCGCCTTATCCCCCATTTGGTCGAGATGTGGATCGTAGTCTTCACAACCATCCTCCCATTTATACAAGCTGTATTTCTTCCTCTAGATCTAGAGTTTCGCGGCTCCGGCATCATGTCATCAACAGCGGCTGCCGAATTCTGGGGTGTGAAGCTACCGGACGAAATGAACACCAAGTCCCCTGAAAACAAGAACATACCCATCCTTGGCGAACTGGACGTCCGCCGCATCACGCTTCTCATGTTCCGAGACATCGTTATTCTTCCACGCTACGATACCCTTATGGCGATTTTTTCTCGTCTCTCCCTAGAAAACCTCAACGCAGGTCTCGAATCACCCTCCCCCATACCAGACGCTCGTCCTGGAACAGCGGGTTCGGAAAGTGCACCTATAGGTAGCTTACAATCTGCATCGCACAGCTCAGGCGGCTACCTTGAATCCACAAACAGCATGACTTCCTCAACCTTCGCTTCCACCCGCTCTCGCGCTACGTCCAACACCTCTGCCGGCTCCTTCTCCGCGCACTCGATCCATTCTAACCCCTCTACTTTCCTACAGCCTGGGCAACACATTCCTGCCTCGCTCCGTGCACAGCCTATGGACTCTGCAAAGGTCACGGAAACAGTGGGAAGGATGCTGCAGTGTGTTAGTGTGCTGGTTAGTCTACAGTCTGGTGACGATGCGCAGGAAAAGATGAGCAAGTTGACGAGGGAGCTGAAGTATAACTGGTTGGGCAGAGGAAGAACGGGCCGGCAGAGGCATGGGTTCGTTGGTGCAAGAAGAGGTGGGGCGGGGTTGAATTTAGCGGCGGGCGGAGTGAGTGTTCCAGGTTTGGCTTGATTCGTAAGGTGAGGACGGTGAGGATGTTTTTCTTGGAAAACACAACGTCATGACTTGGTCCACGAATGCGGACTCTGGTGTTGATGGTACTAGGCGTGCTGGAACACCCGCGGGATACTCACTCAAGAATTGGGACCTTACAGGAATTTCAACACAGAAACCGGGTCAAGAAGCCGGTATTACGCTCAATCATTCGTGATGGAATTGACGAGCAGCGGACGTGATGCTTGAGGTGGCATATGGATTACTATCAAGACAACTGCTGGCTCAACTTCAACACGAGACTCTCAAGGAAGACGAAGGCTTGGCATCGCGACCTATGATTATGTTGAATCAAACCTAGGCGAAGTGGACTGAAGTCCAACGCCGCCTTCATGAAATAATTTCAGAGTATGAGGCGTTACACATGCATGGATCGCAATTCCTCACGGGAATCTCGGTGGCGCGCGGTTACCGCGTCAAATATTACCAGATAGTTCGATGCATCTAGCACTTAGTGGCATGTGGGTGAACCGAGCGGGGCGAGCACAAGTCAGACGAAGGCGCGACCAGAGAGAACATCCAAAGCGTGCCCGACGCAGCACTTAGGTGCAGACCTCGCCATCATCCACCAGGGCATGGACGCCCAGGAAATCGTACAAGTCTTGCCCCTCAGATCCACTCAATCTAGCGTCGTGGGCGATCAGAAGCTACAAGGCAGGGGAGGCGAAAGCTGTTCAACAAAAGCGGAAGATGCTGCTTGCCTGACGATCTCTTTCCCTGACGGGCAGTCATGCCCTCCGCAGATGCGAACGACTCTTTAGCCACAAGTCGTGACATAGTATTACTACGCAGGCGAACCGTCAACTTCCCTTTGCTTACCTTCTCGTGGTGATTGGTGTCTCGAAGAGGCCACACCTTCCGTTCCGATTGCTAAGTTGTAATGATGCTACTGACAATGACTTTCGCGCGGTTTGCGTTAGCTGTAGCCATTTTACCTCTTGTATCGCTCGTGGAATCGGCGTGCACTGCACCTCCAAAGGGAGACGATGATGCCGCGAACTGCTACGGATTCATAGTCGTAGGCGGTGGCACCGCAGGTAGTGCAGTTGGTGTACGCAATGCCCGGGTACGAAGTCGATCTGTCTTAGACATAAACACTTCGTACCGTCTCCACTTTCATGACTTAGCTGACTTCGTACCTGCGCGTCTAGGCACGCCTCAGCCAGCAGCTGCCGGACTCCAGTATTCTTGTCATCGAAGCTGGACCTTTCGCGCCAGATGAGGACCGCATCAATATCCCGGGCTTGAAAGGCTCGACCTTAGGCACAAAGTACGACTGGAACTTCACATCTATCCCGCAAACACAGCTCAACAACCGTGTGATTACGCAATCTCGCGGCAAAGTGCTCGGTGGCTCCTCAGCCATCAACTTGCTCATTTGGGATCGCGCTTCGAAAGCGGAGTACGATGGTTGGGAGCAGCTCGGGAACCCGGGCTGGAACTGGAATAACATGATCGGTGCGATGAACAGGGCAGAGAACTTCTCTTCATACGGCCGATCCGACTACACAGGCACGACTGACTTCGGCATTAAAGGCCCCATCAATGCTGTTGTTAACAAGTACATGCCTATGCACCAAGACGTGTGGCTGCCAACCTTCGACAATCTCAATGTCGAGCGCAATACCGATTGGCTCGGTGGCGACAACACTGGCAGTGCCTACCACTCCAGCACCATCGACCCCTCCAACTACACCCGCTCGTACAGTGCCGTCGAATACCTGCCACGTGCCGGTCCAAACTTCAAAATCATATGTGACACCGAAGTCGCCAAGGTCAACCTCGAGAAGAAGGGTCACAGATATATCGCTACTGGCGTCACTCTGCTCAACGGCGATGTAATTTACGCTGAGAAGGAAGTCATCGTCTCAGCTGGCACGCTCAAAAGCCCTCCCCTTCTCGAGCAAAGTGGTATCGGTGGAAAGACGATCTTAGACCGTGCCGGTGTCGAGCAGCTAATCGATCTTCCCGGCGTCGGAGAGAACCTCCAAGACCACCCTCGCATTCAGATTTCCTACCAGCTCAAGGACAACTACACCTCTTTCGATAAGCTCAAAGTCGACACCGACTACGCCGCCGAGCAATACGCGCTCTGGGAGCAAGGCAAACTCTCCGCCTACGACTACGCTGCGAGCGCCTACTCTTATCAAAACTGGAGTTCCGTGATAGGCTACAAAGAAGCTAATCTCGTCGAGGCCGCGAAGCGCGTCGCAGCCGAGACGAATAATGTGGTCAACAACAAGAAGCTTACCTGGCTCACCGACTCCGTGCTTAGCGGTGCCATTGCCGAAGCCGAGTTCCTGCTCTCGGACGGCTACAGCGGCAACAAGGGCTACCCCAAAAAGGACGACCCTCTGTACGGAAAAGGCTTCACGACTATCTTTGCTGCCCTGATGCATGAGCTCGCGCGCGGGTATGTGCATATTAATTCCACGGATGCGTCAGCCAAACCGGTGTACAACCCGGCCTTCGCGAGCAACGAGTACGATCGGAAAGCTCTCATTGAGCTGAGCAAGTACATACGGAAGATTGCGACCACTGCGCCTTTCTCGGAGATATGGGTCGATGAGTACGAGCCTGGCCTTCAGGTCGACACGGACGTTGAGTGGGAGGACTTCGTCAGGAACAACGTGAATACATTTTACCATCCCGTAGGCACCTGCGCGATGCTACCTAGAGAGGACGGTGGTGTCGTTGACTCGATGCTGATGGTGTACGGGACGAGCAATCTGAGGGTGGTGGATGGTTCGGTCATTCCCCTGCTTGTGAGTGCGCACCCGCAGACGGGCATCTACGGTATTGCGGAGCGTGCGGCCGAGATCATCTCGGGCGTTTGGAGACAAGCCTGATCTGGTCTTGCTATAGTTCCCGTTCGTACGTAACTTGAATCAATGATTCAATCGCAGAGGCTCGTCCAATGACGCGCCACTTACAGACCGTGAAATTGAGTCGAGCAGCGGCCAAGAAACAGTTAATGACGCCAGAAACCACTGATATTTTGGAGGTGCATGGTGGTGGAAATCCCCTAGCGGCTGTACAGGTGATAGATGTCTTGTGTCAATAGTAAGATTTCGTATCATGAAGGTATTGTTCCAGTATCTAACGAGAATTTTGAGGTATATAAAGCATCTGGCGGTGTAGGCAGCCTCGCACTCTTCTAGAGTTGCATCATATATCCGGTTTCCAAGTGTGACAATGTTCGAGATATCACCTGAAAATGGATTCTTGGTCTCAGCTATCTGGACACTCGAAATTCGATAGCTTTTCTTACTCGAGTATAGTACTGATCGTTTTGGAAGCGGACAGCTGATGGAACGATTGTTCTCACGAACAGGTTCATCCCACATATGGAGTCGTTTGACACTGTAATTTGCTATTTCTGTAGTAGTTGATGGTAGATCCCACTCTACTTTACTTGCGTGGTAGCTTGAAAGAGTACCATGTTTAGCTAAATATCAAACATCTTTTCGCCTGCATAGCTCGTCTGCGATCAAAGAAAGTAATTCACGCTTTCAGGCTGCAATTGGGCTTCATGAAGACATATCCGGAACCATCTTAACGCCGTGATCTGACCTGGATTTTGAATCAACAAGGGGTCCGGCTCTTGGATGTGTTTCACGATCTGCACTTGATGCGAAGCTGGGGAAATTACCGAAAAACGACCGTTCGGCCGGGCTCCACACCGAAACGGCACCACGACGTTCTCTCGCTTCTTCACAAATCTCCTTCAAGTTGATTAGTGCTCGACAGCTCGGCCAAACAATAACATGCCGTCTTGGCCTCTGCAGGCGGCACAAGCGTTCGAGATACTATCCATTCAAAGCAGCTGGTTATGAGTCTTGGTTTGAGCGACGTCGTTCCGCCAAATGCCGCGGCCCATTCGGACGAATGTCTTCAATGCGTGCGGTAGCTGAAACTACGAAGGCCCGATCATACAGGCACATATAGGGTGTTCCTGATATCGCTTTCTTTGTGTTCGCAACGCATCATCTCTTATACGGAACTGGGTTCTTTCTTTTTCCCCTCACCAAAGTCATTCTTTTCCGACCCAGCTATGATGCTCGTACAATTCTTGTTGTGTCTTTCGATTCTGACGTCGGCGCAAGCTGCCACCATTTCTGCAACACAATGCGACAATGCTACCGCATCGGCTGCTCCAAATATCGTCTTTGACGGGCGTGTGAGGGCAAACGCGACCGTAACCGATTTTGATGGAACGTCCGGGCCCTTCAATCCTGACTTTGTCAAGGGAGAAAGTATGCCTTGCTAATTGCTGCCTTCACGGAAAACACTGGGCTGATATTTAAGCCAGATGTGAGCTTTAGTCAGCTGATCAAATTTCCAGAGGGCGAAATTGCGTTGGTACGCAATGTTAACATTCCCTCATTGTGCAGTCGTTCTAACAGTACCAAAGTTTGACAGCAGCGTGGGCGCTAAGGCCATTGAAGTCACGATCAGGTAAACAAGCCATTCTAGCGCTCGTTTCGTTGTTCGAACGGATGCTGATGCGATACAGTGATCAATCGATCTTCAATCCCGGGGGTTCCAATGCCCAGACCGCTGTTCGTCGCGCAGAGTTGATGCCCCGAGGCGACCTTGTTGCTGACAATGTAACCACGACGGGCATCAAAACGCTGCATTTCTCCATCAAGCCTAGCGCCGACAGGCCACTAAATGTTAGCCATGAGTATCTGATGGTGTTTCTCGAGCGAGCTGATTTTGCTGGAAACCTCTTCATGCTCCGAACCGGAACTCTGATTGGTAGTGATGGTTCCACCAAAAACGACTTGGTCCTTTTCGGAAACACCCAAAATGGCACACAGACTCTATTCACAACGCCTTTCGAGAAGGCTGCATTCAACAATTTCGCGTTACGTCTAGACTTCACGCAAAAGTGAGCTCAACTATATTACGTTTTGTTCCCCGCGTTTGGCTAACAGTCAACAGCACCATTCAAGTCTTCCAGTCGACTGGAGGTGCGCCTCTGGTGCAACAGACGGAGCCATTGCCTAATGATCTATCTGGAAATGGTGATTACCACGTCGGACTCAACAAAAATCCCACGGATCCGGGTGCGGATTCCCTTCGTTCGGGTTTCCAGGAAAGCGGCATAAACGAGGGGATGGTGTACGGTAGCATATTCATCGAAGACAACGCCAATTCGACCGTGACGCTGTCTTAAGCGGCTTATGTACGAAGTCTACATGTAGACGGTGTGTCTTCGTGCTGGGGGATCGATAGCCTCAGACCATTCCTGTTTAGATTGTTGTACGTGGTGCACACGTAGTGATAATTAGCATATAGTCAAGCATTTGGCGCATATATTGCGCATTCCTACAGCTTTGTTCTGGTTCTGTAAATTGCGTCAAGATATTCGGAATGATTGATGGGTGCTGATCAGTGTTGATTGCGAACGTAGGACATGGAAAGTCTGGCGGCACTCGAGTTAATTCAGGGGACCCTAGCCGGTTAGCCTGCCTGTGGTGGGCAAGCGCGAACTCGCTTCAAGCGACCACACGCAGACTTCTGACATTCGCCTCTACGACACCGTCATCGAGATACATGATGAAAATCTGGACGCCTTGTAGTATTATCATTACCTTACATTTTGCTGTTCTCGTGTATCGTCTAGGACTCGATCAGTTTCACTGATCCGTTTCTGGTGTACAATCCAACTCTTGTTCTATCCAACCATCCTAGGCGTCATTCTAGTCCCCCCACTCACTCAATTCTTTGGACCAAAGATGAAAGCCTGTGAAGCACGCTTCTTCAGCTGCGGCATAGAAGGCATCTTGCTGAGTCGGCGCGGGAGGTTGCGTGGCTCCTCGTCCTTCTTGACGATTGAATCGCGGTGCGTCTCGCCCTTGCCCGAAGCATGCGGTGCGAGGAAAGTGTCAAAAGTAATATCTGTCTTTGCAACGTATGGCGGTGAGAAAGAGCTGCGGATTCGGTTGGGATTGCGGTCGGCTTTCCTGACCAGTGGACGACGATCCCACGCGCGACCACGATTGCGACTAGAGTCCCGGGAGGACTCAGATGTATGTGGAGATTGAACCACAGGATTACGAGCTGGTCTCAAGCCGTTGTTGCCAGCACCAACAGATGTGCTATTGCGCGTGTTCTGGGCCTCGCTCACGGGGAAGGGGAAGGACTCATGTGAAAATTGCGGCGCGAGAGAGGTCGGAGAAAGCGGTAAGCTGGGCGTACTTACGGTGCGGAGATCGACCATGGAACGGGAATCTTCATCACGCGTCTGTACATTGTAAGCCTCAACTTCTTTGACCATCTCCAGTTTGGTCAAGGGTGAACCTACGAAACGCTTCGCCTGTTGCGTCGACTTGAGCATGAAGCGCTCACCCCCGCGCTTCTCGTCGAGGATATCTGCGATGATATCTTGTCGCTTGTCGGTGTAGGGGACCAGTTCAATACGAGATACGTGGTATTGGACCAGCTTGCCTCCAGACCACTCGCTCAGGTTGTGATTGAGCTCACCGATAGCCAAAGCGGTTCGATCTTCATCAGACAGAGAGCTGCTGTAGTAACGGCGACTTACTGGTTGCTGCGAGGATAACGACTGCGTAGAGGCCGACCAATTCATGGAGGAGGTGCGGGGTGGGTGGAGCGGCGAAGAGTTTTGAGAGTTAGGAAGCTCTAAGGCCAGGCGCGCATTTCTAGCTTCCTCAGCTTGCTCTTGCGCGATGCGAGCCAAGGTGTCTTGATTGAAGGAGCCGAATGTCTGAGGTTTCAGGTTGTGCTCAGGCTCTAAGATCCTACCATCGACGATTGAAGGACGTTTGCCGCGTTGTGACGGCATGCCTGGCGCGTTGGCCGGGGCGGAAACGCTGCGGCCGTGCCGTCTATGTGCGCGAAAAGAAGTCATGGTGAAAAGTTTCGCTCAGATTCGATGCCTGCACCGGAACTGAATCGAAGTTTGGGGTCTTCACGTGAGTAAGTGAGTGAATGACCGTTCTGACAATTTGCGGCCTGGCAAGACGGTTGGTACCTTCGGCTCTAGCCCACCTGGTAAGCTCGAATCAGCTATATACCAGCTGGCTCACATCGTGTAAGGTACCGAGTGTCGTCTAGCATCGTGCATGCACATTCCAAGTGCACAAGGTTTGCTGTGAAGGTTTGCTTTGTTCACCAGCATACACCACGACGGACGTGCACTCTACAAAGAAAGAGATTGCATACGTGTTCCAGCCTGATCCTACAAATAAGGGCGAACGATGCAAAACATCAGCCATTTCTCAATTCAGCCTCTTCACTGATGGGATGCATGGAGTGAGTTAAGCCTTATTGTCCAGAAACAAATATCCAGGTGCCGTATTGTATGTCTGTGCAGTCACTCTACCTTTTCTGCCACGAAAAAAGTACCCTCAAGCATACCTAAAGGAATGACGGCTTCACACAACGCTCTTACTCACAGCGGTGTCGTCCTCAGGATTATAAAACAATTTGTTGGCATCGGCACCTTTACACCGGGCGAACCAAACAATAGCACGTTGTTAGAGGAATGCTGTTCACTCAAGATGACACAGCCGGCCGAGGTTTGCGCGAAAGCTCTTTTTGAGGCGCTTCCCACGGCTCTCCTCGGTTGAAGAGTCACTCCAGCTGAAAAAGCTTTGGGGCTCGGGACGAACAAAGGGCCCCGGCTCCACCACACTGGGATGTGTCAGATGAGCTTCATGTGTAGCCTCGTTCCACATCATGATCTCTGCCTTGTCGAAATAGCGGATCGGGCTGCGGAGATCACCACTTGGACCGTACATTGGGCGTAGCGGTAGGTGATTACGCCATGGTGCATGTGAATTTGAAGTCATATCCGCCAAGAGCTGGTCAGCATCGGTGTCTTCGTCGTCCTCATACCACATCTGATTGAACTCTTGTAAGTACTTATCAGGAATCGGCGCTTCCCGCTCAGTCTGGCAGTTCCAGTCACTTGACACCTTCGGGGCACCATAATTCTCCAAGTCATCATCAAGGTGATCAGCAGTTTGCCAGTTGGGACCCAAGGCCTTGCGAGTGGCATTCATCATCTTGGACTTCTGTAATGCACGGTCAGTATAAACAAGCGGGAATTGCTCACCCCCAGCCGTATCGTTCGGTTTCTTGAAATGCCCGTTGTACGCAGGATTTGACGGACGTTTGAACGGACCTGACACTCCCATGTGGTGACGCTGATACGCTTCCCCAAGGTGTTCTTGAAACACCTCTGCATTCAGCTGTGCCTCGTAAAAAGCAAGTTCCTCATGTGGCAGCCCTACGCTGAAACGATGAGGACGGAGATTACTAGTGACAATGTCAGGCATGGTTGAGCTTCAGCTTCTTTGGGCTTTGGTAGATTATGCCAAGCGAATGTGAGGTATGCTTATTATATGCTGGCTGGCTAAGCCACGAAACTGAAAGTATCTGGAGTTGATACCTTGCAACCTGTTTTCCATTGTGCACACATACAGTGCCGGTGAAAATAGAATTCTGGCCAAAAAATGCACGTGAATCGATTGCAAGGGTATTACAGATCACTGAGGTACATAGAGATAACGTTACACTTTAAGGGAGCTCAGCCACTATGCGACTTGATTATTCTACGGAAGGTCTATCGACTTCAAAAGCTTGTAAAGGTATATGTGTGCTTTAGTAAAATGCTCTGATCGTAGCATTGACGCAACAAAAAACAAAGGGAATAGGATAAGCACTAATGATTACAGCTCAGTTTTTCCAAGAGTCTGCCCATCCTTTTTGTGTACCCATGACTGTGCCGCGTCTTCTTCTCTTCCAACTTGGTGCTTTCCATTGATTGCACCGTTCTGTGCCGTTTTTTTAAGACCGGACTCTCTTCCGTAATTGTAATGGCTCTAGAGCAAGGTGTATGAACACGCGGACTCCTTTCCGGATAGTAATTGAAATCATCTTCTTCAACGAAAGGCAAGTCAAAGTCGTCGAACAGTGTCTCTTCTGTCTCAGCCTGTTCGTTCGCATTGCGCATGTCGAATGCGACCCAGGTGGCATCCGTGTCGTAACCCTTGCTGTTGCTACTGATGTGTGGAGGATAGTACTGGCATATAAACGTCTCCTGCTTGTTTTGTTCTGATTGCTCTTCGTTTGACTCTTCAACCGAGACGAGGGAGATGGAGGATGCACTGTTGCCCCAGTGGCTCAGAGGGCTTACTAGCCCGTACCTCTTTGAGCGGTGGAAAAGCGAGTCTGATGAGAGTGAAAGAATGTCTACCAGACATGGAGTCCCTGGTTGAGCTATTACGTGAGAGTCGGAACAGGTGCATGGGATGATATCTGATACTCGCTTTCCCGGGTGATACCGCACTGATGGCGTGAAAAGGTGATTTTGTGACCGGAGATGCTGAGGTCTGGACGGGACAGATGAGGTGTTGGGTTTCAACTTTCTTGCGCTGGAAAATACCTTGTTGGTCATCTTAAAAGTGGTGCGATGCGCCGGATCGAAAGAAGGATGACAGAATGAGAGCAAGCGAGTGGACTATCGAGTGAACGGGTATGTCAAAAGGGTCGTAATTCCTATATTACACTCAGACGGGCCATACGTTCTTGTACGGAGGTAATTTGACGTAGGCCTCACAAAGAATGGTGGGGAGTACAAGGGAACAAAAGCCTAATAAAGGGAAGTCAGTATCGGGCAAATCGAATGAATAACACCTTCTGTGAAGAGGACAAAGGACGCATGCAATGAACATACATAAGCCTCAGTGCAGGAGTTGCTTGATACGCTGAGCCTCGTACTGCGGCGTAGCAAATGGCTCCCTTTTGTGATGTTTGAACTATATCATGACATACTAAGAACTTCTCTACTCGAGTTCTACAGCTCTAGACGCGAAGTTTCTTCCATCAGCCCCGCACATCTTTCTCTATGTGTTTCTTCTCCGATTGCACTGCGTCTCTTAGCCGCTCTTTCTTCGATTGCACTGCATGCCGTATCCACTCCTCCTTCGACTTCACTGAGCCATGAAGGTGCCTAAACTGATACATCAATTTACTTACCAGTTCATTCAGGCGTGGCTGCTCTAGCTCCTCTCGGATCTCTTGTTGAAGCTTCTCCTGAAGGTACTCTAGTGTATTCATTTCGCGTTGGGGACAGAGCTCGTAGCCATAGATCGGTCGCCTTGCAATTTCGGAAAACGTTTGAAGGGAGCTTGGCTAGCGCCACTTAGAGCAACCTCTACAATATGAGTCCTAGTCATAGATAGAGTGGGGCGTGGCTAAGTTAGTGCGTGTAGATGAGACATCATCAGCAAGAAAGCTGGGCGGACGGGGAACGTAGATCACTTGTGAGATGGCACCAAACACGTCCATGTCACTGCTACGGCGAACAATATCATTGGTGCTGGCTTCATTGGTAGCGACAAGCTGCCAACCTACAGCATTGTGTTGGATCTGTAAAGAGCCTGCAAGATAATCTTGAACTGGGTGGGTGAAAGCGTTCGAGAAAGCTTCATGAGTAAGCGCGTGTTCAGCAATCACTTCGGTCATGTTTGGGAGACCATCTTGACAAACACCATGCCATCAGCCTGCCGCCTTGGACGAGCCCAGGTCCCAGTAGACAGTTGTGGACTCTCCTTCCGCTGTTGAGATGCTTGAGGAGTATTGTGTCCATCAAGCCCTTTCCACGCGACGGCCCGCCTGCGGCGTACACGAACAGAAACAGCAGTCTCATACGCAGACAGACCTTCAGAAATGTTGTTCCAATAGTGTGTTTCGTTCATAGACATGACTTTGGTCATTTGACGTTTAGCAATGTTCTTTCAATTGAAGGATGGGATGTTGAATGTGGGTATGTGGAATGTAAATGTCACAGCAAAACACATATTTATTACGTAGATCTCATCGTCGGACGGAAGCACAGGCGGAAAAGGACGAGCCTGCGTGATGTTCGTAGTATCATGTACACACAATGAGAGGTCGTATGGTACAATGAAACACTGGATCGGGCCCCACGTGCGGATACTTGCATTAACAATACTGTGTCGCCTGGCTTCCCCGAATAACCGAACATTTTCTAGCAGCGAAACCTCAGTGCAATCAGGCAAGCAAGAAGTGAGCTGTAAGAACATCGTTTCGGTCAGTGGATCACTGAAATTTCTATGAATATCTCACAGCCTACGAGCTACTGCGTCGCCTGTAACGCGCACACCGGGCAATATCTGCCTGCCTGTGCATGGACGTCTCCCAGATCTCTCCATTCTCATTCTCAACACTGTTGTGTAGATGAGCAGTAGCGCCGGCCACGTCACTGACAAAGGTCCCGCTTGGATCATGTGCAGGAAGATCGGCCGGCAAGCCCTCCAGGCTCGCGTCATGAGTGTTTGCCAGCAATCTTGGGGCCGGTAACTGTTCCCTACTCTCGGGCATCTCGTAGACCCCCTTCGTCTCTTTGGCTGTCATCTTGAACCCCAGCCTCACTAGCCTCACTGAAGACTTCTACAGACTCTAGAACGCCCTTCAAACTCCTACGGATCTCGGGATTCACCACGCATCGCCCTTTCCGCTTCAACGTAACACTACTCGCACACCCACCAGAAGCTTCCTGCCGTGAAGACGCTGACACGCGAAACCTATCCACGACAACCGTCCTCCTCGCCGGCCCGTCTTTCAGGCGCATACTGCCAACTGCAGCCCCAAATGGATGCTCAGGCGACGAGTAGAAATGCACACTCTCTACAGTATTCGAGGGCGGTGTGACAGGACGAGGAGTGCATTTCTCACAGCAATGGGGTCGTACTTCATGCTGGTAAAGATGCCCGGATGCTGTGCGGCGGAGGGTAGGAAGGGGTTGTCCTGGCGTGAGAGGCTTGCCGTCGAGATGGAGGATCTGGGCATGGATTATTGGGAAAGGTGACTGGGGAGCTTGGTTGGTTGACAAGGAAACTGTGCGTTTTTGGACTTTAGACATGTCGTGATCAAGGGAATGAAAGAGCGCGAAGTGGAAGGTGTCAATATAACCATTCTGCAGCGATCTGCACAACGGTACAACATCGTGCAATGTTTCAGTGTGAGTACGGTGTTGATGTGCATGGTAAGTGATCAAAGCGACACAAAGCGACACAAAGCAAAATAAGACAACATGTCGCATAGTAGCAAACGCTACTCACTGGATTCCCAACCGCTATGCAAGACTAAGTACAGTAAATTCATCATTCACTGGAAGGCGCCTTTGGCGCCTGGATATCAAGCCACTCGTATCATCGTGAATGTGATATCAACAACTCAACGCCGGATTATGTGCTCGATGCTCGTGCAGACCATTGATTGCAAATTTTGATACAACTTTTAACGTCTTCGTGAGAGGCCTGCGCGGGCGGCTGTCGATCGCCGTTCCGGTTTCGCCTCCTCTTCGCTCTCCGAGACTTCTTCGCCGTCTAGCTCCTCGTCCGGCCCGGACAAGTCCTCACCAGAATCATCATCTGTCTCTTCTGCTTCATCGTCGATGAGATCCTCGGAATCTTCGCTTCCTTCTTCCGACAATTCGTCTACCTCCATGGTGGTCGGCATTCCGTCCACAGAGCTCTCGACCTCATCGTCAACGTCTCGCTGCGACCGCTTTCGTGAATCTTCCATAACAACGTCCGAGTCGTCTGCCTCGTCCTCATCCGATGATGGCTCTTCCTCTCCCTCAACGTAAATCACCGCCTCATCCATGTCATCCTTCGCAGCCCTCTCTTGGTTTCTTCGTCGGAGTTCCAGTTGTGTCTGGAGCATATCCAGTCTGCCCTTGAGTGACAATAACGGCTGCAGACCGGTTGATCGCTGAGTGAGGACCTTGGTCAACGTCGCTGTTTGCTTGATCAAGTTTGACTGAGTCGCAAGGTATCCACCATGTGTTGCAAGCGACCATTGGACCCACACCATTAGCATACCGGGCCGTCCAGGCCTCTTGTGTAACCGTTCAGCGAGTTTCTGTAGGAGAGCACCAACCAACGGGGAAGGCAGGCGTTCGATGGTGGAGTATATCGTGTCGACATCGTTTACGCGCAGACAGGAGTCGAGGAGCTCTTGGTCGTTGGTCCGCAGAGCTTGAGTAAGCACTGTGCTTAACGAAGTCGCAGACGGTGCAGCCAACGGTCGGCGGATGGACGCGGTCGCAAGCTCGCGGGCGTCAGCGTCGGCACCGACAAACGCAGACTCGACATGGACAACTCGAGGTTCGCGGACTGGTTCAGCTTCTGGTTCTTGTGCCTTGAGACGCTCGCCAAAAGACAGCTCTTCAGGCTCCGCAGTGCCATCTTCAATAGGCCGATCTAGGCCGTTTTGGCCATTTGCCGCGGGGACGACGTCTTTTGAACCTGCATCCGAATCCTCGTCTTCAGAATTCGAGTCGTCGCTGTCCTCTTCCGCGCTAGATATCTGGATAATCTCTGGCACCGCATCCATGTCGACGTCACCATGACCAGCGTAACCCCCGCTCACCACAGCGGTGGCTTCGTCAACCCTGCCTTTCCGGTCGTTCCTCACGCCGTTCGTCTTTGCACTGACAGCGGGCTTCTTGTTTGGTGTTCCATTGATCAACGACTTGAGGCCAGCAGGCTGCGACAGCTTGGCCTTCTTGGTGGGAGGATGCGCATCGCGGGCGGCTTTGGGGGTCGAGGCAGGCGCGCGGGCGCGTGAGGAGAGTGGAGCGGGCATGGCGGCAGGCGCATGCAGTCGTGTGCAGAGAGAAGGGCGGCGCTCGATGTGGCAGCCTGACGGTGTGGTTGGTGAGGCCCAAGGCAGGCTGCAAAATCTCTAGCAGAGCAAAATATTTCCGAGCACGGGCCACGCTACCACGGTCGCGCCTACCGGGTTCGACAGGGATCCGGGGCGCGCCTTCTGTCGCGTCGCAGCTACCGTCGGCGACGCACGCCAGGTGCATGCAGACGCCGCGACGCCAGCAAGCAGCAGCGTCGCGCAGTGCACCTCTGGGCAGCGTGCAGCCGTGCAGCGGGCGGTGTAGCGGGCGGGCGTTGCGATGCAAGGCGGGTGCACGTGACGGTGGCTCTTGCTAGTGTCGCATTTTCAGGGGCGTTCCGCTTGGCCAAGAATCGGCGTGTCGGAGAGAATAAATGGAAGACGCATCCCACACCTCTTTCAACTTCACAAGACCTTTTCCCGACCCGCTCCCAATCCGCCGCCTGCTCCGAAACGACCGCCCACGACTCGCGCCCACCTCTCATTCGCACCCCGCCTCAGGCCCAGTCCGCGAACCCGGCTCCGCTCACAGCGGCCTCTCGCTACATATTGCGCGCCTGTCCTGCCTTGCTAGCGCCTGTCAATCGCGCATCATCCGCATCCGTGCGCATCGCCGCTGCGACACTTCTCGTCTGCAGAGCACTGTTGGTGTTGCGCTGCACCTGGAGTCGGGCGCATATGCAGTACTGAGCTGCGCGCGCACAGCTTGCCACAACCACAACAACGCGTCGGCGCACCGGCATACATCTGTGACTCATCGCCGCCCCTCTGGCTCTGGCTCTGAAGTGGACAGCTCGCCGCCGCCGCCGCCGCCATCAAAGGTACGTCACGTGTGCTATTTCCGTTTCAGCCTCTGCCACATAAATATCTCGCGCACCCCTCCCCGTTTGTTCGCAAACACGCCCGTCTCCCTAGCCGCATCTCACCTTCACCACCTTGCGACGCGCGTCTAAGCGAACCTTCGCCCTTCACTTTCCCGGGCTTGACTCTGGCACACCGTCGTTCTTTGTCGCGTGCGTTCGCTCAACTTATACTGATATAATCTTGACCGTAGAGGCTGTGAAGTGTGAACCCGGCGGTCACGCGAGTCAATCTAAACCAACGCCGTACCCATCTGCGCATCGTCTGTCTATGGCCCTATGGGAGTAATGACATCGCCTGCCTTCGACCAAGTTCCTCTGGACCTGAAAGCGACGGCAGCACCGCTGGTAGACGCCATGGCGGTGGATACCGAATCCAATGGGTGAGTGGGCCTTGTTCCTTTACTACTTGCATTGCGCCCTCACAGACATCATGCCTTCTCTCACCTCGGTTCTTGTGCTAATGCTATAATCAGCGTTCATGATGTATCCCTCGAGACTCAAAAGAACCCTAACGTCAACGGCAACGGCAACCACCACTCGTCACCAGACGCTGCGCCTGCGCTGGAACCTACTACAAACGTGTCCAGTGGCATCGACGGTGTCTCCCAATTTCTGCCTGATAGTCATCCCGACAATAACTCGTTGTTTGGGGATTCAGAAATGCCTTCGGTTACCGATGCCGTGGAGGCTCCAACTTCGGATGTACGCGACGAAGCGGCACCAGACACTACTGCAACTACAGAGAGTACGCAAAAGGTTCCAGAGACCCAATTGCCCGTTATGGAAGAGTCCCTCGGTGGTCCAGTGCAGTCGACCGATTCACAGGCGAACCAAGCTCCAGACTCAACCGCAGGTTCCACTGATTCAGCTGCTCCTCCCACAAAGCCTTTGAATGACCTCAAGATTGAAACTCAGCAATCAGCAACTCAACTTTCATTGACTGAGTCGCCCGCTGTGCTCGATCAAGAAATGGAAGATGCGCCAACGTCCGGCAAAGTACGCCCTCGTGAGGAGGATGCGGACATGGAAGATGCGCCCGATGCGAAACGCACAAAAACCCAGGATGAAGGTAATGAGTCGGCTGAATTTAAGGTGCCTGATCTACCTGCGCATACCGAACAGCCAAATGGTTCAGCTCCGACACCACCAGTCGCGGCAGCAGCTGCGTCTCCATCACAAGAGCCGTCTTCCGTTCAACAAGCTGTGCCATATAAGACATGGCCATCAGCACCAATGACGGAAGCTCAGAAGAAGTTTTTGCTTGAGCGCATTCGAAATACCAAGAAGATCAAGGTTTCGAATGCTTTTAAAGTGCCAGTAGATTACGAGGCTTTAAACATTCCTACATATCCATCCATTGTGACGAAGCCGATGGATCTCGGAACAATGGAAAACAAACTGAAGACGGGAGCTTACACATACGTTGCCGAATTCATGGCAGACTTGGACCAGATCGTGACCAACAGCGAGCTGTTCAACTCGACCACCCACCCGGTCACCCATGACGCCTACAATATGCGGGCTTATTTCTTGAAAGGCACCGATAGGCTTCCGAAAGAGGGAGACGAGGCAGCAAAGTCAGTCAAGCCCGTGAAGAAGCCCACGGTATCGACAGCACCAAAAGCCCGACGTGAGTCAAGGGCAGCACCGGTCGCAAAGTCACCACCAGCTTCAATCCCTACTACCACATCGACCCCCGCCTCGGCCTGGCCGTTGAATGCGGACGGTTTGCCCATGATCCGACGAGATTCCTCTAGCGCCAATGACCGTCCGAAGCGGGAAATTCATAGGCCTCCCTCGAAAGATCTTCCTTATTCTGCTGCGAAACCTCGAAAGAAGAAGTATCAGCTGGAACTGAAATTCTGCGAGAACGTCTTGTCGGAGTTGTTGAAACCTAAATATGCTAAATTCTCGTGGCCTTTCATGGCTCCTGTAGATCCGGTTGCCTTGAATATTCCTTCGTATATGAAGATCATCAAAAAACCGATGGACTTTGGGACTGTGAAAAAGAATCTGGACGCGGGTGTCTATCAAAACGCCAAGGACTTCTACAATGACGCACAGCTTGTGTTCCTCAATTGCTTCAAGTTCAATCCGGAGACGGATGAAGTGAACAAGATGGGCAAGCAGCTGAATGAGGTCTTCAACAGCTTATGGAGCGAGAAGGCCGATTGGCTTGCACAGAATGCACCCGATGCGGAGCCCCAATCTGCGGGTTCGGGCTATTCAGATGAAGAGGACGATGAAGACGAGGAAGATGATCCTGCACAGGCTCAATTCCTCGCCATCCAAAAGCAGATCGCAGCGCTCAATGAAACTGCTCAGCAGTTGCTGCAGCAACAGCAGCGAAAGGGGACGTCGCCCAAGGCGCCTAGCAAGAAAAAGTCTAAGGCAGGGCAGCCCAAGAGCAAAGCGGGCCCGCTCAAGGTACCTCCACCTGCAAAGCCGGCCAAATCGAAGCCCAAAAAGGCCCAAGCTCCTCTGAGCTATGCACAAAAGCAGGAGATCTCTGAGGGCATCAGCACACTTGGCGACGCCGATATGAGACGCGCCGTCCAGATCATTAGGAATGGCTGTCCCCACCTAGCGAACACCAACGATGATGAGATGGAGCTCGATATGGACGAGATCAACGATGACACATTGCGGGACCTGTTCCAGTTCATCAAGAGGGTGCGTGGTCCAAAGTCTGCAGCGGCAGAGGATGATGAATTCGAAATGCCACGTCCTGCCGCACCTTCGAGGCAGAACACTAGTCGGCCGAAAAAGAACAAGCCCATGGGCAAATCGGAACAGGAGGACAGTCTTCGCAGAATCCAGGAAAAGATGCAGTCGTTCAATGGGGCGGTGTCGGGATCCAGTCAATCACCACCTGGTAAGTCGTCAGTAGCATTTGAATTTGGGATCGAGTCTCATGTGTCTCTAGCCAACCAAGAGTCGAGCGACGATGATGACGACGACGATGACAGCGCTTCCGAAAGCGAGGAAGAGTAGAGTCGTTGCTCTTGCTCTCTTTGTTTTCCTCCCTCAGTAATTATTTTCCACTTCTTGCGTGCACTTTGGCAGGTACTTTCGTAGCCTTGGGATGCGATACGAATCTTGACGACCCTGGGCGACCGCAGTGACATTGATCCTGTTGGTCGGCAGCGGCGAACCTACTCACGCAATCGGTGGGCGAGGACCTGGTCAAACCGTCAGCTTGCGTCTCATGAATGCGGCATTGGGCCCTTGACTCTTGACCATGGCGTGCAACTTATCCCACGAAAACCCCACCCCTTACCATCAAAAGCACTGCATTCCTTGTACACTATACTTGGTGTCCGACATTTCGTGGATAGATTAACCAACCGGCAACGGGGTAATGATTGATGAGATTTCTGAATCTTCTTAACTTCTGGATTGATGGACCAGTCGGCCAGAGCTAGCGGCTGGAATTGGTGTGGAATCTGGAGTGGATCGGCTTGCCTGGTATCATGGTGTATGATAGCTGCGTAGGTATAGCCTGGCAGCCAGACCACAATAGCAGATAATTCCAATTATGTGCGCGTGTTTTTGTCCCCATCATGTGAACAAATAACCTTGTGAATGAGTGAACCCAAGTGGACACCGAGATGGCGATGTGTTTTCGTGGGGTCGCTACGAGTCGTGGCAGCGGGAGGCTTTCGAATCTTGCGGTTGCCCTTTGTAGTAGTCAGCGAACGATGCGAGCAGCAAGAAAGGACGCGAGTGACGGAGGTACTGGCATCTTGTTGCGGTCGCTGTGTGAGTCGCTGGATGTCGCTTCCCGAGCAGGAATGCGGCGGCGCTGCGGGCAAGGAATCGTTATCGTGGCGAAAGTTCGCAGTAAATTCAGAAAAGTCGTGCTGCAAATGATAGTTGGACACGGGCCCAGCGACGCCCTCGGAAAAGTGTCTTGGTGCCATGTCTGCGTGGGAAGGCGAGGAGCGCATGCGGAGTCGAAGTGGAGTCCTCACTTGATAGAGGCCGCCGCTGCGAAAGCCCCATGACCACGACCGCTTTTGGCAGGCTTAGGTGGGTCCGTGCTTGCAGAGCTTCGCGAATGTCTGGCCCAGCTTCGCGAAAAACAGCTGCAACGCGCCGGTCATCCTCTCCACCCCACTACCGCCTAATTCGTTCTCTACACCAATCGCATAACCACGGCTCGCTTCCTCATTGTAATTCAAGAGTCTCCAGCTTTCGATAACTGCCATGGCGACGACGGTGCCAGTCAGCGAGGTCAAGAGCAATACGCGTGAGAGCAGGACGGCTGCGCATTCGCACATCAAGGGATTGGGACTGAAAGGACCGGGTGGTCATGCAGACACGTCGGGTGGCGGTTTCATTGGCCAGGCGGCGGCTCGAGAGGTACTTTACGCCATGAGATAGCTGGAACAGTTGCTGATAGATTGTAGGCATGCGGGCTAGTTGTAGACCTAGTCAAAGCGAAGAAGATGTCTGGACGCGCCGTGTTGCTCGCTGGTGGGCCAGGCACAGGAAAGACAGCACTGGCGCTTGCAGTGAGCCAGGAGCTGGGCACGAAGGTACCTTTCTGCCCGATTGTTGGCAGCGAGATATACTCGGCAGAGGTAAAGAAAACGGAGGCGCTCATGGAAAACTTCCGGAGAGCTATAGGTATGTGGTGCGCCGTCTGCAACGTCTGGACTGGGAGACTGCACTCACCTTCATACTCATGGACATGCTCATCTGGAAGAACTTGCGCTGACTGTCTCACGCAGGCCTCCGTGTCAAGGAAACGAAGGAAGTCTACGAGGGCGAAGTCACCGAACTCACACCAGAGGAAGCCGAGAACCCTCTTGGAGGCTACGGTCGCACCATATCGCATCTCCTCATTACGCTCAAGTCTGCGCGCGGAACGAAGAAACTCCGTCTCGACCCTTCAATATACGAAGCGATACAGAAGGAGCGCGTGCGTCTCGGAGACGTTATCTACATCGAAGCCAACACAGGCGCGGTAAAGCGCGTAGGACGATCAGATGCATATGCTACAGAGTTCGATCTTGAAGCGGAAGAATACGTGCCGATACCAAAGGGCGACGTACACAAGAAGAAGGAGATCGTGCAGGATGTCACTTTACACGATCTTGATGTCGCAAACGCGAGGCCTCAGGGTGGTCAGGACATTATGAGCATGATGGGCCAGTTGATGAAGCCCAAGAAGACCGAGATCACAGAAAAGCTGCGGCTGGAGATCAACAAGGTGGTGAGCAAATACATCGATCAGGGCGTTGCAGACCTGGTTCCTGGTGTGCTCTTCATCGATGAAGTAAGTCGTCCCATCTCAACCATAGATCTTCATATATACTAATATTTACCTAGGTCCACATGCTCGACCTCGAAGCCTTCACCTTCCTGAACCGCGCCCTTGAATCACCACTCTCACCCCTAGTCATTCTGGCTTCAAATCGCGGCTTGACTCACATCCGCGGCGCGCCTAACCTGCCCCCATCCGCTCACGGCATTCCCTCCGACCTTCTCGCTCGCCTTCTCATCATTCCCACGCACCCGTACACCCCTGCAGAGATCAAGTCGATCGTCAGCATGCGCTCAAGGACAGAAGGTCTCAACCTCGCTCCTGCTGCGCTCGACAAGATCAGCTCTCTAGGTGAGAAGGTGTCGTTGCGTTACGCGTTGCAATTGCTTGCACCGGCTAGCATCCTAGCCAAGGTCAGCGGCCGGCAAGGAGGCGCGATTGAAGTTGCTGATGTTGAGGAGTGTGAGGGACTTTTCTTGGATGCAGGGAGGAGCGCGAAGAATCTTGCGAGCACGAATGGGTTCATTGCATGAGTTCGCAGGGTGTATAGGTGATATTGTGTACTATAAAACGGCGTTCTGGGAATGCAAGCCAAGGCCAAGGTTCGGCGGAGATTGGTTGAGATTCGTCTTCTGGGGGTAGGAAGCTCGAGGATGTAGGCGGTCAAAGAGGAGATTTAGACAGAAGACATGTCAACATATCGTAAAGGGTCGTGCCTTCGATACCCATCAGTTCCCCATGCGGACCCTGGAGACTGCAACTGAGTAGATTCTAATTCTAATGCGATGATTAATAGGTAGACTTTACTCTTACTTATGTAGAAGCGTTAAACGATGCGTCTATAGAGATAATGCTGTTAATAAAAAAGTAACACAACATGAGCTGACTTCGTTTGTCGCAGTTTCTCTGTTATGGCGCGCAGGATGCATATGACCTTGTGATACCGTGGATTCCTTAGTCACGCGCTTAGCGAGTGCCAACAACAGCGTCTCTACTGACCACGGGAGGCCAGGTGTGATCACCAGAACTGGATGTTGACGACGAAATGAATTTCTTTTGTGTTGCCGCACGTGTACCCGCCTACTTCTTGAAACCCTTATATGCCACCACCCATTCAGCAGCGGCCTTCCTCACCACTCTCTCTACATCCTCTCTCGCCTCTCTCCTTTGCCATTCCTCATCTTGTTCCGCACTCAGCCTCTGCGTCTTGCCTCCTTGCTCCTCCATATCCAAGTCTCGGCCATATCGCCTTGTTGGCGTCCACCCAATCGCATTTAGAATCTCATCTTCAGTCGGATCAGAAGCATGCGAGGACTGGGCAGACTCGACATGAGGAAACATAGTGTACGATTTCTGGAGACATGCGAGTTCCAGATATCGTGTGAAAGGGTCGAGGGCAATTGATGACTGGATGTTCGTCGTAATGCCCATGCCCTCGTCTTTGCTTTTGGACTTGCCTTTCTTGTCAGCTTTCGGCACTTGCTCCGCGCAGCCAAACTCCCCCTCATGGTGCCCGCATGTGCATCCTTTTGCCTCCATCTTGACTGGCAGCTCTGCCGCGTTGGTATGCGACTCACTGCGTGCTAGCCCTCGCGTCATCTTTTGGCTTGCCATGGCCCCGCGCGTATTCTGGTAAGCCCACACGCCGGTCGTTTGAGTGAGGCCGCCGAAGGTGACGATGAGGATGACGTCCATGGTAGCTGCGAAAGGAAGTAGCGCAGACGCGACAAGAGCTTTATTTCGAGATTGCTCGCGGGTGCGCATCAGCGAATTGACGAATTCAGCACGTGTTTCTTCGGGAGTTAGCGTAAGGGAGGGCGGGTGGATGAGGGTCAAAGAATCGAGCGCATTGGGTTTCGGGGTGCTGCCAGTGGATGACACTGATGGCGGTCGATCTATTGTAGCCGTTCCGGCTGTGGTAGGCGTAGAGGGCGTTGAAAGCTCAGCCGCTGGCGACGAAGCAGGTAGTTCTTGTATCGGATCGCTGGCTTGTGCAAGGGTCGACGAGGCGGCCGGGGCAAGTGCCTCATCGTCGTCAATGTCTTGCGTCGTCGATGTTATAGCGCCTCCCGACACCCTATCCAGGAACTCTACGGTCGAGGATCTCGATTTACTCACACCCTTGTTGATCAGCGATGTACCCTTCGCTTTCATACCCTTCCACGTCACTCTCGACGCATTCGTCATTGTCGCTCTCCGTACGTCCTCTTGCCACAGCCTTTGCGTCTTGTGCCATTGCGACTCCTTTTCGCCGGGCGCCGGTTTTGAGAGGGGCGGGAGCGGAGGTGCATAGATAAGAAAACGCGCAGGGATGCCTTCTGGACTGACGCCCTTTAGCCGTGGCTTGGGAAAGGGAATGAGGTAGGCGGTGACTTTTCCTGACTCGCGTGTGTGTTTGAGAGGTGTTGTTGAAGGTATGAGGGTAATGCCTGGGGAAGTGCTACTCGAGATAGCTCGATCTAGAGAAGGAGGCTCTTCGATTTCGAACCCGGCTTCGCGTGCCTTCGCAGAGGGAAACGATGTAGTAGCTGCGTGGTGTGTTTGCGATGGGACTGGCCTTCGTGGAATGCTGGAAGTAGAAGATTGTCGTAGTCGGAGTGGACCAGGCCACAAGCTCTCCTCCACAGGACTCCCAAGCGCAGTTGAAGGCGTCGAAGGACCGCGACTCCCCATTGCAATCTGAGGCGTTATTGGGTACGCATCCCGTTCGCTCCTTACCGTTGCACCGCGCACGAAAACTTCAGGAAACTCTGCTTGAGGGGCAACAACCATCTGCGGGCTGTTGTCACAGCTGTATTCGGCAGCTGCAATTTGCGGCGCATCCCTGGGTGTCTCTTCAAATTCCGAGTACGGTGGAGGAGCGTCGTCTATGTCATGATTGTTCCCGTGCATATGGTCGAGAGGGTTTTGCCGCTCTATGATACCGGGAGTTGCTTGTATCGATCGCCCTGTGATGCTGAATGTCGCAGGCGTTGCTTGTATTGATCCGGTCGACGTGACCTCCAGCGGATCTTCCACAAGTTGGGGTGCGAAATCGGTCTCTTGTTGGTGTACATGGCAGGCCATTATTGGGTTTTCGACTTGAGCCGCCATGTCGACAGGAACGTCGAGGCAGCGAGATGGTAGTCAAAGCTCCAGATGTCTCGTATTGTATACGAGACGAAGCTAAGCATCAACGAAAGGACCAAGCTCTGGAGATGGTGCGAGCGAACTGACAGCCCCTGCTGTTCTTATATCTCAGTCCACGTCTCACATATTTCCGATCCCGCTGGATAACGCCGAAATGCAACATTTAGCCCCAAGCCTACCTACAGCCATTTTCGAGATGACGCCTTCCACCAAGCCATCGCAAAGCTGCGTCCATAACGCGCAGCCCTCACCCAGCTCTTCCGCAGCTGCCTTGCGTCCTGAACGACATCAGACGAGCCGTCCAATCAGAAAGTACTTTGCTTGGTAAGAAACGGCCGGAGTTGGGGGCCACCACCGCGCTAAGACCCGTTATGGCCTTCCTTGCGACTCGCGTCTCCGCCCCAGCGCAGATCTCGCAATGGGCGAACTTTCCTCCATTACAGGTGGTCGTGGCGCAGTCGATGTGCTAGGCAGTGTTAGAAGGAGATGGGCGTGATGGCGTCGCAGAGAAGCCGTGACGGAGGTGCAGGAGGTGAAGGAATTGGAACAGGTGACCGTTCAGAAAAGCATTTTGCGATTCGCTGCGCCAACTGGACCCTCTTCAGCCCAGCATTCTGATATCGATTTCCTACCATACCAATTGATGACCATTCAGCAATGCTATCAAACATACTATTGCTGCATAGACTATATTGATACGATCAGCTCGTTCAACGTACACCTGTTGACCCATCGTGCCGGCCGATCAAATATGTACACCTCTTCCCACACGCATTCCGAATCTCTGCCCAACCTGTGGGCCAAGCCAACCGCATGCCATCTGCCGCAATCCTTCGGCTCGTTATACTCATTCCCATTCGGCTTGGAGGGGGATCAATGAGATTTAGCGGTCCGCACTATCGACGTAATACTCCTGATCATGTGTGGAAGATTCATTCACCAATCGTCCTTGTCGTCTTCATCGTCTGCAAATCATTAGCGTTTTTGCAACCTGCTGTAGGGAATCATGCACTTACCACTGTGACTAACTTTGGCCTTCCTCGCTGCGAGCGCACTAGCTAACGCACCAGCCAAACCACCAGCCTCAGGACCCGGCGTTCCAGGTCCGCTACCACCGGCAGCTCCTGCAGACGGCTCCTGACCAGGAACTGCTGCCGCACTTCGGTCTCGCTTTTCTGTGTCTGAGACTTTCTTTAATCTTGCACCACCACGAATATCGGCCAACAAGCCATCTCTACCGGCTGGGGCCTTCGGCAAAGGAGCAGCACCGCCTGGAGGCGGCGGTGGAGGTGGAGGAGGCGCGCCAGACCCAGTGGGCATTGGAGGCGGCGGGGGTGGGCCAGAGCCAGGAGGGAGAGGAGGTGGTGGTGGCGCGGCGCCAGATGGTGGTGGTGGCGCTTTTCCAGGCATCGGGGAGGTGGAGGGGTGCACTGTTCGTGGGCGGGAGGGGCGGTGCGTTGTTCGTGGGTGGCAGAGGCGGCGGGGTGGCGCGTTGTTCGTCGGCGGAAGAGGAGGTGGTAGTGGAGGTGCGCTCGATGATGGTAAAGGCGGAGGTGGTGGAGCTACGTTTGTCGGTGCAGCCGGGACTGGACGAGATGCAGAAGGCGGTAGTGGTGGTGGAGCATTGTGCGCCGGACGCGGCGGAGGCGGTACTGGTGCTGCTGCGGTCTTCGGGGGCAGGGGAGGTGGTGCGCTAGAAATAGGAGCAGGAGTATCGCGTGCTGGAGGAGGTGGAGGGACTGGCCCTCGACTCGGAGGCGGTGGCGGACCAGAAGGTACACGGCTTCCTGTGAATGGTGGTGGAACACCGAACCTCGGCGCTGATGATTTCTCGCCATCTTCTACGGGTGTTTTCGGTGGTCGTGGAGGAGGCGGTGGCCCTGGGTTCGCAACATTCGACGAGGCTCGGGCTCTCGCCGGTGGCGGTGGAGGTTCGTTCGCCAGCTTGCCAGCATCTGCGAATGGGGGAGGCGCCCGGAACTTGGGCTGCGGTGGCCCAGGAGGCGGTGGAGGAGTTGCTTGTCGAGGAGGCGATGGCGGTGCCGGGCTTCCAGACGAAGCACGGTTGATACTCGAGGCGTCTGTTCGGGTCCTGCGAGCTGGCGGGGGTGCGGGTGCAGGCCCACGTTTCGAGGATGCGCCAGTGTTCTGAGGACTCAGAGAAACCTTAGTTGGTGGCGCACTCGGAGGAGGCGGAGGAGGAGCCCTGCTCTTCTTTTCTTTTTCTTCTGCTTGCACCTTCTCGTTTGCTTTGCGCTGCTCAATGTATAATTTGATGAAATCAGCGTTCTCCTCGATTTGGTCTTCCGTGATGCCCATAGCGAGCAGTTCTTTCAGCAACGGTTGCCATGACGGATCGCTTGTGTCGATTGTCGAACTCCTAGCGCTGCTCACGTTCGACTGGTTCGTGGTGGTGGGCGAAGTAACGCTCGGTGGGATGATAGACTGCGGTTGCTGCGTAGGAGTTGAGTGCCTGTGTCCGAAAATGCCACCCAGAAGACCGTGACTCTTGTGTCCATTTGTTGGAGCTCCGCCTCCACTGCCAACAGCCGCTCCGAACGGCTTGTTCTTGGTGTTCTTATGGGCGTTCTTCTCCCGGTCGTCCATCTTCTTCTTGAACGTCTTGGCCTCTTTCTCGTCGGCGAAGGAGAGGCCCGCAAGGCAGTCTTGGAGCTCGAAAGTGTGGAAGAAAACGCGATCTTGGTTATACGCAAAGGTGTCGTATATTTCCTGGTCCCAGATCACACCCCGACTGGTCGGCTAACTCGTATCAGCGTCTCTTTCTTGCGATGGCATCTGTACACGTACCGAAATATCCACCAGCTTGATCCAGAAGGTGTTGCCCACGAGGTCGTTGGCCAGCACCGCGGCGCCCTGCAGTCCCGTGTAGGTCCATTGGTGCTTGTCCGGGTAGGCGATGTAAAGCTTCGCGACGGCAACGGCGTGGATCTTGTTGTTCTGCTTGGGCACGGTGCGCTTCACCGTCTGCTTGTCTTCGTCGGACAAAATCGAGGGCATCTTGTCGCTATCTGGCGATGGTGTCAGTAGAGCTGCTGGGTCGGCGCCTGGCAGGCAGCGCGGTGGGGGATCGGGGTGCGCAAGCTCACCAGGCAGCACATACAAGCCGCGCAATGCTGCACTCGAGGCAGCAGCGGCGGAATATGGGCGCTTGTAGACCAGGCGGCGGCGGCGCGTGGAGGAAGAATAGCGGGAGCTGCGTGAGCTGCGGGAACTGCAACAATCGTGAAGTGAACAGACGTCAACGCTGCTGCGGCTCATGGCGAACCGAGCCAGCGGGAAACGGCTGAGCTAGCGTAACACTGCCAAGAAATGGCTTTCGAGAAACATCTTTCCATATATACCACGCATCCTGGACACCTCACACGACTCACCGCCACGTACGGCGTCGCTAGCGGGAACCATCGTGACCTGCGAGTGGAGCGGTGGGCTTGCTGTCCCCGCTGACGACTAGTCGGTGTTGGCCTCACTATACGCGTTACAAACCGCCTCTTCCACGCCCTTCCCTGCAACTGGGGCCGTGATGTGGAGAACAAGGCCGTCTCGAACGCTCGTAGAAAATTGGGCTCCAACAGTTGAGCTTGAATTTCCGAGCCTTCACACCGCTGTTGCGAACCTCGGATTGCCAGATGCCCAATCATGGTGGATGAAGCACAAACCGGCCATCTCGAATGACGTGCATTGGTCCCACAATGCACTCTGCAGGGCCGGAACAAGTACACTCTAGCAATTGCATCTAAGAAAGGCCCATTTGTGCATTGCACAACTATCTGAACTCGGGCATTGCGACAAGCAACCACTGACCGTCCGACGCTCCAACCTTCCGCGTGAGAAACCACGCGATCATCACAGGCACCTCTCCAAAGCTGCTTCCAGCTACAATTGCATCCCAACTCATGCGGTATCATGACACCAACTCGCCTACCATCCCCGAATCAAACCGAACAGTGATGCTCCTCAATATAGCCCTTATCCATGTGAGTTCGGCTCTCAGCTCAGCCACGTCCGGTCGCTCCCCCTCTTCTGCATCCAACAGTCTGCACAGCGCGTCCTGTAGGACCTTGAGGCAGGCTTCGGCGGTTACCTGGGCGCGCTCGAGTTGTAATACCGCTGTAATGCAGAATGTGCTCGTCATGGCCCGGATCGACGAGCGCAGCGCTTGCAGGTTGGAAATGAAGACGTAGGTATACTCCACCCCAATCTCAACTTGCAGCCTGAAGGACGTGTTCGTATCTTCTGACTTTTCGGAACTCAAGATCGGCAGGGGGACATGGTTCCAGCCGCCGGAAGTAGGAGGATCCTTAGGATTCTCTATACAAAGTTTCTCGAGAGGACCTGAGTTGCAGCCCGTGTCCGCAGATGGCTGCGGTGTAGACTGAGTCCAATCCAGTCTATGGCACTAATACTTCGTTCCGAAACTTGCTGCTGACTTTCTCTCAATTAGCAGCGTGCTTGTTTGTTTGCGGGCGATACGTACGCTGAGATCTGCTTTGCGCGAGTAGTGCAGGGAGACTTGCGGGATGCGCCGAATCACGTTCGCGTTGGGGATCCAAGCATGTCTAAAAGAACTGTCAAGTTCTTTTATTCTGGACGTGAAAATGTGTTTCGTATGTTGGGAGCGCGGAACATGGTATTCCTGATCCGCGTGTAAGATCACAGTTGAAGATGGGTTCGGTACCAGAGTGCATCCCGCATACTCTACAACATCAAGCCGGAACTCAGACATGAACTCTTCGGGCACATAGACAAAACGAGCATGGCGACGATATTGCTCTTCGTTAATACAGCATGGTGTTGCCTTCGAGCAGGGTGACTGTAACATTTCCGTCCTACGTTCTTATGTTGAGCACTGATTTAGCATCATGTATTCAACTCGATCCGATATACATGCAAAACTCGAAGATGGCATGCATACCTAATGCACAGTTGGCTTACACTGCCCTTCTATCCGTCGTCGCTGATTGCACGCAGCGCGGTTTGGCAGGCTGAGTGAGTTGGTAAGTTGCAGCCCGCACACGTAAATCTTCCTGGACTTCAGCCCCGGCCTCATGCTGCCGCTCGATTTAATAATAATTCGAGGAACGCTTCCGCACATTGTTCTTGACGCGACTTCTTCTTCGAGACGAAGTGGTCGCAAAGTCAAGGCTTCCTGGTTCCCGCTCCCTTCAGTATCAACCTCGCAATACCTTCACATTCGGCCTCGTCTCCGTTAATGAAACCTACGCCAGCTCATGAAGTTTGAGCAGCTGGACATGCTAGAAGGTCTCCACTCGTACAGAAGCGGTCGAGATTGCGACATATTCATGTGTTTGCCTTAACTTTCCAAAGAAACCTTCGGAAACAATGACCGTCGCCATGGAATGGCGAGGCTGGGCAGAGCAGCAGCGATGCGACGATGACGCTATTGCTTGACGAGGAAAGAATATCACGAGAATTGCTGAAGATCGTGACGGACTCGGATATATTGTACTAGATACCGAAGCGATCGATGAAGCCAAAAATATTTTACGGGATATGAATCCTGATTCTCGGGCGAAGGCCAGATAGAACAGAGTCGCCAGCATACGTCCGCTGTTTGACCTTGTTAGAGATTGTATATTGGCGCACAAAGGTGGGCGTGCGTTCAGAAAAGCACTTGACGACCATCCCTTGAATGTGCTGGATAAAGAAGCTTCGAAGGCTTAGGGAAAGTTATAGAGCCACCTTTGGTTGGTGTCTTCAATTTACCAACTCCCCGTGTCAGAAAACGCGTACACCAGCTAGCTTAGCGCCGGATCAAAGAGCATGCTTCATCGAGCTTCAATGTCATGTTATAGATCCTTGATGGATGTAGAGTGAGCTGGAAGTAGCACCCGTCAAATGTTCCTGGATAAGTAATGGGTCCAATTTCAAAGCCAAAAAACCCTAGGGAAGGGAGCCTTTGATGAGGTTGATAAAGCTTTGAATCTGATCACGTTCAAGGAGCGTGCCCGTAAACGAGTGTCTCGACCCTCAGTCCTCCCAAATAGGAGGGCATCAAGTTTATGAGACAGCTGGAGCATGAGATACAGATCCTCAAGCGGTTGAGTTACCACCACACTGTGAAGTACGTGGGCAGCTACACCAGTCTGACTAATTTCGGCCTGGTTATGACTCCGATTGCTAACCTAGACGTAGCTAGCTATCTTGAAGACGCTAAGGCTGGCGATTTCATTGGGCTACGAACATTCTTCAGGTGCCTGGCCGGCGGGCTCGCACTTTAACCACACATGGTCCGGTACAAGGACATCAAACCGCGTAATATTCTTGTACATCATGGAAATCTTCTATTGGCAGATTTCGGGCTTTCCTTCGACGTTTCCGAAGCAGTCGGCGATGCAACAGTTAACATAGTTAATGGAATGATCACTCGGTACTGCGCTCCAGAAGTTGCGGATCGCCTACAAAGAATACGTATGCTGACGTCTGGAGCTTTTGGCGTCAACGGTCCTATCCCTTGAGATCTCGACTGTCCCTGCGGGAAATACTGTTGAATCCATGCAAAAAAATTCAGACTCATAGAAACGATGTAGAATACGTCCAGAAGAGCGTTCCAGGGCTCACCGAATGTCGAGCGATACTTCAGAATATTGTACACAAGCAGGACAGTATACAGTTAGAATGGATGAAAGGAATGCTTTAAGTGAAATCCTCTGAATCGACCCCATTCTGCATCACTTGTAATAATCATACTAGACACAGGAGGGGATTCGCATGCTTCGAACTCTTTTAGAATTGCTGCACTAAAGATCTTAATATTTAAACTGAAGCCAATCATAGATCCACGCAAGTAATTTGGATATTGTATCTCGTCGTGATTGCTATCCTTGGGCCACACACGGCGTTGACGAAATCCAGGCATTAATCAGCCCCGAAGCTCTGGACCCCGCAACGCAGCTGAATACCAACCACCAGCATGCCGGTGCACGCCTTCGACGAGCTTATAATGCTTTAATCCGTAACTGAATGTCGAGATAATGCAGACTGACTTCGGTCTTCCATTCGTAGAGATGAGTCGCCACCATGCCTGTCTCCGTGCGCATTGAGCTCTTCCCCACCTCCATGGAAGTTTATTCTTGACTTTGCACTCAGATCCTTGGTTTCGAACTTATTCAACGTAAAGGAATATACGCCTATCTGAGGCGCGACGCCATCTACATAGGTGCTATTGAGGCAGCCACACACTCGCGAACCGGATCTCGTAAAGACAGCCCAAAAGGGCGTGGAGATGTTGTTTGAGGTCAACAATCTCGTTGATGAACCTTTTAGGGTGGTACCCTTGGGTTATATGCTGGACTCAGACATTGCGAAGCAAGAATAGGGGTTGGCGGATTTCAGGCTGATGGATCCAGACGGATCCTACACTCGGGTTACGAACCGTACTGGGCTTGCAGAAGAGATAAGAGCAATATTAGATTGTACACCAAAGCAATGATGCTTTGGGGAAATAGTTGTATCGCTCAGCTTGCTGGCAATAAATCTCGAGTCCTGGGTCGAGTCAACTGGTAGAAACAAACCTTGGAAACATGCAGCCAAAAACACCAACGAGAGGTGGAGATTATTGCAAGAGCATCGGATGGCGGATTGACCCACGATACCGAACACATCAAGAGATGCGAAAACAGATGATATTGAGTGAGGTTGCTACTTGGTGTTGATCAGTCCCACGTGCGGGGTCTGCTTCCAATCATTGATTTGGCCGTCTGCCCTTGTGTCGTGACTACATCAACCGCACCACGCCCACGCCATAGTGAACGTTTACATCCATTACCCAGCCTAGGAAAACTTAGATCAACCTATGCGTCACAGTGGTGCACTTGGCGGCCTTGCGTGCGGCTGATTAGGCATCAACTTCCTTTCGAACATAGAAGCACACACTAGCCGAGTTGACAGCGGAAGGTCTACAGCAAAGCCAGAGCCAGAGGCATCGCGCAGCAACATGTTTACAGATGACATCTTCGAAGGCTGGTTGGAAGTACCTGTCCGCGCCCTGTTCTCGCGAACGAATCCTTTAGGCAGTGTAGTCGTGGCACATTTCTGCTGTACTCGCTTCCTCACCTGGCCCTTGTGGGCGCTGCAATCTGCGTTGGGATTGACTCCTATGAAAGGGATGGTGGAGTGGTGCGGGAAAGCCATTGATGCTGTGGAGGATGATCAGGAGGTCGAATGCACGGAGTTTGTTCTGTGGCCGATCAAGATACTGAAGACGATGCGGAGTGGACTGACGTTGGGACATTTACATAACGCGCTGTGCAAAAACCCGGGTGCTCTGCGTGAAAGAAGACCCGTCCAGCTTTGAAGAGCGCGGCTAAAGAGGGAGGATCGCATGCTATTGTTGAATCATACAATCTTACCGTCTTTCTCGACACCCAGCATTAAGAACCAATCCTAATCCTTTGCCTCGTCTATAAACGCCCTTCCGTACCCAGAGAACTGCCTTGTTGACTGTAAAGAATGGCCACAGATCAATCCATACAAGCCAAGTGGCCGTCTTCACAAACCAGACACCTCGAAGCTACCATAATTACCCCCCCAGAAACCTCTTTCGTTCTCATTGAATAGTTTCTACACGTCTGACATGGTCATTGCAAGTGAAGGCGGGCAGTGACGAGTCTTACTGTGGGATCTGATATTGACGGACCCAGACGATCTTCATGCCAAGCGCAGATATACTATGCTGCATATAAGCGAACCCCGCGATACAGTTGCACAGCATAGTCTATGTTCACCCATGAACATGATTGGAGGCATGTTTCGAAACGATGTAGCCGATATGTTCGTACGCGTTAGAACGTAGTACAGCGCTTGGCCCTCGTAACAGAGAGGTTGAATTTGAGGCTATGTTCAAGACGGCAGGACGAACGTTGGGATGCGACATTTATCCTGCGGCGTAGTTGTTGTGGGAAGGAAGTAGATCAGCGCGGGACGGAAGAGGCGCGGATCCGTGCCGAGCTTGGGGGTTAGGGTGTTCAGTGCAAGTCATTTGGGGGTTGGTGTGAAAAGACGGCGAGTGTATCAACGACGTGCCCAAAGTGGACTGCAAGCGTCTATGACTGCTACTTTGAGCGCTTGCGGAACTACCGCTACGCCTCATCAAACATCATGCTGACGTGGTAAGAAAGCCCCTATCTACCTGCAAGGTACGTGCCTTCGAAAGCCCAGATCTAAGCGCTCGGCCTCTGTCATCGATTGGAGCAGGAACATATTATACATACACGTCTCCAGGAGAGTTGCAGCCACAGAGCGCGTAAGTGGGACTGTGCCTGGATAGTGATGCGGGCCCCGGCATGGATGCGTGGATGATGCGCGCGTAGGGCTGGCGGCAACGTGTGTGGTATTCAACATGCAGGTTGGGCGGGTCGGAGTAGAGGTCGCTGGGCGCCTAAAACATGGAGATGAACGTTTACATGCTTCTACGCGGTTGCTGGGACACGGTGAGAGGCCGCCTGGGAGGCCACGGAACGATGGCAATATTTTAGATGGGTAGGCTATCTACTGGGTCATTGAGTGGGTCGCATGTTGGACCGAATTCTGGTAGTTGTCGAACGGCATAGTGCGATGCGAGAACGTGATGTTCAAGTGGATACACTGCTATCCCAGATGCCCGGTGTTGTGAGGAGCTTCGTGCCGTGCTGCAATGTCACTGACGTTTTGGCGAACTCACTGAATGTTCTAAGCGTGGTGATTATCCACGCCAGAATGGGAGGCTCGACGCCGCTGAACGCTCTTTCGATCCAGGCGGTCGATGGGCTGCCGTTTTGTTGCTGAATGTTGACCTCTTTGGTCATGTTCTTCGACAGAGATCGCAGGTGGAGCGAAGGTTATCGCGATTCCCGGTGCACGGCGACACCGCCAAAGCTTGAATTGAAGCTAGGCCGGATTCGGATAGCTGGGCGGCTACCTGGCACTCGACAGCCAACCGACACACCTCAACACCATGGAGCCCCCGCTTCGCATGCACAACCTGCACGTTCCGTCTCATGCAACGTCGACCATAGTTGTCATTCGCTGGGTGCGCGCAGTCATGCGAACGCGCATACGCCGCAACGGAAGAATGGCGACTCCGCACTGGCATCCTGCTGCCGAGGCCGTACGCCAAATCTGGCCATGATTCGACTGCCATACCGATTTCACGTGTCGCTCGTCGGTAACAGACGAAGCAGAAGTCCACTGCCGGATTACGGACTGCTCACTTCGGGTCTGACACGATACTTGCATTCATCCAGACGAGTCTTGCCTGCTGTGCAACTTTGCATGCTTGCAAAGACGTCAATCTCACCAACGCACGGTAACGCGGGTTGTCGAAGCCGTCCGCTGCATCTACGCCGCCTCCCGCTTAGCGTCATCCGCCTCGAGCAGGTCAGGTCGCCCCACAGCCATTGGCTTTGCGTTGCGCTCGCCACTCACAGCCTAGAGGTGCAAGGTGCTCGAGATGCTGATTCCCCATCGCGGACAGGGCCCCAATGCGAGCAGGGAGCGCGATATTGCCCTTCCCATTTCGTCAATCTTTCTGCTCGGCACCCTGGCCCAGCGATCTTTATCACATCTTGGCCCAATAGCGTAGAGACTTGTGCGGAGTGAGCGGTAGAATCAAAAATGCCGTTGGTCGCGGGTACGCAGGCACCCTGGACCCTGCACACGAGCTCCTCTTCAGCAAGGGACATAAGGATCACTAGCGGCACAGCTCCCGCCCGCTATCTCGTCCATCGAAGCCCAAGCGCGGTCCATTTGTACCGCGCTGGTCTCCTCTCCCTCGATTTGCGTATTCCAACATCCGTTGCGCAAGTTGCTGCTGAAACGAAAGAGCTGGGCCTCCCACTATTGTGTTTGAAACAACGTCGCACCCGGTTCCTTACCCATCTGCAGAACGTACACCAATCTCGAAGGCGAATTACACTACGTTACCACAGCCCACCAAGAGTCGCATTCGATGTAGGAAAGCATCTAGTCCACTTCTCCACGCATTGTCTGCCAGTTTCACCGTTTTGGCCTAGGCCAACCCTACGCTTTCGAACACGCTTCTGCGGGCAGAGGTGTTCCATCAGTTGGCTCTAACGTCCCATATCGTGGTATCCCAAGTATTCGACATGCCAGCACTTCCGGAGGCGTTGGTGTCAGGGGCGGGCGTAGCGTTGGAGCACTTCGAGGCCGCGATCTCACTGGCCGAGCGCGAGGTGGCTGGTTCCCTCTCAACTCTTGTGCGCCGAATAAACCTACCGACCAATGCCACTAGCCCTCCAGGCCTGATAGAAGCCAATACGCGAGACCCCTGGAACAAGAGCGGTAAATATGCATTGGCTTATGTCTACTACTGCATACCGCTGCTGGTTATCGCTGGCTTGATGCGGTACTACCACTTGTTCACGGACAAGATCCGGACGGCTCTCCACCAAGAAGAGGTACTGAAAACTGCGAAGACCGCCTCCCCCGACTCCGACTACGAGATGTCAGTCTTATATACTGACAAGTCCACTGTAAAGTTCTTTCCACGCGAAGGTCCGCTTCCTACGCCTCCAAAGTCGCAGTCGAGTGTTTCATCGGTCGGGTTCATTAACAAGACCGTGGCTTTGTTTCGATTTATCTTCTACCGGCCAATCCGAGAAATCCGGATTAGGAAAGGATGGAGACCGCTAGTATTCCCTTCGCTCGCTGTCTGCGTCATTGTAATAGGTGCTCTGGCTTTGGGCATCTGTTACACATTCATCCCACAGCCACTCTTTTGGAAGAGCATTGCGTTTGGATCACCACCCGTGGCTATTCGATCCGGCATGATGGCTGTTGCGCTGATGCCTTGGATAGTTGGACTATCGATGAAGGCGAACATCATCACTTATATCACTGGAATCGGTCACGAGCGACTGAACGTACTACATCGTTGGGCAGCCTACCTGTGTCTGATCCTTAGCATCATCCACACTGTGCCGTTCTATATCACACCAATTTGGGAGAAAGGAGCTCGACATGTGTTCGAGTCATTTTTCAGTCAAGAGGGATTTTACGCCTACGGCACGGGCGTTGCAGCGCTAGTCCCGCTGTGCTTCCTTTGCGTGCACTCACTGGAGCCCTTGCGTCATTGGATGTTCGAACTATTTGTTTCCCTCCACGTGCCTGTGGCCATCGTCTTCCTCGGCATGGTATTCTGGCATTGCCACAATTACCTCACGTCTTGGAACTACCTCTTCGCAACTCTCGGCATCTGGATCATCTCTTACTTCATGCGGCTCTTCTATCTCAACTGGGCTAATCCATTCAAGATGTCATGGTTGATCGGAGATGAGGCGGCTGTCACCCTCATGCCAGAAAACGCGATTAAGATCACAATACCTACCCAAACGAAGTGGAGGCCGGGTCAATACGTCTACCTCCGGATGCCTGGTATTTCGGTCTTTGAGAACCATCCTTTCACTATCGCTTCGTTGTGCGATGATGACTTTCCGTCGGAATATGGCGAGGGTTACCGAGACATGGTTCTTGTCTTCCGTCCTTTTGGAGGGTTTACCAACAAGGTGTTGCGCAGCGCTCTTGAGCATGGCCCATGGCACACTTATCGCGCCTTCATCGACGGGCCATATGGTGGTATGCAACGACGCATCGAGGCTTTTGACGACGTTGTGTTGATCGCTGGCGGCAGTGGAATCACCGCGATTGTCTCGCAACTACTCACATTGATCAAGAAAATGCGAGACGGAAAGGCTGTAACGCGCAAAGTGCATGTCATATGGGCACTCAAGCGCCCCGAGACACTGGAATGGTTCAAAGAGGAACTAAGAATATGTCGCGAATTTGCACCTCCGGAAGCAGTAGAATGCCAATTCTACATCACAACAGCAAAGCGCAATGCTGGTGGCACCCTCGTCAGCGCAAAGACACCCACCCGCCCCGTATCGCTTTATTTCCACGACAAGGTTAACGACGCCTTCCAAAATATTGCTGATCACCGCGTTTCGGGTATTTCTTCAAAGCGCCACTCGGCACTCATTCGCGACGAGGCGCAAGGCGACCCAGAAAAGGAGAAGGAGCTCCGCGCGGAGAACGAGGACAATATCACGGCACTCCCGCAAGCACGGGTGGTGCCTGTGAAGCGTTCAGGATCCCACCTCAATGTACCTCAATACAATGCGTCCAACCCGGACCTCATAACTCCTGTGCCGCAATCTATCGCCTCGCGCCGGCAGGACCGCAACCTTTCTCTCGACATCAGCACCGCGCTCAATGCCCACCCGGATGCCAGCGTATATCAGCACAACATGACGTCTCCCACGGCTGGGCAGTCGGTACAGGGATTTGATTTTGGGTTCCCCTCGACCCCCACCGAGTTCCAAAAGAATCTAATGCGGTTCGCCTTCCTCCCGGCGGCGGTCAAGAAGAAGGATGGGTGGTCGACCGAGTACGGGCGGCCAGACCTGAAATTCCTGCTCCGGGAGATGGGCCGCGACTTTGGACGAAGAACATGCGTGTTTGTGTGTGGACCCCCAGGAATGCGCACAGCCGTCAGCGAGACGGTGGCAGACATGCAGAGGAGTGTCTGGAGCGGCAACTCGAGGGACGAGATCTTCTTGCATGCCGAGAACTACGCGCTGTGATGGCGCGCTTCGAGGCCTATCTGTTTCTTTACCATGTTTGGAAGTGTGCATAGCGGGAGGCTTGGGATTGGATGTTTATACCCCCGTTTCTTTTTCTCCGTTGATACAGACGAGTGCGTTTCTTTTGTCGAGGCACGATGTTCACTCGTGCGCAGCGACAAGCGTCGCCGCCTTCAAGGTGCGGTTGCTAGACCGTAGACATGCGTAATACCATACACACTTGACCACGCACCTTTGCCATCAATGCTTTGCCATGTACATGCTCGTCTGGCCCAATGCGCCTCGGCAGTCGCGTGCCTGAGCCAACATGCGCAGCGGGCAAGTCAGCGGCCACACGGCGAAGCAAGCACGACGGGCACCTTCTCCATCGGGCAAAAGCCCCTCTTACGCCCCTGGGGCGGCACTGTGCGAGCTGGAGGGGCAGTTTGACGTGCCGCGCTGGACCCGGCCCGGTGGGAAGCTGGAGGTGTGCAGCCGGAGGTGCCTGTCCGCGCCTGAAGGAGCCCAAGCCAGGCGGGAGGGTGCCGTTCTGGTGACTTGTAGCGCGTCGTGCACGGCGCGTCCAGCAGGTACGCGCGGGTGCAGTGCAGCGCCCGTGGTCGGCGCTTTTTGCGGAGGCTCTGCTGTGCTCAGAGGTCAAGAACGGACGACGGCCCCAGAAGGCAGATGCACGCGGGCCATTGCGCAGCAGGGCTGCAGCCACCATGTCAGGGTGGTCGGTGGAATGGGGGTGTGCAGGCCTTCGTTGCTTTTCGCACCCTCGTCTGGGCTTGGCCGCCGCACATCTGCGGGCCTCTGTGCAACATATAGGCGTCGCCAACTCCCAATCCGTGGTCCGTCGTCGCATCGCTGCGTGGTTTGGAGCCACGGCCCGCTCTTCTCGTCTTGCATCGGGTGCCATGCATGGTGTGCTCTGTGTCCGACCATGGTGTTAAGAGAGTGTGATGTCCACCTCCATCCCCGACAACCAACTGGGCCTCTCGCAGAGCGAAGTCCAGCTCCTCCGCCAGCACCAGCAGATAGCCCTTTCGCAGCAGGGCAGCTCCTCCTCGCGCGCCGCGTCCCATGCATCCAGCCAGGGCCGTCTCCTCCTGGATCCCACAAGCCTGCAGGCGCTCAGCGCCCACTTTGACCGTCTGATGTACTCGATCCAGCAGCGCTGGCACTATGTACGTTGTCCTGTCTGTCCGGACATGCACGGGAGAACACGTTACACCGACGCCTACTGACAATCCCATCCAGCTCAACCAGCAGACGCAGACGGCTACGACGCTCCAGTCCAACCGCGCCGGCCACGCTATCCAGGATGCCGATGCCGAAATCGCGCGCTTCCGGGCCATCCTGCGCGAAATCGACGAGCTCCAGGTCGAATTCGACAAGGTGCGGCGCATCGGCGAGATAGTAAAGGGCTTCAAGGCGCGCGTTCGGCGTCTTGAACGTCGCATTTAGCACTGCTGGACCACTCTCTACAAAACACCACGTTCCTTTGCATCACGAATCACGACACATATCAGACATCCTCGTCCTCGCGGACACCATCGATACCCGTGTACAAAACTACCGCCTTGCGGCACACATGTTATCTTAGCGATAGGGAAAGAGAAAGAGAAAGGCAAGAAGATCGGCCTCGCGGCTTTGGGTGTCATGTTGCGTTTGAAGTTGTACTCTGCCTCATTGTTTTCCTTCTGTTACTCCCGTATCTTCGGTTGCACCAGTTTGCTTTCCGGGAGTCTCCCATACATTGTACATGGGCATCCCTGATTTTGTACCTCCTGGCATTGCGAACTTTGTGCCTGTCCTGACATGTCTGGCTGTCTTTGGCCAGCTTTCTTCCTTTTCAAGCGTATCTGTCTCTTTTTGTAAGTGCCGCGTGGTTTCCTTTTGCCTTGCTTTATCGGAGTGGGTGAAGGGGGCTTCTAGCGTATCCGACATCGCACAAGATGTGCCACAGTGCATCTGTTCACCTGACTAGCTTGTGCTCCCTCTAGACTTACACATACTCTCGTATCCCCAGCGCGACCGTAATTATATTCTTTGTACGCGTCATGTGAGCGGATGCGGTTCCGTCGTGAGAGATTCTCTTGCTCCCAGACAATCTGGTTGGTAACTAGTTCAAAACATCATCTTGATCCTTACGTTGAAGATCGGGACCAAACAAGTCAAAGAAGAAACTACACCTTCCGTAACACTATGCCCTGGATTGAATGTCATGCAACCTTACCATTTTACAAATCCCCTATACCACAAAGGAGCGGGCCTCGCAGATGGCGTCTGCACGCCAGCTGTTCGGGCGCGTGTTGAGGGGGTCGGGGATGCGTTGCACGACGTCGAGTCACAATGGGTGGCGGTGGAGTCAAGTACGCAATTGCGAAGGCAATGCGTGAGTTCTATGTCGGATATCATAGTACTGTATCACTTACCCTGGGGTAACACAGTGCAGTAAGACTTGTTGAAGCTGCACGTAGATGTGTAGGCTCCAGATGCCTTGAGCTCCTGTCTAAGGGTATCACAAGGTCCTAGGGTTCATTCAGTCATCTTGGCATGATCCGCCAAATATAGGAAAGCAGTGAGAGTAAACTATGACTAAAAGATTGAAGAAGGGAGAACATCCCAAACCCCGACACTCAACACCATGTCATGACGACCCATGATTAGGATGTTCAGGCTCATACGGCGCAATCAAGACCGTCATCTGATAAATCCTCACCAGCACAGGTAGACTGGAGGAATCATATTTGACGCCCTTATAGATTATCTGCAATTTCTGCATACATTGCAGAATTATCATTATGCCCTTCGAGAAACTCCTGGTACACAAAAGTCCCAACAGAACTGTGTGAGCATTTCTGAAGTCATGCTCGCACCACAAAACAGGTATGCTATTGTTGTTCCTTGTCTCCGCCAAAATACGTAAGACAAGCTCAATAATACCCCAGGCTATGGTGACTGCTACTGTGATGATGGATTGCCATTTCACATTCGATATCGCAGTCGAAGTTTTGTCAAAGAAGCCACCGCGAAGAAATAGAAGTCTAGAAAAGTAGGCGGGAAGGAGGATCCTCATTAAGGTTTCGGCTTGGAATGCGACTTCACTATAGAATCTGATTGTTTTAGGAAGTGCTCTTGACTTGCCCTTGCACTTTAACACCCACCAAATTATATGTACGACTATTTCGAGAAGTAACGTGATGATGGTAACTGTTTTGATTATGTAAGGAATCCACGTACATTTCTCTTGTAGGTTTAGATTGTGGTTGCGCGTCCATTGCGCAAAAATCTTGAAACACAGATAATATAGCCCTACGCGTGAGAGAATAGGTGAACATGTTGATAACCGCAACTCCTTTGAGGATGGCTTAAGCCATTCCCAAAGAATGACGACGATCCCGTAACTACATGAAATTTACCGTTAAGAAAGTGCCGGGACCAACTTTTCTTTTCGAATTTACCAAAACATGAAGCTTAAAGCTGCTATCAACCCGCAACACAACGGCCGCATGGGCGCATTACATGCACCCCAAAGACGCCAAAGAAGAACCGGAGCGGACAGAAGCGTGAGCGCGGCCCCTAACGTGCTCAACGCCTTCAGACTGCGAACTTCGGCAGGCAGCATTTTTGAAGCGGAAAATGTGATAGTTGTGTAATGATAGGTAAGAATGGGTTACGTAAGTGGGCCCGGTTTCGTTTCGCGGTAAGAATGACATCTGGAGGTGGGGTCTGGTGTGGTGTGAAGTGTCGAAGGGGCACCGTGGTGCATGCAGGTGTTGTTTTGTTTGCGCGATGCATCGTGACTGCCTCGATTGTCAATTGACGTGATAGTCACGTTACTGTTACAGCTACAGATCCACTCTACGGAGGCAGACGGTGTCTTTGAACGTTAGTATTATTATTTTGCCACCATTTCGAATCGTGACCCACGGTTTGCCTGCTATATAGTGCATGTAGCGTACCTGGTAGACCCAGGACCCAGGAACCCAATCATGATACATCTTGGGCATGTACCATGGAACAAGCCTCATCGCAACATATCGTATCCGAATTGTTCTTTTGAGCAGCTGTAAAACCTTCACATCCCAGGCTCCTCAACTGGGATTAACGTGCTCACATCTTGATAGGTCACCTTGACCAGATAGCAGTAACAATCTGTCGAAAGCGCAGGATGCAAATCTCAATCGCCAAAGTCACTATTGCAGGCCTTTTCATAGGCCTGTCCATAGCTGCGCCGCTGCCTTCTCCGTCTAACCTGGATGGCCTTGACGTCAGTGCTGGTTTAAGGATCAAACTGTATTTGAAGGGTTGCTAACCTGCCAATGGGCGACTCGCGAAAGCCGCCCTCATCACCGATCTGCCAAGGGAACAATCGTTAACCGGGAAGACGACTGCGAATATTTGTGTGTGATAGATATGCGCAGTTGTGCAGACCTTTGCTACAACGTATGTATCGCTTACACGTTCTTGTCATGAACTTTATGTCGAACCTGTAAGATTCGCTAACAGAAATATAGGCTTATGACAATGGGGGGGATAGAGAGCTCATCTTCAATGATGATTGAGAGCAGTGACGCCAGGCGAGCACGATTCAAAACAATCGACGGGTATATGTCGTGCGGCGGAGCGTTCGAGGGTATCCCTCAATGGCTGTCCGTCAGATTATCTAAATTCAATATATGAATGCAAGACAGAGCAAATCTCAAACTATCCCAAATGTGCTCGATGTGATTCCAACTACCCTGGCAGAAGCATTCTAATAAGGCGACGTAATTAAATCGTCAAATGTACGTCAAGAAGAAGGTTAGCCTCCTATAATACAAAGATTGGCTGAAATGCTATTGAAAAGGTGATAGAAGAACTTTTGCATAGGACAATATCAGCTATTTCCTATTTGATGACAAAGATACGATCAGCTTCTTCAACTCTAAAGTGGTCTGTTGTTCTTTCTTTTACACATTTCGGAGAGCTAGAGACTCCATGACCAAGACTTAGATCAATCGCTTTGGGTAAAGGCTGCTCTCTAATATTCTTGCTACTGAGCGGTCCTAATGGCAGAAGACTTCTATGACTTCGCAACTCCACGTGCCGGAAAATATGATCAGGAACTGCTTTCACTGCCGTTTTGGCGTGTCTTTTGTGCTAGCTTTCTTTTCCTCACGGCTGCATCGGATCGTCTTACGTCCGGTTCTACTGTTGATGTTTTGCTCTGTACTACCCAAAGCTGTAGTCTGTTCGCATGTTTCCTAGGAACAAATCATCCAAGAGAGTTGATCGTCGAGTCCTATCAATGGTCTACTTTATAGCCGCATCAAATTTGTCCCATCTTCGAAATGGGAACGCCGCAATTTCGCATGGGTTTCAGCCTACTACACACTTGCTGCAAACCTGTTGTCCAGTCGACCCATCAAGTCAGGCGTCTGCGACAAGAGTTCTGCCTAGATAATGGGCAATGTTACGAGATCGAGCATATGCAGTAATGTACGAGGTTGATGTACGAGGAGAACTCTCATGTCAAGGATATAAAGCCAGAAGTTTTGCAGCCTTTACCAAAACAGATGAGATAATTGTAATAGGCAATCAACACGCCGTCGTAGAAATAACAGAATGTTTACAGGAATATGAGTGCTGCCTATCTCGCAATAACGGGCACTTATCTTTAGTGGGGATACTTTGACTTCGTCTGATACGAACAGTGCGGAACACTGTCTGTATCCAGCATCGTCGCCAGCACAGCGGAATGTAGCCGTGAGGCATCTCGAAGCTGAGGCTCGAACCAAACCACATACAGCAACGTTCCCCTGCAGCGATAAAGCCAGTCCTTTCTTAGGAGACTAACTCCCATAAATTGTAGATAACGATTTGCTGGCCAGAATTCAGGCCGACTTTAGCGCAAGGATAAGCGTTGCGAGCCGTTTCGCGAGCGGAAAGTACCCGCACTCCAGGGTTCCCCACATTCACCCTTAACCTAAAGGGGATTCAAACATATCAATGCTTCAAAACCAGGGTCTGGATAGATGCATAGGCTGTGGTTCATCATATTAAAGCTTGTTTCAGTGGTACTGTGCAAGCTCTATCTCACGGCCTCCCTATCCACTATCATCTTTCTTTCACAATGACAGCCGCCAAGGACATCGACCCAAAACCCGCCCGGCAACAATCCGATGCCGCCAGCTATGCCAATGGCAAGTTGGAACCTGTCCTTACCCTCGAGGATGACGATAGACTGGCCCAGATTGGACACGCTCAGGAGTTGAGAAGAGACTTCTCAGTCTGGAGTGTGATAAGTCTGATCCTCTGTTTGATGGCGACATGGGAAGCACTTAGTACAGTCATCGCAACGGCTTTGATGACAGGAGGCGCGCCATGTCTATTCTGGAACCTGTAGGTCTCCTCTTTTTATGAGTGTTCAATGCTGTCAAACTAACATCTCGTAGATTGGTCTCCGTCCTCTGCTCGATAGCCATCGCCCTCTCCCTGGGAGAAATCGCTTCCATGTATCCAACCGCAGGAGGTAAGGGACACACTGACCCCTACTATACATCCATATCACCAAAAAGCTAATTTTAGTATAGGTCAATACCATTGGGTTGCCGCGCTTTCGCCACCATCGACCCGCTCTATTGCCGCCTGGTCCGTTGGATGGATCAATGTTGGAGGTCAAATTGTCCTTAGCGCTGCTGCTGCGTTCGCAGGTGCTCTTCAACTCCTGGGAGTTGTCATTTTGAACGACGATGACTACGTTCTTAAGCGATGGCAAGGGCTCCTACTATACTGGGCCATACTGCTATACGGTGCCGCCGTCAACATCTGGGGGGCGCGGGTCCTACCCGCGACAAACAACATATCCGGAATCATCCATTTAGTAGGCTTGGTCGTCATCATGACCGTGCTTGGAGTCATGAGCGATAAGAACACTACTCACTTCGTATTCCTCGAGGTCACTAACAGCAGCGGCTGGGGAAACGATGGCGTGTCGTGGTTAGTGGGCCTCTTGTCAACCGTCTACCCACTGCTCGGCTACGACGCCGCCTGCCATCTCTCAGAAGAAATACCACACGCGACACGAAACGTACCTCTGGCTATGGTGGGCAGTGTGGCAGTAAACGGTTTACTGGGTCTGGTTTACTGTATCCTGCTCTTGTATTGCACTGGGCCGCTTGATGAACTCCTCTTAACACCCACGGGCTTTCCCTTCATCCAAATCTTCTACAACGCCACAGACTCGCGCGCTGGGGCAACGATTCTGTCCCTTTTCGTAATTATCATCGCTATTGCTGCCACAGCGGCAATTATCACGTCGGCTTCCCGCACCTTCTGGGCTTTTGCTCGAGATAACGCAACGCCGTTCTCGCGATACTTCTCCCACGTCAATCGGTCGTCCCAGATACCGGTCCGCGCCGTCGTTGCGGTGACACTCGTGCAGGTACTTCTCGGCTTCATATACCTCGGCAACACCACGGCGTTCAACGCCATCATGTCGATGTCGATTCTCGCCGTCTACGCGTCGTACCTTGTACCCATCGTCTACTTCATGATCTACGGACGACCGAAGCTCGCGAACCATCAGTTTGGTTATTTCCGGTTACCGAAGACTGTAGGGCTTCTTCTCAATATTCTGTCCTGCTGTTGGCTTGTATTGGCGATGGTGTTTAGTACATTTCCAGGTGTTATGCCTGTTACGCCGCAAAACATGAACTACTCGTCGGTCGTGATGGTGGGCTGGATGTTGATTGGATACGTGTATTACGCCATAAAAGGGCGCAAGCAGTTCGAAGTGCCTGTTGTTACCAACGAGGCGCGAGGGTTTTGAAGGTGACGTTGATAGAGTTGAAAATGAAACGTGTTCAAACAACCTCCTGTGGTCATAGTGACTCACCCCTTTTTGCAGACCCATTTTCGATGTCTTGGAGTCTTTTGCAGCCATTGCGATTATCAGGCTCAGGATGTAACGTATCGTTGCCAATTGTTTGGGTGACTGTATTGTTCCCCTTACCCGTCTCTTTCCATAATCATAGCGTGGCTATGGTGAAACTGAGCATAGTCCAACTGTGACCATCTCATGATCCAGAGCCATGTATCCGCTATTCTCTCGACCGGAAGGTTGATGCGGAAGGCGATTCAATCTTTGAACACCTAGGTAGAACTGAGAGAGTTGAAAAGTCTCAACTCCGTCTAGTCTCTTCGTTATCCGGATTCACTTGGCTGTAAAAATCATCGCTCGATTATCGAGCCCCTTTGAGATTGTCATCGTGTCAATGTGCAAAGAGAATTAGACAATGACCTAGAAACCATGGAATCACCTGTGCAGTCAATTGTGTAGGTAGTCCTGTTCCGCCTCGGGCGCATATCCTGGATGCATCGCTACCTGTATAATGCGAGGGTCTGAGATCGGCTGCCACGAGCAGGATGCTCGACCGCATATACCAAGATTCGCGGATAATGCTTTGGGTTCGGTGGGCGGGCACGCCCTCGGCTCCGATTGGCTCACGAACCGCGGCTTCGGGCGAGACAGGAAAGTGCATCCTCATCTCTAGAAACTTCGCCTCCCTCCACGCATAGATACACCAAATATATCCATCTTCTTGGGTTCGAGCTTTTTCTTTGTGTCCATCGTATACTGTCTACTGTCACGAAGATGCAGTCCTCACGTACTATTCTCCGTGTCCCACGCCACCTCTCCCACCGCGCCATTCCGTTCCGCGCCCTGAGCACCACCGCGCCACGCCCCTCATCGCCCTTTACCAAAGCGCCAGCGCCGCCGCGTCTCCCAAAAGAAGAGCAAGAGATCTTCGAGCGCCTGCAGAAACAGAGCACCGGGGCTTTCAGCACACCGCGCGACGAAGCAGCTGCGACTTCCACATCAACTACATTCTCCGCCGCAGACGTACGCGCCAGGATAAACCAGTCACCCGATAGCGAACCAGTTGACGCCAAGCGAATACCAGAGGGCGAGGAAGTGCATCCTAATTTGAGGAGAGGGGCGCCGCCGGAGTTTGAGGGCGATGTCAACCCCAAAACGGGAGAGGTTGGTGGACCGAAGGTTGAGCCGCTGAGATGGGGAGCTGCGGGAGACTACAGCTTCAATGGGAGGGTCACGGATTTCTGAAGAGCTCGTGATGTAGTCGGATTGGCTCGAGGGCGATGTTGATCAGCGAAGTGCGCGAAGTGCATGATAGCGAGCTTGTAAAAGAGAAGGATCAATGGATGTCGTGGGTTTCGTGGGATGGCTCACCCTTAGATGGAGGATGCTCGCCACAGCAGGGCCGAGCGCTGAACATGCAGCGGGGAGCAGCCCTCGATTCAGACTCCGATACACTTTAAACATGACATTCATCCAGCTACTTGTTCCTCTGGGAGCCGGCATAATACAGCCTGTAAGATGACTTAGTGTTTCTTTTGTGTAGTGCAACAGCCGGTATGGCCTCTGGGGAGATGCGGCAGGTTCGACGGTACATAGCCACGCAATAACAGCCCCATCCTACTGCACGCGTGCTATCACGGCTTTCCACTTTCCACTTTCCACTTTCCACTTTCCACTTTCCACTTTCCACGCTATCCGTTACTGTGTATGCCAGGCTCTGCTGGCCTTGGGTGAAATTGCCCGCCGGACGGATGTCTTAACCTGCAACGGGGCACCGAAGTGCCCGAGCGTCAAACGTTTCACGCCGTCAAGCTGCCATTTGCAGATCTGCCCCAGCGATGAGAGCCAAGGAGGGAAAGCTGGGGTGCGCTTGGCATCGTGACTTGACCTCATCGACAGCGCCGAGGAGCAAACGACGAGGCTTTGGTCGTGTAGTCGTGACGTTTGCACAAGACGCCATGCTGCAAGTCCGCCATGTGCCCCTGCGGCAGGACGTCAACTGCGCCACGAGTAATCTGCGCGCGCTCGCGACGAGGCCAATTACATGGCTGCCAGCGTATGCATGCGCGGCCGGTCTGGAAACAGGACTTGGATTTGGGCAGTAACGGGCCGACCCCGAGTTCGCATGGTCCGCAGAGAAATGTACAGGTACCTGTCTCGCCGTGATTGCCAGGGGCCAACAAAGCTCTGTCGCACGACGGTGTTGAGGCTTAGCTGCGCAACCAAAGCTTGGGAGTTAGTGCTGGACCATTGTCACTCGGTTCCGGGAGTTAGATAAGGGGAGCTCTTCGCGTGTTGACGTGAGCGCTTCATCACATCCGTCGTGTGCCTGTTTGTGAGTGCCCATGTCCCTTGTGCTACCTTGGTACTGACACTGTTTGTAGACTTGGAGTGCACTCCCTTTGTCCCAAAATGATAAGCTAGTGCCACAATGCATTCTTGACTTCTGATTTCCTTCATTGTTCATTGTATCCACGCGTCCTGCCCAAGGCATCCGCTTTGTCGCGAGGGCAATCTGCTCTTTGTGACTTGAGCTCTCCTTAGCTGTCCGGTTGCGCTTGCCTAGTGCCCGCTTTCCACTGCATCCACAGATGCACGTCTTCCTACTGCTCGCTTTGTGCGTCCAGCAACTGGTCGCTGTCGAGCTGGTCGTCGATCTTGGGTATGCCAAGTATCGCGGATTGGACTTTGAAAATGGTGTTACCCGGTGGGCGGGCATGCGGTATGCTCGGAGTCCATCCAGATTGGATGGTCTACGATTCACAGCACCTCAAGATCCGCTGCCAGACAAAAGTACAGTCGACGCGACCGAGGTATGCAGCTATAATCTATCATGCAGTACTTGTCTGACAGCTTACCAGTTTGGACCTCTCTGCATTGGAACGAACAACCCCGTGCTCTACGAGTTTGGCGGGAAGTGGTCCGAAGACTGTCTGTTCGCCAACGTCTTTGCCCCTAGCAAAGCAACGACGAAGAGCAAATTGCCCGTTTATGTTTTCATTCAGGGCGGCGGTTTCAATAACAACGGCAACGCGAACTTCAACGGATCCGATCTTGTTCGCGCCTCTGGCGAACGGATTGTGGTAGTCAACTTCAACTATCGCGTTGGTCCCTACGGATTCCTGGCCAGTGAAGAAGTCGTGGCCAACAAGAGTCTGAGTTTGAACAATGGTTTGAAGGATCAACGTCAGCTTTTGAAATGGGTGAACACGCACATTGATCAGGTCCGTTTCTTGTTCACCGTTCTCCACCGTATCCCCTCACTGACACAGTTCGCAGTTTGGGGGTGATCCTGGACATGTTACTCTGGGCGGTGCCAGCGCTGGCGCTGGCTCGGTCATAATGCAACTCACTGCCTATGGTGGACGTGACGACAAGCTCTTCCAGGCCGCAACAGTCGAATCTCCAGCAACACCGACGCTGCGCAATGTATCCGAAAGTCAATTCCAATATAATGCGCTCCTCAAGCAAACCGGCTGCAAGGACCTTACATGCCTAACGACCATGGACGCCGTCAACTTCCAGAAGGCAGTACGCAACCTGAACATACCTTTCCCAGGCGCGAAGAATCCACCAATCTATCCGTTCAATCCTACTGTGGACCACGACTTCATCCAGGACTATACGTACAATGAATTCAAAAACGGCCACTTCGTCAAAGTGCCCACCATTATCGGCGACTCCACAAATGAGGGATTGACCTTCACGTCAAAGTCTGTTTCTTCATTACAGAAAGCGTATACGTTCGTTGCAGACCAATTCACCAACCTACACGCTCAAGACCAAAAGTCTATCGAGGGCGTATGGCAAGGTCCGCAGGATGTCACAAAAGATGGTCGCTGGCGCAACATCGCTGCAGACATCTACGGTCATATCCGCTACATCTGCCCGGGCCTCAATTTCTCGTCCGCGTACGCAGATGACACCTCGTTGAATACATGGCAATACCGTTGGAATGTCGGACCAGCACTACATGTTGGCGAACTGGGTTCTATCTGGTTCAATGGCACGCAAGCCTCACAGGCCTTCGTCCAGCAATACTGGATCTCATTCATTCGATCTTACAATCCAAACAAATACACGACGAGTTTCTGGACGGACGATGGGGTAAAGTTGATGAGCCCGAAGTGGGAGACTTTTGGCAAGACAGGTAACGGGAGGAGGTTGTTGTTCGATAACAAAAACGTGGTCAAGATGGAGAACGTGACGGAGAAGGAGACGCAAAGGTGCAATACCCTCATGGGAATGGGGTTGCAGCTTGAACAGTGAGTATTCTTTTCTTGGTAAAAGGAGCACAGTGGATGCAGGGTAGACTCGGACACGTTCACAAGAGACGTTACCCTAAGCGTCCGAGACTCACTGCGCCCCCTGTGGAGAGGTTACGAAGAGGTGTCGATTAATTTTGGCGGGCTGTGGAATGCAAATGCTGACTCATGGTAGGGTTGCAGGTGCGGGCACGCGAATCGGTATCGGTCGATGCCTCACTGGGTTCTCGTGCGTCGCCGTGCTCATCACGTTGCTTCAATCGCTTTCTCCTTGAAGTGTCACACCTGCGTAACTCTCACATCTTTTCAACACTGAAGGGCAAGCTGGGCGACGTACTGTCTGCGAAGCCGCCTCGACAGGCATGCAAGCTTGGAGACCTCGGACCATGGTTGACCTCTGGGACCGTTGCAATTCGTTCGCAGTAGCCGCGAGGAGGAGCGATACCAGAACACGCCGCGGATGAGCAAGGGTCGCAGTCAAGGGAGGGGAAGCTCGAACACGATTGCAATGCTGTGATGGACGTTGCGAAGTATCTTCTGTTGCGCCAAGGCCAAGACAGAGGTTATAGCGCCGACGTAAGCCCATTTGCGCGGACGAGGAAGATGGCGCGAACAGGGAGCAAGGGCTCGCCGCTAGGACATGGTGGAGTGGGTGAAGGAAGGCCAAAGCGGAGCCGGCGAAGGGGCGTCGCTGAGATTGCGAGAAGTAGAAGGTGCGTAGATTGCGCTGACGGCTGCGCGTCAGACGTGAGCGAACGAAGTCGCGTCAACACACGATTCCTTTGTAAACAAACACCACAGTGACAATGATCGGACGTACTATGTATATGCTGCATGTCGCGCGCACAGAGTCGCGTGGGCTGAAACACGGCGATTTCAGGCTGTGGGGCCGCACGTCTCTGAGACGTGTGGGCAAGATGCCACCTAGATAGCGCGTGTGATTGACCGAGGCCCTGTCTGTGCGTGACTGGGGCTGCAGACACCCGACTCCCCAACAGGCCAAGGTGAACGTTTTCGTTTTTGACATACCGGACGGCTGTCACGATCTACGCCGTACAAACGAAAGAAACGGCCGCTGTCAGCGCCGCACTGCCAGAACCTGCGCAATTGGCGCCGTACCCAGCGCATCCACAGACCTTGCGCGATACCCCCTGCCGAGTCGCGTTCCCCCGGTTTTTGTAACTCCACGACCACCCCCATCCAGGGGCACCGAGCATCACCCACAACGACAATTGTTACCGCAGCTCCGCGCTCTGGTGACTACAGCGCCGCCGAAGCATCCCGTGATGCCATCGTGTCCTCGGAAGCGCCCATAGCCCGACCCACGGTGCCATGCCTGGCTGGAGACCGCTCCCGCGGATCGCATTCGCAATATGCACATACCCATTCCAGCCCTCGTCGCCCGCCGACCTGCCCCTCGAAGTTGGCGACGAACTGTACATCATTGAGCAGGGCGGCAAGGACGGCGCCTGGTTCCGCGGCTACCTCGTGGCGCCGCCCTCGCTGCTGGCCGGTCTGACCAGCGTCCAGGGCCAGACGCTCGAGGCGCGTGTCTTCTCGGGCATCTTCCCAAGATGTTGCGTCGAGGTGCGCGAGGTGCTGGGCGAGGGCAAGACTACTCCTACTCCCACCGCAGATACCACTGAAGGGGCCGAGCAACGCAGCAATGGCGGGCACAACCACGACACTAACGGTGTCATCACGCCCACCGAGAGCACAGGTGCGACGCCGCCCTCTGCCAAAGCGTCTGCTTCGCATCCCAGAAGAACCTCTAGACCCGATGCCGTCTCTCTACTGCCCTCTTCCGCAGCCCGTCCGCTCTCGCGCCGCCGCTCGACCAAGAACCGCACTGGCAGCCACGGCTCCCAATGGTCTGCGCGTGCCGACCACCTCCAGCAGCTTGCGCTGCCCCTCTCCCCCGTGTCTCCGACGTCGCAGGACCCCACTGCCCCTCGACCGCCTGCACCAGTGCCCATGCTCAAGATTGGTGATGAGACGCCTACCTCGGCCCAAGAACCACTCGTCGACGAAATAGCGTCGTGTCTGCGCGAATGGCACTCGACCAAGCTACACGAGCTTCTGCTTGCACGCAATTACGGCGCGTTGGACAAGATGTCTGCTTTGGTGCAGCGATTGGATCAGGCTCGGCGGCAGCTGTTGCACAAGGTCTTGACACACAAAGAGCTGGACAGTGTGCGCGAGGCCACAGTATGGGATCTTGTGGCAGGCAACAAGATGCTTTGTGGAGATGTCATAGTGCGCAGTCCATCGCAGCGGGGACGCATACTTACTGGGGATGATTCCGCCGTTGAGGTTACAAAATTACAGTCCATGATGAGCTTGCTAGATGGCCGACCGCTGCCGCACGTTGACGAGCACAACCTACACCACCTCTATGTAAACTTAAAACGGGTTTTTGGCGACGTGGCGCACAATGGCGCTCAGTTTAGCATGCATCTATGTCACAAAGCGCCCGGCGCAGCACCCATCCCACTTTCCGAGGCCTACTCGTTTGATTTAACCACCCGAGATGGAACGCCCGTACCCCTCTCTGGAGACAAGCTGAGGTCGCTGTTCGTCGATTTGAGCTCAACCGACGTTGGCGAAGGCGCGGGCTCCGGATCTAGTCTTTATCTGGTCTTCAAACTCCTTACCAACGAACCAATTCGCCCAGCTGTGTCTCCAAAGGACGGCCTGTCACGAGACGGCAACCCTACCAGCTCAAATGGGATACAGCCCTCGCAATCCGGGAGTATCAAGGGTGGACGGCGTAGTGTGATGTTCGGTTCTAAACGCAAGGAATCTGCGCACTCGAGCACCAGCTCTGTAGACATTCGAACCACGTCGTCAGTAGACACTGTAACCAGTCGCAGTGAGAGCCGAGATGGGCGACCCGGATCTGCCGCCGTTACCAAACCTAGGTCAAACTCGAAGGACCAGAAAACGCTGAAGAGAGTTGTAGCCGTCGGCGTACACCGTGTGGATCAACTTATACGATCGCAGTCGGAAGCCGATCAGAATATCGATTTGTGGTCTGTGCCTCAAGCTCTCGATGAAGTGTCCGATGAAGATATCGGTTGGGACGATTTCTTGAGTGAAATCTACCCCAGTCCTAACAGGAAGTACAAGAAGCATTCTCCGGTTAATCGTATGACGGTGCACCTCAAAGCCTTCGCACATTCCGATGCGGAAGTCTTAACAGAAAAGACACCCACATTACTCCACGGCATCAAACCCTCCCGCAAGATTGGGTTTTCTGGAGCTCCCACTAAATCACGGAGCGACATATATCTGACCCTGAGCGAAGCGTACCTCCCCAAAAATGCCTTCCTTGCCCATCCCAAAACCGGTACCGTACCCCTCCAGCCGACATCGTCTCTGAACAACCTCCAGTTGACAATTGAGGTTCGGAAATCTTCGGGCGAGCGGATCGAAGGTTGTATCTACCCATCGAGTAACAGCGCCGGACATACAGCGTGGCGGACTACCGCAGTGGAGCGAGGCGAGAAGTGGAATATAACAGTACGATTAGCCATCAAACCTGAAGAAGTACCCGGATCGCACATCGTCATGAGCATAGCCGATGCGCCCGGTTTCCCTTTCGCCCTATGCTGGATGCCATTATGGACCCAGGATGCATTTGCACGGGACGGTGATCATGCATTGTCTCTATATCGTTATGATGAGTACACTTCGAGCATGATCGCTGGTAAAGGCGCCTATCTTGGTCTGCCGTGGAGTACAAGGAAGAAGGATGACCAAGTTATGGGCCCTCTAGCATCGCTACATCTGAGGACGTATCTCTGTAGTACGAAGTACTCTCAAGTCCCGGATCTTCTAGGTCTTTTGAAATGGCGAGACCAAGCCGGTGGAGAGCTTGTTGGCCTACTTCGACGATTCCCATTTGTCCCGGAAATAGAGATCGTCAAGCTACTCAACGAAGTCTTTGAAGCTCTGTTCGAGATATTAGTCGAGTATGCCGGTAGCGACGAGTATGAAGATCTGGTTTTCAATGCCCTGGTTATCATATTAGGCATAGTACACGATCGACGGTTCAACCTGGCCCCTCTGGTTGATCAGTACACCGAGACACAATTCAATTATCCCTTCGCTACAGCATGCCTGGTACGCAGTTATACGCGCTTGTTGACAAGTCCATCGGATCCTGACTCCTCACGACGGTTACGTGCAACCTTCAAGGTTGGCAGGCACATTCTCAAGTTTATCATGAACGCGCGGCAACAGCAAAAGGAAAAGGAGGCAGGCATTGGAATCACTACTCGTAACCCGACATTCGCGAAAGACATCCACGCAATCTTCAAGTCATTAGAGCTTCTCATGGGCAATCCCTCAGCTGTGCTTATCGGAACGAAGACCATCCTTGTTCAAAACTTCCACTTGTGGCTTCCTGAGCTCACAGCTTCAATGAGTCCAATGGAAATCCTCAAACTCACATCCAGCTTCGTCGATTCATGTGCCACACCATCTGGGAAGCTTGTTCTATATAAGTTGCTATTGATCCACCACATTGCTGGTCTAGATATCTTCAAAACACCGGAGACCAGAAAGGTGCTCCTCTCCAACGTTGCCAAATGGCTTGCGCCGCACTGGGGTAAGGTAGAACAAGTCACCGACCAGTGGAAGGACCAGGTTCGGCTTTGCTGCTCGGTCGTTGCGTCACTGGTGGAAGAGCTTGGTCAAGACGCATGCGAGTACATTCCGAAGTTGGTGGATTCCTATAGGGCCATCCAAGCCACACCACGGCCTACGAAAAAGGCTCTGTCGCTCCTGTTTCCAACTACGTATCCATTTCCCACGCGACCGACCAAAGCCCAGGCACCCTTTGACGAAGCTCTTATCGAGATATCAGCTGTGCTTGCGGCCCTGTCAAGCCTCCCAATTAACATTGATCTGGACTGGCCAAGAGGGGAACTTGCAGATTTCCTGTTCTCCACTCTGCAGGTGTATATATCCATCCTGGACTGCGAAGCGTTCCCAAGCTCGTGGTTGAGTGTACATATCTTTCATCACAAGGCCACTATGCGAGCACTCGAAAAATTATCCGGCGTTCTGATGGAGTCGTTCTTGCCGCATCCTGACGAGGCAGACACCTTCAATACTGATCTTTGGCGTGCGTTCTTTGATGCTTTGCTGAAGCTAGTCGGTAGCGATGCATTGGCGTTGGAGACGTTTCCCGAGCAGAAACGAAGGGCCGTGTGGAAGATCGCCGGAGATATTCGTGAGCTCGGTGCAGACTTGCTTCAGCGCAGTTGGGAAGCAATTGGATGGGAGGCCAGCGCCGAAGACAAGAAACAGTACGGTTTGGAAAAGATGGGCGGTTTTCAGGTGCAATATGTTCCAGGCCTAGTGGCACCAGTCGTCGAACTCTGTCTCAGTGTACACGAAGGCCTTCGCAGTGTCGCGATTGAGGTGCTTCAGACCATGATCGTCAGTGAATGGACTCTCAGCGAAGATCTCTCGTTGATTCAAGCTGAGATGATCGATTGCTTGGACCGTCTCTTCAAAACAAGACCACTAACCGAAGTGGTTTTACAGAAGCACTTCATCCAGGAACTTGTCGACCTCTTCGAACCCATGGCCCAGTCATCCGACGAGAATCTTTATACTGCAGTCAAGAACTTGATCACGACCATCGACGAACTCCTAGACCTCTTGGTTGCCGTTCACAGCACCGAAGCGACTGGTGAGGTCTTCCACATCATGGACACGCTGCACTTGATGGAGTTCTTGAAGGATATGCAAAAGGAAGACATGTACATTCGCTACGTTCACCAACTCGTACAACTCCAGGTAGACGCGCAAAACTTCACTGAAGCGGGTCTCGCGTTACGGCTGCACGCTGAGCTCTATGAGTGGGATCCTGCAACGATCATCGATCCATTGGTCGATCCTGCCATGCTTGCGCAAAGCTCGTTCGATCGCAAGGAGCAATTGTACTTCCAGATGATCGATCATTACGAGAACGGCCAATCGTGGGACAACGCGCTTGGCTCATACATGGAGTTAGCGACGCAGTATGAACACAACGTTTTCGATTTCGCAAAGTTGGCGAGGACGCAGCACGCCATGGCAAAGATCTACGAAAGCATAGCCAAGGGTGAGCGATCAAATGCACGCTATTTCCGTGTGGTGTACAAAGGGTTGGGTTTCCCCGTCAGTCTACGGGACAAGCAGTTCATCTTCGAGGGATCGCCAAACGATCGCCTAGCCACTTTCACCGACCGTATGCAACAGCAACATCCAGCGGCCCAGATTCTCACGGCTGGAATGGAACAAGATGTCGAGGGTCAATATTTACAGATCTACCCGGTCAGTGCGCAAAAAGACATGACGCACCCAGTCTATCAACGAGCGAAAGTCGCGCAATCAATCAGGGATTACTACCTGCTCTCACGGCCGTCGCATTTCACTACTGCATCTCGACGAACTGAAGGGCATTCCAAGGAGGTAACCGTCGAGAAGATAGTATATACCACTGCTGAAACCTTTCCCACGATTCTGCGGAGAAGCGAGATTGTTGCTGTCGGCACTGTCACGCTGACGCCGCTTCAAACAGCCATTGAACGAACAACGCGGAAGACGGTAGAATTGTCATCTCTAGAAAAGAAGGTATCTGGCGGCGAGGAGTTGCTCTTCACGGAATTGACACGAGAGTTGATGTTTGCCGTCGATACGACCCAGGAAACCAGTGTGGCGAGGTATCACGAACTGCTTCCGGAGCCACGACGTCCTTCATTTGAGTCTGAAGAAGGGGAAGAAGAAGAGGAGGCAAAAGAACCAAACCTGCTGGAAAATGCACTTAAGGTTGCTTTGATTGACTATGCCCTGGTCATCCGGCGTTGTCTAGCCTTGTATACGAGACCTGCTCAACAAGCGACCAGGGCAGACTTGAATCAGCGTAAGGCTTGAATGCCCATATGAGTATCATGTTGCGCTAACGCTGTTACAGGTCTTGAATTGGCGTTCCAAGACGAATTAGCAAATCTGATGCCCGTCGCCGCACACGTGCAGGAACACATACGGTCTCCCACAGGATCTTGGCTGGCGTCGGCAACGGCTGCGTCGCGCGTGGCTAGCCCATCACCCAACGCTACACCGACAGTGAACGGCACGCGAGTGACATCTCCTATTCCAGATGCAAGACCAGCACGACAAGACAAAAAGCGAATGAGCCTTTCCTTCTTCGGCATAGGAGCCCCCCCAGGTGAGGAAGATTCAAAGTCTTTAGAGAAGGACCACAAACTGGAAAAGGCTGCCGCGGATGACAGCTTGGATGCCGCGTCGACGAGCGCATCGTCACGAAGTCGCAGCAAAGACCGATCCAAGAACCGCATGAGCCGAAGCCTCGTGTCGCCCGGTTCGCCAGTGCCCGAAGCGCTGCCACACTTTCCCAGCCAACCCGCGTCCAGTCAGAACAGCCTGGCCAAGGTCAGAAGTCGTGCCAGCAGTCGAGGCCAGAGTGTTGACGGCAGACCGCAAACTAGCAAAAGCATAAAGAGTGAGAAGTCAGAGGGGCATAGTAGGAGCAGTAGTGTGAAGAAGCGGTTGAGCAACTTCTATCTCGGGAAGAAGAGCAGTAAGGCGAGCGTCAGAGGACGCGTCGATGATACCCTAGAGGAGGAGTAAGGCTTCTTTTATCGACCTTTCTCGTGACATTTACTTCGGTTGCGACGGCTTTTCGTCGTTTAATCTTTGGAAAATATACCATTTGCATGGGTTTCGGCAAGGTAGCCGCGTCATACACCGCGATCTCGTATGTTGGATGGATCTACGAACGGAGCAGACCTTCAGTCACTTGTCGGAATCCTTGGGTTGGAATATTCCGGTTCTGATTTGTAGCGATTTTGAGCGCGGAGTGGGTAGGGGAGGGTACTTGCAAGATTTCGTGTCTTATGTTCAGGCTGGCAAGTATTGCTGCGAGTTTTGTGTTATACCCTATCTTCTAGTGGAAGAAGCTGCATAACAGCGGACATTGCTTCATGGACTATGGAAGTGTTATGATGTGACGTAGTGACGACCCGGGAGTGAAATGGTCGAGAATGCGCAGGCAAGCTTATCGATTACGGGCGGGGCCAGGCGGTCAGTGCTGGCAAAATTGTTGTGCGCGAACTTTTTTGCCAGCGAAGACACGGCCGCGTCGACACTCGCCATACTGCACGCCATGTCGCTCGAGGAAAGACTGTTAAAGGTGCGGGACTCGCCCAAGGGTTCCACTCAGCACCAGGTACGTAAACAGCTAAAAAATTCGGGGGAGATTGCTAATTCCGTAGAATGCTGTAGTGCTTGCGGCCATTGAAGACACGCTCAAGCAGCAGAACTCGGAGCCCACACCAACCGCATACTTCGCAGCGCTTCTTGCGCTTTTGATCCGCCAGATATCAAATGATGGCATAGCGAACAAAGAAACGGCTACGTCCATCATATACCTACTCGATCTCGTCACCCCTCACGTCCCGGCGCCGCTGCTGCGATCCAAGTTCGCTGGCATCCTTCCTAGTCTAGCCCCCGCACTCACACATCCCAACGCCGAAGCTCCACTCCTCCGATCTGCTATAGGATGTCTTGAGTCGCTGCTCGTTGCGCAAGATGCGCGAGCGTGGGATTTGCCGGCGACACAGGCTGGTCCTCGCGCCGCTGTCGCGGGGCTGCTTCAGATAGCTGTGGACCATAGACCGAAAGTGAGGAAGAGGGCTCAGGATGCGCTTGCCAAGGTGCTAAACAATGCGCCGCCGAGCCCATCACTGGACCATCCGGCTGCCGATATGTGCGCAGAGACGGCGCTCAAGATGCTGAAGGACATTGCACAAGCAGCGGGCAGATCGGCGAACCAGAAGAAGCGACAAGCTGCTGAGCAAAGCAAGGAGCCGGATCTCATGCACGCGTTGCAACTGATCAAGACTATTGCAAACACATCTGGTGGCTGGCCGAGCCGGAAGATTGATGTTCTGTGCGAGCTGCTTCTCAACATCTCGCGGTCCAGTAGCGAATATCTCACCATGGCGGCTTTCGAGATATTCGAGTTGATCTTTGCGGGCATGACCGACGAGATCTCTTCCGCGAAGCTGCCTCGCCTCCTCGAAGTTATCTCTGACCTCCAGCCCTCCAAGAACGACACACAATTGCTTCCTCCATGGATAGCCGTCATTTCAAGAGGGTACGAGGTCTCAGCTGTGATCGAACCCGAAAACACGTTTGCAAAGCTTCCCGAACTCTTCAACATGGTCGCTTCCTTCCTCGAGTCACCGTCACACAACATCCGCGTTTCTGCTTCTGAGTGTTTGATCTCTTTCTTTGCGAACATTATACCCGACAGTGTTATTTTGGAGCCTTCGATTTACGATGAGAAAATTTTGGAAAAGTTGGCTCAGGCTGCTCAGAACCTGTTCAGCGTCAAGTATCAGGCTGCTTGGCCGGAGGTTTTCAGCATGTTGGGCGCTATGTTCGATGCGCTGCGTTGGCGCTCGAATCCAATCTTGAGGCCTGTGTTGAGGACTGTCGGGGAGTTGAGAAGCAACGAGTCCTTCGCAGGAAAGAAAGAGGCGGATGCTGTCATCTCGAAAGCGATCGGTGCCATGGGTCCGGATGCTGTTTTGGAAGTATTTCCGCTTAATCTACCGAGACCGCCACCCGGCCAGACAGGCAGAGTTTGGATGCTACCGCTCCTTCGCGATTCGGTGCATAACTCGAAATTGGCGCATTTCAGGCAAGAGATGGTGCCGCTCAGCGAGCTCATGTTTCAAAAGGTTATTGACCACGGCGCTCAGGAGAAGACGATGGAAATCAAGGTTTTCGAAACAGTCGTTCAGCAAATTTGGTCCATATTGCCCGGCTACTGCGACCTGCCACTAGACCTTGTGGAAGCGTTCGATCAAGGCTTTGCGGAGATGTTGGCAAACCTTCTTTACAGTCAAGCAGACCTGCGAACGGACGTGTGCAGAGCGTTGCAAAACCTTGTAGACGGAAACAAAGCTATCATCGAGCTGGAAGGCGAGGACGATCTGGTTGCACAGGCACGGATTTCGAAGGCACAAGGACAGAAGAATCTGGAGCATTTGGCTAGCTACGCGGGCAATATGCTGGCTGTGCTGTTCAACGTCTATAGCCAAACACTACCACAATATCGTGGTACCATTCTCAGGACGATCAATGCGTACCTTAGCATCATCCCTGAGAAGGTGAGTCAAGACTTGATGTTAAGAATCCCTTTAGTTACTGACCAGTTCGCAGGAGCTCATGGAGACCTTCGAACGAGTTGCCACCAGCCTTGAGGCAGCTTTACCAGAAGGCGGCTCCCAGACGCAAGCGGATAAGCAAAAGCAGGACAAGGGCAAAAACAAGATGCCGCCCATGAGCCACACGCTCATGGATCTCATCATCACCATTGCCCCTTACCTTCCGCGTGACAGCTATCCTTCCCTATTTAAGATGGCCTCCATCATGATCAATAAGAAGGAGGATCCCCAGCTGCAGAAGAAGGCATACAAGCTGATCCCAAGGCTTGGAGAATCGGAAACCGGCAAAGCAGCATTGCAAGCGCGAACGGGAGAACTCCAACAATTCCTGCTGCAAGGCTCGGAGGCAGCTTCCGGACCTGCGCGTAGGGACAGATTGCTTGCTTTATATCAGATCTTGGAGTACCTTCCCCAGACTGACCTTCATTTCATTCCATCTGTTCTTTCCGAAGTCGTCATCGCAACGAAGGAAGTGAATGAGAAGGCTCGAGAGGCAGCTTATGAGCTGCTTGTCGCGATGGGTGAGAAGATGGCTTTGGGTGGAACGGTCCTCCAGAACAAGGTTCCCAATATGCCTGAGGATGCGCCATCCGTGGAGGCGTCTCTCGAGGAGTACTTCACCATGGTCTCGGCTGGTCTCGCTGCATCAACTCCACACATGATCTCCGCCTCAATCACCGCCGTCACCCGCATACTGTTCGAGTTCCACTCTAGGGTCTCGAAGGAGACCATACAGAATCTTCTTGAGATCATGGACATGTTCCTGCAAAACCCCAACCGTGAGATCGTACGGAGTGTCCTTGGCTTCGTCAAGGTAGAAGTCATCTCCTTACCGGAGTCACTTGTCAAGCCTCGTCTCAACACCTTGCTCACTAACCTCCTCGTCTGGAGCCACGAACACAAGGCGCACTTCAAAGCAAAGGTGAAGCACATTGTGGAACGCATGATCCGTAAGTTTGGCATCGACGAAGTCGAGAGCGCTTGTCCAACAGAGGACCGAAAACTCATCACCAATATTCGAAAGACACGCGAGCACCGAAAAAAGAAGAAGCAACAAGGAGCTGAGGACGGCGAGGAGCCTGCGGAGAAGCCGAAGGGCCGATTTGAAAGTGAATACGACCAGGCCGTGTATGGCAGCGAGAGCGAAGACGAAGAGGGTGACTCGGAAGACGAATTCATCAAGGCGCAAAGCAAGCAGCGACAGGGCAAGTCCAAGCGCGGCGAAACGTACATTGTCGAAGACGAAGACGAGCCGCTTGACCTTTTGTCCAAGCGCGCGCTCGGGAATATCTCGTCGACGAAGCCTCTGCGACGGAAAGAGGTGCCACAGAAGAAGACTAAGGCGCGCACGAACGAAGACGGCAAGCTCATTCTGGGCGAATCAGATACCGACGATTTGTCCAGCGCAGGAAAGAAGGGAGGCAAACATCAAGCCGCCGTTAACCAAGGCGACGTTCACATGGACATCGATGAGGACGGCCTTTCTCTTGAAGCAGGCATTAATGCTTACGTCGACGCTATCAAGGGCCGTGACGCCGTGCAGCGCGGCCAGAAAGGCAAACTCAAGTTCAGCAACAAGAAGAGTAGGGATGAAGATGATATGGATGTCGATAGTGGGGATGAGAAGGGGGACAGGAGAGCGAAGTCCGGAAGCGGAATGGGCCGAGGTCGAGGAGGTGCACAGAATCAGAGGAGAGGTCTAGGCATTGACAAGGCAAAGGGTGCACAAGGTCCTGGGAGGGTTGACAAGGGGAACAGGAGTCCAAAAATGAAAGGTTGGGGCGGCCAGGGAAGAAAGGCTGGAGGCTGGACGAAGAAATAGCGGGAGGGTCTATAGTGTTGCATGGCAGAGGGCGTTTCGATGTTCATGAAATAAGATACCATTTTTCCTGCAAGACACTGTCCTGGTTGTTTTGTTTTAGGGTGTTATGGTATTGAGATGGCGTCATCGACCTGATTCCCATCACACCACGATATACCGAACGACTGTTCCCTCTACAACACTGCCCCATCTTCTACACTTTATCTCCTCTTCATGTCGAAGGAAGAAGAATCCTCCAGCCTCAGTCGCTACCGCGATCCCCTCCTTATCGGCGCCTACGCCGCCATCACGGGAGCCGCATTCTTCCGGGTGTCGCGCCAGCCCTACAGTCAAAGCATCAAGTGGGTCCAGTATGAGACGATCTTCAAGTTCACCACTTTAGGTGCAGTGCTGGCTGGCATTGGAATGGGAGGGCTGAAGAGGAGGAATGAGAGTGCTTTTAGGGCGTAGGACGGGCGTGTTGCTGGTGTAAGAGAAGTCGGCAAAAAAGGGTAAACCCTCCTACAACCTTGGGCCCAGCATCTCACCGAAGCAAAAGGTTGAAACAAGAAGCGGCGAACCAGAATTGAACTGGTGACCTTCAGGAACCTCCAGTTTGGTGACTGCAGCCCGCTGCTCTACCACTGAGCTACCGCCGCGAGGTTGTCGATGTGAGCAATCTGGCGGGATAAACATATATTTGCGTGGATAAAGAGTATGCTGCATGTACGACAGTGGGGATGGTGCCTACAATGCCGGACGAAACGAACGGCAAGGCGACCTCGCCGCAAAGGCTTAGCACTTACTGCTTACACCAAAGATGTTGTTACACATGTTTCTCCGAATACGCAGCTTTCAGCTACAGGATCACTTTGGTCAGGGGAAGGGCCACACATCCAATCTCGAACGATCATTTGATAGGCAACAGTGTGTCTAACCTCTCCCTTCACGCTGTCAAATCAACAGCCACTACCTTCCCACCTTCCAAATAAGTCCCGTCAGCCTGCTGTCCACCCATAGCGCTCACATATAGAACCCCTCTATCCTTGTACGTTCTTCCAAGTACCACTGCGGTGGGGCCCAAGATCGTTGAATTTTCCCCTCCGAGGGTGACCACCTCGCCGTCATCACTGATCCTAACAACATCATTGGCAGCATCTCTCGCCAGAAAGACTGTCCCATCATCCGTGACTGCGAGGTCATCAATGACACCAACATTCCCAGCTAGCGTGACGACCTGTCCATTTGGACGACCTGTATGCTGGTCAACCGACACCTTGTGCAGAGAGCCTAGCTGCAAATTGGAGAAGTAGAGCGTAGGACTAGCATTTCCGGAAGGAACAGAATTCGGACGGAGGATCTTGAGGCCGTTTGCACCCAGAGGCAAAGGCGTAGACAGATTGTTCGCAGTCGATGCATCCTGCAGAACGACTTCGTACTTGCCAGTCCTAACATCCACCTTGCGTATATTACCAGCCCAGCTGTCGGTGAACAAAAGCGTATCGCTGTTCAATGCCGCAATTCCATTGATCTGCGCATCCTGTAGATACGCAAGTTTCCTGACCTCGACGCTGTCTTTGGTGGTCCCGCATCGCAGGTCTACACTCCAGATGTTCGCATCGCCGGTGCCGTTGGCAGTTGCGGAGCTGAAGTTGCCAGCGGCGACGGCGAAGACGTCGGTTTCGTATTCGGTGATGCCGAAGATGGAGTTGGAGTAGGCGAAGGTGTGTAGCAGGGTGTCTTGCGTGGCGTTGGAGAATGGGTTGATGATGTGGAGTTGTGCTGGAGTCTGACCGAGGATTCCAGCGAGAAGGGATCCGTTACGGGTAGAGGCAACATTCTCTACCCAGGTGGGATTGGGAAATTGTTGTACTATTCGGACGTTGGCCGCTAGTGAGATGCCTGAGAAGGTAGCGGCTAGGAAGTATTCGAAGGCGCGCATGATGAGTAAATGGTTTGATTCGGCTCTGAAGAGGAATGAACTTCGCAGCTTGGCTCAAGATGTTCGTATCGTATTTCAGCGTACTGAACTACCTTCTTTATACGTCGCATGTATGCTCCGATTGTACTATGAAGTCCTAAATCCGTGATTCATGCTTACCTATCATTGCTAAACGACGGATTTGACTGCATACTCAGCAACCCTAACCCTAACCCAACAGAGCAACAAACACTAGCTCTAGGAGCTGCCTGCGAATTTTTGAGCGCAAGGATACAGGACTTCACGAGCGGAGGAATGTGCGTGGTTCGAAATTGCATGCGAAGTTCATTGCGTTTTAGAGAATGGGTAGGAAGAGTGGCCCCATCAGTCTAGCTACGAACAGTAATATCTGCTAGCGTTGGGGCGCATGTAAATTCCTTCGTTCGATAGGCTGGAGAATCAAGGAACGCTCCCCTAATTTCTCTATCATCTAGTACGGAAGGTTCATCCACTTATCCAAGCACATCAGTATCCGTATTTTCCGAGTTCCTCTTCGGTCCATTCCCACAACTTTCGAGCCAGTCCCAAGTCCTGACTATATTTCGAGCCTTTGGTCACAATACCTACCGGCCGATAGAACTCACCATTTTGGAGGTTTGACTTGTCCACAGCCGCTAAGTATGTCTGGCTCAGTGCGCCACCTTTTGTGTCTTTGAAATGACCTGGCAGTATCGGTACAAGCTGCTTGTAGAACCAAAACCCAATCTTCATGAAAGGACCGGACACGAAGGCATTGTAAAGATCCGTGATAATGACTCCAGGGTGGACAGATACAGAAGTGATCTGAGGATAACGCGCACTGAGCTCCCGTGTGAACAAGATGTTGGCCAGCTTGGACTGCCCGTAACGTCTCCAAGTGTACTGCTTTTCCAATTCGGACTGATTGAAGACTATACCACCACTTGGCGCGGCCATCATACCCAAGCTCGACACATTAATGATCCGCACATCGGCGCCAGGCTGCTCGGTCGTCTTGAGCAGCACCGGCATGAGCAGCTTGGTGAACAGCGCATGTCCCACATGATTCGTGCCGAATTGAATCTCGTATCCTTCCTTGGTGAGACTGAACGGTGTCATCATGATGCCCGCATTATTGATCAGCGTATCGAGCCGTTCCTCGCGCGACTTGAATGTTGAGGCGGCTTCGGCGATAGAGGAAAACGAGGTTAGGTCTAATGGGAGGTGTTCGATCACTGCAGAGGGGACTTCGCGCTGTATATCGGCGATGGCAGATTCGGCTTTGGAGGCGGTGCGCGCAGCCAGGTATATGCGTGCTGGTGAGTGGGCAGCGAGGTAGGCGATTGTCTGCTTGCCGAGGCCGGTATTACCTTATCATCTATCAGCTCCTCTTCAACATGTACGAATGCGAAGACAAAGAAAGGTTACGCACCTCCTGTTACCAGAATGACCTTTCCCTCCAAACTAGGTATATCCGTCGCGGGGTTGAATTGCGTCTTTCCGCCCATTGTCCCGTCAGCCAGGCTTGGAACGAAAAGATACGGGCCTAGAAGATATGCAACAGTCCCAGCTTCCAGGCAGAGAGACCAGAGGCTGTACAGGAGCGAGGTGGATGTGGACATTCTGTCCGATTTTCGATAGGCTAGGGGTTTGCGAAGTAGCTCGTGTCATGACGACAGCCGAGGCAACCAACGTGGACAGGGGATAGGACGAACATTGCACCGTAGCCCGTTGAGATCTTGCGGCGGTCATAGATCGAGGCAACATAGGATCTATCAAGTTAATAGCAAAGGTTTCAGCTATTCAGGAGAAGAAGATAAGATGGCTGCGATGAAAGACCACGCGACGCTAGCGCTTACACGCGATCTGGCGGCACGGGAGGGGCGCATGGTGGGACCGATCGCATCTTGAATTCCCTTGCGTGCGTTCTACTACGTTCGACGGAAATGACATGTTACACTCCTCCCACCATGCCACAGAATGCCGTTTGAGCCTTAGATTCGCCAAGCACAGTGATCGCAACCACCAACTAGGTGTCCTGAGTTGCTGATATCATGTTTACACCCAATGTACCTACGGTACTGATCGCCGAAGCCACTTTCGACAGGAAAGCAGAATGTGCTGAGCGCTATAGTCACCAAAGGCTAACAAAATGTCATTTTCAATGGACGTTGCGATCTGGCACTTAGTTTTCGTTAATCCTTCACTTAACCAGAAAGGAGGATAGGGATCCTGAGGTAAGGCAACGGCCAGAGTGGATGCGAAGACCGTGTGACTTCCACCCAAAAAAAAGCGGAACATCATAGGTGTCTATTGGAAGCATAGCACAGTGCCTGGGAATATTTCTAGATGCCACACGTCGGACGAAGAAAGATCTGGAGCGGTAAGACGTGTGCTATATGCATCCTACCCAGTCTAGACGTGGAAGGATGTCTGAGCAGCCCACCTAAGCGCAAATCACAGCGATCGTGCAGAGACATCTACAGTACGAGCAGTAGCACGCTATCAGCGTTGGTCGACTGTCTGAGGTAAATAGCCTGCGACGCTGGCCTTGAACTACGCAAGCAACAATCCACGTGCGTTCACACGCAGCGTACGCTATGATGAAAGGCGCTGCATGAAATGACTCTAATACACAAATGGAAGAGATCCATGAACTACAGTGCACAACAGCTTGTCAATTCGCCAGGCAAACCATTGAAAGTCACCGTTTGTAAGATGATATCCAGCTGGAAACTCCTCGGCCGAGCTAACAGGCGCACTTTGATCGGGACAGAACGATGGAATGCACAATAGACGGAACCTGCAGGGATACGAATCGATATGCCTCGTGACGCTGAGGGGACTCCGAGGAGTGCACTTTGAAGTAGATCAGCTGCGTGTGGTTCGTTCGATCGAATTCCCCATTTCTTTTAATATCAGCGCAAGCATACATCTAGTTTCGACGGAGCTGACTCCGTTGACATTGGCAGGGTGAAGATGAACAAACATATTGAGATGAACACGGCGAACACGAACACGAATACGGGTCGCGCAACTCACCGGTAATGGAACGGCCCGAAGCCTCACCGCCACTGTTCCGATCCCGCAAAACCATTCAGGAGCGGTACCCAGAACCAGATGTCGGCAAACTGCTTGCGTAGAGGAGCTGACGAGAGCATCAGCATCCAGCAAGCATAACTTTAGCACGTCGATCCCACCATTTTCCCACCTGTAGGAACGGATGCAGTTGTGCTCAACCAGGTGTCTGGAGCAGGATGAGCTGAGGTCTGCAAGGATTCTTGTAAGGATTCTTGTAAGGAACAGTACATTAGCGTGGTCTGGGACCGGTTCTCTTCTCGAATACATGATGCAATGCGGACGTCCTCAGGTTTCAAGAGTTTTCGGCTGGACGACCTCTATTCGGTGTAGACGCATTTTAACGTTCAGAAGACCGCTTACCGTACAGAGTAGGTAGCCCAAGATGCCGTTGAGCGTCGAGGATTCAGCTATCCAAAGCGTTGCGCAACGTACGCCATCGCTCCCGTCAAAAGTCTAAAAACATAAAGTCCTAGAACTTCTAGAACAGCCAGCCGAGTCTATAATGCATCCTTCAATATTGTTGGGTCGATACAATATCCGACGCTAAAGACTTGTACGCGAACCCGAGCGCGGACCCATGTCGCTCCTTCGTGACGCCCTTTGCATGGTGTTTCCCAAATCGTCGACCTGCATGACATCTGCGGGTGCTTTGTTTGAGGTTGTAGAAAAGGCAATCCGGCATCATTGCACGGTATGTCTTGGGCATGCCGACGGACTGATACTTAGGGGTAAAGCAAGGCGGTGAATGTCAGCTTTCAGCTTGTCAGAAGGGAAGCAAAGTGGAAGGAACCGAGATGTTCTTCACCTGCAGCGATCCGTTTCTAGAAGTATAACGACACATTCCCCATTCCTCCGCAGGCTAGACGCGATAGTTGATATGCAGTACGGTTACACGAGTGGCGTATGAAGCTCTCGGTGCGCGTTCGGAAACGTCACTTGATAGGTCTCGGACAGATGACACATGCAACTGCGCGCATCACCGTTCACTGAGTGTTCGGCGGTTGAAGCGCGAAGAAGAAACGCACCGACGGAGGCTTTGCGAAAAAGCAAGTGAGGTGACCAAATACCTAATCAAGTATGAATTGATGGCACGTGTAACGGATCTGTCTTCGCAGCCAGTATTACTGTAAGGCCTGAACACTTCCAAGCAGAAGCGTGTCGCGTGGCAGCTGAAGGCGCTTGCAAGAATCGAGAAGGTGTTGTGTAACATAAAGTGCGCATGGCTGCGCGCAGGATGACTTGCTTGACTAGGGAGCGGATCCGCCCGCACGGGATACTCTTGTACATGCGTATGCAAGGTGAGGGATGTCAACAATGTTTAGGACGATGATCTTCAGGCCCTCAAACTTACCAACACCCAGGTCACTTGACGTAGCTGTTGCTACTGCAAGCATTCCAACTGCAGCGAATCCTTATGGTTTCCAGATGATGAATAAGGCGACACGTACGACTCTGACATGACCTTGCAAACCAAGATGCAGTCCCACATGTTGTAGACCCTCGGCCCGAGTTCACCCTTCGCAGATCGGGCTCCACGCAGCGGTGCGTCTGCACATGACACGCAACGTACGCTAAAGCCCATGCTGACTTGGTCGGGACTCGTGCGTGTGCTGGAGACGAGTCATGCCAGAGCGTTGATGATGGAAGCTTAGAATATGCTGTTGTGGCGGCGGGGAGGATCCAAGACAGATGATCAGGATGGTGCCAAAAACTTCTTTTGTTAGCGCAATCCTGTGATTGAACTCTAGCCAGCTCCGCTCAGTGTTCCCATGGCTCTACCTCGGTAGTTTTCTGAGAAGCGCACAAGCTATTCCCCTAGCTACAGTCTAAACCTTTTCCTAACACTTTCCCCGACAGCGGGCGAACGATACGAACTGCCGGAAGACTACCCCAGGCCCCGGACGACACGACATCGATGGCCCGGTCAAACGGTCGCTGGGATTCATGGTCTCGTCTGGTGCGACGTGTTCCGAATTGATTGAGGGGCTCTGATTAAACGAATCTATTAAGGTTTCGCGCATTGCCTTTACACGAACGAGGGTTCGCAGCTCGCTTGCTGGCGGAGATTAACGTTGACATAGGAAATTCATGTCCATGTCGTGGTGGAAGGGACGGTGCATCTGCAGGATCGCACGCTACCAATGTCCTCATCTCGTTGTCCGCCCGAGGCAGCCACCACGGCTACTTGGGTACCATGTGGACTTGCCCGGGAAGCGCAGTCATCGGCCACGTTCACGCGAACATTGTTCGGTGCATCAATCTCGCAAGATCGTCGCCAGCCTTGGTACAAGGATTTCGCACCTGCTGCACGAGATTCGGGGCGTCTTTGCTGCGCATCTGCCCCACATGTCGACCAGGCCCGAATCAGCAACACCGCCGCCCACCGGCTAACCTCGAGGCATCTGGCACACGACTCCACCCACCCACGACCACCATGGTGCCTCATACGCCGAGCTCCTCCACATGACGGCTGCGCTCGATGCCGAGGGTTGGTTGCGCGGCGACGGCCTCCTGCCACGGCGAAGCGAGATCAACGGCGCCTGTCAGGTCGCGTCGGTACCGACAGCAGGTGAAGCTAAGATCTGAACAGCAGAGGCGCCATCGACTCCCGAAACAGCGCGGGTGTCACCGGCGCTGCCGGCCGAGTCCGGGCGCCAGGCAACGCAAATCGCGCTACGGAATCGTCTCCGGAGGCAGCATCGGCCAAAACGAAAGACGCAACAATCGCCTGGGGAAAAGTCGCAACGTCAAGCAGGCGGCCCTTGTTTGTGCCATCTCTAGCATTTCCTCAACTATCGTACAAGCCTATTCCTGACCCTGTTCGCTGCCCGACTTCGCCATTCCAAAACATGCTCTACTCATACATGGGAGCCCGAAGATGGCAGGAATGGCGTGTTCCATGCCTGCCGCCGCGGAGAATCCGAGGAGAAATTGCAAGGGACGCAGGCGATAAATGCCGCCCATCGCGAAACTTGTAATGTCCAGGTGTCGATCCAATGACGACTTCGATTCCAACACATGCCTCCGTCCAGAAATGCTCCGATATTTTTTTTCCAATCCCATTCCCTCCTTCACCCTTGCTCCAATCCGAACCCAGAAATTACCCATGTGACCTTTACCCCAAACCTGAACGAAATATCGATATGAATTCAAGCAGAGCAACCGCGGACAATTCCGCCGAGGCCTGCGACCGAGGCCTGCCGTGGGGGCCTCTTCTCCGACGTGGACGCTGATGACAATGCCATCTTCCCAGCCTAAAAGTGGGACATGCCTTGGTGGCCGTATGCCATGGGCGGGGCGCCTTCCTCTTGAACCTGGCCCAGATGTCCTGGCTCCGTGTACCAGTGTCCACCAATTGCGCGGCTCTGTACTGGTCCCTCGTGTCCTGGATTTTGACTGCCTTGGTACGGATTCCAAGGCGGAGGGTAGTTGTATGCATTCCCAGATACAATGGGGGCCGACAGAGGGGCCGACGAGTGTGGTCCGATTGTATTCGAATGTATAGCAGCGGGGCTAGTGTCGATAGTAGTAGGAAACGGATAAGGCGCCGTGCGTCGGTATTCGTGAGGCGCAACGCCAAGAGGTTGGTTCTGGTAATGTTGGGGTAGACCTTCAATGTTGCCGTACGACATGGATCTACTCGGCGGCTGAAAGTTCGGGGGCGCCCAATTTTGATTGTCCTGATGGCTTCCATAGGACATTGTTGTCGCGGGTGTGTGCACCCCCGAAACATTCGATTCGCTGCCGAAAGCCGAGTTTGCGGTTGTAGGAGATGGACGCCAGTAGCCGGTAGAAGAAGAAGGGCTCTCCGAGACAGATGAAGATGGTAAAAAGCCAGTGCTCGGAGGCCACTGTGTGTCGATTGGTTGCGGGTAACCGTATCCAGGCTGCTGTACTGGCACTGTAGAGATCAGTGACATTGTACGAACATGGAAAATCGGCAAACTCACTTCCGCTTGTTGGGGTCATGTGGTGGGGTTCACTGTCGGATTCACTGTGAACTTCGTATCGAGACACAGAGTTTGTCGATAAAGTTCCTGGGAAGGGAGGGCGGAACTCATCCACCTTGCCTCCCAACACGGAGACGGGATGTCGTGGTGATGATGTGTTGGAAGATGTAGGCGCGACGATGCTCGCTTCTTTTGGTGCACCTGCTTGTGAACGAGATTGTTCGGGCGCCTGATCCACGGGGTAGAAGTTGCACTCTTTTTTCAAACGAATGCAGTTTGCGCAACGTCCAGTGACTTCGTCGTTGGCGACGAGGCATCTGATCTTCCTCCTGCGACAGTGTCCTGCATTGAGAGGTCAGTAACGCCATACCGGCGCAGTGCTGGCCGCGGTCTTGCTTACCGCAGGCGACTGATGTCCGATGGTAACCCAGCTTATTCCGTCGTTTGTCACCAGTAGGTGACAGCTCGCTGGACGTTCCAAGAGCTAGGTTGCGCATGTGCGGTGTCGATGAAGAACGTCTGATGACGGCAGTCTTGTCTTTTGAAGCGCGCCTCTTCTTGAGGAGCTGTTGCTGCGGTGAGGTTTCGGCGCCGGCCTGGTCGGTTTGCGCAGAGTAGTAGTCAGAGCGCTCATCCACGATTCCGGAAGTTGTTGTTTCTGGAACAGGAAAGCCCGCGCCAGAAGATTGGGCCAGAGGATCGTAGGACATTGCGTTACCGACGGGCTGCAAAAGCAAGGCGTGGTCCAGCTTGGCTGCAACTGTCTTCGCACGGCGGTCCACCCCGACAGCCATAAGAGGCACAGAGTAGTATCGCGCGCAGAGAATCGATCTACGAGAGTCGATACAGCATTGAAGGGTCCTGCAGATATCAGCATGGAGGTCCGAACTAAGACGGACCGATCCCCGCCATGCGACAAGGTGGTACACATACCCACGCTGTCAGGTGCGGAAGTATTCCCAAACGTTGGAGCCCGCACCACCAGATGCTGGCTGCAGTGGGGAATCACCGACAAGCACAGTGACGCGCAACTCGGCAGCGCATGAGAAGTTGGTGGGCAGGTTGCAGTGAATGGCCAGGATCAGGGAGGGTCGAGGAGCCCGGTAGAGCGGCAACGGTGAATGGTGATTAGGAAGAGGCAGTGAGGCACCTAGGCACGGTACCAGTTCACGTTCGGGGCACACAGGCAGCACCCACCACCGCAGGGAGGCTACGGAGGCTCATTCGCAATTGACAAACGAGCGAGCCAAAGAAAAAGAGGCGGCGGAAGGCGAGGATTAGAGCACGGAGAATGAATTTTGGGCGACGCTGTTTGGCTGAGTGTCTCGAGTGATTAAAAGTGGCGAAGGACAAGCAGCACACACGCTATTTCCACAACGGGCCACTTGCGCCTGAGCAGGCATTCACCAGCAGGCATGCAGGCGTGCAGGCATCTCAGGCACCCTAGACTCCATGGCTTGGCCTGGCAGGACGATCTTGCGCCGCTCTGGAAGGAGTGTGCGCACCCTGCGCTGTTGGAGGCGCCGCAGGAGCCAACTGATGTGCGGGATGGATGAAGACCAGCACGGGCGTTCTGGAAGAGGGCACACGGCGCGCGCTGGTCCGAACTTCGGAGAAGGCCCACCATGGGCGGTGCGTGGAGGCGGTGGTCTGGCTGTCACCGAGCGGCGGACTGGCGCGGTGGAGCGCAGCCGCGGCGTCAGAGGCTGTCTGCGAGGGCCGGCGGCTCTGGACGTGCTGGAGCCCCGACGCGCTGCTGCACACGAAGGCGTCGGAGAAGGAGGCAAATGAAGCGCCTTTGTGTGCGAACGACGGGCGCCGGGGGCAGGTGTGCAGGGGCGCTGCGAGTCTCCAACGGAGCGCGATGCGTGCCAGATGGGGGTTTGGAGACGGACGCAGGGCTGCCGACGGCGCCAAAGTTGACACGCTGGATGCGCGGAGGCGACGGCGTCTGCTGGCTCGGTCGACATGTCGCGCTGGCGCGATGGTGCCATCGCCATCGCCCTCGAGCAGGGGTCGGCCGGGGGAACGCCAGGCGCCGTCGTGGGCAGCGCATGCTGCGACAGAGGGCTGCAAGGAGCAGTCCTTCCCCACCGACCTCATCTCGCTACCACGGCGGCCACGCGCTCCAGGCTATCGCGCGCCGCCCGTTCAGGCTTCGCAGGCTCCGGAGCACGCGCCGCGTTGCACGGCAGACGTCGCGCGATGTCACCGGCGTGGAGCTCGATGCTGGACGCTGGACGCTGGACGCTGGAGCAGTCCCGGCACACGGGGACCATGCATACATTCACCCAAAAGTGTCCTCGCACGTGGTTGGCGCGGGGTCCGCACGTTCACCATGCCAGCCCCGTCCGGACATCCAGATGCAGATGCAGATGCAGATGCAGACGCAGACGCAGACGCAGACCTCTGTCGCTCCTCGTACGCCTCCGTCGCCCACGCCGCCCACCACCACGTCCTCCGCGCCTCCTGGTTTGCCCACGCGCTTTTGCTTCTTCTCAACCACCGCTCGGCGCCGCCCATCCCACGCAGGGCTCAAAGCCAAGGCTAGCCGCGGCCCACCTGCCATGTCCCTGCAGAGCAACCAACATCGCTTGGGTCGCTCACTGCACCAGAGTCCCGGGTACCGGCTTTGTGCCTCAGGAAACCAATTTCCAGAAGTGAGGCTCCTCGTCGTCTCTGGCTAAATCGCCATGGCGCTGCTTCCACAACGTGCATTCCCGATCGATCCGCATCGCCTAAGCCCTCGTGAACTGGGACTCCGCTGCTCACCACGCTTCGGCGGTACCTCTTCAGCGGACAGGACCGAGAGCCTGCCGAACCACCTTGCGAACGTGCTGCATGGATCGGTCCGGAGCTTCAATCTGCGCACAGTCGGCGCCGAGAAGCGATCCAAGCCCCAAGACGCCCAAAGACGCCCAAAGTCCCCCTTTCACTTCTTTTAGCCTCCGTCAGCATGTGATTGGCCCAAGAGCTTACCCCCAACGTTGGCGCACGAGGCGCTTCCCACGTTGAGGATGCATTTGCTAGACGCTGCTCGTAGCACAGCAACGAAGCCGTTATCGCCATACTACCATAAGGATCTGGCACCGTGGGATACGGTCCCTCTTAGCCACCTTCCCTAAGCAGTCGTCGGTACCTGCTCAGCAGGCCTTGCATATCAAGCTGTCGTCGATGAGCGCGATGCCTGCTACGCCCCGGCCGTGCTCATGTCACTATATTTTGTTTCGGTTCTATTGGCAGTTTTAGCCGTATCCCCATGGATGTGCCTATTGGGGAACAAGCGCCAGTGTCAGCATGGAAAACCACGTTGACACCAGCATTGCATTCCTGCACCACATTCCCGCACGATCCCCCTCCAATGCTCCGAGCTGTCAACAGCACTATCCGTACGACCGAGTGTGCCACGACGACGTTACTTTGGACTCGCCGCGTGCGTAATTGCAAATGCACCAGAACGTCTACGCCGCTGGCTCCGAAATGCTGACCGGTCGCATTTGTGCATTGAATCAATCTCTACACGCCTGCGGATTTAGATCATGTGCGGTACGTGCACTGCGCTGACCCATGTCGACACGTTCATGCCTTCAAGCCGACTGTTCCACGAGCAATGCTCTTTTGCACTGGATGTTGGACAACTGCTATCACTTATCCAAGTCGCTGCATTCAATAATGCTCGCCCAAACGTTCAAAACATGGAACGTTTGCTCCGTGCATCCAGTGACCGCAAGCGTATACTTCAGTCAAAACTTACATACAGACCTTGAGCCGTTCAGACAAACCTTCAAACGAGTGGGAAGCTTGTCGTTATCATACTTCCACCGGAAGCATGGGCCGGTGCCAAACAACGTAATCCATTACGCAATACTACAGCACCTGCCGCCAACTCCTTCAGTGAGCAAATTGGGGCGCAAAAACTGCGTACTAGATTCCACGATCTGCGTTCAGAGAGAGATGGAGCACACGTCGACGCTGCGCTGCCACCGTTGGCTCTGGCTGCGGACGGAGGAGCTCATACGTCGTGTGTCACCTCTTCACGTGCATCGTGCACCAACGAAGGTGACACACTTGTAATACGAGCTCCTTCATACACTAACAGACGCCTTCCCCACCTTCAGTTCTCGCCCCGACTGCCCGAAAAGGCAGCCCCACCTTAGCGCGCCCAGGTCATCATTAAATACGCCGCAAGCCTACGACACGATACGACACTTGAAAGTTTGCGGATCACGTCGGAATATTGCCAGCACCGAGTATTACATCAATAGAACCTTGCAAACGTTGAGTGCATGTGCGGGGATCTGGACATCGACGTATCTTGGGACACCGTAATGGAATCTACAGGTATGCAAGGTACCAACAAGTACAATTTGCTCGCCTGGCTCATATTATTAAAGTTTGTTCGGCGCAGCAAAGAACATGACTGCGCCGCTCACATTCTCTGTGTTGATGTCCAATGCTCGCAGCGCCGGAGGATTGCCGCTCTCTGGCTCATAACCATTCGCCATGTCATTTTCGACGGTGGCAGTCCCATCAACTTGTTGGGAAGCCACGGGACTAACCGACGCCAGCACCAACGTGCCCACCACATGCGGTAGCATGGCAATTCCGGCTACCGTCTGGACATTTCGCGCGGAGTGGTCACACGAGCATCCTGTCCTACGAACCCTCCGCCTAACGGTTACACTAATGGTGGCTGTGCTCAGCCAGAGCCGGTTGCGAGAGCCGGTAGCGCAACCAGAGCCATGGAGAAGAGGGCTCACAAAAGTGCTTCTTTCAAGGTGAACAACTTTCGGTCAGTTTCGAACCGCACGACAGACTCTCGGAGCCTTTGATGAAAGCATGGCGGAACTGTCCAATTGCAAGCAGGTCCACGTTGTAGGCCACAAGTCTGTCCAGCTCCATGCATCAACATCAACCGACCGTTCATTAGCAAGGACGAACTTGCCACATACGAGCATTTTCAAATCTCGTCGCGCCATAGTCCACATCTATCAAGCGTTGACAGTAACCGACGTTTCGTGTCACCCCAACATCACCGGGAGATGCTTCGATAACGCCACAACCGCACAGCCCTGCAGATGTAGCACAGTCCCAAGTCTGAAGCGTGTCAGCTTTCGTTGTACGATCATGAAGAGAACATGTCGAGTCAACGCGTACGTTGTCTTGTTGAAACGACGACTCGAATTGAAAGTGTTGCGGTTGTGAAGACGGGGCTTACTAGCTTGACTACCTTCGTACGAATGCCTTTGGACCACTGTTAACGTGTACGCCAGCGCGATCGTCTCATGTATGAGCGGAGGTATCCGCCTCATACAGTTCGATTCTCCGGTATTGTGCAGTACCCGAATTCCCCGCTTTGCCTGCGCCAGAAACCACTGCGATGTCATGTGACGTAGTAGCTTCAGTTGCATGTCGTCATAGCGAATAGATCTGGTTCGATCTCTCACGCTTTGCCAATAGTGCTCTTAGCAGACCACCTTCGCGGGTGCAGCACTACCACACCAGTCATCAATACTCTGGAAATTGGTTGTCCTTCACCTTGCAGATCAGGGTGCGAACTACAACGCCAATCTCGTCCTTAAACAGAAGTAGGCGAAGTCGGAGACGTTCAGAACAAAGGCTATGTGTGGCTGTTGCCACACAATTCACTTTTCCCCGCTTTTGTTTTCCCCAAATCGCACTATTGTGGGGACTCCTCGGACCTCCGACGGCAGTTATCGATCTCAAACGTGGCAGCCGTGACCACGTGGAGATGGACCCCGAAATAAATTTGCTCACTTGTGAAAACTTAACAACAATGGACAAAGAATTCAACACGTGGAAAGTTTTCCCTGCCAATGAACGTTTTGACCACATCTGAACACGAAGTACAACAATCATCTTTAGCAACATGGTCTGATTTTGTAGGAAAGGCCTGGTAAGCTAGCTCGTCCGGTGAAGGAAGTGTTCTGAAGGGGTTCACTTGCCAATGACGGCTATCGGAGTTGACACTACTAGAAAACCGTATAGGCTACCATGCAATTTTCCCTCCAACTTGGTTGGCAAACAGCCTCCACAGACTAAAGATGCAAGTGTATGTGTTTCCACAAGGAGTAGGCCAAACTTACGCCCCGATTTTATTGGCCCGGTCGCAGTACTATGTAGTCTGTTCGCTTCAATGGCGTTCCCGATCGATAGACTCACTACAGTATCCGAATCAGGGAAGCAATAATGTCGAAACAGTGAACGAGTACATTGTCCAGAGCGAGAACTACCATGAATGCACAACATTCTCCATCCGAGCCATATTGCCTCGAACATGTTGAAAGCTAGTCACTACTAGCTTCGTGGTAGGACCGTTTCGCCACCCACCATCTCTCATCCCATTGCATCGGCCCGCTGTACAGTTTTGATCAACCAACACTAATCACCCAACACCCCGCTTCGTAAAGTGAAAATCCCATACCGACCGGATGAGGCTTAACCTGATTTTAAGAACTTTCCATCGACAACTTTGTGCATCAAGACCTAACGCTAATTCTCCGAATAACGGACCGAAGCGCTCTCCCTAAGCGCATCCCCTACGATCGTCTACCTCCACATACCTATATACGGCTAGCGCAGGGATACTTCGTACATAGATGTGCGTGGTTGATCATGTAATTTTGCAGTAACGTCTTTGAGTACCGTGGTGAAGTGCCGAAGCAGTAGTGAACTTTCCTATTTCTCGTTAGACTTCATATGACTTTTACACTAGGGGATAGAAGTGGGCGCCGATTGTTGTTGACACTCCACAGATTGTGAATCTGCTCGCTCGAACTGAGAATACGATCAAGATTTTCACCATCCAAGACATCAATCAACGTGAGGGAAAGTACGGAACTGTCGTCGCTAAGCGTCCTTGTGCGATTATACTGTGCTGACTGATGACTTACATGATGCAGAAGCGCGGCTCGCTCTTTGTTAACATCTCACTCGTGAAGGCAGCGGACCTGAACCACAGATGAGATGGTTGAGTCAATGTAGAAGTGTCCTTGGGGGGCCCGACGTGTATCCTGATTTGCTCAAGCTTCTTCGTTCTTTTTTCTTGATCATGATGGCATACTTTGACAAGACTTCACATCCTGGTCTGGTGAGCAAATTGACGCACCGGACATCGCATGATGTATATGAACAGAGTAACACAAGGGTTGATACTATATCCACGGTTGCAGGACATTGAACCAGGTCTGTATCGTAGTTTCCATGGAACCGCACGTCTTCTAACGACTTCATCGTCGCTCTTGCGGTGGCCCTTGAAGTTCAATGGTGCCTAGAAAACAATCTCGCTGTGGAAAGATGCTAGTGCTGAATATGTCAGCATTCAGTCAAAATCACAAAGGTCAACCCTACTTTGTTCGAATTTGCAGATGGTACAACCGGGTTTTAGCACACCTCTTGCCCCTATGATGTCGTAGGCTAGTACGAGGAGAAGATAATGGCCGTGAAAAATGACGGGGACGATGCGAAAGGGTTGAATGAAAGCTTATGAGGTGGCTTCAATCAAGGCTTGTGTGTTGGTGGTGGTGACTAAAGATGGTTTTGCTGCTGAAGTAGGAAGTTTGGTGTCTGAAACTTCTGTAAACATTATGTCGTCGAAGTATCGTTCGAGTGACAGACTGCCCCCCATATCATCATCGAGCACGTACTGAAGAGCGCCGTTCCAATGTTCGCGTAAGAAACATTATGCGCCTCTGAAGATCTACGGACCGTAACGTTCGATGTCTCTTTGGCTCACGGGGCCACCGTGCTATCTATTGTACAATAACCCAAATCGGCGAACGGAGTAGTGTTGAGGTAGGCATGCGTGTATGAGATATTTCCGTAAGTAGAAGCCAGAGTTACTAGATCGCTGTGGAACGATTGTATTATTGTGGTAAGGTACAATGCATGAATAATGCCTCCGGAAGCCGACGTGAACACCGATGCATTCGTTACCTTCCACCTGCCAATCAACGTCTTTTTTGCTCTAGCCTTTGGAGACCGAGAATTATGCATTCGAGTCCATTACTATCGAATCGATGCTTGTCCAGAGGTTAGTTAGTCAACCGGCAGCCTGGGCATGGCTTCGCCCCGAGATTTTGAGTGATACGCATATCCCACGTATAGCTCTGCAAACACGTCAATCGTTGTTATTACGAGCCGGTTATGAAAGACATATATGGCCGCTCTGCTTTGCGTGGAGCGGCAAGTTGCACAGTGCTTGGATGTATAAAGACTTTGGAAGCTCACGACCACTCCACGAAATCGCATCTTTGGGATGTGGGTGTTGTACTGTAGATATGGTTCATAAGAGGTGATATAATATGTGCATTCATGCTAAGAAGCGCGCATGACTTCGTCAATGAAGCAAGGGGAGCCATATCACTTTTGCATCAGCGTCGAAACATTTTCAGCCGTGTGCTTCGATCTGCGACATCTCTAGAACGACACTGTAGCGATCGCAGGTCTTTGAGGATCTCCTATTACAACCTTCCACCGATTCGTCGCTGTTTATGGAATTGTCGAACTTCTTTGTTCCTTTCCGTCAACCGAACATGTGTCCTTTACAGGAGTGGGAAGGCCGGAAACTACGGCATGGAAGATTAGGGCAGAAGTAAAGGGGCCAGGAGTATTAGAACGATCCTACAATGAGTCAACGATGCACATTTGTGGGGAATGGGATCACCTAAGTACTGTTGTAGAGAAGGGTTTAGGTGTTGAGATCGGCCGAGGGAGATGCACTTAACGCATCAAGGCTAGTCCATTGAGTAGCGCAAAAGGATGTGCCCCTCCGAAGGCGGCCAGGCTCGTCATCCGCATAAATTATCCGGACTACACCAGAAGACTCACCATTCAATTTACTGATCGGACGTTCTCATTCCTGCGCACGCGACGTGACTCATTGCCGTCTGAGCTCGTATAAAGCGTCTCTCTCAGAGCAATCGCTCTTCCTACTTGTCTCTATCTCTCAATAGCAGAAAATTACCCCACCATGGACGCCATCAAGAAGACTTTCGCGCAATGCAAGAAAGAGGGCAGGGTATGGAATTGACACGTATACAATGCTATTGGGTACTGACTCTAGCTGTAGTCTGCACTCGTCACGTATGTGACTGCAGGCTTCCCCACCGCCCAGGAAACGCCTGATATCATGCTTGGAATGGAAGCAGGTGGCGCTGGTAGGTTCTAAACGCCCACAATTGCCGCAGAACGGCGCAGTTGACTGAAGCAGATGTCATTGAGCTTGGAATGCCTTTCACGGACCCCATTGCGGACGGTCCCACGATTCAGAAAGCCAACACCGTACGTTGAATCCTTCGCCACGCGCACCCCTTCGAAACTGGCTGACGGCCGATATTGTAGCAAGCCCTCAAAAATGGCGTCAACACGACCGAAGTGCTCCAGATGGTCCGAGATGCAAGGAAGCGTGGCCTCAAGGCACCGGTTATGTTGATGGGATACTACAACCCGCTGCTGAGCTATGGCGAAGAACGCATGCTGCAGGATGCGAAAGAGGCAGGCGCCAACGGCTTCATCATCGTAGATCTTCCTCCCGAGGAAGCCTTACGCTTCAGGAACTTCTGCCGCAGCTACGGGTACATGGAGTGGCACGCTATATGAATAAGGATATGCTAACGCTAGAAACAGGTTATCTTACGTTCCCCTCATCGCTCCCGCCACGTCCGAACAGCGTATGCGTGTCCTTTGCAAAATCGCCGATTCCTTCATCTACGTCGTCTCACGCATGGGCGTTACTGGTGCTAGTGGCACCCTGAACGCTGCTCTTCCGCAATTGCTTGAACGAGTACATAAGTATTCCGGAAACATTCCCGCTGCGGTCGGATTCGGTGTCAGCACGCGCGACCACTTCTTGAGCGTCGGAAAAATCTCAGAGGGCGTTGTGATTGGTAGTCAGATCGTCAATGTGCTGGCTGAAGCCGCTCCTGGTGAGGGTGCCAAGGCGGTTGAAAAGTACTGCGACGAAATCTGTGGAAAGAGTAGCCGTATGAGCACAACTCGTGAAGTCGGAATCATTGAGACCATGGATGCCGCCAAGGAACCCAATGGTGTTCAAGTGGACAAGGTCATTACTGACGCGGATGTTCCCGAGGGTCCTGGACTCGCAGACCAGATGGAGGCTCTCAACACAGATATGGACAGCGGCGACGAAAGCGCGCTTCCAGCTCGATTTGGCGAGTTTGGCGGTCAGTACGTGCCAGAATCGCTTATGGATTGTCTCGCAGAGCTCGAAAAGGGGTTCAATGATGCGATCAACGATCCAAAGTTTTGGGAAGAGTACCGGTCCTACTTCGACTACATCGGACGTCCTGGGCATTTACATTTGGCCGAACGCCTCACAGAGCATGCTGGCGGTGCCAATATCTGGTTGAAGCGAGAGGACTTGAATCATACTGGCAGTCACAAGATCAACAATGCACTGGGACAGATCCTCGTTGCTAAGCGACTTGGAAAGACGGAGATTATCGCAGAGACTGGAGCCGGTCAGCACGGTGTTGCGACTGCTACCGTCTGTGCCAAGTTTGGCCTGAAGTGTACCATCTACATGGGTGCGGAGGATGTCAGGCGTCAGGCATTGAACGTCTTCCGCATCAAGTTACTCGGTGCTCAGGTCGTCGCTGTCGAAGCTGGTACTGCGACCCTGCGTGACGCGGTCAATGAGGCCATGCGGGCGTGGGTAGTTAAACTGGACACCACCCACTACCTCATTGGCTCGGCGATTGGTCCTCATCCCTTCCCTACGATTGTTCGCACGTTCCAATCCATCATTGGCAACGAGACCAAGCAGCAGATGCAAGAAAAGCGTGGCAAGTTGCCCGATGCGGTGGTTGCTTGTGTTGGTGGTGGAAGCAACGCTGTTGGAATGTTCTATCCTTTCTCCAAAGACCCGTCGGTTAAGCTTCTGGGTGTGGAAGCTGGTGGTGACGGTATCGACACCGACCGCCACAGTGCTACCTTGACCGGCGGCTCTAAGGGTGTGCTCCACGGTGTCCGCACCTACGTCCTCCAGAACAAGCACGGACAGATCACTGACACCCACTCTGTCTCTGCTGGTCTCGACTACCCTGGTGTAGGACCCGAGCTTGCTTCTTGGAAAGACAGCCAGCGTGCCAAGTTCGTCGCTGCTACTGACGCTGAGGCATTCATCGGCTTCCGTCTGATTTCGCAGCTTGAGGGTATCATCCCGGCACTTGAGTCTGCGCACGCAATCTGGGGAGCTCTTGAGCTGGCGAAGACGATGGAGAAGGATCAAGACATCGTCATCTGTCTGTCGGGCAGAGGTGACAAGGACGTGCAGAGCGTGGCCGACGAGCTGCCCAAGCTCGGCCCGCAGATCGGATGGGACCTCCGCTGTAAGTTCACACCGAGACCGTACTTGAGTAAGACTAACATGATGCAGTCTAAGCGTTCAGTGTCGTATCTAATGAAGGGGTTCGAGCCTCATAAGCAGGTAGATGCAAGCGTGTAGCAGCGTTAGATAGTGCAACCTCAATAGACGCATATTCTGGTTTTGGCTTGGCTCCTTTCTTCAATTCCTTCTTCGGGAGACACTGCGTGACGAGCTTTGCGTGCCGCGCGAGCGAGCAAGGGCAATGTCTGGGCGTCTTGGCTTCTCTATGCCTGACATGCATTGCCATCGAGCTAAAGTGACGTAACCGACGGCTATTGTGCTCATCGACGTTCAGCCATGTCGAAAGCTACGGGCGTGTGACCTGTGAAGTCTTGGGGGGTGCACCTTGCATAGGTAGTAGGCAGTAAAGTGGTGTAGGGCCGAGGAGCAGGGCCAACCGATCAGGCATGTGCGTGGTCGTGCGGGCGCGGCCGCCTGACAAGGAAGAGCCACAGTCTCGGAATCGTGAAGCGGAAGCGTGGTGCGCATCGTTCAGAACAGCAAAAAGCACTTCCAGCGCCCCGCTCCCGCCGCGCCCATCCACCACTGTCGCCTATCGCCAGCCGCCGCGCATGACCTTTGCGGGCCCGAACGATCCGCTGCTTCGTTCACATTTCGGCGCACACTGCCTAAGCAAACACGCTGGACCGCATCGCCCAGCACCTCGACGGCCCGAACCAAGACGCGTTTGAGCTCCAGGAGCTTCCCAATCGCACAGCCAACAGTCGGAAAGAACACAAGAGGGCGCGCAAGAGGCGGGAAAAGCTCGAGCGGCTTCGTGCGGCTGACGAGATGAAATTCTCGCACAGCCTGCAGTTCAATGCGGTGCCCGACTGGAGCAACCACTACATTGCCTACAGCAACCTCAAGAAGCTCATATACACGCTCGAAACACGTCTGAACCAGCAGAACACTCACGTCGATGCTGAATCCTCGCCGCTGCTGAACGGCGCCTCCGAAGACCCAGACAAGGCTTTTACACGTGCCTTGGACGTTGAGCTTGAGAAGGTCATCTCCTTCTACCAGATCAAGGAGAGCGAGGTCTATGGCGAGGTTGAAGATATACTGCAGGATGAGGAAACCTATGAGGACGAGCAGGAAGTGTACGAACAGGAACGGGAGGGCGCACCGCAGGGCAAGAAGGCCCGCAGCGGGAGCATTTTCAAGAACATTGGTTTCAACCGCGCACGTGGTGGCAGCACAAACAGCAAGGCCTCTACCATAACCGAAGAAGACGAGGACTCGGACGACGGTGCGAACGAGACGTCCTTGCTGCGGAGGAGAAGCGAGGATGGACACCGGCCGCGGCGAGCCTCCACCGACAATTATGCTTCGGCAGAGGTTGCCTCGTCCCGCCGAAGGACCAGCCAGGCCTTTGAAGACTACAACGACATGTCGTTCTCGGTTCTCTACGACAAGGGCGTATCGCTCAAGCAACGTACCGTCAGCATCTACGTGTCCTTGTGCGAGCTACGGTCGTTCCTGCAGCTTAACAAAACCGGATTCGAAAAGGTTCTGAAGAAGTACGACAAGATTATGGACCGAAAGCTCAAGCGCGCGTACCTCGAAGAACACGTTTATCCCGCAGAGCCTTTTCAGAAAAGCACAATGAACAAGCTTACGCAGAACCTCTCCCGTATCGAAATCATCTATTCGCGCATATGTACAAAAGGGGATGTGGACGAAGCGAAGCGGGAACTGAGGTTGCATTTGCGGGAGCACGTTGTGTGGGAGCGCAACACGGTCTGGCGTGAGATGATTGGTATCGAGCGCAAAGCGCAAAGTGCGAATATTGGACTTAGTCAATTGCTCGGGCGTGATTCTGATCCGAACAAGGTTCGCCGCCAAGGTGACGATGTTCACGCTGACATCGCCGAGCTCAAGACGCCCATCGGAAGATATAGATGCCCTGCATGGTTGCTAAGCTCCCAGTTCTGGGTCGGCATCCTCATCCTTGCCATCTTCATTGTATTGTTGGTGGTGCCCATCATGGAGAAACCAGAACAGCAAAACTGTCTGGCTATGGTGATATTCGTCAGCTTGCTGTGGGCTACGGAGGTAGGTACCTATGAACTTGGCGTTGATCATCACTAATACTAGCAGACAATCCCTCTCTTCGTTACCTCTCTTCTTGTACCCTTCCTAGCCGTCACTCTTCGAGTCGTCCGGAACGATGACACTGGCAAGCGTCTTGAGACAAAACCCGCAACGAGCTATGTCTTTGCTGCCATGTGGACGCCTGTGATCATGCTTCTCCTGGGTGGCTTCACCATAGCAGCAGCCTTATCCAAGTACAATATTGCCAAAATTATGGCCACCTTCGTGCTCAGCAAAGCTGGGACGAAGCCCCGTACTGTGCTGATCACTAACATGTTCGTTGCCATGTTTGCCAGCATGTGGATTAGCAATGTTGCTGCGCCTGTTCTTTGCTTCTCTATCATTCAAGTAAGTTACCACCAAATGTGACTAGAAATCTCTAACGTATCAGCCCATACTCCGCAATCTACCTTCCGACTCCAACATGACCAAAGCGCTCCTCCTCGGTATCGCACTCGCTTCCAACATGGGCGGCGCAGCTTCCCCAATCGCCTCACCACAGAACCTTATAGCCCTGCAGAATATGGCTCCAGAACCATCCTGGGGCATATGGTTCTTCATCGCGCTCCCCGTCTGCATCATCTCTATCCTTCTCATATGGCTACTCCTGCTTGTGACCTTCCAGCCGGGGCGGAATACCACCATCGTGCCGATCAAACCCGTTAAGGATAAATTCACCGCCACGCAATGGTTCATCTGCATCGTTACCCTCGCCACTATCGCCCTTTGGTGCGTCAGCCACCAGCTCGAGCCTGTCTTTGGCGACATGGGCGTCATTGCCATCATCCCCATCGTGCTCTTCTTCGGCACTGGTATCCTCAACAAAGAAGACTTTAACAACTTCCTGTGGACTATCATCATACTCGCTGCTGGTGGTCTATCCCTCGGCAAAGCGGTCAACTCTTCAGGTCTACTGCACACTATCGCAGAGTCCATCACGAGTAGCGTAGATGGCATGAGCTTGTACGGCGTTCTCATCGTCTTCGCCGGACTCATCTTAGTGGTGGCGACATTCATCAGTCATACTGTTGCTGCTTTGATCGTGCTGCCGCTTGTGCAGCAGGTTGGGCAGGGCATGGCGGAGCCGCATCCGAATCTTCTTGTCATGGGTAGCGTGCTCATGGCTAGTGCGGCTATGGGATTGCCAACGAGTGGATTTCCGAATATGAGTAAGTCATCTTCAGATGCCCTAAGATTTGACCACGTAGAGCTAATTGGTGAACAGCTGCCATCATGATGGAAGACCAACGCACTGGACAACGCTACCTCGACGTCAAACACTTCCTCACTCGCGGCATTCCTGCCTCGCTCATCGCCTTCGTCGTTGTCATTACTGTTGGATATGGATTGATGCTTGCTGCGGACTTCTGATCTCGTTTTTGTATATACCATACTATTAACGCATGTAGGTTATCCGACGGATCTGCGAGCTTTGTTTCAAGCGATTTACATGCATCAGCCGGCGTAAAAGGATGTTTTCGAGATTGATGAGACACAGTACCTCTAGAGAGCTGGATCTGGGATTTGTATGGTAGAGAGTTGTAACCAGATGGCAACACTTGCATAAGAATGCATTCGCGGTTTTCCTCCCATTCTACTGCTTTTCCGATTGTTCACGCAATATAGTAGTACCCAAAGTCCGTCTCTTCGTCCGCCAGATGCGTTGGAATTATTCAGCTACCCAGAGGTTGATGGTGGTCGCGCTCTGGTCAACTCGCTTCTGCGTAAAGTGCCACCACCCAATATCTACGTAGCGCAGTAGGATTCGACGCTAGCGATGATTTCCAAACTGCGTTAGCACACCTAACGAACACAGCCAGGCACCGTGTATCAACAATGACAATTACGCCTGTGCGCAGGATGGAGATTGCGGAGGCTAGTGTAGTCCGGGTTTTCACCGACAGTGCCTCAATTAAGCCCAGAGATCTTTCAGACCTTGCCCCTTCGAGCGAAGTCATTGCACACGGAGACGGACAGATCCTACCTTGAATGACATACTACTGACCTGAAGGCTTAGAAATGTGGACGGTTTGTCAGCGAGGCAGTTGCCGTATGGAGTTGTAGAAGATGGAGGTGAGTATAAAATTGACCTCTAGAGCCGCGCAGAAAAACATCACAGCAACAGGAGCGTCTTCAATATACAACTCAACACCAGACTTCAACAAAAGCTCGATCGAGCTTATAAATACTCCACCCTCCTTCCAAGATGCATTCCTTGGACACCCTGGCTATCCTAGCCCTCCTCCTCACCACCAGCCTCGCCCAACAAACCCGCACAGTCTTCCAGTTCCCCAAACCCACCTGGCTCGAAAACATCGCCACAACCCGCACTGGCCACCTGCTCACCGGTGTACTCAACAAAGCCCCCGCTGAACTACACATCGTCGACCCCTTCGGCACTTACGAGGCCTCATCAGCAAACGCAACACTCCTCCACTCCTTCCCTGGCGTCAACACCGTCTTCGGAATTTCAGAATACGCCCCCGACCTCTTCGCCGTCGCAACAGGGGACTACAGCCCGTCCACTGGCGCAACGAAAGGCACCTATGCCGTGTGGACCGTCGACATTTCACGTCCCGATGACACGAAAGTCCACAAGATCGCAGATCTGCCCAACATTGAAGTGATAAACGGCCTTGCCGCCCTTAACAAGGACGCCATCCTCCTCGCCGACAGCTTCGCCGGCACAGTAGTGCGGCTGGATGTTAAGACTGGGCGCTCACACACTGTCATCAATGATGGTAGCACTGCGTTCGCGGCACCGCTTGGCGTCAATGGTCTGAAGGTGTTGCATGCTACGAATCCGCCGACATTGTACTATACAAATTCGGGACTGAACGCTACGTTCAGCGCTCCTATTCATCCTACCACAGGCAAGCTTGATGGCAATGTGAGCATGCTTGCGAGCAATGAGAGTGTGCCCGACGACCTTGCTGTTACGGATGACGAGACGATGTTCTTTGCGAAGCCATACGCAGGAACACTGACCCGAGCCAAAGCCGGCGAAAAAGCTGTTGTCGTCGCTGGGTCGGTGGGGAGTCTGGAGCTTGGAGGCGTAACGAGCGCGACGTTGGGTAGGAGTTATAAGGACAGGGGTGTGGTGTATGTGGCTACGATGGGTGGATTCAATGCGGATGGGAGTTATGCTGAGGGTGGGAAGATTGTCGCGGTTGAGGTTGGGAATTGACTTGGTAGGTTTAGAGGGGTTGAGGAAAGGGTGGAGCAAAATGGTGGATGGTCGGAGTGGTCGCTGGGCATGCTTGATGGGTACTGGAATGAGTTGATATATTGAGTTTTTTCATCTTATTTTCATTAGATTTGTAGATATTTATATCACATGATGATATTCTCTTCCGAGCTAGCAGGCACCGAAGCAGAGACGCGGGACGCGATAGCGCAAGCACAAGCAGTCCTTGTGTACTGTCAACTTACCAGCTAGTTAGAGCTTGGCAGTTGTCAGACTCCTAATGTTGTCTCCGCTCCTAGTAACATGTCTGTTTAAGACCCTCGATGAGCTCCTATCGTATGTTCTCCTTGGACTCTTTCAAGGCTTGTCAAGACATGCAGCACTCATAATCTACCAGGCGTATGCTTGAACCGCGCCAACCGCGGATATGTGTAATCGTATGTACGTCCGTCTTGCACGTCAAGGATTTCTGTTGGTCCATCTTGACCTGTCCTGAATGTTCCATCTTGAGGTGATGAAGCACCTCGTATGATCCTAGAGCCTGTCAAAGTAGATCATGGGTGGCCTCGGCGACTAATAGTGACTTGCGGTTGCTGAGATTTCACTTTACCGTTCGGGCTGTGAGCCGTCGAACATGCACGACCAGCGACAGCTGAGGTCGCTTGTTAATGGTTGGCGCGTTGAGACTCTTTTTGGAACGTCGACAACAGGTTTGCGCGCTGTGTCTCAATGGTCTCGGGTTCGTCTTCGGTCAGGTCGATAACTGCACCATCATACTGTGGTATCGATTTTTGCTTTTGTTTCCCGGCAATCCGCGAGGCCTTTGCTGCAGCGCCAGGGGCCGCTGAGGCTGTTGGTACCAATTTTTCAGTCTGGGTGGGTGGCTGAAATGGTCCACTAACAAACGACCATGGTTTTCGCGGCTCATCCATTAGAATCTGCTTGTATCCTTGTCTGTTTGGCTGAGTGCATTGTTTCTTAGATGGGGTCGAAGCTTCCCTATTGGTCTGGACTGAGCACTGCCACGGGCCTTGCCTAAAAGGCGCTGGTGTTTGCGTAGTTACCGGAGAGGCTGTATCAGGCCTGAAAATAGACGGTGAAGCAGCCGTGATCTGAGGATTGAACGGCAGCATCGCCTGACTCGATGTCACCGGCACTGAAGTTCTCAAAGTAAGGCCCGAGCCCATCGGCGCGATTGGAGCACGATAAGTGTCGAGCGATGACCTCCGGTTTTGGCGCGCTTCTGCAGGCATGAAAGGGGGTGTTGAACCTGGCGTTGGTAACGGGTTGTTAGGAGGCGCGGCAATTCTAGATTCTTTAGCGGACGCCTGCCTCTTCATGTTGCGTGACGTTGAAGTCTTCGATGGTACAGGCCGTTGACGAGCCTTTTCAGGGGTGGAGGTGGCTACTGTAGCGTCGAGAGACGCAAACGGAGACAGCGCGCGAGCTTCGGTGGTGGGGGATGTAGGCCGTGAAGCCATCTCATGGGCATTCGATGCCAACGCGGAAGAGGCCGCTGAAGCTTGTGGCGCTGTGGTGCTGTTGTTAGAGCCTGTTCGTTGACGTTTGCTAGGGCGAGGCTCTGACAGATCTGGCTCTGGTTCTATAGTAGGCGCAGGGAAAACTCGGTCGCTTTTGGTGGTGACTGTTGTAAAGGTGTCTGAGTGTACCTGAATGTCAGTGTGCTCCGTGGGCTTAGGATTGACAACGATACTGTTGTCACCTCCAGCTCCAGGAAGAACTGTTGGCGGTTTCGTCCTCGCTGTAGGTCTTCCCTTCTTAGGACCTGATGCAACTAGTATCCGAGCAGACCCTGAATGTGGCGCCCGGGAGCCGGACTGTACTCGAGCCAACCTATCCTCTCCCGCGGGTCGAATCTTGTCTAGATCCCCGATGAAAGACCAAATGGCCTTCCACAAATAGTTGTTCATACGTAAATCGTTGAAGTTCGCGCGCAGGTTGTCGCGAAGGGATCGTATATCCTCAAGGAGAAGCCTATGATTGCGCGTCTCGGAGTGTACCGAGATGAGCACTGCGACCGCCACCATCTCTACAGGGGCGAAGGTCTGCACACCCTTAAGCCTCCTGTCCGCATTGGTGAAGGTATCTGAATCCAACTCGATGAGATCTTGCAAGGTTTTCCAAACGCTTGCCAGATGTGACTTGAGGTCATCATCGATGGAGTCCGTCTTCTTTAACAGTTTTGGCAGATGACTGTGGTTTGTTTTGTGAATCGGTATTCCATCCGCTGGGGTCGGATTTTGAACTTCCACTATCTGACTGAAGCATGAAAGCGTCAACTGGAAGTCCTTGGCTCGCATTCGATCCTTTTGAAGAGAGTATATGAGCGGAAAGTCGTTGCAAAAGTGTCGCGCTAGCTCTTGCCATGGACCCGATTGAGCACGCATTTTCTCGGCCGCTGATAATGGCATTCCCATCTGCACGCGGGCAAATAGATCTTCTTCCTGCTCTGGTCGGAGGTCCGTGTATTCGAATGTGACAAAGTCCTTGTTTAGAAATTCTTTCTGCGCAGCCTCTGTTAGGACGTTCTTATTCCTTCCCTGGACGTGTGCATTGCGGAACCACCATTTTTCACCGCGATGGTCTTGACAGGGGATTATTCCCTGCACAAAAGCCTTGACGGATGAGAGCCTTTGCTTTCCATCTACACAGACGAGATTGGATTTCCCGGTGTCTTGATTGGTTTGCCTATTTATGATGATCGGTGGAATATAGAAGTTCTCCATCAGGGAGTCAATTAGCTGCGACATTCGATCGGCCGTCCAGACGACCTCTCGTTGATAATCCGGGTTGACATCGATTTCGTTGTTGTTCATCGCATCTACAGTCGTTTAGCGTGTCCTCGATGAGAGCAAACAGATCGAAGCTCACTGATGAGGTATTTGATATCGCGGAGATATGTACCTGGCATCGCCAAGGGTGGCCGGGGCCTGTATTGACGATCATGCGTCCCTTCTTCGTCCTCATGCTGCCGCGTGTCAGTATCGAGGGCTGCGCAGGGCACAAATAATTTGCGCTTACCTTGATTGTCTCCATCCTGCCCGGTAATCCTTCTGTTGCTATGCAGCAATACAGTGGAGTGAGTAATTAGAATGCGCCGTGGCGCCCTGTTTGTCAGTGCCGTTTGTCACCAGTGGAGTGTGAAGCTGCCCGGGGGCCCAGGTGGTCATTTGATCATGTAATAAAAATTGCTCAACAATCTTTTTGGCTTTAGACACTATTTTATTTCTAGCTTAGCTCCAAACTGCTTTTCTTACTAAGGCTTTCAAAACAAGAGAAAATAGCTAGGAGACAGGCCTTTATATAGTGAAAGGAGAAGTGGGTTTGCACTTAGCGCTTCACTAACAGTAGCTGCAACCTTGATTGGCTGTAGTGGAGGATTGTGGCCAGCTTTGTCACACTGCATGCATGTCCTGTCACATGTGATATCCTTGCAGCTCTAGAGGTACTTGCTGCTTACTCATGCCACTGTTATGTACAAGTCGCAGTCTTCAATCAAACCGAACGTGATCTATTGCGAACACGAACACTGTCCGACTCGCAAACTCAAAATGTCACTAGACTGTACAGTAAGTATGATCGTCATTGATGGCGCAGGTCATTTCTATAGAAAGATAGGGTCCGAATGCTCCACGCAGGATCCTTGATGGGACCTCATACTGTGTAGACTCATGGACTACTTCTGCACCAAACTCTCATACTTGACTGGGGAGCGTTTGCCAGCCTCTCAGAACGAAGTGTAACTCCACAGCACCCTGTCATCTGTGTTACAAGGTATAGCTTCATCGGATCATGCTCAAGGCAGGCCAAAGCCCACAGGCACCTATTATTGTCTGGACTTGAGCTGCTAATCTTCATCGACCCTATGGAAGTCGGCCATACCCTCTTTCATCGCTTTGCATAAGTGAGCCCCCGCACGACCCAGCTCTCCCCCTCCTTTGGTCGATTGCTCGATACCTGCTGCAATTGCGCCCTCGGCCAACTCGTGGAACACCCTTTGACGATCTTCACGGTCCTCATACATTTCTGCCTCCTCGTCCCTCGTTGCGCCGTATAGATTGAGATGTGCAAATGCGCTCGATCGTTCCGAAAGCACGTGGTGCTCAGTCTGCCACAATGGAAAGTTACTGGTGCCAGCTCCGACTGCCACTATTTCTGTCGGTTGTATCAATCCGGCTCTGAGGAAAGTCGTCAACGTATTCATTTGCTTGGCTTGAACTTTGGCGTCGCTGGCTCCTCTGCCATAGGTTCTGATTGCGGACCACTTGTCTCCAACCTGAGTTTGCCAGCCCAGGAGGCTGAGGAAACATTTCAACGTCTTCGCCCATCCTCCTGCGCAACTGACGACTTCATCTCCAGCTACGCTAAGCAGCCACTCTAGCATATCCAGTGCGAAGGTTCGGATATCCGTGGATAGATGTGTAAGACCAGCACGAGTATGCAATAAAAGTGAGTCAGTGTGGCTGGCAATGTCCGTCTTGGGCAGGCTCTGGACGAGCTTGAGCATTTGCTGTCTGACACTGTTCGATCCATCTAGAACTAGTCGCTGAATAGCTGGGATGATGACTGAAGCTGGCTGTGGAAGGGGTGAACCTGGTGGATGGGTTGATATGACTGTCGTCAGATATGCAAGTGAATCACGCCTCTGTGCGTCAGATTTATGGTTGAGAAGAGAAATTTGATGTGCGCATTGTGCTTCCACGGTAGGCGCATTTGTCGAAAGTGATTGCTGTTTCAACGCGATAGCTATTGCAATGTAAGCGTAGTTAGGAAACATCCGAGCCCAAGGTTTTTTCTGCAGTCTCCAATGGGGGATTGACACAACGCACCTTTTGCTTTGAAACTTGTATCGGTAGAATTTGCCGCCTTCGGTTTTGTCTTCCCGACTTTGAGCTTTACTTTCTGGAAATCCTTCTTCTTTTCTTTCTTCTTCTTGGCGCTGGACCCCATTGCGCCTGTCAACCACTATCAAGATGTGTACTCCAAAGCTCTTGTAGGTGGATAATTCGCATGAATGCTACTTCAGCAGTTTTGGGGGGTTACATAAAGCGCTGGTGTGGAAGAGAAGCGCATGCGGCTACTCAAAAATTCACGACTTTCAGAACAATCTATACCTGATGAGGCGATAGCGTTGTGCAGTCTTGGCAACAGCCAGGGTGCTTGCTCAACACCAACAACTTTCTAATTTGCAAAACATCACACCGCTCGTCGATAGTGCTAGGCGCCTGCTCCGGAATCTCTCTGCGTGATCTGACACTTTGTCTATAACACCATTCTCGAGATGGCTGAGCACAGTGTACGCTTGCCCGAGCATACGTATCGCAAGCAGGAGCTGACATGATGCAGTCCGACGAGACTCTCGCCCACCTCACACGCATCAGTCAGAAGCCCGGAGTTCAGAGCACGCTTATTCTCTCACGAGAGAACGGAGCTATCGTGCGCACGTCAGGACTCATCTCGAAGTCGACTTCCGCAAACCCGAACAGCACATTGCCTGCATCGAACGAAACCGCGCCTGACGGCTACGCGAACGGCAAGAAGGATAGTGCCATACAAAGTGCAGAAGATGTCGCAAGCAAGGTCTGGGCCTTCCTCACTGCAGCCTGGAACCTAGTAGAAGGTTTGTACGAAGAGGACGAGGTCAAGCTTCTACGGTTGCGGACTAAAAAGAACGAGCTTGTTATAATACCTGGTGAGTGACACGATCGGTTGCTGTGCGCTCTCCTAAGCCAAAGCAGATGCAAAGTTCATTCTCGTTCTTGTACACGATACTCCACCTGCTTGAGCAGACCCATAGCGCATCCAAGTCCTCGCTAGTTCCTTAGACGATTGCCCGACACTCATCGACCCTCCTGAGCAGCCTCTCTGCTTCTCACCAATGCTTTTCACCGATGAGAACTTCGTTCACGTCGACAGTTCCCTTGAACCAACGCTCTGTCACATCATCAGTATTCGCACAATGCAGAGAAGGCAACTGCGCGAACCTGAGTCGCGAATTGCCACGTCGTTTCCACTCATCTGCCTTTTGCGCATCCGCCCGTCGTCCGCGAATGTCCAATCCTCGAGCCCGTAACAGCGCTTCCACTTCATGCCGTCGTGCGCATCCTGATACTCATACCAAAACTGGACGGCGATCTTATTGTCGGTGAAGGCGAAGAGCTCCTTTCGAAGACGGTAGTTCTTCTCCTTCTCCCATTTCTTCGTCAGAAACTCCTCAATAGCTGCGGTTCCGGTAAAGAAGACATCTCGATTGCGCCAGATGCCTAGACGCGCAGGTACGAAGTCAGTTTATTCAGAAAAGTGGGGATAGTACGAAGTGCTTATGTCTAAGACACATCGACTTCGTACCCGGGCAATACTTGCTAGCGGGGGTGTAGGCACCAGAAACCTTCTTCGGATCCCTACGGCTGTCAGTTCAAGGGAGCCAGGGGCAGGACATGACTTACTGGGTGTTCCACAAATCCTGCGCCTTCTTCACCTTTGCCTGCGCGCTTTCTTTGTTAAATGGCGGGTTAAGAGACATGGCGGGCTAGTGGGGAATGTCAGAGATGCTTCTTGGAGAACACATGGTGTTTTTCATCTAGCACTAGTAGCACGAGTGCTATACCAAAGCAAGTAAACTCAGGATAAGCGATTGATTCCTCACTTCATTCCTCTGCACATTGTTATTTAGAGCTGCAAAACCGTGACTGTTGACTTGCATGACGCCGGAACTGCACGGCTCTGTGGGAATCTACTCGGACCCATCACTGCTGCCGAGATTCGGACAGCTTCTGATGCGTTTGCGTAAGCTACACCCATATTTGGCAGGGGTGAGCTATTTGGAATCGGCGCCAAGAAAGGAAGCTAGCATTCCAGTTTCTTTCCTTATTGGAAGATGCCTCGGTGACGCGATACCCCGCGACGGGCAGTGGAGCTTTCTGATGCAAGCTGCCCCTCCGTGCCTGGCGCTTCACGACACAGCACCCAGATCCATACGCTTCATAAGCAGCTCTTTCTGCTCTTTTCACCTTTTACACATCCAGGAATCTTGTCTCCACACTCAACAACCATAATGGCACCTCTCAAAGTCGGCGACAGCTTCCCTGACGGCGTCAAGTTCGAGTAAGTGGTTTAGGACCCTGTTGGACGGGCTTCGTGTCGCAGGCTCTGGGTGAAGAATGCATGCTTATATGCTCATGATGGATGCAGATGGGCACCGATCACGGACAGCGACGCTACAGCTTGCGGCATTCCCCAAGAGTACGATGCGAGTAAGGAGTGGAAGGACAAGAAGGTCGTTCTCTTCAGTGTTCCCGGTACGCGACTGCACGCCCAGCATAGGAATTCGAACGAGCTGATTGTTTCCTGATAGGAGCCTTCACGCCTGGATGCCAGGCTCGCCACCTACCGCCGTACATCGAGAAGCTCAGCGAGTTCAAGAACAAGGGCGTAGACATCGTGGCCGTCATTGCAAGCAACGACTCTTGGGTCATGAACGCTTGGGGCAAGGTCAACGGCGTAAAGGGCGACGATATCCTGTTCCTCTCGGACACCAAGACCTTCTTCTCCAAGGAACACGGCTGGCCAGCTGGCATGGGTGACCGCAACGGTCGCTGGGCTATGGTCTTCGACCACGGCAAGGTTACATACGCTGAGAACGAGCCGTCTCCTAAGGATGTTTCTGTAAGCGCACTCTACCCTGCAAGCACATGTCCTGGCTAACAGCAGAAAGGTTTCTGGTGCCGAGGCCGTCCTTGCGAAGCTATAGTGCTATCACGTACACAACTCGAGCGGTCTCCGCCAGTGCATAAACGATTAGATATGCTCCGCCGAGTCTAGAGCAGGTACCATAAAGCAAACGAAATGATAGAACGACGCCGCTATTGAAAATTGTTCTTGAAGTGATTGCCATATGTGAGGCCTGTAGTGCTCTTTCTCGCCGTGTCTCGCCGTGTCAATACACAAACGGAATAAACTTCTTCGTTTTCTCACAGTACTCCATCCACTTCTGCCCAAACTCTTTTTGCATCATCCTTTCCTCCTCTTTGACTCTCTTGACCATGAACAACCAGATTGGCATGCTGAACCCAACAATGACTATCATGTAGCCAATCCGATCGTCCTCAACAAGCCTCTTGTCCACCAATGGCGCCCAGCAACTGGGCAGTCCACGTTGTCGAAAGAACAGTGAGTACATGGCCATCAATACAGCAAGAAGCCCTGTATAAGAGGGATGCCGCACATAAGCATACAGTCCGCTGGTAACAAGCTGGTCTGGCTTTGCTAGGCGGTACGTGAAATTGGTACCAAGTTCGGCATACGCGCTGAAACGGATGTAGCTGCCGGCGTACAACAGCGCTAGGGCTGCGAGAGTATGAGGCGACCACGTGAATAGATTGGGGTCCAAATATCGAGGCGTAGCACAGGTGCACTCTAACATAGCGTCAAAATGAGGCAGTGTCTTGGAGAATCTGGCTAGTGAGACCGTAGCATGGTGAACGGCTATCATGAGCGTGAGAATGCGTGCGAAGCCTGTGCCGAGAGGCGAGGCGACCATCCACATTAGCCATGATTCCGACTGGTTCCTGACTGTCTTGCTGCTTGGCTGGCGGAAGGAGAGCTGGATCAGGTAACCCGCGTGAAGTATAGTAAGAGTGTAATAGTTGAGGTAGCCGGCGTGGACGATGAACACGGCGCCGAGGACGGTGGAAATTTGCAATGCCATTGCGGTCTTTTCCGCGCTGGAGCTCATCTAAGTATTGGCACCTGGTCTGGTAGGCCCATATACTTCGTAGACGTATGGCCAAATTTCTAACAACCGGTGGAGGCTATTCCCCGTTTGGGACGCACGAGCAGGGGTGCACGTGTGGAGTGGATCATCCTACCTAGGTACCCTCCCCCCGCCCAATGAGTCTACAAGACAGTCAAGCATGACACAAAAGCGTACTTCTTTCGTATCTTGCTTGCTAATTCATTAACGAGCTCATTCGACTGGTTTTGCAAGAGTAGGGTCAGCTTAGCAATAACTAGCGAATACTTCTCTATCGAACGGTCCAATCAAAGAAGCTGATTCTTACGATCCTGGGTTGTATTCACGCTGAATGAAGGCCACATATGCGCCCGTTAACGCTTACGAGGCTTGCGCTGGCATTTCTATAACACCGGTCCATACCAGAATCTCGTCCGCCTTCGTCCTCCATGGGGCATCTACAGCGCGCTATGACATTCATTTGCAATCATCTGCCTGTCAGATCTATGGAAAGAAACAGCTTGAGACCACAAGTATGAGGATCCCCAGTTGCAAGACAGACATCAGAGACCATCGCAAGATCCCCCTCTACCGTCCTCTCGAGTCCCCATGGCTACAGTTCAAGATTCGTTCTTTGATTAGTCTCGCAGGTCAGCACGTCCTTAATCCCAAAGCTTCCCGACCGTCACCATGCGATTTACCTTCAGGTTAGCCCTTCCTCGCCTCTTGTCCGGCGTGACAGCGTTCGTCATCCCCAAGGACCAGCCCGATGGTGCCTACTTCGTGCATGTGGACCGCTCCGGGAACGAAATTCACTCACGCCTGCCTGGCGCTCCCGAGATTAGCACCCGCAATGCTAGCCCACTGGTCGCTCGTGCAGTTCAGACATACTGTGGCTGTGGTATTGGACTCAACAATAGCGATACTGATGCTGCCAACGCCGAACTGGTGAACAACATCCAACGCGGAACCCACGACGGTATATATTCAATCAAAGGCGTTACCGCTGCTTTTTTCTGCAATCTGTGCGGCGCGACAAACGTCTTCTCTGGCGGTGCTGTCGGCCAGCGCAACACTCAGATTCCTCGGTCGTGTAGGAGGTACATTACTGGGACATATGGAGAGCCTGGTAATTACGCTACAGGGTACATAAGGTCGGGGGAGAATGATGGAAATTTCTGTGACGCTGCCTTGGGTCTAGTAACCATTCTTGCTAAAGCTGGGGCGGTAGCGAGCGAGGTATTTGGGACGCTTGGGGGTCTCAGAGGAGTATGTTAATATGGAAGACCATGAGACACAGGGCTATCAACCGAGATTGGTGAGAAACATGACATATGTGCTACATACTATTCGATATGAAGAGTATAACCTATATCATCGATCTATCAGATTCAGCAAAAGGAAGGCCAATTTCCATGCACAGTGAGCAGAATGTCCGAATTGAGATCCGCAGCGTTAACGAAGAGAGACATGCTGTAGGCTCAGTGTGGTCTTCATCATGGGGAAATAGAAGATCAAGTGCTAAGGTGTGAACGTAAGGACACACCGGCACAAATGCACACGTGGTAGCGCGAGGTTCGAAAGTGACGTCATCGGCTCTGCCATCTTTTGCTTTCGCGCCGTCTCATTGCCTAAATCCATACTTTGGTCGCAGAAACAAACAAGATCAAGATTCCCATTCAATATTCGTTCGGGAGCTATTCCCTGCATCATGTCGCCAATCAAGTTGCAATCCTGGGGTTCCGGAGGCTATCGGGTGAACCAATACCGTGGGCTCTAACGAGGCGCGTACGCAACGTAGGTACCAGTTGATAGGTACCTTTACCCCTCCTCCTGGGCACAGCGCGCGAAGTGCGGAGAGGTTGCCAGTGCGGTGGCGCGTTCAAAACATCGACGCAGTCCGTTGCTATGACTGTCCATCCCTTGCTCACGCCCTCCTAATACTGCCCGATCTCTTCGAGGACAAACTCCTCACACTGTGTTCCTACACAGAACTTGGTATAAATATCCGAGCCATGACTTACAGCAGGAAACAGGTCGTGACAACTATTAGTGTTGTGGTAAGTTGCGAGCTCTGTTCAGCCTGATGACAAGACTAACGGAGTGCAGTATCTCATTCTCGTTACAGCACTTGCAGGGTGCAACTCACTAGAGAATATTCTCTCACTCTACAACTAACTTGTATTAGGTACGCTGCCTCGTTCGCGAACAAGCTCTCCCTGCCCATACCAGATGGACTGGCCCACGCGACTACAGTTCTCCCAATCGTCTCCGGCCTCCTCCTCCAAGTTGGCTACGATCTCACCCGTCGACAAGAGCGTCGCAAGCGGCTTAATCGCGGAGAGATTCAGCGCCCACCCCTCGTCATCATCGCGAACACGCTCATCTTCATCTATTCCACCGTCGTAATCACACTGCTTGGAACTTATGCAGCCCCACCCTCGGGTCTTGATTGTGGACTACGTGAGCGATGGGAGACCCTCTACCGACACAAATATGTAGAGGCCGTACGCACGATACAGGATGCTTTCATGTGTTGCGGCTTCAAGAATTCTCGAGGTACGCAATGTCGGGGTACAAAGTGGGTGTTCATGCTGGGCGATTGTCTAAGACCCCGAGCGTTACACTTCTAAGTCTGAAACTGTCAGACATTAGCAGCTGGCCAGAACACCTACTTCACCCACTTTCCTGCTTGCTGAACATTACACTGACTTTGTACCCCCACCTTTAGATATGGCATGGCCCTTTCCGGACAAGACACATAAAGCCACGGCTTGTGAAGAAGCATTTGGGCACACAAATGGCTGTCTGGGTCCATGGAAAAGCGAGGAGCAACGAATGGCAGGCATTCTTATGGCAGTCGTAGCGTTGGTGTTTATGTGGCAGGTCAGTCACTATTACTACTTTACTGCTTTCGTCCCCGTCACTGACAATAACAAGTTCGCTATCATTGCCATACCTACGCAACGAGAGACTTGGCTACATAGTGTGGTTCCTGATAGAGTCTCTCGCATGATCGCAGATGAGGAACATACTGGTAACGATGGCCCCCACCGAGCAATCGATTACTTGCCCAATTTCAATCAGTACTCAGATCGAGTAGAAGAAGACAACAGCGATGGCGACGTCGAGAACGGAGCGCGCAAGGCCATCGAATCGAGCACTGAGCATGCGGAGAACGTGTTCCCAGGTAGGAGCGATGATGGAGGACAAGAGCGTGGGCCTCTGGAGAACGAATGGCTACGATCTTCAGACTAAGCACCAATCTAGTGCGAGCGACACTTTGAGTTCTGCAATAGCGTCTCTGAAGCGGGAGTCGCATTAACGAAATCCTAATGTTGATGATGGAAATGACAAATTGGATAACGGGATATCATCTGGTGATTGAAGATGGCGGGTTTTAACGGTCTCAGCATTTCAGCAGTCACGAAGAATAGCGTCTTTTTCCAGCAAATTGGGTCTCCATGACAAAATTGAGGGTCTTCCATCCCGCCTTCGTCCTCGTCGATATTCCATAGGTTCCACAATTCAGTAGGCGAAACGATTTAGGGGTCTCATTCATTTCGCCGGCCTGTCCTTGTTCTCCTCTCTTCGTCACTGGAAACCGTGCTCCCGTCCACATATGGCTTCACTCGCAACGATCTTCTGTGCCCGGCTTCGTGTTCTGCTCTATATGATCTTCCGATACTGATATACTATCTATCCTCCTGTTGGACCAATAAGTTCATCATACGGAAGTGTGGGTGGGTTCAGACTGTGGCTATGCGGGATGGCAGCCTGACAGGTACGATCGTACGATTTGAAGAAAATATGAGCGCATGACATAGACTCCGATAGCCCGTTGCATGCGGCTCTGGTTGCCGACAAACGGTTCCTGGACATGGCAAAACATCAAATGCGAATGGTCTCGGCAAGTTCATCAGGATGGGGCAGTTGTCGTATAGTTCGCATCCACACTGGACACCATCTAGAGGAAGGATATGCACAGTACCAGAATGATGTTTGAAGGTACGAAAGAGCTAACGAACGGTATGCAAGATATAGCTAAGGCGTCCAGATGCGAAAATAGAAGCAACCAGAAGAAACACTCTGCGAAGAGAGATGTATATTGCCTTTGTCGCTGGAAAAGGTCCATCTTTGCTTGGATAAACTCGATGGAGTACTCATTGCTTTTGAAGAGAGCCTGCCGCTGTTGCATAGGTAACTTCTTCCGTGGTCGTTCTTGCCCGAAAGGATTGTGATGCGTTGATTGCGTGTAAAAGGCTATTTTTGTACCTCGTGAATGTATCGAATCTCGCTGATGTGCAGAAAACACATAGCCGACTTGGTTGTGAAAATGGCTAGGCTCGGTTACTTGCTGCGAGCCTGCTCCAAACAAGTCATTTCCGATTGGTCGAGTCAGCTGTTCCTGGCGTCACCCCACAAAACACCCACATCATCCTATGTCCACTTACTTCTAAGCCGTACAGCAACGCAGACTGTTTCTACCCATACAATTGATGGCATTTGAAGGAGTTTCCAGCCTTTCCTCGTATAACTCAGTGCTGTTTCGTCCTGCCATGTGTTTACGATAGCACGGACATATGCGCAACCTAAGAAGCCGAGGATCAGAAAGGAGGGGCTTCGATTACCTTGAGTAGCTCATATTTAGCGCCGTCCTTCTAGGCTTGTTTCCTTTCCATCGTGTCGTCTTAGATTTAGGCATCCGAGCCTCGTTGTCAGTCGCAATGCGTTCTTCTGTGAGGGCAGTACAACGTCAAAAGCTTGGCGCCCGAAGCTCTTTCTTAAGCAAAAGACCGGGATCCATCTACCATCAACGTGGACTTGCCACCGGCCTGGATGGGAAAAGGCTGACAGTTATTGACCATCATTACGAGTAAGCTATTTCGACTTCAATTGCCACGGACGAAAGCTGAGGTCGCCAGTGCAATTGTTGTTGGTGCGGGTGGCGCTGGGTTGCGTGCAGCAGTAGGCCTCACTGAGGCCAATTTGAACACAGCATGCATCTCGAAGCTCTTCCCAACGCGTTCGCATACTGTGGCTGCGCAAGGCGGTATTGAAAACCAAGTGCGATTAAACCGATTCATAAGCTAACATCAGCAGGAATCAATGCTGCTCTTGGGAATATGACCGAAGATGACTGGAGATGGCACATGTATGACACAGTCAAAGGTTCGGACTGGCTTGGGGACCAAGATGCGATCCATTACATGACAAAAGAAGCGATACCGGCGGTCGTCGAGCTTGAAAACTATGGGATGCCTTTCTCGCGAACATCTGAGGGCACCATCTACCAGCGAGCACTTGGCGGGCAATCGTTGAATTACGGCACAGGTGGCCAGGCATATCGAACCGCATGCGCTGCTGACCGAACAGGCCACGCGATGCTTCACACTCTCTATGGCCAGAGTTTGAAGCATGGTGTGCAATTCTTCATCGAGTACTTCGCCTTGGATCTGATGATGGAAGATGGTAAATGTGTCGGGATTACGGCCCTGAACATGGAAGACGGGACATGTCATCGTATGTTTGCGAGGAACACTGTTCTGGCAACTGGCGGTAAGTACATATTAGAGATGAGACTCCGATCACATCGGCTGATAACCGCAGGCTATGGCAGAGTATACTTCTCCGCAACGAGTGCCCACACGAGCACTGGTGACGGTAATGCCATGGTTGCTAGGGCCGGCCTGCCCCTTCAGGACATGGAATTTGTACAATTTCGCAAGTCTCCCCAGCACAAAGTAGATACGTTCTTTCCGCCAAGCGAAAGAAAGCCCATCTTTATTCACTTATGACACAAAAGAAAAATGCTACCTCCGCTTAGCCAAAATACAAAGCAATGTACCATCCCCACTTCTATGAACTATCACTGACTTTGTACCTTCGGGTTTGGCAGACCCTTCTGGGATTTATGGCGCCGGTGTTAGTGCCCATCTTCGCTTCAATTTGCTTCTATCGACTAACGAAATGCAGGTCCTCATCACAGAAGGAGCGCGTGGCGAGGGAGGCTACCTTCTCAATCGGGAAGGTGAACGTTTCATGGAGCGGTACGCACCAACAGCGAAAGACCTTGCAAGCCGAGACGTTGTTTCACGCAGCATGAACTTGGAGATAATGCAAGGACGAGGCTGTGGACCCGAAAAAGACCATATCTACCTGCAGCTCTCTCACATACCGAAAGATATCATCATGGAGCGACTACCAGGTATCGCTGAAACTGCGGCGATCTTTGCCGGCATAAATATTACGAAAGAGCCTATCCCTGTTCTACCGACAGTGCATTACTGCATGGGTGGAGTGCCGACCAATTTCAAGGGACAAGTTCTGAACGTACGAAACGGGAAGGAGACAGTGGTGGATGGACTGTATGCGGCGGGCGAAGTCGCCTGTGTCAGCGTACATGGTGCCAACAGGCTTGGTGCGAACTCACTTCTTGATATCGTTGTGTTTGTAAGCGCACATGATCCTTAGCATCTTGCGGAGACGCCACCACTCACACTGGACAGGGTCGAGCGACTGCATTACATATAGCAGAGAACTTTGCGCCATCAGCATCTCATCACACCGCCCCAGCGGACGTCGGATTGGATTCACTTCGAGGGGTTACCTCAATACTAGACTCGATTGGCTCATATTCGACGGCTTCCCTAAGAGATGAGATGCAGCGCACGATGCAATCCACTACTGCGGTGTTTCGTACACACGACTCGCTCGCCACCGGCTATGCACAACTGCAAGACATAGAGAAACGGTTTGATAGCGATCTGAAAGTCACCGACAAGAGCCTTATATGGAATACCGATTTAGCAGAAACACTCGAGTTGCGGAATCTACTAACGAACGCAATACAAACCAGTAAGGCAGCGCTTACAAGGACGGAGAGTCGCGGTGCGCACGCACGAGACGACTTCAAGGAAAGGGATGATAAAAAATGGATGAAACACAGCCTAACGTGGCAGACAGGACTAGGGAAGGAGGTGGATTGGTCGATGCGTGCGGTGCAGATGAGTACTCTGAACGAGGCGGAGTGTAAGAGCGTGCCACCAGTGAAGAGATCGTACTAGATGTCACCCAGTTACGCTTGCCATGGGAGCCTCCCCTATTTAAAGTTCGCTCTTCGCCGGCTAGTCTTGAAGTGATTCTTTCACCATCCCTAACATTCGAAGGTTTATAAACCCGTTCAAGGCCATGTATCAACTTGCACACGACCACTCACGCATTTTTCGCTTCTCAATATCTGCGATTCAGAGCTGCTGGCGGCCATCAGTTGGCAAGTGTCAGACTACCCAGGCAGCCTCCAACAAGGTAGTGTTCGCTTAGCGGGATTTCAGTCTTAAGGTCCTCGTGCAGGTTAGCGTACTAACGAAGGTAGACCCGGTTCTCTGAGCATGATATCCGTCACTGCCATCACCGGTCACTATGTTTCGTAAGGCTCGAAGTATTGCTGCCGCGACGGCGGATTTATTTCCGTGTCGGGAAAAAATACCGGAAGAAGAAACAGATCGAAAGGGAATGGCATGCGTTGAACGCTACGCATAGGGCCGTATTCATGTTTCAATATGCTAAAGAGATGGAGTGTGGTGTAACAGAAAAGGCTGTAACTGAAAGCGTGTCGGTTGACGATGATAATGGTGATGACGGGGAGTGGATGGTTGTGGATCACATTGACCCCTCGAGCATGCTTCTTGGAAGCCTCGACGCCGAGACCTTCAAAGCGGACACCAGCTTCGACATTACTTTGGAGAATGCACATGCCGCAGCAAAGCTCGAACGAAGGCTCAAGCCACGTGTGACGCATGAAGTTTACGGGTTTGCGGTCATCGAGCAAGGACCAGTATGGGGACAGTTCGAGCTACCATTACATGTTGATCCAAATCGCGAGCTTCGATTCAGCGCCCCTCGAGGCGACATCAAGAAGGTTCTCGGAGAGTGGGGCTCGCTGGCTACATATAGCAATTCTCCGCTTGTTCTGCTATCGGGGCTCGCAAACCCAACGCTTCCAACGCTGGCTTGTACGACAACAACCAAGAGTCTATGGGCAATGTGGGTTCCGTTCAGGCTCTGGCAACATCTGTGGTTTCTTGGGTGCAAGGAACGGCGGCAGTCGGTAGCGCTACAATTATCAGACCGCCTTCATTGTACTTCATGAAGCGTGCAAGCTCGATGGCCATAACCGCGTTCGCGAACAATGCCGCGACTGCTACGGACATTATATTGCAGGCTGCTGGTGTTCGTGATGAGGATGCCAACTCGGATTCAGATGATGACTCCTTTGTTGATGAGAATGGCAGGCCTTTTTCAGGCTCATCCACAACTGCACCCACAGGCTCGATTGGCAAGAACGCACTTTACCCAGCACGGCTTAATCCGGTAATGAGCAAGCAAATTAAATTTACGTTCCGTTGCTCAGAGCTCCAAAATCTCACATCATGACCTCTTCTTAGTCGTAAGTGTATTCCGGCGACGCCAAATCCTTGTTACGGAATACTTTCTAGCGAGTGAGCTAACTGATGCACAGCTTTTTCCAACATTGAGCTTGATCAGGAGCCTTTAAGGAAGCCTTTTGGGTTTTTGAGTCCGGTTTGAACGGTAGAACAGAGCGAATGAAAAGGGCTGCGCGATTTGATGCCGCCTCTAGGGTGGTCGCCTGAGAGTTGATGTATAGATTGTAGAGGGACATCTTCATAACCACCTTTGAGGTAATGGTGCATTAGTTACCGTCAGGGTCGCACGGCTAACTGTTCACCCACGAGCCTTCTGCAAATTCGAAAGAAAATGCACAGCCTCCTTCCACTTCCACACAACACTGCCCAACAAATTTTAACCGAGGTCGACAAGCAGCTTTCCTGCAGGCGAACGAAAGATATTGTGTACCTCAACCTTGCCGATAGCCTTTATAGGCGGACCCAGAGGGGCTTCTAGATCATCGCTCAGCGGCCGAGCTTCGACTATATGGGCTGTTTCGGGCAAGCCATGGTACACCATTGCAGTCGACTGATCACGAAAATCGATCAAGGATGCAAGCTAGGAGCACCGAGAAGTTGTAAAGAACATCCAAAGATGAGGAGAGATCTGAACTCACAAGCGATCCGTTGGCATGGACAGAGAATTCTGGCTCATTCAGCTCGCCACGCTCAAGCCAAGTGTACAGGCTGAGCGCCTCGCTCTCTCGTTTCTGTACAGGTATGACTGTTTCGTTTCTGGCGGCAGCCGTTTCGGGTCAAGTGGCACATGCTCAGGCGAGCTGCGCGTCGATCCCGACGAGGGCAATGCAGAGAATCGTCCAACCATTGTGTCTAGCACTGCATCCAGGCGTGTCGTCCTCGTTAGCCTCAATAATGTGGCCACGCGTATGCCAGTGCTCCTATGCATTGTCTAGAATCTTGTCGGCGCGTCCGAAGCTTCCCAGACAACACGAGGACACTTGAAGTCCCTTAGATACCACAACCTGGTCCACTTCCAAGCACCAAATTTCGCGTTCAAGAACTTGTACACATGTCTTCTTTCATACCTGAGCCCGTCTCCAAGCGCATCATAATCTGTTGTGATGGCACCTGGCAGTCAGCCGTGTCAGGCGTTAAGGGCTCGCCCTCTAACATCACCAGACTAGCACAATGTCTTAAGCGCGTGGACGTCGACGACCACGGCAAGACATGGCAGCAGATTGTGTGGTATGATTCAGGCGTCGGAACTACATCGTCCAAAATCGGCAAAATGGTCGAAGGTGCCGTTGGTGGCGGTCTCGAAGGCAATGTCATCGAGGCATACAATTTCGTTGCATTGAACTGGTGCCGTGGAGACCGGATTTTTTGCTTTGGCTTTTCCAGAGGCGCCTATACAGCCAGAACTATCGCCGGTCTGATCTCCGATATTGGCATTTGCGAGCCGAGAAACATGAACGATTTCCCCGATATTTGGAGGCAGTATAAGACCATGGACAGCGAACGTTTCTACGGCAGCGATGCCCACTTTGCCTGGACGGATGGCAAAGCCGCAGAAAAGCAACCGCAGGACCTCGGCTACAAGAATCGAAATTTCATTTGGGAGAAGCATCCGCATGGAGACTGGGCGCAAACATCAGAGTCTCGGGAAATCGAGCTGGTGGGTGTATTTGATACAGTTGGTGCCATTGGCATGCCAAGCATGCATGGCTTTGAGGCGAGGCTGCCATGGAAAGAGGACGACCCTAAATTCCACAATGTTAAGCTGAACCGAAGTAAGTTGAGGTGGCGATCCATTGAGACCTTGGATTTACTGACGAAATCGTAGATATCAAGCGCGCCTTCCAAGCACTTGCTCTCGATGAGCACCGTGAGGCTTTTGCTCCAACTCTATACCATCTGCCGGAAGGCATTTCAGCTAGTGATGCTCAGTTAGAAGAGCAGAGGCAAAAAGTCCAAGCGGCGGAAGCCGACTTTTATGCCCATCGTTATGATCAGGAAACACCTCAGGAAAAGCGACAGGCGATCCACGACAAATACAATGAGGCACGCAGGGAATTGGTCCGTATACAAGAATCGCGGAAGCCTCAATCTGAACTCCTTCAAGTTTGGTTCCCGGGAGTGCATATTAACAATGGTGGTGGCTCCAGCGACACGCTGAAAAACGAAGGCGACATGGAGGGTAAGCATGTCAGCCCGCCCACTTTATTCGCTCTGATAGCTAATCTCTCCCAGAAATGGCGAATATCACCTTCGCCTGGATGCTTGACCAAATTCGACCTTACTTGGCCATCAACGAGACGGTCATCCATCAGGAATACCGCAATCGTCAGATCTATATCGATGAATTGAACGAGATCGTGCGAAAGTATCAAGAAGACAAAAGGAAACAAGAAGAAGCTCACGTAGAGGAGACATATGCCCAGTCTTTCCGTCGGTTGGCATCAAACGCTGCGTCTTACGTTACACATCCGCTCAGTAAGAAAGGTCCCGATCTACGCCGACGCGATTATGGTTGGGGCACCGGCACCATAATCGATAGCTACACGGCAATGTACTATGCCAACGGTTCGCAAGCACGAACGCCAGGAGCGTACCACAAAGACAAGAAGCATGCTGCGCCCGGACTGACTAATGAACAAGTCCATCCAAGCGTCGGATTTAGAATGTTTGCAACTAAGGAGGAGAAAGATCCTAAGCTCCGATATACACCTATCGGCATGGACACAGACAAATTTATCCGGCTACCAAACGCTTCAGGAGGATGGGGATACTCGATTAATGGCATTGTCTTGCCAGAGTACGTGCTCAAGAGACGATCGGATTTCGGTGGCAGCCCTGGATATGAAACGCTGGCGATCCAGGGCGACAAAGCGAGTAGTTATGTGCAAGCGGTTTACGGTCATCCTATCTATGAGCATTAGAAATGAAACGAAACATGACTGGATGTGCAATATAATCTCCAGGTCTGGTATGTGGGTGCAGAGCAAAGTTTCTCAATTCATCCAAGATCGAGCCAAGAGCAGACGCGCGGGGACAGAAGGCATGCGCCTTCCTAGAAAAGAGAAGAAATTTGTCCTCGCCTGGGTAAGGCATGCACGGGATGATCACCCGTCCTCACTTGACTCTCACAGACTTTGTACGCGCGCCTTAGCTCACAGTTTCCGCTATCAATATTATCGTTTGCAAAAAGAATGTGCCAACCCCCACGGCGCTAGAACAAGGACTTAAGGATATTTAGCTAATATATTTACTATAGGGAGTAAAGTATTAGTCTATCTACTTTAGTACACTTATTTTAGCTCTAGTACACTTATTTTAATAGCTTAGTAGCCCATTTTAGGCTCTACTAGGTCTAAAAAGATAGGTTTAATTAGATCTAGCTAATAATTTCCTCCCTATAGTAAATATGTTCGTTAAGAATTCTTAAATTTCTAATTCTAGCACTGTGGGAGGTGGCACATTCTTTACGCAAAGCACCGATAACCATCGGCGACCACCAGACCGCGGTACCTTCAATCGACGCAAAGAATGCAATGAACATGTCAGCAGGTATACGTATTCAGCTGTATTCAGATCATGGGCTGACTATAGACTGTCGTATAATCGTAAGGGCTGATAAAAGGCGATAATCTGAGGTAAAGTATCTCGTCAAAAACTTTAGTGTCCTATCCTACTCGGGGAGAGGGACTACAGTATTCAATCTTCCTATCATTCGCTGTGCACTTGTGAGTCCTCGCCATATAGACGATGCGCCCATAACGATGTGTAGTCATACACCCCATCACAACAAGCGCTACATCAGTCACATATACCTATGAACACCGTTCGACCTACCTCCACGGAAGAAGACTCTCCCTAACAGCACTGAGGTATTCCAAATTGCGAGCGAGAAACGACTACACGAAATATTCTAAACTGTTTCGAACATAAAGCTGATTCAACCCAGAAGCTGGCGACGCTCGGCTCACTTGCAATATACTGGGATAGCGACGCGAAGTTGATCGGTCCTCGGTCCTCGGTCCTTGGTCACTACGTAATTCTCAGATTTGCAAGGCGCCGCTTGTTAACTGTGCGCTCCACATTCTAGCTTCGCTTTATGCAGTACCGGTTCTCTGGTTCTAGTTTGCTCCTTCTGTTTCTCTATTCCACCGTTCCACTCCCTCAGCTAAAGAGCGCGGACCAATCGAGCGCCTCCACACGTCACAACCGCGCTTCGTACGCAAGCCTTGCCGGCTTCTTCCTTGGTGAGTGTGAATCATGGCTAGCAGAAGAGCAGCTTCACCTAGGGCTGTGTCCATTCAGAGTCGTGGGCGCAGAAGATGCATGGCCAGCCTAGGTCCAAAGGAGAAGGAAGAAAGCGTTTGAGTACATAAGCGACGGCCTTAACGGAGACTGGGTAATGGTAGAGGTGCGTTGTCCACTAGAACAGACCATACAAGAATGCTAATGGAGCTTTAGAGTCTCGTTGACCCAAACGGCGACGCAACTACAACATAGCGCTCGTTGCGGATGATCTCCTCGTAGCGTGACTAGCCTATTCTGCTCTTTCCACAGTCAACGTCGAGGCCTTTAATCCTTTCGACTTACTAGCATCGATTGAGTCAGTTGGCGAAGGACGCCGCCGTCCGATGACCTGTTTCCAATCGACTCTCAGTGACTGCATCACAATTCTGATTCCTGTCCTGCGCAATTTCTTTTGTGCAGGACGTAGATCCAAGGAGCTGGATTAAAGTTATAGAGATCAGCTTTCCAAGGGGCTTTCCAAGCATGACCTTGGGATTCCGCCACCAGCTAGTAGACGTCATATCAGCTCATTCAACAAACCTTGAGATACTACACGTACCATAAGTACTCCCGTGGCTATTCCAGGCTCCATAGCAACAGTGCTTGGCTCGTGTTCATCATAAAAGTTCAAAACGTATCCATTGCCTCCCTGTCTGCCGGCTTCTTCGCATCGCCGTATATCTCCTCCACCAGCCGCACAAACTCTCCAAGACCCTCATCTGCTTCGTTTCCCTCTCGCAAGCTCTTCAAAATCCTCAGCGCATCGTTATTTCCTTTTTTTGGAGTCCACGGTATTTGATCACCTCCACCCCTACCACCTCTCCCTCGGCCTCTGCCACCCCGTCCTCTAAATGCCCCTCGTCCCCTCGTCCCCCTCATTCGCGGCGCATCTTTAGGATCTGGCTCGATCGTCGCAGCATATACTCGTTGCAGGGTCGAAAGTAAAGTCGGATATGATTTGAGGAGCGCTTGGAATTGTATGTCTGTGGCAAGGCGGGAGAAATCTCTCTTTGCACGCAGGTACGTCGGGATTGATTCGGGAGCTGCGATTGGATTTGGGATGTCAGGAGCCGGTGGTGGCACGGGAGGTGCTGAAGCGCCTTCGGGGTGTGTGCGCTTGTGTTCCTTGAAGCATGGTATTGAGCAGCTAGGACATGTTAGTGAACATACCAGTTAACATGAGAGGACAAAGAAGCGGCTTACTAGGGGAGTGCGCATGTGGGACATTTGTATTTTTTGGGTGCGCTGTTGCAGACGCCGCATTCGATCTCCGTCATCTTTCTGGGCTGCGTGGATTATGAGGGAAAAGAGGAGTCCCGTGGAGATGACGTTGATGAAAGACCAAAAGTTCTGGTCGCAACGCTAAACCCCGAGAACCTCCGTTCGCTGGCCAATCAACGCCTGAGAAGCCCGACAGACTGAGCTTTGCGATCCGGTCAACGCACCACCGCCATTGCTCCTCACTGCCGACCTCACAATGTCTGTCCCATCTTCCATACGCCAGGCCCCGCGACTGATAGAGTACTGGACCTGCTCGTCCTGCTCCCGATTGCTCCCTCGCGCTTCCCGACCAACGAATGCCAATGTCCTACGACCGCGAAGATGTCTGAACACCACGAGAAAGACAAGACAGGGTGTTGCGCCCTCCATGGATGAGGTTCGCCAACAATATAAGGAGAAGAACAGGACAACGATGTACCGCACGCTCATACCACGCATCAATGGCGGCTCCGCTCACACTGAGGCAGGAACTACGTCTTCAGTATAATTCTCGGCACGGTTGCCCTATCCTACGGCTCCGTCCCCATGTACAAAATGGTATCAGGCCTTACTCTTACGTCAGATATGTCTTTCTAATTTGCTTCAGATCTGCCAAACCACTGGCTGGGGCGGCCAACCCATAAAGTCTGCAGCCCACGGCGACGACTCCCGCGACCCCTCCGAACGCCTCCGCCCAGTGGAAGACCACCCACGTATCCGTATAACCTTCAATGGCTCCACATCAGACGTTCTCCCGTGGAAGTTCGTACCACAGCAGCGTGAAGTTCGTGTTCTACCCGGCGAGACGGCCCTAGCCTTCTACACTGCGACCAATACGTCGAAAGAGGATATCATTGGCGTGGCTACTTACAGTGTGACTCCCGGCCAAGTGGCACCGTACTTTTCAAAGATTCAGTGCTTTTGCTTTGAGGAGCAGAGGCTGAATGCGGGGGAGACGGTGGACATGCCCGTATTCTTCTACATCGATCCCGAGTTTGCGAGTGACATCAACATGAAAGGCATCGAGACGGTGACATTGAGTTACACGTTCTTCAAGGCAAAGTACGATTCAGAAGGGCATTTGCGTCCGGTGGCGCAATAGATGTTGGAAAGCTAAGATGTACATTATTGTATCGGAAATACAAGGTATCTTTGGCCTAAGCACGTTCGTATCTGAGCTACTCCATTACCACAGGCTCAAACTTGTCCTTCCGCGCTTGACTCGCACCACTCGCTTTCCATGCGCTCAGTATCAAATCTACGATATTCTTAAGCCCCTCATCCCTCTTGATGACCGCAAAGATGGTCGGTCCACCCTCCCGCATCCTCCTGCTATCTCTCTCCATGATGCCCAAATCTGCACCCACAGCCTCGGCCAAATCGCACTTGTTTACGATCAGAAGATCGCTCTGCGTGATGCCCGGACCGCCCTTGCGCGGAATCTTGTCGCCGCCCGATACATCGATAACGTAGATGATGAAGTCTGCGAGCTCGCGCGAGTAGTTCGCAGCAAGGTTGTCCCCGCCAGACTCAATCAACAGGAGGTCGGTGTCGAACTTGTGGTGGAGCTGCGTCAGGGTGAGGAGGTTGGTAGAGATGTCTTCGCGAACAGCAGCGTGGGGGCATCCACCTGTCTCAACAGCAACGATGCGTTCAGCAGGGAGAGCATTGTTCTTGGTGAGAAACTCGCAGTCTTCGCGGGTGAAGATGTCGTTTGTTACGGCGGCGATGGAGAAGCGTGTGCGGAGAGCTTTGCAGAGGGCGAGCATGAGGGCTGTTTTGCCGGAGCCTACGGGACTTTTCTGGACTTAGTCTCTAGTATTCGGAAGCTTATCATGGCTGTAGAAAGAAATGTAAGGGTATGAGGAAAGCGTACCCTCCAATACCAATGGTGAAGGACCTGTCCTCCCAGTTGCGGCCTTCTATGATTGGCATTTCGCGCCCGATGAAACTTCCTGGTCCGTCCAGTATCTCGTGTGTGTGGCCGTGGTCTCCGCCGGCATGCGAATGTGACGCGGCGTCATGTGAGTGCGTGTGGGACATGATGAAATGCGTTGCAATGCGCGAAGGGAGCTCAGATGTATGGAGTGAGACTGAAGCCGGTGCGCCGAAAGCTCTTCACGTTCTTAAGGTGGTTTGGGCTTGCCAGATGCGCAGTGCAGAAGTTCGCAGTGCTCGACCCTCCGGGCGGGATGGTGGGGCAGCTTCTGGGGCCGCGGTTCGACGTTGGGGTCTTTGTCATGCTCCCATCGTGCACAGGCACGCACGCGACACTCGGGGAATTGTTCTTCTATCCGGGTGGGAACATCGGATCATCGAATTGATGGGAGCATGGCTTGCCTCGGGCCTACGCCGCAACATACTGAAAGGCGTTCAAAGGGTGGCGCAAAGCACGCGACGACCATGGGCCACTGCCTATGTACGTTCGAGCATGCTAGAACAACCTTGGTCTCTCCGTCTGCCTTCCGCACACTTTGGACTTCGAAACAGGGATGCTCCTACTATCCGCATCCTCGTCTATAGAACCTGTTTTCGTGATCTTGACAGCTCTAGCAAGCCCCGTCCTAGAAAGGCCCCAACGCGATCGCGATCGCGAAGATCGCGCCCATTTCGTTCACCACGCCTAGTCCACAACACGTTATTGTACGCGAATATGGCCTTATACGGCTCGGTAGCTATCCGCCCATGGACCAGGCTACACAGTACCGTGACGAAATGGCATTGCCAACTCACCCCGGCGCGCATCAGCCGCATGATCGCCCGGACCAAGTTTTTTTGGCGGCTTCACCCCCATTCAATTGTCGGTGACCGGCCCCCAAGGCCTGAGGGATTTACCCGGCACTTGTTTGCAAGTACCGACGCGACAAATGTGAAGTCGCTGTACTCTCACCCAAATCTTAAGTTGCGGTGGCCATCATACTTATGCCTCAAAACCAATCCTGACTGCATTCCAACCCATTACTCGACGAACTAGTCTCTTCGATTGAAGTCTTCTCGTCGATTGAATCCGAGGACGGAAACTCTGGACATCAAACGATTTGTGTCATAATTCGAAATTGTCACCCGCGACGATGTCTAGGAAAACTGTCACCTCTAATTCCACAAGCTCCACATCCACACGTTCCGAATCTTGGCTGGAGGATACGTGGACCTCGTTCCTACTCTGGGACATCGATCGCGAGTTTCAGAACGCCCATGAAGCCTACGAGCGATGGATGACGAAGAATCAACCAAGGCGGTCAACCTGGGGGTGCATCGCTGGGAGCAATAAAGAAGATTCTCTGGGTCGTTCATTACGCCTAGGAAGTCAAGTACAACAGGCCATCCAAGATGGCCAGCGGAAGTTCGGTCAGAAGTTCGACAAAGGAGACGGTGGGTTTCAATTCCTCAGATCGTCAACACATGCTCACTTCCGAAGCGGCCTGCCACACTATCCTCTCAGCACAGCTTCTTCGCCTCCAGCAAGAAGTCTGCATGCCTCTACTAGACACCGTCCACTCCCGCTACCTGAACCCGATACCGCATTTTGAAGTCCTTCGAGCGGCAAGAGGAGTCCGTCGCACCTGCCTCGACGCGCTCAAAGACCAAATATCACGCCTCTCACCCCGGAACATAGAGCCATACCTTCCGCCTCCCCGCTTCTCAGTCCAATTCTGCCCTCTCGCATTGCAGCTGCAGAAAGACCAACGGACCAGTCATGTCAGCAAGCTTCACACGCGCAAAGTGAACCAGCATGATCGCTACGACGACCGAGAGAAGTGTCCGTACTGCAAGGCGATCGTGTCCGTTGCAGCGCACTCCGGCCTGCCGAAGTACCATCGCATACTTTTTGAGTCGCACACACTTTCTCAGAGCCAGAAAAACGAGGAGAAAGCATCGTTCGCTTGTACTGGCTGCTATAAGAATGTTGATGATTCATATGCGTTCTTGGAGCACGTCTTTCAAAAGGAAACCGGGAGCGAGAAAAGCTGTTTGAAAAGATATAGCACACATTTCAGTGTGGATGCGAGGTTAATGGAGAGCGACCCCAGGCTGATAGAGCGGTGTTTGAAGAATTGTCTTGAAAGAGAGATAACAAGGTCGAAAGGGATAAGAAAGAGTAAGGAGATGCTGAGGATTTGAATATCTCCACCATCTTTACGATCTAGAGCAAGTAACCGGCAATGTGTTAATTCAGACCGTTTGATTCGAGTCTTGCAGACTTTGCGCTGACCGAGAGCGTTACCCTTCATCAACAGCTACTATAATGGATCGTTATACAAACGGCTGTCTCGTATTGCAGGACTATAGTAGGATATGCACCCAGATCAACTCTAGCCACTTCATGTCCAAGACTCCCTCTCCCTAGCCTATTTCTACGTTTCGATCTCGTTCGGCGCCCGACCACCGACCAACCATCTTAGCATATGTCAAACTCGCCAAAAAACCTTCGCGGCCACAGCCGGCTATGATGTGGCAAGCTCCATAGCTTCAAGTGGCGTACAGCTTGCACGAAGGGTGGCATAGCAAACTTCTTTGTCCAACACTCCGCGGGATGGGGGATTCAGCACTATGGGGAGAACATAGGAAGTTTTTGTGCTAAGCACGATATAGAAAGGTGATGTGGAGTCTAGGCGAGTCGCTCGCGTTGTGAAGCAAGTATATTGGTGGTCACCCACCCAGATAGACACGGCTCACACTGTTCAAATCGACAAGTGGACCCACGCCAGCCAAGAATTGACAAAAACATACAACAGCGGGGATTCCACGGTTCTCACGAACCCGAGTACTAATCCGCCGGTGCACTGCTTATATATGGCTGAGCGGACGGGAAGCCTAGTATTCAGTGTCCTATGGTCGTATGTGGATGTTCTCCTGGCATGCCGATGTTATATACCAGCTTGTACAGTACATGGTATTCATCGATTATCGAAAAAGGATTGAGAGAATGAAAGGAGAATAGAGAGCCGGACCTGGCGGGCGATTTATCTAGAAATGCAAGCATACAACCAAAGATGAACTCGGCCAAGAGATAGTCGAAAATGTGGCTAATTTTGAAGGGTACGTCACAGATATACTCGCGGAAATTTCCCACCCCATCCGAGAAAGGTGGTCCATCCTCCCGCTCTTAGATATATTCCTCATAGGCGGCATGTGAACGAAAGGTATAGATAAGAATGCGAAATCCCTAAGAGAATATCCTCAATTTTTCTTCGCCTTCTTCTTGGGAGGCTCGCTAGCCTCTAAGTCGATGCCCAGCTTCTCAATGAGGTCAGACCATTCGACAGTAGGTATTCCTTGGTCGGCGATCTTGTTCAGTTTGTCAGGGCCTGCGTTGGCTCCGAGGACAACAAGCTCGACAGATTTGTTCAAAGTCTTAGCGAACTTGGCTCCAACACCCTCGAGAACCTTTTGCGCTGCACTGCGGGTGAGGCCGTCGATTTCCCCAGTGATTAAGACTGTCTTCCCTTCGACAGAGTCCGGTGCACCACCCGCCTCGACATTGGCGACCTTCTTCTCGGGAGCAAGCTCAAGGCCGAGCTTCGCTGCGACCTCTTTCCACTCGATGGTTTCAGCACCGAGATCCTTGATTTTCTCCAGCTTGTCAGGGCCTGGATTACCGCCGAGGACGACGAGCTCGACCTTCTTGTTGAGTGACTTTTCGAAGATGGCACCTTCCTTCTCTAAGATAGCTTGAGCGTCCTTGCGATCGTGGCCTGGTATGGTTCCGGTGATGATCACATGCTTGCCAGAGAGGAAGTCGTCGCCAGAGCCGCTTGATGTGGGTTTGGCTGCTGGTGCTGGGTCGGCCTTGGCCTTGGTGTTGGCCTTAGGTTTTGGAACTGCCTTCTCTTTGGGAGCGGCCTTCTTCTTTGGCTTGGGCTCCTGACAGAGTTAGAACATCTGCATTGTCACAAACACCCTGTCTAGGTGTTCGAGTATACCCGGGCCATCGTCTTACCTCCTCAGGCTCCTCGTCCTCGTCGTCATCATCCTCATCCTCAATGGCCGGAGCAGCACCGCCATCTCCCTTAATCTCCTCAATCAACTCGTTCCAGTCTTTCGTCTCAATACCAAGCTTCTCAATCTTGTCCAATTTCTGGGGGCCGGCATCCGCACCAAGGACAACGAGCGTGACCTTCTTGTTCAAGCTCTTCTCGATCGTCGCACCAGCATTGATGAGGATCTGCTCGGCCTCCTTGCGCTTGAAGCCCTCAATCTCGCCAGTAATAATGCATTTCTCGTCGCTGAGGGCGTCAGGGCGAACAGAGATGGAAGGTGCGGCCTTTTTGGGGGCCATTGTGCAATTGAGTGTAATTGGATTATATATCAATACTAGTAAGAAGGAAGGGGTGCGGGAGAAGGGGCAGACGGAAACTGCACAATTGATTAAGGTGGAGGGGGATGAAGCGGGATGTTTTGGGGTCGTCGCGGGCTTTTGTAGGTGTTTGTCCTGGGCTGTCTCGCCGCACGTCAGCTCATCTACTAAACGAAAGGAGCCGGCCAGGCAACGACCGCGCTACCACTTGCGATCGTGCGAAGGTGCCTGGAAATGGAAGGCTCGCGACTGGCGATTGCCTGAACTTTTCAGGCAGCGAAGCGCTGGTGCAAGATCAATTTGCCGTGGTGTGTTGGGAGGCGCCCAGGAAAGAGTGTGCTCGACTGGACAGTAGGAGTTGCTGCGCCTGCATGCATTGGGTAAACAAACAGAGTCGAGGCTGCATCACAGTGCTCGCTGACGCGCAAGAATCACTGCGGCCCAGAATCGTAAACAATAACACTCTCCCATCGGGCGTGGGAAGATTCCTTGATGCAGGCCTATGCTGCGATGCTGCCAAGCACGCGGGTGCACCAACGGAGAGAGCGTGGCTGCGCTCGCTCACCGTTAAGCATCGCCCGTCAACACTGAACAGACTAGATAAACATACCACGATGCATCCGATCAGCCGTTCATCGCCTCTCATCCCAGCGACATTTGTCATCTGCGCGATGAGCAAGACCGACGAGTTCCGTGAGCCTTTTACAACCATTCAATGGCGACACCCTTCCTCGACGATCCGAATTGGCACGTCTATCCGCGCCGCCGATCCCTAAGGCCACGAGCCGGCGATACAGCCTACGGTAAAAACTGCGCAGTGACTACAAAACGACGACGGCATCCAGCAATGGGCGGGGCTCTCCCAGAAACCTGCGCTTGGCTCCACAGTTGTGGCGGGAACGATATCGCTGTTCAAATACGGGCAGGTCTTATAGGCTATCAACCCAGCTGTCACGGCAGCGCGGTGATGAGTATGATAGACGAAGGGCTGGGCAATATAATGATGGCAGCTCAACGGGAGGCTGCGGGGCTGGATTCTGACGCCTGGGTCAAGCTTACGGATAGTACTTGGGATACACCATTTTGGGGCTGGTCTTTCGCTGCAGTCGGTGATGAAGGGCGCCTTCGTAACGGCGTAACTGGAGTTCAGCTTCTTGAAAACGGTGCTTGGTCCGGGTGTGGTAGGTGTGGATTGCGCATTGGTCGAACACAAGGGTAACAGGATAAGGATCAATGCAGTCATGAAGGGCGAGCATGGGACGCCGCTTGTGAAAGCCGAGTCGTTGTAGATACGCTTGGGCAGAGAGAAATTATGATCGGGCACACATCATCACGGAGACGAGTCATGGTTCTTTCACTCCTGAAATTGTTCACTTCAACATTGTGCTTGATCCGCTGGATGACGCTTGATTTCGACTTCGCTTGAACTCTCACCTTAGCATCAAACATTGTGCATCATCTAACAAGGCTATTGCTGGGTCTTTGATTGGGTCTATCCTCACAAAGTAGCTGGTCGCTGTGAAGTAAGGCTTCTGGGGCGCCCTACAAAATCTCTCCTTCCCAGGTTGGTCTTTCATCTTGTTCAACCTAACGCGAAGGCCCCTACAGCTTCCAGAGCACGAACCCAAACTTCAGACTAAGCTCATTCACGTCTGCTCAGACATGATTTCAGCTAGCCATCCCCAACCTTTGCAATCCTCTCCACCAGAGGTGTTCTACACCGCCCCTGTTCCTCATGCTACTACTTCGCAGGCACGTATAATCTCGCCGATGCTTGTCATCCCCGGCTACCTGCCGATTACGACGACACTTAACCCAACTCAACTGGGAGAGCTCCTGCCGATCCTACATATTTACATCGACCCCGCCCTCCCTAATATAGCTCTCCTCCCCGCTGCTAGTATAAGCTACAATGGTTTAGAACAAGCCTTGCGCTGGCGCGAAGCTGAAATCGAGCAGGGGAGCTACGAGGGTATGGAGAGCAATCTGATCGAAATCATTGAAATCTACCAAGCTCTTGCCTTCTTGGGAAACAAGCCAACGAGCCAGAATCTTTGGTCGCTCGACCGCGTGATTCGAGCTGCCTTTGAAGACGGTCTTCTCCTTGCGGAATGCCAACATATGTGGGCATTGCGCTACCTTCCACACACAGAGAATTGGATTGATCTGATGTTTCGCCGCCTAGCGACTGACTATGAGAGTGGAGTGGCTGACGCTATGGATGAATTAGCTTTCTATGGCCGTCTGGAAGCAGACGAGGAACTCCGGGCCATGTGTACAGAGATACTATCTATATTCGAGTGGATCGATGAAGATGACGAGTTGCTACGGCGCTTAAAGTGTGTGGAGGCTAGGATGGTGATGGAAGCGAAGCGTGCTCGACGGATTGCGAAGATGTCGAAGATGAGGCACGGTCGTTCAAGTGCTCCTGGTAGGTTCTGCCGAGGCTTGGACTCTGTTCCTGAGTAAACGGCTTGTTGATCTGGGAGCGATTGACTCATATTTACAGTGTTTCTATGTGTTAGCATTGTTGTGCCGAGTCAGGAACCGCGGGTACTCCCGAGTGATATCCTGCTGGTCAGGTCAGGGCAATGATGGTCTCATCTCTCGTCTTGTCCTAGCGTTATAGCACGTCATCAAGCGTTGGGTTTCTGGTATTGTATTCGACTATTTTCGTCAGTGTTGAACTGTTTATATTCATGTTGGTCTTGCATCTACTGCGCGATCAGATCAGAAGGTCTGTAGTTCATATGGATGTACTGTCGGATTCTTGCAGAGGTGTCGGGGTTTAGCGTGCGCCGCGCTTTCTTTCATCTTGAAGTATTAAATAAGAAATTGAGTTCGTCATTTCGCGCAGCGGAGGCCCTGATGAGACTAGATCTTAGTCTGAGCGACGCGTGCGCTGTCCGTGAGGCGTACCCCAGTTTGAGTTCTCTGCGGCATTTCAATTAGATCTTGTGACAATCTTTGTCTACGGAGGCCAACTTTGGCCGCAGAAGGAATATAGCTTGCCGATCATCAACAAGCCTGCCTCTGGAGAATCGTGGGTGCCGAGGCTGTTCGACATGGTGTCGAAGGAGAAGTCTTCAAGTAGCGTAAACATGAAGTACTATGAGCACAACAGGAGACTGAAATGTCGCAAGACAATCGAAAACGGATGCCGGCTACGCACCGTAAGATCTGGCTCTCGCAACCCCATCTACCCACCACATACCCCGGAATCGGACGCACTCGGCCTCACGCGCGAGAAATATAATATGATCATAAGCAACATCGAAGACTTCCGACATAACACCAAGTCTAAATGCTATTCCACCTGCCTCACTCCATGGAATAAGATGCGCGGTCGAAACACTGTCGACGCTTTGGAAAAAGTCAGCGATTCTATCCGCCAGATCAACGGTGAGGATCGGCGCGTAGTTTGGACCATCGAGAAAATCCCTGGTGTTTATGAACAGGGGATGAGTTGTGGCAAGGAGGGATGGGAGATCAGCGCGTGGAATGGTGAAGACCCTCTGGAGCTGCTGATATAATTAGAGAAGTGGGGTGGGGTATCATTGAGAAGAAGCTGAATATCAAAGACGATGAGTGATGTGATGTCCAGATGATTGAGTCCCAGAATTCGTGTATGCAAGTATCGATAACGTACTTCAGACTTCGACCACATAGGCAAACTTGAAGACGGAGTCTCCACTTGTGATAGGCTCGAACTAATGTCCGTACCATTTCGACCGTTCCTGTAAAATCGCTATGATTCTTAATAAGCCATGCGTACAGGCACTGCGTCAAGTTGTCGGAGCGCGGGCGGAGATGATGGAGCTGTCGGAGATGGATAAGGTGAAGTCGCAACCTGTTCGTTCAGCCACCCGTGAGATAAAATGATGGCGGAAAACTATAGAGCTATGCGATAAGGCATCACGACATTACAAACACCGTACAGTAATCGTGAGAGGAAACGTTTTGAAGATTTGATGTATTGAAGAGCAGGCGGAGATTTTCCGCGCGAGGTTAGTCATGCGCTAAGGCCGGAGTGGCCCAGCTTGATTGGATCTGCAACACGCTCCCACATCACTGCTCTCCTACAGCTACGAACTCGGCCCTTGGCATTCCTTAGCGTGCACACAATCGGAGCATCTTTTGGGTGGGCCTGAGCCCTGTTACAGAGCAGCTTATGCTAGATCCGCTTCAACCGGCCATGTCAGCCAATCGAGTCTTCACGATGGACTGCCTAAAAGAGCTAGCCTTTGTCGGTGGTTTGTTAGGCCGTGAGCACCCCCAAGCAGCCTCATCCGTCCGGTAGACTGATGGGGCGACAAAATGTAGGCTTCCTTTTCGTGCGGACCTACATCGAGCATTCATCAGCATCGTTTCGGATTCGAAGATTCGAGATGACTAAAGAACCGATTGTTGACGTTGTGGGGCATTGCAGGCACTTGCGTGATCCTGTACACTTATCACCATTGATTTGAGTGGGGTATAAGAGGGAGCGATCTCTCCCAGCTTGAACGACATCAACAGCAAGCACACTCACGAACTCTCAACTGCAATCTACTACCTTTCAAACAACTTCAAACTCGTCTCCGAACCTACAAAATGTCAATCAAGAACGTTATCATCATTGGGGTAAGTACAATGGGTGCCCCACATCCTGCTTTCCCCAACTAACTTCAACAGGCCGGTGGGAATCTCGGGCCTTCAATCCTGGATGCCTTCCTGACAAGCTCATCTTTCAACGTGACAGTCCTCAGCCGTCAGTATACTCTCAGAGACCAGATTTGGCCTTGACTGACGACCTCGCAGGCGAAGAATCCACCAAAACCTTTCCCGACAACGTCAAAGTCGTGCGCGCGAACTTTGACTCCTTTGACTCTCTCAAATCTGCCTTCCAAGGTCAAGATGCGATTGTGTCACTTGTCGCGTCTGAAGCGTTAGCCGCCCAGATCAAGCTCATTGACGCAGCTATTGCCGCGGGCGTCAAGCGCTACATCCCTTCAGAATTCGGCTCTAACACCGCCGATCCGCGTACCTTGGAAGCGGTCCCTCTTTTCAAAGGCAAGATTGATATCCAAGAGTATCTCAAGAGCAAGGAGAGCGAGATCAGCCGAACCACCATTGTTACAGGTCCATTTTTCGGTGAGCCATCATGGTCCAAAACAAACATGGACATCTGCTAATCAGATTTATCCTAGACTGGGGCCTCAAGGTCGGATTTCTCGGGATCAACGCTCAGACTAAGACTGCCGCACTCATCGACCAGGGCACAACTCCGTTCTCGACCAGCAACCTCCGCCAAATCGGCCTTGCAACAGTCAAGGTTCTCGAGCAGGCCGAAGAGACGAAGAATCAGTATGTGTACGTGTCTTCCTTCGAGACATCGCAGAAAGAGCTTCTGGAGAAAGCAGAGAAGATCACTGGAGAGAAGTACAAGGTTGAGCACTTGGATTCGACGGAGCTGCGCGCCGAAGGTCTCAACAAGATCAAAGCAGGTGATTTCTCTGGATTTGTCCCATTGATTCAAGCAGCCGTCTCCGGAAAGGCGGGCTTGGGTGACCACAGACCTTGCGGCTTGTGGAACGAGAGACTAGGATTGCAGAAGGAGGACTTCGATGGGTCTATCAAGGCTGGCTTGAGCGGGAAGCTGTACGGACAGTAAAAGACCTAGCAGTAGTCTCTTGGTGGAGGCCATAGCGTTCTCATTATCAATATTGAACACAATCTCCTATAATCAAAAGATGTGCCTAGTCATTAGCTGCGCAAGAAAAGGGAGAGCCCCGGTACCGGCAAGCCTTCGCATACGTAATGTGCATCGGGTGTTCTCAGAGCGGCCTCGATTGCTCCAGTCCCGATGAGCACTCTAATCCCAATCCGGCAGTAGCCTTAAAAAATAACCTCGTTTGTCTTTACTATCGATACTAATCCCTGCAAAACCTTTTCTAACCCCACACGAAAACTCTCACGCGTTATAACGCAGACAAACACCCAAATTCAGTCTTCAAAATGGCAGCTCAAGTATCGGAAGAGGACGTCCTCCTCGCCAAGCGCATCATCTCCGCGGCAGAGCGCCACGACTTGCCAGCTCTCAAAGTCTTGCTTAAGGAAGGCTCAGCAAATGTCCAGGACCCCACAGCAACAGCCGCAACTTCACCACTCCACGCGGCAATCCTGTCTTGCGGAGAAGCAAAGGATGGGAAAGAGGCGGACGGCGACGCAGTCCAAACCGTTGATTTGTTGTTGCAAAATGGTGCTATCTGGAACGATCTTAACAAAGAAGATGAAACACCCGGATGTGTTGCGCACCGCCTTGGCCAGAAGAAGATCTATGAGAAGATCGTGGAGGCTGGTGTTCGTGCTGAACTTCTTTTTGCAAAGATGCAGGCGCTCGGATTGAGTGGCGATGATGATGTGGAGGATGATGATGAGATCCTTGAGGAGCAACCCGCGGTCAAGAAGCAGAAAGTCGACAAAGAGACTGTGCAAGTGGTGCAAGAAGCAGTCGACGAGGAAATACTGGACGACGTCAGCAAGGACAATCTGGCCTATCTCAAAAGTGAATTACGTTACCGGGGGCACATTTTATTCGACGAGAGCGACAACGCCGTGATGATGGATTGGGAGACGGAGATCATGCAGAGACACGCACAAACTCTTATTCCTAAACCCGGTCTTAAGGTTATGAACGTAGGACATGGTATGGGCATCGTCGACACAGCAATCCAGACGCACGAGCCGGCGCAGCACCACATCATCGAGGGTCACCCGCAAGTGCACCAGCGATTGCGAGAGCAAGGTTGGTATGACAAGCCGAATGTCATTATACATGAGGGACGATGGCAAGACGTTCTGCCAAAGCTGGTAGAGCAGGGGGTTGTGTTGGATGCGATTTACTACGATACCTTCGCTGAGGACTACGACGCGTTCAAAGAATTCTCATCCGAGTATGTCATTCAGCTTCTTGCGCCTGAGGGCAGGTTTGGATGGTACAACGGTCTGGGCGCAGACAGACAGATCTGTTACGACGTATACACTAAGGTGAACCGTATCCTATGTGTAATTATCACTTTTGGACAATCTAACCAAAAGCAGGTTTCGGAGATTGACCTCCATGAGGCGGGGTTCGATACTGAGTGGGAGGACATCAAGGTCCCTACAGGCCTGCATGGAAGCAAGCAATGGGAAGGCACTCGAAGGCCATACTGGACCATCGACGTGTACAAGCTACCCGTTAATACGTTTGTGAGATGAGCGTGTTGATTCGAAGGTTTCCTTCTGTGCCTTGAAAAGATTAGAGACTCGACGTTATGATACCTCAACGAGCTAAGAAGACCAACGAGACATTCTTGAAACAATTTTCATTTCCAGCCCAGCTAAACTGATACCCGCATCAACAACCTACTGTACATGCTACCTTCCACACCCTGAAAATCATCGCCTCATGCGCCTGCACCTCCGTGGTAAAAGGGATGTCATACGGCCCTCTGTCAACCTTCTTCCATAGATCCCTCACCCGATACACATCCCACGGCACCGTCAAATGCGCCCGCATATTTACCGTGATACTCGCTGTCTCGGTCCCACGATTCAGCAGCGCAATGACCAAGCTCTCGTCCTGCATGCCCTTTGAATAGATCTGAGTTTTATTGTCTGGCGCCGACCACTGCAGGGTAATGGGCTGCCCGAGCGGATCCTGGTTTATGGCGATGATCTCCTTGTTGGTCAGGGTTTGGAGGTCATATGGAGAAAGTTTGGTGATATTTGCGCCGATGAGGAGCGGTGAAGCGGCGAGTGCCCAGAGGGAAAAGTGTGTGCGGTATTCGAGGTCCGACAGACCTGTGCCAACAAGCTGTTTGCTTTCCCCATCGAGGCCTACAATCAACATGTCGTAATCATTCCAGTGGCCGGGCCCGGTCCATTTTGCGACTTCGTTTCCACGATCCAACATGTCGAGCACGTCGAAGTAGTATTTCTCGCGGTTGCCCGGGTAGTTGAAGTCGTCGGAGATGTCCTGGCCGATGCGCCATTGGTTTGCGCCTTCTTCGGCGGCCCATTCCCAGACGTTGGCCCAGCCGCAGTGGCAGGCGTGGAAGACGATGGAACGATTCGTGGCGATGAGTGCAGTGCTCATGTCAAGCATGACCTGCTGGACTGCAGATTGGGGCTCGTCTGCGTGCGAACAACAAGCATCGTATTTCAAGTGGTCGATTCCCCAAGACGCGAAAAGTTTTGCATCCTCAGCAGCATGGCCTTTTGAGCCTGTAAACCCAGCACAGGTGTCCACCCCCGGCCCACTATAAATACCGAGCTTGAAGCCCTTCGAGTGGGCATAGTCGGCGACAGCTTTCAGTCCGTTAGGGAACTTGGCCGGGTCGACTTCAAGCGGATGGTCTTCTCGCGAGCCCTTGTAGCGCTGCCAGCCGTCGTCTATATTGATGTATATGTAGCCTGCATCCTTCAGACCTAGCCGCTCCATAGCATCGATTGTGTTGCGCACGACCGTTTCGTTGATGTCCGGACCAAAGTTGTTCCAGGAGCTCCAACCCATTGGTGGCGTTAATGCGAGATTGTTGGTGATGTTGACCTTGCCGCCATAATGTGTTACGTTCCAAGGCGTGGGTGTAGGCGTAGGAGTAGGAACTGCGGTCCAAATAGTCGTATTGCCGAACAGCTGTGCCTGGGCCAGAGTGACTGCACCGAAGGCTGCGGCAAGTCGTTTCACTAACATCTTACCTTCGTGGAGATAACCGTACAAGGTGTGGAGGTTCAATTGGATGCTTGAGAGGGAAGCATGGGGCTTCAGGTGCAATTGTAGAGGGTCAGGAAAGGTAGAAACGGTTATTGAAGCAGACGAGAGCTCTTCCGCCGAGTAGCCGAGACGCAGGAACAGTGAGTGTTGATGAAAAACTCCATTGTCGGTCATTTGCCTAGATGAAGTGCAGCAGCTCGTGTCCCCCACTGCCATCGATAGCAATCTGGAGTGGAGAAGCTACCCTGGTCAACGCTGTGTTACAATTAGCCACATGCGGGTATATACCCTTCAACGAACGGCATCGATGCGGTTGGCCTCAAAACGGCAGGTACATGGCGATAACACCCATGCGACCTCTTAATGCGCCCTCAAGCTATTCGCTTGCGCCCTTGGGGATCTGCAACTGCGGAAAAAGGTTGCACCCGGTTGCGCGTCACCCTAGGCCTATGAGCGCTTGAGCTTCTTGATAAAGGAATGTTTCCTTCCTCGCATAGACTTGGAATAACTAGCTGGATTGCATTGGCTGGACGCACGAAATATGCAAACCATGAACCTTACCGAAGTTTCATGGTAGCCCTTTGGCTGTATAGCCAAATCAAACCAAATAGAAAGCGACACGAGCGGAAGCAGAGATACCTACATGCTTCACTTGCATGAAAGAGTGGTGACCCTATGAGACACTTCAATACGGGTCGTGGGATCTACAGCCCCTTGAAATGAACCAACTCTTCTTTACGTTGATTGTACACTGTCACTGACTGTATGATGTGATCCGAAGAGCCAGTTGCGGATAACCAATGAGAGTAGCGATTGAGATCGTTAGCTTGCCAGAGCCTTCCTTCGAGAGAACACGATATTGGGGAGCGTGTCCAGCGAGTGATCATCTGAGCTTGCTGCTATTATGAGTAGCGGGCACACAGATGAAGCTGTAGCGGTGGTCTAGATGCGGATCTCAAAGCTCGTTGACACTGGTTGTCGAAATCTTTGAACATGGAGTGCAAAGTCGGTTATTGCGCGATGGCCCAACTCTGAAGCTTGTCGTAGTCCCAAAAGAACATACCAAGATCGTTAAAGCCAGGTCACCACTGCGATTGAGGTACCTGGTATGCTTCGGTGATGCTTCCAAATAGTACCCAGCCAAAAGGGCGTGATTGCGAAATAGTGGCAATGTTCCCTTCCATCATTAGTCTTAGCAGAGCCTCAGCGATGGTTCCGTGCCCTTGCCCTGGAGATTGCTGGGTAGGTCGTCGAGACAATATTGGACGCGCAGCCTGCCAAATGGTGCATAGTAGAGTTGTGGTTGAGAACATATGGTGGCGGATCGAGTTTGAGGATTCGAAGGTAATTTGGAGCATAGGTGGACCTGGCTGACAGCGTTTTCCAGTTGCTGTACTTCGTATCCAGAAGTTTGTATACTGTGGAAGTTGAACCACCACCAATTTGGAACAGGAACTCGTTCAAAGCGAAAAGTTGCTCTATCTGCCACCGACCAAGTCGTGCCAGGAAGGCGCGACAGATGCGTACAATATCCTTTGTAAGAGCACTTCAATTGCATTTGATAATAAAATTCAACAGTGAGAGGGTACTTGCGATGCGGAAGTATTCGGTTGACGAGAGTGTGATAGTCTTGACTTCAAGACATGTATTAATAAAGGCTTCCATTGCGGCATTGATGCTTTGAGTAGCTCTTGGTATAAGACAACGAGCCCAACCACAACGAAGAACGGATCCACGCCACCCACCAGAATGGGTGAGATGTAGGGACCGTGCCCGTCGATTGTACCGTTGGCAAACAAGTTGGCAGCATGGTTAATGTCGAAGTCGGCCTCTTCAATAATGTGTAAAACCCATGACGTGTGCAAAAGAGACAACAGTGACGCAGGTAGATGTTTGAAGAATGGCTGTAGACAGGTCTCGGTATAGCTCAGAAACAGAGTCCTGAAGTGTTCGCTCACCTGCAGGAGAAGATGGAACAATATAGGATCGCATCGGGACAAATTGTTTAGCTTAGCTGGATTGTCAAGCGGTAGCGTAATGACAGGAAATACAGGACGAGCGGCGGTGCGAGCCATTATTAGGGAGCTAGAAAGGTACATTGGAGGAGGTAAAAGGGGAGGAAGAAAGAACGATGATTGCCAGGGCGGCCACGTCACGTGGCCTAGCGCGGTTCCGCCCGACTACAGCAGCTACGGGAGCTTGAATGTTCGGTCGAGTACGTCTCCTAAACATCGACCACGTTCCCGCCCACGCTCGCCCGCCATGCTTGTCTCCCTCACTGTCGGCAAGGTCGACGCGGGTGTCGCCGTGCTCCTGACCGAAGACAAACGCCTCGTACGCGCTGCCAGCCCAATTGCCTGCTGTCCCCTCCGCAGGCGCACTCTTGCACATGGCTCGTAGCTCACCCGCGCGCAGATCGAATTTCCCTCAATCCTCCTCCCGCCAGACATTTCCTCCGGTAGCATCGTAGATATAGAGGTCACCCGCAACGCTGAAAAAGAGTCGGATGAGGCCGCCAAGTTTCACGCGCTCCAGTCCAACATATTCCGCACCTTTGGCCAGCGCGAGCCCTCCGCGCCCGTCCTGCGCTGCCGCAATGCCACGCAGACATCCGTAGTGCTCGAGTGGGATCCCATAGATATCGCCACGGCAGAACTCCGAAGCTTGACCTTGTATAGGAATGGCAGCAAGGCGGGCACGATACCTAGACCAACCGAGGTGCACAGCACCAAGCTCAGCGGATTAGCTGTCGACACCGAATACGTATTCCACTTGGTACTGAGGACTAGCGCGGGCACTTTTAGCAGCGACAAGCTGAAGGTGCAGACACACAAGATGACAGATCTGTCAGGTATCACCATTACACCTGGGCACATGCCCGCTTCGCTCCGCGATTCATTGCAAAGGGACGTGGAGGAGATCGGTGCTAAGATTGTGGACACCGTGAGGATTGATACTACGCATTTTGTGTGCACGGAAGGAAGGGGACCTGCATGGGAGAAGGCTGTGGAGAACAATATTCCGGTTGTGGTGCCAGACTGGGTAAAAGGCTGCAAGCGAGATGGAAGAATCGTGGGTGTGCGAGGCTACTACCTGAATGCGGACCCGCGACTACGATCAGTGGGCGGTGGAGCTAATCAATCACACCCGTCGCAACAGCAAGGAGCCCAATCAGTCACCAGCCCTAGGACTGAGATCACACCGCCAACGCCGGACAGGCAAGCACATGAGCGAGAAAACGATAATGCAGCACCGCCTCCACCTCCGCCGAAGGACGATGACGAGAAACGCGATACTTCGACTTCGCCTTCGCCATCAGTCTCGCCGGAACCAAAAGCAGTGACCGAGGAGCAGAAGGTCAGGACAGAGGACCTCAAGCCTGTAGGAGACGAGTCAGAAGGCGACGGTGAGGATGAGAAGCGTGCGAACAGGAACGAGAAAGCAGTCGACGCAGGTCTACCCTCAAGAGAGAAGCCACCACCACCCACAGCAGAAGACGACGACGATGACCAAGCCAGTTTTCAGGAAGTCCAGTTATAGCAAGACTTCTATGCTTTAAGCCCCAGGGTGGTTGTTGACAGTTTAGCGATTGGTGCTTCAAAATCATCAAGCGGGTTCATGATCGATGTTAATGTCTCGTAATAAAGCTGGCACTGCAATGATAGTCACTTTCGACAGCGCTGCACGCCGGTGCTAATGCAAGCCTTCTCATGCAACATACATACTGAAAATGCTAACGTAGTGGTATCTCATACTCTCTCATGCTCGTTCTCCTCTTCCCCATCCCTCCACTTCTTCCGCCACCATTTAAGCTTAAACCAATCTCCTAGCCCCTCTTGCTGCCTTCTCTCCCCAAACCGCCAAGTACCACGTGCCCTCGCATCAGGACTTGGCGGCGCATCAGTATCAGAGTGCGCCTCGTCCTCCGGATCCGGATGGTCCAATAATGACGCGTCGCTGACAACAGGTCTCTTCCCTCGCGACACGCTGCGATCGCGGGAGATGCCCAGCCCGGCACCATCGAACCACGATCGCCTCCGCATCTGGTTCAGCCACGTCCCTGAGTTGTTCTTGCGGCGCGCTGGTAGGGTGCCAGAGCGCGGTCTTCGTCCCAGGTCTACCGAGCGTCTGATTGGAGAGGGGACTGTGTCTCTATCGTTGAGCTCGTTCCAGATCTCGTTCGTTTCCTCCGAGATGGTCATTCTCCGTCTCCTTGGTGGTATGCGAGCTGAAGGGCTTGCGCTTGGGCTGTGCGATTGCTTGGTGCTTAATGACGGCCTCTTGTCTGCGTAGTGGGCGACTGCAACTGCGGGGCCGGTTGGTGCTCGAGCGAGCAGTGGCGTTCGTTCGTTGATGCTCTGTCGTTTTCGTTGCTCGGCCACAGCACCGTGGAGCCCGGGCTGCTGCTCTTCTAGATCGACTGGGGACGTGGGCTCATCCTCAAGAATACCGTGGACGAGACCGATACCAGGCGTGAGAGCTGCTTGTGGTATGGGGACGTGGCCTTTATGTCGTCCTACAACCGGTGACGAGGGTTCTTCGTCGCTCTCCTCCAAGCGCCAACTCAAACATACTACTCCGGCCAAGAGTATGGCTGTTCCAAGGGAGAGTAGGCCTGCGTGTAGATTCGATAACCTGGCCGATTGGTGGAAGTAGATCAACCCGTCTATTATGGCGATGACATTGTAGACGCAGAATATGAGAGGATAAAGAACGCTTGTGCTGCAAAGCTTTAATCCGCGGTGCATATAGTATAGTTGGGTCAAGGCGAAAGTAACGAGGCCAATGAGGATCATCCAAGATTCCCAACGGTTGAATTGGTTATGGCGATCGATGATAGTTCGAACCAGGAGCTCAACCGCACTCTTTGCAATCAGGAGAGAATGGGCGGAGAGAATCCCACTGACACAGCCAAAGAAGATGCCTCGGACCAGCCTCAAGCGTGGTGTAGGTCGGGGATATATGCGCTTCAGGAACCAGTTGGCGATAATCAGGGCTAGCACTATTACAAGGGTCCCAAACATCCATAGTAGAAATTGCGTGCGGCCCAGTAGCCGTAGGAGCTGGTCCAGGTTATGGGAGGGTTCGCTGATGGCTCCAAATATACCGATAAGAAGGGCTCCTCCTGCAACGAGTAGAGTACCGGCTAGGGAATGCCTCGTAAATGGCTCGCTCAAGACGACCGAAGCGCATATCGAGTTAAAGACGAGGCCGGACTGCGCATATTAGCACAGAGCTTCTTATAAGCAGTTAGAGAGCATACAGCTTGCAAAGTCGACAGTACAGGGAGCGGTAGGGTGGTGATCTGGATGGTGCTCCCCACTATGTTCGCCACCACGAACATCAGCATGCCCAGCTATACCAGTCAGCACAAGCCTCTTCCTCCAGACAATTTAGTATCCTAACCTGCCACCTCCGGCGTTTATAGGGCGGTCGCCGCTCATAGTCGTCCTCCTTCTCTTCCTCAAGCAGATGTGATTTGCGCTGCAGGGTCAAGCCGATGCTTTGGATGCAGGTGGATGCGAGGCCGACGATTACTCCGACCTGATTAGTATTGTCAGTACAGGTTTCTATGTTGTACTCGTCTGCGCATCTGGGCCAGCTCACCGCAATGCTGGCGCCCGCGGAGAGCTCCACCATGTCGTTCCCGAAAGCTATGGTCGCTCTATGTGGCTGCTACCTCGGGCGCGAATACATGCTGTATGCAAAGGCTTATACGGGGTTGGTGTTGCGAGCTATGCGTCCAGCGCAGCAGTAGTTCCGGGTGCGTCACCGTGATAGTCGGCGACAGGCCACGGGACCGAGGATTGGGCGGCCGAGTGCAGGCGACAGGGATGCGCGATGTGATGATGTCGGCTGGGTTGATGCTTGCGGACTCGGTGCACACGGTGCGTAGCTGTGTAGAGGGGGAGAGTCGCGTTGCAGTGCTGAAGACAACGATTGCGAAACTATCGGTGTATGTGTTTGAGGTGCATCGTCGGTACCCCATCGCTGGTTGTACCTTGCTAGCTCATATCGGCGTAATCGCGGGCGCCTTCGAGCTGTGGCTTGACTTGACCTCACATCCCAGATCCCCAAGCTCCAGCTCCACCACCAGCGACCGCCTTCCTACTTGCACCGCTGCAGCAACCACACAAATCGCACCTAGCAGCACACCTTTCGAACTGCCGCCATGTCGCAAATACACGCCCTCTCCGACGACCAGGTAAGCTGTCCCCTTCTCGAGTGCCTGCTGCAGGGCTCCCCGCCATACGTCAACAGCTACTAATGCGTCACCCTGGTAGGTCGCTGGCGAGCTGAGGAAGATGACGGCCTTCATCAAGCAGGAGGCCATGGAGAAGGCCAATGAGATCCGCCTCAAGGCCGACGAGGAATTCGCAATCGAGAAATCCAAGCTCGTCCGCCAAGAAACCGCTGCCATCGATTCGTCCTACGAGAAGAAGTTTAAGCAGGCCAGCATGTCGCAGCAAATTACCCGCTCCACCGTTTCCAACAAGTCGCGAATAAGGATTTTGTCCGCCCGTCAAGAGCTGCTGGACAGACTGTTCGAGGACGCGGGCAAGAAGCTGGGCGAGGTCTCGAAGAACAAGGGCAAATACCAGGGCATATTGAAAAACCTGATACTGGAGGGCGCCTATGCGCTCAACGAAGACAAGCTCCAGGTCCAGGCGAGGAAGGCCGACTATGACGTCGTGAAGAAGGCCATCGAGGACGCTCAGACAGAGTACAAGAAGAAGGTTAACAAGGACGTTACCATCACTATCAACGAGAGCGACCCGTTGCCAGAGGGATCGTGAGTGAATCACTTCATAAAACATGCACACTTCTGACAGGACAGGTCTGGCGGCGTTGTCATTGCTGGTACCGGCGGAAAGATCGACATCAACAACACCTTCGACGAGCGACTCAAAATTCTCGAGACCGACGCATTGCCCAGCATCAGAGTCACCCTGTTTGGTGATAACCAGAACAGGAAGTTCCGCGACTGAGTGGTTCGTATTCTGCGGGTGTTTGTCCGACCATCAAAGCTCCGAGTATTCGCTTTCCAGCATACAACGGCGGCTATAGATGAGGCTTTATGGCGATATCAGCATTTTATCAGCTTATGACCTCCATGTCGCATGTATATGCATATGTGAAGGATTCGACCTTTGAAGCTGTTTGTAGAATATCTGGTGATTAGCGGTCTAATTTGTATACACCAACCTCAAGTCTCTGTGCACGCTTGTGAACTATCGGCTAATCATGTTCTCAAGACAAAGCACAGATAACCCAATACACTATTCGGCGCCTTGAATATCATCAGCGACAGAAGAAGTAGCAGTAGAGACGAGGCCCGCTCTGGGACTTCGACTCCACGTAGTCCAAAAACAATTCTCGTGGTACTCCTGGCTTTTGTTACGCCAGAAGTAAAGGAAGGCCAAGCACGGAGTCGAACCGTGAGTCCCGCGCATACCCAAGTCTGCACTGCGGGCTATAGACAAATACTTGTCACCCTCGAAACCATAAAAAGAATATTGTCTAATTGATCGCGGCAGGGATCGAACCTGCAATCTCTTGATCACGTGATTTCTGATCGGATCGTAGTCAAGCGCCTTGCCATTGGGCCACGCGACCGTCATGTTGTTGTGGTGCATGGCGAATGTACTGCATATATGAAGCTTGCAAAGAAGTGTCAGGCAACGCTCAATTCTATATCTAACCGAGGCTGCTTCATCCAAGGCCTTACAAACTTGGCGCTAATTGAGTACAAATTTGCAAGCAGGCATATATTTTCTCCACCCACTATGTTGTCACCGTCATGAGAACTGACCGTTGATGCCTGTTCGCGTTTGTCGCTTCCGCACTCAAAGTGCTAATGTACGAATGGTCAGCCGTTTCAATTCCCCATCGCGGATCCTTTTTCGGGCAGTGCAACCTTTTGACTTATACCGAGTTTCACGGAGCCGATTCAGGAGCAATTGTGAAATCAATTTATTATGGAAAGATAGATGGTACTTCTTTCATTCTCGCGATCGCAGTATAGCGGCTTCACCGGCAAACTGAAGAAGTTCGCTCTTGCAAATTGCGCCGCGTTCTTCTAGTGCAACTTATGCTGTGGGCGCAAAAACCTATTCGAATACGGCCATTATCTTGAGAACCGGAAGACAGCCGATACTGCAAGGCCTTCTCCCCTTCCTACCTATGGTCGGTCGGCATGACTTTCACGATGAAGATTGGTGGTGGATTGACTCACTCTCCATCAACCTCGCGGACGGACATGAGAGAACAGCATGTTCAGATCATGGCTGAAATCTACAAAGACAGTTAGGAGAGGAATGGTCTGGCTAGGTGATGAGGTCGAGGCGAGAGTGATTGCAGAGGTGCTATCCATCTCCCTCACTATCTACAGGATCTGCAACCTTTATTCGGTGGAGAAAATGCCGATTATGTTTGCAAGAACGTCCGCTCGTCAGGTATGGCCGCGCACTGGACATTGGTCTGCAGTTTCTTTAGCTGCCCTTGGTGGACATGGTATGGGCACTGCAAAAGATGATGCTACGTCTAGAGGTCAATTTCTACTGGAGCAATTCTTCGATAAGCCGTGGCAAGTTCAAGCACAGCATATTCTTGTGCAGCGTAGGAAATGGCGACATGGAGGAGGAGCTAGTTCCAGACACTCACACTTGCGTAGCCGAACGTTTGCTGCTGAGAGCCTGGCTGACTTCATTCCTACTGCTGTAGTTCTCCAGGAAGACTTTTAAAGATCTATAAATTAAGATTAGCAAGCTTGTATCTGGTTAACTCTCCTTGCCTGTCTTAGCCTACAGTATTCTGTCGACGTGCTGTTCTATCCAGGATAAAATAGCGTCGTTAGGATTGCTTTCGCATGGGAGGGCTCGGTGGAAGGCTCAGCCAGGAAGAAGCGCCGCACATTACTCTTGCCTACGACGCGCGCATCAGCAGGAGAAGAGTCCACCAGTGACATGTCCACCCGAGAGCTCGTTTACCTGCGTAATCGTTTTAACCACTGATCCAAGATGTAGAATCTACTAGGTGCTTGGGATCAAAACCGCGTGCGACTGAAGATTGATAGGCAATTCGAAGTATAGGAAACCGGCTCAACACCAATACGCAAAGCTCGTCCGCTCGTTTCACGATGCATACCAAGATGTGGACATCATCTGCTTCGACGACCGCAGCGCCCCGCATGGGTCGAGCTTCCTATCTCTCGCCTCCCAGAATCGCTCTACCGTGCTGTACTCACGACGGCTCACTTCCGCTACACCCACTATAATAGCATGCCACCAACCCGAAGGGGTAAACCAATCCCGATGACATGATTGGCCAGCGCAGGCGAACGACATCACTACCTCCGCGCCTCTAACATGAACCGCATGCACGCAGTGCACTCTGCATACCACTTCGGTCGTTCTAGCGATGAGAAGGCCGCGATCCACAGGCGTGTGAGCCACTAAAGTGCCTTCGAAACCCCTAGATGCGGTATGGTGCCCAGTAGCGCTTCAGCGTAGTCTAGTCGTCCAGGATGGACGTGTGCGGAGCCGCTGGTTCGTATGTGGATAAGATACAGCTGATGGTAATCTCCACGGCCTGCATGTGTTGTCGTAGGGCGAGGTATAAAGGCTCCTTGCATGCCGTCCTCTGCAAGCGTCTACATTGTGCACACTCTTCGCTTCGTCGCTTGAAAGCCATTTCGACCAAACAAGTAGAGCGTCTCCCTACTCACCGATAACGCACCATGTCTTCACCAGGGATGCATCACTACCCCAATGCACAAAAGGAATACAAACCACCGCTGATCGCAAACGAGAATGCGTACCTCGGCGATGTCTTCTCCAGGTCCGTGCTATGATATCCCTCTCCCAACCTCACCACACTTACATCCGCCAGTGACAAAATTAATCCAGAAACTCCCATTTCAGCAGGATTCTACCGGCTCGAGAAAGGCACACCACTCGAGTACACGTACACTTATGACGAGATGAAGATCATCGTTGAGGGCTCTTTCACGATTTCAGACGAGACGGGGAAGAAGGTCAATGCGAAGCCAGGTAAGTATTGAGATACATCTGGGTGATGGTGTGTGATTGCTAACTAAGAGAAGGCGATGTGTTCTTCTTCCCAAAGGGAAGCAAGATTACGTTTACGACGGATGATTATGGATTGGCGTTTTTCACGGGGCAGAGGAAGGAGGGCGCATTGTAGGGGCCCGAGGATTGTTCATACCACCTTTTGAAGTGAGACTCGTGTGCTGAATAACACGGTCATCGATGGTCGAGTGTATGAAGATGTTGTATCCGGTTGCGACAGTCATCTCACAGTGCTTCGAGGTATTACGTCATCTGCAGAAAGCGCCACAGAAACATCTGATGCATTGTGAATACTCCGCTGCAAGTAATCTGTGAATCGGAACAGAGTTTCCATGATCCCGCCACCCACAGGTCCCAACAATGACATTTATACATCAAGAACGGTGTGGGGTCCAGTTTCCGCTGATGAAACACCGCAGATTACTCGGACATGGCACGTACAGACTCGATGAGCAGCAACGGCATGTGAAGCGCCATCAATGAGAGCAAAAACAATACCCGGCAAACTTGAATGGTTGCATCTGCCTACCTCGGTGAGTAACCGCAGGCGTACGTACACTGTTGCCCCAGATCTGCGCGCACAGCCACAGCGTGCGTGGCACAGACGCCCCTGGTTCGGCCCCGCGGTCCCTGCAGGCGCATGAAACGTTTGACCTAAATTAAACCGGATTCGCAACGTTACGAGGACATCTTCATTTGACGACTGCGCATCTTCCTTGTCGCTCGTTTTGCGCTCCTTCACGCACTGCGAGATGCAGACGGCAAGCTGCGTCGCCTCTTCTCTGCGCTCTTCATTCCGAACCCGTCTTTGTACCGCGCGTCGTGCTACTGACTGAGCACTTGTTGGGCACAGCCTCGCCCGCCCTGCCACCTGCTAACCTCCTCCGACCCTCTGCTTGCGCGTCTCTTCGTTTTCCCTTCTTTCTTTACCAACCTCATGGCTTCAACACTTGTTATGCGCTCGCTGCTGGCGGCGCGCAATCCGCTGGATGATGCCAAAGACACTCTCTCATCATGGGATAAGTGCATGGCCAAAAACTACTGCAAGTCCGTAACCATCGCATAGCCTTGTTCCGTTCGGCTTGGTGGCTAACGTTTGACAGATGGCCCGTCATTGTCGCCATCATTGTTGGGGGAATCATTGTCCTGTCTGTAGTCCTGTGCATAGCGCGATGTGTGTGCTGTGGCGCGGAATTGGCATGTTGCTGCTTCAAATGCTGCACCTGCTGCTGTCCTTCGGGAGGGCGATCAGGCCACAAGCGTGTGAAGACTCCTCCGCCTCGTCCATACGATGCCTCGGCCTACTCGGGAGCTCTACCGCCGGCTCCTGTGCCCATGGATTCGCGACCCTTAAACCAGCAATACCGGTCGCATGCCGCTCCTACCTTCAATCCAGCGCCAGCGCCTACTTTTAATCCTGCACCTTCTGTATCTTCGTACACTACCGCACCGAAGCCCGAAGCCCCTCAATTTGCAAGATTCGATGCACATGCGCCACCAGCAAACGAAGATGCTCTACCCGCGATGCCGAGCTGGAGAGACGCGAAGACGACGCATGTCGAGGAAGATGTCATTCCTGAGAAGCGGGATGACGTGGAAATGGATAGACTTGACCATGATGGAACTATGGCCGGGACGTCAATGGCAGCGGTAGCAGCTGATGGGGCGGCGCGGAGGGCGCCAGGTGGTGCAAAGTCTCCAGTCCAACGCATTCAGACGGAAGAAGGATACGGGTATCCTCCCTATGCAAACAATGCGCCGCGCCGCAGCCCCTCAAATGCCCCTAGCGGTTACAGCAGTGCCTATAGCCAAAACCAGGACGGTCACCGTGGTGCGTCGCCTGTGAACGCGTCGCTGTCTCCTGCTCCTCTATACGGGGCGGGGGCAGGTTACGCGCAGAACCAACAATATGATCGGCGATCACCAGGGCCAGGAGGATACAATGCATCACCTCGGCGCTCACCAGGCCCAGGCTACGATCAATATGGGCAATATGACCAACAGCAACAGTATGGCCAGCAAAACCCGTCACGCACCCCACCACCGCTGAACACCAACAACTATGGATACCACAACAACCAGTACAGTCCGAGGGAGGTGTCGCCAGTGTCGCCCCACGCCAATGGCATGTACAATACCGGACCCCCTGCTGCTCTTGTACCTGGGAGAGATCCATCTCCAGTGTATGCGCCGTCCGGCTCCACGAGATTCGAGCCTCCTGCACCATCTGCATCTCCTGCACCTGCTTACCCTGGACAACAAACATATGGGTCTACAGAGGCCTCGCCACCTGCACAACATCCATACCGAGCTTATACCCCTGCTCAGACCCAGGATCAAGGATATGGCGTCCCTAGGAAAGCAGTAGATGGGTCTTGGAAGGAGGTGTAGATGCTCTTCGAATGGAAGTCAAGTCCACCCCTATTTGCGTTTTGGCGGATGGAAAGACTCTTGTTCTCTTATATGCGTTGCCTAGTTGCAAGCATTCTTTGTTTTGATGCATAGCGACGGCGTCACGGACTTTTTGCACAAGCTCACGATCTCGGGCTGGTGACTTTGTTATATATTGTGCTTTTGCGTTCAGATGTAAATCTCATCCACATACGAGATCAATGGTTAAATTCTGCTAAGATTCTGAACCTGTTGAATGCACAGTCCTGAAATACTAGACGTTGTCGCGACGTTTATGCAGCATCCGCCTTCAGTGTTGATCCTCATCAAAAGCAACTCCGCCACGATCGCCTACTATTTCTCAAAAGGAGGCAGAGAATGTAATAATCCATCTTGATCGACTCGTAGCCCCACAACACACTGCATATTACCTAGGCCGGCGACGCCAGCCAGCTAGAGGATGTTCGCTCGTCAAACTTGACGGCGTATCCAAAATACAACAGCAATTTGAGGGGAGTGCCATCTGTATCGCTCCTGTCACACTGCTCAGACACCTGCTGGCAAAACAGGCGGACGTTCTTGACTCGCTGATTTGACCACGCGAGGGTGGGAGTGGTCAGGTAGCTGCGCTCACTCGGTTCATAATTTTTCCTTAAATGCGAATCGATCCACCGCATTATATTCTTGCAAGTCGGGTGCTCTGTGACATGGGGTCTTCATAGATGTATCGTCGTCGCCAGTTGAGCACACGACGCGCCTCGTCGGGCGTAATTGAAAAGGCTCGAACGTAGTTATGTGAATGCTTGCTACCGCGTTCTTCATAGCTGTCTCACAAGGCCTTCAGATCCGAGTCTGCTTGTCGGTATCGTAAGCGACCTCATTATTGCCATAGGTAAGCTCGTCGATAGCTCTCTCTAACATGCTACAAGGCGTCAACATCAACACCGTCCCAGAACGTCGGCCCATTCAGCTTGGGACTTGCCTATCTCCAAGCCGCGTCGTTTCTCAGCATCGAGGATTTGCCCTACAAGTGCCTCTAGTTCATCGTGCTCGATAGCGTTGACAAGCCTATCAGATATATCACAGTGCGACAAGCCCGACGAGCTCCAGTGTTTTCTCGAAATCTGGAGGGCTGTCTGCGTCGGCTTCTCCACCAGACAACGACAGCGACTCGAGTGGCCCATATTTGACAATGTCTTCTGCCTAGTTATCGTCCAACCCTCCATCTGCAGGGTCTGAGATATCTGCAGGGTCTTCCCATTCAGCTTAGTGGAGGTCTGGAATAGCCTTCGCTGGCTGCCTCATTTGGACTGCACTGCTAGCGTTTCGTTGGGCTCGAGATCGAAGACAGTATCCAAGCTAGTGTCTGAATCCGCATGCGCTTGCACGCACGGGACATGGCGGCCACGGAACAGTTGTTGCGGTAGTGATTCCCTCCAGTCAATAGGACTCACTTTGCTGTGCTTGTGGGATGCGCCGGGATCAACTCTTTGGAAGTCATCCTGGACGTAGGTTTTGCTGCAGTCCTTGCAGGCGTCGCGTCGTGCTGTGCGGGTGTGGTCATGGGGAGATCGAGGAATGCATTTTCGCGAGGTATGCCGCGTGGGCATCGTGTCTTCGCAGAAGTCGGAGGCGCGACAGTGTACGCCGGTGCTGACAACCCATTATCCTTTCGAAGTACGACCGATTGCAGATACAGTTTCTCAAAGTTGCATGCTCCTTTTCTCGAAACTTCGTGGGCTTGCTGTCAATTCTGCTACAATCTAACGTTGTGTTGGATGTAAATCTTTCGTCAGGGTCTGCCGGGAATCATGGCTATCATGAACCAAAATTGATTTCATGGGGTCTCGATACTAGCGAAAGCTTAGGTTTAGCTGACATGAAAGACTATCGCACCCTTGATGAGTTTGAGGTCGAAGAGTGACTTTTAGCGAAAAAGGGGTATTCTAGTTGCACTCATGTTCTTTTGCTCAGGTTACACTGCCGTAGGTAGTTTTGCCATTCGGTTTACTGCGTTGTAGGTACATATGTGGAAAAACTACCATAAAGGGGATACTTCGAGATCGAGCTAATCATACTTCCCTCTACTACTGGTACTTACTAGATTTGCAACGAGTTCATTCATCTGATCTGATCAAATCTAGAATCCAATCCCATTCCTTCCCCACCTCTATCAATCTACAATACCCATTTTTCCGGAATAGGATACTCATCGGTGCCATAACCCCCGCTCCCCGATCTATCCCAATCCATGGTTCACCCCCTTAAACAAACCCACGGTACGCACACCCGCCACGCGAAGAGATCTTTTGACAGGCTCCTAGGCCTGGGCCTCCCGCCCATCGGTTCGGTGCGGTCCCCGCACACTCTGTGGTACGGTACGGTGGAGATGACACGTGAACCTGTTCTCACCGCACTTGTCGACCTGTCACAGCGTCATCATGTTGCTGACTTGACTTTTTGCTCGTGAAGAGGGACTCGTGTGGAGCGGTGAAGAATTGGGTAATTTGCATGTGCAAGGTGGGTGTACCGCAGGCAGTGGAATGATGCACCACAGAACGCTGCGCGGCTTTCTCGATCTTTCTCCATCAGGATTGCGTATGTAAGTGGATCTACGCTTTCGGGAGTTGTTCTGGGCACCGGCACGCTTGCCTCTGCTGAATGAACGCGTCAGCCTCCTGAACGGTCATCCTCTGATGACTGTGACCAACAGCAGTGATTCCAAGCATCCTACATCTGCTCGAAGTTTCCAAGACTATAATCTAAATCGAATATGCTCAACTGTAAGCATACCTACTATGCGTCTCACGTGAACAGAGTCTGCAGGTAACTATTCCTGCAACGAAGATAAGCTCAGTAGCTTAAATTGCAGGTTGCTGGACTTCGACAGAGAAGTTCAATACAGGAGTTTGTGTGAGCGATGTAATTGCATTGCATTGGAGACTGATTCTCGCAAGCAAGAATAAGCCAATACCATAATTCCAAAACCAATAGTAGTTACCAAACCAAACAAAAAAAACAGTTGCGAAAGCAGCAAAATACCACCCAATCGTAAGTTTAGAGGAAAAGACAGTGCAAGCCCCAAAAACAAATGTGCAACGCAGACAGATTGAGTGCAAAAACAAAAGAAAAACAGAACGAGAACTGGGAATCTCAAAGAGCACAAACAACCACTGCCGAGCACAAGCTTCGGGCCCCATAAGCACCAGTGAGATGCAGGATTTCCCCTTCTAATCGTTTTTGCGCTGGAAACTTCAAAAACCGGACCCAATTTCATATCGCAAACTGATGACTCCGCGCTTAGTCTTATTAAATCCGAACTCTGCAGAAACCTGTTGAAACATCATCCCGAAGAATTTTCCGCGAGCGGAGGAGAAGAGACGAAGATCGAGGAAGAGATTCGGAAAGGGCAAAAGCAGAATCGACGTAGGTAAAGACTTGGAAATTCTTGAAACGCATTAGGGAAGCAGTGGGCCACCCGAACGCGTCGATCCAGTCCGTACAATTAGCAGGAAAATGCCACGGACGGAAGGACTTGACATTATACAGAAAGATGAGAGAAAAGTCGTATCATCCGAAAGAAAGGCGCTATGCCGGCAGAATTGGCTCTCGCAGAAAACCAGTTCCGGAGCCAATCTGGTGTTGTTCAGTCCGGCTACATGGGACGGCGATTGAGCATGTTCAGCATATTCGAGTCGGTCGAGCTGCGTCCATTTCCGTTGTCGCTGACAAGATCATTGATGCGCATGCCGGGCCTGTTGGCAGGCTGTGAATTGGGCGGAGGCGTGGTGCCGTCACTTCGAGGAGGTAGCGGCTGCAGATTGCCGTTTGTTTGCGGAGGCGGATAGTAAGCTGTGCCGCCTGGAGTCGTAGGAGCCTGGGATGCATGAGGCGAAGAGGATGCGCGACCTGCTTCGTAAGGATATGCGCTGGGTGGAGACGTGCGCCGGGGTGGTTGGGGCGTGTAATACGGTTGCTGACCATGCTGAGGCGGCGCGCTGTTGTAAGAGGCAGACGAGGTCGCTGGAGAGGCAGCGTTAGGAGGCTCTGGAAATGAATAGTCCGGTCCAGCTCCTCGATGAGCGGGCTGTGAAGCTGCTGAACCTGGCCTCGGTGGAGGCAAGGTCGGCGTGTGAGGCTCCGGATGAGGCCTCTTTCTGCCATTCAGCGCATCACGGCTCGCGTCATCATACGGTGCAGGGGGACCATAAGCAGAATGAGCTTGGTACGGACCTGAAGGGGGACCTGTGGGACTAGGCAGGTAGTTGGGGGGTGGCGGCGGAGCGTTTGGCTGCTGCTGGCGTGGCGGTTGGCCGTATGCCTCGCCGTGTTGCGACGGCGGCAGTGGCTGCCCATAGGCACCGTACATGGGCGGAGGCTGCCCCACGCCACGCCAAACAGTGTGCGCAGGGACGAAAGCCTGTGTCTGGGCCGAGACAGGAGTGAAGATGCAGTCCTGGTTGAAGCGCATACAGTTGGAGCAACGGCCGTCGTCAGTGGCCTCGAATCCCGAGCAACGGATCTAGATTGGGTGAGAATAATGTCGTCATTGAGCAGTTCTTGAGGTTACCTTGCGTCTTCTGCAGTAGCGGCAGGCAATGGCAGTGCGCTGGCGCGGTGCGGGGGGTTGGTGATGCTGGTTCATGTAGCCTGGCGGAGGTGGTTGCGGGCGGTATGGGTCCTGCTGCGGGGGAGCTTGGTTCCATTCTCCAGGCCCCGGGAGACGATAGGGTTGCTGAGGCTGGTGGTGGTGCGCGGCCATGTCCGGACGAGGATCTCGTGGTGCGTGTGCAGGAGGAGGAGGGAGAGAGGTGTTCATCTGGAAGCGGCGGCGGTCAGCATATGAGGCGAGGGCGGATGGGCCGACGTTCAGCTGGGCGGGCACATGACTCTGACTTACATGCGGAGGCGGTGGGTAGGAGCCGTGGGCAGGCTGCTGCGAGGTCGGCGGCTGCCAATGGGTGGGGAGCTGACCTTGGCCACCCTGGTGAGGGAACATG